TTTATTAAAGACTATACAAAAATAGTTAAACCTCTCTATGATTTAACCAAAAAAATAGAATATTTTACTAAAAAAAAGAGAAAAAAAATGTCTTTTAAATACTCCAACAAGCATTTTGTATTGAATTAATACTAAAACACTAAAATCCTACACTAAAAATATAAATAAAAATTGACACTTTAAACTTTATCTGCGCCACAGTTTTTTCTCAAAAACATGATAACAATCTCTAACACCCTATAACCTACAAATCCAAAAAAATAATACCAACAAAACATAACTATGATATTTATGATAAAAAATTTTTATCAGTAATTCAAATATTTAAAGAATAAAAACAATATTTGATGAGTGTTTATATTCAAATACATATTCTTACAAACCACAAAAACTTAGAATATTTCATAACCAAACAGTATCTTAGATAAAAACAAGTAGGATGGATGGAGTTTTTATTTTGGTTTGATTTTAAAATAATTTTTGTTCTTGGAAAAATTAACACCAAGGTTAACGTATTAATTAGAAAATCAAAGGATTTCCCTTAGGGAGAGAAAGATAAACACATAAAAAATCAAATTAGAATATTGCTACCACCTGAAAAAATCTAATAAATTAATATCATAACAACACAAAAAATTTGGCAAGTAGTAACCCTTAAAAATTCCTACATCCAAGATATTATAAAAATCTTTAGAAAAAAAAACAAACAGTATTCCAAAGTTAAAATATCAAAAATGAAAAAAAAATAAAACAAACTCTACTATAATAACAAAAAAATAATACCTGATAATGAAAAAATTTGTAAGAAAATCTTATAGTAACACCATAACCACCCTATAGTAAAACACCCAGGGAGAGTAAAGACACTAAAACTGGTTTAAAAACAATATATATGGATAAAGCTTCAAAAAGATGTTGATTGTTATATCAACAACTACCATATTTGCAAATGAACCAAGGTGTTCAAGAATGCACCCCAAAAATTACTGTAATTATTACAAATCACAGAAAGAAACTAGCAAAACATTTTTTTTAACTTAATTACTGGATTACCAAAATCCAATGGACACAACGCAATCCTTATCACCATAGATAAACTCTCCAAAATAATACATCTAACCCTGACAACGAAGAAACTCAACACCAGAGAATTAGCCGGACTATTCCTTAGGGATATATAGAAATTATACAAATTACCCAAAAAAACCATTTCAAACAGAGGAAAGAATTTCCTAAACAAATTCTAAAATAAAATTAATAATTGCTTAAAAATCCACCACCAACCCAGTACTGCCTATTACCCCCAAACTGACGGACAAACCGAACAAATCAACTCTATAATAAAACAATACCTTAAAACTTACATCAATTATTAATAGAACGATTGAGTTAAATAACTACCCCTAGCTAAATATTCCTATAATAATAAGATATTTGATATTACTAGAATCTCCCCATTTACTACAAACTATGGATGGAATTTGGATATTTTTAAATTCCAAGGACTTAGAAAACCTTTTAAAAACCAAGAAACTACAGGGTTTATACAGCAAATATCAAAATTACAAAAAATCCTGTGTATGGAAATCAACTGTGTTGTATAGATATAATAAGAATAAGTAAACAAACACAGACAGTTATTACCTAACTACAAAAAAAAAGATTATATCTAGTTAGATATGCGGAACATTAAAACAACACAATTTTATCTAAAACTATTTAATAAGATGAAAAGTCCATTTCAGATCCTTAAGTCCATAAAAAAAAAGCATATAAACTAAAGCTTCCCCCCTTAATAAAAATCCACTTTGTTTTTTATATTAACTTGTTGTATTTAGTACTAAATAACACTTTCCCTAGCCAAAATTACGAAGAATAATTTTTACCAGTCACCATTAACAACAAAGAAAAATATGAAGTCGAGAAAATCCTAAATTTGTGAATATATTACCGAAAACTTTAGTACCTCCTTCAGTGGAAAGGTTGGAACGAATTTATTTGGTAACCAACATCCAATATTACTTATACTTAGGAACTATTTAACAACTTTCATAAATCCTATTTTGATCGACCCAATTCCTCCACCTGATATACTCGATTTTACCTCATTATTCCAGTATAACCTAGAAAAAATAAACAAATTAATCAGGGTTTTCCAGTACCCAGACATCACCCAAGATTTATTTTTAGCATTAGATCTTTTTGACATCCAGATATTAAAATCTATTTATATCAGCTTGTATAACGAAATTTGGAGGTTGCAAATTGAGCTGGCTTAAACCTAGAAAACTATAGGAAATTTCAATTCAACCATCAAGAATTTATTGAAGCAAGTAACCAATAATCAAATCCCTAATTTAGAAAAAAAAGTCCAACCGAAAAATCCACATTTAGAATTATTAGAAATCTTAGAACCAGAGATATTAGAGATACTAGAGAAAAACCAAAAAAATTTTTTTGAAAAACCTTTAAAAACCCTCAAAAAACCAGAATTCCCAGGAATTAAGTGCAAAAGCAGTTACAAAAAATTTATGCCACCTAAGATTAGTAAAAGATATTGATGTAGCAAAAAACCTACCATGATATTAAACCTTCAAATGGAACATCGACAAAATGTTAATACTAAAGAGGGGGATTTTGTAACAAAGTAATCTTAGCATAATAAACTTTAAGCAAAAATCCAAACAGTTGGAGGAGCCCTCAGAATGATTATAAGAAATATCCAAACAATATTGTGATTAGAAGAAAAACCACACAACGCAATATAAACCGCAAACCCAAAATAAGGAAGTATTCAAATCCAAACCTTGAAACTCGCAGTATAAGATTACAATTATCATTTAAATTCTAAAAATTCCAGATAAAAAAGCCCTCGCTTTTTTAACAACTCCCAAAAAGAGTATTTTGTTACACACACTCATTTACTATATAGAATTATGTACTATCCAATTCAGCACCCTATATCCCCAAATATCCAATTCAGATTTATCTCCTATCTAGTTTAATACTCTATGTCCGATTATCTAGTTTATAGATTTATCTCCTATCCAGTTTAATATTCTATGTCTGATTGTTTAGTTCACAAACTTATCTCCTATCCAGTTTATTTTATTATTTCTTTTGTTAATTGTTTATTTAAACTGCTAAGTTCGCTATCATGTATTTAGAAACTAAGTAACAATTTAAGTATTAATCTGTATTCACACTAGTACACTACTCTTACCTTGTGACATTTGTGTATTACCTTGATATCACGACTAGGCCGTATACGATTTCTTACAAATCTTATAAATATTTTTAATATTGGTTTATCTTTTAATTTTTTTAATTCTTTTTTTGATATTTTTTTGAGTTTAAAATGTAATAAGGTAGAACGATTTCTAGAAGAACTATCTGTTAGTATCGAAAATTTGTTAAAAAACTAAAAATTATTGGAAAAAAAATACCTAATTCTTATAGTAATAACTAAAAACGTTTTAATAGTACCTATTGCATTGGTAAATTCAAAAAAAATATTTAGTAAGGTTAAAAATATTATAATATATTAACAAAGTTGATTATAATTAGAAATTATATGTCAAATTATAATTACTTGGTTATAGTAATAGGAATAAAAAAAATTTACTTTTAATTTTATTTCTAACAAAAAAAATTTTTAAAAAAAAAATATTAATAACAGAAATAACATTAAATAATATAGTTGTAATATCTAAAAATAAAAGAAAAAATAATCATAAAAATGATGGTTATAATTTAATGATTGAAGTAAACAATAAGATTTCTTATAAGAATAAAAAGAAAAATATCTTTAAATTAAGAAAACGTTCTACTACAATTATATAAAAAATAATAGTAAGAAAAAGATTTAAAATAAAAAATTAATTTTTGTATTTAGAATATTAATTTGATGCGTTTTATGATACTTAAAACTTAAAATAAATTAACATATTAAGTTACCATATAAATATTTCTATTTTTAGTAAATTTATAAAGCTCCACAGCAGTTTTTAAATAAACTTAAAATTTTTTGAAAAATTGTATAAAACAATTTGTTATTATTTTTAAATTTACCGAAGTAATTTAAACTTGAAATTTTAAGTTTATAAGTCCACGCGAAGTAGTTTGACAAAGCCATCAAACTACTTTAAACCGCTCCATCCTCACACTATAATTATTAGATGTTATTAGTAGTTATTAAATTAATAACTATTGATAATTACTAATAAATATTATATTTATGATTACTTATAAAAAACTTTATTATATATTTAAAAATTTTTAAACAATAATAATTTTTAATTTATCTTAAAACTCCATTAATTAATTTATTAATTTAATTTATAATTTATTTAAATAATATTTAATTTTATAAATTAATTATTATATTATACTTTTTATTTATATAACTTTATATCTTTATTCTGAATATTATATTACCCTCTAAAAGATCTGAATATATAAAGTTAAAAAATATAGTAAAGTGCTAAGCTGTTTTAGGAAACTTTGCCAAGAGATCCTAGGACAGGTGTAACATTTAATATTAATAAATATTTTATAAAATTTAGAAAATTTATTTAAATATTAAATAAAAAATAAATAAGTTAAATTACTTTTTAATAATAATATTTAATATATTAATTATAATTTAAAATATAGTAAAATTTATTTAATAATTTAAAATTATAAAATATTTAAAATTTAAAAAGTTATATATATTTAATTAGAAATATTTAAAAATCTTATTAATAAAAATAAAGAAATATTAAAAATAAAAAAATAAAAAAAGATAAAAAAAATTATATATAGTATTAATATTTATAAAATTTATTAAAATATATATTTTTTAATAGAATATTTGTTAGATAAGTTATAAATAGTTTATCTGAGTTTTATTTATTTTGTAATATATTTTGCAATACTGAATTTGGAAAATAGTACAATTCAACTGTCATTAGTTTGCCTAAGCGGATCTAACTAAATGGAGAAGTTCCCAATCGAGATTAAGTGTCTTCGCTGGCGACCGCAACGAGGAGCGATTTCTCTTCGGCCTCTTTGAGCCCATTGCGTGGTGGAGGCGAAACAATTGACGGATCAAAGGATTTTTTGGTATCCATGCCAAGGTACCAAGCAAGGAAATTATGGCATGCTGCAGCCGCATCATCCAAATGGCCTGGGAAATGCTCTTTCGCTAACCACACCTTTGGGCAGCCTTTAAGCATCGTGTCCCAGAGATCTTGCGCCTGTCGCCGGGATGGTCTTTGACCAAACTCTCTCTCGAAACTTGAAACAGTGATCGCTCCGAATAAAAGTGCCACTGTACTAGCACGGCCTCTCTCCAGTGCGAGCACCATTGGAGTCCTATCCCAGAACAGCGGCGGATGTCGTCTCGTGCCTAGGCCTTCAGGCGGGTAGGGGGACCAACTTTTGTCCGCACCTTTACTCAGAAGCAGCTCTACCGTAGATGTATGTCCCTCCCACGCTGCATAAGATAAGGGCGAGAAACCAAAATAATCCCCTGCGTTGATATCGACTTCTCCTTTAGAAATCAACAGCGATATAACGTCGTCGTGCCCAACCTCGGCAGCGTAGGATAGCGGGGTACGGCCTCTGCTGTCCTTTACGTCCACATCGCTAGCGCTAAAATCGAGCAACCTTAAAATCGTCTGCGGGAGCCCGAACTGCGCCACTATATGGTACGCCGTGAGCGAGTTCCATGCGTCTGCGGCATCCACACCTTCCCACATGGGTTGTCGCCAGACTCTCGACGTTTTTACCCACGCGATTACATTGCTATGGTTAGAGATGAAGTCAACAACTATCCTTTCCCCATCCATCGACGCTCTGCGCATCGCTGCAACCCAGTTCATCGCAGCGTAGTCGTATAGCGGATATGATGGCTGCTCGGCTTGGCGCTTCGTTTCTTCCGAAGAGCCCCAAGTGCTGAAACTCTCGAACGATAGGTACGCAATGCAAGTTTCTGCGATATCGACTCGAGCGTCTCCAGGAAATTGCCCTTCCGTTTCGCGAAAGAACTCTTGAGCTGTGTAATACACCAACTGAATCGTGTTACTCGCCTCGTCGACTACAACCAGCCCGGCACATATTGATTCTAGCGTTCTTACGCTAGGTATAGAGTCTCTGTCCAAATTTTTATCGCCCGGGCAGACAGCGAGCGCATGTCGCAGCTCATCAGGCGATAACAGCCTTCCGGTATGAATAATCCAGCCCAAGCATCGCTTCGCGAGTGCTATTATAGGCTCGCTCTGACGCTTGATCCGTTCTATCGCCTCTATATACGTGGCGGCCAAACCTTTCTCCCCTTTCTTGAGATCCCGGAGAGCCATTTTGAGATGCCTCTTCGTCGGCTGCGCTTCAAGCGTGTTAGCATACAGTGTCGCCAACAGGAACCTAGATCAGGTAGAAGACAGAGTCAATCAGCAGCGCAGCACGGTAAAAATGAAAAGTGATACACAGCACTAACATCCCATCAGCCGCTTCCAAAATCGCTGACTCAGCCATAGAACGAACCTCTTCGTCCAAAATTTCGGGCTCTAAACGTCCCATCTGGTCAGCTAGATATGCTTTCACGTCATCCCTTGAAGCACTGATTCGTAAAGCGACAGCGCCCTCAAAAAAATCTCGAAATATCCCCATCGCTCCTTGAAGTAGCAAGAATGCTAATACAGACTTCCTTTTGAATATCGAACAATATATTCAAAAACTTCGTCCTGCACCCATCCGCCTTTTGGCATTCATCGAGTGCATCGACGATAATGAACGATTTGGTGAATAGTTTCGTAATCGCGCGCAACGTAGTAACGATTTCGGCTTCTCTCGGGCGAGTTTTCCGACTGTAGTTTGTACTACAGAGCTGCTTGACCTCGCTCGGTAGAGGCGAACAGCGGCCCGCGAGCTGTCTCAGCAGGCTAGATAGTAGATCTGTTAACATTTGTGTTTTATGTTGTTTGTAGTCACAGAATATATACGCGAGCCCGAAACCTGAGGTACCTGAGAACCTGTCAAGTAAGTCATGAATGATAATTGATGTGAGAACTGTCTTTCCAGCACCCGGGATTCCCGGGCAATATAGAATTTGTTTGCCGCCGTTTGCCCAATTTTGGTATTCGGGTGAATCAAGTAGCCATCGACCTGTGCATTCTTGAGACTTCTTGACTATGTCGCTTAGTTGAGAGTCGTAGTCAATCGAAGTGATCCAGTCGAGTATCTGTTTGCGATCCCGTTCTTCACGATCTGTAAAACTCCCAATCAGGACCAGCGTGACTACGAAGGTTATCTATAGCAGTCTATTCCTCGACGCTTACCTTCCTGCACTTGTTCGGAGACCTTTGCCACATCTTCGCTCACTCCTTTAACCGTAAGAGCTAAAAGATTTTTGTAAATATGAACCTAGATTCTAGAAGATATATGTAAAGACTTCAGTCCTTACTTAACTCCGCCATTAACTTGTTAACTTTAGGCAATTCGACAACATCTTCAGGACTTATTATAGTGATAAGGGCTTTCGCATAGACCGATGCGGCCGCAATCGCACGGTTTCGCCAGCCGTCATTCTTATGCGAATCGGCATAGTCGCTGATGCCTCGGACGACGGGGCATGGAAAGGTGTTCATGAGGCCTGCTGCCTCCATCTCAAAACATAGAACCGTATTGTCGTAGCATTCGTCGATATAGTCCCTCACTGTGGCATCTTTAATGACAAAATTTCCAGACGCAATCGTACCCAAGTGCACGACTGGTATGTTGTCCTTCCGTTGCTTCCTGCCGGTGATTAATTTTCCTTCGTCGCAGTGGGCACAGTCATCCGTAGCAAAACTTCCAGACCCAACCGCCTTCGAACCATCATGAATATAGTCCGATTGAAATAGCTTATCCCCGACCGCCGGATACTCGTACTCGTCGCTCAACTCCCCCCAACTCTGCTAAGAAGTATTTCAAGTAAGTCGCAGGATTCCTCAACTTTGTGATAAGATTTTGAAGAAGCGTAACATTCGTGAGCAATTTCTCCGGAGGAGAACACAAATGCCCGCGATGGGTAAATCCGTTTTTCCCCGCCTCTAGTTTCCTAAAGTCGTATTGCACCACCCCTCCATACGCCCCTTTAGGCACGGAAACAACCACATCTCCTAGTCTCACATCCTTCCCCACAAACGGTTTAGGAGCACCTCCACCGATACCAACCAACAAACCAAAACGGAGAGACTTGAAAGTCCGCCGCATACTATCAGCGACAACGGCAGCCGGGTTAGTACCCATCCGGCCGACAGGGAGGCATGCCATGACAACCTTGTGGTGGCCAATTTGTCCTAGCATATAAGCGTTGTTATCCTCCTTAGGTAGAGACTGTGGGAGTCCATGTTCCTCGGTGAACATGGCTGTGGCTACGTCGAATTCCTCTTGAAGAGCGCAAATCCATCCGATGGTGTACTCGTCGTTGGTATATTCGGACTCCATGGCCTCGACCGCGTGTTGGTTTAACTCCCAGGACTAAGCCTTTAGAATCAATGTTAAAGTATTTTAATATATCGCGAGCCATAAACTAGGCTATTTAACGTCCGAAGCGGGGAATAGATGTAATTCAGCGGCATTTAGCTTACGAGATAAGGTACACTATAATACTGTATTGCAGTGCTAACCTGTGCCCCTGCTTAACCCAGCGTGCATTTCCCCGCAGCTATAGGGTCACTTTTATACCGTGGCACGAAAACAATGCAGCGTTTGTTGGGTTTATGCCGTTGGGATGAATCCTTCAGCCTCGCTTTGGGAACAGGAATTGGCTTACAAGCGTACACAATCTCGAGGTTGCGTCGTACCGGTTACGCTCTATATAATTGCAATGAAGGAACCAGCTATGCAATGGGACGACGTTAAAAATACTTTTGCGCATAACGAGTCTCTGGAAAAGGACAATATTATAGCGGAGGATGAAATATGTACTCCAGGATACCCGTGGTTGGATTGCTCATTTCTAGGGTTCGTGAAGTACGGCATACGTATACACCTACTTAAGTAAGTAGGTATATACAAATCTCGTTACTTTGAAAGGTCCAATATGTGCGGTATTTTGTTGTAGTAATAATTTTTCTTTTAAGTCTTTTTAAGCTATTGAGTTAATTTTAAATCTTATAGTATTAATTATAAATCATTTATCGATTTTTAGGCTTGTAGTATAAGATCCTAAACATTCTGATTAGCCGTAAGCTGGGCCCGTATACATGTAGATTGAAGCTGGTAGGTAGGTATAGATTTATTCAGGGGCTAGGTAAGAGAGCACTGCAGGTGGATTTGTGTAGGCTAGGCGTATTAGTAGCTATAAAGCACGGCTTCAGCCACGAGACTATAGGAAGCACACCATCGAGCCTCCATGGGCATGGGGCTTGGGACTAGAAAAAAGGCCAGGTTACTAATAAAAGAACAGCACAAAAAAGAACTCTCAGACGGGGAATCGAACCCCGGTCATCCGCGAGCACAAAACGGTGTAAACAGCGAAAAGTTGACAGGCGGAAATCTTGACAAGTGGACTATCTCTTTTTATCCTATTTTTGTTTCAACTTCATTTGTGCAAACCTGACGGTTTGGTTTGAGATAACTGTTTGTGTTGGTTGTGTTATATTTTAGAGGTTGGACTAGTCCATTTTGGTTCTGGGACTCCATTTGTATCTGGAGAACAGAACTTTTTTGTTTTACTGCTGTTATATTATGGTGTTAGCATCTAACTATCTTGCATACTGCTGTTGGCTGTTGGATTACAAGGAGGTAACGATTATCTTGTCTACTGAATCCTGCATTATTAAAGGGAAATAGCTGTATCAATAGCACTAGAAACATAGATGCGGAGTAATTGTTATCTTCCGGTTCGCTGAAACCCACCCAAACAAAAAAGGCTTCCACTACAAAACTGGCCTACCAGACCTGCAGCTGCCGTAAGTAGCACGGAGGCCCGATTGCTAAGATTTCCACCTGTTATATTCCTGATGGACGACCGGAGCCTGGTTCCCTGTCCGAAAGTTTTTTTTGTTGTATATTTTTGTTACGCAGCACCCTTTCCGCATTTTTATTTATCTTTTGTACATATTTTTACTTTGCTGCCTCATTTGGAAAAACAAATATATTCAACCACTGATTAGACTATCTGAGAATAATATACAATTAGCTTAGTTTCCTAAACTAGACGACACTTGTTAATTGAAAAATTTACCACCCGTAGGCCGCCTGCGGTGCCACTTAAGTTTGCGGAACCACCAAGTTCTTGATATCACGTCCATATATTCCCCGCCTCTTATTATATTCCTATAAATCCAGCTCGCTGGCGACCGGGAAGTGCCATTGCGTCTACGGCGTGCCCAGGCGCCTCGTAAGAATCATCATGGGAATAGCTTTGCTTTTGTTCCTACCGCTGATCCGTCGTATCATATCATAAATGGTTTTTTCGACTAAGGTCGTGCCTTGCTCGATTGCATCAGTCTGCGCAGCTGCCAATGTCATAATACTGAACTTAACCATTAACATACCATATTAATAAACTCACCATGTATACACAGAACAGCCACCTGCTAGACTTTTGGGTGTTCCATCTAGCGAACGCTTCTTGCCACCGTGAAGTGGGTCCCCGACCTGAGAAGCTAAACCTCAAATCAGGAGTGAACCCGGGCGAAACGAAATAAGGGGACTACCCGTCCTAACCTCGGGGCATTGTCTTGGTTCCAGCCTTATGGTTCTTCCATTGAGGCTCTTTACCAGCCCCCCCAGACAAAGGACATGTAGGGGGGAGAGTAGTACTGTGTATAGTATTTGTCTTCGGTTCAGCCTTGGTGTACTCCGGAGGTGAATCTTGTGTGAAATCCTAAATGTCGGCCGTATGGTTCGAGTAGTTTTGTATTAGGCGCTTTGTCTATGGGTCCAACGGCACTAAAGCTCTAACTGCTGTGAAAATAATCGTGTGCCGCATTTCTTTTCCCGTGTTGTTCTAGGCTAGCAGGGAAAATAAACTTCCACTTGGTGGGGCAGTTGGGGTTATACGCAAAATGTTAGGTTGATCCTATAAACGAGTCTCGATCTCGACTTGGGGCGGAGGTATCTTTTCTTGGCCGGCTAAATCAGGGAGGACGATTATGATGGTAGGATGGGGATTTCGTTTATATTGTGCGAGGGAAGAGAAAAAGTTGGGGACAGTATACTATAGTATCGTGGCATGTCAACGATTGGAGAATTCCATCTCTTGTCCAATCCTGTATCAGTTTAGAATTTCCATGTCGGTGTAAAGTGAACACAGCAAGCTGTATTGGAAAACATCGAACAGGTTAAGCAATGGGACACCGATCGGCCTGGCTTTGGCTAAAGAGCACGAAGCGGTGGTGAGGCTGTTGACTGAAAAGGGTGCAGATATCAATATTCGGGATAGGAGACCAGACAGCCAGACGCCGTTAGCGTGAGCCGCATACCATGGGAATGAGGCTTTGTTGAAGTTTTTGCTTGATAAAGGGCAAATATAGAAAGGGGGAAATGATATGCATAGCCGAACACTATTGTCCTGTGCTGCGGGCGGGCGAGGGTCATGAGGTTGTAGCGGGGTTATTGCTTGATCAGGGTACGAATATAGAAGCTAAGGGCGGGTCGTGGTGGCGAACGCCCTTGATTTGGGCGGCGATTGAAGGGCACGAGACTGTCGTGAGGTTACTGCTCGACCGGGGTGCAAATACAGAGGGGAGGGATGGCTTGACTAATAGGACACCACTGAGCTGGGCTGCGGAGCGTCGGTGTGAAAGAGTGGTAAAGTTGCTATTGGATAGGGTGCAGATCAGAAGACTATAAGCGGTGGCTGGGGGGGAAAATAGTGGTTATACGTTAGAATCGGTTTCGTTCGACATGAGCGTTAGTCCCAGATCTAGATGCGGGGCACTATCGGTATCAATCTGCCCATTTTTCGTAACCGAAAGTGCGCAGAGACCCTAATTCCAACTTGGAGCGTAACGTCTTAACTTTATATCACAATCCAGATTCCTATGCCTGGAAAATGTATCTTCGGTAATTGTAGAATTCTTTTTTAATTTCATTGAAGATATTATCTTTATATATTTGCCCGAAATCCGAACCATGAGTAGATATTTAATTAATTAGAGGATAGTCTTGGTTTTAAGCAGTGCCTAATTTACGTTCTAGTATTACTCTGAATTTAGTTACGTGCAGACATAGAACCAGATGCCACAAAGAGGACCTTGCTCCACTTGCCCTCTGCGACGTCTGGGTACGAGACCAGACCTTGCTTGGTTATACATAATAGCTCGTAGCACTCAAACCCGGCCGAACCCAGCTATCCCAAAACCCAGTACCTATAGTGGCTATTGAATGCATTGGTGGTCTTGTGAACTGGGCAATATGCGCGCCACTAAACTGGCTACTGACCAGCTATTTAGGTGTCTGTACTTATTGGGCTGGCCGCACTGGCTCTGCTGAAGGCTAGTAGATCTATATATCCACCAAGCTGTATTGCTAAGGTACTTCCAAACGTGTTAAGAAAGAATGCATTTTTGTAGGCCCATTCTTTATGAAGATTAGTTGTGATGTTGGGTGATGTTGGTTAGGACAAAAGTCTTATTAAACCTCTTTGCAGTCGATTGGGCATACGAGGTATTTACATATTTTTTGCATGGTTTGTTTTTTTTGTATCATTTTAAGTCTACTAAGGCTACACGAGTTTGTCACACCTCAAATTTAACTTTCATGTTCGCACTGGAAGAGAGTTTGAGCCTTTTTGTGATATAAAAACTCCGGCAGGGATATTGGGACCTTGAAACTTAATTTGGTTCCTTAAACAAACCCCCCTCTCGAGAGTACTGCCGTATTTACCTACAAGTTCCTACACAGTCAAAGTAGCCAGGTTCTACTAGAGGAGAGGGGGCGATTGCCAGGGATAGATCTGAAGTCCCGGGATACCTTCTGAATTCCGACTATGATGGGCCCGAAAAATAGGACACCGGAATTCTGGAACCTTGGATTCGATTGTATCCTCTTGGGAGGCCTTCGCAGTAAATTCTTTTTAAAACGGATGATCAAAAATATTATCTCACCCGGTTGGGGGGATGGGCGGAGATTTGAAAAATATGGTCATTTTATTCACTTTAACCCTAAAGACCCCAAAAGTCTCGTTAAAGAGCTAGAGCGACGGGGGTTAGCCGGAAGTAAGTCCCAACCCCCCAGACAATATTCTCTCTTTTATCATTCTTTCTATTGCGAGTTCTTATAGGAAGTTGCTAAAATAATTTCGATTTAAAATAGTTATCGTGTGGACAAATGAAACATTAAGTAGTTTAGGGAGGCTATACTTAATTGAGGAAGATGACATGCCGTTGAGTATCGTTCAAGATGCGATCTGGTGCGCAGCCGTGTATCCCGCGGGCCATGCCCAAAAAGCAGCACTCTACATTGGATGCCAGGATTTACCAAGGCTGGTGTCTCACCATCCGACTGTCGGAAAATATTACAATATTAGGGCTGACGCCGGTGTTTCTCCCATTCAACTGCAGGAAGGAAAAGGACTACCGAGGAACAGGTTTGAGGAAACTAATTCAAATAATCTTGTTTTTCTCCCCATTGCAGTTAACTAGTTCATGGTTTTAAATGAGTCTATATCTTAATTATACTGATACATATATCGTGCTCTCATACGTGACACCACCTCAATGTTCAAAAAGCCAGTTCAAACCTATAAATCTCAAGCCTAATTTCACAAGGCCCATGTATACGCCAAAGGTCTACGAAACCTTATAAAAGATTACCAGAACCCTACCTCCAAATATTTACCCGCCAAAAGACCGTTAAATTTATTTCTAATTTAAAATAACAATACTTTTTATACTAAAGCTCTCTTCACCAAAATTCCAAAATATTTAGACATAACCATAATATATGCATATCAATTAGCGATCTATTCACAATACAATATAATTAATAATTAATTAAATCTAAAATTAATATTATCATGAAATAAATATATTATTCCCAATATATTGTTGTCTCGTAAACCAAACGTTAATATATTAGCTATATACATATACATCAGGGATTAAAAATAAATTACATTTTCAAACTTTTAAAGTACCACCGCCTCACTATCAAAAATTCATTATCTTTACGCTTTTCTATAAATTGTAAAATATTTCTAGAAAAGAATTTAAGAGATGGGCGACAATAACCCTCGCCACGAGAATGGTCCAGCCGCCGCTTGCACAGGATCGCAATCCAGTACGGCGCCGCAGCCCGCCGTAAGAGGCCATCCCGCCGTAATCCCAGCGCTTCCAGCGAGCGACGTTTCTCCTCAAAAGATATGCGTATTTCTAACCCGCCACACGATATTCAGTAAAACATCGCTAATTCTATCTTTGGACCGTCTCCCGGTGGATACAACTGATGAGAGGTATCTGGAGGTAATCCGAAGCAAAGCCCCTTGTTGGTTGCGGTATTTTTGCCGTGAGAAAAGGGTCAAAGTAATGGTATGCCAGTCCGAATCCTTCACTCAAAATGTACCTTCCTTGTATACATATAAATCTATTGTGCGCAAAATCTTAAAACTATACGTAGAGACATAATGCTATTACTTAATGAACTGATGTCTGAATTTTATTCTAAAATTTATATTCGGTATAGCTTACCAGGACCGATCCCCGGAGGACTCCTTTTGCAATAGGCGACATTGAAACGGCCGGCGTCAGCTGGGTAATTGAGGACAACTGGTCTCAGGGCCATGTGGCCCAGATAAATGTACAAATGCGATTCGCGAGTTGGCCCCAAACGGTAGTGCTATCATTGATAGCGCTCTTACAAGTCGGTTTGGCTTGCGTTAACAAATGGATGGTCGAGATAAAATGGATTGAAATCATCCAGATCGGCCTCTAGGCTATTGAAAGCATCATAACGTTCACTCTTACGAAGTGAAACTTTTTATCGGACTATCACTTTAACGGCTGGGCGGTACGGAGCATCGAATTTGAAGAGAAGAGAAGAGAAATATTAAAGGGAGTTCGTATTACCGAAAATTGGTTTTGAGATTCCTAGAATACAAATACACGCTAGTCATAACATAAATAAGCCTATTATGAAGCATTGGAAGAAAAGCCCTTAGCTTACCGAACTGGGCTGCGTATTTGCTGTTTTGCTCTGCCTTTCGGTCTCTCGCCTCATTTATTGTGGCTATGGCTGAAAAGTTACGTGGAGATCGTGTTATCCAGCTTTGGTACTCTGCTTTGAGCCTGAGTGCGGGGGGTAAAAAGGTTTTTTTCTTTTTGTTTGACTTAAGCTAGATATTTGCGACTATGCCATATCGTTTGAACAAATACTTCCTCTCCGCTATGAATATCAAGATTAGAAACCGTTGTAACGATTCTGGATCTTGACCCGGGTAAGTTCCGAAAAATGCCAACGAAACATTTGGTTTAAGGTTGACTACCAAATGTGTGTAGTTTCATTCGGTCTCTAAGCTTTTTTTCAATCCTCTAGTAACCTCCAAATATGAGCATCGATTTTTGTTTCAAGTGGTCGAAAATATCCTTCCCTTGCAAAGCGAATAAACTCCGGGAGAATTTTGACGCGGAATTCAGTTTATGTTGTCATCAAACGGAACAAAAAATATGCAATTTATGCCTCTAGCTCAAAATGACCGCCCGGCATCGATACAATCGTAAGCCAAACTATCCTAGACAATTTTTGTTTTTCAAACGACTAATATAACGGTGCTTAGGCAAACTCTAATCTGACCAATGGAATTTGGCATCCAGAAAACATTCACCTCTTGGAAACCAAGAAGAAAAGCGAACTAGACGGAAGCGCTGGGTTTCAAGTGCTAGAGTCATCACTCGCCTGGAATTTTGACAATGCGCTATCAACTACTGATAGCTGTTGGGCGAGGGGGAAAGATACAAGCCCCGATTTACTCGCCGCAAAATATCGTAATGATGCATCCGATCCCATCGAAAACGAGTTTGAGGAGCGGTCTGGGGTCAAACAACCGCAGCTCGTATATCAAAGTCGGGGGGAGGTCTTTTCTGCACCCAGCCTCGAGTGTAGGCGTTCTAGAGGCGGAGCTCTAGAGGCGAAACCCTCTGGGCGCAAAGCCGCTTACGTAGAGCACGGGGAGAGTCTTTCCGTGGCTAATGAAAATGAAAATTCATATTCGCAGAGATGGGGGGAGGATTCTGGTTTACTCCTAGAAACTGGAAGTCTAGAAGGGCAGACCTCCAAAGCCTCGACTTTCCAGGAGCACAATTACGATAATTTGTGGGACCTTACATTAGAGACATCAAACCTTCAGGACCAAGCCCCAGACCAGAGCTCTTTCAACGTGATACATCCCCAAACTAACACCCACAGCGGTTTTGGGTCACAAAAATCCCCAGTGGCATCTCTATCCTTTTAGGAAAACACTCAGAACGGCGGGGACCTTCGACAACCTAACAAGGTTGTTCTAAGTTCACTAGGTATTGAGCCGCCACGATTCAAGAGCGCAAACCTCCAAAAATATAAACGTAGGCGTGGTATTTAAACTTATTCATAAGGCCTATGTTATGCGCAATCGTGTAAAGGTTCAGAATGCGGGATGTGGAGGGCGTCTTTCTTTAACTTCTTTGGTCGTTACCTTTATCGCTCGATCTCAGCATGTAAAACCCAGATTTATTTCATAGTTTGCGCTCACAGCCGTGTACGAGGGCGCCCTTAGGGCGAGATTAGTTTTTGCTATTGTTTATGTTGCTCCTATGTACATAGGTGCGATTCTAAAGCTAGATGATCAAAGTCCTTTTGTATCGAGTCTCTTACTTCTTAGGTGGTTCACTATTGGATCAATGTTTACATGTCCACTGGCTTGAATTAAACTTCTGAGGATCCCCTTCACCTTTCAGAGGTGTGGAAAATCCCTTTTATCAGTCCAAATGGGGCACGGGTGTTACCAATTAAAACATGAAATCGCTTACTTAGGTCTGGGAACGAGATACCTCGGGCTTGTTGCAGTTTAACGTCACAGTAGGCTATAGATCATCTATCAATTTTAAATATTATAAACGCAACTATGATTCGGATATATCTCGACACTATTAAATCTGATTATTAAGCAGCCCCATTTAAAAACCTCGCCTGGAGGAAAAGGAGTATCTGCAGATGTATCGAGCTAAGCGACAATCAGTGGTAATCAAAAATAGAAAAATCTAGAAGATTGAATAGTGAGCTTTGATTTCGAAAGTTAGTTATCCCCCGTATCGTCCCTAGGCGGTCCTGGATCACGTCTCCTCCCGTATATAAGACTATGTGCTTTGATATATTCTTAATCAGACAGAACTTCTTCCTTTATCCCAACATTATATAGATCCTAGTCGGCATCGAACTCCGAGTGCCGGTGTAGTACTAGTAGACGACGGGGTGATCCATCCATCTCAATTATTATGTCGTCCGTATTTGTATATTTTTCGAACATATTTGTTCTTTCAATCTAGTAGCTAACAACGCATGTTGGTTTGCAAATCCAAAAATTTCCAACTAGAGGCTGCCTTCGGCGCCAGATCTTAAAAGGTCAAATTTGAACCCAATAAGTGAAAGGCCACCAGAGGCGTGGCCGCAGGCTATCATGTTGCCATGTGAAGCTGAGCAAGTGGCTCTACGGCTCCGCGGAAGCCAGATAAGCCTTTCTCCACCTCGGGTTAACCACTCTTCCTCAACACGAAGTTCGTGGTCTTTTTTTAAAGAAAAAGAGTGAGGAATATCTGACTTCTCTAGCGTCACAAGGAGTGCTCCACTGCCTGCGTCCCATAACTTTACGGTTTTATCCTCTGATGCCGATGCCAGAATTTTGCCGTCAGAAGAGAATACGATGGTTCGAGTCCAGGCTGTATGCCCCTTTAATATCTGCAGAGGTGCTCCAATCTCTGCGTCCCATAACCTGACAGTTTCATCCTCAGATGCGGATGCTAGAACTTTGTTGTCAGGAGAGAACGCGATAGCTGTGACTCCATCTGTATGTCCCTCTAGCGTTTTCAAGAGCGCTCCGGTACCTGTATCCCACAATCTAATGGTTTTATCGTCAGATGCCGATGCCAGGGCTCTGCCATCAGAAGAGAACGTAACAGCTATAACCCATTCTGTATGTCCCTCTGATATTTGCAAAGGCGCTTCAGCGCCTACATCCCATAATTTAATAGTTTCGTCATCAGATGCAGACGCTAGAGTTCTGCTATCAAGAGAAAATGCGACGGCTCTGATCGAGTCTGTATGCCCCTCTAGCGTCTGCAGAAGCGCCCCAGTGCCCGCGCCCCATAACTTGACGGTTCCATACCCACACGCTGACGCCAGAACCCCGCCGTCAGGGGAGAACGCGACGGCTCTGACCCGGCCTACGTGCTCTAGCGTCTGCAGAGACGCCCCGGTGCCTGCATCCCACAGTCTGACGGTTTTATCAGGTGCCGACGCCAGAACCCTGCCGTCAGGAGAGAAAGCGACGGCTCTGACTCTATCTGTACGCTCCAGCGTCTGCAGAGGCGCCCCGGTGCCTGCGTCCCATAACCTGACGGTTCCATGGGTTCCATCTTCAGATGCTGACGCTAGGACCCTGCCGTCAGGAGAGAACACGATGGCTCTGACCCGGTCTATATGCTCCAGCGTCTGCAGGGGCGCTCTAGTATCTGCATTCCATAGTCTGACGGTTTTATTAGATACCGACGCTAGAACATCGTTGTTAGGAGAAAACGCGACGGCTGTGACTTCGTCTGTATGCTCCAGTGTCTGCAAGGGCGCTCCAGTGCCTGCATCCCACAATCTAATGGTTTTATCGTCAGATGCCGACGCTAGAACCTTGTTGTCAGAAGAAAACATGACGGCCGTGACTCTGTCTGTATGCTTCTGTAGTGTCTGAAGGGGTGCTCCGGTGCCTGCATCCCACAGTCTGACAGTTTTATCATCCGACGCTGACACCAGAGTTCTGCCGTTGGGTGAGAATGCGACCGCTGTGACCGAATGTTCATGCCCTTCCAGAGTCTGTAGCAAAGCATCCCACTCGTTCTGAGCTCGAGGAAGTCTGCACACCCACTGGGCCACCTTCTCCGGGTTGAACGCCTTCCTTACAAGACTCATTTTGGGAGTGAAGATAATAGACGAGGCATACGTCTGTAAGGGAGCCTTGTCAATGATGCCTTGATTTTGGAGTACAAAGCGTTTTATATCGTAAATAAACTTGGATATACTATCACTATTCTCTGCCTAAATAGACCCATCGTTAGATTTTAGGAAAACCAGGAAGAATCTTTATGATGAACTTACACCCACAATCGATTGTAGAGTGTTAATCGTATTGAGAGTGTTAAATATGTCACCTAAAAGGCTTGTTGCTTCAAGCCAGTGAAGAAGATGCTGCTCAAGAAACATGTGTGTTTGATCGTGATCACTAATATAATTCCCACTTCGCTTCAGGTGGTATCCCCAGTAACGACACGCATATTGAAGTTCAGGCGGTAAATCCTGTTCAATGAGTTCGTTACTAATGTCTGATCGGAAAGTTCCGGGCAATTTCAAACCGCAGATATCTTTCTTGATACCTTTAGAGCTGGAGATAAGCTCAATACACTTGCTGAAAATTATTTCATGCGCTTTTTTTTCGTCTATCCAAAACCGGCTCGCGTGTGTGCCGAGACTGCTCGCGTGTTCAAGGCTGGGGTCGAGAAGAAAGTCGCGAAAAGATAGATGGAAAATTCTAACTACAGCTTGACGGTCTTTTGGGACATTAATGACGGAGTGCAACCGTGTCAACCTGTACTGAATGGTGACTTCTTCGACTGACAAGAGGCGCGCTAAGGACGGGATAGAGAGTGGACTAGCAAGGTTAATAATTGTACCAACTATTTCTTTAAATTCTCTAACAAATCTGTCTCGTTGAGCAGGGTATTTATCAACGATTAGCTGGTTTAAAATCGGGAAATAGGTCTTTTCGAGCTTCGATGCCTCGCAGCTCATTCGACATTCAGTAAGCATTTCAATTTGTTCTCTTGGATCCCAATCTTCGTCTCCAATGAACCGGCACAGAGTCGCTGCATAAATAAATAGCGGTGTAGCCATATCAACAAGTTTCTGAAAATTTTCACTACCTGGCCAGTGTAGTGGAAGGTTGCGATGCCGTTTCACTATTTTCGAGAGTTCATCTCTGAAGAAAAGTGAGATATCGTGCTCGACTCCTGGGATTTCGTGCAAAACTAGATCCGCATGTATTTCTTCCGGTAACTCCTCAAACATAGGGCGGATTGGTAACTCAGGTCTACTTGTCAAAAAGATCCGCATATCGATACTTTTTATATCCTTGAATTTTGCGAGAAGGTAGATAATAACTTGAATATCTTTCTTGCTTTCACATTCGTCTAGCGCATCTACCAACACGACCACAACGGGTTTTGCTGTATCGGAGCCAAAGTTTAATTCAGAGAGTGGTTGAAATATCAACTTGTCGAATTGCTCGAGGAAGGCCTTTCTTGAGATACTGGGCTCAAGTTCAACGACCTTTCTGACGCTTGGAATCATACTGTGAAAACGATTTGTTAATTGAAGGGCAATTGTGGTGAAAAAAAGAGCACCACTACTACGACCAGCTTCGCCTCTTTTGAAGAAGAAACTAGCTCCGAGTTGGCTACTGGCTTGGAGCGACCGGGCTACCGTTCGGGAAATAGTAGATTTTCCGGTGCCAGCCATTCCATACATCCAAAATATGCATTTACCTTGCGGGTTTTCTACCCACTCGGTAATTTTGTGGAGTAGATCAGTTCTAGTTCCGGACAAGCACTCCGGCTCATACTGGTCTGCAGAGTCTTCAAACGCTGCGCCATCAGCATATGGCAGCTCGATTTTGTATCTTTGGGCCCGGTTGTAGTCTTCATTGACTACGGTTCGTGTTAGCAATATTTTTTTTTTAGCTGTTATTGCTAGGGTTAAGCCCATGAAAGTGGTCCGAGCCTAAGTATCCTCACCTCTCTGTGGCAAACGAAGTATAAGAACCTTCGCAAAAGCAGCAGCAGCTAGTGCTGCATATGGTTGCCATATTTTATTTTTGTGGCTATCAGAGTAATCGCAGATGCCTCTGACGACTAGAGAGGGTAGCTTGTCCATCAGACCGGCAGCTTCCATTTCAAAACACAGAACCCCCTTCTCTTTGCTTAATTTATCCCTGGTGATGCCGTGCTTCATGACTTGATTACCTGACGCGATTAATCCATAGTGAATATATGGTTGGTTTTCCGCACGAGAGGCTCTTTCGACTACCATGCTAGGATCGCACTGATCGCAAGGTGTATTTTCGTCAGGGTGGTCGTAATGTGCTTGAAATAACTGGTCTCTATCAGTATGCGGGCGAGCGAAATCCTTAGGAATCGATCCATTTTGTAGCGTGTCTGTAATGATGCTGTTCAAGTCGTGGATGGTATGTGAGCTGTTGCTCGGGTATTGCGACCTGAGCATGCTAATTTCTTTGAGGAATAGTTCTGGCGGTTTATTGAGCACCCCTGTTTGGACAAATTTGCCTTCCTGTATTGTTTTCCCAAAGTCATATTGTAAAACCCCGCCATACTTTATCCCTGGCACGCTCACGACGATGTCACCCAACCTAATATCCTGCAGAGTTGGCGCCCCGCCCCCGATTCCAACAATCAAGCCATGTTTTATAGACGGAAAGCTCCGACGTAATTCGGTCGCGGCTACAGCTGCTTCTGTGTTGCCATAAACGCCAGACGGAAGACATGTGATAACTATATTATAACTTCCGATTTGGCCAAATTGGTAGGCGTTGTTGTCTCCCTTATCCTGTGATAACCGAGGGTGTTTTTTGTCTAGAATGGCGATTGCCGCTGCGACCTCCAGCGATAAGGCACATATCCATGCGATGGTGTAATCGTCTCTATCAAGCTGTGGGTTCATCGTTTCAATAGATCATGGAATGGGCAGCGTGGCTCTATAGTTGAGTATGTTAAAAGGAAGAGTAGCAAAAAGGTCGAGTCAACATTTTTGCAATGCGATGGCAGGGCCTCGATCTCAAATTTATTAAAAACAACCCCGCTCCTGAAACCCTACGAGGCTGAGGGATTTTTGCTGCGAGACAACTGTTGCTGCAAGGATCACATGTCGGGAGTCGACTGTAAAAAGGACTCGGCATGATGCATGGTTTGCTGCGTCAACGCCGGGCTACAATTCGACATCACTACCACCCTGGCCGAGAGGTTCAGTATTTTCGAAGCTCTAGCCTCTGACGCTAACCCCAGCCTCCCGAGTCAAGCTACGGCGCTGCTCATTATGTGAGGATAGACGGCTATACGCATGGAGCCGGCCTGTTGTCGCCGTGCATGCATATATGCGTATAATCGAACCTGGAGAGCCGAAACAAATTAATTTGTCTGCCCTTATGAACATTAATATTTTACGCTTCACAAAAAAAGACTTGTCTAGTCGCCGGAATTGATCCTTGAGTTTGATACAGAGTTGTTTGGTCTAAAAAAAAAATAAATGGTAGAGTTATTAGCGACACAGCAGCCAATAGAGCTAGACGAATAATGCGAAGCGATACTATTACTCCTATGCAAGCAAACTCTCTCACACGCAATTTGCCCGTCACCTACCATTATGGCAAGTTCGACACCAAGCCTTTGAGCCCTGATCCTTCGCTTCTTGACCTCTGCAACAACACCACAACATAGAGGATCATCGATACTTCCACTTAAAACATTGTCGTTTGTTCCTATCCAAGTGAACTGACGGTCAAAATTTGTTCGCCTAAGTGCACAAACAATATTATATTCAATTGTAACAGTTTCTTTACTCTAAGTCCAAGCTTATTACATAGAAAAACTTAAATCAGGCATAGGATTTAATAAGCAGCACCTGCCTCAACATTATAGACCAAAAGTGCACCCCTATTCCAACATGGATTGTATCCAATACTGTCGATATGTCGAATAAGGAGGACGCTATTAAAATGGCTAGGGAAGGCATGAAACTGGAGAATTCTGTGAAGAAACCCGATTTTCTTTCTAAGTTACTAATCTTACTTTCTCCACCAAAATATTTCCAGTAACAAAATGAAGAACTTTACTAAAGAGTTGGTATTCAGCTTACAGGCGACTGATTTAGAGGGCGTCGCGGAATTCGAACTGTTGGACCCGCAACAAGCTTCTCAACGAGGAAACTGTCTCGGCAACTTGGGCATAGATCTAGAGCCTAGCCTGACTTTACCGGGTGGTGGCTTGTGAAGGCTTGTCAAATAACTTGAATATCATGTGTTTGATAAATTTTGCCGGATGGGACTAAGCATTTTTCTATTCGACGTCTATTTCTTCTGTCTCGATAATACGCAGCAAAGCACTGCAACAATGCGATCCAACATAATAATCCTAAAATACAAGCTTGGGGATTGGAAAAACAGCTATTGCTCTTCATACCATCGTGAAATCGACGGAAGAGACTCTCCGACATAAGGGTGGGGCCCTTGCTGACGACTGGACGACCCTGATGATTGTTCTCCTGCTAGTGCTGATCTCCGCTCTTTATATTTTAAATATGACTTCATATGTATTAGAAAGCGTCTGGGTTCTCGTCTCTGACATATATTCATCTTCGCCATGTCGACGTCGTCATCAATCAGTTGCGCGGCTGTTCACTTGTTGCATTTTTGAGGCAACGCAAACTGTAGGTTTGGCCATTTGGGGGATTGGTGGTGTGGCTTTCCTCATCCGCGCCGCGCAAGACCTCAAAGCTTGGTAGCGGCTCGAGTTGCCTGACTTCTTAATATTCTTCCAACTTTAACTGCGAGCGCTATACTCTTTAACTAAAATAGATATAAATCGCCGTACCTTCATCATTGCCGCTACTTAATTATCCCTAATACCGATATCGATGGTCGAGCTATAGTATCCCATTAACCAGTTATCTAAAGTCTCGTCTAAAATCTCAGATATTCCTGAAAAAAAAAACCCCCCAAAAGTGATCAAACATTCCAAAATGCATTCTATCTGCTAAAATTTGCAATTATTCTTGATACCGAGTCACAGTCCCTTCCGCGGGACGTAGGTGACATCCGAAATGTAAAACAAAAACAGAAGTATGTAGAGGTATTCGACAGATAGATAGTGCCAGTTCATAGTATCCTACCTGCCACTAAGGTGTCATACCATATAGGAATACTCTCATATTGTGAATATTTCGGCTACCCAGGACCGTCAAACTCTATAAATCACTTCAATATTAGGACAATGTGAGAGCGGTAAATAGTTGTAACCTTTCTAAACATGGATTTTTCAAGAAATATGGTTAAAGTTGGATTCGAGGCTAGGATAAAGTATTTTATCAGCCCGATCGTTCAGCCATAGCTGTGCAGAAATTGCCAGCGCTCGCTTTACATACTTCTAAAGGACAATGACCCTAGCTCTAATGAATTTCTACGTATCAATTTGATTGCCTCAAATAAGCTCCAGCCATGGTAATGCTTGCTCAACCCCTGTCAGAATTCTACGAAGGCTCCATAAGAGGCCTCTAGAGTATCTTACGAGGGATACTAAGAAGTATAAAATGCAGCAAGCCGCTGATTCCCTGCTACCTTGCCTGTTCAAGCCCATTCGCGCTCGCGTTTTCAAATCAGTCTGCATCACTACTTCTCAAACCCTTTCGTTACGATAATTTAATTTGTTTACAGTTTCTACAGCTGATAGCTCCCCACTATGTCTTGCAGAAAGCGTGGGCACAGGGGGGAAGAAAACAGATTCCTCTCCGTTGGGCGGCCGAATCTTCACTCGACACCCATCCTATCACCTCGCCCCATTGTGTTTACGATTATGGCCTGGTAATCTGGCGTATTTCGACATCGGTCAAACCTAAGGACATGGAAGGGTATGAAACTATGGTAAAAAAAAACGCTCCACTTTCTATAGCTCATAATCCATGAGAAAAAGCAGAAAACCTCATTCTATTCGTGAAGTTTGACTAACCTTTACGCTCTGCCTAGCTGAAGCCAGAAAACGTGGGATTTCAATACAAGGGACTGGGAAATTTTGGGGCCATTATCTATATTCAAGATATCGATAATTCAGGTCTGGCCGAGAATGCTCCTGTATCTATATTACGAGATATGTTGGAAAACCCGGAGTTTGTTTGGTTTAAAGATCCTCGGGACGTAGCCAAGCTCAAGGAGGCTCTGGATGAACTGTTAAAGGAGGGAGCCACTGGACATGTTGAAGCAATGATTGAATTATCGATCTTGGAAGAAGCTCAAGGAGTTTCTTTGGATGCTGATGTTATGGAATCTTTTCATGATTTTTAAGGTTTCTTTATCAGCTATTAGGGCACGAATCTAGTCATGGTCCCTTTAGGTTAAACTTTATATGACAAATCTGTTTGTTTCCAACTTTCAAGCCTATTTCTCGATATACGCCTTAATCTAAAGCACGTCACCGAGGCTGGGAACCGGATCTTCACACAGCTGTAACAAAAATTCTGTGGGAACTGGATTGAGGAACTAATCGACCTGATATGGGCTAGGAAACTATGTGAAGCCTACAATATCCCACTTAAAAGCTCTATTAATCTTCGCTCGGACCTGATCTCCACAAAGGAACCTCCGAGCCAGCAGCCAACCGAAGAAGAAATTAGTGAGCTTCAGCGCTTTCTCACGGATTTCCTAAGCGAATCTAGTGACAACTACACTATTAGCTGGCGGAAATACCATGATACTCATATGCAGCGGTTTGGAATTGAAAAAGCCATGGTAACCACCGAAAACTTTCTATTGGCCGACACATACTACCTTCGGAAATTCAGACTCCTCGAAATTTTCAACCCTCGGCATCATATTCACTGCTTCCAATTCATTTTTAAATTAGTCCTTCGAAATCCCTTTATACAAGACCGGAAGGCGCCTTTTTCAATATCCTCAGAGAATTAAACTCAAGTTATTATATCGAAAGGCTGCTGGTAGAGGGAGACCAGTCAGCTCAACCCCATGGGTTAAGTGGTCAGGTATATGAAAAGCATTCCCAAGATTCATCCCCAAGATTCATCAATTCGACAGAAGTATACTAGGATAGCTGAAGAGATCACTACTTTTACTGGTATCATGCAACCCAACCTAATAACACCCCGCAACGTATCTGTAAGTCCGCAGAGCCGCCAATCTATCGACCCTTTTAAGACTCACTTGGAGAAAGGTGCGGCCAGTAGGATACAAAAAAAAGCCCCCGGCTCGCCCAAAAATATCTTTGGGATAAAGAGACAACCCCGTCCATCTCTTTTGTCAAGAGGTATTCGATCAAAGCTATCTATGGTAGTCACGCCACAAGATCAATGCTTACCAACTTAATTCATGATCGAATACGTTCTGTTAGGATTCTCGTTTGGCTGTACCTAGGCAGTAAATTCTAGCCATAGCATCATTTGTATGACGACTTTATCTATATCAGACTAATACAACATGCTTTTTTATATGTTGCCCTATAAGCTAGAGCCAGAGCGTCTTCGGTTGGTATAAAGTCCCAATGCGAAAGCTATATTTATACCACGAGTTTATAAATCGAGTACCCTTTATCTCCCAACCCCATAAAAATACACTGTGAACTTCATATCAGGTCTGAATCAACGCTATGTGTAACTGTCAGTTCGATTATATACTAAGACCCCTTATCTTTTGATTGTGTTCATGTCCATGCGATACCACCTGGTATATGGGAGAACAGGCACCATCGAATTCAATGGGTGTAACAGAGCCGCTGGTACAAAGACACCTTCTCCGAACTCCCCTCCCCCATAGCTCTAGTTCGCTTCCGCCAGAGTACCAAAACCAAATCGACGACCAAAAAAGACTACTTTAAGCGGTCTAAGGGCATTAGTCATTATTATCATATTATCATTTCCTGTTTCTCAATCAATGGAATGTTATCACGTAATATCGAGGCCCGACTGTATTTGTAACGTTCATCTAGATTATTTGTAGGCGTCACCGATCAACTTTGCGCCGCGTGGCGCAACAGAACGCATCGAATCCCCTCATTAACCAGCATTACTGGGAGGTTCAGATGCGCTTCAGCTTGCTATCTCCGAACTACATGATGTGTGATACATCGATCCTGTTGTTCGAGAAACAAGAACCGGTTTAGTTCTCCATTCGAATCCGAGACAGGTTACATACTCGATAATTAAAGCTACTATTGCAAGAATGTCAGATCATAGAGTGCGGGTAACATATTGGGTTATTTAGAGTTCATAATTCCGCTCAGTGTAGTCCTTTTTCGATTCTCACGTCACTATCGTAGATCATCTGGTCCTCTGCCTCCAACCATACGGTTTGCAGTATGCATGTAACTTGAGCATGCCCGTTGGTTCTCTTCAGTTTGCTCATACCGTATCGGGATTAGGTAGTGTTCGCTCCACATGAGTGTCCACGATTGCTAGATACAGGCCCTGATACCAACATGTACCCTGCAAAAACGTGCCACACATACCAGTCAATTCACAGCGAAATTCCGTGTAGAATGCTTGAACTTTCAAGTTGAGTGTTTTTTGGCCGTCCGCTCTGGTGTGGCAAGCGGTCGGGCCGATTATATCAGACCAGGTGATCGAGGCCGAGGTGGTGTGCAAAGTGGGTCTAAGGTACGAAGTGCCTTCTGAAAGCTTCGATCCCAAAAACAGCCTCGGCTTTAGCACTCCAGCCTCTACCACTCCCAGTCCGTCGCGCTGATTACATCAAAACAGATTCTAAGCAGTATCAATTCAGCCCAGTTGGAATGGAAGGGTGGGCACAAGGAAATACTGGCTGCATGGGCCCACTTCTCGGCTGCATGGTCCATGGAGCTTGTACATAGATCGCTAGCGTGCCACCCATAAGTGGGTCGCAGTACTAGCAAAGCAAAGGGCCATCTATCATGTCATACTTGCTAATTGATTTTGCTGATGGTTACACATGGCCCCACTCCCCAGACCAACTCCACTTGTAAATTGCCATTTAACAAGGCTAATCCATGACGCCTTTAGTGGGGCTCCCCCTCAGTTCCGAAATTCATGAGTGCTCGTCGACCAACACCACGGCCGTGCGCTAACGAGCCAAGAACTCCGTGCAATGGCTATCTGATTAAGCACTTATCGTATACCAGTCTTTGAGTCTTTAAAAACCCAAGGTTCCGCAAACGATCGATGTCGGGACTATACCACCTACCCACTTACTATTCGGGGACTTTCACTGATCATACCAAACATGCCTCGACCAAATATTGCCGAAGGGAATAGGCCAATCAATCCGCCTGAAGGGCATTTTATGTTGCTCAATCCCATCTTAAACCAGGAAATATACCCAGATCCTCCAGATAATAGCATCATTATAAAGTTAGTCAGATATGTTCCAGCTGATCCATACAAAAAAGAGCCCATGATATACTATACACTCACAACCTCTATCATGGGCCCACCACTGCATTGTTCAATTTGGATAACTATAAGTATAATCACAAACTTTGGAACCTTTTTAACAGCACCAACTAAATATAATTTGTTTGCAATCAATGCTTGGAAAATTCCCCAGAAACCTATTAAATTCTTTCGCAACATACTCCCACAACCTATGTCTAACTGCGAATAACGTTTATTAATCCTCAGAAACCGCTAAGATCATTATATGGGTGTGGTCCCGCGATTATGACGAAACTCAAGAAGGCCTTAGTGTGATAAACATACTCTGCAAGTATCCTATACCGCTCCCGTAGGGGCCGCTGGAGCGTCCAATCACCTATAGCGCACTCGAATTTTACCCAGACCCGGAATTGCCTCCCGGTTTGGATTCACAAGATACTAGACAAACGCCATCCTCTATAGCTACAATGTCTATCAAATCAGAAAATATACTAGAAAAACAGTTACCAACTGCCCCAGAATTAACTCTGGGCCAAAACTCATAGGAATTTTTGTTAAGTTTTAGCCCATCAACCATGAATAGAATTAGAGTAGAAAAAAAAGTTACCCATTCTTTAAATTGGAAATCTGAGAGTAGGGCAACCCTTAGACCTTTAATCAAACCCCAAAAGATTCTTATAAGGTAGTGGAAAAAATGTACTTTTTATATGGAAATAAATATGAAACCATTTTCCACGCTTATTAGGTCTAAATAGTGTTTCGAATACTCGGGGTTAAATTGTGGGAATCGTTTATGCTGGTATATAGGTGTCGCAGAGGAGAGCAGCTTCATCGATCTACTTTTTTAAGTTTATTGAAATTTTATAGTATTTATATTTATTTGTATTCTGTCGTGGTGCCTTATATTACTCGCTATTTAGTATCAAATTAACCTGATACACAGAATGATAATGATGAAAAAGTTTTGAGCTCGAATCGCGGCCTATGTAACTCAATCTCTTCTTCGGCCACACCAGCTAGCCGCAAAACATCCACTGCTTGTACGCTGGTTGAAGCGCTTTTGAATGCGTACATGATATTCTTGTGATCTTCTAATGAAAAGAAATTAACAGAGCAAATTGGAGTATCTAGAAAAATCAATACATAAGAAGCTGGTCGTTTAAGCGGGTAGTTTATCCTCCCGTTCTGTCTACAATTTTGTGGAAGGGCGGCCGCACGGGCGTCGGCGTCTTGCAACTGTTTTTTATGTGTCTCCTTCAGTCGTTTGAGGTCTCCAGTCTCGTAACCAGCGACCGAAGTCGCCTTGAGTTCCCGGATCTCTTTGCTTTCAACCTCATCGATCTTTGGTGCTAGTTAGTTAGTTCATAGTTTGAGTTTATAGGCTGGTTGGCTGGTTCGCAAGCTAGCTAGTTCATGGGCTAGCTCATGGATCTCAGGCCGGCGGCCGCGGTTCATGGTCCCAAACCAGCCTGCTAACGTCAGTATTGGCCTGTGAACCAGCCTGCGAACAAGCTCGTAAGCCAGCCTTTGAACGAGGACTGTGAACTAGGCAGCCTGGGAGGCATGTAACTATGACATGAAAATTTCGGAAATCACAACGCTGTCAAGACGTGAGTACACAACTGTTTGAACCATCACTTTGGAATATGAGAGGATTCTTATAATTTGCACGTTTATGTTGTCGATGTCCTGATTGTTAGCTAACACTTCAAAAGGTATAGGAGAAGGACAAAAATGTGCTTATCCAAAAATGGACTAGTACAAATATGTGCTAGTACAAAAATGTACTAGGAAGCATAAAAATGGGTTGGGGACGCAAAAGTATGCTAGGTAGGACAAAAGTGAGTAGCGCAAAAGTGTGCAAAAAAGTTAAAAAATGCAAAAAAAGTACGGGAGCTGCAATAAAAAAAACCTCTCAGACGGGGAATCGAACCCCGGTCGTCCGCGAGCAATCTTTGGCAGGTAGGATGCCAAATTTATGATGACAGGCGGAAATCTTGACCACTGGACCATCTGAGATGTGATTGGTTCAGTCCACTGAACCAGACAGCCGGTGCTATTCTTGGAAAGATTTCTCTCAATTGATTATTTATCAACCTCAAAATACTTTGGTCAAATATGGGAATGTCGAGACCGAAACTAGGAATGTTGGACGGACAAACACTTCTGATTCCCACGCTTCGAAGTCGTCCCAACTCCCATGCAATGGACCCCGTACCACAATTGTACCTTAAAACATGCCCATCTTATCTTATCTTGGGTTCGAATATGAGACCAATTGCTAGATCTTATAACATAGCTATTTTTCCAAGCACCGTCATTATATTATCGCGGCATTCCAGACCCGAATTTTTGCCTTTGGCATGTATACTAAGCATAATATACCCTAAGTTGGGACAATCTCGGCACCAGCAGTTAGAGCCGAAATAACTTCAACAGCAAAAATATTGTCCAAAAATGATTGTAAACTTCATTAAACACAAGGCTTATTTTATGATAAGTATAGTCGAGTACATTATAAATTGGGGATGTACATATAGTGCGGTGTACCCACGACCATAAATCTATCTAGCCTTAGTATTCTTGTATATAATCAGGCCCTGAGGTAGAAGGGAACGCGCACAATAAGTTGATATTCAGCTATCTATCGTATCGATCTGAAGTTTTGGCACGCACAGGAGGTGCTTCGCTAAAGTTTTAAGGAATTAAGCCTTCCGATCCTCAAGTGTGAATATAAGAACAGCTCTGTGGGTGGAGGCTAATTATCTAAGTATCTGGTACCGAGTGTCTAGGACCGAGACTGATTCCCGCTCTGGAGAGGTTTGCGTAACTCGAATTTTCGTAACTACCCCAGGACTAATTCCGCGATTTGTCTGTTTTCTTCCCCTTGCTGGTATTATTCCCTCCTGAACCTCCTCCAGTACCCCCGCCACTCTTGCGATTGTCTCGCCGGCTACTACCCCCATTGCCTTCACCATTCCCTTTATTCCCTCCGCTCGTGTAACCATTGCCTCCATTCTTCTGGTCGTTCCCGTCGCCCCTCTGGCTATTCCCTGCACGGTTCCCTCTCCCCCCTCCATAGTTTCTAGCACGACTTTTGCTACGGTTTCTATTAGCACTATTGCTTCTGCCTTGTTGAAGATTTTCCACTCTTCCCCTGCTGCTCTCCCCACGAGTTTCCTCGACGACGATGGAGGGAAGTGCGCTGGGACTAATTCGCACTTGACGCAACGCGTCTTCAATTATGCTGGTACCGCTCACTCCCAAATATAACTCTAGGCGAGTGTTAATGTTCGTCACAGTGCTTTGAAAAGCTCGTTGGATCGCCTCTTGGGATGCCTCGACTTGAACATAAGAGCAGTGTTGTATTCGGGCACAGACATCTCGTAATTGAGGGTTACCACCATGGGAAGCGTCGATAATGGTTATATGGACATGAGGGATACCTGGTTTCTCCAAGCATGTCTGGACGTCTGCGAAGGTGTTGTTTTGCGAACAGTTTTCCCGGCCGTCGGTGAAGATAACAATCTCGGGCTTGTAAGATTGGAACTCTTTATTCCGCGGAGTCTGCTGGACGATTTGGACGATCGCATCCCATAATGCGGTGCCGTCTCGCCTTTCGATACGACCAGTTACAAGGCCTTGTAGGTTGTCTCGCAACCTAGTCCAGTCGACCTTCTCCCGGTTTATATAGGAAAAAAGAGTCTGCACAGATGCCGCAAAAGACCTATTAATCATAAGGGTGAGCAGTCAGCTTCACGTCGGCGCAAACTTTTGGTTATAACTGAATCCACGGTCGCTTACCTAACTGAGACCAAGTCCCCGTCGTTGAGCACCGAGTTGACACCCTCGATACCACCAATGACGGCATTAATAAGATGGGTCATCGAGCTGCTCACGTCGACACCGAGGGTAACGCGACAAGGGCGTGGAGATGTTACTTTTTGTTGTTGTGGCATTTCAATAATCAATTTTGCTTGACTGACTTCTCCGCGAGCATCGCGTTGAGCTCTGTTACGAACGAGTTCAGGCATTTTGGGTTTAAGGTAATACGAAATTTGGAAAAGTCTTGGTCTAAAAGCTGGAAAGTGAATGGGATGTATTAATGCTGACGAAGGATGCTTTATTAAAGGTTGAGAAGAAATACTGAAAAAGATGTTGGTTGTGCGGGGTGAAAGAAATACCGAAAAGATGTTGGTTGTACGTAGTGAACGAGGTAAAAGTAGACAACGAAAATGCGGTCGAATAATACAGGAAATGTGATACTATTCTGGAAGGCTTTGATCAGATGAGCAATGAATGTAGTTTTTTAATGTTGGATTTTGCGATATAAAGTGGTCTCGTAAAGGGACTGAGTGATAAATCTCGGGGTTTTGTCAACTCGCCAAAGCCTGGGGTATTTATGCATGCTCTCGACACTCGATCGATTCCAGGATCCATACTTAACATTGTAGCCTCGCTCTGGGGCGCCAAGTAGAGGCTGGAATCAGGTTATGCAATATCAATAAGTAATGGTAAATCCTTCACTTCTATCGTATACGCGTAGCGGCGAGGGTCATTGATTGCTTTTAGCATGGAAGGCCGGATGGGGAGTACACATTATATTTGCCTTTTCGTATTGAACCACTGACCATCATGCACGGAAACAGTGGCTTGCCAAGTTGGTCTTGCTTTGTGGTGCCAATGCAGTCATCGCCTATTATATAGAACGTCTTTTGTACAGGGTCTCTACTGAAGGCTGGATGTTTTTATCATAAGTAACATGACTTCGAACATACCTTGGCGAGTATTGCTGCAGATCCTATTCGAAACACCTAGAATTTTGCATTGAAAAACCAATGATCCTACACCGTTGAACAAAATGGGTTCTAGCAATGGCGTTAAACTGGCTTTGTAACCCCGGAAGTTCACCTAAAGCCGTAGTTTGTTGTCTCGTACCCAGCTGGATGACCCCGCAGTTAATGCGCATCTGAGTCTTATATGCACAAGGCCATGTATATACATTTACAGCCTTGCTGCATAATGAAGTCGCGGCGACTTTTATGGCATTACACGTACGTGAATACGTACTTAAGACTGCTAAATGACGCTAGAAATATCTCCGAGATCGAGATAACATTATCCAGATATCAAAAAGTATATCTTATTGGTAGTATTCTGGCCCGTCCGCGTGCCGAAAGGAATGCAGGCGTTACGTAACGTATATAGCAAGCTCAAGGCTTGATCAATTGAATTGATCGATGGTCGACCCAGCTCTGCAGCTGCAGCTCTACACCTCCGATTGGTCCATGGTGACACAAGGCTGACAGAGATACCTCTTGGCAACATTGTGCAATTGTGTTGATTTCTTAAAAAGAATATACAACATCAGAAAGTTCCTAAAACTGGAATAAACTATACACTCCAAGTCGATCATACAACTTTAGTTCCTTTTCCTCATAAACTGTATATTAAAATTCAACCCCGGCCCTAGTGTTTGGATGGCAGTGATTATACCATACAGGGTCTAAATTCGCAATCGAAGTTCGAAATCGGGGCTCGCTCACAGCTCACCAGTCCTTGTGACGTCTAGGTACCAGACGTACTACTGGCAGTAGGTTTCACAATAAGGGCCTCGCATTGGGGCCGCTCAATCAACCGACATCACCGTATATATAGCCAAATAGTTTTCGAGCCGCACAGAATTTGCAGTACTACTAGCCAACAATGTTAGATCCTCTCAATTCTATTCTCATGTACTGGTCGTTTTTTTGTTCACTAATCCTTTTGCGAAAACAAACAAAAAAAGTTGCCCTATCTTAGTACTCTATAGTATTGCAAAAAAAACATAAAAAAAAACAACTACAATACCTTCATTTACTTTTCTACCTCTCGAAAATCAATCAGTATGCTCGATCCCCCACTGCCTAAGAAGGTCACCGACTTGTCAAAGGTGGTCATAGAGAGCCTGCGTGGCTTGAATGTAACACGCTATAGGGGCAGAATGCTTTCCCCTGCAACTTGTATTGCTGGCTCACGATAATTTGAGCTGTCCTGGATTACACTGACCCAGCGTGCCGGCTTAAATCAAGAACTGTGTTTGGCCCGACTTATCAAGACTATGTAACAACTCCATAGCCACGAGATATTGCTTCTCTTGATCGCAGGATTACTTTCGCCATAGTGGCTCCGGCTTGTGAGACAACTAAGGGGGAGTACTGAAGACGTGAGCGTATTATTAGAAGCAAAGCTCATCAAGACTTCAGTATGAATGGGCCTGGGACTTGAAGGGCACCCTTTACCGTGTTAGATTGAGAGAACCTTAAGCATAAAAGGACCCCGTTCTTACCCCTCGATCTCAATATTTTTCGTTCACCATCTAGCAGATAGAAAAGAACAGGAACACTACTCTATAGCTTCTCTATAACCTTCAAAAATCAATTTAATTCTTGCAGAAATCATGTTTTCTTCACCCAATATGACAAGCATCGCATTCTCCGCCAACACAGTCAAGCTCCAATTGAACCAGGACATTGGAAGCGCCACCTTCACTGGCACCGTTGGCAAGAACAGTGCCAACCATGCCGGCATCACGACCTCGCCATTTGCATTCATCGTTCTTACGGAAAATTCCGGAAGCCCCGCCAACTACTTGATTCAACCCAACCCAACCCAACTCACCACCTACAAGACTTACACTCTCACTGGTCTGTATAAAACTCCAAATTTTATAAAACTTCACCAACTTGGAAACTAACATGATAAAAAAATAGGTCCAAATGGCTCCGGAGTGGTCTTATTCGTCGGCCCTGGTGGTAAAACTGTTGCCACCTTCAAGCAGTAAGTAAGAATATTCGTGCTCTCCCCCTCCACTCGAAACCTTTTTAAATTACGCCCATAGTAACAATAATTGTCTCGTAAACCAACCCCCCCGTAACAATCACCTAGTTTATCGTTCTTACAATACGATAGCTGAGCGGTGGAGTTCAGAGAACAGAAAGAATCAAGCCCCATGATTCACATGTCTAGTCTGATACTCAGACCAGTCTCAATCTTTAAAGTCATCCATCGATAGCTGTTACGCAATGGCCTGTCTCAACGGATTTTTGTTTGCCATGACATTTGTCACACGCGCCCTCTCAGCCTGTTAACGTTAACAATTAAATTCAAATCCCGGGTTGAATCAGTGATATTCCTTGTACAACTGTGACTAGATGTTATGGATGAGCTTGTTAGAATCGGAAATATTCTGCAAATGAACTATAGTAGTACTCCGGAGGAAGGTATATCTATGTATTCTCTTTAGATTTTAAGTAATGAACAGAGATCAAAATTAACTAGTGCTATTTGATCATGTTATTAGGTATTTTACTGGGAGGCTGGGAAAGTTCCTATTTATATCGAGCTGATATATGAGGGCTTGGTAGTACAGGGGTTACTGATTGGGCATTTACCCTTTTGGGACACCACAGCTTGACACGGGCTAGCAAACCTAGCCAAATTATCAAATTGTGCCGAGCTAAAACGCTTTTGAAGTAGATTTCAACTGGATATTAAGACATTATCAGTACATAGATAGGTACTTCGCATTTATCCGCTAGGACTTGGCGGTACTTGGGGTTTTGGTCGTCGTGATGGTGATTTCGAGACTCCTATATCCTCAAATCCTACCCGCTCCAGTTTTAGGTTTCCCGGTACTGTAGACATACAATCCGAGCAAACAGCCGCGGATAGAGCCTTCTGATAACTCATGGCTATAGCCATCCAAAACTGTTCGTTGGCCTCGCTTGCTTCATCTTCTGGCTTTGACGTCTCTGGTTGCTTCTGTGGTAGGGATAGTGGTTCTGAAGGCGGCATGGTGGAAGGTGGTGTCGGAGCTGGTGGGGGCGGCATACCACGGTATGGTTCATTATTTTTTTTAGACTTTTGTCGCGCCTTGCCTCTTTCTCGTTTTTCTCCTTCTTCTCGTCCTTTCCGTAATTCAGGTTTTTTCTCTCTTTGGAATCTTTCGACTTTGCTTGCTCCTTTTGCTTGGGATAATCCTTACGCCGGGCGTGTTCCTTTAGCTGTGCATACTCCTTTTGTTCTCTATCTTCCTTTGGCTTCGTATGTTCCTTTCGCTCTCTCTCCTTCCCTTTGCTTCGGATGGTCCTTTGGAGTTGTATGACCGCTTGGCTTTGGGTCCGTCTTTGCTTGGTTCTCGGTCTTTAGTAATTCTTGTCTACTTGGGGGGTCCCTCCTAAGTTGGATTGTTGGTGGGGGATCTTCCCAGGCCATATTTTGGTTTGGGTGGCCTCTTGATGACTCGGCCTTGCAATGGGAACTATCATGATGTTTAGGCTTTTTTGCAGGCTCACTGACGAAGGTTTCGGTGAGGACTCTTTCTAGCTTGGCAGCTCCTGAAGAGCGCCTTGCCAATATCCAACTATCTGCGGTGGATTGATATGAGGCGGCGACTTCTTTAAGGAATCTTTCCGGGGCTGCTGATGATAGCGATTGGATGTATCATTCCGAAGCTGTTGTAAATTGCCAGGGGGAAGCTTTGTTCAACGACACGTCTTTGTCCCTCCCCTTGTCCGAAGGGCCATTCGCCTGCTGACCTTTCATTAGAGAACCAACCCACGATGGTTCATTAACTGGCGGGTCATCCTTGGGAGCAGCCTTCGGTCCATCTTCGTCTGGACCATCAAGCCAAAAGTCATGTTGCTTTCGGTTATCGTTCCGAGCGTCTTGCTATAGTAGACCTTCAGTCCACGCTTTTTGCTGTTCTTGGCCATCATACCATGCTTTGGGTTTGCTTTCCTTTTCTTCATCATCCCAATTATCAGATACGTTTTCACCGTTGCCATCCCGTTTAAATTGAGATTTAGACCGAGTCGGAGGAGGGTCTTTGTGATCAGGGGGTGATTCTTCTACTCGTTTCTTGGGACACCGCCGGGGATGGGACCGAGGGACTCTTCGTCTTCGTTGTAGACCATTGTTCGTGTAGGTGGATAGATGATAGAAAGAGGGCTGGTAGGATTCGTGTTTAGAGGAGTAGGTGACGGGATGGAGAATTTGGTGGTTTGGAAGCCTCTGGATACACGGCAGGGAAAGGCCAAGACATCATGATATCGCGATATCATTTAGTAGCTTGCTATAGACGCGTCGATAGAACTGTCAACATCAATTTGCCACTCTATTCATGCCTATTACTCTCTTCCTCACCTGACTATTATTCGATTCGCATTGAATACCATTTTTCGTACATCCTTAGTCCGCCGCCTGCAGAAGAGAAAGGTATGGCATCAATTCCCTTAACTCGATTGAAATCCTTCATCAGAAACTAATCACGAGGATAAATAGAAGAGGTGTCGACGATACTTGAAGAAGGGTTTGTGGGCATTTCTGTAGGGAATGATCATGACTGGAAAAGAGATCGAAAGACGGGCCGCCATCGGATGGTGAATTCCGACGCCCGTACCTACTGGATGAACTCAAGTCCCGCCCGTATTGGAAACGGCGATGGACTGAGCACCAAAGAAGCATGAATTGGAACCAGAGATGGGTTTGGTCCGGTTAAATGAACTCGTGTCTTTAACCTCCTAACTCACAGATGTACCCAAATTCATGATTCCGTTTGAAACATCCGAACAGCTGAAAAGCCATATCAAAAATAATCGCAAAAACACGAAACATTACAGAAGGAGTAGTTATTTCGCGCCCCAGCCTGCAAGAAGGAGCGGCCCCGCCCCCCCATTTTTAACTTACTTCCATGCCACACCCGACGGGCTATCCAATATTGAGATTCCAAGCGAGAAAACGACTCGTTGGAACAAGAATAGAATATATCTAGAATACAACGGCTAAAAACCAAAAAAAAATAAACACCGGGCTGGATTTCAAAATGGTTTCCGAGGGGGCATTCAAATCAAATATCAGCCTACCCTATCAAGGACGTGGAATAAACTAGCTACTGGGACATAGGGCTAATAAAGAAATCTAAATACCACTTTCAACTCTGAATATGCTTTGGGGCAGCTTTAGTAAGGGGATTTAGCCACAAGTTAACTAGCTTCAACCTTAATGCAACCGGTCGATTTTATTTCCATCATAGGCGACAGATGGTGTTGGTTAAAAATTACAGACTATGGCCTAACGCAAACGAATCTATTATGATTCAGTTTTTGGGAGCCGGGGCGGCCTCAGGATTACCAGCCAGTAAGGCTTCAACTTCCGCGCCTCTGCTACGTCTCTCTTCTAAAGATAGCTCCTGATCCGGCGACGTAGACCAACCTAGACCCAATTCTGGGTACTGGAGTGGGATATCGCCATCGAGTGGTAGAACATCCAGGTAGATGGGCCATGGTGTACCCATCCAAGCGTTTCGAGACTCGTGGTCTTCACGCTGACTTGCAGTCAAGGGGTGGACGAGGACGCTAGATACCAGTAGCGGAAGCAGTATCGAAGTATTAGCAATGTTCACGTGAGCGAGTCTTAAGGAAAACTAAGCGAAGGAAGGTTGTGCAGGGGTACAGCGAGATGCGTTTCGATACACGATAATGTTACAAGAGTAGTGTAGGCCGATGAGACTCACCTAAGATTGCCGCGGTTTGATGCCAAATAGAAAAAAACTTCAGAAAACGAAGAGTCAGGGACCCAGACTATGAAAGAAAAAATATTATTTTAGTTTGTCCTGATCCGCGCCGCAATAGATTCGCAGTGAATTGGGGTCTGGTACTTTCATATGATCCGGCTGGATGTGGCCCTATGGGATATTTGTTGACTCTGCGTAAGGGAACGGCGGTGAATGCCCCTGTAATTACAATCGGTTCGAAATTCAGTATGTACAGGTATTTTCTAAGCCCGGTGGTGTTCTGGGTTTCATGGACCTACCATCTCGACGCAACCTCAAGACAGCATCTCGAAGAGCTAGCGCTGCGGCAGTCTCGGCCTCCGATTGAAGCAAGAAATAGATATGGAAATGCCACTCCCGAGTTCGAGCTTCAACGACTGATTTCAGGTCATCCTGCGGAATTGGAACGGCGGGTCGAATAACCATGGTGACGGAAGAATTTATTCGGCACGCGTAGGATGCACCTGTGTCGTTCTAGCTTAAGCTTCTAATCGATACCGATATCGATACACTCCAAATTAAGATCCGTTCGAGTTCGTTAACGTAAAATTAACTTCTAAGCTAAGCTAAGGTATAAGTTGACGCGATCAATTTCAGTGATTCCCGATATCGATACCCTTCAAAGTTGGTGACCGTCTGCGAAATGAATTAATTGCGATTGCAATTAGATGCATCTCCCGGCCGCCCCGGCCATATCTCGTCAATGTCGACATGCCCGCCGGTTCTAACCTCTGCACCACATCCGGGTCTAGCCACAAATCGATTTTGCCAAGAATGCGGAGTGGTACCATGTAAGGCTGGCCACGTGATCATTTCATAGCACGTGCATACGTGCATCGAACTTCAATTGTCAACAACAAAATTTCGAAAAATAGAACTACCAATATATATATAAAGTACGTGTAAAAAGACGGGTTTTAGTCACCGAGCTATGTTACGTCGTACACCTTGATACATATAATAAAAATTTCATGTGATATCCATATCATGTGACTTATGCCACGTGATTTTAGCTATGATTCGAAATGCAATTGGGCTGAGTGGATCATCTTTCTTGATCCAAGACAAACAGCGGCTCACTACAAACCGCAACAACACGATGGCGAATAACCGGGCCCACATTTTCAGCACCTCCCTTACGGCGGAAATTGGAATCAATGAGAATACACCGCTGCTGGTCACAGGTCGCGATGTCTCTGAGACGACGACGGCTTATGAATCAAGCGTCACCGCAGACACCAGTGGTGATGAGACCCAAGTCGGAGACGCGGCCGAAGTCGACAAGCCGCTACCCCTGACACAGATCATCTTCCTCTGTGCGGCACGCCTCATCGAGCCTATAGCCTTCTTCTCCATTTTCCCATACGTCAATAAAATGTGTCGAGAAAATGGATCACTCGAAGAAGCTGATGCGGGCTTCTACAGCGGTCTAATTGAATCTCTTTTTTCTCTCACCCAGATGCTGGTTATGGTCTTTTGGGGCAAGGCAGCTGACCGTCTGGGCCGAAAACCTGTACTGGTATTCTCTATGATTGGTGTGACCGTGGCTACGTCGTTGTTTGGAATGGCTACCACCATCCGGGAGATGATTGTTTTCCGGTGCCTAGCAGGCGTGTTTGCCGGTACTATTCTGATCATTCGTACCATGATCTCCGAACATAGCACCGTCAAAACACAAGCACGCGCCTTCAGTCTATTCGCGTTTGCTGGAAATTTGGGGATTCTATTCGGACCTTTGATTGGTGGTATTTTAGCAGAACCGACTACCCAATATCCGAGTATCTTCCGTGGTATACTCTTCTTTGACAAATACCCATACGCACTACCTAGCTTTGCTGTCGGTGCCATTGGTCTTATCATAACTTTAGTGTGCGCCATCTATATTGAGGAGACACTACCTAGTAAAATTGCAGAACGGCGCGGGGGTGAAGAGACAGGTATTAGCCCCCCTGCACCTGCAAAAGCTACAATGTCGACCTGGGAGCTTGTAAAAGCTCCTGGAGTCGCACTTGTCTTGTACACCTCCCAGCACATTGCGCTGCTTGCCTTTGCCTATACAGCTGTCGCTCCTGTATTCTGGTATACTTCAATCGCATTAGGAGGGTTGGGCCTTTCACCACTACAAATTAGTTTGTTCATGGGTTTGAACGGCCTATCTCAGGCTGTATGGCTCCTCCTCGTCTTCCCGCCACTACAGAGTCGGATCGGTACCAACGGAGTATTGCGTGTCTGCGCGATCGCCTATCCAGCATTTCTTGCTATCCCGCCCTTGCTGAACCTACTACTTCGTGGTGGTTTCACCCTCACCTTCTGGATCAGTGCACCTATCCTGATGGCACTAGGGTGCGGAGTTGCCATGTCCTTCACGGCTATTCAACTTGCGCTTAATGATGTGGCGCCTACCCCACAGGTTTTAGGTACGCTCAACGGGCTGTGCCTTGCATTGTCAAGCGGTGTACGATCCTTTTCACCAGCGCTCTTTGCAAGTCTCTTCGCGGTTAATGCACGCAATCAGTGGCTAGAGGGGCATGCAATTTGGATCCTGCTAGTAATTATTGCTTTTGGCCTCACGGCAGTCAGCCGGCGGATGCCGGATTATGATGAGTTGCGGAGGCGTAGAGAAAGAAAGGTTAATGCTGAAGTTGACTAATAATCAGGGTCAATTAAGACGTAAAGCTTTTCGGTCAATGTCATCATACACCGCAGGGGACAATAAGAACTTATATTACTACCGCAGGGTGGGAGCCTGGTGCGACCGGGTAGGATTCGAGCGGGCTTAACTAGTTGGCTGAGACTATCTGTGACCTAATACTCCTATGAGATTATCACATGGCGCAAACCCTGCAAAATATTCCTATAAGCTTTAGCTTGGTTATTTCAGACCCTTGTTATCTCTCCTGATCTAAAACACTAGAAGTTTAGATCTGATATTGGTCTAATTTGTATTATAAACCGGCTTTCGAGGCCGCAAAGACCTAGTTAATCTGCATATGTATTAGTACTGATAAAACCTTTCGTGTGGAATCTGACGCACTAGCGGCCAATTCGAGTCCCATCTTCACATCTAGCATATCGAAACCTATATCGAGGGGTGGTCTTCCTCCATGTCCCTATATAGCTGATCACATTAGTCTATGACCTAGCCGGGCGGGCACGTTGAATTGATAGTACTCTTCTCGATACCGAACCAGTCAATATCTCAGTAGTTACCTTAGAAAAATTTCTTAGTAGTAAAAGATAAAAGATATAAGGTCAATCTACGTCTCTGGTATCCTCCAACTATCAACGCGGAGCTTGCGTTTAGTCGAAACAGAGATAACCAAGCCCTCTAAAGCGAAGGAATACCTAAGCAAACAAGTGCTCCGTGAATAGGAAGCATGTTGAGAAGATTTCGGAAACGGAAGATCATGGGGTCGCATGGCATTTTATGAGTTGGTATACCAACCTTATATAAGCTTATCACACCCGTAACGAGGCAGCTAACCATATTTGTGACAGCCCAAATAGTTGGAAGAAAAGATGTAATTTATTTGATAAAGTGTTTGAATAAGGTGGCTTAGATATACATAGATGAAGATTCCAAGTATGCATAGGATCTGATTGAAATTCTCTGGGGACTATGCACTCCGCTGCGCGTTTTCTTCTGTAGTTATAATTAATATCAATGAACGATTTCACCTTATTCTAGGCTCTGGTATCAATCTTTGGAGTGACACACCATTTTACTTAATACAGTCTGTCAATTAAACCTGTTCAAAACGACGAGCACTCTCTTCTCGAGGTAATGGCGATTCATATGTATAAAAACGGGCTTCTATAGACACCCACCCATTCTTCACTACCTAGCTAGCACTCTAGGGAAATCTTTTAAAGAAACTCTGACTATATAGTAACTTAGACTTAGCTCTTCCAATCGAATATAGCCAGGATTATTTCCGTTAAAAGTGTTAGCTATATTTTAATAGGCGGGACGGACCCTTCGTTTGATTTCGTGGGAGCCGTAGAGTGAAAGATCGTGTCAACTATCACAAAATTTTTAAACGTGGTGCTTCAAACCCAACTGTCGGAAAAGTCCAAATAGTTGAGTTCTTCTCAAAGAAGAGCTTTTTACACCGCTGACAGGTTAGGTTCGGAAATTTAAATATGCACGATACCCTCAAACCCGAGGCGATAAGGGACTGCTGTCGTTTCAGAAGCTTTAGGCGTCTTCAACCTCAGTAGATACATAGTTAAATTCGAAAAAGCTGACAGCTCCAGAGTCATGACCGAGGATAAGGAGCCTGTCATTAGAAGCTGAGCACCTGCCTCGGTTACTATGCGGCAACCAAAGAATATTTTGACCATGCTGAGTTACCCAGCCATCCTTAAGAAGGATGTGACTCGAGGCCGGCTTCTTAGGGATAATACGGAGAGGGGATGAAGAGACAAAAATGGTCTGCCTATCGGTCTTTAAGCGTTCGTTGTCGCTCGAAAAATGCAAACTCTGAGAGGAATATTCTGACCAGACAGTTTTTAGCAAATGCCCTGTCTCTGTGTCCCAAATTTTGACATAATAGTCGAATGACGCTGACGCTAACAGCTTTCTGTCAGGCGAGAGGGCAACAATTTGAAAGGCTTTGTAGGGTTGAATGTCCCCGGACTCTGCTTCAAATTGGCGAAGCTTTTGTTTCGTTTCTATATCCCAGACCATGATTTTCCGTTCTGTTCCTAATACCAACTGCTTTCCATCATCCGAAAAAACGATTCTAGGATATTTACGAACTAATGTGTTTCTATCAAAGCCTCTTTTAGAAGCCTTTATTGACTGTGCATTGGTCTCCTTAGCCTTGGCCCCCGCCACGCGCGCGTTGGTATCCCAAAGTTGAATGATACCATCGGACAACGCCGCTGCTACCCGCTTCCCGTCGCGAGATGAAGCAATATCGTAGACGTTGCCAGGGCCCGCTTTTTGGCCGATAATTCTCTTTTTTTCTCCTGTTTCTACATCCCAGAATCCTAGTTCGCCATATGTCGCTTCTACTAGTTGCTTGCGGTCGAAATCATAACAAGCTACTAAGGTCCTGTAAATGTAATTTAGGTTCCTCTCCAGCTGTTTCGTCGCCAGGTTCCATACTTGAATCGAATTTTCCCCCATTAGTGCCAATATTTCCCCGTCAAAGGAGAAATTCGCTTTAAATTTAATCGGAGCGTGGGGGGGCGAGGTTATTGGGAAAATCCATAGTAATTCCCCTGTTGGTATGTCCCAAAGCTCAACCCAAAGCTCAACCGAATCATGAATATGTGTCCGGGTCGAATAGCCACTATCAGGAGATGACAACGCTACTAGTTGTTTCCCTTCTGAACAGAAGCCTAATTTCACAACCTTCCGACCGATCTCGAAAGTTTTCGTCAGCTGCTGTGTCTCTACATCCCAAAGGCTAAGCTCCGTATCATCCGCTACCATTGCCAATCCCTTACCATCAGGAGAAAACAGCAAGATACTAATATTCCGTCCATCGCCTTCGTAATCTCTTATTTGTTGGCCAGTCGCCGTATCCCAAGCTATCAGACGGCTACCACCCGAAGAAATTACTAGTTCTTTGCTATCCGGCGAAAAAGCCACTCCGGGGAACCCGTTGGTGTTTAAGTTTAAAAATTTTATCCGCTGACCCGTCGATACATCCCAGAGCCCGACCGTACCGAGGATAGATGCTGATACTAGCCACTTATCATCAGGAGAGAATTCGACCCTATGATCTGACGGAAAGTGCGCCTGTAGTATTTTTGGATTTCCGCTCCAGAATTTTGAACTTTTTGGGAATCTGCAAACCCACTTTGGAATGTGTTTTTGAAACTGAACTTTTACGATGCTTGTTTCCGGACTAAAAATTATGGCGGACGAGTAGACTTGAAGGGGGGCCTCGTCAACTATGTGCCAGTTTTGAGAGAGGAAATATCTAGCGTCTCTAAGGAACCCAGATACTCCAGATCCTTCTTTTTCCTACTCATCATTTAAATCAGCATGGGCGGTATAATTGAGAAGATGCTAAGGAAGAGATCAAATAGGACGATTGATTTTGGAAGACACGAAAACATACTTCTGTGAGTGAACACAAAGTTTCGACGAAGTCGATGGCCTCAGACATACACCCAATAATACTCAGTGCCTCGAGCCAATATAAGAACTGTTTACACAAAAATGTGTGGACTATATCATGATCAACTATGGGTTTACCGGTAGAACTACGTTCCAGGTGATGAACCCAATAACGACAAGAATATCGAACATGTGGCGGTAGATGTTCATCTATCCGGGCACTTCTGAGCTTTTTTCGTGGCATCCCTGGGTATTCTAGGCCACATATATTTTCCTTAAGATGGGTTGAGAGTACGTCGAGGCACTTTGTCACCATCATCCTGTGTGCTTCTCGTTCGTCGATCCAGAACCAATTATTTCTGTCTGTTCCGCTCCTTTTTTTGTCAGGGTCGACAAGGAACTCTCGGAAGGAAAGATGTAGAAACCGGATAGGTAAGGCTGAATCGGCAGGAATACTAAGAACAGAATGCAAGTGCACTAACTTCCCGTTGACCTTTTCTTTAGTTATACCAAGAAGATCTGCCAGCGTTGATATCGGTAGGGGATCTACAACTACCACGATCGATCCGATGATAGTTCTAAATTCCTGGGCGAATCTTTCAAGCTGTGTTTCAGATTGACCGGATTCAAGTTGTTTTAAGACAGGAAGATAAGTCCGGTTCAGCTGAGAGTCTTCTCCTCCTTCGGTGTAAGTTGTCCCGTACTTCAAAATGATAGCCAGTCGTTGCCGCGGGTCCCAGTTTAACTTATCTCCAACGAATCGACAAACAGTTGACGCGTAAATGAATAGAGGAATCGCCATTTTTGTAAGCCTTTCAATATCGCCTGCTCTAGGCCAATCCAGGGGAAGTTCAAAATCTGCGGAGTATTCCCGTTGTGTGATATTGAAGGCGGATCTAATTTTCGAAAACTCCCATTTGAGAAAAACGGATATGTCGTGTTCAATAGTGGCCGGAGGAACGTCTTGAAGTATCATGCGGTCATGAGTATCGGCAGACATTTTATCGAAGCCGAGACGAATTGGGAGCTCCGGTCGGCTTGTTAGGAAAATCCGTATGTGCACACGCACAATTTTTAATTTTGCCATTTCCGAAAGAAAATCCAAAATCTGCCTGACTTTTGTATCTCCCTCACATTCGTCCAGGGCGTCAATCACAAAGACTAGCGGTACGAGAGCTCGGTTGTTATTTTCCTCAGGGGCCGCAGAAGAAGAATTGGCCTCTATAAGTTTTTCAAGAGGGTGGAAGACCAAAGTTCTAAATTGCTTTTCAAGCGCCTTTGTTGCAATATCGGGCTCTTCTTGAATCACATTCTGAACGTAGGGTACCAGCCCGGGTATGTTCCTTGTTAATTGGACAGCGATTGTAGTCCAAAACCTAAAGGCATTATCGCGATTACTTTCGCCTCTTTTGAAAAAGAAACTGGCTCCCAACTGAATGTCGTCATCATCATTAAAAAGTTGGGCCACTGTTCGAGATATTGTAGATTTCCCTGTGCCAGCTACGCCATTTAACCAAAATATGCATTTGCCGTCAGGATCTTGTGCCCAGTCCTTAATTTGCTTTAGAAGTTCTTTTCGTGTCTCAGGATGACACCTCGCGTCCAATTCATCGGTCTCAGAATCGAACGCCGCACTATGGACATACGGTACCTTCTCAAGGTCAGTCTTGTCCAACGATCTATATTATCAGAACTTGATCAGCCTTCTGTCCGAACGTTCACTCATTCACTCGATTAATAGAAGCAGCTTTTGGACTTACAGGCGGTCACCATTTAAGCCAAAAAGATCGTTTGCGCGTGCTAAATGTATTAAGGTTTGATTAGTATAACCGTACACAAGTCAAATCTCACTACGCCCGCCGACACGTGAACCTTGGGGGGGTATATTGGCTTGAATGACGGTATGTAGCTCGCTACTGGGTAGTTTAAAGCTGTCGATGCTTATTTTATAGTCATCCCTAGATGTAACCCCCTCGGGCAATGGGTGCGGTTCAAGCGCTTGTCTCGTACCCACCCGAACGGAAAAACTTTCAGCGCGGGGTGTAGCTGTTATTGATACTATTTACCAAGTCTCAACTATCCAATCTTAATATATTACGTACCTTGCCTCTCAGCCTCCGCAGCCTCCGCCTCCTGGATAATTATCTTGAGACGATCACGAACGGTTGTATACGTTTCATCCTGCGCACTCTTCAACTTGACTATAGTTGAGTGATCCCCGTCGGCTGGTATACTCTCGAATCCAGGGGTCTCCAGTACTGTAGAATTTTTGCTGACCACTATTACGTAGTCCCCGTATCTCCCATAGACCCCGTCTTTCTAATTTCCTCGTCAGTCGATCCAACCGCGTCATAGAAATGCACCAAAGTTTTCTAAGTACATACCTGGATAACCCTCCTCGTCTTTTCCTTCTCATGAAATGAATATATAGGTACTTTTCTCTCCGTAATTCGATTCATGAAGACTTCGCACGTATGAGTAATTCGTTGCGTCTCGTATATAATATCTCTAACCAGTTCGTGGCCCTGGCTTGCGAGCTCCCAGTCGTAGTCAAGCATAGAGATGACATCATTGAGATATATTCCGCGGAATGGAACGCCGAAAAGGAATATGCCGGCGATTGATTTGTAGATGTTCGCGTATTCCCCACCTAAGGATGCTTTGACGAAGGCCTATGGTCCGTTAGTACATCCAGTAGCTATGTATATTTCTAGTGATTTTAAATGTGGATAGTTCTTACGTGCTCAATTATGGTACCGCCAAAACTGTGACCTATAAGGACTAGCGGTCTCCGTTGCTCCTATCACTCAAATTAGATATATAAATACTTCCCCTCCATACTTCTTTTCGATTGATAAGTCCGATAAGAGAGCCTTTAGAGAAATATACCTCTTTAGCACCCCTTGCCTTTATTTAACCCTGTTAAAAACGTCTTGACATAATCTTCAATCCAGACCTTCGCTTTCGCATCATATTTCGTATTATACCCGAAAGTCATGATTCTGCAGTCCTTCAGATCGTTGTCTATACTAAAGAAGTCTTGAAGCCACATTGGAGTGGTTCCCCCTACTTCCGGGCCGACCCACGACCCATACGCATGAGAGTTAAGTCCGGATAGGGCAATGATACTTCACGATATCAACATTATTAGGGCATCCATCTTAGAATATTTATGTATCGAGGGGGTGTTTACTCAATCTTGATTTCCCTCGGTGTCGTGTAAAGTTGGGTAAGACCGAAGAAGTCGACATCGATTAGTATCGATCTTCCTTGCAGAAGAAAAGACGGATGGTCCGTTTGTAGAAAGGATGGGGTCTCGGGTTCAACGGTTTGAATTTGAAAATGGCGATTTGGGTTCCCGGATCAGTACAGGCAGGTGCGAGGCGACAATCGAGTGTAAGTTGGCTCTTCTCTTCATCGGTGAGCTGGTCCAAGAGCGCTGATCTAAATTCCTCTTCACTGGTGTTCGTACTGAGGTTCGTGGCTCTGTAAGCGCCCCGATTCTTTTTCGACGCCATGATGGGCGGGGTTATCGATCACGAGGCTTCGCGAATTCAAAGGTAATTACGAGTAAAATTTGGAAAGGGGGGCGATTGAAGTCGACCGAACGCCTTTATACGAGGAAAGAGCTGAGACCTAAAACATTTTTTTATTATGGTATTGATAGATATGAGATTTCTAGGATCCATAGATAATATAATATAATACGGTAGCCCTGGATCAATTAAAAACCGGAACAGCTCCAGCAAATATCTCTAGAATGCAATGTTTTGCAGCCTGGAAAACACTGCATTCGCAAGTATCCTTCAACGGATACTACGATAAACAAGAGGCGCAGGACAACACACCCCGCATACAGGAAAGCTGCCGGATTGATTGGCTACGAGGCTCTTCGTGATTTCCAGCCATTTATCCCATGGGCTCAGCCTTGCCTAAGAGACAGATCCTGCTCCTGTTTCTGTCAAATGTCTGGACCTTATCTCTCCAAATCCCTGTCCAGTTGCGCCCAGTATGTGATACAAAGCTCAACTGCAACGCAAGGCCAAGGACAAGGCTCATCTCTGCCCCAAGAGCACCCGGATTCGAGGCAGCGCCAGGCTCACGTACCCATCCGACGGTCCGGATGCATATGTATGTAAGCCAGCGAATGGGTTTCCCAGAGGATAATATCAATCACGAGTTCTATAGCCATCTTCCTGTTGAGACCACACATATTTTATTCCTAAAACTACATGACTTTCCTATATACATCGAGCAACCTCTTACAACACTCATACTATCTCACAAACTCAAACACCGACAATATCTCCAACAGTAAGCTTAACTTCATCCCCAGGCGAAGGTTTCTTCCCCCACACCTTAACCGGAACCACCCTCCCATTCGCATCAACCTTACGCGCCGGCGTCTTAGGTATCAACTTCGCCCCCTCATTGCTCAAAACACTAACCACATGTGCCGTCGCCTTCCCCATAATCTCAATATGCGTTCCATTAATATTCGAATAATCATCACATTGCCTATGATAACATGAATCAACGCCCATAGATCCAGAGTGTAATCCACCCACAGCCTTATTAAGCCCAACGAAGCCCGCAAGGTCGGTGTTTGCCACCAGGGGTTCCTTAACAACAGATACTCCATTGGCAACAAGATAATCGATGAAAAGTTTTTCAATAACGTTAGATCCGGGTGGACTGGTGAGACTATATGGATCTTCAGGATTGCTTTTAGCATTACCGTCAAAAACGCCGAAGTATCCGCGACCGATCATGTCGAAGTTGAGGTATAGTAGAATATCGTCTGCCTCTTCTTTGGAGAGGTTGGAGGTGTAGTGGTTTGAGCCAACCAGACCTGACTCTTCGGCACCCCACCAGGCGAGACGGATTCTGTTCTTTGGACAGTACTTTTGAAGAGCGTGGAAGAGAGTGATTAGGAGGGAGGATCCGGAGCCGTTGTCGTTGATTCCGGGTCCTCGACGGATAGAGTCAAGATGTGCACCGATCATAATAACGTTGTTTGGATCACCGCCGATGGATTCAGTGAAGAGATTTTGGGTAGGACGGTTACCCTGGACCCACATATTCTCAAATTTCCCAAAGACAGGTCTATTCGTGCGTTTTATAAGGGAGAGAAGGTGAAGACCATCAGTATGGGCCATGTAGCCGCTAGGGCCGAATTCCTTTCCGTCTTTAGGTAAATCTCGAAACCCGGGGATACCTTGCTGGTATTTTTCAACCAAGTGGACAATGACGGCCTTTGCGCCAGCAGAATGTGCGGCACGCAGACGGGCAGAGACGACTTCGCCATAGGGGACCCAAGGATTTTGCCAAAACCCGCCGGGACAGTCGCTACCATCAACGAAAACGATTTTGTCTTTTACATCGAAACCATTGTAGCCTTCTGAAGTGCAAGAGGAAGGACCGGGAGGACCCTCAACGACTTGGCCTTCGACGGTAAAATCGTCTTCTCCCACATAGATAGAGCGCTGGAAGGCAGCGACGCTGTAAGATTTTCCTTCGACGACAAAGGTAGCCTTCACTGTATAGTGTGGTGCGTCGAAGTCCTGAGTCCACGACTTCCAGGTTTTGGAAGTGTCAAGTTGGGATTTGATGTAGTTTACTGATGCGGTGTAGCCTGGGCTGTTGAAGGCACGGTCTCCGCCATTCCAATTTGCGATTGTCTGGAGGTCTTTGAGGTTTTGCATAAGCCTAGAGTTTTAGGGAAAGATGAGGTTAGATTATACATATTCATTTGCTGTTGATAGTTGGATTTGAATGTGCACGAATACTTACTTGTTTTCAGTAACGAAGCGCTGCATTCCCTTTGAGTCGACGGGAGGACAAGTAGATGTCCTTAATGCCGCTGCATTTGCACCGGCGATGCTGCCCGCGATGATAGTGACTTTGCTGAACTTCATGTTGGAATCTTGATTATTATCTCTCAAGCTTGCTCTTCCAGTCTATGTGTAGTTGCTGATACATTCAATATTATCTTGGGCGGTCACTCTTTTATAAACATCATCGACCCTCAATTTTCATCCAATTCCTCGAGTATCCCATATTCTAGAGTAACAATATTGCACGGATAAAACAGATCCGAACAGACTCATGACGGGACGGTTCGTGAATCCTAAGATCTCAAATCAAAGGAAGGTGACCAAACATTCCTCTACTGAAGTCTACAACCAAAATCGTCAACCCTTCGGTACCGGCCGGCCCTCAACAAAAAAAATTAACGGCGTCCACCTAGATACATAGAATAACAAAATACCAAATGGACCTAAGGCATCATTAAGTTAAGGATGGTGACTAACCACTGCCTATCGATAGTAATTCTTGGCCGTGGGCCGCGGGAGAAATCTAGTTGTCGGAATCGATAAATTCCATTGCTCAATGTATAACAGAAATAATCGTGCGAAACCATCCCATAAATGGGTGGTGGGGTGTTTATCGATACCCCCTGCGGAGATTATGTCCGGTAGGGAACTACCAATGGGGGCGCTAGCGCCTTATTACGCATATTTGGGACCTTCCCTTGAAGAGGTCACTAGTTAGGTATCCGGGTTACTGGATTCGACTTAGATTCCGAGGACCTGAGTCGCTCGTTTGTCCAGTTACACGCGCACGTTGGAGCACTCTAAGCCTCCACATTAGAATTAATTGTGTAGACAGCATCGATATATTGGTCTTCCATAAACAATTCGAAATTTCCTGCGGATTAATGTAAACTTCATAAGGCGGGGATGTCTTTTGATGGTCTTATAGCAAATGCGCATAATAAAACTCTCTTTTCTTTCTTTCTCTTCATTCAAGTCTTCAAGGGATCCAAGTGAAATTTGAAACCCCATCCACGGCAGAAGGTGTTGCATAAGCACTTTCCTTGTTGGCGTTGTCGACCAGGGATCAACGGAGAAGGAACGTATGTTGCACAAAGCTGCAGATTAGCCCCATCGGCTGGACCTGCACATCTAGACGAACCATAACCCCCATAACCAGACCCCTTGACAGACTAACTGCTTCTTATAGTTTCGTCTAAACAAATTTTGTTAGTTTGGTGAAGTTTCGTACCCATTTCTACATAATAGTAGCAAGTTCCAAACTAGCGGGACGGCAGCCCAGCCAAAAAGTCGCTATCCCGCTAGCTAGTTAGGCAACCGTAGCCGAGGCAGTCTTTGTGCTACCCGAGGCTCGTACGGGACATCCTGGTTAGTTAGTACCTAGTATTAAGACCTTCTAAAGATATTCGGATAACCAAAAGCTCGAAACATGGAGAAAATCTTCCCAGCTGATGCACTAAGCGGAAAGAGGGGCGATACGATATCGATATGGAAGGCAACTTCGAGCAACTAAATGCTTGCTAATACCTGTAACGAACTTGAGGTGGACGCGGGGCTCGATTTTCCTTGCTAGAAATGTAAGATACAGACCATTGTACATTATATTGTAGTCCTTTACTCGGAACTAGAGCTAATGATGTCGAAATACAGTATTAATATTGTTGGAAGCACAGGAATGTCTATTGTTTTGAGATAAAAAGGTTTACGAAAACTCCACAGTCGAGTCCGAGCCTCAGCTGTCAAGCTCTATAAAAACTCCCAATTTTCAAAATTATGGACGCTAAGATAAATTAAAGAGCTAGAGATTCTCGAATCAGCGACTGATGACCGTATCCTCCAAGATCCCATGATCTGTACGATATTCTAAAGGGACTGGCAAGCTCGCTCTTCAAGAAGGAGCTGTTTATTCTGCTGTACTTCAGCGCATATGTACATATAGATAGTAGCTTTGAATATCTTCTTGAAGGACTTCATCAGTAGCTCTAATAAATCTAATATCAGAGATCTATAGTTGGTCACAAGTTTAAGGCGATGTGTAGGGACAAGAGTTCTCGAAGGTAGGAAACCAGACAGTGCCGTTCCGGCTGCCCAGGCAGAAAGTGTTGCCATACACGTCCCAACAACGGTCGTAGTTTGGTCTATAGGCAGGCGGAATCCAAAGGAACCTGTCTTCTCCTTGCACCAGCCATTCATCTTTAAAATCCATGGGTTCTTGCTGGCCTTCGTGTGAGTTCTTCTCGCCGGGGGTCGAGGGATCCTCTTCCGTTCGAAATTCGAAATCCCCTCTTTCAACGATACTATGTCGACCTCCATCAGCGATATAAATAGCGCGGGGTAGATGTTCTGCATTGAAAGCTTGAAGTTCTGCTCCAGTGTCTATGTCCAAGATCCTAACTGTATAACTTCCAAGTGGTGTTTCGTGGTCGACGACCAACTTGAAATTAGAAGCATATTTCGAAAGGTTTCCCTCGGGCACCTGTAGCAATTCTCCGGTGTCAGCGTCCCAAATCTTAATTTTATCAAAATATGACACCGTCACCACAGTTTTGCTATCAACAGAAAATGCAATTTTCCAAATTGTTAAGTCTGAATTTCTCGGTGTTGATTCTGGCACCGCCCACCACGAACGTTGCAACACTGCCGTATCAGCGTCCCAGATCCCAACTTCGCGTCCACCCCACACTGACGCCAGCTTCTTACCATCAACAGAGAACACAACGTGGGTAACATCCTCTCTATTCCCTTCTTGATCCATCTTCTCCATCGAAGTTCCAGTACTCAGATCCCAAATTCTAACCGTACGGTCGTCTGAGGCTGATGCCAGCGTTTTACCATTAACAGAGAATCCGATGCCGTTAACTTCCCCCGTATGCCCCTCCAGATTCCGCAACAAAGCTCCATTAACCGTGTCCCAGATCTTAATTGTCCTGTCGGCCGACGCAGGCGTCAGCACTTTCCCATCAACAGAAAATTCAACGCCCAAAACCGAATTTGTATGACCCTCCAGCGTCCGTAATAGAGCTCCGGTCGCCACATCCCAAATCTTGACTGTGCGGTCGTCCGACGCCGATGCTAGCATTGTGCCGCTAAATGCGACACTTCGAACCCAGCCCGTATGCCCCTCGAGCGTATGGAGTAAAACACCGGTATTCGGGTTCCAAAGCTTGGCCGTTCTATCATCCGACCCCGATGCTAACATCCCGCCGTCGGTAGATAACGCGATACTATTAACACCGTATTTATGCCCTCCGAGCGTCCTTAATAAAACACCAGTATTCGGATCCCAGAGCCCGATCGTCTTATCATCCGACCCCGACGCTAACATTTTACCGTCGGTAGATAACGCGATACTATTAACAGCGTCTTTGTGCCCTTCGAGCGTCCTTAATAAAACACCAGTATTTGGATCCCAAAGCTTGACTTTTCTATCATCCGACCCCGACGCCAACATCTTGCTATTAAATGCGATACTTCTAACACAATTTGAATGTCCCTCCAACGTCTGTAATAAAACCCCAGTAGTCGCATCCCAAAGCCGGACTGTGCGGTCGCTTGACGACGACGCCACCATCTTCCCATCGATAGAGAACGCTACACTCCAAACCGACCCTGTGTGCCCTTCCAGCGTTTGTAAAATGGCATCCCACTGATCCGGAACTTTCGGTAACCGGGTTACCCCCGGAAGTAACACATCTAAATTAAAAATATTTCTTAAAATACTTTTACCAGGCGCGAAAATAAGAGCGGACCAGTACGCCTGCATTGGGGCGATATCAATGATCCTTTGATTTTGCCGCACAAGCCGCTTCATATCTTGAACTAATGCTAATAAATCCTTGCCGGTCTCATTCTGATAAAAATTAATAAGCGTCTTCGATAATATGAGGATAAATATAAACTTACATCTACTGCTGAGCTCAATGCATCTACTATTAGAACAATTTTGTTCATTTCTCCTGATAAACTTAGTGCTTCAAGCCAGTGAAGAATATGCTTTTGGAGGAACTTGTATACTTGGCTGCTATCGTTAATTTTATTTTGGCTTTGTTGCAAATGATGAACCCAATAGCAGCAAGCATATCGAAGCTCTGATGGTAGACAAATCTCGATTACCCCCTCGTCTATACCGGCTCGTAGTGTCCCCGGCGACTTGACATTACAGATATTCCTTTTTAGGCCTCCAGTACCCGACATGAGTTCGATGCATTTCTTGTAAATGACTGCGTGAGCCTCTTTTTCATCGATCCAGAAGTCATGAAAGTTAGAATTGTCGCAAAGAACCTGACCAGATAGGAAATCTCGAAAAGAAAGGTGAAACATCCTAATAGGGACATCCGGATTGGTTTGCTTTGGTATGTCAAGCACGGAGTGTAGCTCTCTTAATCTGGCGTTTATTTTTCCCTCGGACATCGCTAGAATCTTCGATAATGAGGAGACTGAAAGCGGACTTGCGAGATTTATGATCGTTCCAACTATCACCCTAAATTCCATTGTTAGAGTCTTACGGGAGAAAGCACTCTTTGCTGACTGGTGTAATATTGGCAGGTATGTCTTTTCCAGCTGTGAAACGTGCCAATCCGACTGATAACCCATCACTATTTCTATTTGGCCCTCCGGGTCGCAGTCGGCTACAAATCGACATACCGTGGCTGCGAAAATAAATAAAGGTACTGCCATTTTTGCCAATTGGCGAATATTTTCCTGTCCGGGCCACTGAGGAGGTAGTGGATGGTCCTTCCGTATTTTCGCAAATTCGCATTCTAGAAAAAGAGTAATATCTTTCTCGACCCCGGGAATTTCGTGTAGAATCATATCTTCGTGGATGTCCCCCGATAGTTTCTGAAAGCCCAGACGTAATGGAACTTCGGGTCTGCTCGTCAAGAAAACACGTATATCAACGACAGACCTTATCTCACTTAAGCGTGCCAACAGTGAGATTATAAGCTGCTGGTCATCCTCGCGGTCACATTCATCTAGAGCGTCGATAACTAGAACAGCCTTAGTAACTGAGGAGGATGAGTGCGCCGACTGCGCACGAGGGTGCTGTCGGTCCGATGATGAATGGTTTAGCTTTGAGAGTGGCTGAAATATCAATTTCTCAAACTGTTCTCCATTACCCGTAGTCGCAATCCCGGGGTTCTCCTTTATTGCGTTTTGGATGCTCGAGGTGAGGCCATGAATGTGGTGGGCGAGCTGAGATGCGAGCGTTGTGAAAAATTTGGAAGCATCTCCTCGATCTCTTTCACCTCTTCTAAAGAAGAAACTACCCGCCAACCGTCTCTTTTCACTGAGCTCTTTGGCAATCGTTCTTGAGATCGTAGATTTTCCCGTTCCCGCCACACCACTCAGCCAGAAAACAGATTTCCCCTGCGGGTCTTGCACCCACTTCTCAATATCCTGCAGCAGCGCTACCCTAGTATTAGGCAAGCACTCTGGCTCATTTTGATCTTTAAAGCTCCCATAAGCAGCCCCTTCAGCTGATGGGAGGTTCAAGAAATCAATCTTTCGATTAACATCGTGTAATTGCTTCCTAAGCTGGTTTAGCGGATAGGATAGCTCACCGGGAATCCATTGAGTTAACTTACGTTTGGTCTATTTCAAAAGCTAAAGCGATATGTTGCTTCCATCTCGCAAGGGCCTGGATGATTTTGGAGGCTTCGGGTCCTTTAAACGGCCATTTGAGAGATCTTTTAAAGACCCCTAGAAACTTATGTTGTTTTCCGGGGTCTAGTTTCTTTTCAAGTCTCTGTAGTTCAGACTTACAACCCTCAAGCGCAGTTTTCAGTTCCTCGGTCGTGGAGAGCTCTAGACCAGCACTTGACTTGTTGGTGAATTCTTCCTCAATCCGTTTAATAAGTATCGTAAGGCCGGCAGTTTCTTTTTCTAATGCTTCAATGTCGTCCTTGGCACCTTTGGCGTCTGAATAGAATTTATAGCAACTGCTGATAGCTTGGAGGACTGCAATGATACTAGCTGCGGCCCCGAGCGCTTCCATATTGGTTAGAATCTGTCGTTTCTTGTGAGTTTTGATAAATTCAACATTCTATCGTATTGTGAAGTAGGAGTATTTTGCTGCCTTCGTGCTCCGGAAGTTCGGTGGTTTCCTGTTATAAACCAAAAAAGTGGGGTGAAGTCCTATCGACGTGGCATGCACCAAGGCTGAAACGGAAAAAGTAATGACCTGGTATCCTACCAAAAAATACTTAGCTAGCGATGTATATATTGAGAGTATTTTTAATACCAGATATCTTGTATCCTATAAGAGATATCAGCTGCAAAGTACAAGCCTCAAGGTACTAGTTGTGGGATACCTGAATATTGAACATCAGTAGCCTTGCCAAGAACCGGTCGGGTTGCACTTTGTCAATGCATGAAAACGCCACCCTGACCTTTCCAGGATCCGATGCAATTCCGTGTTGATACATGATGGGAGGCTGGAAGATGTAGTGAGGGTAGGAAAAAGCGATCGGTGTAGATGAGAGATGGATGACTTCTATCTGATTGACCTTGGTCACTCCCAACTACCATCGGCACCAGACTGTCGAGGCCTCGCAAGGTTGATACGCTTCTACTTGATTCGGGAGGGATTTGCGTTGATTCTGTTGCATTCCCACTATGAAGACAACACATAAAATAATGGGACATTCTGTGCTGAGCTGAGGGGCTCGTTAGTTAACGTTAACATAGTCATGCACTTCACCAGCCTCGGCGACTTTGGGACCTCGATAGTCTAGGGGGCTTTGTAATTTTAAGCACACCACCCGCCTCAAAATATTATCCATCGCTCAATAACTTAAGTTCCATTTTACCGCTATTGCTTTTTCCATAGCTTCGACCCCCATCAAATCGCAGGAGGTGGTGGAGTCAACACAGAATATCACAAAAATGCAACATATTTCTAAGCTAGAGCACAAAAGGTTTAGCCCCTCCGAAAAGCGATGTCCCATAAGCGACAAATCCAAAAAAATAAACCCGAATTATGCGATAATACGCTAAAATGATACCTATTCCTAGTTAACTCGTGTAAGAACGCTGCGAGTGCTAGTCCGGAAGTCGCTGCGAGTGCATATGATGCGATTAACCTTTTTTACATAACTCTCTTTCTAAAATAATTGCAATTTACCTTGGTTTGCGAAGCTTCCCACGGCTTTTGCAATTTTTGCCCTTACTATTATGGAAGATCCGATGACGCTTAGTACTACAAAACAAATGATGACGAACTGCAAACGGCAAGGGGTTAATAAATGCTGGTGACTGTTATTTAGTGATATCCCGTGGTAGCGATGATGTATCAATTTAAACGCTGTTAAATATTTAGAGCGACCTAATATAGTTAAGGCCGCAGTACTATCCCTGCTGAGAATGAAAGGAACGGGAAGTCCGGTATTTACAGTCGCGTGGCACTCCTGTCTTAGGGATAGATACTGAATTCCGGGATCGATCGAAGAGGAAGCCATCGGAATGTATCAGACCAATTCTCATATTTTTAGCGATAGCGATTTCTAAACATTGCAACAAGCCGCCATTCTGGATACTGATACTATATATGTTTCGCTTAATAACGAGACCTCAGCATGAATTTGGTGCTAATCGCACATTTTTGGAAATATATCGGTTCTAGCGTTAAGTAGTTGCCTGGAAAACTTCATGCAACGCAGATTTGTAATATATCATGATGACCTCTTACGGAATGATATTCTACTGAGAAGAAATTGACAATGCTACCTGGTTATATCAGAATCTGTATATGCAAGTTGAAACACTTGAATGTCGAGAACCGACTTAGAGGCCCTTGAGCTCTTCTGACATGGCAGCATTCCATCTAAACTCCCTACCATTTTTCGCGCTTACGTTATAGCAGCCTACCATGAAACTATAAATATGGATGTTCTATCCAAACTCTCGGATCTCATGTTGCCCGGATATCTAGATCAAAAGCACAAGTACAATCTCAACAAACTTTTATTTTATTTAGGAATTTCCTATCTTACATTTGAAATCAGTATCTAGTCCACAGAAACGGGCACTCTTTTGTCATATTCAGAACCACAGCAAAATAGAAGAAGAAAAAAAAAAACAGAAAAAAACAAGCTTAATTCTCGAGAGCAGAAGTAATCTTCAAGACAAAAATCAAAATGGTTTCTATCAAGTTATCCCTTATTACCGCCATCAGTCTCCTCGGGGCTGTCAACGCCGCCCCAGCGCATGTTGCAGAACACGGCGTGACTAACCCGATTTCTAACGGTAAGTGACGACCATACTAAGAATATGCCCTCAAAAGTACAAATCTTAAGTATTTTTCAAACTCACAATTTACCCCAATTTCCACAGGAATATCTACCCGCGACAACGTCCTGCAAAAGCGAGCATTTACTTGCTCAACTACGTCACCCTGCACCGCAGCCGACGTTGTTGGTTGTATCAAGAAGTTGCGGGCTATCGGCAATGCCAACTGCATTACGGGTCCCTTCCAAGAATTTGAAGTATGCCGAGAAGGTAGTTGTTCATTCATGGGAAAAAATTTAGCCGGACCGAAGAGAAGGGTCACTTGGTAAATAATATTTCATGTGTAAAACTCTGACTTTGGACAAGCTCGCTAATATTTATGCTAAACATTTGTAGTAGCGATGTTGCTTCTGGAGCCGCTACTTTGTACAACGGTTGCAAAGTCAACAGTATGGTTGGTGGTGTCGCCGATGCTAGAGGAGATAATTCAGCCTTCGAAGTTACTGTAGCATTGTATAAGCCAATGGCATAGATATAGCTATTGGATGGGGATGCAAGCAGTTGTAAGATCTTCAAAATACTAGACCGCGTTGGCGATTTCTTTCCTATGCGCACGTCACGGTGCTCGCCGTGACTGTTCAAGATCTTAAGACCAACCGTTAAATAGGGGTCTCTATAAAGATATTTACAGCGACAATATTATCATGATCATCATGATATCATTACCATATAAAACACTAGCTCGGCTGAAGCTTAGCCATCATGTAACGAAATGATATTTTGATTGGATTATTTGCACTTACACGTATGATATGATTTAAATTTCTATATAAATACCGGCAGCCGGTGTTACAAAATGTTTTCAGTGCCCTCTTTTGTTTTCTTTTGTTTTTAAATTGATTAAAATGCAGTTTCATTGGCATTGAACCGTCACAAACAATATATTTATTACTAGTTAGCTGCAAGGAACGAGACCAATTATCGGTCGAAACTGATTCTGAAATTCGACAGTCAGACTTCAAATGTTGTCATCGTGAACGCCGCAAATGTGCATATCTAGTGTGCCAGTAATCCACAGACTAAACCTCGTTACTCCCGACCCGCCGGCCAGGAAATTGCTCGGAAATGTCAAAAGTTTCACAAAGACCAACTTGATCTTCCTGTGATACACCAAAGGGCCAATCAGTAGTCTTGCCAAGATGAATATTATTTTGCGAAATTTTTGCAGGTTATTGCTCTAGACTAGTCGAACTCCAAAAAATATATGTATGGCCCGCACAATTCGGAAGATACTACTCTTTTCGTGTTAGATCGAAAACTGTATTGCAGTCACCTCAACCGCAGTCGCAATCGGAACTTTTCCTTGTAACCCCATTTCCCTGGCTAGTGCGTTTTAACAACATTAGCGTAACGTATGACTACATAGGCTTAACCTCAAATTGAGGATGTTACTCTTCCGCAAGCCCGTGCACCGAATAGCGGGCTTAAGGGGCATCTAATTGAAAATCTGGGGCGTAATGAATGATTACTAAAAGCTAATTGCGTATCCTGGATTATAATATTAAGAGAATCATAAAAATTGAATATTGCCATATACTGCGGATCCCTTTGAAGTTCACCACGCAAGCTTATGGTAGACTTAGATCATTGATATCTTCGGTTACCTTCGTAAGGTGCCTTATTGCAAATACGTTTTCTTTCTCCCACCCGCCCCAAAGTTTTATAAATGTAGAGTCGTAAGGGTAACGTTGAGATCTCAACTCGCGCATAATTGATCACGGCCGGCCGTGGAATCAAAAAGTATCCAGTCCGAACCCGATTAGTCGATCCTCGTTACCACCGTCTCCCGACAAGTTGGTTTTACAAAACTGTAACATTTCTAAGCACAACATACATTGATCTACATTAATTACTTGTATTGGGCACGAGATTCTCGGTTAGAGGAACGAGGTGGCACAAAAGCTTGTCTTCCTGCGCTAAATCTGGAGGGCTTTGTAAAGCACAACATACAACAATACCCCGCAGTTTTGTGAGCACGATTTTCATTGATAGGCCTAGACGACTAGGAATCAGCTGCCGGTCTATCATTATCCATAGAATTCTAGCTGATGGGTCATTGGCATACTCCTAAGAAACGGGTCTCCTTCTCCATTTGGGGATCTTTTCCAAATGCAGAGCTTTGTACAAGTTTGAATGTGCGAGCTTAGGGTGAACAAGTAGTTCACCAACCCCTAGTTCTAGCTTTCAGATCCGTTGGCATTGACGAAACTCTGGTTCTTTGATCTAGCTAGCCAAATTTACAAATCGGGGTCGTGGTTAAAGGCTCATGTACAAGGACGAAGCCGACCGTGCCCCGTATTCTCATTATATTCAAAAGTGGGGAAACTTCCCACTTTCCCGTCTCTATTTCCTGCTATATATAAATACACCCCGTAGAAGCAAAGAAAGTCTTTCGAAAGTTCCCTTAACTACAGAATCAGGATCTCAAATAAGTATATTCGCCGGAAAGCCCCTTCAAAATTTAAATCTTTTGTAGTTTACCCGCATATTATCTGCTGCAAATCATCCCGCAATGTCTCTCCCAAGTGCTTCATATTTTATCATAGGTTCATATGGAAGCTATCAATACTCTGTTGGACGAGCTCCCGCTGAGGACAAGAGTCTCAATCCAAAACAAGTCTATTTGCTTCGTCCTTCAGCAGTAGGAATGACAGTAAGCCTTTCCTAAATATATAGACAAGATTCATTTTTATATTTAAGGCCTGTATTTCTGCTTCGCAATACTTACTAAAGTGATTTTTAACTCACAGCCATGGGTTCTTATAAGGACACCACACGGTTACGTCCTCAAAATTAAAGAAGCTCCGACCGGTATTGTTAACGACGCCGTCGTTGCAATCTTGAATCTGAATTTGACCCGCTATGTTGAATGGGGTTTGGAGCCAGTCCCCGGAGAACAAGATCACTTTCGGTAAGAAACACCTTCGGTTCCGAAAGCTCCAAGCATTAAGGGTATGGGAAAAACGGATTGACAATCATTTTTATTGTGCCTTTTAGCATCCGAGGACCCAATGGTCAATACTGGACTGTAGACGATAGAGACACTCAAAACGGTCGCCGAGTAAGCTTCTTCGTACTTGATAGCCAAATTTTGGATTTCTAGGCTCGAATTTTCTAATCTGGATCTAGATTGTTCTTCGAGAAGGTGGAGAGGGTAGCCAAACCTTCACCTTTCTCCGTTTATACGGGGGGTTTGCTGAAGAAGAGGAGAAGTATTCACGCCCTGTTGACAGCAATCAGCGCGACTACGACTCCGAAAGAAACCGCGATGATGATCGCCAGGGAGTTTTCGGATACGGAAAGAGAGAGAAGAAGTTCTGCTCCTAAATTGGAGATTACCGGGACAAGAAGACAATCTAAAACCTCTACACGGCGAAGGTTGCGCGAGTCGTAAACTGAGGTTGAAACAACGTTCTACTTCTTACACATGTACTGCTACTAGCTACTTATCTTTCCGTTCTTCACAATCATTCGCTTTCCCTTTGATCGCTTGACGATCATATTTTAGTTCTTCACGAATTTTCTCATATCCTCACGTTCATCCTCTATGTAAGCTATAGCTCTACCCAGAAAACATTATGGGGTCAAGAAGACAAGGCTCCCGTTGTTTTAAGTCAAAGCCTTGGCTAGGTATTAGAGAAGAAAGTTAGTTTAAGAGAAATTCCATCACGACTGTCCTAATTCAAGGGCTGGTATTTTACGGCTGTCCTCAAAACGATTAGCCAGTTGAATATTGCAAGATTTATCGATGTGATCGATCATTTTGTAGATTTCTAGACCATAGTAGTTGATACTAGTACTAGATGGACTCATAGTGTTGATGCTCGCACCCTTCGAAACCTAGGAGAAGCCTAGATTGCAACTGATTATGCACTCTATATCTAAGTACTTACTTTGACATTATATTCTTAAATCGTCAAAACAGCCGGTGGGCCTGTGTAGAAGAACATTTTTGCATTGCCAGTGTCCGAGTACTTTGTTGCATTTTTGAAATTCGTTCCGCCACAACACATTTTGAAAGACTAGATCTGATATCGGCAATTGACCGACATTTCAGATGATGCGTACAAAGGATGATAATAAGAAGCCATACTTGATCCAATCTCAGTAATCAATCGTAAGCCTTCTGGATGCTATCCCCTTATAAAGCCTCGCTGTATTTTAGAAGTTGAACTTATATTCCGATTCCAACGACTCGGATATAGTTCAACACTGCAAATCCAACCCTTTACCGACGTTACACATACATTACCGGTATACTCCCAAAGCCTCGTGGCAAGACCGGCATGCATTTACGCCACGAGAAAATTGTAGCCTCAAACACTTTATTTAAGCATATAAGAATAGATAATCGCTTCATATCTGATCTACAAAGAGTTACAATCGAATTCATAACATCATAACTACCTGATACCTTGGTAGTCCTCAAATCTTATAAGTTGGCGCTCCCGCACGATTAATCTGCGGAATGCGGGTGACTGGCGCCTATGAGACCTACTAGCTTGGTGAATGATTGACAAAATGCTCACTATACTGTCCGATACAATACAAGAAATTAGATGATCCCAGCCAAACGTATAGGCGATTGACGGTTTGGAAAGGATTAGATTATGATTTGTTGGATGATGACATTGAAAGGTTCCCTAAGATTGCAGCTCAGACGTAGCAAATCTAGCGGATGTTCTAAAGATATTCTCTTCCTGCAATTGACCTGCATATATAGGACTTTTGGTTCTCCTCATCGCAATAGAGACGCATTTGTGCATTTTCACCCCTTGAGTCAATAGCCTTGCATCTAACATCCGAGCTCGAGCATTCCACAACCGGATATCAAAATACAATGCGCTTGTCTAACAACATGCTGACGGCGTATAGCCAGTCACTTATTCCTCTTCTCTTGTCATCCTTTCCCAGTTTTATTAATTCCCAGAGTACAACATTGACGACCTCGACTACGACTGAGACATGGATCCTAAAGGATGTTACATTTTCAACAGTGGTTACGCACCTCCCTTGGTGTCCGCTACCATCTGCTGGTGCAGCAGTCTCCGCATCTGGTCCTATAGTGGTTCAATTATCTTTCAGAGCTAATGTTACCGATGGAAGTGATTCTGGTGATGGTGTTGTCACATTCGTCATGGACCGAAATGGCAATGATATCGTTGTTTCCAATAACCCCTTAATTCTTTCCCTAAATACAAGCTTTGTTCTTCAGGAGTTTTCCAATACACCTCAAGTTCTATACTTTTCACTGCCGACAAATCTCACAAGTACTAACCGCAAGTTGGGCAAACGATTTGACGAGCTCCTCCCCGTTTTTGTCTCGGACCAAGTCCCTTCAGACGCTATCTTTGAGGGTTGGTTCGAGGATATTGACGGTGAATTCTTCATTCGGGTATCTACCAGCGGAGGAGAGGTTATTCTCGGGTTTACTGTCTGCCCAACAGATGGAACAGCAGCCAGTGGACAGAAAGTTTATGTATATGATTTGTCGCTCGGAGTGCCAAATACCGACCAATGTATCAGGGCTGCCGCCAACACTCTTCCATATCCACTGTGGACTGCTAGTGCTACGAGCCTCCCAACTGGTATCTCTATTGGTAAGTTTGAAACCTTTTTGACAACTACGGATATTATGGCGCATATCTAGGTTTAGTTGATATTTAGTGTTAACTTACCGTGATGCTTTGACGTAGATCCTTTTAATCCAGAAGATGGGGCGACTACTCCTACCACCAGATCCCGAACTTCTAGGCGTACTAGTATACGCTCGTCAAGTGCTACTACCACGGACAGCGATACTACAAACACTATCACAAGCAGGACCCCTACAAATACTGGAATGAGCATCACGAGCACTTCTAGCAGCCGCAGAACCAGTTCTTCAAGTGACAGCTCTGACTCAAGTTCTATTTCCTCGAATTCGTCGACTACTGATACCCGTATATACACAACCACCACATTCTGGACAACTGGCGTCCCCGATGGTACTACATCAGCTACTTCGACTACCGATGCGGCCGATGCTACAGTTACTGTATCAGAGTACCAACCTTACCCCTCATCTATCAAAATTGTCTCAACCAGAGACGGCGAAACTTCTTCTGCTATATATTATATTAAAGCCATCTTTAGCGGAAACTGGCTCCCCGTCCCGCCTTCTTTGTACGAAGACCCTATTACCTCTTCGGACCTATTTCTTTTAAACATGGTATGGGTTCTTAACAGCGAAGGCCACATATTTTCTCCAATTTATGGACCCCGCACGGTTCAAGGCGAGTGGCAGGGTTTGGGGCACAACACTACCATACCCAACCGACTATATATCGTCGGATCAAAAACAACGGCAATGGACATCCCTGATTTTAGCGGCATGATTATTCGAGTAAAAACTTTCACAGAAATGGTGGACACTGATGTTCTCCTCTCTTTTAACATCACCAGTTCTGGGTTGCTTACCTTGAATTCTGCGGTTAACACAACGGCTGGGTATGGTATCTGGGCTTGCGAAGAGACCGGGCAGCACTGGGGCATAACGGATGGGTCCGATAGATACTGCCAATGGGACAAGATTACCACTATGCATATGCAAGGAAATCCAGCTCTCGCAGACTCCGATGAAGCATACTATGGCTTTGTCACCGTTGACGCAACTTATACCGCAGGTTTGGGTGATGGGCCAACAGTCACAAGACACAAGTTCTTACCGAAGTCTGTCACAACAGCCACATTGGAGCTAACGGCTGGAGATGCCTACTACCTCACCGTTGGTACTGGTTTGAAAGTCCCAACCGCAACGATCACCTTCGGTCAACGTGTCGAGCGTTCAACCTCTTCAAACGCTTGGAATATTACTGCATCTATTTCCTCAACAGTAATTAACCCCTCGGCACCTACTAAGACGGTGATTGAATACTTAGCTCCTTCCGGACATCCAATGTATCGAATGTTTTGGATCGGTGGTGCTACGACGGATCAGAAATACTTCGCCCTGAGCACCGATACCACCACAGGCAACCAACTTCTCTTATACGGTGACGCCAATACGGATCCAGATACCCAAAGGATAGCAGAATTTTGGACCACTCCAAACGGTAACGACCTTATAGCGAGAGGGTACAATTCCACACATAGGTATCTAGATCCAACGTACGCATACTTCGATTCTGCGTCGAACGGGATTAAGTTTTATCCTTTCCAACAAAATCCTAGCGGAACTGAATTAATGCTTTTCGACTTTATGCCGGAGGACCAGGGTTCCGGAATGCAGCCTAGATCGCCATCAAATGCAGTAAACTGGGCTGGCGGAGATCTGGCACTCTGGATGTGTGGTAAAGGGGCCACAACGTACCCAAGTGGACCGAACGCGGTATACCTTGGTAACAGCGAAACTACTACAAGTGCATTAAATTTAGCAGCCGATTGCGCTGTAATAGGTGACAGTTTTTTCAACACCTGGATCTATGAGGACGGTATATGGTCACAGGGAACCTACTGGAAGAGGGATGAAGATGGTGCCTGGAGAAATGATGACGGCGCTGCCTATCATGAACTCGTGGCGTCGGGAGAGCTGTCATGATGATTTTATGAAAAGTTACATGCATCCGCAGGACGGAAAATTCGTTTGCAAGGCCCTGAAATAATCTAGAACTCTGGAGTCGATATATAAAATATTCACGCCTATAATATCAGAACTACGACCATTATATTTATTGGTAGTAGTACGTTTATCAATACTGTCATTATCACCTACTACGAACTTTGCATTTATTTTATTACTTATACTGTACTGTTTTAACTTATAATCAAATCTTAATTTACCTAGATTATGCCACAATATTCAACATCCATTATGTCTAATCCCTCGAGTGAATTATCATATAAGAATCTTCTCTATTCCAGGAAGCGTGTAAAACTCACAAATGGGCTGCCCGCCTATACATCTCCCATTTTATCACTCAATAATCACGGTGATCAACACAATTTAAAAAAGCTCGGTCGATAGTTGATAGCCCAACTCGTAGCTAGGGTAAATATGTAGGGAACGTGGGTGTAGCATCTTGGAACTACATTTTAAAGGAAACCGCTCTTACATACGCATATACCCGGATTCTAGATCCCTAGAGTTTCTAATCGGACTTAAGCTATGATCATGTCAGACGGCTTTATAGTAAATTCAGGATCGCTGATATCTTATCGCCGGTGGATATACGCGTCAAGTGTTTTTGTACGTTTGCAACCCTCGAGCATTTTCCATTTACAAAAGCGATACCTACTTAGGTTATATAGGCTGTGAACTTCACAAATGTTCAAAAGCCAATTGCAAACAGCTGTACAGCAAGAACATTTCTTTTATACCTTTGATTAAATACATATATTCACACCGCCTAACCAGCCTCATGGCCCACGAAGCAAAAGTAAAAGAAAACACTGCCAGCGCCGGCACACTTGCCCTCACGATTATATAGAAAGAAAAATCAAAATCCCTGAAAAATGTTTCCTTTCCCTCTAAGAAAAGTACTTTATATACCCGTCGCTAACTTTACCTAAAACTACTAGTTTATGTTAATTTTCAGTATTTATTTCTTAACATCAACCATAGCTCTATTGGCACCACCAGGTGCAACACCGTCGGTGCCGAATCCCATGTAAGAGATGTCGTCCCATGGATGACGGTACAATCCTGTCCTCAGTCGCTTCTGATCCAAGTGATGTGCAATCAAACCAATGCTTCGGCCGAGAACGAAGAGACCGTTCAAGACACCCATCTAGAATCCCAGTTAGGAACAGTCTCGATATAAAAGTGTTGTTTATGTGGGATATATTCAACTGACCTTTAGGTAGTCCTCCGCCTCCTCAGCGCTGAAGGCACCACAGTTCCTGAGCAGATCTACGAAGCAGACAGCAACACAACCATCGACGTTCAGAATCAAGTTATCCTTCTTGGAAGTAGTAACGGTCTCGACGGCAATAGCGTAGTCAAGCATCTTGCAGCTTGGGAAATTGCGGCGGACGAACTCTTTGACGAGCTCAACACGCTGATCGGGGTTGTTCCGGGACTTGACTTTGTGACCGATACCAGGGACTATAGCAAATTTTCTATTAGTAAAATTGAACCAAAAGAAGTGAATGCGGACCACCAGACGTACTCAGCTTGTTCTGCTTCCTCATTGTGTCGACGAACTCCCTGGGCGAGAGACCCTTGTCAACAGCATTTGTGAATTCCACGGCAGCACCATCAAGCGCACCACCAAATCTCTCACCAATGGTCAACAGACCAGCCACCAAACTCGAAATCAGGTCCTTGCCAGCACGAGTAGTGATAATTGTGTTCATGGCCCCGGACACAGCGGGACCGTGATCAGCTGTAAGCATGAGAACCATTTCCAAGAACTTAGAAGCATAAGCCGGGAGACGTCGTCGGAACCACAACAAACTCATAACACCACCAATACCGATATCCTCAGCAAAGACCTCAGAGATTGGCATACCAGCGTATAGAAGTTCTTGGCCACGATCATCGGAAATGGTGGAGATGAAAGCGGCAGGTTTTCGGATAAGACCGAGCTCCTGGGCCCAGCTGTAATCCATTGGAATCTTTGGGGGAGCTGGCTCCTTCTCAGGGACAATTGTTCCATCAGCAACCAACTTCTGGTAAACCTCGCTGAGGAGCTCTGGGAGCTTCTCGAATGTCTCTGGAACGTGGAAACCAGCATTTTTCATGGCCTCATTCTTAGCCTTTGCGGTTTCCATCTTGGAGTTTGCAAGAGATCCGGCGTGACCGAATTGGACTTCAGTGGTGAAAACATCTGCACAAGTACCGATAGCCCAAGCGACAATTGGCTTGGTGATCTGACCGTCGTTGACAGCGTCAATGACGCGGTATTCTTCTACACCACCAACTTCACCAAGTAGCAGGAGGATCTTGCAGTCTGGATCGGCTTGGTAACGGAGCATATGGTCGATGAAGGTGGTTCCGGGGTACCTGTCACCACCAATGGCAACACCCTCGCAAACACCGTTTGTGGTTTGAGAGACGATATTGTTGAGCTCGTTAGACATACCACCGGACTTGGAGACGTAACCGACGGATCCCTTGCGGTAGAGCTTGGATGCGACAATGTTGTCCATCATACCACCAGTGTTACCAATCTTGAAGCAGCCGGGTTTGATACCACCGACTGTGGCGGGGCCGATGATTGTGACGCCCTTCTTCTTAGCAATGTGTAGGATCTCTCGTGCTCTCTATGTCATTTGTTAGCATGGTCGCCGCCTCTCTGTTTTCTAGAATTCATAGTACATACTCTCTCTGGAACACCCTCTGCAATGATAGCAATACATTTAATCTGTGGGAACTCCATCAATTCCAAAGTGGAAGAATAGACACTTCTGCTGCTGGCGAAGTTGACGACGGTGTCGACTTCTGGGTGCTTGGCAATGGCCTTCTCGGTGGATTGGTAAACGGGCAGCAGGGTCTCGCTGGTTCCCCAGTACATCTTGGAGACGAACTGACCACCGAATGGGTAGATAATGGCAGCTACGGAAGGAGTGGTTCGGTTGTTGATGTAGTCGAAGTCGAGCATACCTTGGACAGCCTGTAGTACAACGTCAGTACTCGTCTTCCAGACCCCCGATTTATCGCAGATTGGGATAACAGAATATTTACCTTGGTTTGCATACCATAGACGAATGCTCTCGTCTTAGGATGGAACAGAGTATGCTCTGCTGGTGGTGACCTCGGACGAGACGGAGCGGAGAAGCGGGCAATGTTATCGTTGACATTGAGCTGCTTGCCGCTGCCATTGGCGGCAGAGCTTGGAGCAAGAGTAGCCACAGATGGCATTTTGAGTCTATAGATAATACGAAAATGTATTCAAAGGTCTGTAGTGGTAGAGGTTAGCTTTGAAGCCGGGGTGGTGGTTTTCATGAAGCAGAATTGAAGCAGGAACGTCGGATAGAAAGAAACGGCAGACAGGAGTTGAAGTTTGGTGTTGTGGAGACAGCACACACAACAAAATTGCCCGCTCCCAACAACCACAGAAAGAGACAGACAGGTAGATAGCTGCCTCTCGAGCTCTCTGCGGCGATGAAAAACCAATAGCCACACTCCAAATCGACAGCTGCGTATGAAAATGCAATTGAGCCGAAGGGGCCAAAAAGACTTCAAAGCCTCAAGATGGTCCAGGCGGCCCAGGCTGAATCGAACAATACCGGCAATCGAATTGGGAACGATATGTCTATTGGACTGGCGAAAGCAGCCAAAATGCACGCAAACTTCCAACCAAAGAGAGCTGGGAGCTACCAGGAGGAACGAACTTACTCTACTGAGCTACAACAACCGGTGAAAGCAATGAGGGTATATTGAATTGAATGGGAGGGATGAAAATAAGAGAGAAAGAAGGAAGGAAGCAGGAGAAGGTCGATGATGGGATGAATTGAAGGAGGACTGACAGTAACCCCTCGAAAGCTGAGGCTAATTGCTTTGGTTATATCGGTCGAGTCTGGCGGGATGGAGTAGGACACGCGAGAGCTTTTTCCCAGCGAAGTCGCAAGCTCGGAGCTAGTGCGTCTCGATTACCGGCCAGGATAATGCCCACCACGGAGAGAAAAAAGCAAGGGTGGGTATCGACGAATGCGCTCTTGCCAAATGCAAACGATGGATGGTTCGATTGGGTACTTGGAGTCCCAGGATTCAAGGCATAAAGACAAAGGCTTTTTCTATGTTTATGCTTCTCTCTCGCCGCTGATATCGGTATTTGATTGATATCTGACGCTCTAGTTTGGCATCACGGTGACGTTCCTGAGAAATGTTGGGGCAGATTATTTCGGTTCAAAAACGCCCAGCCAAGCGGTGGAACAGGCTCAGGGTCCGCCCATGTACCCACTTCAACTGCCACCCAAATTGAGGCCGGACAGTCCGGGCCCGAGGTCAGAGACAGGTACACAACCTGTGCATGGGCCGCGCTGTTGGGGAGAGGAGCTTCAACAATTAATCTTAGCTCATCCAGAAAGACTAAGACAATCAGTCCATTCCTTAGTGGAGAAGACGAGAGAAAGCTGCAGTCCACGTCTCGCTCGCGAACAGGTTGGGGGAAAAAAAAAGAGAAGGAAAAGAAGACAGCGATCACGCAGAGAGACCCTTGTCCTCCTAATTTTGGCCTCTGGATCATGCAAAAGGGACGAGACGTTTTCGGCGTTTTTCGAGCTGGTCGGCCTCCGAAATAGTGGGACGTTGACATTGAGGACCTTCCAATGGGGAACCGGATTATTCGATCGTGAGAAAAGGCATTGAGAGAGCTTGATATATCCATTTTACCCGTAATTTGAATGATTCTCTGCATTTTTCTACAATTTTCTTCTCTTCTCTCCTTCTGTTCCGAGTCCTTATCTTCATCTCATAAAAATCCTGTACCCAGCTTCGTAGACGGGCTTTTGCTGTGTGCTGTTGGCTCTGCAAACCAAACCGAAGTTACTTAGCTTGGGAGTTGAATTCAAGTGGGCCTCCACCACACCACAACAAAACGAGCTCGAAACCCAACCTTGTCGACCTCCTCTTCCCTCTCCATTCATAACAACATCACCACTCCTCCCAATTGACCTTCAATTGAGCTTCACGGACCGTTAACACAGGTTTATTTTCAACTTACTTGCTGTCCTTCTCACATCATGTCTGCAAAATCCGTCCTCGAGGCCGACGGCAAGGCCATCCTAAACTACCACCTCACCCGCGCCCCAGCAATCACCCAGTCCACCCTCCCTCCTCCACCACACAATGCCCCTCCAAAGCTTGCTTCCTTATATTTCCCAGAAGATGTTGCTCCAGAGACCATTCTTCAGACCGCAGAGGCTACACACCCATGGCTTCTCGCTCCCGGTGCCAGATTTGTTGCAAAGCCCGATCAGCTCATCAAGCGAAGGGGTAAGAGCGGTCTTTTGGCATTGAACAAGACCTGGGAAGATGCCAGGCAGTGGGTTTTGGAGAGAGCTGGAAAGCCGGTAAAGGTTGAGACCGTGACTGGAACATTGAGACAATTCCTTGTCGAGCCGTTTGTACCACACAAGCAGGAAGAAGAGTACTATGTGAATATTCACAGTTTGAGAGAGGTAAGAGCTGTGAAATTTTGATGTTTTGGAAAGGAAGAGCCGATGGATAAGTATTTAAGATATATAATGCTGGGCCGGACGAAGGGAAGCTAGGGCGGGTAGGGTGGGCCCTGGTGATCCTTAGGCTATACCGGGTCCACCATGCAGATGTATTACGATTTATTTACGAGAGAGAACCATCTTACTAACGAATGGATGATAGGGTGATTACATTCTATTCACACATGAAGGAGGTGTCGATGTCGGTGATGTCGATGCCAAAGCCAAGAAGATCCTGATCCCAGTCGATTTGAAGGAGTAAGAATATTCTCCCCCGTTCTCGGGTTTTCAACATGCTAACAGCGCTTCAAGATATCCCTCGAATGAAGAAATCGCAGCTGCTCTCCTCCCAGATGTCCCAGAATTCGTCCACAACGTTCTAGTAGATTTCATCAACCGTCTCTACGCCGTCTATGTTGACTCTCAATTCACCTACTTGGAAATCAACCCATTGGTTGTTATCCCCAACGAGGATGCTACTTCGGCCTCTGTCCACTTCCTAGATCTAGCGGCCAAGATTGATCAGACTGCTGAGTTCGAGTGTGGTTCCAAATGGGCCGTCGCAAGAGGTCCTGCTGCATTAGGCATCAACCCTGCGGTTCTTGGCGGTGGAAAGGTCGATATCGATGCCGGTCCACCACTGGAGTTCCCAGCTCCATTCGGACGTGAGCTATCAAAGGAAGAAGCGTGAGTTTTCATTACCGCCTAAGTTCGCGAGTCCACTACTCTAATCCAAATAATAGTTACATTGCTGCCCTGGACGCCAAAACTGGTGCCTCCCTCAAGCTCACAGTCCTGAACTCCAACGGCCGTATTTGGACTCTTGTAGCTGGTGGTGGTGCTTCTGTCGTCTATGCTGACGCGATCGCTGCCGCTGGCTTCGGTGAGGATCTCGCCAACTATGGTGAATACTCCGGTGCCCCTACAGAAACCCAGACCTTCTACTACGCCCGCACAGTCATCGACCTCCTCCTCCGCTCACCTATGCGTGAGGAAGGCAAGGTTCTGTTCATCGGTGGCGGTATCGCCAACTTCACAAATGTCGCATCCACATTCAAGGGTGTCATCAGGGCGTTGCGAGAATTCGCACCGCAGCTAGTTGACCACAAGACCAAGATCTGGGTGCGAAGAGCCGGTCCTAACTACCAGGAAGGTTTGAAGAACATTAAGGCCGCAGGAGATGAGTTGAAGCTAGACATCAAGGTCTACGGACCAGAGATGGGTGTTGCAGAGATTGTTCCGGTAGCATTGCGTAAGTTTCCTTCCTCTTTTTCTTTCTTCCATTTGGGACGGGACCACGGCTAATAAGATTCTCAATTTTCTAGTTGGTGCTACCACCAAGGTCAAGGAATACGGCGAGATCTAAGTATATTTCTGTATGTGGCGGTTTTATTATAGCGAGTGGGAGCGGGCGAAGTGGTGGGGACAAAGTATATAGAAGGATGGCTTGTTCATGGCAAAGCCGTTTTTGTGTCTAACCATCTTGAGGGCCCAGCGGTCCAGATATACCTTACTTGTTTGTAATAAAAAAGAATCTTGAACCAAAAGCTTCTTCGTTCATGTTCTCCCTTTTATCTTCGTTAGTTCATATCAAGAAGGCAATTATCTAGCTTCCTAAGCTATGCAATGTGCACAGGGCTTGTCACGCGAGGCAGCTCCCTAGTTGGCTGGTAGGTTTGAGCCTCGGCCCGTTACAAGCTTAGTTCGTTCCTTTTCGGATGCGACAACCAACCTCACGCCATTTAGTTCCTTCCATTCCAACCCCGGATTTTAATTCTTGTCAACAAAACATCACCAAATGTTCTCGTCGCTGCAACCTCACCGGCCGACTATCGTAGGTTCTTGTATATCGTGGTTTGTCTTGATATAGAATGACTAATAACTCGGTATGTGTAGCAAAAGCCTCCTCCTCGAGTACCACAAACAACTACCCGAACCTCATCTACCGCGCCTGATAACAACCCATCGTCTCTTCCATCTACAACAACCACAACCACGACAGAAACGAAGTCCCCTACGACGGCTTCGCCTACCCAAGACAAAAACCCCAAGCCTTAGACTCATATACCCGCCACGAATACTGTCACCCTCTCTAATTGGACCGAAATGACGTCACTCCCCCAAAACCCGTTGTATAATCCATCACTGAGGCATCCGGTATTTTTCACTGAACGGCTTCGAAAACCTTTAGTGTTACCGTCATTGCAGTCGCATGCAGGGGTGAACCAGCAGCAGCAGCAGCAGCAGCCGGGTGAGGGCTCCGGAAGAAGTATTGTGGCTGAAGGGTACCGGTATATTGAACATAGGAGGCCAGTCGAGGTTGGGAAGTTGTGAGAGTGGCGATTGAGGAGGATGGGTGTACGATAGCTATAGGTCTATACGACTCAGCTGCGGGCTTTAATAAAAGGAAATGATATCAAGCGACCCCTGTTACTGATCCTTCAATATAAAGCCAAATAGCTCGTAGGGGCTCCCTATCCCAAAGGATGGTAGGCCACTAAATCAAACCCACAGTTGAGGAGTTTGGAGACGAGGCAAAACTAAACTAGTTGATTGTAAATGCTTATATGTGTATATGGCTTTTATGCTTGTGACCCCGTACCTTCCTCGCTATGCTAAAATTTCCCATCAAGGTATAGTCAAAATAGTCTAAATACTAGTGGCTAGATGCTCCAATATAAACTCCGGGTAAGTAGCAGGAATACTTAAGCTCCTTTAGGTGCCAATCCAATGTCAAGTCATCCAACGTATCCCAATGTGTGTAAAAGGCTTAAGAGATATCCTCGATATCAATACCGTCCAATACCCTGGGGGTACTGGGCTTTGTTTCAGAATTACCACTAGTGCGCTTGCGTTTTCACGCTCTTCCTGAATGAGTCGTCTGATTGTCATCTTAGACAGTCTTTCACTTCTTTTCCGAATTTTGCTGAAAGTTGAGACTGTACCCGCCGGAGTTCTCATCCTTCACCATCTGGAAGTTACTTGTACTTAACCCGAACGGTCTAAGTATCGTGTCTCCCAATCCCTTCAGCTTGCCCATCATCTCTGCCATTTCTTTTTGTTTCTTCTCTTCGAGGACGGGTGGGATCCGGACCAATGCTTGTTCTATGGCTTTACGGTCGATCGAAGGAATAGACTGGAACCTTGCGGAGCGAGAAGATAGGATTTTGTAATCTGTTTTTTCGACATGGTTAATTATGGTTCTTATGTTATTATAAGAATTAATTATGGGAAGCATACCTTCAAGAGAACCTGAAAGGCTTTGCCATGTGTTCTGCATCTCCCTTGCTTTGGCCCTTCGTAGTCTAGCCTTCCAGTTTTTACCCCACTCTATGTGTTCTTCATCATCATCTTCGACCTCTTCTATTCTTCCGTTGGAAGTATCTTGTACACCAGCACCCTTTCCACCTTCAATACTCTTGCCTTCCTTTTCCTTCTTTTCCTTCTCTTCTTTTTGTCGTTTTATCGCCTCGCGTTCCCGTAATATGTCATCGTCTTCCCCACTGACCTTCAGACTATTTGTTGCCGCTTCTTCTGCTTCTTTCCATCTTGAAAGCTTAATGAAACTTGCTGCGATATTCGCGTGTAAGATTGTAGTATGTTCGGTCAGGTACGCTGGGCAGGACTCGAGAGCAGAACGGTAATATGAAATGGCGGTTTCGTAGTCCGGCGGCGTGGATGTGAAATGAGTATTCCCAGTCGCCTTGTCCGCTAAAGCAGCAGAGAGCCTCGTTTGTTCTTCCTCTGGCGACAAGCGAGCAGTGGGGTCAACTGGTTCGTTAACTGTCAAACTAGAAGGAGGATTTGTGGAAGGAACAGTTGAGAGAGGGGCCGTCGAAGAGCTAAGGACGTGGGCGCGAGGGTTTAGGAGAAGGTTTGGAGGTATTTCGGACATGGCTGATGTGATGATTGAAAAAGGTGGGTTGAAGGGAGGACGGTGAGTGCCGATGAGTGACGTTACGACGTCGGCTCAACACATTTGACTCTTGCGATCCTCCCAAACTCCTCTGCAAAACTTCGACACTAAACCTCAAAGGATTAGCTTTGCCGCACTGGCCAGTAGGCATCCAAACCACCGCCGGAAAACGGAATCCCTACGGCATCTTCCATACCGAAACCACACAGCTGTTGGGAAAGAGCTCCAAAGACCCTTTCTTATCGATAAACCGAGCTGTTCTGGTTCGGGAGGAACCCGCCGCTTTGGGCTACCAACGTTCATCAACAGGTTTTTCCAGCCAACGAAAGGGTTCCTGCACGACGACATCATCGGCCCTAGGCTTCGAAGAGCTTCGCTCCAGGGCTCTGCCGTTCCGATCTTAAGGGTCCTTTACCTAATTTCCCCAGTCGACAGAAATCGGGTTTCTTGTTTCTCGAATTTTCGCTTCACTCGATATCAAGAATTCGGGTAATGGGTTCTGTGCGCCTAGTAATCTTGCTATCGCTCGAGATATTAGACCATAGAAACGACGTTCGTATCGCAAACACGCCTAGAAGCAGATAAAATACAAAGCCTTGGAGGACCTTGGAGGAAGAATTGGCAGCAATGGCGCACGCAGAAACGTAAGTTGTGTCAGCTTAGCACCCTGTGGACCCAGGATCCCACATGATCTTATGATCCTCTTTTCGCTTCCTTAATTAAATTTCCCCACGATCCAATCTTCACATCGCCAATACATATCTCGTTCCCTTCCCCGCTTAAGCCCTATTTCGTTTATTACTTCGACAAGGTTCTCTGAACAAGGACTTTAATATTACTGGAATGCTTATAAGTCACATCATCAGCTTCGAGTTCCCGCCCATTCGGGCTTGTATCTTTGATATGGACGGTCTCTTGATCGATTCCGAAGACATCTATACCAAAGTTACCGACGAGATTCTCGCCCGCTATAACAAAGGTCGCTTGCCTTGGTCCATAAAAGCTCAACTACAAGGTCGTCCGACACAACAGGTACCGCTTATAGCCTTCATCTCGCCTTTTGTGGGGTACGGCGACTAATCAGTGCGCGACGGGTGTTGAACATGTAAATAGGCTTACGACCTTTTCCAATCTTGGGCCAACCTCCCCTTGTCTCAAGAAGACTATCTCCGAGAGGTCCGCCTTCTTCAAGAAGCCTATTTTCCGACCACCCAAGTTCTTCCTGGCGTCATATCCCTCCTCAACACCCTCAGAACTTCCCCTTCGAAGCCATATATCGCCCTCGCCACCTCGTCCAATAGCTTCTCCTACAACCTCAAGACGAAACATCTACAAGAGACGTTGTTTTCCTATTTCGCGGAAGAAATGATTATTAAAGGCGATGACCCGAGGATCAAAAGCGGACGTGGGAAGCCGGCACCGGATATCTACCTGTTGGCTCTTGATAGGATAAACGCTAGGAGGGAGAAAGATATGTTGGAAAAGGGAGCTAGTAAGGATCAAATCCTGGCAACAAAGATCTTACCAATGGAGTGTTTAGTGTTTGAGGACTCAGTTCCTGGTGTTGAGGCTGGCCGAAGAGCGGGTATGAGATGTGTGTGGATTCCGCATGACGGACTGAGGGAACAGTATAATGGGCAAGAAGGTGAGGTTTTGGCAGGACTAACCGGGGAAGGCAAGTATCTAGATGAGGAACACGAGAGCAGCGGAAGAACTGACGTTAAGGAAGGCGTGGTTTTGAGAAAAGTAGATGATGGCTGGGGCGAGACAAGAGGTAGTTTGGAAGGATTTGATTTTGATAGGTATGGGATTCGGGCGCTGTGATGGAAAAGCCCACAGCAATTAAGTACCAGGCCTAAGTGAAAGACGGCTCAGGCCATAGGTACAAAACAAGCAAGTACCTAGCGAGAGGTGAGGTGAAGCGATGGTATGTACGCATCAACTTGTATTTCTAGAATTCAAATGGTGACCAATATGAAATATTATGGCAACTTGCCTGTTGATGAGAATAATTAAGATGGCGTCTCAAACCCCCACATGCACTCAGACCTCCAGCTGAATAATTATCATCCCACATATTCTCAGAGGTGCTTGCGATCAAACCCGTAATAATACCTCTTTCGGGTTATCGTGGGAATCTCGCTTTGGCTGGAATCTTCCCAATCAACAAATTTCGGAAAGCTGTCGCTAATGTTATTAGCATCGCATTGTCTCACTCTAGTCCTCGAGAAAGCCTGGCCTAATCAGCTCAGCATTGCGCACATTAAGACATTATTAGGTCCGTCAACATGCAACCGAACCTGCAGGTTTCATACGCAAGTCACAATCTAAACAAGCCACTCTTGCAATGAAACATCAATTTCGCCTCGGGCCGAATCTTTAACTGCTAGAGGTATCTAGCAGCCTCAATCGAGGTCGTAGATACTTACGAAATCTTAAAAGCCAACGCATGCCAACTCACGCCGGGGTGAAACTGGGATTTACCTAACCAGCCGTCTTTCTGTTTCTTTGATATGCGAGTCTGGGTGTATGTACGTCCTACATTCTATGCATGTGTCAGGCCGTTGCTTTCAGAAGTTGGCCTTACTGTCAGTTTTGGATCTACGTACCTATGTCGGTTCAGCAATGGCTCAAAGATTCCACCATAACTTAATCGAAATTTGAAGTGTTTGGGTATAATTAGGTTAGTTTATCGAGGGGTAAAACTGGTCCGTCCAAAATTATTTAGTGCGGGGCAAGTCAATAATCCCTACTCCTCAAAAATCCGGCTGAGAAATAACTTTGAACTCCGGACCGTGAGTTATGTGTAGGCCACCAGCACAGAAATTAATTAGGCGTAGAACCCCCACATGAAATCGTGAGAGACTCCTCATTGCCACGTATGTCCTTGATTAAATTTCCCAACCTCTTTGATTTTCCTTATTATTATTCTCGTAATACTTCTTAGACTATGCTAGGGTAGTAGATGCCGAATCATAACGCGAGAGCGAAGGATCTGCGGATCCTTCACTAAAACTGAAATGTCGTTCTGATATTAAAACTTTCGAGGAGAAATTAGCGGCGAGGTCTCCTGGGGGTCATTGGCCTTGAGACCTAAATTTTATGAGATATGAGTGAGCCTTTGTGATGTCTAAGAACGAGACCAGACTGAGCTCTATCGTTGATTAATTAATTGTCTATCATGAACTTTCTAATCAAAACGATAAGAGAACCCATACAAGGCTCAATGATCAGAGTATCTATGGATGCATATATCTTTTATTAAAACCCAAACTAAAGATCATAGTCATAAACAGCCCCCAAGCTACATATCTCATACACTTTCTAGTCATAACTTCGTACAAAAACATTCAAGTAAAGTTTCCCTCCTGATGATGACGCAAACATGTTAAGAATAGAGAAATTTCCTCCTGGCCCCCCAAGCGCAAAATAATAATGAAATTCGTTCACATACGTCAATAACTGAATAGTTATTGAAGTGGCATTTCGTTATAGTGTATAACTTAGCTGGCCATTCAACCGCCAGCTAATCCGTAATCCCCATGCTATCATAAACATCCCCTCTCCCTCTTCGTAATGACCCGGTCGGGATTTATAAACCACTGCTTCCTATACATACGATGGAATTTTAGTGCTTGATGCAATTCGCGGGCTCCTTCTTCTTATGTAACGTTAGTACTATTCAATGTTGAGGGCTATCGTTAAAGCAGGATTCGGGTTTGTAGTACCGCGTATGCTTTTTTTGCTTGGGTTTGCTGGACTGGGTACTCGCTGTTTCGAACGTTTCCGTCTCAGTTTCCGTCTCTGCTCTCGAATGTTGCTGGTTTGGTGCAATCTCGAGCCAACGATGCCGGTTTTCTTCGGGTCCTTCTGACGATCCAGAGATAAAAACTTCCTCTGATGAACCCGATTGAACCATTCGCTCTGCCGCATCGGGTAGAAGCACTTCCTCTGATGAGCCAGACTCGATCGTTTGCCCCGGCGCACTGGGTAGAACCACTTCTTCTGGTGAGCCAGGTTCGATCGTTTGCTTTGGTGTGTCGGGTGGAAGCACTTCGCCTGATGTACTGGATGGAACCAGTTTTTCCGATGCATCAGATAAGTTGCCTTGCGAGGCTTTGCCCTTTCTGAAAAACACCGGCTTGTAATTGACAAGGCCTATAATGCACCAGACTACCCATAATTGGTTCAAATAGCCTATTGCGATTATCATAAGAAAGTTCGTTATATATATCGACCGTGTGTCGAAATCGCTAACTGTAAAGCCTATCGTATCGACAAGAGGTTTTCAGTATTAAAATTTAATAATGAGGAGGAATTGAGTCTACGTACTTCCAGAGTTGTCAGCAATAATATCCATCCCATTGCCGGATCTAAATATCCATCCCATGGGCGCCGGTGGTATAAACCGACACTTGTGCTGACGTTCGATATCATAATAGTTCTTGCCTAGGATTGGTTGACAATCTGCATCCTGGGCGTTCTATTCACATTATTTATGCATTAGCACAATTTTAGATTTTATAGAGTTCCCAAGCAGAGATATATCTTGATATCCGACTCCATGTACGTGGTTTCAAGTCGTGATAGCAGCTAATATATCCATAGGCTCTCGGATCACCTGAATCGTTTTACCAATACTTCTTCCAGCCAAGTATAGTTCATTTAAAAGCAAATAGAAATTTGAAACTCGCTCACCTCCCTGTTTGAGCACCATGTCCATCGGTCCAAACTTTTCTCCAATGCCGCTTTGCATAGGAGGGCCTGGGCTTGGGGCTGAACTTTAAGCTGTTGGTAATTGAAATATAAAGATATGATGCCTGCAAAAAGCGGGAAACTCCAAACGAAACCGCCGAGCGCGGATATTAAGTTTCTTCTGATTTCTGGCATTCTTTATGTGGGCAGGAGCTATGGCACTATAACTCCCAAATATGGCGCTGTGATATATTTAATCTTGGTATCTTTTTTTAAGTACGGGTATATTCTTCGTGTGGGCGTACTAATATTATGGTTTATGTGAAGAAAGTAGCATAAATGTACAAATAGAAGCCTAGATTAACTATGTTCATTGAAGAAGATTGTTGATCATGCTGAGGGCCAAATAGTTAGGGTGGAGGCCAAGATTATATATTAGTTTGAAAGAGTAGCTAACATAACCTATAGTAAAGATTTTAAGACTTCGATCAATACACGGAGTACTGTCGAACTTGTACAGCTCATACTAGGGCGGGATGTAAGGTGAGTAGCTACGTATGTTGCCTGCAGAACGGGATTGCCTCATGCGCCAAGATGAGCTCGGGTCTCTATTAGGTAGATGCAGGAACTTGTTTGTTTACATTTCACGTATGGCTTGCATATAGAATGTGGAAATGACTTTCCAGATAGTCTCTGAACTTGAATTAGGTTAACTTAGGAAATCAGTGCGGCAATCACTTTTGTAAGTTATTGATATCTGTTCGTGTTACGTAGATGCGAAACCAGTGTGTGAGGCTTCAGTAATTAAACGTTATAAACCCTGAAAATCCCTTAGATCTTAATCTCTATCATTACGAAGTTATATCTTCCAATTAATTCGAAGAGTACTAGTAATTTCGAATAACATATAATTGACATTGTAGTAAACTTATCGACATAGGCATTTACTTCTTGAGCAAATGAGAAAATACCTGGAAATGCTTAATATATGCTATTTTTAAGACTCCACATTGATTCAAATTTGAATTCAGAAGTACTTTTAAGGGTTCGTTAGGGAGGGGAGCCCGGAGGCAAATACGCTTTCCAACCCATATTGCTCCCCCCCCCCCCCCTCGGGGCGACCGGGATGAACCTACCCTAATCACCATGCAGCGAAGAACTCAAGCTTCAACGTGGATTGTCATATATATATGCCGCAGTCGAACCGCGCACACGTATACCCTGGTACACTAGGAAATCGGTTTCTAAAAGACGATATCATAATTCTACAGACATATTGACATAATAATATACATTTGAAGTGGAACTCAATTCCTTCAGCCTTGACCCACTAGCCGGTGCTATCTTGCCGAACCCAAAACAAGCAATAGCCGGCCTTCTTTTGCGTAATTTATCGAGCGGGGTAGAATGGCACTAAATTTCGAATCTCAAGCCTATTCTAGTTCATGAGTACTTGAGTACATCAGCGATTCCAGCCGTCGATTTCTTTCAAACTCCACTATCAGTCGACAGAATTCAAAATAGGTAGATCGTACGCCTGATATCTGAATTCGCCAGAACATCACATCGCAAATTTCCCGAATTTCGAGTTAGAAATACTAAGGAATATAGATAATATCACTAGGTACTACGCTACCTTGCTGGGATGATGTGTTCTTCGTCGACCCTCCTACAGAGCTCTGGAAATTGTTATGGCACTATAAAACTTTGAAAATAATGACAACCGAAGTGTTAACTCGAGCAATAAATCTCCGACTTTCTATTCACTTAGATCAATAGAACTCTCTGGATTCATCGTACGTATTAAAAAATGCGGACGAGGTCGTTGTGCGCGAAGAATTCAAGAGGAATATCCTAGTCTCTCGAGCAGACTGTGTGCCCTACTTAGGGAGCACCTAGTAATCGAAGGGCTCCCAACCGTCAACAGCTCTATGAAACTCGTCGGAAAAACAGGGATAGCTCTCATACGTCAAAGGGTCGTGAAAAAACCCAAGTTAATTAAGTACTTTACTGGCTATCGAGGCAAAAGTTTCTTTGAATTCCATGAGGCCGCCAACTGCATCCGGCACGGAAATTTTTTGAGAGCAGAACAGAAAGTTAGAACCGAATGTTGTGAACTAAAAAAAGAAATGGTCACTTTCAAACCCCATTCTATACTGCTCATTGTCATTCATTATCTGATCTTCTCTTGTAGTTTTGGGAATATTACCTCCCATTAAATACTATACCTCAAAGACCTGGGATCTCTCTCAAGAAGTAAACTTTGGAAAGCCGGTCCAATAGTCACAATGACTTCTGATAAGCGATCGAGTACTTCAAAGTCAAAGCCTATTTTAAGACCTAGTTTTCATTGTTGAAATTGCTTTCAACCAAGTCCAGCTAATTTTACTAAAACACATGTCTTGAAATATGTGAATCATGAAGTGTAGATTCGATTCAATACTATACAATCCATGTGCACTATTCTTATTCTCGAGCTCGATTTACCCCATCTACGCTATTACCCTAACGAAAAATTCAACACCGTAATCACTTAGAGATAAGAGATGTATAAATTTTGTTAGACTGCGACCTGTTTCTTTGATTAAAACCTTAAGGCCCGAAGCTTTGGCCTTTTGTGCACGTGCGTAGTTTTGAGAATGGGAAAGGGTATAAAGACACGCACAAGTGGATAATCTCTGAAACAAGGCTATTCTAGCTATTCCCTCACGAGATAATGTCTAAAAGCAGCGATACCACTGAAATTTCGCCATACTCAATATTCCTCATTTGATTGACTATGGACTCTCACGGTGCGCCTGGCGATACCTAAATATATCGACATTATAACCATTAGCTAGTTTAAAGACCAGCATATGCGCATGGTCAATGATTTACTCCAATTGACCGTTTGTATACTTGAACGATATTTATACATCGAAATTCTGCTCCAAGACAAGATAAGTGGGTAAAGTGGGTTCCGTTCTTTCTAAACGTTTTTCCTGATTGTTGCTATAAGGTTGGTAATAAGCCGGTGTCGAAAGACTGAAGACGTCACGAATAGAACTCAAGTACCTGCGTTGGTCCAATGAAAAATTAAGGGTAGCGGGTTTAACTGCTGAGAATTGCTTGGTTTCATGAATCTGTGGGTGCTCTCCCGGTAATTGACTGGACCATGAAATTGGATACGCGCGGTTTTTTTTTAAACATAAATAATTCCAGCCTCGAGTCAATTATCGCTCTACCTTAAATATATCTTGCCCTTAACCAGAAACTAGATAGAAAGGCCGTATGACCCCGGTATTCAATGGCTTCCCTTGAGAAGAACTAAAGCTATACCCTCGTATTTTTTCGCTGGTATATATCTTTCACTTGTAAAGTATCAATACATATAAATGAAATAAGTTTTTAAAGTGATTATCTCGGATGTAGCTTCTCATCAATACAACCAGATTGATTTTGGAGCCTAAGATTTAAGCGCTTTATCTAGGGCCTCGCCGTGGCCTACTCGCTCTCACAACTCTCGCCTCTGGCTCTGACGCTCTCGGTACTCCTCCCTCTTCTACTGGTGGCCATGGTCTACCAGAAAGAAGTGTTCTTTGTTCTTGTAACATAGCGGGCAATACCTTCGAGATGTATTCTTGCGCTTTCTTTTCAGCCCTGAAATCCAAATCTTTTTGTTTCTCAGCAATATCCCTCTCTTTTTTCGCTATTACCTCCTCCTTTTTGGTAATTTCTTCCTCCCATTGAGTTATCTCTCTTCCTATTAAAGTTAGATTATTTTTTGCCTCCGTCTTTGCACTCATTGTCGTACCTTCTTCGACCCTTCCAACTGCGTAGAATACAGTATACGCCCCGATTATCAAGGCAAAATATATAAAATATTCAAACCATACTGACGAACCATATTCTGGGAACATTTGCTCGTGATAATACCGAACCAATAGTTAATATTAATAGGACTAAATATTAAGCCGGGAAGGACTCTACACAGCCTTATATCCGAAATGCTCTATACAAAGGGAAGTAGGCATACCTTCGAAATAATGGTTTCCTTTGGAAAGCATCCCCTGCAACCAGACCTCACCCTCTTGCGCCTCTTTCAAATTCCTGAGATCAAAAGACGACCCATCTATGACCCTTTGACATCGCTCGGAAGCCCGAAGAGTCTGAGGGTATATCAGAGAGTTAGAATCAGTCAGTGCTTATGTTTATAACCTGTCTGAAACAATCTCATGCTCCAATTCCATTGTATGAAAAATTTTGAAAATACCTACCCCGTTCTGCAAGCATTCATTCCACAGATTTATATCTTCCTGTCTCCTTTCCTGCCGTAAGAGCGCATCTTTCTGTTGTCTGTAAAAGTGAAACAGCGATTGTACGATGATCATACAAATCCCCTCACCCCCAATTATCATGCCACCCAAGAGGTATCTCAGAAAAGTCCGAAATTTCAACATGTTAAAATTTTGTTTGAAGTAGACCGTATATCAAAAAAGATAATTGAAGATAGGAAAACTGGTCGATAAACTGATGAGACCAATACGAAATTTAGATCGAACTGATGACGAACCGAATAATATATAGACAGAGTTCATCCATAGTTGGCAGTTACGTTATTCAATCGATATCGATACCTACAGCAAAGGACAGCAAATAGCCCATAGTCTCGAAGCATTACAGCAAGACAACTCATCTAGAATGCGCAGCCCTAAATGAACAGGGTGACGCTATCCTTCGATAGCTTTGCTACAATTCATTTGACTTTATAAAAGATTACTGGCTAAGTTTATCAGCACGATACCTGGTTTGTAGGAATTCGACAGCTGTCAGGCCGTACATATGTGCGTATATACGTTCAGACCAGATATAGATGCAGCAGTGGAGTCGCTTTAAATTTATCTAGGATCAGGTAGCAAATGAATTTTCTTGGCGAATAGCTGTATGAAGAGCATAGCCGAATCGAAATAATAATTCTCTGCTTTAGGAAATTCACATTATAACGAACGTGCGACTCATAGTTCTAAAATTCTGTGGGTGCTAGCGAGCCGAGATTTCGACTTCAGCTTTTCCGCAAAAAACGCGAGTTCTCGCGCTCAATCTCAAAACTCAGTTCAGGTGGTTCCAACTGACTTGATATAGTCTTGCCACGTAGTCTACTCTGCAGATTTCTTTTTTTTTTCGAAACTAGACGGGCAATCAAAAAGACTTAAAGTCTATGGCCATGCATAGTTAATCAGAGGGACCCAATTTCTTGCCGTTAACACTTTATTGAGGCCGAAAACCGAAAGTTTTCTCGGGAAACAATCACCATGATGAGTGGGACACTCGTTCGGATTTGGCGCCAATACAATCATCTGCAGAACAGTTCGGTCCCGCTGGGAATATTGCATCTTGGGTGTACATGTAACTTATTGTTCTCTGTGTTCAAATAGCCATATATTAGAGGTAAAGAGCTTCATTATAAGCACTGATTCACATGATATTTGTTACCTAAAAGGGACTTTCCGCAGATGTCAAGGAGCAGGAAATTAAGACAAAGTATCTGAAGGGGCAACAAGTATACTTGCTCGTAGAAGCTTCTAACTGTGAAAATTGACAGATAAAATTTGCCTTATGGTATAGAAAATGCCTAAGATAATCATGGCGCTGTGTAACATAATTTGGACAAAGGCTAGAACTGTCATAGTCTTAACCAACATGCCGTGTGAACCCTCAAGCCAAATTAAACCGAAACCCTAGCACCAAACCTTGAAACCCCGAAACCTTGAAACCCCGAACACAACTCAGGGTATATCTGAAAGCAGGAGCATGAAGTCGCAACATTCGCTCTGATACGTAGTCACAAGACTACGTATACACATATGTGCATGCATGACTTTGCATGGTACACTCCCATGGCCAAGGGTCATTGTCATGCCTACATAGTTGTTACGCAATTCCAGATATGCACCACATATACCCCTATACGGATCACGATGAGTCCGCTAGCCCCCGCATATACGTTAGAACGTCCAGGTTTTTGGTTATCAAAATTGATCCCAAGTAATACAACCCCAATATTAGCATACTAAAACTTTTTCGTATTGCATAAAGGCTTGATAGAAGAATAGAGGAGGCAAAAAATTTCTGGTTTACGAGACCAGATCAACATAAAGGTTTCCTTTGCAAATATGACATACTAATCAATCAAAGTATTCATAGAAATCGACGTGGGGGGCTTTCAGCAACAATTGACTAAAACTGCCTGCATTATCAGTTAAAACATTATCGGATACTACTTATCTATAAGTTCTAAGAGAAATAGCTTCGGCAAATGGTAACGTGGTATTCTATGACGAAAATACCTCTAATACACTAGAACTGATTGTAGCAGGATATTAAAGTAATAAAGTCAATTTCATTAAAAGTGCTTCATACGCAGGCCTGCCTGCCAACAAATACCTTCCCGCAAATTCAATTAACATGCAGCCGCTTCACCATAGGAGGACGGCCTTACATCAAAACAAAAACCCATGACAACCATGATAACGCCAGATATGCATAGCTGCATTTAAACGCATTAGAAAGCTGCAGAATGACGCCTCTGGATTTTCCCCACTCTCGGGCTTGGTTCTACCAAGAATATCCGGGATGGCGTTTCCTGGGGTACGGCGGAAACCCCAACTTCCCTATGCATACGCTTCCCGACTGCCCACAAAAGTGAAAATATGTTCAAAACCAGGCTAAATACTCCCACAGCGATAAGAAAAGTGGGAACAAGTACCACGATCCGACCGAAGTGCACGAGTTCCTTGCCGAAACCCAAAAGCTCTCGACATGCCTCGCTATTTTGGATATTCTAAATTAGTGCTCACAAATTAGTATAAGTTTCTTAACCCGTTTCTAGGGACTTGTTTCGAACTTCGAACCCGAAGGGAATCTAAAGCACAAATTTTAAGAGTATCCTTACTTTGGCTTGCACACATGCCCACCAAGTTCCTAATCTTTCAATTCTTTGTCCCCATGCTCTCTCTACTTCTTTATTCACTTGAGGATATATCGGACCAGCCAAGGAGAGTACAGCGGAGAGTTTCCAGGCTGCTGAGGAGATAGTTGATTTTCGAAGCCCTCCTAATGGCTATACATCCATACCATGGGTTAACTTGTGAATCAGTTTATCTTAGCAGCCCCGCCCGTAGAATACCTACACTATTCGAGCATTGCGAAGCCATCGCTGGACTTGATACTGTGGTTGCGGGCATTTTGATTATAGGTTTAAGTAATTATGGCAATATCGAAGATAGATGTTATTGAAAGACTATACCCCAGAAGATAGATGTGCTGGGATTTATAGAATTAAATCACTACAAATTGTTCGGGATATGGGGGGCCTCCGGCTTTGGTGGTGGAAACCGGATCTATGGGGCGTGAATAACAAACCCTATGCATGACAACTCATGGAGGGAGAACTTTTGCACCTTTTCGAGGTCGTAATTGTAATCAGCTGCGTCAAGCTGCAAGTTCAAACATTTATAGGACATTTGGTGTTGGCACCGCTGTGTGTTTACGGTGGTACGGCACAAAAGTCTTTCGTTCGGTACCAACGGCGAACAGTCCATCAATTGACTTGGCCTTGCTGCCTTATATCAATCTTAAGTACGACTGTCTACCTGGATTAATTGTACTCGCAATCACCGGAATAATACCAAGGTTGGAATAGGGTAACATACACATGCAATCTTCAAGATCGGATCACTGGTTCGGCGCAAATATGAGGGCCGCTTCAGTATACCAATAAGGACTGTTTGGTTTCCGATTCTAACGTAACTTCCAGCACTGTTGAATCCCTTAGAGCCCAGATAGCTTTTGAATAGAAAAAACAGGAGATCGACTGACTATATGATAATTTCCACAATTATTAACCAGGATTCCCATGAAATACTGTTTTTGCTACCCGAGGAAACCCGGTAAGAGCTTTAACCTATCGGTACCCCATGCCAAAAAATTTCTAGTCCAAACTTTGTTGTATTTTTGCTTAATGGTCTCACAGTCCCGCTCACCCACATTTCTTCATGCAGCTGGTGGTCTTAATTGCGCATTGCCACGTAGACTCCAAAACTCACGGTCGGGATACAATCGAATAGAAATTAGATACCATGTTGCTTGTACATGCAAGTTTTTTTGCCTGACAGTGTTTTGTCACGCCATGAGGGAATGAGCTGGAGAAGAAGAGGGGCGATTCCGAACTTTCTCTGATAGCGCAATTGTAGGATTTTGAAGTTTGGTTGATTCCAAAATCATGAAAAAAAGTCTAATTACGATCGCGAAGGCTTAGCTTGGGTATTATAACAACTGTACATAGTATCGATATATCAATTCTCCTCGATCCCCTGTTACATAAGAGTCTGTAGCGGGCGCGCGGAATTAAAAGCTGCGTTAGGGCAGCGCAGCAGAATTCCAGAGCCTTGTGAATTTGGTGCTAGATCGAAGATGGTTAGCGGCACGGTGGGGCATCTTTCGTGCGAGAAACCGTGATGCGAACGAAAAAAATGAACCCCACCAAAGTCGAGCTTGTCCGAAAATGGCAAATAATATCAAACGACGGGGTAACGGTGACGCTGGCGGGATCTCCATCACGGGACTCGAAGTTCTGTCCTTTATCACACAAAATGTGTTTTAAAAGTTAAGTTACACAGATAATGGTTACTACAGAATCTATTGCTTGGAGACCGATTGCTTGTACATATTCGAGCCTGTTATCAGGCTAGGTGTCTACTTGCAGTACACTATTCAGTAGCAATAAAATATATTTATCTTCGAATATAAGATAAGCACATCAGATTAATTATGAGGAGGCAATTGGGGTTCATGATCTCACATCACAGATGACAAAAGCCTAAGGAATATGTCTGCAGCCCGATGACAAAGATTTGACCATATCATTTACTAAAAGCGTACATGCATAGCTACCGCGCCACAAAAGGCCTCGTTCGATGATCGCATAACCACTCAGTAACGTTAGTGGTCCCAATTAGAAGCAATGGCGTGGAGATAAGCGGTCAAAACCCGCAACAATTACCCAATACGACCGATTTGGCGAACAGCGGGCAGCCGAGACCGATCAAAAGAACGCCATCCCTTCCTCGAAAATGAAAAACTATAAATGCATGCGATCAAGCTTTGGGTGATTCTGAATTTTTTACTTAGAAATCAGCATATTTTCACGTTACAACAAATACTCTAACTCTACCTACAAACAGTTATTCTCCTCATCTCAGATATTTTTTCTCCAAATTTTCCAAATTTCATAACTTTTGGTGTCGCTATCACGCTTGAAACCAGGTTACACAACGAGAAAACACAACAGCCTCAACACACTTAAACCCATTCACCACAATGGCGACGCAAACTGGAAAAATGACTGTCGGTCGCTTCATCAAAGAGCAAAGGCTAAATCTGATCGTCCCATCCGCCTCCCTCGATGGCAAAACCGTCCTCATCACAGGCGCCAACACAGGTGTTGGCCTTGAAGCCGCTAGACACTGTGTCCGCCTCAACGCTGCCCACGTTATCATCGCCGTCCGAACTCTCTCCAAGGGTGAAGCCGCCAAAGAAGAGATCCTCAAATCCCAACCAGAAAGTAAAACAACTATATCTTTATACTCTGTCGATTATTCTAGTTTCGCATCTGTCAAGGCTTTCGCAGATAAGATCATCGCAGAGATTCCAAAGCTCGACATTGCGATCTTAAATGCAGGGATCAACACTATGGACTGGAAGGTAACAGCCGACGGATGGGAACAAGTCCTACAAGTAAATGTACTATCTACAGCATATCTATCATTATTACTAGTACCGAAGATCAGGGAGAGCTACAACAACGCATCGACATTACTGCCTGCCTTGGTTATCGTCACCAGCGATACACATTACTGGGCAAGCTTTAAGCAGAGAAGGATGGCAGGGGAAGAGTTGGGCATTTTGAAAGCAATGAATAATCAGAAAGAAACGGGCGGTTCAATGGATAAGTATATGATTTCTAAGCTATTGGAGATTTATTTTGTCCGCGAACTTTCAAAATGGGTTGATAGGAATTATAAAGGGGAAGTTGTGATCACCGGTGTCAATCCGGGCTTATGCCATAGCGAGTTAATTAGGGAAACAGGGCTAGTGAAGTTGGTTGGTGACACCTTCAAGTGGATCTTTGCCAGGACCGCAGAAGAGGGGAGTAGGAATTATCTGTGGGCGGCGACTGCGGGCAGGGAAGCACACGGACAGTATGTTAGCAGCTGTGAGGTACAGAGGGCAGCAGATACAGTGACAAGTGAGGAGGGACAGAAATTAGGGGCAAAGGTTTACCAAGAGATTGGGCAGGTTTTGGGGGAATTGGATGGGAGAGTGAAAATATTCTTCTGATTCGCTCTGACCTTTGAGTCAGCTGGGGCTATTCAACCTCCGATGAGCGTTTCATGAATTTAAACAATCCCTAATTTCTGGAATTTGATCTAGCATATTATTCTGACTTAGTTATGTTTTGAACCCATGACATGCATGGGAAGTAATTAATAATATTTATTTTAATTTCAGGTATGAAATTTTTTGTATTTCACTCCCATAAATATACAATTGATAAAACTAGGTGTCTTAAGAGAGTTGGTATATATATGGTTAAATGCCGAAATAAAAAAGGGGAAGAAAATATAAAATATATACAGAGAATAGGATAGGAACGAATGATTGAAGGACCACCAGAGAGAAGAGACCTGCCAAGTAACAAAGGTACATCTCACCAAAATATTTAGAACAGCAAATCTCAAGTTAACGCCGATATTAGAAGAACGAAAACTCCGAAATATGAAGACAACAACTCGCAAAGCGAAAACAATAAGGGACTAAGTACTAATTCTTTTGATAAGTGAAGAGATAGCGGGAGGGAAGAAAAAAAAGAAAAAATCTAAGCATCGTCGTTTTAGGTATCGTTGTCATTTATCATTTCGCGTATGAAAGTACAGATCCAGATCCGGGGGTCGTTTAAGCACACGCGTACAAGTGTCCTGCTAGCGAGCTCTTCTCTTTCCAGTCTCCTTGAAAGGACTTAAGTTTGTTCCATTCTTTCCTGTGAACTCGCTTCATGTGGGCTTTGAGGTTGTCACTGCGCCCCTCATAAAATCGGGTGCACCCGGAAACTGGGCAATAGAACATGTCTGGGCCGGTTTTAGTACACTTTCGGGACTTGATATGACGAGTCAGGTTTGTCTTTTCAGTGAAATTGGCATTGCAAGTTGGGCAGATATGGTCCCTCTTGAGACGACGCTTTGATGGTTGGGGAGAAGGGGAAGGAGATGCTGCGAGGCGTTTCTGTTGATGGTAACCAATTGGTGATAGGCTGGGCATTGGCTGCGTGGGTGAGAATGAGGCATTGAACTGTTCCAGTGCACTGTCAAAAGCATACTGAAGGTTTGGTGGAACCATGGAGATTTGTGCGTATTCAGCAGCAGACATGGATTCATGTCCCGAGTACCCAGAGTGATATGTGAATGCATCATCTTCGAGGTAGCGGGGGTAGTTTGTTGGCACCATGCGGGACTTGAATCGCTCAGAAACATTAGAATCGGCGATGCTGCTTTCGGTATAGCTCGTGACTGATGGAGCGGTTCCAGCTGCCCGGCGACGGTCGCCAGTAAATACGGAAGACTGAGTTTGCGACTTGCTCACTGTTGAGTCAACATCGGCCTCGAAGTGGAGTCCCATATTGCCGATCGCCCCAACGTCGATAGGGGTGGTATGGTGATAGGCTTCAATCTCCCAGTTAGGGAAAAAAGCTTTGGTGGATTGAAGGCTCGGAAATTGCTCGGATTCAGACTGAATGGTTGTGTCGACGTGTTGCATAATACTCTTTTGTTTGTTGAATCTGGTAAGATGGTCGAAGTTTTCCTTGGCTGCCTTGTCCAAATCGATATCTTCGCTCTCGAACTCGGCCTGTCCGCCATTGACGATAGTCGCCGTCTCGCAGATAGTTGGTGGGGTCTGCCCATTCTTTGATGGCCTCGAGGTTCTCTGGCCCGAAGTCTGTGACCTCGTGCCGGTATAGCTGGAACTATTACGAGAGCATAGTTTCCAGTTGATCAAATCGGTACCAAGACCGGCTGTAATGGGAACTTCTTCGTTGGTAGGGTAGTAAGGCTGGTAAAGGGCATTCGAGTTCCCCAAGATCAAACCTTGGGCAGACGATGTGCCTTTCTCTGCCTCCGTCTGCCTACGAAGATTGTTATAAGATGCCGGAGTGGTGAATGGGGCAATATTCCCATCAAAATGACCGAAAACATCATTGAAGTCCACCTCATTATCGATGAATGTGCTGGATTCGGGAAAGTAAGAGGCGTTGAAGTATGAGGTTGATTGTTCCGTAGGAACATCGCTACGAGAATCCTTGTGGCTCGTCATTTTGATAGGTAGGTTATGTATCCTTCTATATGGCCTATAAGACAAAGCCTTCGGCTGTTGTATTCTAGCTTTAAACATCATCGTTAGTTCGAGTCTAAACTTTACAATACTCAGAGTATTGTTGTAGCGCGAACTTACGAAGAAAGTATATTCTATGCAGCACTTGTTATAAATTCAACTATAGCTCCAAAAGATGCCTGAAATAGAGGCTCTATATCACAAAGCTAGAATGGCGATAGCGGCAATCCAATCAAGCAATGCCAATGTCCTAGGTCAGATGTGAAGCGGGTTCCCGAGAGCCGAAGTCGAGAGTAACCGAAATGGGTTTTTGCAACTGTGTAACCGGTGGTACTAGCAGACTTCCACCAAAATATGAAGGATCTGGTTGACAAAGGGGGTCGTCTGATGGTTTGATGTGAGAGAGAGAGAGATCCGTCAACAATGAAGGATCATACGCAGTATTTGAACTTCGAACCAAGCACACCTAAGACTCCTGGGTGGTTTGGTGTCGGCTTGCGCAAGGTTACTCTTTCGAGTTTAGTCAGACTGAGTCTTGGCAGATCCTTCATACAAATTCCGAGGAAGGAAAGAGAAAGCTTGCCAAACACCCTGGTCACTTTGAATTCCAAGCGGGAGCAAGTGAGGCTATGGTGTGTCCGGCAGAAAAAAGGGCTGATTTCTGCTAGTTAGCGGAAAATTCCACCCCCAGCAGAAATCTTTGGTTTCTAGAATTCGGTGTAGCGTTGTCGACTAAGCCACCCATTTTCATGCTATCTCGCTGCAAGTTTAAACGGTTTGTCATTCAAAGGAAAAAAAGTCGGTTGGACTCTTTGAGCCCGTCCTAAAGAGCGTCCTACCCAGTAGCATACGCTATCGCAAAATTTGAATTTGTGCTACAAGCACCCGTTGATTAGCACCCACCAGCACAGATACCACCCACACTGCCGGATGAGATCATTGGGGCTACTTCAGGTGCATCCACCCTTCAAGGCGAATTTTGGCAATCTGCCCAACACCTAAAATCAACTGATATATTCGTTGATCAATGATAATGATTGAATCGATGGTGATGCAATGACCGATGGGCGCCTGGGCCCAGCTTAGTGCATATCCCGGTGATGGCGGTTCCGTGTTTTGCGATACGAACTGTTCAAGTTTCAGCTACTTCTTCACTCGGGAAGGGACGTTTGCCTGCCACAAGGCAACCAGCATGTAGCTCCCTCGTGAACGTATTAGGAACGATGGCGGATCGTACGAGCGGTAAACCAGGCTAAGGAGTCTTGAAATTAGCAAACATTGTAGTCGATCACGATTGCAACGGTCGTCTACCGAATGCAATCAATTAACCTGACATGTCGGAATTCCGATGAACATTGTAATCAGGCATATAAATCCTAATAGTTTTCACTGGGATATTGATGTCGGTTCGCTGGCAAGGCAGGGAACTGGATGAGGAGGTTTGACAACCGCGGAGGCTGAGCAAAGCTAAGCAGAGTCTTGTCGAGAACGGGCAAAAGGCCGCAGCAATCATTTGGTCCCCGCAACACAACGCGGCAGCTGCAAGGGTGGGGCCATATCCTAAGAAGCTTCACCCAATCGATAGAGCTCGCCAGCTACGGCAATAAATGTTTCAGAACCACCAAGCTCTACTATCTTTCATAATATAATTACGGATAGCCCATTACCGGATGTGTACCGGATGTGTACCGGCGTGGCGCGTGTCGGTGGGGATATTGCAGCTGCGCCTACAAAACGCGATGAGCATCAGGAGCCATTGGATATCAATTCACGGGAAAATCGGCTGAACTCAAGGAGAAATAACTGCCTGCATAGATTTAATATCATTTGGAGATGCCTTTATCAGATTAAACCAATGAATCATCTCGGTTCATCCCTCCGCCCCAGGCGAGACACCAAGTGACCGTCTGGGAGGGTTCCGCGTGAGACAAACAGCCTACATACACTAGATGCAAAACAGCGACAGATGGTGTAAACATAGGTAATGATATGATCGTACGGCTCAGGTTCCCAATAGATACACTAGTAGGACAATTACAGGACGTATTGAATCGAGGAAGCTTCTGCAAAGACACCTTCTATGACATTCATGGGTACCCATGATCAGAGCTCAGTTGAGCAGTGCACGGCGTGAAATATGTATTGCGGACAATATACCCCCGTGGATGACCGTGGCCAGAAGACCACAACGCCGGTTCGAATGTGGCGGAGCCAGATTCGACAACATCAGTTGAAAGTCAGGTGCAAAAATGAAAGTACGAAGCCTGGTTCTGCTCCCCAAGGTTCAACACGAAGTCCAAAAACCAGAGCCTTATTTCTGTGTTGAAGCTGTTGGAAAGTCAAAAAGGGAAAACCCCTGTATCATGTGACCTGATGCGCAGTCGTGAGATGCAATGCGAGTGTTTCTGCTGGCAGGCCAGCGCAGCGGTGCAGGTAGTGGATACGCTGAGATCCCATGAGATCCCAATCCCAAGTTCTTCCTCGAGCACCTTCCTCCGGACCTCGTAAGTCTATGGCGCATCGGCTTGTAAGCATATGCCGTTCATCTAACCGTCTACCTTAGTTATCCAGCTCTACTGTCTATCTAAGTAGGCACCGTACCGTGCACTCGGTAGCCTGCATAGGACTCGACTCGGGACTAGCAAACCACGGCAAGCTTCCGTACACGCGACCAAACAGCAGAAACCCGATACATGCTGCATGCCGGAATGCATATCGACGTTAACTACACTTAGATTTCCGGTCCCAACGTTTACAAGTAGTCTGGGGACGTTCACCTCTGCATTGCATAGAGTCAAGTTTAAAACACTTAGCTAAACTGATATTCGACGCCGACAATGTTCTACAGCAGTCACAAATTATGTGACCAGATCCACCCAGATACCTCAACCCTTGTCCTTCAATTGTAAGCCCTGCAAACATTTCATATTTACTTAAGTACTTACTCAGCTAGTACCACATACTAACCTTATCGAAAATACGGTGAATAGAGTTCCATTCGTTTTAATTCCGATCCCGGATATTATTCAATGTATCCGGATCTCCCACCAAAAATCTACATCTGGGATCTCCCCCACATCAATATTACTTCGATTCCTATATTGTACTGCGAATCTGGGTAACGCACTCACAATACCCTACACTTTTGCGGCTACGGAATGTTGTCAGAACTCAGGACTATCGATACCTTCTTGTATGTTGAACATGCTAGTGGTACTTCATGCTGTAGTCCTATGGGGGTCTAATACTATCAGGTATGATAACTAAAATAGACAATTTATCTTCTACGCTCCTTTGGACACAATTTAATATGACCTAGTACTATCATCTTCCTCTTCAAACATCACGATCAAACACCACGAATCCTTTCTTTTCCATCAGGCGAGCTTGCTCTCTCCAGACCTTTCAGTCTGTACCCGCCCTGGACACCTGGCTCGGGTTTTATAGCCACAATTTGCATCATAGCATCAGCAGGCATGTTGCCTATCAGTCTTTCGTACATCATTCCTTTATTCGCTGTCAATGAATCATACTGGGGTTCTCTAGAAGCCTGGAGCTTCGGACTCAACATCATTACAGCAGGCCTAGCATTCCTTCAAGGAATTCCACAAATAGCATTGACCGGTGCAATTCTCTTTGGGAAACGAGAAAGAATCCACAATTTAGGTAAAAAGGATACGGATCTTATCGCAGCAAGGAAAATGGAGTTCTGGTTTTTAACCATCAATGCAGCAAAGTGGGTTCTGTTAGCAGCGGTTTGGACGACATGGTTTGGGCAGAGATTATACGAGAACATAAACTTCTATCTGCCAGTTCTCTGGGTCGTTGGAGCACAAGTATACCTGGATTACCTGATAGTTGGGGTGGAAGATACTCTATTGGCTTGGATGGTTTGGTCGAGTAGACGAAGAGATTGGGAAACTGAAAGTGTTATGAGTGATGGTGGAGTGGAGAATGGCAGTTTCATGAGGCCTACAGAGCAGACGCCACTGTTGACAAGCGGGATGAGATGGCACGACGAGGGGGGGCAGGATTGGACTTCTTAGGTCCGTTTGTATCGATCTACATAGAGGGATTTGATATCGGTCGGAATAACGCAAATTGCACGCATCATATGTACTTTAGCGCCATCGCGAGGCTGTAGAATAGTATACCCAGGGGCTTTTCAGGATAGTCTAGATTCTCAATTACCATACATCGGCGGGTTCACGGATCAGCCCCCGATAACATCGATGAAACGTCCTATCTCTATAACCCCGTTTCTATAATATTGAGTTATCAGTTCAACAATGAGGTCATGGGTAGATAAAATATGTAAATTAGTATTACGGGTGGAAGCCTAAGTCCACGAAGCCATCTAATCACTACCAAAAAACATTATATTTCGGGTACGTAAACACCTTGGACCCATGCATAACAAATCACCACCTTGCCTGAGGCCAGCTCAGAACCTCAAATCGATATATCCCCCGTCTACCAATTATGTCCTTCAACGGCCTTTTTTAAATCAGCCGACCATTCATTGAATCCACCCTTTAGCGCCGGCCCAAAGACCCATCGTGTGACCACTGACCCAAAATTCTTTTGGAAAGTGTCCCAAGTCTCATATCGACATGTTCCATAACCGTCCGCCCCCTCGGTGATAACATGTACTCGTTCGGCACCACTCTGCGTAGTACGCCAGGAGACCATGTATACATTTTCGGTCTTGGATATCGTAGTTATCGTTTCCTTAGCGGGGAATTTTATGAACGGCAGCGACGAGAAAAGGCGCACATGGAATGTAAACGAAGACCCCACGATCCCCAAATCGGGATCCCGTGGCGACTCATTTGATCCCGGTGTTGTCTCCGAAGGATGAACAATGTCGGTAACTGACGGGATAAAGCTGTTCCATGTGTGATAAGCGCTGAGACGGAGAAGGACGATGAGTATTTGATCTTTGGTCGCGTTGATAGTTACAGGCGCGGATTTCACAGTGAAGTACCCGCCGTCTGGATATGAAGGCGTGGATTGACCGGGAGATATGATTTGGGCCGTGGAAGGGCGGTTTTGGTCAACAGCCTTGGCGGACATTTTGTTCCTTCGTGGTGAGAAAATTGCGACAACTATCGGACCCTCACGAGCGACACCGTTCCTTAGCCTTGGAGAGGTAAAACTAGGATTTTTGGTATGATCTGGATATTTGGAGACGTAGATATCGATAACACGATTTCTTTTTGATTTTTTTTTTTGGAAGACGGAAAAGAAGGGAAATTCTGAAGAACAACAGAGCTCGGGATTGTCCGTATCTAATTAAGAATTACGTGAAACCACAGAATGCGACACGCTGGGAACATGGGCATGGATTACGACATTAGATTCTTGCCATGGCCTGGCCTGTCTGGCTAGCCACCGTTCGCATCTCGGCAAGCACACATCCCATCAAAACCGCGGCATACTATGTAAAATAGACAGAAAATAATTTACTAAAAACACACAAGGACCCTTGCATTTAAACTTGAATAGAGCAAGTTGAACACGAAGCATAAGTTTGTAGTCGAAATGAACCCAAGCATTTGAGCACTCTCCAGGTCAACGAGGCACTCCCACATGTTGAGGTTACATAGAAGTTTTCCAACAAGATCAACACAAATAGCATCCTTGAGTGGTAGTTTCAACCGTCGACATAAATTCGGGGTCCTTAGAGGCAGGTGTGTATATATATACTCCTGACACAACAGAGACGCCAATGCCATGACGTAAGTCACGCTCTCTTAGATAATTTCAATCATCATAGCTTCCCCTGCATTCATTCTAGGCAATGTTGGTTCAATCATTGGTTCCAGCATGGATAGTAGATCAGGTAGCCCAGAAGGAGGACCCGGCGCTCTGTCGGCGGCGAAATCTACTTCGATTCTGCTAGAAAACCCACCATCAGCGAATATTCTAATCATTTAAGTGCTGTGAGAGTCGCTGAAGGTAATACACACAGATTTAAGTTGTCTTCCCCACCAAATTCGCTATGTCTAATTTCCTCTAGAATCTCTTCCATAACAGATTCCTGTCTGACCAGTGAAGGCGGTGAGATTCGTTGCGGGGATAGCATATTCATCAAACCCGACATCACGAGTTCGGGTGCCGTGGGAATGGTCTCCACGATCATGATTTCTTCTCGGATGGAAGGCTCAGGAAGCACTTCGGCGACAATGACCCCGGACCCGGAAACCTCGGGTGAATCTTCGTCATTTGATTCATCCTCAGTATTGGCGCTTTTGGCTGCACTATTTTCTTCCCCGGCTGCTGTTTGGAGGATATTCTTGATTGGTTTGAAAAACATTCCGAACCGAGTATCAGCGTTCCCACCTTGTACTACCATGCCGCCTTCTACTCCCTCGACAGGAATAGCACTAGTAATTGCCAAACTGGCCCCCAATGCAATGAAGGATGCGGATTTCATTTTTAGTGTATCGACTGCCCGGTAATTATCGTCTCGTTGCTAACGTTATGATAATAAAGATGTTGGGAACATGGGGGTCAAGATCTATCTAGGCACGTGGGAGGCCTGGGCTCTTCACGTTTTGTTGCATGGTCTTCAGACGAGCAAGTTCACCGTTGTTTGAGCGAAATTTTAATCATAGACAATTGTAGAAACCCACATATATCTCCAGAATCCATGCAAGTCCTTCTTCTTCTTAAAGTCCCGTTTTACGGCTCTATAAATAAGCTCACAAGAGCCATATAGATCTTGTTAAGGTATTATGCTAGTATAAGGTATTTTGACCAAAGTTCATGCACGGTATGAAAAACCCCGCGCTGCAGCACTGCCGCATGTAAGTAATTATAACGTATGCCTCCAATTGGTCAATCAATCGATAAACTGGTCCAGTGAACATAATTGTTAACTCTACCGTAGTGGTGGCGATCTCGATGACTTTTCCAAAGCGTGAATGTCGAGGATGTAGCCTGGGAGCCTGTATGTTGAATCCGGGTTCTGCAATAGCGAACCGACGGAATCCTCCTTGTTAAACCCCCAAACCCTGTTCCGCCGTGCAACTCCTGGGTCAACTAGCTTGAAAGCCCAAGATTTATAACTCTTTTTGCAGAACCATGGCTCAACTACTTTCAAATGACTATATAAGTTCCCTAACTCAAAACCAGATGCCTACAGGAAAGCTGGTGCTAAGACTTAGAGCCTGTTATGGAATGTTCGGCTGTCGTGACGGCGGCCCGATAAAATATCGCCCTGAAACGCTCAATTTCCCTTTTCAGAGTGTGTAACAGCAACACACCTTTCGAAACACAACTCGCCCACCTTCGCGCTCGGACCATGACGCTCCGAGGTAGCGACATTTGAGGGTACGGGGTGCGTAACGACTCCACGACTCGCCTGTCAATTTTAATCATTTTATAGATGTAACGAGGGTATTGTAAACCGACAAAAAACCATGTGAGCAACTTCGGCTGGCTAACCTTGGTCTTGGTAAGGCCCACTATCAAATCGAGCGTGGGTACGGGGGAATGAGGTCCGCTTATCTCATTCCATTAATCGTTGGCTCCAAATTTGGCGATATGAAAACATATGCGTGATCTTCAGCCGGTTCCCGGGAAAGGGGAAGTGGGTATTGGTCGAATTATGTATAAAGTCGTTCTTTTCCGAAAGATCATGATCATAGAATTGTCTGACATTACCATCCTACCCGATTCCATTGACTGGATTCAACCCCTACTATAACCTTCCAGCACGATCCTCTCTCTTTCTATTAATCATTTTTATCAAAATGCGCTCGATTGCTGCAGTTTCACTAGCTCTAGCCCTCAGCGGCTCGGTCTCCGCTCATGGCTACCTTAAATATGTTGATCATAAAGGTATCGCGTACGGATTATGGGAGCCATTTTCGGATCCTTACTACAGCCCGCTTCCTCTGAGATATGACCGAACTATCGCCGACAACGGTCCGGTTATAGGAATGCAGAGCTCTAACATCACTTGTAATAACGGCGGAAATAACCCAGCCAATGTCGGGATAATTGAGGTCGCCGCCGGGGATACCTTGTAAGTTAGCCCCAGAATCGAGGCTCTGTTGAATATAAACACCTACGCCGCATAGCCGGTCTCCAAGATTGTGGGCAATATCATATCATCTTAGTCACTCGAATATGAATCCATCACACCCGTTTGATACTCAACTACTTCTATAGCTAACTTAAAGCGGCGATAAAATACAGGAAGCTTGTTTGGGATCAATGGGGTTCAGCCCATTCCGGGCCCGTCATGACATACATGGCCAAGTGCACACCGAACTGCGCTAGCTTCAAGGGTGACACTGGATCTCCTTGGTTCAAGATCGACCAGTTCGGTTATGATCCCACTAAAAGCCCACCATGGGGTTCTGACTATCTTGCTCGCCAAGGGGCCTGGTGGAAGGTCACTATTCCACCAACCATTTCGTCCGGGGAGTATCTGCTCCGTCATGAAATATTAGGGTTGCATGTTGCAAACGAAGTCAACGGTGCTCAGTTTTACCCTTCATGCGTACATCTAAAAGTTACAGGCGGTGGAAGCGATAGCCCGAGCGGTGTGGCGCTCCCAGGTGCCTACAATCCAAATGATAAGGATGGTGTACGTATTAAGTTCTTGACATTCGGCTCTTACTTCTGCCTACAGAACCGATGCTAACACATAAAATACAGATCTTGATTGCTCTATACCAGATCAACCAAGGTGAAAAAATCTATACCGCGCCAGGCGGCCCTGTTTGGTCGAAGGCTGCAGCTCCCCTTCAAACCGCTGCAACAGCCGCTGGATCTGCTTATGTTGCAAGTTCGTTGGCTCCATCTGTCCGAGGTGCTACTGCCGCCACCACTCCCGCAACGACTGCTGCAACTTCTTCCAGGACTACCACACTGGTGACTACAACTCGCACAACTACTGCTGCAAGCACTACTACTACTTCAAGAACTACAACCCCAGCTACGACAAGTACAACATCTCGAATCACTACCGGATCTACTGGCACTGGTACCGTTGGTGCATGGGGACAGTGCGGTGGTATTGGGTGGACAGGAGCTACCGCTTGTGTTAGCGGATACACCTGCAAAGTCTTGAACGACTACTACTCTCAATGTACCCAATAGATGAATTAGTCGGTGTATTGGGCCCCCATTATCAAATAATGATGTAGTAGCGTGCTCGCAATACGCGACATTAGGAGATCAAGGTAAAGATTCAGGGCGGCCCGATTGTACATATACAAGAAGTGCATCTCATGTTGAGGACAGATATACCATTAATTGTATATATATCAAAAATTTAATGGATAGAGGACTATTGATGTTCCTGCACTCTGAACGAGTAGAAATACATGGTGTGCATGTGTCGTACGGATAATGCCATCGATGCCGTGAAATTTGTGACGTAGGTGTCTAGTTTTCTTGACTGGGGCAAGTATTTCGAGACGAAAGGGTAATTGGGGGTTAACGGTAGCCTCAAAGCCAGGGTTGCCAGGATCAGGTCTTATGGACATAGGTTTGCGCTTTATCAGCGAAGGTGGTAACGGTTGGGGATATATCCGGGTACCTGCCACCTTGATGGGCTTTTATTTTCGGATTGAGGGCGATTGGACCCCTCCACTTGTATGTATATAGACATGCGAATGTGAAAGAGTACTCGATCTAACAAATGGGTGTAAAGATATAGGGTTCCAGAGCACCGCTGCTCAAAGTATAACGGTAGTTTGTTTACTAACAAATATTATTCAATCTATCGTTTTTGTTTCCCTTCTCAATGTTGCTCAGTGTATATTTGCGGGTCCTAGTCGTGTCGATGAGCTAGTTCCCCCAATCGTCTTATGATGGATAAGCAGCCACGAGTGCGCGAAGCTAGTCAACTTGCGGGCATGAAGCCGAAATAATCGGAGAGAAAGTCGGTGAGATTATTAAGGGTAGATGCAGCATTCCAGAAACAGGTTGTTCACGAGAAATGGAGAAAAAGCAATCGATCCAAGAGCGGTCCTAATGGGGCTGGACCGTCGAATTCGGGCCGGAGTTTTGAAAACAGAGGTCGCATAACATGTAAGCATCGATTAATGAAAAATGATGATTAATGTGCTATACCAAACTTTTGATACCGCTATATCAATTTTTTATGAACAGGTAACTGTCATATATTATCGAACTCATATTATACATATGGATAATGATATAACACCATTATTCCAGAATCCTCGACTAGTTCATAATATCATGGCATTCCGAATTCCGAAATTCCGACTGAAATCTATAGTTGGATTAAAGTTGGTAAGAGAGTTCACACATTAGCCCATGTCGTGCCAACCATGCACGCACTAGGGTTGAAGTTTGGGTGAAAGTCAACCTCAGATGTAGACAAGGGGCTCGTCGGAAACCAACACCAACTATTCTAGCAGAGTTACTCCCTGCCGCTCATACGTAAACAGACGCGCAATTACATGTACCGTACATATATGTTGCGGACAGGGCCATAGCCTCGCCACAGGACGGGTTCGCTGTCGCGATATTAATCCATTCCCATAATATTCATCGGAAAGCTTTTGTTTTAGGGTTGTTTCGTTATCGTTCAAGCGATTTCCCTCTTGAAAGATATTGCAATAAAGGATCCTGTCAGGATCCAGCGAGGATAATTCTGATAAACGGTGATGGGGTTCATCCAAAGAAGCAACCCTGACGTTAATGATGCAAATTTGGTCCACCTGAAGCTGGTCGTCAGATACTTATATCTTTGCAAGGCTACCTGACCATAAATCCTAGTCCTGATCCGGACGGTAGCTAATGAGATTCCCGCGCGTATAGCATCTCTGCTTCCCCGGATGGCGGTGCGCATACACATGCAGATATATCTGTGAATTCCCGTGAGTCACGTTGATCATTTATCCAGGATTCTTGGTTTGCATGTTCCCTATTAGATATGTCGTTCTTAATACTTTCTCAATACAAGAAGTTTCACCATTTCTAGCAGTCTCCTTAAGACTTTCATGACCGGTTTTTGTCGCACTCGTCCCTCTACAATATCTATAACTGTCCAATATATCGCTCACATTCCGGAATTTAAAACTAACTTTTAGTCTCTTCTTTTCTTCGTTTCTGAATTTTGAAATGTCAGGGACATCGGAAAAACTCTGAAAATATGATGGCTCATACCATCCCAACTTTTGATTTGCAAGGCTTCGTCGTACCCTGGTCGTATCGATGCATGTGGTTTTAGCGCCTCGCTTCTCGAGCTACGGAAGGATCCAAACGACCTGCAACCCACACCTCAACCCCTTCTTTTAACATGATGGCCCAACCTCAAGGCACAAGGAACATTTTTCATTTGAAAGATCCTAGAAATGACTCCGCTATTGGAGGGTGCGATTCTCACTTTTGCAAGTTTGCATATTTTCTCATGCAAACACGGCTGGTGATGAAAAAGAAAACGTTGCGAAATTTCGGCCTCGCTGCACATCGTCACGAATCATGGCAGGCACTATCACAGGATCATTTCTGTTTGAGATAGATCCAGTTAGGAAACTAGATACGAGTCTTGGGACCTGTACACACTATTCAGATCCTCGTCAAGATTCCTGTATCCCATACGGGTGTGTGTGCATCCCATATTGAAGCTGGAGTTTACAGCAAGAGGCCTCTTGAGGCGAGAATGCCTTAAGCCTCGACATGGAAACGGAATATAAAAAGACGACTCCCACACCGTTCTCCAGACCCCCTAAAGAATGCTATAGAGCATTGTAGAGCGGTAAATGGTTTACCGGGCTGCTCTCAGCTCGTTATTCTCGTTTTCCAGATGCTCGACTCGACTTTTCAACCATCCCAGTTCCTCCTCCACTTCTTGATAGGCTTCAACAACGCATTCCTCTGCGATTTAATCAGTCGCCAGAGTCTATAATGAAAAAACTCCTAGGTTAGCTAGGAAGTACAGGGAATTGAGAATAAGCTTGGGCATGTGCGGTAGGCCAATGCATAGCCTCCTGACGTTCAATTGGGTAGCAGTTGAAATGAAGAGAAGGATCCAAGAGTCACAGGTGCAGCGTGCATGCATTACCTCAACACAACAACTAGACCAGCAACTTCTTCAGCAACGCCATTCCTGAGAATGATATCAACGAAGAGCCTAATTGTTATAATTGCCGCATCGAGGGCGTGGATCCACCGTTTTAAGTAACCGACACCGAATACAACCAGTGTGACAGAAAGTTCGGCAAGAAATAGACAACTTAGCGCGAATCTGGTTTGAGGCGCCGGATTATGGTGGGGGTCGCGTTGGGGAAATCGGGTAATCCTGGAGGCGTGGCGGGAGAGCTCACAAATAAAAAGGTTGTGGAGGAGAAGAGAACAAACCATCAATGTATCAAGAACAATCAAGAGAAGTATGAAGCGGTGCTAAAGCGGGGTAGAGCACAAAGTCTTGAAGCTGTAATGGACGCGGGGCAGAAACGATGTCGTGGTAAGGCGGGGGTACCGTTGGCTGAAAACAGATGTGGAGATGCCATGGGAGACAACCGAAGACAGAACCGGCGCCCGGGAGCTCGCGCTCAACTGAAGGCATCAGAGGTATGTATCTCAAGGCATCGGTTTCCAGAAAACGATAATATCGAATGCCAGTGGCCTAGAGAGGACAGGCAAACGTAATACGGTGGAAAATTAGGATCGTGGACCAAATATACCCTTGAATCAGCTGAGTTTGACCCATTTGATGCAGGTTTCTCAGATTTCTGAGAACAAGGTCTGGCCCATGATGCAAGCTTGCATGGGTCCAAGGGTTATTTGTAGCCTTACACCATACATATGAGAACCAACAGCTTCGACCACAGCGAACGTTTGACCCACCCTGCGACCTAGCTAGGATGAGGCTGAAATTTTTCCGAAGTAAGCCATCGCGAACTCCGGGGGGCATATAGAATCCCGAACCGCCTACACAGTAAAGAAGAAGAAAAAAGAATAAGGTAAAAGAGTCATATGCTGCAGGTTTAAACGCAGCACTTTTCATGTACACACGTAGCGCTGTCCAAGCCTCCGCAACTCTCGCGGAGCCTTATGTACCATTTCCCTCGAAATTGAAGTGCACAACGGGGCAAGCACAGGTTGGAGTTCTCCCTGAAACGAAGCTGGATCCTTACGGTCACCTGACCGGCACGGATTTTGGGTTTGCTGCACCCTGATTGGGTTGATGGAGTGGGCCTGACAAGATACATACTTACTAGGATTCTAAGACTAAACCTAATGTTCCTCCTCCTCAATCAAGAACAAACGTAACTTCGCTAGCAATGTGAACGTGAACCTCGACAATCTTCAAATGCTCTCCTCTTGGAAGCTCTAATGGTGCTCTATATGGTCGATATACTTGGATTACATTTGATGCTATTTGAATTTTCAAGGTATCGCTTTTACCTCCGTAGGACATTTACCCAAAGAGGAAATCGCCAAATATAGCAAGCCCAAACTCCCAACACATTTTCAGGTCGTACAATTAAACGTGACTTCAATGCTGTTCGATGACGGCGAATTTCTACTTAGAGCGATTTATTTTGGGAGTGGGAAGGGAACAGGAAACCGCCTTGCGGGTTTGACTCACCACGATTCTAACTCTGGCGGAAGTATAAATTTGACAAACGAACACCAAAATTGTTCGTCCATTGATCCCCTAACATCATCCCATCGCTTGATACTTACATACATAGAAACTCATCCCATCTTGCCCGGCGTAGCAAATACGCGGACTCCCTCCCTCCCTCATTCTCTATCCCGCCGTTACATCCCCCTTTCCCTATTATTTTCGTCCGTAGACCAGGTGTCGCGAACGAATCTAAAATCCAGGCCGGTCTATCAATCAGGAGTTGGATCCTGTTCACCTCCGGGAAACCATTCTGCACAGGTAAGATTTTTCCTCGCATCCGCTTCGTGTCAATGCGTAATGTTCTTGGAAACTTGCTCCATTTTTCTTGCTGCGTGAATTTCTATTTCCGTAAATGGTTTCGAATATTTGGTTCTTTCGTGTTCTGTTGGACTCTCCGTTGCCGCTGCTGCTGTGTCGATGCAGTCGACAGCGCTCCTCCTTCGCCTGACCGGGTTTCCTCGCTTCGGGAATTTCAGACCTTTCCTCAGGACGGCCTGAGGTTGCCTGGAAACCTCGCCCATAACCGGAACCACGGCCTGGGCGCAAACGATAAGTCAGATCATCATGGGTGAGTATTTGAGTCAGAGCCTGGTGCGGAACCTCGCTTTGGTATCGAATCATCGGTGTCCGCTCTTCCTATTCGTCACTACCTGCCTGTCCGTTGCCTCTGTCCTATCCGATACAGGCCTGAAACGTGCACGACATATACGTGATAAAGCTCTGGTAGAGCCTCCTTCGGGTTGTAAACGGTGAATAAATCTAATGCGCTGGTGAATAATACTTCCCAAACCGTGAAAGTCGACTTTTTTTGCGGCCTTCGCCAGTGATTCATTTATAAGCCACCTTTATCCAGCCAGGACCAAAAACCTCTCTTTATTCTTTCAGTCCTTCCCAGAAACCAGACCTCCGTCAGCGGAAAATTCGAATCTGTCCTTGAAAACGAACATTCGAATTCAGACCATCAGAATTTGAGGTTCTGCGAAATCATACGGGAAGTAAGCGAAAGAACACAAAGAGCCTTTTGACACCAGAGCGATAAAAACCTCACGCGTATAGTCCCACCTAGGGATCACCGTTGGGCTATCTCTTGCTTTCCCGCTTTCTCATCTTCACGATACAAACTATTCTCAAAGAAGATTGCGAAAACTGAAAGGCAAGAGAACATCCGACGCAAGCTGTTTCGTCTTATTGCTCGCCATCAAGATTTGCTCCTGCTTCCCGGGTGTCGACAGACGGCCTCGAGAGCAACCTAGACCTGCGTTTTGGGTATCGTCGTAATTCGGGATACCGGTACTGCGTAATTCACACCGCGTCTGTCCGGGTCGCAGAACTAGCCTAATAAGAATCCCAAAGTCTCAACTGAACCCTTCTTCTGGATTCCGGGAGCCAACTGGCAGATTTCTGATAGCAGTTGCGTGTGTGTCATTCACTTCGTGCTTGCTTGTGCTCTGAAATGTTAAATGTCTTGATATATCTATCGCTCTGTCTGCCTATATCAAAATCGAGCCAGAGAAAAAGAAGCTAACATTGTGACATCCTGTTCTGTCTTTTCTTTTTTTTTTACCTTAGGACAAGAAACGGATTCTGTCCAAGCAGCCCGCTGTCCACTGCCTCCTCTGCACACCTCTTCTGCAAAAAAGGGTTCCCGACGAACAAACAGCCTTTTGGGAAGCCGCCTTTGGTGGGGTGTCCCGTTCGATTGCAGCCAAGCACATCCACCGCCCGCGAGGGTAAAAAAAAAAAAAGGAAACCAATCGCACTGAAAAAACCGTGGACGTCGTTCTTGCCAAAAAGCAAAACTCGAAGTAGTGTTGCTCGCCTGCTCAAGATCGAGAAGAGCACATTGCATCGTGTCTACAAAAAGACTCTGAAGGATAGATTTAATTAAATATCCCGCTCTCAACTTTCATTTCAATCTATCCTACATCTCCCTCTCATCTTTCCTTTCAACTTTTTTTTCTTTCTTCCACAAGGAAATTGAAAGAAACACATCGATTCGCCAGCATTTCCTTAGGTCCTACATACGGGGTGACCACAATCCTAAATCAGACTCTTTGCCTTATAAGACAAGACCAAATTAAGACTCGACGACCACCCGCAACGTTAACCCTCAGGCCTCCCTTTCTACAGTCTCTGCACAAGCTACGTATATATACGAGTACTACATATTCTACTTGTCTCTCAACAACCGCCTAAACACGTAAATTTTGTCGGTTGCTCTTCATTCAGCGCTTTTCGACAAGTGCCTCAGGCTCCGAACGGCGACAGAGCTTACGGTGTGCGTCAACACTACAGCACGAGCCTCAACGAATCGCCCCAGCATCGATAAATCGTATATCGCTTGTCTGTTGCATATCTCCCTCGCCTAATACACGAACAACGGATAGTGGAAAACTGAATCTGTGAGTTAATACTTCACCCATCTCTTTTTTTACACCACTATCGAGAAATATTCCAAGGGTGTCACACTTGAACTCGAAACTGGGCTACGGTATCTACCTTACGATACAATTTTTTCCCATTCTTTCTTCCTCCTTCCTTCCTTTTTTTTTTCTTAAAAGAAAAAACAGAAAGAAAGAAAAGAGAAAAACTTTCTTCGAGTTTTAATATTGGGGTATCGGTTGATTTGGGGAGATACCAAACTTCCCAGCTTTTTTTGTCGGACCTCCAATACAGGCCTTCCTGCCCTACGTATTTCTAATACTTTCCTCCCGTTCTTCCAAGACGCTATCGAAAATTGTGGCTGACCTGGATCCTGCGAGTTTTTTAAGGCTGGTGCCACACGCTTCCGCGACCAACACCCCGGCCCGGTTGTGGCTCGTGCTTGACTAACAAACGAAAGACATATATCAGTCGCATGTCCTCCCAGACTTCGACCTGACATTTCCTCGTCCTCTATCAATTCTCACCAAGAAATCCACGATCTCGACTCTGGTATCTTCGATTGACCCTTTCCTGTTCAAAGTCGATCAGATTATAAATACCCAAACCATTTCCATCAGTGAAACCACTTTTCACACCTCTTTTCGTCCCGTCGCTGCCATATCGTTTTGGGTACCCTCCTCACCCACATAATAGGCCCCCATCTCTAGCAAAACTCTTTTGGTGAAGCATCGCGCACACCCAATTGGCATCTACCCCTCACGCCATCTCACTTTAACGGCCTTTTGCCAACACCACTCACCCAAAACCATCATTTTTATAGTGGTATGACCTTTTTCATGTCTCACGCTGTCTGATATATAGTTTCCGTCGTAGACTGATCTCGTTTGTCGTAGTTGAGGTTATTAGCGGCCGGGACGCAGAGGAGACTTCCCCCAGCTTAATACTCACACACATTCGTGATCACTACTACAACGTTCTAAATAACTTCTTTCGGAGCTTCGTCAACAAGTTTTACCTAATCTCTTGTTATAACATCCCCTTCTTGTTTCTTTTCTCACCGGCCGTCAGGATGGCATACGCTAGCTCTATGGAGTATTCTATGTCCAACAACTCTACCGTCTCTTCCTCGATGGAAGAAGACTTTACGCTCTATGGCCATATCAGTGACGACGAATATTTCCGTCAACTGCACCCACTAGACGTCTCCGGACCCTTCCCTGGTGAGGAGGGCTTCAGCATGTTCACAGACATGCCCGGTCTTACCAATACCCAATCAATCGAGGAGATTGAAGATTTCTTGAACCCCGATTTTTTCAAGCTGCCAACATCCACTCATCGTGAGAGCAGCATCCTCGGTCTTAATGATCCTCTCCCAGCGGCATGCACTGGCCCAACCCACAATGGTTATCTCGGCCTACACCATCTAGAAGGATTAAATGGATATCCTACCCCCCCTTCAACAATCTCTTCACCCTACTCTCCGCCTACAAATAACTTCGGTCACTTCACTTCTCCAAAAACTCGTCGAATGTCCTCGACCCGCCGCAGAGCCCCGGCTCCAATTTCTTCTCCTCCATCCTCTCCTCACCCAAATGGTGCATCTTCACCAACTGGTGGAAAGCAAGGAATCTTCACTTGCCCTAAGTGCAGTGCCGTTTTCACCTTCAAGACTAACAAGACCCGCCACGTCAATAGCCGGGCTTGTGAGGGTAAAGTACAGGTCACCTCTGAGGGAGTGTGCACAAAGGAGTACCCATGCCCCATCGATGGATGCCCAACTGTTATCAAGCGTCGAAAAGATAATTTGGCTGTTCATCTCAAAAAAATCCATGGCCTTAAGATGGAACGGCAATCAATGTAAAATCCTCTCTGGATTTACATACCTATAACCTAGATATTCTGGGGGAAGCCCTTTTTTCTATCTCATATACAGCCTCCTTGGATGTTGGCTGTCATGTTACTGAGAGGTTGAGGTGAAGTTGCATCCAATTAATTCCTCTTTGGGAATTGGCAACACAAAACCTCCAGGCACTTTTCTTTTTCGATTTTCACCCGTCCGTCTTTCTTGTTGCTGACTTACGTAAGCTTCTTCTTAATACCTGGCACCTGGCGTTGAGCGGTATTGTTCTTATGTGCTTTTCTCCCTTATGTATCATCGCCGCTTCTTTGCGCCTGCAGCCTCGTCATCCTCTTTTCCTTTCGTATTCCTTATACCGTCGTCTTTACATACCTACTTTGGAGTTTTTCATGAGACCTGTCATGGTTTGGCTGGCTCCGTTCTCATCCATTCTTTCTGAGGGGAGAGAAAACAAAAATAAGAAAAAAAGGGTTCTTTAGCTGCGTGATTGTATCCGCCTTGATAAATCTTTCTTGGGACTTCTTATTCTTAACATTTTATTGCTTTTTCGAATTTTTGGCATACCCCTCCTGTACTTCCATATCTCTGAACTCTTTTTTTTTCTTCCCTGTTATGTCTTCTAATGAACAAAAGCATGTATTCTTTTTTTTCCTCTTTTCTTTTCTTTTCTGCTTCTTTCTCGCTATCTTCCATTGTCTATCTCTGCTCTTCGGGTTTCCTTTCATTACTTGTTTGTCCATCGGATATCTAATGGTCCTTCCGCCACCCCACACATCCTCATACTTTCCTACTTCCTCAACGATCACCCACTCAAAGTTCACATGGATCTTTCATTTTGGGAATGTTTCGCTCTGGGAATATTTTACTGTCTTCACATGTACCGCTTAATTATCTTTCGGTATCAAAACCGCATCATGTATGTAGAACAGGACAACCATTATTACAAGGAATACAATCAAAACATCACAATGTTACAAAAAAAAGGTTCTCGACAAATAAGCTTAAGAAAGAGATATCTCTGACAAAATCGTATAGCTAAGCAAAACTTGGTTGACATTTGCGAAATAATTTAGGCCATTTTTGGTAGTATTTGATATTTATTTTTGGTTATATGTCATCTATTCGAAGAATAGCCGGAGATAAACTATGGTGAAAAAAAATATTGAGGCTCTGTCGTTGACGTTGGGGAGCCGGCCGGGGAAAGGAAGTAACGTTAGGCTGGGCTGAAGCTAATGGCTGACTGATCAACTCTTTTCCCGGTTCAAGATTTTTTTTGGGTGGTGTGGAAGAAAATAAAGTATGAGAGAACGCCTCATGAGGCTCCTCGCGTGTGGAGACGAGAGGTGGCGATCTCGCGAGAGTGGCTAGGGCAATGCTTGTTCAGAAACAGAAATAACCCCAAACTGTTCAGATGGTTGCACTCAAACATAGAGATTTGAAATTACTAGTCTTAATATGGGTTTTACTGATAGTGGGTATTATATTAGCGGCGAAAGTTTTTTTTTTGTGAGGCAGACTTATCGTGATTGTGATGAGGACTGCGGGGTCGGCATTGAACAAATCTTTCTTCTTCTTCTTACTAAGCCAAACTTCTTACAAATTTGTGTGAACTAACTTTAAATATAGCGTAACGTTGTTTAAGGATAACCCTTTCATCTCATGTCGTATCATGATGAAGCAGCTGCTAGAAGTAATGGGTATTTTCTGCCACTTTCGAAATTTCTACTTTAGCCACTCGTGCCCGTCAAGCACATACCCGCTGGTCTCGTTCCCAGATACCGTCACAAAGGGTACCCGCTCGCCTTAATTAAGTGAGATACACACTATGTACATGTACATTGCGTATCAGAAAATTGCCGGCATTAATTGAAAGATCAATATTGATCTCGGATGACTAATCCAGCGCTCTCTGGATCCTTGGGCTCACTCTCAAAATTACAGTACGCCCACGTGTGCACACAGTATCGAGTCGATTTGACTAAGCTTCGAGCTTCCGCTTTGTTTGATCAATTGATTTGCTTTAGCTAGTAAATGGTCCCACAGCTAAACCGCCATGGTTTGAAGCTGGCCGGGAATGATACATATTTAGTAATTAGTCCGCTCATCGGGTTATGCCTTGGCCTTGTCAGTCAGATCCTCGGCCTTCCAGGAGATGTCCGCCGCGCCGCCAAGTATGTTGCATGTTGTACAATGGTTAAGCTCCTCGAGCCGCATCCAACTTTCAATAGATTATGATCCTGTAGATCCTTTCCAGACCTAGTTCAAAAAGCTATCCAAAATCACACACGACGTACGAGCCAACACAATTTCACCGCCGGCTCCCAACACAGAAAGAGTCCCTCAGATTGACCGGCGTGTATAGTGCTCCGTAGAAGACAACGTTGATAAAGCAGTACGGAATCTAGTCTGTTTAGAATCAAGAAAAAGGGTATATAGAAATAGGATTAGCCTGTATCGAATTGGTGGATTATATTCAGCAGCCTTCGTCGTGATCGATCTTCTTGAGCAGCCGTGGGCGCGCCGCACGGCAACATTGAGAATTATTGGGGTCTCGATGTGCGCATGCCTTCGGACATGATAAATTTAGTGGCATTTAGGGGTGGCACAATCTTAATTATCATTGTTGTAACCTTTCCACAATAGATGGATGCTAGTCGGTGGATTGAATCTGTGCTATGAAGTTTTTAGGGCTATACAGCTAAACGGGTCTAGTGGAACGTTTGGGCTGGCATCCCAGTTGCATGGGTTCTCAGAGGCAGAAAATTAGCTGCATAGATAATATACGCGAGTAGAAACACTATCTATATCTGAACCGGATTCCAGGTCTGGGTGCAAGACAAAACCTAGATAAGAGGCTAGAACTTCTCTTGGGCAGCTCCCACTCCTAACCGGACTCGTATATTCGGACCTTTTAGTAGTAAGGAGGTCTGAATCGAAGTTACAGATACACCATATCAATGGTGGACTAGAGTACAAGACACAGAAATTAGTTTTATAGCCTTATAGAATTCCAATGTAGTGTGTGAACTTGTGTCTACATGAGGGGTTGGGTTGCTTGTTGATAGTATTTTCCTGCTTTAAACGCTCTCCCAACACTCCACCTCTACGTCCGTTACCACCATCACCTAAACATCTTCCCAGCTCGCGCAACGTTTCACTTCATCTACCATCGGCATCCCCCATCCATCCATCGTTACACGCTCTTTTACCGACAAATCTTGGCCATAATCGGGCGAAAACGTACTTCAGGATGGCGCAATCAATGGCGCCGGCCTACACGGACCCTGCTCGAACGCAGATTCTTACTGATCTTGCCACCACCTTCGAAAAACTCTATGAATCATCAGCACCCAATCAAGGAAAAAAGAATACCCTCACTACAAAAGAAGCCGTCATGGAGAAATACAAACACGTACACGAACAAGAGACCAAATACTATTCATCAGAAGGAGCCCTTCGCTTCGTTCTGACTGACCCTTATGAGCCAGCAAATCCGTGTTTTCCAATCGAGAAACTGAGGAAAATCCAAGTCAGGGATCTTATTGTAGGCAAGCACCACAAGAGTGCCTACATCAAGATCAAGCTGGTCTCAATTGCTCAACGTCACGAGTGTGCTGTCGACGTGATGTTTGAAGATGAGGGTGGGACTTACGGAGCTCTGAGAGTCTATTTCCTCGAGGAAGAGACCGATCCTTGGGATCATTTACCCAAGGGCAACTTGCTTATCATCCGAGATCCATATTTCTGGGATAGTGGCGATGGAGCTATGTTCGTGAGAGTTGACCATCATTCGGACATGCAATTCATTCACTCTTGGGACACAGCAACGGAAAAACATGTTCCGGCAATTTGGAAGCATAGTGTTCCTCTCGAGGAGATGACGGCAAGCCAGTTGGTCGGACTGGCAGAGCTGTTTCATGAAGACGGAGAATTCCAGGCGGCTTTGGAGAAGTATGATCTATCTTTAAGTAATACCCACGATTTCTAAGACCTAGTCTAATCGATTGGATCAATAGATACAATTGGGCGGAGCAACGAATCATCAAGAAGATAGGGCCTGGGGCTTGTCAGGATGTCTTACGACGGCTCTACATCGGCCGCGCAGACACTAATGTTAAGCTTCGACGTCATTACGCGACCGTGAAGGATATCGAAGCTTATCTAAAGCTCTCTCCAGACGACCCAGAGGCGCTACACCTCCGGGCTTTACGGTACTACTACACCGGGAAGTACGAACTTTGCCAAGAAGAGGTCGGCAAACTTCTAGAGAAGCACCCGAAGCAAATAACCTATCTTCATTTAGGACGGCGAGCTAAAGAGCGCTACGAGGAAGTGAAATTCGGAAAATACAACTGGAAGGCGATGCGGCAGAAGGCAGCCAAGCTCGAGTATAACCTTGATCACGCGGAATTTAGCCATCCAGTCAAGCTCAAGAAGACCCCTAACGGCCGAAGAATCTTCACTACAAGAGATATAAAGCGTGGAGATATTTTAATGGTGTCCAAGGCTATTGCCATTACAGGGTTTGAAGATGCCAACGCGTGTATTCAAATAGCTCCTCGCAACGGAAAATTCGAGTGCGAGTATGGATGCTCTGCAGCCTTCGACATAGAGATACTAGAGCGCATCAAAAGAGAGGGCTCAGAATGGTATGAGAAAACATTATGTCTTATGGATGAAGGTGGCTACTTCCCTGCTCCACACAGATATCCGGACGGTACAAAGGCCGTCGATACCTTTCATATCGAAGCCATCCGACGCAAAAATTCTATGATTATCAGTAACCTTCCACTGCTTCAACATAGGTCGACAGGGTACATGGTTCACACTCCTTCCCATATACCACGAAATATTCATTATAATTGTGGAATGTGGTTTCTCCCATCGTTTCTCCGCCACAGTTGTATACCGAATGCCCATCGTTCTGCCATCGGAGAAATGCTCATTGTCCGTGCGGGTAAGGATATACCGAAGGATACCAAGGTCACCATCAATTGCTCTACTCCTTCGAATTGGGAGTTCCCTATGACTGAATTCGTCTGTACTTGCCCGGTTCATACCCATGACTTCATTCTATCTGGAGACCCAAATGATCCGGAAAACGTTACGAAATTGAAAGCGTCAATTTGGCGCGAGTTCAACAATAAGTGCCAATACATCGAAAAGGCGAAAACGAATCCTGAAAAATGGATGAAAATCAACCTCCTGGAATTGCTTTCATCTATGTCCGATTGTTTGGACAAGGCCCGGCCTTCGATCCCATCGCCAAATGAGATTCCACAAGTCCAGCTTGCTCATAGACACCGATACATTGCGGCCGCTTACTACGGCGCTGGGCAACGACGCCACGCTCGTTGTGCGTGCTACAAAGTTCTGGACTCTCTTGGAGTTGGTTACATAGTCCTTGAACAGTTTGATCGAGTCGTCTGGAAAAATCATGGACAGTGCACCGATGATCTCCTACATACATACAACGACTTGTCAGCAATGGCCAAGACTCCGGGGATGAAAAAGTGCTGGCGTGATGCTGCTATCGACACATACGAAATTTTATGTGGCGAACGATATTCATTTGACGCGGTCATGCCTAAGGTTCCGTTTGTTGAATTACAGGATAAATGTCAATGTGTTGGAATCGATAATTTGATGGATGCGACTGAAGCGCAAATGAGAAAGAGGATGGGAGTTGATCCTAAGAAAGAGGAGGAGGTCCGAAGTACTGTTGACGGATTGGCAATTATGCAGATAATGAACGATGGGGCGGCAAGGGCCTGGAAAAATATGCAGGAAAGAAAGAAAAAGGAGCAGGTTATTGGAGCAGAGGCTATGGCGGAAATAATCATGAAACGCGAGAAAGATAGGGAAGTGATTAAGAAAAGAGAGGAAGCGGAAGCGGAAGCAGAGGAAAAGAGGTTGAAAAGGGAGAAGGAGAATGAAAAGAGTGCCGGGCCAATGAGGAAGAAATAAAGGGCCATTACCAACTTGGAAAAGCTATTTTGACTTTGAACTCACAAATACTCGACTGCGGAACAATACGCCCTACACTTACCACCATTTCTTAGACGAAAAACATTCTGAAGACCCTATTGTAAAATACACCTAAATGTACATTAGCTACTTCTGATAATAACGTAATCGCAGCGAGATCGAGATCAAAGACACACATCGAGCGATCCAAGCGACCCACAATAAACCCCCCTACCCAAATAGTGCTACTGATGTTGTTATTCTTCAACCTGCATGATCTAGTAGACATTAAAAGAAATATCACGACTTTACTGTACATGTTTGCACGTAAATCTCTGAATTTATAGTTAAAACTTTAGAACCGGGAGCTAGACTAATCAATTTCCCCATCAAACATAACTTTCATTGCTATTTCGATTAAAGAAGATTAATGACGTAGTCCAGTAGAACTATAGGAATGGAGCGGTGGGTTTTAAACTTACTGGTCGGGAAGGGCCAAAGACTGCTCCAATCCTCCTTCAAATATACTTTCGACCCACCAGGGCGTGAAATATACTTCAAGGTTCCCTGAATCCCCGGTGCACGCCTTAGGTTTTCTAGTCTCCCAAACACTTTCAGCATTGCAGTCAATGCCATCAAATTCACATCTTTGCCCAAACACCGATGTTGGCCATATCCATATTGAATGTAATGCTCCTCTGGGCGATCAAGTTTGATTTTCAAGGGATCTGGGAATACTAGAGGATCTCGGGAAGCGGTTATGAAGTTTACAAACACGACATCACCACGTTTGAGATTATGGGTGGTGTCACCGTCGGTAAGATCAAATGCACGGTCTGCTTTGCGGTAAAGTCCGAATGTCCCCGAAAGTCGGTTTGCTTCGAGGACATAGTGACGAAGCTTTTCAAGGGAGTCAGGAGATCCATTTCGAGCTAACTTTTGGATGTCGGCGAGGTACTCGGCATTTTCAGGTTGAAGATAAAAGTCGAGGATTTGAGAAAACTACGTTCGGAGTTAGAGAGGGCCAATACGCAACTACAGATATCTCAGAGAGACAATAATAACTCACGACTTGGGATTGACAAGAAACACTAGCGGATGCGGTCGGTACCATCTGCCAAGTTATCTCTTCAGCGGTTTTTCCACTCTCCAACAGCCGTCGAATCATATGGATGCCATAATCCTTCAGGGAGGAATTTTTGTCGAAGATATTATCGATGATGTTCTTCATAAATGCGGTTTTGTTAATTGCGATAACTAGAAATTTGAAAAATATCCATTAGGCCAACAGTCTGACTTGAAAGGGGTATTTGGAATGTATTACCATTAGCCTCGATTAAGTGTGCTAGCTGGCCCGCGACTAACCTCCCGGCCTTATGGAGAGCGAACGATTTTGTTGGCTCTATATCGAAGAAGACAAAAGTAAACATCACAGATAGGATGGTATAAAGTTCTTGTTCCGTGTATACGCCTCGCGGGTTATCCTCGGTTTTGAGCGGTAGGCAGAACAAATTGGCAGCGAAATGTGTATGGGCTATGTTAATCACATCCCTGACTGCGTCGACCATTTGGTTATTGGCAATACTATACGAGTGTTTTTTTAACATTTCTATCGTCTTTTGTTCGTAAAAGTCGAAAACTTGTCGATACCAAGTGCTAGGTCCGTAGATGGCATGTTGCATATCGACACGCTGGTCAGCGTTCGTATCTGTGTCGCCGCTCAACATCCATGTATGTCCAGACATCATATAGTCGAAGTTCTGTCCCCATGTCACTTTGAACTCGGGTTTGCTAAGAATAGTCTTTAGTGCAGCGTAGCTTGAGATCATAACACGTGTTGGCCTCCGGCCGGGCCTAGCGTAATCGAAATCTGCTACTCTCCCAAGATCTGTCATGATCTTATGAGTCTCTTTTGGAGTAGTTAATGGATAGAATGCATAACTGGAGTTATAAGTGAAATGGTGGGGAAATGCCTTCAAAAAGAGCTTGTGGAAGATGCATCCTTGATTAATAGCTGGGTCAGAGGCAATTTCTGAGAACCCCCAATTGGTTAAATTGGCTGGCGTATACTCAATGGTGTAGAAACGGTCACCCCGTACCAATGAAACGAAGTCTGAGAGGATGGCACGCGAAAGGGTGAACGGCTGTGAGATACCAACACCTGGAACCTATATGCGAGCGAGTAAGATTACTTATAATTACACTGGTATTGCTCTTATGCTGGAAATTCCGTATACGTACCATGGGGGCTTTCGCATCTTCAGCGACAAGGCCAGGATATAGTTCGACGAAATCTGGGTGGTCATAGAGTCTTCGTAGCCTTTCCGAAACTTTCGGATCCGCGTTGATTTCTTCGAAGCTCCTATAAGACTTGAGACCAAAGAAATTTCTAAATTCATTCAAAGAAGCGCATTTCCACTTCCGCGCCTGCTCAATTCCCATACATTCGATTGTTTTCATAATCACGGGAACATTGTTTGCCCCAAAGCTACCTGAAGAACGATGTTAGTTCTATTATCACTATTAAGTGTCCCACCGACATAGCTAATTGACTGGATTAGTTTAAGGGAGTGGAATTCTCATACCAGCGTGGTCTTCGATACTGTCTGCTAGAATTTGTACAAGTTCGTCGTCTGGGAGGAACCCGTCGGTCCCTTTTTCAAGGCCATAGAAGCTTCTTTCCGCTGGATCATCGGGGATTGTTGCCTCTAGCGCACCTAATCTGCATGCCAGTTTATCTGCATCAAGCTGGGATATATCCTGTTCGGGGAACATTTTCGAATATAGTTCTTCGTACCACTCTTCGTCCCTTTTAGATATGGCACTGTGCCATCGATGAACAAATGCGAATTCAACAGAGAGCTGGTTTCCAACCCCTCGGGGCGTTCCGTTGTCGCTAAACAGCTTCTCACTATTCACACGAGGGTCTAGGTTCCAAGTTGAGATTGTCCGGTTGAGATTCAGAACGGTGCGCAAATAATCTGCTAGGATTATGTTAATGTATAAGCCGCATGTAATCAGTCTGGCGGTTTGAAATAGATCTTCATCTCTAGCTTTCAGAGCAGCATTGTCATTTTCTTTGAGTCCGGGGACCGAAAAGCGGTTGTGCTCGTTTATATTGCTGAGGGTTTGTGCAATATAATTATGCCAGCGGTTGAACATAACCAAAATGGCCCCGACGCCTGGAGGGTAGGAGAAAATACGCTTGTCGGAGAAGCAATCTTGTTTCAATTTGCCATCTTTGAAAGTTCTCATTGTGTTCACATCATCAAGGCTCGAGCCGTATAGAGGGGAGAGATCTAAATATGATGAGTTTGCGGATATTTCGTCGTCAGTCGGGTCCAGTCTATAGAGGTCTAGTTGGATTGGCACCAGTAGGTTAGCTAGTAATACGTGGTTTGCGTACTTAATTGCACCTTTAATATGGCCCTTGGTGGGGTCCGGCAGGTGTGGAAACCACGAGGTTTCCGAAAAATAGACGGTTAACCGGTTTTTTTACTGACCAAGACTAATTATATTTCCAAAATAAAAGAGTAGGCTTGATACATTATTTGGGTTTCGCCTATAGTCCGACCGGGCCATAACTGCGTCGAAAACAAGCCCCGCATCTGGGTATGCGCCTCGAGGTTGAATCATCGGCCGAACACTACGAGCAAAAGGCTGTCCCGCTTGGCCGATATGGGGAAATTGGATGTTCTAATTTGTATGTCCATTAGGGCGGATATTAGATTTGGTTTGGCTGAAGGGGAGTCTATCGGATTTAGGAGAGCCTGAGGCCACGAAGCGATACTAACGTTGTAGGACCCATCTGCTTGACGATGGCTATACCTGTTTCCTACATAAGCTTCTGGAGGATGGTGGTGTATATTCCATAGTCGATCCACGAACTATATCCGTGTTAATATTTAGATTATGAACGGAGGTCTTGAAGTCTAGAGTATACATAGAGTATACTAGTATCGTACATCATTCGTGACAGCAACCCTATTTCGAGAACCGTTTGGAAGATCAGCGACTAACTGGATGATTCTTTCGGTCTACCAACACCCACGGAAGCATTCGATTAGCCTATTGACTCAGCTTCGATAAGAAGCATATACTATTTGGATGTCCATGGCCTTACAATGTACGTCTTATCATCTATCAACTCTCCTGTCACTTTCTGCTGGATGACTTCTCGAAGAGTTCGTATATCTCCAATTCCGAAAGTTTTCAAATCCTTAAAAAATCCGCTTGAAGGTTCCGTTTCTTTTTCATGTCGTCCGTCCGCAGGCGGTAGGGGTCTCAAACTGGCTTTTATCACGTTCGCAAAATCGGAAAGCATTGATTCAATCTCTGGTCGCTTAGCCATGTGGTCAGGTAGCATTGAGGATGCGGCCCGCTCCAGCATGCTTGGTTTAGCTTCATCTTCTTCGCTGTCTCCATGTGATCCATTGGACCCATTGACTCCGTTCGTGCCTTTCCCTTTCTTCTCACTAAATCTTAGAAAGCTAGAAGACCGTCGTTTTGTTTTTGTTTGATCTATTGGAGATGATGGGGACATAGGGGACTTGATAGACCCGTTTCTATTCCAAGGAAATCCCATTGCTTATAATTAGGGCCGCCGGGCGTGTAGGAGAACCGATTTGAAATATAAGTCGACCCGGTGGGCTCAGTTGAAGGTTCAACTAGCTATGAATAGTTGACAGGGAAAGCAGATTGAAGAAGCGGAACAGCTTCCAGGCCGCATCGTTTAGTTACTAGAACCAACTTAGGCTTCTTAGGCCTATTTAATTAAGCTAAATATGTACTTACATCCGTCTGGCAGCCAAGGGCGATCTTCTGTGGAGCTAGGCGGAAGCTTAGCTGCACTTGAGACGCAGGAATTCGAAGGCAGTTGGGAATGCATCATGTCTAAATTTGTCTAACTCATCTAGTAAAGCAGATCATGCTGTGCAGCAGTGGTCTAGCAGTTGCAGGCTGGATTCGAAGCTACATATGTGCAACATTTGCAGTACCGGATCGAAATCTGTGCAATTTGCATAAGGGCCATGCCGAATCCTAATTGAATTATTGGCTAGAAATATAGATCGGGCGATATCACAAAGAAGAAGCTGTCGAGTCCTTCAATTACTCGCCTTAAAGCTAACGTGCACTAGTCTGGAAGAAGAATATTCTGAAGTCGAAGTGCAGGCCGAAATATTTGTGTATTCAACAAAAGTCGTGTTGTGGCATTTAAAGCTACTTCCAAGGTACTCGCGGCCGCACTAAGTCTTCACATCGAGATTACCTTACCTCAAACTATATCAGGCTGGATGGAAGAAAAATAGCCCAGCTTGAACTCGCCGCGACAGTGCCCAATGAGATGCCTCGAACCTACGAAAAGGAACCGGCTGTCGGATCGTCAGAATGGAGGGGGAGGCGATCACGAGTGGAAGTTTGGAGTCCGCATTGAAGCTCTCCTGGAGGGATTTTCTCTCATGCAGAGCACTAACATGCAGGACGTGCCGTCCTTCTTCTTTTTTTCCCCTCCAATTGATGTACTTACAGAAGTACGGACAAATGTACCAACGGCTTCGTGACGGGTGAATTCATGAGACTTTTTAGAACCACCCGAGGATGGCTCCACCGACATGCATGAGATTTTCGAGTGCAGAGAGGAGCTGCATAAAATTCTGCCCGCTTGTGGAGATGGCACATGTATTGGCCCCACTCAGGTTATTTTCACACCCAAAGCTTGTAAGCATCAAAATGCGACGGTTCAAGAAATCCTGCCTCACGACATCCCCTGGCGACCCAAGCTTAGAAGCGAAACTACAACGCTCTGATTGGCCACTCTGGCTGGCGGCATTGCACCGGGGAGGCTTGTGCTACCCACGTCCCGTTCCCTTGTCATTGAAGCTTGTGACGAATGAAAGAATCTATGTAGCCTGGGACTTTTCGAATTCGAAAGCGTTCTTGGAAGTTTCTCAACCCTTGTGGGCGACATATAGCCTCGATTCCGCGAGCTAATCGAATGGATTGCCAATAATGTGACGGTTGGCTGGAATGCTGTTATGTCTCTCCCACTGATTGGTGACACAACGTTAAAAGCTGCTTCCTGGTTTACATGTACCAAATGTATCTAACGCATGGTGTTTCAATGCATCGAGGTTCGTCGCTGCGGCCGCCTCTCGCGTCGTTATCGATACGAACTAGACAAAAGAAGTATATAAGTAAGTACTTACATACATTAAAATGCAGACGGGAAATCGCGCGATCGATCTCGAAAAGCAAAGACGCAGGCCAATCGCAAAACCTGATTTAATTTGCTACGGGTCGGGAATTTCCATGAGCTCAAGAGCGCGAACATCAGATGGGTGGGCCTCTCCTTCCTCGATCGAGTGGACCCACCTTCCAAGCGGGTAGGAAAGCGAATTCAGATCGAACATAGATTTCGCTAATCTCCTCTCGGAGAAAGTGTGGTTCCAGGCAGGTCCTTGGTTGAGTTTGAGGTCTTGGACCAGCTCTCCCAGGCGCTCACAGTGCTGAATTTTCCCTGCTCAATGCCTGCAAGTTGCATACTCTCTGACATGGCGGCTTCCAAGCAAAACATGCACGTAGTCAGTGCTCCTACACTTGGATCGGCTGGCGCAATTTTAACTCGTTACCTTTGAGCTGCATCCACTTGCATTTATCTCATAGGTTAGGGTATTTTTTTTTTGCTGCTTGGCTCGCCGGGTCTCAGACGGACCGGCACCCATGTCCCGGTGTTAAACCCCAACCAAACCCTGGAGTTGCTAGCAATTTCCCGGCGAATAGAGTCGTTTGGAATGCTCATCATGATACTCCACAGTATCCCAGATGCCACCTGCAGATTCCTGTTGGTGGTGCACAAAACATGGCTTCATGCTGCATTTGGGCAACTTGAAGCACCCCAGCCTTCTGAATTCAGACGCTAGTCGTCCGTCTGTCGACCGGCCATGTCATTCAGCCAGCGTCCAATGGCCTGAGGTGACTGCGACTGCGACTAGGTGCATGGCTCGTCGTCACAGAGGCATATCTATTTCATGATACCTCCGCCCACTTCCCCTTCTTCCTTTCCTCCTCTTCTCCAAACTCTGCGATCCCTTCAGCACAAGTCCGCCATTTCGCCCTTTGTATTGGCTGCGAGAGCCGAAAAGCGAATTCACAATGTCGTCCCAACTCAAATCTATGATCCAAACCATCAAGCGAAACCCGCTTAAGTCTCGCGGTGAGAGACCGGGTTCTGTAGTCAATGGCACTCCTGTCGAGGAGAAAACGGGTATTCTCCATGATATTACCCACCTCAGCATGAAGGATAAGGCGACAATGGCCCAAGCCATTACCACGCTAGCATCTGGTGAACCGATTGACGACAAAAAACTCATGCTTGAAAATGGTGTAACCATGCTTCAAGGTCTTCCGCCAAACAGCGGACTGAGCCAAAAAGTGTCTGATGGGTTTATTACAATGCTTTGGCACGATCTGCCACATCCATATCCCACTACAGCTGGCCCAGAGGCTAGGTATCGAAGACATGATGGCGGTGGGAATGTTCCGTGGAACACCGAATTGGGAAAGGCCGGATCTCCATATGCGAGAAATGTTCCACCCATGAAGCCAAAGGGCCCGAATTTGCCAGATGTAGAGTCTGTCTATGAAGCTCTGCTGAAGAGAGAAGGCCCGTTCCGCAAGCACCCTTCTGGGCTGAACCGCATGTTTTTCTCATTCGCCACGGTTGTTATTCATGAGTGCTTCCAGACCTCACGAAAGGACCCTTCCATCAACGAAACTTCGAGTTATGTAGATCTCAGTACTCTGTACGGAAACACAGATAAGGAACAGGTGAGGGTGAGGACATATAACAATGGTCTCATTCATCCAGATTCAATTGCTTCTGAAAGAATCATGATGATGCCTCCAGGTGTCATTGCGGTCCTGCTTATGTTTTCGCGAAACCACAACCGGATCGCCCGAAATCTGTTGTCGATTAACGAAGGAAGCAAATACAAGCCGTGGGATAGCCTTGATGATGCTGGCAAGAAATGGTAAGGAACTGGCCCCCTGGAACTCGTGTCGAGTAGGCCTGCGAAACGATCTAACATGAATGGCTGAATAGGCAAGACGAGGATATCTTCCAACTTACCCGAAACATAAACGTTGGATATTTCGCTTCCTGCGTTCTCGGAGACTACGTCGCCGCTATTCTCAACACCCCACGAGCCAACTCTGAGTGGTCCCTCAATCTTGGAAAGGAGATCAAGGAAGGGGCAAAGCGTGTAGAGCGTGGTTCTGGTAATTTGGTGTCTGTTGAATTCGCTGTCCTGTACCATTGGCATGCCGCGCTTAGCGCTGCTGATGACAAATGGATGGAGGAGTTGATTCGATACGATTTCCCAGACCTCAAGGACTTAGAGGATGTTACTGTTGAGATGTTCCACAAGGTTATGAAGACCTGGGGCCACAAATTGATGGTTACTCCTCCAAAGGACTGGACATTTGGCGGGCTTGACCGTCAGGCAGATGGCACCTTCAACGATACCGAACTCGCTGAGATCATCAAGAGCTGCATTGAAGAGCCCGCCCATGAATTTGGTGCTCACGGTACTCCCGCCAGTCTCAAGGTGGTTGACATCATGGGCCAACTGCAGGCAAGAAACGTCTTCAATGTCTGCACATTAAACGAGTAAGTGATCTGATACTAAATTCTTATAACTTTGGCCAGTGTCACTGACGAGTATATAGATTCCGAAAGTACCTTAACTTGAAGGAGTATGAAACATTCGAAGATTGGAATCCGGACAAAGAAACTGCAAGACGGGCCGAGCTTTTATATGGTCACATCGACAATATGGAGTTGTACCCTGGTTTGATGGCTGAGTGCACCAAACCAGCCATTCCCGGTAGCGGAGTTTGCCCGGGACAAACAACTGGCCGTGGTATCCTAGATGATGCCGTGGCCTTGGTCCGTGGAGATAGATTCCTAACCTACGATTTCAACAGCAACACATTGACTAACTGGGGTGCCTCTTCGCTCTCCGAACGTGCTCCAGGAGCATACGGTGGTATCTTGCCAGTCGTGCTTATGAATGGTATTCCTGGCGAATTCACAGGTACTTCATCATACTCGCTGCTTCCATTCTATACACCGGAGGCTGCTCAGGGAATTTTGAAGGGCAACAAGGTTACGGGCAAGTACATCAGTGCTAGACCTCCAACGGGCAAAGGTCTCGTCAGTGTTCAATCTGAGGCCGCAGTCAAGCAGATTCTCGGAGATGCCGATGGCTTTAAAACCCCATACCCATCTGAGATCCCTGCTAGCAAAAACGGTCATGACTTCTTAAACGGATGGAACGACCTCAAGCGTCACGATTCTATGACCAGCCCAATTCATAAGTCTTTGATCGAGGAAGGTTTTGAGAAGAATGTTTCTCTCTTCTTTAGCTCGAAGATGAAGGCCCTCATCGAGAAAAACACTTTATCCTTCAAGAAGGGCAGGAAATCGATCGACATTGTTCGTGACGTTACAAACGTCGTCCCTATTTTCTGGGTCGCGGATCGATTTGCTGTTCCGCTTAAGACCGCAGAGACACCCCGTGGTGTTTTCACACCGTTTGAGGCTTTTGGTAACTATTTGGGTGTCTATCTTTACCAAAACTTCAATGTTCTACCAGTTCTAGAATGGCGCTTGCGCGAATCTGCAGTCAAAGCTGCTAGCTCGCTGCTCTCCGTCTTCGAGACCCACCTTAAGACACAAAAGGGAATTACAGAGACTGTTGTCGACTGGCTTGCGAAGGGTAGCGCTTTTCAAGTCGGTCCTCATGCCGACCGCCTCTACCACGCTCTCAACGACTCCAAACAGGCAATTCCAGATTCTGCGGCGGACATGCTCAACATGAGCGCCCCACTTGTCTCCATTCTTACTCACCAAGCCTCCCTCCTTATTGACTTGTATCTCAGCCCTGGCTACGAACAGTACAAGGAACGCTTGGTACAATTGGCCAACGCAGATGCTGCATCCTCCGAGCAAGAGCTTCGCGGTTTCGTCTACGAAGGTATTCGTCTTGCCCCCGCAGTTCTTGGTGTCCCGCGTGTCGCCAGCAAGGACATCACTATCAATGATGGTGCCCGAGGGCCTATCAAGATTCAATCCGGCCAGACTGTTCTTGCTGCTACTTCTGCAGTTGGTTTGGACCCTACTGCCTTCCCAGAGCCAGAAAAAGTCAACCCTACACGCCCATTGGCAGATTATGCCGTTCTCGGTAGCGGTTTGAACTCTTGCTATGGTTCCAAGTTGATTGGAGCTGCTCTCGCCTCAACATTGAGGGAGGTCTTCAAGCTCAAGAACGTGAGAAAGGCAGCCGGAAAGTTGGGTAACTTCACTGTTGCGCATTATGATATTGCTGGTCTGCAGTGGAAGCAGTACTTGGATGATAATGCCAAAGAGTCTCCTGTTCCAACGTCTTTGACATTGGAATATGATGCTTAAGGGAGAAGGCCACAGTGTGGAATATCTGTAAGACTGGGTGAGTTGGAAGATTTCGATTTTCCCCTTTTCATTCTGGTTTCTGGACAAAATTTGCATACCGTTTTAGGCATTTGGGGAGCGTTTTGTAAGTAGTAATATTGAATTATTTAATATGAGTAGGAGATTCTATGAGGTGGTAATGGTGGAGAGGGGTGTATTTCGAAGCTAGTACATAATTTAATGCGAAATGTCATCTTGAACTTCATCTGATTGTTAAATCCGGCTCATTACGTAAATCCGCTAGAATTTTCAAATATGGTAAAAATCGAGCGCCATGATAAGATTTAAGACCTTTTGAGATTAGGGCAAGATAGTTCAGCGCAACTTGAGCATTTCAATCAAGGCTTCGAAAACACCATACATTGGATTGGGGTTCAAATTATTGCTGTGGCTACAAAAAGCAGAGATATCACAGGTCATCAATAAATCCATCAACTAAAAACCCGTGCCCCGAACTTTCCCACAAGCCGTTACTCTGAGTATCAATTGGTCGCTCCTGCGGCTTCGGCCTGTTCCTTCTCAATCTTCTTGGTATCAACACCCCTCTCCACTGGGAGAACGGTCATGTTGAATTTCGCCATTGTTAGACCAAATCGAGACCTTACGCGTGGCTCCCAGTGTTCAGAAAATCGTTCTTCGGTAAGCATTGGTGTGAGATCGTTGATAGAGCCACCAAATAGTGTGAGCATTGTAGAGGAGCTATTTGTATGGAGTTAGCGTTTTGATGTGGGAAATAGAAAGGAAAAGCATACTTTGAGCTTCCGAAAACATTGTGGAAGAAACTTTCAGAGTAATTTGTATTTGTTTTCCTAGCATCAACTCGTCGCTTTGCCAATGCTCTCGACAAGTCTGGAATTGTAAGCCTAGCGCTACCATCTGCCATTTTCCCAGTAGCTTCGGCGAGTAAATCATGAACGAGCTTTAAGTCCGGTTTTGCCTGGTCTGGTACCAACGCAGCATCTTGCCTGGTCAAACTTGCATCGTGCTCGATGGCATTGTGCTTGCTAATTTCCTCAAGATCGAACTTATCCTTCCAATAAGATCGGTTCAAAAAATCCGCAGCGAATTTGGGTACGAAGAAACAGAACGTAGGGGCAAAATTGAAGGTTTGTCGGATCTTGTGGTTGAGTTCTACGAAAGTAATATTTTTACCATCGTGCGGGAGAATTCCGTGGTTTGCCATGGCATTTAACATTGGGCATGCAGAACGAGAGTCGCCTTCTTTTGGAGGAACATATTCTGGCCATGAGAGATTGTGGCCAGGACATCCGATAGGAACAACTTGACCTTCTTTACGGTCGGGAGTGACTAAGTTAAGGAGGAAGAGAGCGAAGTCCCATTGGAAAACGAAGAGTTTGATAAAGACGCCCGCGGTTTTGTCAACTATGCCACCCATCTTGAAGATTATCTGAGGGAAGTGGGTATACTCAAATTGTGTGAGTGCAAGAAGTGTGAGAAGGGGAGAGTCTACAGATTTTGAAGACCTGGGACGGAGATAGATTATATGTCACTGATAGCCCACACTGCCTCTGACTGATTTTCTTATGGAGCTCGTACTGCAGCACAAGGTCAATTGGATAGGACTTGCTACGGCTTGCTGCTGCTGATGCACGACGCCAGGTAGTTTTCGTTATTGCGAGTTCGATTCGATAGACCCATCATGCATGGACGAAAACTAGTAACCCTGACCCTGTTCATTGGCACTAGGAAGTTATCTTTTTTTTTTTTTTTGATCCAGGGTCAGCGCCTGCTGTAGAAGCGGGGAATTTCTCTCGCTTCTTGTTTTTATGAAGCTCGCTCGACATGAGTTGATCCCCGGGGACGAACCAGAGGGCTCCAGCTCATGGTTTTTGCGCTCAGTGAATCGATCGATCGGTTAGATTCCTTCCGGAGTGGGGAAGTTCCCGTGCATGGTTTCCTTGCTTGGGCAGCCCCTTGTCATCGTCGCCCGGAGAATGTGACAAGTGTCTTGCGTCGGGTTCGAATTGAGCGGCCTGTGATTGGACCGGCCTCTTGCTTTTTCAGCTGCAGATTCTTTGATACTCCCATGTAAAGTCTTGAATTTGAGAGGATAATCCAACTCCACTTCGCTTCTTCCTGTTTGCCAAGTGTAGATATGAAATTTGCAGTGGAGATCCTACATAGCAAGGAGGAACGCACGCTAGAACCATGCAGGTGAATAAAATATCATTGTGAGTCTAGGCCTTTTGGTTTTGTCGGTGTAGCACTTGGCAGCTCTTCTGGTTTGTCCCTTTGTGATGCAATGCATCTTACAATGAACTGTCAAGGAAGAGAATTGATTGGGATGGGAAAGTATTTGAGTCAGCAAAAGGACATGGAAATTATAGATCAGTCCCTATATCGACTTCAATAGGTAGTAAACCAAGGAATGTAGTATTCAGTCAACAGTTGGAATGGAGTGATATCTAGTTTGGCTTTTCGGAAAGTCATGATGGGCAGTTCGGATTGCATGCGTTGCAATACAATGCTTAATACTTATTGGCGATGCGGAACGGCTCGTCCTTGGCTTTAACGAGACTGATATTTTAAGTCAAGCTAGAGTATTTAAACTGTTAGCGGATTCTTAGTAACTGATAACGTCAGTGTAATGATGTTGGTCGGACTAGTATGAGGTGCTTCAGGAAGTGGGTACAGACAAAGTACTACCTACATATAATGTACTAGCTAGTGGTTCTATCACGACCCACTAAAACACCAAGTAGTAAATGATCCAATACTTGCCTCTTACCGAATATCTAAAAGATTGGTTGCCAAGAGATAAGATCTCAGTAGGATCAGATCAGATTAGATTAAATCAGATCACAGCACTGATAAGATAAGATGGTCGATGGGAATCGGTTGGGGCAAGCATGCTCCGTCTCTGCGTTGTATGATTGGTGGAGAACAAACAGTGACAAACAACACGCGTTGGTCTTCCCCAGCAAGCAGCCTCGTGTTTTCGTCATTCGTTCGTTGACGCAAACCAACATCCCATTCCGCAGCCTAGCAAGAGGCCAGCTCTCATCAACCTCATCTTGCCCTCGCTCTCACTTGCGATTACTCCCTCCTTCGACTTCCAATCTCTTTTCAAACGTTGATATGTCAATATCGATACTACGAAACTGTATCCAACGGAGGGTAGCTTCGGACACTCAGCGGAAACTTCAACAATCGGCATAGCATCTTTGGTCTGTCCCCTTGTTCGGGAAGCTGCCGTAGCGAGCGACGACATCAAACAGTCTAGCCATCTGCGGAATCGATATCGGTGGTTTCACAATTCCCACAGGGAAATCCCTAGGTGGCGAAGGAGGGTGAGAGGGTGAGAGAACCCATCCCCGGAATCTTGCTCTCTCTTCCTTATTGTTATCGTGCTGCTCTTGTCGTACATACTTTTGTTGGGCCTAGGACCATTTGTTGGATCCTTCATCACCAAACTGTTCTTTCCTAGAGTCTTGCCTCGACATATTTGCTCCTTTATTTAAACGAAATTTTGAAGATACTTTATTTACCGGAGAGGGAAGGTTTCTGAGCTGACATATCGCTTTCAGATTGTTGAGGAGGGAAGCTTCGTTTGGAGTCTTGATAACAAGGTACCTAGTAGCTAGTAGTTGTTATCACGATGCCAGCACCTCGTCGAAGAAGGGCATCCCCTCCACCTCCCACGCATACACCAGGGCATCACCATATCCCTGCACCACCCTCAGAATTATTGCCATGGTATTTCTACCTCGCACCACATCCTCTCGATGATCCGTTAGCACCGTTGCCACTGCCAACAGCGGGTGCTACCCAAGCGCGATACCCGCCTCGTCCCTTCTCTGTCCACGACTCAGAGGCACTTGAGAAAGCATATCAGGCCCTCCTAGTGGAGAAGGAAACGAAGAAACCCCCGACACCAATAAATCCAATATCTACTTCATCTACAAGCGCTCCGACAGACACTCGACCAGGCAGACGACGGAGAAGTGACCCGAGAAAGAGTCAAGAATACACTTCTTCTCCCCTAAGAACGAGCGATGTTCCACCAGAGATGTCAGAGGAAGGGGCACCCCTACCCCCTGTCTCAATTCCTGCACGTAATGGTCATGTCTTGCCGGCGGACGACTTCCCGACTACCGCGATGGAAAGACGAGAAGTAAAGAAGCAGAATCGGAACTCGATATCGAGTATTACTTCTCAACTCGCCGCATTTACACCGTCGGCGTCGCCTAGTCTAGGGAGCTATTCGAATTCCGCGGGAACAACATCCAATCCATTTATTCGAGCCAAAAGCCGCGGGGAGGTTCCGCCGCTCAGGAAAAGCTCGAAGCCAAGATCGTCAGAAAGCAGACACGGTTCGAAGGATCGAAAATCAACAAGGGCACCGACAACCGAAGAGAAGGATGGAAAGGATGAAAAACTTGTCCCTGTTGGGATCCAGCGCCTTCACCAAGTTCGAATACCAAGCTTGAACATGGAGCCAATATATTGGTCCCCGCGCGATGGATTGGACAATGCTAAAGTTATAAGAGGAACTTGGTTTTACAAGGATACAATGTTCCCTGTAGAAACTGAAAAGGCGAATGCTCTAGAGAAAGGGTGGAGGGAAGTTATGGCGTGGACTCAGGAATGGGCATGGGAACTCGATAGTGCTGTCAAAGTTGGAGAAGAAGCCGAAGCTAAAATCAGATGGGTAATGCCTCCTATCAAAACTGCTTCCAGGCCACCAACCGCAACCTTGACAACCGCAACAAGTGCCACGCTAGACCAACCGGCTGAGTTGATGGAGGAAAGTACTACCTTGAATGCGGATCTGGTTAGGGATGGCGAAATCGAAGCCACAGGGAAACCAGACCCATCGAGTGCTGAATGGGTAATATTTGCGGATGCCAAGTCTGCCTATATTATGAAAGATAGTCTTCTTGCCGGGTTTGCGGGCAGAAATCGTCGACCTCTAGCCGCCATCAAACGAGGCCTGACTGTTGGGACTCCAGTCGTCCGCGGTTTTGATATAGAGGCCTGGAGGAAGATTCACGGTGATAAATATGGACTGTCTGCTAAAATGGATGCAGACGAAAGACAAAGAATAACTGATTTGATCCTGGTTATACACGGGTACGTTGCAAAGGTTTCTATCTGCATTGGAGTTGTGCTAATTTGAGAGACTAGTATTGGTCAAAAACTCTCAGAACGTGTGGAATCATTCCATTTCACACACGCTATAAATGGTTTTAGACGTCTCATCAATCTCGAACTTAGAGACCCTGCCGTCAAACCTCATCTGCGAAAGGGAGTGGGCATCATGATACTCCCTGTTAATTGGAGGTCGACAGTCAAATTTGATGTAGATGGTATTGCTAGCAACACTGAAGAGGAGGATGAGGACGAGTTGGAATTTTCTCTTGAAGACATAACACCACCAACAATTCCCGCTGTCAGAAGCCTCATGGGAGATGTCGTAATGGATATTCCATATTATTTGTCTCACCATAAGAACAAAATGGTAAACGCAGTTATTAAAGAAGCAAATAGGATTTATAAGCTTTGGTGTAAAAACAATCCTGGATTCGGCTCAGAGTTAGGTGGGGGGCGGGTGCACTTGATGGCTCACAGCTTAGGCTCGGCTATATCGCTTGATATCCTAAGTGCCCAGCCTACAAACGTTTTCCGCGCGAGTTCTCGAACATCAACGCCTATTCCTATGCAACCAGAAAAGGACCCTAATGACGACGACGCTTCTTACATGTCTGTAACACCGACTACGCCTGGGACTTTCGACTTTAACACTACGAACCTTTTCTGCGCCGGTTCGCCAGCCGGATTATTTATGCTCATAAATAGACGCGGTTTAATACCCCGTTATAAACTCAAAACAGAGAACCCAGATTCATCCGATCCGTCGGTCTGTGGCTTGCAGGGAAGATACGGTTGTCTCGCAATCGAGAATATATACAATGTTATGCACTATTCAGACCCGATCGCTTACCAACTGAATGCAACCGTTGATCCAACTTATGCGGCGTCATTAAAGAGAGCTTTGGTGCCATCCACTGCCGGTGGATTCTTTTCCTATCTCCCGCGATATTCCTCTTCAACAGCAGCGACCGCGAAACCAACGCTGCCAACTCTACCCGTACGACTCCCTTCAAATATGGAACTTGAGGTGCATGATTTTAGTAGAGAAGAGCTGGCTGAGAGGAGGATGTATCTATTGAATGATTGCGGTCAAATCGATTGGTATTTGAAAGCCGGAGCGGGAATGCTGGATAGTGAGTATCTAAACATGCTAGGGGCGCATAGTTGTTACTGGGAATCGAAGGATTTCGTGAGATTCATAGTGGTAGAGTGCGGAAGAAGGAAGGGCAGAGATGGGGTCGTAGAGGGGATGCAATGCGAGAAGAAGAGAGAACTGGGAGGCTTATTGAGCAAAGTGGGGAAGTGAGGCCAGGCTGTATTACAGTTTTGATGGATCTATTAGCATTTAGCGGGTATTTTATGTTCAGGAAGCTATCATTTTTGAGGAGCATGGTGATTTCTTGGGGTTGTTGGAGTCTGATATCAATGCTTGCTTCGAGTATTCTTTGGGTGTAGTTAGCGACAGATTAGATTGTACGATATATCTCCCTTCTTACGACAACTCACATACAATATATAATTGATACTTACCTAATTTTCAGAAGCTATGATAACGGAAGAGCAACTAGAAATGGTGTTCTCGAATCGATAGAACCTTAGGTTAGTAGCTCTCCTTGTTTATCAGGTTCTGACAATGACATGACCCAGACAGTAGCAATGGATCCCTGCAAGATCGAGCTCGTCAACCCCAGGCAGCATTGTTTGCCGAATCAGGCAGCCACACCTCAAACGAACCTTCCAAAATCACGCACTGGCTGGCAAGGAACAAACTTTTGTAGCGAATTCGAATGCTTCCGGGCCAAATCCCGGGATGGTGATAAGATGTCTTGCAGATTTCTCCACCATGGTCAATGCGAGTCCGTCATGCCTTCTTATGGCAAGTACATAATGTGGATTCGGAGCAGTGTACAGCTTTAGGCTAGTCCGGTCACTTTAAAGACAAACTGACACACTTACAACCTGTCGGTTCTTTCTATCGGCTACCTTAAAGGTATGTACCTGCAGCTTCCATTTGGCCTATGAGGGGCGACGGATGCACGCGGTGCCGGCTTCATTGGCACTTGTCGTTTCGATGCTGCCTGCTCTCTCCGTCATGATAGTTCGAATGTTCTATAGCTCCAAAGCATGTTCAGGCAGGACATTCAATCGACGACCTTCTTTATGGGTCTGCACCGAATTTCGCTTCTGTCGTTCAGGTGGTTATGCGCTTGGGATTTAAGAATGCACCGGCGCGCCTCGACAGTTCAAACGAAATCGTTTTATGGATTGTGCACTGTATTCTCCTTAAGTATCCCCATCTCCGAAGACTTCTTGGACATTGTCACAAGCTTTGCGACCAGGCAGAAGAAGAAAAATATAACAGCGACAACACACCGTTCCTGAGCCGAGGGTAAAAGGGCTTAGTACTTCGCAGCCTTATCACCACCTTCCCCCAATTGTCTCAGATTTCCAAAGCTGGGTTACCGCCGTACCCCATAGAAAAATTTCTTACATTCCCCAAACTTCTTATTCGCTTTTACCAAAAAGTAAAAACTTTTAGGGGTTTGTAAGTATCGCAGCCGGTACTTACAAGGTATGTGTTGACAGAGTCATGCCCTTGCCGTGAATTTTGAAGCTTTGTCGCAGGTCGTGTGCAATGGAAATATCTCCGTCGTGCCGTTATGGGCGTTCCTGGTCCTCGGGATGACAATATCGAATCGCCACATGGGCGTGTTCCTTGCGTTACACTTTACCTTCGACCAGGGGACTGACATGTGCTTTTGCCCCCATGGGGTCCTTGCGCAGCATTTTCCTTTCTTGCCTCCTTGTGGATGCTTACCTTCTGGAAACCTCGCATGCTTCATGATTCACGACTATTTTTAAGGTTTTAATTTATTGGGCGTGGTAGTGGTTCAGGGCTAATGGTTAAATTTCCTTCTCGGTTTTTTCATTATAGATTTTTCTATTACATCTCATGGCTCCTCCCGCTTTTTCCCTGTTGGTGATGCTGGCTAGCTACGACTTTACCGCTGTAGCTTTTTTTGCATCGGTTTATACGATCCTGATATCGACTATTGTGGCTGCAAGTGGCAGCAGTGAGACGAAAAAGACTCGCAGGGTTAAGAGAAAAATAACGACAACGGTTTCTAATCCCTCATCTCAACTGATATCTTCCCCTCAACAACGACAGCAGTCGACGCAGTCGACGACGGCGGCTCTTTCGACGCAGATATGTCAAGGATACCGCCCCCCGAAGTCATCGCTTCATGGCCCGAGCCAAACTATAGCAATCCCGCGAACAGAGGTCACTATCTAATCGCCGTCGAGGTTGTGTTATTCTTCTTGACAGCAGTAGTGGTTGTGGGAAGGATATACACAAGGCGGTGGTTGATAAGGAGCTTTGGGATTGATGATTGGTTGATTATTCCTGCTAGTGTAAGTAATCATTCTTGACTAGAATTAGGCCAGGATATCTTGAGCCTTTCTATGCAGATGTGCACATGTGTACGTATGATATCAAGTAACCATAACTTAGCTAACCTTGCTTGAGGGCTACTGTAGATATTTTGTTTTGCTCTTACAATTTCTACATGTCTTGCTACGACTGCCGGCTACGGCTTACACATCTACGACGTCCCTCATCACCTACGAACAAAATCTCTTGAATATGCATGGGCAAACATGCTTATCTATTGCGTTACCGTAACGCTCACAAAACTTTCGATCCTTATGTTTTACCTACGACTCTTTCCCTCTGGGTTTTTTCGAAAACTTACCTATGTCACTATTTTCCTTGTCATCGCCTCCGGGGTGATATACTTTGTCATGGTTATATTTTATTGTGTTCCGATAAGAGCTTATTGGCAGCCATTTGACTTGCCTGATGCGAAATGTCTCAGCGATGGGTATGCTTTGGTTAGTAATGCGGCTGTCAATATTGCTCTGGATTCTTGGTTGTGGATTATGCCGCTGCCGGTTGTGTGCAAAGTGCATTTACCGACGAGGCAACGGCTGGGGTTGATTGGTGTCTTCGCACTCGGGTTCTTGTAGGCCTTTCCCTTCCTACTGTCATTGTATATTTTGTTGGCATGGATGAAACTAACATGAGGCCTGCCTTGGATTATATAGTGTCTGTATAGCCGGCGCTCTTCGTCTATACTATGTCGCCATAACAGCATACAGTTACGACAAAACATGGGATGGATTTAACGCCTGGATTTGGACGGCATTGGAGTCCGACGTCGGAATTATCTGTGCTTCGTTACCAGCTCTGAAGCCACTGGTTACTAAGCTTACGAAATTCAAATTCTCAGAAGCAACGCCTAGTGTTTACGGGCTTGAGCACTCCAGGACCAAGAATTTGGGTAATAGAAAAAGTGGTGGCGGCGGAATACGATTACCAAGTCGAACTGCGTCAAGAAATTTGGGTTCTCGGAACCAATTAACACAGTTGGAGAGCATTTGGGATGGAAGTGATGAGGTTATCTGTGAAACAGAGATAACAGGAGGTGTTGCGGATGGGAAAAAGGAGAAACAACATCAACAGGCGGAAATATATCAGATGTCTACGATAGTGTTTTCTGGGGATCCGGATGGAAAACTGGCGGCGGCGAGGAAAAGTTATTTCTTTGAAAGGGCGTTATTGAATTCTAAAGAGAATTTAACGGTTCATGTTCGACCATTTGCAGGTGGTGATGAGGATGGACATAGTCACAGTAGCGGTTCAAGTAAGGACCTTGAAGAAGGAAGGAGGAGTGATGAGAATTTCAACCACAATGTCAGTTGGAAGTACTGCTGGGAGATTATGAGGACAACAGAAATAGAGATAAGAGAGGATCATAATAGTTTTGAGGAAGTTAGGAATTTATCGACCGAGTCCTTAGCTATAGGCAGGGCGGTTGAGGTTTGAGTTTCTTCTCTCTTCTTTATTTTCTACTTTTTTTTACGTTTGTTTCTGGGCTAGGATTTCTTTTTGTTAGGCTCTTATTGCATACCTTTCCGTTTCTTTATTCTCTGTAGATATATATATTTTTGGTTGGAACTGTATATAACGGCAGGTTAGCCTCGGGACTGGCTTCATGGATAATATACCCTCGAATTTGTTACGATTATGATATTTCATCATTTGTCTTATCTTGAAGGAAAACTACTTTCACATTTGAAGACTAATTGGGATTAATCCGGATTAAAGCAGCATAAAAATTCTGATCAATACATTCAAAGAGGCTTAAAAATAGGATTAAGCCCGAATACACACTTGAAGTCTCGATGAGTTTTGACTTCAGAAAACAGAAACTGCGGAGCCCACCTCGTCGTCAGTTATTCTTATTCCCTGATACATGGTATAAAATTCTTAAATTAAGAGATCTATGCCTGTTCGTCCAACACAGGAAGTTTCGCCGAGATTGTGGTACTTATACGTAGTACTAGCCGACATAAAGTTCTTGAATTAAGATGACTATTCTTCGCCCGCCACTGGACTAATCCTTTGTAAGAAAAATATCACTCAAACCGCCTCCTAGTTACATTCCCTATTATCAACCTGCTTATTAGCCTGTCTTTGCTCAGCAACCAAACAGTGTTCGGTATATATGGAGTCCTTGTCTTAGCCTGCCCCATAGGCCTTACGTTTACTATACAAGAAACAACGACAACAAAACACACACCTCGCACGGCCAAGCCGGCAGGGCCGGCGGGAAAAAGAAGTTTGAGTGGCCTCATTCAACATAAGATTCAGTGTTAGCAAGAAAGAAAAAGGCTATAAGATGAGTAATTATCCGAGCAAGTGGGTACATGTACCCTTCGAAGAAACTTTGTCTGCAGATCTGGGATACTTCAGTTTTAGAATATTGAACGAAGTCCGCAACACAATTTAGGCAGTGGTATTTTCTTTAGTCGGCTTTGTTTCACGGATTCGGAGGTCTTGCCAGTCTCCAAAGGCACCGTTGATAAATTTTTATGATGACACTATAGCGAGGATTTACCTATAGGGATACTTAAATATGTGCATATATATATGTGCATTCGTGTAAGTCTTATATACAGCGTAAACGTATAAACAGCTCGTTCAAAAGCCTAGCCCACTTGAGCGTGACTTTGTAAAGTATAAAGTAAAAACTACCAAACGATATGATTCGGATGAATCGCTTGACTAAATTTCCTGATATACTGACCCCCCAAAGGACTTTCGAGGCTTTTAATCCCGTGATGCGATTTTAAGACTACCCCGCCATCTAGAAGGTGACAATACCAACACCGGCGCTGCTGTTAACACAGCCGCAGGCATTGCTTGCAGATGTCATTCTATAAAATCGTTGGACTCAGCGTAATTCTCTACAGATATGAAAAGCAAAATGAAAAGACTTACGTGTAAGAGTATGGTGGGCTGAAGCTGGAAGCCTGGGTAATCCTAGTAGTGCTAGTGCCAGCAAAGATATTGTTGCGCTCAGTGGCATAACCGTTGGCGTCCGAGTCCAGGTTTGTGACCACGGAAAGTGGGACATTGGTAAAGCTACAGTTTTCGACAAGAACCTGAGCGCCCATGCGAGAGTTGACACCGGATGTTGGGCAGTTAGTGTAGCAGTTGCTGTACATATGACCTGTACCGAAACGGAGGGATGGGAGACGACTGTTTACGTTGTTGAAGCTGTTGTGGTGGTAAGTAACCTTGAGTTTTCCGGTGTCTTCGCTGGCATTGTTGTCGCTGTGACCGACGAGAGATCCTTTCCACTAGATTACAAAATAATTATGTGAGGTTGAGTTCTTTCTTGTCTTGTAATCGATAATGTATGTTGAATATATTTGGGTATTTCGGAAGATTTACTTACGTGGTCACGGAACTTGTTCCAAGATACTGTAACAAGATTGGAACCGTGTGTAATATCAAGAAGACCGTCATAATCATCTTTCCCCCCAACTAGTCCCAAACTATAGAACTCGTTGTGGTCGATCCAAACATTGGTAGCTCCGTCGAGGGAGACGGCATCACCTTTCTTAGCGGGGCTGAACTTGAGATTTCGAACAATGACGTTATTTGCATCCTTAATTCTGATACCTCCATCTACAATACCGGAATTCGATCCAACACCGAGGAGAGAAGTTCCACTGATGAGATCAACGACACCGCATCCGCTGAGGAGCCCGCTGACCTTAATTACGCCACCATTTTTGGCAGCAGCTGTCAAAGCGGAGCAAGAGGTAACGGTTGTTCCACCGGAGGTACCAGCCCCACTGGCACTGGCACCGAAGCCGGCGAGCTGATTGACAGGAGCGCATCCAGTCCCAGTACCACCACTTCCAGTGGTAGTGGCGGCGCGGGTGGTAGTAGTAGTTGCAGTTGCAGCTCGAGTAGTGGTAACAAGGGTGGTAGTTGGATTAGAGCCACCGGTGTATGCGCAAGAGCATTCAGCGGAGATCATGCTGGGTTTGTTAGAGCAATTGGTAGCCCAGGATGGTAATCCAGTTGTGGCGGTGACCACAGTCTTGGTGAATGTAGCGCAGAAGGGGGAGGCAGTTGCGACTTGCGACTTGATGAAACTTGCGCAGCTATTAGAATCTGCATTCAAGCAGCCTAAGACTGCTGGCACGAGTGCCAAAAGAAGAACTTGTTCCTTATGCATTGTTGTTCCCGAAGATTGCTAATTGGATTCTTGGATTCGAGTCGTAATGTTCGAATGGGTAGTTCTAAAAGCTTTATGATTGACCGCTGATTGTTCGATCTGCTTTACTGGATAGGGGATTTCATGAGGTCCTATTCGAGCTTCTTTATATGCCCGAATGAGTCCGTCCTGTATTGGTTTGGTAAAGATAGCGCACTGGCACGTGCACATCAAATAAAATCAACATTGTTCCGTAAATTACAATTCGAGGATATTATTTCCCCGTTTCACTTCGCTCTCGTTGTGCTATACCGTCGTTTGTTTTAGGTTGCAGGTTGTTACGGGCTTCGCGGTCGTGTATCTCGTTACTGGAGTTAATTAATTAATCGGAGACAGATTCCCCTCTTAACCCCAGGCACTTCGCAGTAGGGCTTACGTAGTATACATTCCCTCAAGTTTTCCGTCCCTGTCGGCGCCACCAGCTAGGGCTCTGTAAAATCACGTTAGGAGTCGATACTTAGCATTAGAATGTTCGCACGAATCTGCATACATCTGCACACCGAAAGCCCCTGTGATGCGTCTAGTGGACGGACAAAATAGACATATACCCAATTTAAATTTCCCGGGCAAGTCTCATAATATCAATTCATAGGAAAGCTCCACGATCTTAGGTATCTTGGAAACTAGTAGATTCACACTCAATTCCGAAGCTTATACATATCTTGTTCTTACGAAGAGTATTCTTGGCGAAGATCCGCGGGGTAGAAGCACGTTTCAGGGACCATGTTGCCCGCTTCTTTGGCCTACACACCTTCTAATGTTGATATTCTAGGTCAAGGGGTTGTAGGTATGGCTTGATTAGTACTGGTGCCTATATTTGCTATGATGTTTTGTATTTATGCCTAAGCTCTAAGACTAAACAAGCTTTTTGCTCTTCAAATTTGACTGGGGCGTCGGGAACTGGTTGCTTGCCTTTTACGTACCCCGCCATTTCCCCACAAAATATTCGAGCCAGGCGAGAATGTTATGCATATGAAGAACTCTAGCTTAAAAGTCTGGGCTAAACAACCGCCTAACAACCCTTTTCTGCCATAGCCAACCCGCAGGGTAATGAGGAACTAGCAACAAAGCGTCGACATAAACACGGGCGGATAGCTGTTTTAAAGTTAGATACTAGTATACTAGGCGGGATCGCGGCCCGGTGCATTGATGTGAACTTAGAATGACGAACTTGGCTGTTTGAACCAGGGTTCACTGACGATCATTGATATCGGACGGACATTTATATTTGATGCGAAGCGAGCCTTGGAGAACTTGCGCATGGGAGAATTAGGAGAATATCGATTGCCGGACAGAATACTATCCAGTTTGCAAACCCATACTTAAAGCCAGAAACCTGGTTGAATAGAACATAGCCCCAGGAGCTCGAATATCCACAGTGCTATAGCACTTCCATGGGACGGATATCCTCGAAGCCTTCCGAACCCCTTCGGAGCCGAAACGCCAAGCGAATGCCGGCATCCGTCCTGCGGGGTCAAGGTCATGGGCACTTTGAAAACTAGATTTTCCATGTGTATGTATCTATGTATTTATGGCGTAGTATTATAATGGTGTACCTGATTCTCACTACGTCGGGAGGTCTTCCTAATTCTTCCGTTTTCTGTGTTGCCTATTGGTGTTGGAGGCGTCTTGGTGCTCTCCATCACTCATATGCCCATATGGCACCCAGACGCATGTCAGGTAAATAGTATTCCCTCGCTAGATCCCGCTTGACTAAGAAGTCTGGGCAACTAGATTCGCCATGGTGACTGCTGGGCGCATTTGTGGTACGTGCTAGGGCTAGCTATCGATATATCGAGGGCCGGGTCTCGAAATGATCTAGCGAACTCTTGCAGAAACATCTTCTGCAACGCGTCTTTTAGTGTTGGATTTTGAGGGACCATACCAGGATCTGGATCCAGTCTCGACACTAAACGTACTAGCTTCGGGAGAACCAAGACGCAGATGCGTCAGCTGCACCTGGGGAGGTATCACTGAATCCATATATCGACGTGGTCTCGTTCCCATATCGACGCCTATTCTACAACTTTAAACAGGATTTGAAGCCTCTATCCTCACAGTCGAAAACCGTGGACTCCACCAGCCGAACGAGCTCGGGACAGTACGCAAGCTTATAGCTAATCGCGTCGGCCCTGATCACTCCGTAGATCCGGTCTACGAGGCCAGCTGGGCTGAGACTACAACACTGTTGTTGCACTAAATATCTGGCCCGGATGACCATAGTTACATCGTTTTCATAATGTTTTTTTGTTCTCACGAAAAGGATTCAGCCAATGAATTTTTCAAGATGCTTTTTCAGAAAATCGTGTGCATAGACACGAAAGAGGTATTTTAAATTCCTTGCGCAGTCTCGTAACCAAACTGTGTCCCTTGCGGTCGACCAGCCGTAAAATTACTCAACTTCCCAATTTTAGGCATGGTTGCCCCAGCTTGGGATGATGTTTTCTAAGGATGAGGATTAACAGTCTTAGGCGCTTCTCTGGCCTCAAACTTTAACAGGAGCTGGCAGTTCGAAGAATATAGCACCTGTGCAACGTCGTGTTATAATGGAAGTGGTTCAGTTTTTGCTTCGCCCTGAGGACTCTACAATCGTAGTTGAAAAGTAAGCCGAACCTAAATGCAGAGTTTTAGTGGTGCGTAAATTCGGGGACCGATTAATATTAACATAAAAGAGTAGCGTAGATATCCGAGTGAATGATAATCCTCCTACCGCACCTTTCGCTTCACTGCCTACAGAAATATGGCTTATTATTCTTGACTATCTCGACGATTTCAGCGCTCTTTCATTCGCCTTGACTAGCAGAGGCTTCTATAACACAGCGTCAGATCGACTGCAAAGCATAATTTGTCCCCTAGCTGAGCTTGGATGCTGGGCGGGGAGGCCACTGGTTAGAGCTGGTAAGATTATTCACGGCCTTTTAGTAAGTAGTCTTGTTCTAGGAAACATTTACTGATGCATGAGTGGTAGGAATCTCTCTGGACACGGAAGAAGAGTATTCGGGAGGTAGTGCTGAGATGGACGAGGCTGGCGGCAATTACCTCATGGCCGTAATTGAATCGAAGATGCTCGGATTGAGGGAACGTGGGTACCATACGATTTATGATTCCGATGATCCTGGAAAACTAGAGATACTTCGTTCTATCTCACGCGATAACTATATACCGCCGGTTATACGGCGGTACGTCTCTGCCGTTTTAAGTAATACTGAGTACGAGAATATGTTTCAAGAGGGGAAACAGTACATAATCAGAAATCTTGATAAAAAGGAGTACGTAACGTTCCCAACAGGAAGGTTGGAGAGGATCACCATTCGACCTCGAGGGGTATTTGATGATACTTTGGTCCAAGCACCCCACCCGGCAGAAAATTTCATTGAAGCAATTACTTGGACGCCGGCGATTAAAACCGATTGTCGTGGCTTGGAGAAAGGCGCTTGGGCTGGGAATCGAATAGATCTTGTTTTAGACCGACGGGAGGGGTTAGATGGATGGAAACAGTTGCAAAGTTAAATCATTCTGAAGGTGCTATTTTACAGATTAGTTGGATCCGTGGATCCCGTTGCATTGATTCCGAGACCTATAAATAAGTATGGTATGGGCTATATTCATATGAATTAGCCTCGAATCGCCTGTGTTTATTTTGGAATAGATAGATACATGTAACCCTCCATCTCACAAACGTAACAAATTAATTGAGGTAAAGCTATTTGAAGTAGCGTAGGGCCTAGAGGCACTGGATGGCTTAAGATACAAATTGTAGTAACAGAATCGCTGGTTATTCGTGCTGTCTCTTCTAATATACCTCTCCATGGTTCATTTAGCGCGGGAAGCTTGATATCTCCTAACGTAAGCTCTCAAATCCTTTCCCTCACAGGCAGGGCACCCAGCAAAATCCGGCAGAATGACTTGGGTTGCGATCAATTGAGCGGGGCTCTCCTCTCTGCCCCGCCGTGAGTTACTATGAGCGTGATGGCATCGGCACATAGTCCCATTTCCGCCGTGTTTTTCCGCTCCTTTTACAAGCTTCATACAATGACGCTCCGGGCTCCCTGGAGAGTCTCCATGCTTGCAGCCCTCATACAAGACATTGAAGATATGCGTGTGAGGTGATGGTTTAGGATAAACCTTTTGTTCGGATAGTTCTTTCGGCCAGCTGCCTGGAATCTTGAGGTCCAATTCACCTGCTTCCGGATGCTCAATAGTCCAGCACGTTTCGCAAACAGGCTCGTGTCCACGGCTAGGATGAAATAGGACTTTGACCTGTCCTGACTGTAGTCTGTAATCGAGTCCTTCGATCCCTTCGCATTGTCGCTTGTCTTGATTCATTTTGACACCAACAACATGAACTGGATTTGCAGTGCAGCCGATGGATACATGCATCGACGTAAACCAATCCTTTTGGGGATCGAATGGTTGGATTGGCTGAGTTGGTGGCTCGAACATGTCGTCGGGCTTGGTTTTAGCAATCGGCGGGGTTCGTGGTTCAGAAGTTTCGTCTGGAATTTTTTTAGGGCTGAGCCAGGCTGGAAGCTTGATGATTTTCCCAGGTACGGCTTTGTAAATCAAACTGGGCGTGATCCCGAGCCGAGGCCACAGGTGCGCGTTTTCGGAGTACCGGGCTGGATGAGTAAACCTATTCGGTTTTTGGTTGGAGTTATTGGGCCTAGGGGTTGCAATGTGCTTCGCCTGGGCCTGTCGTTTCGATGGTTTTTCGGGCGATTGAGCGAAGCTGACTGATTTTCTCTTTTTGGTAGCGGCCTTTGGGTCTGGCCCAGCGGCGTTGCCATTGCCCTCTCCCAATGGTCTTTTGATAATGGGTTTGATTGTCGACATACTTCTTGAGGACAACATGGAGACAGTGATAAGATAGACGGACTTTGTAGCGGGTGCTCTCAAAAAAGGAGATTTCAGGCGATGGAGATGGTTGATGTGGTGTAGGTGGTTGATTGACGATGGAGATGGAGTTTTACGGATGGAGGTTGTTGTTGTATGTTTATAGCGTGTGTATGAGTCTAGAAGCAAGACGGGAGCGCGCCAGAGGGTGTTCCTCTGGTGTAGCTAGGGAGTACCTTTCACTCCTCAGCTTCTCGAGATAGGTCTCCTAGCACCTTCTAGTCCAATCACCAACATCCTTGACAAGATAGTACTTTAATCCATCTACGATTAGGTACAATCGCTGGTTTTATGAATATAGTACTTTAGATATATAGCTATCTTGGTGCAGATAGCCGTTTTAACTCTAGATCTAGCTTAGTCTTGTGTTCTGGTCATCCATTCGGAACCAAAGTCCAATACGAGCTGCAGCAACGAATATATAAATTTGCAGAAATCCAATATTTATACATTTAAAGAATTGTTCAACTAAGAACGGGTGCCGACGAGGATAATATATACATTGAAGACTCTAGCCTTCCGGGGAAGGAGGACAAATATGGTATCACTTGCAGAACATAGCAAGACACTAGTCACATAGTCTGTATGCTATGGACTAAGGATTTTCCTCAATGCCTTACATTGGTCAGTAAGTAGTTCCAAAGTCTCCCAACTTAATGTTAGAGAAGATGACTGATGGCTTGGAGTTTGCGGTGATGTACTGGGGGGTAGATTCCACCTCAGTGTTGCATGGCCCTCGTCGGAGGGATTCTGGATCTCCAGGATTCTTGCCCTATATTCAAAAACGTTATCGTTAATAATTACTCTCTTCAACTAGGTTGTAAATTTATAAGTTTAGAACTTACGTCGAGCCACCACATGTAACTACCGTTATCCCACCACAGCGAGAGAGCAAGAACCATACCACGTTCCATTGCCTCTCCCATAACCTTGCTTCCTCCCCTCAACTCATTTGTTCCAGATCCACCGAGAACCTCGACTTCCTTCGCGCAGTACTCATCGCTGATAGAATCGTAGTTCAACAGACCTGTGAGATTTGCCGCAGCATTGGCAATAACAACACCGTTCTGTACATACAATCTCCTAATTTCTACGAGTTCACCTCGATCCTTTCCATCATCGGTGATAAATTGGGTGACAACAGTCATCTTCTTGGTTGAGTCAATAGTGAACTCAGGGCCGCGACCATAGAAGTTCTTAGCGCCGAGACGATAGGAGTTGAAATCGCAGCCATCCATATCACAGATTCCTTGTCTGCGGTCGTTACCAGCGCCACAATCTGGCCCAGTGCACTTGACCAAACCACGTGTAGCACATGGATGAGGAGTGAACGCAGTGGCGCGGGAGTTAGCTTCCCAAATGTCCATTTCTTGGCAACAAGCGCCGTATTTATAGTCAAAGTTAGCCTAAGAAGACACTCGTTAGAATGTTTGGCCTCGAAAAAAATAATAAACTTTGATATTGGGTCTATTTTTCCACTTGCCTTGCCACCAATGAAGTTCTGCTTAGGGCACTGTGCATCACAGTAGCCGGTACCGTATGTTGCTCCGGCAGTGTTGCTCTTGTCATTGCGTTCGCCCGAGGCAGACATTTCGGAGAAGTACTATTCTCTTCGTTAGTCTTCATTCCAAAACAGAATATCTCAAGCTTAAAAGGTACTAACGAGGGCTCCATTTGTTCCGCAAGGAAGATTCGAAACATCGACATCATAAGTGAACTCCTTGTTTAGCATGCGGAACTTATAATAAGTTTGCGCATCCTCTTTAAGAAGATAAACACGGGGTGATGCCAAGCCACCAGTTGGATTGAAAAGCTGAAGGGTCAAGGCATTTCCGGATGTGCTAATACCGTAACTAGCGTAGTTGACACCTTCGACTTCGCAATTGGCCGCGCATTCGTCTGCTTTCTTGCATGTGGCAGCATTGAAAACACCGTTGTTGACACACGGGTCATATCTAGGTTGAGGTCAGCACAGGACGAATCATTTGTGTTGGGCTTTGTTGTAATTTTCATCAGGCTACAAGGAACTCGTGCTGTAACCAAGGGAGGGCCACCCTCGCGCGGGTAATGATATACTTTCGATGCGGTCAAGATTCCATACTGCTCTTGGTGCGAGATGCATATGGGTTCGACTTACCCTCCTTTCACGTGGTGCCATCGGTATTGCGAGTCCAAGACAACCTTCGTGTTGATGGTTTTGCAACCGCGGCCGGTAGCACAGGTTTGAATAGGAAGAAGTGGGTGAACTTCTGGAGTGAGACTACCAGGGATTTGAGCGAGCGCTGGAGACGCCGCCAACAGGGCAAGAACAACTCGATGCATTGCGGGCTGGGAAGAGAATGTGAGTAACTATACAAGTTTGTACCCCGTGCTTTGCTCTCCTTCACTTCATTTATTCAACTGGTAAGGAGACATTGGGGTTTAAATACATTTCGAACCACATATTACTCTTCTAAATTTGATTATAAAGCGGCTGGAAGTTTATATTAAGCAATTGCTAGCCCGCAGACGTGGGTCGTCGGCATTTGTGAGCGATTCCCGTCGAACATGTGGGATACACTTCGATCTAGATATCGACGCAACCCTGCATTCGAATTTAGAATAACACCTGATCCATGAATATCTACAAGGGGATAACAGACTAGGTACATTTTATATCGTCTGGGATGGGGGAGGTCCAGTCACCCGGGAACCGTATCGCATTAATCCGACGAATTCTTACATGGAACCAACGCATCCTCGGGCCGTAGTAGTGTGGTAATTTTGGAATAGCTTTTGGTGTTGAGATACGAATTGCCCAGGATAATTTATCCGTTCAGGAAAAATTGCTAAGCGACCCAATGTTATTGGTGAAATTTTTAGCCCTAATTTCGAGGCTATTATCGGGCTGGTAGCCATCTGGAAGTTTCGTCGAAGCCTTGCATGCATACGCATGGTGCTGTTCACGTTCTTACAAAACGATACAATGTTATTTCGTAACATCTACACCCCAAACTCATAAAAACATCCAGGATTAATTCAAGCAGTGGGACCTGAAGACTAGGAGAGGTGTGAGAAACACCATGACCGTTCGATTACGTATCAGTAGAGTATCAAGATATTATAACCCAAGAAGATTTGTCTCTCAATTGATAGAAGCGCCATGCATCATATTAGCGGGTGCACATTATCAGCTACAATCAACATGCAAAATAGTATCCCTCGTGGCGTTTTAATCCTTGTATATTTATCATTGAGCCTTTTCGCAACCTTCCAGGTCCCAGGATATTTTGTGGCATCCTTGAGCCCCGATGGAAACCTTGGATTCTAAGATCGTATTTCTGGGTAAATCCTCTGCAATTTCCAGCCCAATACTCCGAGTAGTCTAACCTCTTCCTTCCAATGAATGTGACATTCATGGCCCGCGGCAAGAGCCGAGAAGTCCGTATCCCAAGACCGCTAACAGCGTTCTTTTGTCGTCTTTGCGATTTTTGGCTCAACTTAATGAGTGCGTTGGGATCGGAAGTATTAGACTATATCAAATAAAAGGGGAACATTCCACGGGCTCTTAGGTTGGGGCGATTCATATGTCTTAACTGCTGGATAGAGCATCTTAAAATTTAAAACTGTCCCCGAAAACCCATCAAAAACCCCTACGGTACTAACTGTATTAGTACTAGGTATCTACTAAATAACGAAGTACTTATCCAACTCTCAACAATTGCAAACCTGCCGATTATCGAACTGTTTACTCGACTGCTAAGGACTTGCCGATAAATTGCTTACCCAACTACGACTACGTGCTTGCCAATTATTGAATTTTTTACTGAATGATGAGAGCACCAATCAGTGACCTACGTGATTGGCCAAGCGTGCCTGTTAATATGTTAGTAACTACCTTATAGCTTGGCTAGTAAGTAGTCCAATAGCGGGCAAGTAGTTCAGTAACTGGCCGGCGTGCCTGTTGGGTAGCCAATTCACTAGCAGGCGTGCTAGCAACTAAGTATACTCGCTGGTAACTAGATAAATAGTTCACTCATATAAGCATAGACGGGCCGATAGCTAGGTAGAAAGTACTGGCTAGCAGGTAATTCAGTAACTAATAAGCAGTTTACTAGTAGGAACGCTTGCTGGTAGCTACTTAGATATATTATAATTCAGTAGTCAACACGCTAGCAACTGGATGTATAAGCAAAAAAATAACAAAGGTGTCATTGTAGTTTATAATTAGACTTATGATTATAATGTAGCCGATGACAGTCAGATTTAAATACCGCTGCGCCATAGGCAGCTAATAAGCCTTTAGCAGAAGTCAAGATCCATCATTACCTCGCGCTTAACGATTCTTCGTTAGTAGTAGCACCAAGACCCAAAACTTCCCAACTTCATAGCAAATATAATTATAATAGTGATATCAATAAAACAATCACGATTTTGCCATCGACTGTTTTCCTTGTCTCGGAAACCAGCCTGTCCCTGGCCTGGGGGGCAATGTTTTCCCGAGAATCTTATATTCGAATAACTGGGCAGACATTCAGTATTACAAGACTTTCCACAGCTTAGGATAGTGCCGTCGGGCCTCCTTCTTCAACATTGTTTTGGGTAGCAAACGAGGCTTGCAGGCATAAGAAACAGTCTTTCAAGCTTTTTGCGTAATCTTAGACTAAACAAATCCAGATCTGGACAGATACCCAATTCGTAAGAGTGACAAGGATATCGATCCTCGCAACACGAGCAGATGCATGCCTTAAACCGTAGATCATATCGTTGTCAGCAGAGCGCTATACTATATCTGTTTCGTAGTATTCGAACAATGCTCTTGTGAAGCCATTTTCAAAAATAATTTTGTGTGTTAATTTAACATCAGCAGAGCTAGTACGTACCTATCGAAGAATTCTGGAATTGTTTATCGATCTACTATTCAAGAATAATTAATAACGATCTAGCGCTCGGGATCTCGGCATCGACCCACATGTTAAAACGTAATAAGATCCCGACTTAGCCTATTGACCCTTCTGCGGGGTGAAAAGACATTGAAATCCCAACCAATGTCTCTGAAATAGCCAAGCCTAACCAGCCATTATCTCTAATCAAGGGATTCCTACAGCGAAATCTAAATCAACCTGTTCAAAAATCCTAAAATACCTGCGGTGATGCAACAGGTTCCAGGCAACACCAAACAAAACCATCGGCCTCCTAACGATTATGAGCTTAAACGAGATACCCACTACTGTTCTAGGCTAGTCAAGTCGTTTGAAGTTCAAAAGTAACCCGATACAGGAAGGTACTACCGCCTTAGGAAAAAACGGGGTTGAAAGTTTAAACCTAAAAGGGATAGCCTCCAACACTCATTTTTCAATGGCTGAAACCACCAGGACTTCACACCCGTAAACCTTTGGACCATTTTTTTTTACTGTGCTGCTGTGCCTCATATTCCGACAGCGCCAGCACAAAATTGAGCGAGGCTTTCGTTTAGTGGTACCTTGCAGGGGATAGTTTACGTTATCTTTTTGAATTTGATGGAACACTAGAACAACAATCGTTAACCCTCAGGTACCTTGAAACCAGCAAAAGCATGTATCTTCGCACGGTTTACATCATGCTTGGAACATTCGGTGACGATGAATGCCCTTGGCAAAATTTCGAAAAAGGAACCGACTTCATTTGATGGAATATATATATCCTGAACAGCTGCAGATGATTTTCTGTCTCTCATCTTACATCAACATCCTGTATCAATCCAAGTATCTCGCATTCTCTTCGACGCATTCAATTCTTCTCGCGGCTGGACCGTCCCATTCATTCGCTTCTTCATTCTTTTCTTTATTACAGTTTATTTTTTCGGCCAGCAATTGATTTGCGCCTCTTCCTATTAAACTTAATTTTTCAGCCAAATCTATAAAAAATGCGTGTCTCTACTTTCTTGGGAGCTCTCGCTCTTGCCGCTGCCGTCAACGGATTGCCCGTAGCCCCAGCCGCTGACATTGCTGGATCTCACTTGACCGCACGTCAAATCCCTCAACTTGATAACATCAGCAATATCGTCACGGGTATAACTGGCGGCATCACTGGATTTATCAATGCCTTCAAAACCATTGGATCCGCTTTCGGTGGTATTGGTACGACGCAGCCGATAGCACCACAAGCCCCAGCATCTCCTCAGGCTCCAGCCTCTCCTCAAGCTCCAGCTACTCCTCAATTCCCCCAACAACCCGTCGCGCCACAGCTGCCGCCACAGACTTTCCCTATTCAGCCCAACACTGGTAGCCCTATCGGTATCCAAGGCCCTCGTGTTTAACATTTCGGACGAGATATAGAAAAGACGGGCTTCACCAAAAGGGCGGCCGAGATAATTCCAAACTCGGGTTAATTTTGAATCATGAATATTTCCTATAAAAAAAACTTCAACACCACGGTGTTCACGCCATCTTCCAATCAGGAAGTTAATGCATGCCTTGCAACATTTTAGCCTTGAGCAGAAAGATGCGATTTAATGATCTGTGTATTTGTATTTTTATTGCTTGGATATAGTATTGTTTTGTTTTTCGATGCATATGTTTGGTTTTGCTGCGGGCTCGTTTTAATCCATTGGCAGTAGTGGCGTCGAGGATTCATTTGTATTTTATAGGACAGTTAGTACTCCTGAATTCAACTTCTTCAAACCATATCATTTAAATTTATTCACTGTGTAATCTATTTCCTTATATAATTGTGTTTTTGTGTGAGCTCTCCATATGACTGGTCCTAAATCATATATCATGAAGAATAGAGAGCTGGTTGAAAGCTTGCGTTACCCAGACCAGCTACTTCGCTCTAGATCCGTTGATAACGTTAAACGCGACTAGGTGGATGCAACATGTCCACGTATATAGGCATATGGACAATACAGATGAGTCAAATTCGGGTCGGGGCAATTTAAATCCCACTGCCGGATGTCCTAGGATCCTATAGGCGTATCGGTATGTGGAGTTTAGTTCTAGGACAGCCTTTGTCGCCAAACACCATGTTCGATCCGCTGACAAAGAAGCGCGCGACCAGCAATAAGGAAACTACTTTTCGAACACAATCAAACATCTAGGTATCTGTGGAGCTATTCCTTAGGGGGGATAATGAGATTATGTAAACTTAGCATCTCGTCGAGGATACTACGGGATAGTGGTTTCAAGGACTCGTGCTGAGTTTTGGATTATACCGTTAATGTTAGTTCTTGGCGGAAAGGAAAGAGAAAAGCGAAAAAAAAGAAAGTTTCGTGAGAACGATAACTGCTGAAAATACAGACAAAACTAAGCTTATTCCATGTGGAGCAGGAATACGAACTAGTTGCGTGCAGCGTTGGGTTTTACAATAGGGACGGCAGAGCCGACATAGCAGGCCTGCAGGGATCCAGTCTGGGAGGCTGTGGCAGGGATGAAGCTTCGAAGCGACCGTGTTACTGCACCTGTTCTGCGTGACGTTGGGCACAAAACAACGGATGTCGGCCTCGATCTATCGCGAGACGGCAAACCGTCGTTAACTTGTCCGACTGAGCCTCTTTCGCCTGAAGAGTTAACCCTTCCAGTTTCGTTTCCACTAATAGTATCATAGCACAGACGATTAACATTCCCTCATCCCAAGGCAAGGCTTGCATTTATACTGGCACATACTAGCATATATATTGTTCAAGATGAACCCTCCTTCGCAATTATGATCTTACTGTGTAAGCTGATATCATGATCGTTGGTTCTAGACCATACCATTGCCATTTTCCGAGATATTTTGACTTCAATTACCGGTATACGGGAGATACTTATATCTTCAAATCCTTAGCTTAAATCTGCGCTTCGATGCATATGGGAATAAGACGATCTTAAAGCCGTACCTATCAGAAAAAGATTCCAACGTCATGTTGCAGGTGGATGGTGACAGGGACTTGGAAAAATGTTCTTTCTAAGTTTAAGGCTGAGAAGAGACCCAAACTCCTGGCTCTTAAGCAAGATCTCATTCGCTCTCGCCCCAAAGTTTCCCCGAATGTGGGTCCTGATTACCTAACCCCTAAAGCCATTAAGCCCGTCTACCGTTGCTAAAGGTTCAAAAGTCTAACCTGTAGGAGCGGGCTTCGGAGACCAAATTAACAACGAATTGTTCTTGGTTTATTGGGCACAATTAACAATTGGAATTAATTAGACTTAAGCCATACTTAATTGATTGCCTTTTGAATGACTCAAGCCTTCGGGCATTATGTTTCCCCTTGTGAAAGTGTCGTTTACCGTATATTACTCAGCATGTATGCACACAGGCTTTGTAATCACCCCGTTTCCAATTTTCCAACAAGCAACACCATACACTATAATATGAATATGGCCAATAAAGTTTAAGGATGCTGAATTTTTACTTTTTATGGTCACCACACACACAGGAGGGAAGCGGATGAAGCGGGTTTAACTAAGATTTGTTTAGAAAAAGATCAATGATAGAGGTGAAGCGGCAGTTATCAGTTAGCCCGGATTGGAAAAACGTGTCCTTGCACATTCGTCAGCAACACCGATCCGATATTGGAAATCTAGTCCTATGTAATCAATCAGTCTCACTGAGACAATGAATGAACTGGAATGAAAGCGATATCGTACATCTTTATCTATAAAACTGTCGGCCGTCGATGTCATTCCTCCTTGGATGAACAATATTGTTAACCGGGTTATCAATTCATTGATAATATACTCTTTGCGGGCCGGTGAAATATATAAACTCAGCAACATTTCTCAATCTCAACCTAAGAATTTTCCTAGTTAACCTATTATCTACCTTTATTCTTTTTCTCGCTAGTCTAAAGCCTCTTCAACAAAAAAACTAAATTATAAAATCGAGATCAAATATAAAAAACTCCATTGGTTTCTCTCAGGATCAAATCTCACGCCATAAAGAGAAAGGAAGGAACTAAAGCCCACAACTAGGGCACTACATTAAAAATGTCTGCGCCAGTTACAAGACAAATATCTATCAACCCTGTACCAGAGAACAACGCTCCCGACGCATCGCGGTTACAAGTTCCCAGAGATGAAAAGGAATCATCGTCGGAAAAAGATGCATCTGGCACAGCAACACCCTATAGCGGTAGCGAATCTGGGAGGGATCCGGAAAAGGTCGGCGAGATTTCTGAGGACCCCGACCAAGTACGATCAATTCATGGTGTAAAATGGTTTATTGTAATCGCCGCCATATTTTCAACGGCTTTTCTTTGTAAGTTTCCATCGCAATTATATTAATCCATATTCTATAGATCTAGCTACTGCAGAGTATATATTTGTTATAGTTAAGCTAATATACATGTTAATATAGACGGTCTCGATAACACCGTTGTTGCGGATATTCAACCACAAGTCATCGATACATATGGAGACCTAACAAAGCTTTCTTGGCTTGGGTCTGGCTTCCCACTGGGCTCTATTGCAACTTTACTAGTTCTTTCTAAAATATATGGTATATTTAATACCAAGTACCTCTACATTGCTAGCATAGTCTTGTTTCTGGGAGGAAGCGCCCTTTGCGGTGGCGCTCCTACGATTGAGGCTCTCATTGTGGTATGTCTTGGAAATCCAGTCGCCATACTAATTTGATGTATATATAGATGCTAATAGATCGAACTTTATAGGGTCGTGTAATTGCTGGTGCCGGTGGACAAGGGATGTATCTTGGTCTGTTGAATTTCCTTGCGACTCTTACAACAATTCGCGAACGTCCAGTATACAACGGGCTTGTCGGCCTAGTTTGGGGGCTAGGAACAGTTCTGGGACCCGTAGTTGGCGGCGGTTTCGCAAGTTCCAGTGCAACCTGGAGATGGGCCTTCTATATCAACCTTGTTTTGATTGGAGCATTTACTCCAGTTTATATCTGGATTCTGCCCTCTGTGCAACCCGACGAAACAACCTCAGCAAGAGAAAAACTCAAACAACTCGACTATGTCGGCGCTCTTCTAAGTGCTGGCATGTGGAGTACTTTCGTCATGGCTTTCACTTTTGGAGGTGCCCAGTGGGCTTGGGACGATGGTCGGACCATAACAATGTTTGTCGTTTTTGGAGTCCTCCTCATTGCCTTCGTTCTTCAACAATACTTTACGATTTTCACCACACCAGAGAATCGAGTGTTCCCCGGCCAGTTTCTCCGTCGTCGCTCTTTTGTTCTACTCTATATCCTCACTTCTACACCTGCCGCCGGTGTCTTCGTCCCCGCTTACTTCATCCCACTCTACTTCCAATTTTCAAAAGGTGATAGTGCCATTGATGCAGCCGTACGATTACTACCATTCGTTGTTCTCTTGGTCACATTCGTCATGCTTAACGGCTTCCTTATGCCTGTATTTGGATACTACATGCCATGGTACGTTTGGGCTGGTGTCTTCATGCTCATTGGCGGTAGTCTCATGCACACAATCACTCCAAATACATCCACCGCAGCCGTCTACGGTTACTCCATCCTTATCGCTGTGGGTGCAGGTGCAGCCTCCCAGGTAGCATACTCAGTCGCCCCAGCTAAAGTTCAACCGCATGATGTCCCTTCTGCAATCGGTTTCATGAACCATGCCCAAATCGGTACTATCGTCATTTCCCTAACAATCTCGGGAACAATCTTCCAAAATGTCGCTTTCACATATCTTAAAGATGCTTTAAAGCAATACAATTTTCCCGAAGAGGCCATTCGTGGAGCCATTGCGGGTACTCGTAGTCAGTTGTTCGGCGAACTGACTGAGGAAGCAAGAGCAAGCGCTATTGATGCTATTGTGCGGGCTATGGGCCAGGTTTACATTCTCGTCATCACGGCTGGCGCTGTAACCCTTGTGACTTCAGTCTTTTTGAAGAGAGAAAAGTTGTTTATGACAGCTACTGCGGCATAAAGTTTCAAATGTTGAACAAGAAACCCCCAAAAATAGTGGAGGGGGGGATTGCACACTGAAATTTCAACATAAACGATAAGAACGGAAGGGTTGCTGAAGTATAGATTTCTTTTGTTATGCATATATATGGGCGGGATTTCACTTTTGGTATACCTCAATGCATGTTTCAATTTATTTTTTATGACTTTATTTTTTATTACTATCTGATTGTATTGGTTAGAAAGCGAGGAATATTATGTATCTACGAATTATAAGTCATGTAAATATAAAATAATAGTACAGTTAAGCATTAATATGTCACCTTATGGGCAATAACCAGATTTTAACAGAGCAGTTCATGCCGGAATTTAATATTATAACGAGATTTTTGTGACCCGAGAGTTAGACGAGGGTATGATGGGACCGTTCTTGGGTAAGATTACATAACTTCGATGAAAATAGACACAAACTTGACAAGATATCTCATGACATCAAACAAAAGATTAAACCCGGAGGCCCCGGCCATTAGAGCCTCTCTGCACCGCAGACTTGCGAAAATTCGTTGACGAGATATTCGAAAGAAAACTTGAAGCAATTAAATTTATAAGTACCATGATAGTATGAATTAATGACATAACTCAAGAAAAAAGAGCCAAAACCTCCGAGTAGCTACGCATTTGGAGGCAAATAACCCCGTGGCGCTAAGACTGTACTATAGACGATACTCCGATGCCGTTTAACCGATAGAAAGGTGGATTTATTGTCTGTGTGACAGACCTCAGTCGTTAGGTACTGTAATATTCCAATGAAAGATTTAAGAACCCGTCTTATCATCAAGTAACGGGGATACGAGGGGTATAATCGGGAAGAGGGGAATTGAACATACAGCAGAGCCAGTTCAAGATCACCATGGATTCTGGCTTTAAGAGTAACCTCAACATCCAAGTTGAGATCGAGCCTCAATCTCAATGTGTCCTTCTTCGAACCACCTTCACCACCAGTCAAACCTTTGGCAACACCGCTAACAGCACCAGTGGCGCCACTCAATGTGTCTGAAACCTGACCTGTAACTTGACCAACTTGATTTCCGAGCTCTCCCACAGGTTGCAATGCTTGGCTTTGGCCTTGACGACCTCGGTTTCGACGCGGACCTCGTCTTCTCGATCTCGAGCGCTGGCGAACTTCGTCTTCGCTGTATTCTTCATCTTCAGAAGGAGCGGTTGCGGTCTTGTTCTTTTCGGGATCCATTGTGATTTATCGATCTTTGAATTTTTGATTAAAGCTGCTCTCTGTGGACACTGACGTGTTTTCAGAACCGTGAGATTTGGTGGTGAGGTTTTTAAATTATTTTTCTGCAACTTAACTCGCTGAGTGTAGGAAGAAAATATAGAAATTTCTGAGGACTTTGGATTAGTTTATCCAAAATAAATCTGGTATATAAGGGACCGGAATAAACCTGAATCTTTTCTGGCTCTAAAATCGTATCTTCGAATTTTATTCTATGCATGACGATCATAGCTGCTTGACACGACGTCATAGGGGCCCCGTCTTCCTACTAGACGTCACAGTGAACATAGTGCGTCACGCCTGAATCAAAAATGATGATTATACCAGGCGAATGAAATTTATTCATAGGAACAGTTGATCATATCATGGAAAGTATTGAATTCATGGCCCTACATCTTGTCATGCAGGATTAGCGGAATGTACAAATTTCAGGGGGCCAGTGGAAGATGTTTTCTTGAATGTGGCACCTGAAAACCTGCACATGGGCCGGCGAGGCTAGGTTAGGTTGAGGCGTACGTCAGAATCTTGAGATCTGCTGTGGGGATATATCCGTTTTCCTAGCCTATATTCGACATGGGTGTTTGAGGTTCCTTGTTGGTGGGTGGGTCGCGTATTCTTGCCTTGAGATTTGTCCAATAACAAGCCACATCTAGTCAGCTTGATGAGGATGATATCACCACACATACTACATTTCCATCAACTTGACACTAGGACATCGTCCTTTTTTCCTTTTCTATGAAAATCTTTTGACCTCTCCCAATACCATATCCGAGTTTTCCATTTTTTTGTTGTTGTGACATTGTTGCGCTGGTATCGCCAGCCCTTCGCGGACATGGACACAATAGGACTACTCATTATATCCGCAATCCCAACGGTGATCGGCGTCACACAGGCTTTGAGATTCAAGGAGAAGGCAGACGAAGAAGCAAAGAAAGGACCAAAGTGGTTTAATCTGCTTTGTGTTACAGCAAATGAAAACGATTCCCTTTATGGGGGGAAGATAGTCTTAGTTGGAAAAAAGGTTGGTTCCAGACTGCAACGCTTCTTGGTATATTTTATTTAGATCGCTGACTTTAAATATAGCTTCTGATCGATACAAGGGAGGAAACAGATGCTTTCTTATTTAAGGGCTTATTTCACGATTATATTGGGACAGAGATCCCAGGTTTGGTGTCTCATATTGGGACGGACCCTCCAGCACTGAATTGGATATATGTAGAAGACGAAGAAGTCAAGTACGGCACCGGCTCGGAGTCAAAAGAAGGAGGGAAAATAGTGGGCCCATGGAGCTACAAAGGAGGGCTGCATCTACAAGAAAAAGCTTTGTTTTACGCCGGCCGAGAGGTTGAGGAAGGTAGATGGGAGCTTAAGTATGGTCAAAATAGCAAAGGGACTAAAGTTCTAATTGCAATGGCTACCATTCCGGATGAGGCTTCTTAAGTTTTTCCAAGATACAGATCCGACAGCCTACCCAGTGTAAATAATATGTAACTTATTTTCAATTTTCCACTGAGTAATTATAAGATTTCGGAAGTGTCTAAAGACCGGTTCTAGGTATAATTGCATATCCCAAGGTTCCCATGGTTACTTTCCTTGAGGTAATTTAATTTAATTTAAATCGAAGCGTAAACAAATTTGATTTGGACAATAATATCGCGTAGATATCCTGTGTAATTGGACAAATGATATTCAGATAATTAGAACTAAGTACTAAACCCCGTGCAACCAAATGAAAAATGTCAGTGCCCCATGTCCTGAACTGGGGAAAGGCTTTCTGAAAACAAAATAAGTCATAACAGTACTAAGACTAGAGTCATAAGTCGTAATGCTCAATTTTTAAAATCACACAATCTCTCCTAATAACCGGGTGAGCTTAATATCAGGACCCCCATTTATTTCTTCTTGCCAGTAACAGAGTATCCCATAGCATTAAGGAGTTTGTCGATGCGGAGGCCTTGGAGAACTTGAGTGAGGGCACCTCCAAGTCCAAGCGCATTCAAAATATTTGCAAGCAAGTTCAAAACACCGGCAACAAGCAGACCGACAGCACCGAGGATTTGGAGGAGTGGCTCTGAGAGCATGCTGAATAGAGGACCAAGCTCACTCTTGGCCTTTGGCATTCCTTCAATTGCCTTGCGACCCTTGTCAATTGTAGCTTGAACGCGGGTGCTCAACTCTTGGCAACCGTCAATGACCATCTTTTCATCGGCAGAGGCCTGAGCATCCTCAACGTGGCGCTTAGCAAGACGCTCGAACTTATTGTCGGGGTCAAGAGCCTTAATTTGGTCCAAGGTTGACTGCATAACTGAGTGGGCATTCTCAATGAGGGGCTTCATCTTGCTAACGAAAGCGTCCTCATCTAATTCGTTGTTCTCTTTCTTTTTCTCGGCCTCGTCAATCGTTTGGTCGATCATATCGAGGAGAGGCTTGACTTTGTCAAGCCCCTTGTCGACAATTTGTGCCATGCGCTTCATGACTTTCGCACGCTCTTCCTCATCGGCAGCTTGTTGTTTTTCTTCTTCGGTGAGTTCTTTTGGTACCTCCCCTTCTGTTTCTTCTTTGCCGTCCTTTTTTACTTCTGGGTTCTCGACGTTTTCTTTACCACCGAAGTCTGAGGAGGCCTTCGAAGAGAGAGCCTGAGGCTCGAGCACATTGAGGTGCTCGCCCTCGGATGGCTGTTGAGGATTCTCGTGGACTGCGGCGCTCATACTGTCTGAAGGTGATAAAGATTCTGGACTAGATTCGTATAAAGATCTAGATTGTCGAGGAGTGGATATGTTTGTAGAAATTGGGTTTAATCCTTCAAGTGGAGGTGTTGATGGTGCAGAAATAAAGAAACTAGCAAGTGATGTTTCGTCTGAGTGATTAGATGGTGTAACTGATCCCTTATATCTAGTTGGAAGCAGTTTTGATGCTAATGATATGATTCCTCTGAACATGGTGTCGTCGTGCCACACTCTTATATGTAGTGGCTAGAGAGGGATATTGGGTGCAATTACTATAAAAGCTTTCCATGATAGAAGAGTTTAATGGAACAAGGCATATGTACATGAAAATTCAGATCATGATTTTTGATCAAAGCTCATCATCAGTGCATCATGAAAAGATCTACAGAACAACTTTTACTAGCCTGCATCAGAGTATTTCTGTGGCTTGCGAATCAGTGGCGGTCCTGATCGAAGCCCGGAAGATAGCGCTAGCGCCACCGTTATTGATGTCCACGCTTGTGACGTGAAATATACGTTATCTGTCAAAATTTTAGGTTCGTGTGGCTGCTTTGTACTATTCCACTGTTGCAGTTGGTTTGAATTCATGAAGCGAGAACGCGGAGCAACATCATGGATTTACACCCCGATCGAGAATTACCCTGAAAGATCTTTATTAACTCAGGAGGTTGCGAAAATCTCCTGGTAAAATCCTTTGATGTGCCACCATCCGCAATCCGGTAACTGATACAAATCCTGGTCAGCAATTGAGCGATCGTGTATGTACATCTCAACGGGCCGTAGAAGCCCGTGCATGGGACATTCCTTCTAGCTAGCTCCTCAACGTATTCGAGTACCTCATGCATAGATTTCTTGTTGCATTTTTACTCAGGGAAGGTTTAAACGACTGTGGGTCCGCTGCCATGTCAAGTTGCCAAGTTTTTATTGGGGAAAAAGGAATTTGGGATTTGGTTCAAACACGAGTGGGGCCGTGCGTCATATCCGCACATCCAGACGATACAGCCCATGCCGACCAGCTGCTTTCACGTCATCACGACAATTGAATGTTCCCAAACAGTGCGCTGAACATCTTAGCATGTATGTGCCCTCATGTCCGCTTAGAATCTACTGGGCTACAAGCAGGAACAAAACTAGCACTGAGTGAAGAATGGCCCCACGGGGCTCGCTAGCCACCTAAAACCCTGAATGGCGAGTGATGTCAGAGAAATATCTATATGATGCCTAGGTCTATGGAAATTTAGTAATTTTCTAGAAAACGTTATTGCAAGTGAAGGATGTAGCTTGACTCCTTAATGTAAGATCTTTAATCTCCACGATTTGTGATATTTTCCATACTTCCAACATATTATCTACTTTCCAAACTTCAACCTCTTACAAACCCTATACTACAATCTCAAACCACAAAATGACTGATACCCAGAAAACAGAAGAGTGGGAAGGCCCGCCTCTAGATCAGGAAGAAGAAGAAGGCAGTCAAGGCAACCCACAACCAGAATCAACATCTCCGGCTAAGGAAGAGGACAGCGCTTCAACCATTCAGAATCGAGATTCTGGCGGCGGTGAAGGAGAGCCGACGTCTCAAGCTCCAGACCCAGGAGAAAACAAAGAGAATATCAGAGAAAATAGTGGCGAAGAGGAACAGCAGTCAAGTGAAAAGGATCCTGCTAAAGGCGCAAAGGGTCAATCGGAAAATAGTGCCGTCCCCCGCGATCGAAGTCGGTCGAGGCCTACCAGACGTCTAAGTACCAAGCCGTCCAAAATGGGCAACGACCAAAAGGATGATGGGAATGCCAGTACAACGGCAGTATCGAGTCCTGATAAATCCCAATCCTTCCCACCTGTATACGAGGACAAAGAGGCTGCCCATAAAGGACAACTTGTGAAGCGCAATCGTCGCCGCAATAAAAAGTCCGGCTACGAGTCGTCTGCTACGGAAGATATGCCTCTAAGGGAACGACAGTACCCCCCTCAACAGCAAATGCAACAACAGCCAGAACCGGGGAAGAAAAGCGATCCAATCAGGCTTCGGTTGGACATAAACCTTGAAGTCGAAGTGGAGCTTAAGGCTAGGATTCATGGCGACCTCACATTATCTCTTTTGTAAGTCGGCACTCCTCCCCCTGCTACCGACATCAACCACATATTCACAGCATCACCTTCTTCATCTATTCAGCTAAATTTAGCGGAATGGAAGAAAAAGAACGCTGCTAACTTGGGAGCATTTTGTGTATTCAATACCCAGGTCATAAACTAATATAAGTTTCAAAGTTAGCGCGTAGTTCTTGAATCGCGGAATATCCCGCGCGGCCTCGACACTGCCCAATCTTTGAAGTTTGTGTTAGAATATCCTAATGGAGTCGGAATCTGTGGTTTCAACTCGTAATCTTCGAACTGGTTATAGTACCATATCTGTTTTAATGAGAACTGGCTGAAATGTCTTTGCTCAAGTATGCTTTTCAAATTTGCTCGGACTTATATTTGGACTTTTTAGGTTCCTTTCTTTTGGCTTTCGTTTTTTCCTTTGTCGTCTTGAATGCATGTTCGAACCATCCCTCATTTCGCAAAACCTGTCTTATTTCACCTTAAGTAGTCATTATGCTTCTTATCCATAAGTTAGTGAAGGCGCTAAGTATTGTTTCATTTCCGGCAAGCCGTTCCGATTTTAATATCATGAAATATTAATATATGCATGCTAAAATTCTTGCGAGCGTAGTTTTACAAAATTTGGATGATTAAACGTGATCTGAGTTCTAGCTGCTAAAGCCACCACAGCAGTTGGAATCAACCGGGATAAACAGAATCGGGAGCACTGCCATCAATGTGACATTGTTAACTATCGTCATTTGTACCTTGTGATTTCTGGCTTACTATAGTCCCATGCTGTTGAGTGGGTCGTAAAATTTCTCGATTGGTCATGTTCCTCGGAAATGTATTGATAATGGTCGCCCTTCTGGAGACTTTTGCATATTGGGCATGGACAAAAAGTGCACTAATCACACGAACCCTCATAGCTTCTTATTTGCTACTTTTGACGTGGAATTCCGTCTCACCACCTCTTTGCTGCACCTTCTTGAGCCGACTAGTTTAAAAAAGCTTAAAATGCTCGAACAGAGTCCGGTCAGAAACGGTTCTTATCGCATAGCCATTCTCTAGAGCGCATATGCATGGAAGTCGTAAATCCAACCATAACACGAAATATCTGAGTATGTGAAGTTTGAGTTCAAAACAGCTAGACTGGTCAACTAAGGTTTCGTCACAGAACAGATACATCGATGGCTTATGAAGTAGAATCTGGAACGTAGTATTATACTAGGTTTCAGTCAATAAGTTTTTAACCGGGTAGTTGTTGGATATTGCTTTAATCCGTGGGGATACGATATTGTGATAGTAAGATCTCAGGACAAGATACGATCTATGCGGTAGTCCACATGCGAGTGTATCCTATTTTTTTCTCTTCCGCTACGCCCTACGTGCGATGGATCGATCTGCATTTGGGGCTTTTGGATTTAGAAAAGCCCCGGAAATCCAGAAATTCAGTGCGCAATACACCACTAATCCGAAAGGTATAACAATTTCCATGATAGCCATCGAAACCACACCGGAATTTTGCAGGCGTATCGCGCCTAAAGTAAAATTTATCACAAAATACCCATATGTATCCTAGTACGTAATAGGAATGCGCCTAACTGTGAAAATAGAGCAGCAGCTTTTCAAGCGTAGCTCAAAGACTCACTAGATCTGCAGACTCTGTATGGACAAGCGTGATTTCGTTCCTTCGACCCCAGTTGAAGATCAGCCCTTCCTCAAAATTTTTGTTTTCCCCGAGGCAGAAGGGGGGTTTGGGGTTGGTTCTGATTCTAAGTTGCTGAAGCATGCATACAGTCAAATTTCGTATGCAGGTAGTCCCTTTGGGCGGTGTATTCCCAGAATTATTAGCATATATTGTTATATAAAAACAAAAGTTTTTTTGTTTATTTTTCACCAACTACGCAAATCGAAAGAGGAAGGTTAAGTCAGAAAGACTGATTTGAGTATTTCTGTGTGACCACAGCTAGTCTTACAGCATAAGCGGGCCTATCAGACCCACGTTTCACGACCCTACTTCTCGCCATGCCACTTAGCTTTGCAGCCCGCAATACCGCGCTAACAGCGATTCTGTTCTTTCGAATTTTCGAATTTCACAGAAGAGGATGAAACCAAAATATACGAGCTAGCTACTTATGGCTTAGTGTGAATAGGAATCATTACTATAATTTCCTCAGAGGGGAATTCCCAAGCGTTCCAGAGTCGCGCTATTCCGACCAAGGGATTAGTGTCAGAGGCCAGACCCGTCCCGGGACCCACTTCCCCGTCCTCTTCGGCTTGAACTTTGTGGTGGTCGAAGTGCAATATGCCACACGAGCATGAACTCGAATATTGTTTTTGATCTCAGCCTCTGACAGACGGGCTAGCCCCCAACTGCATGTCTTCATTTGAATATCTGACCCTTCAAGTCGGAGAAGTGCATATGCATCTTTTTGCTTCGCTGCAGGGAGATAAAAAAGAAAGGAAGAAGAAGAGGAAGAAGGAAAAGAACGCCTGATTGAAAGGTTAGTCTAATCTGGTGGAGCTCTGACATACCTCGACTAGATTGGCTTAGACTGCCAGTATCGATCCCAAGAGTCGGGTGTCTAATATTTGGTCTATAGACAGATAATGATAGCAGATCAATATGAATTTATCTATATAAGCAATGAACTTCCGATCGCAAAAGCTTTCTTTCCCTCATCATCAGCATCGACAACATTTTACAACCATTTCTTAGCCTTTACCTCTTTTTTCACTTCTCCTTTTTTCATTTCTTTTATCCCTCTGCGAGGTTTACAATTAAAAATTACAAAAAAAACATTTACCTTTTATAAGTTTTAACCCATACTCTTCGGTTCTTACGATCCTTTCTCTACATTTCAACGAAGCAATTCCAGTCTGGTACTTGAGAATTAGCCATTTCAACGAAAAATCGACCAAAAAAAATCGACAATTAAACGTATAGCCTTTAGACAATCCTAACCACCAAAATGAAGGTTTCAACCATCTTGATTGCTCCCTTGTGCCTTACTTTGGCCCAAGCCAGTTTACTGGATACTCTCTTCAGAAGAGACCAAGGTAAGTTACCGGGAATAAGAACACTTAACCGTGAATGTGTGAACATCAAATTAATCGTCTATGAATTAGATAACAATGCCGGGCTCGCTTCTACAACCGGCGAGTTTAACGGAAACCAGCACTTTGCTTCTCATCCTAGCCAACCAGAAACTCCTCCACAGTTTGCCGGGCTTAGAGGCCCCGGAAGGGGTCCTGTAAAACGTCCCCAGCGCCCATCCGGCCCACTAGAAGCAACCCCTAGGCAGTTCGGCCGCAAAGCTCGCAGATCGAATACGCCAACCTCTGGCCCATTTCCAATTATTTCCCGAGACTTTGAAGATGTTCCTGCTGGTGCTCATATCCAGCCACCAATCAAGCCAAAGCCCGCGCCGCCTGGTGCCCCTCAGATTCAACCACCAATTAGGGAAAAGCCTGCACCCCCGCCAATTGGAGGGCAGGGTTTTGAAGGAATTCCAGAAGGAGCACATATTCAGCCCCCAATCAGACCGAAGCCTGCGCCACCTGGTGCCCCTCAAATCCAACCGCCAATCAGAGAAAAGCCTGCTCCACCTGCTATTGTAGCCCGTGACTTCGAAGACGTCCCAGCCGGAGCCCATATCCAGCCCCCAATCAGGCCAAAGCCCGCACCACCTGGTGCCCCACAGATTCAACCACCAATCAGAGAAAAGCCTGCACCATTGCCAATTGGAGGGCAGGGTTTTGAAGGAATTCCAGAAGGAGCCCATATCCAGCCTCCAATCAGACCAAAACCCGCACCACCTGGTGCCCCGCAGATCCAACCCCCAATCAGGGAGAAGCCTGCTCCACCAATCCCAGTGAACACGGAGAAACTTGTTCGTCGAACTTATCGATTGAACAACTAAGCCACCGTGACCACGAGATTTAATTATTGGTTGGTGCTTGTGTACTAGATTTTAGAATATACTGTTCTAGATGGACTTCTCATGCCCTGTTTCTCTGCCTGTCTGTATAGTTGTTAGCCTTTAAAATCTTATTTCATATTACCTAAACCTTAAAAGTTCTCCCGTAAACAATTATACTGTCGTAACGAATTTTTTTGTTGCTTCGAATCCGGAGCGTGGACCTGTCTAAAAGATACATTCCTCCACATCAAAAGAGAATGGACGGAGTAGTACGAGTTGTATGTGTGGTATTTTTTGACCCTGTTTCAACATAGCGTATCAGAGGACTTCATGTGGGTCCTTCACTGACAAAGCAAGGCACTTGCCGGATGACTGAGCTGCATGAATCGACGTCATTCTTAGTTCGCTTTGGTTGTGCGCCAGACTCTTAGGTAAACGACTACAAAACATCTGATACTCCCAGCGCGCTCCCGTTCTAGTTTCAAGATCATCCCGTATCTAAAGCCTCCGCGCTCATTTCACATATGATTTCCCACCCAAATACCCAGACTTTGTCATTCTATCGTTTTGTCCAGTTCCTAAAATCAGAATACTCCTTACCTAGAATCACCGTTGTAACCGGTTAGATCGCTTGTTGGAATTCAAAATTCCTACCCGATCTCTATTATTCTATGTCGAATGAAGACACCCAGCCGAGCCCCAACGATAATCATAACGATGATTCGAAAAGTCTCATCTGCGCACCGAGCCCATCAGCGCTGACTCAATCCACCACAGATACCTCCGGCCACGATATAACGCGATCTTACTTCTTAAGCCCGGGTTCCATCAGGAATTATGATGCCCTGACTGAGCAGCTACTCGAGGACCACCAGAGGCCGGTGAAAACGAAAGTCCATGTCGACGTAAATCTGAGTGTGGACCTTGATCTATCCCCTGAGGTGTATGGGGACCTCCATCTATCGATGCTATGCGTTACAATAAAGCGGAAGCCTTGGGAAGAGGATGTAATTGCAAGCGATGGAAGGAGAATTGCAGGGACAGTATTAAGGATCTCGGATGGAGGAGGCAGATTAGTCCATCGTCAAGTTGTGGGGTTTGAAAGTTTCAGCGAGTGGTGGTGGGTTGTTAGAACGCAACTCCGTGAGTTGATTAAGAGAAAAGCAGTGGGCTGGACTGAAAATGCAAAGGGCTATTTGGTACATGCCAATTCAAGGAGGCTAATGATGGTTTTCGCTTTTCCAGCAACAGTGCTTGCAGTGATATGCTGGAGGCTTTTTACGAAGTCGCCTTGAAATTCGAAAATTCCGTTCCTGCCATTTGCAAACTAGCTGATATATATGCATGCAACGCACACGGGGGTCCAAAATACCACACGTTACTCTCTGCCTCGAGCGCCTGGATTCGAGGCTACACGTTACTATGCCTGGAAGGTTTCGAGTACTAGCATTTAAGCAATTGGCATCACTTTCACATTGCTTGTTGTGCAAGGTATTTGTTATTTAGTATAAAGCTCACGATTGAAACCATAGAGAGTTCATATTAGAGCGAAGAAACCTCATACATGTATAATTAACGGGATGTCTTCCATACTTCTAGAAGGCAGATGGGTTATGAAAATGCAAAGTAATAACCAATTGGAGATAATTAAACAATCAAACAGTTAAAGATTAAATTTGGCTGGGCTCCTTTAGACAAAAATCTCTGCGTGGAGTATTATTTTGCCATCGAAAACATAGTTGTACCCCTTAACAACGTACAAACGAGCTGCGGTAGGCCGGGTACCAACTTTGTCGACTGACAGAGCCCTAAAGCCTTGAATGCTATCGCCTGGTTTAAAAACCATCTCGGTGCCCTCCTGGTGTGCGTCTTTAGTGGTTTTATATGCAAAATAACTGACAAAGAACTCAAAGTTCGAATATATCCAATCTCCTTGCTCACATTCGCGTTCAGCTTCCTTTTGAGTTCCAGCACGCAAGAATACCCCTTGACCATTACAAGTATATATGAATTTAGTATACTTATATCCGCGTGGATCAATCGGTAGTTGATATACCCGGTTCTGCACAACTCCTAGGCCATCGGGTCTAACTTGCTTTGCCCGCCAAACTACTGGCTTTTCTAATGTTGTTTCGCGCCCGTCAGGCCGAGCCACGATGAAGCGATCGGTAGACGACTTCCCAGGTTCGGGCAGACGCTTGGGGCTCTCTTCAACATAAATATGCCACGGGACTAATGTACTTGTCTTCGCAGCGTTTGTAAACGTACCAGAGAGCAGGAATGGTTTCTCGAACCAAAGACCTGGTTCAAATCGGGTGGTAAACCCATCTTTGTCAGTTTCAATCGGCTTATAACGCGCTAAATATGGTAGCTTTCGGGTTAGTTTCTCTATTTCAGTTGTGGTGGAGTCATGCTCAAAATTTGGATTCCAGTTGTCGGCTAAACCAAGGAAAGCAACCAACGGAACCTTTCGGCGTCCGCCGCCAGGTCTTTTCGTAGTCCACCAAAGCCTTTTGTCGTTTTCCGGAGGGAAAATAGAGAGCAAATTCCCCGTGTCAGTTACCCCTTCCCAGATCAATGTACCTTCGATACGTGGATCCACGAAGGTGCTTGCACTTCGGCGAAGACTCCACCCCAAAGATTTGAATACTCCACCGCCCTGATTTTCAGGGCATTGCTTTCCCTCCCTACGACGGGCTTCATCGATCTCTATCAAAGAAAGCACTGCATTAGGGTTTCCGCCTTTACAGATATAAACCACCAGCTCCGGATACCGCGGACCATGACCAGTTAACTTAAGTCTCCCGTCAACCTTAATCCATCTAGCCGCCTCTCCTTCTGCAAACTTCTGAGTAAATAGGTTATAGCCTGGGTATGGGAATCCTCCTTTGACGACTACCCAAAGGTCGTCAGTCAACGAGTTTAGCAAGGTAAGTATAAATCCTTTCGCTTCAGGGGGTTGTAGAAAGTCCCCTTGCCAAACTGGCTCTATTCTTGTCAGTTCCGACGATTCTTCGCTTGGTTGCTTGAACCAGGTTACTGAGTTGGTATATGGGTTCGCTTTTTGGATTTTTAGGGTCCCTGGGTTCTTCTGTCCGGGCCTTCCTAAATAGGGCTTATTTGCAAATCGGGTTCCTTGAAATAAAGAGAATGACTCTCCTTCTGGCGTAGATAGGTCAAAGTTTGGGGTGTAATCATAAGATATACCAACATCATCTTCATCATCTGGTTCCGTGGGCAGGGCGGGCTCATCATCTTCATCTCCCATATTAAAGTTTTGTTCAATCTTTTTGGACGCCCCCCTCGCAGTATCTACTGGATTCAAATTTCCGTATCCTCTAGAGGTGGTGCCGGTGCCAATCCTTGGGCTGCTCAATAGTGAGCCTGGGGAGCTAATTTGCAAATTTGGAATGTTGATTGCTTTTCTGAATGGAATTTGTTGCATAGGCTGCAGGGCGTCTCCATAGGTAGAACCCCTCCGCGAGGTTAACTGGCTTGCGTCAATATCATATTGCATGTCTGATCCGCTGTTATCTCGAGTACGGCAAGTATCTGGATTGCGTCCCGAGCCCGGGAAGCCAAGCCCCTCACAATATGAATTTGCGACCGTACTTCCTCCATATGTTGGCTTCTGCTGTTTTGAGAAATCATTCTGGCGAAAACTATTGGAGCTTGGAGAAAGCAGGGCGTGACTATTGTATGGTTGTCCGTTTCTCAGTGTATTCAATTCATTCCCACCCAGTGTGTCTCTTACAGTCGTTAGCCGTGCATCGTTCGTGCTCCCAGAATCCCCAATACGGTTTGTAACTCCTGTCCGAAAGGAGGTGGGTATTCGAATGTTCCCGCTGCCTTCAGAACCTGAAAAATCATCATTCTCGAAGCCTTGTCCATAGATCCCGGCCGAGAAGCAGATAGAACAGATAGCAATTCTCAATAGACACCCTCCAGCCGGCCTCGAGGGCATTGCGATAGCTAAAAGAGGAACAATCCACACTTGATGGTAGTATCGAGGATTTGAATAGATTCGTAAGCTAGAAACATGGGAATTGATAACCGCAAGGAGCCATTGCTACACACGCATCTCCATGCATGTGCCATTGAAATCCTCATGCCCCACCTGGTCTCAGCCAGTCTATGTTTGAGGTAATAATATCTGGCAATCAACTTCTGACATTCAGATTATATGGTATGAGACAATTATACTTGTCAAAATTGACTTGAAAAAGCTTAGCTGAGCATATAATATAACCGGTGTACAGAGGCTGCCCACTAGTTACGAATCTAAATCTACATATCTTTGTGTTGGCCATATTTCGATTGCATTGCATGACACAAACAACAAACGCAACTGGAATCTTTCACCCAATGCAGCCAACTGAATTAAGACTTTCCCCTTCACTAAGCAATATTATATTAGTCATCTACAAGTTCCCTTCACGGATGGGGACAGCAGTGTACGAATTACGACTAACCCAGTTCAACAATGCTTAGACCCCGACGTTAATTAATAATCAACCATGTTCGAGACTCTGAAATACAGAAGACACTAAGTAACAAAGTGCAGGGAGCGCCCGAGAGGAAACTTTATCAGATGTATGTAAGTATACTACTTAGGTAGCTCGATCAAAAATCTAGATACCATCCTTTAGAAGAAAATACTGATTCACGTAACTTCGAAATTTCAAATCCGTGTCTTGGGCAATGCAATACAGCGAGAGCCTGCTAACGGGATTGCTAACCGGCCGTTAATCCATTAGTCAATGTTGACATATACGTACCAGCCATCAAAATGGATAATTTTTCTTCAATCGGCCGTAAAAAACATCTGCAAAATATGTAATCGATTAATCGCAAGAGGCTGTTCAATTCAGACAATTTCGATACGAACAAAACTGTCTCGAAATCCCCGGCCCAGCTGACGTCAGCCTATAGCGCTGCCTCCACAATGTCTTGGTCCTCCGCTATGGTCGGTCAGGGCCAGCAACACAATTGTTCTGTGGGGGCAACATGCAGACCCTGGCCATGGGCCCACCACTATCGAGCTTTTGCCTGTGCTAATTCCACAATCCACTTCTAGAAGTGAAGGGTTACACTGACGTCGTTACCGGACTTTGGGTTCTCGTTAGGATGTTCTTCCACTCTTGCCACGACCCAACCAACTGGATCACTATACTTATACTTAGTGCTTATGCACGTTGTTAGAAAGCTTGGCCGCACTGGTAACAGCCGAAGCAGGGCCAGAATAATCCTGATTGGTAAGTTGGGGTTATCATCAAGCTACCGAGCTGAGAGGCTCGTATTTGCTCGCGGATCCCTAAGGCAGAATCATGGAGATATGCCTGATTCAATACTCTATCCTAAGAGTCCATGATGCATGATCTTCATAGTTTGCGTTAACCTGTTTAGTTCTAGCACTTCAATTGTGCAATATATAAACCATTGAAAACCTCGGAGGAATTTTCTGGTTTTCGACCAAGATCTTCAGATCATAAGGAGCTTTATTCACATAGCTATCTAAACCATATATACTTCATTTCCCTCCATTCCCATTCTTCAGAATATTCCTGCCTCCAACCGCTCTTGCAAAAATCTTAGATCCTAAACATATAATATATCAAACTTATTTGCACTTCTATTGTCCTAATATTTCGAAATGGCGGAACTCAAACCTATTATCGTTATGACTTCTGCGCCTATCATGGCCCACTTCAAGAGTCTCCTGCCGATCTCTACCCACCTGGTAAAACAAGGATATGAGGTTCATATCACCACGGGAGGCTCTTTGAGAGAAGCCAGTGAATGGACCGGAGCTACTTTCCACCCGTATCCTGAGGAGATTTCTGATCCAACGACAATGCTTTTTGAAGTTAAGGGAGTGGAAAACGGCACCCCACAGAGGGTCAACCAGGACCTAATTCAGTTTTTTATTTCACCAATCCCCAAGCAGTATCAAATTCTTCAGAATGTTTGCTTGTCGATCACGACAAGAGAAAGCTATAAAGGAGAGCCTATTGTCATTATGACTGAAACTGGATCCTGGTCTATGATGCCCTACTTCCTCGGGGCGCCGTGGAGAGGAATTCCTCCCAGCTCTGTTGTTACAATTGGATCTATCCCCATCTCATGCACTGATCCAAATCTCGCCCCGTTCAACGCTGGACTACCACCTGCGAAAACGGAGGAGGAGCGTGCGCAATATGCGGCCATGAACAAGAGTATCGTTGAATCACCAGAGTTCTTCAAAGGTGCCCAAGAATTCTATGATTTGACACTCAGAAGTCTTGGGACTACGAAGAAAACGACTCTACTGCTTAATCACGTCAGACACGCCGATCGATACCTCCAATGTTCTCTTGAAGAGCAGGAATACCCACGCTTGGATCCTCCAAAGGGTCTTCGATACATCGGTTGGCCAGAACTTAAAGGGCGGAAAGTGCCGCCGTTCCCACCGTTCTGGGATGAGATCTTGGAAGTCTCTAAGAACAAAACAAAGAAACTCGTCTTCGCTTGCCAAGGGACAGTTCCATGGAATGATATGAATGACCTTATCGTCCCTACTATCAAAGGACTAGCAGGTCAGGAAGATATTCTTCTAATCGCTTCCCTTGGTGCGGACCACCAAAAATTGCCAGAGGATTTGAAAATCCCAGCGAACACTCGCGTTTGTAACTATATCCCATTCGAGGATCTCTTGCCGCATCTTGATGTCTTCGTAAACTCTGGCGGCTTCGGCAGTACGCAACAGGCACTTTATTACGGAGTTCCCTTAATTTTGGTTGGAACCGGCGAGGACAAGCCCGAAAACAATGCTAGAGTCGAATGGACTGGCGCCGCCATCAACCTTAAGTGCAAAACTGCTGAGCCTGAGGCAGTCCGCGAAGCTGTCCAGAAGATGTTAAGCGACGACTCTTACATTAAGAAAGCGAAATACTTCAGCGAGCAATACGCTAAAGTGAACCCTCTTGAGCTTGTTGAGAAGAATATCTACGAGGCTCTTAGAGAAAAGAACTAAAGGTCTGGCTTGATGGAGTGTTGTCTTTGAGGCCCATTGTAACGAATACGTATTAATATATCTTGATTTTGGGAGTTTTTGATTCTGTTAGATTCGGACAGCGTGTAATTTCTTTTGAATAATAATGACTACTATACTTAAGCTTCGTTTTTGACATTCCCCGACCGAAAGCATTGACTTGTAATAGTATCCTAGTAATTTTCGTGCATAGATTCTAGAATCTATCGGTTCCCCATAGCTTCTAATAGTGCCGCCGCGACTCCTTCCGCAAACCTCTCATCATTTATGTCTAAATCCTTCGCCACAACTTTGATGCCAGTATCACATAGGCCAACCGTAATCGTCTCATGAAGTACATGATCTGCTTTCGCATCTCTAAAAGAGCTTTCATTCTGATCAATTATACTTACGCTCTTCAACGGCAACCAAACTTGAATTCTGTGCCTCTGCCCCGCGCAGGAGTTTTCCAAAAGTCGTCTGCATATAATTTTTCCAAGACATTCGTTCTCCTCCTCATTCGTCCGGACCACCGTTACAGCGTTGTTGTGAACATGTATCTTCCTTTCTTTATACTTTTCTGGGACTGTTTCCTTCGGCCCAAAGTTGATACAATCCAACGCTCCAGTGCTGACAACCATTGGTATCCCCGCCCTTGCTGCTCCTTTCAGCCTCTCGCTACCCGCACTCAGAACACCTCCAAAAGCCTCGTCTGCAAGCTCCGTGGTGGTAAGATCCAAGACTCCGTCGAAAGTTCCGTCCAGAATAAGCTTCTCCATAGCCATTCCGCCCGATCCTGTCGCATGGAATACATAGACCTCACAGCTGTTTTTTTCCAACACTGCTCTCGCTGCGTCGCAAGCAGGGGTAGTAATCCCGAACATGCTTATAGCCACTTTCTTCTTTTGTTCGGCATTTGAATCGACAAGTGAAGGCCTTAATGCTCTTGATTTGACCATCCCCACAACCGTACCGGCAGCGTTTTCAAGAACCTGTTTGAGTAGGCTATTCAACCCGGCTATGTCGACAACACTATAAAGGATAGAAATGTCGGAGCAGCCAATATACGGCTTGATATCACCGCTGGCCATTGTCGATAGAAGAACTTTGGGAAATCCGAATGGGAGTGACTGGAGAGCGTCTGCTACGATGCTACTACCGCAGCTGCCACCGATGGCAAGTACGCCATGAATCTTATCATTACGAACAAGATCCAACAGATAGGACTTCAGAGCGCCTCCGATGGTAACTATTAGATCGTTCCTGGATGAATATGTTGTCGAATATGGAAATAGCGAATGGATAGATATGCTGATTTTTTGGTGATGGCTGGAGTCAGAAGGCTTTCCCGTGTTGATGAGCACAGGGGTAATAGAGAAGGGATCCGCCTTCAACGAACTAGAGAGCGTGGATACATAGTCACAAAGGTAAAGTAGTTCTTCGAGTTTGGTATCGCATGTCCCAATAATTGCTATCTTGAAATTTGTTTGGGTTGACATTGCGGTAAATTTGGTGGGTTTAGAATAGATTTGCAATTAATATGATGTGAAGTTGATCGATTCAATGAAAAAAGATGGACCGAGCTGAGGGGTGAATGGAATGAAGACAGTAAACACTTTTAAGGACACCAATACCAACTGCATTCGCGACGTGCAATTTTTTATAACATTGATATGTCCACAAATCTAGAAGTCGTCTTGTAGATCATAGAGTTTGCGACACCTTTGGGTTACACAAAGATGCTCTGGGTTTCCCACACAAATCATTGATCTCCATAGACAAAAACTCTAGTTTGTTAACTGTGAAGTCTATAGGGGCATACAAAAAGTATAAAGCTCCGATAGCAACTGTACGGTACTGGGTTTAGAAACAGACTTGATGTATTCCCGCGAATTCATAGTTCCTCAAAATAATTTTGCGATAGGATTACTAGTAGCTGCGGACGGGTTCTCGTTGACGGCCTTGAGGCCTTCATTTCTGGTTTCAAACTTACTGAGCCTTCACCCGCCCCTATCCCGGTTTGTGGAACGTTACGCCGTCGAGAAACAGCAAGGAAACAGCGAGGAAACAGCAAAAGACCAGCATAAATTTCGTTCTCAAAAAAAGAATAGCCAAAGATAAAATAAAGGGGCAAAAGCAGCACTCTAGGACTAAGAGAGAGTAAAGCCCCAGACCAAGAGTAAGGAACCAGTGAGGAACCAGTGGGGAACTAGTGAAGGACTGGCGTGGAACCTCACCAGAAACGGCACAACACAAATGAAAGCAACAATCCGCCCGCGAAAAAAATACCACAGGGGAAGGTGTTGATGTTGACATATGTCCAGTCCGGTAGAAATTTTAATCCGGTCCAGTCCCAGTGTTCCTAGGGATGTCAATCTAAAGGTGACGATCTTATATATATATAGCATACGATGCAGATTTTTTCTTGTTTTCAAGAGTACAGCTCATATTTTTGCTGGATTCAAGAGGTATAAACATGATCATAAAGCTGGCAGCTGCCTTGCAACCACCAAACAAAAAAACTTTTTAAAGAAAGAAACCTTATAACCTTCAACACTCTTCAGCTTCAGCTTCAAAAGTATGAATATATATCATCGACCACAGTATGATAATGTGAAATAAACTTTTCCCCTCTCAGATCCCCAATATCCTTCTATGTACAGCCGTGTTCACCTCCCACAACCATCTAATCGCTCAGATTTACGGGCGAGTCTCATCGAAAGATGGGATCTCCTGTCCCTTCTTGAAGGCAATCATATCGTCCTGAGCAATTTCTCTCTTGCTGAATCTGTTCTCCAAGCCCCTCTTGATTGGGTTTGGAGACTTGCAAGTCGTGCTGACGCAAACTGGAACACCGCAGCAGGTTTGAACGAAGCAGGTAGAGCCTTGTGGGCAGTCACGGGTGGTCTTGCACTGCTTGAGGCCGCTGCACCAGGAGTTCTGGAAGCAGACAGCGGTACCTTCAGCGCTCAATCCGCACCAGCAGTCGTTCTTGGCGTCGCAACGCTTGAGGAAGTTTCCGCAGGTTTGGGGCTTGCAGATGGTGGCTAGTTGCGGGAGAATATGTTAGAATTGTACCTTTTTATGAATGGTAGTATGAGCTTACATGGGCATGGGACGGTAACGTAGCGGGTTGGGGTAGGAGCAGTGATGGTGGTGGCGTTAGCGGTGATGGTGACGGTACTATCGATTATTATTAGAGTTAGAAATTATCAACATAACATAAACTTCTTTTACGGTCATGAAGGACTCACACTGGGAGAGGAGTGACGGTGACGGCGTAAGATGGGCAGGTTTGAGCCAAAGCGCCAGACAAAGTGGCAAGAGCGAAGAGGAAAGCGGCCTTCATATTGACGGTTATTTGTTATAGAAGATTTCAATAAGAGATTTGGTAGCGAAGTTTTAGGATTGTCGGTGATTGAAGTGCTGATGATGATGAGAGTGAAATGGACGAACTTGGGCTTCATCAGCCGTCCTTTTATATTCCATTTCGAGCGATATTCACCCTATGGTATTCTATGAATATACCGGGTTGGAGTTAAGAATATTCGATTAGACTTGGTGCCCGGTATGACTATCCCAAACTCAGGTCAGTTTGAACTGTAGAGTTGATAGTCAAGCCCTTGCGGCCGTAGTTCGAATACCCAGCCAATAACGATAGCCCAGTTTAGTGTCGCGTGCAGCTCAAATTGGTTACGGCTGGTGAGGCCCAAGAAACCAAACGAACAAGGAACTAGGTCAAGCCGGCAAAAAGCCGCCTTTTTTTCCTGCGCGCATAAAAATTTCCGCATGGATCTCACCAAGAAAAAGATGTAGCAAACCCTATGAGGGCGAAACGGCACGCTTTCTCTCAGTCCGAATTGCTATGATTCGGGAAATCGGACCCTGAAGGGTAATCCTGTGATACCACCCATCCCCCTCCATCGAAAGTCTCACAAGCAACAGTCAGCTAGGCAGCAATGTGGTATATGAATCCAGACGACATCGACCATGTTTTTTATATTACGTAGATCGCCCAGTGGAACGTAATAACGTGATTTTCGCTAAAGCACGGTCTAGACAACGATCTAATCGAGGAAAGAGCTTAATTTTGATGTGCTTATTCAGACTTTTGCTTCCAAAGCTCGCGGTGTTGGAATTGAAGCCTCAACACTTCACATATTCAGCTCTCACAGAATCTCAGGTCTGAGGGAGTAACATATCGCTGTTGCGGCCCGCCGGTCCGCACTACACCAAAAAGATATCGAGCCAAAAGGATCAAGAAAACTAGCGGAAGTCCTTCTACCTGCATATGTCTTTGCCACGGCATTTTCAAGTCTTTGTTATCTTTCAAATTGGCTCCTGCCCACTCAAACAGCTTTCTCGCTTCCGACTTCGCGCGAACACTTCAAACTTGAGACTAGCTGGACAGCCGGGGACGACTTGGCGAACTCTCAAACGAGCATTTGGCTATTAATGAAGTAAGCGTGGTTCGATCACTATCAAAAAAGATCCTTGAACCTGGCACGAGGCATACCTTAGGTATTGATTAGAAAGATGACGGTTGAATCGGATCTCAATCGAAAATTCACGCAGCTGAAGCCCTCATGATTTCAGTGAAGCCAATGGAAAATTAACCGAATGAACCTGTGGAACTAAGCAAGGGTAGACCCAATTTGGCAGAGTTAGACGAACCTTATGGGTAACACTTTCGTCAAAGCTTAACAGCCAAGGCTGAATGCACAGAAGGATGTGTGAAACCCTGCCCAAATTTTGTTTCTGGGGCATGACACTATGTATGATATAGATGCGGGCATTGGACTATGCATACCAGCGCATAGATATTGTATTGGAATCCGCTTAATATATCGGATGAAAAGCTTTTTACTGCACATATCAATCCACTCTTAAGTTTCATAACGCACCCGCCTATAGCTCCATGTTAAATCGGGAGGAAATTAACTTTTGATCGAGGGGCAATAGCAATAGCAATACCTGCTTGTCCCTGGCGGCTGCATGCAAGACGCCGGTTCTGCATCTATCTCAAATATTTTGGATTATTCCAGAATTATGCGTGACAGTCAGAGCAGTATAATATAGGGGGATATTATCGTCGGGGCGCCTCCAATTCTGCAAGCCATCCTGCACTCCGCATTTTTTGGTTCTCAGATGTCATACAGCTCTAAATGAATAGCCTTGTGAAAGTTAGTCCTCCAATGAAATGAGGGGCCCTCGCCATGTACGGTCATCGGCATCCAGACCGGCTCGGGTGGAAGGTTCACGTAGTACGATGGCTTTTGTATTCCTTCCTCTCAAACCGGACGGTGACTTGCCGTCACTAATTGAATTCAGCCTATGAGGCTCGATGTAATCCGCCAATCAATATTTTCTTATATATTCATAGCGTAGCTCTTAAGGTAAGTAAGCTTTTGCCTACACACTCATCCTATAAATGAACAGTAAGACAGACCCGAGTATTACCCCAGGGTCGAAGTATCGCTTGGCATCTATAAGGATACTTACCCAAGTCTTGACCTCGCCTGTTGGAACATGCGGAGCGGTAAAGCCGTCTGAATTCTTCGCTAAAAAGCTGCGGCTGATATCTACCCTTGGGGCACACAGATTGGAAGAGCCTCGAGGGTTTTGATCGCCGTGGTAAGGGGCTGCATCGACCTGCATTTTTCATGCTCATATGACATGAGCTTCGAGATAGGGTAGCTATGTGAAAGAATATAGCCTCCATCACAAATACCCTTCCAGCTTTGGATACGATACAAAGAAATACCTTGATAGTACTGGGTGCAGAGATTCTCTTCAAGAACTCTATATCTCAAAAAACAAGTCATATCACAGGAATTACAGAGCTTCGCGATAGACGAACCACACCATGCATGATTGACGGAAATTCCGAGGCACGATAAAGCTAGGGTGTTCCATACCTTTATAGTCGCCGTTTTACCACGTTCCTGGGGAGATATCTAGATAAGAAGCGATATGAATATCGTTTGTCAAGCTTGCTCCGTCTATATACTCGACCATACGAGATCAAGAAAACGAGCTTCAAGATCAAGATATCTCAAGATACCAAAGCTCATATCGGATTATGTAACTTAATAAACAGTTTAGATAGGGTACATACGCGACATAAAGGCGAATAATCCTTTAAGCCTAGGATAGGCTCGGGTCTTCGGTCCTAAACGCGAGAATATATTAATTTCTTCGCTTCATTGGGGTATTTTTAGTATAGTTGTACGCCCATATGTGGTAGTTCAAGACTAGATGTCACTTCTGCTTTTGACGAAGCTACATAAAATTCACGAATCGGATTAAATTTTCAACCTCGTGTTTAGTTTTAGGCTAGTAAATATACACTAGCTTTTGCCTTTCTGGATCAAGGGCAAATTCTAGTCGTATGTGGATGTGAAAAAGGGAAACTGCACTATTGGCAGTACAGAATCGGTTAATATCCTGGAAGCCCGGACGAAACAGTGAAGAAAGCGTATTTTCCCGATTCTGTTGACCAGGCTTCTGAGGTATGCAACTTGAGAAGGGGAGAAACTAGGAAATGAGAAACAGGAATTTTAGAATGCATACGATAAGTCACCCCTGAACACCTTCTATCGAAAAGCAGAAAGGAAAAAAGGAAAAATAATAAAAGGAAAAATAATAAAGAGAAATAATAAAAAGAAGAAGATTAGAATGTAATAATTATTTGGATATACCAAGATGGCTTGGGAGTCCAACTCTCTTCCCATCAATTTGGAACGGTGAGTTGACATCACAATCCGATTTTGAACCTCCCGGCTTTCCAGCGGTAACTTCTAGATGGTATGTATCGGACCCCTTCTTTGGGAGCTCGTTAGGACAAGTCGGCATGCTAACTTCAGTTGAAACACAAGTGACACGCAAAGTGTGCAACTGTGGAACATTCACAGGGTTTCCGTCCTATCGAGCAGTTAGCACTATTTTTTTTATATAACCACGGAAAGCCAAAGGAAATTCCATACCGATACAATGGCCCAGTTGATGTTCTCACGGATATAGCTTAAAACCTGTTCCTGAGTAGGATTTGGTCCTAGGTTTTCATAAACTGTATTGGTGAGAACAACATCAGTACCGATGACACGAGAGTGCATCCGCTTTTCGGGGGCTCCAAGGTGGGTTAGAGTTCCGATCATTGTTGGACAAGTGGCCCAGCGAGCCGGGTCGACTGGTGGGGTGCCGAGGAAGATGTAGACAGTAAAAGAACCAAGAAGTTCTGCTTGATCAATGACAATCTTGGCTTGCCATTCCTGGCGCATCTGATATGTCTTGATGTCTCGTTTAGTCGGGGGAGTAGGACTTGGACCGTAAAGACGGTTTATTTCGGTGATTGTATGGTTGCGAAGAGCGTCAAAGTTGGAGAAACTGAGGAGACAAGGAACTTCGGGGTAACCATAGGACAACGAGAAGACCGAGTTTGCAGTGGACATGTTCTGTGATGTCCACCAAGAGCCATCTCTATGTCGGAAGGGATATAGGGGAGTATCAACAGTATCCAGCGGAGAAGATGGGTTAGCGAATGTTGCAACTGAATTTGCCGGCTCAACGAATGTATTCGGTTGTGCTGACTGGTACATGGCCATAAGACGATCCATGTTGCAGTGATGTAACCTTTCAAGCAGAGGGTTAGAAAAGCGTAGTTCAATCAGCGTGAAGAATTGTACAAGGGACAAATATAATACCAGAAAATAGGGTCATATGCAGAATAGGGAACATAAGTCATGTGCCCCCGGCCTCCTACAGCTGCATGAACCTCATCGTGAAGAGATTCGATGCTCGCGGCGAAGTCGTTGAATCTGCCTCGGCTGAACGCTAAGTAAGTAGATTGGTGTCGACTATGGTAGAGTGGGTTAGCCTCAATCATCCGGATTTAAGGAAGAGGGCTTTTTCATACTTGTTATAGCCGTTCTGTAGCACTCTATCTGCGAGATCTTCTTGGGTTACACCGTTACTTGTAGGCCGTCTAAGAGTCGTTCTCCATGTCGCAAACTACCAAAAGCTGTTAATTTAGGCGCATAGGATAACTTGGGCCCTAAACTCACGTTCTGCACAAAGGTTGCAATTGATTCAGCGGATTGAAAAGTATAAGATTTCAGAGGGTTAGGTATTGTGGTGGTAACCGGGGCGCCATTGGTACCAGGCTGGGTGACAGATATAGTAGCGACTGTAACGATCGGTGGAAGACGGCTTTGGGTAACTGGATCGCTCCAATCCCAATACCTGCAAAAAAAAAAAAGTCAATCAGTCAGTCAGAAGACAAATCTACAATGGGTAGCGATAAAATTCAACCTACGGTAATCTGAGACCATCGACGGCAGCTAGGTACCTCGGTCGAACATCAATCGAGAACCTAAGAGCGATTTCAAGCGCCTTCCTATAGAGTGTCTGTTCGAGAAGGAGAAGGAATGGTCGATGCCAAGTTAAAAATATGACGCTATGGTGAGTACAGTATCCAACCTGTCTGTTATAATTGCCCTGTTCTGGCATTTGCCATCTTAACACGAATAGTTACTGTTAGTTCTGCGCACAAAAATGCAACAAGGTGACCGATCAAAACATACGGCGCGAATGGTGCTCCATGAATACGGGACAACCGGTAGAAGCTCAAATCATCCGTTTCATTAGCGAGTTGAAGTTCTCTCCAAGCCAAAAGTAGAAGATTAAAGCTGTTAGGCCTCCGGGTCTGCATGTCGTCAATCTTCAACCTCTCAACACATGTAGTCTCAGCTCCCACAACTGCAACAAAACTTGATTGAGCTGCTGCAGTCAAGCTTCTTGAAGCTGACGTCGAGGTAACACTAGAAGAGGTGGACGAAGAAGAAATATTGGTAGTAGAAACCACCGAAGTTGAGGATGTACTTCTAGTAGAAGTGACCAAAGTCGAGGAAGTACTAGGGGGTCTTGTAGAAGCAGTAGAAGATGAAGAACTGCCTCTTGCAGAAGACGTGGTAGAACCCGCCGACCTTTGATTATTAGTAAAGGCTAGAGGTGGTAGAACCGACGACGAAGATGACACAGAAGAACTCGCGATAACCAAGCTAGTCGAAGATTCAATGGAGGTCGAAATGGAAGAACTTGAAGAGCGAACGGCATTGGAGGTAGACGGAGTAGAGGCTTTAGGTTCAGGCGGAGTGGCAGTGATAATTATAGTTTTAGGTTGAGTCGGAGTAGCGAAGACCGTGACAGTAGCCGTAGACGAAACAGTAAACAAGATGGTAGTTCCGTGGTTTTGGCTAGCCTCGAGATGATTCCCAGCTAGAGCATTCGATTCGTCACCGACAGAATCTTTAGCGTCTGAGACAGATTTGGCGCCATCGAAGACAATTCCACGAGGAATACCAGCAGCAAGAACTGATGGAAAGACGAGGGCTAGTGCTAAGGTCGTAACCCAAAAGGCACCCTTAGAGGGCCGCCCAGAGCGTGTGTGTGTTATAGAGCCAGCCATCTAGATTGATGCAAGCAGCAATTATTATTAGCAGATAGCTGAATAAGAAGAAGAATAAGAAGATATTGAATATATATTAGGCTGTATCTGCATACCTTCACCTGATGGAATGAGTGGTATTGAGAGGAGAGGATATGGAGAAAGATGGATTGATGATGAAGAGTAAAGGAGGTGAGAGAGAGGTAAGGGTGAACAGAAAGATCTAGGAAAGGTTGTAGGCCTGCTAGGTGAAGCAACGCTTTGATTCTTTGGTGAAATGGCTATGGACTGTCCAACATCACCAACCCATAACCCCTTCAAAATGCAACACTGCAAGGAGCTGGTGGGGCAGATAACTGACAGGCGCAGGCCACAGTAAAGTTGCTACTACCTATGTATAATTAATTGGATTCCTGCACCTGATAATGCTAAATTATTTTTCACTCGGAAGCCCCTCTGTCAGGGTTTGAGAATGCAGGGGAAAATCGGCTCTGCCACAAGGATTTATAGGCTTCCTCTCAATTGCCTACACTGTTTTGGGTTGTAACATGAAAGCATGCCGCTAAGGGCCCTGCTAAATTCCCCACGTGGCTCCGGAGACCGTTACTTTCACTTCTAGAATTCTCCTTCGACTAAGTTTTGGACATACACAGGTCCTAATAGAACAGTATGTCGAACCTTGAGAACCCCTGAGGGAGTTCACAAATTTTATCCCCAGTGAAAACAGGTAGCAATCTCCGTGAATAGTACTGAAGTTAGCCTGTATCATGTAAGTTGTATGTTACCTGTTGGATAACACGCCGCCAATGCGAAAATCGGCCGGGGCCCTGCTTGTGCGACGGCTCTCCTGGCTTCCACGTCGGCTTGTACTATCCAACCACTTGAACATAGCACGAATGTCCAGCATTATGCCGGTTTGCAGTTTCCTGCGAGGCACCTCGCCATTAAGTCGAGAACCAAAGCCATTGGATATCTGGAAATTAGTTTTGGGATATCATCATGCAAGGGGTATGACAAGCTTTGTATAGGAGCGGTATAGTAGTATCTTTGGCGAACATTTACGAATCCAGGGTCGGTAAATTCCGATTGTACTACATTTAATTCCCCAGGGAGAGTCTCGAATTCACCAAGAGGGGCTCCCTAACGGTAAGCCCTGTCCTCCATACATTTAAAGCTAGTCTAACCGGTGTCCGGGAACGAGACTATAAAATTCACGCGGAATCCATTCTGCACCTCCCTGATGCGAAGGGGAAAAAATTAAATTCGAGATTCAATGATACGACGAGATAATACAATGGGGCATCAAAAAATATGCGGATGAGGCCCCGGAATTACCGGGAAAGCTTCAAATAGCGAGCATATATCTAGGAATATCTGCCCATAAATCTTTAGTGGAGAATAGGAATAGTTTTGTTAAAACGGTGAACCCAGCCTCTTGTCTGATCCCAAAGCTGTATTTGAAAATGCTTTCCTCTCGCTTCCCTCAAATATGACGCTGGCCTTAATATAGAACAAGAAGTTAACAGCGTCAGTAACACTCAGTTATACCAAGACAAACTAGAGCCATTTAGTACTTACTGAGAGACTACACCATTTTCCCAGGACTTGGCATTCCCTTCGGGACCACATAAGGTTGCCCAGATAACAGCTGCTGCGCCTGTAGATGCTTTCCTGTCGCGAAAGTAGCTCCAGATCTTTCGGGAATGACGGAGATAAAATGGCACATTAGCGCCAGTTTCCGCTTCCTCTTCCGCTTCCGCCTCTGCTTCTGCTTCTGCTTCTAATTCTGATTCTGATTCTGCATCCGCATCAGCATCCGCATCTTCCGCATCAGCTTCCGCATCTTCCGCATCTTCCGCATCAGCCTCCGCCTCTGTTTCCGCTTTGATCTCTCCAGGACTTGCTGAATTTACGACAAGTTTTTCGTCACCAACACGACGCCCAAGCTCCAATGTGTATGCCATGGCCACGAACTTGGACGCCGCGTATAGCTCGTCGGACAGATCCTGTGGGTCATTGAAGACTTCGAACACGCTATTCGACGGGGCAATGTAGGCTTTGCCCCTCGATAGTTTGGAAAACCTATGGCTTTCAGAGGAGACCCAGGTCAGGTGAGAAGGTAGTGTCTTAAAAACACAATTTTTGCTCAACTTCTTGGAGAGTTGTTCCGTAACATTTCGGTTTGCTGGGTAATTTGCTTTGAGAAGTGGTACCAAGTAGTTGCATAGGATGACGTTCGCGACAAAATTAACCTGAAGGGTTTCTTCCAATCCGTCGATAGTCCTGCTGAAAGATGGCAGGTTGACTTCTGCGCCAAGGACCGCGATGTGTAGAACATTGACTTCGGAGCGGAACTTCTCACAGAATGATTTAACGGAGCTCAAATCACTGTAGTTTATTCCGTAGAGGTGGACTTTGCACCCAGGGTTTCGTTCAACAATCTTATCATCCCTAAGGATGGCGGCCTTGATGCTTTCGCCTTGACCGAGATCTTGGACGACTAAGTAGACGGTGTCGGCACCCAAGCTTAGATAGAGACGTGCCATAGCCGTTCCAATTATGGTTTCACCCCCAGTGATGAGAACGCTGAGTCCTGAGAGGTCATACTTTTTGGGGTCGATACGGCGAACTTTTAAAGCTCGTAAAGGCATGTTGGAACAGTGTAAGAACGATCGCTCAGCTAGTCTTCGCACAAGGCTTGAGTCCGATGTCGAGTAAGAGGTAATGCTTAGGGAGGGAAGAAGGAAGTGGTATCTAGAAATGCATCATTTCTTCAGATTGAAAGAATCCAAGGTCTAGATTATCTTTTCCCAGAGATTCGAATCTCGGCCTGAGTTTTTCATTTATCGCAAAACGATATGTCGCAACCTTTTGTTCAAATTAATGACACATCGACCACTCAAGACTATATATGGGATATGCATATATAAAGAGCGAGATTTTCCGGTACTTTAGGTAAAAATAGCCATAACTTCAGAGAAAAACGTGATAAATCGAAACTCTTCCAGAATTAAGGGTAGGTAAAACGTGGTTATAACAGTGGTTTAGGTAGACATGGATCTGGAGCTGAGACTCTCTCTCGACTCTTAAGCTCTTGCATGCGCATGCTGACAACAGCCTTAAATTACAACGATATCAACGCAATTATAATACGGTTCGCTTCTAACCGCGTAGCTAGCGCGCCCGGGTGCTTCTGCTTGGACATTAGACGAAAATCAAAGTTTACTAGGATATCAACAGTCATATAGCAAATAATACTATTCTTTTTGAAATCTAATTTTCTCCCTTTTGTTTCTACCCCTTGGAATATCGCTGATATAAAAGCAAAGCTCCGTCGATAATAGCTGGCCAGGGGTTTAAAGGAACGGCAGCAGTGCCCTTGCTAACCGCCTCCAAAATATGTATATACCCCATACCTTCATCCCCTAGTCTCTTATATCCGAATGAGAGGAGCTGAGGTTCAACCCACAAAGCGGTCGTACTCCAGATGAACCATGCAAAGGTATACACCGTCCCCAAAAACCTCCTGACAGGTCTTTTCTGGACCTCTTTCTCCTCGGTCGAGATTCCGAATAGCCACATAATGAAATCTTCAAGAGTTACGGCGACGGCTTGTACGTAGAAAAAGTACCCTGAAACGTACCATGCTGGCCGGGATGATACCGGTGTAGAGTCTTTGAATGGTACTGGGTTTGTAACTGTGACGAAATAGACACCGCCCGCGTGGATGATTCCGGACCATGCAAAGGCAGAAAATAGGAGGAAGTATCTTCTTATGAGACGAACTGAGTAGGATAGCTGTGACGGATCCCCGAAGATGATATCTGCAATTCTGTCTCCTGGAGCATTAAGACACTTTTAAAATTTGACGTTAGTATAACTTGAAGATCCAAAAAAAAAAAAAATCTCTTTGACTCTCTAATAGGCAGCTCGATGAAAAAAACATACCCTTCTCAAAGACTGGTGCCATGACTTTCCCCATACGCTACGAATACTCCACGTATCCCTCAAACGCCCGAATGTTCTTGGCCATGAAGTTGGCTCCTTCCAGAACCCACCAAATCCGAGTCCGACACAAACTATACCAGCAATATTGTAAAGGACGCTGATATGCGATATTATTGTAATGACCCAACCTAGAAGGATTATCACCATTTGGGAAACCTCATTCTTGCAGAGATCATACACCCATGGGTACTCTGCAACTGAGATCTCCTGACGAATAACCCCGGTCATAAAATCGTAAAGGGCTCCGGTCAGATACAACCCCAAGTATATCTGCAGCAAAACAAAAACAGCTTGACGAAGGAATGCCGTTCTAGTTGGCGGATATTTCGTGCTCGGAACCGAAACCTCGAAATTCCAGCCAATCCCTCGCTGAGAGACGAGCAGTAAAAATCCCCATTTTATGCGACCCCAGAGACTCTGTGGATACTCCAACTGTTGTTTAACTTTGCCGACTTGTTGGACCCTGAAGAAATGTTTCGGAGTGTCGTACCCTTGCAAGTACAAATAGTCGAATAGTCGGAGGGCAAGAGCCGAGGTAAAAAGACCGAATAGGTACGTATCTTCAACATCATTATCTTTTGTCGGTGGCTGTATTGCGGCCTGAAGCATAAGAACTGCAGGGATTGGATAAAGTGCATATCGAATAAATGAGGAACTTGGAAGGGCGAATATGGCAACGGACACAATTGGCAGCCCTAGAAAGGCGCGCTGTAGAGAATCCAAAGCCATAACCTTGAGTTTGTTCAAACACCAATAACGTTGGAGGATAACGCAATTTAGAAGATAACCAGATCCACCATCTGGAAGTCTCTTCTTCCAGATTCGAATATTCCTTGAATAGAAAGGGCGGAAATCGATGACGGGTACGCCTGCTGTGGTACAAAGTCAGGAGAGAACAGGATGAATATGCAAAGAAAAGAGTAACTACAAAAATATTAAATCCAGATCACAACGTCGGCATTTATAATTACAATGCAGGCAATATTTAGTTAATTATTTATATAAAACAATACTCAGAAAGCCCGTAAGCCGGGTACCGAAAAGAATAGCTTATCTGCCATAAACGAGCAGAAGAATACGAGCTGAACTTTGGTTTATCCCAACATTTTCCAGGGCCGAATAGCTAGGATTGTTCCGAGCTAGCATGGCTAACACTCAGCCTGGTCAGGATTCTGTAACACCGGGTCATGAACCAAAGTGAAATGTGTTGCCGTCAAATCCACGTTAACCTGTCAGATTACGCAACTGGCAACGGCTGTGGCGGCCGGCTGAACGAAACCGTCTTCAATCCCGTGCCGAGTAAGTCCTCACGTTTTTAGTCATTCCAAGTTCGTCAAGTATTTAAATAGTATTAGGCATTACTAATGATCCGACAATAGGTCAAAGCTGTTTAAAAGGATACGTACGCGGATCGAGCAGCAGTCTCGGATCCAAGAAGGGTCTTCTTGCCCAGGGCCTTGAGAATGCCTCATTACAGTTTGTGTAACTACAGTTGGATGCCCTCAATTGAATTAAATTCCAGCCAGCTATTTTCGTACCTGGCCGTATCCCTCCGGCCGGAAAAGCTTCTACGGACCCCAGTTTCTACCTAGATTCGAGAACAATAGGACTCTCACAAAAGGACACGGAACTTTTATTAGGCCGTAGGCAGGGTAAGCTTCACGCAAAAACTACCGCCAGGAGCTTATACAGGGGACCCAGCGAGGATTTAGGCTAGCTCTCAACAAATCTGCGCAGCCTATTGCCCGACCTCCGGCCACCGGATTCCGCTATATACACACTGAACCAAATAACGAAACTAGGCTGGGGTTAATTTAATCCTAGACCGCTAAGCCAGACCGATGCTATGAGGTGTATCAGCCTAAGAAAGGGTCCAAGTGCGAAACATGTAACACCATCAAAGGCTTCCAACTCCCTGCACCTGCAAACCCAAAAAAAATAAAGATACATGGACTTTCAGTATGAAGCTAAAACAGAACCCTATTTGTATTTAGTACTAATGCATGTCAGTACTTGTATACCTCTAGCTTACGGAATCAACGTCAGTTAATCGCAATTACCTAGGGCGCTATCTGTGGGATACCATGGCATATGGCGGCCCCACGCGGGAGTCCCCGAGTCAGACAACCGACTCGAGCTCTCCTTCGGAATTTCCTAGTTGTCATTAGGTATACGTCAACTTTACGCCTAAATACCTGTGTTTTATAAGTTCTCTTAACTAAGTAGGTACTAGTAATGATTGATATCATGATGTAAGTTCCTTATCCTTTACGGAGTACTAGCTTCGGAATTCCCTGTTTGTTGGCATACCGCAGCCGCCATATCTCGGTTCAAGAATCGGGCCGAAAATGTTCGGACGGGCTTTGAATACCAGTTTGGAATCGGCTAGCCAGAATATGTGCATCTTGTGTTTCCTGTCGCCTGCATCCAATGGTGGATCCGCGGATCGATAATTTAAGCTTTTTGGTGTTTATTGTCCAACATTTCATTATATTCTTCCATTTCTCGATGGAGGTACTCTCATGTACCTGACCCTGGCCGTACAATATAACTAAGTAGCCTAGTGAAAGATAACAACCCAACTTCTTTGTTCAAAGAGGACTAGATTCGGCTACAACATCCAGCCGTAGAAAGGCCGACAGAAGACGCGGTCTAGACATCTACACAACTCAGGATACAATCCAATAATACTTAAGTTAGAAACGGTTCAGGGTGATTGGGAAATCTCGGAGATGCTTCAAGGTCCGCGAAAGCACCGGCCATGAACGTTAACGATCGTCGACCTCTTAGAGTCGTATTTCTAACAGATGACTGAGGAAGTTCTGATATCATCGAGGATATAAACCCCCGCCCCGAGACCAACCCCTATGCCATGCTTTCATCATCAGCTTGCGAGAATCTCAGATCTCCGTACTATCCTTCCGATCCCATCTATAGTTATTACATCTTCGACACCGATCGAAAATTCACTAGGAAAGTTATAGTCCAATTGGCACTGAGGGATCGATACGCAAACAAGAGGGTATCCACTTTAGTATAAAACTAGTCTTTAAGTCCAAAGCTTCACGCCGTAAGTTTTACTGGCTACCGCGGCCAAGATTTAATAGCTTTGACCACAAAACCGGTTTATAACTACTAACCAATTTCTAGAACATCCGTCAACTTGTATTTCAAAATGGGCCTCGGACGAGACGCTAGCATCCAAGAGCTTACAGCACTATTCGAAGATGTCGAAGAATCTTTTCCAAAAAGCCTTGGACCAGATAAATGGTACCTCATGCTGGTAGGACTAAAATTTCTTGGTTTTAAGCTTTTGATTTGCAAATATTGTCCCGAATACCCACCTAACAATGCAATTCACATACGTATACATAGATCGCATCCCTTAGCTATGCATCCGATCCCAATCATATCGGCGATCTTTACACACATTTGATCTCCCGGCCCGAATTTTCAACTAGAGAGTCTCGCCAAGCTCTCGTCAGACGAATCCGTGAAGCTTTATTCAAGCTCGTAAGCATAATTGGGATTTGTAAGCCGCTCACTGCGATTTTTAAAGTCGACAGTGTCGAAAACCCGGAGGACAAGGACTACAGCTTTAGCAGGAAGGGATGGCAAGCCGATGAAAAGAACTTGGAAAGAGGAAACGGATTCTTGAAAAAGATCTACCAACATAATTCACAGTTCCTTACTGACAAGCTTGTCGCGCATAAAGACTTCGGTAACGTAGCCCGTTAGTCTTCTAAGGCATTACGAAGGTTGTTAACTTATATATTTTTTCTGTGTATAGATTGGATCACCTGGAATATAACCTACGGCCTATACCTCTCGGACCATTCCATTTTGAGTGATGTTGAAACTGAATTAGTCGTAATGTGCAGCATCCTCATCCAAAACTTGACCACCGTTGCCGGTTTCCATCTGAGGGGCGCTAGAAGAATTGGAATGTCAAAAGAAGAGGTCGAGCAGATCCATATTTGTGTAAGTTCGATATTACTAGGACTCAAATATGACGTTTTCAATATGCTAAAACAATATATTTAGTGCGAAAAAGTTGCAAGGTTCTCTGGTATCAGGATGGATAAGATACCTCGAGTAGCAGATATTGAAAACCAGGTTCCATGGGAATCAGATACCCAAGTCAAAGCTACCCAGGTTCAGGCTACTAGCTCATAGATCCACTATTGGATGGATTTTTATATCACATACTACATATGTATAGTACTAGTATAGTTAACTAAAGAACTTTACATGTATACAACGAGAATGGACAAATTTATCACAATTGCTACCCTTGTTTCGCTTAAAACTTTACTTTAATTTAGCCTCTCCACTCCAACGGCTCGCCACCGGCACCAAATTAAGGCAGGCTTCGGCTTGATCTCCGAAGCTAATGGAAACTTTATAATACCCAACTATAAGTAATTAAGATCTCCGAACACAAAGAACTAGCGTGAGATCTTCACGGAATCAAAATACCACAGATGGTTTAGCTTGTGAGTCGACTTAAGTCTGACACCGCCTCGACCCACCCGTTTTGAAATGTGACCTTGTCTACATACTGTACACTATTATTCGTGAAAAAAAAACGTCAGCATGTTTTACTTTTTGACCGGCTAAACTTGCGACATTATCGTGGAAAATGACAGGGCCAGTCCGGAAAACACCAATGACACTGGGGAGTCGGGTGGGGCATTCGGTGCAATGGAGTCGTTGCTTTACCGCATTCAGATTACAACATCAAGGTCCCTTTCGCGGTGCATATGCACCCTGTGGCCTCACTTTAGCGCCAAATGCACAACCAGTTCGCCAATTGGTCAGGTTGTCAATTCTGGCCTAACTTTTCTTACTTCATTATCTCATTTAGAATGGTTCCAGTTATCGTTCTTTTGGCTTGAAATCTCCGTCGGAAAAGCAAAGAATCGAGTCGAATTCGCGGTTCCACCTTGGTACTTAATTTGATGCTTGGCCGGGGCAAAGTGGTGGAATGATGGTGTGAGGGTGCGCATGCTGTTTAACATAGCTCTCCTGACCGACCTTTTACAATAGACAGGCCTAGGGTCGAGCAATGGTAGTGGGGTACTTTGCAAAAAGCAGATCGCTATTAAATACCCCGTACAAGCCGGCTGTCTGCAATTGAGTGAATAATTCTGTTCAACAAATTCGAATTCCTCAGGTCGTCATTACAATCTTTATTTCTCTTCTCTTCTATCCGATACTACAATTTTCGCTTCTCTTCTATCCGACATCGGAATAATACCATTATATATAACATTGCGGAAATCCGGGCTTGGGTCGAGATTAATATCCTACCTATATCAAGAAAAGGACGATACCAGGTCAAAGACACTTTTCTCCTAAGACTAGTCTTTCAGCCTCACACGTCGCGCTCCTTAAGTCGATAGCCTAAACCAAATATAAATCATATACCTTATTTCAAAATGGTCGAATTTACACCCGTTATCATTCTTACCGGCGCTGGACGAGGTAACAGAAGATCCTACTATCCCATACTTCAATAAAATCTAAGCTAATCACTCGATATTCCCCAGGAATCGGATTTGCAATTCTACAGTACCTTCTCGGACTTCCAAACCCTCCAAATATTCTCGCCACCTCGCGGAATATCAAGTCGATAGAACCCCTTGCGGCAGTCCATAAAAACCTAGAAGTGGTCTCCGTCGATTTCGGCGCCCCATCGAGCGAATTGAAGACCGTTATCTCAGAATCAGTAATAAACACTGCGGTAACAAGATGGGGACGGATAGATGCCCTTCTTCTGAACCACGGAAGCCTAGAGCCCGTAGCAAAGATCGATGTCGCAAGTCTTGAAGATTGGGAATGGAATTACAGAGTAAACTTCCTATCGAACGTGGAGCTCATTAAGAGTGCGCTCCCTGAGCTTCGAAAATCAAATGGAAGGGTTGTACTTGTTAGTTCGGGAGCATCTTCAATTTACTTCGTAAGTCATCTCGTCTGCTAGCATATTAATCCATATCTGGAAGTTTATTAATCGATTGGATTATCAGACTGGCTGGGGCGCATACGGATCAACCAAAGCAGCACTAAACCACCTTAATTCGACACTAGCGCTCGAAGAACCAACTATTACAACAGTCTCAATTGCGCCCGGTATTGTGGACACCGATATGCAAACATCGCTTCGTGGAGTTCATGGGAAAGTTATGTCCAGCGGAGAGAACACCTTCTTCAATAGTCTGAAGGAGAATAACAGCATGGTCAAACCGGTACGGCACATTTTTCCATATGCGGAGCTGAAGCTTTCGTAAATTATCTCCGTTGATAAATATCTAACTGGTGTATTCCTAAATATAGGAGGACGTTGGTGCCGTTCTTGCGAATCTTGCCTTGCAAGTCGAAAAATCCCTTAGTGGGAAATACTTAAAGTAAGTTGGCCTTAATGAAACCCGTCTTCTAGATACCGACGCTAATGACGAACCTTCAGCTGGGATGATGAAATCCTATCCAGTTACCGTGCCTAGCTTTGAAAGCTATGCTGTGCCGCCTATTAACTTTGCGCAATATTATACCCGAGTTGAACTAGACTACCCGAGTTGTTGCAACGATATATAGAGAATAGAAAGTTATAGACACATTAATCTCAAGCTATTTGGGTATCTTTCGCACATTAGAATGTATTCTATCTGTTTCAAGTCGCCGCTTGGAATGAGCATATCAGCGGCGCAGACATGCATGGATTATGCCATGTTCTTTTCAATCCAATCGGAATATGTCGCGCTCCATGGTCCAACAGTACCTTTCAGACAGATCCCAGTAGCAGCTGCATGTAACTATACATTTTTTAACGCCCGCATAAGCAGTATCTATTTAACCGGTTACAAGTAAACCCGAAACGCCCCCCCCCCCCCAGAAAAAAAAATACGAAAAAAGGATCCAGGTACTCCAAGTATACTATTATGTGTTAATCCTCGCCATTTTCATGCCTCCATTCCAGAGGTACAACTTCCTTGATATCATCAAAAAACCCATTTGTTGCATTTGGATGCGAACAGAACCCAACAAGATCTGGTGGAAGGGACCATTCTTTAACGATATCTGGTCGAGTAAAAAACGACATGAGTAGGCCGGCTTCAGCGTGCCAGACGTTGTGACCTTGGTTGGTCTTCTGTTAGCCTTGCTTCGGCAAGGAAGGTCGGGAATACTTACAATGGAATGCCCACATTCCAGGGTTATCAGTGACGAATCTAATCAAGACATACCCATACGCCTCTGATTGATAACGGTAAGAACCGAACCTCATAAATGTGATATAATTATGTCGTGATAGAACTTACCGATTGTGACCGTATCTCTGAGCAAACGCCCCTCTCGGGGAACCGTGGAATAATCCGATGCATTAAAATAACCATTCCCTTGGGCCATAATCCAGAATTTATGACCATGAAGGTGCATAGGATGGTTACTATACCCGATGAGTCTTAGGTGGCGTCATGAAAATGAGAAAGATATCGATGATATACATACCCATCGTCGTAGTTGTCGATAAGCAGGTCTACAACCTTAACTCCATCGACTTTCAAGACCATTCCCTTGTCGACATTAAATACGTCCTTCATTACGTCATCGGTATCGATGTCGCCTAGTATCTTGTTTCTCGGAATAGTGACTCTATTTAGCGCCGGACTGGTTAAGTTCCGTTTCCACGACGAGCCGTTGAAAAACCCTCGGCTCAGTGAATAATTCCCAATCTGAAAATTGCTCCTAAGGTAGAAAAGTTGATCTGGCTCCGGCGCAACGATGGAGTCGATAGGCTCCAGTTTCCCATCCAGATCTTGACACACAACCGCAATCTCACGATCCCACGGCGTCGTTGTCGGGAGCACCCGTTTCGTCTCAGCAGTCGCAGTGGGCATAGACGAGCCTTCCTTCGACTTTCCCTGAGTGTATTGAACAATAGCTCTAACTTCAGGCTCAACGACGGCATCTGGGTCTGAAAAACAATGATTGATCATTCTAGCCCTTAACCAGAATTCAGAAGCTTCGGTCGAGTTGGCGTGAATAATTGCGCTGTACCTCTGTGCCACATTGATATTGAGTCTATGGTACGAATTAGGCACCAAAGATGTTCCGTCTGCTTCGATTACCTCCATAGTATGTCCGTCAATGCCCATTTCGAACTCTGCGAAAGCACCGACATTAATGAACCTGAGGCGATGCGCAACTCCTCTCATCAATTTTATCTCCGCAAGTCTACTATCCGTACTATCACAAATATATTTTTTGTCGATTTTCGAGCAGTTTTGCCTAGAACAGCAATGGTGCATTAGCGCCTCCATAGTACCAAAAAAAAAGTTGATGAACCAAAGGATTGAAGAGACGGCCTACCTATTCCTGCCATTAATCAGGGCGCCGTCCGGAATTGGTTCCGCATTTTCTGCATCAGGCGCTAGATACTCATATAGCTTATTTCTACTGAGATCATGATAATAATCATGGAGCATAACCACTTGGTCGGTTTTATACCGATCCCGACCCGGCTCTTTGGGCGAATGAATTACCAACGGACCAAACAACCCGTCGATATACTGTGTTGAAAAGTGTGAATGATACCAATAAGTTCCATATTGTCCATCCGTCTTGATCTCATAGGTGAAACTTTCCCCAGGTGGGATAGGGCATTGTGTCACGCCCGTAGTGCCATCCATCCAATTGCTCCCATTATGAAACAAGCCATGCCAATGAAACGCGGTCGCATTTACTGCCCCATTGTGAATGGTTACTTTTACAGTGTCCCCCTCATTGCATTCTATTAATGGGCCTGGAAATTGACCGTTTATGAGAATCATAGGCCTCATAACGCCATCCGGGTTGGCATTGACATCGCTGATAGTCCAATTGTATTCCTTCACCTTCGGGCGGATCCGGATTCGACTCCAATCTGGCGGCGACAGGACATATTCCGAAGGATCTCGCATAAAAGCCCGGATTCCCGGGGTTCTTGTTGAAGTTGGCACCGGGTCGGATACAGTCCAATTTCCATGATGTGGTATATGGTCGAAAAATTGGAGTTTTGGTGCATATCTAGTCGCCCCGTCGAGTCTTGTAAGAAGTGCTCCCAGCGTTATTGTCAATACACTCGCTGATAACAATAGTACAATCGATCGGAAAAGTGCTTTTCTTTGTAACATTGCGTCCTTTGCCCGTAGCCCCGCTATCGGCCCTTTTCCATCATCGATTTCGAATGTTTCAACATCAGTGTGTTGTGAATTGTTGGAGATCTTGAGCATCTCATGTGATTGTCGTCGCGAGCTAAAGCATGCGCATGTGTTTACTTTCTTTGAGAATCCATGAAAGGCCGTTGTTCAAGCCTAGCTATTAGGTTAGATAGCTCTCTATATATAAGTATATGAGTTTGACCGGACTAGGAGGCGCAGACGTGAATTTGATATGCTGGAGGTCGATCTTAATTAAGTCGACTAATCGCGAAGACAGGTGTCAGCTTACAACGCTAGCATTACATCCACAATTTTCGAAAGGCTGGTTTTCCTGCCGCCCTGAGCATGCTACACATTTGGAGATCGGAACGCAGGAGCCATTCGTTGATCTGATAGAGGAAACAGAAGTTCGAAAGTTCGAGGTGTCAAACAATATCAAAATCGGCGGCACATGTCATGCAAGTTGACCGACTGAAGCAGTCGAGTTGGAAATGAAGAAGATTCGATTCGACGGCTGGACTTTGGATCAATTTCAACACACCACACAACCTGCCCCTGCCTTGTCCCCGGAACATCGGTGCCTTGGCCGACCTTCCCATTATAGGTAATGAAGAAGACCAGAACCAATCACATAATCGACTTAATCCCGTGCCCTGGACCCTGTGATACCCCCACCGAGGAAACACTGAGGAAAAGCTTGTCATTCGGTTGATACAGTTGCCTCCGGCTTGGCCTCGATATCACGATTCCGCCTTGATTTAGAATGTGCGTTCATCGAACCTAATCTGTAAGTCTTCACGATCCCTGAACGTCATTCTCGCATAAGGAAACTTCTATACCCAAACGAGTGATTGGAAGCGTTATTTCATGCATACAACTCACAAGGATTACCACAGCGAGAAAGGTGGCTCCCGCCATTTTGACAGATATCGCACGAATATCGGGACTCCGGAGGAGGAACGTGGGTTACGCATTACGTTGAGAAAGGAAGGAGCTTGGTTACCTCGCCATGAAGGTTCTTATGTAAAGATGCTTTCGGCTTCATTTCGAAGATATTTGCATACCGGGGGTCGACAAGGGCAGGCGAAGAATGTCACCTTTTATATTCAAGTAGCCGTCCTAAGCGTGGGGTTTGCAATCTTGGTTTCGAGCATCGGATTATTGTATGGAGTCAAGAAACCGAATTTCTGGCTCTATACTTATACACGCCCAGTGTCAGTCTTCTAGCCCTGCGTCAAGCTTCTTTTTGTGAATTTCTTCTTCTTCTTTATTTCTTTCTGTCTAGCGGGCGCAAAAGACAACCGAAAATATGTTAACAAAGTTTCTACTCCTTAGCCATTTGGTCCCTCTTGCGGTTGCATCGGACTATACACTTTCCCCTGTCAGTTACGTTCAAGGGAAAGCCTTTAATCGTTTTGTCACAATATGGCTTGAAAATACGGACTACAACAAAGCTGCCGGCGACCCTAATATCGAATTTTTTGCGAAGAAAGGGATAACATTGAACAACTACTTCGCTGTTACCCATCCCAGTGAACCTAACTATGTCGCGGCGGTATGTATATACTTTCTAATATCACACGTACCAAAATATATAATAATATATACTGACTTAGACATCTTTAGGTCTCTGGAGACTATTACGGCATCAACAATGATGACGACAATATCATCCCAGCAAATGTGTCTACTGTCGTAGACTTGCTTGAGGAAAAAGGAATCAGCTGGGGAGAATACCAAGAGTACATGCCGTACACCGGTTTCACAGGGAAGTCTTACAAGGAGGAAAAGACTCGCAAAAATCGATATGTCAAGAAGCATAAGTAGGTACATAAACATAAGGCTTCCTTTTGTGGTACTTTTCTAAATTTTCTCGACAATAGCCCTTTGATAATGCATGCCTCTGTTGCGGATTTCCCAGACCGTCGTGCATGTATCAAAAACTTCACGCTATTCTACGAGGACCTTAAGAGTAACAAACTCCCACAATGGGTACGACTTGCTCATCCTAAAATATATATAGAGATAAGCTATTTACTAACTCGAAATAAAGCTTTTTATCACACCCGACCAACAAAACAATGGACATGAGTATGCACCCAAATACATTCTAGGAAATACTAGGATCATGGAGCTAAATGAAATTGTGACCGCAGTACCTCAGTAACCTATGCTGGGAAGTGGCTTCGAGGCTTCCTAGAGCCACTCCTCGACGACCCTAACTTCATAAACAACACCCTCGTACTCGTCACTTTCGACGAAAACGATACCTATTCAAAGCAAAATCGTGTCTTTAGCATCCTATTGGGCGATGTTATTCCGAAAAATCTAATCGGTTCTGCCGATAAGGGTTTCTACAGTAAGTTCGAATATCAGACGAAAGAAAATCCACCCAGCAAATTTAGGTAATTTACTTAGAACTTCTACCCACCATCCACAGATCACTACAGCGAACTCTCCACCGTCCAAGCAAACTGGGGTCTCAAATCTCTCGGCAGATACGACGTCGGTGCCAACGTTTTCGACCTCGTCGCCCAAAAGACTGGCGACTCTCTTCGCAGCCTCGACATCACAAAAGTCTACCTTAACGAAAGTTACCCCGGAATCTTCCATCGCAAAAAATACGCACCCCTCCCGGTCCCAGATACCGAGGCTTCTTTCGCTGGAAGAACTGTTCTGGAAAGTATTAGGAGCATTTGGGGAAAGGTGCAAAACAAGAGCGTGTACAAGGGTGCGCCGCTATCGATACCATCTTTGCGAAACCCACCGATTTACCCGAGGGAGTATTCGCGCAGGAAGAGAAGGGGTGGAAACTAATTGAGGATTGGGTCTCTGGACAACTGTCCAGTTTCATTTACCTTTTGTTGTTTTTGTTTAATAATACCATGATAAACCATTCATAATGTTAAGGCTTTCCAGGAATACGAATTGAGGACATCTCCCCTGTATATACGCTATAATAGCCTTTTCTCATTCACCGACATACTGTGTAGAACAGCCTTACCATCTAGTTCTTTATACATTTTTCGAGCCCAGTTCGCTCACTCTGTTCTCAAAACTAATCAATTATCAAGCTTGAGGTTCACACCCTATGGAATCATGGGTGATGGCTATAGCTATCATACCACGACTTAAGAAGTTCATACATGTGGCCTGATGAAGCTACGTCGATTGAGTGACAAATAATAGATATTTTTAGATGAAAGTGGGTCCGGGTCTCCATTGTCCCCTAACTAAGCTAGCCAAGCTAAGACATCCAAGAGTCAAATACCGAGAGTACCGGTTTTTTGAGCTTCCTTTGCTGAATGCTAAAATTTTGGTTAGCTTCGAAAAGCAAATACTTCAAGGGAGTTGTATTTGGAATTAAATTATTGAGACTATGATACGAAGGTTATCTTGAGGGCAGCTAGTAGGTAGTTACCGTTCAAAGAATTTAAATGGGATATACTTTATATATTATTGGCATAAAAGTTTTATAAGCCATGAAATAGAGAGAGATATGATAAATGGATCATATTAAGGATATTAGGCATAATGTGATGCATATTGAAACCAGCAGATATATTACACATCCAAATATACAATACCTCCAAAACACTAATTGCAAGGTCAAAATGCATAATATAGCATCATGGAAGCCGAAAACTACCTCTGGTCCGATTCCGGTGGCTTTGTATCAGAAACTTGATGTTCAGGAGCCCTGTTCGCTCTCGATGCCCCCTCCAGCTCAGCTAAGGGTATACTCCCCTCTAGTTCGGGATTCACGCTCGTCTTTACGCCGTCTAATTCAGCAGCCCTCTGGCCAGAAGTCCCAGCTCCCAGTTCCACTATTTTACGCTTCCTTGTGCCCCCTTCCCCATCCTCCAACTCCGGAATCTTAGGCGGTTCATTTCTATTCCACGGTAGAGTATGCGTATACCCTTTTCTCCTGAAACAGACAAATACCACAATCAACGCTGCTACAATCGCAGCTATAACTCCCACTACAATCCCAGCGATTGCACCTCCAGACAGTGACTTCTTATCCTCTGTAACAGGACCTTCGGGTGAAAGATCAAACATCCTCCCATTACAGGTAATATTGGTTTTCCAATTCCCTTCCGTAAATGTCGATTGTTGCATAAGATTTGTACAATCAACTTGAGGACTATTAATCCAAAAAGTCGATCCCTGATCCCCAGCTCTTAACTCTGGTAAGTCGATATTTGTAAATGATCCATTGATAACAACATCCCTTCCCACACTTCCCAGTACAGGGAATCCCTTAAGATCCGTCCACTTCTCAGACCCATTTATCCTCAAATCCGACATGATCCACTCCAACTTTGGAAACGAAACATCCGTGAGATTTCGAGATCTACTAATCTCCAACGTCGCCCTTCTCGTACTTGTATTTGTCGAAGTCTTCTCTTTTCCAATATTAACCAAATTCGGAAATTCAATCGTCTTTAAAGATCCAGAAGAAATCTCCACGACGGTCTCCACCCACTTTAAACTCGGTAAATTGACGTCTGCGACCGAATTTCCCAGACCTATAGCCCCCGCAGACCCAAGATATGGTAAATTAACCTTCGTACCTTCACCATTATCTCTAACCGCGAAAACACCAGTAATATTCTTTACCGGCAAAGTAACGTTCACCAAATTTTCGTTCTGAATAATCTGCACCGTCTCAATCCTGTCATAGATAATATCCTCTAAGGTTTCAATCGCAGTATCCCACACAACCAACTGTATCGCCGTAAACTCCTCGTTTAGAGATCCAACCTTCGAACTAAACCCCAGCTTTTTAAGTCGAGGAAGTGACTCGAACCGAAGAGCTCCCACATTCGCAAGATTTGGCATACGCATATCGGTTAAATTTAAGGCGCCGTTAATTTGCATTATCCCACCGATGAATGATAAATCGGGGGCTTCGAGTCTTTCAACTTTTGCGCCATAGAGGATCCTGAATGCGCCCCGGATCGTTTGGATGCCGTTTATTGTGGCGTTTACGATGTCCCGGCCTATGGTTAGGCTTCCTGAGAGAGTCACGCATTCTGAAAGTGTGTCGAGGTCGGATTGGGAGTTTGCGGTTTGGGTTTCTGCGGTGCAGTTGAGAGTTGATTGGGAGGATACTTGTGTGATACTGGTTGTGAGGAAGTATACGTATGCGGATAGTATGGAGAGTTTTGGTGTTTTTAAGCGCATTTTTTTGTTGGATTTTTTGGTGGTCGGTCTCTAACGGCGCATTGGATTTTGGGGTACCGGTTGGAGATGCTTCGAAAATGCTATTGACAAAATTATTACTATGGTACGGATTGTTGAAACAAAAATAATTGAAATCAGGTATTTAAGTAAACATAGAAGATAGAAGGAATACACCGAGATTAAACGAATCACTAGCCATATATATGAAATCTCAAACAGTCATGAATCAGACCATCCTTCAAATCATGATTCCAACCCCTGCACCCTCGTGCTCAATTCTTGCGGCTCTAGGGGCTCGCGAGAAAAATGTAACAACGTTGATCGTATATATTTTGGGGCTCTGCGTGCCCAACTGCCGAAATACCCAGATACCAGACAATGAAGCAAATCGACTCGCCTAAACACGGTTAACATCTGAAAAAGCCAAGGGTTTTAGGCAGACGTTGGAAACAGATATATTAATAAGTTGGTTCCATATATAATTTTGAAATTATGCATTGCATTGGTGTGGCTGTGGTTTGCCTGCAGCCACGCCGTTTTTTTTCCTGTTCTTCGCAATCGGAAGAAGTAGGGAGACCATGGTAGCGAATTAGCGCCAAAAGCTTGATTGTCACGGGAGGGTGGGCAGACGTCTAGACATAGACTCGATCCTTGAGTTCTATAATTGAAGTTTAAATTTGGGGGGATTGCCTTTGATATTGAGGCTCTGTTGAATCATTATAATATGGGGAATATTCTATAGATCCCATGTAAATTAAGCTATTATGGTGAAGCTTCTTCCGCAACCGAAACAACCACCTTTTGCACTTCTTCAGCCACCAAATCTGGCCTGCCTTGCTGAATAAAATGCCCGGCTCTACTAGCAATTAACCTTCGTCCCCTTTCTTCGTTTGTAATCTTCAAAAGACCCTCGTTGTATAACCCCCAAGCCGGGTTCGTATATGCCATAGCTACAGCTTTGGTCATGCCTTTCATCCTCAAACTCTCTTCAGCAAAAACATCCCAATCATGTCCTACGACTGTCACATAAGGTCCCTTTCCACCTATATTTTCTTCTTTCCAACCAAGGAGTTTAGGTTCAAAGCTATGAGGTAGCAGAAAAGTGATATTTCCTCTCCAAAACCCCTCTTTGTTTGTTACACTTGGATGGAACAGTTTTCCCATACCTTCTCTTGCGGAACGAATGTCTTCAACGGTTATTCCGTCTAGTAAGGAGTGTTGATCGAAATTAGGGGCATCTGGGTCGGGATATAGGTCGATGAAGTTTGTATCTGTCATGTAGGAATCAAGAAGTACTAATCCGGCTACGGTGGCCGGGTACGTTTGTGAGTAACAACGAGCTAACGGGCAGCCTATACTGTTTGCTACAAAGATTAATGGTGTTTCAGATAGAAGGATTTGTTGGGTCTTTGATATCGTATCTATCAGGATACGAAGGTCTTTCGTGACCGAAATTAGATCATGACGATGTCCAGGCGGTAAAGGCGATTGCCCACCATCTTGTGGGTCCGGGTCTGCGGTCAGACCCTGTCCGTAGCGGTCATATGTTAGGATAGATGGATGAATTGGGTCCAGAGACAAGAGCTGGGTTATACATGGCCACCAGTGAGACTGTGGAAGGCCGAGGCCGTTTAAAAAGACGATCAAGATGTTTGTGGTGCCTTTTATGAAAGTGCAGGAAAGGGAGGCTGAAGGTTTATGAGGAAGGACGATAGACAAAGTCTCCGCCCCAGGCGGGAGAGTTGGCGGCAGATCTGACATTATGATTTCATGCAGGTACGAACTAGAAATTTATGCAAATCCGTCCCTTACTCAGTAATAACTCGAACAAGTCTGACCTTCTTGTTTTTTTGTTTGTTTGTTACTTCTTGTAGATGTGGTAAATGATATCTACAACTCTATCGACTCCTCAAGAGCGTCCTGATCGAGTTCCTGACAGACTTCAAGGACAAGATTGAGACTCTCCATGCACCCATTGACGGCCACACGGAGCATTCGGGCTGTCGAAGCCTTGTAGTTGATGACGAGGACTTCAGCAGCGTCAGGAGCAACGGAAAAGGACCGCTGCACAAAAGGCGATAGTTCCTTGTCGACGGACAACGAACGAGCAAGGATAGCTGCAAGACGTGGGGTCGGGAGCGGGACGTTGAGAACTCTGTTATGATTATTATTATTATTGTTTGTTTAGGTTGTTAGTTCGGGTTGGGATTGGGATTGGGATTGGTGCGAAAGCAGTCAAGTTAAAGTCACTTTAACGTAACGGGAAATGCGGGTGGGAGAAGAGTGGAAGAGTGGAAGGGAAGAGTGGGGTTGAGAGGAATGAAGGAAGCGTGACGGATGGACTTGACGTACAGGGAATGGGGGAAGTCGCTATCAGCCATGTTGATGCAAGCAACTGAGGTGGGAGCGCGAGGTGGGAGTGATGTGGGCACCGGAATGTTTGGCGCCTTGCGGAAGGGATTGGGATTGGAGGGCTGGGTTCGGTTGGTGTGAAGACTGAGGTGGTGGGTGGTGTGAGTTGGCGATACGTGCTTGCTTGGAGACTAATATCGATGGGGGTTGATTTAATTAGTGGGTGGGTTTGTCGGGAAGCGGGTTGTCGTGGTGACCAAATTCCGCGTGGGCAATTGCCCGGTTTGGCCCCGCCCGTGCCAAGAAACGTACCTTGCAGGGTCCAGCTGGTCAACAAACAGCTGCTTCGAGGCACACAACAATAATAAACGGCGGACAGCCCTTTCGAGATGTGTGTACTTCAAAAAGAGGCGGTTCGGGCAGCTGACTGTGAAACTTAATATACAATACACACCACCACCATCACCACCTCTATCTCTATCTTCATCCTGCCCTCTATCATCAATCACTTATATAATACGACCATTGTTATATATATTATCCATCTACTCGTCAATTGATACCACAGCAATAGTATACATGACTGCGGTCCATTTATTATTGTCGATTTCTGTATATCAATTAATTGATCGCCGGTGATGCGCAGAGCTGCTCTTTTGGGCATTGAAAATACCACAACGACGGCCTCAACAACAACAATAACAACAACACCAAGAGTCGACTAAAAGAGAAACATAAACAACACCAGCCACCCGCCCTCTTTATCTCTACATCACCATCATCACCATCATCATCATCATCACCACCACCATCATCATCGCAAATCACCATCGCCCTCTTCAGTCTTCACCTCCTATAATCCGTCACTAATAACCAAAACAATAACAATAATTATATCCTTTTAAAAAGTCGCCAAGATTCCCCGTTACGCCTTCAGGCCGTACCGTGCGCACCAACAACCACTCCCTCCTCCTCCTCCACCAGCTTCTCAACCACCAGCCGAAATGGTGTCGACGGTGGCAACTCCCCGCAGGGAGAGAAGCACCATCACCTCCGTTCCAAACACCCCAAAGACTCCAGAACCCAGTCTCCCACCTGCCATCCCGGCTTCCTCGCTGCCTCCAGCACCTCCAGTCAAGTCGGCCAACGGATTGGTCGTCGAACTCATTAAATGTATGTCTCATATTACATCAGATACCTAAGTACCTCGTATATATGGACATTCGGGTAGGATGGAGAGTGCTAACAGCGTGATCACATGACCAGACCGTCTCTACCTAGCATCTTACAGCTCTCCACCAACCGGTTCCACAGTCATCCCATTCCCTCGCAGACCAGACCGACAGTCGTCCAGCAAGGACTCCAAACTCAGCCCTATTAGGCGAGGTACACCGTCCAAGCTTCCAAGGGGGAAAACTTCCACTCCTTCCAAGACCAGGGGACCTATCTTCTTTACCGTCGATGACCGTCTTTTCTATAACAAGTTCCATTTGGACTTCGGTCCGTTCAACATTGGCCATTTATACAGATTTGCTATCTGTCTCCATGACTACATGAGTGCCAAAGAAAACAAGAACCGTCAAATCGTGTTCTGGAGCAGAAGTGACCCCAGAAGCCGTGCCAACGCTGCTTGTCTTGTCGCTGCTTACCTCGTTCTCGTCCAAAATTGGCCCCCACACCAGGCTTTGGCTCCAATTGCCCAGCTAGACCCTCCATTGATGCCATTCCGAGACGCTGGTTACAGCCAGGCAGACTACATGATCAGTATTCAGGATGTTCTCTATGGCATCTTTAAAGCCAAGGAAAATAGATTGATCTCTCTCAAGTATTTTGATGTCGAGGCCTATGAACGTTTTGAGCGAGTTGACCAGGGAGATTTCAACTGGGTTTCTCCAGATTTCATCGCTTTCGCTTCTCCAATCTTTCCTCCTCCACCTCCACCCAAGAAGCTCCCTAATGGTCAGATGGGTCCAAAACTACAGTACACCAACGAGTTCTTTGCTAGGCACAAGCCCGAAGGTGGCAAGTACCCCACTAATCTTGAGGAACTTGCAACAACCAAACTCACGGAAAGCTTCCGTAACGTCCTCGAGTATTTCTACACCGAGGACATTGGTGTAGTTGTAAGGCTGAACTCGCATCTCTATCCCTCCGAGTACTTTGTCAAAATGGGTATTGCTCATGTCGACATGATCTTCGACGATGGAACTTGCCCGGATGATGAAACTGTCAGGAAGTTTATCAATATTTGCAACAAAATGATTGCAAACAAGAAGAAGATAGCAGTCCACTGCAAAGCTGGACTCGGCAGAACCGGCTGTCTCATTGGTGCTTATCTCATCTATCGCTACGGCTTTTCTGCTAATACCTGCATTGCCTACATGCGATTCATGAGACCGGGTATGGTCGTCGGACCACAGCAGCATTGGATGCATTTGAAGCACGATACTATCAGGCAGTGGGCATTCGAAGATGCCTATGCAGAAGAGCGCAAAGACCTCCTTTCCCAACTCCAACTCCTCCAAGACCAGCAAGGATCCACCAAAATGGTCAAGATCCGAACCAGAATCACCACTCCAGTCGAGCAGACCCCTCCACGACGTAGGTCCGTCCTCGGAGAAATCGCTCCTGTCGGCAACGATATTTCCCCCGAACATTTGCCCGTCCCAACACCTGGTCAGCCAAGGAAGAACTCCGCCAAATTCTTTAGCCCGAACCGATACTCCGTTCACGAGGATCCTAAGCAATACGTCGATGGCATTAGAGTTGACACCGATGATGAAAACACTTCCTGCATCGAGGCTGAAGAGTTGTCAGAGGAAGAACTTCACTTGCGAGTCACAGCCAAGCGCCTTACGTCGAGGAGCCCCAAGGCAGGTAGTAGAACCGCCAGTCAATCTTACGCCATCTCAACTGTTACTTCTACCCCTACCTCTAAGATTCCAACAGCCCCTACCAGCACTACTCCAGTGGGGAGTCCATTTGGCGGCAGCAGCACCATTAGGAAGATCTCTGGCGAAAAGACTCCCCCACATATGATTAGCGCTAAGCCTACAACTAGCGGACCTCTTCTAAAGGTTAGAGCTGTTCGCAGAACCGGTGCCATCAATCATACGAGAGACGGTAGGGTCAGGAAAGTTAGTGGACGAATCGTTAGTCAGGGTGCCCCCACATCATCCAGGCCCCCCAACATTGCAGAGCATTAAATACTCTCCAAGTTGTTGCTCTTGTTTTGATAATGGCTGGATGATACACCATGACTTTTGATGACTTTATTAACTCAATTAACTGATGACCCTCCATCTTATGGCTGCTGGTAGCTTGAGGGCAGCCCTTAACGACCCTTATGATGACTCTTATGACCATTTGCTTTATGCTCTTGTTTCTCTGCTTTTCTGTGTACTTTGCTCCCAGAACACTAACGACAACCACGGATTGGGATCGTAAGCGGCGATAAACAGTTTAGTTTTTGCTGGATAGTTTCGAACCCCCAATACCAATTTACCTAACCTCAACAATTTGCTTCTTTCTTTTTTTTTATCGCGTCTTCTATTCTATGTTTTATTATTTATCTTGATTTCAATTGTGTGCTTCTTTCCTTTTTCTCTCTCTCTCCAAAGCATATCATTTCCTTCATCGGTACGGACGGAGCATAGCTTTCATTGTTCTTCCCCACATCTCCTTTGTAATGACTTCTATGACTTTAGCATAGCGTCATGCATTTTCATTTTCATTTTCTCTTTTCTTCTTGCCTCCTGTTGGCAACCGAGACTTTTTGTATATCTACTTTTTATTTTTATTTTCTCTCTCTTTCTCCTAAACGGTTGTTAATGGATGGCTTTTTCTCTAGTATTGAGATTCGAGACTTACTTTCTTTTTTGTAATTATATGATACGGTGAATTAAAGTATCCCTTTCTCTGAAAGTTATGGTTTTATTCGTATTATAATTATGCGGGAGTAAGATGTTTACCATACATATAATCCTGATGGCTCCGTGGATATCGTTCATATCTATCTAGAAGGTAAGACGGGTCTGAATTGGTGGAATCTTGAGGGTTTATGTCCACTGTGTTGCTTTCGGCTCCCATTGATTCTCCATGGCGCGTATGCCCCCGATCATTCATACATGCATCGAGCACATCCTGCAGTCGACAGTTACAACTGACTTGGTTTGAAAGGCATCGTTCTAGTTATAGCTAATTATAAGGTAACATACTTAGGTAATGATATTGGTATAAGGTAAGGTATATCAAGTAATCGGAGAGTATATCTAAACTACAACCCCGAAAGCAACAAAACACGAACAAGAACAAAAACCATATCCAACGCCGCATAACATCCAAAGAGCTTTCAGAATCATAAGATCATAATACATGGTATCGACTATGGACCATATAATGAAGAGTTCATATATATATAAACATATCGATTTCATAAAACAGAGTCTAATCATGACCCTCGTCGAGTTCCAGTTGTAGCTGTAGACACGGTTTGCTCCGAGTCGTACTTGACGAAACCCGGTCTGTAGGGTTCGTGATCACTTCGATACGATGTGGTAACTTGCCCGTGACCTGGCGGTGGAACGGCAGAATATTTTCTTCGTCTGATGCAGATACTGTTTCGATAAAGATATCAGCATGATTTCACCGATATAATTGTCAATTTCGAGGGCTTCTTCGAAGAGGATTTTGAACTCACATTATGCCACCGATAATGATACCTAGTACCAAAAGACCACCTCCAATACTCACACCGAGAATGATACGTTTATCAACTCCACCGATATCGCCCTCCAAAAACCCAATCCTTGATTCCGAAGTCGCACTTGGAGTGTACGCGGTAGGTGGACCTGAAGTTTCGAATAGTTTCTGAACTCCTGTACCGAATGATCTGGGTTGAACACCTGTCGTTTGCATCGTGACCGGGAAGGTTGCCTCCACGCCAGAAGGAACGGAAGTAACAAGTGTAATCCTTGATTCCGTTTTCGTAGTTCTTTGAAGTGATACGGGACAATCGACCATATCGTACGACATGCATTCTATACCGCGGTACGTGACTGTGGTTGTTATCGTCGTAGTCGTCAGACTATCAGATGTACTTGATGTCAACGTTCCATCGTCGCTAACTTGTCGCGGAGCAATTGTTGCAGAAGAAGTTATCGTCGAAGAAGGTAGAGTAGTTTGTATAGCACATTGTGTAAATGTTGTGAAGTATATAGGAATAGTAGTACTCGGTGCGGGACCCCAAGTGTGATCCAAGAGAGCTACGGTAGCACCCGCAGCGGCACCGATGCCGAGTTGATAGCCTTCTTCGACTCTTAATTGACATCCGTCGGTTTCGTCCCCCGCTGGGAGGATTGTGACATTTGTGCTTAGTTCTGCGATGTGGGTCCAGACGCTGACTTCAACGCCGGCACTGGCGTCAAGTGCTTCTGCGACGTTGAAACCTAGGATTTCGATCTCTGGAGTAGCGATTTCGAAACCGGTGCGGAGTTTGATGCGGAGCACGGCCTTGAGGAATACGCCTGCGCTTTCTACTATTACTGGGAGGAATTCGAATTGACCGCCACTAGTTTTTAGAGGAAGGAGGAGGAGTTAGCTTGGTCGGTTCTATGTGCATATATATGTGCACTGTTGGGAATTTGGAAGACTTACATATCAGATTCAGCAACCTCATCCGCAAATAACCCGAGTTTCAATTCAGCACCATCATCGATCCTGATATGAAACCCACTAGTAATATTAATCTCCGCCTCAGCACTCAATATCAAATCAACAACAACCACAGCCCCAAAGAACAGCCTCGGAGAGATCTGAACCCCAAACTGCGTCTTCGAAGCATATAAATTCAACGTATAAGTAATCCCCGCCGAAAAAAACGTATTGAGCTCTACATAAAGTTCCAGCTCATCAAACTGGAATCTCAAAGTACACTCTGGAATCTGGGGTATATCGATATTAAAATCGATATCGAGGGGTGGTAAATCTAAATCGTCGAGATCGAATCCGTCAGCGAGGTTTCGGGCTACATTGCTGGTGTAGTTTCTGACGTATTCGACGGCTACGTCGCTGACGTTTCCGACTTGAGTACCGACTTGCTCGGTGAAGTTGTTGAAGGTTTCGGTGAGGTTGAAAGGTCGGTCTATGGTTAGTTCTGCGAGAACTTGACCTTTGAGGTAACAGGTTGTGCAGGAGACGTCGATTTTGACGGTACGTTCAAGTTCTCCCTGTGATGTTTGTGTGGTTGCTTCACTAGATTGATATATAAACTTAGTACATTGTATACTAATGAATGCAAACCCGTGCGATAGGGTGGGTTCTGACAATAGAACGAGGAGAGGAGGCGGAGGAGGAGGAGGAGGAGGAGGAGGAGGGGGTACTAATGAACATACTATTCCAAGCTTAGGAGGACTGCTCCATCCCAACTCTGCTCAAAAGAAGTTGAATTTGAAAAAACAGTCTCTCGCTTTTGATGACTGACTTCTGAGAGGGAACGGCCAATAAGTCTCATCACATCTCGAGGAGATAGATCTGGATTTTTTGACCATACTGAAACATCCGTTCCAGCGGGATTGGAGATTGCTTGAGCGGTAGAGATCCCGAGCGCGCATACCACTGCGCGTAATAGGCCAGAGAACTGCATTTCTGATGTTTACACTCCAGCTAATTAAACTAACTGCGGTCTGCTTCAGTAGCTGGATATTGATCAAAAGAATAGTTAATCCCCAAATTAGAAGAGCATAGAAAGGGCCTCCTCTTCCTAACTATTTTGTAAATATAAAATGACAACGAGTGATATTTTTCAGAATCATCCCCAGGGAATTCCACTCGTTTTAATATTCACATTTTGTATACCTAGAACTTACAGGCAACTACCAGCCCAATTCCTTCAACCTTGGGGGTTCTTGTTTCTGATTGTAAACTCTTGCAGCGTTGCTCCACCTAGATACCTTAGCATGCATGAGGCTCCCCGAGTACAACATCTCAGTAAGTAAGGTGAGTTTAAACATGTTAGCTAACTCACTCAAATCTCCTGCAGTCGCGGCCCAACTTGGGATAGAGGCGCAGGGCCCTTCCCGCTCAGTTGGTCTAAATTTACCAGGATATATGCTTTAGCTATGTTTGAAAAAGTGGAGTCTTATGTATGTTGGGCCGGTCCATGGGGGAGGGGAGGGGGGAACGGTAAAAGGTTTTCTTTGAATCCTGTCATACTTACTTACATAAATACATACAAAAACAGGGACCAGATACCGTTCTCAGTTTTCTGAGAAGAAGAAAAGAAGGAGAAGAAGGAAAAATCCGCAAGGCATCCAAGCGCCTGGGTCGGGTTTTACTTCAACGAGGAGATGCATATGCTTGCATGTGTATGTAAGAATGTGGCACGACGGGTATTGAGGACGGCAGGCCTGCAGGCTGGAAGGCTACCGTGACACAAAGATCTATTCGAAACATTTGGCGTCTAGGGCCTATTTCTTTCGCAAATTGCGGTTAACAGATTTTAATTTAATTTTCTTTCTTTTAACAGATCGGATCAAATCTTTGAAAAGAAGGAAGCAGAAAAATTCTCGAGATCCAATGTCAACAATTCAAGAGGGAGAGAAAATGTGTGGTGGAGAACCCTCGGTGTGGTAATATCGATCGAACCATGTCGACATGTCTCAGCCTCCTTTCGTGGGCCCTGAGCTTGAGCTAATGAGCCGCACTAACGTATAACCTCTCCTCATCGATCATCTTCCAGAGTAAGTGCACCAGTTCCCCAAGTCCAAGCCGAGGTGCATCGATGTGGAGCCGCAAAAATCTCTAAATATGGGTTCACCGATTCCTTGACTAGATTCCTTTTGTTTTTTTAAACCATAAAATCAGTGGTTGATTAAGTAAAATTTAAAGGTAAATTTCAGCCTCATTCTACTTTGTGCCGTCTTTGGCAAAGGCCTATGCCTGACCTTGGCCTTACGATGAAACTAACCCGTGTATATATTAGCAATTGAAGATCTCGCAAAGTTTTGACCCTGGGCATGCGACTTTTGCGAACTTGGCGATAGCCTTGTTGACTTGAATAAACTTCGGACGGGGTAGGTCAGCATTTGACATAATCGCAACTCTGTGTGTACCTTGGCTTATAGCCTAGGCGGATTCTGATCAATTGATCAAGGGACACTAACTAGCTTGGGCCCACAGCGCATTGGATGACCGCAGCTACCAACCGACCGAATCCGCTCCGGCAAAGGGTTTCGAAAAAAACTCGAGCTCTATGCATGGAATTATGTTATCTCGCAAGAGACTTCACAGTATCAACAATATGCAATTAACTGTGAAGATGGCTATAGCTAAGCACCGCTCAGCGTTTCGTCGTCAAGAAGCGCTGATAGCTAGCCATTGCATTGACACGACGCCTCGGTCTAAGCCATAATTAAGTTAACGACAACAAATTCAACACAGTCCGATCGCGTGGATTCGAATATTCAAGTCTTCGTCTCAACGTTGGGCCAGAGCTAGTTCTACAATTAGCCTAGACGAGAAATGCAAATGCGCGATAATGTTGTAACCACCGACATCCGTGGATCCAAGCTCGCCGCCGGAAATAGTTTCCTTCAATTAAGCTTTAAGGAAGGATCCAGACGCCCCACCTCTGAGGACTCCTTCGGCCGACTCACCCCGGACAACAATGTCTTTGTCATGATGATAACGTGCAAAGGAATCCATGCATGCTTAATCGATTCCAGAAAAGAACAAGCTAGCTAGCTAGCTACATGATATGTAAATGCAATCGCATGCATTTCCGAGAGCGAATATATTGAAGAGTAAGCTTGCAGAGCGAAGATCCGTTTGACGAGCTTCAGGGCTGAAAATGTTATCGATTAACTATTACATAGTAAGTAGGCATGTCAGCTAAATTCGCTAAAATATTACCCCGACTCTGAGGCCCATGGACCAGACCCACTCGACGATTGTTGGGGGGGCATCTTTAGAGCTTCCAGGTCTTCGAAGGGTCTTTCCAGATTGAGGCTTAATTACAGATATCCAACGCTTCTTGGCAAAAGAATGCTTATTGCCGGTCTGACGCGCAAGCTATTGTAGATGCACGAGAGAGACCGGTTGAAATTAACCTTTTAAGTTCAAGGCTAATGTTATAACTAGTTCGATTAGAAGAGGTTGTAGTTGGAACTAGGTGGGATTTTCTAACATGCATACGGCAGTTCCAAAAGTCCAAGGAAGTATTTAACGGAGAAACTCCACAAAAACATAGAGAGACTCCAACGCTAGTTTTTAGTCGGATCGTGTGACCAGTCTGCGAATGCCTATTGATTCTGGGGGATTTTTAATTAGAGCTAGAGACGCCATTGGTAGAATTCAGGTTGTGGGAAGGTCTCAGAGTGATACTCTAATCGAGTAGTTCTCATTGGTTCCTGATACATAAGCACTTAAGTAAGTACTTATATTAATACATTTTATCATCAATGTGTACTTTTTATCTCAAAAATTGCAAATACCTTCGTGGAAAAGTATGTTCGATTACAATTATTCTCCTGCTCATTGGCCATTCCTGTTAATTTGGGCTTGATGCATGCAGCGGAGCCGCGGGACTCGCCTAACCTTTCGAAATCCAGGCTCCGAATTCGCGAAGAAGACATAATTAATTAATTGCGCGATCGCATTACCTGATCACAAAACTCCAAAACCTCAAATGAATCCCAAGTGGAAATTCCCTAGTGCAATTGATGTACTTCCAGTTATATCCAGAATGACAGCTATCCTTGTTCCAACTAACCAACCTCATCCTAGATCCCCACATGCATCTCCATAACCAAACTAGTCTACGGGCGTTTCCCGGCCTCGCACAACAGACCATAGCTTGCAGTTTGATTTGAGCTGTGAATTCTAGACCAACATCCTGGCTCCACGAAGTTGATACAAGCAAGGAAATATATATTATCCTACCTATTTCAACCAGTAGTCTAGCATTTTAATATGCATGTGGAGAAAGTAAAAAAAAAAAGCCAGCAAAAACTTAAGCATCAGGTGGTAACACAGACTTTTCCCCCTACAAACATTCGAATTTGATTTGCCCAAAAGTGGTGGACGGCGAAGTTCAACGCCCGCCCCCCTTCTTAGCTTGCTTGCTTGCTAGCTAGTAGGTTTTGTGTCTGAGAGTAGTTTTTTTTTTTCTTCAATTGAGCTCCCCATCACGCTATACCTTTAGCCAGCATGGCGCCACGGACTAGAAGCTGAAGGGAGTTCGAATCAGAAGGGAGAAACGCCATTCAGGAAAATTTTCATGTCTATTCGGCGTTGGAATCCATGGAAGGAATACGAAACGGTCAAAGCTAAGTCCGCGTGGCAGAAAGCATTGCAACTGCGTCGGGCAGCGCAGCGCAGCGATATATATTGCAGCATATCTTGCTCGTCTGCTCTGAAAATCAATTCATTCCCATACAATAGCTATACTAGAGGCATATGCGTATTCTAAAGCACAAAATATCATTCGGACCTTTCTCATCTGATCTTTATTCCTATCACTTCTACTTTTAAACGAGCAAAAGACGTTAAATCCCAATTTTTATATCACAATCGTCATATATCCACCCCCCACAAGGAAGTACTTGCCCTCCAAGGTTCTGAAGTGACGTCGGAGTCGCGAAGCTTGCATGGTTTCTGGCTGGAGTTTTACGTAACAAGAGACATCCTTCAAAGCCTTTTTGGTAGCACAACACAACGCGGAGTTCGGATCACGGCTTCTTCAGAAGGAAAAGGTCGACATCATTGCATTGAATACTACCCGCAGGAGATCCAATCATAGTACGGTATCACGGGTATTTACAAGGTTGACTATTTTGTACAGGTGGACAAGTGTTTCGTCGTATCGATCGAGGGGAGAATAAGGATTCCCCGCTTTTGTTTCTCTCTCTCTTTCTTTCTGGGATTCGATTATTTAATTTCGGGTCGTCTCCCATAATCGAACTTCATTCTTTCGAAGTATACAAGTATCGAATTATCTTAAACGCTACTTCGCAAATCGACAGAGGTTCAAGGAAAATAAGTCTATCTGCATTGCTAGTTAGCTGCGTAGGGCAAAATGGCTTCTCCAAAAACTACACTCACTAGCCTTCCGCCCGAACTATTCCTTACTATATTCTCCTACCTCCCCCATCGAACCATCAAAACCGTCGTTTCACCGTTGAATTCTGCAACTCGAACTTCGCCCTCCAAATCTGCTCTCCAGAACCTTTCTCTCACTTCAAAATCCCTAAGAGTAACATCTACACCTTATATCTTTGAAAGCATCACTATCAAAAGCTTCACACAACTCGAAGAATTTGTAAGAGACGGGGGAGTCGGAGAGATAGTTGGGAGATATGTTCGAAGGGTGGTCATGAGATGGGATGCATATGGGGGGGTTATGAAGTTGTCTCAACAGTATCTTCCAACCGAGAACTTGAAAGTTCTGATGAAAAGGGCATTGGGGTTGATGTCAAACTTGAATACTCTGACAATGGATTTTCCTGGGGCGATAGATGCATTGACTTACGCTATTGTTGATGAGGGTGGATTGAAACGCTTGCAGGGGGTTAGTGTTAGGAATGGTAGGGTCGAATACGGAGGCGATGTCGCAGAGCTTCTCTACAATCTGGGGAAGCTGAGAGAACTACAGACCCTGATTATTGATGGAACGACATGCCCGACAGATACTTTGAAGCCTAGCAGTGTGCTTCACCTTGTTCCTGGGGGTTTCAAAGAACTAGTGAATCTTGAAGTCGTCAATGTATCAAGCTTCAACGACAATTTACTATCCAACATCATGGGAGCAGCAAGCAAATCGACAGCTTTGACAATAAAGAACTGCACTGGGGTCACACTTTCAGGAACCAGAAAACTGCTCCTGAAATACGGCGGGAGACTACAATATCTATCCCTCGAGGTTCTAAAAGGATGGGTTCACGACACAAACCGTCCTGAACACGAAGCGGAACATGAGCACGAACTTTACCGCTTTTCAGAAGACGAACATCTCTGCCCCGTTATCAGAGACTGTTGTAGAAACCTCCAAATCTTGGATCTATACACAAACAAGATCTGCAAGGAAATGCTATTTTCAATGTCTACAGGAAGCGGAGCCATGACCAGCGGGTTACCAACCCCGCCTGAGTCACCAGATCTCCCACCGACGAGGATAATAGATATTCCGACACCTCCGACTGATATAATTACTGACCAAAGGGGATTCATAAGGACATCAGTGCTACCACCACCACTCTTCAGTTTCCAAAATTTATCATTAATCCATCAAGGAGAAGAAGAGGAGGGGAGATTGGTAAAGGCACCAGTCGAGAAGCAGCAAAAGATGAAAAGAGTAAAGCTGAGGATCCCATATGATTCTTCGTGCTACGGAACAGGGGCAGGAGGGCCCAGCCTACAACAAAGATTTACGACGCTTTGTGATGGAGCACCGGCGATTGAGCTACTAGAAGTTGGGAAGAAGGCATTTGAAGAGGGATTGGTAGAGTTGGTGAATGTGCAGGGGCATTGGAAGGGAGGGCCTTATTTGATGATGCCATGAAAGGAATCATATGCATATATACACGATTGTAATACCATTCACTGCACCGACCGGTGTATCTATATTTAAGATTGTATCTTAGGAAGGACCGTACCGACATCATGTAACATTACAAATACTAAGCACTTACACTTGGCATCCCATGGCCATGTTTTCATTACTCGATCCCCCCACTGCGTGGAACTGAAGGCATAGTCCCCCCAAAGACACCCCGGAAATCGTTGACTGTTGCATTTTCAAAAAAGGCGCGTTGAGAAAGGAAGGCGCATCCGAGCACTTGGTGAAATGTGGTTAGGCAGGGCAGAGCTCCACAGGGCATCGGACGAACCTGCAGAAATACCTCATACGTCAGTACCCGCCGCCGATGGGTAGCACCGACAGAGACTTTTCGGATACCAAAATTTGTTTTTTTACATTCTTCGAGTCTTTTTTTTGGTGTTTTTTTTTTCTAATTTTTTTTCCGATTTTTTTTTTGCTTGCTTGAAGCTGTACAACGGCTAAGGAGCTAAAGCGCTTGTCGGCGGTCTGGTAGAAAATCTCGCACAAAACTTTCTTTCTTTCTTTCCTTTCACCAACACCGTCCTCGTCCTCGTCCTTCTTCTTCTTCTTCCTCTTCTTCTCACCAACATTCTTCGTCCTCTGATATCGTCATTTGGTAACGCTGGGCATCGATTGTTCAAGGTAAGTTCCTTCCATTGGTTCTCTAGTAATCTTCTGGGAGCTTCGGCACCTTGCCATGTGGGATGTAGCTAAGCTGGGCCATGCCATCACTACTCCCACCATGCTTTGTCGCGATGATAATTCCAGCTTCAAGGCCATTAACTGATTCTTGCTAGCCTAGATACCTTACACCGTCTCTTCAATCTTTTCAAAGACGTCTTTTATCTACCAAACGTTCATTCAAAATGTCTGAGGAATTAACTCACCCCACCATCGTTGGTATGGCCCCACCAACCCACCTTCCCAACATAGATAATGTATGCTAACCCATCAACTCTTGAACAGACGGGTAAATAATCCTTCACCATCGCCATAGATACCCTGTGGATTCTTTGGAGCAACCAATTGACACTTTTACAGATGGTTCCGTGAAATCAATGAGATGTGGCGTGGCCAGGCCATGACCCTTAAAGTAGAGAAGATCCTCCACCACGAGAAGTCGCTCTACCAGGACGTATGAAGCTAATTGCACCTCTGCTTGCTTGCTTCTTGAGCATCTTTTATTTTTAACACTATCGTTGGCTTCTCTAGGTTCTCGTCTTCAAATCCACCGACTATGGCAATGTCCTCGTCCTCGACAATGTCATCCAGTGCACCGAACGTGACGAGTTCTCCTACCAAGAGATGATCACTCACCTCGCCATGAACTCTCACCCAGAGCCAAAGAAGGTTCTTGTCATTGGTGGCGGAGATGGCGGTGTTCTCCGTGAGGTTATCAAGCACGAATGCGTTGAAGAGGCTATCCTCTGCGACATCGACGAAGCCGTCATCCGTGTCTCCAAGCAATACCTCCCAGATATGTCTGCTAGCTACAAACACCCCAAGGTCAAGACTCACATCGGCGACGGATTCAAGTTCTTGGCCGACTACAAGAACACTTTCGATGTTATCATTACCGATTCCAGCGATCCTGATGGCCCAGCGGAGAGCCTTTTCCAGCTCCCATACTTCGAGCTTTTGGAAGGAGCTTTGAGAGTAAGATATACTCTCCAAATCTATTATATTTTAGATTCATTGGCTAAAAATCAATTGCTTTTATAGGAAGGAGGGGTCATCACGACTCAAGGTTGTTCGTTTCCCATTTTCTAAAGACCATTTGTATCCCTATATCCTTCCTGTAGCTGCTGAAGGCGGTCAAAAAGAAAGATCGAAAGAAAGATTCTGAGACCAAGAAAAAGAGAAAAGAGAAAAATGTTAAAACCTGAAGAAAAAGGAACAGAAAAGTCTCAACAGAAGGGGATTATGCTGGGAGGGGTTGGATCTGGTTCGATGAAACCTGTCTTGTACTGATGGCCTCATCGATGCTAGCCGAAGTTGGTTTCTTTTGAAAAGAGATCATATTCGGCATTCCGATGGTTGGGTCGGGTTTCCATCAGCCAATCCGCTCTTCTGACCTACAGCTCTTCCTCAGTTTTGAAACTCTATAACACTCTCCATCTCGTCTCCAGCTAGTTCTCCCCGGAGGATGATCCTTTGAAACATGAACTGGGTTTGCTAACTTTCCATTCTTCTTTCTGTATAGCTGAGAACCAATGGCTCCACATCGATCTCATCCAGAGACTCAAGAAGGACTGCGGCAAGACTTTCCCAGTCGCCGAGTACGCCTACACCACCATCCCCACCTACCCATCAGGCCAGATTGGATTCATGGTCTGCTGCAAGGATGCCAACAGGGACGTTACCAAGCCACTGAGGAGGTGGTCCGAGGAAGAAGAAGATAAGCTCTGCAGATACTACAACGCCAAGATCCACGAGGCTAGCTTCATCCTCCCAACCTTTGCCAGGAAGAAGTTGTCCGCTTAGATGCGTCTAGCAAATTTTTGATTGCTACACGCTTCTTGTTTTTTTTTTTTTAATATGGATGTATTTTATATAAAGCAGGCGATACGGGCTGTTTCAAGTTCCCCTGCCTTTACTCGAGGCCTGCTTATGAAACTTATCGCGGAATGAAAGTTTCAGCAGGACTTCGTTACGACTTTTAATGAATAGATAAAAGCAAATGAAATGAAGTTTAAAAATCTCCAAAGGAAACGATTTTCTCCATTAACTCCGTAAACAATGATTATAGTATAACATGCATGCTTTTTTAATCTATCATAAATCCCTCCTTCTGTATATCGTACATGATCCATAAAAAATCTTAACACCGAGTAGTAAATCAAATCAATATGATATAATCTCGAGATCAAAAAACCTTTCTATCTCCCAGTGCGTCTCTAACAATCTCCACTCCTTCCTCGCAACATATCCTCTTCCCTTCCTCCGCCAACTTCAAAAAGTCGGTAATATCCCATCCTTGCCCATCAGCGCTCTCCCCACCGCTTCCTTGCGAGCACTCCAGAGACTCAATCAATAGCATTTCACCCTCCTTCGAGAAAGTAAGCGTATGACTACTCTTCGCCAGACCCAGAATCTCACTATTCGGATTCCTAACCACCACGGCTACTGCCTTTTCGTTCTCTTCCGTATCCATCTTATCACCATTACCACCAGTTTTTTCTTCCAACTTAAACACTTGTCCTTCAGCAGTCTTAAAGTTCCCCCTAGAGTTGTTTTGTAAAACCGCCAGGTGTACGCTCCAACCCACCGTTCTCATTGGGATCCCCGCGATCAAAAGACTTAGAATGGTGCAGTTTAGCAACGGTGTAAGGAGTAGAGGTAGCGAGGTATGATCTTCGGCTTGGACTATTTGAGCGACGATTTGGATTAATGTGCGAGGGTGGTGGTTGGTTAGGATTAGAGATTGGAGGGTGGAGTGGATTAGTGATGATAGACGGGTTTCGCGAACACCTTTTTTTCGTGACAAAATAAAAAAGATATTTAGTTAGTTAAATTGTAGATTGTAGATTACTATTTGAAAAGCACTTTTGTAGAGAGGGAGGAGGTACCTGCGACACCGATGCCGGGTTTTACGATTACTTCGATGGTTGCATGGTTTGGTAACTCGTCTTTGGGACGGACTTCGAGGGGTCCGTTGACTGAAGTTAGGATTGTGGTGCGGGAGGTCGGACAGGTGTATTGGCATGAACCGTCGGATTGGGGGAGAGGGTTGAGGGATATTTCGGGGATTAAGGGTGAGGAGGTCATTGTTGGATTAGTGGAGGGTGATGGTTGAAGTCGATGTTGAAAGTCGATGATGTTTTTGCATTGAAGGTGGGTGGAGTGGAGGGTTTGGAGCTTTGAGAGTGGAAAAAGTTGGGATGGCGGTGGAAATTGCCCTTTTTGGTAAATGTTTCCTGATTTGGTAGTTTATGGCTTCTGTATTTGGTAATTTGATGTTGATTTAATGCGAGCTGTCTTGCTTATCCAATCCAACCCACTTTCACGATCTAAATTCACGACTTCGACTTGAACAACTTCATAACCTCAGTCCAATACCTACATCTACATCTACATCGACGTCTAAAGCTACATCCTTATCTATATCAATAAACCCACGATGGTCGAACCACAGCTTCCAAATACAACTTCATCACCTCTCAAACTACCTACACCTCGAAAGCCACGTCAAGACCGTACACCAGCCATACCTCCCAAACCCACGGGACAGCTCACAGTTCCCGAGAAAGCAACATTATCGTTCACAACCCCGATCCGAAGAATCGTCACTCCTACTGATTTGGACTTATTCCATGCTTCCTCTACCTGCGGTCTACTTCTGAACTTTGTGTTATCGCTGAACGAGGCTTGTATTGATAAGTCTTCAAAGAGCGGGTTGAGTTATGAGGACGAGACGCCTGTTATAAAGGCCATTCTTGATGTTCTAAAAGAGGTAGAGAAGCTGGTGAAAGAGAATCCACGGGTGGATAATGGAGGCAGTCGGTTTGGGAATCAGGGGTTTAGGGATTTCTACGATGCTATAGAGAAGGTCGGTTTCATTGCTACCCACCCATATATGAAGCTGCTAACATGACTGACCTGATGGCATCAAACAACAGAACAACCATACCATCCACCAAAACATGAACCTAAACCTCCCAGACGGCGCCATAACAGAACTCTCAACCTACCTCCTCGAATCCTTCGGGAACAGAACCAGAATAGACTATGGTTCCGGCCACGAACTCAACTTCATCTGCTGGCTACTCTGCCTACACCAACTCTCCCACCTCCCATCAACCTCGTTCTCTTCAATCCCTCTTCACATCTTCCCAATCTATCTAACCATAATGCGTCACATCCAACAAGAATACTACCTCGAACCAGCGGGCTCCCACGGCGTCTGGGGTCTAGATGATTACCAATTCCTCCCCTTCGTCTTCGGTTCCTCCCAACTCTTCCACCACCCTTATCTTCGTCCTATATCCATCCACAACGCCGATATTCTAGAAGAATTAAGTTCTGAGTACATGTACCTCGACTGCATCCGTTTTATAAACTCTATAAAAACGACTGCAAATCTAAGATGGCATTCTCCAATGTTGGATGATATATCGAGTGCGAAGAGCTGGGGAAAAGTTAATGTTGGGATGGTGAAGATGTGGGAGAAGGAAGTGGTGGGGAAGTTGCCGGTTATGCAGCATTTCCTGTTCGGAGGGATATTAAGTGCCGTGGAGGGTATGGGAAAAGAAGAAGAAGAAATGAGGGAGTTGGAAAGAGTTGGTGAGGAAGGAGAGAGTGGAGCTGCTGGGAAGACGGCGGAGGAAGTTAAAGGATTGATGGAGAAGTTGGATAGAGAGGGGATGAGGCATGTTCATAGTAGTTGGGGAGAATGTTGTGGAATCAAAGTACCAACAGCAATTGCAGCGAGAGAAGCCGGTGAGAAAGGAGGATTGAGAAGTATTGGAAGGCTACCATTTGATTAACCAAAGATGAGCGGGTTTAGATTGGTATTTTGCTTTTGGGTGTTTTCTGGATTCTAGGCGTTTTATGGACAGTGATATATCGGAATGGGATGGTATGATATCAGAAAAAAGGGAGACCGTCGCAATTATTGTACATGTACATACAATCGTGAAGACAAAACTAACTAAAAAGAACCCCGATACCAGAACAAAAGAAGAGAGAGAGAAACAGACAAAGTAATAGGTGCGAGAACTGAAGGTTTAGTAAATGAGAAAATGCATCGAGATATATATATGTTCGAGTGCGGTCTCAGGTCCGAAGGGATCGTGGGCAACCGAAAGCAAGTATGTAAATACAAGCTTCGGCCGAGCCCACTATCAATCCGAGATATCATGGGATAGAACAACTTCCCAGAACCCCCACTTCCCCCCTCCTCATGCATCGGACTAAACAATTGACCAGGTTTAAACTTCTAAGGCCTTTGTAATTCCGACAACTTCCTTGATCAAATCCTTGTAGCTACTCCTGAACTCTTCTTCATCCTCCTTGATCTTGTCTAGTCCCTTATCCTTCTCACCATCTTCGCCCTTCTTTTCCTTCTTCGACTTCTTCTTCCCGGCACTTTCAGGAGTAATCATGACTACACTAGTCGGTCTCTTTGTTGCTCCGGCAGCACCGAGTTCTGCACGACTGGTGACAAAGATGTAAGGGATTCCATGGTCTTCAGCAAGGACTGGTAGATGGGAGATGACATCGGGAGGAGAAATATCTGCAGCAAGGATGAGGAGTGGCAGGGTCTTGGGGTCAGGCTTAGAAGCCGTCGAGTAGTTTGGAGATTTGCGGAGGGCCTTGACGACTTCCTTAACGCCGCGCTTGAGGGCCTTTGTTTTGGCAGCTATATATAGGAAGTATTGTTAGCAATGTGATTTTCTCCTTTTTGGTAATGCCCTGTCTGCCCTGCAGATGTATATATAGATATAGATATTGGTATGCACATACCCTTCTTTGTAGTCTTTAGCACCTTCTTCGATAGCTTCCCCTCGGCCAATGGCTTCGCAAAGGCCACCAGAGCCGCCGAAGGAACCGTCGAGTCCCCTTCTACATCAACCTCCATCTTGACATCCTCAACTGCAGCATCGGCATCAACATCAGCCATCGAAGTATCCGCCTCAACATCCTCGCTCTTCTCCTTCTTGGCCTTCTCCTTCTTTTCCTTCTTCTCCTTCTTCTCCGATTTATCCTTCTTCTCTTTCTTCTCCGACTTGTCCTTCTTTTCCTTCTTGTCGGATTTCGACTTGGTTACTTTCGATGAGGTTGGGTCGGCTAGTGGCGATGGGGATTTCGAGCCATCGCGCTTACGCTTTTTGGAAGCATCTTTGACAGAGTCTTTGGCCATTGTGACAGAGGATATATTCAGGGAGGGGTATAATCAATTGAGGATAGCAGGAATATCACAACGACGGTGTATTGGTGGAGTGGTGGTTGTGATGTTGATGGGTGGGTTGGAATGGAATAGGCGTAGGAATGAGGTTGGATTTGGCTTGTCGCGATATTGGTCTAAAGATTTTTCTTTGCATCGAATTTTTTTTTTTTTTTTTTTTTTTTTTTATAGAATTTCTGGAGAAACAAAAACTTTCCTATTTTAGACGACCCCTGTAAAGTGTAACACGGACAACGCAAAAGTTCATGTTCGATGCCGCCATGCCGCCAGCCGCGAGGGACGGTTGTAATTGTCAGAGTTCGATTGATTGCAATTCGAAATTTGTTCCCTGGAAACTTACAGGAAGATATTAAAAAAGGGCGAGGGTACCTACCGCTAATACGACTCCTAGGTAATATGGGTAGATGATAATAATTACTCGGTACTAGGCAGTAGGTTTCTTTCGCAGTTATTACTATTATGCAGTATCACTCCAAATCATTCGCAACTTCCCTTTCACATTAGCAGAGCGACAATTGACAATGTTGACCCGAAACTCGACAGAAAGAGCTCTCTCGGCTCCACTCCACAAACTCGCCAGCAATTAACCCTTATAATTATACTACTGTGCCTCAATGCAAAGGTGTTTAACCAAGGAGAGAGAAAAAAGCACCGGTTGGTTTTTTATATGATATTGACTATGATAATAGCGAATGAAACACACCATCAGAAAGTCTTACGCACATGTAAATCCCCAACGGTTTTCGGAATCTAGCGCTTACAAGCTGTACAAGCCTCCCCGGACAACCCCAGATGCTGTCCGTCGGCTAACCGCTTAATCGGGCAGTTGCCAACGTCTTTCAATACCAAAAGGAAAACAAAAGGAAAAGGAAGAAATTTAAAAGGAAAGCTCCTGGGTCGATTGGTTATGGAGAACTATGTACAGGTACTTTTGCTGTATAACATTTAGCGAAATGAAAAGTGTATGGAACATGGGTATGTTTGGTTGACTTTCCTCGAACTCGGTTGTATACAATTGTATCGGTTGGGTTTTTCTTCTTTCTTTCTTGAGCTTTGTTCCTGCCTTTCTGTGAATGAAGGGGATATCGGATGACGTGCCTGGGACTTCGACTCGAGAATGCAGGGCTAGGCTATGCAATACGCAAGGGCAATGCTTTGGTAGGGAGGAAGGGGGGTTAATCCGAAGCCATATCGCATAAGGGTTTAAATATCTTGATACTGCCCCCCGCTCGTGCTATGAAGGGAAGCTTTTTTTTGTAGTTTCTGTCTTTAGGCTTCATAGGCCATTTCACTCATTTATTTGTCTATATTAACAATACGGTCACTCATTTTTCTTCATTTCTTTATCGTTTGACTAATAACTATTCATAAAGAATGGTTGTTTTTGATCTCACTTCTCGTCTTTCATTTTATATATGCGCTATCTTCGGCGCCTTTGCGATATCGGCCCATGCGAAGTTAGCATATCATGGAAAGGGATTCGTACCGGATTATGTCCTTCGCGGGACGGCGCGGTATGTACCGATTGCCTGTGAGATGAGGTATTCGGTATTATTGAATGGAACGAGTCCCGGTCCGACATTGCGGTTTAGAGAAGGGAGGACGACTTGGATTAGAGTCTATAATGATATGCTAGACGCTGAGCTGACTGTGGTAAGTACCTACTATTCGTATATATATCACCACATTCAGAATTATCATTTAAAGAAACTATGGAACTGATATGATATATTTTAAATGGTAGCACTGGCACGGTCTCACACAACGTACCGCCCCATTCTCAGACGGCGCACCCCTTGTAAGTCAATGGCCTATCCCACCAGGCCATTTCTTCGACTACGAGATTCGTCCGGATATTGGTGATGCTGGAACATACTTCTACCATTCGCACGTGGGGTTCCAAGCGGTTACAGCCGTTGGCGCACTCATAGTCGAAGACGCCCGTCCGGCCCCATATCAATACCACGCGGACCGAATCTTTCAATTCGGAGACTACTTCAATAAAACCGATAATGTAATCACCGACGGACTTCTTTCGAAAACCACCGGAAAGTTCATCTGGAGCGGCGAAACGAATGCTCTACTTCTTAATGGAAAGTCGGGTACCAAAGCCGCGAGGGAAACTAGAGAGTGGTCTACATGCGCCCCGGAAATCATCAGAGTAAAGCCAGGACGAACATACCGTTTCAGATTCATCGGTGCAACTGCTTTATCATTCGTGACAATGGGTATAGAATCTCACCCAGAGATGACAATAATCGAGGCGGACGGTAGATACACTCAGCCTTATACCACTTCTCACATCCAAATCGCCTCAGGACAGCGTTTCAGCACTCTTTTCAAAGCCAAACCTCTTCACGAAGTCATCAACTCTGGGAAAACTCATTACTGGATCCAATTCGAAAACCGAGAACGTCCTGGCAATGTAGTTACCGGTTACGCTCTTTTAGTCTATGACATCCCCCTTCGTCACGGACATACCAGACCCTTTAAACTCCCCTATACCCTTCCTTACAAAAAACCTCTATCCCTTCCTCAAAACGTCACAGACTGGTTGGAATATGCTCTTCAACCCGTCTACTCCCACTATACCGAACAACTCCCGCCAACCCACAAAGTCACCCGCACAATCCACATCACCGCCTACCAAGTAAAAACCCACACGGTAGAATGGGCACAAAACGGTCTAATCTGGCAAGAACACAAAGTGAAAACCCCGTACCTAGTAGACATCTACAACCGCGGCGAAAAGACAATTCCAAACTTCGACAATGCCATCAGACGTAACACATACGACCCAGAAACCATGATATTCCCCGCCAGAATCGGCGAGGTCATCGATATCGTCTGGCATAATAATAACGGTCCAAGCGGTACCTGGGATTTCCACCCTTTCCACGCCCACGGTGGTCATTTCTGGGATCTTGGGTCTGGGAATGGAACTTATGATGCTAGAAGGAATGATGAATATATGATGAAGAATAATTATTTCCCTGTACTGAGGGATACTACTATGGTTCATAGATATGCGAAAGATGGAGTGCCCTATACTTCTGCTGGGTGGAGGGCGTGGAGGGTACACGTGAAGTATCCTGGTGTGTGGATGATGCACTGTCATATTTTACAACATATGGTTATGGGGATGCAAACGGTTTGGATGTTCGGGAGGCCTACGGAGATTAAAGCTGAGGTTGATAGGCCGTATGTTAAGGGGTATTTGAAGTATGGAGGATCGGCGTATGGGAATTCGACGTATGATCCGTTGGTTAATGAATGGTTTGATTAACTGGTATGGTGGGGGGTTTAATATTGAGGAGTTCATTTTGTATATACATTATCTATTAGATTCCTTTGTAAATAGTTTTTAGTATCTAGCCTAATATTCAAAGTCTGATTAAATTATAAACTTCATCTTCAAACAAGTAACCCTTATACTCTATAAATAGCGTCCTCTTGCCTTCTAGCTCCTATATCGCCTCGGGGTCGGATTCTATGTGATCCTCATTAACCGTGGTATATATTCTTAGATATTCCGTAGACTCCTCTTACCAGTTCATACGTCGCCAGTCTCCGGTCTTTTGGACGCTTTTATATCCCCTAAATCCTTCTTCCCACCAGACACCGAATCCCTCTTCACATCCAATGATCGATCCTCCATCATCTTCCTCTCTTGCTCTTCCGTCAACTGCTCCGCATTAATCGTCATCTTCGGTCCCGTAAACCACTTCCTAGCATTGATGAAATAATACGCTAGGGCACCTCCCCATACGGCGCAATTTACTACGACGGTATAGTTCATCGTTTCCGCTTTTATACATGATACTTGTAGTTAGTGTTTGTTTTTGTGAGTAATGGTATAGGTTCGAGAAACTTACGTGTAACGTCAGGACCCGTCACTGGCATCATCGCCAACAAGGTACTGAATACTAAAAAGATACAAGCTACGATTGCAATTGGGATGCTGAACTTTCCGGTATAAAACGGTCCAGGGACGAATTTATCACGGCCCCAAACCAATCTTGCCTATTCATAAAGCCCAATACTCTTTTAGATCCAGTATCCAATATAATATAATGCTAAAAGAGATGGTATTTAAGAAAAAGGGATATTATAAAGAAGACTTACGAAAATAGGCATAAACCAGGCAAAGTTATTCCCCGCTGCGCATAAAGAGAACAGAGCCGACGCAGCGGCACTTGCGATAAGACACAAAAGACCTAGGACACAGGCTAAGCCCGCACAACCCCAGACGCATCGGATCGGAGTGTGGCCGAATCTTTTGGAGATTTTGCTGAAAAACTTGGAAAATGGGAGGGCTGTATTCGGAATTAATATTTTTAGTCAGTGTGGTCCGGGATTAATATTGCATATTGGTGCTATCATAGAGTCCAATTTGCAAAAATACTGGGTTTGAGGGATAGACATACCTCCATCACGAGAAAATGCCCATGCTTGCCGACTTGAAGCTAAGAGCTGCGTATACGAACAGGGCTCGGTCAGCAGTAATTCTCTTGTATATAATAGAAATTGAATCGAAGAGATCCCGATGCAGAAAGACGAACAATACTAATACCCATCAACCATTGAGTTAAAAATAAGAAAGTCATCATGATAATCGCTCCTTTCCTCCCAACGGCATCATAGTAAATCTAAAATCAAAAGATCAAATAAGGATTAATATTACCCCCAAAACGACTCCACAAGAAACGACTCACCTGAGCCATTGGCTGTCCAAACGGAGTATTCAAAATACTCTCAAGATCCGTAGACATGCAACTTGCAATAACAATGCAACAAAGGAACCCCAAACTCCAGCAGAGGCCTATCGATCCCAGAATCCCCCATGGCACCGCCAAACTCGCATTCTTCGCTTCCTCTGAGATATGAACGCAGGAATCAAACCCGCCTAATAAGATATTGTAGTTAGCCACCAGACTCCAATACAAGATCTTAAGATACTTTTCAGATATAAGATTTAACCCACCGATCGTCCAAATAGGACTCAACCATGCCAAAAAGAACGCCCATCCACTAGGCCACCCCGTCAAATTCGCCGTCTCCGTGAAAACATATTTCGCACTATTCCTCTCCCCTTTCCTCCCAACTGGTAATACGACAAAAGTCGCAGCGATCAATACTAAATTCGCAATCGTAAACACCGTCTGCATTTTTCCCATAATATTAACCTTCGACGCAAACATCACCACAAACCCGTGTGATATCACACAACCAAGGAAGACGCAATATATTATGCCATTGGTAGGAACGAAAGCCCCGTCGGTTACGAGAACAATCACGGATACGAGCATTAATGCGAATCCATAGTCGATTGAACAAAGACCGCCAACGAGGCCAAGGGTGTTGGAGTAGCCGACGAGGAAAGATAAAGGGTTTTTGTAGCGGGGAGCAGAGAAGTGGTGTGTCCACCAATATAGGCCGCCTGAAATTTGGGTGAAGAAATCAGCATGTTACTCGTTATAGTGTATCAGTCAGATATGTATTGTTATACCGGCTGTAGGCATGGCTGATCCCAAATCCGACATCGCGAGTCCGACAACGAAGATGAAGCCGCTGGTTATGAACCATCCCTATATAAATACAAGTCAGGTGGTCGGATCTAGAGTTTTGGATTCCGAGAACTCAGCGTACCCAAACCATACCAGCGGGACCAGCTGGTATCGAAAATGTCAAGGTCGAAGCGATAGATGGCTAATAAACCTCATGCAAAATATCTTATGTTAATTAATCATACGTCTCGAGACCTCAATGCAAGATGAGTTTTTATCGGAGCTCGTACCAGTAATCCCATAATAGCGAAAGCAATCTACACCAATTGTCAGAACTCGATCACTAGAATAACTAAATCATAGATTCTCATAGAAGTTTTCTTACCCCCAATACCTCGAACTTTGAGAAGTTCCTTTTGAGCTCCTATACGGGTTTCATCCTAAGTAAGCTCTTTACTCGGTAACAAGTATATTGTATACTATTTCAAGTTGAGAGCTGTATACCTGCGCATACCCCATCTTAGCTATATTCCGTATAAAGGGTTAGTTAACATTGGCCTAACTGAGTTGACAAAAGAGATATACGAACCCAGCATATCAGCATCTTCCGGCTTCGCCAGAACCTCAGTAGGCGGATTCGACGCCATCCTCGACCAAGCCGATCAAAACCACGGATCAATACAACTTCTTTCAAAATAAAAAAAAATCACAACTTCCAAAATATAACTTCAAGCAGATTGAAGAATAACCAATCCAAAACACCAAAATTAAAGACCCTGCGTCAATTAAAAACACATTTCAAACGGCCGGCCGCAGTCAGGCATTTAAATACCACCCGCCCTCACATCCCAAGATCTGACGAGCTTACATCAAAGAATATAACGCCCCCACACACACACAGAAAAGGAAATAAATCTACAAGATACAACCAGCAAGTGTGAATTGTGATCGCAATTCGTTTGATACCAAACAGGAATGCGTGAAAGCCAAGAACATAAACCCGGATTATCAACTGTTCTCGCTTTCCATTTCCTGGAACTAGACTATGCTTGTCAGCGTACAAACTTGCGTTGTGGGGTTACACCTAGCCTGAGATTGTCTACAACGAGACCAGTCTAGGTGGTCTGATATATACCTGCTGTGATTCTGGGTAAAAAGTACCTATATCTCTAATACCGGGGGGGGTTTTTAGGCCGAGGTTATGGCGTATTCTATGATCTTCTATCGGAACGTCAAAAAAATGTAATATTGACGTGCATAATATTAATATTAAGCTTCACGGAACAGAAGATAAGCCTTAAGGTTTAAGAGACTTGGCTTGATAAGCGCTTGTTCGGGCAAATGCGCTGGATTTTCGGGGACAGGACAGAGAAAATGTGGATACTGTATGCGGACACTTGATAGACTCAATTGCCTTAGAAGAAGATTATAAAGGAGGTTCCTCTTCCTCCTTGAATTTGACGTATCACGTCTGGGTGGTATATGATTGATGATTATCATTGTGCGACGGCTAGGCTACTGTGCTGTGGCTGCTAGATGCTAAAATACAACATCAGTGTGTGTTGTCGACATCGAACCCTTCTTGTGCTCAAGGAATACATTCATAATATTTACCTCGACAGAAGTAAAAAAAGTATGACGAAATATAGAGTCTAAGACTCGTTAAATTATTTCATATTTTATATCGGATAGCCGAGTCGCCTATTCTACAGATTTGGGAGAGTCTTAATGTATCTTAGAAATGTTATTAATTGGTTTTAGATATGGTGTAGTGAGGTGGACTTATAGTATTAACCGTGATATTGAACTACCGCCATTTTGTAGAGGGTATAGATAGGAGCTTATATGGTCTCGTTTTTTAGCAATTGATTTGAATTTTGACATGAAGCCAACTGCGACAGGGTAAGACGAACAGTAAAGCACCCTTCTATGCTAACTATCGAGAGAAAATAATCTGATCTGTGAAGGATATATAATGTAACACAAACAATATTGACTCAAGGTGCCAGATAATATTGGGGTTCAAGGAGGATAAGGATAAACACAGGTACTATGGGTATTTAAAATACCATTTAGAAAGGTGGGGATTAGGGATTGAGGCGGTTGAATACAGTGCCCCACAGAAGGTCTATACAAGGTTATGTTGAGGCCATAGGCTAGCTGAGCTCCTCGAAGATGCAAGGATACCCCCAGATACCTCAGGTTACACGAACGTTACCAGCGGAATTAATGTACTACCAGACGGTCTTTTCGAGTCCATGTCCAGTTTTCCAATATGCGTGGGAGTTATCTAAGAGTTATCAGAATATGTGGGGGGATATGTATACAATAAGTCCTAGGACCTATAGAAGGCAATATATATAAGTATATATATTATAGGTGATTATTTTATCCTTGTTTCCTGGCACGGATTTGCATTTTAGCCTCCGTGTTCATGATATCCAACCAGACAAACCTCCAGCTTGGCGGCCTTTCTTCCATACTCTTAAGATCATAATGTAATAGCCACCAGGAAATAAGAGTCCTTAACTCGAGAGCAGCGAAAAACCTTCCTGGACTAAATATTTTTCAAGAAGAAAAGGCATTAGAAAGGACTACACGTCATTTAGTGAATTCAGAGTTTAACTTACCAAGCATGAATCCCTTGTCCAAAAGCTAGATAGTCCTCAGTCACAGTAACCATATATCTGTCAAGTTTTCTCTCCTTCTCATTCTGCGGCGTAACTTCCTCTTGTTCTTCAAAAGTATTGCCACCCTCGACAATATCACCTCTATAGAACCTTGTGTATAAATGCTCCTTTGGACGCTCATATACTTCTTCATCCTCCATTCGTGCCTTGGCTGGAAAGGTGAACTGTGTTCCTTTCGGTAGATACCATCCATTCGAAGTCGTATATCCTCCTTTGGCGGTGACATTGCGTTCAGAGTGGATAGCACCGATAAGCGAGAGACGAACAGACTCCTTAAGAAACGCATCCATGTTATACAACCGCTGCATGTATCGTTTGTTAAACTCATGTGGCGGCGGGAAAACATGCATGATTTCATCACGGAGCATTTCACTGGGTGTCTGTTCCCCAGGTTGGGTCTTAGAAGCGAGCCATGAGAGATCGTAAAGAGTATTACAGCCAGAGAGGGAAGTGGTGTGGATTGCAGCAAAGGCAACGGTAAGCACTCGAGCGGCGATAGCGTCAACGGTTGCAAAGCCGCCACCACGAGTGAGAGAGGCTTCAATAAGCCATTGCATTAGGTCGTTTGGACGTTCTGACTCTGGGACCCCTTGCTTGATAAGGGCAATACGTTTGAGGATGACAGGCTCCAAGTGTTTACGAGCTCTGCGGCGGATGCGATTTAGTGGAATGGAAAAGATGGGTCCAAGAAGACTATTTCATATTCTGTTAGAAATCAACCTTTTAAGGCAAAGAAAAAACAATCGAGATCGAAGTAAGGGGCTGCTTACGGCCATAGGAACTTTGGAAAGCAGTTCAATGCCATACTGGTAGGGAACACACCGACGGCATAATCAATCGATGCATCTAAGTATTCTTCTTCACGGCATAGCTCTTCACCAATGAACACTCTGTGACTCGTCCTTGCAACAACTTTGAGAATCAAGTCGTACATCGTGACCGTTTGCCATCCTTTCTCATCAGGTTTAGTAGCCAGTTTAGGTATATAATGCTTGAATGATAGATCCAACTCTTCAACAACCGCAGGGGTCATGGAGGCAAGCTTGGCGGTAAGATCCTTGCGGATGATAGGGATATGGAACATATCAGTTGCAACATAATTGTCAAATGTATAGCGGACGGCGAGGGTCTGTAGTTGATGCATGGGTTAGCGAGCCTATCCATTGGGTTTATAGAATATAATAGGTAGTAATGGCAGCAGCCAGTAACGGCGGACCTCAAGAGCTCTGATATCCATAATGCTCGCTGGCAGATTCTTGATCTCCGACAAGACCGATGGAGGCATCACGACCATATCTCCATCGATAGCGTATATCATAAACGGCTTTCCATGTTTACTGTATCTGGCGTATCCCTCATCCATCCATGCATAAATATTGTTAAACGACGCGAGCCGTGACCGAAGCTTGGGGAAGAGCCATGGGTACGTTTTTGGGAGACCAATGACGGCTGGAGTTTCACCCGTTGCTAGATGAACAACTTTCGGTTTCCTATAGTTCCATATGGTCGAATAAACAGTGTAGAGAATAAGACATGAGAGAAAAGATTCCGTGAGGTGAGAGAGGACAAAATCGGTAGTCGTTTGGACAATCATGATATGGAATGCAACAAAGGTGACGTCTTTAGTGCTAAGATATGGAATAGAGGAGGGAAAGCTAATAACCCGGAAAGATTTTTGAGAAGAAGGTATTTATACGTTCACAGAGGGAAGGTATGACAACCGCAAAGAATGCCAGCCCATGCAGACACCGCGCCTGCAACTAGTCACATCGTATTGCAACTTTATCCTAAATTCGAAGCTGCGTAAAATTACGATACCCAAAAACCTTGAATTGAAAGCATGGGTAGCATTCGGTTTATGAGCTTGTACCAATACAGGCAGCGCCAGCGGGATAACAAGGCGTGAGCAGGTACTATCAATTGCCACGAACTCCAAGGAAGTGGGCCGCTAGTATCTCGGTTGGGGGAAAGTGATAATCAGCCACCGGCTATTGGTGGGCTAACAGCTCGCTAATTAAATCATTCGCTCTGACAGTCGCGGGAAGGGCGAGAGCGATCTCTAATTAGGGAGATTCGTGGCATTCGAGGCAGTTAGAAACCTTTGAATCTGACTAAGCCTCGGAGTAATCTGATGGAGCGGTGGATCTAGAGAAGTTAGATCGTGGAAGGTATCCCTATTATATATTTACTGGATCATGAAAATCCCGTTTGCCGTTGCGTCGCAGAAGAGCAGCACTGTTCATGTTCAATTGAAAAGGGCAACTGTCGGCAAGTGGTGGGACGTTGTGCGGGAGCGCGCACAAAGGGTGACACAAGGAATGCATTTTTCCGCGGTGCCCAGATGGCCCTTGTCCTCAAGACCTCTCGGCCAGACCTTAAATCGATTAAATCAAACTACGTTGTTAGCAGATGTTAAACCAAACTAGAGATATTGATATGTAGAAGAGCCATTAATTAATGTTGGGAAATTGTCTCGCTGGGAAAGACAGCATTACCAAGGCTGTTGCAGATACATTATTCTTTGATACTACCTAATTTCTTGAGCATATATCCAACCGGTGAAATTCAGTCAATTGCCGGCCACTTAGGCTTACAGCGACTAGTGAAGCTCGAAGCAGAACAGATTTAATTTGGAGGCTGCTTACCAGGTTGTCAAACGGCCCACTTTCCTAGAGAGGACGTCGATATCGAAATCTGAAGCCCTAACCCGACCCAAACTTCCTTCTCAAAACGACCAACCCATCGAACAAATCGAATTCTTCTGGCATCTTGAGCCTGTTCTTGCTGCCGCCAAATGTTTCTGACGTCGGAAACGTTTTGGGGGCGCAGCAACACAAGTTTCACGGGTGAAGCAGCTCCTGTTTCCAACGGGCTTCAAACAGGCCCCTATTTAGACCTAATCGGCTACTTAGCGTGCCTTGGAGGTTCTCCCCACGCTGGTGAAGCAGGCAAACAAGTTTCTTTCGCCAGATCCATACGGAACATACGTATAGCGTAGCAGCTTAGAAGGTTATATGGCTGTACGAGCGATAGGACTACCCCCAATTTGTTTCGCTTGCAGTCGTTTTCTCGTAATGCTGCTTGAAATGTTAGAGACAGAAAGCGTATGGGTCGGACCGCTGCTAAGGATTTCTCGACTTCTGGTTCGCTGCTGACACCTGAATCCGCAGCAGATGCAGTGAAGCAATTTTTCCCACCTGGTGATAGGAAAATGTTAGGATACCCCAAGTTGGGCTGGTGCAGCTGGATAAGGGATCAAACTGCCTTTAGAGACTTGTGCCCCATCCGAGAAAGCCGTCGCGGGTCGGTCGTTCGTGATCAATAAATACTGGCAGAAAGCCCAGTTCCTCAATCGATCTTTTTGTGCAGCAGGCAAGCTAGTCTTCTTCGATTCAGTTGATACCAATTCGAATATTCCTGTCGTTTTCAATTCGACTTCACTTCTTTATCTCCCTCGTTAAACCGAATTGACTCTGGCAGTTATTTTATTGTGAATTTTCTTCTTTCTCATTTTCCTTTTTTCTCGAGATCTCGCTCCTTTCGATCAGTATTATTATATTAATCGTAAGCTTAGTCGGATTTGGACATATTATTTGATTTCAAGGTAAGCGGCATCCCTATAGTCTGTGGACGTATATCAGCATATGTCTATAGAGCATGTGAGCTCTCTGTAGACACATTTGTCGATTCTCGCAATCCAAAATTACAATTGCGAACAGTCGCCAATATATGCCATGACCATGCAACTGGCATTTGCCTGGGTGTTTTTTTTTCTCCCTTCCCAACTTGCATAAAGCTCCGTGGAAGATATACCTACACTACCCCTCATCCCCATTGCTAGTCTAAGCTCGTGTCGACATTTGTCAAAGCAAATGGACCTAGACGCAGCTTGACCTAAAAAATTTGTGATAGATGACCTCTTTCTTTCTTTTCCTTTCTTTTTTTTCCTTTCTTGCGTTTACGGCTTCTCGAGCGAGCTGAAGGCTAACGTTGAATCCCACGTAGCATTGTTTTTATTCCCGCAGGCAAGCTCTTGTGATCGATATCCTTCGCATCTGCAGCTGTCAAATCAAGCTTTCCATCCAGTAATATAGTCAGCATCTCAGCCCTTCTAGGACTGCGGTTTGACTCAACGCTTGTTCTCAGCCGGTCTGATTAATTAAAAATTCGATTTGGTTTGGATTCGATTTTTGTAATAATTCACATAAGAATTATTTTTCAAGGGGTCACAATTTCCAGGAATTGTATAAACTCGACTATTCTTGCCTCGTGGCTGGCCGTGGAATTCTCGATTTAGAACTCTGCTTTGCATATTTCAAAGACCTGTTTGCGTAAGTCCACCCTCCTATCGCTGCACCTCAACCCATCTGGTCCGTGCCGGATCTCAAATTCATGGCTATGATCGAGCCTATGACCTGCCTGCCTGGACTTCCGGGAGCATTTCAGACGAACCCGGGTCCAGGGGTTTGGTTGGACGTCCTATGTAAGGTTTGCGTTTGACTTGGCCGGCTATAGATTATAATGCAGATGATCGTGACGCCGAATTGTTAGCCGGGCTCATTGCATTGCAGCGCAAATCGTTAGCCACGTTAGCATCATCGCCTTTGACGTATTATACGACATGCTACAGGGAGATTGTTTCTAATCGAGTCAATTTGGAGTTTAGTTTGAAGCCGAATTTCCGAGACCGACCATTAATTAATTAATCAAACCTACCTGAACAGTAACGATAAACTGTTGAGTTGATATCTTCCGCTTTCTCCGTCTAAGACCGAAGGGACAAGTTGCTTGTCAAGGTAGCTGCTTGTCAAGGTAGTTCCAAGCCCAGCCCTGAGCAAGCCTGCAGCAGCCCATCCCCACACACCACACACACACCCACGCACACCCATCCATTCCTTCCTCCACGGGCCACCCGCTCGCTCGCTCGCTCCTTTCACAGCCCATCGCCAAAATTCTTCCTATAAGAAGGCACTAGCAAGCGCCCTACAATAAATTCCGCCATGATGCCGCCAGTTGTGCCTCTTCAATTTATCCAGGCCGGTGCGACCGCTACCTCGGGCTCGGTTTTTGTTACTTCTAATTCAGAGCAACAATCATCATCATCATCGTCATCCAACAATAACGGTACTTGTGTTCTACCACAGTCCATTCTCTCTCCAACATCTATTCCTCTTCCAGTCACCCCTAAGATCACCCTAAATTGCTCTGCTTCGGACGGAGCTCTTGATCTTGAGCCGGTTGGCGATATAAGATCAAACCCCTCGTCTCCAGATACCGTCGTAGCGGTCCCTGTTGATCCCCTGCCAATCTCAGCATCAGCTGCCACCACAGGCACTAACAATAGCACGACCCCCAATAATAATAATACGCCAGACGAGGCCTCTAAATCCGACCAAGCAGCCCTCCTTCCCCGTTCGAAATCTTTCTTGCAACACCGAAAGGGCATCAAATCTGTCGAAGTTCCCCGTCAGCGTATTCTCGAAGCTCTCATTGCTCGTCAGGCTGGTCCGTTAACAGCTAATCCGATGGCGGCTCATGGGATGAAGTCTCCGGGCCTATGGGCTCCCTCGAACCTCAACTTGGACACTAAAGGCCGATCAGGGTTCATGGCTCTACAGTCACCTTGTTTTTACCATCAGCGATTCGACCCCGTAATTGATGTCGAAAGAGTCGTTGACGAAATCGCACACCAAGATGAGATGAACATGTCTCATTCCGACTACCTAAAAACAGCTACGAGTGTCAGAGAAATCAGCCGCCAATTGAACCGACGAACAATCAAATCGGCAGTCCAGAATGTCATGATTGTCACAAAGGCCCGAGATAACTCTCTTGTCGTATTGACTAGAGAAGTTGCCTTGTGGCTCATGAAAACACCACGATATGGTAAACCCCTTGGTGTTAATGTCTACGTCGACAAAAAACTCAAAGTATCGAGACGGTTCGATGCTGATGGCTTGATCCGGGAGAATCCTGAACTCAATGGAAAACTTCAATATTGGACACCCGATATGTGTTACAGCTCACCCGACACCTTCGACTTGGTTCTCACTCTTGGTGGCGATGGAACTGTTCTTTTCACATCATGGCTGTTCCAAGCTGTTGTTCCACCCATTTTAAGCTTTTCATTGGGTTCTCTTGGCTTCCTTACAAACTTCAAGTTTGAAGAGTACAAGAGGCACCTGGACAAGGTTTTGAACGATGGCACGAGAGTTAGCATGAGAATGCGTTTCACCTGTACAGTTTTCAGAGCTGAGCCAGGTGAAAGCGAGCCTATCGAGGGTGAGAGGTTCGAAGTTTTGAATGGTAAGCCCCTCAACCTGAATTTTTACGTTGTGTAACCACACCTAGTGTAACATGTAACGCTAACTGGTATTCCTTTCTCTTCCAGAACTTGTCATCGACCGTGGCCCGTCCCCATATGTCTCCCATATGGAGCTTTATGGTGACGATGATCATATCACCACTGTCGCTGCTGACGGTTGCATCTTCTCGACTCCGACCGGCTCCACTGCTTACTCGCTCTCTGCAGGTGGCTCTCTCGTCCATCCAGACATCCCAGCTATCCTTGTCACTCCGATCTGCCCACACACCCTTTCCTTCCGCCCTATGATCCTCAGCGACTCTATGCTACTCCGTGTTAATATCCCAGAAGGTTCTCGCGCTACGGCTTGGTGTAGTTTCGACGGTCGAGCCCGTCTCGAGCTTCGCCAGGGTGACTACATCACCATTGCAGCATCCAAGTACCCATTCCCTACTGTGCTCAGCCAGCCGCAGGAGTGGATTGATAGTATCCAAAGGACTCTGCAGTGGAATAAGCGCGCAGCCGCTCAAAAAGCCTTCGTGAAGAGCTCTGGAGACTCCGAGCTCGACTTGGAGGATGAGTGGGACATTGATACTACTGATGATAGCGGTATCTACACTGACGATGGGGATGGAAGTGCATCTAGTCCCATGAGGAGGCAGATGAGCTTGTTGACTATGGCATAGGTTAGATTAGTATTCCGCCTCACCTTCTATATAGGCTGAATTACTACTTATTACGAATCCTTCGCGACTGCCTTTTCCCAGTTTTTATCTGCGTCTCATTCCTTTCTTCTATTTCCTTCTGTTTCCCTTTTCCACATAATAATCCTTTTTGTAATTATATAACTAGCGTGACCGAACCCCCTTGTGGTGTTTTTACTACAGTGGCATTGGCGTTATCCCTTTCGTTCACTTTTCTTGCATTTTTTGCTGTTTGTTGGTGAAGCATCTATACATCAGGAAGGAGGTGTTTTTGATTTGATTACAGGAGTTTGATTCATCCATTCGTTCACTCGAATTTTTGTGGAGCAGTGATTGATACACTCATTTTGACCAGAGTATCAGTTCTCTGATCAATCTTGGAGTTTTTTCATTGTTTTGCCCTTTGAAGCTGCACATACTTTATATATACCGCCGATACACTACATATATTTTTTTCTTTTCTTTCTGTCATTGATATCATATTGATATTGCATTTTAGCATTTGCATCGATATCGTCGAATCCGGGAGGGGGTTTTTTTATTATACAGTGGTAGATGGAGTCGACTCTCTTTATTTTCATTTTCCATCTCGATATCTTACTTTGTTGACCGTACCATTAAGCATGTGCACAAGACAGCTGCCTGAATGCTTTTTTTGTTTGGTCACAGGTGCGAAATGACCGAATTAATATTTTCAGGTCAGAAGCGGGTCAGACTATGTCCGCCTGTAGCAATGCTGGAGATTACCTCCAGTTCAGAAACCAATTGGAATGACTAAATTCAATACGGGTTTTTATATTCCAACTGGATATAAATACCAATTCAGAATATTACTATAAATATTTACATCTTTTATATTTTCCCCATAGTTCTGAGTATGTGCAAGAAGAAGAAAATCCCACAAAATAGGGTATATATGGTATATACAAAAGCAGCTGAAGTGTGCCGAAAAAATCCCATCTTAGGCCACTAAAACAGGAACTTCTTCAGCCGTACGCCCCAAACCTGCTACATCAACCCCACTTTCCTTCTTCCCCCCCGCCTCGAGCGCTAGTCTCTTCTGTTCTTGGGTTTGGTAATGGATATAGGTCTTTAGCTGTTCCCACTGTCCGGGTGTTGCATGCTTCTGCCAGTCCTTTAATCTCTTTAATTCCAATTTTTCCTTTGTCATCCTCCACTCCTTTGGAAAGCTGGGCTGGGGTTTGAACTTATGATGCCTAAAGTCGAAGGGGACGTCTTCAAAGGTATCCGTATCATCCTATACCACCATATCATTAGTATTAAACTTTATTCTTATCGAGAACTTTTTTGTTGTATTTCAAGATTTACAAACCTTAGCTTCAATGATTAGCTTATCCACCAACTCACTCAACCACCTCTTATTTTGATGTTGATGCTCGAACATCTCACAGCTGAATTTTAGCAACTTTGTTGTCGGGTTATAACGCGCACCGCAGAGTTTGATTAACTTGTCAGTTTGCACACGGGTGAGGCCTAGATCCTCAGGACAGCACTCCATAACTACTTTGTTGTCTGTAGGGTGCGATACGCCCATATGTGTCGTATATCTGAACCGTAGAACCTCGGCTGCGGTTGGCACCTTGAATGGCTTCACGAATCCTGTAGGGAAAAAATTAGTCTCGATCCATAATCTTAAGAGTATTAGATCAAAGAAACAAGGGGGGCTTACTTGATAACCGAGGCATATCATAAACTGCTAACCTTGCGTACTTTCTTGCTTCACGATGTTCCTCCAAATCGTCGTGCGCCATACTACTCATATCGGTCGCGTTCCAACTCCACATCATGGGATCCATATCATCATCGTCTTCGCGTTTTGACGGTGGCAGGAAATACATATCCCTTACCGTTTGTTGATCAGGCCTCAATGGTCTACTAGCGTATTCTTCAACATGGTCCATCTTCTTCATCATCGTACGCAGACCCTTCTCGCCCATTTCCTCGAGCTCAGTATTCCAGAGCGTCTCAGTAGCAATGATAGCATCGTCTGAAAGATCGCGGGATAGTTCTCGACGGGTTTCGGTACGCTGCTGCGGCAGACGCATGATGGCGCGAGCGTCGTGCTCGGCCTGTTCAGCGGACATTCCTTCAGCCACACGCATTTTTATTTCCTCTTGTAGCATTGCCTCTTCGTGTTTTTGAAGACGGACGAGATCCTCTTTCATATCCTTTTCAGTTTCCTCGATGATACGCTTCATGAAGTCCATTTCGTTCTGTGGTTCGTCCTGGTCGCGCATGATGCTCATGATTTCGGACTCCGAGAAACCAACATTGCCAATTAAGCTGTTGACCTCTGAAAGATCTGCCATGCCTTCAAGATCCTCTTCTGCTATATCTTCGGGTTTGAATGGGACGAGACCGTGGGCTTTGTACTTTGGGTCGTCACGGAAACGACCGGTTTTTGCTAGCTGATCGAGTTCGGTGTCTGTGATTTGGAGTTTGGAAAACAAGTTTTCGGCGGTAATTGGTTGACGAGGGAGTTGCTTAAGCTTAAGAGCCTTGCGAAGTTTTTGCGGGAGGTTATTAAGGTCTTTGGGCATTTCGTAGTCCTTGTCTTCTTCCTGGGCCTCCGGCCAGCCAAAAAGTTCCCCGGCGGTAGGAGCACCATCGGCTTTAGCTTCAAGCTTCTTCTGTGCTATATCCCTTTCCTCCAATTGCTTCCCGACCTTCTTCGAGTTGAAAACACCCTCGGAGTCAAAATATCGAAAATCGTCTCCCCTGTCACCTGTGGATTCATGGCGACATTGTTGGAGCCTAACGAGCTTGTCGGCGTAGTAAATTGGTCGGGGTGGTAAATTGGCAGATGGAATTAGTAGGCCACATTGTCGATTCGTCGTACGGCGGAGGGCAGCGACTGCCCTCCGGGATGATAAAGCCATGATGGCGGAATGCGGGTGAGGTCCAATTGAGTGTCGTTCGTAGGCCCTCTTCACGCCATCATGTGGTGGGGGGATGGAACGCAAAAAGGTGGGATGTCGTCTGAGTTAGAATTTTTGGTGTTGGAGTTTCGCAGAGCCGCCAGAAAATGGGCTGGTTAAAATACCACGTGCCAACGCAAGACATATTCTCCCTTCAATTCACTCCATCTAGCTACCAAGATCAACCGATCCCAACGTGAAGCATATAGCCGCTGAGTAGGGTCTTTAAGAGGTCATGAACCTCGGGAAACGAGGAGGAAGTTGAATTGGTTCACCACTTCTTCCTTTCATAACGACAATGGCCTCCAAATACTCGAAAACGGGGAAAGGTGTCTTCATCACTGTTGGCACCACCGCTTTTGACGACCTGATCACGGCTCTCCTCGTCCCTAGTATCATTACCCAGCTCCACGGGCTCGGATTCAACGAAATCAGGGTTCAGTACGGCAAGGGCAAAGATGTTTACGATGCTGCGTTTACTCCAGAGTTCAAGAGCACGGTCAACGAAACCAGAATGTCAATCGCCGGATTCGAGTACGAGGAGAGCAGCAGGATCACTGAACTCATCAAGGAGGCGGACTTGATCATTAGCCACGCCGGTATGCTACTCTCATAATCTCGTTCAGTTTTGTTTTTCCTATCTTTTGATTAATCACTAACATACCTCTCTAGGATCTGGCACTATTCTTGATGCCCTTCGATATCAAAAGGCAATTATCGTCGTTCCGAACGAATCCCTGATGGATAATCATCAAGCCGAACTGGCCAATGAGATGTCAAAACAGAAATACGTGATCCGAGGTAAATTAGAGTACGTATTTACCATCTAGATAAAACAAAAAAACGCCGTGTAATCACTGCTGACATGTCATAACAAAGTCAATTCGCCGAGAATATCACGCAGGCCCAGAGCTACAGATTCAAGCACTTCCCTCGAACTGGGAGCAAAAAATTCGTCGAAGTTCTAGAAGATGAGATTGAAAAAGCAGAAAAAGATAAAATGTACGGAGAAGGATGATATACCGTGCCCCCTTCCCTCCCTCCCACGACTTTCCTTTCATTATCCTTGTTCCTTTTCAATATATATAGCCCCCATCTATGTCTTTCCGGCCCCTCCCCTCTGCTCATTTTCTTTTTTTTTTCCTTCTATATACTCAAGTATATAAGCTATACCCTTCGGATTGCATCATGCTAAGAAAAACGATATATAAGCGTGGGTGATGATTGCATTTTAGCCCCGGGATTCGAAATCGGACTCGAAGTGATACTTCAGTCTCTCCGCGTTCGGAAATCGCGCATCCGAAATTTCTAACCTACTTATATACATACATAAACACTGCCCTCATAACTATGGCACCCGTTTCCTTCAAACCCCTTTTCATTTTCTTAATGTCTTTGCCACTATACTAGCAAACTTCAATCATGCTTGCATTTCTTTATCACACAGTCTTTGGAGCCCTGCCAACGTTTCCTTTCTTTTTCCTCTCTCTCTTCTCTTTCCTCTCTTTCCCTCTCTCCCTCCCTTCTTTTTTTTAACCAAGAAGAAGGACAGCTGTACTAAAGCTCGCCCGTCATATCTTTTCATTTTCGTTTTTACTGAGAGAAATGAGAAATTTAGTGATTCAACTACGGATAATACAAGCAAAGCAGCGTATAGTCAACGAAGGCGTAAAGATTGTATCGAATGGACGGAGACGGAACAAGGGCCGTGTAGGTGCTCTATTACATAGGAAGCAATACTGGGTGTAAACCGGCACGATCTAGTGGTGGGTGGGTGAGTGGGAATATATAATCCTGAGAAGGTTAACATAGTGAAGTAATAATCCCAACATCGAGCCCGGGAAGTCGGAGTATCGATATTGAAGCATCCGGAAAGGTGTTGAAACCAGTCACGGCGTTGGGATTCGACCTTCTGTTTCGCACAGCAAAACAGTTCGGCTTCAGAGGCCTCGAGCTCGAGCGCGAGGAGGTCTTAGGATTATCAAATGATGACCAAGTACTTGATTTAGGTACATTCTACTAGCTTAATTACCCAGCCTTATGGTCCTACGAGCTTTTAATCTAATTTTCAATCATTATTCAAAAAAAAGCACTTTATATACCATATCGTTAACTCATTTTTTTTTATAGAATTTTTCTGTAACTTTCGCGAACATAGCTAGAACTAGCTCTGAACCACACCAAAGTAATAATAATGATAAAAAAGCAGCAACAGATATTTCCTCCACTGTATACCAAAAAAAAAAAAAAGTGAAAAATAAATCTCAATGCAAGGAAGGATAATAAAGAAAAGAAGAAAAGAAAGAATAGTTGAGGAGGGATTAAAAATACATACACATAGAAGAATAAAAAAAGAAAGGGAACGTAAGGAAAAGAGAAGGAAGAAAAAATATGCAAAGCCAAAAAGATTTCCTCCGTATCAACCTAATAAAATCGCGAGGCAAAACAAAAAAAGAAGTGATATTGAAAAATGAATGCGGGTGGTGTTAAAAGATTCCGTCTAAACCTGTCTCCGGGAAAATGCTTGAGAATGTAAGTACTGATAATAAAGGAAAAACAGTAAACGAAGTATGAAGTGGAGGAAATGTTAGAAGGCATAAAAAATGATCAGAATATCGTGATATCCCCCAGGCAGTGAGTGTGCCAGAAGGGAATAGAGACGGGAATCAAAATAAAGCAGAGGTACTCCAGAAACGTTGAACGAGAGTCTGAAGACAAACGAAGTAGAAATGAAACTGGTTTCGAAATCAGAACGATTCGGTAAGAGAACAAACAGGGCAAACTGATATCTTTTATGGATTATGAAAATACGACCAAACAAGAAAAAATTGCCCAAAAGAAATGGCACAGAAAGAATAGCGGGGCCAGAAGCGTAAGAACACGAGGTGGAGCCGATTTGATAGATCAAGATTGATCAAGCATTAATATGTGATGTGAAGTGGCACGACATTGGTATAAAAAAAAGTCGTGATGAAACCGGCGGTGGGTAAGGCGGTTTCACGGCCAGCCCAGCCCTGTGGTTTCATTTTCGTAGTGTTCCTCGTGATGTAGAAGAAAAGAAGGCAAAAGTAAAGCAAGCGCAAGATAAGAGCAAAACAAAAGCTTTAAGTGAAATATTTGTTAGATCGTTTCTTCGGGAGATTGAATTACCTTTCGTCAAAGTCGGAAACTGGGTCATGACGGAGAACCATCGAAAAGAAAACGCATTTCCGTTCAAAGATTCGAGGTGCAGGAAAGACAAAAAGGCCACAAAGAAAGTTGAAAACAAAAAATATAAAAAATTCAAGACGAAAACGCAATCATTACAGAGAATCGATGCTCGCAAATGTTAGATATAGACAGTTTGAATTGAAAGAACCAGGGGCCATGAAGTTTTATTTTTCGTATAACACCAGTAGATGAAGAACCGGAGAAAGAAAAAGTAAAAGAAAGAGTTTTCAAGTGCCCCATAATTGGAGCCATTGAACAAATAGAGATGATCACAGCAATCGAGGATGACCACAATTCGTGAATTGATAATTTTGTAAGAAGGAAAGGGCGTTTTTTTGTATTTGTATAAAAAGGATCCACACTAGCTATAGTAGATGGGCCCCTGAGGTACCATAGGGACGGGGACCATTGGTGGATAGTAGTACATCCCGTTCGCGTGGATAGCACCGGGGACTTGGCTATCTGGTGGTGGCGCACCTGTTGGGGGGACCATAGCAACTGGTGGCATATATCCACCAGGATAACCACTAGGATAGAGCTGGGTGGAGTCGTAGTAGTAAACTGTGCCATTGGATTCTTGAGCAATAGTTCCCATTGGTGGTGCGGGAGGGCCCATAGGAGGACCGGGCATTTGAGTTTGTGGAACGTATGGGATCGCGGCAGGTGAAGGTACGTATGGGGGAGGAGGACCCTGAGGTTGATGTGACATTGGAGGCTGAGCGTGCATGGGTGGAGGTGGATACATAGCGTGTGGTGGAATTGGATAGTAGTATCCTGCTGGATGGGGATACGTCGGCTGGAAGGGTCTTGCATGGACGGATTGGTCTGGGATGTGAGGAGTTGTAGAAGTCTGAGAAGGATAAGATGGAACGCGGTTATGTTGTTGATTGTAGTATCCTGGGGTTGGGATACCATCTGAATAGGGCCCGGGGGTTGGGTAGTTGGTGTTTGCGAAGTTGTATGTGACAGGAGTTTCGATATTTTCGACGCTCACCGTCTTTTGAGGTTTTGGTTGATGCATTGGGAGAGGAACATGGTGACCTGGTTGGGATTCCTTTTGTTCGACAGACTGTACCTCTGATTCAACAATCACAGGCTCGTGTGGCACTGGGTATGAAGCACCGTCCGTCCCAGCAGTGGCTGCGAGAGGAACAAATCCATCAGGGTGTGGCGGAATTGCATCCATTTGGCCGGCGACTGGGGCAACCACTGGCAATCTGACGATGGGACGCATCGATACCGAAGGACTTGGACCTCCAGTATTGACAGCTGGGATATTACCAAAGCTGATTGGTGGTCGATTAAAGTCCTGGTGGATAGATGAACGACGCGACATTGCAACAGATGGAGCATGGGTGGAAGTGCCGCCATAGACACTTCCCGTTTGCATGCCACCACGATAGCTGCCTGCTAGAGAGCCACGTCTTGGGGTAGGTCCAAGGCCTCCACCAACGATACCCCCACGGGTAAACCCAGAGCCGCCTGGTCTCATTGCCCTTGGGATGAAAACAAAACTTCGTGAGATAGCGGGATAGATATATCGAGGAAGAGAGTCAGGAAGAGAGATTCTGACTGGTTTGTCGCGTCGCAAAGGAGGTCGATGATACGGGAGCTTGGTATATATTTTGACAGCAAAATCATTGAAAACCTTGCTCTCTTTCATGCCAGGAAGAGAGACACGAATTTGACCGTTGCCCTTGGTAATAGTAGTATCGAAGAAGCGGTTTGGGGGGTGACTGTTATTATTGTTGAGAGATTTGTGTAGAGAGGAAGGTTGAGGTTGAGGTTGCTGCTGCTGCTGCTGCTGCTGCTGAGTAGCTGTAGCTGCTTGTGAAGCCTGAGGGCCCTGGGGACCCTGAGGAGCAGGTCTTTGCTCAGTTTGACGCTGAACCCGCTGCTTCTCTTTCTCCTTCTCAGCAGCAACTATCTCATCATGCATATCGTGTTTCCAGGCGCCTCCAGAATCTGGGGAACTAATGATAGGGACCATTGTTAGCATCAAACCAAGAAGAATACCGTGAGATATTCCTGCCAAAGCATACCTTGTAAAACTATTAAATCCATTCCGCCCTCTGCCCCGACCAAACGGCCTAAAGCCGTTGCCACCAGCAGATTCAGACCTATGATCGTGCATAAAGAAGGCACCCCTGTTAGGAACGAATGCAGGGTCTGCATCACGCTTCTTCCTATATTCGTCCGCCTCCCGTCTCTTCCTCTCTAGTGGCGTTTCGTGGACCGGAGTGGTTTGTGATGGAGTCTGGTCAGACGACTTGGAGGTCTCTGTTGTCGTTCGTCGCCCTCGAGACTTCCTGTCCGACTGCTTCTTTCCGGAGCTTTCTGCAGCTGATTCTACAGGTCGGCCTTCAGCCTCCTGCTCTGCCAGCTCATCAAAATCCACAGCTTCGGTATCGCCACTAGGCCTGATTCCATTCATCATAGCATGTGTATCTCCCCTTCCCTGCTCAACAACCACTACCGTTGCCGACCCGTTCCCTCCGTGATGCTTTGTCGAGTCTTGGCCTGCAGCTGCCGTTTCATCATCACTGTAGGTCTCCTCGCTCTCATTATCGTCGTCGAATTCATCGTCTGTGAATCCCGAGTTCTCGGAGGCCGAGTCGTCTACGACCTCGCCACCCTCTTCGCCAATCTCGGCTTCATCTTCATCCCGGACGCGACGTCTGGAAAGACCAACTTCCTTTCTTCGGGGCATAGTTTCGGAGGGTGGAGGAAGGGAGGTGGCGGACGGAAGTATGATGGTACTGTGGAAAATGCGCTGCTGGTCGTGAGGTTCTACGGCTTCAAAACCCGTTCTCAAACCCAATCCCGAGAATGTCGTGAACGTGAATACAGAGAATACAAAGAACACTAAACACGGTAAATTGGACGGAGAATGGAGTTGGGGATGGATGGCAGACGAGATGTCGTTCTTTCGTCCCGTCTGGTTGTTAGAGGTGGTCGTCTGAAAGAACTAAACTGAGGTGACTCCCTGTGACGAAACGGACATACAACCGTCACTAACGACAGGGCACAGCTGGAAAGATCAATATAAAAGAACAACCGTTACAAAGCACACCACAACGAAGAGAAGGATCCGGTCCGGCTATGCTGTTGGACGCCCGATTATACTATGCTACTGAAAGGTGCGAGTAATTTTTTTCTCCTTTCGAAAAAAGGAAGGATACTGTCGGAGATGGGAGAGAATTGAATGGCGAGGATATGGCCAGCTAAACTCCACAGGCACAGGATCCTGGCTAGTGCTGTGGATGAATAATAGTGAAAACGAGGACGATGATGTGGATATCGCCAGCAAACACTACTGATACACCGATGGCCACCGTTTAAGCCTTTTTCCCGTCCCTGACGCCGATTGGATGCCACGGAGCACTGTTTCTGCAGTGTCTGAATGGACAGTTGTGGCTCAGTTAATGTCCGGAGTATGTCCGGGGAAACATATACACGAGAGAACAGGGCAAAATAACACGAGCAACTGGGCCGAGAATGAAAAAGGTAATAAATGAGGTCACGGAAATCGAATCTGGCATGCAAAGGCTAAATTTCGTTATGAAAGGAAAATTTTGAAGGCAAAGGCAAATATTTGGCTTTGGAACGAAACAGGTACCAAGCGGAACTAACTAGAAGGTTCTGCACAGTCCACCGTCTACTTAACTGTGTACGAGCTACTTCTAGCAATGCATACATAATGGGAAGCAGAAGATAACTAATGCCGTGGGATTCGATTCGATTGCCCACCGGCAGTGTTAATAAGACCTGCAGCAGACTGTGACGAGATGACAAGGTCGCGACGATCCCCACGAGGCACGACCCCAGGCCTAGTTCCGGGATGGAACGGGATATTATTCCGGAGGCGAGATCTCCTTCAAACGCTTCCAAGGGCCTAGCTTCATGCGACCCCGAAATTTGATGGAGCCGAGTCCCATATTTGAGGTGGAAAGCAGACATCTATATCACGATGTTTTTCCGTTTCCGCTTCTATTGCATACAGAATATGGACATATCAACATTCCATGCTATTTTGAACCACCCAAAGCGAATCATTACCACGGTCAACTCGAAAATTGTGGCCATGGTTCACCCATACCGAACCACAATCACTTTCAACCTAGACCAAACACAAACTGGGTTTTTCAAATCAATAACGCGACATAAGGTGCCGCATATTGATACGCCATTGTGATTCCGTTTTGCAGAATGTGCCGCCGAAATATGGTTGTTTCAAAGACACCAGTCCAATAGCGGGACTCGAGTTTGTATTGTTTGTATTCCAGACGGACAGTTAACACAGTCCAGCACAGCATCCCACATCAATCGATACCACCTACAAACAACAACATATGTATCATACTATTTCGAATAGTTGGGTCGGCATCGATTTTGATAAAGCCGCATCTGATAGCGAAAATTGGGCACAAACTACGCCCCATAAATGTTGCAAACCAACCTCCAGCGCAAAGCCAGCTGTTCAATACAAAATACTTTCAATCGATGCAATCAAGGACAAAGAAAATCAAATCTACTTGCGTATCGCTAAAAATCAATCGGAATCAGCTATCTTTATCACACCCATGAAACCCCTGTCGCACTTTATATGTACCAAATCGTACCCCCCAAAGATTAAACCAAACAAAAAAAAAAATGCGCTTTTGATAACAAAATAATCCAGCTGTGTATCCTTCTCACATTACCACGTTGACGTTTCGAGCTAGTTGCCTGGTGATGCCGTTCCAGTTGCGCGAGCTTCCGTCTCCCACTGCCCCAGCCCGATCTGGCCACTCTTCAGTTGTACCAGCGGAGACGGGCTCCTGAATTTCTGTGTATAAAGTGACGGGACGGTAGCGACGGCGCCGAGGGCATCAGTGACAGTTACCCAAACTGTTGTTGCTGGCGGAGCTACTGGGGCTATGAGGAGAAGAAAAAAAGGCGGTTGTCAGCCGGGTAACGTTTGAAGTATGCCTGTGACAACAGTGCGAAGGAGGCCTATTTCAGAACGCAAACTCAAAACTTACGCAAAACACCACCGCCAGCGGCAGCCTGTGCTACCGTTAACGACGGTAGGAGAGATACAGCTGTAAAGAGAAGGGTTGAAGTCTTCATGACTGTTGAAAGCTCCGCCCACACTTTTGGAGTTTTGAGTTAGTGTTGACGCCTTTGGGCTTCGAACGCAAGGTTTCTAGCCACTCTAGACAGCGCCTCCCAGCCAAAGGAATAACAAGTTGCGGTCTTGAAAGGAAATGGTTTGGTTCTCCGTATTTGCTTTTAGGCCCCCTTAACAAATTCTAATTCGACGTCGAATTTGTGCCGTCCGTAGCATACGGTACACCGAGCTCGGGAGGTAGACGGGCCGGTGTGTTTGCAGACGGGATGAAAGCTCAATGCTGATGCCTCAAACACCCACTGTCGGAGAGCTGACTTTCACCGATAAGAGTCTCAAGTGTTCGTGAAATAAAAACCAAAGGGATGCTCGTTGTACGGAGCAACTTATAATCAAGCTGATCTTCGAAGATAAAAAAAATAATAAAAATGGGATGCTGTCGAGATATGGATGCACGAAAAGAAGAGATATGATTGTAGATGGAAACACTTGAAAGTTTTCTATCAACTCTCTGAGGTTACATCAAAACCGATTAGTATCCGAAGTTCAAATTTAGCAAATGGCATCAGGGGAGGCTGGACTGGCTAGCTTTATGCGGCTTAGGCTGCCCAGAATCTTGGGTACACTGATGTCACTCGATTGCCGCATGATGATTGCTTGACGGGCCGGACGGACAATTGCTTGAGAAACGTCGATGGGGAAAGGGCATAAACGGGACTGTGCATTTATGAAACACGGCCACAAGGGATATGGAGTTCCTATTCACGATATCGACTTTTAATCTTTCAATTCCGTCCGGTTTCTTGGACCTTTGAGCGGGACCTTGCATTCCATGGTAAGGAAGTGTTGCCGGGTCGTTCACTGTGAGCACGTGCGCATCTTTTAGTTGGAATTCCAACAAGCATACAGCTCTGGCGCATGGTGAACAGCTGAGGATTCTGGCGACGAGACAAGGTGAACAGTTGTACATTTGATATATATCGCTCTTTTAAATATATATATTTGATTGGTTATTTTATTGATTCACTGAATATCGTCATTATATTAAATTATATAAGCTAAGATCGATTCAATTTTTACGGCTTATATTTATAACTATAATATTTGGGGTTAATTTATGACATATGTCGAGACCAGGTACTTTACAATATATAATGATTCAAATTTTGGATATTGCCCCCGCCTATCAATCATGCATGATCAGGATGACCATTGCTTACGCTTGAATTAAGAAAGAAGTAAGTTGGATCTGTCTACTGAACAGGATGCCCAAGGAATTCTAATACTCGGCTGGACATGCTCGGTTCACGGCGTTCAAACAACCAGCTGAAAACGTCGACATCTATTGCGATATCACACTACGACCAGGAACGGATTGTCTTTGTTGATCAATCAATCTTATTAACATCTGAGTTCCGGTACATCGGTGTCGCAATCCCTCCTTGATGATCAAATCCCATTATAATATTAGTCTAGAAATTTGTCGATTACTCAATATTATTGCGATTATACATGAAACGAAACATTCTAATCTCAGAGATATCGGGAAATTCTATGCGAAGGCATTTTGCGGGGAAGACAGGATACCCTATACCTCGTAACCCCTCGTTTTATTTTACTCGAGACATGCATGCATGGGCATCTAGGTAGGCTATCAGATATGCGAGCTGAAACAAAGGTTTGTGTAAGGCTATAGCAGATAAGTACCCCCCCAATGCTAGAGTTACATTCCTCAAATCCAAAATATCGGAAAACTAACAGGTTATTAATATTACTGTGTGTCTCTAGTTTGACAGTTAACGAGACCTAACTTAGACGATGAAGGAAAGTGTCATCGTAAATGCCAAGTTAGTGAACCTCGTGGGTTTGTTGACATATTTGGGAACAGGCTTGAGATATATCAAGATTGGAAGGTGATTTCGCAAAACGATTAGATTGATCAAGAGATTAGATGAGAATTTAGGTAATCAAAAACAGTTTGCAAGGGTTTTAAACTTGCGATCTTATAAGATTGATCCAGGCGGGCTAGCTGAAGGACCGTAGGATTTAAATCCTAATATCTGATTAAAATTGGTTCCATCAATTGCAATCTAGAATTCGGCCTCCAACTGTAAAGGTAAACCATAATCAAAAGGCTTTTCATGGAATCTATAGTATATTAATATATTGGATCGAAATTGTACAATTGTGCTACACATAACTTATATATAGTGTAATAGAAGTATGCATAGTTTAGAACGGGTCTCGAGTACCCTTTAACTTAAGATCTAATTGGTTGACCTCGAGCTTAAGCTTGTTATAGGGCCAATTCATACAATATTTGAAGAGTCTACTCCCACGTGGGTAATTATAATATGTAACTAAAATACAAATAAAATATCCAATACGCATACACACAGGCATGTCCCCCCACCCTCGGATCCTTTTAATTGAGGAGTAGGGCAATTTCGATGTGTCGATAATATCCTCAGAAAACGTTTATAACCATAACCTTTATATATGGTTGTGTGGGATATATGACCCAGCCGGCAGTTAGCGTCGATTTCAATACATGCGGGATTTCCAATTGATGCAGCTGCAGGTGACGTGTGGACAAACATATAATTCCAGGCTTTTATCAATATCCACTCACCATATATGCACACCACGTTGCTATTTTCCGGACTTCCCGTTCTAGCGAGAACCCGCCGTGCATATGCAAGAGTGGAGCATCTACAGAAGGCGAGAATTGACTTGGTCGGTGCGGATTAATAATTGGTAATTTTTGTCGGGAAATCTCCGGTCTGTGTCGACACATATACATGTACAATGAGACTATTGAAGAAAACAAAATTCTTCGCACACATGTAGATTCGAGCTTAGGTTTATAGAGCACGTGTGCTAACAAGCTTTGAATGTCGGGTTAACACCAGTTGGGGATGGTTCGAATGTCATGATCCCGTCTGACGTCTGCAATGCAATGCGAGATGTAGGCTCCAATTTTTTTTTTGTGCCTTATACTACGGTCCTTTCTCCAAGTCTCGTAGCGCCTACGGAACTAAGTTAGCTACAACTTTAAATGCTGACAAAGGGATTTGCTGAATTCGAGATTATCACCGAGGCTTGACATTCTATTCTAATATTGGGAGCCGCTTTGATTAAAAAAAAAACTGAATTCTTGGGTCGGGATACGTACCATGCCTTGTGGTATCGAAGCCTTGGTATAAAACAAGTCCCCTAGCTCTAGCTCCTAGTCTTGGCTCAATCTGAATCTCTCCGCCTTTTTAATTCTAACATCACAATAACTTATCGTGATATCGATGGTGTTTTTCGTAAAACTAGAGTTCGCATGAACGGGAAGAACAAGCCACGGGTTGCCAAGCGAAATTGATTTCCGCAACTTCCATTTATCTTCGAAATGCTAGGCATAATCGGAGTAGTTACCCCTATGAGCATCCTAAATAGTAAGCTCGACCGAGAAGGAAGTTGATTTTTCACATGCCGGGATTTTTCTAGATGTTGGCTGTAGATGTCTCAACCTTAGCCTTCGGTTGACATTCGGCTGCTGGGATAAGGCTGGGGTAGCCCGGGCACTTTAACTATCTGAACCAGGCCGATTAAGAAATCCGGTGTGGCGTTTGGTGGTCTTGGATAGTAAGTTATCGGCTTTTGATAATGTGCACCTGCCCGACTAGTTCGCAGAACGTGATGTCGCAAGGCATCAATATCAGGAATAGTCTCATTAAGGAGGACCCTGAAGGTATTTCCCCCCATCTTCGATGTTGTTTTAACGTTTTAGAGTCTGGCTTAGCAACTGAAGAAAACATAGAAAGGCTGGCCATACCAAACTCCCCGACGATTAGTTGCGCATGTAGAGAAACGAATCCCCACCGACGCTTGTAGGCGAGCGGACTCAATGCAATACGGAGCCAGAAGCCTTTTGAAGCCACAGTGACAGTATTGGCATCGGCTTGACACTTGCAATTGGCAATTGGTTCAGAGATAGAGCATGGACATCTCCACAGCTCCTCGGTTCCATGTTCTATACCTACCCTACCCAGCATATGCTCCTTGCTATCAACCTAGATCTATACAGATCGTCGGGTGACTTTGAAAAAAAAATATATGGATATTCTTGCGGGCCCACTCGTCTCAATGAAGAATTTCGATTGGTCACTGCGTTTTTAACCTTAAGGACTGGGGTGAGAAGGGTACCCTAGTGCTCGATAAGAGCGGAGTATCAAATGATTCCTTCCCCTTTTATCAATCATTTACCTTTCCAAATCCGGGCTATCCGTATCGATTACCTGGTCCGACTGCCACCTAGTGAAGCTCCAATATGTGCGCCAGTTTTGTTGCATGTGTCCGCATCTATGCGTCCCCTGATGACCATGGATGTACGAGACTTGTGAGGGGTCCGATATCTAAACCCTCCAAAGTTGTATCAAACGTCGAGAGCTATAAGACTGTGGTATATTCCACGGTCGTTATCAGTTTTTATTACAACTATATCATTCCATCTTCGACTATCATAAGATACTCTTGAGTATTATAATACAAAGAGACTCAAATATGATTGCCTCGACACTCTTTCCCACTATCTTGTCCGTAGGGCTACTAGGCCTTCAGATCTCTGCTAGTCCTATCGCTAGTTCTCGACTACACACAAGTCTTCAACCCATCCGAGAAGATGACTTGTCCTCTGAGGTGTTCAGGCTCAATGATTTCCAGAGGAGATCTGTTGAAGACTCTATGGACAATGTAATTGAGCTATTACCTATTAACGAAGACGATTTAATTCCTCCTCATTTGAGGAAGAGATCGGATGACCTCTCGAGATTAGACCTCAAGGAAAACGTTAAAATGATCTACGGCGGTGTCGTCTGTAAGTTCCTCACCTGATTGGATGGTTCCTCTTAAGGCTTTGGACTCGCGACTAATCTTTTTACCTCTTTACTTAGCAAAATCCCAAATCTACCTGGCTAACATGACCCTATACCAGCCTGATGATGGCCACCCATTGATTATGATGGAAAGATTCGATGGCCTTCTTAAAGATGTCTATTGCGGTACTCAGAGCATTACGCTAGACTTCCACCATAAGGATGCAATGGACTATGCTATCAAAACTTGGGACTGGGTTAACGAGGATACGGAAGACCATTTCTTCTTGATTGCCAATCACCCTGGATGTGGTCAAGATGCCCAACGAAACCCGTACAAAGTCGCCAAGGTCCAGTATGACCAGGAGACATTCCGAACTGTTCTCACCACTGAAGCTATTGAATGGAATACCCTGGCAAGCGACTTCGACATTAGTCTCGGAAGCGCAAATGTCGAGAAACGTGTTACTAAGCGTGAGCTTAAGAGCTCTGACATCACAAAACGAGGATTCTTTGACATCTTCACCAACTTCGATTTCGGAAGGTCCGTCTACTGGGATCTTACTGTCGGCGACAAGACCACCCGAAAGACTATCATGTCCGATCCCTTCAAGAGCTATGGCAAAGTCGACATTAATTGCGTTGGTTGTCGTCTTTCTGGTGGGCTTCAGGTCACCGGTTATGTCAAAGTCGTCAAGTTCGCTGTTAAGGAACTCTACATTGGTGCCAAACCCAAGAACCTTCGTGGAACAGTTGGACTCGAAACTATCCTCCGTGCTGCCATCCCTCCAGGTCTACTCAGGGTTGATGCGACTCTCTTCTCTTTGGGAATTCCCGGCCTAAGCATCCCCAAGATCTTCCTTCTCGGACCATCCCTCCAATATGAAGTCGGGGCTGGTTTCGGCTCCGAAGGTGTCGGTAACCTAACCGTTGGTGCTGATGTAGCTATTCCCGACAGCGCTGCTTTGTATGCCGACCTTTTGGATCTTTCTAAATCCGAAGCAAATGGATTCGAAGGAACAACTATGGACCCTTTCATCAGCCTCAACAGTGTCGCCGTCACTGCTTCTGCAATGGTCTACTCCAAGCCACTCATTGCCTTTGGTGTTAAAGTCCTTGATAAAATTGGTGTTGAATGTGCTCTCGAAATCAGCTTGCCTATGCTAAATGCCGATTTCAAGGCCGGCTATAACAAGGAAGGCTTCTGCCCAGATGATTCGAAGTTGGACAACAGAGCTGTTACCACTGGTGTCAGGGCGTCCTCTGCTGCAAATATTGAGCTATGGTTCAAGGCTGGAAAGTACAGTGGGATCCCGAACATCCTACCAAGCTTCAACAAGAAACTCTGGGGTACTAGATTGCCAATTGGAGAAGTTTGCTTTCCAATTCCATTCGGTGGCCCCGGCCCAGTGATCCCAGACGAGCCAATTCCAAACCATCCAGCCGGCGCCCTTGATGCCCCAGCTGAGAACATGTAATCCGTTCACGCCAGCTCCAGCCGTCGTCTCGATTGAGAGGGCAGCGGTTCTCATTATATTACCAAAATCTTTTTTTTTATGTTTGTCGCTTTTATACCCAGGGTACGTTTCGGCTTGGCTTTATCGGAGGAAATCTGTTTTGCAATTTGATGTTTTGATCTTACGTTACAAAGAATACCCTGGATTGCAATGAATTTAATAGGTCTTGACGGATAAGAATACCCATTTCTTATTGTACACACACCTACCCCCAATACCCACCCCCCTTTTGATAACCGCTCGGTGCTTTTGATTTTTTAGTGGTTAATACCCTTTCACCTGTATATATTTATTTTATTATTATAGACGCATTTTTCTATGCAATAGAACTGCAATTTGATACCTGCGATCGATTAATATTTATTTCATCTAAAACCCAATAACGCCAAGCGGCTAGCCTTATAAGGTCTGTGGGTTGAGTATGTGGTATTTTAGACCAGCTTTCATGGAGTGGGAACATCTTTTTTTGAGGCTGATACCCTCAAAACCTTGCGATTGGGGGTGCACTAAATCACATAGGAACATCCCTCCGGTATGCAGGCAGTTGCAGGCAGCTCTTTTTGTTTTCTAGACTTTCAGTCCGCGGCGTATGAATCGATTGAGTGTAGAAAGTGTATCCCGACAGAAGGCGTAAATTAGAGCCTCGTCTGTGCATAGAAGTGGCGGTCATTTATTACCCCAGTTTAATGACCTCACCTTTGGCCGGGGTAATTCCAGTGGATCGGGCAAGTGCTAAACAAATCAGCTGGCCAAACAAACAAAACATTCGAAACATTTGTAACATACTGAAATTCCCTTCATGATTTGATTCTCTTGCCTGTTGTGCATGCTTGGAAAGGACCTCAATTGCAAGTCATCTAGACGAAACGCCTTGGAATCGATTGAATCGCCAAAAACCTGATCTTCAGAATGCCGAGCCTGTTAAAGGAACCGGTACCTGACGCCAATGTAGCCTGTCATATCCGTTCTGCGGCGAGGCTACATGCCTACCCGATGACAATGCAACAATGGTCGGTCTTGGTTTTGCTTGGTATCATGAATCCAAGCAAATAGGAAATGAAGAATTCCATGCCCAGATGGCTATTTCTAGTCAATTGCTTGGGTTGCATGTTTCCTCCTCCCGCGACTGTCCGTGAGGCTTTGTTTATCGCTCTCTCCCGCTCGCTCTTACATACTTCAGCCCTCGCTGTCTCTCGCTGTCTCTTATTCCTTCCCAGTAGTCCTCCTTCACCGCCATCGTTTTTTGTAATATTGTCGTTTGTGGTCGTCGATACTATTTTCGTAGTCGCTCTCTGCCCCTGTTGGATTGGAGGAACAAGAGCGAAGGACGCGTTTTCCAACACTCGTTCGCAACACATTTCTGGTCGACTCAGCCAGCCTTATAGACACTGCATTTAGCTATAGACGTCTCTCCGGACTTCAAAGAAGACCTAATCTCTCGCTCCCACGCTTATATACGCCATACACTAGGCCGGGCACTCAAAGGATTTTTCCTTTACTTATATATCGTTATAATCATAGTCACTAATTGCCTGTTGTTGCCCACTTTCTCCGTCAATCACCTGTCAAAATGCAGTTCTCTACATTAGCCGGTTTAGCTACCCTTGCAACTTCTGCAGCTGCAGCACTCACTCCAATCACGATCCGTGGAAATGCGTTCTACTCTGGAAACACTCGTTTCTATGTCCGTGGTGTCGATTACCAGCCCGGAGGGGCATCAGATCCAAAGGATCCCCTTGCGGATACTGCGATCTGTGGTCGTGACATCCCGGCTATGAAAGAGTTGGGATTGAACGCCATCCGTGTCTGTACGTATTTTTATATCGAAAATCAATATTGGAGACACTTTGCCGCTTGGTATATGGATTGTGGTGCTGACTTTTCAATAGATATTATAGACAGTGCAGCGAATCATGATGAGTGCATGAAGATGCTCGATGATGCCGGCATCTACCTCATTTTGGATGTAAGTCATGCATATAAGAACCGTTATAAGTCTTTGTCTATATAAAAGAATTGTTAACATGGTTTTCTGGCATCTAGGTCAATACACCCACGCACTCTATCACCCGGAATGACCCTGCCATCTCCTACAATGAAGTTTACTTGCAGGTAAATACCTACCAAATGTTCAATACACCATTGTATAATGGCTAATGATTCATTATCAGCACGTCTTCGGAACCATGGATGTCATGAGCAAATATTCCAACTTGATGGCATACTTCGCCGGCAATGAAGTCGTCAACGAAGAATCTAATACATACGCCGCCACCTACGTAAAGGCTACAGTTCGTGACATGAAGGCTTACCAAAAGGCCCGCAATTTGAGAGCCATCCCAATCGGCTACTCTGCCGCAGATGTCGCTCAAAACCGCCAATTTATTGCCGAATACATGAACTCTGGACCGGATGCCGAGCGTGTTGACTTCCACGCCTTCAATGACTACTCTTGGTGCGGCGCTGCCAGTTCGTACCTGATTTCTGGTTATGATCAAAAGGTCAAGAATTATACCGATTACGGTATTCCCGCTTTGTATGGGCTTCCTATTCTCAAATAATACAAGCAGCCGCTAATGAAATCATAGCTTGTCTGAATTCGGATGTAACACCAATCCTCCAAGACAATTCAAAGAAATTGAATCGATTTACCATACCAATATGACCGGGGTCTTCAGTGGCGGTCTTGTATTTGAATGGACTCAAGAAGAAAATAACTTTGTGCGTTTGAATTTGTTCCCTACTAGTGATAGATTATTGCTAACATATTGGATAATAAAGGGCCTCGTCGAAGTTTCTGATGATCTCAAGACAATTGAGCCTCTGGTCGACTATGATAACTTGAAGGAAATGTACGAAAAGATTGCAAACCCAACCGGAGACGGTGGTGCCACTGTCACTTCAGGCGAAGCCTCCGAATGTCCATCCCGTATCCCCGGTGTATGGGACGCCGAGTGCAGTCTTCCAGCTATGCGTAAGTACCCATATTCATGCACATTTCCATACCTGGGAACTCAGAAACCATTCTAACGAACCTATCTTTATTCAGCCCGCAGAGCAGAAGGTTACCTCAAGAACGGTGCCGGTGAACCCCTCGGTCTCGACGGCCCAAGCAACCAATGGAGTGGTCCCGCCCCTCCACCCAGTGAAACCGAAACTGGAGGACCAGCCGAGGCTACTACTACATCGCCAAATGCTGCTCCCGGAATCATTCCATCCTTGAACTTTGTGATGATCGGATCGATCAGCTCGATAGTGATTGCTGGCCTCTTGGGTGGAGCTGCTCTTTTGTAAAGAAAGTTTTTCTCCCGCTTACTTTCTTATATGCATGTTTCGGTATGTGCATATTCAACAAAACATGTATTGAAGGAAAGAGAAGCGACGGGAATTAAGTGAACAGAAATCATTAAGCCTTTGTAGTAAACTTCTAGCCCTCGTTACCCACCTTCGCATACTGTTTCCTATTTTCAAGGAAACAGTTTTTTCGCTTTTATGTTTTTCAGCCTTCTTGACACCCCCCTTTTTGACGATTCTCTACGTTTTGACGATAATTAGGTTGTTTTTTACCATTCCCCGGGAAATTTATTTTAATGCTAGTGGACTTTTTTCCATGAATTCCGAAGACCCTCGGAGTATTAATAATTGTAAAGGTATGAGATGCATATACTCGCAGATTCTCAACTACGGCTTCGGAGCCTCTCATGCCGAATGTATAAAATACCCTTAGACGTGATATTTTTCTCGTAGATATGCAGTTACTAGTGTACTCGGTGCATACGGCGCCGGCTTGCAGCTTTATAAACCTATGCAACAGTGTTTGCGGCTGTATACACTCAAAGGTCGGTACAAATATAAATATATGTAAATATAATAGATTATTTGGATCGACTTACTCGTATAGCTTATAGAGGCTTCAATCTCTTGCATATAATTCAGCCAAAGAATGTAACATCGATATGATCGGTTATAACGTTAGAATACAACATCTCCAATGCACGAGGGAACGAATTTTTCTCTCCGAATACCGGATAGCTATCGGCATGGTGAGCTGGCAATACCGTAACTTCTTTTTTTTTGGCTTTTTATCAAAGCTTTAAACTCGTTTAATTCTTCAAGGCTATATTACTCGTTTTTGGTATTCTTTTGGTTTTATGCATTACATGCCGCACAGGGTAGACCATTTCGTCCCGTCTTTGGTCGGGTAGGAGTTCCTGAGTTGAAAAGGTTCCGACAAGAAGGTAAGTACTTACTTTCAGATACATATACGTGCAGTGCATGAGCTTTTTGAGGGCGCATTGCCAAAGCCGGACGGGTCGCATGGGTGACCGAAATAGGGAATTGAACTGGTGGTGGTGGGAGGATAGTGGGGTGTTAAAACGAAAAAAATTTTCATTCTCGATATAGTAAACTATGTGATCTTGGATAGAAGTGATCGCGTATCGGCACCAGGGTTATGCGGGATCCAGGAGGCTGGGGTCAACTATTTGATTATGCTCACCCCATATATACCTACTACTTACTTAGCATGCAGCCTGCAGCCGGTGTGGATCTTACGAGGCCAACCCAACGCTCAAAATGCAACAGTCCTGCAAGGTCGATGTTAAAGGTGGGCTCGAGAACCGAATTTTAGGAGCTCTAGGAGCTGTAGAAGTGGTGAGCTGCACATGCATAATGCTCCTAGTCAGCACAATGTGATATCTCTAGCTGATCTTGCGACCAAGGATTAGGATAATTAACTAACAACAGGTGGGCTTGGAGCTCACGGAGAGGTTTTGTAATGCAACAATATGCAAACCCAACCGGTTCGGGGAAAATTCCGATTTGCTAAAAGTAGTCGCCGTCGAATAGTTTTTGAATTAATTTGAAAGCGTTAAGATCGATGTAATTGGTACCGTGGTTATGCCACTGACTCGCTAGTTTTTCTTGTTTTTGATGTTGATCGATCGATATCGTGGCTATCTCCTGGCTAAGGTACTTTGAATATTTTAGTCTGGCTGCATGAGAGTGGACCCGGTTTTGAAACTTGAACATACATCCATTAAAGATTGCGATTGCGAATAAGGCCCGCCGCTATTCAAGAGGGTTGGCAAGCTTGATAAGTGAACGATAGTCTAAACCCCGATAGATAATGCATATGCATGTGGAGCAAACATTATTACCAATTGATTTCTAACTGGGGGAATTAATATTATGGGTCTCATAGGCCTAGATCAGTACTACCAAGCGCCGCCACTACGTCATAGCTACAGATGTTAAGGTTCCCTCGCCGGTATGGAGCGAACTAGACTATGGGAGATCATGTCGAGTAGACCCCGAGGAACTTTGACCTCCCCAGTTCCTGGAGACCAATGCCCGGGATTAATGGTGACCTGGGGGCTCAGATCTTCCACGAGGGCAGCAATAAAGGAAACAATAGGGAATAAAGTTGACCATAATACAGTCAATGAACACTCGGGCTGTTAGAAAAGATTAAGACGGCCCTAAAATATGTGTAAACTCTAGCATCCTACGATATATTATTCTATTTCAACGAAAACTTAAAGCTAGCTTCTGAATTCACGAATGACGTCAATTTTAAGAGCTGCAGGCCGTCCAGAATCAGAAAGGTCTATAAAGTCAAAAGAACAGAAACCCCTGACCTCAATCATCTAGATATTTTTGGGTACCAAAAGCACGGACTCGGACATGCTTCAAAAAGTTTCCGTAGCATTACCCGAATCCAAACTGACGCGAAGATTAGACTGCTATCTGGTCAGGCACCACCCTAAAACAACGGGAATGAATATTTCCCCTGGCATTTCACAATGTCAAAGGTCAGGAAGCATGGCTGAATTCTATTTATCTTAGTTTGTAGATCATCTCTAGATGCAATAATGTACTTTCCTTCTAGAATTTGTAAGGTGGCGGTGCGGGAGATCTTCAGGATTACAATGCTTAGGAAGAGATAAACTCTACACCGCCGCATCATGGTCCTAGTGTTCAATTAGGTTCTGTTTAATGAATAATATTTTCGCCAGGCGGATCGAACCGATAATGGCAATAGAGAATAATAAAGTTCGAGATTTGATCAATTAGTGGCTTCGCGATGCCACTACACAAGAAGCTGACGGCAATCAGAATATGATATTCCCAAGATCTTAAGAGCTACGTCTAGAATTGGCCATGGGATCCATAAAGCTCGCCATATCTGGAGATATGTTGGATATCGAACTGGGCTTACCGAAACCATAAAGGACTGCGATCTCGATGAGAGCAGTATCGTTCCTTAGTTCCAACGGTAAAGCTAGTGCCATTTTAAAATGGACCTTGCGGCAGCAGCCAACTGTTGTAATTATATTCTTGGAATGCGTTGGACTATCGACGCAAACGGAAGTCTTTCAATAAATCCAAGTTAATCCAGACCCTGAATTACCATTCTTAGGAGTAGAGTTACTGTATATGGTATTCAGGTTGGTAACGAAACATGAACGAGGCCAGACGTCTCAGTTACTGCTACGAATCATTGCTCGCGAGACACTTCGAGCACAAGCGAGGGCCATCTCACACACACACTTTGCCTCTTCAATTTTAGGTTCAAAGCAGCAATTGTAAACCGTTTTCAGGGCCCGTGATATTGAAAACGGCGAACTTTAAACGTGTAACTTCAGTAGGGCTATAGTTTCTTGAACTTACCGAAGTCTTGGTTCGTTCCCCTGAGAGTTGGATGAATGGCGAGATCCCATAACAAAGCCTGCGCAGGTAGACGCCATAGACAGGAGGAGACCATACAGATTCTATATTTTCTATTCAAAGAAACTTCGCGGCTCACGAGTTCAGTAAAGTTCGAGTCAAGATCAGGCAAACTCGCAGCCTCTTCTACACCTTAATTTGAATCTCCTGTACTACCTATTTAATATTCCTGTCGTGGGTGGTATCAATGTTAGACAGTTGAAGTATGTGTATATATAACAGTAAAGAACTCCCTCTGTTGCCCTTTTCAAAATCCATCTTTCGATCGCCGCATCTACCCCCCGTTTGCGGATAGCTCAATATTAATAACGGTAGCATTGATCAACGCACTGATCTGCCATATTGAGAACTTCTCTCTCCTTCCTCTTCACATTCTTTTCCTTCTAGTATTATTGTTAGTCTACTGCTCCACAAACAGTGCTGAGCAAATTTCAAGGTTTTAAAGATGCATCTTATCGGCAGAAGAGCTTCATTACTTTCCATCCTAGCCGCCTCAGAGTTTATGCTCTTTGGTGCTCCAGGAGCAATGGCAGCACCGATTACTCCCGGGATGGAGCCAATTATCGAAGAATCCACATCTAATATGACCGGCACAGTCTCAGGGGGCTCCGAACTCGTGGAAAGGGCAGCAAAAAGCTGGTGGGTTCCCACGCAGGCTACGACATGGCAGATTCAACTTTCTGGGACGATTAATCAGGATGTCGCTGTTGATGCTATCGAAATTGATGCCGATACCGACAAGGCTACTGTTAAGGCCTTGAAAGCCAAGGGTATGAAGGTCATTGCATACCTTTCCGCCGGCTCGTGGGAAGATTGGAGGTCAGACGCTGGCAGTTTTCCGGAAAGCATTCGCGGTAAAGATCTAGACGGTTGGCCTGGTGAAAAATGGCTTGATATACGCCAAATTTCTACCTTGAGGAAGTTGATGAAAAAGAGAGTCTTGAAGGCCAAAGCTAAGGGTTTTGACGGTGTCGATTGGGATAATGTTGATGGATATACCCAAAATTCTGGATTTAAAATCACCAAGTCCCACCAACTCGCCTACAATAAGATGTTGGCGGACATCAGCCACAGCTTGAAGATGACGGTTGCTTTGAAGAACGACCTCGACCAGGCCAAAGTGCTCGCTCGTTACTTCGACTATGCTGTCAATGAACAGTGCAGTTACTACAACGAGTGTAATTTACTGGAGCCATTCCTATCGACCGGCAAGGCAGTCGTTGGATTGGAATATCCAGGCGAAGGCGACGATACCCGTTCACAAGCTCAGGTCATTGCTGCTACCGACCCCAGAACTTATACGCTCATCAAGAAACTGGACCTTGGAGATTGGGGGTTCTCAGTTCAGCAAAATGCAGAAATTACTAGCAGTACTAGTTCCGAGAAAAAGTCATCGTCGAAGACGACCATCACGAAAGCGGCGGAGCTGAAGGCAGCTATTCAAAAGGCAAGGGAGGCTGCAAAACCAGGCCCCGAAGAATAATTTGGAGGACCTATCCTCTTTTCACCGCACGTTCATTTCATAATTTATTTTATCGGCATTTTGGTTCGCAAGTTTTACATTCTTGTCACTCATTTTAATTTTCTGGATTAAATTAACAAAAGCTGGAGCACGACTTTTAATCTGGGGTCTGCCTTAATATTGTAGTTGGCATCTATTGGAGCGTCCCTGTCTCATTAATGTTCTTAGTTCAGATTTATATAGTCGCATATAAAAACCTAAATGAATCCCTACCTACTAAAAGTCTCTACCGCTATTAAATCTCCCAACGGGCTTATTGAATACGACGAAATGTGGTAAAATATGCGTTGCCCAAAATACAGCTACCCAGTTAAGTTCCGCGAACATCCCTAGCTGGTCCAATTTTGAGAAGTCTTGGTACTAGATCTTGCGGGCAAAAGTACCTAAACCCGATGTAGTTTACAATATCGAAATCTAGAGCTACGCGGGGAATGAGTCGAGCACACGTGTGTTGCTGACAGGAATTACGAATGGCCGGAGGCGGATACCAAAATTAGTCCGCTTAAGCCCCGTTACCTCCGGTTTAATTCCCCCAGACCCGATTCAAAATCCCTTTTAAGTCGCAAACCGCGATTGAATCTCTTGCCGGCTTACTCAGGACCCCTCAGCAAATATTGCTACTGATAATTCGACAGCTACTGACAGCTAAAACATACGAGTCCGATTCATGGTTGGGAGACGGTTTTTCCACGCATTCAAGTCCTGCTTCAAAAGTTCGCGAACAGTCAGAATGGCAACGAGCGCTGGTATCTTGGTATCAGCCAAACCTGGGCTGCCCGCGCCCGAGGACGCTAAGGAGAAGAAGCACCATTTGGCAAATGGAAGGTACTAACGGTTTCCTCCCCGCATTACCAAATAGACCTACTGATCAACGTTGATAGATTCGCAAACCCTTGGCCTTCGTGGCACGATATTGACCGGGTTGCAGTTGGAAAATGGGCTATCTCGTATGCATACCCTTTTCTTATCTCTTTCCCTTCTTTTTTTTTTTTTTTTTTTTTTTTTTTTTGGGGGGGGGGTAACCCGAGTTCGCAAATTGATACTTATATTATATTAGGGGTTTCTTGGGAGGCCAGTGGCCGAAGGTAGAACCTGGAATGGTCTCTGTTGTAAAGCCACAATTCGAAGAGAGTAGGACAGACATAAAAGATTTAAGGGCTACTTGGTTGGGTCATGCTTGTTTCCTGGTAAGTATCTTGCTTAAACCTAGTTCTGATTGCCGTTGTGATTGGAGTGCTGCATGCTGGAAGCTGCTCGGTACTGTGGTTGTTCTAAAAGTCACGGAGCATCAAGCAAATGCGTATTATACGCACATATGCACAAAGTAACCGCGCATTCGCTAAACTTTCTTGTCTTAAATTATACAGGTAGAATTTCCAGGAGGGTTCCGAGCTCTCTTCGACCCTGTATTTTGTCAGAGGTTTGTGCAACCTTTCGTTTCTTGTGCTACTATCAAACTATAAATTCAAACATGGAGTTCTAATATATCGCGACGGATATCGCGTTGCATTGGAACTATAGATGCTCGCCAGTTCAATTTATGGGCCCTGCAAGATATACCAAGGTTCCATGCGAGATCGAGGATATGCCGATCGTAGATGCTGTTATTATCAGCCATGCACATTACGATCATCTTGATGTGTAAGTCAGCAAGGCGAGCAATGAACACCGAAGTCAGAACAGTTTTCAACTAATATAACATCATTCGAAGCACATCTGTAAAACGAATCCACGCCAAGTTTCCCAATGCCCACTTTTTCGTACCTCTCGGCAATCATAAGTGGTTCAAGAGCCTCGGGATCGATAACTGCACTGAGCAAGACTGGTGGCAAGATACGGAAATAAACATCGAGGTGAAGGCGAAGGAAACAGCTACAGACGGTGAAACCACATCGTCTGTGAGTGCGACGATATCAAACTTTCCTTGCCAGCATACTGCTGGCAGGACGCTGACGGTACGACTTGTGCTGCCCCTCTTGTTTCGGGTTTTATAGATTTGGGCATGTGCCCCGCGACTGACGTAGTATGAAACCTTAGGATCTAAACTCGACGTTGTGGAGCAGTTGGGGTGTAACAAGCGGAGGGAAGAGTGTCTTTTTTGCTGGGTACGTAAGATAGATGCTATATGCATGACCAATTGTCCTTGGTTTGTAAATTTCAGATAGTTGGCCATCTGGTTCTAACGGCTTGTGCAGCGACACTGGATATCGTGCGGTTCCACAGGTTGCTGAAGGTGAAGACGACTATGGCGAAAAATACCAGGATCTCCCCCATTGTAAGTGGTCTTTAATGCAGTGTGCTGCCTGTCTCGATCTAGGAAACGGAAGTGATCGCCTAACACGAATTCCTCCAGGTCCCGCGTTCAAGCAAATTGGTGATTTGAGGGGTCCCTTCGTAAGTCATAGGCTCTTCACGTAGTACTACCGGTGATCTTACTAACAATATCGTGACCTTAGGACTTGGGAATGATACCCATTGGCGGTATGCAACTCTCGTCACAACTTTGTGAAAACATCTGTGAATAAATTTTACTAATACTGCTTATCCGATTACAGCATATAGTCCAAGGCATTTCATGAGCCCAATGCATGGTACGAGAGACACAACTATTTGTGGAATGATATCATAGTGCAAGGCTAACAACCCCGCCATAGCAAATCCATACGATTCCGTAAATATATTCGTTGACACCAAGTGCAAGAAGGCGCTCGGGATGCATTGGGGAACCTGGGTGCTTACGAATGAGCCTATCCTCGAACCACCAGAGAAGCTGCGAGACGTAAGTTCCCACATCACCATTACACAAATCGTCCCTCCGCTGATTGTTGTTTTATCATCCAGGCCTTAAAATGGAAAGGTATTCCTGAAGTTGGTATATTTGATGTCGTGGCAACAGGAGAGAGCAGAGTTTTTACCGATGAAGCTTAAAACATAGTTAGATATCTAGTGTCTAAATTTTGATATCTGAGACAGAGTAATACAGGGCACGGCGTCTAAGGGGCAGTGAATATTTTCGGGTTTCTTGATTCATCATAGCTTAGATTGTTGTAATTTCAAAGGCTTCACATCGTATCCGTATAATTCGATATAATTCATCTTTCCTTTGCCACCATCCATCAACTAATGAGATCTTCGGTACTTCGGATAGACAACCTGCAACTGTTTAATTAACCGCGCCACGCTGATAAAAACTTTTGGATTTGACAGCGCACCAACTTCGCCATCTGACTCAAGAGTCAGCACCGACTTTTATATTTCCTGTTGCGCTTTTGAGCCTCTTCATGCACGACATCCATCTTCTCAGGCCGGCCTTAGCTCCCTGCTTCCTCCAATCGTATTCCACCGGCTCAATTGAGTTCGAGTAAACATTCTTCTAAACAAAGAATAGCGCCCGTGTTTACTTTCTGGGAAGCTAAAGCAAGACCGACTGCTTTTTCTGACAAGGCAAGGTCAAAAAAACGTGGTGCTGGTGAAGGTGCATGCAGGGTGGAGCTATAAATACTAACGCCCAATCATGTGCCAACAGGAGGAGATTCTGCGATCCAGTTGGAATTGCAGTCTACCCACCGTAGCGCACCGCCCTTTTTCTCGCAGGAATTTTATGAGCGATGAGCCAATAGGCAAGGGAAAGAAGATATGCAGGTCACGGCTTGTTATTGATTTTCCCCATTCTCATGCTGACGTCGAAGGTCCCGTGAAACTGGGGCGGCGGCAGACTTAGCTTTAGATTTCCGCTGTTGTGCAGGAAAGCCTTTAAGCTTTTTCTTCTTCTTCTTCTTCACGATATCGTTATAGTTATAGTTATAGTTATAGTTATACCATCCGATGGTGTTGTGGCTTGTTAGGATCTGAAATGCAACAAATGCGGGTTATCGACTTTCACGTGTGTTTGTAGCTCCATGAATTTGCCGTTAACGTTGGAGTTCGACGCCCCTGCTCGTATTGTTGAGATCTTGGGCCCAGGATAAAATCCTTAGATTTCGAGCCGTTCGCCTCCCGGCGTCTTGATACCGGTGATCACACGGCAGGGGATGGGGAAGAGTTTTCTTTTCTTTTCGTTCTTCTCCGCCCGGCTTGACATGAAATCTTATTGCATTGTTCCGATGAGATAGAGAAGTGTTTCAGACTGGAATTTCACGGACAGGCGGCGAGGGAACTTCTTCGTTGTTCCGTAAAGACACATGGTCTTCCCCGTGAACCTGGAATGACAAGACCAGATCTTCGTCCTGGTGTTTTTCCTTTTTCCTCGTTCTCAACGTTAATGTGCAACGATAGGAAGAGATTAGCCCGTGAATTTTAGGTAAAGCTCTACCCAGTTTTATGCATAAACGGGAAGGGAAATACCTTTCGACTGGAAAAAGGAAAAAAAGTTAAGACGAAAATTTTTTTTGTTCGTCAACTGTATCTGTTCTCCCAATATCTTCTGTTAGATACTTTCGGAACCTTCGACAGAGCAAATACGTCACAATGCTTTTTACTACGGTTCGGTATGGTCGTATTCGAATATTTTCGAGCCGTCTCCACCAGGCGGTTTTTGTCCGAACCGATTACAAGTAAGTAATCAAAGACGGCACAGCTAGCTCTATATCAGCCCTTTCGGTAATATTGTAGATAGATGTATTGTTAATCGTTATCAAATCTCCTAGATTGAAGCTTACATCCTATAGCTATAGCTAAAAGGTTATTGTACGAGCCCGAATGGTCATCTGCATACATACATTTCACTGCAATGCACTGAAAAGAGGAAATCGATGAGATGCGAGGCCCGACCCCTTCAGAGGTTCCCAAGATTATGTATCACTTCTCCATTCCCTTCTCTCTCTCTTTTTTCCTCAATAAAAGCTATTTCAGGTTAATGCAGGACAGAGGTACGTCTAAGGGCGGTGTATTTTTCCCAGACAAACCCGAGCAGGGTTGGATGGGTACTAAAGGAAAAAAAGAGCAGAACCAGCCCGGAGAACCAAACAAACCTCGCATATAGCAAAAAGATTGTACCGTCGACGAAAGTGAAATACGAAAAAATCACTCGTCGGCTGGGATCAGGGAGTCATACTTGCATGCAGTTCTCAAATCCTCGTCGACGGTGATTGGATAGATTTGCCCACCTGCAAGCAAAAAGCAACAAGGGAGGGGTGGAAGGGAACATGATGAGCTTCTCTTCCCTTCTTATGCCTTCCCTCTTTGCACCGTGCCAATCTTTTTAATTTATTTTTTTCCCAGAGCTTTTCTTGATGCTATTGCCTGAAGAATTTTTCCCTTCTGCCATAGCCGAAGTTGAAGGGGAAAGAAAAGGTTGGGCAGGTATCTCCCACGTCGTCATGTTGGGGAAGTGTACAAGTAACATTCTTGAGATTAAAAAAAAATACAAATTCCTTCTGAACACCGGGAAGTTTTTTTTTGATTATTTTATTTTTTATTCTTCCCCTCCAGGTGTTTCAGAATTCAAGCTCCATGGCTACTTCTCTTGCTCCTGATGATTGCATGAGTTGTCCCCCTCCGTCTGGTGGTGATGTCGTGTGAAGTCCGCCTGTATGCGTAATGTCGATGAGATGTCCAGCGCATTTTAAATCTTCTCGACAGAGTGTATGCTGGAAAATATCGGATTGGACTGGAGAAAGAAAGGCAGAGAAAGGAAAAAAAAAAAAAAAAAGAACGGTGGGCTAGCTAGCGGGCGGACATGGAGTACACTTTCCTTTTTCCTAAGCCGTTCTGAAACGATAGACAATTTTCCCACCTCCCTTGCCTCATAAACCCACATGTACAGTACTTCCCGGGAGGCAGTTGACCTGGACCCGGCCAAAATAACACTAAGATAGAAGAATGTCATGCTCTTGAAATTGAAATTTTTTTGTATTTTTATTTTTATTTTTTTTGGTACTGCTAGTGACCCTAAAAATTCAATCCAGACACTCTAACATTTCCCAAACCACCAGACTAACAATATTACCGACGTTAACTGTAAATCATTCCATACTTTTCCTCCGTATCACCATATCCGACATTTTCACGATTATCTTTTGCCGCCGCTTTGGAATTTGCTAGTGTATACGGCTATCCTATATCATATTATCTATTCTTCAAAAAAATAAAAAGTACAAAAATCAGCCTGGCCGCAGACGTACCCCGAGTTCAAGGATCAGGACATCGCCGACCGAACAGTACAGACAGCCCTCATAGAGATCCTTCGACGACGTCCAGTTCGATCTAAACTTGCGAAACGTTCAACCATCGGGATAGGGCTAGGAAGCACGACGTAATCTGTTTGTCAGCCTGATTTCCAACTGCGAGAACCGACCGTCGACGTCGAGCTGCAATCATCCGAGTATGTTTTCAAGATTCACATAATCGTCTTCTACAGTTTCTCTGAGGTTCCACCGCTTCAGCTTGTGGGCTTGACCGCATCGCCGCGGTCGTGGGGGAAAAAGGTGTGCAAGCAATCACAAAGGCACAACAGGGCGAAGAATTACACCGCGAATAGCGTTTCGGACAGACAGCCTGGTGGTGCTCCTTATGTTTCTCAACAGAAGACATACTGGCGCCTACTACCAGACTCTGTCAGCACGGTCCTTGTCCTTTGCTCCGAAGGTCGTCGTCGTTTTCGTCGGTTGTTGCCCTTCTGTTCGCCTAGGACCGTCATTTCCTTTCCAGTCCCTTTCCCCATCCCATCCCGCCCCCAATTCTCCCCTCCACAAACCTCACCTTCCCGACCTGAATTCACGTTTTTGAGAATTATGCTTTCTATGCACAATCCTTAATATTTTCAGAACTGCTCTATCTGGCTCTTCGCTCAGGCCGGGATCTTTTTTCTTTTCTTTTCAGTGTTTTCGTTTATTTTATTTTATTTTTGCCTATCTGATCCCTGGTGACTTGCCACTAACTTGTATCGTCTTTTCTTTTTCCCCATTGTTTCTATTCCTGTTCAGAGATACAGTTTTTTTTCCACTTCGCTTGCTTAGCTCCCGCTCACCCTGATAACCACCCGCCACCCATTTCCCCCCCAAGAATCACTGTTCCCGCCCACGAAAATAGAAGCTCGTGCTGAGACATTGCGAAATACGGTAGTGATTGTAGACAGTATCGGAGTAACTGCCAGGAACATACGCGTAGCGCGGTTTGTATAAACCGGAACCCAAGGAAATCGTCCACTCAGGAAGGGTCGCGTCTATCTTCAAAGAAGAGACCGGACCCGACTTTTATATTACAATCGATACACAACTCTTCTATCTCCGAAATCCTGATAACTCTTAATCCATAACCGGCCTCGCGATGGCCGGAGCCGTCGAGTGGTCTCGAAATGCCGCGGATGCGGATTCCGAGCAATTCGCGGTCGAGGCACAACTAAGGTTCAGCCAGCAATCGGATCCCGATGGCTTGCTTAAGGTGCCCCGGCACTACATCCCGGTCTTCGTCCTTCACATGTTCTGCAAGTCGGAACGGTCTAGGCCATTCGTATTACCAGACTCGGAACGGGTAGCAAAGATAAAGGCTCAGCTAACTGCTCAACGAAAGTTGACCTCTACATGCCCAAGCTGGCAGTTGGTTTCCAAAGGAAACGAAATTCTGGACGACGAGACATTCATCATCTTCGATACTCGATCCAAACGATTCGATAAACGCCACTGGTCAGAATGTTTCAAATACGACGAACCCTATCAGAAATTCTTCGAAAAGTTTACCATGAAGGAGTTCACAAGGGAAGGGTGGAAGTTTCAAAAGTTCGAAAAGCTTCAGAGGGTTGATCAGGGAATCATGACTGGCATGTGGACGAATGCCTATAAAGTCTACGATGCCATGGATGCTAGGCGGCAGGAATCCTCAGATATCATTAGGCTCAAGAGAAGCGATGTCTGGGATTTCCGTAAATATCTGTTTCTCATGACATTTCTGAGGAACAGGGACCGAAATACTCACTTGCTGCAAACATCTGAAGCTATGGGCGAAGCAAAGGAGAAAAGAACTGCTTTCATGGCTGTTCATAATCTCAACCATCCAAGAGATTTATGGCTCCACAACGCTGCTGTTATCCTCGACACACCCCACCATCAGATCAGTTACAATAAGTTTCTTTTCGACCTTGACCAGGAGGATTATCGTACGAATGCCCGTGAACGCTTCATGGTATTCTGGGAAGCCGGTCCGAACGACGAGTTCATACTTACCGATAACAGCTTTGGCGGAATGGAAATCGGACGTCTGGAAGCTAAGCATACCATGCCCAAGAGACTCAAGCCCTCGGATCTTCAGAAGCGGTTGTACAGCAGAGACTACATGTGGCATCAGATCTTTGTGTTGTCACCCAAACTTGCTGTTGCATTGTGTCACGGCACAATGATCAACCAGTCGCTGGCCCACCAACACCGAGATCGATATGGTCTACGGCCTTCTCTGCTTGATAGGTTACCACATCCCCTCCCACAAAGTTATTACAAGGACATGCACCTTAAGGAATGCAAGTTCCTCAAGCCAGAATGGAAGATACCAGATGAAGTTGAGGACCTCTTTGGAAGACCAGCCGATAAGGGCAAATTCGTCGCCAACCTCGATGCAAAAGCCAATAGCGATCTCGAGTTTATGGTTTCTACTCTTTCTTCCGCACAAGTTGCACTCGTCAATATGGTCCTGCTCCAAAACCAAAGCATCTCCACCGCCGTGGATAAAGTTGTTTACAGGAACCCCGCCGCCCTCTACCGAGCTATCGAGGAGTATGGCAAGCACGACTGGCCTATCTTTATGGACGAGAAGCAACACAGCTACAAGTCTCTGAAGAAGAAAATCTACAACCAGTTCAATAAGCCAGGCAGTGGTAATGAGTCTTCCAGATCCAGCTCTGGTTCCTCCGACCAGGGTACGAGGTCATCCGGGTCTTCGTCTACTAGAAGATCAGAAAAGAAGGTTGTCTTTGAGGAACGGAAGAAACCCACACCAGAGCCACCAAAACCAACCAAGAAGCCAGAGAGTGCCAACCCTTTCATGTCTGATTCTGAATCAAGTGATGATGATGATGATGACCTTGCATTCCCGTCCTCTACTCATGAGCCTGTCCTTCGTTCGCGTTCCCCGTCTCCTATCCGCAGAACAGAGTCCCCAGTCAAGAAGCAAGAACCAGTAGCTCCTCCAAAACCAGCAGAGATCAAGATTGAGATCGAGCCGGTTAAGCCTACTCTTGCAGCTGTTACCCCACCCGTGACTTCAGAATATCCCAGTCAGAGAGCAACACCTTCTCCAAGGCCGACACCTTCCCCAGAACCGCCAAAGTCGGTGCCGCCGCCGCCGCAACCACCAACCGCAGCAGTCGAAGCTGCCGCTGAGAAGGCTATCGCTGAAAAGTTGGAGAAAGTCAAGGCTGAAGAGCTCGAACGATTTGAGAAGGAAATGGCAGAGAAGGAGAGAGCACTCGAAGAAGAAATGGCGCAAAAGGAAAGGATACTTATGAAGGAGACAGAGGCAATTGAGAAGCTTCGCAGGGAGAGGCTTCAGTTGGAGGCAGAAATTGAACAGAAACGGAGAGATGAGCTCGAGGCTGTCCGTATGCAAAGGCAGAAATCGGAACGCTCAGGTAGGCCCGATGAGAGGGGCGATGACCGAATCCGCGCTGCTAGCACCAAATCAGCTGAGACTAGACGGCGTCCTCGATCCAAGGACCGTGCCGAAGCTGAACTAGTGGATGTTGGCAAACAGCTTGCTCTCTTGGAGGTGGAACGAGAGAAGATGAGGAAAGAGAAGCTAGAGTTGGAAGAAATGCAACACCGAAGGCGAAGGGAAGAGGAGAAGGAGAATCAAAAGAAGTTCGATCGTATGGCAAAAGACTTGGCGATGCTCCAGAGACAACTTGAGGTCTACGAAACGCAGCTTGAGGAGGAACGACACGAGAAAGAGATGGTTAGGCGAATGGCGGCTCAGCAGAAAGAAAAGGCGGATGCCCTCACTCGACAGACCCGAGAACTCCTTGAAGCCCAGGAACGTGATCAGACAAGGGCAGAGGTTGAGCGTGCCGCCCGTGTCGAAAAGGATCGCCTTGAAAAGGTCGAGAAGGACAAGCGCGAACTCGAGAAAGCCAAGGAGAGAGAACAGAAGAAACGCCAAGAGAGGGAACGAATCATGAATGAGAAGGCTGAGCAGGAACGCCTGCAGCGTGAACGGGACATGCAACTGGAGAGGGAGCGGGAAGCCGAGCGTGCTAAACGTCACCGAGAACGAGAACAAGAAAAGGCGGTGCGAGCCAAAAATCGCCAGAGCCGTTACGAGGCGCACGAGAGGGGTTCCGACTTGAGCGACGAGGTTGATCCGCAGGCTCTTTTCCGAAAAAATCGTATGATACTTGGTGCTCTATCTCCCACCTCTGACCCTGGAATGCATTTGCAGTACAATGAAATGACGCCGCCTTCATCGAGTCATTCCCACCCCGACCAATTCGACGACCGCCGTTTCGAGCGTGAGATGAGGTCCCAGTCCCCACCTGGTTACCAATACCCTCCTTCTCCCAGGCGAGTCGAAACCTCTCCTGTACCATTGACCACAAATCATCGACGTGGGACCCAACCAAAGCTCCTTGCCCTTGAATACGAATCTCCACCATCATCCGGTTTTCAGACTAGCCCTGATTCTCCTAACCCGCCTCTTGATCTCGCTTTGTACGCCCCTCCTAAGGAAAAAGCGAGCCGTCGAAAGGCTGATCCTCGAGATCGTGATACAAATCGGGACATGCATCCACATGCACATGGAAGAGCTCCGCAGCCGCAAGTTCGACGATTCGAACCTCCAGCGCCACTTCCTAACTTCAACGACCTTGATCGTAGGATGAGTAAAATCCCGACCCACCTACCGGATTATGCCACCATTCACAACGGCGATCGCTACCCAGAAGATGAGTATGATGAAGAGGACTACGGCAATGGGTATGGCGATGCCATGGTGAGATTTGACCGTACACCCAAGAAGAGGTTACAGATTGAGCCGCCTCCAGCCATCAAACCACAATACCAGACCCGACAAAAACCTCCTCCCAGAGCTCTTCCACCTCCCGACTATCGCAACGGCCGATAGGTTAGTTGGTGCTTGCATTGTCGGATCACCCGACATAAATTATGCATCTTATCCTTCTCGCTTTATTTTTCTCTTTCACTTCATTATAGATTTCGATTATTGGTTCTCTTCTTTGCATAAATAGATTTTCACCCTTTCCCTTGCATCCGGATATTCTGTTACACAAGCGTTTGTTTTCTTTTGCCCCCCTTTTCAACATACCCATTTGGTTATTCGTTGTTGGATGTTTGGTATTCTGTTTTCTGTATCATTCATGACCCTAATGACCCTCCATCACCGCTTTCCCTCCCTCTTTTTAATTGTTAGTTTTATATCATTGTTAGTTATAGTTTATATTGATATGTCAGTGCGCATTATACCTATTTGCCTTTTCCTCACGAATCATGTCATCGGCTTGCATTTACTGGATCGATAAACGGGCACTTCTTTTTTTTTTCGTTCTACCGGCATGAAAAACAAAAACACAATAATGTTCAAAAGTATCTATACGGGTTTTCCTTTTCTATTTGTTTACTGTATCCAGGAAAAGCAAGGCGAATCGTTTATTGAAAAAAATGTTGATTTTGGATCCTGTACTCCCTTTTCTTTCTTCCTGATATCCGATATCCCTTGCTGTGTTCGATAAAGATATACCTCAGCTCATGTGTTTTCGAAAGTGATACTCCCATCTTTCCCGGTTTTGGTCAATATACCACTTGTTTTGTTTGGGGTTTAGTGTTTATTATTTTATGCCATCCTGTCTGATATATATTTATACCAATCACAAACTATTTCGTCCCGTTTTTATATCATATCTCTGTTATTCATGATCTTTGATTCGAGCATACCGCAAGCTGTATTCTGGCCTACCTTCGGCAAAAAATGTTCTACACATGCACACCTCTCGCACTTGATCAAGTTATACGTTATTTGGACTCCTGGATGTTCTCTTTCCAGATGACAAGTTTAAAACGCCCAATTTTTTTTTTTACCGCTGGAACGACTTTACCATCTTGATCCCTTGCATTATCACCAAATCATCACTAAGCAGATCCCGGCCTCACTAGCTCCTTAACGATGCACCCGGAATCAATCCCGAGGAGGTGTTTCAAACAAGGATTTTATGTAGGTTCCTTGCTTTTCGCCTATCGGTTTCGTGCGAGCTGTACACTTCCTACAAGGCAAGACTATCTCCTTGGTCCGACAGCGTCGGCCCGTGAACCTGTTTCCTCCTTCCTGACCTTGCCGATTCCAAGAATATACTACAGATTGGCAAGATCTACCGGCATCGGTATTACTTTTTCATGCATAGTATACACATTATTTTTGTTTTTTTTCTTCTTTTGCTTCCGTTCCGATAGAGCGCCAAAATAAAAAAAAAGCGTTTTGAAGCAATTAATTTGTATTTTTCGTTTCGTGCCCTCCTATCCATATGTATGTATTTTTGAAATCCCTCCCTTTCGATGTAACTCTACTTGTGAAATTTGTAATTGCGCTTTCAAGATTATGATCGGACTCGAGAATTGCGAATTTTTTGTTATTTAGGAAAAGATATTCAAGTCAATTGATCAAAAAAAATGTATTTATAAGTCCCCGTTTAAAGCACAGTGACCTATATATCCGAAGCTAGGTTAGGAATTCCGGATTAATAGCTACCTTCTACATAGTACACCTGAAAATCGTTTCCGGATCCTTCTCCGATTCCTTTAATTTCGGGAAACGTTACGGGACCAGGCGAACTCGATTTTTCTGGTCCCTTTCCCTCAAAAGATTCGTTGCACTAGCTCATTCGGGGTTCAGTGCTGGTTCTTCATAGGCAAAAGATGATGCTTGTCATATGGTTGTGCATATTATCTCTGTATACTGCCTATTGTTGGATCAAACGCCAATGGCGATAGTCTGATAGCGACTAACTACGCAGGGCCCTCTTGGCACAAGAAGGTTAAGTGGGGGCTGGACCCCCCGGTCGAAGCTAGATCCCACGACAGTCTATCACGGGCTCAGGAACTTCAATCCGGATATATCCCTTGAGCATGAGGTATTTGCTAGAAACAGCGCCAAGATGTGCAGCAGCTCTCTCTCTCTGTGCTTGAGCACGCAGCTTTTTCCATGAAGCCGGACAAAACCTACTGCGGGTTGAAAATTTGGCGTTACACAAGTTTCTCCCACTGAGCGGTAAGTGAAATAGATAAAAATTTGAACCTCAGCACAAGGTCCATGATCACCCATTGTAGTCTGGGGCACCCACTGGTTGGTTATAACGAACGGTATGTAACTAGCGCAAGCAGGACCCGCCTAGGCCTCTAGTAGCTAAACTTGTTCGAGATGTGACGAGGGGTAAATCCAACATCTGTTATTCCCTTTGTTTCAATCAAGCGATGTGTGGCAGAAAAACCGATAGGGTTCCTCGATTCCAACAGATCGCCCGTCTTTGTATCCCGCCGTTAAACAGAGATACTAGAATATTACATGACAGACAGTAAATGGGGAAAAAGAATTGTGACCCCGAAAAGCAAGGTGTGATAGAAGAAAAAAAACCCGTTTCGTCTCCGTACGTTGGGTACATGTAGTATTTTGGACAGTAATCTCGGGTTTGTGCGCAAGTGCTGCTGAACACACCCAACCGTCGCCTTGATCAGGTGGGGGACTCGAGTCAACAGATATATGCAAAGGGGGAGAAAACCGTTCTCGTTTGCATTTCCGTGTCCCAGCGGCGAGGACGGCGTTTCCTGTCGTATTTCGCGGACAACTAGGAGCAGGCGACGCTAATCGCCCCTTGCTTTGAATTTTACCCCATATGACCATGCATCGGCTAGTCAGTATGTAAGGAATATCAGATTTCCGTGTGAATATAGAGCATGTGCGGCAACAAGCCAGAGTCCATGTGTACTAGTATACTGTGCCAGAAAAAAAAGTGGATTATAATCAAGCTGTATCCCTTGGTTGGTCCCTTACTTTTGTTTTGCTAGCTGTCTAGTTTTTTCTAAGACATCCTGACTGGCAACCTTCTGGATCCCTTTCTCCGTCACATTAATCTTCTCAGCTCCCATTACCTTTTTTTTTTTTTTTCATCAAAAAATAATTCAAGCGTTGTCACAATGTCGCAATTGTTACTCAAAGGGAAGGCAGACGTTGAAGTACTTGCCCTCATTTTCCCCCTCTAAACATAAGGGTATAGTCCAACGTTAACGGTGGAAGATGACAGAAGCAAATATATTCTCTACTTGGTTACTGTTCCACCCTCATCGGCCGCGGTTCAACTCGTCACAACAGGGAACAGCTCAGATCATTGTCATTTATGGGGTTCGGGGTATCAGCTGCCCTCTCATGTGCCTCGCACACAAAGAAAAGAAATATACAAACTTTCCCGGACTTAATAGCTATTTTTGCTTTCAGATACTGAGAGTCTTACCTTATAGTCGGGCTATCTACAAGGAGACCTTCCAGGACTGGCTGGCGATATCTTTCTCATTCAATGGGATTTTGATAGTAACCACAGATTCGGGAATCTATAATTGCTCTTGACAATTACACCTTGAGGCACAGAATGAATAGGCTTTTCCTAAAAAGAAAATAATAGAAAGGAAGAAAAAAGAAAGAAGAGAAATAAGCAAAGAGCTAGAGAAAATGAAATTTGTTTTTTTTTCTCTCTCTTCCACATCCTCTTTCTTTTTTACAATTGGCTACTATCTGCAGCAGTATCACTACTTGAAGTCGAGTTCCGCAGTTATGAGACCAGTGTATTTGATTTTGAGAGATTGTGTCGCACAAATGGGTCCGGAGCCACATAGACTTACTGTCGAAGTTTTTAGTAAGTGAATTAATACTGGTTGTGTAGGATTATTTGTGGTGGGCATATGTGTGTGCCTCCTGGCTTCATAGCTCCGGTCGCTTTTGCCCGACAAAGCGAAGAGGAATCCAGACCACACTCTCTCCCCCCACAAAAAAGTATCTCTATGGTTGGTATCCCTTTCTAATAATGCAATGTTCAAGGGTCTACGACCCACCCACCACGTAAGTATACCTACCCCTCGGTATGTCAATGCGAGGGAGGGGCATTCTGGTGGGGCGAGCCAAAAAAAACTTTACTTGAAAAAGCAGTTTTTGAAAGCCTTCGGTATCAATCCCGGGGTCTGAGATCTTGAGGATGCTGGCAATCACGGCCTGATGCTCAAGCAATAGTCAACCAACCCTGGTTGTCAACCCGATGCACCTTACATTGATGGCTTGCTACACAATGTTCACTTACATAACTTGGACGAGCATATGCCCGATAACGTGTAGCGATTCATTCCCCCTTCCTTCTTGTATTGCGTGGGCGGCAAATCAGTGCAGTATCTATCACATAAATATCGATCTTGAGGTCCACAAGATCCAGTTCCAGCTCTGTGTTCCGATTAATAAAAATCCCGCGAGTCATAGAGAAGCTGTAAGCACCAATTTCAATTTACCAAAAAATCGACTTTGTGCTTCATTAAGGTCATTACTTTCTTTTCATCCGGTCATCGAATATAAATCCAAGCCGAAATAGCAAATATCATATTCCCAGAATCGATTCTTCGCATGCAAATATACCTACACGGAGGCTCTTATCCCGGGAACAAATCCGAATAATCGCTAGGGGGTCCGCCGTATCTCAACAATATCTTACTCGCTAGCCCAGGTGATTGCATGTTGGATTAAACCCATTACAGGCGCTATCTCTGTTCAGGACAGTTGAAACAATTTGTCAATATTGATATTGGGGCCTTAGACGGGTTTAGTACTGACGTATGTTAAAGTTTTCTTTGTTCATGCGTTGTTGCATGCGATCCCAGCGTAGCTGCTCGCAACATTCCCAACGAATAAGAGCGAATCTGGTGCAGATAACAGGTCCTGCACAGACTACAACTATGGCTTGGGGATCGGTTAGTAAGGTACAGATTCGCTAATGTTTCCTGTCTTAGATAGACTGTGCCCGCATTCTACTCGCAATTCAATTGCAAGTTAGAGGGTATCTGTAGTGCGGCACTGTTAGGATTTCTGGGTCGTAGTGTCATTTGTGCATGCAGTGCAATAGGCAGTGGCTGTCGATCTATTTTTCTGAATTGTGAAAGAGATTGGAATTGGAAGAAGATATCATCGATATGCCTTACAATCATTCAGCTGGCCCCTACTTCCTCCCGTCTCATCTTCTACCCGAATCTTTCCCAAGACCACCGAGCCAAAGATCCAAGGAAAAGAGGCTGTCATTCACTACAGGACTCGAGTTTCTAGCAACAGGACGCCCTGCATCAAGTCACCAGGGCAGGAAGGGCATAGACAGTCCAAACAAGCTAGCCAATAAACCAGATATCTCCAATAAGCTTCGGAAGTGTGCAAGCATGGAGGTCACCCAAGGAAATCAACGAAGGGCTCCCCGCCCAAGGATAAATACCACCATTAGAGCGAAGTCGTCATTCAGCGTTTCATCTCCTCAAGCTCCTATTACCTATATCCAAACACTTTCTTCACCCTCAGCGCTGTCTGCCTTTTGTTCTCACAAGATCCCCATCATGGAACAACCAATTGCCCCTAAACAGAAGAAGCCCCGAAGCTACGGTGCCTTCATACGCAAACTGCTCTCGTGTACCAAAAAAGGAACCCTTGAAAACCAGAACACCGTTACAAAGGCAGAAGTACAACCCCAAAAAGTAACCCCAGGGACTGGATCCGAGCTTCGAGACCTTCGGTTCTATCTTGGAAATGAATCTCTACGTATCTGCCGTCGATTGTGCCGTATCCAGGACGAAGATGAGAAAAGTCTTCATATCCTCTCTCCTCGCATTGGTTCTTTGAATTTCAACGTTCGCCAGTTCGACTCTGATGATGCATCTCATACTCTCCTTCTTCCAGCTACTGTCTTCGACAATGAAGCAGATGAGGCTGAGCAGGGCATGATGAATGTTTTCATGGAGAACTTCATCTCGATATTGCCATTTGGGACTGATAAAATCAGTCGCAAAGCAAACCCTTCTAGCCTCGTATTCAGGCTTCTACCTTCGCCAATTATCCAACCTGCTGCTAGGTACCTCGGTGCCGCCTTTTGGCTCTGGCTATGCGCAATTGATGGTAAGCTCAGCCGTGTTGGTGCTGTTGGATTTTGCTAACTATTGTGTTGCCTAGACCAAATAGAGGAGCTAGAGCAAAAGGACTTTGAAGAAGCCAGTAAGTAACTGAGATCCATATATCCTATAAAGGTACCCTACAGGCATGAAATATTTAGTTTAAGAGGTACTGACCTGTGACTGTAGTTGAGGAGATCAAAAGAGTATTCACCTCACAAGAGCCTTTGGACCCAGGCTCTCGCGTGACGCGAACCTCATTTGCACTCAGAGATCTTGTGCAACAAACAGAGTTGAAGTCCGCAAGTGCCCCGGAAACCGAAAACCAAGACACTTGGCGCTATAGCTTCCTCGAGGCCATCATGGAGATTCTCTATGCTTTTGAAGGAGAGCGTCCTCTTCTCAATCAGTTCAAGAAAGCAGACGACCATGTCAAGCTGACAGATTGGATGGTGCTCCGAGTTGTTACGATTTCAGGTGGGTGATAAAAAGTCTCGAAGGTTAGATGTTAGGAGAGAGAGAGAGAGAGAGAGAGAGCAAAAGCTAACAATTTTACATTGTACAGCTCGACCGTTCATGGTGTTGGCTCGTGCAAGTCTTGGACTGCAGCCCGGCCTCTCCCAAGCCGGTAATACCGCAAAGGGGATAAGTCAAGATGCTCCGACCCGTCGGGGCAGATCCGATAGCGCGAGGACTTTCACACCAGATCTTGAATGGGAGGAAGAAATTTCCCGACTAGAGGTTCTTGCCCAATGTGCGATGGGTTTGGAGAATGACATCTTAGGGTGGGAGAAAGATCATGCCGAGGGGAACATATTGAACTCAGTCGAGATACTTTTCCAGACCTATCAGCACCGCCAATCCGCAATGCGAGAGATGGTCCTGATTCACAACTACACAGTGAATCAGCTCTGCCTTCAAGCTGATATCCTGCTCCCGAAGTACTCTTCAGATAACTCGACCCCGCCTATCTCGCCTGCTCGTACTTTGTTCAATGTAAAGACTCCACGGTCCCCTTTCCCTTTATCGCCCACAGGGACTTTCATAAGTCCTATCGGGTCCCCGGCGGATACGGAACATACCAACAAATTCCTAGGGCTAATTAAAGGGAAAGTTAATAAGCCGGATCAAGGCGGGGAGTTGGCACCTCAAGCACAATACATCATGGTGCTCCTTGGGTTTGTCAAGGGAATGGCCATCTGGACTTCAAAAGCGAAGCGTTACGCTGTTTAACGAGACGATTGTACACCGCTGCGACGCGATCCCTTGTTTGTCCCAAGCTATGGTCGCAAATGGGAAGCGACTAGAGGGAAGTTGTGTGCATTGTTTCCCAGTTTTTTTTATTTTATTGTTTCTGTCTTTACCAGTTCTATTCCTTTGTTTTTCCTTTTAAGCAAGAGATTGTTTGTTTTGTGCAAGGGAGTTGCTCGACAGTGAGACTGCCCACAAGTACGATGCTTGTTTCAAAAACGGGGCCGCCAGTTTCCTCTCTTTGTCTTTTGTCGTTTCCTGAGCCGGAGTACTTTGGTTGGTTGGTCTTCACCATTCGTTCTTTTTTGTTTTTTGACAGTTGTGCTATTCTCTTGTCTAACATTCTGTGATAGAAGAGATCCCTATCCAGATGATCCCCTAGTGTGATTGATACCACGAGGAAAGAGAATACTGAGATCTCCTTTTTCGTATACAGTCTTTCCCAAGTATCATCTTTGCAAGCCAAATCTTCTTCGTGCTTTCTTGTTCTCCCTTTGCTAGGTTCTTTGCAACCAAGGTGGCCTGACTGGAGCGTTTTCGAGCGAGCGATGTTGATTTCCTTTAGCGCCTGAGTCAATCTAGTTTACAAAACTAGTTCTGTCATTTTCGAGAATATCTCTCAGGGTAACGAGATCTATGTGACGTAGGCAGCACGTGTTTTGGGTCGTCGATGTAATCGTGCATCATCAAGTTGGACGAATGACCCATTGAACCCCAATGGGTTCGTCGGCTATTATTATGATGATATCGATAGCATTGCGTAAGAAATAATGAACGAATTAATGTCTGACGGAAGCCGGAGATTCCCGCAGCCTTATCTTGAGGCGATGCATGTCATTATTGCATGCAGGAATAAGCCGCACCGAATTATGTAAAGGATTGACGTGACGTTGAGGCTATGTCGATGAGCATAACTGAAAGTGCTGAATGAAAAGTGGGATGGCAGACGAGAGGATCATCGATGAGTGTTTCCTCTTCGGAGCGTTACACACCGGTCCTAACCTCGGGTCAACACATTGAGCTCCAAAAAATACAACAAACAACCCGAGCTCCAATGGTTCGCTTCGAGAAGAAAGACTCATGGTAGAAGCCAATGGAAATGAGTAATGCATCTTTGGCGCCGCCTCGGAGTTTGTTGTTGAGAGGAAATAGAATCTATTAGAATCTAGAACGGTAGCAGTGTGTATACATACCACCTATGTGTCTATCGATGTGAGCTTCGGCAACTGGTGTGTTTTGGTTGCGAAGGAAAACACGGCTTGGAAGAACCAAAACAGATCAAATTTCCTTCTTGGGAAGTGAGGGAGGGGTAAAAATGCAGGGTCACGGCAGATCTTGGGAGCTCGTTACCATACCGGAAATGGGGGGAAATTAAATGGCGCGCGTCGCGTCATATTCCGTTCGGCACGAAGGAACGTGACTTCGTGTGGAGAATGTTTCCCAGCCTTGTGGAATATTTCTGCAGCGACTGAAGGAACGGTTCCGCAGAAAAACCCTCGTCGTGGACCAGAAATTGGGGAGGCTTGAGACAAGACTGGATGGAAACAGAAGCTCGGGAATATTTGCGTTGGAAAGGACGTTGAAGGATGAGTCAACACGACAACACATCACGGATTAGGCAAGGGTATGTCCGAACTGACCAATCAAATGACCGGGATCCCAACCACACCTCCTTTTTTAGCGTGCTCCTGCTTACTGCAATACACACGACACCACCGACGGCCCCGCTAACCCAGGCCCGATTCTTTGGATAGCCATCCCCACGCTAAGAATCGATCAGATGCTTTTTTCAGCATATTTTTGGAAGTTGTTGTTTTGATATTAGAAACCAGGAATCTTTTTATCGACTGCAACTGGAGATTAAGGAGGAGGCTTATACAGACGGCTCTGCGTTCGAAACGTCTCTCTGGCTGGCACCCTTTCTCTTGGGAATTTGCGAACCTCCGCGAGATCCTATGACTCACGTCATCACTCTCTCGAAAGTCTGGGCCGTTGGGGACACCTGCTGGCGCAACAGGCATCCGTTTCGTCACCGTATGGGGACCTCTTTCGTCCGCTATACGCAAACATCCGCGCAAACATGAGGGTTTGGCTGTCCTGTCCTCCAAGTACCAATATGCCATTGACCTTTCTCATTTCAACGTTCTGGAATCTGGTCAAATGATCTTGCTGGATCCTGTCGGCTAGATAGTAGGCAGTGAAGAAGGCCTTGGTCGCAAATAAGTCAAAATGCCCCGATTGGTACTATCCTCGAACCGCCTGAACCCGTGCTCATAGTCGCCTAAGGTCTTTTGATGGTTTCTAATACGAGTGTATTTTCAACCAGTAAGATAGGAGCGTGCAGGCCTGGCCATTTCCAACACGGGTCAGTCATACTCTTCGACCCCTTCTAGGATCTAACTATGTTAGATCTTTCATACGATTATTTATCCCATTGCTAGAAATGACTAACATTTTGTTGTTTTCGTCTGCTGCTATGTAGGAAGTCCTCTCTATACTTCGGCCATTCTTGCTATATTCTTTCGGTGTCATGAGTTTGTCGAGTATATGACTACCCTCGAATGAACTAAATAAATTGCCTGGTCGTCAGCCCGAGTTCGACGGTTTCGTTCCCAAATTCTAGCCTTGCTATTTGTCTCACTGTTCACCACTATTATCACCTCGCTACTACCCGCTCCCGCCTTCGGTGTGTCGGGCCACCCTTTTCGCCTTAGTTTTGCCCTTCTCGTTGGGCATCTCTTGCCATATCGCAGACCGGCTTGTTGAAGACAAAGCCACGCAATCACACTATTGCGCAGCCCATACAGAACCCCTCTGCAATTTTGTCGCACTTCTATAAAACTCCCTCAATCCCCAGGGTATCATCTAGCATAACCCATTGTTCTGCACCAGGCAGTGCTGCTTATTTAATCAAGCGATATTTTATTACAGGACTGAGATAGCAATTGCTATATATCCCTTGCTGTCGTCGTCTATTCGTCGAGGTTAAGCGACCTGTCCTGGACGGAACGGTAAGGCTTCTGCGTTTATAACCAATCCTTCGCACAGCCTTCTTCCCACGTTCCACCATACCCCAACAGACATTGTGTTGCTCGTGCTTGAGTAGCTACTGAATCCTAAATAGTTTCTATTAGATCCTACTCTCATCACCACCTTTTTCTCGCTATCACGAGCTACTTTTTTTCTTCTCTTACCTTATTATACTCTTTTGTCCGGTTGGGCATCGTCTAGCTTCTGCTTTATCTGTATTCGCGTTCGCGCTTGGCTTTAGGGCATTCTTCGTAATCAAGAAAAAAGCGCAAGCGCACTGCTTATAAAATCGATATCAGAGATCCAGAGCTGTATTTGAGACGTACTCGAGTCCTCTTCAGAGTATAGTTGGATATCAGTTTCACTTCTTTCCAAAAAAAAAATCCTCAGTCAGTTTTAGACAGAGAGAACAAAAGAGTAGGCCTCTAATCTAAAGGAGCCAGAGAATCTATTTACCAAAACCAACGAAGGAAATAGAATACCCTTTTATCCTTTTCTTTTCGTAAAGGCACAAAAATCATATTCCTTTTTGTTACCTCCCCGTGCTTGACTTGGACGCGGCCCGATAAAAGGACTAGTTAGCAGACCCAGTGTACCCTCAGATCTGCACTCTCTCCGCTTCCACTTTAGGCGCAAAGCGGAGCATCCATTCCACAATCATGGAGGGATATCGAAAAAAGGTGGCAATATGCGGGAGTAGGGGGTTTGGTAGCTATCTTGCTCGGGCAATCCTTGAAACAGGAGAATGGGAACTGGTGATCCTGTCGAGAAATGTGAGTAACTACACCCACCCACCCTCTCGCTTAGGGCATGCATTTTCAGGCCTGTCGCATCGCATCTGATAAAATATTGTGTGATGACGTGGCTTCGGTGCGGCAAAACGGCTAACATCCTATCTTTGGAACCTATAGTCACAGCCTGATCTTACTGCAAGTGGTATCAAAGTAAAGCCAGTGGACTACAGCTCTGTTGATTCGCTGTATCATGTTATCAAGAGACAACAAGTGGATACTGTGATCTCTGTCATACCAGATGCAGAGGTGCAGCTTAACATTATCGACGCGTGTCTCATGGCCGGGGTTCGACGGTTCGTCCCAGCGGAGTTCGAGACATCGCCGGAACAGCGACCTTTGTATGTTTCTGGCGATAAAATGAGTGTCCTGGCTCGGTTGGAACAAGTTAGCACACAATTAGAAGTAAGTTTCCTTGTTGTATCTTGTAGAACATCTTACTAGTGGCCGATACCTAACATCGAGTTCAGTACACGGCTTTCTCTTGCGGCCTTTTTATGGAGACTTTTGCTCCTGGAGGATGGAGTGAAGCTTCCAACAGTTATAACTACAGTTGGAATGACGGATCATTCCTGCTTGATCTAAAACATAAAAAAGCGCTCCTTCCTGTTGATAATGCTGGTAGTCTCGAAACTGTGATTTGCTTGACGTCTGCTGTGGATGTTGCACGTTTCGTTGCTGCTGCTTTATTTCTTCGATCATGGCAACCTGAAATGAAAATGTTTGGAGATCGGTTGCGGTTAAGAGAGCTTTTAGAGGTTGCTCAATATGTTCGAGGTAAGTTGCACCTTTGGCTTTGGGCCACCACACCCCCATGCATGACGCATAAAATTTTTATCAAAACATATCACCAACCACCTTCTTCAACAAATAGCACGCGAATTCAAAGTGAAGGTCATCTCAGAAGATGACATCGAATTTCAAATCCTCAGGACACCGGACTGGAAAACTCAACGCGAACTCCAGACAATGCGCGGCATTCTCGGACATGAATACAATATCGACAAAAGATATCTCAACGCCAAGTTCCCAGACATCCAGGCGATTACCTTCGAGGACTTCCTCCGTCAGTACTGGAGGGCGAGTACACACTGACGTGCTTCCATTTGACCCCACTATCTCTCTCTCTTTTCTTTTTTCTCTAATTACCTTTTATCGACCTTTCCTTTTCCTTTCTTTTTTCGACCTTTTTGTCACGGCGTTATGCAACTTATGACTTGATTTGCATTTTAGTTTTTAACAACACCTTCTTGTATCTTATTTGCCTATTTTTGTGGCTGACCAGGCATCACCGTACATATAGACCGCTATATGATTTAGTCTGGGGCGTTTTACTGGTGTTTGTGTTCTTCTCTTTGCTGCTTTAGTCCTTTTATATGATGAACTATCGGGCATGCGTTTTGGTGTTTAACGGTTATTACCATTTTTGCTTTTCGTTTCCTTTTATATTTTATTTTTATATTTCCTCTTTGAATTCGACTTGCCGCATGAACATTACACGTGTGTGGCTCTGCATTTGTTTTTAAGGGCTATTCCCTTTCTTGATATTTTATTTTATATTTGAAGCTGGCCTTGTTTTTTCTTTTTCATTCAGATAAATCTCAACATAGCATGCGCGGGTTTCCTTATATTGATATCCTTAGACAATTGCTTTGTTTTTTTCGGGGTTGGTTTGGGGGTCATTATCGCATGCGCATGGCTGCATCATTCTTCGGAATATTTCAATCGAGATCGCGGGTTTTTGAGTTTTAAATTTTTCAGATAGAATTTTTACCTTTGAATAAGCGACTATCAATGTCATTACTATTCTCAATACGGTAGCGTGACACGCTTTATAAAATACATTCTCACCCGAGTCTGCCTTGCGACTTACATAAGTAATAGTAAACTCGTGTTATAGAAAAGACCGGCGAAGTTGATATCAAGTGCCGGATATGAGCGGTCCTAACATCCAAATATAAAATCACCTGCCGCTTCTTTAACTCTCCGGCTCTTTAAAGACTTAAGCTATTATACTACCCTGATCCATCGGAAAACAAAAGTGGGATTTTCGCATTAACCTCAAGCGGGCCTGCAAGGCGGATCTTCCCCGCATTAGCCAATCTATTCCAACATTTCTTTCCTTAAAGGAGCGGCGGAATTAAATATACTCTCATCCTATCCTGCATTGTTACCTAGACATCGCCAGATATATTAAACAAGAGTGGTATTCAAGAAACATGGGATAACCTTGAATTGTTGACCTTAGGAACTATCCCCCTGTCGACTTTTTTGCAAGGCTTGGCAGCGGGATATTTTGTTTTTAGAGATAGTAAGTACAGATATGGTGAGGTTTATATCTACTACATAGCACTATGTCTAGGGCTCCGAGCTGGCCGGAAAGATTACTTAAGCGTGACTACGACATTAATCTGCCTATAGGTGGCTAGAGAAGGTAGAATGGAACAGGGATGTGTAAACCGAAAGTCCCGATATACCTAGAATATTTCCAGGCAACTTAGGGCATGCAATGCAATATAATAAGGGCCGGCTCTGAAGCGAGACACTATGCGGATAGGCAGTACGGCTTTATACTTAAGTTTCCATTCTAGTTGCAAATAAAGTTTAGACATATACTCCGCTGGATGCGTTGGTACTTTGTTGTAATATATCCATAGTACTAGCCTCGAGGCCTGACTCGCCTCCATTGCACACAATATCATGATACGGCGTACCGACACGCATAGATATAGATACCCATTTTACCTGTAGCTATGATTCTAACGTTCGAAACTTGAAGCTATTGAAAGCCCTAGGTTTTAGAGACACGATTTGGATCCACGGAATGACTCGCCCGTTGAGATGTCAAAAGCCTCGGGGTTTTGACCTCAAACGCACCCATGCCCGGCCTGGGCCACCTTTGGCGGGCATCGACTCCAGAACTGAAACATTTTAAAGAACATTTGTGATAAACATTTAGGATATACGGATCGTCCAGTTCCAATCTGGCCTTGAAGGCCGTAGGTTTATCTTTCCAAAAACAGTGGCATCACAATATCAATATGCGGACTTGTCAGCATTCTCCCCGTCGCAAATCCTTGGTATGTCGTTGTTTGAGAAATGAGTTTTTCCGAACCCTACACTGTTAGCTTTAGCCACTGACTAGCAAAATAAGCTACGGAATACTCTAGCGCCTTCGCTGATCTTGGTTGAAACACCGTGCGGCTTAGGATACGAGCGTTGAATTGGAAAATTGTGGATCTGGAGAAGCAGGTTATTTTGTGATACGAACGCAAATACTTTTGTCTTGATACTTTTGCGAGAATAGGATCGTCATAGAGGGTTTGGAACGGCGCAGGTTGGTGGAAATATATGTAAAAAAAACGACATCAATACGAGGCAGCCACCATGAAACAAGGATAATTCCCGTGTCTGTTTACCATAGAGTAACCAATAATATAGAGGGGAATGGAGGGAAAAAAATTAGGAAATATCTTAGAGTGTAGTAGTTTAGGATGCATGGATGATATGCCCCCGAGGAGCCTCGAAGCTTGATTTGCGGTACGGCCGAACAATTATCGGTTTCTTTCCAGCGCAGTTCCGATGTTTATGAGACAGGCTGGGGTTACGTATGCAAGATACGGGCCACTTACCGAAAGGAAGCTAACCTGTCAAACTTATGCCTAACGACTTGTAACTTTGACAGCAAACCGTTGGAATACCCGTCTTCATTCCTTATTTATCACACACAGGGTTGCAATATTCGATCGCATCTGTACCAGACATTCATGTGAGTGCGAGTGGAGTCGCTGTCAGATGATAACCCTGTCGCACTTTTTTTTTTTTTTGTGGTTGGGGTCATGGTCACTGGCTATCGTGACAATACAGACTAGCAGACCTTTGACCTCCAGACTCCGGATGAGGTGTGGCTAAAATCCCGTCGATTATCAAAGGTTCCTGGGAACTTTCAATATGTGGATACGTTTGTAGCGTTTGAGCAGACAAGCATTTGACGGCTTGCTCGTACCTGAATTTAATACAGTCCACCCTAAGATTTGCCCGTTTGCGTGCTTTTGATCATTTTTGTGTCTGGCGGGGCATGACAGGGGGATCAGTCCGTGGGGCCGTCCTTTCGATACGGTAAAGATTGGAAAGCAAGCTTATTGACAGGTCCTTTGGACGAGGTTTAAAAGATCGAGACATCTCGTCTGGTCGAGTCCTCAGAATTCGAAGCATTCTTTTGACTTTTGATAGTTCAGCAGGCACATTTCATATATTCTTGATCGAAGTTCGTTGAGGCCTTCGAGAGTGGTGACAGGGATAAAAACGCTTAAAGGACGACAAACGGAAACTATATTCGGCGGTTTTAAGGATTTTTTAACTTTTGCATTGCATTGCGCCACCGAACCACTCTTTATATATCACAGAACAACACTTTGGAGGCGGGGCCGACTTCTGGAAACGATGTATCGAGAGTTTCTATCGTCAGATGCATTGCCTGCATGGGCGTCGTTCAATAACATCAACTTCAACGGTATCAGGGTCGAATATGTGGGAGGTGAACCGGTTGATTCTGGCCTTGCAGTCAAGCTGCAGCCTTCCAAGCTAGATTCTTCCAGACCGCTGCTAAGAGTGCCAAGGCATCTCATCTTGTGCCAGGATATGGTTGATGCACATGCAAAATCCGATATGCATCTGCGAGAAGCCCTTGCAGCTGCCGGCCCGCTGGCAATGACTCCGAGAGGTGTGTGGTATTTCCCTCGAGACCCGTGCTCAGCATGCACTGCATTGGTTTTACTTTTATATGTCTATAAAACTGCGTTTCTGATACATTGTAGCATCACAGGCGCAATAATAATTTTCTTAATTATGAAAATTACAAATGCGGTATCTTTGTCTGAGCCAAAATCCGTCGGTGTCAAGTGCGCCTGGACGGAGTATGTTAAATTTTTACCGTCTGTTTCGGTACCGACATGCTGGTCGGAACAGGAACGGGAGCTTCTGAAAGGGACCTCGTTACATGTGGCAGTCACAGCTAAACTTGCAGCTCTCGACGCCGAATTCCATGCTTTCAAACTGGCGACACAAAATATTGCATGGTGTCGGAAAGTATGGTGGGATGAGAAACGACTGACTTTCTTGGATTGGTTGGATTGTGATGCCTGGCTACGGAGTAGAGTCTTGCAATTACCGGACCTCGGGCTATCAATGATACCGTTCCTCGACTTCTGCAACCATCGGTCGTTCCCAAATTCATTTTATGACCTTGACGATGAGGGAAATATTATTCTAATACATAGCTTATGTGCTCTGGGGCAAAACAGTCAGGTGATCGAGGAAATAACCATCAAGTGAGTTTCAAGGTACCATCCATAGGCTGTAGGAGTTGCCACCTTCAGAAAGAACTAATCGTTAGTCTAGCTATGGTGAAGAGAAGAGTGCATCTGAAATGGTCTTTTCCTACGGGTTCGTGGATCTAGACAGGCCTACAGCGTCTTGGATGGCGTTAGATCTGAAGGACCACGAAAGCTTAGGAGATGATAGCTCGAGTATGGTTTTCGTGAGGGCGAAGCAGAGGCTCTTGGATAGCGCGCCAACTTTACTTTTGATCGATATGGGAACGTCAGTCGAATGGACAAGTGACTATATCTGGTGGGCAAACACGGATTGTGGAGACCCCTTTAATCCTAAACCAAATTTACTAAATATTATCGTGGCGTCGGTAGGCTTATGTGCGTCAATCACGAAGACGGGTTTAATATCCAAGTAATGCAACAAAACGATGGGTCTCAGCACTTACAGGCATTCTTCGATGACCAGCCGTTGCTCAACCTTGCTTCATTGGTCGATCTACTGAGAATGAAACCATTGTGGCCAATCTATCAGCTGCGAGCAGTAACATTGGTCGAGGAGCGAGTCCACAGGCAGCTTGCAGATTTAAACGAGTCGGATGCCCTGTGTAACGAATATAACAGCCAAAAGATAGTAGGAGACCAGATATGGCATGTTTCTCAGAATCTGCGAACCCTAGAGAAGGCCTTGTTGGAGAAGACTTTGCTCGTTTTGGGAAGTCAGGTGAGTCTGATATGATCCGTTGGTCCATTTGGGGATCCAGGTTTCCCCATATTTTGTTGCCCCATTCCCCAGGTTCGTGACGCTGGTAATGCGGGGGTGGTGGCAAACGACCCCGACAATAGATACCAGAGCGGATCGGCCACTTAGCGGCTAGGCTGACTTCGTCTACGATATCTAGAAAGAACATTTACTTGGTTCCGATGTTGTCCGAAAATACCTTAATGATATGCAGACAGATCTTCACGAAGGGGAAGAGGATTTAACCTAGCTCAGGAACGAACTGCGATTTCGGCGGCTGGGGGGAAAGCTGGCAAACATTATTTTTTTTTACTGCCACGACAGTTATTTGCATTTTCATTCTCTCGTAAATATTTCCCATCTCTTTCTCTGGCATTATTCTTGTACATAATATATTTGCAATATGGTTCCTGGCATCAAGTGGACATCTTTTGAGTGCGTTTTCTGGGTTTTATATGAAGTCAAATAGGCTATTTCCACAACCGTATGCTTATACAAAGATTTCACGCACGACGTTGGCCTCTTGCAATACCCATATGGGAATCTTGCCATATGGCGGGTAAATTGCCATCTGTCGATCAACGTTTAACCGGGAAACGGGTGAACAGAAGCAACAACGCCAGACAGCTAGTGCCCCGCAAGTATGGCGTATCGGATACAGAGTAATGATTTCGTCAGGCTTGGTATTATCAAAGACAAATTGACGACAGTTGTTGAAATGCCTGTGCCCGGAAATCCGACTTTTGCTATCGCACCGATAGCGATGGATTTCTTTTGAAGGCTTTAGAGTTCCATGGTACGGTTTAGGAACTTTTCGGAGCCCGGGTTTGAACAGTTGCGCGACTTAATGGCCCGCATTTGGCATAAGTTGCCGTTTCCTTTCAAACACGAGTCCAACAGTTTTCGGAAGGGCATCGAAACGGCTGCGCAGCAAGCAGCTACCCCAAGATGCGATAGCTATATCAAAAGTATCTGGGGAGACCCTGCTAATCACGGTTCAGCTATTTCGAAGCCGCATAGATGGACAGGGTCCGTTAACTGTAACAATCCCAGGAGTCTGAGGCAGATTCAGAAAGGGACCGATTTCAGCAAACTGTCGCTATTTATTTTATTTTATTTCATTTTCCCCCCCATGGAAGACGCCAGCAGCTACACAGGTGAGATGAGTAGGCGAGATTTGTGTGTGTGGATTCGAAAAAATTCGGAGAGGTCGAGGTTCCGTGCGGTCCGATATTTCATTTCGCTTTTTCTATTACAAGGTACGACATCATGGTGGTTTTTTTGGGAACATTGCTGAGGAAAACTGCTTACTGATGTATAATGAATGAGAAATCAAACGCAAGGACTGCAAGGACCCCAAAGGAGCGCCAGGACCTCGGTGAATAAATTTTCGTCCACTGGTCCGATATTGGAGTGGAATTTCCCATCGACTTCGATGCATGTCTTCTTAAGTTACCTTAATGCATAAGTAACTATCGACCTACTTATGCAGCGCTGAGCCGTCCCGAAGTGCTGAAATACTGTTTTGCGGTAGCAATAACTCAAGCCACACCCTGTCAATAACAAGGAATAATATGTCTAGCGCCCTTGGATGTAGCTTGAAATGGAGGGGTGGATCTCGAAATTCCACGTTCTCGTATGTGGCATCGGTTCGCTCGCAGGCAGTAGCGATAGTGTATGGATATGAGGGAAATGACAGTACTAGTACATGTACCTGCGATCCCGAAAATGAAGGATGTTGACGACAGGTACCGGTACGAAAGCGCACGAGAATAGGTTCAAAACCAGACTAACCAGCTCGTTAGACTTCAGAGGTTAGACGGCTCCACAGTTAAAAAGCAAAGTCCGGACAGGAAAAAAAGCTGGGGATGGTTTGGGTATCTTTGGGGAAAAAGAACAAAATATGGATGCATGTATGGGTACGCACCAGACAAGTACAGCCATCCATACAACGACGGGTGGCCTGTTAAAAAGATATCTCCAGAGTGGGTCGAGAACCGAGCCCCAGAATGAAAAAGGCGAGACTTGGGGTAGTGAGCCAACTTGACTATACTTGGGGGAGGGGTATACCATACTAGGTATACACTACTCTGGAGGGTACGGAGTTTGGGGCGAATAAGATAGTCATCCGGTGCTCAGAACCGGGCTAACCTGATGTTATTTTTTAACTCAATCCAAGGTGCGCTGCAGCTTGCAAGCTTGAAGGTTCGCTCGCCAGTTTCTTAAATACTTGCCCCTTCCTCCAGGGTTTTACTGTATTCTCTCCATTTCAATATCTTTTGTCACCTTTCTTATAATCCCTTGCGATCATTGCAACCGGTTCGATTCGATTCGATTCGATTAATTAATCGGTTTTACATATTTTTTGGAGTCAACGGATTAATAATAATTCCTCCCTGTGCAAACAGTTTTTTATATATTTTTCGTCCGTCCGTCCATGTGATATTTTTTTTCCGTTTCCAAACGACCCGGCCGAGGCTATCTATAACATTTGAAAGAGAGACAAGGAGAAAAGAAAAGAAAGCAGGAAAACCCATCATCTTAACTTTATAACTACCGCCCGATCGATCCCAAAGAAAGGAAAACAGAGGAAAATACCTTAAATTCATTATCTTCACGCATTATCACAATTCCAGCAGGATCAGGAACAAGAGCAAGGAACATTACGTTGAGCTACGTTACGTTACAGGAACAGGAACAGGAACAGGTATTAATTTACAGATCGCGTGCGAGCTAAAAAGGACCGACCCCAAAAAACCAAAACCCCAAACCCCAAACCCGCAGAAAAATCGCAGCAAGGGGAGGGAGCAAGCAGTACGGTGTTTTTGGTTTTGAGATTTGAGGGCATGCTCGGGGCCTCCGAAAGAACTTGCCGACTCAACCAACCAGCTGAACTGCATTACTCGTGCGAAGCCTAGACACGAAAAGTGGTCTGAGGTGTGCTTTGGAACGAGCTCGAGCCCTTCAACGTTTTTGGATCTCAAGCGCAGCCTGGCCATCCTGAAGGGACTAGTCTCGGGATAACGGATCCACTAGCTTGGGCAAATAAGCTTCTCCACCGGAGTACGTACCATTGGTACCGTACTGTTCCACGAAAACATCAAAATTGCTGCTGCCGCTGGGGGCTGGATTATCACTGCGCTAGCTAAGCTACCACCGATTTATGGTATCGCCCTTTTTTCACCTATCACCCTCTCATCCTTTCGATTCATCATCATCATCGTTACTAGTTCCGACCATTCAAAATGCCCGGAATTATCCCTATGAAACTAATCAAGACCGGGAACTCGAACCAAGTTCGTGTTGCCCAGGCCTGCGATCGTTGTCGAAGTAAAAAGGTACGCTGAAACTTTCTCCTTTCGTCCGATATCCACTAAGCCGCATATATACCATTGTGGAGCCGAACTTCATGCTGACCCAGGTCATTTTATACTTATAGATCCGATGTGACGGAATAAGACCAAGTGTATGTCGATGCTCTTGCCCTTCTGCCGAAATTATCTTTTGTCCTTTTGGATGAGTTTTTATTCCAAATGCCAAATAATAGTTTTTTGTCAGGCCCTATACCATATAGTATAAACCAGCATGGCTAACGGTCGAGTGAACCTATCAGTGCTCGCAATGTGCCAGCGTCGGCTTCCAGTGCAAGACTTCGGACAAGCTTTCGCGGAGGGCTTTCCCTCGTGGATACACAGAGTCCCTTGAGGAACGTGTAAGAGCTCTTGAGGCTGAGGTCACAGAACTAAAGAGTCTTCTTGATGCCAAAGACGAACAACTGGATGTCCTTTCCAGGTTACATTCATTCTCGCCATATTCTCCGTCGTCGCTGTCGTCGACAAGTCCGAAGCGGCCCACACCTAGTAAAACTGTTTCCGAATCTTCAGGCCCTTCTGCCGCTGAGCCGGATGACTGTTGCAATGAGGATGACATCTTTGCTATGCCCGAGTCGTCTTCCCTTGTTCATGATGGGAAGTCTGGAGAGTTCTACACAGGTGCATCGAGTGGTCGTGCCTTCATTGGTATGCTTCCTCTTCCTCTCCCTCCCTTCCTCCTATCCCTTTTCTTGCCCCTTGGTTGTCTCTCTGTAATATGTATTGACTCTTCGTCTTTTTTTCCTTCTTGAAGACATCTTCAAGTCTCGGATGAAAGAAACTAGCCCATGCGACATCGAGTTCTCCGGTAATACCTTCTTCACCCGTAAGGAACGTATCGTTAAGATATTCCCCAACCGGTCGGCGGCTCATGCTGTTAAGCCTCCGCCACGCATGATCTCGGACCTACTCGTCACTGCCTTCTTCCAGGAATACCACCCACTCTTCCCTGTCTTACATAGACCCAAGTTTCTTTCCATCTACGAGAACCTTATCAACTGTGAACAAGAGTCACCTGAATACCCTCGAGAGTATCATGAGATCGCCCAATTGTTCCTCGTCTTCTCTATTGCATCTTCCCAAAGCGAAACTCGGAACACTGCCGAACATGAGTCCTTCACAAGACAATGGCAATACGCCCTTGAAGCCATCATGCTTGAACCTTCCTTGGAGAGTCTGCAATGCCTTGTGCTGGCACAACTCTATTGCATGTCCATTGGAGACGACAGCAGACTCAACCAATACAAGAGCTTGGCTGTTGGTACTGCCATGCGTCTCGGATTGAACCAAGACCAGAAGAAGTTTGGTGTCACTGCCTTGCAACTTGAGATGAGGAAGCGTGCCTTCTGGTGCGTTTATTTACTCGATGCGTAGGTTTCTCCAAAGTATCCCCCCGTTAGTGTGTTGAACCTTCGCTAACCCAAAGCATAACTATAGATTCTCTGCATCCATGCTTGGCCTCCCCACATTAATCAGTGATGATGAGGTTAACGCCGAGTACCCCGCCGACATTGACGATGAATATGTTTCTGAGTCCGGCTTCTTGCCCACAATGCCTGGTGACCACACTAAGATCTCTAGTGCATTGGCCTTGTTCCGTGGATCGAGAATTCTTTCCAGGGTCCTTTCCACTGTTTATTCGATGAAGTCAAGCAACAAACAATCGTATAAGCAGCTTCAACAATTAGAAGAAGACTTGGATTCTTGGAAGATGAACTTACCGGAACATCTCAGACTAGAATTTGTTAATGGCATGCCTGGTACAAACATTGTTCACAGCCGGTCGCCGCTTTTGGTAAGTGATGTCTTATGTTTGGTCTAGAGCCAGTCGGTCTTTTAAGGTTCACTAACTAATACATGGTATAGGTCTTCGCATACTATTACATTAGGATCTTAATACACCGATCGACTATTGGTTCCGATGCTAATAGCGGAGCTGGATCTGTACATGCTGTCGTCGAGTCGAGCAACCGCATGTTCCAAATTGTCAAGCTCTTAGAAGAACGAAAGCTAGGGTTCTCTTTCTGTTTGAACAAGAACCAGACCCTTCTTCTTTGCACCTTCGCCATCCTTCATGGCGCCACCGACTACGCACATGATGGCATTCTTGCTAAGGATACCCAGAAACTTGTATCCGAGATTCTAAACACTCTACAGAAGAACCGATACCCCTTGGCCAAAGCTCTCAATGTCATCGCGTCCTCTCTGTTCAAACTTGGTCGGAGGTCTACAAGCCTAGAGACTAGTCCTTCGCCGTCGCTACCCGGCCCCATCCGGGACGATGTTCAGCAACTCCGTCGAGCCTATTCCGTGTCTTCGAAGCCTCAGGATAAGCCAAAGCCCCGACAGATCCAAACTGATGTGTCACCCTCTGGCAACATGTCGCCCCCCTCTAGCCTCACCTACCATTCCAACTGGAGCCGACAGAGCCTTCCTCCACAAGGAGTCTCCCCGAAGTCTCTTCATAACACAAAGAGCATGACCCCACCTTGTCCGATAACTCCAATCACTCCGAACCTCGACAAGTCGGGCTCTGATATCTATAGCTGGAGCATGGAGACCACACCAACCAACGGCCGCCAAGTCGCTGCTAGTGGGTCCGAATGGGAAAGGATGCTGGCATTGATGGATCAAAATCAGGGAATCAACATTTATGGTGGAGGCAGCAATTTCGAATCCCCGATTGACCTCAATTCCGCCCTGGAATCACCCTCGGATAGTGCGGACCGAAGAGACAGCAACTCCGCTCGATCGATATATGAGGTTTTACATCCTACAGCTGCAAGTGTGTCCTCTTTCTCGAATTTCAGCGACGAGGATCTAGCGCTACCAATCTTTGATGCGGATAGCACATCTGGTTATTATCCGGACCTAATGTCGGGCGCAATACCTATTCCGGGAGCACCTCTCAACCTCGACAATACTTGGACACTGTGAATAAAAAGAATATACATAAAAACAGAATTTCTTTTTCTTGTGATCCTTAATGTGTTTAATCCCTTTTTGCATTCGTTAAGATACCTAAAGGAGCTCTTGTCTTTTTTTGTTGTTTCTTCTCTTGCATTGTATTATTTTGCTTTTCGGTCTGTCATGACCACTGTAACGGATTCAAAAAAAGCGGTCTTTTCCGTTGGCGGATGCAGGTGTCTTGGTGATTGGTCTTCAACATCGTGTTTTCGTCTTGCATTTTTTAGTCTTGTATTGTGCATATCCTATTTCTTGGCCTATGCATTCACTTTTGACGAGCCTACGAGTGGTACTTTCACCTATAGTTTTTTCTTTATCCCGGGAATTGTTTAAAGTTCTTTCTTTCTTTTTCCTCTCTCTTTCGCTTCTTTATTCTCTTTTCCTTTATCTACCATGTATTGTTCTTTATCAAGAAACCTGCCGCCTAATGCCAATGTCCCATGGATCCCATGAGCTTGCAAATCAAAACTTCCGTGATATCAGCCGAGAAAAGCCCCATAAATGTCCCCGATAATCTAGGCCTTTAATACCTACCTCCTTGTATGTATGTACATCGTCTTTGAGAAAATCCGTCGGCATCGCATGCATATGAGCATATCAGGGAGAAATAATCCATCAAGTGAGTAGGTATATACTTACTTGATCGAGAAAACTCCCCATCTCCCTTGTCGACATGTCAGTGCGCAATTCCTGCATTAATTCGCTATTTCGAATCCGTTTCTGCGCCAAAAAGCGAACTTTAAAAACAAAAGCGAGAAGGCGAAACCAGTGTAGTATTCACGATATGTAATACGTACTAACACTAATTGAATTTCTAAAAAAGTGATCTTCTGTCCTTCTCTCTCCAGCCCCGCGTTCTAATCTAATTGACCATTTCGCAATCTTTGACAGACTAGCCCAGGATACCCCAAATAACATGGATTGGGGTTCTCCCTTCAAGCCATCGCTTGTGAATATGCAGGTCGGAAAGACTTCGTTCATTTCAGGTTGGGGTTTTAGATATCCACACTTATATGCACGAGTGGACTGAGACCTTTTTTTCCTTTCCCTTTCGACATACATAACTTTTGTACCCCAAAGGTAACCCCAGACCAGCAATATACCCCAGGAATACCTAGATTAATAGTTGAAAAAAGACGGATGGTACTATAATTTCCAATTCCAGCCATCTTCCACGTGGGCACAATCAGGCTTTTTGCCTCCCACTTGTGCATAATGCAACAACAAGAAGGAACTTGTTCGAGAACATGCCTTTCTCTCGGTTTCTTTTTTCGTTTCTTTTTTCTTCTTTCCTTGGGGTTGATTGGTGTGGTGGTGGTGGTAACTTAGTGGTTAACATCGGAAATGTACCAATTTTTTTTACCATCCAATCGACTGTAACCCGGCCGGGTTTTATGATTTACTTCTACATGAGCCTCTCCATACGTAGTGATGTACTGAAATGACGGAAGCCAGGGATTCAGAGTGGCCTTGTAGTTTCAGGCGGCTCGATTCGAAGCATGCACGTCGATACTTTTTCCTTCGCGATGAGCTGATCGTCGCTGCTGTCTGATACCATGATCACGATCATGATCTCGATTTGCCCGGCGGGTTCAAACAATCAAGAAACGGAAAACTAAAAAAATAAAAAAAATAAAAAAAATGAAAATTCACAAGATCAAAAGTATCCTACTCACTACTGCACACATATATACATGTACAGTACATTCCTTGGATTTTCGGCACACTTCGATCGTTTCTCAGCCTGCGCGCCCGGACTCCGAAGTCTAAGTACTGTGTAAGTACTTAATTACTTAATATTTACTTACGTTAATGGTAGAATGGGGGTACAGACAAAAAAAAACTCGTGGCCTCCGCATACATATGCATTGCAGCTTTTTTTTTTTTTTAAACATTCCAGGCTGAGGACAGTATACTATGCTATGCTATGCAGTCAGCTCAAGCAAGGGATGTATGTATGCTTCGATCTTGTGAAGTAAAGTAGTGTATTAAGTCAGAACTAAGTCAGTCCTTAGTCAGTTAATCAGTACGACCAAGCCGAAAAGATATGTGTGCCATTCCACTGGTTCCGCTCTAAAAAAGATTTCATGCTAGTCAGAAATAGGAAAAAGTTTCCCGACCGATGGTGTTTGCCGAAGTCCAGGTGTTTAAGCCAATTTCTTGAAAGTTATTGTGGCTTGCAGGATCTTGGCCGGTAACGTTAAAGACATTCTAGAATATTTTAGACGAAAGGGGTGAAGGATTTCCATTGGGGAAAAGAGAGAAAGAAAAAAAACAATCGGGGCTATTCTTATTTTGGAGGAGGCTTGCAGGTAGTTAGTTCTAGTATGTAAGCAAGCAGTTAGTGAACTTGGAGATACTTCTTGGTAAGTATCTTTTGACACAATGTTACTGGTGGATAATAAACATACACAGGATGTCATGCAAGGTGACAAGTATGGTAGACGACTTCGCAGTGTTGGCACATCTTAGTTGCCTCCTTGCCCAGGCTTGCCGAAATCCGAAATCCAACGCTGACAACTCACGTGGCATAGCATAGCACCTTTGCGGATGCATATTTGGGAGATGTTCAGAGCTCTTCAGCTAGATTGGTTTTTTAAAAATTGATAATAGTGTTATTACTGCCCTCGTGAACTTTAGTTATCGCAGGAGCTAAAAGAATACAGTTCCATAGCTATAGTAGACCATATAATTAAACAAAACTAACTTAGGTACACTCTGATAATGAGTATAGTAGAGACATATCACATCCTAGCTAGTCATATAGCTAGCCTTCAATACAAGCATGCGAGGTGGAAAAGAAGGACTCTAAATACGAGAATAAACGCCCAATTAAAGAAACCTTTGTACTAACTTATACTATAACCCTCCACTTCTTCCCACCAGCATAATACCTAGCCACAACTAAAAAACAGCTACCGGTCAACATCATCGCTCCTGAGAACCATATCAAGGGTGTGAAGTCGTTCATGTGATCTACTAAAGACCCAGATATTGGAAGAGCAATGAGGGATCTTGGAATTCATTTTTTTCGTCTTAGCCAACTGAAGCAAACCCATATAACATTTAGTAGTAAGGAATAGTTTAAAAATGAATAACTTACGATATCGCGGTCAGTACGTTTAATGTGCCCAGTCGCTGGCCGATAATGGCTACATTCTTCGTTAATTGGCTGCTAAATTTATTAGTAAAATCCCTGATAAAACTCAGTTTATATGTGGTGGTGGTGGTAGTGGTGGTGCTTACGCTGCACAAGCAGCATATATTGACAAGAATGCCCCACTGCTGAACCCATATAGTATTGCAAATGCAATAATCCCAGCTTGCGAATGTAATTGGCTCCACATTGCCAGTATCAAGAACCCTGAAATAGTTGAAAAGATAATAAACATTGTAATTCTCCCGAACCTATCGCCTAGAAGGCCTTCAAACATAGTCGTCAGTACCATAGAGTCCACTCAGCAGCGAAGAAAGATAATCGTATATCAAAGCATACCAGGTAAAGCTCTCCCAAAAATACTACCCCCATTTAGAAATGCAATCATATAAAAAGCCATAGAAGCCGAGAATCCATTTGCTAGCGCAAAGCTTGCGAGGTAATTAATCGGCCCCCAGAGCCCAAGCAACTGTACGAAACACCCGGCACCGAAGAAACTCCATGCGGGTTCTTTAAATGCCGCGAAGTCGAACAGAACGATCCGTCGCGCCTTCAAGGATTTGGCATGCGTGAGTCTTGATTTCACGAGAATACACGCAATACTTAGTGTTGCTAGATATACTAGTCCGAATAATCTAGTCGTCCATGCAAAGCCGAGGTAGTGGAGGAGATGGCTCACGACAAGAGGGAAGAAAATGCCTCCGACACCACCACCGGTAGAAGCGATCCCTATTGCCATTGCACGGCGGTGGTAGAACCATGTTGTTACACTGCTTATAGATGCGTAGAATGTCATCGCGGTCCCGCCGCCAACGAGGAAGGATTGTGCAAAGAGGAGATGCCAGTATTTTGTAGATATGGAGATCAGAACCATGCCGAACGGGAGGCAGAAAGTACCGCCTATAATAAGATAGGTAGGGCCATATATATCGAATATTGTTCCAGCGAAGACCCCCTATAGAAATCAATAGGTTCAATGTGTTAGATCGGAATTATCCATGGAAGAGATCGAGGCTTACACCAGCAAACACAAAGAATAAATAAAACCCCATTATCCACGATAACTGGCTGTCGGTGTATTCAGGCAGCAGGTACGCCTTATAGTAGCTATATTTGCTTCATGTTAGTCTAAATCGAACCCAAAGCTGAATATTTGAGTGAACCTACGCTTGAAAGACCCCAATTGCATTCTAGAAACCAAAAGGGATCAGTAAACCCTAATTAAAATCACGCAGTAGAACGTTCATGAACAGCTAAGTTCAATATCTTACCATCAACCCAAAAGCACTGAAAAGACACAACCAAGTCCCCAGCACGCATAACCACGCTTTCCTCCCTCCATCCGGAAACCCCTCTCCAGGGTCTATCACCACACTCTCTACAACACCCTTCTCCTCATCTCCTCTTTTAACAATGATCCCCTGCGTATCATCCGCGACAACAATACTCGCGCCAGTCGAAGCTAGCGCATTAATCGTAGTCGCAGGACTTCTCTCTCCTGCCGATAGTGATAGTGAGAGGCGGTTATACATGTCCTCTGGAATTGCTATTATTGTAGTTGTAGTGGTGGTGGTATTTGTAGCTCCGTTATTATGTTCTTCGACAGAGTTTGAACAGCGAGCATGTCTGTTGTTTCGTTCTATTTCCTTTGATACTCGTGCCTTCTCTATATTTCGTTGTGCAAGATCTGCAATTATGACTTTCGTCGAGGATACTACTGCTGCATCGATCTGTGCTTCGACTGGTATAGGTAATATTTGATTATCATCAACGCGGACGGTGATATCCATAGAGTCCTTTGTAGACTCAGAATATGAAGTCGCCATTTTGGAATGCTTCTTAGAATAGTTAGCTTCTAGTTAATTCTAGATGTTGAACAAGTACATAGCTGAAAAGGATCAAAAACCAATGAGAGAAGGTGTTTAATCAAGTATGAAAAGGGAAGCTTGCTCAAAACACACCCTTGACAGCCTTATAAGATCTGGCCCAGCGATCTGATCGATATGAGAAGGGGAAAGAAGAAAGCAAAAAGCCGAAGGAATGCAACGGAGACCAAGATTTATTCCGCGATCCGTTGGATGTATGCGGAAGGAAAAACCTAGAGATCAGATCGATAAATGAAATCGATCTATAAGCAAGGTCCCAACGGGTATATACTTCATCTGGTACGAGAGCCTCCAGTATGTCAAAACCCCCCCCATCGTACAAGTATTATAGGAATGTCGACTTACAAAAAATATACGCAATATGGTAGTGTAATCAAAGATCAAAATCAAAAAAACAATTATTGATCCGGTGGTGCCCCCATATAGTTGCTCAAGATATCCAGATACCGATATAAAGCCGCTGCTGTATGATGTTTCTCGACTCCAAAAATATCTTTCTGTGCAGGTTCGAAGTTGGGTCTTATTCTCTCGACCACCCTTTTCGGTTAGTATCCCTTTTATTCTTCGTGTATACGTATATCAACCCTCACAGTACGTCGATGGAACCAACAGAAAAGGCTTGATATGACGCCGATTCTAAGAAAATATCATCGATATCAGCACAAATATTAATATTTCTGCCATCGGTTGGCCTAAAATCCGAAGGTTGTCTATGGTGGAATACCTATGTGCAGGTATTTTGTACCTGTACTTGGTGTTCAGCGTCTCTATATCATATTTACAAAAGGAATTGTAGTCCAGAATATAAACTGCACAATACAAGACAAAGGCGGCACTCACGCACGATAAGGGTTTTTTTCAGGGGAACACACGGGCATAATTACCTTCTTTGGGACCGATCAAGAAGTTCCGCCGATCTGAGCACGATCGTGTAGCTCTCCGTCTGTTGGGTGGGCTGACGCCTGTGAACAGGTTTGTAGTCAGGATTCGAAGTTAATTATTAGTAGGTAGGTAAAGAGTGTTAGAGTACACTACTGACTCGTAAAATATAATGAAGTTCTGGGCAGTCTTGACTGTATTATTACAAGCTCTAGAAATTCATTCAACTAGAGATTAACTAACAAGGCAAATTCGGGGTTGGGTCAGAACTAGAGTACGACTCTGAGAGAGAGAAAAGAATCAAAATGATTCGATCGATTTCGGAATACGGGATACCGGCGAATAGTACCACTTACTCTAGCACTCGCAGCAGATATGGAAGGCCTCTTCCTCGCCGAGATTACGCTATTACTCTCCATCGTACCAGTATATCCATGCAACTATTTCCTAGTACCCCCAATATTGGGTTTAAGCCGTTAGTGTTAGTGAAATAAAAGAAATGTTAGAAAACTGGTGCTGCGTCCTCGAACTCTCAACTGATCAAGCCCAGTATTAGTATTTGTGAAATGAAAATATACTCAATATTAACAGCACCTCCCTCGTAAAATCTCGATGGTGGCACTGGATATTATTCCAGTCCTTCTTAACCCCGGCTTTCAGCAATTCGCCTGTACCCACCCATGATTCGCCAAAGAGCCTGTCAAGACGGGAAATCGTCCATCGATGTGCCAAAGAACATTACTTCTAGGGGCTAAAAGGACCTTCCAAGCATGTTATATCCTAACATTAAGAATTATATTAGCAAAGAAGCCTACTAATTTCGATTCCAAGAACACCGGTACTAACCTATCGAGCTAGGATACCGCTGTACCCTCTTATTCACCTTTCTGCATCCACCCGTATCTGATGAAACCAATGGAACCCACCACTGCATTCTAGAATCATCTGATCTCCTGCTATCAGCTCTTTCTCGCTGCACGGTCGGAGAGCACCGAGTTGAGAATGGACAGATACTACACCAACAGATATCTCGTTTCCATATTTGGGGCATTCAGAGAAGTGGGAAAATAAGGCGGGTATCTCGGATATAAACAGCTTGAATGGCTTTTTTTTTTTTCCTTTTCCAGAGGCTTATTTATAGATGTTTAGAAGCCTGGCTCTTTGTATCTACCCGCATAAGAAGTGGCCGCTAGCCGGTTAATCGATATCAATTGCTGTGGGTACAAAAGGGAGGGGGGCACTTCACTTTGATTTCCTGTAAGAAGGTGATAGTATCAACTGACCACAGCCAGCTGGCACTCACATGTTGTCAATGGCGACATCTGAACTCGATACTGCACAACCACCACCACTACCACAACGTTTATTCAACGAAATTAATATAATCCAGCATTCACAGACTCTACTTTGCACAGCATGTTATCATGCATGGCATGCTACAGGAAACGTGGGGATCATAATTGATTACGAAAAGACAACTAACAAACGTATTTAACGTTGTGGATTTTTTTCGTAACCGCATAGGTATTATATTAGCTAACTCTAGCTAGCTCTTATTCGAAGATTGTCTCGTTACGGGCTTGACTCAGGAGCTAGCTGAGAGCTGGACGACCTGACTTGCCCCCCTCCTCTTCTCCTCCTCCTCTTTTTGAAAATTTCTCTTAAGGATTCTTTCCCATTCGATTCTCACAAGTGTGCGACTCTTGCCTTCATTCTCCTTTGACGTTTTACTAGGTACGACATCAACTATGTTTTGCACCATTTTGTGGCACCGTTGCACGACATGCATTTCCTCCGTGTGAGTTCAGCTAGTTTCTGCATGACAGGTGTACCTAGTCGGAGATTTCTTCTCTTCGTCTCTTCTCTTCTTTCTTTCTTTTCTCAATTTCCTGTTTTCGTTCGAGATCACTCTTCTATCTCAAATGTTTCCCTTTCACATTGAACCCTTCTTTATATAAACGTTTAAACATAAACTAAAATGAATTAAACAGCTAGAGGAATTGTTTGTAAAAAGTAAAAACAGATATTCGTCTCCAATTCCTTTAATCTCATCTTGAGCACCAACCTAAGGGATGACATATGATGTGTATAATGCATGTTGTAACCCACTTATCTTGAAATCTATATCCTAGCCCGCGAGCATGGTATACCAGTAGTCTAGCTAGTGTGATCTCACACCCTTGCTTTACCGTTTGTTCCCTGTTGCGTATGGCCTCACATACAGTTCCATTTTAACTATTGGATGTATACGGAATGAACTTGCTGGTATAGCTGTTTCTTTAAGTTTTATTTACATTTATCCTTCCAACTTTCATTATGATCCGCCCCAAGAAAGCCCTATTTCCAATCGTAGACATACACTCAGACGTTATAGACTCCCTCCCTACCTAAGATATTCATAAACTGTGTCCAAAAAGCAAACAAAAGACCACCACCAGTATACACTATAATACACGTTTATCATCATTTACAGAAAAAAAGAAAAGAAAAGAAAGGATATATACGAACACTTCAAACAGTGTAGCAGCGACAGCATAGCAGGGACAGCCGGCAGAAAGAATCTACCACCCCTCTAAGGTCCAAAACCCGTCCTACCCAAATCACTCAGCACAATAAACCCCCCGCGCCAGAAAGCCTTTTCACACTCCCATAATCCCAACCCCAACCCCTCTCCCACCCGTAGCATTAGTCCACAACTCCTTCGCCTCCTTAAAATTCGTAAACCCCATGTATAAATCTTGCATCTCATAATACATCTCCTGCGAACTTACAATCTCCCTGGTCAGAAGATTAGTAATAAACATACAAACAAGCTTGACTTTACGTCCCACATCTGGCCCCCGGTTTGTTCGGCGAGCTGTATTGGCAGGGATCCCGTCGATGCTGTCGCCATAGGGGGAAACTTCTAATTGGCGGATACAGTTCGAGGTGAACACGTGGAGAAGGCGAGTTCGTTCTTCTACGGTAAGGATTGGGGGGTGTTTTGTGTAATCGTTCTGGGAAGTGGCGAAGGTGGACGTGTTTGGTGGGTGTTTTTGTGGTTCATCCTTTGCTGGCCGGTAGACGAGGTTGTTTATTAGATCGAGGGAACGTAATTCGAGGTTTAACCTTGGAAGTATGGTGTCTAGTAGTAACTGCCTACTACCGCCACTACTACCACCACCGCTGCTATTCTTCTTGCTGACACTGTTTCCCCCCTGCTGTTGCAATCGTTGCTGTTTTTGTTGTTGTTGTGGGTCGTTATTATTATTGTTCTTCAATATTTCCACCGTCAGCAACTGTAAGATGTCGAAATTCAAATCCAACATCCTTCGGTACGCCTCCGGATCCTCGGCTTTATACACTTTCGCTGCTGTCTCAATGTTCGCGCGGAGCATGTTTCTCTCGCTGGCGTTTAAATTGCGGATATGGGCGCTTGTGAGGGCATCTTCAACTACCGACACATCTTCTGCTGCTGCTGCTGCTGCTGCTGCTGTTGTTGTTCTTGCTAAGATAGCATTCGGTACGGCGGTGGTTTCCTCTGCGAATGCTGCTGCTGTATGGGGGTTGCGGTTGGCACTACTACTAATTGAGGAAGAATAGGGAAGAGGAGAAGAGGAAGAAGAGGGATGGTTCGGAGGGTAGTTCTGGGCAAATACCGGTTGTCCTCTTTGTACGGGAGCTGGTGAGGGGGTCCCTGCGGCTCTTTGTCTGCTGTTTCCGTGATATCCATTCGCTCCACCTTGTTGTCTCTGTTGCTGCTGCTGTTGATGATGATGGTGCTGATGTTGATGTTGTTCTTGACGAGGAGCCCATGCGGAAATCGGAGGGAATTCGTCTTCGTCTGCGAAAGTGCGTAGGTCGGCAGATTCGCCGACTCGTAGCTGTTCGAAGTTGTGGTAAAAGTCTTTGGCTGAGAGGTCGGATAGCTGCATGATAGTTTCCCCGGACAAGGGTTCTTAGTGTTAGCGTCGCCGTTCGATATCAATTGGTTTTACTTTACTTTCCTTCTCCTAAACAAGCTAGAGTGTATATCATTCATCATGATACTCCAGGTCCAGCTTTATTCAAGAAAGAAAAAGAAAGAAAAAGAGAAGGGGACAAAAGCTAGAGGTTATAATGTACCTTACTACCCTCCCCGCCCAATATCGCCAACAGCATCTTACACCTCGCTCTCTTCAACCTCTCAACAGCGCTCTCCTTCTCCCCAGCCGCATATCTCCCCTTATCCGCCTCACAAGTCTCCAAAAAGTGGCTTCGGAACGGATTCACATGGATATCATGCTCCTTGTACAGCCAGTACAGCATGAAGGTAGCATTCAGCCGAAACCCAATATTCTTCTCCATTGGTCTCCAATCCCCACCACCGCCACCACCACCACCCGACAGCCCTCCTCCACTGACACCCCCGGGTCCATTGACCGTCGTAAGCGTGATTAGAATCTCGCAGGCACGTGCGAAGTGCTGCTCTGGGTTGGGAATCGCTTCGAGGAATTTTGTTGCCGTGGAAGCGAATGGGGCGGTTACTGTTTCCAGCAGACGGCGTAGCTCCTCGGGGAGCTGGGCGAATGAAGCCATAATCTCTCTCTCTCTCTCTTTTTATGGAGGGTGGGGACGAGGGTTCTAGTATGTCGATACAGAGGTAGCTTTTATGTCAATTCGCAAATTCGACCTGGCAATAATACTATGCATGTCATGGGGAGGATGATGCCGATGATGATGAGGGAGAGGAGGGGAATCGGGATTAGAATTGGAATTTACCTATGTAGGTTAAAGATACACCTAATACAAAAGACTTCTCAGAAAACCCCCCAGGAAGATCAAAACCCTTATCTTTAGCTGACCCCCCGAAAGTAAAGATCTATTATTTTATTTTTTATTTTTTCTATTGTTTTTTTCTTATACAATTTTTCTAAATTTTGAGATTGGTGGATGCAGGTTGTGAGGTATTTCGACGTGGGGAGGAAAAGAGAGATGCACAACCGGATTTAAAAAAATTTGTGGTTGTGGTTTTTTTTTTTTTTTTTTTCTTGTTCGGTATTTTTCTGGGGTGGGCGTGACCTCTCTCGTTCTCTTTCTCTCTTAATTACCATCTACTAATCCTTTCCCCCTTTGCCTTTCCTTTCGCCCTCTTCACTTCGATGGAATGAACAGACAAGACTATTTCACTTTGGGAAAGAATGCCTAAAAATCTTTTAGAAATTGATTACCGAAGACGACGACATCGTTAAATCTGATAGTTTCCATTTAAATTTTTTTAAATTTTTTTAATTAAGATTTTTATATATATTTTTCTCGGATCAAACTGGGAAACTTATCAAGCACGATGCCGAATTCAGCCCAGACGAAAAATCTTATCAACCAACCGAAGAACATCAAAAAAAAAGTCTCATCTGGGTCACCAGAAACAGGTAAACAAAAGGCGGGGGAGGGGAAGAGGCGAAATCAATGTAATAGCCATGGGGAAAACCCCCCTCATTCATAATAATAAAATCATCCGATCTCCGATCTCCGAGATCGATATCTATACCTAAACATCATGAAGATAATAAAATAGATTAAGGTCGGTTTATATAACCGTCCTCATCGTGACCATATCTCATAACAATCGTGTCATTTCATATCATGTCATGCCATGCCGTCGAATCTGTTTTTTGAACGAAATCCCTCTTAAAAAGATCATATTATGCCTCAATAACGTTATTCTCGGTACCAGGAAAGCATCAGAATAGCGGCGGAATAGTATATTTCAACGCCTTGATATCCCTGAATACCACACACCTACACCCACATACTCATGGCCGAGGGGGGGATCGAGAGAGAAATCGCAGGGGCCCGATCGAAAAAAAAAGTAAATGGTTCGTTGGTTCGTTTCGTTCATATCGTTCGTTCGGCATTTAATTTGTCAAGAAAACATGTTTCTGTTTGACCGAAAGCGACTGGTTCGAGGTGGTTTAGTCCTTCGGCAAACATGCGAACAGAAAAGAGTGTGACCTAATCCACCCCGGTTAATACGAACAAGGATGACCTTTTAATCTTTTTTTTTTTCCATCGGAAAGGGTTACGTCATTTTCCTCACCGAACGAACCGAGGAGGTTTTCCGCTTCAAACGAAACATTTCTGCAGCTGGTGGCCGAATTCTATCGTGACGTCGACGGGGAACGGGGAATCAAAGCTTGATCTCATCCCCAAGCTTCTTAACATCGCAGATAATGGTGATGATAGCAAGAAATATGAAAGGTTATTGATAGGTATGAAATGGAAATGAAGAGAAACTTTCCCTCCCTCTTTAGATTCATTAAGTAATAATGGGGTCGTGATATGCCGACATGAAACGTTTCGAGAAAAGGAAAGAATAAACGATAACGACGTAGATAGAACACAAGGTGGGTAATCAGAAAGGCTTTACAGACACAAAGGATACAATAAGGAAGGAAACGCCAAAACAAAGAGAAGACAAAATGTATTTGTTAGAAATCAAAAAGAGTCAAGGAAGAAAAGAAAAGAAAAAAGAAACCCCGGCGTCAGCGGATTAGAAGTCTGAAGAAGAAGACATGGGATTTGTCGGGACGTCCGGTTGTTCTTGCTTCCGGATATGCATGGCACTTTTTTTGGGTCTTTTTTCTTCAAGCTGCTCCCCCGCATATGTTGATGCACAACCAGTCAAGCACAATGGAATCAGCGCCTTAGTCTCGCTTGGCACCAACCATGCTTTTAGTCTTTTTGAATAAGAGGTTTCTTTCCCGCTCGGAACCGATAGGAAAACTCGTCTAGCTGATCATGAGGTGTCCGGCGGTATTCGGAAATAGAAAAAAAGGGAAAAGGATGTGTAAAAATTTTAAGGGAATGGAAAGCTCAGGAAAGGACTAATCAGGTCATGTTGCGATTTTTCGTGCGACCTGCAGGTCCACCTAGTACTTCAGAATGATGTACAAGGCGTGGATGATACTGGTTTTTTGACAGATATGTTAGCGTATGACAGAAATTATAGAATGATGATAGCATTAGGATAGATAGAATAGGAACATACCCAGGAAGGTATCCGAGAATTGTGAGGAGGACGTTGATCCAGAAGTCAGCGACACAACCTCTCTCAAGGAAGACACCGAGAGGTGGGAGGATGATGGCGAGGCTGTTATTGTCATCATGTTAGTACTCCGTAGATATTGACCTACTATAGCTATAGCTAGTAGCACTCGACTTACATGATCTTGCAGATGTCGGAGGCGGTGAAAGGCATTTTGAATGTAGATAGATGCTTCGGGAAGCTAACGTAATGCTATGTCTGTTTGATTGGATTTGGTTTGGAAGAGGACTGTGTAGACCGGATTGAAGGTTTTTGTCTTTGTCTTTGTCTTTGTCTTTATCTTTGAGGATGGGAGATGATCGATGATGATTTGATGGTGAAGGTTTATGGTTTGGAAAAGAGACTTGAGCAGGTTTATATACCATTTGTCTGTCGACCGGATTCTCTTTCATCACACTGACACCAGCCGGATCCAGAATTTCAGACTAACTAAAAAAACCAACCAAACCTGCATCATAGTATCACCCAGTTCACTTTCTTTTCTTTTTTACCTTTCTTCTTTTCTTCTTTTACTGACTGGCTGATTTCAAAGACAGGAAATGAGTCCATGGGCATACACACATTGTATACTGCATCCATTACCAAGGCAGGCTAGACGGCCTTGGAAAGAAACCATTGTCTAGCGCCTGGCACACCCGCCGCAATGTCGACGTTATCTCCTTAAGCTTCGTCTCGCATTTCTGCGCCGCAGATTGTCTATATCTAATCTAATACGTAAGTACTCAGGATCTATGTATAGCACACAGCTTCCACTGTTTATCTCTGAATTAATTCGCCGTGCCTCGCTGAATGTTGAATCGAATCTACCTAGGTACAAACCATGGTATCTGTTTGCATCTCATCATTGTCATATCCAAGGCCAATGAACATGCATGCGCAGTTCTTTGGATTCCAATGCAGGCCAGTATAGTTTAGTCCAGCTCGGTCCAATCAGTGTCGTCATGGGACCCTTCGACGTAAGCAAGCCACTGGCCACCAAAATCGAATCCATGTGCACCACCACACACCACCATCCACCCGTCATTTAAAAATTCTATTCAAAGAGCCGAACCGAAAAGAAAGAGAGAAAAACTTGAATAGAAACAGCAAAAGATACCCTAGAATTCTCTTAGCTGCCGCCGACGGAGGCAATTCATTTTTGTGTTCTCTTCTATTTTTTACTTTACTGTTTTTGTTTGTTCGTTTGTTGATTCCGTTTGTACTGCGAGTCAAGCCTTTCAGCCTGACGTCACCAGCGCTTCACCGCTTTGCACCACCTGCATGCTCCCAAGTCTTTCTAACCCTGCCATGCCTCTGCTCATTCGACGGCCAGAGCGACACCCGGACTTTGCTTACGTATGTACTTTGCCTGTAAGTACCTACCTGCCCTGCCGCCCTAGCAAAAATACCCAGCCCTACTATTAATATACCCCATCCAAGGCGCATTTTCATTCGCTCATCATTCATTACTACCTATGTAACGAGACTAACTAAGTATGTAATAAGGAAAGAAAGAGAAATCACCGTTTGCCCTGTCAAATTTTGAAATAGCTAAGGCCTGCTTGCGGGCGGCTCGACCGGTTTTTTCATTTATCTTTTTTTGTTTTTCGAATTCAGGGAGCTCCAAATGGGACTTTGGGTTTTTTTTTTGGCTCATGCCAGTCCGGATATCTCGGAATGTTGCCTCTTTCGCTCAAATATTTTCTTTTCGCGAAAACCCCGGCCCTGGCATTCGGCACTGGCCTAAGCAGGCAAGGTGCAGTTGCAGCAAGCAAGCAGGCGCATCGCAATCCGTCAGCCTGCACCCGAATATCGTTGCAAGGCTGTATTTTGTCGAATCCTTGAGATCGAATTGGATAACAATGTTGTCCCTTCAATTTAACATCCCCTCACTCCTTTTTTTCTTCTTATTGTTTTGTATCCGATCCGATCACAATCAATTAATACTAATATAATGAACCCGAAAACTAGACAAGCAAGCAAGCAAGGAAGTAGTTAGCAAACAGGAATGGAAGGTGACTGTTGAACCCGAAAAAAGTCCATTTACATGTATCATGGAAGTCAAACTGTCACATTGCCAATGCGATCATTCTCATCGGCAGATCGACAACCTGTTGACGAAACGGATCGACGTTGTTCTGTACATGTGGCGGTGGATGTGCCACTATGGCTGGGTAAGAGCCCAAAACGGGATGTTTGTGGCTAATGACAACATGGCCAACGCAAGTGTGATAAAGAGGTCTTGGCACCGCCACAGGCATTACGAAGTGTATTCGATCCGTTGCGAGTAGTCATATGAATACTCATGATGACATAAGTTATTTCGAAACTACCCGCCTGAGGATGCCAAGCCGTGTATAGAACATTTTTCGATCATATTGATAGCTATTACTGATTACTAACTCACTAACTAATTAACTAACTAACCAACTAACAGACAACAATAAGGATACTTGAAACCGAGATACTCCATAGCAGGACATGCTCGCTCAACTGCAAAGGAAATGATAGAGAAACAAGAACGAGAATAGAGGCATGCATGAAGCAAAAGTTTCCAAAAAAATAACAGAACAAACACAAAGATAATACAAATATCAAATCACAGTCACTAAGAAATACTCCCAAAAGTCAAGTTAAGTTGTCTCGTTTGCATCAGACGTTCCCACCCCGGCTTCCAAGTAGGCACCTCCCTAGCTCCCATCCGTCCAAACACTATCCCTATCAGCCATCAAAATACCTTCTTCTCCTTCCTCGTCGCTCTCCTCATCATCCTCCTTCAACCCTTTCTCCCCAAACCGTCTTTCATACTCCCTCCCTAAAACCATCCAGGCATAATCCGAAAATACCAATCTCTCATACCTACCTTCAACGACCCCCCTCCTCAAACCCCTTCCTTTCCCTTCAACCGCCACAAGTCTTCTAACCAATTCAACCATATCCTCAAGATCTAATCCATCCTCTTCCTCTTCTTCCTCTCTTCCACCCCTCCCCCCTATATCTTCCCCTCCACTTTCCAATGCTCGAGAAAGTAAATGTAACCCCCTTCTCAATTCATACACAAAATCAACAGCATAGAGCGTCATCCCATCACCACTAAACACCACAACCCCTTGTCCCAAACTCCTAGCCACCAATTCATCAACTTCTCCACTACCCCCTCCTCCCCCTCCCCTCCTCCTATTCGCACTACTACTACCACCACCGACTTCCTCTCCACTACCCCCCATCCCGAACCGTTTTACCTCCCTCTCGCCACCATTGTTAACCCAATCCTCCCTTTCAATCCCAAACTTCTCACCAGCCCTTAACACCGCCGAAATCAACACCTCTCTCTCCTTACCCGACAACCCAGAGGTTTGTAATAAACTGACCGATTTTGTAAAACCTTTCGACCGGAAGAATAATGAGAAGATTATTGACCCAGTGACGATGAAGGTATGGTGTAGTTTTGTCTTTTGAAGGAGACGGGCTGAGATGTAGGATAGTGCGGTGGTTAGCGTTGGGGTATCTATCCCCCTTTCGTTGTTATCGTTGGAATTATTATTGTTTAAGGGAGGGATTGAGAGGGTTTGAAGGTGTGGACGTGAAGAACGTGGACGACCACTGTTATTGTTGTTATTGAAACTGGGGGTTCGGAGGGGTGGAGTCGGGGTATGTGGGTATGGAGTCGAAGAGGAGGAGTAGTGATGGTGGTGATGGTGATGGAGGGAGGAAGACATGATTGGATTTGAAGGGTGGGATTGGTGGAGGGTTTCTTCGTTTGATTCTTCTTCTTCTGCTTCTGCTTCTTGCTGTTGTTGTCGAGGAGGTTGTGATTGTGGTTGGTCTGGTTGGGGAGTACGGTGTCGGCGTGGGCGTCGCTGTTCTCGTGATTGAGATGGGCCCATTAATTTTTATCGAGTGGGATGCTCTATTTTTTCTCTCTTCTTTTTCTTCTTTTTTCTTCTTTCTCTTTTTCAAGGGGAGTAGGATATTGGAGGGTTGAGTATTCCTCTTCGTAGGTGTAAATATCAATACCTTGCGAGAAGATGTAATATCAACCTGTCCAAGCTAGAGTATTATAAGAAATATAAAAGAGGAAAAAAAACGGTGGTTCCGAAAGAAAGAAAAAGAAATCTCCCTCAATTTCGAGATAAATAAAACAGGATTATTATTATTATCTTTCCAAAGAGTAAAGTTTTCATAGAACCACGTCGGCCATCATGTAGACATATATATCATATATAAAATATACCTTTCCCCCCCTATAATAATAAAAAGAGTATAGGAATTATGATATAGTATATGATATGATGCCTGTTGTCCCTTATAATATCTGAATCAGAATATCTTAGGAAGTAAACGATTCTTCCCTTTCCCCCTTCGAGCCAGCTAGTCTAATTCGAAAGAAAGAGAAAAAGTTTATTAGCTTAACTGTTGGAAAATGTCTCTGATTCTTAAACAAAAAAAAACCGTTTGTTGTAAAACCGTAAAAAAACGATGTTGGAAGGTACTAGTCCGGACGTATTGTTATATACCCACCGTCTGTCTTCCAAAAATACAACAATATCTTTGTACTTTTTATATAGGGTGGTGAACAATGCAACGGCGCCCATTAAAAAAAAAAAAAAAGGAAAGGGGGAGGAAAGAGCCTCAGGTCAGGTCGGGGGACGTAAACGTGAATACGTAGGCCCAATAGGAAACACAGCTAGGGCAGAAGAAGGATCTTTGAAGTCTAGCCGTGACTAACTTGATCATGCGGCATGCATGCGGGTACGCAGATATGCATATATGCCTATGAACAAACCGCCCTGCGCACAAGGTTCCACCTATGGAGGGAAAGGAAAGGAAAAGATAGGTGGACGGCAATTGAGGAAATAAAACTGACCAATAGACCCTTGAGACGATATGACTAAAAAAAAGGTAGAAAAGAGAGAAAAAAATGATGAGAAGGAGAACCGGACCGTAAGCAAGGAGAGAAAGGAAAAGTAAGGCCACCTATCCAGGCACTACCCAGACAATTGCAATGGCACGAACAGAATCCCTGAGCTCGGCTTAGACGAGGAGTTTCTGGTTCCTCGTGAGCCTCATATACATCTCAGGAACTATACACCTTGTTTTCCTCCCTTCTCTGAATTTCGGGCTCGCGGTGGCTATATATTATCCACTAAGATCTTTGAACGGAGATGCGCCTATAGGATCGATGAGAGAACAAAGACAGGAAGAGAAGGATAGACTATCCACGCCCTTCCAGGGAATGATTTGACATCTCTTCTTCCCCTCCCCCGAATAGACAATGTGGAGTACACACAGCTCATCCAATTACCCATATTCAAAGGAATTCCAAGTAACTCCACCGTCAAAAAAAGTCGACCCCATAAAAAAGGATCTCAATGAATTAGGATAATCCAAGGGAATGCTAACGATACTTCCCGTCAAGGCATATCCAATAGAAATTCCATTTCCTGGAACAAAGACGGAAACAAAAAACGAAGAAAAGAAAAAAGAAAACAGAGCGAAGTAGTAACTAGCCGACTAGCTACATACCTCTAGTCGGGAAGCCTGACAGGGTATGTACGGAACAAGGGGAACGTCGATACCCAAATGAACTCAGAGCTCGAGCTCACTTGACCGGGCTCCACCAATAGTTAGCTTTAGCTAAGCTATCTATGTCATCCTTTTGATAAGCGGGTCAACTCAAGGTATGCAAAGTATACTTCTTTCAACCATTTTACTAGCGTCTATACGCATAAATAATGATTTGGAAGAAATACGTAAAAGAGACCGTGTTCTTAGCTTAGCTATCCATGCTGATCAGGGAATAATCTAAGAAAGCAGGATCTGCTAGGAGGAGGAAGAACAGCTAGAATAGTAGCATATGCGTCTGTGCCTCATACCATAATTTTTTTCTTTCCGACTTTCATGAGAGCTCATGAGGAAAGAGAAAAGAAAAGGACCAGCTAGCGGGGATTAGAAGCCCTCGACTAGTAGACGGATGAATAGACCATAGTAAAAATAATGTGATAAAAGTCGCACCGACGGAGGAACCATTTCAAAAAGAAAGTTCAAAAAAGCAAATGGACAACCAAAAGCTCCAGCTTTCAACAAGAAAGTGATCAAATCACAAACCCGTGCCGAAGAGAGAAGTTAACCAAGCATAGCATTACATAGCTAGCTCTAGCTTGGACTAGAACACCCCCCCTTCCGCAGGCGAACTTGGTACCTGTGAGGTATATCAAGTCCCTCGAAAAAGAAATTCAGAACCCCCTCGAGAGGAGGATGCAATAATTCGAAGTTCATCCGAACATCGTCCCGTGTATACTGCATAAATATAGAACCAATTGTAATCCGCATGGACCTATCCGCCTCAAAAAGCAAGGCATACAGTACAATACCCAGTCCCGGGATGACTAAAGTACCCTCCCAAAGAAAGGCTCTTAGTCCTGGAAAGTATCCAACTGGTTCGCCCTACTTTCGTCTCCCAAATTCCGTGAAGATGAAAAAAGAAACGATGAAAGCAAACTAGAAGAAGCTTCAAAAAGAAAGAAAAAAAGGGTAGGCATAAGGCAACAGATCCAAAAAAAAGCCTAAAGGAAAACCTCCACATGGACGAACAATCCAGATCCTTGGATACTAGTACCACGGCCTAGGTGGCACAAGCCAAAGACATGGTATCAAAAGGTACCACAATAATAGCCAAAGAGGTTAGCTAAGCCGGCACCCCCCTAGGCCGGTACAGCTATGGGACCAGCTATATACGTCCCAAAATAATGTGACGAAAACTCGCATACTCCAACCATCAGCTGATAAAAAATGTGATATAATCTGTCTCCACAGGACGTGCATCAATCTTGAAATTCCAAAGGCAGGTATACACGGCGTTAGCGATAATACCAGAGTATCTCGCCAGAAGTGTAAAAGATAAACCGTCTACAAGCCTCCACAGAAACCTTAAGATCTATATCATATAGCCAATCTCACATGATCGTACGATATAAGCCCCAAAGAAGATTTAGCCAGAGCAACTGTGAAAGTCTTCTAGCCTCACCAATCGCAGAAGCTATCAAAGAGAAAATCGATCAATGAGTCCATCTGACAGTCCCAACGAAACTAAACCATCGCAATGATTTGTAAAAGAAAAAGGGTCTGAAACGGCATTAGGAAAGAACAAAAACATAGCCTCAACGCCCTCAATAAACTCCCAAATAAGGTATCCATTCACCAATCTCTCCACTTCACATCCAACAAGTGAATGAGTAGATCTATAGAGCAAGGCAGAATACCCTCCTTGGACCGATCCCGGGCCCATTGTCCGCAGTTTTCCAACGGACTAGTCTCTTCCATATATAGGACCACAAAGCCGTAGCGATCTGATCACATCAACCATCGAACGGCTTGTGCGTATATATATCTATATATATACCCCACAAATGTGACGAAGAGCTCGACGAGGTGCATATCAGAGGAAGCAAGGGTGAGGCGGAAGCATCGAGGCGGTGAAATATATATATCAACGATTATAAAAGCAAGAATAAACGGGGTCGAAGAACGAAGGATTCAAAAATAGAATCATCAAAGAATAATGCAAAGTAGGTAGAGCAAAAAGCAAATACAAATAAACAATGAAGAAAAGCCCCCAAGAGAGACATAGATATATCGAAATAAAGACCAGGTGCACATATAGAAAGTAGAAAAAGGATTAATAAACACTTACATAAAAGATCAGAAGGCTCTAAAAGAGGACCCCAGAAACCCTGCACAAATCTTCCCTCTGTACATCCATACAATCACCCACCTCTAACGACTCCAAATCTTCCACGGGACTCTCCAACAATGTTGGGTCCAAAAAAAGCGGGATCAATTGAATGCAAAGAAGAATGGGGAGGGCGCTAAATCAATGCTGAGGACCCGTATAGGAATTTTCTCTATCTCCACTTTGGATCTGGGGGGCTCATACAGCAGCTTTCTCGTACTAGTCCCGGAATATCGATTCACTGAAAGATATTCCAATTATTTTCTTGATTTCTGCTTCGACAGCCGCCGACGCCACAGGGTGAGATCCCGGTAAAAAAAAAAAGTGGAGAGAAAAGAAGAAGAAAAGAATTTGAAAGAGAAAGTCGGTATGTCGTCGTCGAGGGTAGGCGCCGTCTGTATGTGCTACTCGAGAATAGGCTCCACACCGGAAACCCAGTCAAAAGGAACCCGTAAATTGAGAAAAAAAGGAAAGACAGGGAACAAAAGTCACGAGGTCAGCTTAGACTCCTCCGTCAACCTAACACTAGAGAGAAGAGGGAAAGAAAGGTCCAAGACTATTCGTAGATGCGACTAAGAAATTGGTGTGTGTTGCTCCCCTGTTGTAAAAAAAGGTCCGAAAAGGAAAGGGCAGCACACCCAAATCCAACAACCATCCACCTGGTACCGACAATGTCTCGAATGTCGCTATTTTGGTCCCTCCTTTTCTGTGGAGGAAGGGAGAAGAAAAATGGTAATAGGATAGAGAAAGCGGGATCGAAAAAGAAAGAGGGTGTGGAGCTCCAAGAGGAAATAGCGAAATAGCTAATAAAAAGATGTGTGTGGGTATGTATGTATGGTGTGTGTGTGTGGCTAGCTGAAAAGAAGCATAGTAATAACCCGCAGAAGTCTTGAGACGGCACAGCAATATCGCAATGAGTGTTATAAGATATCAAAAAAGAGGACTAGGCTAGAATACGAGAAGGAGATAAAAAGATATTTATCATCAAGTTCAACCGCCTGTCAGAGGAGAGGAAGAACAATGAGAACAAAGCGAAGTGATTCACATCCCTCAGATCACAATATGTAAGTTCTTAGGTAGTATATACTACACAAAAAGCGTTACCAAATATATCAATTGCGACTTAACTTGAGAAAGAGACCAGGCAATGTTGCAATTGCCAGCGAGATTTCATGTATCTATCCCTTGTCAATTGAACATTCTCTCACAAAAGTCCTTCACATATCTCTCTTAATCACTTGTCTCAATATCCGAGATTTCTCAAGGGAAAACAAAACCAAAGGCCTTCTGTCTTTTTAGGAAGGAAAAGAAAAAAGGATGTGAGATATCATGAAATATGCACAATGCAGTAGTACCTCACAGCTAAAAAAAATACATACTAACCCCATCATAGCCTTTCCACTCGGAAACAGATCTGTTTCTCTCCATCCGAAAACGATCGAACATGCAGAATTGAGAAAAAAGGTAGGAAAGCAAGAAAAAGACTATAAACCCCACCAGTGGCTAAAACATGGCCCACGTATGTCAATCAATCAAGCATTTCACGAATTTGCTAGCATTGGCACGGAACAAAAAACAAAAAAAAGAGAGGCCTTATGCATAATGGGCGCCAAAAAAACAAACCCCTCCAAAAAGTTGAAAGCTTACACAAAATAGAGACTAACTAGGTAAAGTCTGAGTATCAAGCTTTTGGGACACACAGAAAGGGAACCCCTCAAGTGGGCCGAAACCGAGGCTATCGAACCTATGGAACCTTGGGAGTAGTTCAGGTGTTGCATTTTTAAGTGTGGAGTTGACTAGGTTTAAGCGCCGACGGTGAGGTCCACCCCGGTTCATGCATGGCGTTGCAGCAGTAGCTGGGCGGTTCGCAGAACCAGGTCCATAACGTCGAGACGCCCTTCGAGTATACTTGCTGTTTTTAGAAAGATGTGATTCTGGGACGAGAAAGCTGTTTGAGGCCGGAATGATCCTTCAAGTTCATAAGATTACTAGCTAGGTATGCACCTCTCTCTCTTTTTTTATTAAAAGAAGACGAGATTGCATTAGGAGCCTCACTACAGCTGTGCAGGTTTTAAACAACTGTGCTGTGTGATGTGATGGCACTACGGCGACAGTGAAGCGTCACTGCAATGGCACTGCAATAGCGCTGTCTAAGACGACATCAACTTCACGATACTCGGGATATCTATTATAAGATCACTATTTTTGTCGGAGGAAAACCCTGTATTCTCATTCGAATATTCCATCATTCATAAAGAATTAAGAAGAATAAAAAAGAAGTGTATATACAAAATCGAGTTTTCACCTCTCTCAACCTCCATCGCGAAAGATGAGAAAGAAGTTTCCTTCGACCAGGGGGGAAAAAAGGAAGTGGTAAATTATTCGTTTAGACGAATAATCTATTCATCATCCTCATCATCATCGTCGTTAACAACGTTATAGAACCTAAGCTCATAAACGCCCTTGCTGGTAGAAACGACACGGAGCCAATCACGGAGCTGGTTCTTCTTCAAGAACTTCTTGGTGCTGTATCCAGGGGAAAAAAACACTTATTAGCATACCGTCTTAAGGTCATGTGCGGGAGGAAGGTAATAATAATACGTACAGATACTTCAAGTATCTACCGGAGAACTCCTGGTGGGCAACAACCACAATCTTTCCCTCTCCTTCAGTAGAGATTTGGACAACATCTCCCAAGTTTCCAACTCTTCCTTCGACCTTGATCCTGTCGTGCAAGAACTTTTCGAAAGCCGCAACATCAAAGATCTTGTCGGAGGCTGGTTGAGTAGCGTTGATAACGAACTTCTTGGAGACTTTGGCAGTCTTGCCCTTGGCGGTCTTCTACAAAACATCATTTTTTATGAGCCTACTGAATTTTATAGCCTTTGTGTTTTTCTTGTGTATCATCTTCCTATTGACACCCAACTCCATCTCTTGTTGAAGAGAGACGTGGAAGCTAAGGCGATATGAGGAAGAAGAAACAGAAAAGAAGGCGACCAGCAAAGCGGTTTTGTTTTAAAAAATGATGTGTAAGAGACGGTAGACGATAGAAGAAGAAAAAGAAGAATAACGAGAAACTCCCAGCTCTCTCTCTAGCTCTACCATCTCCCCACTCCATCCCTCACTCCTTCCCCGCTGTCGCTATTTGTCGCCGGATCTAATTCTGGAAGATGTGTTAATACGTACGGTAGATGGAGCCATTGCTACTGTTTTTTAGAAGTGAGATTGACGGTTAAGGTCGAGGGTGAATGTATGTGTGTGATGAAGGGACGCAAAGAGGTGGATATCCTGCGTGTGTACGAGCTGACGGTTGAAGGTTTGTAGATGGTTGTTTGGGAAATTTCGAGGTTTCAGAAGCGAAAAAAAGTTGTCAATGTGGTGGACTGTTCTTGGTGGGAAGATGCACTAGTCCGGATATGGAAATCACAGTCAACGACAAACAGTACATCCAACACAGCAACGCACTTTCCGGGTTATTGGATTCCTAACTCCGATAAGGCTACACCGGACTTAGTCCGATGGCTGTCTCTATTATATCGGCGATATTGGCCATGGGGGGCACTTAGGATTTATGTCACAGATGATGATGATGATGGAAAACACAGCTTCACTTATTATTGATAAGAAACCAAGAAAAAAATTTTGAATCATCAATGCTTTTCATTCTTATATAGAAGACCAAAGAGTATGCGCAAGCATCTCCTAGAAAAGTATTCAGTACCTAATTAGGTGATTAGGTAACTAGTACGCAGCAAAGATACAATCCTGACCCTCTTCAAAAAGCTAAAAGGCTATAGCTAAAATCAACTCTTTCTACATCAGAGAAATCCTTCGCCCTTAAATCAACTGTGTAAAAGCCCTGTTAATGGGCGACCTGATCGGTGTGACTTCCTTCCAGAAATCAATGGTGGCCTTCGCACGCTTGGCAATGCCCTCAGGTGTGAACTCAAACTTCTTGTAAATATCCTTGTATGGTCCGGAAGCACCGAATCTGTTGAGACCGAATTGTTCATGAGAGTATTTCTCCCATCTATCAACAATATTAGCATTTTATCTTTGATTTTCTTGAAGATAATAGATATACGTACCCAAGAGTAGTGTAAACTTCAACCGACAAGATTGGAATGCCGTCGGGAAGAACGGAGAGACGATACTCCTTATCCTGGGTATCGAAGACCTCCCAACATGGCAAAGATACAACACGAGCCTTGATTCCCTCAGCGGCGAGGGTCTTGATGGCATCAACACAGATACCGACTTCAGAACCAGTGCTGACGAGTGTAACATCGGCTCCCTTCTCCTCGTGGACGACATAACCTCCCTTGATGGCGTGCTCGATTGTGCTGTTCTCGAGTTGTGGGAGGTTCTGTCTGCTCAAGCAGAGGACGGATGGTGTGTGGCGGCTGGTAAGAGCGACGTAGTAGGCAGCGGAGGTCTAAATCTATTAGCTTTCGCTCTTTCTTTAAAAGTATTTTCTGATTGCTTACCTCGTTACCGTCGGCTGGACGCCAGACCTGGAGGTTGGGGATCGCACGCAAGTGGGCGACAGTCTCAATAGGTTGATGGGTAGGACCGTCCTCACCAAGACCAATGGAGTCGTGAGTGGCAACTAGATGTGATCGTTAGAATAATGTTAATAAGAGCACCGAGGAAAGAGAACACATACCCCAGATGACTTGATGCTGGGAAAGAGCGGATAGACGGACAGCACCGGCGGCATATGAGACAAAGTTCAAGAATGTACCACCATATGGGATATGAAGGCCATATGCAGCAATACCATTCATGATAGCACCCATACCGTGCTCTCTGACACCATATCGGATATATCTACCAGAGTAGTCGCCAATCTTGGTGCTTGGGGGTTGGAAGTCAACAGCTCCCTTCCAGATGGTCAAGTTAGATCCGGTCAAATCGGCAGATCCACCGATGAGCTCTGGGAGAGTATTGATGACCTTTGCGAGGACGGTCTCGGAGAGTTTACGAGAAGCGACGGCAGGGTCGTCAGACTTGTAAACTGGGAGGGAGTTTTGCCATCCCTCTGGCAGTCTCTTCTCGAATCTTCGGGTTAGCTCCTCAGCTTCGAGTGTGTATTGCTGCTTGTACTTGTCGAATAGCTCATTCCAGGCCTGCTCGGCGGCAGCACCCTTATCAGCGGTCTCCTTGTATGCGGCATAGACCTCTGAAGCGACATCGAAGGATTTTTCTGGATCGAATCCAAATTTTTCTTTGACTGCCTTAGCATCATCTGCCTTCAACGGGCTGCCGTGAACGCTGTGAGTGCCTTGTAACTTGGAACCGTAACCAATGATAGTGGTGAGCTTGATGACGGATGGCTTGTCGGTGACAGCTTTAGCATTGGCAAGGGCGGTCTCGAAAGCTTCGAGGTCGTTGTCACCGTCCTTGACGTGCTGTGTGTGCCAGCCGTAGGATTCGAAGCGGGCGAGAACATCTTCAGTGAAGGAGACGTTAGTATCACCGTCGATGGTAATGTGGTTATCATCGTAGACGGCAATGAGGTTTCCGAGCTGGAGATGGCCGGCAAGGGAGATAGCCTCGGCGGCGACACCTTCCTGCAAGCAACCGTCGCCGAGGAAGACGTATGTGTGGTTGTTGATAAGATCGAAACCGGGCTTGTTGAAGGTGGCAGCAGCCTGTGCTTGGGCAATGGCGAGACCAACGGCGTTGCTGACACCCTGACCAAGAGGACCGGTGGTAACTTCGATGCCGGGGGTATCGTGAGCTTCGGGGTGACCTGGGGTCTTGCTGCCGACTTGCTGCATGTCACATTGGTGTTAGCTCTACATTTCTACTAGTAGTAAGATAAGAAGTGGACCTACCCTGAAGTGCTTGAGGTCGTCAATGGAAAGATCGTATCCGTAGAGGTGGAGCAGGGCATAGTGCAGCATGCAGCCGTGTCCGTTTCTTTATTAATATTATTATAAGAGTTAGTACCTGCTTATATGATATAGAATGATGTAATCGAATGAATAGTAATCCGGAACACCCGGATATCCACTATTCGGCTCCACCCAAAACTAGTGCAGCAGGGGGAGAAAAAAAAAGGAACTTACGAGAGAACAAAACGGTCACGGTTCAAGAACTTTGGATTCTTTGGGTTGAAGGTCATAGCCTTCTGGAAGAGAACATGGGCGGCGGGGGCCATACCCATGGGGGCACCGGGATGGCCACTGTTGGCCGCCGAAGTGGCATCAACCTATTGCCGTCGCACATTGGATTAGTACACTATTACTGGTTCTCATTCTCATTCTCGTTTGCACTCTTATAATCATTCTCATTTTTTCATCGTTTTTGGTGAAGAAATTTCAATTGACACCAATTGATGATGTTAAGATGATGCACGATGGCGGGGTAGTAGAATTGAGTAGTGGCGCAAAGTGTTGAGAGAGGGGCAACTGCAATTGGGGTATGTACATACAGCCAAAACACGGATGGTGTTGATACATTTGGTGTCCAAGTCGGTATAAGCCATTGTTTCTTTAAATTGTACCTTGATGACAGTAGTTTTGAATAAAATGGCGATGTCAATTAGGTGGAGGTCGAGGAGGTTGAGGAGCAGAGGAAGAGAAGAGAAGAGGAGGAAGAAGAAGAGGAGGGGATGGATGGATGGATTGGTTGAGGGGCGAGATACTTTATACTTTAACCTCAGTGCACTCAAGCTCAAAGCAAAGCTCAGATCTCCCGGAGGAATAATAATTTATACACGTTACATAGCACATACGCTTCCAGTTTCAATTACAATTACACAATTTTGCATATAGTTAGCCTGGTACCCAAGTAGCTGCTTAAATTTCTGCTGGGGATATTTCCTAGGAAAGAAAGAAAGTTAAAGGATTCATTTGTTTCTTTTTCTTTTCATTCGCTGACAGCCCGAAGAACCGGACCAGACTCGACTCCTAAGGCGAGACCCACCCCACCCCCACTATACTTTACTAGTATACTAAGTACTTATGTATGTACCCCTCGCTGGCTGGATAAATGAATTTATCCAGACCCTTCTTGCTTGCTTGCTTACTTACCAAGGGAGTGAGAGAGGACTTACTTAACTTCTCTAGAGCCAATCGTAGAAGAAGTTACAATTACCTACTGAGTACCTAGGTAGGTAGTATACGTACTATGTATACGTCCATAGAGGATGTGTAATAGCAGGATTGGCAATACTAAGCTGATAACTAATCCCGCTCTCTTCCTAGATTCGAATATAAATGTATTATTCAGCTTCTCATGCTGCACGAGCGCGGATTAGTTATCTCCCGTGATCTCTACCCTTGGATAGCTCTATCGATATCGCGCGATAAAGTCCTTGGCTCAGTTCTGAATGCAATTGCAAATGAATGCGAGACAGTTGAGACATAGTTGAAAGGCAGAAAAGCGAGCTCCCGAACCGGCGAATCCCTCCCCGGTGCAGTGCAGCCTCGACACGGGGCAAGTTGACATTCTATGTGTTGGAGGCATAACAAGATCTCACATTGCTTATCTAATCAGATCTGATATCTAATCAGATAAGATTAACTTCAATGTCCAACAGTTACCTATATAGGAAACTCGTCCATCATTTCTAAAAACAGCAATATTCGACCTCAGATATTACCAAATCGGGGAATTTCATGTGAACATGAAACTACAACCACAGCTCCAATACAACCTCACTCAATGCATGCAACCAGGGGAAGGGCCACGAATACCACCTCATCTCTCATCTTCGCCTTCATCACCATTCTCCCCTTATTCTTTACCTTCACCTTCACCTTCCTTCACTCTTCTTCTCGTCGATTCATCGATTTCTTACCGGTGATGTCCTACTCTTGCTGTGCGACTATTTTCACCTAACCACGCCGCCTAACCAGGTGTGCTAATTATAACACACTCCTCCCATATGCCCATCACGACATCACGAGATTACCACATCCCAATCCCAAAATACTTATAAAAAGAAACATCAAAAAGGGTAAAAGAGAGGAAGGGAAAATATACAAAAAATGGGCACCCGTCTTCAACGTTCCAGTCCCTTTCGGCTGCTCTTCGCACTCCTGGGTCTCCTCCTCTTCCTCTGGTGGATGATTCAACCATCCTCCCATTCTCCCCGAACCCTCAACATAAACCTTCCCGACAGCTCGCCACCAACCCCCACGGCCGCCCTAACCCCACCCAAAACCGCCCCAGGAATCAATGTAATCTCAATGAACAACCTAACCGCCACTGCCAATCCTTTAAAAAACTCAGAAAGACTATTAATCCTAACCCCTCTAGCCAGATTCTACGACGAATACTTTGACAACCTCTTAAAATTAAACTATCCGAGGAATCTAATAGACCTAGGTTTCATCACCCCAAAGACCCACGCTGGAAATATAGCAACCTTAAAACTCCAAGATGCCCTGCGAAAAGTCCAACATGGTCCCAAAAAATCAAGATTCAACAAAATCACAATCCTTCGTCAGGATTTTGGTACACCCACCGGTCAATCCGAAAAGGAACGTCATGCGATGAAGGCCCAAAAGGATCGTAGAGCATCAATGGCCCGTGCGAGAAACTCCCTCGTATTCACAACCCTCAACCCTACAATCTCCTGGGTCCTCTGGCTGGACTCAGACATCATCGAAAGCCCTCCATCCCTCTTCCAAGATCTAGCGAAACACAATAAACAAGTTATTGTCCCGAATTGCTTCCAACGATATAAAGAAAACGGCGTCTGGAAGGAACGTCCTTATGATTTCAATTCATGGCAGGACTCGGAAACGGCTTTGAACCTGGGGAAAACGATGAAGGATGATGAAATCCTGTTGGAAGGATATGCCGAAATGCCAACTTATAGAGCTTTGATGGCTTATCAACGAGACGAAAAGGCCGATAAACATGTTGAAATGCTGCTGGATGGTGTGGGTGGTACTGCATTGTTGGTTAAGGCTTCAATTCATAGAGATGGTGCTATGTTCCCTACATTTCCCTTTTATCATCTGATAGAGACAGAAGGCTTCGCAAAAATGGTGAGGAGGTTAGGTCATCAACCGTACGGCTTGCCTAATTATTTGGTATGTTTTTTTTCTATCTTCTGTGTTTTTGGTATCTCTATTCTAATCATATATGCATATACAGGTTTACCACTACAACGAGTAAACGCGAATTTCTCATACTCTATGATAGTTACATTAATTCTTGCCTTTTTACCTCATTTGTACAGCACGCGCGAGGGCGATTTTTTTTTTGGAACTCCTTATAGATATCTCCTTCTTGCTCTTTACCAACTACCATCACTACCTCTACTCCACTTTCCTAAGAATAAGACCCGCAAAAGGGAAGTTTTTGGAAAAGGAAAGAGTTTGAATCGGGGAAAAAAAAAGCATATCATATGGTCGGGGGAGTTCTTGTATTATCCATTGTCTTTGTTTCTATTTTCCTTTTTGTGATAAGCCGGGCGTCTGTACGTATATATGCATATTTTGTCTATTCTACATCTACTAGGTAACAACTTTGATCATCTCGAGATACTAAGCCTACCATAGTAATTGGGACGATGTACGACTTGGGGAATAATTAAGACCCTGGATGATTAACATGAGGGTTTAAACATATATATATACCGAGGTATATATCCCATCGACATGTTTAAGGCGCTATAGCTAGCGCTAGCATCCTAAGGTCTACTACCTCACAATTTACGATCAAGAAAGGGGGACCTTTTCTTTAAATCTTTCTTGAATTTCTTCAAATTCAGAACCTCAATGCCCACGCAGGATATAGACCAATACAATCCGGTCTGAATCAGCGGTAATCAATGGCACCAAAGTCTCACCCTTCCATCTAATATAATCTAACCTGTCCTTTTGCCTTCTACTTCCTTTCGATCTAATTACAAGTTGGTAAGAATTAAAATATGTAAAAGAGAATAGAAAAGAGAAGATCTCTCATCGAACAGAAAAAGACAGCTCGCAGATATTATCGCTATCATCATCCATCATTAATCGAGTGAACAGTCGCCTTTTGCTTCCCCGCATGCACTTCGTAAAAAGCAGAAAAAAGGGGTGAATGAGGAAGAAAATAATGGGAAAAAGAAAAATGGGAAAGAAAAACGCCGTAAAATGCAATTATCGCTTGCTTTTTGCCCCAACAGACGCAAGTAGGACATATTTCATGCTGAAAGGAAAAAATAAATGAAGAAGGAAGAAACAAGATCTATCTTGCCTCCTCACCAGATAAAACGTTGTGGTAGCAGTAATTATTGTTGTTATGCCAAATCGTAAAAGAGAATCTTTATCAAGTTCCCTTCCTCGCCAACTCCTTCGCAGCTTCCAACTCAGCAGCTACCCGCTCAGCCTTTGCCTTCTTAACTTTTCGGGCCTGAACGACTGCACCTTTCCTATTACGAAGATAGTTCTTAGCTATAGCTTGCAGTTGAGCTGGATCATTCGATTCCTTAATCGTATTGAGCATAGTCGTCACTTGAGTAACGCTACTGAGATGAGGGCAGATTGGACCTTCACCAAAATGGGCGATGCCGCACAACTGGCAATGTTCAACTTGTATTTTTCGCAGTGGGCATTCTCCAGGCATATGGGTGTTGGTACACAATTTACACTGGACTGGAACACCACGTGGAGGTGGGGGAGGGAGTGGGTATGCTTGATGGGGGGTGGGATATTGAAGGCTGGCGCCAGGGACTTGGCCGTGAAGAGCTGTCGAGAAAGTTCCAAGGGCGGGTCGAGGGTAGTTGTTCAGGACAGGCGTGATGCGGGCGTTGGCCCCTGGTTGTATCTCTGGAGGGATCGCCATCTGGAAGTAATCACCAGGCGGGTGAAAGGCTCCTCCGGGAGGTACTTCGCCAATAAATTGAGGCTGCCCAGGCAAATTCGTTTCCTGTGGCATATTCATTTGCTGTGGTGGGTATCCCAGATCTAGTGGATACATCTGTTGGAGAGGTGGAGGTGGGTGCATCTGTTGCTGTGGATACATTTGTGGCATGTTCATTGGGTGTTGGATGTGCATTTGCTCGGGATATATTGCATCGAAGTTGCTGCTAGGTCCACTTCCTTGCTCAGAAACCGGGCCAGCGCTTCCACTAGGGGAGCCAACACGATGCCCTCCATCGAACAAAGCACTTCTGCTTCGATCTTTTGGTCCTTCTAACTCCCCGGGGCGGAATGGGATGGCTTCTGTTCCAGAATCTGCATCACTCTCGCCTCCCGTTTCGCCGTCCGTTTCCAAGAAGTCAGTATCGTCATCTGACGTAGCTTTCTTCATTTTCTTCGCGTTCTTGGAGCCGGGACCGTCATCGACCTTGGCCCCCGACTTACTACCCGACTCACTACCCGACTCATCTTCAATATTTTCGTCAAGAACGTAGTTGGCGGCTACTGTCTTACGCCGTCCACGCCCGTATTCGGCCATCCTAGCAGCTCTTTCACGGGCAGCGTCGTCCAGCCTTTGCTGGATGATGTTGCCCCAGAGGTCGAGATCTGGCGCTCGATCCTCCTCGGGTTCGTTTACTATTTCGGCCCGCTCGCCGTCCTCCGTTGCCCATACTCTCGCAAACGAGAACTGTGCGTCTCTTTCATTGATTTCCTCCTGCTCTCCGATCGTATTCTTCATATGGTCGCGGTCCAAAAGCTTGTCGATGCTTTCTGGGGTGTAGATGATGTCTTTCACTTCACCCTTTACGATATCCTCAGCACCATATGCGAGGACACTCGCCACGTCGACCTCTTTCTCTTCCTCCTCTTGCCCTTCGGCACCCATGCGTTGAATGACCATATGATCCAACCCAAGTTTGTCTTTCGCCATGCGAAGCATCTTCTCCTCGCATGACCTGGCCGTCATAAGGTGGAAGACCAAAACTTTTTTCTTCTGACCGATGCGGTGAGCACGAGCGATCGCTTGAAGGTCCTGATGTGGGTTCCAATCGGGATCCAAAATGATAACCGTATCAGCGGAAGCTAAGTTGATGCCGACACCACCTGCCCTCGTCGACAAGATGAATGCAAAATACGGAGACTCAGGGGCATTGTAGGCATCAATCAACTTTTGCTTCTCCGCCGTATCATTGGACCCATCAAGACGTAGCGTCTGGAGACCTAACCCGTTAAGAAAGTCCTCCATGATGTCAAGCATACCGAGAAATTGGGAAAACATGAGGACGCGGTGCCCTTTCTCGTGGAGTTTGGGCAAGATGAGCTCAAGGAATTTGAGCTTGCAGCTTGCGTCCACCAAGTTGCGATGCAACAATTGTTGGTCCTGGAGCTTTTCTTCTACATTTTGGTCGTATACGAATGGATGGCATAGCACCTTACGGAGTTGCATGACAATGTTGTTCAGTTTTGAGCGGTTGGCCGGTTGGCCGCCCGTTTTCGACATGATCGCCCGTAGCAGCTCTGCATCCTTGCTGTATATCGATTTTAAGAGCTCCTGTTGCAATTTCGTGACAGTGAGGGGTACGATGACATCAGATATTGGGGGCAGATCTTTCAAGGCTTGTGCTTTTGTTCGCCTCAAGAAGTACGGCCTAATCCTTTCGTGGAGTTCGTTTAAATTCTCCTTTGTCACCTCCGAAAACTGTTCCTCGAGTTCTTTAGCGTTGACGTTGTCGGGGTCAAGGAACTGTAAAAGGTTGAACAATTCTCGGATATTATTCTGCAACGGGGTGCCGGTAAGCAAGACCTTATGCTGGAATTTCAATGCAGAAAGTTCCTTATACAGGATAGTCTCATCACTTTTCAGGCGTTGCCCCTCATCAACAACTAGAACCTGCCAGGGAACAGACTTCAGTGCAGAGCTGTGGTCAGCAATTGCCTGGTAGGAGGAAACCACGATGTGGCATTTCAAGTCTCGAGCGGACGCGCTAGGCGCGCTGCTGAATAGCTCGTACTTTTTTGTGAGTCTTAAAGACTCTCCCGACCCGAAAAAGGCGACGACCCGCATCCCGGGGGCCCATGTCCGGATTTCTCTCACCCAATTTGGAACTGTCGAATGGGGTGCGACGACTAAGCATGGCCAGACCTTATGTTCTTGCCGGAGAACCTCTAAGAATGAGATGATCTGGATGGTTTTGCCAAGACCCATCTCATCGGCGAGGATAGCGTTCTTCCCGAGAAACCACCTATAGTATAACCAATTCATACCTTCAATCTGGTAATCCTTGAGTGTTCCACCGGAGATATACTTGGGCTGGGTTTTGACCTCCAGCGGGTTAAAATTCTCTTGGAACTTCTCGCGCAACATTTGGATAGACTTGAGGACGCCACGGGGTAAACGGACATGGTTTCCTTTGCAGTACTCGAAATATGCACGCTTGAAGTCGGCATACCTTTCTTCTTCCTCCTCGCTTGGTGGTGGAACCCACATTGCCTCTTCGTACCCAAGGCCCTTGAACTTGACGAAAACTTCTATTATTTCTCTGATGCGATGTCTTTCGACGTTCTCAGTCATGTTTGGGACGATGCTGGTATACTTTACATCAAAAATGATATCAATTCGGAAATAACTTTCCGGAATTGCATCAGCCGAAGTCCACTTTGGCGGAGGATTGTACTTTTCGAATGCAGTTCTCATAGCTGGGAAAGCTATGGTATACACCCAGGCTCCCGAGGACCACTTCGCTTTTGAGAAATCATCGCCGGCTAAGCGGATCAGGTATTCGATCTCGTCATGATCAAATTCGTGAATACCAGAATCGAACGTATCTTTCGACTCTTTCAAGGCGTCATCAGATGGTCTCCACGCAACAAGATCCTTAATCTTCCCATCACCTATTTCGACACAATCTAAACAAGTCCAGTCTGAGTTATACTGGTTTAGTCGTATCTTTGCGATTCCAGTGCTCGCCTGCGGAGTGCTGGAGCCGCCTCGGTGTGGGAGGTGATGGAAGTGGCACGCTCTGTGGCACTTGCAACATCGAAAGAGAATGTTTTCCGGATTATTGATCTTGAAACCCGGGACATTCACTTCCGGTGTTGCTTCCCGTTCAGCTTTCGTTACAGGAATCTTCCTAAATGGCTCGCAGGAGCGTCCAACAGCACGGCAGTCCAAACAAACATCGAAGCGTGGTGGCCGTTTTTCGGCCTTGTGAGCCTTCCTGATACATCTCTTGCACTGGAGAACGAATTGGTGGTCTTGATGGTCTGAAAGTTTAGTAACAAGATGCTCGCGAGAAGCTCTATTCCCAATACACCCTTTATGAAAGGTGCTGGAGCAACCCTGGCACAAAACTAACGGCCCCTTCTGACGACCGGCAGGATCGGAACAGGTGTCACACCACCAGGTGTGGACTTGGGCGAACTGTGAATCATGGCTAAACTCCTTAAAAACCTCTTGCTGGTAGACCACACGAGGTGCTGAGGGCTTGACTTCGACAGCTTCGATATCATCTTCGTCACGCTCCTTGAGGCTGCCTTTGAAGTGGGCAGTACGGCCTGATCGACGGTTCTCAACTTCTTCTTCACTCCAAGATCTTGCGCGCTTCTTTGATTGCCTTTTTCTGGTTCGCCCTGATATGTCGTCATCAGAGTCAGAGAGAACCCTAGCAGTGTTTCGTCCCTTTTTCTTCCAGTGGGACGGCGTATCCTGAAGGTCAGATACGATAATATCTTCTGACGTTTCAGAAACATCGGAGTCAAAGTCATCAATAACTGCCGCCTTAGCTATCGCCTGGGAAATCAACCTTCCGGCGGTTCGAGCTGAAGTTCGCGTACTTCTAGTCGGCCTATTGCTAGACATGTTTCTAGAGCGAGATGCTTGTTTTTGTTGTTTCTTTTGTACCTTTTCGCGTAGTGCAGCTTGTCTGGCGCTGACTTTCAGACGTCTAGACTGGCTATTACCACCTTGCACTGGTATAGAAGAAGCTGCAGTAGAACTCCGGGTGCTTCTACGGGCGCGTTTCTGTTTCTCTCGAGGCCTAACATCTTCATCGCTATCCTCTTCTTCGTCATCATTTCGACCATTCATTGCTTCATCACTTGAATCGACAGCTATCGGTCCTTCATCGGCGTAATCATCGTCGTCATTACCAGCGCCATCATAGCCGAGCCTTGGACGCTGTTCGAATTCGGTGAGAGCTTCGTTTCCGAGGTCCATTCCTATAACGACATCCCACGGAAGCTACCAGACGGAATTAGCACAGCCCAGGCCTCTCAAACTCAAGCTTCCTGAAGGATGTAGCTTACCCATTGCGTTTCCCCATCCCAACTAAGGACTTTGTACTGTTGCTCACCATATCGATCTCTCTCGGCAACAATACGCTGTACTGAGGAATTGTCCGCTTCGTAGAAAGGATAATCGTCTCTGCTGCCTTCGAACGACGGAATCTCTATAGCAATTGACAAGCTACTATCTGGGGGAGGAGCAGGAGACTCGGGAAGAGAAGAATCCCCCATTTCCTCCTCCTCCTCCATACTGATATCGCTCATCGATTTCTATCTAGAGAGTCCTTCTCTGTGCAATTTTCAGCGGGAAGGGTGCAGTAAGGATAATACTTAGGCCTCAGTTAGCTCTCTAGCAAACTAAAGCTTGTAGAAGCTTCCGCTTCAAATAATCAAGAATCTTTGAGGGCTTGAAGATATCGAGAGCTTATGTATCGAGCTAGACGGCAGGGGATTTGTAGGGTTTGAGGCCGTTGACGGTGATGCTTGAGGGGTGGTAATGGCGATGGGGTTGTTTGGACGGTGAGGAAGAATGTCCGAGGTTGCGCGTGGTGAGGAAGATCATCGGTTTACGCGAACATCGCTGACCCAAATTTGTGGACCCTGCGATAACGCGACAACACATGCAGCTACTGAATGTCAAACAAAAAAACACACACACAACGCATTTCCTCTATGACGTCATTTCATAATGCGTTGCAATTGCAAGGTATATCCGCAAATCACTGAGCTAGGCACGTACCTACCAGGGTTAAATTATATATATATAGAATTCCAAAGATATAACACCACTAGTGCCCCGCCTAATAATTTAAAAATTAAGTACTAGTGTATCTCCTCCTTTATATTGGCTGAGACCTATAATATAACTACTAGTATTAATACATACAGCTTTGCTTTGTCGGTCTAAGTACGTATATATATTTACAGGGCCCTAACATGATATCTGATGTCGAAAAAAAAAATAAAAGTGTATGGGTACAATAATGTTCTAAAATAATAAATACGGAGTCCCCGTATCAGCCACGGGTTAATATTCCTGCTGGGGCCCGAGGGTTTTCTCCTCCCGCTTCAACCTCGTAAGAGGGTCATTGTAATACACAAGTTGCAATCTGTTGTCCGGTAACTTCTGGCAATCATCCATGAGGCTCGAGAATGCAGAATCTGCGAAAGTGCTCGGGACGAAGAACAAACCACGGAGTCCTGTTCTGACGCCGATATTGGTGGTTCCAATATCAGGATAGAAAACACAAGTCCAAAGATTTCCAGCCCCTATCAGATCCGTGTTCGGATATATGTAGTGATCCGGGTCCGTAAGGTTATAATTAATGTAAAATATCTGGTTACCGGAACCAACCCCGTTAACGTAATATTGAAACGCACTGCTGGTGGATATCCTAAATGTTGTGTTCGTATTAATGTTCTTCGTCACAGGAATAGCCCATGGGTAATTACTGTTAGACATCGTTACCTGGATATACCAGGATTTCATCGCCTGATCGAAATTTATGTACCAGTTGACTACCGGCTTATTTCCGTTCGCTCGAGGACAAGCGACTAACAAACTTCCAGGAGAGTAAGGACCACAATTCCATGAAGCGCAGTATCGAAAACTGCGCATCAGCATGCCAGGATATCGAGAATCAACCGGTCGGATTGCCCCAATGCCACCATAATCGACAGATGCCCCATAGCCTACCACCGACGTGGACCCAGCTGACGTTGTAGTAGTTACTTCTGATATTATCAACACAGACGTGGTTATTGGTACCGTTGAAGTCGAAATTTCAGGGATACTCTTGGTATCAGGCACTACTGCCCTAGAGCATCCCGAGGTAACTTGTTCCGGTGCAAAAGTGACGAGGTATTGTGGGATCTCTATCTGACGGTACTCGTGCCTCACATCATTTGCAACAGTATTCGTGACCGAAGTTGCACTGAAGGACGTCGTAGTCGCACTACTACTTGTTATTATAGGTAAGACGATAGAACTTATATCCGTCTCAGTCGTGGCGGTCGAAGCAGTTATACTCGGGTCAGCGAAAGTGGTCGTATTGGACACCGTTATGGTAGATTGCAGGATGGTAGAGCAATAACTCTGATAACCATACGATATAATTATTTGATAAGCATCGTAAGTGACTGAGGTTGAAGACGTCGTGGCTGAAGTGATTGACGATATTGAAGACTCTGAAGAGGCATTTGCTGATGCTGACGGGGACGAAGAGCCGGAACCCGAGCTTGCGCTCGAGGTAGAAGATACCGAAGGGTTGGCCGAGGATGATAGAGTACCCGAAAATGAACTGGTAAATATAGTTGAAATTGATCCAATATTATCTGCCGCCATCGGCATTCTCTTGACATCAAACCCCAAAGATTCAGGTACCAAAGCAATATCAACAATATCTGATATCATGAATAAGAACAATTTCCTTTTCACCTCCACCACATAAAACTCATACACGTTGCCACCGTATCTAAGTTTGGGTTCACCGTCCTCTAAAAAGAATTCTTCGGTAATGTCGCTAACCGTGATATTTGCATTGGCACCGTAAAGCAGCTGACAAACTTGACATTTCACAGAGCTAGACCCTGAGATCTGCCGTCTGAGGATACCGTCTCCGAGAGTTGGATCGCTTGTTTCTCGTAGGAAAGCAAGCAGTGCTGAATCTTCAGAGCTTCTCATTTCCCCATTGCTATCAATTTGGAGGGCTACTGGCACCGCATCGTCAGGTTTTAGAAGAACGACAGCCCCTGTGTTCACGTCAAATGTGGAGTAAAATCCAAGGTATTCTCCACTGCCTTGAACCAGGAATGAAGGACCAGGAATGGGCACCGTCGTTGTCGTACTTCCGGTGGCCGAAGATACTACAAGAGGGCTTGAAGATGATAGGAAAGTAGTGCTTGGTAGCAGAGAGTTCGAAACAGTAGAAGTACTCTCGCCAGCATCAGAGACAGAACTTCGAGAACTTCGACTCTGAATTGAGCTCAAGTCTTTCCCATTCGTGATTGACGTCTGCTGGACACTAGTCTGAGCGTGGCTAGTCAGCTGGCTTTGGTTGGAAGTTGCTGAACGCCCCCAGCTAATTTTGTCACACATGGGAAGAGTATGACTGAAGTCATAGCAAGTTCCGATCGTGACTGTTTCCGTACTATCAATGTAAGTATATATTGTGTCCGTTACCGTTAAATCCAAAATTTGGGCCCGAGCCTCCGCGAGACCTATCGGATAGAGTATCGCGAGGACATACATGCATACATGTGCATATGTGATCCTCAAGGATAGCTCCAAGTCCCTCATGCTGCATTTCGTGGCCAGTAGGATGGCGGAGGAGGGAAATGAATCTATAAACTAGAACGTAAGGCGTAATCGTAATGTACTCGTAGTACTTTATGTTTCAAGCTTGTGCGTATGAACCGCACTGGGCCTTTTTTGTGGAAAACCTTGATACTAGATCTATAAAAGGCGTCTAGCAAGGTCTTTGGAATGAGAGTCGTTTGATGACTTTACTCAAAATTCTTGTAAATTTTTTGCAGCTACGTAATTGCAATGATTTACCCACGTTCTTTTATCTGGTGACGCAATGGTCGTATGGGCAGCGTTAAACGTGCCTTATAATATAGCAGGCGCATATGACGAAAGAAAAGGCCCAGGCCCCTTTATTTTTAGCTATCAGCGGTCAGTTATATAATTATAATCCCCGATTAAGCGATATCCATGGATCCACTACTATTATACTTCCCACGTGTGTAGGTGATCGAATCGCTTGACTAGCTAGAACTTAAATCGGAATTTTATATTAAATGTTCATATGCCCAGCTACCTACCTATTAAATTTCGTCCTTGATATCTAACCTCGGGCTACGTCAATAGTTAAATACTAGTTGTACATACTTACTATGCCAGCAAATAGGGTGATATTAGTACGGTCGGATTATATTACGGTATCAATACGATTAATTTTAGCACTATTGAAAGAATTCAAACCGGTGTTTTAGTCCTTAATATCCATTAGAATGATATTCAAAACCATATCTTTCTTATGATTGGTATTACACTGGTATCCGAAATACCCCCCTTTCCGGCACAATATATAAACTCAAATTTTTGAAAATTGGAAATCAACATATTCCAACAGACACCAGCCTCGAGGCTACAGATTGCCTTATCTTATGCTAGGGTATAAAATTAATACGCACATGCAGAAAGCTGGCTGTCATATTTTGATTTCCTACGAAGATAAAGTTGTATGCTTTGTAATATATTATTAGCAAATAAGGAAAAATATATAGAGATACATAAAAAGAATAGTACAACCAGCAAGTAAACCATGAAACCACAAAACTACCATGCAAAAATTTGCCTAATTCCCATTTTCCGAGCTATATTCACTGAAACGGGAACAAAGATTCCCATTTAGTGATCCTCCAGAGTGAAGTAACAAACTCTGGCGCTCAATACTATCGAAAGCCCCACTTGATAACCAAACGTATTCTGACGCCCGTGAGCCATTGAGGTGCACCTGTGGGAGGGGCTTTGGGGGCGTACAGATGCTATTAAACCCGATGTCGGCTCTATGGCCAGGAGGAAGTTGGAAAAAAATCGGAATAGACATTCTATTATCCATGCTTGTGCAGGGAGAAGTAGGTACGCCAGTTGAAAAATTGTGACTTCCATAAGAAGGAGTTCTAATAGTGCGTTCTGATCCGCCTTCTTTTACAGTCGGTAGGGTGGTATTATGTCCATAGATATCCTTCGTGACATCTCGGGCCGATCTTGATGATGGTACAATAGTGTGAGCCGGGTGTACGTGTGCTGGCGTTCGTAAGATTACTCTCTGACCGGCAGGGGGGCTATTTTCATCACGCACACCCGCCTCTAGATCGTTCGAAATATTGAGTCCGTTCTTCGGTAGCGCATCCCGGAACCATTTTTCGGTCCTTTCTGATTTGTCTCTGAGGACCAAAAAGGATATAATCCCCAGAACCAAAATGTTTATGAGGATGAAGAGGAGTATGAAGATCCATATGGACCATATTGTACTAGCATCTATGATCAGGCTGATAAGCCTTATTGACCATGAGGGTGAGACAGCTCCTTTATCTTGCTGGTCTCGCATTTGAATAGTTTTCTGTGAAAGGGGGGCCATATCCGCTCCGTAGGCTTTGCCAGCGGCGTGTATACCAGGTGGATACTTAGGTATAGGTGCACGTGTACACACTGTTAAGACTTTCGAAACTCGTCGCCTCTATAGATCTATAGTAGATCCAATATCTTACTGGTCGATGAAGACGCTGCAGCGCTAGATAAAGAAGAAACTTCCTGGATTTTTTGTAGATGTGGAGGTGGGGCTATTTACTTGGTGACCACATGTACAAAATACAGCCTCTTGGAAGGGTGGAATATAAAGTAGGCTAGGGGCAAAGCAAGCTATATATAAAGGTATACACTCCAGGTTACGTGTACACTTCATCAATTAATCAAAGGTCACACTTACGACGTAATCCTTCCAGTACAATTGTGAGCTCATATAATGGAATAAACCTCTCCTGATACGTCCGGTGGGAGTTCTTTTGTAAATTTTGCACATGTTAAACATGTTCTGCAGATATTGATATCTTTCATAACTCACTGTATATCCCCTTGTAACATCCTACCAGCTTTTGCCCCACGGAGTCCATGAAGCAAGCAGTGAAACTAGGAGACACGTCATTTGATTGCAGGTGATTTTTTGGTTTCTTTTTCTCCTTCTTACCTTTGTAAAGCATCCCGAGATGGATGGTGTATCACTCTTTTTTTTTTGAATCTTGAATTTACATTGGAATTTCGGGATTTTGGTCTGATTCTCAGCCTGTAAAAATCAATTACTGAACTTGATAAATCTTCCCAGAATCTGGATGTCGTGTGTGTGTATGATATGGAGATATAATATCCTTTAAACTAGACAGGGTGGTGTAATTGTAGAAAAACCTATGATATTAATTTCCGATCTAAGTCTTTAGCAATAGTTCCATTAGTCTAAATCGTTAAGGTGGGACATAATAGTTGATATATGCTTACGAATACATGGGAAAGGAAATTCCGGGGTGGGAAGATGGAGAATAATGTTATGAAGTACATGTGTATATTAACTTGGTCTCGTGCGCGGCACATAACTGAAGCAATGTTGGTTATGATTCGTATCGACAATCGACATACGGTCGAACTAATGCTTTTCTATCATACAAACCTGAAAATACAATTCGAAAGAATTTGAAGCTAAGAATATAAAAGAAAAGAAAGAGAGCCAAATATATATCAATGAAAAACGACAACAAGGTCAGAGGGATAAATAATATACAAACGCCTACCGGCTCTGTAGCAAAAAGCAGCGCCGCAGCCCGTAACCATTAAGACCCATCGTTTTGGTTTCTTCTACAGAGCATGGGGTGGGGTACCTCGAGAATCCGAAGTGATACTCGCAGATTGGTCGGTATTGAGACTACCAGCTGTTCCATGGTGCTGGAGGCCTGAGGGCTCGCTACTCACGCTGAAGAGGTCGCGTCGACGTTGAAGAATAGGAGGATTGTTTCGAACGAAGCATCCCAGAGAGCCTGGAAGTGGCTGTATCCGTGTTCTCGTTGGTGGCATTGGAAAACGGAATTCAGTTGGACCCTCATCTCGTGAACTTATAACATCAAGCTCATATGTTTCGCCATCAGTGTATCTCGAGCCATCACCCCCAAATTCACCCGACATTCCAATAACTGAATTTGAGCGCCGAATTTGTTCCCCAGAGACTAGCCACTCAGCTGGAACGGTCCATCCTGTAGTTGATAGAGGCTGTAAATGTGGGATGACAGGTGCACCAGCTGACGAGGCCGGACTCGTCTGTGGAGTAGGACCATTTATATGAATTGCCGGAACTCGCTCTGCCCCACCGGCGTCTAGTGGTTCTGATGTCTCCGGGCCAACATGCGTCTGGGTTTCCGGTAATCTGTTATCCCTCGTATTTGATCCCAAATATAGGGAACCCAAAGCTGGAGAATTCTGCTCAGGTGTCGCTGCAATCTGACTCCAGCTCGAGTCGGAAGTTGTTGAAGATAGGTCTATAACCGGGTTGACAGACGAAGATCGTTGTACTGTCCTCCACATACATGATGGATAAGAGGAAGCTTGCGACAAAGTCGACGAACTTCGAGATCTAGTTGGCTCTGCTGATTCATCCGCAGTTGCAGTCCCAGCCCCAGTCACAGTCGCAGTATTTCCATGATCAGATACGACCGGTACCTCTACGGGTATAAGTTTGTGGTTTTCACAGCATGGACAGATCTGAAACCAAGCAGGCTGCTGACTTCTATTGATACCAAGCTCTACATTCGAATTCAACTTCTCCAGCTCACCTTGTAAGCGGAGTGATCGTTTTCTAACCCCCCAAAGGATATAACTGCCAATAACTCCTAGCTGGAAGCCTAACAAGACGCCAGCTATCAAGGGCAACATCCATACGACCAAAGGGCATTTTGTTGTATCGTCGAAATGCCTAGTAACATGCTGCATGATGTCCCAGCTTATACCAGGACCGAAGTTGGACTATGAGAGAAATTGTTGGTGGATAGCCAAGGACTAATTGCCTTGAAAATAGTTATGCTTCCCCGTGATCCTATTCAAGAACACTGATCTTGTTTGTTTTTTTGCCGGGACAGGAGAATAGCGGCTACTAAGGGCTCTAAATTGGGTCTGAGGAAGTGATCAAAGGGAGACGGGGCTTCTTAAGATCTTTTTGTAAAATTTAAGATGGGAAATTTAGATGTTCTGGAGTTAAGCGCCTAAAGAGGATGGGTGATACGGGTTCCGAGAGAATATGCTATGACAATCTCATCGGCGCTGCATTGGACTAATTGAAAAGTTCGGAACGAATTATTATTGATTCCATGAAAACATTATTTTATTACCATAGCGTCACATGAGGTTTTATAGATTCTCGAATACATCTCGATGAGATAGCCTACCGTATAGCCTACCACTATTCCAGACATAAAATAAGATACATCAATTGCAAGGCAGCCTTATCCAAACAAAGTAAAAAGAAAAAGTGTGGAGGGGTGTGAAACAGTACCCGATAACAATAAAGCAAATCTACAATCACAACCTTCCTAGCCGTCCGCAATATCCTAGAAAAAGGGATTCTTGCGAACTCGCAGGTTTGCATGTTGGCGGCCGGACGTGGCCCGTTTGTATGTTCTAAAACTGGTTACTCTTAAGCAATCTGGAAGTTCATCGGGTTGCGACCCGAGAGAAAACTTTTTGCCGTGAACTTAACTTGGGTGTTAGAGAATCGAATAGCACTTCTTCCCGCGTTTGCTGTTCTTCAAAATAAGGCTGAGCATGAGGTCCAAAGAGGGTTCATTTTTTGGCGCCCTAGCAGTCGATCCGGACCCGACGGTGGATGTTTCAACATCAGATATCCTTGATAATCTAGGGTCTAAGGTATTTTACGATCTCAAAAAAATTTAAATGGTAAAACCCCAACGAGGGCCACAGGTATCTGATTGAAATCGAAAACAGAGTTGTTCTTGCGATCTTGTCGTTCATTCTGACCGTTCGAACCTTCAAACTCCCAAAAACCCTGTATCATGTTGCATTTTTTGCAGTACAACTCAAAAGTGTGTATGCAGCGAGATAATTAAGCCGATGCCATTTTATTCTCAACCATGGGTTATTGACGTCATACGTCATCAAAATCTCGAGGGCATCCATTAATCGGTTCTTTGCGATGTGGGGTCTCAAGAAATGTATTCCTGTGCCCCAGGCCTTCATAACGCCTGAAAGTGCAGGCTTTCTGCAATTTAATTGTACTGTGCCGCACACTTATTTTAGGATAACTAGACAAAAGCAAGCAGCCTAGGACGAATCGACTCATGAATACAGCCAAGTACACAGTGTGGCCTAGTTTTGAACTTGAAAACAAACTGACCATGTTGACGGTTTCTAATGAGCAGATCATATGGCCACTAAAGGCGGAGGAGGGAATCTGAAGGAAGAAAGAAGAAGAAAGAAGGGAAATCGTTAAACAAGGCTATGATAAAGACGTCAAAACATAAAAGCAAGCAAATGGGTAGTCGCAGTGAGTATATGTACACATAGAAGGGAAACATCCTTCATTAACAATAGTCGAGGGAGAAATGATAATGGCTATCGGACCGCGATAGCCATAGCTAGAGTCGAAAAAGATCGAGGTTTGTGTATCCTCACTCCGTGTCTAGTGAATAAATAAAAAATAAAAAAAAAAAAAAAAAAGACGAAACAAACTCAAGGAATCATATTCTTTGGTTTCATATCCATTTCCGGGTCCCCGTATGCATGGATTATCGAATCCGTGTATTCATCCTCACTCGATATATCCGACTCCAGTCTTGAGACATCAGAGTCAAATCGTCCCCCAGCTCCCGTAGAAACCCGCTCTATCGGGCTATCAGGTACCGGTGTCTCCGTAATATCCGGATTTTTCTTATGTTCGGACATAGTATCCAATTCATGTAATGGAATGTCACCCATCAATTCCTGCCGTATCTTCGCAGGGGCAATCTCGTAGGTCTCGCTCATAGCATGGCTTGGTAACTCCGCCCTTGAGCTAGGCAGACTCCTGCTTCCGAGTTCGTGTGGTCCGAAGTTGTGGTTATAGATATTCCTTTCGCGTAGTCTGGCCTTCCTCCTCCTCCCGACGATGAAACGTATCAGAATCAACGGGACTACGACACAAGCAAGACAACCGATGGCAATTCCCGTTATTTTGGGACCCGTAAGACCAGATTCACCATCATCGTGCTTGCTCTGTTCTTCTGGGGGTAAATCTGCCGCTCTGAATACGTTTGTTCCGTAAGGATCGCAGACAAATGCTTTCGAGGTATCAGTATTCATCCTTAATAGATCCTTGCAGTCATATTTCAGGCCGGCAGATGAGACAACTTCGAAGTTTCCGGTAAGGTTGTACAACATCGGGAATTCAATCAGCGTAAAAGTGCCTTTCATGTCGATATCATCGGTTACTCTCATCAGCTTTGGGAATCCGTTGAGCCTTCTCCAGTTCTTATTGCCCTCTGCTGTCACACCCCCAGTAATCTCTTCGAGCTCAGGGAATAGTACATTTGTGAGGCCCGAGTTATTCGCAATAGCGAGGACGCTGAGAGTTCGTGTTCCAATCTTTTTCAAGAGTGGCATCGATAACGTCTCCAAAGTTGCGGAATCATAAACTCCTAGTGCACCCCCCATGGATTTGAGTTTTTTGAAATCAAGGCTACCGACTTCATGAATGTTGGCCGTGTTCAGATATTCCAGTTCTGGAAACGAGACATTGGGGCTTGCCCCAGTGCCATCGAGATCCAGGTTCGTCGAGATCGTATTGAGACCGAGCTTGATACTCTTCAGATTCGGGTTCCCGCCGAAGTAAACTTGTTGGACCTGAGTAAAGTCGATACCGATACCTTCTATACTCTCAAGTCCAGTATTCATAATCGTGATCCTTATGGCGGGGTACGTGCTATTTACCCTCGACGGAAACTCCAACTCTCGCAGTTTCGGCATACCGGTGAAGTCGATTCCCGCAGTACTGTTAAATTTCGGCATCGAAATATCTCTCATATTCGAACCATCGGCGTTACCCGCGATCATGAAAAGGTTCCCGACCATAGTAAGATTTTGTGCCGAGAATCTCTGTGTCCTATTGGCCAGGTGGATCTGGAACATCCCTCGAATAGCGGTGACATTGTAAAGATTTAGCTCGACGCTATCGATATTATTGAATATTACATCGCCTATTAACTCCGTGCAATTCGATAGTTCTAATAACTGTCGGGGTGTAGTTATTGTGATTGAAGAGCTATCGCATATCTCTGGTTCGGACTGCGCCAATGTGTTGGTAATGGTGAAAATGAGAAGAGTGAGCAAGGAGAGCAGGCTGCTCAATGATCCCATCGGTGTCTTTGTCATCTTGTAACTGTGCGTGCCCTGCGCAAACTATCCGGATGTCGGTGATATCAATCCAATGGACAGGGCCCACGAAGAAAGATGGCAAAAAAATCCTCCAAGAAGAAAAAAAGAAGAAGAAAATTGATTTCAAGATTTCATAATTTAGAAAAACTGAATTTCTGTACACCTGTTCCAAGAGTTTTAAACAAGAAACTCCAAGAAATTCAAAACCCGAGAAATAAATGTAAGGAAGTGAATCGGATTAATTGAGGGCGGTCACGCTCTTGAGTTCCAGGGCATATTTGACCTTATAAATCCCTCCTACATGCAAGCCCGTACCACATCCTCTTTCCCCATGGAGTTTCTACAATACGCCCATGTCTATAGCTCGAACGCCATCATCTGGATAAATCTCTCGGAATAGCAACCCTCCAGCAAGAACGCAGGAGTGCATGCAGAATCCTTGTCTAGTAGAGGGCGTTGGCCGCCTACCGGCATGCATGTTCAGAACTTTGTGCTTGGTAGGGGGCCGTGCTCTCCACAATTGCTATACACCTGGGTTCTATAATTGCGAGTGGGACATATCACGCATACCACTAACTTTTATGTTAGACCCGGCATTATAGCCACAAGAAGGCTTGGTTGAATTCCGAAAGTTTAATACTTCATTTAGTATCAATTGTATGAAATCAAGACTTTGCAAAATAGCTTGGAAATATGGCTCCCGTGGATGGGAACTGAGACGGAACTAGCACAGGTATGTACTACATATGTTAGGAAGTATATAAGTACTGATACAACTACGATAACGACGCAATCGATATCTCGGGAAGCCTTTTGATTCGCTCGTCCGCTCAAGTACGGCATCAGCATAACGCACTGTTCGGCGAAAAAATTGCAGATTTTCAAACATTGATAACTCGATTCCAACAGAAATGCGTGATCCCCCAAGCAAGGAAGTGCATAGTAGCCGAGTTTTCTGACCACCTAGATGCACAAGGGCGGGAGGTCGATAGTAAGCTCAGCCCCTTCGAGCTGCTGAAGATGTTCTAAAATCCACTTTCCAACTTCTAGCTTGAAAGAACCCATGTGTAACTATTAACTTGACTGTCACCTCGATGCACGATCCTCGCTTGCGGTGATTCTCCACTTGTTTTATCTTTCGCGGGTGCTGCGCAAACTTGCATGACCTTTTAAAAAACCTATGACAAAGAATATGACATCTCAGGATTTCGAGACGAACAGTCGACCCTATCGGAGGCCGAATTCCTCTATCTTCTTTTAGAAAATAATTTTCATGGTTTTCTTGGGCATGGATGGGCTGAGCTGACAGAAGTTGATTCCGACAGGAAGGTCTTTCTCGCTCGGTAGCTATCGAGTTTTCGATTCTCTGGCCTTGTTAACCAGTGTATCCTTGCACAACCACACGAAGCTTAGCTCTTGCATGGGATGAACATTGCATCAAGAGCCCCGACAAAAAAAACAATCCCACGACATGCCACCAGCTTCATCCACCACGCGAGATAACAGCCAAGGAGGAAAAAGGCCTTATTTGATGCCTCCAGATAGCGGAAAACACAGCGGCGGAATATTCTTCCCCAGTTATCCCGACAAATCTGACCCTATCTCGTGGCCACAATTCAGCGCACCTACCTCTCGGCTAAATGGAACCACGTACCGGCAGCTCCTCCGCATAAATTCCAGGGAACTTTCTAGTATTCACCCAAATCCTTTTAAATATTTCTTTTTTTTCAATTGTGAATTTCCACCAAAAAATTAAGTTAGGTCGGAGAAAGTGCCATAGTGCGCCATTCTGATCCAATACTGTGGAGTCCTCCTCGTCGGTATTGAAATTTGATATTCCCCTTGCAGCCTGGGAATCCTCGAATAATATTACAATACGGGATGTTTCGAAGCATCCATCAAAAAAATGGGGAGACATGCTCATTGATACCAAAAGACCCTAACCCCAGCTATACTCGGCAGATACGGACTGTAAAGCGGGGGATCCGCGTCAAGGGACAAGGTATTTACGACTTTTTTCGTGGAGTCCAAGCCAGCTTATTTCCTCAGAGTGTGGAGATGTTCACACCACAAATCCCAACACTCCACCGGCTTCTCGTATTTTGAGGCCCCTAATGCAACAAGTTGCAGTAGCGAGATATTCGAAACTGTGTTTCGTATTCATTTTTTTCACTTTCATTATCGTTTTATACTACTAGAGGAAATATAGTAAGTAGGTCAGTATTCTAGAAATCCAAAAAGAAGCTTTGGCCACCACCTTTGTGGATCCGAAGTGGATCGTGCATGGGGCCAGATTCACGAGACTTTTTCATCTCTTTTCACAAATACGAGTACGAAAAGTAACATACCTACGCGTACGTCGAATGAATAACTCCGTTAGGGGGGGTTATGTTACGTTAACTTGATTCGCCCTATGATACCCCGCCCCCATCCGATATCCCCGTCCGTCATTTCAATGTCTTAATACTTATATATAACTCAATCTCCAATTTTGGGGGGCTCTTTCTCAAGAAAGGAGACAACAATTGCGATTGCAATGTAATATCTACCAGCCGAAACATAGTACCGTTTATTTGAAGGCACCGGAGTATTTAGTTGTTATGCATATTTTATGTTGCATGCATGCATACATATATCTATACATCTATATATACCATAACTATTATATACCTTATAACAAAAGAGGTTATAAGATCAATGCACAACGATCGGATTCCTGTTTACTGCCTACAATCTTTCCGAAGAACTCGTTACTAGTTACTTATTGTGTATCGTAAAGCCCCTGTCAACATGTAAGTACTAGATGATTCGTTGGTTAATTAAAGTGAATTAGAACCGGACAATTAATTATAATTGATCGGCCGAAGGGGATATGCCAGACCGGGTTCTTTTTAGAACCATCAAGTCTCGAATTATATTACCGCTAAATCTCACTATTCTCATTGTGAGCATACCGGTCTGACTGCAAGTCCGGACCTTTCGAACTTAAGGAAACTGAGATCCCAAACTGCGTTGTTTTTGTTAGAAGGTTTTACGAATTCACAAGATTATGTCATGGTAATATACTGGTCTGGTCAACAAGATCATAATAATTAGTATACTACTAGTTTTATAAATTTAGTAGTAGGAGTTAGGTACCTAGTATTATTAGCTGTGGGGGTAGTATTAATGCCATGTGCACACACATACGGTTCCTTAGTATATTCCAACATGACAACCAAAGGAGTTTAATTCAAAGACATAAAGTTCCGGGGGCGCTCTGTAAACGAGGACTTGGGATATTAGCGATCTATTTTCATCTTCGGCGTAGTAATTCTATGCGGAATATACAGTTTAATATCAAGGACACCGGCCTAAATAGAATCCCAATTCAAAAGTCTAAGGTACATGCTTGCTCGGATATCGGATATCGAGACATATCTATAGATCTATATATTACACAGTAACAAAACGCCTATACCGTATCTCTATCTCATAAACCAACCCTATTTCTTCCGTTCCTTCAATTCTCAGTGTTCTATTCCTTTCCAAATCCTTTCTCCAGCGCCGGCGCCTCCATTGCGTTTCTCCCAAGCTCCTCTTTCAAACCATCAACCCATATCGTATTTTCGAGCATTGGGGGGTTGTTGTTTAGTCCTTATCCTTATTTTTCTTTATACCTCATTAGCACACACTAGTACCCATCAAGAGTTTTCAAAGCAGACTGCAATATATATAATTAATGTATATTAATAATATCGCGGGTGACATACCTTATCTTTGCAATTACATCTGCAAGGGCATTTATTTTGGCTCGCAGGAATGCGCCTGACACAACCTTTAATGCTACAGAATCTCTCGCAGGCCTTAACAGCGGGTTCTGGACAGCTTCCCGCCTCGACTGCGACAAGGAGGAGCAAGAAGCAGAGGAATTGCCAGACAAAGGTCTTCATGATGAAGGATATGTATCTTAGCAAGAAGTGCTGCGGGGTTGAATATATGTATATATGTATATGTATATATATAGCGAGGGGCGTAGAGGCGTATATCTGAGGATGTAGCTCGTGGAGTAGAAGGATATGAAAGTGTATATCGATATCGATGGGAGTAGAAGAGAGTTTTTGAACAGGATTTCGACGCCCTTTTATGCTCCAGCTCTCGAACGGTTTCTTTGCGCTATAGCGAGGAAGCCATTTGAAAGTATTCATTAATATTACTGGATCAATTTGGAATGGCTAAACGTTAGATAGTGGAACGTATCTACTAAAACTGCCCAAAATGGGTGCATGGACTACTGTATACGAGCCGAAATCATGATCATGATCACGTTCCTCTTACATATACCTTTTTCTATCTCTTCGGGAGGAGGTCAGAGAATCCTATCGCTGTCGTAGTATAGCAGAATTTATTTCTAGATTGGAATGCCGAACCCAAGGATAAAAATGATAAATATATCAATCTATCTATCTATCTCTTCGTAAATATCAGGAACATTGTATTCCACGCAAGCTACGTGGAGCCGGTAGTGGCACGGCCTCTTTGAGATATCAAAAGCTTAACTTATACAAGTCTAGACGTCTATACAACCAAGCCCTAAAAGTTACACAAGACTACCCGCGTATTTTAAGGCAAGCGGCTAGTGTTTAAACATTTAAATTATAATAACTAAGTCGGTATGAAGGTCCCAAATTCAGTTAGGATCGTCGGCTAGGAACCTCGGTACAGGGTACGGGGGAAAGAAGCATCAGGTCTTAGTGCATACGGGGTTCGAAAATATCCAAGAGGATTCATATACTTAAGTCCTTTTTATTGACTTGTTAACATTAACGATTGGGTGGAAGTCAACATCTTTTGTCGGCGTTATGAACTATCGAGACTTAAAACGGTCTGGGTTATAATGTTATGCAGCTGTGCCCGTGTGAGCTCGCTTCGAGCTATGCAGCTAGAGACGACTCGGCAGATCTGATAAGATTCGGCTGCAGTTGGCAAGAATAACTAATAGATAATCCAATTCAATTTCGCTTTTATACCTATAAGTATATATGGACCTGCGCGGAAGGTGAACTTGTGAACTCGGGAACGCTATCTGGTGTGTGTGTGTAACAAGCAGAGGATCAAGGTTGGTGCCAAGACACGAAACACGCAAGCGAAAAACTCGGCTTCGGGTATCGAATCTATAACTGGCTTGTTATCAACATAATGGATCCAACCTGCATTAATTTTCTGATTACAGTCCAGAAATCATCTGATTGAGTTATGCACAAAGTCAAATGAAGTTAAGAACATGGTATAAACTTAGTTAGATACGGTTGTACAAAACCCGAACTGTCTCTGGTCCGTTTGCTGGAGCCGAGGGCGATCGCCACATAACTCAGCTTAGAACATCCAGAATAAAACGAAACCGTGTCCCAATGGTTACACAAGGCAGAGAATGGATACGAAGGAAGTAGAGCAAGGAGCTCTAGTATCTACATCTATGAGCTACTATCGGGCTAGCCTCAAAGAGATTACTAGTCTCAAAGAGATTACATTATATCTATAGAAAGTCTTTGCGATATAACAGGTGGTTCAAAATCGAGTAGCTACGTAGCTGGTGTTGGAGACGTCGTATTTCGACAGTGGCTCACCGTTGATTCTAATAAAAGGGCGCTCTAACTGGCCAGTCGGCCAGCCAGTCCGTAGAATATCGATGATAGTTTTGACGGCATTAAACAACAATTAATATGAATAAATGCCGATAGGTATGATCTCCTACTATATACAATATAATCCTACACTCCCCAAAAATATATCATACAAGAAGAAACGAAAAAGCAGAAAGAAAGAGAGAAAGAAAACTACTTTCTACTGCATAATCTCAGATACACTCCATGTCCCCGCTTTCACATAATCCGTCTTATCCTTACCCTTCTGTTTTATCTTCTCTGCTTTCCCCTTCCCTCCCGTTCTCTTCTGTTCTTTCTCCTTCTCCCCCTTTAATTTTTCTGCCTCCTTTTTGCTCTCTTCGCTCCTTTCATGATTTACATCGCTGTTATTCTTGGTACTCTGCCCGTGAACCTTCACTAGAACCTTCGGATCATGCTTATTGTGTAACGCCTCCCGTACCGACGACGCATCATCCCTAACTTTCTTCCTCAATTGCTGCTGTAACTTTTTCGATTCCTTCTTCAACATTTTTGTTTGCTTTTTAGTCGGCGTCCCTGTTATAGTTACCCCCTTCTGAGCCGCTATCTCTTGAAGTCTCTTCGGTATTTGAGGATTCGGTTTTAGCTTTCTTGTCAGAATTGCCTCCGACTCCCCACCCGGGCTTTCCTTAGGCTTAAGACGGGCATCGGGGAGTTTAGTAACGGGTGGGGGACCGACAAGGCCAGCCGTAAAGTCGATTTCTTCCGGTTTGATTTCTTCCCATTCGTACTTTTTCTTCTTAGATTTCTCCTTGAGTTCTTTTTTAAGGGAAAAGTCTGCTAGGTCTCGGGTATCTTCTTCGAATGATCCATGGATGTCTTCCCAGAAGATTTCGTCTTCGGGTTCTTCTGCTTCTATCTCTGCTTCGGATTTCACTTCTTCTATTCCTTCTTCTTCGGCTGTAGATAGTTCAACTTTCTCTGACGTATCTTCCATTATATCGACTTTTTCTGTATCGATAAAGTTGTCGGATTTGTTGCTTTCAGATCTGTCAAGAACAAACTCAGATGCAACTTCTGCGGCCATCTTCCTTTCAAGTTCTTCAGAAGTTTCATTATCAGAAATCAAGACTTTGCGGGCTTCCTTGAAACCCAGCTCCCCTTGGATGTCTTTCAAAGCTGCCCCATCAACCCCATTCTCTTCCACCTCCTCCCATGGTTCATCCACATCATCATCTGGATTCCACCCCTTGAGCGGATCTTCCTCAACCTCCTGATCCTCCGAACTAGCCCATAGGGCCGGCTTTCCCCCTAAAGCCCCAACCCCAGCCCCCGCTGTAGCGGCCGTCACTTTATTAACCCCCTCATACCTGGGAGCCGTATACTTCCCATCATCAACCTGGAACAACATATTCTCCTTAGCCGCCGCCACCACCTCCCTCCTCTGAGTTCTCCTATCCCTCGCCCACTCTGATTCAGCCCCCTTAACCGCCGGGTACAAGAACGCATGCGTCAATATACTAGCCGCAACACCGACATTCAGAGAATCAACCACAACATCAACTTCCTCCGCTCTTCTAATCGTAACAAATGCATCCATCATCTTTTGAATCGATGGGCGTAACCCTTCCGCTTCATTACCAAGTACCAAAGCCACCGGATGTCGAGATGTAGGATCTCCTAAACCTTCCATGTCGTACCACTTTTTAGGCCCAGTTTTTGAAGCTTTGAGATCTTGTTGACTGGGGGAAGGCATGGCGCCGTAGAATTTCCAGCCGTGGTCTTGTGAGCGAGAGATGAATGAGGAGAGATGGCCGACATCGTAGTAATCTATACATTCAAGTGCGCCTGCCGAAGAACGTGATGTGACAGCTGTTGCAGGTGTAGAGTTTTTAGAAACGATAAAGACGGCGTCGACGCCGAGGAAGTATGCTGATCGAAGGATGGCGCCAAAGTTACCGCCATCGAGCTAGAATTCGTTCGAGGGTCGGGTTAACACTAACTTTTGTTGATATCGTTGGGAAGATACAAAGACTGAAGAACATACCACTTCATCAAGAACCAAAACAAACGGTCTCCGGTCCTTCCCTTTGATTTTGATTTGCACATACTGTGGTGATTGATAAACTGGAGCATTAAATACCCCCATCTTACTGGGTGCGACTAAGTGTCCAACCTTCGGGATCTCTAATGGCTCCGCTTCGACTGCAAATCCCTATTTCAAGCCTTGTCGTTAGCTTCCTCATCCTCTCGATGATGTTTAATTTATGAACTAAAACTGTAACCCACATTATGCGGCCTCCCTTTGCTCATAGCATCCAACAAACCCACATCCATCGTCGACTCAACATGTATCCTACTCTCCGCCGCCATTCTTCTCAAAAGGTTCTCTTTCTCAATCGTCCCAGACTGCCTCATCAGCCCAGTGTAAACATATAACTTATAGATCTTCCTCCTCTTCTCCTTCATAGCCAGCTTGCAAATATTGTACCCATACAAGAACTCCGACGAAGCCGACGAATATGGCAAAACCCTCGCCGGTTTCTTAAATACCGTTATTTCTTCGCGATCATCACCAAATACTCCGCCATGACGATTGTCCCCATGTATACTGAAATTCGGCCGACCATCATATTCCGATAGAAATCGTTTTCGTTCTTCGTACCCCCTGGTCTCAGATCCAGAACTAGTCCCATTATCCGTAGCTGATTCCATTGGTTCGGACTGCTCCCCGTTCCAAGGTTCTAGTTCTCCGTCTATGGCTGAGTATGTTTGGGTTGGCCACTTGCTTATTCTATGGTCAAAATCATCCCTTTCCGTCCGCGCAATACCATGGCTTCGAAATTTCGGTAGCCGGGGGGGCTTCGCTTGCTTTTCTGCCCATTGTTTAGATTCAACTGGGGCTTGCCAGGCGGGTGTATCTGACATATGCATTCGAATTCTAGGCGGCTTCCAACTCGCTTCACTCGGATTAGCTGCCCACGATGCCTTCTCTCCATCCGATGACGATGATGTTGCCGACCAACTAATGCCAGAACCTGCGCTAGTAGCAGCTTCTGTTGTCGAAGATGATTTCGCCTCCCTATATGCGGGAGGGTCGGGTCTAACTCTACCCAATACCGCCGACGCTGGCAGCATCGGATCGACTTTCGTCGATTCAGTATCCTTGCCCCATATAAACGACGTTTCGGATCCAGTCAACGCCGTCCCCTCCGTCGCCGCCGTCGGTGGGTTCGGTCTAAACTCCACAGGACCCATCTTTCTCGCTATCGCGGGAGGCGGTATCGATTCCCAAGCCGGATCAGTCGATCTATTGAACCCCATCTTCTTATCCCTCGCCACCATCTTTTCATATTTGGCTTGCCGTACTAGAGTCTTTTCGCGAGATGCTTCTGTATACCGCAGAACAATTTCCAATAAGTTAGTCTCTAAGATAAGAAAAAACAATGTGTTTTTTGACAAGTAGTTTTTTAAAAAGAGAGAGCTTAAACATACTATTCCCGCGAAAACCCCAAGGAGCCGAACCCCATAACCCCGCCGAAGAGCTTAACTGTCTATAGCCATACTCTTTATTTATACGTATCGGAACATGGCGACTCGTGGGTATGCGAGACAGCCCGGAGTGGGCAATGCCTCTGTACATCGACGGGGTATATTATGTATCGATTCGATTCGATTCCGGTACGCAAAAAGAAGGAAGGAAGGAAGGAAGGAAGGATTTATATCGTCAATTGTCAGGTCCTCGAAGTCGCCAGTAATAAGTTCGATAAAGTTCCAATAACTAGCGATTGACGATTTTTCAGGCGACAGGGTAATTGAATGGCGAATTGGTATGGTGGGATGTTGAGGATCAAAAGTGGGATGTGGGTCCGGAGCTAGTTAGCTATCGCAAAAAACTTTGGATGAGTTTTTGCCGCATAAAATCTTTTTTTTTAAAAAAAGGGCGACCTCGATGGCCTGCCGCATAAAACGCGGCAGGGGAAACCAACCCATGCAGAAAGACACGAGGTGCGGCATCCCACTGTCCAAATTGGACTAAAGTAGTACCACAACCACAAGCCGAAAGAGATAAGAAAATAACTATAACTGTTGTTACTATACGATAACGAAGGAATACCTGGTCTCGTGGAATACCCAAATGTTTGAAGTCATGCATATATTCGGAACTTATATATAGTCCTCACATGGCACACTGTAGTTGAACTCGCCTTGCGCATGAATACTATACGGTTCTAATTTGAATATTTACGATACCGATATTACATTTCTTTCACAGATTCCAAGTTTAGTTGGAATAAGAATTTTATTTTCCGTCTCTACGATCAGTCGCTCCACTAGGGGCCACTAGAAACCCAGAAATGCGGTACACGATAAGAACACCTCTTTTCTAAAAACAAAGCCGGTTTCGAGATCAAAAAAAAAGTACAGAAAACGCCGTGCCATTAACCTTCCCCTTTCTCTCTCGCATCTATTCACAAGATTGGCTTGCAAGAGAGAGGAGGGCTGGATGAACAATTGCAAGCAATTGTCGTCCATGGTAGAAAGGTGAAAGAAAAGGAAAGAAAGAAAAAAACGGGAAGAAATGAAGCAGGTATAAGACAGAGAAGAAAAAGATACAAAAAGCAAAAGGTATCAACGGTAGGAGGTGTAAGAAAAGGTTTGTTGTTGGTAGGAGTAACCAGAAATTCGCAATTAGTGAGGTATTTCTAAGAGTAAGTGTAGTGCAACAGCCAACCAGTTATTTCTTTTCTGTTCCAGTCGCTGTTACAATCTATAAATAAATCCAGAATCAAGTTTAAAAAAAAAAGAGAGAGAAGAAAAAAAAGAGCTCCCGAATTAGCTACGAGATGATGCGTTCCCGCAACATCCTGTTTTCAACTGATTGGGGAAGATTATAGGAGCATAGCACCAATAGCAAGGATGAGGCCCAAGGCGAGACCGCTAGCACCAACTCTGGTAGCACCACCAGTCGCTATTGGAGGCTCTCCGGTGGAAGTAGCAGTAGCGTTGGCAGATGGGTAGGATCCACCACCAGACATCTGCTCCTTAGCGAGGACAATGTTACCACAGCCGATACGCGTCTTGTTGGCATTGTGGAAAACGATGCTACGCTCGTTACCGATGAAGGCCTCGTCGTCGGAGTTCAAAGACAAGTATTTGTCCTAGATGATAGCTAGTTAGACACCGGAACGTACTGGATGAGATGTATATAAATATAATACTTACAACATAGGAAGTGCACCAAGTGCCTTTGGCGGCTTCCGTAGAAGCTTTACCGTGCTTTCCTGAGAGATCACCAACTTGACAGGTTTCCGGGGCATCGGCGTCACAGGCGGTGACCTCGCCACGAAGGTAGGGGTCGAGATGGGCACCGGTGGCAGTGCAGTTTCCGTTTGGACCGACAAGGAAGTCTTCGAATGAACATTAGACAATTGACTAAACGAAGGAAGAGAAGGAGAAGAAAAGGGGAGAACAATGGCTTACCGTGAACGTGATAAGGATATGGTCCAGGTTGAGAGGCGTTCACACCGGTGAAGCAAGCATGGATCAAGACACCGACACCTATAAAATCTATGATTAATACCGAAAGCTCCATAATCGAAGATATATCGTGATCTGTGTGTTTAACTTACCATCTTCGGTTCCGGTGAAATTGAAACGAGCAGACTTGATGTTGGAGCTCGAGAAGACAGCTTCGTAGACGACTCTATCGGAGTTGTTTTCGGTGATTGGAGCATCTCCCCTTTCACCAGTTTCGGCAGAGACGACGTAGGCACCTGTGAGAAGGGCAACGGTGGCAGCAGATTTGAAGAAATGCATTGTGATGGTTTGTGTAGTCTATCTGACGCTGAGAACAAGAAGAAGGAGAAAAAAGGGTAAGTAAGAAGTTCAAGTAAGTTTTCAATTGATCGATTAGGATCTATGGGAAAGAAGTTTGATGATAATGTTGATGTTGATGTTGATGTTGATGTTGGTGAAAGGATGATGATGATGATGAGGATGATGAGGATGAAAGAAGAAGGAGCAAGAAAAAGAAGAAGAAGAAGAGAAGAAGAGAGAATCAATCGGATTAAATAAAGCAAAAGCAGAACTTACGTCTATTCAACCCAAATCAAACGAATCCAATCCAACAGATCGATAAAATAAAATTGTTATAACTTGAAACGGCGGTCAAAGGAATGCGAGAGACGTTGTTGGTTGGTGTTATTATATTCTTCTTCCGAGAACAAGATGAAGATGTCCGATTCGATTTCAGTTGATGACAATGATATCACACAGTTGCACCAGATATAAAAAAATATATAGATAAACTGCAACAGTTGTATCCAAGAGAGAGACCGAGACCGAGATAGAAGAGAAAAGAACTTCAGAAGAAGAATAAAAAAGTCAGTTTGAATTCGTTCCAGATGTCTTCTGATATAAAGTGCAGGTGTGTTGTGTGGTGTTTTCGACACAAAGGTTAACTCGAAACCAGAGACAATTCGCCAGCTTGACCCGTTTGCATCCAAACTCTCCAGGCCAGGCTCCACGCTGTTATTATATACTACTTACTGGCAATTTATACAAAATCCCACTTCAATGGTTAAATGTCTGTATGATGTGCGTATGCCGTGGTAAGAGAGCGTTTTATTTTATTTTATTTTATCTTATTTGTCAGAGTGGAAGAAAGATCGAGATCCGGCGGGTCAAACGAGCGACAGAACAGGGAAGCAGCAGGGTGTTATCGAACTGGAGCAGGCAAAAGCAGGCAGGCCAAACCTCAACCGGTGCCTGGAGCAGCCGATCTCTCTCTCTTTATATTATACTCAATCCTGGTGCTATACAAGTAAGTAAGTATACCATTCGAACAAATCCGAATTCTTCCAGGGTAATTAACGAACGGTAAAAAAGTCACAAGATATGCATGCACGCGAATTATGCAAATGCTTCCACAAAGGAAGGCATGGATAGGCGCATAGTTGGCTAACTGGTAAACTATCCCTCCTAGTCTCACTCTATCACAAATCACAAATCTTCGGGCTACCCCCCCCTCCTCACCTCCAAATCCCTCCATTTATGGACACCCCCAAGGTCTCAAGAAAAAGAGACAAGAAGACAAGGAGAGAAGCTAGACCTCTGGTTTCTTAGGACCAGGGGTGTGTGTGCCTTGTGTACATACTACGTACTCCTGTTCTTTGTAATATCCGGCTTCCCAATCGCAAAGGAAAGGCGGGCGCGTGCAATTGGAATACATGATCGACAATTGCACCCGACATTCCATGCATCATTCCGTCGGATCTAGGACTCCATCTGCTCCATTCGATTGACCAGGGAGCGAGTACTTGAGAAAGGTAGAGAGAAAGAGAGGGAAAAAACAGCCAAGACTCGTCCGGATGGTTGCATGTTTCGATTCTCTTTTCCTTTCTTATTCCTTCAATATCTGAACAAATTATATCGACGATGAAGTAATTGATGCATGGTATGGTAACCCGTATAACTGCACAAGGACAGGCTGTTATACATGGGAGTACGTATTAGGCTTTTTTTTTGCCTTGTCACACCCGCTCCGCTACCCAATAATCGATTATCGCTGACTTATATAGAATGGCAAGAACGGTAGTTATTTTAAAAATTCTCCTATACGACGAAGCATTACAAGGCGGGATACCGGCTGGCTTTGTCCGTCTACCAATTGGCTATTACAACCAGTCGGTCAGTCATGCATCCCTGTTTGATATCTGAGTAACATATACGAAACATACCAAAGGATCGATTCCAACATGCAAACCAAACGACAGGACAGGACAGAACGGCTCCGAAAGGGCCTCGAGGCAAGCGGCAAACCATTCCACAATGCATGCAAATCGACCACGTTGACCTTCGAACTTCAAAACCCCGTTAACCGCTATCCCCAAAAATAAATTCACAAGAAGTTAAAAAAAAAAAATGATTCTTTTTGTTTCGTTTCTAATATATCTCGAACTCAATTCACCCGAAGATAGTAATTGGGAAAAAAAGGCGGTTCGCAAGGACATGCCCCTCAGCCTCATCGACCTTCTCTGCATCAACCTCCGACGTCACACATCCACCTTTTGCCTGTAACTTCCTCTTCCAATACTTCCAATTCTATCCTTTTCCCTCCCACGCACACGCACACAGTTCTAGGTTACTGGTCCGGCCTAATGAGAGACTGGAGCTCGAGGGTACCAATATTCCAGTCACCGGATTCCACTTACCTCTGCTCGCCAGCACCGTCCAGCCACACCAAATCTAAATTTCGTTTCGAAACAATATTTCCCTAATCAGTCCCCAACATCCGAACACATTACCAAATCATCTACATCCTAACAAATAATTATCTAACCACTACCCCAACTATCAAACGTGGATTCAAAAACTCCTATCGATAGATCGTCAGTCGTTCTCTCTTTTTTTCTCTTTCTCTAAGCTCATCAGGTAGTTCCAAACGATCCGGCACCCATCTTCCGGAGGGGAAAAAAAAAAAAAAAAAGTAATAATAAAGATTCCAACTAGTTCATTCATTCATACCTACCGTCGAGGAATTTAACCAGGCTACTGGGTTAACAAGAGAGAAAATAAAATCCCTTCTTTCTTTTTCAATCCCTCCTTTCGAGTCGCAATATGCGATGCATAAGCGTAAGCAAGTAACATGATTCAGTCATCTCGATCCGATACCGAAAGTTCCGAGCAGCTCTTCTCCTCCCCCCCTCGTGCTTCACATATATGAGCTCCCCTCGAATAACCACTAATATATACAGAAAGAGAGAAAAAATGAAGCTGCGCCCGCTTATAGGAGAGAATAAAAACGGCTCGGCTCATAGCCAAGCTTTTCACAAGCCTTTTATCAAAGATCGATTCTGGCTGGATCTAATGATCTTAATCAGGCAGCTGGGGGGTGGGAGCCCACCAAGGCGCTCACCCCACCACCGAACCGAAAGGTTTCAAAAACCACATATCTAACAAACGCCACCGTTAGAGGTCTCTCTCTCATGAAAACGAAAGAACTTCTTTTTTTTTTTCCTTTCAAGATATTTTTAGTAGAGAAAAAAAAAACATTAATATGCATTAACTAAACCGATAAACTTATAATGTGACATGTTTCCGTGCCAGAATCTGCAAATGGGAAACCAATTGTAATGCCCATATATACCTAATATAGGTTGTATCGATAGATATAAAAAGAGTACCCACCGGCGCACAGCGGGGTTGCCAGCGCTTCCACCTCCAAATCTGTCAACTATCTGCAATGCAGGGTCCACACTCCACAGGAATAAAGAAAATAGCTTCCCTAGGCTTAACATCTCTCGATTCGAGAATAGGACAATCTTTATTCCTTTCTTTTTTTATTTTTATCATTCTTAGCCTCATGAGTAGAAGCCCATCTTGAGAAGCGAAAGATAAAAAAAAAAAAAAGTCGAAACGCATAAACTTCATGCGATAACGTACAACAGCTCTCCCGTCGGAAAACCATCCAGAAATAACAGTAACACCAAGCGGATCCTCTTCAACCCCACCCAGCGCCGGATAAGAATCCCACCCAACTAATATACGTAGTCTAGCGCTATAGTTAACTACCTAGTAAGTAACTAACAGCTGTCATCCAAACTTCCAACGCAGATCCCTTAGCTTAGGATATACCACGGGTACGGCACGACACATGGGATCAGCTTCTCAAATATCTCCCTCCGTGGACGGAAGAATATCCATCACAAGCTTCTTTACAAGGGTCCTAGCAGCCGATATGGAATATACATAGACACATGTAAGATCTCGTTATTACGAAAAAAAAAAAAAAAAAAAGGCTAGAAGCACGGCTTTTTAGGATCCGAATCCTTACTAAAACCAATTCGGCGGATGATAAGTACCCGAAAAGAAAGAATAAAAAAATAAAAAAAACTTTTGTACTTGCTATATTGGGAAACTTAACTTAACTTGCTGGTTTATCTTTTTTAGAGGGGTCGTCGTCGAAAATGTGATACGAGACATCTAGTTACTCCTGCTTACGCCTCTCTTTCTCCTTCTCTCCTCTCTTTTGCCTTTAATTTATCGTTACTTCCCTCGATTATCAACAGTCCGAGTTCTAGAGCGTTTCGTTTTTTCCCTCTCGTTTGACTAAAGGTAAAACTAACTACTCCAAAATGTCTGAAACAAGTTTAATCCAAAAGAATTCGAGGCGCACGCGGCGAGCTTGCAAGCAATATGCATATGTACAAACATACATGACTGAAACTAATATACACCAACTTAGCCAAAAATTCAAAGGCTAAAAAGTGCAGGTTCAAGTTGCCGCATGGTCTACTAGTCGGATCAATACTAGTTAACTAGGTTAGTCAGCTAGTATATACTACTACCAGAGAACACAGATCTTACGAAGAGCTCGTCTCGATATTTAGATAGATAAATGAATAAATACATTTCCAAACATGTACACTGATAATATATATAATCGATTTATTCCAGCGTACGTATTCGGCCTAATTTGACCAAGACCGTATTGTTGCCCTAAGTGGATGTCACAATCTTAGGCCGCTGAAATGCCGCATCGATATCCCGCCAAACTAATATCAACACCTCCCCATGTTGTATTTTATTAAGATAAACCCATAAACAATATAACGTCTCCAGCTTCATGAACACAGACTTTGTATATATAACATACGTTAAAAAAAATGAAAATAATAAGCAAATTGAAGGAGAAAAGACTATCAGAACACACCTCCCCCCCAAAAAAAAACAGTAAAACAATTACAAACCCCACCTACTCCCTCCTCCTATACCCATACCTCCCACCATACGCATACCTCCTCCTCCCGGCCTCCTCCCTCCTCTTAACCCACCTCCTAACAACCCCCCACCTTCCAATCCCCTCAAAATTCCCTCCAAAGCCCCCAATAAACCACAAAAACACCAACGTCAACCCGAACGCCGTCCCAGCTGCCGTCCAAAAGTTTCGTGCATTGTACATACCACTTATTCCCTGAACCTCTTCCATTCCAAAGTACCCCATCACGATAGATATCGGAAGGAATACCATCGTGACTTTGGCCAAAGCTACCGATAGTAGTGAGAGTTTTTCAACGGCTTTGGTTTCACGGAAGTTGAGGCGGTTGTAGGTCTATAAAGTAATTTAATATCATTAGCTCGTTTATCCAATATTAAACCTGAGTATATATCAAGGTGGGGGTGTATAGGTATATAACATACCAAGGAAATCAACCCATTAGCCTCCTTCTCACAATCCTCAATCTCACTTATCGCAAGCTGTGAAATCCGATGCTTCAACCTTTCGAACCGGTTCATAGACAATATACTAAAACACTTATTTGCCGGTTCCTTAAAGTATGCTTTATTCTCCAACAACTGATTCAATATCAGTTCATAGCTATTATAAACCCTCTTCAACCCCGCCAATCTTCTCGCAATATCATGGAGTTTATCAATATGATCTAACATCGGATCTTCTCCTCTCTATTCGTTTTCCCCAAACATATATCAGTCTTTATTTTCCATATCGATAGTAAAAGAAAGAGGGTAAGGGGAAAAAAAACCTACAATCTCATTCAACTCCTTACTATAAGGATGCGCCCTATCAACCGCCAAACTCCAACTAGCATACCAATCATCAAACAAATAATAAAACAACAAATCCCTCGCCTCCCCAACCGTCCTCCGAACAACCATAGCCCCCTGTTCCATCGCCACTTCAACATCATTACTCCCACTCTTCTTCTTCGCCAACCCAGCTTTGGAAAGACACCTCAACACCACCCGGACATTCCGTCTAATATGTGAGATAGTATCTTTGATATCCCTGGGATTTGTAATTTCCTTTTTCATGGGTGGGATGGGTTCGTGGATGGAGATCACGGTACCGTCGTGGGTCATTATTAACCAGATATAGAGACGGAGCATGTGTGGATTATAATGGATGTCATTGTAGTTTTCTTCGGCTTCGTTGCATTCGAAGACGTCGGAGTAGGAGGAATCATCGGAGTCGTAGTCTTGGTTTAGACTCATTTCGTCGTCTAGGGAGTCTGTTTCTGCGGTATCCTTCGTTTCACCACCTCCACCATTGTTGTTATTATGGTTATTACTGTTATTTGGTGAGGTATTAGAACCGACAGGACGTTTCGAACGTTTCGACTTCTTCCGTTTAGGTTTCGAAGAAAACTGCCGTCGTAAAGCTTCTCGAACTGTTTCAAAATCGTCATCGTCGTCATCTATACCCCCCGTCGAAGATTTTCCAAGCGTAGTCATCCGTCTATATAACACGCTAAAAATACTTTGCGGAGAAGCAGAAGTAGCGCCGGTGGTAGTTGATTTATTAGATCCCTTTTCAGCCTGACTTCCATCACTACTAATATTACTACCATCAACAACGACCGGATTCGAAAGTGGTAGGATTGTAGAATTCGACGGACTATCGTTTTTACCACGTCTTAAAAGGTTTTTAAGCCACGTTGATAGATCCTCGCGGGTGGCATCTGGGTTTAAACGAGCGGCTTCTTGGAGGATTGCGGTGTCGTGAAGGTCTTCGCGTGCACGCTTCAGGATCTTGCGGGAGACGGTGTTATGTAGCATGTTGAAGCCCACGGCGAGGACTATTTTGATGATGCATGTTATTAGACTTTGTCATAATGGAGTATTTATAGAGAGGGGATGACGGCTTACATTGAGAACCGTATTCGACAGTAGACCAGTGCCAGACCTTCTGTGCGATTTCGAGATTACCACGACCGGGAGGAGATAGCATCGTAGCTCTTAATCTTGTGGATAGTCCGTACTTTAACAATATTTTCTACATCCTACAGTTAGTATATTCTATCCAATCCCGTGATTTCAGAGTGATGATAGTTAACACTCACATTCAAAAAATCGCCCTGTTTATGCGCATCAAATATCGCACTAGAAGAATAAACCCCCATATTAGCTTCTTCAAACCCTCAAATAAGTAAAGTACTTAAGTAGTAAGTATATAAAACGAAAAGATACTAACATCCACCTAGTCCCCACCTCCCCAGGTCGCCTCCCTTCCTCCCAACTCCCCAACAAAGCCTCAGTTTTCGCTTCCTCAACATCAGTAGCAACCCAAGCGCTCTCCCTCCCAAAATCCACCACAAAGTTCTTAATCTCCTTCCCCGTCAACTTCTCATCCACAACCTCAAAAACCTCAGCTTTATCCAACGATTCGAAATCCAGCCCACATTCCTTATAATACTCCTTAATCTTCTCTTCTTTATCCGCCTCCAACCCGGCCGGTAAACTAGGTTCTCCGAATGACGGTGGTAATACCGCTGGTTTTAATCTCGTCGCCGCGGAGATCGTGGCTATGGTATTCGTCCAAACCGTACTACTATCCCTCCCACCGGGTGGACTACCACTTCTTCCAGCAGCACCACTACCACCACCACCACCGTGTAAAGACTTCTTAAAATTATGTGATAAAGCATTATCACTATTCGACCTCCTCAAATAATAAGGTCCAGAATGTGAAAATATCGACGGCGGAGCATTAACACTATTAGTATTAACGCCCGTAGTCGGTAACTGTTGAACAATAGATCTACCCCGGATAGGTGAGGAAATCACAGGTGTTCCTCGAGAATTACTTCGATTCCTACCGGCCGTATGACGGGAGGTACTTCTGGATGCTGCTGATGATTGTCGGGATTCGAAGGTTGTTCGTTGGAGGCCGGTGTTGGTGCCGTGGGAATGGGTTGTTGGAGAGACACTGCGGTCGCGGGGGAGGGAGGACTGTGGAAGTAGAGGAGGACGGGAGGGGTAGGATGGGTTGTTATGGGGGGATGTGGGGGATGTGCTTCTGCTTCTTGCCATCTTTTTCTATTTTTGTTTTATATATACTTAAGTAGTTCCTATGAAATGGTGGTACAAATCGAGAGATCAGGTTTGTGTTGAAATTGTTGGATTTCGAACACCGTCGAATACAGGTTAATCTTGAAGTCCGTAGACACCTTCGAAGCAATGAATAAAATATCTACTTTCTTACCCAAAAAAAAACAGATACCGAAAAATATATATATACCTTATTAAATGATTAATTTCAATATTCTTTTTTCTATTTTATAGAGAACAAAAGAAATTAACAGAAGAGAAAAGAAAAGAAAGAAAGAATTCCTTCACAGAACACCCGAGTTGTCCACGCCTCAACTAGTACTCCTCCCACAAAGTGCAGGTGAGGCTGTCCACTTGGCCATATCGACCCCGTGACACCGACACCGACATCCAAAACGCGAAAAAAGGAATAAGATTCCAAAGACGACGTAACGCTATATTCAAGCCGGTCAGTGATTCATTTAGTCAGTCAGGTAGTCAGTTTGCCAGTCATATTACACGTTCTTGTGCACTTCTATACTTTCTTTTTTCTCCTATAAAATAATTAAAGTACTATCTATATCTGTATAACGTAGGAATTCAAAGGATACATATCGACACCGATCGAGGATCGGAATATATAATTAACAACCATCCTACAAGGATTTGAATCCCGTAGCCGTACCTGCAGTACCTTCCCTCCCAACATTATATATCAAACATCCTTGAACATCATCCGAACACTTCCTCAGACTCACAAGCACAAGTCCTAAGATCCTTTATATTATAAATCAGTATATCAAGTAACTCCATGTAACCCCCAGTACCCCTCCAACCCCCCATATCCACCAGAGAAAAAAAAGAAAGTAATAATATAAAAAAAAACAAGCTTTTACACAACCCTCCACCTCAACCCCCCTTCCTCCCCTTCCTCCCCTTCCTCCCCAACACCAGCACACCCAGCACAACACCCCTCCAACCTCCTCCACCTAGGAACCCACCTCAAAACCCTCTTCCTCCCCTTCTCTTCTTCCTTCTCCTTCTCCTTCTCCTTCTCCTTCCTCCTCTTCCCCGGACTGACACTACCTACAACCTCCTTAACCCCCTTCACAACCCCCTTAACAACCTTACCAACCTTCCCTTCCTTCTCCTTCCTCAATTTCCTCTCCTTCTCATCCTCCCACTCCAAAATCCTCCAAAACTCCTCCACCACCTCTTTTTCAACATATAAACTATTACTACTTCCTCCCGTAGCACTCTGATCAACCTCTTCTAGGAAATACCCATCAACAGAATCACACATACACAATCTATTCTTATTCGTACTAATATACCTCCCCCCCGCACTTCCTCCCCCTCCTCCCCCTCCTTCTGTTGTAGTAGTAGATATATACTCTACTTCCGGTCCGTAGGGTATACGTACCGTTGGTGTGGAATGAAGACATTTTCGATACCAGGCTCGGTGGAAGTGTGGTTGTGGATAGGTGCTGAAGGGGAGAGTTGGTGCTGGCAGGCTGATGTTGGCTCTGTTTGATAATGGTGATGATGATGATGATGGACCTGCTGCTGCTGCAGAGTTGGAAGGGGTGGGGAGGGGTATACCTGGGAATGGGGGTAGTTTCTTAGAGGACATTGATATATACTAGTATGTAAAACCTTCGTGATAGAGAGTGTGTGAAGATATAGTTTATATTATACCTTGGTAAGTATTTAGACTTGATGATGATAGTGGGGATACGAGAATATAAGAATTAAGAATTTGGCTATCTACATTGCACTGCTCTCAGTTAATAGGAGAAGCCATCCTTGATCTTATGATACGCTTTCGAATGCATCTCCTGCAATTTAAAGTCAAAAGTGAATTCTCCGAGTATGCATATTTCTCACCATCTAGGGGGGAAAAAAAAACAATGAAAAAGTAGTAAACCTCAAACAGAATTTGCTGCCCGACATGCAAGATCAGAGAGAATAGTTAAACCAATAGGTAACTAAAGGGAAAAGGAAAGAGAGAAAGTGAAAGTGAAAGACAGAGGGAAACGCCTGTATCATAATGCATCATAGTACAATAATATAAATCCCATAACGATCGTGAAAAGAAAAAAATCAAAGTGAAAAGACCCAGCCCGCTAAAAATGTAGTAAAAAAGATAACTTCAAAAGGCAAAAAGAGACAACCGCCCCACTTCTACCTCCAGTGAAAAAAAAAATGAAAAAAAAAATTAAAAAAAAGAAGAAGATAAACCCCGTCTACAGCTCATCAGCCCACGTCTCTCCTTCAAAGACCTTCTGGATATCCCTCCCACCAACCGCCCCAACGAACGCACGTTTCACAAACAAATGCCACAATCTATCCTTCTTCTTCTGCTGCTTCTTCTCATGATCCTTATGTTTTCTCCCCTTCTTCCCCTTCCCCTTCTTCCCTTTCTTCCCCTTCCCTCCTTTACCCCCCTTCTTTCCTTTCTTCTTCTTCTTATCTTTACTCCCCTTCTCCTCCTCTTCATGTATATAGGTTTCGTTAAAAGCACTCGCATACCCTCTCTCGCCATCACAAAGATAAGTTCCCTCGACATCAAGACACTTAGCCTTAACATCCAGATCTCTCATCCTATTAGCAAGTTTCACAAGACTGCGTACGCTCATATCCTTAACTTTATACCCCTGGCTGTCATTCGCCGTTCTATATTCGATTTCAAATTCAAACGGCAAAGGTGCTTGTCGTGGCTTTCTTGGCTTTTTGGGTTTCTCATCATCTTTGTCTTTATCACCGTTTGGACCGGAAGGTGGGTCGAATCCATCTTCGTCTTCATCGTCGTCATCTTCTTCGGGGACCCAGCCGTTCAAACGGGTTAGGTTGGCGTAGTATTGTGTTATTCCGGTTAGAGAAAGAGATTGCGGGCTATAGGCTGGTCCAGGTGCGCTCCCCGTCGGTGGAGGGGTGGGTGCATCCGGATCTGGCTTCGGCTTCGGCTTCTTCTTTCCAGGTGGAACTGGTGGAGCGGCTGGTGGTTGTGGTGGTTCAACGGGTGCAGCTGTATCCTTCTTATGAAGAGTTTCTTCCTTAACAGGTGGTAAATTGATGACGTATCCTTGATCATCCACCACACCGGTGATATTGTATTCGATAATCCGAAGCGAAGGGAAGTAATTTGGAATGACGCTGGGTGATACCAAAACGGGGACGTATCGCTCTGCGTACTTCCCACCAATCTTTTCGATGTATTTTTTATGCTGCTTTTTCGGGTTCTTGGGCTTTTTCTTCTTATCGCCCTTCTTCTTCTTACCTCCCTTTTTACCCTTCTTGTCTTTATCACCCTTCTTCTTCTTTCCCTTCTTATTATTACTCTCTTCCGAGACGTCATTAGATTTCTTGTCGTCCTTCTTAGGGTCTTCTGGCGGTTCTGGGATCTTCGAAAGAACTTCACGGAGTTCGCTGAGGTATGGACCTGCAGCTTCAACGTGAACCAGTTCCTCCCAGGTTTCGACTTGAGTAGCTCGAACCTGTTTAGCATCTGGCGTTTCCATGATTTTATTCGCGACATTTGTATCCAATAGCATGAAATGATCCAGATTCATATGCCTGCCCAGAACCATATTAGTGTCCATCTCCAAAAAGTCAAGTATAGAAGAAGAAGAAAAGGAACATACCCATAAAGCCCACCGACGATAACATCCCTATAGTTCCACCCCCAAACCACATACTTCGCCCAACAACTCTCATCCCAAGCCTGCTTATTCTTCGTCCTAGCCGGCGGAACATGTCCGATCAAAATCGCCTTCATCCCCCTCAACCTCATCAACTCCAATTGTACTTTCAACCAAACAAACTGTTGATAACCCGGTTCCTCGGGACTATCACATCCGTCGACGGCAGCGTTCGATGCAAAGAAATACATCGTGTTTAGGGAGAATACGGCTAGACGGGAGGGGATGACTTCAACCCAGAAGTAGGCACCATGTTCGAAGACGTGCTTTTGGGCTTCTGGAATGAAGTGGCGCCAGATTTCGAGGTAGGTACGAGTTGTAGAGGTGGGACCGGGAAGCATGATGTTGTGCGGCATGATATCATTGTTGCCAAGGGTCGGTATTCTAGTTTTTTTTTATATTAGTATCAGCTTCAATTCAAGTTCCATCTGAAGGCGAAACTGTAGGGGAGAGGATCATACATTGGAATGATCAGGTCATTGTTCGGATTATCGTCATTATCAGGAATTGGCTAATCCACACCGTTAGCACCACTACCCCCCCATCCTGAACAAAAATATGGTAATAGGACTAGAGAACGGAAGAAGAAGAGAAGAAAGAGTGAAAGAAGAAAGATACCTTCTTAAAAACATCCACCATCATTCCAACCACCATATTATTCAAATCATAGATCTGACTTTCGCTTCTAGGATGATTAATATCATTATCATGCCTAGCACTATCCCCGGTCCAAACCACAAAATCAATCTTATCCTTCAAATTCTCTCGAATCCATTCGAAGGTAGCATTGGCCAATGTAAACGGTGAATCGCAATCGGATCGTTCGGCACCGTAGTATCCCGAACGTCCACGGTCGCTATGACATTCATGAGATTTGGAAGCCGAGGCGTTGCGCGAGTAGAAGGGGTCTGGGTGAACATCTATTTCTATCTATCAGGTTCTGAAAAATCCGAACAAAGATATGTAGATCTTAAAAAAAGAAGGAAGGAAGTACCTGTGATATGAAGGAAGCGACCATGAAGCTTCCGTTTGATAGGTTCTTCGGGTTGAGTGACAGTGACGAGGGGTTGTTGCTGGCGAAGAGGGTCGTTTAGAATGGGCGAAGTGGACGCGAGTTTGATTGTGTTTAGTAAGAATGACGTCTGCAGGCCCACAGCGAGTAAGGACCAGATGCACCGCATCTTTTTTGGGAGATTTGGGTGAAGCTGAGAAATGTCAGCCAGCAGGAAAAGGATATTTAACAAGAAGAAGAATATATATATTTTATAAAAAAAAAGAGAAGAGGGAAGAGAAAAGGAAAGAGGGGGAGAGGAAGTGAGGATGAGGACGAAGATGAGGATAAGTAGTAGTAATAGTAATAAGAATAATAAGAAAATGGCAACCAGCCAGGCCAGCCACGGATTAATTAATTAACAACTGAAGGAAAACTCAGTCAAGAAAAGTCAAGAAAATTAAGTCAAGACAGTCGAGTAAATAAATATTAAGACAGGTTACTAGTTAAAAGTACTTAAGTAACCGGTAGGGGGGGTGTTATTAGGTATATTCGAGTACTTCAGAGTAACTTCCTAAGTATATATCAGAGAGGTAAGTCAAGAATATATTAAAATATCATCATCATGCATCAGCATCAGTAGAGCATCTTCATCTCCTCTTCCTCTTCCTCTTCCTCTTCTTCCTCCTCCTCTTCCAGCTGATACACATGCACACATACCCCCCACTCAGCTCTCCCTATCATAAATTAGAAATCGTCACAGTACATAAAACCCGAGAAATAACGAACAAAAGAAAACAAAAGAAACCACAAAAAGAAGGGAAAATGGGGAAATCGCAGTTCGCATGATGTTAGTGGATTGGCCCTGCATCTAAATCGGGCACCACACCCACCCGTACCATAAATACATACATACATACATACATACATACATACATACATACATACATACATACATACATACATACATACATACATACTCCGTGCATACATAAGCAAGTAAGTAACTGCTCACACCCGAACATTGGACGAAAATTACTAGCGGATACTAGGAAAAAAAGAAAAGATACGGGCGGGTGCCTTGGAATCAGCTCTTCCTGTCCACTGGTTCAGACCACGAGGGGGGTGGTTGGATTTCACCGAACCCCGTCAGATCTGGTTTCATACCGAGAGAAAGTACATATATCTACTGTTTCCTCGAACTTGTAACCTGTCTATAACATGTACAGGTACTGATATACTCTGCTACAGCTTTTGTTATGTCTAAGGGATGGAAGGGACCTGCTTCTTGTGGATTAATTAATTGACTTGAAGTACTTTCCTACCGAGCGAACTTTGTTCTGTTCTGTTCCGTTCTGGTTTTAACGAAAGCTTCGAACTCGGCGGCTGCATTCTCTTCCCCTATAACAACTTCATCCTCTCTTTGTTACTCACGACAGGAGCTCAACCATCAATCCAGTTTTTTGTAAAATCCCTCGAGCTCAACTACCACTATTTAGTTCCCATCAAACTAAATAAAGTTAGTCGGGTTTCGCTTCGTTTCGTTTCTTTAATTTATTTTCGTGGATATGGCCGGTGGATGTTGTTGGTGAGCGAAATATCAAACCAAAAATCACATTCCACAACCACCTGTCCGGTCCTATGATCTGATCTCTTCATTACTGACTACCTAAGTACTCTTCTAACCAAATCTGCAGAAAGTCCAACCTGCATTACGACGCTTTTTTAAAAAATCTTATTTCTATTTAATCTAGTTCCATGGTAAACTACATGTATTTTTCAAAAAAGAAGTCTTCGAAGCGGGGTAAATTATCCACATTGGAAGATCCGAGATGTGGTGGTGGTGCTGGTCGCGTGAGCTTCTCTGAGCTCTTCTTTCCCTCTCTCAATGCACCCACACTGATGCTGCACTCCCTCCAGACCCCCCTTCCTTCTGTAGTTAAATATTATATATGTAGGTGATAGCTTCAATTCTGGTACGGATCCATGATGGATCCACTTCCCCACATTCGCAGGAAAAGAAACCCAGTCAGGCGACTCCATAATACTGCATCATAACCGAGACTTGTGCGGCTGCAGCGGATCAATAAATCCATTCTCCCTCTCCTCGAGACTATTACCACTACTACATACAAAACCCGAATGATCGAAATGCTGAACTCGTGCGAAGACCTGAAAAATAAGTACTATACTTACTTCCTTATTCTGACTATTTAAATTTAGTCTTTGGTATTGAGTAATTAGGGAACGAGACTAAGTAATTAGTATAGTTAATAGCGATCATAAGCCCATTCCTCATTCCCATTAGACTGGTACTGCAAAAGTTGTATAGAATACCACCACTATCAAACTCCAATAACGCCATCTGAACCTTTCCATCCCACATTCCCTTCAAACTAAGTTTATCAAATTAAATCATAAGACCTCAAAAAAGAACAGAAGATGAGAAATATATCAAAAGAGAAGGGAGATGAGGTGATGTGATGTGATGAAATGACAGAAGGACTACAAGTCCTTGACAGGATGCACCACCATCCCCCCCAAACACCCCCTCCCCCGTTCCCTCTCCCACCCTTCTCCACCTTTTCCTTCCCATTCACCTCCCATCCAAACCCCCATAACCCCTCGAGGCCAATAGCTTCCATAATAAAACCCACTCCCCCCAAAATGATGCTCCCTCTTCCCGAACAAACTCCTCTCATTACCCCCCGAACTCCCCTTTTCCCCTCCATTCAATATCTTCTCAAGATACCTCCCAGGCCACCTTCTATCCATAAACACCGGATGTGGCGCATAAACTCCTTTGTATCCATACTGTAACGCCACCGAGGCAGGAAACATTTCCACCCCCATATGTCTTCCACCTCTGTTCTCCACCTCCATAGCGTTCAACAGTCTTCTCGAGAATCTGTACACTGCCACTACAGCCCCCCTCCTCGGTGGTCCAGTCCAGTATGGATTATAATTCTCCTTCTCAGGTCTTTCATTCCCATACCCCGTAAAATCATCTTTGATAACCCAGGTCGTATTAACCACCTCAAACATCGGTGATAAAGTCACCAAATCCGCATTTTCCCCTTTACCCCATTTATACCCTTCATCGTCTTCTTCCCTTTCAAATTTTTTTTCCACTTTCAGTTTCTTATCCATAACTTCTACCCCTTCAACAGCTCCCCAGATTCTTTCTTCAGGTGAACTTCGCATCTCCACCATTTCCGTGAAGTCTTGGTAACTTCCGTGCACGGATGGGACGTAAAACCGTGCGTTCCTCGCCCAAAGTCCTCTTCGCGGTTGATTTCTAGCAAAAGTATCGATTTTGTCGAATAAATGATACCAATGTCCTGTATATTTGACATCCATCTCCAAACTCCAGAAGTACTCATACTCCTCATGCATCTTCGAAAACCACTGTTGAGGTAACCAAATACTCCTGTACGCACTATTTTCAAACCCCCAAAAATATATAAATTAGTAAAAAGCAAAACCCCAAGTATATGTTATAAAAAAAAAGCCCGGGTGTGAACATACTCATAAATCCCATGCTCCCTCCACTCCTTCCCCCCTTGCAGTTCTTTATACTCCTCCTTCATCAAATTCTCACTCCAAAGCGTCGTAATCCCCCAAAACTCTTCCGCAATACTTTCCTCCAATATCTTCCTCTTAATTTTCTCATTCCTTACATCGACTTTATCCGCATCCATATCAATATCCTTAACATGCATCAACAAATGAACTCCATACTCCCCACCGGTATTAACATTCAACTCCGTTATCAAACTCCTAAGAACCACATAATCAAACCTCGTAAACGGATAACTATTCCACACTCTCAACACCACCGCCGTTCTTTTCTTCTTTTTCTTCTTCTCCCCCTTCTCACCGTCCAAAAGTGTATTATTATCATTCTCATCAAACCTCCCAGAATTCATCTTAACACACTCATCCTGTACTTGCTTCCAATCAATCCTCCACTCCCTATCAAACAAAATATCCTCATCCTTAGGATTCTTAGGAATCTCATCCCGATCTTTCCATCCATACCCCCCAAACCTCATCCTTCTTTCGAAACATACCGAATCATCCAATCCCAATGCTTCGTAGGATCCATATGCCGGGTCAGGCATACCTTTCATCACCCCCTTATAGGCCTTTATACGTGTCGACTGACCGGTATAATTCGAAACCAATGATTCGCAGGATTTGAAATGTGGAGATGAGGCGGTGTAGTCTGGGTACGGATGGTAAGGAATCGGGGTTGATGCTTTCTTTGGTGCGGGTTTTGGTGTTTTATTTTCTGATTGTTTAGGAAGGTTTGAATCTGTAGATTCCTTCGGAGGGGAAATAGTAGTAGTAGTAGTTGTAGTAGTAGTAGTATCGGAATTTATAGGTTCCTTAGGAGGACCATCGGTCTGAGAATCATCAGACTCCGAACCACGACGATATATAAACCGTCTATAAACCGTCGAAGCCTTAGGCGCATTATTCGGTCCCGTATTCTCCGCAATATTCAACTCCTTGGGAACCAAATCATATATCCCATTATAATAACTCGTCATCCTACAAATCCCAATTAGCTCCACAAATATAATACAAAACAAGTAGAGATAAAAATATTTAAAAAAAAGGGAAAGAAAAGGGGAGTACATACACCGGAAACCCCTTCCAAACAGCATCACTATCAAAATGCACCCCCAGCTTCTTAACCGTATACCCCGTCATCCCACTCAACGCGAACACCATCGTCACGCACGTAATAACCACACATCCCACCAGCAATTGTAAAAAGATACTTCGTATCCTAGTTATCGCGGGGAGTTTGTAGTTTCCTTTTATATTGTTGGAGTAGAAATTTGTGAGGGTTAGGGAGAATGTGAATGGGAAGGTTAGGAGGGTTAGCCAGATATTGCTGTTGATGTTGCTATTGTTATTATTGCCGGAAGGACGTTTTTCGGGATTGTTGGTGTTATGGGATGGTGATGTCGGGGATGATGTTGGTAGGAGAGTCCATTGTGGGTCTGAAGATGATATTGAAGATGGGAGAAGGGATTTTAGAGAGGTGAGGACGGATGTCATTGTTGACAACTTTTTGAAGGCCGGAGCCTGTAGTATCTAAGACGGCGTATCAAATTCGATGAGGATAGTTAAAAAAAAGATATTTCATAAAACACGTGAAAGCTTTAAGATACTAAAATTCCGGAATATAACGGTAAAGGCGTATTTATGACATAAAAAAAAGGAATATTACAAGCAAAAGAAGAAGAAGAAGAGAATGGAGGTGCTGTTGAAGCTTGAAGCACCCATGATCAGGAATGCTATAGCGCTAACCCATGTTTTTCTTTTGTGTTGACGTTGTTTACCAATATGCAGTTCTTCCGAGCTTCCGAGCGAGGTCTTGGCGGCAACGGAGCTTGGTTCTGTTAGCGAAATATAGCTAGGATGGGTAATTCAGTGAATAGTTTCCTTAATAGGTAATTTTGAGAAAATGATGGTGAGAATCAAACAGGTTCAACACAAGACACAAGCACGAAACTTGTGTATTCGACATCGAACTGAAGGTAGATTGATATTAGTATGTTACGCTACGTTATGCTACTTAGAGAATAAACTTATTCTACTATACCAGAATCCTTATCTAAGAAACTAATACATTAAATATGACAACTTTAAAAAGATTTCTACATAGTGGTGAGTATATCTAATACATACGTATTATCATATAATCCCCAGTCCTATATTAATATATGTATATTCTTACCAAACTCAAGGGACCCCAGTACCCGGCATGCAGCTTGTATATAAGTACTTGCGTATATTGCATCACACAAAACCCTTGTTTTTTTTCCCTTTCCCTGATTTCCCAACTTTCCGTTGGTATAAGATGACATCATTGATAAACTGACAGATGTTCAAAATATTGGTTGTAGATATTCATGCATCGTCTGGTAGCACATACATCTCAGACTTGGGTTGTACATGTGGGGGTATCTTATAGATTCATTTATTCTCGGAAATAATGCCGTACTTTACTATATTAATATTTCAATTTAAATAAAAAAAGAAGTCAGGTGGGGTAGGCTTTTGCCACCCGTACGTGCTCTGTGCAATGTTACCGACAGGCTAGAAGCGGTGCAACTTGCCCACCATACTGCGAAGAAACTAGACTGTCACATATCAGTTGAACTCTCGAAGTGAGATAAAGCGGTGGCACATTACACAAAAACTGACAGATACTATGCTATCTATACTATCACACCTCTATTCTAAAAGCGAAAAGACTGTAGACAAAATGGAATGTGAAGGTTATACTAGCCCCGTTGATATCTTCAAAGTAGTAATCGAATTTAGACTTCAAAGTAAATGATACTTCAGAAATATGACTCTAAGTTACACTGCTGCTGCTGCTGCTATCATTCAAGCTTTATAAGTAAAGATATCAGAATATCTAAACGCCGTCGATCTTTATCTTTACCATCGGTCGTAAGAGACAAGAATTTACCTTCGATACATACACATCAGATACGTATACTTCAATGATGGATTCTATTCTATTCAATCTTCCCTCGCTTCTAAAAAGAAGTCACTTAAAAGCATTAAAAGGACAGGAAGAATTAATTGCCCACCGACACTCGCTCAGCACCTGGTACCGTTGACCGAGCTTCAACGTACATGTGATTGAATTCGAATTCATAATTATATAATCCCCAGCATATGTATACATGTTTAAATGGTAATCTAATCAATTGAATCCACCCCAATCGCAACCGAAAGGATACGAATCCTGGAAATAACAGCCTTAAACCCCGTATAAAAACTACAAATACAAACATAACCAACCTTCGCTCTTCACGCTTCGCCGCACTTTCATTGCATTGGATTCTCCCAAATCCAGCAACACTTGGCACCCAAAAGGCAGGAGTTTAGCCCAGTAGCTGGTAGCGCAGCTCTTCCACCACCTTCGATCGTATCCGTATTTTTTTAAGCCCCGAGCTCCGAGAGGAAAAGAGCCGCTTCGGGAAGTTATTTAGTCCAAATCCCCTTGTGTTCAACCGGCCGATACCATTCAGATCTTTGCTAAGCAACAAAGAAAACTAAACTAACGTTAACGTTATACGTAGCAATCGACAACACGCGTACATGGCTTATCTCCGCAAACTCCAAGGTAGTTTTCGTTCGCCCTTGACGATATGTACGTTTAAGGCGGACGATTGGGCACGGCGTCTGCTATTCGAGGAGCTTTTCTGGGGTAAGGACTAATAGCTATCTCGTATATTTTTCCAATGATCTTCGTCTCAAGGGCCACGGAAGGCGGGTGGCATTTGTGGTTCCTTGTTCGGGGGAATTATCAATCCGTGTAGTTTCTAAGAGAAACGCAATGCAATTGAAGTCGTATCATATCATGATCGATGAACGTTTGAAGTGTATATAAACCCGTTGATGTGAACGTCATTTTTGAGTATCACGGAAATCAATCAAATAAAAAGCATCAATTGCAATTCAGATTCTCGATTTCAATCAGTCAATCAATTGAATCTAAAAAAGTAATCCACTTTTTACCTATCTATTTAAGTATTTTATAATTTAAAAAAAATAGCAAAAATGAAGTTCACCAACAAACTCGCCTCCAAAAACATCCTCATCATCGGCGGAACCTCAGGCATCGGCTTCGCCGTCGCCGAAGCCTCTCTCGAACAAGGTGCAAACGTCACAATTGCCTCCTCCTCCCCTTCAAAACTCCAATCCGCAATCTCCCGTCTACAAACCTCATACCCAGAATCCTCCAACAAAATCAAAGGAACAACCCTCAACCTCTCATCCGAAGACGTCGAGGACCAAATCATCGCAGCATACGAATTTGCTACTGAAAATGGTCAAAATAAATTAGATCATGTGGTGAACACCGCGGGTGATTCGTTCAGTCTTCCGAAATTATCTGAAGTTACTCCGACTGGCGCTGTGGCTGTCATGACAGTTCGATATGTTGGGAATTTATTGCTTGCGAAACATGTTACGAAGTATATCAACATCTCCCCGGAATCTTCGTTTACCACCACTAGTGGTGCAAACGCTGCAAAGCCCGGGGATGGATGGAGTTCTATCATTGGAATTGCTACGGCGGTTGAAGGGTTAACCAGGGCACTGGCGAAGGATTTGAAACCTGTGAGGGCCAATTGCGTCAGTCCCGGTGCTATTAAAACGGAGCTGTTCGATAGATTTGGAGATGCGGAGGCGGTGCAGAGGATGGTTGAAGCATACGCTGGAAAGACATTGACGGGACGAATTGGGACACCGGAGGATGTGGCGGAGAGTTATTTATATGTTATGAGGTCTGCTTTTGTGACTGGGACGACGCTTCAAATCGATGGTGGATACGTACTTGTCTAGATATATATATATACATATCCTGGGATTAGACCTGAATCCTGATAGGATTGATGGATAGCATCCTAAGGAGAGTATCTGAAGAAACGTCTTTTGTGTGATTCAGTATGATCTGGACTCTTTGTCTGTCTGTCTGTCTGACCGGAACCTATAGCTACGCATTGATATTGACTTTTGTATCTTAAACTTACAAATTAATCTTTTAGTATATCATATTCTCTAAATGCATGCCAATCGAACCAAATGCTATCCCCATTCTATTCTGCGCCTGGTCTCGAGGCTACATTCTATTCTATTCTCATGCAAGTAAATATGCACTCAAGGATCAATTAATACTTTGTCAAAGTTGTACTTCACCATACAACTATCATGACTAATATAATACCACATACCGATATATAAGTTAATCGATGTTGAAATACCTACCCATATATACTTATAGAATAATATACGTACTTACCTATATACACTAGCAGCAGCTACAAGTTCTGGTCGGTATTCGAATATATATTTTACAGTTCCCATACTCCATAGAACAAAGATACATAAAAACAAGGGAAAAATAAGAAAAGGGCTATAGTTCCCCCCCCCCCTCCAAAGCATTTTTATGCATTCAATCCAACTATAGAAATTACAACCCACGTATTGTTCAAAAAAGTAAATCGATTCCGTGCCGAAATTCAAAATTAGAGGTGCGCATCGAATGTTATTACGTAACAGAATACAATATACACAGCCTTTCAAGCGAAGAAAGCGTGGAGTGCAGAGTGTTTGAACGTTTGACAGCAAAGCTAACTTAAGGCGAATACTCCATACATGCTACATACATGTTACATACATACATGACCAGGCTGATAGAAAGAAGAGAAAAGAAAAAAAGAAAAAGAAAACTGAGAAAGAAAAAAAAAAAGAGTCGTGTGGGCTGCCTCACACGACACCAAAGTTTGCATCGATTGATTGGAAATATAGAATCATGAAGCATGCATGCCTGTACGTAACAAGTAAATCTATATAAAAAGAAGAAGAAGAAGAAGAAGATCCCACCAATCCGCAGCTCCCCACGGCGCATGTGCGCATTTGAGGTTGAGTACAGCATAGTTAAGGCGAAAAAGCTCTGTCCTGTCCTGTCCAGTCCGTCCTGTACCCCTGAGCTCCATGGGGCTAAAGAGAGAAAAGAGAGAGCTTCCCCATCACATCACACGAGCTAAAAGAGTAAACTGCATAATCTCTAGCCTATAATATCGAGCATCTGTATTGAACAGGCTCCAATTTAGCATGTGCAAATGGTTTTTTTCTTCTTCTTTTCTTCTTCTTTTCGAATCCTCTCACCCAAGATACTTAAGTGTGTATCCCCAACAAAAGAATGCATCCCCCAGACTTTACGAACGGGGTTTAAAGCGATATCGCTGTGGGGCCTTGTCGGCTCTCCTGTTATACAATTGACAATCTCTGTATACAATATATACTTTACTGCCAGTGGCATACCTGTGTACAGCTGTATGTAAGTCAGTACTACGTATACGTATATCAGTTGAAGCTTTCATAAGCTGTTTTGCGTGGTCTCGTGCGCAGACCATTTCAACCGTTTTGTATATATGTCTCTCTTCCCCGGCTCACACGATCATGCCATTTCCTCCCGTTTTCGTATTTTATAACTGTATAGTACTATGCCTTAAAGTCCCTGGAGTCCCTGAGGTCCCTGCATAAGCTTTGAAAGTTATATTATACTGAGACTGCATGAAAGAAGGGACGGAAAGAGGAAAACGCCTCGAACGCTGTTGGAAGAAAGAGACTTTCTTAAGTATCTTAATTAATATTAATATTTAGCCACGAAAGGCCCTTCTGTCCTTCCTCCTCCCTCCTCTTCTTCATCTTCACCCTCCTCTTCCTCCTCTCTTCTCCTCTCTTCTCCTCTCTTCTCCTCTCTTCTCCACTGCTTCTTCTGAAATACCATCTTTTCATTCCCGTATTCCCAATTTTTTCATTTTTAATTTTTAATTTTTTCTAAAAAGAAAACAATCAAAAAAAGTTGTGGACAAAATCGATAAAATGTGCGACGAAGAACCCTTAACATTCCTTCCCCTAACCTTCTCCCAAGCCGACGCAAACGCCTGCGCAACTCATCTCATCCTGACCCTCTTCCCGAACTGGGATCCCGCCCATCTCGACTTCATCCGCTTCACCGACGGCATCACAAATACTCTGCTCAAATGTGTTCACAAAACCATCACCAACGATCCCGTAACCGGTACCGAGAAGGTCTCGATCGATGAGATGGAATCTGCCCTTCTCAGGGCTTACGGCAAGGGTACCAATGTCCTCATCGACCGTGGCAGTACGTAATCATTTCTATCAATCAATCAATCAATCGATCAATCAACCAATTCACTTTACTCAATTGAAAGAAAGTAACTAGCAAGGAGAGACTACTAACATTGGGATATCAATAACAGGAGAATGTCAAAACCACTTCTATCTCGCCCTTCACTCCCTAGCGCCACCTCTCCTCGCCCGATTCAACAACGGTTTAATCTACCGCTTCGTTCCGGGCCGCGTAACCTCTCCGGCCGATCTCTCGCTTCCGAAAGTATACACTGCAGTTGCGAAACGTCTAGGACAATGGCACGCACAGATTGATACCAAGGGTCTAATGGACGCTCTCGAACTGATGGGCCCCCGTCGTCGTATCTCCCCAGACAGTGGTGTACCGGAACTAGTCTACGACGACACGATCGAAAGTGACGAAGAAGCTTTCCTCCGTGAAGGTGGCAGCAGCAATGGTGAAGAAGAGGAAGTCGTTGAAGAAAAAAGTATCAAACCCGGCGAATCCGAGCTATGGCTTACCCTTCAAAAGTGGATCTCAGCCCTTCCGGAGCACAAACCTGAGGAAATCGAGCAAAAGAAGCTGTTGAGGGACGAATTGGAATGGATCGAGGATAGTACTGGTCTTAGCGGCCTAGGAGAGATCATATTCGGTCACTGCGACTTGCTCAGTGGGAATGTTATCGTATTGCCGAAGAAGGAGAAGAGGACTGGGTTCTGTCCGGCTGATATTGGGAGTGCTGAAGAACTTCAGGTCACATTCATCGATTATGAGTACGTTCTTATTTACCACTCCAGATGATTAAATTTTGACTAATACGGGAAAAAATAGGTACGCCATCCCCACCGAGCGTGCATTCGACATCGCCAACCACTTCTCCGAATGGACCGGCTTCGACTGCGACTACAACCTAATCCCCACCTCTCCAACCCGCCGCTCCTTCATCAAATCTTATCTTGAATCCTTCAGCTCCTTCAAGAGCGACTCTCAAACCCAACCAGAAGTAACCAATGAAGAAATCGACGAGGTTATGAGAGAAGTCGACAGTTTTCGTGGAATCCCCGGATTTTATTGGGGTATCTGGGCATTGATCCAGGCCACAATCTCACAAATCGACTTTGATTATGCCGCATACGCAGAATTGAGATTGGCAGAGTATTGGAATTGGAAGAAGGCCTTTTTGAATGAAGAGCGAGAGCAGAGTTTGAGGGAGAGGAGGTGGTTGAGTTTGTAGACATACACACTCTTCCTCCATTTCCACTCACTCTCCTTTTTTACAAACAAACGTAGAATACTCAAAAGTTACCCTCAAAAGACAAGGTATCATATCAGAGTATAACAAAAGGGGTATTTTTAGTTCATTCATTCATTTCTCGCATACCCTTTTTCCTTCCTTCCTTCCCTCCCTCATTTCTTTCTTTCTTAGAAGGCGTTTCATGCTGTTCTCAACAACAACGAGCTAATGTCTAAAGATACCCATCCTTTTTACTTCTTTTCCCTCGCGGCCTTTGCCTTTTGTTTGCATTCATGCATATCAATCTATCTATCCTCTCACGCAGCGTTCTTTTTCTTTTCTTTTTGAATTCGTCTAAGGAATATTTCACGGAAAGCGGATCGGAACATATGGATCTTATCATTTTTTTTTTTTGAGCGATTGGGTGTTCAACAGACCGGTTTTTTAATGTATGTACGTATGGCTAGTACTTCTTCCCACGAAATGATGAAATCATATTTTCTTTTATTTTTATTCTTTGAAAAAAAGATTAAAATTTTGATGACCTATAAACCATAAAAGGCACAGTACTCCTGTTGATCGATTGAATGTATCATCAGTACAATTACAAGTTATCCCACCACCACAGTCTCATTAGAAAAGCTACCTTGACGGTCATCCATCCCATACTTTTACATTATCTACCTTACGATATTCGGCCTCCTTACGATATTATTTGATAGCTAGACAAAACAGCAATCAACAACCGTGTTCTCAATTACATGTATATGTATATATTATATTATATCATAATCCTAGTACCGTTTGATACAGTACGATATGATACGGTATGATATGATATGACACAGTCGTATAATCATGATATATCTATACCCCTTGAATTCACGACTATAGATACCTACATATCTTATATATATATAAAGAGGATACGTATACCAAAAGAACCCCCCCCCTCATCATCAAAAAAGGGCCATAAGTGCACTTATGTAGCTAGTATCCAATATAATTAACATACCATCAAAAAACGAGGCCCTCTTCAAGATCAAAGTGAATCATATACAGCCATGGGATCCCCATCATGCAATCTCAGACGTCGAAAAAGAATGATAACGTTATAACGCAAGCTCACTAGGATGGATTCTGCATATACCTACTTATACAATATATATATTGAGAGGGAGGGAGGGAGGGGAAGAAGAGAAACCTGAGCAAAAAACTCATGCATTCCCCACTGCACTGGCCAGCATAGCTATAGAAGAGTGAGAGAGAGAGAGTATTCAATCATCGAGATAAACATCTAAATATACCAATTAACATCCAAAAAAAAAGAGGCACAGCGATATCGATCAGAAAAACAACTAAGCCATACGATTCCAACAAAAAGGCACATAATCAGAAGCAGCAGCAGCAGCAGCAACAGTAGACGAGACTAGATCATACACACAAAGAGAGAGATAGAGAGAGGGCAACTAAAGGGAATAAGTAGAGTTAGAACTTCCATCCCTTCTTTCTGCCGCCCTCCTACGAGAAGAGAGCAAAAAGAAAAAAAGGGATAGACAAAAACGGAGGACACACAGTCATACTGAATTCGAATTTGATGTGAGAACTAGTAAGTAGAATGAGAGAGAGAGAGATAAACAAAAGCAGCACCGCAAGCTTTCAATCCGGAAGAGAAAATACTGAGGAAACAAAAAAGGAGAGAGTGGGGATCAGAGAATTAAAAAAACAAAAAAGCTTGTAATTATCTTTATATTCCCTTTCCCACTTCGAAAGAGAGCATAACAGGTATATTAAAAAACAATTGGCGGAGTTAACAATCTTTTCCTTTTACCCCCCACCCCTCCGTTCCTCGAACAAGAGCCCGTCTAGTGCTTTTTTTTGTCGTTTCGTGGTCGTAAAATATCTCGTTCATCGTATGGTAGAATTTCCGAGGAAGAAAGAGAAAGATGGAAGTGTAGGAGAGAGAGAGAAAATAAAGTTATGTAAGGAAGAAAGCGAGAAGAAAAGGGCCGAGAAAGTCTAATTTTACATGCCGGTCTTCTTCTTAATGTTCTGGGAGAGCCATTCCAATCCTTCATAGAGACCGTCACCGGAAGTAGCGCAAGTTTGTTGGATGTACTATATTTGAACATGTTAGTCTCAATTTCAACTTTCGACGACATTTCTCACCGGGGGAAATAGATCGCGTAAGGTCGCGTGACATACCCATGCTCGCTGTCTCAAGCTGTGCAATCCAAGCTTATCGGTGATTTCGGCAGCATTCATAGCGTTCTAATGGTTTCCCATTCCGTCAGTTCTATTGTTTCTTTTCTAATCAGGCCGACCTATCCGATCCGGCTAGGCGGGCCTGGTTATTGTTTCTTGTGTAACATACCGGCAGATCCTGCTTGTTGGCGAAGACCAAAAGAAGAGCATCTCGGAGTTCATCCTCATTCAACATTCTCTGAAGTTCCTCTCTAGCCTCTGAAACACGCTCTCTGTCGTTGGAGTCAACAACGAAGATGATACCCTGGGTATTCTGGAAGTAATGTCTCCACAATGGACGAATCTTGTCCTGCCCACCGACGTCCCACACGGTGAAGGAGATGTTCTTGTATTCGACGGTCTCGACGTTGAAACCTAAGACATGGTTAAGAATGATGATCAAAGGTAGGCAGCGGGCAGGGGGCCCAAGGGGGAACACATACCAATGGTAGGAATTGTAGTGACGATTTCACCCAATTTCAGCTTGTAGAGGATGGTAGTCTTACCGGCGGCGTCCTATTTGTCGAAACATCAGTATAAGATTCTAAAGAAGCTTGTCCGGACGCGATACATTTGTCGTACAGGTCAAGGAAGCTTTTGGAAGACACCAGACTTAAATCGCCGGAAAACTCCAAAGCTCGCCACCATGCAACAAATCTCGGACCATAACAGCATATACGAGACGAATAGAAGTAGGAAGGGCTCAACTCACCAATCCGACCATAAGAATACGCATCTCCTTCTTGCCGAGGATGCTTTGAAGCGCTTTCGAAATTATCATACCCATCTTGACTGATTTTAAATCCCAAACAAGGGTGTTCCTGTGATATCAAAAAAATAATAAAATAAAATAAGATAGTTGGGTCGAAATGGAGAGAAAACGACTATTTAAGATATAAGTGAGATCGGTTAGCTCGGAATTAACCCCCGAAGTTGTGATAGGAGGAAGAAAAGGAAGAAGAAGGAAGCGTGGCGGGAAAAAAAATTAAATGCGACTGGATAAAACAGCTGGCCAGGGCAAAATAACAAGGAGGCCAAGCTGGCGACACAGGAGTATCCCGGGATGTGTTGGACGACGACGACAAGTGAATCTGAAACCTGGAACCTCTAAACGGGAACGGACAGGTCGGCCAAATCGACGGTCGATATGCCTAGGATGAAGATGAAGGAGATGAAGATGCTGCAGCTACGTGAAGCTCGCCGAGCAGGGGAAAGGGAGTGTAGATGTGCCACGCAATGGAAAAACGGCAACGGAGAAACTCGAAAGGGAGCTCGGTGGATGACGACAGGTAGAATACAGCAGAGCACAGCAAGGTCGATGCAGCGATTCAAGAGAAAGGGGAAAGGAAGGAAGGTAAAAGGAGACAACGGACCAGATAGGACAACAGCTGTAAGCGATTCGTGATACGGAAGTCGTCAACGGTGGTCGCGGAAGGCTTGGTGATGATGATGGTGGTGGTGGTGATGGTGTAGCAGTGGATGAGATGGATGAATGTGTGATGGGGGTGATGGGGAGAGGGAAGGGAAAGGTGAAGTTAATTAAAGGTCGAGGTTCTTGGTCTTGGTAGTTTGGTAGTTAGGGGGAAAGGTTAAATGCCAGCAAGACAGTAACAGAACGACTCACCCGGTTCCCAGCTGCAGTGTGTGTATGAAGGCCTGTCAGCTCGAAAGCACCCGATTTTTGCTGTATCTGTATTACAAGTCAGGAGAGTCCTGGTATGTATGTACCGACTCCGTACTAATCAAGAAGGAAAAAAAAAAAAAAAAAAAAGTGGAAGGGGCCAGAAATAACGTGATTGGTAGATTTTTTCCCTTATTTTAGACCGTGCATATGCTGCCTTGTATGTGTAATATGTATGTAGGTGTAGGTATCTCTGAGCTTGATCTCTTGATCACTTTGATTAAGACATCTTTCTTTCCTAGTTAGCCTCCAAAAGTGCATCTCTGACCAAGTTTAAAACACTCGGGGAATACGTACTACAATGCGTATATCTCCTCAAAAGAATACTCTGTTATCATCGATATATCATATCACCCGAGATCTAGACACCGTGGAGATAACTTCCAGTACATGTACAGCTTCTAACATGAGCTTGTGAAAACGGCTTTTGCGTTGCATGTTCTGTCCTCGCAACACAGCAGCCAAACGCCCGCCAAATCCTGCTCCATTTGTATATCATATCAATTCTATCTATTTACGGAATATACTAATAAGTTATAAACTGACTTGTAAACTCGATTGTTCCTGAGTACATCAGAATACCTACCTGTCAAATCATTTTTTGGCCACTCGCGAAATCTCATTCTTCGAGAAGCTAAGGGGAAGAAGTAGAATGCAACATGTTTCAACGCAAATTCTAATCACCTAGCATTCTATTTGTCGATCGAGCGAGGTCAGCTATGCAAATATGAGTATCTAGGATCGAAGTTAACACCGGTACACTTGCACACCAGGTCCGCAATGATACCGGTATCTGTGACTGACGCTGTATGTAAGGGACAGAAATATATCGCGTTTAAATTGCCATGAAAAAACTGTCATAGATATGCAGGCATATGTATCATCATCATCATAAATACGCTAGAGTGGGTATCCAACAAAAAACAGCCCTTCTCATCCTTCAAAAATCCCATTCGAAAGGATCTATATTACCCCCCAAAGTCATCGTGAGACCTCAGCCCCGTTTTATGGCCAGGTCAGTAGTTATTTTACTCAACCATGGCCTCTCCGCTGATGTCATTGCTCCCTTTCCTTCTCATCCACTCTACTAAAATCCCGATATCCTCAGTGACTTCCACCACCCTCTTGACACTCTCCACCTCTGCCATGGCTACCCCTCCATTGACAGCCAATATCTGCAGTTCTGCATTATTCAATATACTAATCTCAATTTGGCTGATGCTCTCGTAGTCGTATGGGAATATCAACGAATAACCTAACGGGAGGGTGTTCATCGATATGTCAACCGGTACCGCTAATTTAACAGGTGCTGAGTCGGAAAGGAACTCGTCGATATCCATTACTTCTGGTTGTTGAGGCGGTTGCTGAGTTGGTGATGGTGGCGGCAGCGACAGGTCTTCTGGGAATGCACTGTGGAATATTGTGCTGAAGCAGGCGTATTTTCGTAGTATCTATTTTTCCATTACTCTTAGCATTTGTCATATACAGAAGGGAAAAAGTAATGGGGGGAGGGGAGAGAAAAGGAGAGAAAGGGGTATACAAACCTGGAAGATGACACCCAACTGTCTCGGATGAGAAAATGGAATCTCTTCTAGCACCCGCCCGTACGCCGGCCTCAACGTATTCAAATTATAAGAATGTTCTGCGCTTTCCCCTTCCTTTCCTGCATAAACCTTTCTCCCGTTCACCAGTGGCTCTTTCCCTCCTTTGATCTTGGGGCATAAAACTCCTTCTAGTGGTCCTGGCATAACCTGCGACATCATAGACGCACCAGCTGCATTCAAGATCTCGACTTCGTCTTGCAAACTGATAACAACCGGTGGATCCAGCTTTGCGATAAAACGGGTGTTATTTAGTCGGGTTAGAACTTCAGGCTTTGTAGCTGGTTCGTAGTTATTCAATGGCGGCTCAATCCAATCGATCTCGTGAGTGTCAGCAGTACCGAAGAGGCCATCTGATCTGTACTTGTGGTGTTAGTGTCTCCGCCACGACTACCATTACCATAGAAAACGATGACCTACCCCTTCAGAACGTTATCCGACACCCAATCCTCTGAATTCCGAACCGGCGTAATATACGCTTCATTCGGCAACTCATCAACATCAATCACCACCCTCCAGAACTTCCCACTCTCCTCTCCATCCTCCCGTCCTTTCCCTTTCCCTTCCATCTTCTCACTAATAAACCTCCTCTCCTTCCAATAATCAATGCAAAACCCTACTTTGGCTCTCAAATGCATCCCCGGCCTTCCCATCCCTTTACACATAGCTTCAACCTCCCCACCGAAGCTTGCCACTTCCTTTTCCCAAATCTTCATCATGGAAACATAAAGCCCCGTTACTGCACTGAAACAATTGAGAGAAGGAAGATGACTAAGCCGGTCCGACCTGGCGAAACGCTCGAGATTATCGGCGAATTGCGCGAGGGAGGAGGTTATACTATAGGTCGAAGTTGAAGAGTTTGTGTTCTGTGAAAAAGATGTAGCCGACGACTGGGAGATAAGTGTATTTTCGAGAATTTTAGCGGCCCGATCTGAGAATTCGGCCGTTGGACCTGAAGTTTCGGCGAAGGAGAGGGTGACACGCGAGACAGCTGCATCCTTGAAGTCGACGTCTACCACCACTATAATACCTGATATGATCAACGTGTGAACGCCTTTCATAAGTGTAGTGCTATCAGTATGGTATTGCATTCTATTCAACCGAAACGCTAATTAGCCAACTTCCCATGTATGCCATAGATAATAGGACTTCATAGAATAAAAACTCACCCAGCTCTCCTAGCGACTCTCTTAATCCCTTCCTCGGAAATCTTCCCAGGCCGACTTTTTAGTACCTTCAGTACTCTCTTAAGCTTACTCCGTTCCTTATCCTCCCCTCCTCCAACGACACCAGGTCCGCTTCCATCGGCGCCTAGTAACGAGTTTAAGGAATTCAGATATTTCGTGCCGGTCGTGGAGCTCGCAGGAGAACCGAATTGTAAGCCACTGCTTGATAACGATGGTGCGAGAGCAGAGCTGTGTGGTGACTTTTTGAGATTTGGATGAGGTGATGAACCGGCGAGGGCTTGTGAGACTGCCGGAGAGAAGGGAAATGTCGGAAGGTTGCCGGGTGTCATGCCACCGTGGGGAGGAGCTGCCATTGGTGTGTGTGTATTCATGGTGGGAGATGGTAAGGCTCAACCCGTAGGAGGCGCGGTGTTATAGATACGCGAATTGATATGCCGATAGTATTCAGAGCTTTGAGAGGTCACAGTCCCTAGAAAACTATATCCGGCTTTCCAAAGTTGACCTGGCGAGGGGGAAGTCGCGTGAATTCGAGTGTGGAGGGTTGGTGGTGCCGTGTAGTGATGAGATTGAAGATATGGTTGATGTTTGGAGCTACCTATTATTAGGTGCCAAACCGAGTTCCGAAGCACGAAAGCTTGGTTCCTGCATCCCAGCAAGGGTCCTCTCCCCACAGCCACCTTTCAATGATATAATGTTACTAAGCTATATGAATGACAGCAGACTCGATTGAATTGGAGTATATAACAGTAATCCAGTAGGTACTTATTCAGAGAAAAATATTTTATTCTAAATCGTACCGACTTAGTAGAGTTTAAGCACAACAGTAGCGTCTATACCCACAGTGGTAATAAGCCTAGTAGCCTTTACTCTCGCATAGGTTGAGAAAGGACTTCAAGGAAAACAATAAAAGACAAGAAAGTAGCAGTGCATGCGCATGGTAACTTTGGTTCAGAAGTAGAACCATCAATCTATCACTATTTCCACCCTGTTAATAGTGTTCGTGCTCACTCCAGACATATCCCAGTCGCCGGATCCTGAGTTTTGATATGCTGGCCATTGCCCAGCCAGAATAAACCCTCCTTCTACCCTGTAAAACACTCAAGATCCCCTTCGCCCCAAAATAAACACAGAGAGGTCCATCTTCTCAACTGGGCCGACAAAGAAAGAAAGGAGAGGGGGTAAGGGGTAAAGCAACAAAAGCTGTACAGTACGCCGATATTTTGGACAGACACAAAAAGGAAAAAACCAAGACGACAATAGAAAATACAAAACACGAAATGCCAGGTTTCTCGATGACCGGATAGCTACAATACGCTGACGGCATATAGAAACCTTGACAAGATGCTCTTCTAAACCAAAACGTGCGGAAAACAGAAAACGACCCAGAAAATGCGTGTGAAAACTGAAATGATGTTGGCTAGGATGGTTCTTCGCCGTCGACTTCTTCGATCGTTTGGCTCCATGGCATAACGACTCGCATTCGATGGAACTAGCCAAGACTCAGGATTAGCTTGATTCACACGGTAGGATAAAAGATATGGGTGTCTGAGATCTAAGACATACGCTTGGGAGCTTCGGTATAATAACACTCATCAAAGCCATACAGTTGACGACAAAGAATGTTAAATCGTAATGCGTATAGTGAGTAGAGAGAAGGAATAGTAGTATCGGCATTGATGTCAGGAATTTCTTTGAGGGTGTGTATTGGTCGCCATTGTCCATTTGCTCCCACATGTTGAGGTTGTCATATGCACCAGAGTTGAATTCAAAGGGGATACCTTGGACATAATGAAACATAAGGTAAGTAGCCTATGATTATGGCGGTGATGTGTGTCAGCAGTTTGGATATGTCGTTATCAGATGCTATTGGTAGAGGTCTACGTACAACCATGTAGGTGATATTGGTTAACGTCCAGCTCGTTTCCTGTGAAACTCCGGGTATTGTATCATAGAATATTTTCAGACCAGCAATGCATACTGGATGTATTAGCCAGGCACCTATTTTCAGTCGCTGTCAGTAACTTTCCTAGCTTTGGTTTTTTTATATTACGAGTTCTAATTAAGTGGGTCATTCCGGGATGCCTGGAATTCCCCCCAGTTCTCCTTCTCGAGAAACGGGTGATTCTAGCTTTCAGGTCCTTCTCTTTCCAGTATTCCCGCTGTCCCCGGTACAGAAATCTCAAAAACTGACCTTTATTATTGACCCAGTTAGCATTCAGATTCGGCAACGCGACCTGATCCGAAAGCTGCTCGATCGTCTCTGGCGGCTCAACGTAGATGATACTGCTAGATCGTCTCCGTCGGCCTTTAGATACGGAGCCTGAGTGCAGCCTTGAGGGACCACCGTCGGGCATATTCGTCGGTGAGAGAAGGGTGGCAGTTTTGGAAGCCACGGTTGCGGATTTTGGGAAGGTGGGAAGACGACGTGTATCGGCGTTTCTTGCAGTCGCGAAACCGGGAAGGAGGGTTCGCGAGGAACTTAGATTGACGGAAGGGTATATTATGGTACTTTCCGACGGCAGATCAAGCGTGTGAGACGGTTGGGACGAGAGACGGCGGGTCCTTTGGGTGAGACTGACTGGTCCAAAGACAGCGAGGACTGAAGACCTTGGTTTTTAAATGATAGACGGCAGCTCGGACAAACAGAAGGTTTTTGAATAGGAGGCGATATTGACGGTCGGCAAGAGACGTCGGCTGTGGCGGAAAGATATGGATGAATGGTTGAAGGGGGAGAAGAGAGGAGAGGAGAAGGAAGTGGAAGAGGATGAAGCAGAGTAGAAGTAGAAGTAGAAGCAGAAGCAGAAGTAGAAGTAGAAGAGAGGGAGCTGAGGGACAGGAGATGAAGTGACGCAAGTTGGAAATGAGAAAGCGTTCTTGTATGGGGTACTAACACTAACTTAACACAACCTCAACAGCCGTGGCTCGAAATAGCAGCAGTTTTATTACATATATACTACGGAGTACCCCCAAGTGGCATTCAGGAGTCTCTTTGCCCCGTAATTACAATATTAAGTAGGTCCTTCCATCTTTCGAGGATATCAAGATAACTAAGAATGGTATTCCTAGGAAATGACAGCGTTCACTTTCCAGTGTACAGTCAGTGGACCGGATGAAACAAAAGCTTAGCCCCCAAAGAGGGCACCCCGGCCCAGATCTCTCCCCCAGACATTGCATTTTGAGCTGCAGAATTCGATGCCCTTTCTCCGGGCCTGCAGCATCTCATCGTCTAATTAATTGGGCTCTCAGGCCGTGCCTGCGGATTAATCTTTCAGCGGTTTAATTTGGCCCAGCTCGGGACGGCCCATAGATAGGTACCTATTTACAGGTATCTAAGTATGCACTCCAAGATGCATTTCGTCCCGTCGACGACGGAATCTCTAGTACATGGACTCCACGTCGGCGGCTGACCGGCACCGTGACATCGATTACGACTACCTTTTGACGTTTTTGCCAGGGTCCTCGGCCGCTAGTTGGTCCAATACCGGTCCCTTGACTGGTAACTGTAACCTAGCGACGGCATACCGGCCGGCGCGACTACGAGAGCAAAAAAAATATCAGGCCTGCTGCCTACGTTGACCATAGATGATGAATGCAAAACGAAGGATCATGATCATGTCACTATCAAAGTGTCCGATGCCCGGAGGAGAATCATTTCTATCAGATCAGCACAGCCGCAGCCGCTCGCCTGCTGAGACCATAACCTCATCTCGTCCTTAGTTTGCTTTTATTCAGCACTTTAAATTGACCCACATCCGTTTCCAACACACATAATGCAACAGTTGCGGCTTGCTGAATCGTAATTCATGTTAGATGAGTTCTATATTTACATACTAACTACCACAATCTAGCTGAATAAGTATACAATAATAGTGATTTTCTATTATACATTATATACGCATTCTCTTCTTTTCAGATACCGATTCCATAATGTATATCCAGTTGTCTCAGACCGGAAATACACTCCTCCAGCGATTTATTTCTTATCGCCTGGCGCTTTCTTCAGTCTTCCAGACTGTGTATCCGCGACACCAGGCTTTCGGTAATACTGGTTTTGACGCCTCATAGGAGCCAGTATATTGGTCCTCTTGCAGTCAACAAGGACTACAAAATCTTATCAGCCTCCTCCATTCATTCGTGTATTTACTAATGTAATTTTTGGTCAACGTGGAAGAACTCACCAACAACAGTATTCCCATCAACCCGGTTTCTATCCTTCCTATAAGGGTAAGTGATACACTGGTTTCCAAAGGTTCTGCTCGGCCGGGAAGTGTCGCACATTGGTGATGTAGCTCCGTTCGGCCCCACCAAAGTCGTAGTATGCCATTTAGTCATCGATCCACAGCTCTCTACCATTTTAGGAATCAGCGTCCAATAACCACACCAGTCACCCATCTCGCTATACTGTGGCGCAAATGCTTCATCCAACGAGTGAGTATATGACTCCTCCATTGAAAAGCCAAGCCCACCGCTGAATATACTAAGCGGGTCCGCTAATCCAAGATTAAGCCCATACGAAACACCCCAGCTCGTCGATGTGCCTTTTGTTAAAGTCACCATGGGTGCACCGGGGCCTCTGTTTATTGTTCCGACGCTGTATGGTCTTTCCGAGCCGTGGAAGTATCTACGACGGACTTCACACCATGCAGCGCAGTCGCGGTTGTTGTTCTTGTATCTAAAATCGCAGCTGCCGTCCTTATTGAGGGGTCTTTTGTTACACCCCCAGATTGATTCACCCGTAAACCCGTTATCGTGATCACAAGGATCAAAATTCCGATCTTCCAGGTCGTTAGTCGCATTTTCGGACCTTTTATGCATCAGAAGCATGTCGTTTACTAAAGCTTCGACCTCAGCGCGAGATTTGGGAGATTGGTCAACAGTGATGCTAAGAACTCCATTTTTGAACTTGGAATCTGTCACCACTGCACGTTTAACCGTGTTGATTTCACCGGTAAAAACGTCCTTCTCAGCAGTTCCAGGATCAACATCATCCGCACCGCCAATACCGTAGATATATGCAGATAGATTGTCAAAAACATGCCCCCCGGAGAAATGGTCGGCACCACAATCCATCCTGAGATTCTCTAGCGCGAGGAAGACCTCCTTTTGGGAAACAATCCTATCTTCAGGGGTATAATTGCAGACTTGAGCACATGTATAACCGGTAATGTGGTGGATGCATGTTCCAGCTTCAATATTGAAGCCCTCCATGGGGACTCTTCCATAAGCTAGATTGTTGACGGCTGTTCCCGCTTCAAGATTTCGAAGCCTAAAAATGGACCATCAGAATTAATTCTTTATTAGAACACCTAGCATTGCAATTGTAATCACTTGAATACCTACCCACGACTAGGAAGACACCGTATCGGCTTGCTAACTAAGCAAATATCGCTACTAGATTCAACCCCACGAGCGACATTGGCGGTATGGGTAGCAGGTGCAGCGATGGAAGCCCCAAGAATAGCGAAGATAAAAGGAAGTGAAGTAAGAGGAGACGAGAACATGATGATTAATATGTATATTTCTCAAAAAATAAAAGCGTGAGAGAGTGGAAAAAATAGGAACAGGTGTACGAAATATACCAGCACCAACCGCTAGTATTAAAATTAACGACCGCGTGTTAAAATATTAATGGGAGGGACTGCTTATTCGTTAGTACCTCTCAATATGAACTGTGATACCTTAATTTATGTATATCCCTCCTGCCCTGAATTCATGAAGAACATTCATTCATTCATTGGATGGCTTTGAATAAACGGCCTTAGTTCATGACATGCCGTTCGGCCAATTAACAAACCCTTCGTATTCATTCCGACAAAAAATTATCAGATGCTACGATATACCGAAACTTCGAATCAAGCCCAAACCCTAGTGGGAAAGCAATATTTCCGTCGGACTAGTTCCCAACAAGCCATAATATATGCGCTCTGTAGGATCAGGAAACCCGAGTGTGTGGTAGCACACATGCATTACCTGCCGGCGCCAGAAATTTAGAATAGATTATTCTAGTATTCAAGAAAATAAAAACAAGCTTTTCTACAACTACCTGATCAATAAAGCATAATTCACCTCCAGAATCTCCATTTTCTAGCCCAGGGCCAACCATTGCGCCATACAAAAGAGGATGGTGGCACCATTCCAGCAGGATCTTCAAGTTTTACATCGCTTTCTCCTGAGAAGCGGGTACGGAGCTGGAAAAACAAAGTATATATTCGAACGACTCCAGAAAACGTCGATAGTATACATCCTAGTAGCCCATAGCACAATTAGGTTTGATATCCCTTTGCATCATTGATTTATTCAGAATAACCTAGTCTCATTGGAATAACTCATTCTTGCATTTTCATTCAAGAATTTTTTTTCACCGATCCCCCTTTACTATCATTTTTACCCAATTTAGACCTAATCAGATGTCATAGAACAATGTAGGGATATTCTCTCCAATATCCGAGTTGTAGATTGTGTTATTTTTCAACGGTAACAGGCCTTCAACGCTAATACAATGTTTTGCAAACTAGGTACAGATTCATGAATTATTAAGGTTGTATGCGGAGACTTTCTGGGTGTATGCAAGTCATCAATCCCTCGGATAATATTGCGGGGAGTTCGAAACTATATCCCTGTATGTCTATCCGCACGTGCATCCAACCCTATTTGCATCTATGTATGTATGTATGTACGTTGGAAAAGAAATTTTGACTTAGCTAAAAGAAACAATGGGGCGAGAGAGAGGGAGAAGCATAGAAGTCCCCAGGATTTTGCCCGGATATCTATCAGGTATGAAAATGCATTCGAATATCAATATTCTACAACAATGATATTTAATTTGACGAAAAAGTATCTAAAAATGCTTAAGAAGGGTTAAATTGGTATTATAGTTGCGGTCATTCTAAAGACTTCGAAGCCCTCGTACATAATAATTGGGACGATATACAGATAAACTTTGCCTAATAAATTTCTAGGATACGTACGTACGCGATGTTCTACAGCAGAGGTGATACCAATCAAATTTGGTACTTCACATTTCGGTACCCTGAAGACTATCTAGACATATATACATACTCGAGTACTCTATATACAGAGTCTCTAAAATACAACCATAGGCAAAACAATCCCAATCGCAAACATAGTCGCCATCAATTTCCCCGGCCTCAAAGCACCAAATGCTGCTATACTAGGCGGTGGCTCACAAACCGCCTGACCAAAATTCCCCTCCATATCCGTCTCATTATATACAAAGCCCTTATATAATGTCGACCCAAGCACACAATCATCCCACCATGAATCTCCAAGTATTTCCGTAACATTCGAAATACACTGATACCCACAGCCTTCAACCACATCGAATCTTCCAAGACAGCATTGTTGTATAGAATCAGAGACGTTTTGGTTCATATACGCCGGGTTGACGGGAACATAGCATTGTGCCTGATAGTTTGTAGTGATTGGTTCTTCGGGGAAACAGACTTCAAAACCGAAATATTTGTGAGGGGAAGATCTGTATTCTGAGATAGTAGGTGCGGGAGCGTGCCAGGGGATTGTAGCTGGAACGGTGATTGTGGGCGTTACAGGAAAATAGGTGGATACCCGTACTGCTATGTTAATTAAATTGGGTTTTGGAATGAATCTTTGAGTGTTTCTATATCCAGATTCGTGTAGCGCTACGTCTAAAAGATAATACTAATTAGGAGAAATAAAAAATATATAGAGAGATTGATATGGCGATCAGATCACTTACATACCTGGTGTGATACTTATTGAGGTTCTAGGGTGGATTGAGAAAGTAAGATTACCAAAACGCTACTCGGAGAAGTGCTAGTTATCAACCATCTTGGTAGACAGATGCATGTACATGTTTCGCAAGGAACTGTTAACCAATACTTAGTAGTTATAACGTTAAAGTAGAATTTTAGAGCAAATATACTCCTATCACCCCTGAAGAAACTAGCTATGTCTCGGAGAGTTTCTATTTGCAAATTTGCCAAAATTTCCCCAGTCAATCTATATTCGAGTTATATGCCCGGGTTATTACAATACATATCTCGAGAATATCACAGGCCGCTTGAAAGCAAAGTCGTAGTCACAATGTACGTACAAGTATATGTATATAAACTACAGCAAAACCATAGGCAAAACAGCTCCAATGACTAACATAACAGCAAACAACCTCCTCTCAGTCCTCATCTTAGGTCCTGCCATACTCGGTCGGTCCGCACACCAAGCTCCATCCCAATCCGCAGACTTGTTCGAAGCAACCTCAGGGCTATACCTAGGTAAATCCGATTTCTGTAGACACTCTGACCACCATCTAACGGGAGCAACATACGTAACCCCTTTATCATCGGGCCCTTCTGTATAATTAGATATACATTGATATCCACAGCCCTCAACGACATCAAGTCTTCTGTAGCAACATGGTATCAGAGATTGTGCGATTTTGTCATTTATGAAGGATGAGTCGAAGACGTTCACCCAACATTGTGTTTTGTATTCTGAAGTGAGAGGTTCTTCTGGGAAACAGATACTTCTAGAGGTATTCCAGTTCTCGGATTTGTAGTGGCCAGTGGGGTTGGCGGGTAGTGGAACCGTGGCGGGAATGGAAGTCGCGGTTATGATTGAGGTTGGAGAGCTGGTAGTTGCGGGAATGGGAGTGGGAGTGTGAATAAACATTGTCAGAGTCTCCATATGAGCTTCTGGATGTCTGAAGCCGTGATGCATCCCGCTGTTATGTTTCTAGAACAGTGCCTGCTATTCAAACCAAATCACCAATTAAAAATTAGAAGTCCAGTATACTTAGTTTTCCAGTAAGAAGATATTTAAATCCTACTCGCCTGTGACGAAGCTTTCGTACAAGCCTTAGATAGAATGGTTTTTGGAGTATGTATATTATAAAAATGATAGCGATCTATCCAATAAGCCGACCAGGTTTTGCGAATTTGGAGGAAATAAGAGTTAATGGAACATTAAAGAATATACCATCATCTGATATGATTAGATATCTTCAAGCAGAGAATAAGATGTCCCCTCCGGTTAACGGCTAGGATATCGATCATATCGGACACTGTCCTATCTCGATTCTTAGATATATCCCGGCCGAAGAAAACTCTTCTGGCCCGAAATCCAGATTCTGGGATTTAATCCAAAGTTGCAAGAGTCGAGTCGATCCTCACTTCAAGACCCAGGGTATTTCCTACCCCAGACTAAAGTCATGTCTCGGACAGTTGAATTCCTCTACTCTCCTCCAACCCCCAGTACGGCCTTCCCCCCCGCAAGCTTTCCTGGCTAACTTGGTAAAACTTTGGCGAGAGACATGGCCATTAGCGACGGAAAGCTTATTTCTAGTATTTTTACCCCGGGTGCTGGTATGATATTGAACAAGTACAGCTATCTGATCGTTTAGATATGATGCTTTTAAGAATCCCCAGAAAAGTTTGATAAAGATTAATGCTGGGATTAGGGGGGCTTTTAGCTTTGATAGAAGGCGTTTTCGAGACCATAGGATTTTAGGCCATGGTATCGGATATTGTCCCTGCATAGACCAGAAAGCTTGTTTATTCCAAGCGTGACTGGGCGCATTTAGTCACCATTGTATTTCAAAGGAGCCTAATACCTAGTCTCGAGACCCTGTACGCTGTATTTCACTAAATCACGTAATAGCTTCATTCCTTCCTCCTCAGGAAAAGCTTTTTAGAACATTCCGCCCCACAGATTTTACCAAAGGTTTCCGTTCTAGAAAAGCCCTAGAATCCTGGGAGAGATTTATAGTTTCCGCCGGCAATATATCGGGAAGACTATGACAGCCTGATATCAAATGGATATTTGTTATCAAGTGGGAATTCGTGGATAGAAAGGAGCGACTTTGATCTTGGAAGACTTTTTATATGTATGTACCCTAATGGACTCTACTAGATATGAAGCCCAACTGCACTAGCTTGGACATTTGCTTGCTTCCACAAAACCACAATTTTGTTATTCGCACGGACAACATTTGTACAAAGATACTTCCAAAAAAACGCCTTGCAAATGGTCGGGAATCTATTTGTAACAGTATCAAGTTTTAGGTCTTGACCATTTCTACCCTTTTGCCCGCCAAGCCTTTTACTTTCTCGACGAGCTGGCCTTCCGATTCCAATGCTGCGATATCATCACTACCACCTATCGACTTGCCCAAAACGAGGATATTGGGGACCGTTCTTCGTCCTGTCTGTTTTTGGAGTGCATCTTGGATTTCCGAACCGTGGTCGTGGTTATCAAGTTCGACAACCTATATACTAGTTAGCAATCGCGGTCTTGCAATTAGATGAACCATCTAGGGGGGTGTATTCATACAAAAGGTGCCGGTGTAATTGTATATTTATCCAGTAACAACCTCTTCGCCGCCTTCGAGTACGGGCAATAAGTTTTCGAGAATATAATAACTATTCCACTTGCATTAGTATAACCTATCCCATAGTACTCGTAACACCTCCAGAAACAGCGGATTGACATACTCGGGCTTCGCTTCAAAATCTCGTCCAATTCAGTTGTCACATCCCAAACACCCGGATTCGGAGCCTTTGCATTTGCCTTCTCCTTTGCAGCGATTTCAGCGTCCTTTAACCTTTGTGATTTGAGTTGCTTCTCTAGAACCTCGTCTTCGTCGTCGAAGCCGTTCTTAACCGCCTCCTTGTGGCGATGTCGTTCTTCATTATGAAGTTGCTGGGCGATTCGGCGATCGGTACGGGTTTGTGACTATTTCGTAGTACAGTTTTGCATTAGTATTAACTACTTGTTATCCCGAGTTGAATTGGACAGAAAAGTTGGTGGTTCATACGCCGTAGAAGAGGAAAATAACGATCAGAGTGAACGCCGCTATGCCTAGCAGCTTGACGCGACGAGCAGCCGTCATTGTTGAAAACCTCAAAATGGAAGTTGGGTAGAATCCAAGAAATAGGAAGTAGGTAGCAGCTGGTGCAAAATTGATATATACCCTGTGCCAGACTCTTTGTAGAACAGTATGAACGAACGAATGAACAAAAGCTTTCCAAGGATACCAATTCGGATTGAAATTGTATGGGCCAGATCGCGGTTCGAGTTCCGATTTGAAGCCAAGACAACCGAAGTCCCAAAGATGTCACTTTGTCTTGGCATTCCGGAAATGTGTTGCAGAAAGAAGCCCTTGTCAATTGTCTCGAACTTCGCGAATGTTCGAGACGATACGATGGCGATAGATTGTTTCAGACCTCATCGTCATCGTCATTTTTCTTTGGTGGAGGCTGTAAGCGGCCTTGCTTTGTATTTGAGGATGGTTCTATAAATTCATCTCTTTTTCTCATTCATCTCCTTCCTTTCACTTTCCCCGACTCTTTGGCTTCGATACTTCCTGGTCCTGTACATATATTATATTCCCCCCCACCATGCTATCCCGAACGACATCCCGCTTGCCCTCGAGGGCAGCAAGAAACCTTTCACAATCAATCAAATCCCAAACCATACGATCGCCTCGAACCCTCGGTCTTACTCGTACAATAATCCCAGCTATATCAACTCAATCGATCAATCATGCTGCTCCTTACATCTCCCATAGATCCTACGCCACCCATCGGGGTCCCGTCCCACCGGGTGGCACACACCGAATGAATCTCGGTGCTGAGCCCGAAAAGTCTGCATTGGAAACATATGGCATGGACCTCACGGCTCGAGCTCGAGATGGAAAATTAGATCCGGTAATAGGACGTGAAGGCGAGATTCGACGATGTATCCAAGTTTTATCCCGTCGGTCGAAGAATAACCCTGTTATTGTTGGTCCGGCTGGTGTAGGAAAGACAGCAATTGTTGAAGGATTAGCGTTAAGGATTGTTCAAGGCGATGTCCCATCTTCGATGTTAAACAAGAGGGTCATCTCTTTGGATTTGGGATTGCTTGTTGGAGGTGCAAAGTTTAGAGGAGAGTTTGAAGAGCGGTTGAAGAATGTGATGAAGGAGGTGGAGGAATCCAATGGAGAGGTTATCTTGTTCATCGACGAGCTACACAATCTTCTCGGCTTGGGAAAAGCAGAAGGAAGCATTGATGCTTCTAACTTGCTGAAACCAGCATTAAGCAGAGGGTCATTCCAATGCTGTGGTGCTACAACCTTGAACGAATACCGAGCAATCGAGAAAGATGTAGCTTTGGCAAGGAGGTTTCAAAGTGTTCAAGTCAGTGAGCCTACGGTTCAAGATACCATCAGTATTCTCAGAGGTATCAAGGAAAAATACGAAGTCCACCATGGTGTTCGTATTACCGACAGTGCATTGGTAACAGCGGCAACGTATGGCAACCGCTACATCACCGACAGATTCTTACCAGACAAAGCAATCGATCTAGTAGACGAAGCATGTTCGGCACTAAGGCTACAACAGGAATCACAGCCCGAGCCAATACAAGTGCTTGACCGTGAGATCCTGACAATCCGAATCGAATTGGAATCCCTCAAAAAGGAAACCGATGTCCTTAGCGTCGAAAGGCGAAAGAAACTACAAACCCAACTTCAAGAAAAACAAGATGAAGTTGCCCGTCTCACTGCCATCTGGGAAAAAGAAAAGGCCGAAATTGCCAGTATAAAATCAACCCAAGAGCAACTTGATATTTCCAGAACGGAACTAGACGCCGCTCAACGTACCGGTGATTTCGCAAAGGCTAGCGAGCTCCGATACTCGACAATCCCACGCCTCGAAAACAAAATTAAGGAAATAACTTCCAAGCAAAAGGAAGGCGGACTACTCCATGACTCGGTAACATCCGATGATATCGCACGAGTAGTCTCCCGTGCAACCGGGATCCCCACAGAAAAAATGATGGCAGGTGAGGTCGAGAAACTCGTACAAATGGAATCCACAATTGCCAAAGAAGTCAAGGGCCAACCCGAAGCTCTAAAGGCAGTCGCAGATGCAATTAGACTCCAACGTGCAGGCCTTACAAGTCTAAACCGCCCTACGGGATCCTTCATGTTCCTCGGCCCCACAGGTGTAGGAAAAACTCTACTTGTCCGTCAACTCGCCAACTTTTTGTTTAGTTCCGAAGATGCGGTGATTCGATTTGACATGAGTGAGTTTATGGAGAAACATACTGTTAGCAGACTCATCGGTGCTCCAGCCGGTTACGTCGGTTACGAAGATGCGGGACAGTTGACAGAAGCTGTAAGGAGAAGACCATACTCCGTGGTCCTCTTCGACGAATTCGAGAAGGCGCATAAAGACGTCGCCTTGTTGTTACTTCAAGTACTAGATGCAGGGCATCTTACTGATAGCCAAGGTCGAAAAGTCGATTTTAGGAATACAATCATCGTATTCACATCAAATCTAGGACAAGATATCTTAGTAGATGCACCCGAAGGAGACGAAACCGGGAAGCTCCCTACTGAAATCAAAACCGCTATTACGGATGAGGTGGCAAGATATTATCCACCAGAATTCCTAAACCGTATCGACGAATTCATCATCTTCCAAAGATTATCAAGGGATTCCATCGCAGATATTGTGGACCTAAGAGTCAAAGAAGTCCAACAGAAACTCGACGATAGAAGGATTAGCTTGGAACTTGGAGATGGTGTTAAGAAGTGGCTTGCCGACAAGGGATATAGTGTGAAATACGGTGCAAGACCATTGCAGAGGTTGATAATGAAGCAGCTATTGAATCCACTAGCGATGAGATTGATTCAAGGTCAAATCCTCCCTGGGGAGGTTGCTAAAGTTAAAGTTGCAGAGAGCGGAGAATCATTGGAGGTTTTGGCGAATCACGAAGCAGTGACGTCCCATAAGCCTGAGCATCACGAACATGAACACGACGAACATGATGAACACGACGAAGGGCTCGATCCCGCGAAGGCGTAAAGACCTTTCGCGGGTGGAGTCAAGAATAATACGGGTACTCAGAAAGAGAGAAGAAAAACAACTCTGCATTGGAACTGGTGTTTACATTTGGTTGTTGATTCTCCGATTTTTTGAAAAAAATTTCACGGCGCAAGATAAAAATTGGCTGCTGGTCTGTCATCTTCACGAGAAGATTTCTCGGACCTTGTATAATACTCCACACACACAAAGTATATAGTTCAGATACCATCACCCTTTCATTTGGCAAATATGTAAATAAATACCTATAAATTAATTAGAGAGCCAGACATAATCACAGTTCAATATCTTAAATGTTCGAATTCATATACACACTCGCACAAGCTTACAATATGAAAGATGGTTAACGTTTCGAACGGAAGTTTAAAGTATAAAGTATTAAATCTTCTATTTTTTTTTTTTGAAAAATGAGGCCGGTATCGAAGAGAAGTAGTTTAAAAGTACACCGTAAAGGAAAGTGGTATCTTGGGTACGAAGTATGCACAAAAAGGAGAGACCTGTAAAAAAAAAAATGAAAGCCCATGGATATCAATGCACGCCTGAAAGAATCCCCAAAAAAAGGTATATAAAGCCCAGCGACAAGCCTTTTGAAGCCCCGGTCGGTGAGAAACTCCCACCCCTCTAGACAAGATAACAAGTTAATGTATCCGGTAACAAGAGAAAGAAGAAAAGAAAAGTAAAAAAAAATTACAAGAAACAAAAGTCGAAAATCCTGTCCCAAAATTTTGAAGGTCGAAACGCAAAAAACAAAAAAGTCAAATGACGACGTCGATATGCATGTGTGAAGTTCGTATGCACATTGATCAAGTTAAAACATCAAACGGTCGAGGTCTCCTTTAAATCATCATAACGCTACTCGAATTGCTTCCTCTTCGGCTATTTCTCCTGGGAGGTCTTGGAACACCATCGATTTGGTTATAGCTCAAACTATTATGTCGGTTCCTGTAGCCTCCAAGACTAGAGCTTCGTCTCGCATATCCGCCAGCACCGCTTGATGTCCGTCTGCCACTCGGGCTTCGGCTGGCACCAATACTTCCGCTTCGAGATTTAGCATCACCCTTTGTTGGAGTGGTGTTTGAGCTTCCGTATGCAATGGTACCCTGGGACTGGTTCCTTTTCTTGCGTCGACCGCGGCTGTCGTTATCGATTGTATTTGCAAGATCTGATTTTGTCAGACGCTCTTCTTCTTCTGGGACCTGTGCGAAACCAGAAGGAGTAGATGCGGTGGCGGCAGAGGCGGCAGTACGGACTTTGTCCATCGCCCTGTCCGCGGCGCGCTCGACTGAGAGACGCCAAGCGTTGGAGTTCGCGCGGTTGATGGTGACTGGAGCAGCGGACATATCAACCATCTCAGGACCTTGGGTTTGGTCTTGAGAGGTTGGAACTGGTGGAGGAGGGGTCGTCGAAATGGCTCCATTGGATGTGTAAGGAGTATAGCGGGGTGGCATGTGTAGACCTACTCCAGCCGGTCGAGATGGAGAAGGGGACGAGACGCGGGAACTAGCATCCGTAGAAATATCGAAACCCGGGGTCGGGTTTCTTGGTTCTGGGGAGCGGCTGGCATAAGAATTATAAGGAGAGGCCTGGGATGCATCTACAGTATACGGACTAGGGGTGCGTGCGAAATTGAAGTCGTTGTTGGTAGGATCATAAGGAGTGGGAGAAGTGGTTCGCTCGTCGATACTTGATTGGGCAACTCCGATACCATTGTCTGGGCCGGTGCTATCCCTGCTATAGTAACCGTAGATATCACCGTTTTGACTTGTTGGGCTTGTTGGGGAAGCATTGTTGACTTGAGGTGTGGCAGGCGTGAAGAACATCAAGGGAATGTTTATGTGTGGGCCAAGTTGACCTTTTTGTTGACTCTGTACTGATACCCTGAAACTGTTTCGCGGTGTGTACTCTTCGATAGTTGCTTGCGGAAAGACAGCACTCGAAGGGCTTAGCGTCAGGGACGGTCTGTGCGCCGCCTGAACACTGCCCAACGACATTGACCTCGCAGGACTATGAGGTGGCGGGCTCACTGGATTTCTATGCGGGAAGACTGCCGGTGCCGGTGCCCGAGGTATTGTGTGTTCCGTCTCTGGGATATCTACTGTCTGTATTTTAGTCGTCGTGTACTTACGAGGGTTTGAAGGGGCTGATATCATCAGGCCTAATTCTTTATCGAATCCGTACCCCAGTTCATGACTATCATTCGTGGCTCCACGAATGTGGGTTTTAATATTAAGGCCGCCACCCGCAGCAAACCATGAATTGTGTCCACCCTTCTTGTCATCATTGTGTTCAACAGGATATGGCATCGCTGGCGAATTCTGGACACCCTTGTTGAATTTTTTGATGACATGGGACTTGTAATGATAACAACCGCAGCAGATGCCGAGCAAAGCGATAATAAAGAAGCCGACGATCGATCCGACCGCAATTCCAGCCTTTGCGCCAGTAGACAATCGGTAAGGTTGTTCGTTGATCAAAGCAGACGCGCTTGCTCCCAGTCGTCCTTCAGCTTCCTGAAGACTAGTGGGTTCAGGCAATTCTGTAGGTGCGGGCTGGTTTTGGTTTGCAGAAGTGCTAGCGGATGTCGTCGGGAGCGCGGCCTCTAAAATGACTGTATCACAGACTTCCTGAATATCATAGATCGTGTCGGTCCGGTCCCTATCATTACCGCAGTCGTTTGTACGGTTTAAACAATCTTGAATAGCACCAAGAATCGCATAGTCGTCGCAAAGACATAAGGCCTTGTTGTCACACTTTGATAGTCCAGGTTGTCCGAGTACAGTCTTATAGCAAGCGTCGACGCATCCAGGCAAATCCCGCCCCCCAAAATTGACAGCCAGGACCGAAGAAATGCCAACAAGGGCAGAAAGCAATATTGAAGAATACATTGTGATGACTTTATGATTAACTTGATCGTTAGCTATACCCGGAAGCTATGGGTCGAACGTTAAGAGCATACCTTTCTGATATAAGATGAATTAAAAGAAAGGTTGAGTGGAGCTGTTGAGAAAAAGAGGTGGCGGACGGGGCGGGTAATATCGGCGGAAGAAGGAGAACCTCTGAAACCAGTCAGACCAGAAAAGGATGACAAGCTTCCAAAAGTTTTGTTCTACCGATCCAGCGACAGACGCCACTTGAAGAAGAATAAGAAGAGATTTGCAAATTTGTCCGGTTGGAAACAAATATTTGGAAACGAAAGGATTCAAAAACTGTATATGCAGTTGTAGTTGGTATTACTCGTGGCGAGGCCTTTCTCTTCTCGAGTTCTTGGTCCGAGTCGAGAAATTAACGTCCAACATCAAAACCACAACATCTATAACCCTTCCTGCAGGTGAACTGAAATGTCAAAAGGAGAAAAGGAATAAGGAAACTCGTCCGTCCAGTGCGTCTTCCGACATAAACTCTTTTGGAAATGTTAGTGAAAAAATGATGTCCAAAAAAGCATGGAATGATGGGCCTTTGTGGATTATAAGAGAGCATGCATGCATGAACGCGAGCGCACCGTGATGCAAATCCAGCTTCAGGCGTAGATGGAGATACGGCCTGCGATTCGTCAGAATCCTGGGGAACCTTTGGATTAAAATGCGCCAGTGTGCTCTGCTGTCTAGAACAAAAGAAATATAAAAAAAGAGGTTGAAGGGCAAGCTTTCTTTTGTGTAAATTGCGGGCGCCTATATCACCTCAAGAGGTCGGGGCGAGAGGATTTTTCCATGGTAGGGCCTCACAGCTTCCTAACTCCCCGGACGAGTGCGCAAACATGACAATTTTCTAGGCGATTTCGAAGATAACGAACGACGACCCCTCAATTGATTCGCTGAGGGACCCCAATCCCTACGACTCTGACCGGGGGTTTGCTCCAAAGTCTGGGCCAAAGACGGGACGTGAGTGGCCAGCTGAACGGCTTGGCCTTGAGATTCTGTCGATTGCCTTGTCGCGACTGGCCAATCAAAATCCCACTAGGAAAATTTCTCGCATACGCGCCCACACCTCTTTTTGAAGCTGCAAGGGCAAAGTGCCATCGGCTGGTCCCACTCTCGATCCCACAGCTATTTTTAACAAAAGAACCCGTCCCACCAACATGTGGTTGCGTTATGTATGAGCGAACATTGTTGGAGACCGACAGGCCGAAGGTGAGTTGGTGGGCTGACAGTGACAGCTCTTCGAAGCAACAGATCATTTTAGCGCTCGGTCGCTCGATCCCAGGGCTCTGTCACCTCATATAGAAGCGGGAAGCCGGAAGTTCTCCATATCAGACTGGGGTATGCAACGTCACTTTGGGAACCTTTTTAGCAGAAACGGGTCAATCTATCTGAGCACCAGAGATAATGCAATAGAGAGCCTCATACCCCCACATCGTGCAGAATTCGATCAATTGTAGTGATATGCCTGGAACAATGGCTGGCGGCTAGCCGGCTTCTGGAAGGGATGTTCGTAAAATCCCAAATACAATGTCGAGAGGCTGGCTTCGAGAGGTTGGCTATCGCACTTGTTCAATTGGTGGTTCCGTGGAGAGTCTGAAGCTTCGGTGTGATGTTCTGGTGAAGAGGTTGAGCTTTCCAACACTACTCTGCTGAGCTCAGGACCTGTCGGCTGTTAGCTCAGCTCCATTTGCATCGCATGTGAAGCTCTAGCTGGTTAACGTTAAAGCACGCCGCCCAAGGGAGAAAAAAATCGAGAGAATTGACAAAATGGGAAAACAATTGCACATGCTCCGTGCCGTTGGAAGTTTCAGAGCTACGCACATGTACGACGCCCCGCTCGATCTCGGAAATTGGTTTGTGCATAAGGTTGGGTAGGCGAAGAGGCTAGGCGGTTCGCTTTGCTCTCCCTACCGAGACGTCTTCCATAACCTGCTAACTGATTACAAAATACCACACACCCTCGATGAGCTTCAACGAAAGCACACCGTTTAACGTTTGATAAGATGGGCAAGCTAGCCCATTAGATTTCGAGTAGAAGCGCCTATCAAACGCGAAGTAATCTTTCGCTCTTATCTAATTTATATAAAACCTATAGTATACTACCCGCTGGGACATGTGAGATATGATTACAATTTGTGTCCATTTGCATTTCAACTCATTTCTTTCCAACTTTTCCCCTGAGCAAAGAGACGGGAAGTTTGCAAACGCTCAAGATCTACCATATCAGTAAGACAAAAAGAAGGTTGCAAGAGGAGGAAGAAAGGCGTAAGAATTCTTGGGGAAGTCAAAAACCAGAGACTGAAGGTTTACATCCAACTATCTGCAGTTGACTCGAGTAATCGCCCTCCTTCCCTCAGGTCTGCCTTTGACAGAAATTATAGTACCATTCGAGGGCCTTCAAGGTGAAGCGGTGGCGAGCCCCCCATATGATCCGGTCGAATTCCCGTTTTTATACATATGCATGTACATTTACGTACATCGGAGTATAACCATGAATGTACTGTACACCGCCTCGAGTACGTACCATCTGTCCACCAATCAATTGTGTAAAGTCGCAGACTCACATGACGCGACGTATGTGAGTACGATACCCTCTACTAGAGAGAAAATAATCCTCCCTATGTACAGATCCTTAGTAGCTCTCTGACCCCATACCCCAAATTATTCGAGCGCATGTGAAGAGTAGCTGCACAATCATATTAGGAAAACTGCGATCAATCTGCCGGCCCCCCCTACGTTACAACAGATATACAGTCCTATAGGCCTACTTTATGTCTAACTATATTACTACAAGCTCATGAATTTATGAAAGTATATTCCGACACGTAAAAGAAGCTGACCCCTCTGGTTACAAAGTAGTTAAACTTTGTCTCATACCCAGACCTGGAAGAGTTAAACTACAGATCGTACATCAATTATAATACAGGACTACCCTAGGAGTACGTTTTCTCAAGAAGTACAAATGCATCAAAAGAGGAAGAGCGCCCAGATTCAAAGCTACGAAAACCGTAGCCTCGAATCCACAAAAACCGCACCACTAGCCAAATATTAATACTTAAAATTTAAGTGGTAATACGTATGGGCACTTGGTTATCTAGTACCAGCTCCCGCGAGCTCAATATCCGAGTATCTAAGTATTCAAATACACAATAGTCAGTCTTGAGGTTGTATATTATGCCGGCAGAAGGAGTAAATCCTCTAGGGAATTTAGATATGTCATTCGTACAGGGTTGAGCACTACACATATATATTGGAAAGAGAGATACATACGGAATATATATGTATATATTTTCACTACACTAATGGAATTCTCGTGCCCATCCTTGGCAGTATGCCACCGATACTAAACGTTCAGGAGGACTGAAACATGTATGTAAGGAGCCGAACTGTACCGTCCCACGTGCACCGTCCCGCGAGCTGTCCCCTTACATACTTATACTACCAGATATCGTCACCTGACATCTCATAACAATCACGTGAGAATATAGATCTTAGTGGTGATTGGTTAATTACAAATCCAACATATCAACACAGAATAATGCTAGACCGGTCTAGAAAAGTGAGCATAGCAAGTAAATATATATAGTAGGGTTGAAATGAAGTGTAATTCGGATATAGTAGCCGGTAGTATTTTATTGTCACTGATATCCCCGTCCTAAGGCTTTACTCAACCCCCATATCACATACGGAATAGTTAATCTCTCGAGCTTTTAACAATACTCGTCCCTTATACGGTGTACGAAATTTCATTCCTGTCACTGTACTTAATTTTAGTCCTGCGCTCAGCTGGACGTAACACCGGTTGGCTACAAGTGTTAAAGCACGAAACTAGCATCTCTTCTAAAGTGGCTCCCGATTTACAGGGGTTCCCATCTATTTAGTGCCCGGCCTCAATCCTTAAAGTCTATTAGTGTTTACATCACAGCTTGTAGTCTAACTCCATCCGTTAGTGGGAACAATGGATGGCTTGAGTACCCCTTCAAGCACTTGCGCGCGTTCGAGCTTCTGCCAACAGCTTATCAACCACATCCATGGACTCAATACTAGATATCTCTCAAAAAGCTGGATTAACCCTAATTATAACGGTATATATAGAAAACTCCTACCAAGACAAAGAAATACAAAAGGTCTTGGCTTAACAATACTACAACTGATATCAACCTAGGATCAGGTTGGAAGAGGCAGAAAGCTACTTACCCTAGTTGAGAAGTCTTGTGGCGAACTGCCCCACTAGTTGAGGCTAGGCTGGCAGTTTGCGTCCTCCCCAGATTCATGATATCCAGCCCGGCCACTCTTTTGTGTGAAGATTTTCAGCACGTCATCAAAGCTAGACGGTATCAACCTAAGCTATTTCAACAGCGAGTGTATCGCATTTGGCCCGCAGCTGCTGTTCCAAGAGGCTGGTTCAGTTTTCGCTCCCAAATTACGTTTTCTCGGTATCCAAACCCACCTTTGCGAGTGGGCAGTAACATTGAATCTCTCTGAAACCATAGTATGCCATATGTTTCCAGCTGGGGCCATATACCAGATGATATGGTCCATATACATTCGTCAAGGGGTTAGTTAGGACTCATCCCACCTCCTTAGTGCTAGCAGCGCTAGGAAGGACCGGATATTTGTCATAACAGAACGAGGCCACATGTTTACGATGCCAACAAGAACCCATCTCTCGTTGCATCAGATTGTTGTTTGACTGTCTCCAACCATGAAGCCCTCATGAACATTTGTACCACCCGGTTTGGCCGGTCCAAAACCTGTTGTCCCTAGACAAGTGCTTTATTCCCTTGTATCGTCTTGGTCCTGGCTATTTCTGTAGTATTCTCGGTTAGAAAGACTATGGGAGATCTAAAAAGTGTACCTTACAGCATTGAAGGAGGGGCCAACGGTATTGACATAGTTGGTGGTTCTAACGAGATTTGACAACCTATTCTCATGTAAGGCCCCTCAGCAGAATCGTATTTTCCAGCATCGAGTACGATTGAATCGCCCTTGTGACTGCCGTAGTATTGGCTCATTGGAAGTATTTGAGCATCACGACACTCTGCAGATTCAGCTAGGAAGCTTTTGTTTCATTGGTGATGCGGTGTAAGGGTAAGCAGGCAGGGAGATAGTTTCGTTGCGCATGTGATCATGAGGGACATACAATGAGGAGCCGTGGCTTTCGAGACGACGGGACCATATATATCTAGATATAGATGAACCCGTTTCCTTGCCTTAGGACACTTATCCAGCTGGATCCAGATCTACAGAGCATTGTAGGCCCAAACTTCTTTCCCAAGAAAATACTTTTCCGGTCGTGTTCTAGATTAGTTCCGCCAGTGATCGCAATATCGTTGTCATTGATCAAAGGAAAGGGTATATTTCCGCACATTAAGCAGATAAGAGACGGCAATCGATTCGAATTGATGTCTATGTCGACTGTCGTATACACATCATCTTTCCGTATATTCTGTATATGCTTACGTGTTCATATGCATTGGGCATATCAAAGGGCACGCTTGATATCGATGCTATAGAATGATTAGTATTGTATGCACGAGCCGGGAAGTCTAGTGAGATTTGAGGTCGAGATAGGGTAGCAAGGCTGACAAGATTAAAAAGATGTCTAAATTTTACGAAACATATAGAGTATGTAAGGCAGTTTTTGAACCCCTAAGGCCGGAGAGCGGAATGGAAATCTGGTCCCTGTTCAGGAAAGTTCCCGATAGGGCTATGATCGATTCTCGACCCACTCACCCCGTCGACCATCTGCGTAGAGGGGCCAATTTGTTGGATCGACGACGCAACGCAAGAGAGAAGATCAAAGCCCCCTATGGGGCCAACATAAAACTACTCTCTGCATGCCGTCGGGAAAAAACCACCTTCCGAAATGTTGATATTTACAGGCGCACGAACCCCCTTCAGCTATAGTACGCATTATTTTCTCTCTTTTCTCTTATCTTCTCGGACGATAGATTACTTCTTCCAGAACACATCTCCCGAAGTTAAGAAAATTAATATAATATTAAGGCACCAAAGGAAATTCTTTCTCGATTCGAGAAAAAGAGAGTGACCCACTTTTCATGTGGCTGCAGTAATATGTATCCCGCTATATCACGCAGTAGTGGAAGCAGGTGCCACTTTTGCGGCTGTGCTTTTCTCGGATGCACATCCGAGGAAAGCGCGGTGAAGTGGCCCTGTAAAATCTTAGATGACGCAAGCTGTTTCGAGAAAGCTCTCAGAGGTTAAAAAGGTGGGTCAATTGAGATCCGTGTTCTTGCAGCCTGCGCAGCCACTCTTGGTATGTCGCTTGGAACAAAAAATGCTTGGAAGACTGCATCACAATTATGACTTTGGGAACTTCACTAACTACGGCTGTTCGGGTATAGTTACTTTATGACCCTGTGGGAGGTGTATGCTTGTGTGCAGGTCTTCCCGCCTTCATCTCGACAGACAAGGAGCTAGTTCATAAGGCTGTGGAATATATTTTTTCCTTATAGGGAGATGGGATTCTTGGGGACGACATTTTTTGGAAATAACGATATGCACATTGCATGACGGGAAGGATCAAGCCACGAAGGATTCCTGTTTATGTCTTACATTCTTCAAATTCACATCTTTATGGATACAGATTATTTTTCTTGGGGGGAGGGTTGGATATCGATTCGATTCGTCTGGTCGCCAAAACGGCTGAGAACGACGAACGAAACATCCAAACAATTACATAACAAAAAGGTAACCCATTTCTGGTAAAGCTCGATATGCATGGGAAGCTTGGTAACAAAAAAGTTACGTTCTGTTCGGAATACTTTCGCCGAAATTGACCTCGGGAGGAAAGCATGTGGATGACATTGATGACATGTTGGCCAGGGCCTTAAGGTTTGGAAAGAACAGACGAAGTCTTTTTAGCTTCGCCCTTTTCTTTCGATTCATGAAACTTGTCGACTCTATTTTTGGATGGTTCCCTTTCCAAGATTTTAGGTACTTCTCCACCTTGAATTAATCCTGTATATTTTTCCCGATTCTGGTCGGTTAGAAAACAAGAGGTCTTGGGACCACAATGACTTGATATGTGTATGCTGTGTTATGCATTGTAGTTGGAGCTATCGCGAGGCTCCGACAGCACACCCTTGGAAATTCGCTTAATGATCTTTTACCGGCTAAACTCCTCTCACATTAGCACTGACATACACACCTACACACCTTTATGTTGGAGTTCATTACTCAGCCTTCCCAGACGCCTTGCCCCGCTTAGCCCTGAGAGGGAATCTCAAATCATGAGGCAAGCACCCCAGTCTACTTTTAGCTCGGGAACTCGTCGCCGAACTGAGCGAGCTACACACACACAGTACATTACATACGTCGGTATGGCGCAGTGGGTGACTAACCAACTAACAGATACCCTCGGCTTCGTTCTCTTGTTCTCTTGCTTTCAACTGAACCTTGAACTGTGGGTCCTCCCAGGCATGTTCCTCTCTGCAAAATGAAACCACATGGGGAGTTACACAAACGGGAAAAAAGTGCTGACCAATGAAATCACGAACCGTCCTACTTGACCCTGCATCCACCAATCCCATGAACCACTAGAATAAAGAAAAAAAGATGAAAGTGACCACGATAGCGATAAGAAGGGGGGAAACTACATCTGGTCACAGTACCCCATCCATGGCAGTTACCACCAAATACAGGCAAAACCTACGCATTCCAAGAAGTATCTCAAGTATACAGTATACATGTACATGCGTATGTACAAATGCAGTCACCATGTACAAAGATCCCGCGCAAGAGATCGTATTAAGACATTTTGGGAGGGCTTGCGGCTGAGCTCCCGAGGATTTGTCAAAATTAACAACAGACTAGACCCAAGACTTTTCCAACAAACTGCAACAACCATTTCTTTTGCCCAGCATTTTCCGTCCGTTCTGGCTTTTGCTTTTCGCTAGCGCGCCAACCAGCGATCAGAGAGAGAGAGGCGACCCTGCCCATCATTTCTTTTTTTTTTTTTTCGAAGGATTATGTATGTATGAAGCCATCTTGTCTGCTTTGGATCTGGATGGTAAATTTGCTTTTTTTTGTTATACTTTCTCGTTCGTTTGTTGTAAAACACCATGCATGCAGGCATTCTTTGAAGGACCAACACCACTAACTAGGGGGGGGGTCCTTGGGTCTTGGGCCTTTGAATCCTCATGAGCCAGACCTTGATGAGCCTTAGCGGTTACCAACAAGATTAATCCCGTCTCGAAGCTGAAGGGGGAACTGAGAATTCTAGCAGTTGAGAGAAAAAGCAAAGTCTTTGTGAAGCACAGCGTGCATGGCGGGATATCATGTGCGGTACAGACACAAAGAACCCCAAAAAAGGGCCCAAGCTGAAAAATAATTATAAAAGATGCAGCTTCTGTCTGCCAAAAGTTCCGAATTATCTGTTTCTTCCCTTCATCATCATCACTTAAGAAAAAAAGCTTAAGAGCTTCTTTGAAAAAATAAATAATCAAGAGTGGGTCCTTTATACACAGGGAGACTCAGCGCAGACCATCTATCGCGATCGACTTTCAGAACCCGACAATATAATATCTCATTCAGATAGCTCAAAAATATCACAATTGCAATGGAAGCCAAACAACCAGGTGCTCCCGCCGCTCGCGGTTCCGGCATTGGAGGAATGGGCAATGAAATCCCAGTACTCCCAAGCTGGTTCATCTTCATCAGATACGCTCAGATCGTTTTGACCTTAATCGTCTTCGTCTGCTCTTGTGTCGCCCTCGCCCAAGTCAAGGGATACATCGTCGGATGGGGTGCTGGTTTCGCTCTTTTCACTGTATGTTCTTCTATATACCCCGCCAGCCATGAAATATATATAATATCAAGATACTAATATATATGTTATCCACTAGTCAATCTACACCGCCATCTTCCTCGCCGGCGTCCTCCTAGTTCCCAAATTTGCCCCGCAATTCTACTTCAAATGGTTCTGTCTCGGTGGTGAAGCCTTCGCCGTCCTCTGGTGGCTCATCTCCTTCGCCGGTCTCGCAACCTGGGCCAACCTCCTCTCCGTCTTTGGCGACCTCGACAGCAGGTTCTACAGCGGATATAAGACTGCATATGGAGCTTGCGCTGCCGGTGCTGCATTCGGTGCCTTCAACTGGATCGCATTCTGTGTCACTCTCGCCTTCTACGCCATCGGATGCCACAAGCACCGCACTGGAAAGATGGGATGGAACGCCGGTGGTGTCGAGGCTGGTGGTGCTTCTATGGGACCAATTGGTGTTCAGAACACTGGTGTTTCGCAGCCAGCTTATGACCCAACTCCAGAGCCAGTTGGATATGGATACCAGGGACAGCAACAGCAGTACCCAACTGTTCCAACTCCAGCTCCATCTCAACCATATCAACAGTAAAAAGAACATAAAAACCATATACTCAAGATTCCTAGCAAAGAAGTGGAAGTGCAATAATCTATGATTTGGTTTCTTTTTGTTTAATCGATATCCGGGGAGGATGAAAACATCACGATTTTCCTTTTTTTTCTTTCTAATTATTATCATCAGCCGTGTTTCCTTTTGTATAAACTTCCTCTTTCCTTCCATTACTTTTGCAAAGTCTACATATGTCTTATGTATGCAAAGCTAATATTCTGGCGTTTTCTGCAAATTTTCCTGTCCTTAACTAACTCTAACTTGGTACCCACATTTATACCTCTTTGTCGTCTTTTTTTCGTTCTTGTTTCATACGGAGTCAAAGAAAGGCCATTGTCTGGATCTATCTTCATTTTACACGTCTATAGTTTCTGGGGGGATAATACAAATACTACTTCTTTTGAAGCTTCACAAATTTAATCAGAAAAAATGCTTTCGTAGAACAAGTGACGTGTAACATGCACAGGCACCCGCCATCCAGAGCGGGGGCCGACCTCGAGATTCGAATCGATCCCGAAATTAATTAAACAAAACGGCTACCTCCAACAAAACCGACACCAAAAAACCAGACCCTGCAAGGTCCCAGTCAGCCAAGACGAAGACGAAAAATAAAAAATAAGTTGAAAGTCAAAGTTACCTAAGAAGCGGTTCCACCAAGCACGTAACGTTTTACACTATTTACCAAATTATATACCCGAAATTCCACCGGTCCGTCTATTTTGTTCATTTCAATTTCAAACCACTCTATCCCTCGAGCTCGCCGGAAAGAAAGAAAAGAAGGAACAAAATGGCAAATCCAAAACGATCTCACCCGAGTCAATCATGCTACCCGACGGCGTAAGCGGCTTACACCAAGGCGAGCGGCTTGAGATTAAAATTCATAAAAAAAAAAATCCTTCGAAATCCATGGGAGGGGACCAGGTTAACCGAACGAACAACTTGCGCCAATATGGGGGAGGGAACCGAGTACTTGCATTGATGGCACTGGTTTCACGATAAAATACTACATCACACACATTGCATACATACAGGAAGTACGTACACCAGTACACACGTATGTAGGAACCCCGCGCAGGCTAGTTACGAGGATACGTCTAGGTATAGCCCACAAAGCAAAGACGTATGTACGCATGCGCAGTTTCTATTTCTGCCTCCTCCCAGGCACTCATAATCCTTCAAAATTGGAGTCACAGGTCGCGAAAAAGGAAGAGTGACCTTGAAAAGAAAAAAACACCCCGGCTCTGCAGGCCTGGCCGATCCACGCTTAGATCAGCATTAGCTTGAAACCAAGGAAGAACGGCACATCCCGGTCGAACCTGCGAAAAAAACACCTCGCGATCTCATTTCAGTACCTTCCGAATCAATTACAATCACATAGCTATCGTGTGTGCGGCTGAGATCAATATTCCATATTTTCAAGACGATAGCAGGCAGAAAAAGCTGGGGCGATAGGCGCGCACCCATTCTTCGCCACCCAAAGGATCATACAATCCGGATGGGCTTTGTTTTCTTTTCTTTCTCAGCTCGATTTCAAAATTTTAAATGAATGAACCAAAATCTAACCAATTGCGAATTTAAATCCATCATCTGCGGACGCAAATTTCTTCAAACAAATTTTTTTTTTAAAAAAAATTACAACATTCCTGAATACATGTACTTACCTATTTACTTACTTACTTGCGGTCCAGAGTACATGTACATTCAACGAAATGAGAGAGTCCGGGCGAAAAAAGCACGACATCGATGCATCGAGCTGCACATCCCGATTTGATAGACATTTAAGATTGGCTTAGATGCTACTGCTCTGGACAGGTAGCACTACTAACATAATCATCAGAAACAGGATCTCGATCAGCAGGCCACATACCCACCACACCGCCAATGTTGGCCCCCTGGCCAACCTCGACTCTATCCTAGCGCTTTTCGCGTGTGTACATGTATGTCTTAGATATACTTTACATAAGAACTCACTTATTCAGATACACCAAGTTAAGTAGACGAATTCAGTTCATGAGAAAGAAGAGAAAAAGAGGAGAAAAAAGAGGGTGTGGCAAAGCGCTTCGAATCGAGATAGTAGATCAGCTGAGGGACCGGTACAAGCACTTAGCTTAGCTGGTACCGAAGTTCGAAAGTCAGTCGATCAAGGACCCTGAGCACACCGCCCGCTCGCGCCCAGCCTAGCCCCGGCGCTCCAGCAGTTTTAACGTAGGTATGTATGTTGTAACTAAGTATGTAATTGGTTACCCCCAATTAATCTTCAATTTCGAATCCCACCGACGGATATGTATACGAAATACGTATCCGCGGAGTTATGCATGCATCGTCGTTTTCTTTCTCTTCCTGTTTCTCCTAGCCTTGGCTTGAGCTCGGGTCCCAAATAAGAGAAAAGCGGAGAACGTGCTTGACGTGAAAGAAAACTCCACATTTGGGTTTGAAAAAGAAAGGAAATTTTAAAACCCGATCGATTTCTCGGCTAGGAATTACTTCTAAGACACTCTGATCGCAGCAGCTAATACATCTCCTTAATTATAAGTATCCGAAACGAATTCATAGGAGGAGACTGTTAATTGCTTACTTAGCATGTATGAGTAACGATATAGTGGTCTAGTTGTTACGATATAGTACTATTAAAAGATTTAGAAAGAAAGAAAAAAAGATATTGAATTGGTTAGAATAATAGACTCAAACTCTGAATCAAGATCAAGATCCTAAGACCGAGCTCGAGCTCGAGCTCGGTAATTATAAAATGTACTTTTGTCATACATATCTATTCAAGTTCCAGTCCGATTACGTATCTCCATCAAGTCTTGGGTAACATCGTCCAAACCTCATACATCATCTGTCGAGTATAATATCTATTTCGTCTCAACTTTTTTTTCCCCATTCGCCTAAAAACCAAAACCTGCATGAGTTAGTGAATTATAAGGCAAAACCTGCATATATCCGGATATCCTTCTCTCGAAAAATCCCTTAAAAAAAATCCTCCACTTTTCACTTGGCCCTGACATATATGCATAACCGCTGTCTTGTCCCGAGGTTCACATGTTAATCAATATAAAAAAAAAGGCTTCGATGCCCTGTTTTCTATGTCGGAGAGAGAGAGAGTATCGTATAGCGTATGTCCATGCGTATGCATTCCATCCAAAGCAGTCTAAGTATATACGTAGGTTGTTATTGCATATCGAACGTTATACCGTCCACAAGCGTATTGAATTTATAAATTCTTTCAACATACGGAGCCTCAAAGACCCTGAGCCAATGCATTAATGCTAACCCCCCAGCATCCGGATCAACCTTCAAATCCCTTCCCCTGCAAACCACGATTCCATGAATATCCAATACCCGTTGAATCTAACTAGTAGGGGATTACCTTAACTCCTTTAACTCCTATAGCTACTCGAAGCCACATGTAACCACATAACGTTAACAAAACGTCGACAACGTTTTACAAAAGCGCATTTCATAAGAACCCTTCTCCCATATATCCGCCCTGGTCTGGGCCCGAACCCTCTTAATTTGGTTTATGCTTCGGAAAGAAAAGCCACATCCGCATACCCATATGATATGACGTTGTTGAGAATAATTCACTCCTCTCCATCAATATACAATCTTGAATTGAAACACCCCCCAAGGCATCTACACTACATTCTCATCCTATAACCCCCTTTCCCCTACCGCCCCCAAAATCCGTTTCTCCAAAGCTCGATTCAACGGGGGCGGTATCGTAATTAATAGAACCAAAGAGAGCAAAAAAGTGGTAAAACACCAAAAGATATGACACAGCATCCAAAGCTATGAACGAACGGGATGATGAAAAAAAAGACAAGAAGAAAAGAAAGAAGTAACCCCCCCGAATGCCACCTGCGAATGAAAAGCTTCCGTATCACCTCAAACCATTCACCGCCGTCCCCACCGTTCACACTCTCCAAATGATAAAGAAAGAAAGAAAGAAAACTAAAATCAAGAACTCAACGCCAAACATGCATCGACCGCTAACCCGACTCTAGATATCACCCCATACTCGTTAGCTTCTCCCCTTTCATCCACAACATCGCTTCGAACATATAGCCACAGAGATCAAAGAAAAATAGCATTATACAAACCTCACCACAAGATTGATGAATATGATAGTAATATAGCATATAAAATCCCAAAAAAAAAAAACAATCTCACACAAACCAAAGCTTAATAGGATTCAATGAGCTTACTAACCTCCCATCCTTTAACCGTACCACATCGTCAATGATGTCTTTATCCAAATCTGGGAACATGGCCGATAATATTCTACCACAAAGCGATTAGCATCTGTCAATTTCAACGTGTCAACAAAAAATACTCACCCGACCACGTTCTCATGTTCCGCCCTTTGTATCCTCACAGCCTCCGCTGTTTCCGCACTCGCCTGTCTGGCAGCACTCTCTGCTGCCTCCAGTGCTTCGGGTTGTAAATACCTCGCCCCGGGAAAACCATTCGTCGGTGGCGGGTTCTGATTCTGAGCTTGAGCTTGCTGCGCCTGTAAGCCTTCTCGACTATTCGGCCTCGGACTTGTCCGCGGTGTATTTCCCGGCAACGGCGTGCTAACCGGCCCGGCATCCACTGTCACAGGATGTAACTGCCTCGTAATATCCTGCTGACTCTGTTGACTCTGCTGACTCGATGAATCATCTCCAAATATCCTCCCAATTGTGCTAAGCGGTTTTTGTATTGTTCTCAACAATCCTGCTACTGCTGCTTTCTCTTCATCCCCACTTCCTGCATTTGCATTAGTATCCACACTCCTCCTTCTTTCTGCACTAACTCTCTCTTGCGTATCTGCCGCCATCGCGGCAGACATAGATACACTTCTCACGCCAGCACCACCACCACTACCCTGTGGAGGACCCTGCCCACCTTCACCGCTTACACTGCCTCTAGGTGTGCTCCCTACAACAGGACTGATCGGTTCCTTCACTTCTGCAATTTTCCTTACTGCTTCTTCCACGTTTTTTTCAAACTCTTCATCTTCAATAGTCAAACTACTTCTGTCGAGTCCTTCGATAAACTGGATTGCCCCCGAAAGCGACGATAGGTAGTACCCTGCTTCACCGCCAAGTTTGTCGGGATTGCGGAAGCGGAGTATGTATTGAATGTTACTGACCAAGTGTTCAGGGTTGGCTCGGAGGACGACGTAGATCAAGAGTGGGACAAAATCGTCTGCTGATTGTGTCGAGTTTGCGTGCCGTAGTAGTCCTACACACTATTAGTTTTTTTTTCTTTGGTGGTCGATGTAGAGATGGATATATCGCTGCATACCAAATATGACTTTACAGCAATTCAGCACGCAAATAACTTTATCCCTCGGTGCCCTGTAATTATTGATTTTCAATAGCTCCTGCACCGCTAAACTCAAAAATTTACGTCCGCTCTCTCCAACTGGTTTTATATCGAGGTGCTCCTCTCTAACCCATCCATATATTGCCACTTTTTGTGCCAAAATCTCATCCCTCTCGACGTCCTCCTGATGTTGCCCTCTCCTTCCCGGCATGTGAGGATTCTGCCGTCTTTTCCCTCGTTTATCAAGCGGCGAAGGCGGAGGCGCTATCGCAGGTGAAAAAGTCTGGGTATATAGTCTATTCATAACAAGTTTCTCCATTCCTTCCTTTGCATTATCGAATTCTAAATCCGAGACTTCGCGCCAGACATCGCAGATGGCCATTTTGTTGTGAATAAAGTCCAGAAAATCGGAGATAATTTTGACTTGCTCGTGGACCACCCATTGTCGTTTTCCGAATTCGTTGAGGAAGGAACGGAGGAAGCGAGCCACGGGGTCGGCGGTACGGTGACGGAGTTGTTCGAGGAAACGGTGGAAATCGAAAGGTTGTGGAGGTTCCGGATCTGGTGCCGGCGGGGGAGGGGTGGGTTCAGCGGGAGAGTGGGGATCTAGGGTTGTGGAGAAGCGACGGTTTAATTGCGGGGGTAGATGTTTCTCGGTGGATGATGACGTTGACGGGGATCTCGGGGTGGTTGTAGGAGCAGAAGTATTGGCAGCAGGTCTGAGGTTCTCAAGACTGGATGTTCGAGGTGGGATATGTGAAGCTGGCGTCTTTTCGGACAGGGTTATTTCGTCATTATTGGTAGTAGGAGGAGGAGGAGAAGGAGAAGATGAAGATGAAAAGGGTTTTGGGTCCTCGAGGTCGGATTGTGGGGTTAACTTCGGAGAGAACTGTGACATGATACTTCTGATCTCTCCCTTGGTATCCTGCCCCTCCTCCTCTTCAGCGGCGTCCAATATAGACGATCCAGATAAGGAACGGCCATGAGATTTAGCAGGGTATCCCGGGTGTAGTCTTCCATTCTCAGGAGGAGGCAAAGCTGGTAGGGCAGCGTTCCCAGCAGACTTTGTCTGAGTTGTCTCTGCTTTGGAGAGGACGTCTTCAGGAGTGGGTAAAGGCTTATCCTTTGGAGGAGGAACGGGAGCCGGTGGAGAACTGGGGAGAGTCTGAGATAGAGAATCCTTTACTTTCGTAGGAGATTTAGGAGATGTTATATCGAGCTTGGAGAGGGATGTGGAGAGATCAGACGAAGTATCGGTGGGGTCGACAGATAGACCGGAAGGTGGCATTGTAGCAGGATTCGTGGGGGATTCCTCCCATTCTCTGGCATCGGTCATGATGGACGACGTAGCGAGGTCTTCTCTACTACCGTCATTATGAAGTGTCTGAAGTTGTGATTGTGGTTGTGACTGTGACTGTAGTTGTGGTTGTTTTGCATGGAGGGCGGTGTCCTCCTGCATGGCAGCGACTGCAGCGTGGTGGACCCGGACGAGTACCTATTCAGTCCAGCAGCACCTATAGCTCCAGCTCCAGCTCTAGCTTCGAGAACGATGACCCCTGTTATAACCAACTTATAGGGATAACAACCAGATAAACGATGTGACAAGCCGGTTTCTGGATGGCCGTTAAACGAAGGTCTTGAATAGAGAGATATGGGAGATGGTGGGGAGATGGCGATGATGTTGATGTTGATGACGACGACGATGGTGTTTGATGTTTGGTGTTTGATGTTGAGGAGAAGAGAAGCAGAAGAAAGAAGAGAAGTCCAAGCGAGCTTGCCAGATAGCTTCGACCACTTCAACCTCAACCTCAACCTTTGGATATGTCGATAACTGAAAGATTTATCTTGGTTCTTTTGAAGCCCCTGAATGGTGATGCTTCTATATAAATAAATAGATGTCCAGGAGAAATCGGAAGAGAGGAATGCGATCGACCGGGAACTAAATGTAAATTAGAGATCGAGTGAAGTTGAGTGGGCGGGCCGTTTGAGTGGACCCGCCTAAGTCGAGTCGAGTCGAGTCTCGACCGGGGGAGACTTTGACTTAATCAGTTGACCAATTATTCCTTCCATTCTTTCAGCCACAGCACTGGCCACTTTTATGTAATTTGGGAATTGTCGTGAGAATTGTATTTGAAGCATTCGAAGTGTTCTATGTCGAGTGTCTATGGGAAGGTGTTTCAATACACGTGGATGTTAAGATATATATATGTCTCTAGATTCTATACTCGTTACTTGAATACCCAAATACTCTCCTTCTGATAAAGCTCTCTAATTAATCTACTTATTTTATACTATTTTGTACTATTTTATTTTACTAAATTTATTCTATTCGATCTATTTTATTCTATTCTTCTTAGTTAGGCTCTTCTTGGCCGGTGGGTGATATGTGGTTCAGTTAAGAGTAAGTCAAAGTGGGTCTGTGCCGAAACACCAAAAAGTTCCAACCAGCGCTCGCTTAGAAAAATTTCAATTCTTCAGCGCTCGTTCGACTCAAAACCTTCTTCAACATCAACCTCATCATCACCGTCTCATTGTCTTCCTTAGTTAAGAGAAACATCAAGGAGAAGGGGAAGAACGAAAAGGAAAAACAATGGCGCCACCTCCAAAGAAGCTAAAGGCCACCCACCCCGATGCACAATCTTCTACCGGCGCCGTCGACAACGGCGACCAAAAACCTGCACCAGACGCCGACATCTCCGGCCAGCGAACCGTCTTCGTTCGCTCCCTCAACTACTCTACAACTACAGATTCCCTTTCCGCCCATTTCTCCTTCATCGCTCCTTTAAAACATGCTACCGTAGTTATAGATCCAGCTACAAAAGCCTCCCGGGGTTTCGGTTTCGTCACATTCACCGATCCAGCTGATGCTGTCAAAGCCGTCCAAGAGTTCAACGGCAAGGTCTTCGAAGGTAGACATATAAAAGTCGAGATCGCCCAGGCTAGACATAGAGATGGTGATAAACCTGCTATTACCTCTACCACTGCTGTTCCTGTGGGCAAACCAGCAAAGGATGTTGACATCAAAAAGCGGAATCCGCGATTGATTGTTAGAAATTTACCTTGGTCTGTGAAAAAACCGGAGCAATTAACACCTTATTTTACGAAATTCGGAAAGGTCAAGGAGGTTATTATTCCTCGAAAGGATGGCTCAAAGTTTGGTCCAATGGCTGGGTTTGCTTTTGTTACTCTCAGAAAGGAAGAAAGTGCACGGAAGGCTATCGAAGCTATAAACGGCACTGAAATCGAGGGGAGGACAGTCGCTGTTGATTGGGCTGTTGAAAAGAATGAGTGGAAGCAAAAGACCACCGAAGAAGAGGAAGACGATGATGAAAGTGATGAAGAGGCGGGTGGGAAGGGAGAAAAGGAAGAAGAGGATCCCATGGACATTGATGAAGAACTCAACCAAGCCGCCATCGAGTCCGACTCTGATTCTGGCTCAGACGACGACATGAAGGACATAGAAGACCAAGAAGACGACGAAGACGAAGAAGAAGACGATGTACCCCAATCCACCAACGACACCGTCGTCTTCATCCGTAACATCCCATTCACAACCGATGACGACGGCCTCTTCGAACACTTCAAAGAAAATTTCGGTCCTATCCGTTACGCCCGTGTAGTCCTAGAACATGACACAGGTCGCCCTCGCGGAACAGCCTTCGTTTCATTTTACAACGAATCTGACTTCGAAGAATGCGTCGCCAACGCTCCCAAAAATACTGTTCAAAATATCCCATCCTCTGGGAAAGGTGGTGCTAAAGCTTCAGTCTTACAATCTGAATCACTCGACCCCACAGGAAAATATACCCTTGATGGACGAGTTCTTTCGGTTTCAAAGGCTGTTTCTAAGGAAGAAGCCGGAAGGTTGACCACCATTGGAACTGAGAAGCGAGAAAAAGTCAAAGCTGAACGAAGAAGATTGTATCTTCTAAACGAGGGACAGATATCACAGAACAACCCGCTGTATGCCAAACTGTCCCAAGCAGATATCAAAATGCGAGAAGAGAGTTATAAACAACGAAAGGGATTTTTGGAGAAGAACACTACTTTACACTTGAGCCTGGTTAGATTGAGTGTCAGAAATATCCCTAGGAATATTGATGAAAAGGACCTCAAAATGATGGCTAGAAAGGCCCTCGTGGAGTTTGCCAAAGAAGCCAAAGAAGGAAAGCGAGAAGGTATCAGCAAAGAGGAGGCTAGGCGTGGGGGCCAAGAGGCAAAGGAAGAGGAGGCTCAAAGGAGAGCTAAGGGTAAAGGTGTGGTCAAGCAGGCTAAGATCGTGAGGGAAAAGAGTGGCGCTGGGAGAAGTATGGGTTATGGTTTCATCGAGTACATTGGTCACAGGTGGGCCTTGATGGGTCTGCGGTGGTTGAACGGACGAGAGGTCGCACATTTGACAGTAGAAGAGAAGGAGAAGAAGGGAGGAGACGAGGTCTTGGAGGTTAGCAAGGAAGACAAGAAGAGGCGATTGATCGTTGAGTTTGCTCTGGAGAATGTACAGGTGGTGCAAAGAAGAAAAGACAAAGAAAAAGCAGCGAAAGGAAGGCTCCCCAGGACGAAGGAAGAAAGAGAAGCTCTGGATAACGACAAAAAGTTCAAGGGCAAGGGTGATAGGAAGAGGAAGTGGTCAAAGGGTGGCGAAGAAGAACAAGAAAAAGGGGAGAAGGGGAAAGATGCTGAGGAGAAGCAGAAGGGTAAGGGGAACCCGGAGAAATGGGACAAGGAGAAGAGAGCAGCCCAGATCATCGCGAGGAAAAGGCAGAAGAGGCGTATGAGGGGTGGTGCTTAGTTCACTCTCGGATTCCTTCTGTATTATATGCATGACATAGTACTGTATATCTGGATATGTTATTCTATGGTGTAGCTTTGTATATATATGGAGATACCATACGTTAATGATTAAAAGTAACAATCGATTTATTTCCATATTTTATTGATTCCCATCATGATATCACAATCCTTGTACTGTGTACAGGTATATACAGGTTGGATGGGTAGTAGAATGCTGGTGTTAATGTGGCTAGTGATGTAGATACCAGCCACATATTGACTGGGCTGGGTGTGGCTGAAAGAGCGAGCAAAAGAACGCGCCTGGAACTGTTCTGCGGCAGACCAACCCAACGTTCACATCAAACATCAACGAAGGACGTCAATCACCTCCACCAAACAACCATCCCATCAACCTCATCACCACCGTCTCATCGCTCTCACCAACGCTCCAAAATACCTCTCAGAACCCTACCAAAGCTCTTGCACAAGCCACATACCATCCGTCCATACCAATTGGCCCCTCCCCGCTTCTCTCGCTATCTCAAAGAGACCGTAAAACTAGCCACAGCTGAAACCGTTCACTAGAGCTCTGTAAAAACGCGCCTGAAGCTTCCTCTTCATCAGACTCTATCATCACCAACCGTCACCGTCACCACCGCCACCTCCATCGCCGTCAGGCAACCGTATTTACACCACAACACCTGACTGGCCGTTCTCCCAGGCTGATCGGGGGACTGCACCGTAACTCGGCGCCCACTAACTGTCCCTCCTAACAACCCACCTCACACGCCGACCAAAATGTCCACACCTGTTCCGCATCTTTCACGATCGAATTCGGCCGTTCGTGGGGCCTCATCCACACCGGCGCCCCAAACAAATGGCAATGGCGTAGCTCTAGCTACCGCTTCTGCCACCACAAATGGCACATCCGACCAGTCACTCTATCGATTCACACCCCAAGCATACACGACGAACTATGCTACCCGCATAAAGGGATCGCTTCAAACAATGCTACTGCCCCCTGCAGTTCAAGCATCGACATCTACTCTGCCACCGAGATCTGCTAGAAGAGGTCAGACAACTGTCAATTATGCTGAGGATGACGACGACGATTTTGGAGATAGGGACTCGAGACGTGGCGGTGGTGGGGGTGCCGCCGCCGCTGCTGTTCCCGAGGATATCACTGAGCCTGTCACGGTTCCTGGAAAATACCCACCAAAGTCTTTACCCTGGCGAAGGTACTTAACTTTTTCCCTCTTGTGGGCCTCTTCGTACCCCTTCATATTTCCTTGCCTCGTACCCGGACCTGGAAGCATATTTCCCTACAGTACCCAGTTATGAATTTTGCTAACAGAAGCCATAAACCAACCATACAGATCCTTAGAGCAAAGCACAAAGGCGGCGGAGCTTCCTGAAGTTCTTCTTCCCATCCTCTTCGAAAAGGATATCGACTCTACAAAGAAAATCCGTGAGAATTTCACCTGGAATCTCTATGAAGCTGACATTACACCTGAACGCTTCGCACGACAGTTATGCTTGGATCTTGAGCTTGATCCCCGCTTGATTGTTGACGACTTGGTTACGGCTATTCGTACAACCTGCCAGGAATGGGCTCCTATCGCTTGTCTCGCTCTTCCCGAGACATTTGTCGACCCCATCACTGGTGCTATAGGGTATTACCTCTTCCCGGTCAAACTCAATGTCCAATGTGGGGTGGATACTCTGACCGACCAGTTCTTGTACAACATGTTTGAAGAGGAATTTACCCCAGAAATGTTCGCCAATGTCACTTGTAACGACATTGGATACCATGGAGAGTTCCGTGGTGCCGTTACCACCGCCATGCGTGAGGAGCTCTTAAAAGCTAAGAAGGAAATGTTCTTCCCCTCAGGAGCAGTTGTCCATTATAACTGGAAAGCCGATGGTCACTCCCAATTCCAAGGCATTCGCTACGACCCGGAGAATTACGGAAGCCAGTGGTCCCCGAATATCGATAAACTGACACGAGATGAAGTTGAACGCAGAGAATCCGACAGAGAAAGAGAGACCCGTCGACTCAGACGTGAAACCACGAGGCTGAATCCAGTCAATGCGGCCCAGGTTTGGTTGTACGGAACCAACGGTGTTCCAACCACTGAAATGCCCGTTCCTGGAAGTCCCGGTGGTGGCATTCTCGATACATTCTCACGAAGGAAGCGTCAGCCTATGGTTCGGGATCGAGACGACTCGCCGATGCGCAAGGGTAGTATTGGTGGACAAGGTGGATCCAACACTCCTGCTCAATTGGCTAGTGCACCAGTCCCACTTCCTGATAATATGATACTCCAGTGGAGGTGCAGCCTTTGTTGTATCAATGGGTTGAATACCTGGGGCGTTAGAGACGGGCCTACGGGGAAATATACCCTCTGTGCTATCTGTGGGTATCTCTATTACGAGGAGAGGGTCTTGCCTGAGTGGCGACGAGGGATGTTTTTGAATGATCTTACCGACCCGGACATCAAACCCGATGGATATGAGATGGATGGAGCTCGTATGGGTTAAAAGTACCTTTTCTAGGTGCTTTGTGGGATTTTTGGACCGGTTATGGACATTAATATTAAATAACGGAACGGTCCGTCAAACCACTCTGCCTTGATCGCTACGGACTTTTGCCATACCTCCTTTTTCATCCAGGGGCAATCCATCCATGATTCTTGTATTCTTATTTCATTTCTTCACGTGTATTCTACCACGATTTTTCCTTTTCCTTTTCATTTTTTTGTTTTTTTTTTTCGGTGGGAAGAGGATAATTCCTTGTCACTCCTCTCCCACCCACCCTTTGTCTACGAAGCTCAAGCTCGTCTCTCTTTTTCCTTTTCATTTCATTAGATGGGTCACGGTGTTTTTGAATCATATTATTAATTTTTATTCTATTTTATTTCATTTTATTTATATTTTATTCTCTCCTTTCCCTATTCTTCTATTCCCCCCACTCTCTTCCTTACCCTCCACGCCTAATTTCGCATCTACGCTTTGTCTCCCACAACATGGTCTACCCCTCACATAATTTTCTATTAATCACCTAAAAACCCGTGCTTGACACTTTTTACTCTTAACTGCTTAGACCAATATGTATGCATGTACATGTATGTACTCTACCAACTTGAGCGATCAATCGAGGATTAGTCCGTGGGAGGTGGCCGTGGCCGTTTAGGAGGGAGGAAGAGAATAGAAGATAAAAAAAGTATTAAATTATCAGTTACCTCATTTTTACAGTGTAGTTGATAAAATAATTAATATTATGTCAATGATGCCCCGTTAATTGCTGTGATCATGATCTGTCAGAGCTCCTGCATGTCAAGTCTATATATATAATTGTGGCTTTTGCTTTGACTCTAGTTGAAAGAATATTGATAAATTGCAGTGCTGTACTGTACATATACATATACACTGTATACTAGCGTATAGGCAATAAGAGACTACGTATAGGCAATAAGAGACTACGTATAGGCCACCGTTCACAGCAGAAGAATTCGATATCATATCGATGTATCTGCATGCCCTTACTATAATTGAAAGGAAAAGCTTGATAATCAGGAATTCAAAAAATAGACCGGTTAAGAAATTATTTATCTCCATTGAGAATCTAAGGATATTTATTCTCTGATTGAGTGATATAATATATGTATGTGTGTGTGTGCGTGTGTGTCTGTGTTTATGTCCGTATTAGGAACATTTTCCGCTGTTAGAGGAGAAGATATCCCACATGTGCTGGCCGTCGACGTACGAACCAGTATTAGAAAATATCTGGGTAGCACTGTAAGGTACCCCCTATAAAAGGATGCATCCCGTCACAAAAAAAAAAAGAAAGAAAGAATTAAGAAAGAAGCATTGATCATGAGCAAAACCAGCAACCATGAAAGCTATAACAAAAAAAAAGGAAACACTTAGGAGATGAACAATAGGCTCTCATCCTCTCGTGTCAACATCAAATAACCCCGCCCTTCTCGAAAATAGGGGAGAAGTCAAAAATACAAAAGAGATTTTTATAACTTCGACCCCCTTGTAGCTTCCAACGCCAATGTCTTCGCCTGGAAGATCTTAACCAGTTGCCTAACTCCCAAATCCAACAATACGTCCTCCGATCCACCTGGAATCCTAACCACATTTACCTCCCTGAAGATTTCTATAAACCCCAGTTAAAACCTATTAGCACACATACCACTCAAGACTATCGGTAGATATATAAGAAAGGGAAGAAAAAAGGGAAGAAAACATACTCTCAACCGTCTCCCCCAAACCACTCCTCGTTAGCCCATTCCCTCCAAACAACAACACCGCACACTGCGAGCATTCACTCAACACCATCCCCGAATTCGCCTTACACATAGCCGTCATACCCCCCAACTCCACATCTCCGACTTTCTTCTCCAACTTCTGCATCATATAAACAATCTGCTCCACCCAAGCCCACTGACTCTCCAACATAACCGCACACTTCGCAATTCGGTGTCTAACAACTGGTTGTTCAACCAACGTCTTCCCGAACGCTTCGCGCTTCATAACATACTCCGCTGCCGCCGCCAAAACCACCCTCGCAGATCTGGTGGCTCCAATAGCAATAGTTAATCGCTCATGGTTGAAGTTCGTCATGATGTATTTCATCCCCATCCCTTCCTTTCCTATTAAATTCTCAACGGGGACTTTAACTTCGTCCAAATCGATGAATGTAGTTCCACTTGTACCTCCACCGGAGATTTTAATCCTTCGTCTTTCAACTCCCTTTCCTTCATTCTCTTTCAATGGGACAAAGAGTAGTGAAATACCATTAGGACCTGGTCCGCCAGTTCTTACTGCCATGGTGGCGTAATCGGACCAGATGCCGTTTGTGATCCATTTCTTTTGTCCTGTGACGATGTAATATTTCCCACATGACGATTTTGTGGCGGTGGTGGAGATGTTGGCTACGTCTGAGCCGGCGGAAGGTTCGGTGATTGCAATACAGCAACGAGTTCGACCGTGGAAAAGGTCCGGGAGGAAACGACGTTGAAGGGCAGGGGAGCCAAATTTGTAGAGAGGAGGGATGCCGTAGGCTACACCTGTGTTGATGGATGCAGCTGGGCCGGAGAGACCGATTCTTAGCATCTTTTTTTGAAATCATGGTCAGTCTTTTGCCCCTTTTATTTGTTTATTTGGTATTATGGTATTGCATATGAATGCTGATACACACCTCATCAGTATAGATCATTGAATGAAAATAATCAAAATCCTCAACCTTCAACCCACTAGCGAACTCGTGTATTCCCGCGGCCTTCAATTGTTCAACAGGCAACGGAGCGGGGAATGCAGGAACAATCATATTCGCATCTGCAAAAGTTTTAAAAAGGGTTTCTGGTACATCTCCTTCATCTTCCCAAGATAAGGCATTGGCGAACTGGGACGATATGAAGGAACGACAGTGAGCCTGCCAGGCATAATGGGAGTCGTTGTAGTAAGGAGATGGAAGACCCGTGAGATAGGCGGGTTCGGAGAATGGGACTACAGGGTTTGAGATGAGTGGACGGGAGGTTGAGGATTGGGGAGACATGGTGGTGGTGGTTATGATGGTGATGATGGGATGGATGGAGATGGATTGGATAGCTGTCTAGTCCTAAGCTCTGAGATGGGATGGGACTTTGTTGGATTTTGTGTGTTGGCGAAGTTAAGCCTCAAGCCGGACTAAGCAGCGTATGGACGATGGCGATTACGGCAGTGATGTCGCGATGGATCAAGTTCAAGTTAGAGATGGAAGTTTACGAAAGAGATGGGGGGAAGCAGGGAAAGAAGGAGAAGAAGGAGGAGGAGGAGAAGGAGAAGTTAAAATAAAAACTAGACTTGAAGCCGGCTCTTAAAGGTAACATACCAGGTATGTACAAGTCAGAGGTTAGAGGTAAGTATATGGGTATCCCCAACCTCGGTGCAATACAAACATTCTGATACACGCGATCGTTATAAGACCTGCCGCATTCTCCGCGACGCCAATGCAACTTTGATCTCAGCCAGCTCTTCGAACATCAAATCTAACAGCCCATATCCAATGAGCATACATACCGCAATAAGGAAAGGTTCATAGACTTAACTTTAACCCGACTCCGTACCTCACTAACTCTCCACTGAATCCCGCGGCCGAATTCGGCAGATAATCTATAATATACTATATACTATGGGTCTCATAGGTCTCGTACGTAAAGTCTCGTAAGATCCAACTACTTATGGACCCCATATGCGACAAAAAATGACTATAGCGTCCAGCTTTCCCCAGACCCTTTGATGGTAATGGTTGTACCTGGATTGGCCATGGAGAGGAAATGCGGAGAAAAGAATGTGGGTCTCGTTCACATGTCTTTCTCCAGGCTATCCCCGGTCCGTCTCTCTCGCCGGATTTAGCATCTTGCCGAACGCGGGTTGTAACCTCCAGCTGTTGTAAGACGTTCCAACCAACGCAAAATTCGGTAAATCGGATGTATTGAATAGGACTTCACGTTAACTCGATACTATTTACGGCATCATCAGAAGGCGTAATAAAGTATATAAAAGTAAATTTATTTGTCCATAATATTTCCCCTGTTTGTCCGTCCATTTTAAGTAAGAATAAGCAACCAATAAACGCCTTTAAGGTACAGCTACCGTGGAAGTTTAACATAGAAATAAGGCTATATCTAGAGAATTACGAAATGTTTCCAAGTTAAAGAAGCTGGAAGAAGAAGAAAAACTAAAACTAAAAGAAAGAGAGAAACGATTACAAACTAAGCACTGAAATTGTAAAAAGGCAAGCGGGGATCTGAAATTTCGGAAATTCAAGAAGAAGAAATTTTAACAATCAAAGGGCAAACCGGCCAGGTTGGATATGTCGTAATTAGTAAGGAGGCTTAAGAAAGATAGGTTGATTTGGTTTGGTTGGTTGAATTCGTTGGTTGGAGTCGTTGGTTGGTCAATTTCGTTGTTTGCGGTCGTGGTATTTCGTCGGTAGCAAACGTTAACATGCAAACCAGTGGCCGTGGATGGAGCTCGCGATAATGCAGTGGCAACCGCGGCATTAATCAACAAGGCGTACGGGTGGGTTTCTCTGTCAAAGGCGAGGATGATATCGAAGGACACATGCAGCTGACTTTTACAGGCTAACAGAACCCACTGATAGCGAATGGGTAAGATACGAGACCGCCTTGGAAGGATAAACACACAGCATGCATGTAGAAAAACCGAAAGCAAACGTTAACGCAGAAAGGTCAGATGGAACAGGCACATGTTAGTAATTAATAGGTTTTTCTTGAAGAATGCTTGATTGATAAGACATGATTGGCGATCGTTGATCGATGCTAACTAAATAGGATCGATCCGATCAGAGAGGGGTTAACTTGTCCAGTGTCTTTTGGGAGGAGAGACAGTGGTGAAGTTAGGAGAATAAAAGAAAGAAGAGGTGGCCACCTCTCAGGGAGAAGAGAAGGTGACATAAGAGGCGCGAGAAGAGAGAAGAGAGAATCATGTCAATACAAGCAGCGGAGTGAACTTGACAAGATCGATTGACCCTTTTGAAGGCGTCAAATGCTCCGAATGGTTTTCTGAGTAAAGTTATCAGAGAAACCATTGTGGCAAAGAAAAACAAAAAAAATTAACAGGCAGAAAACAGCAGAATTTGGTAAGCTTTTCTCGGCAGGTCGACCAGAGATCCATTAAGAGCAATAGATCCAGTATCATCCGACGAGAGGAAGAAAGGAAATACTACCCTGAATCTTTTGATACGACCTCTCTGAGGGCACTAAACCTATAGACATACATTATTAAATGCGCTGTCAGTAAAGTTTGTAAGTACCTGTGTTCAGAGTGCGCGAGGAAAGCAGAAGAACGAATAAATGACTAAAAGCAAAACGATAATGACATGCTATGCTATCCCGTTATCCCGAACGAAAAAGAAGAAAAAGCAGAAAATCAAATAACAGCAGAAACATGAGCAACAGAAAGCATAAAACAAAAAATTGAGGAGAGGCGGTTAGCTTCTTTTTGAGGTTGAGTGGCCTCGAGGAGACGAGACTGTGGGTGTTAATCGTAGTCGGTTAGTTCCTTTTAGGGATGGAACCTCTTCTCAGGGAGAGAAGATATCTGGTGATTAGAGATGTGATAGAGGATTCGTCGCGGAAGGGGAGTCGTGACGGAAGGAGAGTCGTGGGGGTCGTGGGAGTCGTCGAGAAAGAGAGTCGTAGCGGAAAGGAGGAAGAGATGGAGTTTCGAAAAACTCAAGATCATAAAAGGAGAGTCGTAGCCTCCATTATGAGGCGACATGGCGAGCGTAATGTAGAAAAGGGGAGGAAAGAGTCGGACTCAATATCGTTGTATGAGAATTTCGATGTGTCGTAGGGGGAAAAAGGCATGGGCCCGTTGCATATTGATGGGCTCATTGCGTAGAATAAAGAAAGGCCGATTTGTAGAATAATGATGGCCCATGAAGAAAAAAAAATCAGGAAAAAGAAGAAAGCGGAGTAGGCTCGTCATAAAAAAGTTTAGGCCCGGCGTGAAAAGTATTAGTATGTAAAAAAGGCCGGCATCATTATTTCGCAGGATGATTCTCTTGCAATATTTTTTTTTTTGTGGTTTTCTTCAGCTTTTTGTTTTGTAAGTTTGATCAGAGTATCTTAATAGTCGTTAAAATATGCGTCGACTCATTGAGATACTGTAAATTCCTTCGAGGAAGTCAATGAAGCATAGATGGGACGGTGGGCTGAACACGTCCGATTCCAAAACTTCCAATGCGATATTTGTGTTGGTCATTGACATTGGAGAGATCGAATAAATTGTAGTTGTAGTTATTGCCAGTATTCCCAGCACCAGTGCGAGTAGGAATCTGGAGGGCAGGAAGGACGGGTCTGTTAAGAGGGACCGTGGCAGTGGGCTTCTTGGTGCCATTAACCTTACGCCACTCGGAAGGTTGGTCATGAATAACTGGACGCCAGTTGAACTCTGTCAAAGCAGAACGAATGGGTTGTGGTTGAACGGTGACCGGGGAAGTCTTGACGACGGTGGCTTGGGTAGGAACAGGCTTGACAACAGGAACCTGAACTGGAAGTGGTTTAGCAATAGGGGCTGGAGTGGCCTTAAGGACTGGGGCAACTTTGAGGACTGGAGCTGGGGTAGCCTTGAAAACCGGAGCTGGGGTGGCCTTGAAAACCGGGACAGCTTGAACGGGAGAAGGGGTGCTAGTAGCGTTAGTAGTTGAAGCGTTTGGAACACGCCAGTTTGGAGCGGCAGTGCGCTGAGGATCTGGGTGGCAGAAGTAAGTCCCTTTGTTTTGAGCGTGGCCACGTGAAATGAACTGGTCATTGGACTGCTTATGCTTTCCGAAGCTACCGGAGTGCTGTCCAGAATATTGTCCGGGATGCTGTCCAGAGTACTGCCCGGAATACTGTCCGGAGTGCCCGGAATGCTGTCCAGGATATTGTCCGAGGGTTGGTCCGGGGTGCTGTCCAGAGTATTGTCCGGAGTACTGTCCGGTTTGCATTGGAGAGATCGTAGAGGAAGACCAGTGTGGATTCGTGAGGCCTGAAGGAGAAGGCGTGTTTGTTAGCAAGTGGTGCTGAGCCAGAGGTTGAGTGATCCCGAATCCAGATCCGTATCCAGTGTCCGGAAAATTTGGTATGTCGTCCCGGTCCGGGGAGGGGCTATTGGAGATAGGCAAACCATTTAGAGTCCTGGGACCGAGTTCTTGAAAGAGGTTATCTGGGGGTGCAATGTGCTGGTTCCAGCATTTGTCACCATGAATACACCAGCCCTTGCGAGCGAAGGTGAAGCAAATGACATCCTGGCTACCTAATGTTGATGGATCGATGTTAGATAAGCTGATCAAAGATGCAAAAAACCGTGGCAACCTGCATAGTAGAGGCCCCTATCGGAAGGATAGATGCATCACTAGTTTACTTACCTGGACGGTAGGTCTCGAGAGTTTCCGGACGATAATACTTCTTTCTTCGGAGTCCGGCTTCGGAGTCCATGACGAGGTTTCTTTCGTCACCAGGCTTCAGGTGCGAGTACTTGCAATCGTTTCCAGCTTTGCAAATCCCTTTCTCAAAGAAGTCAAAGCAGCAGCTAGAAGGCGGGAAGTCAATATTAAGAAGACTCGAAGTTTCAAGAGATACGCCTCCAAGATTGACTTACCCGTGGGCCATTCTGTTTCGTGCTCTGTTAGCTATTGCTGCAAAGGGCTAGGGTTTAGATGGATGATACTTACAACATTGATCGTACTGGAGTTTGTTTCATACGGGAGCAGTAAGAATAGAGTTGGCTGTCAATGGGGATAGTGATCTCATTTCTGAGCTTGACCATTGGATGGACAGCTCCACGAACTTGACGAGTCATCTTGAGACGGTGTTTGCGTGTTGAAGAAGTAAAAGTTAGGGTTGAAGTGAAGGGAAGGAGGATGGGAATTCAAGGTTCCAAAGGAAGAGCTAGAAAGAGATGAGAGAAGAAGAAGAAGATAGCTAAACCAAGGTGAATAAATGTGTTAGAGATGAAGGATGAGATGGAAGAACTGCCAGCAGGATGGATGGGAAGCTGCACAGCAGACTTGGTGCGAGGTGGTTGATTAGGAAATATTGCTGTAGGCGAAGGGTGAGTGAGTGAGGAAGAGAAGGGAGGAAACTCTGAAGGACGAGGGTAGCTTTAAATAAGTTACATACCGTTGATGGGAAGGAATCTGTCGTCAGCTGTCCTAGGAGGTGGCCAGGCAGACGAGAAAAGAGAGTACCTGATTGGTGAGCTAACGTTTGAACGAGAAGCTTGATGGAAGGAAGGAGAGTGATAAACGTAAGAGAGTTCGAGCAGGACGAAGAGCGAGAGACCGAGGAAGTTATAAACGAGACGTGATAGAGATATATATCTATACGAGAAGTAACGAATGCGGATTGAGATGAGGGAAAGGGTTGATTGATTGATTGGTTGATGGGAGTGTAGGTGAATTGAAGGGATGGAGATGTCTATAAGACAAAATGTCGAAGGAGGTGAGGAAGGTTGTTTGGATCAGAAGGATTGGTGAGTGTGGTCCCTGGTTTATATAGTGGCCGGTCCTGGATGGGGGGTATTCTGCGTTTCCCTGGTTGCCGACCCTCGGTGCGTGCGGGTAGGATACTGGGCTGTCGACAATGTTCAACTTCGAACCCTCGGACTTTGAATTCAACTTTAACGATTCCGATATAACTATAAAGGTATAGATATTGATAAAGATAAAGATAAAGGCATACACCTATATAGGTCGGGTTTGGATATGAATACAATGGTCGAGGTATTTAAGAGCAGCGTAGTAAAAAAATTATATATCAGTATCGATAGGACTGCCAACAGAAGGTCGGTCGGTCAATTACAAGCTGCAGTACCAGTGCAGTGCAGTGCAGCAATGAAGCACATCGGCAAGCTGTCAAGACACGTAGAACTGAGTATTACAGCAGGGCCAAAAGCTGCAGTCGGTCACACAAAAAACGGAAGCGAACCGCAGGATAGGTAAGAAAACCAGGATCTTATAGGAAGGAAACCTGTAAATGGACGAATGAAAGGTTACCAAGTGAGTAAGAAGGTCGAAGTATACTAGTAACAATAGCAAATAACTTAATTCTTCAAGGTCGTCGTTTAGAGAATTAACGGAAACGAGAAGACAAAAAAAAATCAAAGAAGTTAACGGGACATGGGGATGCCATTCTTATGGGAAGGGCCAGGTTATATATATAAGTGCCTTGTACAAGTGCATATTAGGTTTAGATGACATCGTTTCCTATTCGAGTCTGTTTCAATAACGCCTGCACCCTCCCTTACCTACTAACCAATCGAACTCCGCAAATTTAAAGCCTTGCTAGTCCGATTCCGCTGTTATCTGTCGAGAGGCTCATGGATTATTCCAGTCGTTCGTTCCCATTGTCTGGATCAAGTTCCTGAGCTGTGTTGGATCTTGCAAGGGTTTGGATATTTCTGTGTTGCAAGGAACAGCGCAGCCCGGGCCTATAGCATTTAAATTCTTTTTTTCTTTCACTCATTTATTCATTCATTCATTCACCATGTGGATGCAATTGTAATATTAGTGGATCCAAATTCAAATACATGTTGGATTTTGGCATTATGGCAAGAACTATCGAGACGTCTCGTCTTGATCCATCTTCTATTTTAGTAATAAATGGCGAGGTATCGCAATCGGTCAGTTAACAGTTAATTGAATACATTCATCGGATTTAGCGACACTTACAATAACACAGCACACGGTTGAACGTTGTGCATGAGCATTTGTCCGGAAATACTCATGGAAAACAATCTATTGCATTAGATATCTGCATGATCGATACTAGATTGATCCTATGATATCGGTGTCTCAATTGTGAGATTCTAGCTTCTAGTGCTAGGCTCTGTTTCTTCGCCAAAGTTGTCTCTAGATATAGATACTTACTTACATATAACTACGCACTCTTTGAATACCAATTACGTGCCGATGGCTATACTACAAAGTATTAGCCATATCCAACAGCTTAATATCAAGTATCATAGAATATCTTCCGCCAATATGGACTTCGGAAGTTACCTTCCCTGACTCGGTAAAGTCGCTCAACTAGTACCATGGTCATGCGCAAGACTACCAGAGAGCATACACCAATCATTCATGCCCCTCTAGAGTAGGTTCAGTATCTTCCATTGGATCCGCAGCCATGTCATGATATTCAATTCTGAACAAGGGTCTTCTATCGGCTTTAGCTAAGTTTCATGTCTTTGTTTGACGCACTATAATCACTCGCCGCCTGGTATAGACTGTTGGTTTTTTTTTCTTCTTTTCTCTCGAAAGAACCGTCTGCCCCTCACCCATCTATAGACACCAACAAGGATCCCTTCACAGGAGCCCCTGCTCGTTAGAACCGCAATATACGTATTCTAGAACCGGTATGGTCACGAAATTTGTAAAACGCAAAGAGCACGCGATGCAACCTCCTATGCCACCCTCAAAGAAGATTAGCATATTTTCAAGGTTGTCAATTTAGTACAGTCCCAAAGAAATCCCCGCAGGACTGTTTCGGTCGAACGTATGTCGTTCGCAAGTCTTGAACGAACTCATCGGCGAATTTATGTCAATTGATCTGTGGAAAATATGTTGGTATTAAACATTGAAGATTGGACCCCCTCGGACTTCCAACGAAAAAGATCTTATATACAAAAAGAGTTATGATACATATACATGCATTTGTTCGATGACAAATGCTGAGCCCACACTAAAAAGGGTATATTCCTGACTCGCCCTTCAATGGGGGCTAAAAGCAGCGCTCCCGTAGAAATCATTCGTATCGTTTGCACAATAAATGGTGCTGTTGGATGGCACATATCCAAAATTTTCTTTTCGAAGCCACAGCCAAGGTGTTTAAACTTCGCCAGGCAACAAGTTATCATATCCTTTTTCTTTTCTTTCTCCGTTTATGCCGTATCCCATTCATTTCGTCGAATTTATTGCAGTCTCAACTCCTGTGCGCCCAAGGGTTTAACTCGGTCTGCAGGACACCCGTTTTTACCTTCCCAAACGGCCTTTTGAACTTGTTGGTACCAGCCTCTGAGATCCACGTGGCTGCTAGAATCTCATCGTCGGTTCTCTCGGTCACTTCCATGCTGAAATAATCGGCTTTCATTTCTTGGGGGGTAAACTTAACGACAAAGTACCCACGGTAGAAACCTTCTGCCCATCTGTGTTATTCCACGGAATCAAATGTTAGCGTGATTGGATCTTGCATGGGTGTTTGTATGTGTGTATGCGCACACGGCGTAGACGGCCTGTTGGGGAGAAAATTATCCAAAACCAGGGGTATTCCCGCTGTTGGACTTACTTGACTTGTTCGTTGTCCGCTACAACCCTAGCTGAGATATTCTGACAGTACTCCTTATCCTTGAGAAGACCGTAACCACTGTAGCTCGAAACAGCTGTCGTAGCAAGTTCGACACCAATAGCTCCATCGCCGTTGAGATGATTATACTTCATCTTTTCAGGATATGTCAACTCTGCGGTCCATAGGGCGTGGTAGTCACCCGTTAGGATAACGGTATTCAACTGCCTTCTATCAATGATGTTTTGCATAATCCGATTTCTCTGGGCTTGGTAGTCCATCCACCCGTCATAATACAGAGCATCGCCACTGACAGCCGTTTCATTCATGTTGGAGAACTGCACTTGATTGCCCATCACGTTCCAAATTGCACCGCGATCCTTGCTCTCGTCGAACTGATCGTATAGCCATTTTTCTTGGTTTGCGCCGAGCATGGTCCTATTTGGCGATGCGGCTCCAGGGATATCATCGCCCTTGTCACGGGCGTAGTAACGAGTATCAAGCATATTCAAGTCAACCAACTTTCCAAACTTGAAGTTGCGCCAAATCCGGAAGTAGTCGTCCGAGTCAACCTGACGGATTGGCATCCACTATTCATGACAAAGCCGAGAATTGCGGGGTTAATGTTAGCCCAAAGGTCATGGCGGAGTTCCTAGTCAGACGGGGACCGCCTCTTCGCCCTTTCGCCTTTCAATCGAATCTCGCTTTGCCTCGAAGCGAGGAGTTCGTCAAAAGGAAACCTAGGGAGAAAGGAAAAATAATTTACCTCAAAGTGTGCACGAAGTCCATTATTCTTGCGCTGGTCCCATGTAATTCCCTCTTTGATCATATTACTATCTTCGGAGCTGCCGTCCTTCCAGCCGTTATTTGCGACCTCCTATAGCGAGTAAATCAGTCTATGAACCGTAGATCATGATATAATCCACCTTTTCGACAAGTCTGCAAGGATGAAAAGGGAAATTTGCGGAGGCAAGAGCAACTAACATGGTCATCCCAGACACTGAACCAGGGGAAGTTGGCATGGTTGAACGATAGGTCTGGATCTTGCCTTTGCATAGCGATTCTAATCCTGTAGTCGACCAATTGAATAGTTTCCTTGAAGGGCATGGGGGTTCTTCCAGGCAGGAAGGAAGGCTCCATGTACTCATACGAGTAGTCTAGATTCGTTAGGTTAGAAAATATATAATCGATAACCAAATCATCCGTTTATCGCGGCACATATTGTTCATACCTCCCAAGAAAATAACATAGTCCATTTTGTCCTTCCTGGCTGGGGTTCCGTACGCGTTATAAAAACCCTGGCACAATAACGGCAAGTCAATATAACCTCAACTTCCCAAATGGAACAAGAACGATATGATATCTGATATCCGATATCGATATCGTTAAAAAGCTTGGATAGAGTGCACCCACCTCCGCAAAGTTAGCACAGGAATAAACCGCAAAGGTGACCTTATCGACCCAGGCATCAGGCGCAGGAATAGTCTTCGTCCTCCCAGAAGAACTCTCAGAGCTTCCATCACAGGCTGCAAACTTGTAATAGTAAGTCTGGAAAGGTTCCAACCCAGTAGCCTCAACTTTGACGGTATAATCGACGTCACCCGATGTTTCCGTCTTCCCACTGCTGAAAATCTTCCTCGGTCTCTCCTCGCACGCATAGTCCTGCCAGACTTCCCATGCTACACAGACTGGCTTCTTGTCCTCGTACAAATGTGTTGTTTCGTTGACATCCAACGGAACTGCACGAGTCCAGAGGATGACGGAGTCTGCATATGGATCTCCGCTGGCGACGCCATGCGAGAAGAAGAGGGGACCAGTGTACACTGTGCGCTTGTCTAGAGGCCCTCGTCTGGGGATTGCGAGAAACGGGTGGTTTATCGACGGCGAGTCGAATGCAATGTTTCTTGCGAACTGTGTCGACGCCGCTACTAGTTCTGCGCCGACCATTAAGGCTGTCGCAAATGCGACTGAGAAACACACACCGCCAAACATCATAAAACGATAAAAGTGACGATACCCAATAACTAGAAAATTAACGAATGGAAGTAATTGGACAAAGCCAGGAAAGCAGGAAAGACGCTTATTCTCCTTCTTCTCTGCCCTCTGCCTGGGAAGTGGGCGGCTCCTAGTTATTATATATAAGCTGCTACCTACATACATACTGCGATACATGTGTACAGGCACTCCGGGCAGGGACAGTGTTAAAGCGCCTAGACTAAGGCATGATATCAAGTTCAATGTCTCTCTATCCAACTGAATTAATTGGTCCAATCGCACCCGAAACCTGTGGTTCTCGAACTTCCCGTAGCGGAAACTTAAGAGAGTAACGCTAATCTGTTACTTCTATCAAATCCAGGCTTTCTCCCGACATCACAGCGAACCCCAGCATATGAATTACACATTTGCTACCGCATGATCACCAAGAAAATGGAACCTTACGATGTCTTCCCCGGGTTTCTGGAACTGAGACAGGCAGGGGAGGGGTAGCTAGCTTAGCTTTGACGTATGTATTCATCTCAGACATGCATTCGTGCGCTAGATCCTGGCTGTGGATCAAATTCCTGCTTAGGAAACTTCCCGCTCTAGAAGGGTCCCCACATGTGGGCCATGCTTCCTCACTGCGGTTGTTCCCAATGCTCTGCGTATTGCTCGTTTAAAGCTGCCGAGGCTTGTAGTTTAGGAAGGAGGTCGTACTTCATGGTCGCATAGTGCCGGGTACCTGTTAATAATTTAACCCGAGAAAATTAGTCAGGGAAAACAAGGGAGAAACTAGGAAAACTTCATGAGATGGTTGGGAACTAGAAAAGAAAGCATGAATGGGAAGAAGGGAAAAACGGTCAATTGCATGAACTTCTCCGTCAGTTCGGTGGAACGGCATAGATAGCATCTGGGTAGGAAAGGTTGTGCCTGGCAGGAACTAATGTTCGAGCTCCATATTCCAAACGCTTCCGACCTTTCATGACGTTTCGTTCCTGACAGGCCCGCTCACACAATTAATTGCGCAGGCGAAACCGGCCTGAGGAAACGAATACTCATCTGAGCATTATCGAGTTCATCATAACCATTGGCTGGAAAACGACCAAGAATTGCCAACAAATACAGCTTTAAAAGAGACGGAGAATATTTCCGCAAGGAGTCGTATTTCGTATCAATGCGAATAGGAAATAGTATCATGCTGAGGAACTGAGGCTGCTATTCTGATATTAAGTCTATCATAAAAAAAAAAATGCGAATTCGATCGAAATATGCAAATGGAAGGGAACGAAAGATGCAACAGGCGAGAAATAAGCCCCCAATTAGAAAATATCTCCGACCATGATAAAGCAATATTACCAAGAAGAAAAAGAAGAAAAATGCTTGAAATCCTTCGCAAATGATTCATATCCCAGATACGTCGCTTAAGCCGTCGTCAATTGCAAAGGAAAACAATTATTAAATGCTGGAAAGAATATGTAGGGTGAATCTTCTCAACCCTGTGCCGTTTTTGCCTTTCTTTTGCTTTTGGTTATGAAAAACTCAATAATCGTACACCGACGGCCGTCGTTGGAAGTTCATATCATTAATTTTAACTATAAATCAAAGGTAAGATCCTGTTGAAAAAGGAATCCCAGAAAATATATCACCTTGGCTATCGTTCTCCAGAGACATCATTAAGGCATTCGCCTGTTGTTGATCGATCACATCCATCCTGTATGTGTTGCTTGTATACGGGTTGCCATGTAGCACGTCCATCTGGCCGGAAGTTGTCCAGTTTAGGAGGTTGGAAACGTCGGAAGAAGGGTAAAAATTGAACATCTGGCCCGAGCCTGGGAATGAAGATGCGAAAGGGGCTGCTGGGTCCTCGTTAATTGTTGGCAGGGTTGTTGCCGAATTTGTTGGTTGATAGGATGATAAGTGATCCTGTATCCCAACAGGATATGGGGGTAAAACTGTTTGGGGCGATATTCCCAAATCTTCAGATAATGTCCGAGCAGTTGCAAGATCTATTGATTGTTGGTTCATGCTATATGGCTCAAAGCTATAGCCTGATAGTGAATGTCGTGGAGTGATTTCGTCCGTTGTATGAGTACCGGGCGTTGGGGGGTTATTGAAATCGCTTGCGGGGCTATTGCTACCATAGTAGCCGCTAGATGCGGAGGGGCTTTGTGAATGCATGCGGGGTGGAGGGGATTGTGAAATCATCCCATACTGTGTGTTCGTGCTGTCGAAGGATTGATTGAGATACTGCATTATGGGGGCTGAATTGTTGAATGTTCCATTGATTTGTTCATCCATTGAAGCATGGTGTGGTCCAATCGACGAAGTACTCGGCATTGACATTCTTGAAGAGGGCGTCGTATGAAAGCTGGCCGGGGAGTAGGATGGCGGGGTATGCGGGGGTGATCGACCATGCGGAGGGGTTGCAGACGCATTTTGAGCCACCCTAGTTGGCGTTGGTGCTTTCTGCACTGGCGGAGGGGGTGCAGATTGCACAGTAGGCAGAGACCCTCCTGCCGAAGGCGGCATATTAGAGCGAACATCAGAGGAAGTTGCTTCGTAGCTCTGTAGGGCAACTATTGACAACCGCCAAAAGATCTCGCGGGCAGAGCCGACACCTGGCCAACGCTCCACCATCATATCCATACATTCTAATCCTGTTTGGATGTGCTTTGCGACTTCATTTCGTGGGTGAAGTCTCCGAATATCCTCGTATGAGAGACACCACATCATAATAATACAAGTCATATAGACTTGATGCACAAGAACCCATGTCATATCAACGGTACGTTCGTCAAACATCTTCTTCTGAATGTTGATGTTCTTGATAGCACAGTCATAGCAGAGGATCGTTGCTTCAAGCGATGGTTTCGGGATTTGTGGGCTCGGGCGATACAAAAAGATCAACATGTTATTATAACTAAGTAATAGGTTAGCCAGGGTCAGAGAAACTGAGGGTGTAACGTATCGAGCATATACCGATGACGGAACCTAGAATAAGCAGTAGGATTAATATATGTTTATAAGCCACAGAATCTTTAGATGTAGAGTCTTACCATTCTTGAGAAAGGCCACTACCCTCACCATTCCCAGGTGCGCTGTTCACCCACTCGTCGAGTTTCGCATGCATCCTCTTGAACCAAGGATCTTGGTCATCTTTTGGTGTCTCCTTCAAGTTTTGATAGATTCCGAGTCTGATTTCAGATTGAATTCTACGCATTTTGAAAAAATGCATAGATACAAGTTTCTTTGTCGCTATTGGGCCATGCAAGATACCATCCTTTGTGATAAGACTATCGTCATAGGGCTGGAAGAATTGAACGTCAGTAAAGGTATCCCCGGTACAGAATCCGGAAGGCCGGCCCAGGATATGAGAGAGACCGGATTCCATCGAAGATGTAACCCAGAATAAACGCCTTCTCATATCGATTGTCAAAGGGTCTAATGGATTTCCGAATATGTCTTTTGTTATCGTACTTTCTTGGTTTAGGCCCAAGTCAATGCATAGTCTGGTAGCCAACCCAATGATATGATAGATCCCAGTCCGTGTTGGAGTGAGAAGAGAATATTGTCCCATAAGACAAAAACATTGTAGTGTACTCAGGTTCATAGCCCCAACCACCGCTTCTAGATGGGTAAGAGCAGAGAGGTAAAAGCCGTCAGCAAGCCCAGAGTATTGGCTTCCTATTTTTTGCATACTGATAGCAAGAACCATTTTCAAAATAAAATTCTTATGCGGGTCAGTAGACCCAGCATACACCTCATCTGCATCTCTCATGAATGTGTTTTCGTGAAGGGTTGGTAACATAAATTGCGCTAGAACCCGTCAGTAATGTTGATTGCCTATGTCGAATTACTACCATAAATTTATTTCCATACCTCTTTTGAAGATAAATTCGGATACAAGTTTATCCGTTAACTCCCTCTTTGGTAACTTGTCGATTGGTGCAGAGCTTAATGCAAATGCACTTGCCCGACGCTCCTTCCCTTGAAATCTCGCTGGCTCGTGTTCCGTGGGTGGGACAATTTCCTTGACAGAGTGCGTAACGGTGTTCTTCTTCGCAAACTCGACAACTAGCCTCGCCAGCTGTAATCCCGCAGATGATCCGAGAAAATGTCGTTCTGGTTCTTCGTCTGATAGTGAGACCATCCCCATGCTCCGCACAAGGTCGTCATCGTCAAGCCCACTACTAGGCGGCAACTCCTTCTCTAACTGCTTGATTTCTTGATCGAGTGCCTTCACTCGATCTTGTAAGAATATAACATAACTCCGCGACAGCACTACTCCTTTGGACGCGTCCCAGAAATCGCATTGTGATCCACTGCGTTGACAGGGCTCGCATTTAGGTAGCGAGGCGTCGCAACGACTCTTTCTGCTGCGGCATCGATTGCATGCTGTGAGGGTGTGGATTTTGGCGCCAGAATTTTCACCAGATTGAACCCCTCCGCTTGAAGACCCAGTCGATGTCGATTTTCGGGGTAGTAACGATGCAACAGATTGTTGGCGGTATTGCGGTGAAGATTGTGGGGCGTGAGCCATCGGATTCCCAGCTCCAAAGGTAGCCATGCGGGGAGATTGGGGGCTGGTAAAATATGACTCGGGGAAGCGCACGCTGCTCCGCCGTATTCTAGCAGTCAATGTTCGATCCTCCCGTAAACACAGAGCCTTTAAAGATATAGCTATATAGAAAATTTCGCTATAATATGTTTTTGTCGATAACTAATGATCGAACTCGGAAATAAGGTTATGTAAAGCGGGAGTTGGAAACTCGTGATCTCGGAGTTAGAAGGCGGATGGAAACTGGGAAAAAGGAAAGCTGCAACTAAAGTAGTAAGTTAAAACCTCACCCAGAAAGCGGTTATTTCATTTATGTAGAAGAATCGAGGTACACCATACAATTCTCAAGAATCGGGAAAAGACGATGCAGGCTTCTATGCCGGAAGGACTTAATCGTATCGACTATCCTTTCTATATTGGTAATAGCGTCTGGTTTGATATACCGCAGGCTTCCTGACCATTATCAAGCTGTTAGTTGCATATCGCATCTCAGGTGGGGCGGATTGATTGAAGTACCTGTAGGTCCGTCTGCGGGTAGATTAGTGGACAGTAGCAAACGGGGGGCGAGCAGTATGTAGTCGACCCACCATACGAAGCAGGGCAAGCTTATTGTATAGACCGACCGACGGCTTCACAGGGAGAAAAAAATTTCGAGTGAAGGAGGAAAAATTCAAGCTATCAAGCTTACTTTAGATCATGGCTGGGGTTCTATAACTATGCTATAAACAAGGTGCATAAACTCAGGTATGTGTCGGCTCGGAGCAAGCGTATGTGAGCAATGACGGAAGGATTGACCGGGGCCAGGCAGAATGGAGAGCCCTGAGGCAGTCTTTGGATTGTTCTGGCGGCAACATTAGGCGGAACTTGTTGGGGGTACGGCCGCAGCACTAGGTTTTTATGCAAGGACACCATCGATGTCGATATCAACGTTAGGGTGTATAGGAAAGAAGAAGCTGCGTCAAAAAATCAAGAGTAACGTGGTCAGGCATCATGTCAGATTTTAAGATTCTTCCTTAATAATATAGTCCGATGTGCCAACCATTAATATCCCTATCAACCATTCCGAACCATACATTGTGAAATTCTCCTCCTTGCGGCCATGCTGACACTCATCCTTGCCCTCTGGTGCCTGGATTTAGGGATATCGTCTTATTTGCAGATCCAGTGAGGACAATGGTTGGGATGAAAAGCTGCAATGGTCCCAAACCCCGGGTCATCACGTTCGCAAGCTTTCTGCAAGTCGTTCGCTGTGCTGCGTGTCTATTGGATTGGTCAGGTTAAGTACCGAGGATCTTGCGAGATGACGGTCACACCTTATTAGAATGCACCCTTGGTCATAGCTTCTAGACTCCCTTGACGAAATTTCGATCATTGAACCAATCGGACCGCATATTGATGAAAACTACTGTTTGATAGAAATTCCACATACTTCCACAATCATGAGGCAATTGAAGTGGGGTCGCAAAGTAGCATCTTCAAAGTTTTCTGCCCAATGACCTAAGCTTCGTTGAATGTAAGCTCAGACGTTTTCGTTTCGGCACGAGCTGAAAATCTTCCTGCCTAATTTTTGAGAATTCCGTTTTTGTGGAAGCTCATACTTCGAAGGGCCGCGCCGTCAGTCTTCCCGTCTGCCCAGCGGCTGAGTCGTGGAAAGCAAAGTTGCAGCGGGGCGATGCATAGGTCTGGATTATGTCAACAGCGCGCGCAGAGCTTGAAAATGACGATGATAAAAGCACAAAATCAATGCAATGCAATGCTTCGATTTTGTTTCTATGCATTCCGAAAATCGTGCGGGCTCTAAAAGGAATGCTATATCCTCTTTTAGATTCGATTGAAGTCAGATCCTGCATTCTGGACCCAGGACACCCCGCACCCGCGTCGGTTCGAGTTCAGGTCTAACTAGGGTGTTTGTTAGCTTCCAAACGGAGAAAACACCATCGGGCACACCGTGAGCTGGCTTGGCTTGGCCATTTGTCACTCATTGCGATTACTTGTTTCATAGGGCTTTCTCTCTCGGAACACTCCCGTCGTCTATTGAGACAAATCAAGGCGAAGTAGGTTGATCCAATAGTACTTCATTCGACGATAGCAGCTCATTTTTTCCCCGTCGGACTAGTTTATCCAGGCTATAAGCTTAATTTCGTCTTATCGGATTGCCGCTATCAGCAATGTCGAGCGAATTTCAGACCCCACCACTGCGCGTGAGCAGACCAGTGAGCGCTTGTTCTGCGTGCCGGAGAGCAAAAATCAAGGTCAGTAGACTTCATTTCAGGCAACTGCTTAGACATCACGGTGAATATCTAATCTCATATCGTCAAAGTAGTGTGACGGGAAGCTGCCGGCCTGTTCCGCGTGCGAAAAACATGGAAAATCAGCTGAATGCTCGAGTAGCAGTGATCAGTTTGCGCGAGGGAAGGAGCGGAGGTAAAGAAAGCTCTTCTAATAGATGAAGAATATCACACACCTGTTCAATCGATCATCTACTAACCCCTTTCCAGTTATGTCGCCTCGCTCGAAGCTAAAATCGAACGGCTTGAACAGAAGAAGGCTCAGTTGACCGGAAAGCCATTCCGGCCCTCTAACCAGGTAGATCACTTTACAAGTGGCGGCGGCGGGACAGATGGAGATGGTATGTTAATCCCCTTCGATGCCTGGGCTATGACGTTTCTGTGATTTTAACGGCTATTCTCTATAGGAATCTCAGCGGGCACGACGGGAATGGTTGGGTCAGCCAGAAAGCGAGCAGAGGGGGCCCAAGTCGAAGAGCTGATATCAGATTTGGGGTTTATGTAAGGATGGTAGTTCTAAAATGGCTTCAAGAGCACCACAGCTAATGTGACAATCGCCAATTACAGAACCGTCAATGCTACAAGTAAAGGACTATACGATTTCACCGAAGACATGTCTTTCTCTAAGCTCGTACTGCGGGCGGCCTCTTTACAGCAGGATATCGTCCCATCTCTCACGCCTTGTCCCCTACCAGACCGCCATACTGCCTTAAGCCTCATACAGCACTATCTCGATTCCATATTTTCTCATTATCCATTTTTCGACGAAACCTCTTTATTTATGTCTGTCAATGCCGTCTTCAGGGATGAAGCTACCGCCTCATCCCGAGATTTATACATCTGCTATATGGTTTTAGCAATTTCCACAGTATCGATGTCGAAAGGAACGGATGCAACCGCCAAGCTAAGAGCTGCTGGATACGTGACCACTGCTGTTGGGCATTCTCGTCAGATATTAGTTCCTTACTCAACCATTGGAATACAGGCGACACTATTGATGATACAATATGCTCTCCTTGAACCTAGTACTTACAATCCCTGGTACTTGATTGGAGTCGCCGTGCGAATTTTGATCGATCTGGGACTTCATCAAGATCTACAAAAATCCTCCAAACAAACGGCGAACGAAGCCGAGCTCCGCAGGAGGATATTCTACTCAGTTTATACTTATGATAGGTATGTTCACTTATAATATGTATTGCTGCGAGGCCTTCAATACTGACGTGTTTTTTCTCTCTCAAAGATATATTAGTATGACATATGAACGGCCGTATTCGTTCTCTGATGACGCTATTAACGTGCGGCTGCCTCATCCCGAAGGGGTTGCTACGAAGATTGCCAACTGGAGCGGGCAACCGATATCTCTCACTCTTGCTATGGAACTATTCAAGTTCAGCAAGATAAATTCCCAATGGTATCAGTATCTGTGGTTCTCGGAACGCGTGAAGCTGAGTACGCCACGGGACTATTGCGATGCTCGGCGACAGGACTTGAGGGACTGGCTAAACAACCTCCCTTCTTCAATCGAGCCTACACAAATGGAAATGCTGAAACTGGAATACTTTTATATGCGAATATATCTGGACCTTCCAAACCCTCGTGTGCACGATCTTAGCGAATCTATTAGGGTTGCAATCGTCGAAAACACTTTTGAATACGTCAGGCTCTTCCAGAAGTTACTCTTGGAAGGTGGTCCGCGATTCCACTATACCTATTGCGATGCAATCAGAGCCTACAGTTTGGGACAAAAGCTCATAGATATCCTGAATTGGCCAGGAAATACATTCTTATCTAGTTCCGCAGGCTATAAAGCGAAGACAGCATTACTGGGTATCCGGACTCTGTTAGATATGCTAGGACAGCGGTGGACTGAGATTGAGAAGTTTAAAGAGAGGTTTTACCGAGACTCGGAGCCACTGGTTGCCCAACTCCGAGACTTGGGAGAAGCATATGTTTCACCCCACCAAAGCCCGCAGGCGATGCTCAGAGGATTAGAAGACAGCGTGGCGCGTGAAAGGTCGCCCCAATGGGTTCATCAAGGGGGCATGCCAGGTTATTAACGTTATGACAGATTTTGAGCATTTTGTGCGGCCTCTTTCGACGAGGATGTGCTAGGTACAGGCGTCAAGGGATTGTTTTCTTCTTCTTCTTTATTTTTACCATCAATCTTATTGGCATTACCATGATGTTTGAGCGTTTTTAGTCCATATCATTATCTTAATATTTATCATTGCATATTCTGAAGATCTATCACCATGTTGCTTTCTTCCTAGCATATGCGGACATGAAGTGACGTTCATCGAGCTCACAAATCTTGTGCGACGCTACGTAAAATGCGGCAGTGCGGCTTAAAAAGTCAAATTTCGCGAGCAAAAAAAAAAGTTTTGCGACTAGATTCTTCAACACTCAACCGACCTCCACACACGAGCAGCTCCAAGCTCACTCTCAGCACCATGCCGACCAAAGTTACTACTCGAAAGCGATCGCGCGCAGAAGCCGAAGCAGAGAAACCAGTTCTATCTTCCGAGGATGAGTTTGAGATCCCTGAGATCAATGGCGACGAGGACTCTAGCGATGATTCCGATTTCACTGCTGGAGATGAGGATAGCGATGAGGAAGAAGAATTTTCTAGCGGGGCAGAAGATGAGGAAGAAGAGCAAGACATAGACTCCGATGAAATCCCCTCGGAAGACGAAGCCTCCCCGAAGGAAAATGGTACTGCCGATCATGATGCTTCTGGTGACGAGGAAGCAGAACCGGCAGACAATGTCAAAGTTGTCACTGGCGCGGATGGAAATCCAAGACATATATATCCCGAAATCGAGCCAGTATACGATAGCGATGACACGGATGCCGAAGAGACAAACACAATTGGAAATATCCCACTCGAGTACTACGAAAACTACCCTCACGTCGGCTATGATATCAATGGAAAGAGAATAATGAGGCCGGCTGCTGGGAAGGCACTGGATACGCTTTTGGACAGCATTGAGTTACCAAAAGGCTGGACCGGGTTGGTGGATAAAAATAGTGGAGCTGCACTGAATCTTACGGAAGAGGAACTCGAGATTGTTAAAAAGCTACAGCGGTCCGAAATTACAGATGAGGGCTTTGACCCATACCCGGTACGATCTTTGACCTAAAACCTTATCCAGACGGCTTCTAATGATAATTACAGGATATGGTGGAGTGGTTTAGTAGCAAGGTGGAGCAAATGCCATTGAGCAGCGCCCCAGAGCCAAAGCGACGCTTTGTCCCATCCAAACATGAGCAAAAGCGTATCATGAAGATTGTGAAAGGTATCAGGGAAGGGCGAATCCTACCACATAAGCCCCAAGCAGAGACCTCTCAGGAGCCTGAGTTCTATGATATCTGGGCAGACGATGCCCCACCTAAACCGGACCATGTTATGAATATTCCGGCACCGAAATTACCTCCTCCTACACATGATGAAAGTTATAATCCGCCTCTAGAATACCTTCCGAACGACAAGGAGAGGAAGGAATGGGAAGAGCAGGACCCTGAGGATCGAGATAAAAACTATCTCCCACGGACCCACAAGGCTCTTCGTTTAGTTCCCGGCTTCAATGGATTCATAGGCGAGCGATTCGAACGATGTCTTGACCTCTATCTAGCACCACGTGTGCGTCGAAATAAGCTTAATATTGACCCTGCGTCATTATTGCCAAAACTCCCTTCACCCGATGATCTCAAGCCGTTCCCGACAACATGCGCCACAGTTTATAGAGGACATGAAGGAAGAGTTCGGTCGGTAGCTGCAGACCCCACTGGCGTCTGGGTGGCGACTGGGGGTGATGATGGAACAGTTCGAGTCTGGGAGATTCTCACAGGAAGACAGGTGTGGAAATTAAAGGTGTCGTCCGATGAGGCAGTTGATTCTGTCACATGGCGTCCAACAACAGAAGGAAGGATTCTAGCCGCCGCCTGGTAAGGTCCCACAAAGGCGTCTGTGGAGTAGTGGGTTTCTCTGACTAATTGCTTTTCTAGCGGGAACGAAATATTGCTCGTGGTACCCCCAATTTTCGACTTTGAAGAAGAGACCCAAGGCAAGGAAATTTTAAGTGCAGGGTTTGGATACGCGGCAAATCGGCAAGGGAAGAAGGAAGCTCCGGGCATATGGTCTAAACCCGACACCGCCTTGGAAGAGGAGGGTGTTGTGGTTACAATAACCGTGAGGAAAACCGTTAAGTATATTGCATGGCACCGAAGAGGAGACTACTTGGTGAGCGTTTCACCTGAAGGTTCGCGAAACACCTCCTCCCGCCACATTTCTCAATGATGATGTTGACGTGTTTATATAGATGTCCGAAGAGCTGTTTGCATACATCGTGTTTCGACACATCTTTCGCAAACGCCATTCAAAGAGAAGAGTGTTACCAAGGGTATCCCTCAAAGAGTGCAGTTTCATCCATCAAAACCTTTGCTTTTTGTTGCAACAAAACGATACATCAAGATCTATGACTTAGCGAAAGCCGAGTTGAGCAAAACCTTAAAGCCAGGTGCCAGATGGATTTCGTCAATTGACATTCACCCTCAGGGTGACAACCTTATCGTTGGGTCCTATGATAAGCGACTGCTGTGGCATGACCTCGATTTGAGTACTAAGCCTTATCGGACTTTACGGTACCATGACAAGGGTATACGAGCAGTCTCCTTCCATCGTGGCGGATTCCCGCTTTTCTGTTCGTCGAGCGACGACGGAACCGTTCAAGTTTTCCACGGCAGAATTTATAGTGACTTGATGGAAAATGCACTCATTGTCCCCCTGAAGGTGCTAAAGGGCCACAAAATTACTGCTCATTTGGGTGTGCTAGACGTTGATTGGCATCCAAAGCAGCCTTGGTTGTTCAGCGCTGGTGCAGATGGAACGGCGAGACTCTGGAACTAAGCAAATTTCGGGGACCCATTTACCCTCAATATCTTCAGCACGCGCAGGCAGTCGGAACTTGTTGAGCCGTCAAAAGGGTCTAGCCTGACTCGACCAATATGCGGGAAAACGGCCGCTGAAAATGCGCACGACATTGAGTTAAGCCTGTGGGGCGATCTCCGTGGCTTTGAGGGATTGTTGCATCAAAACATATCCAACTGAACTACCGAAAGAACTGTACAATATACTTAAGATTCATGCCTATCAGCCCTGGGAGTATAGCGGAGTAAGTCTTTCGACTTTTCTTTGTGCATCTATTTCGATTTTTTTTGATTTATTTCCCAGGTTCCCTCTCGACCTGATTTCTTATATTGCTATTTCCTGTACTATAAAAATTCCTGAAGTTGTAGTTTCAATTTCACCTCAGATTAAAATAGAAAGACGTTCCACAACCCGAGGCAATCCGAAAGCAAGGCCTCCCCAGCGCGAGAAATCCGAGGAGGTTATACATACTCCGTATGCAAAAGTTTCAAACAGTCCTTTTCCCGGCGAAGTGCGACCCCCAAAGGGGCGGTTCTCACTTTAACGATACAGGAATCTACGCACGTGCGGCCTTTCCTGAATTGAAGTCGTCCGAGCAATTTGAGCCAATGACAAGCGCCATTTCGCCACACGTGTGTCCATTTCGGAATGTCAACTAGCACACAACAACTTGTTGGCCCTCCCGCCTCAGGGCCCCCAAGCAAAAACCGACTTCTAGTTTCCCCCCAATTACCCATCCTATCAACTCTCGAGATTTTCCCACGAGCGTAAGCACGCGACATTAGACCGTGTGAGAAGAAAGCTCCAGAGGGCCGGTGGCAGTGTGCGAGCTTTTTTTGGGTGTTCGTTTTCGTCGTTGGTTTTACAGCAAAAAAGGCGGGACATAGCGATAAGGTGGTTCGTTCCATCGAGTCCCCGTCATGAATGGACATACGTCCATGTTTCCTGTCCGGCCATGCCATGCCCTGTTCTCCCACATTTCCGCACCCCTTCCAATATATAGACGGCTTTGTGCGCATTTCCTGCAATCCCTTTCTTTTCTTTTCCAGGAATCTTAATACAATGGAGACTGTGGTCTGCAAAGCAAGAGTCGATATCCTCAAACACTGTCCGCTTCAAGTTCCTCGAACTTTGTATCGACAGCCTCTATTCCGCAGTGAAGCGGTGCAATAGGTTTTTATTTGATAGCTAGCTATCATATATCTCGCGATCCTTTACCCTTTTGTCCGCTCGCTTCTATAGTTCATCCGAATACTTCCATTCGTACTATAAAGGGTATATCTATACATTAATTCCCCGACTATAATATCAATCACGGAGTTCATTGTGGACAGCACCCCCTAGCGAGACGACTCTAGTATCTTTTTTTCTTCTAGAAATCGAGAATAAAATGCAACACACCAAGATCTCTCCAAGGCTGCCGCCTACCCCAAAACCCTCGACAGAGTTGGCACCAAGACGAACTCCTCGCCTTTCAATAGATGCATCGTTCAATCTGGGCCCTGCCGCAATCACACTGTCCCCAGAGGTTTTAAAAACCGCCTCATCAGCACACACTGTCGCGGCAACTCACCAGGCTCCACCACTATCTCCGACTTCTCCATTCTCGCTGACACCGATCAATCCAGATGAGCCAAGGGTACAGCAAAGGCGGCGGACCTCATCTAGTGCTGGTACGACTACCAGCAAGAGGAAGGATGTCGTGATTGGGCCACCGCCTACTAGGCAACATCCAATCATTCAGATGAAGCCTAGAGAAGTAGTACCGGCCATTGTGGAGGACACAACGACCAAGGCTGTTGCCGGAACAAAGCGGAAAGCTACTGGTGTATCTGCAGCAAAGAGAAAGATTGCTCGCAAGACCGCTCATTCAGAGATCGAGAGGCGGCGTCGATCAAAAATGAATGACCAGTTCGCCAAACTTAAGAGCATGGTTCCTGCTTGTAAAAACCAGGATATGCATAAACTCGCCATTCTTGAGGTAAGATACTTGCCTGAAATTTTTCCTTTCATACATAACATTTGACTAATTGGTTTTCCGAACTCAGGCCACTACTGAATACCTTGCATATCTTGAAGAGGCCATCAAAGTGTACCGCAACGCAGGTTCAGACAGCGTCGTTCACAGCCCACCAACCTTTTCCGCTTCGGATAGCGGACCAGGCGATGAGATGATTGATTATGACGATGAGGAGGACGATGAGGCCGATGACTTCGCCATCGCTACTGCAGACTGTTCGCCAGCGTTGTCAGCAATTCCGTCCCACCAACCCACGCTTGAAATCACAGACACAGAGGCCACTCACGCCTTACTGCTCCTTGCCGACCACCAATCACAACATTCTCCTAGAGAACGAATGATGAGCTTTAGTACTAGATCGAGACCGATTTCGGTGAAAGATTTGTTATTGTAGTACATACATGCCATTCTAAATCTTTCCTTCCTTCTTTCTTTCGGGTTTTTTTTCCTGAACATCCTTACCATTCAACTATCTTTTTTCTTTCGGCCCTAGTGGGGGTCAACTCACGGTTTTTTTTTGGGACAAAGAAAAATACAAAAGTTCATGCTTTGATGAATCTCCTTCCTTTTCTTCTATCCTCCATCTTGGCTATTTTCCATTTCCATTGTTACCATAATTTCCTTTGTCCATGCTTATAGACGTTGCCGGGCATAAGGATAATATAGCGAATGAGCATAGGATACTTTGTTGCATAATGCTTGGTCGATCTTGGTATTGCGGGGCTTTTGGGTCGCCCCTAGTTAATTGTTATTGGGAAGGGTTTCTCTTGGAAATATCATGTTTTTGTTATTTAACGGTGCGATGTCTGTATCAACTGATCCGCATTTCGAAGCTTTCTTTGGGCCGGGTTACTCTTTTTTTAATCTTTCATTTCCGGTGGTGAATTTTGCATGTAGAGTATCAAGAGATCGATCTCCATGGGGAAAAAAAGGTTATACCCGGTCCGAAGCTCGGTTATTATTGTAGTATAAGCGGCGCTTCGAACCTTAATGGTGTAAGGTTGAACAAACCCTGGTGGATCGACCCACAGGCATCCGGGGTAGTATACCTGTATATACGAGATGTCATTAGGACTTATATCCAAAACGTACATATATATATTCCGATGGTTTTTAAAATACTCGATGGATCTGAGAAAACATTTCACTTACCAGGACAATATTAAGCGTGGAGATTAGAGAACTGTAAAATACTTAGGCAAACTAGCAGGGCCGGATAACCAGCCACGCAAGCGTAGATTTGTCTCGTTAATCCGACGTACCATCCTTTACCCAGCAAAGACTTAAGTATCACCCCGGAATTTAATCATATTTCCGATTCGAGAGAGGCTATCCCGAAAAATAAAGTATATGGGTTTCGTTGAAGCTATTCTAGCAACTGGTGCTAGGAATGGTATCAGACAATCTTCTTCCAACAGCGCGGTGCAGAAGGGGATGCAAAATGCAACAAATATGATCAAAAGTCTTGTTGGGGGGATATTTTCATATCAGACTGAACAAAAGTAGGGAATATCAATCGGTTGGAGGAAAAAGAGTTACAAAAGAATCTGGAATCACCTTGAGTACCCATGATATCTAGACTATCCATGGACAAAAAACTTTAGAGGTCGCCCATATAATTGTATTGCATCGATCGACCGATCGATAATACTTATGACGCATAGAGCCGACTTGCAATCCCCATGATACCATCTATGCATCGATCGATCGATTCGTGACCACTTTTCCTGGACTCTCCAGGGTCCAATACCCATCCATATTTCTAGCTTGTCTTTCAGCCGATCCGAATATTCGATCTATGATCTCGCTATATGGTAGGATTGCAGCATACTCCAATCAGCCTTTCCCTTGATACTTCGCGCAATGCGCATATGCACCGATGCACTAGCTGGTGGAGTGCAGCCGTGGTGCAGGGAAAGAATTCAAAAAAAACCCCGTCTTCGGTGCGTTAAAGCAAAGGCCGAAACCATCGGGATACTTGCCGGACCAATACATATCTCTACAGGTTGCAAATCTGCCTTCCAAAGATTTGCAGACTGCAAGATGTGTATAATCTGAATGAGACTCATGTAGCTGCACAAGAGGCCGGGGCTCTGGTGTTCCCCCACTCTACTTATTGCATATGCTCCACCCTTCATTTCAAATCTGTAGAAGGATTATCGGGTTCTGAAAGTTCCCCATTCTGGTTGTGCAATAAGTGGCCTGAAGTTCTCCAAATCCACACCAACTTTGCCTAACATTTTTGTATTCCATCTTCTCTTTTGCTCGATCTGTAGTGAATACCTCAGAAGTGATAGTGGCGTATATATTCGTGTAGACGGGGTACTTTCGGGTAACGGATTTATTTTTTGTGCATGTGGTAAAAATGGCAAAAAGTGCCACGGATGGAGCTTTATAGGTTGATATCGATATTCCGCATACCAAATCCAATACCAACATTCCAGAAATTAATGCATTTTCTGTACTTCCCTCGCAAACTTGTGACTTGCATGCATATATACAGACGCAAAGGCGACGTGTACTGTATGGGTTTCTGTTTGGCCTAGGTCTTCAACTTCCCCATGGCGCCCCGCATCGAACAGATCTCTTTGTTCTTGGCAACAAATCGCACAGTTGCGAGGATATCCGGCTGTCCAGCTATCATATGGGCCGGCCTACCGGTATACTACAATGGGTTTGCTAAAGGCCTGCAACATCTGCACAGTCACAAGGTAATGACCAATCAAAGCAATACCGTTGCTCCGTATATTTACCCTGAGCGATTGTGCCAAAAGCTTTAGGACTTGTACATGTACAATATATTAATATCTGGCGTGCATCGGTACGAAGCTGGTGGTGCCATGGCCGTTCCACGGCCAGCCACGGACTTGAACTGCAGTATAACTGGGAAAATTAAAACTTTCCCAACGGGACGGAGAGCTTATGATTGCTTAACCGCTAGTTTCGAAGCGAGAGACAAACTATATGACCATGAAACCCACCCGGCGGGCATGCATGTAGTTGTGCAGTCTTCTGCACAATCGTTAATACGGCTGACCGGGCCTCCCTCGACATTGACCTTTCCAACCAGAAAATTGAACGGGGTTCCAAAAGAATGTGCATAATGTACACAGTATGATGCAATCTAGATCTCACAATATGCCGTTCGGCAATAACATATACATTTCGAGAAAAAATTGGGTTGATGGGATCAGTTGACGTATTGTACATCGTAATTCAACCCCACGCCTAACGTGAATTTTTTTTAGGGACCGCTGCCGGTTTTACGGATTTAGCTAATCAATCAAGATGGAATAAGTTTGTTTCGAGGTTGGAAGTGCTTTTAGTTGCCTTATGATGCTTGGTTTCATGCATGCACCGGCCGTCATTCCTAGCCTAGCTAGCTAGGAGCTCACGGATTGCAAACTTAACCGCTTCATTACTACTGTTTAAGGCTATAACTATTAGAGGAGCTACCCAAAGGTTAGAATATATCCATACTTGGGTATGATTGGATTGAACATCAGAGTATACGAATACAGATAACCAGTAGCCGCATGCGCGCAAGGGCAAATGTGCCGTATGGAATGTGTTCGTGTTTGATCCTCACATCTCAGGTCACACAAGACCGCGACTTCACGCCGATATCTCGAGCCCAGATGTGCAATTAATGCCGTAACCAATAACGCACGAAGATTCAAAAAGGAAGCCAAATAGACCAATTGATCAGTCGGCCAGGCTCCGCCACCGCCTGAAAGATTCGGTGTCCTCATGCATGAATGTCAGGGTACATTCGGCCGGCAGGTTGATTGCTCAAGTATGTACTATATTAATTAATATGGATAATTATTCGATTTAACATCGATATGCACGGCCACCGTTTTGTTAGATGCAACGTTTCGTTTCGATTCCGCGATTGAAATAAACGCCATACCAAGCAAGGGGAGCATTCGAATTGCCATGATGACTCTTCTAGAACCCCCAGAATCTGCAAAATCTACTAGGATGTTAATTTTTATCCAACCCTGGTTACATATACGTATGATAGAATCCACGTACCAAGGGAGAGCCTAAGGTGGCTAGCCCTAAAGACTCAGCTAGATGATTATAGGATCCTAGGATCGAGGAATGTTGTGTTTCTGCCCCGCACTGGGATGTACCCTAATGGTAGCCTCCTTCTTTTAGTGGCCGCAGTGGAGACAAGCCGGGAGGCTACCAAGCGAGCGGGATCGGTTTCAAATCTAGTCTGCATAGAGTTAGTTTCCAGGCTTATAAAACTACCCAGCTGCTATGTAAACCAGTTCCAGGGTACCCACAGACATTTGGAGTGCAGAAATATGGCATTCGCCAGACGAATCTAGCGAGTGAGAGCATAGAGTGCACAGGATGGTTTCACGTCACGGCCAAGCTAAGCGGCAACTGTTGTCCTCGATGGGATAGTTGACTAATTCAAAGCACCAGCTCTGGTTTTCCGACTTCGATTGTGCATAGTGGGGCGGGGGGTCTCATAAGGTCTGCTTGTTACCTTTCTGCGGTCAGTCCAAAATAAATCCTTCGGTCACCGGATATTGGAATTGTAGCATTGCATATTGCTTGCCATCTTTTAAACTGCCTGCAGTTGACATAATGCAGTCGGTTCGTCCCTTTGCAGCCTCGAGCTCGATAGATATCAACCTAGAACCCCCAAGACCACAATAATTTGACCACTGCGCCGGATGAATTGATCTAATCCGATTCGATAGGGCCTCAGTCTTAGCAAGCTTTCAAATAGCCCCACCTGATCTGGATAGCCGAACGGCTGGAAAAGAAGATCGACATGTGATTACCTTGGATCGGAATGCTTTGACCATTCGCTAATTCTCCTCCTGGGATTGAGACACCCGTACGATACAGGGCTAACCAGGGTAACTAACTGCCAACGACTATGAAGAAGAAGAAAAATTCGGATATAGTATATCAAAGGAGCACTTCTATCTCGAGAACCACAGGCTGTTCGGATTGAGTTCCTATAGGTCCGTCGATTTCTCAGCCAGGAAGACACAGGTAAGTATTCCTGCTGCGAATACTTTGTAGAAATTAATTTTCGCATGTTGTAAGTCTTGGACCATGTGGTCAGTCAATCAACCGCCCCGTGTCTGGATACTCGATGCGAATTCCAAGTATGCAATGCATTCCACAAATTTGACTACAGTTGAACTATATACCTGTTAAACAAATTAACTCTGATTACCATGAATTGTCCTCGTCACCATACCTAAGATCGGGGCACAGACTTTCGTAAGACGAAACAATATATGCCGGTGATGTATTACTTTTAACCATTGCATTTAAGTTGTAACGAATACTGCTTTTGGAGCAGGGGTTGGCCTGCGGCCATGAGGTGAAGTAAGGCAGCAAGACCTTAATTTGGGACTAGTATCATAGTTCCTCTTCAGACAGCTGCAGTGGCGGAATTCTACCTCGTGATTCTAATTGGGTTAGACAAATTCAAGCAAGCATCCGACTATATTAAGGTTGTAACCAAGGAAGAAAATGTTTCCTTGTATTTCATTTTAAACATCATGATATGGGCCCTCACCTAGAGCTTACGGGACGTTGTTTTAAAGACGACACATGCATAGGCACGTGAAATGATTTGCCAGGACCCTTTTGCATAGCCGCCAAAAATTAAGAACGGTCTAGACTAGCCCTTCACAGATCCGGCCTCGATACCTGGATTAGGACCGATATTTAGGAAAGGAGGCCAAATCAAGCAGCCGTCTAGGGTTCGATGCCTAGTTGGAAGTGGCGGAAGATCAAATCGGTCTTTCAAGTAGAAATCGGCTGAAGCGAAGGGTTCAGGCACAATTTGTGCACAGGAAGAGAGCAGCAAGCGGAATGGCATTCCTTGTTTTTGGGGATCTGTGCATGCAAAAGTGAAAACAAGTTTATGTACGACGACTATGGCAGGTTTTTCAAATTTTGTGATATCAGATTATTCTTACTTTGAAGACTTGATTATCAGGCCGACCCTGATTGAGTTATCGAAGAAAAAAGAGAGAGGAGAAGAGGAATAGCTTACCCATATGGGCCCATTGCATATAATATTGTACATACTCTCAGTATGCAAATGTATTGTATCTGAATCCGAGTGTAACCACCAATATACGTGCATTATATGTGTAGGTAAGTACCAGACTTTGCGCATACTGCTGGTGTTTGCCGAGGCTGTCGATGCAATGCCCTCTCTCCATCTACCGAATAGAAGATGATGGCGTTACGTTCTCCGGTGCACATATCGGCTGGTTAGCCGTATACCTGAGTTGCAGAATCGGATGATTGGTTGCGAAGTTACAGAAGGTGGGACGAACTAGGCCAACTACCGGCCCGCCGTGTGGTGTCGTTTAATTTTGGAATTTGATTTGGTTGAAGTTTTCCATGTGAATTCAACATTGACATGGGATAAAAACTGCTTCCATTCTGAGGCTGTGATCTCTCCACAACGCATACTTCTACAGGTTCCCATTCTCCTATCTACATACATACATATCGTCCCATATCTCTTAATTGCCACAGCGGAAGCTAGTTAACGGCAAGCCCCCCTACATTAAGCCCAAGAAGTAGCTTAAGGCATTCTACAAGGGTAAGAGCAATCACATAACCCCCAAGTTCACCGGCCAGATGCATGCAAGTGGCTTCCCCGAACTGAACCGCCGCATGTACTATCTAGAACTCGTGAGACTACAATGGCAGGCAGGTTTCAACCGAAGGAACCAGTTCAATTGGACCCTCCAAAAGACGATATTATCACTACGGATTATCTTTCCAAGTGCGATGGTGAGTATTTTCAGCTTGCTGTTACCGGAATTAAACCATTCTCTGTTGTAACATTAAGAATACAGGCTGACCAAGTTGAAAACTTCCGCCTACTCTCGTTTGTTCAGGAACAAATGAGGGGTACCCTATCTATGTAGCTATTAAGGTAGTTCTACCAGCCATGCAATCGTTCGGTCCGTTCCCGTGAGTTAAGTCATCATGCAGGGCACGGTTTTCGACGTCACAAACAAGAAGGAGTCATATGGCCCAGGTGGGTCTTATCACAGTACGTTTTTCTTCTCCTTTCCAACTTTTTGTATTTTTAATTAGGTTTAGTCACAGCTAACGGGTAGTCTATCGATGCATCTACACCCATAGTCTTCACTGGCAAGGACGCTTCCCGTGGGCTGGGGAAATCTTCACTGAAACCTGAAGATGCCATCCCAGATTATTCTGGATTGAATGAATCGGAGATGGAGACTTTGGAGAATTGGTACACGTTCTTCAGCAACAGATATAACATTGTGGGCAAAGTCGGGAACTAAAACTAGCTAAGATATTGGATGTATATCGATATCGTGCATCCAAAGGATGTAACGGTGTCAATGGGAAAACCAGATGCCTCTTTCCTGAGTCTAGACTCGACATTTCATATCAATGGAACCCAGGAATATGTCATACCCCCATTCACTTACCCATGAGTTCTTTTTTTTGTGCTTCGACGTGCATGATAGCAGCAAACATTGGATTCGAAGCCAAGCCAGGCAACTTATCGAAGCTGAGTTTCATCCCATTAGCTACTTGTTAATGCACCTCGCTTCATCCCGGCTTCCGACCAACCTAGAACCCTCCCTAACTGAGACCGAAATTTACCTTAAGTAGAAATTAAATTGGATTAGTTACCCGAGGCCCTGGTTACGAGATCGCGACGTGAGCTGGCAAATCCGCATATACCCCACGGACTGTAGTATAGAGATTGCATTCGAGGTTGTGAGAGATGTATATGCAATTGATCGATCCATGCACAAGTACTAATATAATAATGCACATGATATAGTTCGTTTAGGTAGGGGCTCTTCCATACCTTTTACTTGGACTATGTAATCATCAACGTACTCTACCACTACAAATTGTTGACCAAAGCCAAAAAATATGTATATCAAAAAATAAAGAACAAAAAATGAGGGGTAGATTTCGAAATTTCATTTATTGGAATTGCAATTGTCTCGATCACCAGACGTTTATCGCCCATAGAGCGCGGTGTGGTTTGTAGCTATAACAAAAAAATACAACGGAACAACACGAAGGCACTACACTACATATATCAAACAATTGTACAAATTTCCATGCCTCCTCCTCCATAAGAAACAGCCCCCAGAATAATCTTGGTTTGTGATATGAGAGTGCGTTCGAAAGGGGGAGAAAAAAGTAGGAGAAAAGATAACTGCTTCGCATAGTGTAGTGCGCAGCTACTGGTGAAAATGAAAATAAAAATAGAGAAACTTTTAGGTCAGCATGAGGACCTAAAAAGGAGGCAAAGTAGGTGATTGCAAAAGTAAATTTAAGCAAGGAAATGTTTCCATCTATGAAGGAACAAGGTTGACAATGTTTACAAAACCTTTCTTTGGGTCGAATGACTAGCTTTTATTTTATGATTGGTGGTTCAATCCTTAGGTTTTGTGTATTGAAAACTTTTAGTCCTCTGCTGGGCCATTAACGGGTGGGCCACCGCAAGAAGGGCACAAGACTCCAATCTCGGAGACCCTTTCGCGATCTTGGTTCTGTACTCCAAAACATTGGTGGAACGGATCGTTCCTGGCGAAATGGCAGTATCTGACGATTCTGTTGACGGAATGCCCGCAGGCAGGAAAGTGAATCTTTTCGTACCAACACATGTCGAGGAAGGATACTATCGGTGATTAATATTATCTAGTATTAAATGAGTGCAGAGTATATGTTAGAAAGCGAAAATAATTGCCACATTCACTTTAAGTTACTTTGAAGTCTATTGCCACTGAGAGGAGGAGCTCTAGGACTATTGTGACTTACGGAGTTCTTTGAGCTAAGTGGTCAAGAATGGTTCTTGGAGATTTGCTTCTGGTTTAGGATATGGATATGCGACTATCCGATGCGTCTACAACGAACTCAGCTTTGGTAAAGCCCTAGGGCGGTTCCACAGCATATATGTATGTAGGAAACTAATTGTAGGGAAGGCCTGAAAGGGGGGTTGCCAACCTTTGACGAATTCAGAATTGGTTGAATTATGAATGATCTTTGTCAGACAATCGTACAATCTACCCTGGAAGTGGAATGAATAGTGGGAGTCAGATGACTCAAATGGATTATAACTTCAAGGATATTGATTAAGCTTGTGAAGAGGGAAGTTGCTGAGGACAAGAAGAAACTGGCCTCGTTGGAAGTAGCTATTTTATAGTCCAATATTCAAATAACTGGCATCAAGAAGGCCATAGTGATTCAGCTCGCATCACTGTCATAATTGTCTCATGGAAACATTAATTTCAATCGAATCGAAAGATGCGAGGTCTAGATTCGATTACAACGGCAACTTATCCAGCTCATGACTGGTTTCGCTGAAAATTTTATGATACCAACCTTCGAATCGTCAACCTTCAACTTCTATCACATTTTTTTGAAAAAAGGAATTTTATGGACGGTACATAGGTTAGGCGTGGATAACATATTCCCGATACATGGTGGCAGGTCCACAGGGGTATCGGGCTTGCCAGCTCGCACACCTCATCCCAACATTGATTCCTATACGTAGGAGAGAGAATGGACTGGGCGAATGTGTATACATGTATCTCATGTGTAACCCCCCACTCAATTGATCAAGCTTGCGTCGGAACAGGTAAGTACCCATATGCCTACTTACATATTTATAAAATGGGGGTCAAATTAATTCCGAGTACGGCGAAGGATGCATCGAAGTCGAAGGAACTTGCAGGCGGATGCAAGGCTGAAGCCAGCCGGGAGGCAGGGAGGCAGGGAGCACAGAAGCAAAGTGAAGTAACATGGAGCAATTTTATTCTCAACTTCAAGACCGACAAGCAAGTACCTAGAAAGAATCGATCATTAGATATCTATAAAGGCCCTTGAAACTGTATTGTAGCACCGGTTTTACAACTTATAAAGCGACCAGTGTGCTCTTTTATGCTGCACGAAAGTTCAGACGAAACGTTCGAAAACTAGCTTTTACTCCACGGAAAATTTACCCGTTAGATACTGGTTAAAACTTTTAAAGTTTCGACTAACTAGACGAACTCGAGCACTCGGTGCCAAAAAAAAACACTGTGTGTGAAATCAGAGCCAGCCCATCAAGGGTTTCGATTAGTCTCGGGTTTCGATATCGCAACTGCAATAACCGACCTGCTGCACATACTCCTGGCATATAGCCGCCATTTCAGATTAATACATTGATCGAAATTTCCAAGAAGAGAAATTTTTTCTTCAGCCGGCTGAGATTGTGACAGACCATACATTGGCTACGTTTGCCGGCGCGCTGTAGGTGGAGGGGTAACTACGAGCAAATCGGGACAAAAATGATGCTCGATAGGCACTCCGATGTGTATCCCAAGGCAATTTCCGGGCCTTAAGATAAAAGTGGTGTGCATATCCGTATGTGGATGGGGGACGTAAGGAATTCTGTAGCTTCAAAGGCGAACGGCAAGGAGGGCACGGGGGCAATAAACCAGATGTATGTATGTATCATGCAGTTATTCCATGAAACTAGAAACCTGCCAGACGCAACTGGATACTTAGTTATATTGACTGACTTAGACGAGTTTGAACGAAGTATAGGTTCCATATACACTCTCAATGGAGTGACAAAGCGAGTACCGTTTTCATCACTGATAGAAACTATTTACGTACATAAACCGTTCTAGATACGAATAAATTGGCCCCACTTCTGCATGCACCGCTGATGCAAGATATCTGTTACCAGAAACTTTCCCAGATTGTCCTCATGGAAGGTGGGCCTTGTCTCGAGCCTCAAGGGTGCGAATAAGAGACTTTTACGGAAACTCCATTCCACGCCAGGGCAGTTAAATCATGGCCGGTGGGAGAGCGGGACGGCAAACGGACCCGGAACCAGACCGTCTCGTAAAACGACATCTATTGGGATATTACCTTGCTTTCCAACCTCATGCAAGTTCTTGAAGTGGGATATGGCATGTCATCCTGTTAGCGAGTCCAACTTCAGGCACTATTGTTTCCGACCAAGGAAGTACAGGCCAAGCAGGGTCATGCGCATAAACAAAATCAAACCCAGACATTCCGAAGCAGCGAGACTTTGGAGGTTCTTTGCTTGAGGGCTAATTGCAACGCCGTATCAAACCTGACACGTTTGATTGGAGAATATCAAGGCTACGTATGGTTGGCGAGTGGGACAGCTTGCCACGAATCGGGTTCAATGTAGGTGAAGGCATCTTCTTGATGGGTATGGAAGATTCAATTCAACGGCGGTTCCTGATATACATTCTACTAGTGCATAATCAAAGATAGGCTCGGAATTTCTCCCACTATTAGGGTGTCGGGCTTCGTGAAATTGTGTGAGGTATAAAAACGGAAGACAGACAGAGGTCGACCAGCAATGTACAAACGGCAGAAAAAACGCCTTGCCCGGAAATGTATGGGTTTGCCTGAATCCCAGAAAATAAAAGGGAGAAAGGCGATGAGATAGACTGCAAGGAAAATGAAGTGAATCAAGGAAAGTAAACGTGGAAGGGATTACGATCCAGGGTTGGGGTTCATCTATACGAGGTGATTAGAGACTTCGATATATGACAGTTGGAAAGACTGCAATTTCTCACCTTTCTCTTTCCTCCAGTGAGGGTGACGTTAACGAAACGTCTGGTGTATAGTATTCTCTTCTTTGCACGTCCCTTTGGAGACTTCTTCTTTTCTTGCTTCTCGACCTATATTCCAAACCATCACCTGTCAGCCTGACCCGATCCATTTTCGAATAATTTTTGAATGACACAAGTAGATGTGCATTCGTTGTCGGTATTTCCTCCTCCTCCTTCTCCTCTTCCTCTAGCCAGGTCGTGATCGTACCTTCGGAGTCTGAGACTTGACTTTACCCGCACGGGCGAGAGAACCGTGGACCTTTCCCATATTGTCTGTGTAGCGTGGAGGCTGGTGTCGATATAGAGCCTAAGGCGTGTGTTCGAGGTAACAATAGTAGCTATAAAGCTTTCTTTCGTGATATCGCTGGGCGAGAGAAGAGGTTGTCGATGAGAAATATGTCAATGGGGGTTGAATATGCTAGGATGACTCCTCTGAAAACTCCCGCCACCACAACGCTATCTGACTCGAACTGGAGCGTTTGTCCTTCACGTGACTTGGGTTTGGAGCCCTAAGCTTCCGTGTTGATTGCACGTGATCTTAATGCTGTTTTTGTCGAAATCGCCTTGAGAATGTGTTGTGACGGACAAACAGCCAACACCTCGGCAGCTCGTGACGGATGATGTTGTGGTACGGACCGGATAAAGGGATGGTGATTTCCGACCATTCAGACGCTTCTCCAACTTGCGGCAACACTTCGTTCACCAACTTCCAGGTTTTTAGCTGTGCTCTCTCGATGGGTTTGCAGGGGAGGAAGGCGATATCTAGCAGATGGGAAATGGTATGGGATTCATGAGTTTGCCACCTCCTTGTCATATCTCTATGATGGACCCTTTCCCGTTCTCAATGTTGTACACTGTAAGTGTTTTCTCCTGCTCGACTAGGGAAATTGGCGATGCTAACGGATGGGTATTCGATTCTACAGCTTTTAAAGCAGTTGCCCGTGGCTCAGGCCCAGACTGGCCCATGAATAAAGAGTCTATGGAAACCTCAGAGAGCCCGGCTGAAAGAAAGGCTTGCTCCACGCGTATATATCGTCCAAAAAGATGGAAGAAGTTCGAACAAGTACGCAGGTACTTACTCAGGTGCTAGTACGTCTGCATCCAATTTTCATCTCGCGGGATTTCATCCGCATTATCAAGGCATAGCTAATTCAAAGCCTTAGCCATGTCCACCTAAAGACCAAGAGAGTCCAATGTATGCCTGGCTAGAACGAACCACGCTACATGTGTGAGGTTGTGATAGAAGTTCTGCTCTGTTGCATCACAGTAAAAAGCACTGTACTTTGTGAGATATTCGCATTACAGAGAAGCCTTTTTGGTTGGGGTTTGCCAGCTTCTGTCTTTGGCAAAGGGGCAGTTGGATTTGCCATGGCGCAAATGGCCTGGATTCGTACTAAGAAGCACTCGTGCATGCGTGTTCATAGGCCCTGGGACACCATTTTCACAACGGGAGGAATCCAGGTGTGACGCTATTCTCGATGATCGAAGTCTCCAGAACCGTCCGAATCGGCACGTTTGGTGCCGCATTATGCTACGCTGTGCCGCATCTACGCTTGAGCTGTCTATCTCCAGATCCGCAACACATGTTTGTCCCTGTCGACACCAGATGTATCTTGATGGTTGGGAAATTGGCGCCTTGCATCCCCGAATATTGAGCAGGGACTCCCTCCGATGACTCCTGGTGAGGACCGAGCAATTTCAATAATCCCGCCCTTCTGAAGCATGTTTGGTCGGGTTTTGCGCCCACCAATCACATCTTGTCAACTCCAAATCTGCCTGTCCCCTAAGGCACGGACCCGGTATGACCGCAAAGGGGATAGGGAGCTTGGGCAACAAGATGTGGTGGAGACCGTGCTCACAAAAGTGGGATGGTGTGGGTTGTGGAAGCTTCTACTAAGGAACCTGGAGGTACAGTTTCAAAAGCGGCAAACATGGAGCCAGACGTTATCCCATCCAGTCAAGACCACCGCCGCACAAGACTCTAGCAAGCATCGAATTTACGCCAAACTACTCTAGCCCATTGGATTCTGCTTGCCACCAAGCTGACAAAGAGGTCGGCACTTTCAGGCTGGGATCCAAACGACTGTTATTGAGACGGGCCGGGCTCGATAAAGGAGTGGCTCTAGCGGAGGGTCGTGTCGTGTCGCCACGGAGCCGCCACCACGAGCGAACTTAAAAACTTCTTGCCTTGTTGAAATACTCATGCCGGCTTACGGCAATCGAGCTTAAGGCCAGCAAATCTCTTTGGATTCCCATGCATTGACCGATTCAAGAAAACGAACGTTGAGTCGCACTAGCTATACCGCTCCATTCCACGGCATCTTTCACCGGGCCAGCTGAAATCCTAATATATCCCTCCAACCATAAAACAATCAACTCTCGAAAACCCGAATAAATTCCGTATTGCAAGCGAAGTTGAAAGGGCACACAGTTCTCGAACCGGGGGAAGGATTAATGGACGGCAATAATAACCTAGAGGCAGTGCCTGAGGACGATCTAGTGGTGATACCCCGCCCACAAAATCCCCAAGGACAAAACAACAAGCGGGCGTTCCAAAAAAGACGTCGAAGCAGGGCATGTGACGCCTGTAGGCTTCGAAAAACGAAGGTCAGTTGTTAGCAATAGATCAGAGCTCCTAACATTCGCGTTAGGATTAATTGTTAGTGTATAGTGTGATGCTCCCCCAGAAGGAACATGTTCCTCCTGCGCGTCCGCCTCGTTACTGTGCAAGTTTTCAGATCCTGAGAGCGAGAAGAAGAAAATCGGCCCGGCTAGGTAAGACTTTGGCACCTACCCCCAAGTGCTTGTTCCCTAGGAAATCCTTTTCCCTAAGTATCCGCTGTTTAGACGCCTTCGAATGCTAGAAACAACGGTCCAGGAGTTGAATGAGAAGTTGAAGATTGCGGAGGCGAAGCTACAATCTGGAGAACGCAGCAGTACCGACGCTAGCACCCCTGAAATTCCATCATCATCCTCTGAAATAGCCGTCACGACAACAAATCGACGAGCTGACAGTCCTTCTAATTCTAATTCCACAGCAACTGGGAATTCCCCAAGTGATCGATCTCCGAGGCTTTCCATATCCCAACCTCCCAGAAGGGTTTCCTACGACATCAGTACTAATGAAGATCTTTTTGTTGGCACCACCTCCGGTTTGGGGTTTCTTGCCTCGATTCAAGAATATGTAGAAAGACTAGGCTACGACACGACCTCACTTCTCGACGCTTGGAAGACCGCCGAGGCTAAAACATTTCCAACAAATCCGCCGATCTACAATGACGACTCACAGATGCGGGACCTTCGCGCCTTCTTGCCCCCGAAGCCTGTCGGGCAAAAACTACTCAGCATTTTTCACCATTCAACTGCGAGGTATTTGTTCTTCAGCAGTACCATCAAAAGCCAGAAATACCCTAATGTTGCTTGTAGAGTTGCTCCAATCTTTTATTGGCCGATAATTCTAACTAAATTCGAACGGGCTTATGAGGCTCCAATATACCCAAATGATCAATCAGCTGTTACCGGGGTATTTTGCGTTCTAATGGCAATATATGCCTACGCTAGCCTGTGCTCCGACGACTTGGATGCATTTGAGGCACCCATTTATAATTCAAGGCAGGTAGAATTCCTCCAATTCCTTTAGAGTTTAGCTAACTAGTAGTTCGATAGACGAGGTTGGCATTTCTATGAGTATGCAAAGAAGTTCCATGATTTGAGCCAGCCAATGTACTCGATAGCTGATGTCGAAGGTATGCTATTATATCCCTTTACCTTGAATTTTTATTAATCCCTGGTGAATTAGTATTGATGGTGATGGGAATGTATCTCGACCTCTCTGCTTTGCCCTCACCTGCATGGATGACGATAGGTTCGCTAGCAAGAGTTTGTCAAGACCTTGGCCTTCACAGGAAACCAGCAGAAGGGAAATTTACCCCTCCAGAATACGAACACCGCTCCCGCATGTTTTGGTGTGCTTTCCTCCTAGACAGAAAGCTCGCCTTGCAATTCGGCAGACCGCCCATACTAGACGAGGAAGAGATCGATATGGATGAACCTGGAATGAATGATACAAGCGATTTGATCCATTTGGCATTTGACGCTGCACCGAGGGGATCAAATACATTCGCTGGAAGTGCTCTTTTCCGACAGATGATCACCAATTCGAGGTACATCGACCCTATATTACGGCTAAACGCCGAACCAGGGAATGAACAACAGGTGGAGCATCGAATCTACGAAATTGAGCAGAAACTCGATGCTATCGAGGCAAGTTTCCCAGAAGGTATATTTGATTGGGAGAATTCCAAGCCGTTAGATCCGGTACTTGTAAAACGTAAGGGTTCCTCGAATTCTCACTCCTGGCTGCCTCCTTGCTGACTCGTTTCAGATGCCGTGTTGGCTATGGCAACTAGGCTTTCCATGTATCGGCACTTCACTGACGCCTCACTGGATCGTAAACTCAGAACTCGTTGTTTCATACGGTCCGTTGAAGTTGGAAAGTCTACAGTGCATCTTCTCAATCGAATGATGAAATACCCTGACTGGGAACACGGATTCCGGCTTTACCAGAGCGAGTTATGCTACCAACACACCTTCAAAGTATCAATTATTATCCTCCTAGCTTCAACAATATTTGCAAAACCGTTTCAAGTGGCCACTAGTGGCGAGCTAGACACTTGCTTGAAGGCTCTTCGGGCCGCCGCACCATCACGGCCAACAGTTCAACAGAGTCTTCATATGTTCGACGAAGTGGCCAAAATTTTGAAAAATGAATATAGAACTTCAGGCTACGTAAATCATATCGATGCTTCATCGTCCACAATGTCATTCAACAATCATTACAATCCACCTGCTACTTCCTTTGATATTTCCCTCAGCCCTACCAGCATTACTTCAAGTGCCCCCGGCCCTTCTATCCCCACCACCATATCTACGGACCACAAGTCGCTCTATATTGCTCCAATAGTCCCATCTAATGACCTTAGGGTCGATCCTCCGATTGTTCCAAAATTCTGGCCAAGCTATGAATCTTATGGGCGCGCAGGATTGGGGTTTAGCAACTTAAAGCTCCCTTCGCCGTCAGAACACTCAAACTGGCTAAATCACATAGACCCTTCCTATTGGACATTGATGGAGAATGTCCTGAGCCATGAAGCGAATATCCATGAACCAAAACGACAATGACATTTATTTTTCGCGTGGGCGGGCTCGGTTTCAAAACTTCAAATTCAGGTTCAAATCCAAATTCATATTCATATTCGACTTTCTTTGCCTTGTTTTATAGGGGCTCATATATTGGTTGCAAATTGATCATTTCCCCGGGTCTTTAGTTCTATCATTGGGTGCTCTAGTGCGTAAATTTTTCTGTTGTCTTCATCTAGCAAGATGAGTGGATAGCTGTTGCATCTTTCATTGTTACTGTCATTTTCATTTCATAACTGGCATAGTGCATGTTTACTGATATTTGGTCCTGCCACTTTTCCTTAATTATGTGTGTTTGAAGGGCAACAGAAGCACCCTCGCCTTTGGTAGGGAGGGGAGCCCGACGTGCCCTTTGCTTTACTTGGCTTTAGATTTGGATTCATGTAGAGTCGCAGATTTTCAAAGCTTAACAACTTTCGCAGGCTCAAAGCGAAGCTCGCCAAAGAGCCGTTTTCCAAACTGTCATCTATTTTTCTGTATGACTAACATACCCTTTTTCGTTTCACCAATGTGTACACAGACGTAGTCTGGGGGACGCCGTTGGGAAGGTACGACGGCCAGAGGGACTGAACAAGCGGAGGTTGCCGGTGTATTTCCCCAGTATGGGAGCCAGGACAGGTATCACTCTACCGAGCACACGATGCGAATCGAATTCAGAGACACGATGATAGCTTTGAATCAACCATCGTCATATTGCGAATTGAATACTCTATCTAAATTGCCACGCCAGCATTTCAACTGATGATAACAACGCTTGTAAATCGCATTGATCGATGCATTGGACACCTCCCCGACTTTCAGAATATATTAATAGATGATATCTTTGCCTAAAAAAAAAATTAAAAATTTGTTTGTGTTAAAATAAAACAAATGACGGGATCACGACGAAGACTTCCACGTAATACCACCGCCGTAGCTGCCTATATTGAGAACCCAGACAGAAAACAAAGAAATAATCTAGTTTTTCAAATTGGAACACGGATGCCTCATATAATCCACCGCATATCCGCAAGCCGAGACTGAGCCGTGAAACGCGTGAGCAACGCATGATCTACGAAGATTAACGTTAACCGGCACATTTCGCACCGTTAAAGGGACTCTGCAGGGTCCGGAATGGCTTTTCCGGCCAATCTTGTAAATGCCTTTTTTTTTCCTGAGGTGGAAGGTGTGACATCACCCTTGATGGAGATACAATCTTGCTCTAACTAACTAAGAACTGATTGAGCTATTGGAGGAAAAAGTTATCTATTCGTGACTTTGTCCAACCTTGTCAATACCGCAGTGGACTTGACCAACCGAAAATGTGAAAGTATGAGCATCTACGTCACTGAATTCCAATACAGACTTCTCCCGTCTTCTTTCTGGAGAATCCCCGCATCAGTGTGGACATATGAGGTCACCAGGACCTGGTCCAAGTCTCCTCTCGATCTAACACAAAAGTACAACATTTGCAACACATATTGGTTGATATTGGACATTACAGTTGTATATTGAGCGACCTCAGGGTTTTACCAAATGTCGTTTTTCATGAGCCAAAGGGAGTACCAGTGCAATTTTTATTCAAAGCAGTGGGGATTGATTATATTATACTGCAGTGTCATTCGTAGCTATGTCACTTGATTCGTTCATCATTCATATAGCTAGGTATATAGGCTATATGTATATGCATATAAAATTCCTAATTCAATATCAAGTAAATTTATGAATGGCATAGGTAAATTCTGGAAACATGGAAATATGTTTCATGCCACTCATATAATCTTTCAATCTGTCATCTCTCTGATGAGGCAGTACTGCAGTACAGTATCTCGAAAAAGAATATGCCGTCAATTTCAGATCTCAAGGCCTGGTTTGGGATCTTGCCATGAACCCTAAGGTACTAGAAAGACTGCCATAGCCGAAATGGAAATGGCTTAGACCGGAGTACTTACCTTGCGCAGCAGTACTATAAATATTCCAGGGCTTTTCGTGATTCAATGAATATATATATATATATAGTAGGGGCTTGGTAACGACAACGACTAGACAAGTTAGACCTATCAATTAATCGAATAATTTTATATAATGTTTGTAAAATATTCCCGAGGGCGACTTAATATTATAAAACATAACATTCGATAAAATTGAGCACGAGAAAGATTGATTTGACAGTGAAAACACCCAAATAGACAGCTATTCTGTGGTCTATTCAAAACCCCACTTTCTATATGCGGTTTCAAAAAGAAAAACACTCGGTGAAGCTGTCGGTGTCAAAACTGATTTTAGAAGGTACATCGATCTAGTTAGTATATATGTTAACTTGTTGTTCAACAAATAAAATACAACAGCGGAGATGGCCATGAGTCTAATATAGTCCTAGCATACTATATACCTCATCGATCGTTTATTCCACTCCACCAGAAGTACTTAAATATATACATACATCCAATAAGAACTCCTGTACATCGCGAAACCTATAAACTCGCATGTTATACACACCGGTAACACAGCCTTCGCTCGTGCTAGTTGTTTCTTGAAACATGCATGGCACACATGTTCCACAAAAAAAAAAAAAAAAAAAAAAAAGGAAATCCGGATTTCCGTTCCGTGCGAAAGATCTCCTATTCATGACACGCGAATACCTCATTTCGAAACAGATCATCCAGGCAACTCCACATGGAGCGAAAGCCCGGCATGCGATGTGCCCATTTCCACCTGCCGCATTGTTTTTGCCTCCCTGTGGAACAGCTCTTATGCGGCATTTTTGGGCCCTGATACACAATATCGGTACCTTGAGGTACTTCCTCCAACCATGATCCAATCAGATGCATTCGTCTCTTTTTCCCTTGAAATTCCCATCACATCTTTTTTTTTTTTTTTTTTGATACCTTCAGGCATGAATCTTGCCACGACAGCAGGCATCTGAATATTGGTTTACACCGAATTAAAAGGACGGAACCGGTACATGATGCATGACTTCGCACTTCTCATCAACTTACTCGTGCATAACCTCGACTCGAGCCCTCGCTCTCGAAATGTGATTTGGGTTTCTCCCGGAAATGGATGAGAGAAAGCACTAGAAAGTTTTGAACATACATGCTTAGGTTTGAAGAGTGAGCTGCAAGATTCCAGAGAGTACCGATAGATCTAGATAGAGAGAGATCGAGAGCAGCAAAAAAAAGCCTGGTTTCACGTATGCATCGGAGGAATTCAAGTTCTGTCGAAATTTCGGCTATCGTCACATACCAGACGGCTATCGTCACATACCAGACAGCTGCACACCCCTTGCATAATGGAAAGCTAGGCTTCCAATCACCTCTTCCTCCATCCGTTCGTATTGATAACCCAGAGGCTGCATTTGAAATAGTTCAACTATCTTCCTCCAGCCGTTTATAAAAAAAATAAAGAAACAAAAAACAAAAAAAAATTGAAAACTCTTCTTCTTTCCATACAATTGGCTCAAAGACGGCCTCGTAACCGCGCTCAAACACGTTGGCAAGTTGGTATGTATCGCACCGCTATATTTTTAGTGGTTTATACTCAATCTGGAGATTTACCTTAAGGCTTGGCTATTCCCCGACGGCATAGCCATATGGGCAAAGAAATGGTTCAATTTAAAGTTCTAGATTCATTGGACAGTTTCAAAAAGACGTTCTAACCGTTCTCCTCGGGATAAAATCTCTGGCTTGCGGCGATCCCGCTCGTTAGGGCCCTCGCCAATATACCCTGCATTTGATCGACCGATTGGCTTGGAATTCCTTGAGGCAAATTAAGCTTATTGACTCGTTGCCTACACATAAGGTCTAAAAGCCATGTGGTGGGAGGGTTCCTAGCTAACTGAGTAGCTAGCTTGCCGATAGCTTGTGCGGCGCCGGGCCTATTATTTTAGTGGCGAATACAATAAGTCACCTCGTCATGTCTGTGCAGGGGCACGCCGGCCTTCGACGAGTCGAACAGCTCTATTTGGCGTTCTCGCTGAGCGGCAGGCGTACGAACAATACGTATACTTGTGCATGGTCAATATTTCAGTAATCATAGATTTTCATATTTGCTTTGGCTAGTTTGTAAATCACATTCGAAGTGCCTTGGAACAAAAGTGGATATGCGAAGCAACAAGAGAAACACTAGACATTATTTCGCATAAGGAAACTGAAAGAAACTGGAAACTGAGTTGCTGAAAGATCGGAGCGTCGAACTTCCATATCTCGTCCCAAAGAAATATTTAATCAAAGCGCCATCTCAAAAAGTGAAACAAAGCAGAAAGATAGAAGGAAGCTGGCAAAATATTAAATAGATCGTAATCCCAACCGTGCTATGCTACAAGAATCGAAAAATGGTCCAGCTAGAGAGTGAGTGGACGAAGTGGGTATTGCCGATAATAGAACCCGAAAAAAAAAAAAAAACCGTTGTATATCCCGAAAATGCCGAAGGAAACGATCAGTTGTCGTCAGACGTGGTCAATCGCAGCCGTTATAAACGATTTAAAACCGTTGGTGTGAAAAAGAGGGAAAAAAAACAGGGACGAAGCGTGAATTGAGGGAAAAGAGAAGGGAGAAGAAAGGGGAAAGAAAAAAATTAGACCATTGAAGGTCGAATGAACGCGACTGAAGAGTTATCAATGCACTTCGCCCTGCTCAGGTGTGGTAGCTAAAGGACCTATAAAAACAGACCAGGTTAACGCTCGAGTTCAAACAGGTTACTCATAAAAATGGTTGGTACATACTCCATGGATTATTAATCCTCTGTTCAGCTGCAACTTTGTTCTCCATTGCTCTCTTCCATTCCCTCCACTCTGACGCGATATCGGTTAGGACAGATCCCATAACGCTTGCACTCGCCATCAACCCATGTCCCTCGCCCTGCAAGACGTTAACATCGCACCTCCTCATAGTTTGGCCTAACCATTTGACGTTCTCAACAGGGACTCTCGTGTCCTTAGTTCCATGGTGAATAACGACTGGGCGGTTGATATCCACATATCTAAACCCGATAGGACGGGAACGCTCAAGGCAGACGAGCAGATCAACAGCAGGGTTCGCATTTCGAGTAGCAAGGCTCCAAATTTGATGGGTAAGGCGTTCATCGTAGCTATGCTGTCGTTCCTTTTCCGCAGCGCTATCGAGAGCCGCGGCAATGATTGCATCGGTACTGTTGATTGCATCTTGCTCCATAACCGAAGTAATGGTAGGAGAGCGGGGCTCATAAGACATTCGGGAACCAAGGGTAGTAGAAGCCACACCAGTAGATGTTATTGAGTGACGCTTTGTGCTGTTAGCACCAGTTGCTCCACTGCTAGGGCTACCTAGGAGTTTCCCTTTGTCTCCGCTTGTTCTATTCTTTTTCTTGTTTTGAGTTTTGGGTAGCGATGTAGTGAGTGATGCGCTTGTAGCGGACATGAATGAAGAGTTTGCGGCTTTAAGGAATGGGGTCGGTAACGCTCTTAGAATACGTTGCGAGGCAGGCACAGCCGCTGGCGATGGTGCGCCTTGTGATGTCGAGATAGTTTCGAGCTGCGAAGGCGGGATCCATGGGGCTAAAAGATGGATCTTTCCGCGAATATGACCTGGCATACGAAGAGCCGTAGCCAAGGCATAAATTGCGCCTGCAGAGTGCGCCAGAAGGGAAAACTTTGTGATCTTAAGCGACTGACAAATATACAGGATGTCATCTAGAGAAAACGTTAGTAACAAGCCTATAACCAAAATAATATGAAAAAGAATATGTACCTGGCCAGCTCAGGACTGTCCTCTCGGATTCCGGAATGGCATCGCTCTCGCCTACACCGGGCCTATCAGGAGTAATCAATCTAAGACCCAGGCTCAAGGCAAGTTCATCGTAGAAAGCCGTAACATATCTTGTCAGGCCCATACCAACACAGATGAACACGGCATATCCGTTCGGGTCTCCGACTTCGCTGAACGATATTGTTCGTCCGGATGTGGGAAACCGGAGCTTCTGGGATAACCGTGGCGAACACAAATAGGCTTCGACAGCATCGTCAATCGAGTCAGCATTAGAAGCTCTATCATCCAACCCAGCGAGAGGCTGTTGAGACAATGTAGGAGGCGAAGAACGTCTCCGTAATCTACCACTGGACGAACGTCGATGGCTAGTAACTGGCGGGTGCGAAGTGCTATGCGGAAGAGAACTCTGTCGTTTCAAAGAAGTGCTGGTGGTACTAGTACTAGCATGCGGTGCATGTTTCGGCTGTGTGGGGCTCGTAGGAGTGGAAAGAGCTGTGGCGAACTGTAAACCAGCAGAGGCGGCTGTCGAAGATGCAAGTGCGGAATGGCGTCTTGGGTCGCGTTTAGATTTCATTCTGTCAGGGGAAGTTACAGATTTGCCATAGCTGGACCTGCGTTCAGGTACCGACAGTGCGGCTGCAGCATTAATCGCTGGAGCAGCTAGGGCTTCCATGGTCGTTGTTGGAGTCTTAAAAGTCTGGAGTTGATGGGATTCCGCGTTTTGAAGGCGTATATCTTCGGTACTGCTCATGCGCAAGATTGCTTTTGGGGGTTGGGGAACGCTCGCTCGAATCTTCTCTTCACTGCTCCTTCGGGAAAACGACTGTATATAATTCGGAACATCGGTAGTGAAGCTAGATCGTTTGCCCAAAAAGCTATCCCTGGAGGACTTTTGAGAAGAGCCACTAGCGCTCTGTCGTTTGCTAGTTCTGACAACTGGGGGTGTCGCAGCGTCTTCTGGATGTAGGAGGTGATAGTCTCGAACTGGCGAGTTAGAAGTTGTATAGGCTGCGCCGTCCTTACCAGGCACTAAATCGGCACTAGGTCCATCAAAGAAAAGGGTGTGCTGAGGAGAAGGGGCTATTTTCGCCAATGACTCGACAAGAGATGCCATTATCTCCGGGTCTGCAGACAGCTGGGCTGTATTCAGTGGGGAGGGGGCAGACTTTCGGCGAGGGTTTGAAGAGCGGGATGACTTGCTGTTACTTGCGCCAGCTCCACCAGATCCATTACGGGGAATGTTGTTGGGGTGGAGATTCTGGCGATACATCGATGTTGATGTGGTCGCCATCGCGGGCGGCTATCTTTTGTTCTGGCCGGAGAAAGGAGTGCAGGTGATGCAATGCGGTGGGCTATGCAAATTTACCTAGTTTGCTCGGTTGTACCCAATAAACCTACGCTATGTTCCAGCGCATGGATATTGACTAGGCGGTTGTTTGTGTGAATGTTGTCGACTTATGCAAGGCACCGCACAATTAATCTCATGAGACTATCCGTGCTGCGGTGGAAGGTGGAGTGAGAAACTTCGAAGACTGTTGTGAGTTAAAAAAACAAGCTTGTACTTCAGGCTGTGTGGATGATTTAGATGAATTGACATATGCAGGCGGTCACAACTGAGCTGCGTGTGAAAAAGGAGGAAAAGGAGTAAGTCTCGATTCCTTTTGCGTTTGGGAAACTGCAACTAGGGATGCAGGAGCGGATGTAGATGCCAACAGCAAGAATGTGAGATTAGAAAAACTCTTCTCTCTCTCTTTTGAAGGAAAAGAAGATAGAAAAGAAACTAAAAAGGCTCAAGCCGCAGCCGTGGGATAGGTATTTTATTCTTGTTGGTTTTCCCAGGATCTGGGGAATAATATTATTATTAGAGGACCTTTGTGCGATGATTCGCGGCGGGTTAGCTTCCTTGGTCCTGGTCTGGGATAGAAGTATCACCAGAGAGAGAAAAAGGAAAGTGGAAAAGGAGGTGGGAAGCTTCATCAGCGAGGACAAACCTTTTTTTTTCAAAACGGCACAAAAGTGTTCGATGGGATATGATATCAATTAGCGAGGGGTCTATCCGAACGCAAATTCCTCAGGTTTCTCCCCGAAGCTTGAGAGCGGGAGAGAAGTGCAGGATCCCTGGCCACCAATCTGAACAGACGCTGTGAAGCCTGCTGAATCCAAAACCGTGAGATACTTTTTCTTTTCTTTCCGAAAATGACTTTTTGTGATGCGGCTTAACCGACACAGTAGTGTCGTAGCGATCGTTCAAGGTTTTCCGGAATCGTAGAGTACTAGAATCAGGGGGGATACGCTCGTAGCAAAATCAAATCGATTGTCGTCGTCGCTGGTGATAATGGGAAGCAGGCAAAAAACTTGGGCCACCCAGGAATTCGGTTGCCCTCGATCTCGTCCCTGTTGGTGGGTTTAATCACTCAGAATCCTTGTCTGCAAGGTCCAGGGGCTACTGCCCCACCCCGTGCACGTCCAGCTCGCGAATCAGACGCAAGAGATGAAATTTGCTTTACCACAATGGTTAGATCTTATCGTTATCAGGCGTGACAACCAATTGGGGACCAGTCCGTCGAACTGATCCATGGCGGCCAGCTCACATGGCTACAAGGGAGGTGTCGAGATTGAATCTTCTTCCCCGGTTTCGAAGCCCAATTCAAATGCAATGATCGGGTGCCTGCGCAGGCGAACTGCAAACTTTGCCCGGCACCGGCCGCGACCTACATAGGAGCAGAGCATCAATTCGCAGTTGAGTCCAGCGTGTTAATCATTAATCAAGTCGCATATATACTTCGCATTGTGGCATGTTGGCTGCATCTGATCCCGTTCGCTTGGACACAGACAGCGCTGATCTGACCATGACTTCATTTATCGCTTTCATCATGGAAACCAAATCAGCATTGAATTCATTAGCTTGAGAGCGGTGGGGCCAATAGGAAGCAAATACATGGTACGGATTATATGTACACGGTAGCTTCCCATGATGGCTCTTTTAAATTGCATTGCTCCCTTCGGCATTAACACCGGTACTAAGATTAGCATGGGAGCAAAATCGTCAAGGGTCCCGAACGAATGACAGGTGCTTACTTGCGTATGCTAAGACGTTCCCAATCTATTGGAATTAAACCTCTCAAGAAGCGGGGCTGGGTCCGCCTTGGAGGGCTATAAGAGTGTCTGGATGGAAATGTCAATTATGTCAGTTTTCGTGAGAATTGGGGTTTGTTCTATATTCAGGACTCAAAATGATTCGGATTGCTCTCAGAGGAATATTCTCGATGCATGCATGCATTGAGTAAGTGTATTGTACATACATGTCATAAACATGTATGAGGTATGATGTATGCGTGTGGCTTGTCTCGAGGAGGCTGGTATGAACGTATCGAACCTCTTGACAACACAAGATTGGGCTAATATTGGTCTTGGTGTTTCATAGCAAAACTGTCCTTCATGAGTTCACCAAGTCAGTCCCTGTAGGTACATCCAAGCAGGTACCTCCCTCCTATGATGAAGTGATTTTTGTAGGTAGTGTGTACTGGATTTGAATAAACTTCAGGTACTTAAGTACTTACGATGTAAAAACTGGTAGTATAATATATTACGTAGCTGACTTAGCCGGCCAAGGATTTCACCACCACCACCACACCACTACCACTATTACATTCAGCACCAAGCTGTCTAATACAATTGCAATCTCGCTTGGGGGCCGTTATATTTGTAGCGACGGTTATCTGCATATTAATATTGTGGATGCTTAAATTAAATTTGCTGCTCTAACTCGACAATCCATTTTGTATCAGCCCTCAAGAGGATTGAATGCGGCCATGCTTCATACTTACTGAGCTTAGCAACCTATTCAGATCTGCAGAGGGAAATAGATAATTCATTGGGGAGAATGAGTGAAAAGTATGCATGCGGGATACGGTGCAACTTCGGCCTGTCAAAACTTTCACGTAGCATACTATTAATCATACGGTTGCAGTGCACTAGCCCTTGCTTCAGTTTGTTTCCACTGTCTCACGCGGCGAACCTGTGGTATATGGTAAATAAGATATGCATATGTCCACAGGGCTCAATTAGCTGTCTTCTAGAGCTATAGTACTAGTTACGAGAATACTTAAAGGGCAGGAGGAATATAAATCTAGTTAATTATATCTTGAGTCGCGTTCATACCCGAGTGCTTAGGCACCTACCCTAATGGAACTAAGCTTATAAGGCTCACTTGGTATTCTATTAAGGAGTTCTTACCAAGGCGTATCAAGCACTTGACACAATACCCATTGTCTACTGGGCTGCCTATGACTTACTATCGAAGATGCTTCCGGGAATACCGGAATCTGCGGCTCATGCGTCAGAGACTATGATATCACGAGACAGCGCAGCATACTTGTCTGGGTACGAGACAAGCAGCATACGTATATACACGTAGTCGGCCCGTTCCGACAACCGCAGCCAATTCGGAATATGCCATTAATCGAGTCCCAAAAAGGCTCGAAAAGTGTGAAAAGAACTTCAATTGAATCCCACCAAGACCCAGGACGGGCCCATACCCATAGTATAGTGATCCCTTTTTATTTTATTTTACTTTATTTTGTTTTTTGTTTTAAGCTTTTTGCTTTGGTAATGATGAAGCTCACCTACTATATACTAGTCCGGTGGTCGCTCCGTAGTGTTCGCAGCTCTAGATCTTCTTCTGGATCCGTAGATTTCCTCTGCAAGAAACGTTCCCGATACGATTCGATCCTTTAGTAAGCGCGGAAAAGACTTCATTGATGCAGATGCATGCTCCCGTTGATTCCGATCGTAACACACCCTCCTTACCTTAGCTTAGCTAGGCTAACCAGCCTCTTCCGTAGAGTCCCTTCAAGCCAATCCCTTGCCTTGGCCAACGCCGGCTTCCCTGGTTAGCCTACCAGATTTTTCCAGACAAGGCAAGAGTGATGGCTCAGGTTGAATCGTGGATGGTTCTCCCAATGTTTCCGCCGCGTAATTGGGGAGTACACCTCGGGGCGCTCCGTTCTCGCCGAATCTATGCCTGCCAAATCGATCCTCGAATGTAAACTAGATTAACCTTAGAATCGAGTTAGTGTCATGTTAGTTTTTGTCCGGTGTCATGCCTTCTCTCTGCTGGTTAGAGAGTGCAAGTGATATGTCGTACTTATATAATAGTTCACATACCAATGACGATTTGCTGAAATGTCAAAATATTCTACCGCTCATCTTTGCTCTTATCACCACCGCCACTCTTTATTTGAAGAATTGTATCGCCATATAACATATCTTTCTTTCTTTCCTTTTTTCCTTTCCTTTTGCTTCCATTTGCACTTTTATACTACCTATATATCTGTCAATTAAAATTTTTGTATACCTTAAGCTTCGTTACGTTTCCAACATTCAACGGATCGTACGGTTGAGGATCAACTGGGTAACTCGGATACCCTGCGGACCGCAACGCACGATATCACCCAAAAACAACACAAAAAACAATAAAACGCCGGATATATATAGCCGTCTGGCTGCCTAGGAAATCGGGGCAGAGGAACAGTCTAGATCTTCGAGGCTTCATAAACGGCACCATGAGAAAAAATACTATGCTTCTTACAAACTTGGCAATTTTTCCATTGGTAGTGGTCGCAACCTCTGATATCGTCGCCCGAAGTGTCCCAGGGGATCGTGTTCTAGCACTCAATTTCAACAAGCAGAAATATCAGGGTAACGGACATTATTCTAGTCGGTTGGGAAAGAGGACCGTTGAATCGGTAATAAACAATGAGGTATACATTAAAGCACCTTTAATTTATACATTGGGTCAAGAGTAACGATCTAACAGTGCTTTCGAATGTGTAGTATCTAGGTTACTACATCGATGTCGAGGTCGGCACCCCGCCCCAGAAAATACGGCTTGTTTTAGATACTGGTAGTAGCGATGTCTGGATACCATCGACCAGCTCGAAGCTCTGTCGTAGTAGGAAAAACCCATGCACCCAAGGCGCCTGTAAGTCTATATATATAACCCGGTCAACAATTCTCATCGCATCAAACTGGTTACTAATTCCGGATCGAATGAGCTAGATGACCCTGCACTATCCACCTCTCGGAAGGTCGTCTCTGGGGGTGCCTTTAAAATCGCTTATTTGGACGGAACTCAGGCCAGGGGTGACTTTGTAACCGAGAAGTTTTCGTTCGCAAATCATACCATACCTGATCTCCAAATCGGTATTGGGTATGAGATCAATGATTCCGCCGGAGTTATGGGCATCGGATTCCCTGCGAATACGGCAGCTGAAGTCGCCTATCCGGGTTTCGTCGAAGGTCTCGTTTCGCACGGTTTTATAAATTCGCATGCGTACAGTCTCTACCTCAACGATCAAGAGTCCGATACAGGCTCCATTCTCTTCGGCGGCATCGATACCAAAAAATATACGGGAGAATTACGCAGTCTCCCTATTTTAATCGGAGATGATGAACTTGTACCCACACAGTTCCTTGTAGACCTCAGTTCCATTGGTTTCGTGGGGAAAAATGGGACGGAAAAACCAGTATCTACCGAAAAATTACAAGTGGTCCTCGACAGTGGTTCCTCCTTAACGTACCTCCCGAACTCCACTATTGGACCAATCATCAAGGAAGTCGGTGGTTATTGGCAACGTGACGCGGGAGCGTACGTAGTCCCATGTTCCCTCAGCAATAACTACGAGGAGTTTGTAACCTTTCAATTCGGAGAACCCCTTGGCCCTAAAATTAAAGTTCCGTTAGAGGAGCTTACAAATTTCGCCATCGACGTCAAAGGAGACCTTATCCCTGATGAGGATGGAAACCCGATATGCTACTTTGGGATCCAACCTCAGCCTAAGGATGAGGACGATATTTACATTTTCGGAGATACCTTCCTAAGGAGCGCTTATGTGGTGTACGATCTTGACGGCCAGGAGATCTGGATGGCACAAACTGTATACAATGCTACGGAAAGTAATATTCTCGAAATTAGGAATAGTACAAAGACGAAGAGCGGGGTTCCAAGCGTTAAAGGTGTTGAGGATGAGCCTAAATTTACACCAACAACCGCCGAGGCCAAGGAAACAATTCGTCCAAATATGGGACTGCGAGTGCAGGCTAGCGGAATGTTTAGTTTTGCTATTGGAATTGTTGGATGCATCATGGGGGCTATGGTCTAAACTAAGACCCTGATTGCTACATCAACCTCTCTTTCCGCGAGACAAAGCTGTTTCTCGCATGCACCTGTTCAGAGGTAATTACTAATTCTAATTTCTGATCCTCGACTTCCCTATGCTTTTTCATCTTCTACCACTCAAAAGTATAATCCTTTGTATAAGTACATTGTATACTAGCATTTTTGTACAACAGTTTATTATTGGTATGCAGCACTAATTGTTTGTGGGGGTACCTGGTGTTTATGCTTCGAATTAATTTTACTTATTTTAAATGTATATATATATCACTCGAATAAAAGCGTTATCCGCATGGGTTTTCTCCTGGAAAGTTGAAAATATATGGACCTAGAGGTTTTGGATCAATTGATATCGCCATCGATCGATCGACTATGAAATTAGTTTAGAAAAGATTCAGTCTCGACACTAAACCAGCTTAGCTCAGAGAGGTCAAGAAAATACGGGTATGTAGGTCTCGCAAGGAGAAAAGGAAGAACGATATGAATACAATTTAAAACGCCTGACCATGGGTTCGCCCTGGAGTCAGCCTTCGACGCAAGACCGTTATTTTCCACGTTGCATTTGCATAAAGGTACAGGGCATTGGCGGCATATGCCGAGGCGGGTGGTCGAGCCCAGACTGAACTAATATTCTACCATTTGTAGATGGCCAACAAAAATTACATAAGTACATACTTAAGTAACTTTTACTGTTTTCTCAGCTTTGCCAAGGCTGCCATAACTCCATCTTCAGTCGTCGTCGTCGTCGTCGTCGTAGTAGATGGCGCGGCCTTCTGTTTGGCCGCACTAGCCGTATCAATATTTCCATCCTGTGGCATTTTCCTTCTCCTCTCTTCTTCCTCCATCTCGATCATTGCCTGCACCTCATCCTCATCCAACTCTATCGTTTCCACTGCTTCGTTTTGCTTTACCCTAGCTGGCCCTGCAATTCCCAACCGTCTATTCAACGCCAATCTCTCCTCATCACTCATCGGATTCAACGGCACTATTGTTTCACTTTCAGCTTCATCCCTCTTTTTGAGCAAAGCCCCGCCAACTCTAAAATTTTCCCTGACCGCCGTACACCACCTCCGCGTCTTCTTCTCCCCCCAACCAGGGATCAACTCCACCTGCTGCTCACTAGCATTTACTGCTGCCCTCATACTCCCAAACATCATAATCAATCCTAATGCATCGGTCTTATTCACCCCTTTAACCGAAGTGATCACATCCTCGACTCGACCCATATAATCCTCCTTCTGGCGTTCTTTAATCATCGTTGCCGGCGTATTTTCCAACGCCTTATAAAGTTCCACGTACCGCCCCGCTTCTGCGGGGCTCCATGCTAACATTATAGTTAGACTGTGGATTATTCCTGCTTTGGTAAGTTCTTTTAGAGGGTCGCTGTGTTGTTCCGTATCAACTAAGACGAGAACTACGCGAAGGGTGTAGGCTTGCCCGAGGGATTTGATACGGGTATAGATGTATTCTGGGTGAAGGCGGTGATATTTGAGAGAGAGGAAAAGCATAGCAGTCCTTGGGTTTGGAAGGTAATCTGCTGGTATGTCACCATATTCCCATGGTGTATTTTTGATATATGGTAGGAGAGGATTTCCTTTCTACAATATATTTTTGTAATTTTCTGGCGTATTAGTGAAGATATCTAATATCTAATTACTTTATCACCTCCGCTGGGAGTATTTACCTGGCGAGTATTGGCTACGATAGAGCTCGGACCAGTAGCTTTTTGAATTTTGCGAGGCACTGGTTGGACGACTGGTTGCTTTGATGATCCTGCTGTTGTTGCCGTTGCAGTATTTGTCTTAGAGGCTAGATGAGCCTTTTCAGTGGCATCTACTATCGCAGCAAAGGCTGCATCATCGATATCTCCGTAGTCGTCATCCATGGTAAAGTATTTAGAAGTGGCTGGGTGTATTAGCGACCCATTGATCGCGATAACCTTGAATCTAGGCACTTGAGGTAGCTAGAATAATCGTGGAGAGTTCTAAGCTACAATGTTGTCGTTATGCATGGTGGTTAAAGACTTAAAGTTGGGAGAACGCGGGCGAAGGCGTTGCGGGTGTGGTCGCAACGCGCCTCACGTGACACAAGCATTATTACCGTGGCGCATTATATCGCTTTGGATGGTCTTAACGTCAGTTCCACTGCATTGCGTAACGTCTGGCTAGCGTCTGATTACTTCACTTATGAGGTATGTACGGCTTAATGTTGATTATGTTCTTTGGATTGTTCATTACAAGTACGCCCGGTGGGCGTTCCTTTTTCTTCTTCATCAAGTTACAGTTAGGTTTCTCATTTGACCTGGTATCCTGTCTCTCTCTCATCTGGGGGGAGCTGTAAGTCTTTCATGAAAAAAAAATAAAAAAAGTAAAAAAAAGTAGTAAGTGGTAGAGCAAGTAAAAAACGGAAGCAGCAGCCCAGGAAAAAGAGATGATCATACAATGGAAATAAAAACGGAGAGAGAGAAAACAAGCCCGTTAAGCACTAAAATAGTATGTAACACTGAAGGAGATGGAGTGTGGTGTATCGGAGAAGTATAAAAAAAGCCTTCAGGATGTTCCAATTAGTTCCCCAGTCCACTGTATCATCCCATCTCAGCTCCTCCTCATCAATTCTTTACCCAGTTAACCCAGCTAGCGGTTTTAGCCTGCCGAATAGGTCGTGTGTCGATAAGACGAAGAAAAAGGGATCCGAGTTCGAATAAAGTTGCAGACCGGTTCACAAATGAAACATCCTTAAAGGTTTTTTAAGGTACGGAATTGAGAGAAGTATGGAGAGACGGCAAAAGTCTGCGGAGGGATATATTGACTTATGACGTTTTTGTGGGACACGGGAGTGGTTTAAAAAAGAGAATCGCTTATAGGTTCGTTCATTTCAGTCTCCAAAAGCAAGGTACAAACATCTACCACTTCATGAGGTGAGGTCTGTCACCCTTGCTTAAGCTGAAGGTGGACTTCAAGTACGAAGTAAGCTGTGGGGTTTGCTTGATGACTGAAAGGAGAGCCTTGTCAACCTCCGACTGGTCGGCGCTTCGGTTCTCTGGAAGAGTCTTCTTCTATAAATTTGAATTGATGGTTAGTTTCCAATATTACTGTATTTTGACTATAAAAAGCCCAGCCTTGTTTTTGATGCTTACCTCGCTGGCAGCCTTAGCAGCATCGAAGAATTCCTCCTCTCCGCTCTTCTTGGATTCCTCCTTAGCGAAGTACTTGTCATCAAACTTGACCAAATCTAAGCTTGGGAGTTCAATCTTTGTGCTGGTAGCAATGACATAACGAGCATTGACGCGGCGGATTGGGACACCATTAAGCTTGAATGGACCGGTGACAAGGAGAACACCATCCTCAAGTGGCTTAAGGTAGACGACACGCTTGCCTCGGAAACGTCCGGCGAGGATTATGAGAACGGTTCCTGGGACAAGGGACTCCCTCAGCTTGGCTGGGTGCTGGGTCTTGCGAGCCTGTGATATCGAAAAATCCAACTTATTAGTCCTCTGAAAACCCCAAATTTTGTGTATTGATGATTGCCACGGTGTTCCGTCATATGTCGGCGCTCTCATTGCTTCCAGTCCCTCCAGTTTCTCTATATCCATCATAACCAACCATGTCACCGATAGTGACACCGTCGTCGTCGTAGCCTTCGCCATCACCAAAAAATATCATTTGTCCAATATCATCCACCGATTCACCGTAGCAATCATCACATAATCTTTGATCTTAGAATAATCAACCCACCTTCTTTGGCTGTGAAACGTCCGTTGTAGGGTACCACTTCGAAGCCTTGTTGGCAGGAATTTCCCGGGAACCGGAGCCGAAGGTCTTTGTCGTCGACATGTCGAATATGTAGATATAATTAAGGTAGGAAGAGTCGTTAAAGAAAGGTCGAGGTGCCGGATAACTCGATCGAGGTGCGAAGGTGATGTCGGTCGGGGATAGGAAATGGGTATGGGATCTCGTTTTCGTGGTGTTGCTTCTCTCTGGTCGTCGGTTCAGAGGCGATAATTGGTGGTGCGGTCCTTGCCAGTGCGCTAACCGCAAAGGGAGTCTTCACCAAAAGGCCAAATGCAGGATGAGGGCTTAGGGCTAGAAAATTTCACACAACAGCCAAACACGGTCTCTGATTGGTTGAATCGAGCGAACACACAACACAACAACACACGCAGGAACACATATGCACCGCCACATATGGTCAGAATATATCTTCGCCACAGTGGCTAGCCACCGTAAATCCCATACTCACAACATATAACTGCGGCGACAACATGCAACATGAACGTCATGAACCTTGTGTCTACGTATATACGTAGCCTCGAGTCTATATAGATCTAGATGAATGTACATATACCTTATAATCAACATGCAACCGCGGGAGAAATCTATTTAGCGTTCCTCTCCTCCTCGGTAAATTTGATATCTGGATTACCTGGCAACAGGTATTTTATATCGTTCGCAACCTGATCAAATTTTCCAAGTTGTAGCTGCTTCAGCATTAACTGCGCATCTATCCATTTCCCCCTGCCAGGATTCGGATCACCCGCACGATTAGAATAATAGTTGTGGATCTCGGCATACTGAGCTGGGTGCAATCGCTGGGGTTTGTCCTCTGCGGTGGTCGGGAAGCTCCATTCTGGTTCTCTCTCAACACCATCAACTTCAGCTGTCTCCTGCAGTAACAGGTCGTCTTCTGTGACCAGTTTTTCATCTTGCTTCCTAAAATACGGGTTGGCGGGGTAGTCATCATCCCCTTCTAGATCGCCCGCTATCTTATCCCCAAATTGGCGCAATCGTGCCATATCCCTCACGGTATTAAAATCAACTAAATATTCATCCGTCTCTCCAAGCCCACTGAAAAGATTCCCATTGAAGTTATCTGACCAAATTCCAGTCTCAAATCTGTCTTCTTCAATTTCCATGCCATATCCATTTGCATCCGTGTTTGGCTCTGGCTCGGGTTCTAGCCGGTCAACTAGGCTTTCTATGTCATCGTAGATGTCGGGAATAGTGGCTTCGTCAAAATTTTCATCCTCTGCGCCAAAAATTTCTGACATTCCGGTGAAAAAGCGCGCGAGAGGTCCCCCGGTGCCTGGGATATTGGTATTTTCAGGCTGGAAATTTCCCGGCCCAAAGCTCGGGGCCCTCACAGCCATCGGCCCTCCCGGCTGCTCTTGAGCCTGGATAGATTCGTCATACGGGCCTCCCTGATCATGAGTATATGGAACAAGAGACTCATCCCAATTTTCTTGCTGTATTTCATTGGACACTGGAATGGATGGAATTTCGGATTCCGTTCCACCAAATCGTGGAGACATCCCCGTCTCTTCTTGCCCCTCTGGCTCTCCGCCTGGTCTGAAAAAGAAAGTATGGTCTAGATTTGATAGCTCGGCTGGATCGAAGTCTTCGATCGGGATGATAATGTTGGGATTAGGATTATCGGGATATCTATTGCCAGGCATGTCTTCCATAAGAAGTGGCTGCTCTAAATATACGTCCGGTTCATTTGGGTTACTTCTGGGGGTAACGAAGTTCTTATAGACTCGAAAGACGACCTCTATACAACCTATAACGTTTCGTCTTCTTCCAGGTTTGTTGCCAGAATATGCTTCCAGATACGATGCCCTAAAATCAGGATGATATGTACCGTCGTCGTAAGAACGTCTTGTCATCTTTTGGAAGCAGACTACTTAACTGTTAGACCTGAACACCTCGGTATATGTCTCGCGTATAGTCGCCGTCTCAACAAAGAATAAAAGGCCATAATACCTTGGATATGTGTTCTTGCCCCATCGATAACCAGAAAGTCACCTTCTTGCAATGCATCATGATCATACGCCTCTTCGTGGTCTGTAGTCACTTCTTTGACTAGAAATTCGCCAATGTACTTTTTCATTGTTGTATGTTCCAACGGCATCCCCAGAGAAGGAACACTGTCGAAAGGGACTTTCGGGTACAGATCCGGGAAGGTGGGATGTAGGGCATTTGCTATGTATACTGGTTTTGTAAAATCTCCAACTTCCTCGGCTTCACCTTCAACCGGGCGGTACACTTTCCACCTAATGATAATATTGGTTAACGTAGAACTTATCCAAAAACGAATTCATACCCTTAAATTTACAATTAATACCTACTTCAGTTCCGCATGTTTCACCAACTTCTCCTTGTCCCGAAAGGCCCTCCCCATGGCCAAGAAGTTTCTAGGGTCGCGTCCAGCATATACCTTTTCAATTTTTGGTGGATGGGTTGCCACGGACGCAAAAGAGCGATGTGTGATATCATGAATATCAATTTTTTTGGGGTCGGTAGTTGCATGGATTGTCCAAGAGCTAGAGCCCTCCGAGAAGGTGGCACCGAAGGAGCAGAACGACTCATGCAAAGAGGTGTACTCTTCTGTCGAAAATTCAAAACCTCGGACACAGTCTCGCCATTCAGTTAGAGTTATAGGTTGAAATGACGTGGAAGCCGTTACTAGCATGATGATCTAATTTAGTATGATGTTATAATTCCGTCGTTTATGACTATGGGAATTAGAGGCTAGGTATACGCACCAAATTCATCAACATCTAGATTGTATTCTCCGGGTAGAGAAACTGCTTTTATCCAAAAGAATCCTTCGGCAGGCTGTAAATACCGGAAGAAGGTAATGGCCAGGAGGAGGCCTGGCTGCCAATGTCTGCTCACCGTACACATCCCTATAGCTAGTTATGTTAACATCATTCACCGCATTGAGGCATGAGGACGATTGGTAGTTTTATCGGATTATGGCTAAATACCATGGCTGACATGTGGCTATGGGCCCATATGGGGCCGTTTACATGTATCCACATGGTTATTCGCGGAGTTGGAGGTCTTTTGAGTCTATTAATATATTCTTCATCTGAGCATTTTACACCTGTAATACATTCTGGTACGCCTAGTGCTATAGTGGAGCGAAGTTGATGTTGCATTTTCTGTGTTGGGAATTGGTCTTCATTATAAAGTACGAGCGCGCCGACATGAAGGCTATCTCGTTTAGTATTAGATTTATTCATATTTCTTAGTCCATTGGGACTTCTATCGAGCTGTATAAACTATAAATTGTAAGGTTGGTATCATTATATACTGTAAGAAGAAAGCACTACAAAAGCAATTGGATCCGAACTCCATAACATTATCCATAACATAGATCCGTGATATCAAGGCCCAAGCTTGCATCCTTAGCCCACTCCATGGATCCATCTAAAGGGGTATACATTAAAGCAGCCTGCGGCCTATTACCCTAGTTCTCGACACTCCATTCATATAACTATACTATATGCAAGAAATAACCAGTATCATAGTACCATAATCCCTTATTATAGTAAAGGTTATCTAAACGGTGCATCTCTCAAAACAACTACCTGCTCTATTTCTGTTGTTTTTAATACCCCATCCATGGGCAGGGTAGCTGAAGTTTTAGTCCTTGCTAAGGGCCAAGGTGGTGTTGGGCCGGACTCTTCATCTCGTCTGATGTAGACGGTCTCTTCACTACCGACGAGGCTGTTCAAAGGGTAACCTTTCGAATTACGGGCGGCGCGGCTGCCAGTTCCTGCGAATTCATCAGGAAGATTGGATCTTCGCCTACTACCGGCGCCGTATGTCGTTCCTGCAAGTCTAGGGAAGAAGACAGCGATGAGAGGTTTTAGAGATGGGATCGAGGCACAAATAATACCGACGTGCTAGGGGTCGTTATTAGCATTTGCCTTGAAGATAAATGTAGAAATATGTGACCGAATTTAACTTACTGCTTCAGTAGATGTGTAAATATACAAGTCGTAACCATACCAAGAGACGTCTAGTGTTAAGATGGTGTTTCGAATGCTAACAATTCTGAGACACCCAGCCAAGCAGACTATCAAGCCAAGTGAGAACATGGCAATCAATCCAACTTTCTGCTTTGTAGGTAGGCTCAAGTGGAGAACAACTGGTACGGGTAGGACAAGAACGATTATATCTAGAACGACACTGAAGATTCCGTGAAGCTATTGTCGTTAAATGTGTTAGCTTCGAAGTTATACCTATGGAATTTGTGAGTATATTTTAAAACGTACCAAGACCATGTCGGGCTCGTTTGGCAAGCAACCTTCTCGGTACTCGAACAGCTGCATCTCTTTCCAGAAGTTTGATACTGGATGGCATTGGAAGATAATAAGACCGGACATTGCAATAACCCAGCAGATCAATAGGCCAAAGGTCACCCATATCGCCACCTTAAACTTCTTAGTTGTACAAAAACGTAGGTAAAAGATTAAGATCGAGGCTTTTGCAAGTGCGACGGAATATGTAAATAAAAGTTGGGTTGCGAATTGATATTGTCGGATGGTGACCCATTCTTTCGGCTAGAATTTCATAGATTGTTATTAACGGAGATTCTTATGATGCTATCGAATTATATATCCCCTACCCTGATATCCCAAATATGTCTCCCCCACCCATACTCCTCGCTCATCATATTAAATACCGACAAGGCATATGCCGTTATTAGTGATGGGATGATAATCCAATCGTCGGGTCCTAGACTTCGTAATATCGATGATCGAGTGATAATTCGTAATCCCGCTATTGTCCCAGATAATATCATTAAAGTTATAATCACGGGTTTAAGGTAATGCCCTTTGACCTGTGGGTCTATGTAATTCGGATTGAGAAATGATGAAGGTTGCGCCATCTTTTGTGATATTGATATTGATAGGTGGGTATTCGGCTCCTTTTTGATGATCTTTGGTTATAAGATTTTTTCCTTCCAATTGTAGAGTCGCTAACAAGATAACCGTAACCTAGTAAACTGTGCCTAGGAATGTTTGAAGTTTGAGAGATGTTGGAAAGGATGAGGCTTATAGCCTGGAGCCTCGTACAGGCTAGGGACAGTACGAATCCAGCCCGTTAAATTCGATTCATATATCTTCGACCAGCAATTAATATTTATCGACCCAAACTGTGGGAACAGGAAAAAGAAGGAAATTATTATCTAGTCAAAAAAACACGCAGGGACTGCGGAGGTATATAAAGCGGCCGGCGAAACATTCGTATATGCCTACAAAGACTAGGACCTCCAGCATGTTCCAACGGGAAGTCGGTGGACCCCAAAATAGGCCAGCCTCCAGGCTTTCGGAACAGTCGTTTTTTATTTTTTATTTTTTATTTTGCTAGCCAACTTTTTCAAACTGGCGTTATCAAGGCTTCAAGGGAAATGTCTGTCTATTTTCATTTCAAGCTTCTTAATTCAAGAGTTGCCGTACGTGCTTCTTGCGTGCTTTTTTGCTTCTTGAGAATTGGGGCGATGGTCCGGGCCACGGTTGGAGAGGTTTTGGGGGGAGGCTTGTCGGAGCCCACCTTCCTATTACAACGCACAGCGGGTGCAATGCAGCCTGGCTCAAGGAACGGTCGTTCGAGGATTAGTCGGGTGTGGTTCCTTCTCGGGTTATAGCTCTGAACACATCGAATCGGACTAAGACATTTGAGGACGATGGTGTTTAATTGTGATATTGGGTCCCTTGGGTCAATTTTTCGTAAGGTTGCTAGTTAGTCCGTGGTCCTTGATCCAGCTTGAAGATTGAAGATTGAATATTTGTGATAGCCATCATATCATGATAGACCAAACTCGGCTGGGAGTTAGCTTGACTATCGCTAAGGCAAGACGAAAAAAAGATAGCTCTCTCCCCAATCTTGCATTTGATTAGCGCGATCAATTTGCATTTGACGACGCTATTAATTAATATCAGAATTCGTTTTGCAGATGTCTTTGTATATAGCCGGTATGTATGTATCCTGCCGGCTACGTGCATGAATACTGCGGGGCATAAAATGAAGCAAATATCAGAAGCTCGCACAAGTACTACTCCCGTGGATGCATAGCCATGTCAAACAACCACATGGCCAAGCGAAGTTCTAGCATGGCAGTGGAAAAAAAAATCATTCTCTGATACTCGTTGGAAACACAAAATTCTAGAAGGGTTGCGCTCATTTCCCCACTCTCTGGGAATCACAGCTCCTCATCGTGCATCGGCACGAATATTCTAAAATGAATACCATGTCGCAAGTTGAGGTTTGAATGTCACGAGCTCCGAAGGGCTAAGCTGTTCAAGGCAGCACCACAAGTTTTTTTTTGGTGGTTTGTCTGTTTGGTTCCCCTTCATGCATAAATTACTGCTTTTCTTAGCGAAAATGTGTTCCAGAATGGCGCACCTTTGATGGACAGCAGCGGGATGTAAGACATTCGAAGAAGGATCTGAGGGTTCTTCGAATTGCTTTTCGGGGGGCAAGATTGTCGGGTCCGTGCAAGGAGATCGGTTACCCGCTGGTCGGAGCTGAGCTTATTGTCGGCTCAAAGCTTAACTGATGACTTCCAATTAAATCCCACATGTGCGGAGGAGAGACCTTTCAGTTGAGTTTTGTGGCTTGCCCGGGGACTTTTAGGTTGCGATGTCGTACCTTGTGACTTTGTGTATTGAAAGTTGCCTACAAGATTCCAAGTTCCGTACGTGGATCATTGCAGGTTTCTGAAGTATCGTAGGTTCTTTTCAGTTGTATCATGTGGTCTGGTGGCATGTTGTAGATATCTATAGACAAGGTTTCTTCCTCGTTTGGGCACATGGAATTGCGAACTTCCCTCAGATCTTAACCATAATCCGACATTGGGAATTAGATTATTCAACCAAGCTTCTTCGCTTTCGGACTGGCCGGCTGGATATCTATCCACTCTTTCGCTTGTCCGCAATCGAATTGATAGGACACGTGTGGCAATAGCAACATGGGATGTCGTTGTGTATAACGATATCGTGATATACTCTTTGTGGGCTAACTTCTGGCTTTGATAGGCGTATACGAGCACGAAACAGCAGGTGAATTCAGCTGTTTGACGCAATGGATGCATGCCATCCTCTGCATGGTTAAATTACGGTAGGCATCAGTAATTAGATGATGGTAGATGAAGGGCTTGCCAAAATTGGAGCTTACCGTTTTGTCAGAACGAGATTTCGAATGGCAAAGCGTACCTAAGGTGGTTAGTGTAGACACGGCCCATCGGTTCGGCACCAGTATAAAACAGGCATCTGGAAATCACCGCCTCTAACATAAGTGTAACTAGGCTTACGCTTGACTAGAAAGATGACTGCAACCTTGCAAGTGTGGGCGTTCCTGCATATAAAGATCGGGAACTATCACGGGATGGGTAGTGTCAAGCCGAGGAAGGGAGCTCGAGGTCTTGGTGGACCCACGGTTTCTAAATTTCTGATGGTTGAGACACCCACGGAAAGAAGATGAATGCAGTGCAATACGGAAACGCACTGGAAACTTGGGAAATTCTCGCCCTGAGATCAATTTCTGGGAACATCTGATTACGAATTTCAAATAAAGAAGATCCGTAGGAATCATATTATACCAGGCCGCTGAGAGGTTTTGGCTGACGAGTCTTAAGTTGAATCATTAGTCGTTCTGGTCAAGAACAAAACCACCACGCCGTTTGGTTATGTAATCTCTCGATAAAATTTCTACCACACACCAACACAACCAGGCGGGCCTGATTCGGCCCTGCCTTAGCGCTACATCGCCAGGAGAATAGAATGTAGCCCTGGAACAAAAACCTTAGGCACGCCCATTAATACATACCCCGGAGAAGTACATACATTCCGTAAGACAGAAAAAAAACAAAAAAAGCAAGAAGAAAAAGAATTTATAGTAAAAGTGAAAGGAAGTAAAATGTTAGACAAGAAATCTCGATCTCGAATTGCAATGCATGGTGATCATATGAATGAGTGTTGGCGGGTAATACTTGCATGTTAGTCTAATTTCTTGCATGTTTAGTATTAACCTTTAGAAAAATAAATAAGAAAGAGTGTGATCGGTGCGACATATAAAGTCGAAATTGGCACCTCGTTGTCAAGGTGGTGGTGCAGAGCTAGAGTTTATAAAATGGGGAGAATCTACCCGGTGGCGGCGGATGCTAGCAGCTCGCAGAGATTGGCACGGCCAACGCCTGACCCAACCTACTTTTCGGCGGTAATAAATGGCCAAGTGGGGTGGCCATGGGTTTAGATGAGTTTTGCTGGATTGGTAATCCTAGATCTAGAGTGGTCGGAGCTGTCTCCTCTAGGACTCGAAGCCGCTAATTCTCGAGCTCCTTCTTTTCCGCATTCCAGATATACATGCGTATATTAACCTTCTTGACTTGCTTATCTCTTCTTCGAGGATGCAATACCATCCATTGGTTCGTCTAGGAGGTCGCGGTAATTCATGGTCATCGAGATTTTATGTGATGAGCTCCGGCCTGGCCTGTAAAATACAGCTATAGACATCCTTGAAAACAAATGGCTCTATAGTCGACTGGCCATGAAAGGAACAGTGACGCTCAGCCCTGGTAGTGTTATTAACAACGATGGTACTACCTTGCATTGAACATGGCATATTAACACCATGTATGCATGTTTCCGCTGAAATTTCGAAAATTGGATCATTTTGATAAGTGCCAATCGTTCACCCGGGTACCCCAGGCTTACCATATGAATAAGACGATTTGTATTTCGATAATTTCGGCGCCGTTGTACTTGATTCATGGGCCTTGTGTTTATAGATCATACCAAGAAGCATTACTGGCGTGATACCTTTAACTTCTTTCGATGAAAGATTGACGATGAAGCTAATTGAAAGTCTGCGCGTAAAATATTTCTAGTTCGCTAGCAGTGTACCTTGCCGGCCCGGACCACTTGACCTATAATCTTGATACATATTGTCTGCATCTATGAATATTCATTTTTGAGACAGTCGTATTTTCACTCAGTTATAACCCACCAGCCTCCTAAGATGTCGTGTATCTTGAATATCCGACGCCATGATACAAATCCATACTAAATTTCCATAGCAACCCTTGATATTATGGATTTTAAATCAATTCGAGGCCGAGGATATCTGAGACCGTGTTATATTGCTGCTTTTTCTAGAATGTTATTAGTCTCGGAGCCAGAGCTGCCCCTATGCAAAGTAACTGCCAGGCGGATTCAATTATATCTAACCACCCATAACAACGGTTAATTGGCCATAGATAGATACAGATATATACATACACCTATGCCCTCACATCGTTTCATATCAACTGTGATATGATGCTCCATCTTGGCCACGAAATTCGATCGAGTCTTACGAATCTCCAGCCGTTGTTGGCATACCGGTATGATAGATGAATATCACGTTAAACTATCTCCTTGCTAGACTCAGCTCGCCCATATATGCATAGCTGCACAACCTTCTAGTCTCAAGACTGATAAACTACCAGAAATTATAGCAGCTGCCTGATTTTTTAAAATTTTGATTGTTCCCCAACCCTGTCCTGTATGTATTATAACATCACTATGCCTCATCAAGCAAGAAACTTAAGTGGCTACTTCCGAATGATCTTGTATTATTTCAATTAATTTGCCGTATCTATTCTAAAATCAGGCTATCCGCGGTTCGGTTACACTGATTATGATCTGTCAATACCTGGTAGAAGGAGGGAGGACAACACAATGTGGCTGGATAGTGTGTTGTGTGTGTGTGTGGTATATCCGGATTTGGACTGAGTGTGGCACCGGAATTGGAATTGGAATTGGAGTCGGCCGGAAATTGCAAATCACTCCTAATATGGGTCTTGTCCAAATCCAAACCGCTTTCCTCTTCTTCACCTTCTTCTATCATTGTCGTCACTATCACCATCATCAACCATCATCAACTCCAAAGCTTCACATTCCGATCACATGTTTCTGGGCCGATGTATTATCGACAACAGATAGCCCGCCGGATGATGCTGACGGAAATGCCAGCTTAACTCCCCGAGCCGGACCCAGCCAAACAAACCAAACCAGACCAAAAGCCCCTCGTCCTGCTTCATATCGACAACCACAACCCGCAACCCACAACCCAAGTATGGCAGTCCTTACCTAGCTCTTCCAGCCTAACCAACTTTGGTCCGCTTTCCTCTTTCATGCGCGGGTCTACTCTTCGATAGGACGCAATCAGATCCGACCATCTGCGATATCCTTTCCAAGTTAGCTACCGTCGCCTCATCCTCATCCTCTGTTCTCGTTCTTCTTTGTCTTTTCAGCGAATCGACGGCCATAACGGATAAATCCCTTGCTGACGTGCTTCTCTGGTCACCACAGGTCTCTTTCCGTCCCGCCTTTATTTTCTTCTTTGAGCCCGTTCACAGTCACACCTTTTATTCGTCGCTATTTGGCCACATCCGTTCGGTCCTTCGTCACCACCTTTCCTTTCTCCCTCACTTCGATTCTACACTCTCGCTGTTTACCAACAAATCCAGTTAACCCCTCAAATTCTATTCGCCGTTGTTGTCGCTAGCTGACTCGACGGCATCTTGCTTGTTTGCTTCGCTTTCCATCGACTCACAAGTGCAGGAAGGGAGGAACTCTTGCATATTTCACTCAGGTACTTGAAATTCGCGGGGACGAAGCGTATATTTGATGCAAAATCACCTCACTGCACCGACCGGCCCACCGAACACACCTTTATCCAGTATTATAATTACATACGACACTCTTCTGGACTTAAACATGCTATCGATACGCAATACCTCCTCTTTAGTAGCCGCCCAGACCATGGATTAACAACTTACGCTTTTAACAACTTTGACAAATATCTTTATCTTTCATATACCTCATTTCGGTCACCGCAACATTAAAGTTTCCAGCTCGATCCTACCCCACTACACATAATGGATCCAGTAGCCAAAATCACTGGCACAAGCGCAGCAGCTGGGACTGCTGTCGCGATCGGCATCCCATTTGTCGCCCCGCTCCTCCCATATCTAGTCTACAACGTCTACCAACTTCTCATCAACCGAACATTAACGAAGCATCTTCTTCGGGCCATAAAGATCACACAATTCTTCTCTCGTATCGCCCCATATATCAATTCCATCCTTGATCCGGCTAGCACTGCTACTCTTTCTTCTGTCTTACATGCGTACCTCGTCGACGCCTATACTCGTTGGATGTCCCACTCTTGGCTATGGTTATTAGGCCGAGCATGCAAAGAAGTCGCGAAGTGGGGAGGGATACCACAAGAGCTCTTCGATGTTGCCGAGGAGTGTATGTGGGGTGGATGGTGCCTGGGCGTTCAGACATTGAACCATACGCCACATGCGACAAGGACAATGATTGATTATGGTCTGCTGGCCAAGGTACAGGCAGTTACCTGGGCTAGCGCCGAAGCCACGGCTACGATTTTGAATGAAGCCTTTGGAAGGAACTCAACAGTTATGGCTTATGGCGGGATTATGGGAAGACTGGTGGACGAGACCCAATAGGAATAAACTGTCTGCAGAGTCGATCGGGGCCGTTTCAGGCTAGGCTTGACCGTACGAATGTGTTTTGGCACTGGGTTCTTCATCCTCTTGTATTGTCCGACCTTTTTCTAGCACTCTTTTCTTTCTTGGGTATATTTTTTTCTCTAAAACCTTTGGAATCGGTCTCTACGATCTCCCCTTTTATGGCGCAACCGCCACTTTCGTCTCCTTTGTTACTTCCTTTTTTTTATCGCTTTCGATTCTCTCCACATACTTCTTGGGTCCTCTTCTTTTCCTTTCCGGCGTTTCTATATATAAATTCATTGGCAAGGGGGGGTTATCGCATCCGGGAATCTAGGTGTTCGTTCTCGTGCTTTGGTCGTTCAACCGGCTTTTTACATCATTTATAGCGTTCTTCTTTGTGATTTGTTACTTGGAGTTTTACCTTGGACTGTTTGGGGTCATGGTATGGAGTAGGAATTTCTCTAGGATAGCTTTAACCTACAATGTTAATCAAATCTATGTTGGTTACCAATATACTGCTTTGTCATCCTATGGATTACTAGGTAGCTGTTTGTGAGACTAGTACTATAGCAGTGCATATAATATAAGGCAAAGTTGTACTGATTGAATTACATTTAGATACTTGGAATTCTCGAGAAAACTTGCAACGTCAAGATAAATGAACTAACTATACACGTTATTAATATTCTAAACTGGCAAATAGAATGCAGGCCATGACCACATGGCTAGAACAAAATTTTGACAAGAAGTGTTTTGTACAATATATATAGGACTGGTCAAGCCATCAAGCAGAACTGAATGAAAGCGCAATATTACAACGATGATATGTGTAAGTAAGTATATACATTTACAATAAACTACACCAATACCGCCTTCTCTCCGACTTCTAAGTCTAATAACTTGATGCCAGCAGGGCCGTCCCAAGCCTTCACATTCCCTGCATCTTCATAGCTCTCAATCTTATCTTCAGTGTCATTACTACTTAACTCTTTGCTCCTTCTCCCTTCCAAAGCCTCATCACCGGCCACCTTCTTCAATTCATCGTCGACTTCCTTAACGTCCCATTTTATCTTCTTAACAAAGTGACTGCAAAACCCTTCTAGTTTAACTTCTTCATCGTGTGTTGCCACCAAATATTTGACTCCGAGCGGGTATTCCGTAGAGTAGTTGCTTTTCGGACTAATCGGCTCCTCAACCAACCGAGCTTGCTCCGCTCTGATCTTCTTAACCTCTGCAAGGATCTTAAGAGCGTTAGGAAGTCCGGAGGATACAGTGCCGCCTAACCATTTTGGATTATCGACTTTTACAAAGCAATGGAGGAAGGCGGTTAGTGGTAAGGGTAGAGAGTAGAGATACTGGGTTAATGCTGACGGAGGGACTCCATGTGGAGTATAGAGGAGAGAGTCTGTCAAAGAGTTTTTGGGACCTGGTTGTTTTAGGTTTGTGGATTTCTTCGAGGAAGGTTTAGAAGGTGAGTTTGGTTTCTTAGGAAATCGGTTTGGAGAGTCCGGGTGGGTGGTATTGGTAGGGTTGGACTTGTTGCCTGGAGATGTAGATAGATTTGAAGGGACTGTGGAGAGGGTGATGGTGCTTGGTACTTGATGGGCCGCGGAGACAGTTGGATGAAGAAGATTAGTTGATGGCGGGGTCGGTGGGGGTGATGGTGGGAGTTTTTTGTCCTGCGTAGGTGTATATGTTATCCCCAATCCGATATGTATACTCGGGATCTCCCATGGTTTTAGAGCAGGTAGGAAGGCGAGCTCGACGATCGCTGCGATAGAAGGGTCCGTTTCGAAGCTGTAGTCATCTTCGTCTTTATCTTTTTTATCCTTTTCTGTCTCACTGCTCGTACTTGTAATCGACTCGTCCATGGCCGGTTTACTCGGAACTGGGTTCTTGTAGATAGGAATCCGCGATACCCGTCCACTTCTACGACTCGTGAACGGACGTAATCTATGCACATTCTCTGGATTAAAGTGCTTCCAACTCTTAACTATACTATCCGCGCCAGGTACTGTGTAGACTTGTAGACTCCCATCCTTGGAAAGCTGTCGACATGTAGCTTCGTTACAGTGGTCCGATTTAGTTTGTGATATTAATAGAATATCCGGCTGGGGATCTAGCTCCTCGAGAGATTGTATAGAAGATGGAGTGGTATGGTGATTTTGCGCGAACTTTGGGTGCCAGACCTCGGATGGACCGACAATCCAGGGGTCTACGAGTATGTTGAAAGGTGCATGTGATGGGGGGTTATGAGGTGAGGTTAAGGTGATTAACCATGTTGAATCGGCGGTTATGTGCCGAAGGGTGATGGGCATATTTGGTTAGGAAATTTAGGCAGGTCCGGGTGTAACTGATAAGACCAGGTAGTTTATGCGCAAAATGACAAGGTATTTTCAGAATAAAAATAAATCCCCGGGTGTGAAGTTTAGAGATCAAAGAAAGATCTGATTAGGTAGGCTGATATCGGGTATGCTTGCGGGTCTGTATGCAAGAATGTATGATGGGGAAAAGATGCAGGTTTTGTCGAAGGGGGAGGAAATGCAGAATGGATTGTAAGTAGCTAAGGAAAATAGGGAAAATAGTATTTGTGCCCTTGAAGATAGAATGCCTGTACAAAGGAATAGAAGGGTGGAAGGGGATGTAAGAAGGGGAAGATGTTCCTTTTTTAACCTACTACATATCACCCGGTGTCCAAATATCCCCGGCTTTGTTTCCCCTCACCAAACATCAAACATGCTTTCAGGAACAAAGGTTCAATCTGTAGAGTTCGTAATAACTTTGGGCTCAAAGCGTGGTCCAGGCTCGGTTTCTTCCAGACCGTAGCTGTGTGGGATGTGTTTCGCTTGCTTCACAGTGCATATAAAGCAAGGTTCAAGTTAATACGGCCAAATGTGGATGGCAAGTGCCGGAAACTCTTGGGTCTATCCGCAAGTCGCGGAAGTTTGAAACGAATCTAGAAACATTTGTCGGGCCCGGCCCAGCCAGAATTGCTCTTTGGGCCTAGCCTTGTTGGCTTTGTTCCCAAAGTGTCGACGGAGAACAGCGCCGTCGAGTAAACTTGCTATGAGGGCTTTTTGAACAGCAGGTTGGGCCGATATCTGATTGCACGCTAACCAAAGTCGCGGGGGGCAGCTTTCACAGCAATTCAGAGGTGTACCAGAATCTTTTGTCGAAGGCGAATCGGGTGCGATTGCCTCGAAAACAGACGGTATTATGCATTGTTCAGATCATTCTTCATGGTAACCGTTTCATGAAGAAGCCTAAGTAGAGCTTGAGTAGAGCTTGGTTGGAGCTTGAAGCGCCAATGTCGGTGAAGAAATCGCTGCCTATTGAATCCATGGATTCGAGAGTTGTTAAGTTGGTGGAATTCAGCTTTGAGCGGGAAAGCTTTCTTTGGAAGGGCACGGACCACGTGACCGCCAACCTCCTCCAACACAACTGACAGCTGATTGTTATTTGTCACCCTTGAAAGGGTCAAAGCACTATCTACTTAGTTACGCATCTCTCCGGGACCCGGACCCTTACCAAAATTTCTCCTGATCTCACGAATACCCTGATTATGATCCACAGTTGCGGAATTTCGAGGCCGGGGTTTGCCAGTGCTTAATCCAAGTTTTCAATATTTTCGATAAGCTTTGATTCCAAGCGCCACTAAAATATGTATGCAGGTGGCACAGGCCTGCAGTGTCATGGGAAAGGAATCGTCAAACCTTGCATATGGGAAGGAATTTCATCAGCCTGGGAGGGCGGTGAGGCTCCATCGCCATACATGTCGATACGAACGAGGCTGAAAAGAATACGCGGGGTATCCATTGTCTCGCTCGGATTCGAAGGCGCAGGCGACTCGACGGTCTAACGAAGAGTTCGCAATTTTGAACCTTGGAGCACCCCAGAGCTGCAGAGCCTCGCAGCTACACGTCGTAGCGTGCATATAGGTAACTGCAATGAGATGCTTCTAGTTAGCTTGGAGCATTGTACGTAGGGAAGGATTTTTTTTCTCTTGCACAAAAGTTCAATCAACCACCAGATCCTTGAAGGCTTCAGCTACCATGCATGCGCATGCATTCACTACCCCCCCAATCCTCGGATTGGCGAGGATTGATCAAGTCCACATCCATACTTAAGCGGGCGATAGACATTTGCTCATTTATAATAAATGTTTTACGGCACGCGCTTTCTCTCCCCTCATTCATTTTCTTCGGTCATCGAGTTTTCAGCGCTGGTGGGACTACAGCTATACAGTCAGCTTCTTGTTCAATTGTCCGAGTTTATTTGTTCAGGGTATTCGGTTTTTTGCTATACCATCTTGGAGGAATTGGCAGAATTTTTGATTGTGATTAGAGCTTATAATTGGGCGAAATTCGTATCATGTCGACGCGAAGAAGTTGGAGTTATCAAACGAGTGGCAGAGATTACAGTCCAGTCCGTGAGAATGAAGCACCGGGTCCGCGACGTGAGAGGCTATATAGCGATTATGCGGAGGATCGGACGGAAAAGAAGCCGGGAGAATGGCTTTGGGAGGAAGAAAAACGGCAGTCGGAAGAACGGCGCCGGAGAGAACTGGAGGAGATAGCCCGGCAGCGAGAACTACGCCAGAGAAGAGAACAGGAGGAGAGAGCACGGCTGAGAGCAATGGAGAGCCAACAATGGGAAAGGGAGAGGGGAGGGGAGAGGATTCAAGATCTCGGGCTGGATGATGTTTATAATGATCACAGATACGGGCAAACACGGGGGCCGCTGTCTATCAAAAAGGAGGCCTGGTACCCAAACCTTCGACAAAGCCTTTTAGACTCGGGACTTGAATTTGAGGAAACTGCAACGAGCTTCGTGGTCTATAATGTTACCGACGAGCAAGTTACGCAAATAAAAGGAAATGCTTTGGAGAAGGCACCGGCCGCTCCGCCATTCGGTGTGTTTTCAATTTTAACTACTAACTTATTTGATCTGAAAATGTATACATGTCCATGTATAGACTGACTAACATATCGAGGCAAATCTTTAGATGGCGGCGAAGACGACAACGAATCGGGGTCGACTAGTTCGGATGACGAATACGATATTCTACATTACTCCTTCAAACCCGACGGCGAATCCGAAGATGAAACCCCACCACGTGTGTTAAATCCTGGGCCCCATGCCTGGTGGTTCGATGTCCCGCTGAAGTCGTCAGGAGACGAAAGTTCGCCACTAAAAAATATTTTTCATGGAATGGATATCCCCAATGGCCCGGGGGACAGTACCTATCGCCGTGCTTTCACAATGAATCGGCAGCAGCCGGAGTCGCAGAAGTCGATCAAGTGCGTAACCAAGAGAATTATCTCTTCAAGACGGTCAATACGCGCGGAGGTTAAGGATGATACAATCAAGCTTATAGCAGCTACTGCAAACCCTAGCGGTAGAGAAACGAGTTTAGATGACCTCAGATTTCGTTGGATGTAAGTGGAGTTGTGGGTTTATTCTAGATCATAGCGACTGGCTTGTTCTAAACTGATAAAAGCAGCTACTAATTATATAAACTAGTCATTTTCAAAACCCGGTGTTAAACTTAGAGGAGTTTAAGGTAAGAATACATCTTGCAGCTTGTAATCCTAGGCTTGGTCGATTCGTCGATGTGCCTTATTTACAGAGTTAGATTTAACTGACATCTAAAAAATGAAGGAACAAGTTGTAAGAATTCCTGGACTGGAAGATCACGACTTAATCATCCTTTGTGACTTGTTCGAGAAGGTGAAAGATAAAATGGAACGGACCTATATACATGGCAAGTACTTAGAAGAAGGGGCCATTCGATGTGATGGGAAATCGGGGAAAGAATGCTGCGCGGTTACCTTTATTGTTATTCCAACCCTTAAGCTTCAACCCCTCGAGCTTCCGTCGATATTGAGAGGCCAACCTAAGGCTTTTCAAAGTGCGGATCATGCACCTCGACCACTGATGCAAACGACGGTAAATATGTCGTCTACTCTTGAGGAGGATAAGAGACAAGCTAGTTTTTCTAGTAAATTGGTCCCGAAAGATCAAGCTATCCATGTTGTGCAAACGTGGGTGCTTGTAATAAACGATAGTGAGTGTCTTGACCCCGACGAAAAAAAGGATTGAAGATATACAAGTATTTGCCTAATTTGGTGGGGAAAACTGTCAACTAATAAGGTGATATCATGGGTTTCTAGAACTTCTGGTGACCTATTCGCCTTCGACTTTGGAGGATATTGCCGGTCCCAGCATCGAAATTGAGGATGGCAAACAGGATGACGGTGTTACAATTCGTGTAGGAACTACTTTTGACGGGGCACATTACTTCCCAGCTGAGAAATGTAAAACCTGGTTTGTAAGTGACGCGTGCAGAGCTGTTATGTTGTATATTATTGCTATATCTTCTACCGTTTGCTGACGAGCCTTCGAATGACAGGAGTTTCAAGCCGAATTGAAGAAAGTCATGCGTCCGTCGAGATATGAACACTACAAAGAAAAGGATGCGGTGATAACATGCAAAGATGGAACAATTCTAAACTCTCAAAACTGGGCGGCAAAATTGGGGGAGACTCGATTGAAGCTTTTCAGATTGACATTGGAATTAAAGCCCAGGAAAATGATCTCCGCCCCCTCTTCTAGGTCTCTTGGTCTCCTTCCTGCCCCTCCCCCCCCTCCTCCTTCTGGCGATGCCTACAGCCTTGTTCCATACTCAGGGAAACCATCGCGGAGACCGCGCATGCCACCGCCACGGAATATCCACCGCCAGCCAAGCGACTTAGATTTTGAAGTAATTCCCATTCCTAAGCAATGCGATATGCATGAAGAAAACAGCTAAAAAAATGTATAGAAAACCCCAGAGAGGAGAGCGGAAGCTGTAAGTACGGGATCTCGTCGACCAGGGAACATGCGATCTAGATTTTATGAAAGCGCAACCGTCCCATCTCGATCGGATGGATCTGAGTACGAGGCGAAGCTTGGGTATGGAGCCGAGCCAGGGAATACCTATCGCCGCCCGCCGACCAGCAATTACTACGATCCTCCGGACTCGATCGAACCGAGAAATAATTCGTATGGCTGGAGTAGTGATTACGGCCTGTGGAGAGAGGACTCCTTCGTAAGCAACAGAGGACGTCCTCAACCTGCGGTTTTGAACCACCAAAAACGAAGTAGCAGTCCAAAGCCACCGCCCCGCGCCCCGTCACTAGAATCTAGGGGCCGGCTGGGAACAACGGTCATTGAAGTTGATGATGAGGATGATGCTCCATTGCGGCATGATATCGCGGATAGCAGTGAGGATAGTGAAAGCCCTCGATGGAGACGTCGCCGACGGTTCCCTTTAGCTTTACCTGCGCCGCCAGGGCCGAATGAAAAAGAGCCTGGTTCAAACACATCTACAAGGGATGAATCGGTCGAACCAGCGGGTTCAAGTCTTGTTAGTAGTAGAGAATCCTCTACACAACCACCAGCAAGAGTGCCAAAACAAGAGCCTATCTATGTCACCGAGTATTCTGAGACGTTATCAGTATCCTCAGAGTCCGATTCTGAAGAAGAAGAGGAAGAAGGGGAGTTATCGCAAGATGTGCCTAGGCCCCGGTCTCTAGCCTTACCACAGGCAACCCATCAGTCTACGACGCTAAGTAGCGGTTATCGTGGCCGGGAGAGTTCGGGTGGTATGTCAGAGCCTAGGGGCTTTCGGCCCACCGATGAATCCGCTGAGGGTGACGATATTCATGAGCAGAAGCTTAAGGGCTATGAAGCTGGAGAAATAGAGTTACGGAAAAAAAACTTGGCGAGAGCGGGGCGTCGAGTTACATTTGCATCATCTCTACCCAGCCAACCAAGTTTCCGCTCGGATTATGATACCTCTGGAGGCCTATCAGATGCAGTATCGAGTGATATATGGAAGCCGGAAAATAGGTCTGGTAGGCAGTATTCGCCAGTCAGGCAGTCTTCAACCTTATATTCTCGGGAAGCGCCGACCGCATCTAAACACGAGACAGCAGAAACAACAAAACCGCAGGATCACGATTCCATCTTCTTTTATTTACCAAGCGAGCGGCCAACGGAGAAGGCGAAAGAAAAAGAGATAACAGATCAAAAGCAAACTACCCCAGAGCTACCGAAGGTGCTTCCGGTGTTCCAATGGCTAACAAAAGCATCCGCCGAAAACAAGCTTATCGAGAGGCAATTTCTTTCTCGAAAGAGGTCGGCTTCGAGGGGATCCCGGAACAGCAATACCCTCAAGAAAAACCCCCCAACAGAAGTCGAAGCGAGCGACGAAAGCTATAGCATACTCAAAAATATCTTGAACGAACTACACCGGAGACTCGAAACCACACCCGAACCCGTGCGCAGTGTGTATCTCTCATGTGACTCGAGTGATTCTATTGAGGTCGAGAAAACCATAATGGACATTGAAAATACCACTCTTTTATTAACGGATTCTCCCGAAAAAAGTAAAACTTTGGACCTGATTACTGAGCGGAAGAAAATACTGGGTGTATGCCGAAAAATAATATCTTTCTTTATCCCGTTGAATTGGAAGGAGGGTCAAGTGGTTGAGCGTCTTTGGTATAGCATTCTGCAGCTAGTAACAGTAAGTATCGCCATTCTTCCCTCAAATTCTCAGAAGGGGCTCAGTTATAGATGTGACCCATAAAAGCCTTTCTGTCAAGAGTTGAGACTAACTTTTTTTTAGGTTGGGATTAATGATAATCTAGTGTCAGGTTCAGATGGGACTTCTGGGCTTCCTTCAGATATACTTCTCAAGTTAGAAGGCATCAATCGCCATATCCAAGTCATCGTGGCTGGTGTAGCAGGGGATAATATAGAGAACCCAAGTTTTAGAATCCCGTCTGCTCTGTTTGAAGCCTTCTTGCAATTTACGGAGGCAATGCTTTTCGCCGCTGTGGTAGTTATACTGCCCAAGAACAACGGCTTATCCTCGAGTTCTAAGAAGGACTACGAGGTAGCTACCGTCCGTAGAAAGGTCGACAAAAGGCTCAGTACTTGCAAATCAAGATTAAGGGAAGGTAAATTCCAACTTATGTGTATGATCTTAACGGGTCGAACGAAGGATCAGATGAAATATGAAGAGGCTTGTACCGAAACTGTTGTGTCTTTCATTCTGCGGAGTTTGATATGCCTGCCTATCACAAAAGTCGAAGGGGCATCAACTCCAATGGGCATATATCGTGAGAGGTTAATGAATATAGTAAGACGACCCCCCCCCAAAAAAAAAAATAAAATAAAAAATAAAAAATAAAATAAAATAAAAATAAAAATTTTTAAAATCGTTCAATAGAAACTGAACTAACAAATGAGCTAGGATACTGAGGCTAAATATCGGCCGCAACAAAGAATCCTTCAGGATATACTCTATCTCGGTGCGGAGGTTGGCGCTTTCGATAAGGTGCGGATAATCCAATCGAGGGTACTTTGGGCGGCAGACACGCTTCTACATCCAAAAGGGTCCCTAGATATGAAAGAACCTCGATCACGAGACTCTCTTATCTATAGCCCTCCTCGCGGCAAAATGGGAGGAGGTGTAGAGTATTTCTTCAGTCAAGAGGAAGACCATGTGAAGGACTACCTCAAGAGAGCAAACAATCTTTACGACTCCGTAAGTTTGAGTCTCGAAACATGGCAGACCAGCCTGCAGAGCGGCGGTTAACGAAACCTTTTAATGCATTTTAGGTCGAAGAAGCCCTTAGTCTGAAGGAAGAAGACAATGGAAAGGCAATCATGGTATTCACAATTGTGACGACCGTGTTTTTGCCTCTTAACTTTGTCACCAGTTTCTTCGGAATGAACACGACAGATATTCGGGATATAGACCGCGACCAAAAGATTTTCTGGACGACAGCTATTCCAGTTACAATTGCCGTCCTTGGGTTTGCCCTATGCTGGGCTTATTTCGGCGACGCAATTCAAGACCGAATATTCGGTCCATATTCCCGTCTCGGTAAACTATTCAAAGGAAAACTAAATAGCCGCCGTACACAGCAGGTGCCTAAAGTAATAGTTGAGGGGGATGAGGATGAAGATGAAAAATATGATCCAGCACCTAAGTATGTACGCGATGAGTATGAGACGAACACACATGATCATAGGCAACAAGCGCCGGCTCCATACAGTAGCCACAGCCACCACCACCACGACCGTGTAGACCCTCCCAATTACTACGACCACGATAGTACTGGGGGTAGAGAAGGGGGACATAGTCAACCTCAGGGTTTTGGTCAGAATTATGGAGTACCTAGGTCTAGAGCTTATGCCTCAGGGTATCCTGCGGCTTCTAGGCCGCCCTATGGAAGTAGAACAAGGTCAAGTGGTTATGAGGGCTCGATTAATAATGAAGAGGCGACGCGATATAGAGGTCGACCTCAAACCTCATCTTCGGGGTATTAACAGATGTAGCCATGGAGGGGTTACTCTGCATTGAATAGGATACGGAGCACAATAAAGTTCCCGTTCAAGCTAAGCCTATAGTGGCTGAGAGATCTGAACTTGAGAAGGTCATAAAATTATTTGTCTGAATCTTGTTACAAATTCCCGAGAAGAATATTCTTCAAAAAACGAGGGGGAAACGAGGGAAATAACATAATTCTAATGGTCATATTCTTCGACGGAAACCACTAAATCGGATTGCAGGTGTCCAAAATCATATATGGTCCACCCACTTCTCTGTTAGTTGGTTGTCTTCATGCAGGGCGAACTTGAACCGCCTGAGCAAAGAGGCTAGCGTCCCATAAATCTCGGCGTAGGCTAGACTATTGTCTTGTAAACCAGACCCGGGAACCCACCTTCGTTTTGAACCGCATTTATCAACTTTTTGCCAATAGATATGTATCTGTAATTCTACAGGTGAATCCATAGGTCTGGGTACGAGACAACCATAGGTTCAAAAGTAGTAGTACATACTATACTCCGAAACAAAATTTAGAACTTTTACCGAACGGCACAAAGTACTTTTCTTGTGGTGATTTTCCTGGCGCGTTCATTCATTCAACGATGTTGGTCGAAGACCTTAGGATTTGTATAAATTGTGGCATTTTGTGGTGCAAAGGTAGATGGGCGTTGGGACAATAGCCTTAAGGTATTAGAAGCACTCGGCCAACAATAAATATGCTTCGCCCCCATGATGATATATCCAGATCCTTTTATATATATATACATATATGGCTTCGTATGGTCTATTTTGACCTACTAGACAATCCATAAACCTATTTCATTTCGAAACGCAATTGCATGTCCGGAATTCGGGTATCGAAGAGGGTCCAACACAATTATGAGTGTGGTATTTTGAAACTTAGACCCAGGCGTGAATACTTAAGCCACAGATTCAAGTTGGGGAATTTAGGGATCTCGATCTCGGGGTAATGGGGTTTGAGGATTTCGAAGGGTTTTAACTTAGTTCTCCATATATATAATAATCAAATTAACTACATGTGTATTATTCATATTGCGACTATTGGATTCTGAATCTGACGGCATGAGAATGGTCTGGGACCTTTCCGAATATGATATATTGCTAGCGTTTGACCCTGAGACTGGTTTCAACATAAGCCTCGTTTTGTGTCGAGGATATACGAAACTGAAGAGAAGACTCGCAGGAAGACCAAATGTTTTCTAAAAATTCAGAAAACCACCTGCTCGCGGGTACTTCTTGTAGCAACATATGATGTGGCTTCTGAGTGGCCTGAAAAAAGGCTTCTAGAAGAAATGACTGGCCCAGGACTTAATTCTTTAAGTGAAGTGCTTTTCCAGTCTATTTTTTCGTAATACACAATCCAGATTAATACAATACTAATATAAATATTATTTTCTATGCTTAATAGAACTTGCAAAATGCAAGAACTATCACTTCTCGTTTTCATAACGACGATATCCGTCGCCCTCGCGGCTCCATTAGTTTCCGAGAAACGACAGCAGCCGCAGACGGTAACAATAGTTGAACAACCAAATGCGCCATGGGGCCTTCAACGAATTTCGAGCCCAGACCCAATCCCTCTAGAGATCAGACCCAAATCCCGCGAAATGGCATTCAGATACCAATATGATCAGTCATCTGGCCAAGGTGTCGATGTTTATGTTATCGACGGTGGCGTTAACGTCACCCACCCCGAATTTGAAGGACGAGCGAAAATGTTATATAACGACTTTAAAGACGACAATAACGATGTAAGCGACCACGGGACGATGGTTGCTGGTGTAATTGGCAGTGACCCATACGGTGTAGCTAAGAACGCCAACATATGGGGTTTAAGATGTGAGATGGGTAACGGAAATAGGACAAGTCGATGTCTCGCCCAAGTTCTTTTGAACCACCAAAGACGTCGGGACTTGCCGGGGTTTGCGGGGTCTGTCATCAATATGTCCTTCGGATCTTACAAGATGTACCGATCCTCTTTGGAATTTGGGAATCTGACCGCTTTGGTCCAGGCAGGTGTTCATATCGTTGCATCGGCTGGGAACGATAACAAGGATGCTTGTGATCACTGGCCGTCTGCTGCAAACCAGAACCCGCAAACTCAAAGTATTATAAGTGTGGGTGCCAGTAATATATCTGATGGAAAAGCTTACTTTTCCAACAACGGATCCTGTGTAGACATATACGCCCCAGGCTGGACCCTCACTACAATAGCTGACGGAGGGATTCAACAAGCCTTTGGGACGTCATTAGCTGCCCCAGCTGTTGCTGGTGTTCTTGCAAGTGAACTTGTGCTCAATCCAAGTTTAAGACTGGACCCCATTGGATTGAAGCGGCACATATTGTCCAAGGGGGTTCCCATACCCAGTTTGGGTGTCCTGGTGAATACCAGAATCAATGAAATGCAGTAGTTATAGTTGCAAGTCGTAGTTCCCGATTTTGCAATGATTGGCTGCAGCTAGAGTTCCGGATTTAACGCTAGACTCATCGTTAGTCGATCTGACCATGTACATACTTTTATATAGATTTCTTTTCATGAGCGTTTTACCGACCCAAAAGTCACTTTATAACCCAACATATGCATTTGAAGATGTTACCTGCCAAGTTGCATTGGTATTGGTACCTGTGTGCCGCCCATCATACTCTCCGTGACCTACCGCTTGTTTAATCATGCGACCCGGTCATAGCCTTGCGTAGAAACTCCCCGAGCCCAGCTGCTCTTAGAATTTTACTCATTTCTTCCGAAGTATCAACCTCGATGACCGTAAAAGGACCTCCCAGCCGTCCCGTTTCTTTTTTGCAGGATTTATTCTTGCAAACGTCATCGGGGATGGTCTCCTGCACGTTACGTCTGACTTCGACAGACTGCCATTTCATACGCTTGATTTCCTTCACATATAGACGGATTGAAGAGTCTTCACCTTCGATGTAGAGGAATCCAGGATATCCGGGTTTGCACACTCCCCTAATATCCATAGACTCTGCCATAGTTCGTATAGATTTTCGCTTTAATTTCGATCGGATATGATGGAACATGAAGAAGACTCTTCTAAAAATCATAGCCTATGCTTCAGTGGATAGCAATTGACTTGCGGTCGTGATGTTGACATGCCATGCGCGTGGGCTGTTTTTGCGAGGTCTTCATGTCAACTGCAAGTCCTGGCCGAACTAGCTAAGCTGCCTAACAAAACAGTTTTACTCTCAACACCATATCCTTGGAGGACGAGAAATCTCCCCATCCCGGTGTATACTATGCATAGCATCTTGATGAACCCGCTCTGTAGCTTCAAAGAAGCAAAGTAGATCTTGATTGCACGCGACCAGAATCATAATTGATAGCATAGGCGTTATAGTATCCAAACATGACGTTGTCGGGTCCGAGTTCTCGTTCTCGCTAACTAGCTCTGGTTCAAACCAGTAAGAACCGCCGGTATCTTCACGTTCAACGTATTCCATGCCGCAGCCAAGACCTCTTTACGTATACATTGCATCTCAGGGTTTAGCTTCTCGCATCCCGCGAGGGCCGCGGCCGATTTGTAGCTATCAATAAAGCCTCTTCCCATGATGTAGCGCTCTTTCTCATTCTACAATTACCTCAGCTTAGCTTTCAATCTCTTGCAATTGTATTACATCTTCGCGCAATGGACGAGTCCTTCATCACCGCTCCCGCTTGCGCTGCTGGCCCCACTCGCAAACTTCGTAGCCATCCACGTTTAGATTCCTTCTGCGATGAACATGGTCGACATATCCTGCTACGTGGTCTGAATGTCGAAGCCACGGCGAAATTTCCAAAGAACGCCCCGGTAGTCGGAACCGCCGAGTTCTACGATAGCGATAAGGTCAGCTATGTCGGCCGGCCGTTTCGCACCATTGAGAGAGCAGACGAATGGTTTAGGCGGATGGCGAAATGGGGAGTCAATGTTGTTAGGTTCCTCGTAGTTTGGGAAGCATTGGAGCCCAAGAAGCTGTACGTGATACAAATGATGCCATTGGGATAACCTTATGCCTAAACTTCGCGAATGACAGGGGTGAATACGACGAGGAATACATAGACTACATTGTCGCCGTTCTAGAAAAGGCTCGTGAACATGGCGTCACAGTCTTCATTGATGGTCACCAAGATACGGTATGTGTAGGTCGGGATCATAATTTTGGAATGTCGTTCTGATTTCTCTTTATCATAGTGGTCTCGTTTCTCGGGCGGTTCTGGCGCTCCCCAATGGACTTTCAAGCTTGCTGGTCTGGATCCTAAGAAATTTAGAGCAACCGGCGCCGCAGCCCTTTATACCCCAGAATCCGAAGCCGCACCGAAGGAAGAGAAGCCGTTCAAATCGCCTTCCGACCGATTATGGCCCACGAACTATGGCAAGTTTGCTGTGCTTACCATGTTCACGCTCTTCTTTGGGGGTGAGAAATGGGCACCGAATTGTCTTACACCTGAAGGAGAAAACGTGGGAACCGTTTTACGAAGAGCATACTGCAATGCGTATGCTCGTTTGGCTTTCCGGTTGAAGCACTTGGATAACATCATTGGATTTGACCCTATCAATGAGCCAGTCCCGGGATATATCGGTCTCTTCGCCCTCACAGAGTTCAACGAGAATGTCTATTTGCATTTGGGATATATGCCAAATGCAATACAAGGGATGGCCCTAGCAGGGGGCGCGAGGGTCGAAGATGTTTATATATACCGTCGGTCGTGGCCTGGTCCGTCGGTTCGGCCGATGTATCCTGAGGTTGCCCTGAATAGCAAGCATCATAAGGCTTGGGTGGGGCCAGACATTTGGAAAGATCTTGGAGTCTATAAGTTGGATTCCAAAGGAAATCCTGTACTGGGTGAGAAAGGGTATACTTACTTCAGGAACGAGCATGATACGGGAGAACCTGTTAATTTCGAAAGAGGTATTGCCCAAAATTCGAACATCCTGACTATAAGATATATTGTAGCTAACAGCCCTGACAGATTATTATGTCCCGTTCGTTCGGCAATACCAGGCTGCAATCAAGAAAGCCTTGGAAGGCGGCAAGGCCTCCGACTGGATGTTCGTAGAACCGATTCCAAATCTTGATCCACCAACCTTCAAACCACATATCCATCTTCCACCAGGTGGGGATGCTGGATTTTCGTCGGCAACAGGGCTATCCGATGAGATCGCGACGCATGACAACCTAGTGTATGCACCTCATTGGTACGATATCCGAGTGCTGTATGAGAAGGCTCTCTGGTACACTGTAAACTTCAATGTTACGGAGCTCGCAAAGGTAGAACAAACAGACCCCGCTCTTCCGCTAATGGTCCTTGAACTAATTTATGCAATTACAGGGCTCTCGTGAGATGGGATCACTTACATTCTATGGAAAATCAGGCCTCAAGGATAACTATACCGCTCAGTTCGCTACCCGTGTCGAACAGCTCGCTGTCTTTAGACCTCCTCATCCAGAAACTCAAGATGTCGATACGGCTGTGAATAAGATCAAGAACACCCCAACTCCGTTGATGATTGGAGAAACCGGCATTCCTTTTGATATGAACAACCAATCCGCCTATGAAGACGGAAATATGCACACCCAATTGGTGATGATGAATGCCATTTGCGGTGCTATGGAGAGGCTGATGATGAACTGGACCCTCTGGACCCTATCTCTCGAAACCGACTGCCTTCGTAACGCAGATGGCACCCTCGGTGCACCATTCGCCTGCGGTGATGGTTGGAACAGTGAAGACTTTTCTGTTGTCACCCGAGACCCAGCTATGACTGAAGTACCTTTCGACCCTTCAAAGCAAAGTCCTCTACCACCAGTCAATGACAATGGACATATACTTACCCGTGGACGAATGTTCGGAGAGTTGTACAAAGGTTGTCGAGCTACTGGATCGTGGGTACGGCCGTATGCTCCAAAGACGGCTGGAGACCCAAAGAATGCGGAGTTTGATGCACATGAAGCTATTTATAAGATGACATATTCTGCTTCCAACGGCGATACGGAGATTTCAAGGACTACTGAGATATTCGTCCCGGTTTACCATTATATGCGACGAGAAGTTACTCTGACGTGGTCCGTAGTAGGAGCGGATAAAGTCATATTGGAAGAAAATACTCATAAAATCAGTGCAGCCGATGATGCGCCATTTACTTACAAAAAAGATCAGGGATACATGGAGTTGGATTATGATATCAAGCAACAGATGCTGAAGATCAAGCATGAGAAGAAGGCAGCTGAGTGTTTGATCACTGTCGAATTGAAAGCGGAGCTAGAGCCGAACACGGGCCCTTGGTGGGCATGGAGATGGCTAAGGATGTTCTTTGGAAGTTTTCTATAATCATAATATAGCCTGAATAATATGTCATATATTCGTCTTGGATGATGATGGGTATGACGAATGTCTCTTGATCATGACTCGAACTCGCGCTCGAGTGGGATAATGGAGATACATTGAACATATAGACATGCGGGACGCGGTCCGAGTAATTGCATATCGAATGATCTTTTATGATTCTCAGGAACCCAATGCATTCTAGACACTGCTGACATGGCATTGCAGCATATATAGACGGCCTATCGGACAGATGGCCAAGACGGTTCGTAAACTGTATACACGACGCACTGTCATCATGAAGCCGAATTTATCCAACAATCTACAACGCAATTCGCATATCTTCAAAGTTGTATTACTAGATAGGCCGTCGTCTCCCAAATAAGGATACGAGTTTCATAATTCCATCCCTCTCTCAATGTTATGCACCACCTCAGCCTATTTTCCCACGAGCAACTTTAAAAAAAAAATTTGAACCGCGGGTATGCATATATACGATACTCTTTCGGATAACTTGCATGAGGCGTTTCAACAGATTGGACGAGAGAAAGAAGCCTTTTTTCAAAAAATTTTCATCATGATTCCTATTCTCCTTCTATGGGAGGCCTGAGCCACTAAAACGACAAGAAAGAAATCCACAGGTTACAGGGTCGTATTTGATTTCGATTGGATGGCAAAGTTCATCCTTGCCATGATCCCCCACCATGTCGGCTTCCTTCGCTTCAAGGGACATTATCAACCCGAGCGAGCCCCGCTCAACTAAGTACTAAAAGACTAGTAAAGACTCAAGCTTCTTTTCCGCTTAGCTTGAAGGATTCTTCTCGAAGCTCTCTTAAATTCAGGCTAAATTACCACGAGTTTGCATTTGGACTGGGGGGGTTTCAAATTCTGTAGTGATCTTTTCGGAGGCAATCCGTCCTCCAAGTATTACACCATCGGAAACAACTTGCTTACGTAGACGATCCTGCTTTTCGATGGAAAGCTTAGCAAAAAACTTTTCTAGTTAGATTACTAGTATTTGTTTATTTCATGTAGCTAGCGGATAAGTCAAATCTAATGCTTAGGTTAAAACAGTTTAGACGAACACTAGTCCTCTATCAGGAGAACTGCAGATTGGCAATTACGCTGCTACATCGGCACAAGTAAAGGAGAAGGGGCTTTAACCAATTTCTCTCAAGCTATACTAAACGTTTAGACATCTACTTAAACCCTCGAAATAGACGAGTCTACGAAGCCACTTTTACTAGAAGAATCCTCGCGCCTCGTTGTAGAATCCAAAGTGCACTACGGTTATGGGAAAAGAAGGCAATTGGTTTATATAACGGGGCGTCCGGACGATCAAAATTGGGAATAATACCGATTATTGTCTGTATTCATTCGTTTTCTGTTTCTCTTTTCAATACTTTGCTGGTTCTGTGTCTGTCTGTGTTTCTCTCTTGTGTGTGTTCAGATATAATTGTGTTACATGGGGATTTGTTTGTGTGTTCTCTCTTTTTTTTTTCATCATTCTTCATCGTTTCCTGAAATTTCGAAGAATCTATATAGGAAAACAAAACATCTGCTTAAAGGAAGGTTATAAGGAAAAAGTTGGGTGGAGGACGAAAGGAAAAGTCCCAAATTTGGAAGACTATACACAAAAAAAAAAGGAGGGAGGCGGAAGGGAGAGTATCAAAAAGCAAGAACCAAATATTACTCTCGAGAATTGGAAAGCATTGTTGACAAGGAAACCCCAAAGAACAAGCCAATGCAACCAAATTCATCGAGAGAGGAGGGGGAGACAAAATGGCTCAAGGCTCCTTCTGTAGATTGTGTATAATAAATGAGCGTAGAATAGCTCATGAATGGGATTTTGTTTTTTTCACTAATCGTTCAACCGCCAGCATCAAAAACAACTAAGGAAATTAAGGTAAATAAGATAAAATAAAATAAAATAAAGGCAATTCATTAGACATGAATCTTCTACTCTGCGCGGTCGAGGAAGATCTTGTGTGGGAGCCAGTCGTCACCGCAAACCTTGAAGCGGTCCTTGAGGGTGTCAAGGGCCTTCAAGTCGTCCTCAGTGAGGACGAGGCCGTCAACCTGGAAGTTGGAGACAATGCGGGATTCGGTGACAGACTTGGGGATAACGGAGTATCCATGTTGGAGACCCCAGGCGAGGAGAACTTGCTGGATGGACCTGCCGTGCTTCTGGGCGATGCCAGCGAGGGTTTGGTCCTTGACGAGAGGAGAGTTGGTGGAGCCGAGGATGGAGTATCCGGTAACGTGGATACCCTTCTCAGCGCAGAACTTGGTGAGGCTGTGAGTGGGGTTGTTTGGGTGGAGTTCGACCTGGTTAACGGCCTATATCAAGATAAATTTGTGAGTAACTCTATTTTTTTATATATAATTTTTATGTTTTTTGGGGTGGGTTTTTAGTGACATACTGGGGTGACCTTGGCGTGCCTTAGCAGCCTGTTGAGCTGTGTGATATCAAAGTTGGAAACACCAACGTTCCTGACCTGGGACTTTGGAAGCTTCTCCAATTCAGCCCAGGCATCAAGGTAGTCGACATCGGTGTAAGCGACGGGAGGGTCGGCGGGAGCAGAAGCTGGGTTGCCCTCCTCAGATGGGGCGGTGGAGCATGGCCAGTGCATAAGGTAGAGGTCGATATATTCGACACCCAAGCTGTTCAAGCTGGAGGCGAGACCCTCCTTAACGTGCTTGTGCCATGTGTTATCGAGCTTGGTGGTGATCCAGATCTCCTCACGTGGAACGCCGGAGTCCTTGATTCCCAAACCGACTTCTCGCTCGTTGCCGTAGGCGAGAGCACTGAGATGTGACGTAATTAGCGCTATATCCCCCAGATGAACATATACATAATCGCATACGAAGTAGAAGTGGAACATACGTGTCGATGTGTCTGTAGCCGGCCCTCAAGGCGGCGGCAACAGCATTTCTGACTTCACCTGGCTTGGATTGCCAGGTTCCCAAACCGACGGCTGGGATCTTGTCGCCGGTGTTGAGTGTGTAGGATAAACTGGTGAGCACAGAGCGTTAGCGTCAAAAACTCATGAACGAAAGAAAGAAAGAAAGAGAGAAAGAAAGAAAGAAAGAAAGAAAGAAAGGAGGAGAACATCGACATCTCGTCCTAACGAGGCGAGGAGGGAATGAAAACATCGATCCAAAAAGCAGGATGGGGATAGTAGAGAAAAAGACATACGAAGTCCACTGTCCGTCAGACATTTTTGCAGCAATGGTATAGAATCGAGGTCTATTGATATCTACAATTTGAGGTTGAATATGAACACGAACGGTGGTTTGGAATAGTAAACGGGTCGTTGGGAGTTTGAAAGATCGAGGAGCTCTGAAGTTTAATCGGGCTGGGAAAAGTAGCATCTTGAGAGCTTTATATATCCATGCAGAATGGCCACCAGCAAAGCAAAGCAAAGCCAACCACCGCAAGATCTTTACCTTTACCCTGGACTAATGTCTTATTGGCTAGCCTTTTAAGTCTCGAGCAAAAGCAACTGTCTTGATGAGCGGCGGCATGGCGGATGGCTAATGCGCGTGCTATCCTTAAGGGTAATTTAATTGATTTTAATTTAGATTCAACCGCAAAAATCTTTCTCCTCTTGCTGCTCCGTATGGGCTTCGGCATTCACTAACGCTGTTTCTTACAACAGGGCCCATGGTTAGCACACTATAGCTGCTCATTGATATCGAGCTCGGGCACTGCCATTGTCATTGCATTGCATTGTCATCGCCATGATTGTGGATATATCCCGATAGATTGCTTATCAAGCCGGTGCATACTCTCGATCGAATGAATCAATTGATCAAATGCATATGAATGAATGTCTCCGACTGGCTTCCTCCAGGGTCCCTACGCATTCCCGCTGTAATGTTCATGTATACAGCTGTGCTTCCTGCTTCCTGCTTCCTGCTTCCTGCTTCCTGCTTCCTGCTTCCTGCTTCCTGCTTGACACCTGCAGCCGCCGTGCACTGGCACCCCCCGGATGCTAGATGATATCTAGATACATATCACACTAGTATACTGGTTCTGCGCATTCTGCACACTAGCAGAATTGAAACCTCCCTAGGTTGCAACAGCCTGTAACGATCAGAGGCACCGAAGTAAAAAAAAGTGGGGAGAGAGAAACAAACGAAACGTATTCGATTGTCAATTGGAGGCGGGAGTGATGCAACGGCGCAGGTGCGTCGACGTCCGCAATTACCCACATTTAGCCTGAATTCCCCCACCTTTTTGGCTTGCCAAAATACGATCTTTGCGCAGGTTAGGCTAGTTAACCACGAGCATGGTCCTGACGGCTAACATCCTTTAGCGACTCTTAATCCCGTGCTCACATTGGACAGCAAACTCTGCCGAGACGAGTTATAGCTACCTATATTGGCCCTTAGCCGTCATGGTCGTCCGATCAATGGGAGTTCCGAATACCATAACGAGCAGCTCAGCTGACATATTTCACAGAAATGAAGCTTTCCTGCCCCTCTTCCTGGACTATTTCTCTTCAACAGAAGCCGGTGCCATGCCGAACTTGGACCAAAAAGCCCTACCCTGGCAGGAATAAGGAACCCCACGATGCCAGGTCCCGACCTGCTTCTACCGAAACTAAAAGGAAAAATCAAACGGCCAATAATAGTACAGGCAATGTGGTCCCTTTTGAATCGAATCATCCTTATTATTATTATATATTTTTTCTTTCTATCGCCTTCGAATTCCCCCAAGACCGGCCTTGGGCCCTTAGCCAACGTGTTTGGTGGAGAATGTCCCCACGAACTTAAACAATTTTTCCGGATTATTTAGCGGACTGCCGGAACGAATTTTGCCGCATGCTAAAAGAGAATCCCTATCCAAAGAACCGGGAGAGCTCGACCGAAGGGTCAATATATGTACCGCGCAAGGCTTGAGGCCGGAAGCGTGGCCATGGGATATGCGAAACACTCCGGCACTGTGTTGAGGCAAAATCCAATATTTTAGTTCGCTATTGATCTCCAGTGCCGTGGCATCTTCTAATATCTTTCCCCAACTAAGTCAATCAGGGTGACAGCGAAACAAAAAAACCTAGTTGAAAAATGTTTAAAAGTCGGGGGCCATCGCTTTTACCCATCGCGTAGGTATTCTGCCTAATTCACCCTTATCCAGGTCACGGAGGTAAGTTGCGAGGCTAAGAAGTTCGGAGCTCGATTGTGGCGGTCTACTGTGTATAGGCACGTTCCGAAATCATTCCGAATAATCTGAAACCTTTATAAGTTTAAAGACGAGACTCCCCGGATCGATGTGCATTTTGTATCAGGATTTACAGGAGCTTACACTAACTACCTGTTTTTTTTTTGTCTGCTTAACAGTAATCAGAAAGTATTGTCGAGTTCTGAACTATCCAGCTGACCTAATTGCTAGGTATTACAGGGTTATACCTTAATAGTAGACCTGCCGTGTCACGTATAGGCAGAATATCTTATATTAATATAGGTAACCCAGTTAAGAAACCACATGTCTGAATAGTATGTCCGGACAAACATGATCGAACATCTGTATCTAACTTTAGACCTCCATAAGCTGGCATTTATGAGCGGTAACTAGGTATAATCTTCAATCAAGATGGCATTGCATTCGCTATCTCGCAAGGCGGAATTAAATGCATGGAATGCACCATGTGCACTGGCCATGCCACCCTTATAATTGTTATATATTATCGGCACACATTAGCCAAGAGATATACCTAGCGATGCAATAATACGGCTGAAGTCTTCCGAATATCAAATCTATTGGAAACGAACTAGTCTTCTTACCTGTCGGTGACTAAGCTTGGATTATTCGTATACGGCGGAGTCTGCCCATTTTAGGAATATATTAATATGTAAGTTCTAATTGATCGGCTTTGATATCGTTAATTCCTAAGTAACTCTCCGTATGCATGTGCTTTCATATACATTTAAATTCCTCAGTAACGTATCGGGCCTTCAAGCCACTGATCGGTTCAATCAATCGGAAACAAACGTCTTGCAGGGATAATAAACTTGAACGGTGGCTCGGGTATTAAGGTATACGTATTGATATCAAGTTCGAGTTAATTACGAATTTCTCATCTCACAATTTGTGAAACGTAGTTACGTGCTCCTTGTCAGACGTCAGGACGTATCCTTGTGGCCCATGTGCGACCTGGTGATTGTGCAACCTAAAATTACCACGTTGGCAACACACAGCCGCAAATGGCCCGTATAATATTATATCTGGCTGTATTGACACCATGGTCAGACAACCTTTCACGAATTCACTACTTGCAGCCTATACGTTTATGTTACAGTAAGTAATACCTCCAACCGCACTACATCCATTCATAACTCTATATCGAACAAATTTTCCTCTGGCAATTTTTCTGGGGGAGGCAAAGATCCACAGCTTCTTCGGCCAGGGTAGTGTGGCCCCCAGATACCTACACTGTAATCTCGTTCTAAGCGACGCCATCGTCTTTCGGCTTCAGTGGTGGCATCGGTGTCTTCGCTCCAATTTTCTTCGCTATGGCTATCTTTGCTTAAATCCTCCCCGACGCCAAATTCTTCAAAATCTTGCTCAAGATCAACCGATTTACAGTGGAGACGTTGGCAACATTCGCGATGTTGAATTGCGGGGTTCGCGGCCTCGTTATTTGGTGAGGGTAATGGGTCTTGTTCACCCGGAGGCATTGGATCTAGAAGCTGTAGGTTCGGCGGAGATGGATTATAGCCCGATGTCTCGGCCCATTCTCTCTCGTTTGATGGTGTGTTAATAAGAGCTTGGCTCCCTCCGGATTCCTCTTCATTAGGTGGTGATGTGTTCTGGCACTGCATTTCTTCTGTCCATTCCTCTGTTGGCAGCGAATTACCGCTGTGCGCTTCGAGCTCCTCTTTCACGTCTGGCGGCGGCGGTGGTAATAGTGGTAAAGTTGGTATTGCATCCTGACTTTGTATTTCTGTCGTTTCCCTTTCACTGTCCGGGAGCCCATACTCCGAAATAAGCGATATTTCTTCTTTATCGGGTATCGATCCGGGTCGGCTCTGTTCGTCTCCTGTTTCACCCCCAATTGGAAGTGCTGTATTATGAGTTTGCATCCCAACCACTTCTTCTTCACCATGTAGAGATTGCAACTGTGGGGATATTGGAGTGTCAATGCAGGGTTGTGTTTCTCCGGATCCTGTTATTTTCTCGATGGGGGGTGACGTCGGCCTGCTTGGAACAATCTCATAACTGCTAGGGGCAGATTTTGAGCGTAATGGTTCAAAAGGTTGGTCTGGAAGATGGCCCTCTGTAAGAGATGAGCCTCTAGATTCGATTTCTTTTTGCATTGCTGCCTCTCTTAGTTTTCTCCTGCGCACCGACCCCCCTCGCTCGTATAACTGGGGAAAATTATCTAAATCCAAGCGTGTCCGTGGTATCTTTTTAAAAACCAGTCGCGAGGATTTTTTAAAGGCGGCCTCCCCTCCTTCTTGAGCAGTGAGCTTCTCTTTCATTTCTTTCTCATGGTCGCAAGACAAAGTTTCAGCGGCCCCGGGTTTGCGAGATAGCGCCTGCCAGTGTTCAGCTGATGCTACGGCAGGTGTCTTACCCGCCGGCGATGTATCAAGTCGAGAGCTATCATTCCCTTCCGCTGTAGGCCCCAGTTTTTCCTGGTTCTCTTTAATTCTCCCAAGTTCTGCTGTAGATTTTGATGCTTCTCGGTCCTCTTTGACCTTTTCAGGTTCTGCTGCAGGTTCTAACGAGCTTTGCTCCCCTCCTACTTCCTCAACCTTTGCCGTAGACTCTGTAACCTCTTGACTCTCCTTTGCTTCTTCAGGCCTACTAGGAAGCTTCGTATTGAGCGCCCTAAAGGTCGGTTTCGCCGACCTTTGAGGTATGTCGGGCCTCGTTCCTGTATTAAATGGGGTTTTCCGGTTGTAAGCAGTTTGGGATGCCGCCGATCCAGGAACCCCGGTTGGAGTCGATGGTCCTTGGCTGGAACCAGCATAATGAGTCCCAGTATTGGAATCAGCAGCATGTATACTGTTCGAACTACCAAGTTGGTCTCGCCTAGGAAATATTTTACGCCAAGCGACGCTGGAGCCTGCTTTCAGCGGTCTCATGGCTAAAGTGTCCTTTGGAACCACTGGAGCTTTCAACTGGCTTTCAAACTTGCCCGCAAGCAATTGAAGGTCAGGGTTGATTCGCATCGTTTCTGGTTTCAGTATCCGCATAAGATCTTTGAATACCGTACTATCAATGTCGATACCCTCGCCACCTGTGTATTCGGTGTGAAGTACAGCTGTATTTCCTAACAATATGACCAAGGCACACATGAATGTGGCTTCAGGAACCTCCAACTTTCGCGCATGCTTCCTGAAGTCCTGGTGTAAGTTTAGGATTTGTGGTGTCCACCCTTTTATTTGCTGCATTTCGCATACTCCTGAAGCTTGGTACGGAATCCCTCGGTTCATACAGAAGAATCGAACCTCGTAGTCGTAGCCTTTGTAGATTCCAAGCGGGTATCCAAACGGGCCTTGTACGATTTTAGGCTTCAATATTGAGACTCTATTCGCCCGATGGTTCTCAAACAGATCCCAGATACTCTTAAGGTGACCTATTCCAGGTTTCTGGAGACCGATATGTCTAATATTACTTTCTTTTGAAACAATATCCGCGAAAATACGATAAAAGTTAGAGGCATAGTGGCGTGGTATATCTTTGAAATTTAGAAAAATGCAGTCAATATATGCGCAACTCCGAAGTTCTATGTTTTCCGGCTGGTTGATACCGGCTAGCCTATTTATTTGAAGGCATGAGAAGGCTGTTTGGATTTCATCTTCGCATATGCGGCGGAAATGGCTCAAGTCCTGTTGGGTAATCCTATTTTCATCTGGTGCTTTTAGTAGGATCTTTGGAAGAAAGCGCGGGACTGAAAACTGTATCTAGATTTTGCTCAAAATTTATCAACTTGGCATATGCATGCAACATGATAGACATATTTCAAATATATAATAGCTTACCCAGAGTTGGTCCCTGGTGATACCGGTAGCCCTCATCCCTCGTTCTATTCCATGGATAGCTCTAAAACGAGTCATATCTGGGTGAAATGGGGGCATATCCGTAGCCATGTTGACACACGATGTAACATCTATCGCTCTATGATGTGATCATGATAAGAAGAGTGGTCTGGTACTTAGCCCTCGCGTGTGATACTCGGAGCTAGCTCGACGGCCGTTCACATTAATGTTTGAGCTTACCTAAATCCGTGCATGATTGCTCCCATATACTTGAAAAAATGGACATCGTCCGACTTTATACTGGTAGAAAGACTTCGGATCATACAGGGCATCCGGGATCTGCAAGGGTATCGCTTATGATCGGTGATCAGAATGGAAGGAGCCAGTAGCTTAATTCTGTTGAAGTCGTCAAAGGAATTGTTCAAAAGGTCCAAATTTACACGCCGGTGTTCGGGAGGGGGTGCCATATTGGTTTAATTAGGAGGTAATTCTGAGATATAGTAGTAGAAGAAGTTTCATAGATCAATTCATGGTGGTTAAGTTAGAATCTGCATTAAGATTACAGAGTTCCGATAACGCGCATTTTATTACTGATTTAATGGTTTTCAATGACATTTGAATGATATGCATATGTTGGGATTTCATATCAAAGGTTTATCTCGCAGATCGTAGATGTAGCGCATTCAATTCATTACTTTGTCTTATGGACAAGCTTAAGTCAGAAATAAACTATCTAGTTGCGCAATTGCGAATCTAGAAACTATATAAAACCCAAACATGGACTAACTCATGGACTTTATAGTGGAAAAAGAGATATGTACTCTAACCTTCTAGTTATATCCGCTGGTCTTGGTTTAGAACGTCGCATCAGGATCTCGGACAATTACAAATCCTGAGTCTCCGAGATTCTAGCTACTAATTTGCTAGCTTTGACCTTTTGTTCCTTCAATCTATTCAACCCTTCAGGAATACCGTTCAATCCACCGGCCAACACTTCAACTGGATGAGTCTTAAACCTGCCTTCCCTCAAAAGCTTCTCCAAATAACTAGAGAAGATCTGAACGAAATCCTGATCTGCCTTATATTCTTCTTCAGTGTTGAGTTTTGGGTAAACCTTGTGACCGCTGCCAACATATGCAAACTTCAACTTGTGACCATTCGAAAGTGCTTCCTTATACGGGAGGATACCGACAAGCTTGCCATTCGGTGAAAGGTTAGCAGCGAGTGGTTCTGCGGAAGGATGCTCGGAGAATGCATCAAAGGCATGGTGCAATTCCTTGCCGTTAAGAGCCTTCTTGATATCTTCGGCGATGTTTGGATTGTTTCTGTAGTCGATAATAACATCGGCAAGATTATCCTTCTCGATGATATCCTTGCTACCTCCAGCGATAGTGATCAGGGGAGAGAAGCCACTGAGACGGGCGAACTTGAGGGTGGTAAGGCCAACGGAGGTACTACCACCATAAACCACAAGTGGGATAGACTCGCCACTCGGTCTAGACCATGGAGCTGGAAGAGCGAGTTCTTGGTACAATGAGATAGCCGCAGTGTAAGCTACAAGTGGGATTGTAGCAGCATCCTCAAAAGAAAGCGAAGATGGGATGTGGAAAGTAGTGGTTTGTGGGGCAATTGCATACTCGGCGAAAGATCCGTTTTCAGTTAGCATGACGTGGAAGGCAGCGACACGATCGCCCGGTCGAAAGGAAGCTACATTTTCCCCGACAGCATCGACTGTGCCGGCAATATCGTCACCAGAATTGAAAGCCTTTTCAGCGTTGATGTACTATACGAATTGGATGTTCGTTTAGAATCGATATTATAAGCTTGTGAGGAAGGCTCTAGCATACCTTCCAATCCTTAGGATTTGTGCCGGTAACGGCAACTTTGATAAGAACATCATTGGGGCCAGGAGTTCTATATTTCGACTCGTGTTAGTATCAAGTATATATCGTAGAGTTTTCAGCATGAAGACTTACGGCTTTGGAACCTCGACAATTTGGCCGACGACCTTGCCATTGGCATCATTCTTAACTTGAAGTTCCTTCATTATGAAAAAAGAGAGCGGTTGTTATTGATTTTAGTATAAATTAAATGGTCAAAAGAAAGCGGGATCACTTGGATGTTTGAAGCTATATATATCTGATCGAACTGAGTCGAGGTTTAGATATTTGATAGACAGCTTCTGGGAGGAAAAGACCAGAATTTATAGACTTTCGATAGTCTCTTGGCTTCCCCGAGTCTGTCTGAAGTTTCTAACCCATTGGCCCCTTAGATAGTAGACAGAAGAAGAAGAATGACGTTGATAGCACGTACTAACGAGTTTGGATATCGCCATATGTCAATTCAAGACGTTTGGAAATACCGTCCCCGCGAGCCGACGCAAATGACTAGTGCTCAAAGGGGCATTCGTAATCGCAAGACGGGCCGGCCGGTGTTCTTAGTAAAGAAATATACTTTCCGACTAAACCAAGGCGAGTTGGGAAAGTGGAGAACCCGATGATAACCCTAATTTGATTTTAGTAACTTAACTGGAAGATTAAGTAATTTTGCCCTTTGGGGATTCGGGGTCTTTGAGCCTTTTACCATGATATCAAAGGAGCTCAAAGAGCTATAGCATGTTTCGATATATATATCCAATATCAATTTTGAGACCAAAGCCACCAATGCAAGGTATATGCGAATTTTTGGATATTGTATAATAGTGTCTCGACTCTGCAGCTCTGATTGGTGAACTCGATTCAATTTGTGACGTTCTATGCATAGATGTTGGAAGGTTTATGTATCTGGATTATAGATGCTTCCATCGATATCGCACGGTATCCCTCGAGTTCGTCCGAGATCAGGTGCAATGAGACTAACTAGATATCATGTCACGCAGTTGCACTGCTAAATTATAAAATCCAACCATACACACTCGACTCATGTAGTTTCATAGCTATGTGTAGCTGCACCGCCGGAGCTTGTTAATATCCCGATCGGGCGACGTGCAGAGGTGGCCTGTGCATTCAAATGATTACAAACAGCCCCGCGCTTTCATCGGCTGGCCCGGAGTCTCTTACATACACACAGTGGCCAGCTGCCAGGTGAGACGAGACGAGCGAGAAATCAGGCCACCGCCACGGATAGGCCAGCCCTACCGAACCTCGAATTTCCTTTCGTAAAAATCTTAAATTCCATCTACTTCAGTCGATTTTTGCCGGAACGGAAGCTTAGCCATCGCCGGCTCTTCCCCGAAGGATGTTTCAGACGTCCGCTTCGGCGTATCGAGGGAACACGGCCAGCCAGAAGCCTTCTTCTGCCGACAACAACGCACGCAGCGACGCGCTCAAGTCTCAGGGCAATATCTTCTTTGGCAAGCAGTACGGAACCCCACCACCACCATTACCACCACCACCATAATCATTTTACCTACTTCCTTCTTTCCAATCCAATTCAATCCATAGACCGATCGATTCGATAGAAGATTATTTAGTCAGTTAGTTTGTTGGGGCTTATGTTGACAGGATAACTAATCATCATCACTATCGTCGTCGTCACTTGCATCAGGGACTTCCAAGCCGCCCTTACAGCATACTCGCAGGCCATCGGATTCAATCCTCGTTCGGCTGCACTCTATTCGAACCGTTCTGCGACATATCTCCAACTGGGACAGCTCGAACAGGCCCTAGCTGATGCTGACAAGGCCGTCCAATTTGACCCGACATGGAGCAAGGCCTACCGACGCCGAGGCAATGTCCTCGAAGTTCTCGACCGACTTGACGAAGCTATCGATGCTTACTGGGAAGGAAGGAACAATGAAACCGATCAAGCTGTCAAGGCGGATCTGGCACGGATGATCGCAGCGGTGGAGAGGAGAATCGAGGAAAGGGCTGAGCTCAAGAGGAGAGGAGGAGACGATTCGGTGGGTATTCAGTCGCTCTCCCACTATATTATTGGCACACGTGGGGATCTACGGCCTCACGGGAGCTCATACGGAGACCCGTCTGGGATTAGATATGACATACGACCCTACGGAGCCCCCCCGAATATGGATAGCAAAGCAAAACAAGAAGACATGCTAACATCATGACAAGATCATGTCGGTAAACGACGCTCCAGCAAAACTTATCGCCCGGGAAATCGACCGACGGATATCCAAGGGAGAGGCACCAGGCCAATGGCCACCTCTTGGTAGTGCCGCCAGGAGACTTTGGACTGCCGACATGCAATATACAGAAGCTCTACGTCAACTTTCGCAGTTTCAGAAGCATGACCTACCAGCTGCTGCTAATGCCCCGCCTGGTGCGTTTGGTATTTCTGGACCGCTTCAAACGTTGGCGGATTTGACGTCTGTTGCCATGGAGGATTTCAAAGTCGTCTACTTTGGAGAGGGAGATCTGGAGAAGTTGCAGTTGTGCTATATGCTGGAACAGCAGCAAAGGAACGCCATTGGTGACAATCTAAACCCTGTTCAGGCAATAGCAGAGTACAAAAAAAGGTTGGACAAAGGAACAAGCTGGGACGTCATACGACCTGCACTGCAACTAAGTATACGTATGTTGATATCGCCTAGTCTCAAAATACGGTCATACGTTAATACCGGGTGGTGACATAGGTGCTGCCTTCATGAATGGGATAATCAAGGACGGCTTCCTTGAGCCTCGTCTGCCTAACGGTACTACTCCAGCAGTCGATGACTTCCGCCGTGCAGTAGACTTGACTGAGGAGGCCCGCCGTGTTTTCAACAATGTGCCTGGTCACATTCGTGGTCGCACACTTGAGGTATTCATCCACCTTCCTACTCACATACTGACACCATATTTACATGATGATTAATACTAGATAACATTCCTTCGAGGCCTGAAAATACGTCTTGGCGAAGCTCTTATCAAGCTTTACAACCACACTGACCCACCATCCCTCCCAATCATCGAAGAAATCAAAAACATCGGTGACTATATAGTCTCCTCCTGCAACACCTCACCATTACCAGAAGTCGAGCCACCAACAAACCAAGAAACAACAGAACGATATTGGGATCTCTACGTCCCTCATTGGGGCTACCCGCGTGCAATGGGTCACATATTTAGAGGAATGGCGTACATGCAACTCGGACTTCACTGGAATAGAGTTCAGCTAGACAGTAGAACAGGAAAGAAAGGACCATCGACAGGTAACATGGGAGATCTACGGACTGCAGCTGAAGAGTATGTTTCTGGTGCTGCTTGGCTACCAGATGACGATGTAGATGCTACGAATGCTTTGTGGATGGCGATATTTTGCATGGTTCGTCGAGGAGCGTATTATCTTGGCGATCTACAACTTCTCAGAACTATGGCATTACATCAGCAGGGGCTGTGGGGTCCATGGTTTGGAGCGGATTATATCCCTGCTGGCCATAGCGGAAAATTGGCGAGTAGTGAAGCGCTTCGACAGAGTGAAGGAGCAGACCCCGACACCATATGCTCGCCGCTGGTAGAATGGAGTGAAGGTGTTGAGGTTGATCAAGATATTCTAGGAGAAGTGCTCATGCCATATATTGGTAGAGCTTTACAAACTCCGGAGAAAGATGGCGGAGGAATGATCATGCTAGGAAAGATTATTAGGAGTATCTGGGAAGAAAGGAAACGGCTAGGAGAACCAAGGGTTGGGGATTTATGGGACGGGTTGCCCAGCAGAATTAGAGTCGAATGGGAAGGGGTGTGGAAAATGTACGAGAAAGAACGACTAGAGAGCCGCCAACCTGGGTTGGCAGAGAGTCTGAATAAGATATCTCTGGCAGAGAGGGTTGTTTAATGAGCGACTGTTAGGTGTTTCAGGGGTGTTCACGGAGTGTGTCGTTCGGTATGTTGCTTGTTTTTTTTTTGGCCTCCTCATAATCATCATTATCGTCACCATAACTTTCCAAAATATGGTGCTCTACTCTGTTCTAAATTCTATGACGAGCGTTAAGCTGTCCTCTACCCTTCATTTTTATACGCGCGGAGAAGAACCTCCCCGTAGAAGATTTGACTATATACCTTTTATGTCATTTTAGACTAGCTTTGGGCATAGAGGGCTCCGAGACTAGGCATAGAGCTAGTTTTCTACCAAACCTTCCGACCCAAATGTAATATAAACACGGATATAGGCTTTAGAACCGTAGAAACCTTTCTCCTGGTAGGACTATAGCAAGGCATGTAATGTAAGGCTTCTAGGACCTACTTACTGTATCTATCCTCTACGAAAATATCAGTCAGACTGCCATACGCTTCCTTTATTATTATAGGGATCTGAGACCAAACTCTCTACACTTCACCCATGCACTCTAAGGAAGCGGAATATATATATTTCGTTGGTTCCGAACACTATTTGTTTTCGGTAACACAGCCCTCCGAATCCTCAAACCCCCTGGTCATGTTCACACCTGGCACATTTTTTTTCCCCTTTCGAAGTCTGGTTTGAGACAGGACGTAAATGCTATCATATAAAATCATACCAGGCTGCTATAAATTGAAGCACCACTCCTACTGTTTTCGCTTCATAAGATGAGATCGCGCAAATGGAGCCCATAAATATTACACTCAAGGTCACACAGAGTGATAGATAAAGTCATTGTTTAAAGAAGCTTACTTCGCCGGCGTCATCTATTTGCCTCAGATTGATGAAGTTTCGTGATGCAGAATCGTCTCTTTTAACTAATATATTGGCCTCTGATCTAGATATCCTCCTTTCAAAGCTATCACACAATGGATGGTGAATGAAACGCAGCCTACAGTTCTTCCATATAGCTGGGCAAACTTCCTTAAACTTGGATAGCACAAACTGTCGGCGTGATGAACTAGGGATTATATATATACTTCCGTATAGACCTGAAGGCCTATCACCATCATCCCGCGGAATCCAATGGACAGATGGTTCTGTACAAGAGGTATATGTTAAGCCCCAAATGGCCTACACAGCTAGTCCACACCTAGATCGATGTGGCATCCACTATAAAATCGTTCTTCATACGCTATCTGCCTAGAAGATTATGATATATATTCTCGTATATTTGCGTAGGTACTCTCTTTCCTCGCTAAAACTACGGGAACGAGGAGATACGCCGTATTACATGCAAGTCCAATAAAACCGTTTAATTAGTACTAAAATTGCGATGGAAATGCGAAAGTAGACTTTAAAGCTTTTGGTCAGTTAATTGCATGCATCGCCGTATGAGTAATAAAAAGGATCCCAAAGGTTACGTGCGCAGTCGCATTCATATGGCGTACTTGGTTCTCCATAAGCTTATATTAATATATTTACCTAGGTACAAATTATATTAATATAACACTCGAGAAACCATAAGAAATGGTGACTGGAAACGAATAAAACATCGCCAAAATTAATGTATTTGGATCCGGCCATGGATGTTAAATTAATAGTCTCGTTCTCGGAAGCTACAAGGTGGTGTTACAATTATTCCTTTACTTTTCCATAATCTGGTCGATTGTATAATTAAGTAGCGCTATAGCTATCAATTAAATTTATAAACTATATGAAAATTTGAAAAGGAAAAAAAAAGAAGAAGAAGAAAAAAATGAAGTAAAGAAAATCATGACCGCGACTGCAGCGCCCTACACTCGAAGGCTGAAGCCCAGAAATTTCTGGGGAACTTTTCCGTATGTCTCTCTGGCGGTGTCTCTACAGGTAACGGTGGGCTGGGGACTGACTCCCGTTCTTTGCTTCGCTTGACACAATTTCTAGGAATGTGCAAATATATGTTAAATCGGTGAAGTATTCAAAATCGAGGGGAAGCGCTACTTACGCAATTACAACCACGCCGGCCATAAAAAATAGTACAGGGAACAGAACAGCAAAGGACCATACCGGGAAACCTAAACTCGTTGGTCGAAGATCACCTTAGTGTATGTTAAACTGCTATTTAAGAACTAGAAAGAATCACCTGTAGGCACTTTAGAACTCTTTGGCTTGCTTCGTGGAGGGGGGTTTGAGGCCGTCGGTTTTCCAATTTTCGTTCCTGAACGCGGACCAGGAGCCTTAATAGTAGGAGTCTCAGAAGGATCCGGTAGTTTGAATTCTTTTGTTAACGTTTCGGGCAGTATATAACGTACAGAACTGTTGGGATCGGGTGCTCTGGATTCCCATGGACTGAAGGATGAAAACTCCGAAGGCTCAGAATTCGAATCGGTTTCAGGCACTTCTAACCTTCGGCCCGTTGTTGTCACACTAGTGGAAGTGACTGTAACCAGGGCCCTGATGTCGGTATTGTGGTTTTTAGTGCTATTAGTAGACAAGGCTGTTATGAATCTCTGTGAAAAAAATGCATGTCCATAAGTAAGTTAACGTTCAGTGGAATAGGTCAGACCTGTACATAGCTCCCTGTAAAATGAAGCCGTTACATCTCTTTGATCGAAATCCAATAACTTTCAAAGACGAGAGTAGTAAAATTCCAACGACTTGCAATCTCTTACGAAATTTTGTGTAGGGCTGGGGATGAGACAACTAGTCTGACAAGATCAGGTTATTTCTAACTTACAGTTTGTGCCGAAACAGAGTCCGGCAATGCCATCGCCGCTATAACCAAGGCAATCCAAGTTGTTTTCCACATGGCCAGGGGCTATAAGTTTCTGATATCTTTAGAACAATCTAGGTGCGGCTGCGGCTGCTGCTGAAAGGGCCAGTGTTGCATTTTGTACCTTATATTTATATAATTAAGTATATGCTATCAGGGCACAGGTATGCTATTGGGATTTTTGTTCCGAATTCGACCCCCAATCAACTAACTAGAACTCGATAGATTAGGATACAAAACATCCAAAGCTACTGGTCGAGACCTGTAGAGTTGAAAAAGAACCTTGCACGGAGTTAACTATCATCGTTTGAATCGATCTGAGCATGCAGGGGGTACCTTGACTCCGAGCTGCGGCTTATCACATTGGGTATGTATATGCATGGAGACCTGGTTAACCGTTAACTTTGTATTGACTAATGTGGTCAGCCTGCTTCCGAAATCTGCTGCCGAATCTATATTAAAGGTCCTCTTTAAGACTAAGCAGTGCTGTAGTTTCGAACGGGTCTTATCTAAGTCAGATTCTGATATATCGAATGCGAAATGCATCTCTGACTTATATCTTTTCCCCTATGCCCTCACGGCCCAAAAAGGCCTAGTTTAATTAAACTGGCTAACCGGTTAACCAATTACGGTTGGAAATACCCTTGTGATATTATCATATATGCATATAAACCGTGAAGGGCAGCCCCACATATACGCGTACATGTTGGTATTGTAGCACAAGAAACGAGGTTTCGGGCCCGGTCACTTCTTAAGATCTTATGCATATTTTCTTATATCTATACTCCTCAATTTTGAGGCCAATTGTTATAATTTTTGTTTCTTAACCTATAGCCGCCAGTTTAAGTTTCCTATGATCACGAGTTCTCCGCGGTTTTTTTTTAAAAAAAGAGAGGAAGCTACAAAGAAGGAAAGGAATTATATCGCATGAAATGCGGCCAGTGTCACAAACCCTAAGACTGGCAATCAGAGATAGGGAATAAAGATTCAACAAATCCTAAAATATGGGTGAGCGCCGTCATCGGCATTGGAAAAGCCGGTCTGGCCCCAAGACGATGACGACTCAGCCTCGCCGGCTCGCAGAGGCCGATTAATGGTATACTGTATCAGGCAGCTGTATCCTGTTCACCTTCCGTCATGTTGTCTCGTATACTATGGGTACGAGACAATCCATCATGCATTTTACTCGGTCTTTACTGTGATGCATTGCACTCGAGCTCGGTCTTAATTAAAATGTTTAGTTTGACACACAAGTTTAAATAGTGGTGTTATATCTACTCATGTTTATCCCTGATAGAGCTAAGAAAATGCGATTTAATCCATCAGCTTCTCGAATATCTACCATAAATCTCACAGGGGACTCTACAGTTACTGATAAGATCTATGAAGGGGGCTTCGAATATCATCAGTTGCTCTAAGCTGAGCCAGAGGATGAGCTTTGAAGGCTATATTCTCAAATTAAGGAATTTTACTCACGGAGAAGAAATCGTGAACCGGAACCAACTGCAAGTTTGTCGCTCCGAGGTATGTAATGCCTTGTGGGGATCGAATAACGGGGATATCGCGGGACCAGGAGTAAGTTCAAAACCAAGGCTGATCTTTGAGATTGCATGGTTAAACTTATAATTCTATCTAAAATTATATCTGTATTCTGCTTTTCTTTCTAACTTAAAATTTGAGTAGGTGGTAACCAGTTACATAGTCAATAACTCACTCAGCTTGTTATCAATTATCGCCTTGTCCATATACTGGGAAACTTCGAGATACTCCCTCCGAAGCCTCCTAAACAACAAAATTGAACGCCAGATCGGAAAGTGCATCGGGTCGCTATACCTGTGCATCGTCTGGCTTTGCGTCTCAACTCAAATCGCAAGCATTGTCTTTCTCGTCAGAGTTGACTTTGGGCTCAATGCTAGTGGGATGGAATTCCCGTCTATGGAGATCACATGGGCGGTTTCGACACTCATGTTGTTGCCGTTATTACACTTATGCTTCTTGCCAAACGAAGTTGGGTATCGAGATGGTGGTCTAGCAAACCCGGAACCTTTTTCTTCAGATATGGACTCCCAAAAAATTCTAAAACCATCGGAGTCAGAGATATTTCGCTTTCAAGCGTTGTCGTTCTGTTGGCTTCTATCAGGGTACCCCTTTTTGAGTCGTATGTTGGAAACGTTTTCACCAAGTAAGATAGGAGAGGGTTCCAAAAGTATAATAACAACAGGTGAATGGAGTAGAATTCAAGAATTATGTCTAGACGGAGTTAAGGGAATCACGATTCAGGAACAGCTGTTATTCACAAGGGTTGGAGTTGCAAGTTGGGTTTGGGTGACGATATTCACACTCGCTGGATTGGTAAGAGTATTCTTAACTCGTCGAGAATACGAGGAGTCAAAGGTTCTAGATAAAATAACAAGAGCAACATCGATTTCCCCTGCGATTGGAATACTTTCGAAAACGTTGCCAAACTTCGTGCGATTTTCACTTATGGTTGTTAACCCGGTTTTGGCGGGTATTAGCATGTGGGCTATATTTCGGTTACAACAATATCAAGGAGATATTTTGCAGAAATCCGAAGATAAAAGTGAGGCTCCTGATTGGTCCTTCGGACAAGTTATGGCTCTTTTGGTATATGGTCCTGTTTGTTTGGAATTGTATAAACTTGGGAGGATGTTGACTTTGTAGGGAAGGATTTTGTAGCTATAGAATAAGAACCCAGCAATGTTTAGTTATGCAGAAATCGATTGGTTCCATAGTGTAATAGAATTAACGAATCATATCCCCGTGATCGTCTATAATATGGTCTAACAGGTTTTTCGGTTGCGTCCTCCAAAGGCCCCTTGTGCTTGTACCCCCGCTGACAGATCCCTGAAAAAAACTATAGCAATAGGGACACTTCGCCACTAGCCTATCAGGGAGCCAATGACCCAATCCGAATGAACCTTTATGCCATTCATCAAACAAGGCCCATAAAAACTCTGGCCGTTGAACCCGACTCGCCCTCCATGCTATCCCATCTCCTGGTCCAAATAAGCCGACTAAAACATGTTGGCAATACCTGTGCTTTGAGATAATTGCCTTTTGCCCTTCGTAGTTATCTAGTTGGGCTTCATAGTCATTCTCCGAGGAGTATCGATACTTTCGATGAAAATAGAACCGGAAATGATAAAATGCGCAACGTGGGTCGCGAATCCCTTCTGGTTTTCCTCCTCCAGGTTCTGTGATAGGGATACGAACTTGATTACGTCTAAACCTTTTCAAGGCTTTATCATAATCATTCCACAGTTCTTCGAAGTACTCCGGGGTACACAAGAAATGGAAGGAAGTATATTCTTGACGGTAGATCTCGATTATTTTTTCGAGATAAGAACGGTCATGACCGTGTCGATGATGTTCGGCTGGGATAAAAGATGGCCTAAAAATGCTGAATTTTTGTTCCAGTTCCTTTTTTTCACCTTCCGTGAGGATGCGGTCCGGATCGGAGTCATCGATGTTGAAGACGTTTTTAACATAAATGTAAAACTCTTTGCTAACGCGCTCTGATCGACGATTCCAGTACACATGGTAGGTAGAGTTGATTGCTGAACCGCTGCCGCTGAAGAAATCGTGAGCGACTGGGACTATGTCGCGAAGGTCTGATATGTATGATCGGGCTGTGGTACCAAACTAGTCAGTCCTGTATCCCGAATTTAAGATCTGGGATCGGGGAATCAACTTACGAACGTAATACTTATTTAAACACTTCTGACAAAACAGGAGATATATTAAGTTTTTAAACTGACTCCAGTTTTGTATAGTCTCCAGTTCCTGCCCTGAAGCCTCACATCCACAGCACTTAGGGTCCGGCCACGTGGATTTTCGTCTAGTGAGAGTTGCATAGTGGAAATCTTTGTGGTACTTTATGAATTTGGTGGATTTGGGGATCTCGAAACGACCGACGATTTTGTACCAAAGGAAATTATTGGATGGACCGATTCTTCTGTATAAATATTCATTTGCGAGGCAGAAATTCCAAGAATAGTGAGGGTTTGTTTTGCCGACGTAAAGAGATATCTTTTCGAGGAGCTCCAGAGGGAAAGAGGTTATATGAATCTTTGGAGGACTTGAGTCTAACGGTTTGGCGAATTTCTTTGTTGTATCTCTCCTCAGTCCGCGTGGCTTCATATGCATGCTCATAGTTAAGCCACGCGAATGATCGATAATATATTGCATTTGATCGATAGGTTGGTTAAGTTTGAAATTTTGAGATCCATCCTATGTGTCTATACATAAGCTATATACTTACATATATGCATAAGCGTTCGAAGATTTATCCGACATAGAATAAATATTCAGGTATCCTGGTCCTTTATTAATGTATGATTAATGCGCCATGCATTCTACCTGTAGCTGCCACTGGCCGAAACGTTATGTACTCGCGGCGCAGCGGTTCATAGTTGACTCTTTTGGGTTTTGTGTTGGGGACTAAAATACCACACCAGAGTACCCTGGCCAACGCAGATCACACCCAAGAGCGACTTACGTAAAATAATCGATCCTGGAGATGCATCACCATAGCTATCGAAGCGTGGAGCATGATACAATCGGGGGTATTTCACGAAAGAAACAAGATTGATGATTTTCTAGGGTAATAATATTTGGTCCAATATTGCAACAGTTATAGCACTAGTCCCCTAGAAATATATCTGGCAATACAAGCCCCTCCAATTCTGCTTGTACCTTTAGCGGATGCATGCATGGTGCTCTGTGGATTTTCATTAACAGGAGGGCACATGAAGCCCACGTGCACGAGTGGGATCCTTATCGCGGACCCAAAATCTATTTATTTTTAGACAAAGCTTTAAAGCCGTGGGCATTTCAACCATAGGTCTACCTGGGTTTTGAAACGTTGTGTCATTGAATTGAAATGTACGTTTCATGTATTCGTATTGGGAAGAAAGCATGCACGCTACCCTGGATAAACGATGAAGCTTCCGTGATTATTGAGGTGTAGGCACTAATTTAGCTAATAATACAAGTCCTCGTGTGGACTAGAAAAAAAGGGTGCAAGTAATATATAGATTCATGCTTGTCAATATACCTATTCGTCGTCGTCACTGTCATCGATGATGACCTTTCTCTTCTTCCGATCCGGGGCTCTTGATAACTCGCCATCTGCGTCTTCATCATCGCCCACTTCTGAGGCGGATCTTGCCTTCGGTTTACCGGGAGACTTGGCCCTTTGTGGCTTATCATCCTCATCGTCAGTGAACTCTGCCTCCGGCTCTTCGTCTTCGTCGTCTTCTTCTTCCTCCCTTTGTCGCCTCTTTTCCTTCTTCTTCTTTCCTTTCTTCTTATCCTTCTTTTTACTGCTCCGATATTCTTCTTCCTCCTCTGACTCGCTAACTTCCTCTTCTTCTTCGTCACTATCAGGGTCTTGCTCGATAAAACCGTCATCATCGTCATCGTAATAGTCATCCTTATCTCGTTTCGAATAGCCGCCGCTCTTCTTCCTGCTATAGGACCTTCCGTCTTCCTCATCCTCTTCCAGATCATCCATACCCATACCACCGGCGCCCCTTCTAACCTTTCTGGGTCCTCCGACCCCTGCTTCGGCCTCCTTGATCTTTCGTGCTTCAATCCTTTTCCTATTTCTCTCAACCTCCCTCTCTAGAGCCTCGGCATCACGTCGTGCTTTCTCTGGATCCTCTATCTTATAGGAGAGTTCGACTTGTTTCATGCCATCGTCCGTTCGCCTCTTTTGCGAAGCTTGGTACCGCGCGGCAACCATTTGTTTGATGTCATCGGTAATAAGATTATTACTTGCCGAGACAACACCCATAGTCTGAGTAGCGTGCGCGAAGAATCGGACCAATCTTGAATTTGCCAATGGCTCGGCTAAGAATGTGAAGCTGTCGTGTGTAGGATTGTACTCTTTGTCCGGTGGAGGGATTAAAGGAGTCGTAGGCAAATCGTACAGGCCTTCCCTTGAACTGCCAATTTGTAACGAGAAAGTCCCATCTGACCATTGTATTATTCTGCTGTTGGACTCGAGCTTTGAAGAGTCGTAGGGGCTGTGACGCCATCGAATGGCGGTTGTAGCGAAGGTGTAAGGTGTTATGGCGGCATCGGGAGGTAGTTTAGGCGCCTGAAAGGTCTCTGGTTTGAAGACTTGAGGGGCTAGTGAGATGAATTGGGGGATTTTGAGGAGGTAGACCTCGTCGTCGGTTGATTGAGGAAGCTTGTGCAGACCGATATCAACTTCGTAAGATGTTTCGTCGCGTTCCTCTTCAACAAAGTGGTCGTACTGGTTGTCTCTACGGCGTCGACGCGACTCATTACCTGAGTCATCGCCTGAATCCAACTCCGAGTCGTCCAGTGTTCGGTCCCTAGGTGTTTGGTTAGTGATTGCTGGGGTTGTCGTATAGCTCTAGAGAATTGACGTACTTCCTCGAAGGCCCAGCATCATCCATGTCCAAATCACTCCCACCACCGAACAAATCGGCATCTAGATCATCCTCATCATCTTTCAGGTCGTCCTCGTCGTCAGTGTTCTTGTGTGATGCCTGTCGTCGCGAACGAGATTTAGGAACAGGTTCATCTTCATCGTCATCGAACATGTTTTCAAGGTTGTTTTCTGTAGCCTTGGGAGCGGGAGAGATAGATCGAGCATCGTCATCGTCATCGTCGTCTGAGGCTACCGCACGCCTACGGGGTGGTGGAGGGTCCGACATATCTAGAGATGCGGACAGGGATTAGTTTGGAGCGAATTGACTGGTTTAAAGATAATATACGCGTACCGGAAAGTGGCGAAGACATTGTGACAAGTAGCAAAAGTGCTGGAAACCAGCAAACGAACGGATAGGGGTTGTGAGATGTAGGTGGTTGAAGTGATCGAGAGATGTCGAGATGGTGTTCCTTGTCGAGATTGGAAGTCCGAGACGTTCAATGTTTGGCGACAGAACGCCAAGACCAAGAGTGCAACGCAGGCAGTCGTCCAGTTGATATCGCGGTTAAACACATTTGCCTGGCAGCTAGTCGGAGCAGAGGAGAACAAGAAAGGGGCCACCAAGACTACTACTCTAAACCTACCATCGATCTGTCACAAATAGCTCATTTACACAATACGATTACTATCACAGGTAGCTTTCAACATCAAAGTCATTCGGACGACTACGGGTATAACGGCTAGCCTAACGTGGATATACCCTTATAGCTAGCTTGCTCGCTGTCCAATCTGTATCACAGGTCTGTTGTTCCCAAACTGCCCTATAGCAAAATGTTACAATGCTCTGGTATGCTGTGTAGCAGTAACAGTGGCACTTGCGGATACTATTCAGACTTCTTTATAGCAATTAGTCAGCTAACAAACAGCTCGAAAGCAACTTGGAGCACAGGAAGCTATTACCAGTTTTAAGTCTTAGGGGCATTCTGGTGTTAACATTCAGCTGCTGCCAATTGGAAGGACCCTGCTAGCTGCCTGCAGAACGTCTTCAACACCAAACCAACTCTCCACCACCGTCGACGCCCACCAAACCTCCCGAATCTCCACCACCTACCTCACCTCCATTCACCAACCATCGACGCGTATCACCACGCCATACCCCTCACCTCAATTACCTCGCCCCTTTTCTATCATTATCTCACGTACCGGTCGAACCGGCCGACAAGCATAGCAGGCTATTTCGGATAGGACTCCCTGGTTGATTCGTCTGATATCCTCCCTTGGTAGCTTTCTTCTGGACCCTTTTTGGATTCCGGCTTCTGGACTCTGGACTCTGGACATTTCGTATTCTACCCGCTAGGTGGATTTTTTAACACCCATAAATACTATTTGGACCCTGGAGCTTGTATCTCCCTAGTTCTTCACGATGAGCTTCCTCAATAGCATTGGGTATGTCCGCTGCAAGTTTGCGGTTGATTTGATTTACTTTGTTGGCCTAGTATCAAGACACTCTCTTCGCATGTTGTCAAGCTTTCTTTCTTAAGAGTGTCCGATATAACTAGGCTGAGTATACTCCTGCTTCAACTGTTTTAAGGACCTTGAAAGCTCCAATCCCTCTTCAACTCACTACCCTCAGGTTCACTTCGTCACTATTTCACCCATCACAATTCCTTTCATCCATCCTATACTCATCGCTCTGTCCCCTAAAAGAGTATTGCCTGTCATGGAGAGACAAGGAGAGAATGGCAATGATGATTTTCATCGCCCTGGCTTTCGAAATGTGCTTTATTTCATGTCCGTTTTCATTTCGACTTGGATTGAGCTTTTCTGTTTCCTTATTCTTCTTATAGTCATCATCATCTCTCTGATGTAATTACTTACATTTTTTTTTATAACAGTCGCAAGTTTAATCCGGATGGAAAACGCAAGGGGAGTAAGGCTCCACCTTTGCCAAACATGCCCGGATCCAGTGGTTCGTTTGGCAGCGGGGGCGGAAACGGAACTCCAAGCTCAAGTTCAAGCTCGGTTGTCAACCGACCTGTCACTCAAGGAGTCGCTCGTCCGTTGTTCATTTGCAAACCCTATGTCAACTCTCACCTCCTAAAGGGTAACTTCAAGACCATTGTAGTCTTGCCAAAACACGTCGATCAAGGTGAATGGATCGCCCTCAATAGTAAGTCGCCGTCGCTGATTATGGATCCACGGGTGTTTGAATCCTGAAGGCTAATTGACCATCCAGCGTTCGAGTTTTACGAGTATATTAAACTCTTCTACACTACTACGCTTGAGTTCTGCGTTCATTGCAAAACGATGTCAGCTGGCCCTGGGTAAGTATCTGGTCCGTCCTCAGCTACCTTTTTTATCTGAAGTGTAAGATTAACGTTTATTAGTACTGATTACTATTGGTTGGGTACCGATCGCCAACCTCGCCCACTTCCTGCTGCTACGTACATTGAATATGTTTTGACATGGATCAACAATCGTCTCACCGATGAGACAGTCTTCCCAACTCGTCCACCTAATTCCATCAATACTGGTGGTCAGACCCAGATCATTGGGGCTCCTCACGCTGCCCAGGGTGGCCAGACCTGGGTTGGCAAGGAGGCCGGTTTCCCACCCACCTTCTTCCCCAGCTGTCAAGCCATCTTCAAACAGATGTTCCGCGTTTTTGCGCACATCTACCATACTCATTTCGTCAACATTGTCCATTTGAGCATGGAGGCACATCTAAACTCGTTCTTTGCCCACTTCATCATGTTCTCGAGGGTAAGTTTGCCGGCTTCTCTTTCCTACTCCCTTTTTCGGGTCTTTGCTTACATAGTTTTGCAGGAGTTTTCGCTCCTTGATCCTCGCGATCTTGAGCCCCTTAAGCCATTGATTGATGCATTTGACGAGAAGGGAATGTCTCAAGGAATCAAAAACGCTCCGGCTTAGGTTGCCCAGCGTTTCCCTGATCCCGACCGCCACGGTTCTCGACATGGTGGCTCCTCTGGACATCACGGTTCTTCTTCGTATGGTTCTTCTCGCCCCGGCTCTTCTGGTCACGGTTCTTCTCAACACGGCGCTTCTGGTCATGGTAATAGTTCTTACCACGGTTCCTCTCGTCACGGTAATGGTAACAATCCCGGCCATGGCTCTTCTAGCCATAGTCCTTCCGGAGGCCATTATGGTTCCGAGCACCATGGCTCAGGTTACCGAGGGCATGAGAACCGTGGTGGGTCTGAGTATCGTGGCCGTGGCGGGCATCGTGGTTACAATCACCGTGGCTCCGCTCTCCAAGGTCATTCGCCTCATCAAAACATCTCTGGCCATCCTAACGTCTCTTACCAGCAAAACTTCCACAAGAAAACCTGAAGAGTTCTTTATGCAGCCACACACTTTTTCTTATTACACATATTAGCATGCGGGATAGCGGGTCCTCTAATCGTTTTACCTTTAACGTTTTTTTTTTTTGTCAAACTTGACCTTGTACCTTTTCCTTTACCATCTGATCATGTACTTTAATACGACGTCATGGTAGTCTTATCTTGGGTTCGAAAAGCATTTGTATGTAAATTACGTATATGATGCTCGAAAGCGAGAGGCTGGAGGGTTCTAGCGGCATTGAATGCTGCTAGGTAAGCAAATACTGAATGGCTATGACCGGGCTTCCTTGTGTTCTTTCGAAGCCTACCCTTTCCGTAGGGCTCTCCAAGAGATGTATCACTTGTTTTTTCTTTTAATTATAAGAAAAGACTTTTATAATAAAAGAGGCGGTCATCCTATGCTGCTTTTATGATTAAATGTGTAAATTGATGTCACAAAGCTAGGCAGGTGGTAGTACTAGCAGGCCAAACAATAATACGTCGACCCGTTCAGAAAGTATGAGATGGAACCAATATCCTATATCTTTCTCAAACCGTAAAATATACAACAAATGATTCACCAGCCCTGGTCTTCCACTACCAGATATACCCTTTATACCTCCCTCTCTCTTTATCTCCTTTAAACGACCCTCTTAATCTCAAAGAACCTCTTGAGATAGAAAACCTGGAAGATACAGTTCCCAACCAAAACAAACAACTGACAGATACTCCACCACTTAACCCTATCGTTTGTACTTTCGGCGGTATTCCTGTGGACTCTTTCTCTCAAAACGATGTATTCCTGCTCGTCCTTGACGGCGTTTAGGTTCTCGGCTAGGAGTCGGACTTCCTTTTCGAGAGGGTCGGATGGATGGTCTTCTTCGGCGACGTAGACTACACCGTGAACGTTGAAGGAGACTTCCTTGGAGGAGACGGATGAGCCTTCGTTTGAGAAACAATAGGTGTATTTTCCATCTTCGTGGGCGGTGAAGGAGTGGTCGCCCATGGAGGTGTGGAGTTCGTTAATTTTGAGGTTTCCGGAGGGATCTTGGATCTATAATTATTATTATTATCAAACTTGTTAGTAAGGTATAAAACTAACTCGCAGAGGTCATAATAGACGGCGAAGAGGGAGGGGAATGAGGGAAAGAATAGGAGGTATATGCGATAAAAGGGAGAACAAACCCAGAAATCAATATCCAAATTGCCAGCACCACCAAACTCCCGATCACCGACTTGGAAAGTGACGGTCATTTTATCGTCTCGATGTAGATTCTCGTGAAAACATTCTCGCGAATGACCCATCAATTGGATGTTATGTGCTGCGACGAAGGAGGCGAGCGACAGTAATGCTGTCGTGACGACTGATATCGACCGCATTGTGGATATATTTTTTTCGCTCGCTCTCTCTCTCTCTCTCCTATCGTTCGCGCGTGTCCAGCGTCCGTCTATCTAGAATGACTAGAAGAGATTGTAAAGAGGATAGATATATCGGAAAGCGAATCGAATTGTCTCGCGTGGGCGTATGGATTATGGTCGGGGTGGGTGTGGAAAGCGGTGGGATGTTGCAGTGATGCAGCCAGGAGAAGTAGCCAGCTTGGAGGTTTAAACTCGAACCAAGTCCCAAAGTGACAGGGGAGAGCTGCTGTTGCCGCTGCTGCCAGTTTTAAGCCGCACAAAAACACAAAGCAAAGCAGCCCAGAACTTCCAATGCAACCTCAACTTTCACCCACTCCACACTCACTTTCAACCTCATTTCATGACCTTAACGACCTCCACGATCATAACCTCTAGATATTAAATCACGTGCCACGGCTATCCATATCCATCTTTCTTTACTATCTTCTTCAACAAAAGGGCTGCTGGTGTTTTTTTTGTTCATTTTTTTATATTTATTTCATTTTTCATTTTTTCTTTTATTTTGTTATACCAGCTGGAGGGCTGTTACACGAACCTGTCGCGGTTTTCAGCGGGTTCCTTTTGAAGTTCACGCCATTCTCGTCCACCCCTCCTTACCCCTCCCTCCCCCCATCGAGAGTCCACGATGTCCCAGTTAACAGCCTATATCGACAGTAAGATACCTCTACGCTCCCCGAATACCTTTAGAGGAGACTTTGTTAACTGTCTTCTTCTGTCTCATAGAAACCGTCACAGTCATAACCTCCGACGGCAGAACTCTCATCGTAGGTTTGCTCTCTCGATATCACAAGCCTTCAATGTTTAACATATTAAATATTCCCATTTTGTTTAGGGAACTCTCCTCGGTCACGACCAAACCACAAATCTAATCCTCCAGAATACCCGCGAACGCATCTTTCAGACGTTAGATACCGATGTAGAAAATACACCTAGTGAGATCGTGGAGCACGGATTGTATCTGATTAGAGGGGATAATGTGCTAGTTTGTGGGTTGGTTGACGAGAAGATGGATGCGGAGATTAATTGGACGAAAGTTAGGGCGCAGCCGTTTGGGACGGTTAAGCATGCTACATAAGATGGATGGATGGTTTATTTTTTAATGTTCTACGTGAAAGTAGTTCGTTAAACGGGATAGGTTAGAGGTGAAAGTTATCGAGGGACTATCCATGAACAAATTACAGGGAATTCATGGAAAAGAGAGAGAGGAGAATAGGACAGCCTCTTGGATTTCTTATGATGAAGAGATATTTTAGATGGAAAGATACGAGACAGATAATATAACTGTCATAGATTATCGGCTAGACGACATTTTTAACCGTTCCAGCCAAAATTTATCATTTCCGTTTCTCGATATTTATATCTTCTAATTGGGATATCAGCAGTATGATATCCTCCTACCATCCTCTTCGTCTTTACCCTTTCCTTCCTTGTCTTCATTCTTCTTCTCTTTCTTACTATCAAAATCCCACCCGGCCCTTTTATCCCACATTTCCTTCTTAACCAGTAAGAAATGACCATTCTTCCTTCGTACCCAGACCATCTCCTTCCTCGCTTCGACCGAAACCCTCAATAACACAGTCGTAATAATCCAAGCATCCTGGCTCCTAAGCCTCGCCACCTGAACAGTCGCCCAAACCTTCTCTTCCATTGTTACTCCTTCCTCCACAGCCTGAACATAAATCCTTTCAATCAGCTTCGTAATCCAATCCCTAACACTCGCATCCCGTTTAAACGCCAACCCTTCCTCCCATTTTGTGGTATGCGGTGCTTTGGGGCCTTCCAGCAATTCGTCCTTGTAAAGATCCAATTCGAACTTAAATTTCATTTCCTCATTTTCGTCCGGTACAGTTGGAACCGCTGTAAACGGACAGATGAACGGTTGATCGAGTGATGAGGAGTTTGTTAGGTTCCTCCCTCCTGTGAATCTTGTGACGAATTTGTTTTCCGCGAAGAATACAACCGTGGGGGAGTCCCATCCTTCGTAGTCGATGTCTAGTGGGTCGCCTGGACCGGGAATTTGATCCTTTTGATCAACTAGTGTAGATGTTGATATGGTCGATTCCGTGGATTCAATTTCACCGTCCACGTCGGTTTTAGGGTTAATAGCAGCACGACCCCTCTCTTTTATCAATGCAAGTTTTATCTCACTATCCAACTCCTCAACATCTTCGTCCCATAATTCTCCTTCTTGTTCGGTATGTTCATCTCCATGTATATAGATGTAATTCTCAACTTTGCCACCTTTGGCGGTGAATATCAAAACTCCGTTGTCGCCCGAAGTACTCTCTTCGAGTAGGAAATGGGTGCGTGGGAAAGCGGAGTGGAGGGTTTCAGGAGAAGAAGAAGAAGATGGATCGGGAACACTACGTCTGCCGGAGAGGGAGACGGCCGGGTAGTGGGTTTGGGTGATTAGTCTGGTGGAGAGGAGATGACGGAAAGTGGTGCAAACTTGGGTGGCTATTATTTGGTCGAAGCGGGGGAGGAAGATTAGGATTTCGAGTTGAAGTTCGGGAGGAAGGCGGAGGAGGGGTGGGAGCTGCGGTGAGCTTGAGGTCGTCATCGTTCTAGCTTTTTCTATATATACGCCGAACTCTAGCTACCTGGCAGCTATTCGAGATCAAGTCTAATTACCGGAAATAGATAGCTACAGATTTATCCTCTTTGCTTTGAAGGTAATATATATATTGATGATGACTCGAATTTATGGAGATTGTGTATTTTATAGAAGATCATGATCAGAACTGATAAGGTGGCATCTCACTAGGCAGATTCGAGGCTGACTTCCCCCTTTGCACAGTTGGTCGAAATGCAACATTACATGGCGGGACTCGATATCCAAATACCGCAAAACTAACTTCAGATCATAGTTAATTCAAATTCAGGATCGCAAGAATATGCAAACTGTGTTAGTTTGTTCATGCTGTAAATCCGAAGAGTCGAAAGGCGGGGTTGGATTCATAGATCTAGGGATTATACGTATTTGTGACATTTATAAGTCACCAACCAGCTTAGATTTAAAGACGGCTACAAGTCTTAGTACTAGTACTATCGCGCTCTCGACTATCCTTAATTACGGTTATTACTCCCGCCGCAGACCGGTCCTGGCTTAGGCTGACCTAATACAGGTTGCAATTGACTATGTTAGAGTATGCAACACGTTACGTTATGTTTAAGACCAATACCACGGGACTGATATAAAACACGATATGATCCATATCACGGGTCGGAGATTAAATATCCTGCACTCTCTAACGGACTTGTCTGAATTTCTATAATTTACTTGCATCAATGCGATACTGACTAATCAAGTACTGGCTTTCGAATCTAGTTCAATTAATGCAATTAACGTGATATCATATTATCATGAGCTCCTTTGCAAGCTAATGTTTCTAATAGGCCTAGTACGTACTATATACGGTCCAGTGCTCAAAGCTTGCTATACTGTCTAGCGACTATTATATTAATATTACATGCAAATGAATAGAATTCGCTCATTCGCGCCCTGTCGAATAGTATACAATCGCATTCGGGATACCAGCCTTGGTGAGGAAAGCCCAGAAAACATCCTTGCAAAAGATTCGACAATTTTATCAGCCAAAAACCGTTACTAACCGAAATGGCGTTCAAGTGCTTACTGGCCTAGTTTTACCTACATGCTTACAGCTATATTGTGCCAATTGTATAAATGTATACTGTTACCGGCCGGCGAGTATAAATATATAAGAAAGAGCGGCTGGACAGCTAGGGCCTTGCCGCTAGTTTTGGCATGCATATGCTCTCCTGCTTCTCAACAGGACTTACGACGAGATTTCTGTGGAATTCACGTTGGATTTCTATGGTTTATTGTCAGCTTCTTGGTTTTGCTTCTGCGATATTCGACATTTGGATCGATATTGCGTTTGAATTGGTTTCGAAAGCGGGGTAGATATTGTTATTTCGCGCGATATCGATGTTATTCAGGCATCAAGGGAGTGATTTCGGTCTATAAATATGCAGCATCATGTCCACCATAGTTCAAGTTTACTATTCTATACCATCACAATCAACAGTGCGCTTCATACCAGAGTATCTTATATATAATCCTCTATAAACCATATATAATCTCTTTGCCATTAATTTTGATTTTAAGTTATCAAAATGTTTTCTCTCACCGAAACCGACTTTGAGATTTGTATGTCTATCAAGCAAGATTGCTCCCTCTTCAATCGGGCTCTCTATTTCTATTCCGTGGAAGTTTTATACATACTGACAGATACGCAATTTGATCAGTTAAAAACGGCGAAGCTATCGCCCAAGAAGTCGGAGGGAACCTCGAGCTTCCGTTCAGCAGCGAACTTCTCTACCAAGGAAACCTAGCTGCTGTTTCCGCTTGGGATATCTCTTGGGTCGTTAGTGCCCCCTTAGATATACAATATCCTTTTGGACTATATGAAGACTAATTATAATATGATAATGCCTGGTAGAAAGTCTTCTACCAACTAGAATCCGGCGAGATTGCCACCCGCCACTACGACATTGCAACAAAGCAATGGAACGACGTTTTCGCCCTCACTGCAGTCCCAATTGATGCGAAGTACCGACCGGTAATTCGTACTCCATTGGCAGCTTTCCAGACCAGTGATGGCAATATTCGTCTGTTCTATCTCAGTCCTTCGGCGGATGATGTGACTAGATATCAACTTATTGAGGTTGTCTGGGAGGGAACGACCGCAGAGGGATCAGAGCCAAAGCCTGTTCTTATCGACGGGCGACCCGTTACTACTGCTGTATACAGTAATCTCGGTGTTACTGGATATAAGACCAATGAGAAGGATAGTGACGGTAATGATGTTCACTTGAGGTATGTTGGCCTTAACCCTTAATACTACCCCCGACCATATATATATATAGTTTAATACCGTATATCTATAGAGTCTACTACCAAGAGACCGCAGATAAACTCAACCGTCTCCAAGAACTCCAATACACCCCAACCTCAGGCTGGACCTACGGTACTCTCCTCCCATACGACCAGCACCGTCCTCTCCTCGGAACATCCATTGCCTTCATCGACCACAACAGCCATGACCCCAACATTCGAGGCTACTACCAAGACGTCAGCGGAACGATCCGTGAAGTCTTGTACTACACCGAAGACGACAAAAACTGGATCTGGGGCCATTTCAAGACATTCGACAAAGTCCCCTTCCGCACACCCATTACTGCCATTGACCCGTTGAATAAACTGTATCAATGTATCTTCTGGGTTGATAATTATAATAGATTGGTTCACTCTCGCTGGACACAGCACGGATGGGAGGATCCGGTTGCTAAGGGAAAAGTTGATCGTGTTCCATTGGCTCCTGGATCGAAGCTTGCGGTTGCGGGTGTTTATGCTGCTGATGCTGAGGATCATTATGATCTTTATTTGTTTTCGGTGCTACCGTTGAATACTTTGACTGTTAGGAAGTTTAATAGTTCGAATGGTGGGTTGCCGGAGTTGGTTCCTATTGGGGATTCGGTTGAGGGAGTGGTTGTGGGGACTAAGGACGAGTAAACGAGTAATATTGGGTCCATCAAGTCTAGTACATAGGAAGTTGATATATATAAGGGAATATATATAGGATTTTATAGTAAAGGTCAATGAAACAACTTTACCATGTGCCCCTCAAGAATTACAATGAATACTTTGCATTTTTTCCAATTCTAGTTGCGAGAATATGAAGTTATCGTAGTGTGTTTTGAAGGGTTTCTTAGAATCGCCTTCAAATTTAAGAGACCTTAATTACCCAAAAGCTGCCTTAAGGCGGATTTTCAGTGCCCTCTGTGGAATAAATACCTTTAACTTCCTCTACTAATCCCCTAGGAAGTATCGCGTATTCGGTCCACTCGCCACCACACACCCGCACCCAAACCATATCCTGTAGCTCTGCAATGGAAGACTTAAGTGCTGCAGCGCCAATCTCCCAATGGCAGCCGTATTCATCATAATAAAGAGGATCTACTTTCATATTCAATACCTCATCGGATGGACCCGTAACTGCCAAGATTCCCTCGTATAGAGATCCAACCACTCGTTCAAGCAACTGTCTGACCGTGAGATCTTTCGTTGCTTTGATGACGGATTTGATTTGGCTATTCTCGTGGTATTGGGGTCGGGTTTCTCCCTGAGAGTTATTGTTCTTTAGAGGCTCGTCCAGAAGGGTTACCTGAACAAATTCAGTCTCAAGTTCCTCTTCTTTTGCGTTTTCTCCAATCCCACAAGTTGCATATAAGAAGCAAGGTTCGTCAAGAAATGGTGAATTCGAGATATCAATAACCCCGTTATAGAGAACAGCACCAGGCCTCTTTTCCGGGTGGGGGTGCATAATCCATCTCGTTTTCTTGCCTCCCTCTGGTTCCTCTGATTTAGGGTCCCATATTGTTTCAAAATCCAGGTCTGCAAACCTTCCCGAATCATAAAAATCCGTAGTCAGTGCGTTTTCTTCATCCCAGGTATACCCTTCCAACCTCGCTCCTTCAACGCTTTTGGGTTTCTCAAAGTAAGAATAGCCCTTTAAGTAGAGATATTCTCTAATTTCGCCGGATTGCACGGTGCAAAATAATTCAGGATGGACGGCTAAAGGATTCAGATCACCAAATGATTGAAGAAGGAGATGCGTCTTGACTCCCGGAACTGTATTGTCCGGTGGGTATATATATAGGCCTTTAAAGCTGAGCTCATCGAAAGGACAGGAAGAGTATCTAGATTTGAGATTTTGGGGACTGGTGAGGCATGCACTAAGGTCAGAGCATGTTAATGAGATAGAAAGTTGGTCTGCGAATGGGAGATAGGATACTATCTCGCTTTGAAGCTCCAGAGGAAGACGTAGGAACGGTGGAGATGGGGGGGTTGAAGTAGTCATTCTTGGTTGAATTGCCACAGTCTCGGCACTACACAACTTGTGCTCAGGAATTGCCAGGGGATGATATGTGTTTTAGAGAAACAACACAAATAAAGTGTTTCATTTTATACTAGCTACTTAAGTAGGTACCTAGGTAGATTTGATTCTTAGTACCGACCCCCAGCTAGGAAACGACTTCGTCATTTTCATCGTCAACCTTTTCCTCAAACTTGGCATCAACCCTTTCTCGTAGTACAGGAATATCATTCCACCACGGTCTCCGTTTCTCGTCATGTCTTTCGGGAAGGTCACCACTGTGGGTCTCGTAGTTAGCCCACTCGTGAGAGTCCCAATATGGGTTTCTGAATCTCCGGGAATTTTCGTCACATCGCCTCTGCAAGAGAGGTTTATTCATGTGCACTTTCTCATCCATAATTTCGTTCCAGACTATTTCGACCACCAAGAATTCGAAAGGTTCAGCGACTCACAGATCAAAAATTTGAACTGAAGAAAAAAAAACTCCAGCTAGTAGGCCTAGGGAGGGATTAAGAGAACTAACCTGCCTTCGCGTTTCCATATTCGTTCGTGAAAATAACCCGACTCTCCGTACCGGGACTGTAAAGATAACCTAAACAAGCCCAATTCTTCCAACCACCGGGGCCCCACCTACACAAATACCCACTCTCAAATACCCAAACCTCATAGCCAAAAGTTAAGTCGAAAGGTCCACCTTTCAATTCAATGTGATGGTGGGCTCCGTTAACAAAATAGTACTCAGTAAACGGGTGGTGGAATACTGCAATGTTCCAACCGGGGTACTCCTGCCACAGGCGTTGGGTTAAGCTTCTTGGGAAATTTTCCTTCTTGCGTTCCCAGTCTGTGAACGAGTCCCAGAGGTTTCGCGCGATTTGTCCAATCTTAGCGCCGGTTTCTGTAGATATTTTATAAAGATATCATCAACGGTTAAATATTTCCTTCTTTCCAATTCTGGGCGATGTGGGTTACTGGTTTTTATGTCTTACCACCGCTTTTCCAACCGCCATGGTCTCCATAAGGGTCTGTTGGCTTTGACATGACGAGAAGATATAGTATTCACGAGAAAATCGGAAACTGAATGGTATATGTAAGAGTGTATGATCGCTGCCTATGGATATAAAAATTATTAGGTGAGCACCGGCGTATTTGGTGTCCTTTTATACATAAACCTTCCAACTAAACACGGCTACCGAACCGGAGACCTATGCCTACTAAGAGAACAAGGGAAAGAACAAAAATGGATAACTGAAAAAGAGGGCGCAGCGGACCGGGGTGCAGACAGTCAGACCGTGATAGAAAACGCTCACCACTTGCGAAACAATACTGTACGAAAAGTTGAATTTTATCGGCAGGCATTTCATGAATACTGTCCAAAAACTAGTGCTAGTCTACCTGGATTCTGATATCTAAACCACGGCTACCCCACGACCACCTGCATAACTTGTCCGGCTGGGGTTAAAGTAGAACTACTAGCGCTCCAAAATCTAGTTAGTCAACTCGAGTCCCGAGTTCGACGGGTTTCCCCTTCCTTTTTTAGCTCAGCTCCCTCTCGATAAAACTATATATATCACGAAACTTAAGAGCTGAGAAAATACAACAAAGCAAGGGTGTTACATGGTTCCATGCGTAGATAATATATAATGTCTTACGCGCGCAAAGCATCATTATCGATTTATTCTTGAAGCCTCCGCTTTAAGTCGGGTAATATACGTAATAACGTTAACACAAGCTGACCTATTTTGTATTGTAAAGCAATCGTCTAATAAATACTATGTGAAATATTGCAAAAGATATACATCAGAATTCACTTCCGATTGCGACCCTGGCCTTAAAATGGGCTAGGTGTGGCGTCATTGGCAGGCTTGGAGACAGTATGTACATGCATTAGCGCTAGATATATATATAGAACAGATCTCGTAAAACTAGGAAATTACCTCATGTTGAGGTTCTTCCAGATGACCTGTCAGTTTGTAGTATTTTTCTTTGGGGACAGGGACGTATTCTAATATTAATTAGTCCAGCTCCGGGAAGACTCACTATTGTCAATTGGAAATTCTGAATATTAATTCAGAGTTCAATGGCCATGGTAGTGCCATAGCTTAACTGGGTGATAGCTACTCCTATTGTTACCTTTCTTCTCACGTTTCTGATACTAGCGTTTCGATTTCATAGGAGCTTATATATAACACCATTGCGGGGTCAGCGAATATAATACCTTACCATGTTCATATGATGGTATACCATCGCTCTCCGTAAAATCAAACTAGCAAGTTTAATATGAAGGTGATCCTAATACATAACCTAAATTTATATAAACCCAATAGAGAATCATTGTTTGATTTCTTTGGGACAAAATTAATTGCTGGACAGAAAAAGATGATGAGGATGACAAATATATATATATGACGGCGAAGATGACCGTTCGGACTGTGATTTCGATCTTGGAGAGGAGTTTAAAGACCGGCCCATCCCCTACGTCATCTATTAGTACACTGGTGAAGCGAGTTCCGAACATTAATTTTGATGGAGATTGTGGTGATGACGAAAATGATAAAACCAATTAAGCAATGAAACCGTAGTTAAATATTCCCTTGTAAATGATAATAGTAACGTGGAAATATTGCAAACTGCTTTTGAGAAAAATTCAAAGAAGCAATGTATATGCATATATGTATAACTTTTATCCCCAGACCCTCAAGTTGGCACTATATCTCAGTTGTATTTTTAGATCTTATGTGGAGCGGAGACTTGGAATTAGGTACTAATAAGTACTTATAAAAAATTATATTACAGAGCATCTAGATTAGATAAGGGAGCATCGATTTCATAAACCTACGAATCTAATGACTGGCCAAGACACATTTGATAATATATGCCTTGTTCTTCAGCTAGTTGATCGTGCGTTCCAACCTCGATAATCCGGCCTTGGGAGAACACACAAACCATATCCGCGTTTTTGATAGTAGAGAGTCGATGTGCAACCGCCACCGTCGTTCTATTTCTCCCTTCGCTACTCTCACTCTTTGCCACAGAATCTAGCGCTTCTTGCACGACTTTTTCGGATTCCGTGTCAAGACTAGATGTTGCTTCATCCAGGAGCAATAGCCGTGGTTGACGAATCAACGCTCGAGCAATTGCGATACGTTGACGTTGTCCGCCCGAGAATTGGAGACCTTGAGATCCGCATTGTGTAGAAAGACCTTCGGGAAGAGTGCCTATAAATGTGTCTATGTTTGCTTGTCGACATGCTTCGATGATTTGCTCATCAGTAACGGTGACATCCCCATTCATTGAATCTTCGACTCCAAGTGATATATTCTCACGGAGCGAGCCCTGATATAAAACCGGCTCTTGCTGGACAAGCGCTATGTGTCGTCGATACTCCCCGAGATGTATCGAACTGGAATCTAGGCCGCCGAGGTAGAGTATGCCGCTGCTAGGTTCGTAGAATCGCTCGAGAAGGTTGATCATCGTCGTTTTACCGCATCCTGATGCACCAACAAAAGCTACGAACTGACCAGCATGTATTTTCTGGGAGATCTCTTTAAGGACTTTGATCTCAGGCCGACGTGGGTAAGAGAACTCCAGTTCTTTGAATTCGACTTCTGCCGGGCCGCCCGTATTTTCCTTATCCCTTGGGGGATACTCGTCTTTCATGTCGTTTGAAACTTGTCTTCGAAGGTTGAAAACATAGTTTGCTGCTCCTTGTGCTTGAGTAATACTCGAAGTGTAGGTGAATAGAGAAGCTCCAGCTTCACCTGAGAAGATAATAGCAATAAAAACGGTATAAAATTGCTGTGAAGTATATTCCTCATAAGATATCAGGCGTCCTCCGTACCAAAATCCTAACGCCATAGCCAAGAATGAAATAGATTGACTTAACGAATACCAGAACATGGTTTGTACGAGACTTCTAACGGAAATTCTCGCGATTGATCTTAAACTCTTCTCGTATTTTGCTAGAATATCGTCCTCAATTGCTAGCGATGAAACGGTTCGGATGGCGAGGACAGCTTCGGTCGCGATACCCGCGCTGTTAGCAAACCTTGAAGCTGTGTCTTCGTCCAGTTTATACTCGAGGCGAATGCGGACATATCCAGAAGCAACAAGGAGTGGCAGAGCGCCAAATGTCAATACCAATCCGAGTTTCCAGCCATAAACAATAGCTAGAATACAACTCGAGACAATATTAACAGTAATAGTAAGTATTAGTGCAATATTGGCAGACAGTAAATCCTGTAGACATGTCGGCTCTGTTGACAGACGAGAGACCAAGGCGCCAGTTGTATTATCGGGATCATCAAAAAACGACATTTCTTGTCGGATAGTGTTATTGAAAACTTCGGAGCGATATGAATTCATGACTTCCTGGGCGATAGTAGCGGACATCCAGCCAAGAACATAGTAGGCTACTAAATTTCCCAAACCCATGACGAAGAACATCAATGAGAAGAAGTCCCCTCGCTTTAGCATGGCGTCACCTGTCAGAGCGAAGACGTCAAGAATGCGAGAGAAAAGAACCGCAAGGGCTGGGTATGTACCGCCTAAATATTATTAGCTAAGAAACCTCTACAAATTTATAAATCGATGTTGAATATTTTGGACAATTTCCATACCTGCTATAATTGCTGCAAGGGAAATAATAGTGAACGAGAACCACAATTTTCTTTGCTCGCCAACGATGATGAATAAACATTTGAAAAGATTGTAGTTCACGTTCTTGTGAGTAGTTGCTCCAAGATCCTTTGCTTGGTGACCGGTTTTTGAAGGGATTTTTGTAGCAGTATCTAGGCCTCTCCCGAGTTCCAGTCTATTACTGGGCTCTAGCCCTTGATCCTCTTTATTTTTGCTAATGTTTTGTGCAAGTACTAGTCGAGAGTATGCGCCACCGCTTGCGATTAGTGTACTATGTGTGCCTTGCTCCACTACAGTCCCTTTGGACATTACGATAATGTTGTCCGCATCTCGAATAGTTGATAACCTATGAGCGATTACAACAGTGGTCCGTCCTGTTGCGACATTGTTAAGGGCTTTTTGAACAATATGTTCTGAATTCGGATCCAATGCACTTGTCGCTTCATCCAAAAGAAGCACCTTTGGGTTCGAAATGATACTCCTTGCAATTGCCAACCGTTGTTTTTGCCCGCCGGAAATCATAGCCCCGCGTTCACCAATCTGTGTAAAGTAGCCCTGTTTTCGTATGACCATTTTAGTACCTTGAAGACTCTTAAAATATGCAAGGGTCCTACTTTTGGCAGTTTCTCAATAAATTCATGCGCGTAGGCCGCTTTGCATGCCTCTTCCACGAGCTTAAATTTTTGGTCGTCGGGAAGTCTAGCTTCAGGTGTTCCCGACAAGCCATATGCTATATTTTCGAAGATTGTACCATTGAATAGCACCGGTTCCTAATATAGTACGTGTCAGTAAATCTCTAAAAATAAGTATCTTCAATTATACCACACCTGTTGCACAAGCCGTATATTCGTTCTCAGCCAATTTATATTAAGATCTTCAATTTTATTTCCATCAAGCGTTATCGTACCGCTGAGAGAAGTAACCCATCTTTCCAGTAGACCCACGATAGTACTTTTTCCCGAGCCGCTAGGTCCAACAATTGCAGTCGTCTTATTTCGCGGAAATTCAAGACTGAGTTTGGACAGAACTTGAACATTCGGCCTTGAAGGGTAGGCGAAGTCCACATCGTTGAAAACGATATCCCCGTGGCATTCGGACGGCTTAACACCTTCTATAGATAGGGAATCGATTTTAGACTTCCGATCGATAGTTTTGAATAGTTCGCCGGCTGCGGCGGTGGCCTTCGAAACCACGAGAATCTGGGGTGCAACCTGTGTTAATCCTTGCGCAGCAAGAAGTACAGCAAGAATCACCCTAATCCAAATATCCATATTAGAATCCCAAGTCGGTACCAGTAATCAGGACAAAATGATAGACTTACGTCACAATATCACCGGGATCCTGAATCTCACCCCGGTGATACATTCGAATTCCCTGCCAAAAAGCGAGCCCATATCCAGCATATATGCAAAAGAACTGTATGCAAAACATCACAGCATGAATTGGCGGCTTCTTTCTGCCTAGAGCCCTAATTCCATCAACAATATGTTTAAACTTCCGTGATAATTTCGGATATGCCCAGAACGCATGTACGTTCCTAATACTCGAAAAAACCTCTTCTGCCAACTTATCGGCGGTTGCCCATGTTGCTATTAGCTCTTTCTCGATACCAGAATCGATCGTTACACATATCGTAATAACTATCAGGATCGTTGGTACGATACACGATACGATGAGCGTAAGTTTCCATTGCGCCACAAAAGCAACTACAAAGGCTGCGAAAAAGGTTGTGGTTGCTTGCACAGTAAGTCCAAACTTTTCGGATATTCCTTGGTTGACAAGGTTGACACCTGTATTAATATTACTGGAAATAGAGCCTGGCGCTGAGGAATCGAAAAATCCGACTTCCTGGCGAAGTGTCTGTTTGAGGAAATGGAGACGAAGGGAGCGGGATATACGAATGGCGTTGATAGAAATTAAAGTCTAATTATATATAAAGTATACGCAATTAATTAGTACGAAGCTGGCCCTAAACAGAAATAATAAAGGCCATAAATACTGCTCACCGTCCAGACGTATCCAAGAACAAATTTCGCTACAAAGAGGTAAACAAAGTATAGACTAAGAGAGAATTATGCGAGATCAGTGTTGAGCCATTCCAAGTTTATCGCCATACATGGAGCAGGCCCACCTACGTATGGCTGTTAATCGCAGAGCGAAATTCTTCTGGTGTTTTGCGACCAGATATAAAGTCGTTGAAGATGTTGACAAATTTTCCAAAGACAAGGTTCATCAACGGAAGCAAGACCCCGGCAGCAATCATGCAGGCTACTGCGATTGCGGTTGTAATCCATCCTATAGTATCGTTGTATTTAAACACTCTCTAGTATTCCCAAGTACGTTAGCCAGTATCAGCCCAGGAATCACGAACTAAGCTTCATAGCGCTATAGCTACATAGAATATATAAGTACTTACAACATAGCTGTTCGTCGAGGGCTTGTCAGGCTCATCAGAACTACTGTGAGGAATAATTATTGGAGCCGCATCTTCAGGTGGATTTTTCTCCTTGCCCATTTCTGGATCCTCTGGGGTAATCAAGCTCGTGTGTCGCAGGAAGATATAAGTTAGCTAGTAATTAGTAATTCAATGCGCATGCATATGCTAAGCCAAGTTTTTAGGATAAAATGTGTAAGCAAAACTCGGCTCTATTGAGGATAGTACCATACAATCAGAGGCTCTTGAATTCTTGGCCAAATTTATATAAATCGATTTGAGAGTCTGAAAGGCAGAATGCGCGCCGCGGAGAGGCTCTACTAACGCCACAAGCCTCGAAGTTGGTCCGTGCTTGAAGCCTGAGCCACAGGATTTCCCGTTTCGGCTCGGAATCGGCTTCCGCGGAACAATCAACGCAGTTTTTTCCAACCTATATGTTGCATTTTTTGCTGGAATCACCTCGATTCTCTAGCATCCGGCATAACCCAATTCTAATCCATCCCCCGACCACCTACTCTTTACGGCCCGGATCGGTGTTTAGTATCGGACTTTGGGCATATTGTTTAAAAATCCGATTCTTTCAGGAAATTAGACGCCATACGACTTTCCTCACAATGTCCGAGGCGTCCGAGAGGCCGGACGGCCCTGGAGGGCTTCGAAAAACGGTAAGCTTAAGCACGATAAACGAAACTAGTAAACTGATGATAATTAATATGTTCCTTACTTCAGTGTGATCAATGCCGTAGTCGAAAGGTAAATTAGTAGATCCTATTCACAGTTCAACGTTGTTCGAAACATATATACTAAACCTACATCCCAGGTTCGTTGCGACAGAGAAACGCCCTGCTCCAATTGCAGGATAACACAGAGAGAGTGCAGCTTTACGGGTGCACTACAAAAACCTCGAGCAGCTAGACAAAGAGTTTTAATATCTCATCAATAGTGAGTCGTCTTCACGCGTTTGTGTATAATACATTCGCTAAATTTTCCGTCTTAGTGAGAGCAAAATCGATAGTTTCGAGGCTCGTCTAACCGGAATCGAGGGGATGCTTCGAGAACTTACAACGTCTCTAAAGCGTGGCGGTGGTACATCTACACCTCATTCTGAAAGTATTACACAAAATTATATCTCGCCCGGCTGTAGCACGGCTGGGCCTAACTCCATATGCGAGGGAAGCTCGGTTCCAGAGGTTGGGGATAGCGACGCAGCTTTCGAAGGGGATTCCTCATTGACAGCCCATACTACATTTGCGAGTGAATTTCTTGAACAAGCTGTAACGAATACATCCCGACAGCTCAACCCAGAAATGCAAATTACACTTGCATCGCTTCAGAAAATGGTCCGGATGCAAAACAGGAAAGGTGATCCTCTAGAAAGCAGGCTTGATCACCAGCAGCCAATGCCAAAAGGAGGCTATAGTCAATTGCCGCTACCTCCCACAGACGTTATTTTGAAGCTTTTACGCAAAGTCAAAGGTTAGCTGAAGGGCTCTATTTGCGATTTGACAACGCCCGAAAACATAAACTAACCAACATATTCCCATACATAGCCGCCCCACCCATGACATTCCTGATGAGTTTAACTTTCGTAACAGTTGAAGATTTTGTAGACGCGTGCCGCAGGCTTTATTTCCCAACTGAAGACTACAATATTGCAATATTCATCACGGTCAACACGGGCCTGTACTATCTTTTCCAAGATAATACATGCAGTGCAACAGAGGATTTCTCCGATGAAGAATGTCTCAAATACCAGCTGATGTCTAGAGACAATCTAGAAACTGCTCTTGCCAACTTACCACTCCTGCTACCAGCTAGAAAGGATATGGTGGAGGCTCTAGTCTTAAGTGTAAGTTTTATAGTTAGGAAGACTACGGCTATTCTACTTTTACCAATACTAATAACATATACTCATAGGCGACATATGCGGTAGAGATTTCAAAGCTCAGTCTTGCATGGCAGCTCAACTCTGCTGCAGCAATGATATGCCAAACACTGGGCTGGCACCGCCTCCAAGGGCCGGAAGACGGCACCAGCGACGCAAGGATTACATTGTTTTGGTTTTGCTATATGCTCGATAAAGGACTCGCCCTGAGATTTGGGCGCACATCAGTGATTCAAGACTGGGATGTATCAGCTACGCGCCATTTTGACAATACAACCCTACCAACTTCTTGGAACTTGATGATCGGTCTCTGGATTAACACTGGAGGTATATTAGGGGAGATTTACCAACATTTATATAGCCCCTCAGCCTTAGCAAGAGATCCAAATCAGCGAGTTGAAACAGCACGATTACTGGTCGAAAAGATGGAGCGGATATGGAACGAGATGGTGGAGTTGTCTCATTCATCTGGAGCTCGGGATCAAGATTCATTGAAAACATTTTCTAAGCACCCTCATAACCAAACGACTCTCGATATGGTTCATAAATCTGGTAGGGTATCACACTTAGCAAATTTGACCTTGATATATCGCGCTATACCCAGTGCCCCGGGCGTCCCAAGTACCTTTAATGCCGAATGTATTGATGCAGCAAGGGGTGCATTTGGCTGCCATTTTGAATGTATGGAATTGATTGCAAACAACTCTGTTGCAATGGCTGGCTATCTTCATTGGTAAGGACATTTTCTGCGAAGGCACGATGAATTTTCGATTAACCGTATCATCATTTACTAGGACTATACTATACTCCCCGTTCACACCCTTCATTGTTTTATTCTGCCATGTCATCGAAACTTCAAATATCAAAGACCTTCAGCTCCTTGATCAGTTTGCAGAGAGTCTACAACCAGCTCTTTCGATCTCGCAGGCGATTGAAAAATTATTCCGTCTGTGCAAATTACTCCATCAGATTGCAGCACTTTATGTTGAGGCCAAAGGACAACAGAAACAAGATAGTGACATGAACATGGTTGGAAACGACCTCGACACATATCTCTCCCAACTCGGTTTTATATCCCAGAACCATGCCGGCGAAAATGTGAATATTAGCGCTACACCCGGATCAGGTACTGCTCCTATAGTAGGTTCGGGGCAAGAGTTGGGTGATTGGTTCTCTGGGAATAGGTATATCTTAGGGCTAATGGAGGATGATTTCTTGGATATTGACCCGGGAATGTGGTCAGGGATATGAGTGGAGTGCTACATAGCTCCCATACATTTCCTATCGAAGCTGCGAGATCGTGAATACGTACAATGTGTAATATTAATGTGTACTTGGAATATGTGTGATAGAATCGTTTTTCGTTTTAATATATCAGCTTTATTTTACTAGACATTCATCAATCCGAGTATAATAACTAGAATGTCCTATATTATTTACACAACCCTCCTCGATACTCTGTACTCTCCGAGTTGATTGACTTCTGGCTCCCAAACCATATTTCGTGTTTCTTGTGATGTGCGGTTGTGTATTAAAGTAAAGACCCACTCGGTCTTGCCCCGATCTCTCCGGAATTGAATCACGTTTTCTGCTGTGGAATCATGCTCCAACCCCGTAGCCATCAATTTCCGAAATGCAATTTTTAGAAGAGCTGCAGTCAGCTCCCTAACCGTTGTACTTCTGGTAAGCTTCATGCGTTCTACCCAATCTGGAGGATCTGGTGTTTCCTTTAGAAAGAGGTTCCTATGGACAACTACTTGACACTGAACGGTGGCATAGTCTTCTTCGCTACTCAATGCATGGATAGCCTCTTCTGATCCGATACCGGTCATTTCCTTTACAGATGGCTGCAGATATGGTTCGTCCAAGATGGGATAATTCGTGATATCGTGAATTTTGAACCTGTATATGCCCAAAGTAAGGGCTATAACAACCGTATCCCTCTCTGCCTCTCTCTCCTCCTGCGTCTCTGGATTCGTACAGATGCGTTCAGTTATCATCCCCCTTTGTGGCTCTCCCCCATAACAGGTTCTATAAGCATATCGAGTGATTTTATCACCAATAGAAGTGCAAACGAGGTTAGAAAATGGATGAACCGGGCGTGCGCCCAGAACTTTATGAGTACCGGGACCCGGAAGATGAGAGTTTTGTAGTGGATTCAGTGACCCGAGGACTCTTATGGCACCAGAGTTAGTGGCGTAGCGGGTGCCTCGAAGGATAGGATCGTGTAAAATAAGATTATGGAAAGTAGAACAGACTTTGATGATGTTGATTTGGTCATCGAGTGGAAGTAGGACAAGGATCTGGAGTAGCAGTTCCTGGGGGATTCGGAGGAGAGAAGAGGGGGATATGGCCTCTTGTGAGTCCGCCATCCTGATATAAGCTTATTGGCGCTGCTCGAATCAAGTTTAAAGTACCAACAACCTCGAGTCGGCTTTTTTGACGTTAGGGAAGGAGTTTTAGAACAGTTTCTCTGATCAATTATAGTGATCGGATGCAGATTCTACCAAAGTTGGTTTCGGGGTTGATCGCATTGAAGGCTGGAAATTATGTGCCAGCAATGCAATGCAACACATGTTCTCTGTTGGAATTTATTGTCGAAAAGGATCTGGCCTCGGTTGTAAATTACCTACTTAACTTATCAAATCGGCTTTATCTTATCGACTCGGTTTTAATGGTTCATGATATGATATATGATGCATGATGTCTGAATCGAATATTGCTGTATCGCACGGCGGTATGGACACTACATAGGTCATAAATTATTTTTTGCATACCTAGTATATAAATACTTGAGTATGTATATTCTAACATTTTATAGATTATTTCATTTTAAAATCCAATGCATGAATTAATATCGAATGATGATATTCAATTAAAAAATACACTACAATAACTCATAGGCTGCTAGCCTGCATTAAGCCCCTTTTTAAATTAACACAAGATACTTATTTATATAACTCGTAGAGGGTGAGATGCCACTGAAGAAATATTCACCGGTATTTCAAAGATCTTGCTCTCACAGGAGTATTCTAATTTCCCTCCACCCAAAGGAAAAGATGTTCAAACTTTCAAAACCCTTGTAGAACCGTTAGTAATCACTAGTCCCTCGATCGATCGTTGACCCCTGGATAATGCCTGTCATTTGTGTTGATGTTGCATGTTGCATGTTGGAGGGAGACCCGAGGTCCGGTCCCACAGACGTTCCGGGCGTTCCCACAGATCTCGCAATCAAGCGCTTAAGCCTTCCCTCTTTTCGACACTTCCATTTTACCGGAGGGCCCCTCAGAGCTTCTTTTTGACTACCAACCCCTCCTCCTCTTCTCCTTCTCTTTCTCCTCTTTCTTATCGTAGACACATAACGTTGTTACAGTATTATTAATATTCGCAATGGCTACCAACGCTGGATTTCCAACCCTAAAGCCTGCCTTTACGGCATTGGTATGTTGATTTCATCTTTCTTTAACGTTATGGTTCCGAATTGCTATCAATCGGTGTCGTTATGCACCATTCTGACGTTATGTTGGACTTGGCTGTGGTCGCTCATCGGATCTGAATTGCGGGGCTACCCCGCCCTCTCATTTCGAATCAGAACTTGGATTACATAAGAAGTGAACCGCTGATAGGTCTGGATATTGAATATTAGTTGAACATCGCCCCGGGATTGCCAGTCGGTAGGAACCAATTTGTTTCCGACTTCCCGCTTGAACCTCAATGCAATTTTAAGCTTTAAGCTTTTCACCATTTCGACCCCAAAAATGCAACACAATACGTCAAGATTCGAGTCCTAGTTGCAAAAACTGACAGGTTTATTCTATAGGTACTCTGAGCGCTGGGCAAAACCTTACTTGGGTCGTATGTAATTCGCTCAGTTGTATCCATTTCTGGGAAATGAGTTGAAGTCTAATATCTCGCCGTATTAATCATGTAGAACATCCTCTCAGGCACCCTTGTTTCCGAGCCAGACTACCCTGTTAAGGTTAATGCAACCCTGGTCTCTGGTGCCGACTGGATTCATGGAGACCCGGATGGGAAGATCCAACGTCTTGACGTAAGGAGCATCTTCAAGACCGATGATGGAGCTGTAAGTCGTTTATGTCCTTTGAACATATATATAGTGCAATCTGTATTCATCTAATCCGTCTTTTGAAGTTGCTCAACTTCTCCTACCTCGGAGCGATCCATATGGATTCAGAGATTGCCAGCATTTTCCAAGGAACGGCAAAACCAGGATTGATAACTTCCTGGCGTGGTGGTAAGATATTTTCTTCTTTGATAAAGTCGCTGTAAATTGAAGAAAAGAGACGGCCGATTAACTGACTGTCACGTTTATGTAGTTACCCATAAGTTCCTTCAGACTGGTACCGAGGCATATAAGAGACTCGAAAATGATGTTTTCATTGCTGTTGGAAGGTTTCATGTCAAAGAGGATGCCGTTGTTGTTGAATACAAGATCAGCTATGTTGAACATGAATAGGCGACAGTGCAGACAGCATTCATTTTGAACATCAAACAATTGAAGTCCTGGTCGTATTGATACTCTGTAGATATACTCCGTACCTTGGTGTCTAACCCTGAAATGGATTGGACTTTGTAGTAATTTATCCAAACATGATGCCATACCCAACTAGCGCTGGTGGACCCTCTTTAATTAACTAATTCTCAGATCAAGCCGAAAATCCGCCAATTGCAAGGCAGCAACACCCAGTTCTGTGTCGCCCTTGCTTCGTGATAGGCCAAAACTTTCCTCGTCGAGCGTTATGCGACGAGAAATAGAAAGGTCATTGTCTATATTCCACGAGGTCTAGAAGAATTCCACAGACAGCGTTTCTGCCTGTTTTTATTAGTAGAACTCTGGCTCTCGCGGCGCCCTTGCTTCCATTCCAGTTGACCTCACTGTGCGACGTCGCATTGGTTGTCCACCCAATCCGACATTCGCGACAACGTTTCTCGAGTTTTAGCATCTGCTTCCCCACGTGCCTCCCATCCTTTGTACAACCTGTGATGGTAATTTGACAGCTTCACGAAGCAGGAACCCCGCCCCTTTCTTCCGCGTCATCTCCCTTATCACCGCCAAAACTTATCATCGCCAAAAACTCTTACGAAATATTTTGTGGAGTCAGCCCTTACCGAGAACTACGAGAAATGAAGTTTGACATGGAATCCATGCGCTGAGGCGGGATGTGGCACAAAAGCCGAAACTAGCAGCAATTTGACATCCCCACGCAGTTCAACAGTGGCGATTTCGTCACCATGTTTACTCAAACTGCTTACATTACGCTCTCAAAAGCCTGGTTTGAAAGGAGTCGCTAGACCCACTGCCTGGCCGATGATCGCAATTAATGCATTCTGCCAAAGCATGCGCATGTGCATCCCCATTTAATATTTCGAGGCCAAGTCGCGCAAACTATAATGTTGCTCGTGTGCGACCGAAATATTCTGCCGTGGACCATAAGGGGTTCAAATCCAACCGTATCATTAATCTATCCAGAACACACCCAGTCCCACATCAACCAGCACAAAAAGCCTTTTTTCCCGAGGAGGAAAAAAAAAGTTTCTCGCCACGATGCTTGACGCAATCCTTCAGCTGCTAAATTCCAAAGTCTCGACATCGGTGTCTTGGAGATTCTTTCGCCAAGCCCAATCATAAATGACGATCCGGCTCGATCATATAAAACTGCCCACCGTCCGTAGAGGGAAGTCGACCAATGACATCTGCGACTGGATTCCTTTCTCAGAAGCCAATGCGCCTGTCATGGTGGACATGACACCCGCTATCCTGCTTAACGCGGCAGGTTCTTGGGGTTATCTATGCAAACAGGCAAAGGTCGAACAATGGGGTGTATCCCCGCCAAGGGTCCAATTTTAATTTCCCAACTGCCTATCCCCCATCCAGCCAATCAAAGACAAATATCTCACCGATCCCTGCAATCATTGAATGCGACCAGCTTCTTGCCCATATCTTCAATTCTTGACTTTTGCTTGTCGCTTATCCAAAATGAATATGCTGTCACCAGCCAAATTCCTCTCATGAGAGTGGGAAAACCTTCAAAGGGCGACATCCCCACCGAAATTAACCTTGCACTAGCGCCATGCAAATCAGAGGCCCACAATGCTACCACTGAAACACTGGCAGGTAAAGATGAGATGAAAGGGTTTCCCAGTTGTGTTCATGGGGCTTTCTTGCCCACCTAACGGCGGGTTTACATTTCTCGCTGGTTTGTGCTCGTGGGTATAAGTGTCTGTGGTTCCCCTGCACCCTCTTTTCTCATGTTCTTTTTTTTTCCCTCTTTCTATTTGGATATCCTCTATCTATCCTTTTCCAGTCCCGTCCCTTTCGGTTACGCACACGAAGATAAACGTCGAGAACGTTTTCTTATCCACACTCGTTAAGTCATTGAACTTCAGTCGCTCGTTCTTTGCTATCCTTAAAGAATCCATAACGGTTTCATACCCAAAAGGAAGTCTCCCAAACCAAAAATCCAACAAAACAACCCCCCCAAACCAGTCAAAATGCGTTTCTCGATTGTCGCCGCTGCTTTCTTCTCCTCCCTCGTCCTTGCGGTCCCAAGCCAAAAAGGGTTTGAAGTAGTTATTCACTACGTCAATGCCCCTGACTGCGATGCACAGTGCGGCGCAAACACTACCTCTATCGAACCCACATCGACATCGAGTACGAGCACTACTTCTGAGGAACAAACCACCACTTACACCTCTACATCTACCAAGTATGTTATTGTAACATTACAAACTGGTTACGGTTCAACCGAGACATTGGGCTACGAGACTGCTACCACCGTCCCGACACCATACGAAACCGCAGCGCCAGAGCCAGAGCCTACTTATTAGATGGGCTAAGCCGTTGGGACATCATGGGTGGAAGACTTCTTGTGTACAATTATTTAGCGCTATCCGATAACTTTTAGCGCTTTTTTTATCTTATAATTTTTATTTGGAGTTGGAATCGGGGAATTATTTTGGACTTCTTATTTGGACTTTCTATCAACCTTTATTAGGATCAACGGGACGGAATTATTTATGGACTCACCACACCCCCTTTAACATCCACCATCAATCACCCTTCAGGGTTATCTCATTACCTCTCATCACCAAATAGCTCTTCATCCACCTCTTTTGTGTCATTATTAGCCAAATGCCTAGCTGGGACGGATTTCCTTCGATACCCCAACCCGTTTATGACAATGAAAGCGCTCTCTATATCTATCTCTCCTTCAATCAAATAAATTTCACGTATCCCGTTCGCCATTAACAGCGTTACTTGGCAAGTATCTATCATCACAACGACTGTGTTTGCAACCAACCGAGTCAAACAACAAAATTTCTTAAACGCCGCTGCGGATGCACGCATCTCAAGGACGGTTTATTTTTATATTTTATACTTGACCTTTGTAGTAGTGGACTACTCCGATATCCGATGTACTGGTGCGCGCAAGGCTTCTTTTTCTTCTTTCTTCACTTTTCGTTTTCTTTCTTTTAATTCCTTCTTGATGGAACATATGTATTTTATGAATATATATGACCGTGGCGAGAACAACGGCGGGGATAATGAGACCGAGGATGTCTTTAATATTTTTAACGTTTAACGCAGGAAGGGACGCCATGAAGGATATTTTACCTCTTCTTCTTCTTCTTCTTCTTCTTTGTTCTTGTGTGTATTTTAATACCATACTTTTCTTACTTTCAAATTTAATACTCTCCGATTCCTTTCTCAACTCCGTACTTTTGAGAATTGTAAGATCTAGGTCTATACTATACCTTTCGTTTGTCATGACAACGATCGAACGTAATAGGTAAAGTAAGTGCGTGCATTGTCAAGATTTTAAACTTAGGACACGATACCGGCGGGCTGCAGAATTTTCCGAGTTTATCTGGAAAGTTATCTTGTGAGGCTAGTTCGCATACTTGCTATATTCGGAACCACATCAGATGACGGGTTATATCTCCGTGAAGGCTTGCATGATGTCAGGGCAACAATAAGGCAGCACAGCCGGAAATAGCTATACAGCCTCCACAAGATCTTTTTGTGTATTTCAAAGTTCGCGGTGATTTCGAAAGACCTTTGTTGTTTTGCTTCTAGGTCTGGGTACGAGACAAGTTGTTTTGTTATATCGTGATTTTACTTAGCGCTCAGAATTTTGCTGTATCTTAGCATCAATGGACTTTGTTTATATAATTGTACATAATAAACTACATCGCTAACTACGGGAACGAAAAGACAAAAAACAATTGATCCGACAAGGGCTCCAGAAAGGAGCGGCGAACCCGGTGGCGAAAGCTATGAAGGAATATTAAAACTAAATAATACTTCCATACTCAAGTAGTGCTACCATGATATCGATGACATCGATTACCTCCTCTTCTGAATGAAGCCCTGCTCCCGCATACACTGCTCCCATTCAGGTCTACAAGGATCATTATACTGCCTCTTCACGATAACTTGCTTATTACCCCTCTTAACCCTTGCCAAACCCTGTGCCTGTCTTTGCCTCCAGCACTCCGTATGCGCGTTATCACAAATTGAACGATCTCCCTGCTGTGGCCTCTGCTGTGGCTGCTGTGGTCTCTGCTGTGGCTGCTGTGGTTGTGAAGGCTGCTGCGGAATCTGTTGAGGCTGCTGCGGCTGCTGAGGGTACTGGTTCGTAGGTTGGTTCGTAGGTTGCTGATACATAGGTGTACCCCCATACCCAGCATAAAAGGTGTGGAATTTATTCAGATCGAAGTTCGTCAACCCGATTTCCTGTTGCATGTTCGGAATAATCGGGGACATAAGAGCGCTAGGAGCGTTTGGTACATGACCCAATCCCAAAACGTGACCGAATTCATGAACGAATACGTTATGAATAGCTGCTATATTCCAACTTGGTGTTCCGGAGTATGTATTATTAAACTTGATACGTCCGGTGGGGTTACTGTCATAACCTTGCGGTCCCATCAATCCGTTCGCAAGTGTATAGCCACCACCGGAACGAGGTGGAAATTCAGGATCGTTGACTTGCGGACCTGCAACCATGATTTCGATGTTATGACCACCGTTTGGAGCTTGTTGGAAAGTGAATAGATTTGTTGCGTTCGTCCACTTTTGGAAGGCTCGTTCGATGGCGCTGACCATACTGTTATAATCAACATTTTGGATCGCGCCGGTTAAACGCCAGCGGAAGGCGAAGCCTTGTGGCCATTTTCGTGGTGCATCTTGGTAGAAGTCTTGACGTTTGATGAGGATTCCACCGCTTTTGATCATGCAGTCGCCGCCGCCTTTGGAGTTGTAGGAGCAAACATGACCAGCATGGGACGGCATCTTTGATATAAAAATTCCTTTTTTGTTCTTTTTCTTTTTTGAAAAGTTTCGGTATATATTAATTTGGTATATCCTTGGAGGTGATAGTGTAAGACCCGCTTTCACAATTGATACCCTGGTAAGATATTATGAACGAATGTGTATAACGAAGAGCAAATATTAAAAAAAGAATTAACAATCAAAAAGGATAGAAGACCAGCTTCCGTTCAAAAAAGGCCGATTAATGGCTAGACAGAAGTGAAAAGAAAAGAGCGACTCACGGGTATCAAAGCTGGGGGAGTCCTCCACAATAGAGAGCTTACTCGGACTATATATACTCCCTCCATTTCTAGAATAGATACAACTACGTAGCTTCCCGAGGGCTATACAACGTATCATAATCCTTCCGTTCGTTAGAAAGTGGCTCAGCTGAGCATCATGTACAGCATCGGTTCTCGGGTGCACCGGGTGCCTGACCATATGCAAGGGGACATCTCTTATTCTAGTCTTTCTTCTTTCTTTATTCTTTCGAATGGTGGCTTCAATTACGAAATACATTTTACTTTTTCAACGTACTATGTAATCTCGGGTCTAGCACATTTACCAGGCGTGTTTCGTATCCTTTGGTGGGAGCATCAGAAAGTGGTGCGTGCTGGCGTGGAGCAGTCTTGGGAAGGGGTTCAGACTTTCCCGTTGAAGGTTAGACTGTGTTATGGGATCATGCGAGGGGGTTTTTGGGTTGTTACACATACCGACCAATGAGGGATGTCTCATTCTCGAGCAGCCTCAGGGACAGAAAAACTACGGCATACGGCATGGGGCCTTAAGAGACCCTTTCTCTTTTTTATTTTTATTTTTATTTTATAATTGTGGAAACGAGACAGGGTCAATTTTTTTTAAAAAAATAAAAAAATAAAAAAACGTTCGCTTGGAATGCTTCGAGAAGAAAAGTGGGTTTGAATGGGGATCCTTGAATTCGAAGAGTGTTCTGATTGTTGTATTTTGAAACGGGTGTAATTGGCAAGATCTGCGAGACGACTTCACCGAGGATCTTGCCAGGCCCGACTTCGATTTTCTTATATCTATTCAAAGAGTAATGACAGTAGGTGGGCTTTCTAAAATACACTTTCGGCCACATAAAAACGGAACGATCGGACAGGTCTAGATCTGGGTATTGGGCAAAAAGAATTAAAACGAAGTAAGGTATAAGAAATTCGAAACGCCATACACCGAAAATAAGCGGTAGGGCAAAAAAAAAAAAAAAAAAAAGGAATGTTGGCGATAGACCCGGGGACACGCGACCACGAAGAAAATTAATACAAAAGAAATTAAAATAATGTAAGTTTCCCGTCTGCGTGCATGGGAATACGATAGGAATAGACACTAGGAGATAACACTAATGTCCTTTTCAGTATCTACTTGACTAGACTATGATATCATATTAGCTTTCTGCTAACGGAGTATTATGAATCACTTGATATTGGCTTTCTAGATTAACTTACTCGCCGACTTATGACCGCTAGTCTAGTTATAACCTTTGTTTTTTGACGGCTTTGGCTTCATGATAGGGAATACCGTCTGTTTCCTAGTGTCCGGCCCGAATATTCTGGATAATACCCCGAGGAACGAACAATAGGAGTCCACGGCACGCTTCATGCCCTTAACATATTCCGATGCAGCACCACAGTTGACGTTACAGGAAGATTTGATGCAAGAGTTGAGTTCAGACCAGTAGGCATTGCTGAAGGATGAGCAGGAGTTTCGGCCTGTAGTCGCACTTAGTAACCAGTTGAACCTTTACAACGAATAGCCAAATCTAAGGATATAACTTACACGCTTCGGTCTTACACGGGTTCGACTTGGGGTATTTTTCAAAGATACAGGTTTCAGCGCAAGAGATTTCGTTGATGGCTTGGTACGCGACTGTGAAGAGGTTGACGTTGACGGATTGTTGGCCAGCGGCTTTGTAAGGGTCGTTATGTGGAACTGGAGTAGCCAAGATGCATGATGCTAGGAGAAGGACGCTTCCAAATGTGATCTTCATTTTGTCGTGGATGTATTAAGAGACTGATTGAGATCAGGAGGATTAGTTAGTTCTATGTGGCTAAAGAGTTGAAGATTTTTGGGTAGTAAACAGGGTATGGTGTAGTAGGAACGGATTATAACGGGCAATCCGTAATTATATGTGTGCGGACGATTATTAATTTACAGAGGAGAGTTGTCGAAAGCTGAGCAATGTTGCAATTGGTTGGTTCACTGAAGGAAGGAAGGTTACACGTACCTTATGTACAATGAAGTGTCGATAATTCCCAAGAACTCGGTAAGGGGAAGGGCCACTGAAAATCAAGACTCGAAAAGTGAGGGTTTCGAAACAAGTCTCTGGAAACTGACGAGGGTCGAATGGGCAATTATATAGAAAGCACAGTGGCAGGAAGCTTCACAGGAAAAGGGTAAGGACTGTCCGCAGAGCCTCGGGGTCCACCGCTTAATGGCGTTTAATACGAGCCGAAAATCCGGTTAGACTCTTTCGCTCGTGGCTTGGAAAAAGCAACGGATTTTTATTCGTATTCTATATTACTAAGTATAGAGGGTAAGGTTGGAGAGGCTGATAATGTGTAGTGAGGGCTCTGCGAATTATTGACACGACAGGATTAAAAAATCTTTTAATATGTAAAAAAGATGTGGAGAAATTTTTTGGTAAGTGGGGTTCAGCGGATAGCTTCGACTTTTCAATATGTTTCTGTATAGCTCTCTAGCTTTTTTGAGAGTACAAAGCTCTTCTCGAAACGAAATTTAAATGAGCGGGGACATAAAAGCGATCGCATAAATGTCAAGTTCCCTCTCTTGGGCTTGGAAGATATGGATTTGATAATGTGACTGGGTTATACAGCGTCCCACTTTGTGCGATGTCTGTGTTCATCCGAATTTTACGGGGTTTCCTCCTTCTTGATTCTGTTCCGCGGAAAGCAGAGCTCATGGTCCTAATTCGCACACAACGAGACACTAATACCTAGGGTTCCAGTTGGAAATTAGACGGCAATGGCTAGGATTGTTGGCAGGCGGGAAGTCAGGAACACCCACGACCCTCGAAATAGACACCCGAGAGTTTGCCGTGGGCTCTTAAAGATCTTGGTTGTTCTTGAGAGTTTCTTAGCTGTTGAGTCTTCGGGCATACACGAGGGTTTGGATGAGTGATTTCTGTCTTGGGCTGGAGCTTGCTGTGCCGCCAATGTTTGACAAATGTTGGTTCCCCACTTTCTGCGCCCTGGATTTTTAATTAATTGAATTGATTGAATTGATTGCGTCCTCTCGGTTTTTCGGTACTACGGGTTCTCTTTTGACGGAATCTGTAGTCTTTTCCTGCCTCGCAAAGATAATATATGAAGTTTAAAGGAAGGAAGAAAGGAAAGAGGCAGGGTTGTGCAACCTATTTTGGGAGACGGGGCAGGGATAGTGCATGTTGGAAGCGAAGGGAGCATGCTTGTGGGCGGCAACTGCGACGGAGAACCACGACACCGGAAGGGAATGTCCAAGTAGGAGGCGCAGATTGGTCAAATTTGACAGGAAAGATCGATCGAGAGACATAAGAAAGACGGAATATGAGTATTAGATTGATTGGATTTTTCCTTGATTCTTTTCTTCTTTCCTTCTTTCCTGGGTCCCTGTGGCTTAAAGGGTTCTCGAAGGTGGGGTCCCAGATTAATATCAAAGTTTAGGCGACTTGGAACCTATGCATTTTGGATAATTGGTAAAGGCCACGACTTTGACAGGCGCTCCATCCCATCGGTGAGTTCATTGATGCCGTTTCTTCCGGATTTTGCCTCGAAGGATTCAATATTGAGGCACGGGACCAGGGCCAAAATGCATGCGACTAGACCGACTGGCTATGCCGTTTAATGTTGCATCTGAACATGGTCATAGGCGGTTGGTAAAATTCTAGAAAGCATATATATTGGTATGGAACTTTCCAGCCGGTATTCAGTCGTTGAGTTCGAGCTCTCAAGTATACTTTCTTGACTGGCTGGGATATCAATTACCTAGTATCAGTTACCCAGTTATCGATTAATTAGTTAGGACTTCCAGCGCCTCTATCGAGAATTAGAATTGTAAACTAACCTAGACCCGGATAACGGGAATGTAGGTCCGTTAAACGATGGGGCTGAGAATTAACCAAGACCGGTTCGCGACTTCGCTCGGTTGTATAGTTGGCTTCTGCACTACCTCGCGTCGTTACATCTTGGAAAAGAATATTAGTTTCGGCAGACTTCTTCTTCGCAAAATCTTATACATGATTGTATAATTGTTCGTGTCGTGGCTTTGCTTCAACGTGCGATGTTAAATGATATGATCAGCTATCGAACGTCTAAAAATATTAAAATGTAAAAGCTCGGCAGCGGACCGACCGCGAGCCAAGGATCAAGAAAACTGGAGCGGGCCTGCCAAGCCAAATCCAAACAAAACACACAACTGCTATTTGGTCAGCACTTCGAACCATCATCCCTGAACACCAAAGAACCAACTATCATTCGAATTCTGCAGACCGCGGGCTTGGTTCTGGCTTGATCCGAATCCCGAAATTTCACCACACTCTCCTTTTTTTTCTCCCTTCGAATTCACCGATAGTGTGTCATGTCTTGATTTCTCGTTCGGTGCTTTACTCTCGTGGTTAATAGAAACGACCAGTTTCTTTGTGGTGAACGTTTATTTCTTGACTTTCATTAAATGCCAATTGTACCCATGCTTCGACTTCGCAGTTCCCCACAAAACCGTCTCATCCGTCGCCTGCTGTTTGCCACCATATTCTTTCTCCTAAATGCTCATCTATTCATTTATTTCCTACATAGCCCCAATGAAGAAGCTTCGGACGACTTAGCTTCTCTCTGGGACTACAATCCGGCCGTTACGGTACCCATGGTTCACGGTATCGGGAAGGTCTATATCGCAGCGAATCATTGGATATCCGGGAAGATTCTTAAACCATATTGGATCAATGGATTGTTGATGTTGATACAACAGTTGGGGCCTGAAAATGTGTTTGTTAGTATTTACGAAAACGGATCTTGGGATGAGACACCAGCAATGTTGAGGGAGTTGGATCGAGAGCTTGAACGGATGGGAGTAGAGAGGAGGGTTCTAATTGAAGCAATCACGCATCGGGAACAAGTTGCAGAAGTTGTCGCACAGGGTGATGACAAGCCCGGCTGGGTTATGACGTCGAGGGGGATGAAGGAGCTACGGCGGATACCGATGCTGGCGAAATTACGTAATCGACTGTTGGAACCATTGGAGGAGTTACAGAGGCAAGGAAAGGGTAATTTTGACAGGATATTATTTATGAACGACGTGGTTTTTACGGTGAGCTTAATATACATCTACCCGACATAGATATCCTATCGAACTCATGCTGATATATGGTTTAGGCCGAGGACGTCATTACCTTATTAAGGACTCGGGACGGAAATTACTCAGCCGCCTGTTCGGTCGACTTCAACAAACCACAATACTACTACGACACTTTTGCTCTCCGAGATATCTATGGCCAGGAGGCGGCTAGTCAACGATTCCCGTTCTTTGCAAGTGGTGAAAGCCGAAACGCCATGATGAGAGGGGACCCAGTTCCAGTCCAAAGCTGTTGGAACGGCATAGTCGCCTTCGATGCTGCTCCATTTACACGCCAGCAGAAACCATTACGTTTCCGTGGAATCGACGATTCACTATCTGTTTTACATCTTGAAGGATCGGAATGCTGTCTAATACATGCAGATAATACTGGAGGATTTAGGTCGTTGCAGAGGTCTGGAGTCTGGATGAACCCGCTGGTTCGGGTGGGGTACAATTTCCCAGCATACCGTTACCAAAGAATTCATATGTACCAGTGGCCGGAATATTTTATTTCCATACCGGTTAGGATTGGTACTAGCTTGATAGGGCTTCCGTGGAGGAACCGGAAGGTGGGTAAAAGATTGGCGAGCTGGAGGAAGGAAACTGGTGGAGATGAGAAAGGGGATTTTTGTCTGGTTGATGAGATGCATGTGCTCGTGGAGAACGGATGGAAGCATGTCTAGTACCTCCCTCCAGCTGCGCCATCACTCATTTATCCTTTCTTCCCTCGCTATTTCTTCGAATGAGGTTCTTTTCAGTGTATCATTTTTGATATCAGTTTTTTTTTTTCCTTTCTTCTTTCCATTTTTTGATTCCTTTGTCAGTTGCATTGAAAGATTTGGCGTTCAAAAAAATTATACTAATACTGGGAAGCATCATCATTGGCGTCGGTGCAGTGTGTATTATACTATTATCAACTTATTACCTTGAATGACATTCTAAGAATATTAATTACTTCAATATACTAATATCCCTTTAAATTTAGTTAGCTACCTGGGGTCGAATTTGGCCTCGGGCTCAACATGAGTGGAACAAAATTTATGGAAACTACTTACCTACGTACATGTACATATATCGAGTAGTTCATGTATCCGAAGCATAGCAATTCACTATCAAGCCATAAGCTACTTGCCAAGCCTCGATGTACATGTACTTGGCAGTGGCTGGTACAGCTGGTACCAGGTATAGATGGACCAATTCTCGTTCTCGCGAGCTTTTAGGACTCGAGGCTGCGGGGTTTGACTTGGCCCCGCAGACATTTAAAATAAAAAGACTCATGCAACTCTATCCGTGGAAGACATATCGGACTAGAAAATCATGGCTGACCCTTTATCGACCATAGCCAGCATCATTGCAGTAATTCAAGGGATCAATGGTTGTTAGAAAATATATTCTGGGATCAAGGACGCTAAGGGCGACATCGATAGGCTTAGCGTCGAGGTGGCTAATATCAACGGGCTGGTTGAAAGAGTTGGAGCGTTGATCCGCGACCCAAAGTTTTATGGACTTTCTGAGAACAAAGACTTAGCGGGCGCACTTGAGGGCTGCCAGGATGAATTAAGAAAGCTCCAAAGCAAACTCGATTCGCAAAAGCTAAAGGAACACTCGCGCCTCAGTCTGTTCAAACGTACGAAATGGCCATTCGCTAAGACTGGCGTGGTTGAAACGATCAACAATCTAGAAAGATGGAAGGGCTCGATTAACTTATTCCTGAATGTGGACCAGACGTGAGTCACCTTGTATGGGTATATTTTGAGTAATTAAACCAGGACGGTAGAAGCTAATATAAATTCTGGACATCTAGGGATACAATACGAAACGTTAACCAAAAGTTCGACTTGGCAGGCCTCTTAATTGCTGAAACAGCAGCCTATGGGAATTTCGCGGACCGACATGAACCTGAATGCCTACCTAGCACGAGAGTTGAGCTACGGAAACGCATCGAAGAATGGGTAGACGCTCCACGCGGCGCGGGCGTTGGCGAATGCATTTTCTGGCTAAGTGGTGTTGCTGGGACTGGAAAATCCACGATCTCGCGGACAACCGCAAAGGAACTTCGTGAAAAGGGCCAACTCGCAGCGAGTTTCTTCTTTAGGAGAGGCGAAAAAGACAGAGGAGGAGCCGCCCGACTTTTTACGACTCTAGCATCCCAACTGGCAAATAATATTGTCGATGTTAGGCGAAACATACAGAAAGCTATCGAAACGGACCCGAACATTTCAAGTATGGGCCCCGGGGAGCAATTCACCAAATTGATCTTGCAACCTCTCCGCGATTCACAGGAACCCGAGGATCAGTCTCGATATGACAAGATTATTATCGTGATTGATGCACTAGACGAATGCGATGAAGAAAAGGACCAGCAACTTATTATCTCTCTTCTCTCGCAGTTGAAGGACTTAAAGCAGTTTGATGTCCGTATCTTCTTGACGAGTAGACCTGAGCTACCTATCCGTCTTGGCTTCAAAGACCTCTCTAAGGGCATCCACAAGAATGTCATCCTCCACGAAGAGTCTGGGACTGACCGGGACATCGGTATTCTACTAAATGATGAGTTTTCAAAGATACGAAAAGCTCGGGATCTCCCCTCTGATTGGCCGGGTCAGGATATCATACAAAAGCTGGTAGAGATAGCCGTACCGTTATTTATCTTTGCAGCGACAGCTTGCCGTTTCATCGCCGATGAGAATTGGGATCCCCAGGAACAGGTCAAACTTGTGATGGAATCTCAAACAGACTTGAGCGAGGATGTGGAGAAAACCTACACACCGATCCTCAAACGACTGATTGAGAATCAAAAATCTATCGCTTTGAAAAGACTGGAATCGGAGTTCAGACAGATAGTTGGGACGATCGTGAATCTTGCGAGCCCGCTTTCAGTCCCATCACTTGCGCGGCTTTTATCGGTATCAGAGACAACGATTGACCTTCGGCTTAAAAAACTACACTCCGTACTTAACATACCCGGGGAATCAAGCCGCCACGAGCCCGTCAGAACTTTCCATTTATCTTTCCGTGATTTTTTAATAAGTCAGCATCTCCATGGCCACGCGGAGTTGTCACGGTTATGGATAGATGTAAAAAAAACACACGGAATGCTCGCTACTAGGTGTATCGAGCTTATGTCGAATACTGAGGGCCTAAAGCAGGATATCTGCTGTTTAAACTTACCTGGAATATTCCGATCAGAAATCGACGAAGAGACCATACAAAAACAAGTATCTCCGGAACTTCAATATGCCTGTCGTAACTGGGTATATCACCAAACCCAAAGCGAAGAAAGCATTTGTGATGATGATATAGTGCATACATTTCTGGAACGGAGTCTCCTTTATTGGCTAGAGGTGGAAAGCCTTCTTGGCGATATGGAAAATACAATTCAAATGATTAATAACCTGAAAACGATTACAGATGTAAGTGGCCCCCTTCACTCGATGACATGAATCAACTACTTGGAATTTGTATCGTTTCGTAGTTGCTGTGATAAACATAATATAATCTGGCTTCTCGCTTGAGTGGAAAAGCTGACTATTGGTTTATTTAGGCTCTGAAAGGCAAGAAACTTTTGGCTTTACTGCATGATATAAAGAGATTCTTGCTTCAAAATAAATATATCATTGCCAAAGCTCCTTTGCAGACATATGTGTCGGCAATCATGTTCGCTCCGGAAGAGAGTCTTGTTAGAAAGTTATTCAGCCCCGAAAAAATGATTCCGTGGGTCCGCCAATTCCCCCGGATGGAAAAAACATGGGACCCTCTGCTGCAAACACTCGAAGGACACATATACACTATTTTTGCCGTGGCGTTCTTTGATGGTATTATAGCGTCTGTTAGTGCAGGTGATTCTTCGATTAGGCTGTGGAGCGCAAGTACTGGAGCCGCATTGCGGACGATACGGGGCTTGCATTTTAAACCTAACAGTATAAGGAATTTAGCGTTTTCTCCAAATGGTATCCTGGCGTTGACGTCCGGTAGCGTGATTGAAATGTGGAATACCGATACCGGAGAGCTGATAAGGAACTTAAACGGGCACACCGATATTGTTAATGCCATAGCTTTCGCGTCCAATTCTAGCGGAATTTTGGCATCAGGTTCCGATGACATGACAGTCAAGCTTTGGGATGCGGATTGGACATTGCGTCGAACGCTTGAAGGACATGCAAATAGAATAACATTTATAGCGTTTTCTGGCTGTATTTTGGCGTCAGCTTCCGGGGATGATGATATCAGGTTATGGGATATAGATGGGGTGCTGCTTCACGTGCTGGAGAGCCCTACCTGTTCGGTGACAGCATTGGCATTTTCTTCTGATGGTCTATTGGTTTTAGGCCTTTGGAACGGTACTGTCAAGCTGTGGGACAAGGATGGAAATTTTTTACAGTCCCTAGAACATACGTCGTTTATTCGGACCGTCGGGTTTTACAAAGAAAATACGTCGTCTATTCGGGCCGTCGGGTTTTACAAAGAACTTGTAGTATCTATAGCTGGCGACAGCACAATCAAGTTGTGGGATCGCAATGGAGCGCTTTTACGAACATTGAAAGGATATGGTTTCGGTTTGAGAACATCGGTTTTTACTTCGGATGGTATTTTGGTGGGTGGATGCGATGATGGGACTATCAGATTGTGGGATTTAAATGAGTCCCAGCTGCGGGTCTCGGGCGAGCGTACGGATAAGGTTCGGGACGTATCCTTTTCTCCTGATGGTAAAATTCTGGCGTCCACAACTATTCGTGAAAAGTGTATCAAACTTTGGAGTGAGGAAGGAGAGCTGGTGCGGACAATAAAACCGCATGAAGAAGGGGCTTCAGACATGGCTTTTTTACTGGACGGGCGTGTTTTGGCGTCGGGATCCAAAGATGGGATTAAGATATGGAGTACGGACGATGGATCGCTACTGCGGACTTTTATCAACAGTGGATCCGGAGACTCAAGAATCAATTTAGTCCTTCCTTCTGACGGTAAAGTTCTAGTGTCTGCAACGGGAGGAGGAAAAGTGGGAGTTTGGAGTTTAGACGGAGAGCTACTGCAGAGCTGGAGTAGAGGCAGCATCATGGAAGCACCTCTTGCAATCTCGTTTGATGGTAAATTTCTGGCATCTACTGTTGGTTTAGGCATCGAACTGTGGGATGCGGCTTCTGGGTCACTACTGTGGACATTTTTCGGTCACACAGCACCTTTGGGAATGGTAGCGTTTTCCTCTGACGATAAGATTCTGTTGTCTGCATCTTATTACGATCTAACAGTCAGGCTGTGGGACGTCGGGACCGGGAAGCCGCTGGAGACGTATGCAGATTCAGCGGACCTTCTCGAATTCATATCCGACACTAATATCAATACGGTGAATCTATGGGACGCACGTACCCTAGCGCGATTGAGAACCTTTGCCGTGGGGCGCCTGGACAATAAAAAAAATCAGCGACATGAAAGAGTGGAACGGAGCCATATTATCGTTGAGGGGGAATGGCTGAGTCGGGGTCGAAATAGGATTTGGCTTCCGCCTGATTATAGATCGGTCCGCTTCGAGATCCAAGATCGAACATGGGATATTTGTGGCGATAGAGTTGCTTTAGGTCATCACTCTGGTCAGGTTTCGTTGATTGGATTCAAGTCCTAGCTTATTCATTTATCGATGTTATAGCTCCTAGATCCGGGTTTTTTTGTATCATTATATGCGCTAAGACGAGGCTCTTTTCGAATGGGACCCGGGGAGTAGCTGATCAATTGAGGGAACGACGGGGCTTGCTTCAGCACGCTTTTTGTGTTAGCCTGTTGCATTTTCGCTTTAGACCGGTTTGTTGCATTTTAAGCATACCAACGCAATGGATCAGATCGGCATTAAGATACAATGTAATGCAAAGAAGTTCAATCAAAACATGTGGCAAGCATTCGGCTCAAATGCTTCGATGTTGCTATACGTATACTATACCGGTCCTATTTATACACTTAGTATATATCCACGTTTCCATCGTAACCTATACAACACAAGCATTATATAAATATAACTATTTATTGAGAGATCTGCCATGTTGGACAACATGTCCAGACGATCCCATTCGAAAATTCACCAATCAGTACACAGTATTTACTTACTTGCTTAAGTACTTAAGTACTTAAGTAAGTAGGTATATAGGTAAGATACCGACCTACTAGCTTTAACCATCAACTCCCACTACCAGTATCTTTGTCAACATTTGATTATCATCAAAAATGACGAACACCGATTCTGCAAATCCATCCCAATGCGATACGCATGGGACTAAATCACTTCCTCTCGCTGAGTCAGATACCACAGATTCAGTAAGTGAGTTAAATGCGAAGGAAACATCCATCGAAGAACCTATGCTTCTCATGCATATGGACTGGTCTCATCTCAAATGGACCCCCGACCCAAAAATGTTAAACTGGTCGGCCTTCGACAAACCATCTCCAGGTTCATCCCGTTGCGTTACGCAGGGGACTGAAAATCCGACTTCGATCATTGAGGAGTATAAACCTCCTCCACAGCCTCGAATTTCGGGGACCCCTGAGAAGAAAAAGACGTAAAGACTCATGGATATGAAATGGCCACCCCGTGGATATGAACCTGGTTTCATATCTGGTGGTCCAGCAGATACTATCCAAAAATCGAGCACATTCCCTCTACGTATGAGAAGGGTAAGTAACAATCCTCCTTCTTTTCAAGCTAAATATAATCGAAGTCAAAAGAGTACTAAACGAAATATAGACGATACCCTCTTACGGTGCCGCCGCGTTTGGGGGGCTATGCCCAAACAAAGAAGGCGGATGGAGCGGGTGTCATGTTGTTTCCTCGCGTGGAAATACCGCGATACCAAGCGACAACCCTGCAGCAAAGTTAATGCGGGGAAAATCTGTTGTATCCAGTTTATGCGCAGTTGGGAGAATTTTTGATCCCGTGACTGGTTGTTCCGAGTCCGGATTCTGGATCCAAAGCGGTTTTTTCGTTACAGCGTTCCATTTTGCTAAATGGAACACAGAGAATAAGCCCACTACCGAAGAAATCAACAATTTCCGCCTCGAGGCTCGAGAACTTTTTGTTTCGTGCGAGACAATTGCAGGTATCCCAAAAGATCCGGATAATGTTCCGGTCCGTTTTGAAGATGGTATCATCGAAAGTGACTGCGCAGTTTTCCGACCCTCCGATCCTAACTATCGACCAAATTCCTGGATACCGCACAATCGGCTTTTGGACCCCGAGATGGTGGAAGCCCTGTCACTGGACTTATCCAAATATTTTATCTTTGCAGCTGGCTATAATTGTGGGAATTACGAAGGGTTAGATGAATATATGGAAGCATATAAAAGAGGATTCCCAAATAGATTTGAGGGAGCTGGTGGTACCCTCCAAGTCGTACGTTAATTAGAAGTCTCAATCAGATACCATGCATACTAAACTATCCAATAGGAACCTGACTACGAGCAACTTCTTCATCCTGATAGAAAAACAGTCTCATGCGGAAGTATTAAAAAATACGATGCATCACCTCAAATCCTTGTGGATTGTAGCTTTTGGAAAGGTTATTCGGGTGGGCCCATCTTCTGCATTTTTAACGAAGAAAGGTCTGTACCATTTGTTATCGGCACAAGTAAGTAATAAGCCAAATTTGCCTCTATGGTATGATCAAAATGTTCTGACGGGTGAGATGAAGTAATTGGGGGTCTTTATGATGGCTTCTATAATGAAGGCATACAGCTTCCAAGAGGGTTTGCAGATTATTGTAGGGGAATACATCCAAAAGAGTCTCGGGCATTACATTAGTTTTTCTTGTCCATCGTTGTATCTTAAATCCCGCAATCGATACAACAAGTTTTAAAGGTCTGTTCATGTCCTTTAACTTGTAAATAAGTAGTTGAGCTGCCTTCGTGCTCTCCGCTTACCCTGGACACCTAGAAAGTCTCGGTATGAGACTGGTAAAGCAATGATAAAATAGAACAAGTTTAAAATTTGAAACCGATCAAGTGCTCATGTCAAAATAGCTATATATATATAGCTACCAAGCACTCAGATATTTAATTTCGGGATGTGCTCACCGAATAGATATCTCAGTCACGATTTCCCTAAAGAAGATCTATAAAATTATAGCTGTCAGGATATATATCATCCATCTGATACTGACATCGACTCCACTCAAGGCGGGTCGTCGAAATATCGAGGAAGGGAGAATCGTAGCTATTAAAGTTGCCAGCTCTACAATATCAGTGTTTTTACGTATAACCTCACTAGGACATAGTTCGATCGGATCTGCGAAGTACTGTACTCGATAGGTAGATATTATTCCTCGCGACGGTGCTCTACCAGCTGAGGGACTTGTTCCGACAAATCACAGGTCGGCAAAAACTTTCAAATATTTGGAATCTCTAGATCCAGGCTGACAGAGGATAGCGCACTGTTTTTTTTTTTCAATCTGTTCATTAGACGGGGTCTATAGTAGTAGATACCCAAGTAGGTATCGAGATATCTGGGCTGCGTATCTCATAATACTCATTCCTAAGCCATTTTTCGTACAATACAATACATACCTCAGTCAGAAAGCCTATATCCATTTATCTTAAATACTATACAGCCCAATGTTGAATTTCATGAAATAATTTAATTTAAAAGGTAGCTTAGCTTGGGACTTCGCCACTGCGCCACGCAAACGGTCGTCGTACGTTACGTTAGCTTAGCTAAGGCTGAAACATGACAGGCTCCATTCCATTCCAGAACCAACAACCAAACCAGCCAACCAGAACCGCTTTCAACCTCCCCCGGCAAAAGCCCGCCCGACACGTCGTCAACTGTTTGAATTTTACATCTCCAGTTCAGGCAGCAGCTACCAAGACGACTTCGAGGCTGCTCTGACCACGCGTGCTGCTCTTTTGGTGGCGGTTGCTCAAAAGGAGTCTACATCCCTGCTAGCTGGCGGCCTTTTAAGCTGGGCCGCTTTCTTACCATCACATTGTCACCACCACCACCATCATCATCACCATATCATCTCACCTAATACGAGCGACGACGTCACTTCATCACAACCAAGAAAAACGGACATCCAGCTACAAAAAACATCTAGGAATTTACATCCAATCCGATAAGAAACGCTGGAGCTGAAGGGGATTTAATAAACAAGAACCAACAAATACACCTTATCCTTCCTTGCTGGCTGCATTACACACCATGCCGGCACCACCTCCACCCCCACCGCCGCCTGGCTTTGGTGCTCCCGGCTTCAGTGGTGGTGCACCTCCACCTCCACCTCCCGGTGGTCTTCCTCCTCCACCTTCGGGCGGTGGTGCTGGAAGAGTGTGTTCTCATTACATCCTAGATTTTGACTATTGTCATGTCTCGTGCTAACCATTGGGTGCTTAGGGAGCTCTACTCGGCGATATTTCGAAAGGAATTAAACTGAAAAAGGCCGTTACAAACGATCGATCCGTTCCACAAGTCGCAGGCAAAACAGGTTCGGCAGCTCCCAGTGGAGGTTTAGGAACTGCACCGGCAGTACCTGGACGACCGGCATTAGGCGTGCCCCCTATCCCCGGAGGCATCGGTGCGAACAGACCGAGAAGTTCGAGTGATTCCGGCGGTGGCTTTGGAGGAGGCGGTGGTGGTGGATCAGAAGGTCCACCACAACTGGCAGGAATATTTGCTGGCGGCATACCAAAGTTGAGAAAGAATGCAGGAGGGGTCGATACTGGAGGTATGTCAATATACAACTGGGCTGGTCAGTTACCGCAGGAAAGCTAATACAATTGGATCGTAGCGAACAACAGCTCGCCATATCTATCGGATAGCGAAACAATACAGAAACACAAGGCCCCTGTACCGCCAAGGCCGATACCCGCGAGACCTCCTGGTGGACGACCCGGGCTGCCATTCCCTCCGTCTGCACCAGCGATACCGGGTCGGAAGCCACCGGCCCTAGCACCTCGTCCTGCTTTCCCAGGAGGTATTCCACCTCGTCCATACTCAGATGCGCCCCAGGCACCGCCACCAGTACCACCGACACAACGTAGATTATCGTCAGCTCCCGCAATACCTCCACCACCACCTCCTACGGGCTCAGCACCACCAATACCTGGTGCTAGCAGACTAGGACCAAACCGAAATGCACCATCTCCAACACCACCTAGCTTCGCCGCCCCGACAGCACCTCCACCGCCTCCGCCCCCACAACCAACCAGAAATGTCGCACCACCCCCGCCCCCACAGATGCCAGTAACACCGCCTCATACGCAATCGAACTTTGCAATCGCGGCCGCTAAAGCAGCATCCAACTTTGGACCTCCTTCAAACCATCCTCCTACACCACAAACACCGTCTGCGGCTCCTCCAGCACCCCCTCCAGCACCCCCACAGAGCCGAATCCCTAGCCGGCGAGATGTATCGAATTTTACAATATCATCGAACATCAATGCTGCAGTTGGTCGTGGAAGGTCCGGGATTCCTAGTAGGCCCGATAGTGTAGCGTCTACTCACTCGATCAAATCGAATGGAAATGGAAGGCTTGTAGTTGATGATATGAGGTTCAGATGGAAGAGAGAGGAGGAGTTACCGAAACCGAGAGAATGGTTCGGCCCACCTTCTGGAGGCTGGAAGTATAAGAGCGGAAGGGGAAGCAGTGTACCATTTGACCTAAGACTTTTAGATCATTAAGTTCAGTCGAGTTGGTTCCATTAGGAGGTGTTTTTGATCTAAGGTCGCGAGGAATTTGATATCTTAGCTTCTGGGCTTTATATAGCGGGATCGATTAGATTGCATAATCAATTCTGTAAGCTAACGAACGGGCAAGATTAACATCAAATAGCGGATGGATACGTTCCAAGCCTCAAAGTTCTGTGTTCGCAATGGAATTGGCAATCTATTGTATCTGTACATGCTCCAAATTTACCTTTGACATGTACGAATCCTCATTGCGACGTTTCTTTTTTTTGTTTTTTTTGTTTTTCCCTGGATAGATCCATTCCGAATCCCTTTCCACGGGTGTAAAGGCCTTTTTAAAAACATGGCCGTTGTTCTGATGGTCGGATTTCATCCCTACCATCCCCTCCCCTCCCTTTCTTACTCGCATTGATAAAACCTCATTTCTAGCAGGGTGGTATTTATTTCTTTATAGCATCGATTTATCATTCATTTTCATACAGCCTTATCTCATGACCGTTGTTTTCTCTTCATCTCTCCCGGTTATGACAAAAATTGTTGATGAGGCTGTCCGACTTTATGAGTTTCGCTTCTTCTTCTTCCTGTTCTTCTTCCTCCTTTTTCTTTTTCTGATTTAGCTCCGTGGTTTTCTTGTAAACATTTTTTTTTGCTCTTCTTTAGTTTTCCATGCCTTTACTCTCTCCTCGGTTTTCATCGTACATTTTTTTATCTTCTTTTTTTCATCTTCTTTCGCTGTAAGTAGGTACAAAGTTAGGGGGGGCAGGTAAGTCAGTGTTTTTGGTAGCTAAAATAGACATCGGTTTTCTATTGATATTGTGTTTCCGTTAACTTCCGCTCTTGATAAATGAACTATGCCCTTGATCGTACTGTGGACTTACGTAACCGGCCGTGAGGCGATCGTGATATCTATACCTACTTACCACTTATAATTATAATTAGAATTAGGCAAGTAGATACACTACTTCGCGAAAGCATATTAATATATTTTAGCGTAATGTAAACATGATGGGAAAGGCCAAGAGTTGTAAAATCTATAATTCTTAATTATAATCATGCACGACCAGACAAAACTTAGGGGCTTGCGATGTAAAATTCGGATATCACTACTGAAGACAGCCCATATAATATCTGAGACGGTCTAACTCTGAGCTGAGTCTGGTAGCTGCTTAGAGAGTATACATAGTATGCAACGTATTCTTGGACGGATATGCTGTAGGGCTCCCCTTTATATCCTCGTCCGAGTTAGCGAACAGAGCTTTTTATAATTTAACTCGTTTAATTTTTGGGGACCCATGGCCCAGTTCCGTCCGAGATACCGTTTGAAGAGCCTTTGCTCCTTCAAGTCGACCGAGCGGCCACAGTTTCATATACATTTAGAGAAATGCTATTGCCGGCACTAGCAAGAAAGAAGGGCCGGCAATAGCATTTCCGGAATCCTAGAAATAATAATACAATCTGGAGATGTTCCCACTGCACTTGTCAAGCTCAATTGCTCAATTAAACCAACTCTCTGGATTTCGTCGTTGAGAAGCGTACTCCGCAGCTGCCTCCTCAATGAATGATTTGACAACCCATGCGAAATGATTTGACAACCCATGCGAAAATTCTGGAATAGTTTTGCTTGTGCATGCGCATGGAATATTTTTGGGTGTCGAGAATCATTGCTAATTTGCCCCATTTTCGTGTGCTAGGGCATTGCGTTCTCGGATGAGCTATTTAGAGATGTTCTGTTAGTAACGTAACACCATCACGACTTACTTTGGCATGGAAAAAAAACAAAAAAACACATACCTTCAAGTCATTGAGGCGAGCATAGTCTCCAGGCTTCAGCTCGTTCCTAGAAACCCTTTCAACTTCCTTGGGGGTTGACTTTGCAAGGAAGTTGACGAGGCTTTCGGGACTTAGAGCCTCTCGATTTTCCGATTGTGAATCTTTGACGGCTTGTTCGTGGCATTTGTATAGTGCTGTGACGACGTGGCCTGGAAAGAGTTGGTAGGGCCCTTTGCCGTAAAAACCTTTTCGAAAAGTTTTCTTTGAGGTTGTTTACAGTGGTTTGAGGATCGGTTGGATAGATATCATCTTATATAAGTAAGTTTCAGGTTATGGCTCTTAGCACATAACGAAGTGTGGAGAGAGGTGTTCTTGAGTCGAAGTATTATAGCTAGTTGAGATGTGAAAGATAAGTTTGGGAAGAGGTCTGCGGGGGCTCTGGGTTGGCTATTTATACGTCCCGAATTTATGATATATGAAATATATAAGATTTAAAGGGCCGGCGGCCGCGGTCTGCGGGTGGATCGATCGTTGATTGGGACGATTAGTCCAATATTAAGCACACCGGTACCGGTGTCAGATGATCATGAACATCTCAACGTGTACTAATTTCAGCATACATATACTGGTATAATATGGCGCTATCGATATCGTGAAGCGCTTCATATATTAAGGCTTTTCTGTACATGGCTGTGGGGTAAAGTTCTGAGGTGTTTTGCATGAACGTTAACTGGAATATTATTTTCGAATATTTAATTAATACCGCCATGCATAGATGGTTCGATTGGCTGCTAAGCTAAGTACGTTTCTAGGAGATTTGAAGAGCTTGGCTTATTTCCCCTAGGTGTTATTTTAAATATCTCACTGGGTGCTTTAATATAAGACTAGAGGACCGGGTGACATCGGTGATAACGCACGTAACACACGATATAGGTAGGTATATAGTACCTACGAACTTGAACGTGCGTCTAATATATGTATAATCTTCGGGGTAGATATCGTTCAAAACAATTTACAACAACTTATGCACACAAGTGCGGACGACTGAAAGCTGCTATCTTGAGTAAGAGGTGGTATTATGTATGGATATCCCTCAAGGAGGTAGATACTAGGCTCTTAAACCAAGATTATATTAGAAGACAATAGATACAACTTTAGTCTCGATATCGATACTGGCTTCTTCTTCTTCGTCACCCTTATCAACAGTTTCGAAAGCTTCTTCCCCTTCATCAAAGTCTTCTCATTCCCCATCGGAATCTTCTACCTCTTCAAAGAGGCCTCTCGCTTCTTTCTCGAGTACCCTCTCCATTTTACTCCTATTATTCCCACCCTCACTTTCTTTTGCATTTAGAACAGTCGGAATATTTGAGACATCGATTATAGCTTCTTCTGGAAGCTTTTGAATCTCTAAACCATGGGTTCGAATGAGGACGATCATACCCTTTATAGAGCTCGGGACGACATTCTCCACATTCTTATTCACCTAAGAAGATAAGCAAATTAGTTTAAAGAACTTGAAGCAGCGAATCGGATTTCTACACTAACATTAGACATCATCGTATAGTCCCCCACAATGATTTCCGCAGCTTTTGCTCGTGACATTGCGAAACAAAGTGTGTTAGTTCTACCTAGAAGTCCAACCTATAGAGAATAATTTGTTAATAAACGTATACTTTATATCAGAACTCCGAGAAGGGTATTCGACCCAACTAACATGTGGGAAGTTGTGGGAACAAGTCAATGATAAAATGACAACTTCTTTTTCATGACCTTGGTAAGAGTCCACGGTCTTTATTTGAAGCCCCTGTGAAACCATATATTCAAGGTCCTTTTTCAGCCCGAAAATCTGTCTGCGGTAACATGCGAGCACGACTATGTTGCATGCGGTGATACCATAAGCCACCATTTCATACACGATTCTAACAATCGCTTTTCTTTCGTTTGGGTTTTCGTATGTATTAGGAGCTGTTGTCTTTTCTGGGCTTGGAATATTGACCCATATGGCGTTGGTTTCCGAATTGGGGAAAATTTTGGTCAGTACCTCTCTTACCTTCCTAGTTGCTGGAGAGGAGAGTATGGAAGGATGATTAACAAAATTCATATGGGAATAAAAGGATTTCTTTACTACCCGTGAAACCTCTGGGCTCATACGGTAGTTTATTTTCAGCTGTGCAGTTGGCCAATTAGAAGTCCTAAACCTCTGGAAAAGACTTGCGGTCATGGTACTCCCCTCATGCGCAGAGTATGGTTTCAACTGCGCCTCATCTCCCATCAGAATAAATCTTTGGATGGTTTGACGAAATAGAACCCATGGTAGGAGACTATTCATCTCATTTGTTGCTGTTGCGTCATCCAAAATGAGCATTTGTGGTTTGAAGCTTTTCCAGTAATCTCGAGTCGAAAATAACATTTCAATCGTTACGAAAACGATTGTCTGTTGCCCAATTATTTCTGACTTGAAATCAAGCCAAGTTGTTCCTTCCGGTTTTCCGCCTCTCTGTTTAACCTTGGATGCCATGGAGTGTGCTTCGATTACAGATCTGAAGGGATCGTTCTCTTCCTTTAGGGTACTTCGAGCATCTTTGCTTAGTAGGAACAGCATTTTGTATTTTGGGTCTGGTCCGAGAGCTTTCAGAGTCCCTGAAAAGAGTGCCTGGATAGTCTTAAAATTATCGGCAACGACAAGAATGGGTAGCCACTGATGTTGAAACTCGATTGTCGCCGCGATTGCCGAAGCACACGCGGTAGTTTTCCCTGTACCAGCGGGCCCCGAGATAAGAACGATGCCGGAGAAATCTTCTTCTTTATTAAGCATATGTTTGAAAGCTACCTCCTGGGAGCGGTCAAGGTCTCTCAGTTGGGGGCAGTTTTCTAGGAGGGGGTCGGTTTCATCTCCGAGCATTCTATCGTAATTTGCCCATAAAATATCATGGCCTGTAATGGGCGTATCTTCATCAAAGGATTTCACTACTTCTGCGAGGGTAAACTCTTGTTGCTGTTTTCTGATTACGGGAGTGCAAGGTAAGAGCCTAGGAAAACTTTAATTAGTTGGTAGGGATGCCGGATGATATTTTTTACTTACTGTAACTGCCCTGCAGATGAAGCTTCCGCTATCACCAGGCTTTTGTCGGAATTCTTTGACAATGTGAGTTCAAGTAGACCGCTGTTGTTGTATTCTTTGACTTGATCCGCGGTACAAAATGCGGAAATGGATTCACCATTTTGGAATTTGAGTATGAACTGTGGTTTACCCCCTAGCTGGTGTAATTCCTGGATATATTCTTTCTTGCGAGGGTAAAAGACTCGCACATTGCCCTCTTTGCCAAGCGCCAATTCAACTTGCCCACCCAAACGATCCTTAAGAATCTCGTCCTCTGCCTCGAATTCTTTCTGGATTGCCGTCTCCCATGTACGTCGATACAAGAACTCGGACGTTGTAATCGATGGCATGGATTCACTGGGTGAACGGTTCCTGTCGGTACAGATGATTGTACGTTTTCCTTCGAGCGCAAGCAAAAAATCCCTTATTTTTCCTAGGACGCTCACATTTTGTGGTTCAAAGAAGACCTCTACAGAGCAGAGTGTCGTAACATCTTTATAAACCTGAGATAAATCCCTATTTGAAGCGAGTTCCTTCGGGAGATGTGATTTGCAGGTTTTTCGGTTGAGTTCAAGTGTAATGCTGCATCTCTTTTCATGTAGAAAGACGGACCTGATTGATGGTGGGAATATATCGATGCGCATCGTCGGGGCTCGAGGGTTGATATCGAATGACCTGATACAAAGATATGGAACGGCTGGACCGGTAGCATTGACAGGTTCGAAAATAAAAAAACAGAGTTTGATAGTAGGAAGGTCTACGTGTTCTCGGCTAAGCTCAATGTATCTTAAGGCATTCACTGTAAGCGGCTTTAGAATATCTTTCCTGTTGGGAAGTTCGGGAGGCTCTGGATCGTTTGAACCTGCTACCGGTGCCCCGACACTAGCAGCCCCCGTGATAATCTGAGAGTCTCGTTCTACGCGAATGTCAGCATCTGCTTGTTCATATTTTATCTCTCTTTCTATTGCATTCGAGAGACTCATATGGGAATTGCTATTAGCAGAAATTGATTCGGAATTTGACACACCCGTACCCCGATCCTCACCCATTGCCTTGTTTCTGCTTTCCATAATTTCAAGGTGTAATCACGCGAGAGAAGACGTCGAGAACACTACGTGATAGTGGTATTCGGGAAATAGGCTTCTTAAAGGGCCGGCGTTTCGAGCAAAGGAGATTTGGCCAAGAGCCGAGGAGGTCGGTATAAGATGAGAGGGAAGAGTGAATAGTACAGGATTAGAAGAAAATACTGTCGGATTCCGCCTGAAGTTGTGGGCAAAGTTAGCGTTGCACCGTCTCGGCGGGAAATCAATATTCAACAATGAATTATTGTCTCGAGCACACAAAACTAAGTACTTAGGTAGCGACTCTGCAATATAACTTAACATCGAAGACTTAGAGTGAATGCCTAATTTCAGTACCACGGTCACAGGATCGGTAAATATATGATCACCAATTCTCATATGCACCCCGTGGTGATAACAGTCGCGTAGCTGGTTAGTAAATTTATAAAACATGCCAAAGCACCTTCATGCATATTCTATTCTACAGGACTCACAGATAGTTACCGTGTGGCTAAATTCTTTATAAGTTAAACCGAAGGATCCATAGCTGTCGAGACTACATAGTAGCAAGCGCAAGCTAAATAGATAATTACCTAGGTATATTCTAACTTAGTTCCAACAACGCTACCAACGGCTAACTTAGCTATAGTAGGCAAGCTACAATATCAAAATTTACAATACACGCAGTAATGCTAGTTATTGCCTCCTGCGGGCGTGCTAGCGTTTTAGACACACGCTCCAGGTAAACGTCTAGCTTCGAGACTATCTACGTACAGCTTGTCGAGGTGGGCGGTCCTGATCTTATATTACACCAATGCATGCATGTATATATATATGCTGTCTTAATATATATATAATAAGCCCAGTCGCCAACCCTATCCCGGCCAATAATCGCATCGTATGTATGGTGGCCAAAAAGCCCTCACCTGAAGCTTAGCTACACGGTTCTAGAACACTACTAACATTCAATTGCAAAGTACAGCTTCACTTGCTACTAAACCCGGATAAATTGCCCTGAACCTCAAATGGTAACTTAGTTACGTTACACAAGGCTTCCGAAGAAAGGTCGTGGCCACATACGGCCCAAACGGGGAATTCGGTGCGGCTGACTCGCTGGCCCACCACAAACGCCAAGAATCGCACCAACATATCCCGTGCATTTGCCATGCCGAACATGTTCCCCATCTTCTGTTGTTTGATAGGTCTCGGTTGAGGATTTCTGCAGAAGAGCCGCGGTGGCGTCCCATTGTGATAACGGAATTGCGGGTCGGCGATGCTATCGACGAGGCTTTTGGTTTTTTGGCGAAAAATAATTTGTAAAAGCTGAAAAGTTTCGTCTCGAGAACAAGGCGAATGCCGTCCGAACAACTTGGCAGTTTTTGATGCCGCCTTTTCGTAGGTATAAAGAGGAGGGATCGGATAGTCGCATTTTCTTAAAGAGGTGATTGATTGCTTTGTTTCATCCAAATGGTCGTAAACCCTATTTTTGCGGCGTGCCTCTTAGAGCTAGAGGATTTGAAGTCCTTCCCAGTCTAGGTCCGGATTCCTGATGACAACCAAGAGGCTTGAGGTAACTATCAAGCGATTACTCTTCTAATATTTTATTTACGTTTCTCAGCATTTATTGACTGCCTTTTAGGAGTTCTGAAGGCAAGGTCGATATTTTCAATTATACAGCTGCTCATTCTATAATTATCATCCGACAAAAGTTTTCCGAAGATGAGTGGTGGATTAGAGGAAGGCCGATATGGCACACCGATTTCCTATAATACCCAACATGGCTTCAATCCAGCAGGAGTCTCTGAAATGCCTTCTGCTTATAATGCACAAAGCGACTATTATTCTGGACAATACAATCGGGCCCCAGAAATGTCGTATGCTTATGGTGCCAATGGCGGAAATGCTCTATACCCAGATCCGAATCCGCCCATGCACACAATGCCACCTCCACAATTCCAAGACAAGCCACCACCAGTAGCGCCTGTCCACTACGGTGCCACTGGAGCCGGGGCAGGAGCTGGAGCCGGGGCGGCTATGGGGATGGGAGTAGCGCCCCCGGAAAAGAGAATATGTGGAATACGACGCAAAATATTTTTTATTATACTCGCTGTCGTAATAGTGCTTATTATTGCAGGACTCGCCGCGGGACTCGCAATTGCTTTAACTCGGAAAAATAATGACAGTTCAAGAGATCGTCAGGCAGATGGTGCGGGGGCTGGAACAGTTAGTTCATCTTCAGTGGTCTCAACGACAACATCAGGAAATGGGCCCGCAACTACCTCTGAGGACAATACTCCTTTTATCCCTTCAATTGGACCTACGGAAACCTCTGACTCCATTACTTCAGAATCGTCGACTGCAGAACCGACTACTACTGAGGCTGAGGAAACTACTACAACGGACGAGGCCAGCACTGAGGGACCAACAACCACACCTGAGCCTACGACTGAAGAGATTACCACTGAGGAGCCGACGACTACACCTGAACCTACAATCGTAGAGGAAACGACTTCTGAGGATCCTTTCACAACTCCAGAGGAGACTATTACACCTAGAACGTCGCCTGAACCATCCCCAACACCACCGTCGGACGGCCTTATAACACCAACATTCCCCCCAGAAACTACTCCGAGACAAACCACCCCTAGAGAGCCGTCCACTCCAACTATTAGTGCATTTGCCCTTGAGACCGGTTACAATACTTTAGACCTTGTCGTAACTTCTACTACGGGCAACAGCGACCTCTGCTCTTTGCTTATTGCAGCCATTCCTGCCACTACGACTATCTATCCATCCATAGTTGGTGATGCAGAGGATCTATATACTGCATATTGGCAACTCGACAATTTCCCCGGAACACTCACGGCGACAGGCACACCACCTAATCTAACAGCAGATTTTCAGATTTGGAGTTTTGAGGTCCCAATCAGTAATAGCAACAATGGATGTGTACAAGAAGGAGGTGATAGCATGATTCTTGAGGAGAGCGGAGTTGCAATTTATTCTTCGTAAGTTATCAAGGGTTTAGTTGCCATAGGTTTTAGTAGACCTTTCTAACTAATAATCCGGCATAGTGGGTTTGCGTTCGGCTCGCAGTGTAATGTTGGTGGACTAGATTTTACGGTTGGCGACTTTTGCTATGTTTGTAAGTTGCAACCCCATTTAATACATTCCACATAGATTCTAGATTCTCTGTAATACTAACATAATGGGTTTTCTTCTTCGATAGATTGGGCTGGTACTTACTCCTCTTGAGGCAGTGCTGCATTTTCTTACTTTCTTTTAATTTATCACCTGATACCGTTTATATATGATGTATGATTTTATGATATTGTTTTTCCCAATATTACATAATCTTCTGGTAGGATTCTTGCCACACTAAAGACTATTAATACAAGATAGGTCTGCATAATTGTAAAGCCACGTTAGTAATCCTAGGGTCCTACGATTCAGTTAATCCATCAAGGGTGGACGTCTAAATTAAATCGTGATCTTCTATCATGAGATACTTTCGATCCTTTTAGTGTCAGAATCATGTGGAGTATTTTATAACTATTTTACACGACTTCAAAGTCTTGAACCCTGTTAAGTGTTCATATTCAGTTATTTGTGGGCGCCAGTTCCTGTTCCGGCTCCGGCACTTCATCTCTTGGATCCAACGGGATCTCATCCGCCAACAATTGGTTCCTCTTCAAATGCTTCCGGTATTCGAGCTCTTCTTCATCATCCGGGATCCGCTCGAACATGAAGTCCGTCCTAATTGTTAATTTAACACCGGCCGTAATAGGCTCTCCGCTATGAACCAAGAATGCATGTTGGAAAATAAGCACCCTTCCTGGAATGGGTGCGACATCATAGTAGTCAGGATCTGGAATACCCCTCTTCTTCCTTTGCCCCGATGTAAATTCTTGCTTCAATTGGGCTCCGTAATCCCAAAACCTTGTGGCACCGCCTTGGAGTGGTACGTCACCGGTCTTGTCGTTGAGGTACACGTGATATGTGAAGAGTGAAGACTCTTTGTGGTCTGGTGTTGTATAGGCCCCATCGCAATGCACTTTTACTCTTAATTAACATCACCATTTATCAAGCCAAGGTATATTGATACCAATAAACTTACTCTTGAAGAATCCACTGACAGGGTACCTTAAGTACCTCAATCTTTCATTCAACCTCGTCATTCTGAACTTATCTGCTCTCCGTTTAGCAGCAGATCCCTTCCATCCCAGAGGACCCTTCCCAGTTCCTGCGTCTAATGGATCGATGTACGCGATATCCTTTGCTATCAAAGGTTCTATTCTCTTGAGTAGTTTGTCTGCCAAGACTTGGTCGTCATACAGAATTCTATCAGAATTGCGATAGCTGGTATCGAGGACTTGTCGGTTCATTCCAACGTTGACTTGAGCAATCGGCCACCCATCCTCCGATGACCCCTCTGCAATTCTTAACAATTCATCGCATTCCTTTGGTGTGTACGCATTGTCGACAACAGCGGCATAGCACCCCAAATTTGCATATTTCGACAACGGAGAGTTCTATAGCACCAAACCATAACGAAAAGAAATAGTGTTGTCAGAATGTTGTAATTTCGAAATAGGAAATGTTGCTCACGATCAGGGATAGGTTAGGTGCACAAGCTAGCTTGCAAGCTTACCTCGAAGTTCAGTCTACGAAGTACCGGTCGCGCAACAGGATCTCCTTTCTTCTGAAGGTGGGGGAATAGAGGTTCGATCTTTTTGTATTCTTCAGGTTCTAGTTCTTCGGCTTCTCCCAGGAGCTCTATTTCTTGTGGTTTACCTGCAGACTCTTGGGCATCACCACTGGCGGATCCAGAGGTGCCAGAACCCGTTGCATAGCTGATGATGTTGTTGATAATCGACGCCATTGTGGAAGATCTTTGGGAATACGGTATCTGATGCTTTCGGATGTGGGTTTCAGCTTGAATTGGTGTTGAGTAAGAGATTGGAACGACCGAAGTTTGGGAATCATTGTGAATTTATAAAAAAAGAAAGAGCCAGGAGAAGGATTTCCTTGATCTTACAGAGCCAAGTTTTCTAGTGAACCGCAAGGAAGGCTTAAGCAATTGAGTCACCAGTTTGCGCACCGCGAATTCGCATATGATGTGCGGAAGAGCTAGCCGTGTTTATGCCCCGGATTGAGCCTGCCGGACTCAGCCGCAGGTTCTGGGCGCCACGAAAGGAGATGACACAACACAAGTGCAGCTCAAAATACAACGTGGCTACAACGTAACTTCGTTTGCTACCTAGAATTCTGGTACCTTTTATGGTATTCCTTTCGCCGTTAGATTTTTTCTTTATTACATACTCTAGTTTTTGCAATACGTCTTTCGAAGCTACCTAGGTTTGAATTACTCCAGAAGGCACATACCAAATGTTGTTTTGAATCTGTGAGAAGAAGAGTTGAAATGAGTAAGTTTTACTTGGTCTCGTACCCAGCCTGGTTAGGTTTCATCGAGGTCACCCGAAGGTCAGACCACGGAAACCACGCTTACTGAAAGGTCTGGGGAACGTCCGAATCCACAATCTCAAAGAAACGAGAACCAGGATACTTAACTCCGCGGTTGGTGCCACGTGTGCCGACAATGCTCAGACTGACTATCGAATCGATTCCTCTCGCTTATCTCTTTACCCTGCTGACCCCTGCATCCGCCTGGCAGCAATCAATAACTAGCGATGGCAGTTCAGAGTTACGGGTTAAGGTACTTGACTACGGCGGCGATGAGTGTCACAACAGAAACGGTGGCCCGGAGGGTGTAATGGGCATCATGAACACCAGAAACTCGGATCAACTCAAAGGCATGGCATTTTGGGATATAGCGGGATGTGACAAAGTTGATCCGGAAAGATATTCGCTTTTCATCCATTGGTATGACTTACCGGCTGCGATTCAACTACTGGACTTGGGACTGCCGGGGCTGGAACATAGATGGAAGAGCTTTCGGCGTATAGTTCCTAACTCCCCCTCTTGGATTAACTTCAAGAATTCTGGTAAAGGGAAATATATCCCAGGACCAGATGGTATAACGCCCATTGGTGGTTTCTTTGCTGATCTTCTAGAGAAGATACCGCCGGGTTCCATAAGATACCGAGTGATGGGAACAAACGAGTACATAACCATCAAGGACGCAATTTACGTCCCGAAAATGGTATCTACCGGCGGGTCACTAGTCGAGGATAAATTGCTTAGTGTGACAGAAATGGCAGAGGCGAGAGAAACCTTGCGAGGACAGGTCAGCAATTGGTTCTACGCAACAGGAGGTACTCCAATGCACCTCTTACAGACGAAAGATTACATCTTCCATGACCGCGTCAGTCAAGCATATGTCCAAGCTGCCCAACCCCTAAACATCGGAAAGATCAAGAACCCCGGTGTACTTGTTGTGAAACAAATGCTAGGGGAGTATAGGTATCCGCGGGGAAGCGATAAAGATAAGGCGCTAGTGGACGCCGCAAACGATGAAAGAGAACGTGTTGAGAAACTGCAGCTTGAGTCGCAAGCAATAAAATACACGAAATTTTTACGGAAGGACCAAAATGAACATTACAAGAAGTATTTGGCCTCTCTAGGATTTACTGGGGAGCCACGGGGCCAACCTGGTCAGCCAATGTTCTTTCCTCCACAGTCTTATGGGGAAATCATAGGAGTAGATGAACCAAAGCCTGAAGTTGACACGAGTACCAATCCGCCAATAAATTTCCCTAATTCTCAAATTAATATAGAAGAACAACAAAACCAGACACAAACAAAAAATATTGAACAGCCCAGGATGGAAGAGACTTTTGCTGCAGACCTAATAAAATCAGTCAGGGAAGCTCTAGTGGAAGGGTACCAGGAACAATTCGGGTTTCCTTCTGACCCTTCTATTGAAAACAGCTTTGCAAATATCAGGCCAGACCCTGAAGATTTTTTTCGCCAACAATTTATGACGGCACCGCAAGCCTCACAAAAGTATAACGATCTAGATAGAGATTTCATTGACGTCCTAGACCAGCAGTATTTACGACAAAGAGAGGCGTTGAAATCTAAATCATTGAACGAATTGGATTGGGAGTTTGGGAATGTCGATCCTTGGGCGAAGTTTAGGATACCGAATCTGGGGAGCCAAAGTTTTGACTTGGGACTTAGAAATCAAAATCAAGGGGGTGTAGCAGCCCTACAGGATCAGCTTGCCCCTAGTGTGGAAGAATTTGAAGGTGGAGAAGAATTATTGAACGCAATCTTCGCTGGAAACGAGCAAGAGATACAGGAGAACGACATGTCTAGATTTGAGGAAGAGAAGGTCGGGGAATCCGATAATTACAACTAAAAGGATTAAGCTAGTTATCAATGGCCTCATTGTGAATCGTATAGAGAATACATAGTTATATAGAAGGCTTTCATGCTAAGCACTTAAGTAGTTAATATTTGTAGATTTTCTCGAATAAAATTCATGTGTAATTATACGCAAGGGGAATACTGGCACTGCAAGGTCTCTTGGTTTTAGAGGAAGCGACAAGTTAGGGTATATACGTATAAATTATAATTACGAACCGTAAGTTTCGAAAAATTAGATAATTTCGATAGCGTGAAGAGCAAGTTTGAGAACATGAGAGCAAAATAAGGACATGGCAACCATATATAACTGTAGAAAGTTTATATACAAGTCCCGAGGTTGTATACACCTCATATATGCATAGCTGGTACACAGACAAAGAGTATGCATCACCGACTACTTCTTTAACCTGAAATTAGTGGCCCGAATTTTCACACTGCAAAGCGAAATGAGCCAGAGCGTCTTCAATAATGACGCTATTAAACCTTCACAGATGCATACGAATACTCTTGGCGGTAATTTCTTGCATTTTAATGCTCTGCTCGACTCCTGCGAATGGTTTCGCATATATAATAAGGTCGAGTGGCAGCAGGTCTCAAATGAAATCCAGTACTCTCGAGAACGAGATATGTCGTCAAAAAACCGAACCGCCTGAGGGTGGTGCCTCAGTTACTCAATTTGGCGTCGTAAACTGGAAGCAGTCATTCCAGCCCCAAGCGATCGCGTTCTACGGTAACTTATTCTGTTCCGAGAATAATCTTCTTGCGATAGTACGACTGCTAGATGAGCGCACAGGAGCGCAATATGTCGACATGAGTGGACCGAATATCCCCCCGAATATCCGGAGCTATCGCCCATTGAATTTAAACCAACATTTCGAAGATATCAGATTTATAGAAAGGCAGTCAACCTACAGGGAAGCAAAGAAGATGCTGCCGGGGTCGATATACGTACCACAGCTCCCAAACGATCCTCTACGATCGAGTTATTGTGTAGGGGGTGTTGTTGTACCGAAGTGGAGCAAGCGATACGATCTATCATCGGATGATCCTGAAAAATGGGATGTCTATAAACAAGCTATGGAAGCTTTGAGGAAAACTTTTAACGAGTTCAAGAGAAACCCAAGGGAAATGAAAAAGCTCCTGGGCATAACGTCCCTAGAACTACCAAGCTTTAACTCTGACCTCATGGCCAATATCGGACTTAACGACATCCAAGGCGCTCAAAGAACTATCGATGAACTTTATAACAACATGAACCAAAATGTTGCTGATCTGTCTGGGTCGGTGAATTTACAGAATTGCATTATCAACCCCACAGGACAGGGGGTTCCGGATATGAAAAACCTGGTGGTCGACCCGGATGCATTTCAGCCTCCAGTCGGCGACGGGGAAATTATTGGCAGCTTCGATTCATTTGGGAATATTGACGCAGGACCCACGATTCTTAAAAAGCAGAAACTTTCCACTCAAGAACCGAAAGTTGTTGGGAGTTTTAACTCTTTTCAGTATTTCCCATCAAGGAATTTACCGGAGAATGAACCTGAATCCAGGTTTGAGATCGAGTCGACCGAAACCCAGTTCCGAGAAACCATTCCCCAATATGGCCAGGCTCTGGGACGAGGTAATTCCCAACGAGTACCTGAGACATTTTGGCCACCTCAACCTGCGAACCAATTAACATTCCAGCCCAATCAACCCTTTCAGTCGCCAAACTACCAACCGTATATGCCGCAATTCCAGCCTAGATACAATCGTGATCCCCAATCAGAGCGTAACGATCAACCAGTACCCCAGTATTCTCCTCTTTCTGCGCTGCAACCTGCACAGAAACTTCAATCTCTATCCCAACCAGGGTATCAACAATAATACAATTTACCGATGGAGGGCGTGTCTAACCAAGGTCAGAATCCTCGTGTTGATTTGAGAACCAACAACGAGAAACTTTTAGAGCTCGAAGATATAGTTTCTCGGTATAGTAAAGGATCTACAAAAAAAAAACTTAAGGAGGAGATACTTGGTAGACGATCTGACGAGAGGGGTGAAGAACTCGAATCAGATGAAAGTCAATTCAAAAAGGAAATCAAGGATAGGCTACAAGGTGTACCCTCACCAATTTCGAACCCGACCGGAGAGGATAAATCGAGTCATCTACGTGGGAGGCCGAGAAGGCCGACTATCCCAATCCAGCTAAATAGAAGTGTGCCGCAGACCAACCAGGCCATAGGGTACAACCCACCGGCATATAACCGGGGCGAGTATGAACAAGATTTTCTATCCTTAATCTCTAGTATGAATTGGGACCCCAATGACTTCCCCATATACCAGAGACGGTTCAAAACTAAAGAGCAGCGGAGATTAGAGGAGCTACGAGACGCACAAGGGCAGATAACGAACCCTGGGCCTGGTAATCAACCGCGGGGATCTCTATTTAGCAATAATAGTCCAATCGGTGGCGGTACACAGGAACAAGGGGTACCTGATATTGATTTCGACGCACTAATGAAGCTTTTGAGGCAAGAGGACCAAGATAATCTACAGAAATGAAAGTTGTATAACACAAATTAGGGCACCCACTGACTAAAAGACACCGTAACTAATTTAATGTATATAATGTATAAATACTTGAAAGTATTAATTAGAGATTTCGATGTAAGTAGTTAAAACTACATCTAGAATCTAGATGCTGAGATTTAAATCCAACCTCCTCGTGAACTCATAGACGTCTTGAGCTGTGCTAGCGGACAATACAGTATTTATGCATGTTCGAACTAGCTAACTAAATCTCCTCGCAACTTGGCCGGCCAGCTTGGCGGATCAATGTGGTATTTTTGGTGTTGGTTTTAATTATTGATAGAAAAGTCTCCGGCCAATGAGAGCCCGCAGCTGACTATATCGAGTTAAAGCCGTTGCATTGGTCGAGGTGCTATCATGCTGATGTCGTTTGCCGGGTTTCCCGGCCTCTGCGATGATACCGCATCGACATGACAGATTTATAGTCCAAAGGGGGCTGCATTGAGGCTTTAAATTGTAGATCTCCTGCTCGATCCCGCATACCCAGCTATTCAGTATACCTGCGTTATGCGGTATATACCGCCTATGCGAAATTGTCCTTATGAGATAGGTACCGTGGCACAAGGAAATAGAAGCTTTCTTGCTTTGTCGCCAAGCATGTACGGATTCTGCTTTATGCATTGGCCCCAAATTCGCGAAAAATGGAGTTATATGCTGTGTGGTATTCCTTTCGGTTCGCATGATGTCAATCTCTCGCGTGGATGACCATACTCTGTACTCTCGATCCATAGATTCGAGGCTAGATTTTATTACCAATGCAGCTGTAGATTAGAAATTAAAAGGGGGCCAAAGGCTGAACAGAGCCGTGAGGGGCATGTACTCTTTCGAAATTGGCGGCGCATGTGCACATACCTAAATTCTTGACAGATGCGTATGCTTTGGGCATATTAAGATATCATAGTAAGATAGCAATCGAAGTTGTCGTGTGATTTCTCAGAGGCTACAAACATTCAAACCTGAAGTGCATCCTCAAGATTGTCGCCGTCGAAAGCTAGCCTCGAAAACAGTTTAACCAGGTCCGCAAACCCTGTCCAATTCAACCGGCTTCGTGCAGCGCAGGTCGGATAGTCCCCTTTGTATTCAGCGGGGGGATAGCACCCGTGCGAGCTGGAGACGTCAGCTTCCCACACTAATTCAAGCCCCTGCAGGGCACACCCGACCCCCCAGCGGTGCAACGTCGAATCGAATCAACCTGAATCTTCCCACCACAATTATAATTAACCTGATTTTCTGCCAGGACATCTGCAGCTGCCATCACTTACTCCTATTGATTTAATCATTGGACGTTTTCCCTGAACTTTTTTTTCGTTCGTAAACCTCCGCATTTTCGTTCGCGCAACATCGAGGATTTGATTTGGGCCTGGTCCTTGTCTCCGTCTACATTTTGGGCCTGTTACACGAAGTCAAGCTTTTTTTTTGGAACCGTGGATCCCAACCACACGCAACACGTCGCCCCCACGAATCCACATTCACGCAAATGCGCGCGCAGGCCATGATTATAACTTCGCAAATTCAAATTTAACGACGGCAGCAGTTTTAAAATCAACACGTGGATTTCATCAAGCCAGGTTTCAAGGAAGGAGGAGGTATTCGGGTTGATCCAGTATTCTATTTTTACAAAAAGAGATAAACTTTAACTTCAGGGAGAGGTTTGCAACGGTCGCCAAAGACCGCATTCAATCACAATTGCCGGCACAATGTTGAATTCTGGCCGACAGGGCCACACGAAAATTGCGGGAGTTGCAATTTTTGTCTTGCTCATCTTATGGCTATATAAACTAAATGCGGGGAATTATTTATTGCCTACGAGGGAGTCTACAGTACAGCCGGGGCAGGAAAACGTCGAGGTCGCAGATCCGGAAGCAACATTGAAAATAGAGGAGGCGGTCGAGACAGTGGAGGCGGTAGCAACATCCACATCGATACCAGATGCTGTAGAGTCACCTGTTACTCCATCTAAAAAGCCAACCGGCGGCGGGAAGAAACATGAGAAGACAGTTATAATGGGCAAGACATATAAGGAAGATGCGACATGGGTTAAGGAAAAGCTACCAGAGTACGTACTACTTCAAAATACCTTCATACCTTTTTGCAAGAACGCTTGAACTAATTTTTTTTTTGGAAAAATAGCTGGAGGCCAATAATTTATGCAGTGGACAGCAGAACAGACAAAGATTACCTCCACGTACTGGTAAATAAAGGCAAAGAATCGATGCCGTACCTTACCTACCTAATCGACTTCTATGACGATCTTTCCGATATCAATGTATTCATACATGCCCATGAAAACGGCTACCCTCGGTATGGCCCCTCCTTGGACCCATAATCTTGGTAAATCTACGGCTAATGACCTCTTTTGTTAGCGCCTGGCATAATGAGCCTGAATCTGCAGACTACTCTGCCGTCAAAATGCTGGAGCTCTTACGTCTTGATAACATCCGTGAAAAGGGCTACGTAAATCTCCGCTGCAATCCAAATCCAGGATGTCCCGCAGACCTCCACCCCCAAAATGAGTCCTTTGATAAAGGGAGAATTGAAATTGGATGGAGGAAGCTATGGGCGCATATTCACGGGAATAATTTGTATCCAGAATCTGTCGGTGTTGCGTGCTGTGCACAATTTGCGGTTACCAGGGAAAGGATTCACGAGCAACCGAAGGAATATTATGAGAAACTGATGGAATGGTTGTTGACAACCGATGAAGAAGATGCCGGCAGGGTGTTTGAGTATTTCTGGCATATGATTTTTGGTATGCCAGCAGTGCAGTAAGTTCTCATATCACACCCTTTTGGGCTTTATCGAGGACAGTCTCTAACTGAAATCTTTATAAATTTAGCTGTGGGAGCAATTATAGAAATTGTGTCTGTGACGTTTATGACTGCACAGCTGGAGCGGGAAAAAAGCGATCTCTCAATAACCTCTTGATGAAGAGGGTTGTATAAGGGTACCCTGACATCAAACGCCCTCCAGTGGTTCGAGAAAGTTTTTTGCATTAATATCATAGAAGGAATGGCGTTATTTTGGCGTTTTCAAAAGTCACGAAGATGATTATGATTGACAAGTATTGGTATAAATTGTTTGATAATGCTTCATTTAAACTTTTACAAATTACATAGCAGTGGAGAACTGCTAGCGTAGTTATTGTACAGCTCGTGACGTAAAGGCTGAACCGAGGCCGTAAGAGGGAGTTATAATACTCCTAGAAAAAGACCGTTGTAGCAATATGCTCATTGACTATCTCTCACGAGGACTAACGAGGCCTAGGGCGGATATGATACTCACGGACCAAGGATATCATCATTGTCATTAATTTTTATATCAGTAATTTTGATATATGGCGGTGTGGGTAGAACTCCAAAGTTCGGGTTGGACCACCAATAATGCTTTCCTTAACCACTACTCTTGTTCTCGCAATTAGCTCCCTTTCGCACGCCTTCCTCCTCGCTCAAACCTTGCAACCTCGCGATCGCTCCGGCGAAATTACAAAAGACCCAGTAATCGACCCGGAAGTCTACGAAGATCCAGGACCCGATCCCAATAATATAATTATAAAACCGAGTACCCAGCCTCTCCGATTCTGTAACCTGCGGACTAGCTTTTCAAAATATGATTTCAAGTCTACGGCAAAGGTTGGGGGTAGGTGGGATAAAATGGGAGATCCAACCACCATTAGGTATCTAGTAGCGGCAAATTGGGGGGGCTCACTACCACTAGAAGCTATAGCATTTTACTCTAGCAGTAATTGCGAGGAGAAGTTCTTAGTTATGATGATACGTTTTTTTCTGAGCGAGGATAGTATACAAATCGTACGCCTTACTGAGTCCTACGTGCCCGGGAACCTGGTGGCCTGGCAGGCCGTATCAATTCAGAATCCTGGTGCTGTATATTCAAACAGAAACGTCGCGGTTCTAGCCTCATCTATGACACCGGGAAGCGTATACATCCCCGTCCCTGGCCGGGAGCCAATGACCGCCAATGGAGAACTAGTACTCGATACTCAAGCAATATACTGTCTCGGTCTCGTTCATCGAGCTTTATTCAATAACTACAATCTTGCGAATTTACGCAAGACCGGAATGCTTGATATCCGAAATTTATATTCTCGAGTTAAATACCAAATCAAATCCGCAGAACTCCCCAAGTCGACGAAATATAATTTTCGATGCGCTCCTATTTCATCGGATGAGGATATGGAAGGGTATGAATCGGAGAACGAAGCTTTATTCGAGGTTAATATTAAAAATGTACATCCCGCGGAGAAGGGAGAATATATGGTCAACTCTATTGTTGCCTCTGATTTCCCTTGGGATGAGGGGGTGGATCCAACCCAAAAGAGATCACCAGATCAAATAGTTGAAGCAATCTTAGATCTCGACAGATTGGACGTACGAGAGCAATTCCCGACTGTGCTAAACCGCCTTTCGGAAATCCAGCTAGAAAAGGCGGCTGCATCAAAAAGATATCCTGTTATCAGCCCCGCGGACCTAGATATCTACCAGAGAGAGGAGGATAATCAAAATAACATCGTGGTGCCCATACCGAGAAGACCCAAAAAGCAGCGACTAGAAACTATCCCGCAAGGTGGACAAAGGGCTAGCACAGTTGGCAAGAAGATTATCAATCTCCTTGGTGATGTAACCGATCCGTTTGGCCATATTGGAATTGATACGAAGTTACTCGAAAGTCAGCATAGTTTCCTTCCGCAAAGACCAGACATGAGGAAACAAGATTACGTTTTTGAAAAGGAATTGTTTGACATTCTCAAAAGTTTTGGCCCGAGGCAGAGATTTAGAGCATGGAATTCAGCCGTTATTGAGGAAGAGGGGCAACATGGTCCCGCAAGCATGTCTCCAAGTTCGGATAGGGCAGAAATAGTTAAAGAGAGAGAATACGAAGATCGTATTGAAGAGGAGCCCTCCGATAGTATGGAGGACGTGAATGAAGAGTTGATATCTCCAGCATTGACGACAGATTATAATCCTGGAGTTATTGATTCAAGCATAAGCACACCGGGCCCGGAGGATACTAAAGAAGAGGAGGATTACAGTACAAGAACACAATATGGAGGCGAAGAAGAAGAAGAAGTAAAACAGGAAGAACCACAAGTTGCAGCTGAAGAGGATGTTAATGTTGAGGGATCAGTTAAGGCTGAGTATGAAGAGTCGGTAATCAAGGAAGAAGAACCCGAGTAACGGATCACTCCACTTACTCCTTAAAATTTTATATAAATCTCAATCAATATAATCGATGGTCCCACCAATTCCCGCATATAATATAAATCTGACCTAAATTAACAAATATGAAATCGCAGTTCGAGTGAAGTCTAGCTATATAGCTTATGTCGCGGTATATAGGCGCTAAGAGACCTCGGCCACATTATATACTTAAGTATATATCTTATTCTTTTAATTTCCTGCCGAGTTGAAGAAAAATTGGAAAACTATACTGAGAAGGCGCCGAATTAAGTTGGCTTTTGGAGTTATACAAGCTCATATTCTCTCTTATCGGAACCCCCCCCAGACATTCAGAACATAATACGAATAGCCATCCATTGATTTCATGGCTTACCACGATTAATATCGATAACGTGGATGTGATAATAAGACAGCAAAATGGTCCGCATATTATTACACGCCTTGATCTTCTTGTTCCCACCAACTGTTCTATCATATTACATCGCCTTCTCTCAAAAGGACGTAGACCCAGCGGCCATACATGTAGATCGGAACCACTGGTACGAATGCTACCGACTACCATCTAATAGAGAACCCCTCCTCGGATTATCCATATATAATGCCCCCGCCCAAACCCACTTCCCAGATGGAATCCAATTCTTCGCCGACCCATCGGCTCGCTGTACTGGAGCTCCCTCACTAGTTCTAACGTTTTCTAAGCGCCCGGGCGTGTATTTCGCCAACCTGGATAAACTAGGCCTCAGCAGGGTATTTACTAGCTGGAGATACTATGATCTTCAAGAAAACCCCCTCGAGCTAGAAGCTCTCAATAGCAGAGCAAGGAGAGGGGGTTACGCCGTGGGATCCATTCACGATATGGCATTCAAAAAACGTTTGAAGAGCCCAGAGTGGTTTGAGGCAAAAAAGTTGAAGGACGTACCAATTATTGGAGGGGTAGGGTATCCGCTTAACTATCTCCATGAATATGGAACGCCACCAACGGGTTCTATATCAGACGAAAAGGGGAAAGTTATACCGTGGATGGAAGAGCAGTTGAGGAAGTGGGGAAATGAGCCCATTGAAGAGGATCCTCAAGATATCGACGAGGAAGCCGGCCTGCGAGTACAACCCACAGAGGATCGTAATCCACAGGTGGGCCGAAATATTCTGACCCAGAACCGGGGGGCGATGGCATTTGAGGACGATATGCCCCCTCCAATTGATTCAGAGATACAAAGAAAGTATTCTGTCGGAAGTTTAGAACATATGAGACAACTAGGAGAGCGTCCCAAAAAACCAACCCAGGCGCTACCGGGCACGCAAAGAATGTATGAAATATTAAAACAAAACGCTGAACAGAAGCTAAAGATACCTTCACCAGAAGGCGCATTTGGGCTGGAATCTTTGAAAACAGGGCGGACAATACCAGAGATTCTCAAAGAAGTGGAAAAGTTGGCTCTAGATCCGGAATCTAGCGACGTCGAACTTGGATGGGCTTTGACGAAATTAGCAACTTTGAGGGATATGTCCCTATTTCGTGGGGAGGGAGGCGGGGTTGAGAACTTTCAGGTTCCGCTCCAGAGAGCAGAAGACACAGGTAAAATGGGAATACAGAAAACAACTCCGAAGAAGAGTGCACTGTTAGATATCTCGAATTTATCAGAGGTAGATGACTCAACTGAACTCAAAGTCAACAAAGACACCGAGGTCCCGGTGGTCCCAATAGCTAGAAATCTAGGACCGGCTGGAGTAAACCCGCCACTTCAGGGCCCTGGAGGGACAACAGAGCGTGCGTATGCCGATAGTGATGATGATGAGAAGCCTATAGAGCCATATGGGCGTCGGCAACAGACGCAGACGGGGATAACTCCACTTTCTCCAGTTCAGGAGCTCCAAGATCGCGCAAGAGGTCAGGACGAGACTGGAGCAATAGGTCAGATGGAAGAAAAAGAATACGAAGTAATAGGAGGAGCAAATGATGGTGTCGAAGAAAGAGAAGAGCTCATACAAGAGAGTTTAGATTTGGATCCCGGAGTTGAAGCCCAACGAGTCTGGGAAGCATCTCTACGGGATGCGGACTTGGAGGATATTGAGAGTCTAGCTGATTCTCCAGGTAATGAGCAGCCCACGACCCCAGAAGAGCTCTACTATATGATGGACTACGATTATCTAGGCTGAATATTAGAGGTAAAGACCTTTAGACATCTACTCACATAGATCTAAATTTTATAAAAGGTACTGACCTCTTGTTCTAGGCAAATGGTTGATAAAACAGCGATGGGCGAGATGCGGAGCAGGGAATGTAAAAAAAAGAAAGAAATACAAGATAGGAATCAATATATAGCCCTACATCACACTTTGAAGCATCTGAGACTTATAGATCTCTGGCCTCTATCTCTGGGATCTCTGTTCTAACCGTTGCTTCTGCCGTCCTCGTATAACTGTCCTGCGGCTGCCCCCAATAGTAATACCCATCACTGTGTCTTTGCCACCCTTGTCCGTCCGCTGTAAAGCTAGTCTGCCACGGTAACTTGGTCAACAAGTAAACGAACAGCCCAAATCCCACTGTTGTCCCTCCAATCAATGCCAATCCATAGATAATGATCCACCAAAGCCTAAAAATCGTTGAAATCAACACACGTTTGAGCAATCCCAGTGTTGCAAAAGCCTTCGTTGTGGCTGTGGAGGCTGGTGCAGGGGCTAGGATATCCCGGGCTGTTGGCAGATGGGAGACAATGGCCACCAGCCGCGCCCTAGGCAAGTTGTGTGGCGAAAGACGATGCAGTTTTTCGAGTTCCTGGATCGACATGTTAGTATAAGCTTAAATACCTTAGACCGAGTAGTGGAATCTAGAGGACATACCGTACGGATGACGGCCAACGAACGCTCTGCGTCTAGCTGCTCTGTCTTGATTACTTCGTTTGGCATGATTGATATCCAAATCCCTAGCCCGGTGCTGTACTGAGTGCTGGTATCCGAAAATTAAGTCGACGGATTGGTGTAAAACGAAAGGATGCATATATATAACATGCGCGTGCATGCAGTCGCGAGATGTGGCCTTACGGCGATAACTTTCGCATGAACTGCCCGATGAACAAAGCAAGTTCACCAACCGTACTTAAAACAATGCAAAGCTAAGGTTTAAAGGTGTGCGACTGCAAGCTGCCTATTTTAGCGTCGAGATCGAGGCTTAAATTAGCGTACGTAGACCCCTCCAGTAGTACGTCACTGCAGTCAGGTTGTTAGACAGTGATTGTGGTTGTTGTTTGGTGGTGGTTTGGCCGCCGCTCTAACTCGAATTTGGGCCCACATTTACCCGGTCGACGCTCATTCTTAGCTTTGGAATGCAATTGTAAGCTTAAAATCCCTCTTCGCTCCAACAACAACCAACTTTCGTTCGTCATCTCTCTCACGCCTACGACTTTACAATAATCTGGCTACTTCAGCATCTACCCACTCTAGCTTACTCGTTTTGTTGCCCCTAATCCCGCAGTTTACCTAATAGCATCAACCGTAAACGATAGCAACGTTTGAGTTCTACAAGCGTTACCGTCGTACCCCTACCACCAACATGGCGTCCGTTTCTTCCCTGGATAAGGACCTTGCGAAGCTCCGGCTAGGAAAGTACACGGTACAGGCTTCGAACGAAGCAAAAGCATGGATCGAAAGCACTCTTGGTGAGCCTCTGCTAGCTGATGACTTGATGGACGCTCTGCACGATGGAACAGTACTCTGTCGGTATGTGAGATAGCTCGGATAGCTTCGGACTCCCTTTTGAGGATATTCTAACTCATAAACTATTTGACCCTAGGTTGGCGAACAAGTTGGTCCCAAATAGCACCAAGCCAAAGAAGTCCGAGATGCCATTCGTACAGGCAAGTTAAAATTCCAATCTTGTGGAATGGGTTACACTAACGATTCCATAGATGGAGAATATCGCCATGTTCCTGAAAGTCTGCCAAGACTTACTTAAGCTCTCACAGCATGACCTCTTTCTTACTGTTGACCTCTACGATTTCAAGGTACAGTGCAATGCAATAGGCCTCACCCGTTTTATCCCTACTCACTGAATGGTTCACAGGATCCAGCACAAGTTCTTCAAACAATTGGTGCCTTTTCTCGAATCGCCCATTCTCGAAACCCTTCAGTATTTCCTACTGCTATTGGTCCGAAATCATCCGTAATATCCCCTTCCGCGACTGGCAAATCCAAACCACCGGTACCCGCCAAAACGGCCGTCTCTTCATGGTCCAAGCCAGTTGATGAGCTTACAACCGCTCCGGCATGGAATATTCACCAGTATGGGTACATGGGTGGTGCATCTCAAGGGACACAGGGTGTTGTTCTAGGCGCAAGGAGGCAAATCACAACGGCATCGCCTCAAGTCCCAAGTTTAAGAGAAAAAGAGGAAAGGAGAAAGCAACACGAGGAAGAGGTTGATGCCAGAGCTGCCGAAGAAGAGAGGGAGCGACAGAGACAGGAGGAAGCTAACTGGCTTAGAAAGGAGGAGCTTCAGCGAAAGAGGCAAGGTGAACAGGAGCAGGCTTCGCGGGCACGGAGAGATCTAGAACTCCAAGAACGAGATGCAGCAGAGCAGGAGAAAATTAGACTTCGCGAGGAAGCTCATGCCCTTCGCGAGGAAGAGGATGCTAAACGGAAGGAGTACGAAGAGCGTCTTCAAGCTGAACGGACCGCGCAAGATCGTAGGGAGTACCAAGAAGAGGCTAATAGATTCCGAGCTTCAAACCAAGAGCACGTAGCTGTATCTTCGGAGGGTGATCGCATTAAGGAGCTTGAACGTCAGCTAGAAGAAGCCAGAGCGCGAGAGAAGGCGTACCTCCAGAAACAACAACCATCCCAGGGATCCAACACCCGTACAATAACCCCTCCTAACGATGCCGAGGAACGGGAGGCCCTTCGGAGCGCCTGGCAAGAGAATCAATCTCGCCCGGTTCCACCTAAACCAACGTCGAAACCAGCATTTACCCACAGTGCACGGGCCGCACAACGACAACGCGAGCTGCAGGACGAGGATGATGCCGCAGAGGCTCCACGAAAATCCCCAGGACCACCTGCCACACCTCCGAGGAACACTACACCGGCAGCGACCAAGACTTCTCCATTGGCTAGTACAAGATGGGGATTTAAGGGCGCTTCTTCGAAGCCCGTTGGCGCTGGTATGAGTGTTGTCCAGAGGGAAATGGAATTGGAGAGGCAACGACAGAAAGAGTGGGAACGAAATCAGGAACAGCTACAGGAGGATAGAAAACTCATGACCGACAAGGAGATTAAAGATGGCGGAGAGATGCCATGGGATATCCATCAGTACGGGTGAGTGGCAATCATCCCTCATCGTTTGAGAACAAAGCTAACAAATAACAGATATACGGGCGGCGCGAACCAAGGTACCGAACAGGTAGCGTTCGGGGCTAGGAGACAGATTATCGGACCGAAGAGCCAGAAGTGATATCGAGAATAATCCGGCGATCTTAGTTTCGAAATACGTTGTCGAAAGGCGTTTTTTTTTTGATGGTTGAAGAATTCGATTCAGTGTTGATAGCTTTGTTTCGCCCAGTCTCGCCATCTGTTTTCTGTCGTCTGCCTCGCTTTTCTCTCTTCTTTTTCAATAAGATGCGCCCTTTTGTTTCTTTGGCAATTGGCTTGGGAAGGATTGTCTTTGGTTTTTTGTTCTATCAGCGATAAAAGCGTGGGTAAAAGTCGTTCCTCCATTGGATATAGACCATAACAAAAAAATTGCATTGGGATTCTCCAGTTACCGTAGGCTCCGATTAGCAGCGACATCGGCAACGAGACGAGATGGATCTATCCTTAGTATCTCTAGTGAAGAGGGGTGCGATTAGAAATTTTGGAAATCATCCGGACGTATCAAAGGATGCTTTGGTGAGCTGGTAGAATGCATGCACCGATGATCTGATATCGAAGCTTTAAAAGCTGCTGCCTAAAACGCCATCATGCACGTAAACGATTGTGCGTCAAACGATATGCAATGCATGGATGTGATGAGTGTAGGGTGCAGCTGCAGTTGGTTAGCTTGCAGGGCTAGCTTAAACTCCTGGACTCCGAAGCTTCGAAGCCCGGGATCTCGGAATGTTAAGTCACGATATCCCTACCTCTTACCGGGATTTCCGACGTATCTATTATCTAAACTACGGGCGTTCTTTTAGAGTTTTAACTCGCGAGCACTAGATTAAAGCTTATAAAAACGTCTTCGATTTTAGTTTTCGACGCTAGCAAGGTGTTCGATTCCAATTGTGCAATGCAATGCGATATCAGGTCTTCATGGCTAGTAGTTTCTTCAAAACCTCTTTAACCCTTAACCAACATTTATCTTCAAAGTTTATGTATATAGTTTTCTGATTCCAATTTCCACTAAAGTCTGAGGCTCTGATACGACCGGTACTCGCAGCCCGTAAAACCTCGTACAGTTATTCCGTTGGTGAATCGAGAGGCTTCTGACCATAAGTAACAGCACTAGATGAGGGTTAGTTTGTATTCCTATCTGAAGACCCCATGGTCTATGGCATAGAGAGCTTACAATTGGAAGTACATATGAAAGTCCTTGTTCTGGAGATCTCTCTTGATATCGACAACAGCTTGAGCCGATTCTTCAATCGATTTCTATATTGCGAGATTTTACAGTTTAGCAACCAAAAGCTTCTCGAAATCGACACCTCTAGTGACTTACTTACCCCAAGAATGCGTGTATAAGCAGCGGTTGTAAAGCCCTCAGCAGCATTCACCATATTGATAAGATTAAATGCTCCAATCTCCTTATCAACAGGATCCTTAGGCCACGCTCCAATCGGTAGCTTAAAATATTGTTGCTTGATATTCACGAACCCGGCCTTTTGCATATGTCCAACAATATGTGGCGCGACCACGCAAGTTTGTCCAATGATCTCAGTTGCTTGGATGAGATTCGTGCACCATTGTTTCAAAACGTTATCTTCCGGGACGGAACCATCGTCGGTGGTAATTTCGACAGTGTGTTCTTGTGATTCCCAGTATCCGCCCGGTTTGAGAGTTTTGAAGGCATTTTCGGCAAATTTACCCCAGTCTTTAACAGCAGCGTGACAATCTCGTTCATGGATGAAGTCGTAAGAGTTGGGGGCTTGGAGCCATGGGTCGTTGAAGTCGTCGACTTCGAAGGAGACTTTTGGTGGGACCCTACGGAATGTTTTTTTTTGTAAGCGCCATTACTCCATCGGTATTTCTAAGTTAAAGCTGGCCTCAAGGAATTAATCGCTTTCGTACCAACTAGGTTGAATAGGTGAAATATCTGAAAAAATATAGACATCAGTACCAGCATAAACCCCTTTGTCATCAAAGGTATTGTATTTTTTTAAAAGTATACCGTTTCCAACTATCTCAGCGTCTGGGAGCTCCTCAGCTATCTGGATAGCCCATATTCCAGTTCCAGTACCCACATCCAAAATCTTCTGTGGGTTTTCGATAGGAGCTAGAAAAAGCTTTCCTCGGAGTCTGAGGAGGAATACGTGATGACTATATTATATGTTAGTTTCATCGGTCTAGTAGCAAATTAATCTTCTTTTCATGCTCAGAAACCCACAATAGATCCATTTGATCTTGTTGAAGCTAAAAGTTATATTAGCAATTGAAGACTTAGGATCCAGTAGGCGGGATCCATGATAGGGTGTTGAGGTCAATCCTACCTCGTCATTGGGAACGAGCCACTGTCCTTCCTTGTACGCATGATAACGTCTTCCATTTTCATACTTATAAGCTGAATAGTATTCATAAAATCAGCAAACTACTTGAAAAAAAAGGGATAGTATAAGTAATATTTATCAAAAGGAACTTAGGATTGCAATTTGCTAAGTTCCTATGGTACCGGTACATTTACGGACCTTTGACGGAATCGATCAGCGATGTAGTCGCCGAAGCACTGTACGGTCAAAATTTTATTCGTAAGTAAAGTCCAAGAGAGACAAACTTCAAACCATTTTCCATTTTCCATAAAGGGATTGTGTATCGTACGATTCGGCGCCGTAGAGGGAATCATATTCTGAAGTTCCGGTGATATCCTAATCATGTCAATGCCAGTTAGATTGTGTTGAGAGCCATAAAAGCCAACATCCCTGGTGACCCCCAATCTTGGCGGTGCTCCGAAGCTTCGCATGTTCCCTGCAGCTGTAACTAGCGAACAATGGCTATTGTCTCGCCTCAAGCTCATATCCAACCAATTGCGCAACATGCACATGCACACATGCACAGGGCATCAGAAATAAAATATAAGACGGTAAGGTGCACAGCTCGAATTCGTTGAAAACCCGAGGATTAATTTATGTGAACGATGCCGCTGCGGACAATACCGCGCAATATATATACTTCGAATACTCAAAACTGATTCATTTAATTTTAACCCATTTGATTAACTTACATCGTCAACTTCAATATAATGTCCCGAACTTGAATGGTCGTTCGACATGGCGATTTTCTTTCTACGGTGAATTGATTCCCACAGGGCTTCAAAGAGAAAAATGAGAGCTTGAAGGGATAAACAGACAGGACTCCGTTCCAAAATCGATGGGCGAATACTCACCCTTTTGTGCTTGTCGGCTCGATCCCTAGGTCTTGACGCTCTCAATTGTTTAACCTATCGGGCGTCGATATGGAACCCCCAAATGGACCCACTGCCAAGCACAATCAGGTCAGTGCTGCCGATTGCGTGGTATGGCAATCAATATTCTCCCATACATCGCAGCAGCGACAGCCGATATGTATGTGCATATGTACGTATTCTGCATGCGGGGTTGTCGCAAGTTATGTTAGTATTTTAATTCTGATAAGGTCGATTTCTGCCGAGTTTATAATCTATGGATCCAAATGCATGCGCCACCGCCAGACCAGCTTGTTATATATTAGGTATGTATATTTGATATTAAGCTTCAAATTTCTTAAACATCCCGAGCTCCATTAATGGCACGGACCAATTGGCATCTTTAGTTTCATGAGCATTATCACCTAGCCGTTAATATCAATACATTGCTGGCTCTCCACGCAGCCACCTGCGCTTGCCACCCGAGACTTAGACCTATCACCTGTGAATATACGCACGTTTGCGGTCACACCATCTGTCTCCCGTGCACTCTAAACAGGCGAACCAATTATCAAGAATTAGTTGGCCGGAGCCCCGCTGATGCCACATTTTCTAATCGTGGTGCTACCCGCTATAAATATAAAAACCAAATTGTCGAAAAATTACAAAAGCTATTCGAGTCTCCACTTGTGGAAATTCTCGCTTCGGTTTAAATTTTCGATTATTTTTGATATCGTTTCGGCATTCTGTAAAAGTCGGGCTTTCCGTATTATAGGTGAGTATTCGTTGTGGGAGATAACGAACTCAAGAATCCGAAGGCGCGATTTCTTCTCGAAGATAGAACGCCATGGGCAATTGATCTTCCAGATTCATGGAAAGACATGGAGTTGAGATTGTTAGAAAGGGTATATAAAAAACTATCCAACAATTGTTAGAGATGAAATCGGGCAGAGAAACAAGGCGCTCTAAAATAAGTCGGTGTTCTTCAAAATATCCGATAGTATACATCCCGAGAATCTTCAAAAGGCAGACGCAAAGATTATGATGTAGGCTGCGGATTAACGTATTTCGATTCATAATCTGAGTATCTAAAAATTATTTCCCTAGGTATCGTCACCTGGGAGCTATTTAGGGGGAAACCATTCCACTGCTTTCTGTGATTAGAGTTTTATAGGTTGATTCAAGCTATAAGGCTTTGCCCAGAAGTTGGAGATCCCTTTTATATTTATGACAATCGCACGCCTAGAACGTCCTATATATATCTCGATTTAGAGTGTTCCCCAAGGGTATATATGTATATATATATAGCCTCCTAGCTAATAATCTTTATCAATCATAGGTATGATTTTTTACAAATGATCCAACGAATGTAGCATGCACGCAGGATAGATCCCTCTCTCGCTCTCGCTCTCCCTCTGCAAAGATCTTCTGCCTTTTCTTTCACCTTTCCCCTATAGCTCTGCTAGGTCACGTCATGGAAAACCCGTATACTAGTACTTTCGCAATATCGTAACCTGAATATGCTATGACGCAAAATCTAAATTCAATGCCGACTCTTCGAAGAGCTAGAGACTGATAATTAACATATCCAATAGTATCGAAAGATACCCTTTCCTCACAGGTATGCACTTATATACTAAATAAAGTATGCCATCAACGTGATGTCGTAAAACGTGTACTCATTTTGGTAGTGAGAGTTTATGTTTATTGAAATATTCTGTGTTGCTGGGACATTACAACAGTCGGCTCTTGATGACGAATTATGCATATGGCTAGTACCATAGCATAGCTAGTTCTAGTACTAGTACTAGTAGGATTGCTGACAAAGCCATCATGCATGATATCAATATCGATGGGACGAGGTTAATTCCGATATTCTAATGCTACTTAACTTATGGCATTAATTCGAGTTCAGAGTAGACATGTAATAAATACCTTTGGCTTGGTCGACGCATTTACCATCTGGTACATTACCTCTTTTGATCGAAGGCATGTACCCGTCTCGAGCGAACTTAACCGTTAACCGCGCGAGCTAGAACTAGTGGACTGGGTGCAATGCAATAATCATGAAACTCGTCCAATCTTCTCTGCATGCGTGCTTAAGTAAGTACTTAGCTTGGTATGTCTCCTCCATACGGCGCCGGAGCTCTCTCCGTGGCCGTTCCGGAACGCCTTAAAGCCCAACGAATCACCACTGTTATCAAAAGCACTCGCAATTAATATTATCTAATGTACCCCCCCAGAATATTATCGTGATCCTTCACAGAAATGATTGACTTTTTTCGGATGAGAGCCAATTGGTCGCTAGAGATTTCGAATTCAAGTTTTGAGAGGCAACTGAAGCGGAGACTACGCGTGGACGGAACATGCTGGCCCGGGCAGCCGACTTTGTACTTCCAGCTTCTAATTACCTGGTAACTTGCAAGTACTTGCGTATACTATACCGTACCATCTAACCCATGCATATATGCATATGATATGTTACAAGCAGACAGCCGACCGGTCTTAATAAGCTATGGTGGCAATCCTATTGTCCGCATATACCTCGAATATCATTCACAGGGTATCATATAAACAGGGCAAAAGGAGTCGAAATCGGCGCCGCAGATGTCCGGCCTGGAGCCTGAGTCATCTGGAACCTGGAACCGTTCGTGCTGAGCAGCGCATTCGCAACGTTTCGCAACGCATTACTATGGGCCTTTCTTCGGGACGAGATTTCGAAACTCTTCTAGGAGTCTATGAACTCTGAGAGCTCTTGAGTAGGATTTCTCAGGCATAACATTATGGAATAAGATTCAATCTTTCGTACATGGAAACTTCTTCACTCTGCCGTCAAAATCCTATAACAATAAATTATCGGTATCGTCGGAGTCAGTCGTTGGTACTTTCCCTTTTAATCAACTTGGGTTTTACTGGATCTATACTATACGCTTGCCGACGAATATTCCCAAGTTAACAGCTGCACCAAACAATAAAATCTCGTTATGCATTGCTCACATCAGAGATTGTAACGTTGGCCAATTACTAATTCTTATACTGTAACGGAATTCTTATCAATTGGACCATATTGCATAAGAAAGGACGCTTACCTTTGGAGGAAGGTTTGTGATAATGCTAATAAAGGAGGCCGAAAATTCCTTTACAGCAACGGAGTCTTGTTCAGGGGCTTCCTACGTTGCCTCAGTGGAAAAAGAAGATAAAATGGATACCGGAACATCAGAACCTAAGGGGAAAGAGAAGGCGGTTGATGTCGAAGAAATCTTCGATGTTGAAGATGATGAAGAGTTGGTGCCGATTGTGATCGATGGAGGATGTCTTTGCTCGCTGCTCAGATATCAAATCAATCTTTCACTCGAGTTTCAAAAGACGGAACTGTATAAAGAGCTCGTGGGTTTTGCTCATTGGTGAGTATATATATTAACCCTCCTCCAGCTTTAGTTCCGTTGTAATAGGTTCATTGTTACTAATACATGTACGTATATGTATAGCTACTGCCATTCTTGCAAGTGCGCCGTTTCAGGTCTTACGAGAACATCTCTGAAGTTCCCACGGGAAATGGTTCAATGGACCTCGAGGGCAAAGCTGGTTGAACCCGAGCCCGAGAGCCCTGCAAGCTCAATCGGACGAAGGAGGGGGAGTAAGTCGACATCAAGCACCCCTGCACCAATTGCAGAAGCGAATGAGTCTATCTCTAAAAAGAGCTCAGAGGGAGAATCCTCGACTTCAGGCTCTGAACCTAACGAGCTACCGGAGAAAGTCACGAAAAGGGCAGCAAGGTTGCAGAGCACTCTTGAGGCGGTCAAGCAGGACCCAGAATTTGACACTGAATTTGCGGATGTGGATAATGCAACGGGCTGTTGCTGCTATGAAGAGGATAATGTGGACGAAATACAGACACCGAAGAGCCCTGTCTGGGGACCAAGCAAGAAGCCGAATTTGGGAATGACTGCTTGGAGTGGGAATGCTGGCTACCACAGAAGGATATGGAAAAGGGAAAGAGGAGTAGGTGGGAAACCCACTGCCTCAGGCGAAGCCTCGCCCATTACCACTGCTTCCGTATCCCCGGCTCCTTCTACAGCAAAAGATCCGTCAACATCATTGAAATCGGGGACACCACAATCTTCTGTTGAACAACCTGATAACACAAAATCAAAGGGAAAAGGAAAACCTAAGGCCAAAGAAGGCCTTTGGAGTAAGTCAAGCTCGAATCTGCTAATTTAATATTTGACAGGTATGCTAAAGCCACTGCATCTTAGCCAAAATGAAAGGCAAGGCCTCTGCTGCTATCTCAAAAGAGAAAGATAGAACAAAGGGCAAAGAGAGGGTGGTGGTCTCAATCCCACTCACAAATGAAGATTTGGATATACCGGCTTCTCAATCAAATACCTCAAAGACGGAGGTGGGGCAAAAAATCTGCCACCTTCCCGAGAAAACAGGAACTCCGACTGGGTGTGATATAATTTCTCCGCCTGTGAATTCTCCTCAACCTTCATCTTTAGAGATTCTCCGTTGGGAAACGCAGCTTCTTCATCAACAAGAATCCGACCTATCTCACGGACCCTGTACCTCTCAAGGCGATACTGAAGATTTCGACGGTGATCCGCAAAATAATACTCTTCCTATCCCTTGGCCCTATAGAGAATTCGCTATCACGACTCGTGATGGACGTACGAGTTACCGTGGATTCTGTTCGTGGTGTGGCGGCAGCCTGACTTATCGAACTTCAGCGACTATTCATGGAATGGTTGATATCCACGCGGGAAGTATGGATGACCCTGAGAAGGCTCTAAGGCAAATAGGGGTTTTACGGGAAGTACATATTGAAACTGCTGGTGGTGTGGAAGAGGGGGCTAGGTTAGGGACTATGGTTGGGCATTGGAGAGATGGAACAGTATCCAGTTATGACAGCTGTGATATGGAAAGAAGGCTCTACTTTGATAGTGATGGCGAAGAAGGAGCGCATGGACCAGGGGATCATGGGGAAACCCACGATGATGGGGTCAATGCTAACAAAGAGCCTTAACTATCATCCTTTACAGTATACAGGTGGTCTTGACAAAAACCTCCCGGAACTCGATACAACCTTCTGAAGACGGCAATTGGACTCTCGCAACCTCATCCCGCGGTCTACTTCAATAATGTATTACATACGTACCTAACTGAAGATGGCAGATAATCGACTTTCTTTTAAATTTTGCACCTTTCCAGAGGAGCTCATAGAATTTATGTTCATTCACATCATACATTTTCATGTCGATAGATATCTCTAACATCCCCGCATATGTGAATATTATATATCAACTTTCAATGTCACGATAACATGGCCACGTAGGAAAAAGTATACCGTGCATGCATATCGAAAATCAATTATTAATCCAGACCCCGCTTCTGAAGCCAAGATATGTCGTCAAGAATCAAAATAAAGACCCCCTCAGTGCAGAGGGGCACCATTAAGGAGGAGTTCTGTATGATAGAATAGAAGTTTGTTCAGATACGAAATTAACCCCGCCAATGGGCCAGTTTTTCAACTACCGGCTCAACTACTGCAACCTCGGACTTAGCTGCAGCTGCAGTCAAGTCCGGTTAAAAATAAAGATAAGTGATGTTGTACGAAGTCCATCGTGTACATACATACTCACTTATACGTGCATACGTGATGAAGGAAATTTCGTCAGACGCATTGCATTTGCAGAGTTTTGCATTCCTGCTTTGAAATTTCGATGAACGCCAATGTTGTCGAGACACGGAGCTATCGGGTATCGATTAGCTGCACGTATACGTATCCGTCGAGGGCACTAGAGCTACCCTGTCCAAGTGCGCTTTGGGATTCCGTATTAAAGCCTTAATAGTAAGGCTGTGCCACGACCCATGCATGGCATCCACAGGGTTGTTTCAAATGACAGCTCTGTTTCGGTAGCTGTCTTTCCGTACTGCCGGCTATATATAGCGAACAACTAGCCTCCTTTTCTTTGGCTGGCAATAATATATCTCAACCGTAAACGCTGGCGGATGCGGATTCCTTTGCCTCTTTGGAATTTTCAACTTCGACTTCACGTAAACCATCGCATTTCGGATCTTGGTTGGAGTCAACTCTGAAATATCTTTCGCAAGATATTAGGTTATAAGTTAACTTACACTCCCGGCCGGTTTCAACACAAAATCTACCACACCGAAACTATCCTTCCACATCCGTCACAATCACAATCACAGTCACGATGGTTGACTTCCAGTCTGCCATGGCCGCTAGGGCCCTTCGGAACGTTAGATCTGTATGCAAAGTGATTCCTTTATGCGAAAATATCACGATCTTGCCACTAACATCTTCGTAGGAACTCGAATTTCTTTCCGACACTGGCCACATCACCGGTGCCCAACTGTCAGCAATCCTCTCGAACCTGCCGGTTGATCTCCAAACGACAACATCTGCACTGGCAAATACGTCCATCGCTCGAACAGAAACCCCCGTGGCCGCTCCTTCGCCTGCTCCGGTAGCTGTGAATACCAGTTCCTCCTACAATAATAATAGTTCAACGTACAACGAGAAGGCGGATCCAGTCCCAACCCCTGCTTACTCACAGGCTCCTCCGGCATATACCCACCCACCAACACTCTCAGTTGTTACAGCACTTTACCAATACAGTGCTAGCGATGCTGGTGACTTGGCTCTTAACCCCGGTGATACTATCAATGTCACCGAATACGTAAATGCCGACTGGTGGCGTGGTGTCAACCCAACAACCGGTCAGACCGGTATCTTCCCCAAGGACTACGTCAAACCTGCACCAACCAATGAAAAGGACGGCTATGGTTATGGAAATGTACCACTACAGGTTGCGAACGGAGGGGGTAGCCATCCACCACCAGGTGAAGATCAACAACCAAGCAAATTCGAGGAACACGGCAAGAAATTCGGCAAGAAACTCGGAAATGCTGCTATCTTCGGAGCTGGTGCTACTATCGGTGGTAAAATCGTCAATGGTATCTTTTAATTTATCGAAATTTTGGGAGGGTTTGGCTTTGGATTCGGTGGGGGGGTTGTATTCCGTTTCGGCGTTTTTTCCTTTTATGAATTGGTCCTTTTTCGTCGGTTCTCGGCTACACTTTTACGTTGATATTCGGTGGGGGTTTGCTTATACGACAGGACTGTCTTTCGTCAACGACATACCTCAAAAGATACTTGTGTATATTGTTCATTTCGATTGTCTGCTACGAAGTATCAATTCAGAGGGGAGGCTACTATCTTTTTTTTCCAATTTGCACATACTCGTTCCAAAATTGTCAGGTTTCATATGGTTTAGGGTGGAGGACTTATCTGCAGTATAATAGCTCCGTGAATTCAATATATACAATGTAACCAACATTTGCTTTATTTACATCTTTATCTTTTGCCCATAATTGCATATGACGTATATCACATACCTGATTCGAGTCACATTCTCTTTATACACATTGAGAGTAATAGTCATTGAGTACCTTACAAGTGTAAGGGCTCTGACAAGTGTTACACCCCGTCCAGCCGATACCACCACACTGGGCCCACTGCTGACAACCTACGGGATTTCCAACAGTAGTACTTTGTTGTGGTGTCGTAGTCCTGATAGCACTAGTAGTAATGGCTGACGTCGTTTTGATTGTGGTTGTAGTGGTTCCACTAGATCCACCACCAAGTAACTTGACGGTAACAACGCCTTTGCTAGGGATAGAGACCGTAACAGCGCCGCCCGACAATGTCGAGGATGTAGACTTGAAATTATTCCCTTGGCTTGTGACATAAGCTTCTGCAGAGCTTGGGGTAAAGCCGTTGAAGGAAACCTTTGCAGACTGGGCCGAACTACCACTATTGGTGAATACAACGACGATCGAACCATCCGTATTTTTGAATGCACCAGTGATGGTACTCGCGATGGAGCCAGTGGTGCCAATTCTGACAGCACCGGGACGAATATAACGAGACCACATTGCGAATGCCCAAAGGATACCAGAAGGAATAGCGTTATTGCCGTCCGTATCCACAAGATGTGAAGCAGATTGCTGTTGCTTCCATTCATACCCTTCCCAGAATAGATAGGCAGATAGATCTGCGTTAACCATTGCTACTGCTAGTTTATTCGCCCAGGTGAAGCCTTCGGCTTGCGTTCCACTCGCATACCATGTAGGCGTGAACTGAATAGACCCCGGACCCGCCTCGGTGTTCCATTTTGGAAGGTTGGTATTAGTGATCGGAGATGTCAGTTCACTACTGTACGAGTGACCTGCAATCATTCCAAGATATTGCGTGGACCCAGCGTTAACTAAAGCGGTGGTATACGTTCTTTGCATACTCCAGCCCATTGCGTCGCAGCAGGTTATTTTAGTGTTAAGACCTGCGGCTTTAACGGCGTTATACAAAGTCGGGATGAATGAGATTGCTTCTTGTGCATTGCTGCTTATTTGCATTTGGGAGTAGTTGGGAGAGTAGTCTGGCTCGTTGAGGAAGCCGAGATGTGTGACGGTTATGCCGATTGAGGCGTAGTATTTTACGTATTGAACGAGGAAGTTGGCGTAGGCTTGTCGCCAGTCGCCAGAGGAGCATGTATGACCTGTTGTGCCGCAAAGATATCTATCGAAACCCGTTTGATGTTAACATTTATATCTTCTAGGTACTCAAATTTCTATTAATCCAACAATCCGTAGAATACATACCCAGCAGTACTTTCCGACCCACTTGTCTTCATAAACCCAGGCGCACTCCAAGCATCAGCATACACAGTAGTGACACCATACGCCTTAGCCTGTTGTGAGAACCAAACTTGTCCTCTATCATCATTATCCCAAACATACTTAGGAGTAGCATTCGGACCGCCAGGGTTGGTGGGTAAGATGCTATCACCGCTTCCGCCTGATCCAACTCTATTACGGATGATAGAGAACCCTGCGCCAGTAGTGGTGCTGAATAAAAGATCCAAGGCTTGTTTTTGAATGTTTGAAGGTGCGGTCTTGAACTCGACGGCTCGACCGAAGGCCTGTGAGAACCCAAACCCTTCAATCGTTTGGTAAGTTGTTCCAACATTGACGGTGATAGAAGTTTGTGCGGTGACTGATGTGGCAAGGCCTGCCGCTAGTAGAAGCTTGGATAGCAAAGGCATTCTGTGAAACTTGGAAGAGTTTATTAAACAAAATAAAGGATTTACGACTTGGCTAACTTGGGTTCCTCTTGGATTGCTTGGATCTCAAGCCAGGAGTCTCTTCTTTTATATCTAGCGTCTATTCATATGATTATTGCGAATCATTCTCGAGTTCATTCTACTGGAAAGCCGACGCCATGGACCATGAAGATTCAAAGAACGGCCCGGGATTCCATCTTTTTGACGCCATTTGTAGTAATAACTTACGATTTCGAACTGCAATTGGCGGAATATTTAGACGCAAATTATTAGAGAATGCTTCCCTTTATGGCCTCTGGGAACGAGACCAGGACTGCCTAGTATACGAAGCTTCTTTGCCATTGTAGCCAAATATGCGCACATATAATACACGGAGAAAAAGGAACTTTCCTATAATGCAATAGCAATTAAGCTTTATCTTGGTTTTCTATATACAAGGGTGTAAGATTGCCCAGGCCCGCATATCCGTCTAGGAAGATATAAAATCCGTTACCATGGATTGTGGTTATTTGCGAAGGGCTAGTTCCACGGAATAGCCCATGAGGCGGGAGGTTCGGCACCAGAATAACAATTATGAAAGTGGATTGGGATTACAATCATGATCTGTCGTGATCAACGACGCTTCAACATGTAAGTGGTTACATAGAGTTTGTGGGCCTTAAAAGGGGCTTGGCAAGGCAGACTGGTTAAATCAGTACCCCTTGTATTCTCTGAAACGAGGATAATACCGTGGTACCGACGGGTGACGAATTTAAGTAAATCCCGATCATGTTCGAATGGATCTATGGACACAGAATGCCGTTATATATTTACTTACAGGTTAGGTGCACTTCGAATATTTACATTGTCTCCTCCCTTCCCCTATCTTGCATCAGGGGTTCTTCTCCAACCCATCCTTAGGACTGAAAAAACCCCATCCTGTTGATTTTTCTAAGAAGCTCTAGTCCTGCCAACATATATCTTCTGCGCCTGATATGTGGTTGATCCGCTGGGTCCAGGGCTTCCGGAACTACCTTCCATCTGCAAGTTGATAATAATCCACATTGGCTTACCAACAAACCCAGCGGCATTATGCTGGCCCTTCCAGTCACCATCAACATAAAAATGCACCGTAACATCCTTCGAGTTCGCCTTCGTCGCCCAAATTCTATACTGATGCCACGTGGAGGCCGCATTACCCACGTTTGCTTTGGTAGTACTAACATCAGATGAGCTACGGAAGGTATTAAACCAGTTCTCGGTGTTGCCCTTGAATTCGAGGATATCGATCTCTGGAGGCCAGGATTGAGTTCCTGTTAGCCAGAAGGCGGGCCATGTGCCCTTTGTAGTGGGAGCTTTGAATTCGCCGCGGATTTCCCAGTTGGGGAATTGGTCGTTTACTACGACGGTGGATTTGGCGTGTACGGCGCCGGACCAGTACCAGATTGCTGGTTTTGGATTGGCAGTGGACTTTTCGGACAAGATCAGCTTAGTCAATTTCTAATACATTTCTGGGACCTCGAAGACAGCTTTTGAGAGGATAAACGTACGTATCCGTCTTGCGAACTAAGTCTATCCGCTCTAATGGTCAGAACTCCACCGGAGACGGAGACTTTATCCTGTTTCATCCTCGCGGATCCATTGTGATCTGGTCCCCAAGGATAGAGATAGTTCCAAAAGCTACTGAAACTATTAAAGCTTCCTTCGCCGATAACTTCTTCCCACCCTGTCTTGACACTGGTGCCTCCCGTGGTCGTAGCAGTCGCCTGAGCAGTCGTTGTAGTACCACCGCCATTTGAGCCTGGGATACATTGGGAGTAATAATCGTTGCTCTAGGAATAGCTAGTAAGTAACCTGAAGGATCTTAATTTAAATTCGACTGCTAAATGTAAAACTAACTTTAACACAGCTTGAGCCCGAAGCACAAGTAGTCGGGCCAGTCCAACCGATTCCTCCACATTGTCCCCAAGCAGGTGCTTGAGCAGCCGCAAGGGAGAGGAGGGAAAGTGTTATAAGGGTTTGCGACAGCATTGTGCTAACTGCGTTGACGCTGTTGTATTTCGAACTACCTCATATATATATATAGCCTGCGGTGCTCGAAAGCGAAAGGATGAATTCGCTTTCTTAAATACATTTTCCAAGATAAAATCGAATGCTATTTACAATAGCTTTCCCGCCGGGATTTTTAACCGTGGTTCACGATATATTACTCTTATGGAAGTTCTCAATCCTTTTCAAGGTACAAGGTTGTGGCCTCGGGGTGAGACTTCCTTGTCGCGTTGGATATATAGGGAGTGCTCGCCATTTCAACCGGGAAGCGACCCCGCAGTTCCGAACATTAGGAGAGCGAACTTTAGTCTCTTTTTCTTGATCAAGGGTGTCTTTAGTAAACTCTCGCGGGTTATATCTGGGGAAGTTTGCATAATTTTTCCGTCTGGGTATATATAAGAGGTGTTTTATAATTCGATCTTCAAGGATGCAAATGCAATTCAGGGTCAGGGGAATCAACCTTTAGTTCGGATGCACGCATGAGAATGGCCCGTTACTCGAACACAAATGCGATCTCGGGATCAAGTAGATAATTGCATAAATAGTATACACAATATTTTAGGCGTGAAGTATAGATATTTACGAGAAGAAGATGAGAAGAGCATCGGTACTGTATCCAAATTTGATACTTGAGAATCAGATCTTAACCTCGTGTTGTTAATGTTGTTGGAGATCCCCATGTAACCATTCCCGATTTGGATATTTTGGACTGGCAAACCAACGGACAACACGTCGACCGAAATTAGTTAAAGGACGTTCAGGCTAAAGACTCACTTTGCCTGTACAAAGACTCATCTGACCAGTCCATCGACATATTTCTCTAACAATTCTACGATTGTATCCTTAAATCTTCTTTCATTAGAAGATACCAATCAATTGAATCGCATCTTGAAGCCCTACCGAACCTTTAGGCAGCTTTACAGTATACAGTACTAGCAGGTTCCTGCAGATTCGTTGAAAGCCCCACTATCGATACCTGTCGCGAATTCCACCCCGCCTTTCATATTCGAATTCACCGTTGCGATAAGGCCAATTATCACCACCACGACCAAATACCAACAATATGTCGGGCTCATCCGAACCACCATCGATCCAACCTCTCTCCTTAACACCTCACCCACCCGTAGCCACTTCAAGTGAATCTACAGTTCCTCCTACAGACCCCACTACGACCGCACAATCCACGAATGCCGACCAAAACATCGACCCATGGAACGTACAAGGCGCGGTTGTGGATGGAAAAGTTCAAGCAATCGATTATGATAAACTCATTCAGCAGTTTGGAACACGCAAGATTTCACCTGAATTGCTCGCCAAATTTGAACGTGTGACTGGTCATAAGCCTCACCGTTTCTTGAGGAGAGGGTATTTCTTCAGTCATCGGGATTTGGAGAGTATATTGGATCGATATGAGCAAGGGAAACCTTTCTTTTTGTATACGGGAAGAGGACCGAGTTCGGATAGTATGCATATGGGGCATATGGTTCCGTTTCTATTCACAAAGTATGGAATTTGATCTCCTGTCTATGCTCCGGTGGTGGGATTTAGACTAATGATGCGTATTATTTAGATGGCTACAAGAGGTTTTCGATGTGCCATTGGTAATCATGTTGACAGACGATGAAAAGTTCTTGTTCAAACAGGAGCTTAAGATCCCGGATGTCAAGAAATATGCCCGACAGAATGCGAAGGACATCATTGCTGTGGGATTCGACCCAAAGAAAACATTCATCTTTAGCGATTTCGACTTCATGGGTGGAGCTTTCTACGAGAACGTTATGGCAGTAGCGAAGTGTATCACAACAAACCAGAGCAAGAGCGTCTTTGGATTTGATGATGCGTATGTTCACCCCCTTCCCTATTCCTTATTGGCCAACGAATTTCCATAAGAAAGGCTAATTAATTGAATATATCACAGTGCAAACATTGGCAAAGTCTTCTTCGCCGCCGTTCAGATCGCAACTGCCTTTGCTACAACTTTCCCACACATCTTCGGTACCGATACAAAGAAAGTAGCGTCGATACCATGTCTTATTCCGTGTGCAATTGATCAGGATCCTTACTTCCGTTTATCGAGAGATACTGCTCCACGGTTGAAGTTTCAGAAACCAGCATTGATTCATTCGGTCTTCTTCCCGGCACTTGGAGGTCCAGGAAGTAAGATGAGCGCCAGCGATCCCAACAGCAGTATTTATATGACCGATACCGCAAAGGAAGTGTAAGTTTGTACTCACGTTCAAAATTTCTTCGCGATCTTACTAATACAAAATAACTTTCTAGTCAACGGAAAATCAACAAATACGCATTCTCCGGCGGGCAAACAACTACTGAGGAACAGCGAAAATATGGTGGAAACCCAGATGTCGACGTCAGCTACGCATACCTATCGTTCTTCATCGAGGACGACGAGGAGTTGGCAAATATTGGACAATCTTATAGAAAGGGTGAATTGCTGACAGGGGAGTTGAAGAAAATGTGCATTGAAACACTACAAGGATTCGTCAAGGGATTTCAGGATAGGAGGAAAACCGTTACTGATGAGGAACTAGATGAATTTATGCGTGTTAGACCCTTGGTTTGGGGAACTGAGAAGCAGGAGGAGAGAGCGAGGATTGCGAAGGAGAAGAAGGACGCCGAAAAGGCGGCAGCTGTGGCAGCTGCGGCGGCGGCGAAAGAGAGCGCATAGTAGAGGGTTTTACTCTAGAATTTAAACTTGATACCACACTTTGCATCTTTGTACGATCTAGACAATATTAGTGTGTACAAAATAAATCGAGGAGGGTAGTGTGATGATGAGAGGGAAGATGTCGGAGTAACTAGGTCGAAGCTAGTACATCACACATATTGTTTTACAGTGGGGTGGAGAACTGTGTGGGGTAGTTGATGCTTTTGGAGCAGAATTATGAAGAATTCGCCTATTGGACAGACAATATATATACGCAAAATAGAAAGAGATTATGTATTGTATGCCATCTTCGTACTGGGGTCTTTTCCACCTGTATTTTAGATAAGATGCTTGCTCCTATAACACCAAAATGTTAGTATGCCTTCCAGATGAATATTATCGGGCTGAATAGGAGGTACCTGAAATAACTCCTCAAGTAAATGACCTGCCACGCCCCCAAACCGAGTAATGTGCTGATGGTCAAAAAAGCAAACCACTTCACTCTCTCATTTGTGCTCTCATTGGTATCTCGCAACTTTTGTTCTCTGGTCCTTAAGTACTCCATCTCACTGACAACCTCGCTGACCAATTCTTCGATTCTTCGCAATTCGATTTCGACGGGCTTTAGCTTCTCAGCAGCCTGAATGGCACTCCAATCACGTGCATCCGCACCAATGTCTACATCCAATTCGACGGCGCGGAAAAGTTGGCTGCCTCCACGGTGGTAGTTTACGGCGGTATTCTCGAAGCAGACGTCGAACGCAGCGTCGGCGTGGGAAGTAAACGCCATGCGAGTTTCACCAACGACATCCTTAGGTTTGCCGTATTCGTTGCCGACAGCGTCTCTGATCTATTTCAACGGAAATATTAGTTATTAAAGGGGACATTATATTATGTAAATAGCACCATAGCTTTTAAGATATATATCGATGGGTATCGGAGGAAATAATCGGCCATACGTGAATGTTAACTTTCTGCCCGTCGCCTTTGTTGCCGCCGATAGTAGCGGTGACAACGACAAGCGTGTCCTTGGCCGCAAAGTTTCTAATACATCTATGACTTGAACCTGGACCCTGAGCAAATAGATCGAATTTCAGCGCCGAAGCTAGCGAGGCTGTGGTCGTGAGGAGTGTGAGCGTCGATAGCAGCTTCATTGTGTATGTGTGTGCCGGATAAGGGATGTCTCTGGATATTGTTTTTGGAGCTCAGGGAGCTCGTTTGCTATCAAGCGTTTAGGAACCTCCCAAGCCTTGTATCAATTGACGTGAAAGGAAACGGGATTGAAGACGAAGTTAAGGAGAGGAGATGGTGATGACGGAAGTAGCGATGGTCGTGCGCTTGTCTTGTCTTGTCGTGTCGTCGATGGAGGGCCTTCACGGGGTTCTTCTCGTCCTTCGTTCGACGCTGCAGCTTCGTTCGGGACGGTTTGTTAAGCTGGCCTTTTGCGAGTGTCGCCTGAAGGCTTGGCATCACAACACGTCATGTGACCTATCACCGCTCATACTCGGCGATAATAGCTGTTCGGATATAGAAATGGAAATTCGGGTTTAAGGTACCCCACACCTGCTGCTCAGAAATGTGGCAAAGAATTTTTCTATGCGAAGCTTTTTGGCAGGCGAGCCGCAGCAGCCCGGCCGAAGAAGTCATTCCAACGACACCACAATCACCCCATCCAATCAACCTCATCCTTTTCAAACCTCTCCTCCTCTTTCCTTTTGCCTTCTGTCGACATATATTCAATCTGAAGACACCAACGACGGAAGACTCCCTTGCCAGCTCTTTGGCTGTTCAGCTAAAGTAGCCTGTGTATTACTGACGTGAAGAGATTTTGTCCAACGCTTTTCACATGCGATAAAGAAAACGCCCCAAGGTCTCCATATCCTTCCTGGTCCTTCCTTTATATCCGTCAAGATGGTCAAGTTTTATCAGAATGGCTTTTCCTATGAGTATGTCCCGAATGTCTCATTCATCAATTGATCGAGTACGAGATTACTAATAAGTCGTTTGTCTTATTCTAATAGTTACACATGGCATGCCGTCACCCTTGCCTATTTCCTCAGATATCCAAAGTACATAATATATCCACACATGTACCCTCACACGACTACCATCTATACCATTTACTAACGGTGCAACCGCTTCTATAGTCCATACTCCACTCATGTAATTTCTTCCGACGTAATCTCCCGGCATATCGATGAAGCCGGCATTCTTCACACTGTCCGAATACACCATAAACGCGGAAAGCTCCCAGCCGCACTCACTCGATTATTACCTACTGTTTCCGACTCTTATATCCTAGAAACATCACGAGTAAATCCACATACAATGGTTATGGAAACCGAAACGCGAAACCTGGATCATACGTCTATATTAAGTGTGGTTGAGCATCAAGTTTATACCCCGGCTGCCGAAGGATCTGGGACCAATGTTCAAACGACAGTTAGATTCGACAGCAGATTTGGGGGTAGAAGACAGCAAGCTCAACAAGTTGTCGAAGGGGAGGCACAGGAAGCTCAACCACAGCCAGAGAAGAGGAGGCTGTTCAACTTTGGGTTCGGGTGGGGTAAAGAGGGGGTGCAGAGGTCAATTGAGAGTCTTGGCGCGAGAAGAATGACGGAGCATGTAGGTAGTAGCACTAAGGGCATGCAGTTGGTGCTAACCAGGCTACGTAATATCGGGTTAATCGGAACAAGAGGAGTTGAGAGGGTCAATGAGGATTGGAAATCCGTCTGGAGAAGGGTTAGGGAGGAGATACCGAAAGCGGATGGTCTCGATGCCGGAATGGGAGTCTAGTGGCGACATACCCATACTTTTAGTTTATACCAGGGTCACAGTAACTCCAACCTCTTAAATGAGCTTTGGAACTGTACATACGATACCACGACGGACGGGCAGATATCGCACTCACCTACTTTCTTTCACCTTTTTTTTGGATTGCATGCACTGAACAAGTTGATGGAAACAGTGCGCGTTTTCTCATTCACTTTTCTCGATTGCTCCAGCGATTTAAAATGAAAAAAGAGACCATTGGTAATGTGCATACGAGTTTGCTTCCGACGATGTTTTGACTCTTTTTTTGTTTGTTTTTTAACTGTTCATGATGTATATATATACCGTGGGCCGGTGAACAGCGGTCTCCCCTTTCCTTCCTTTCCTCGACTTCTTCATTTTCTCTCTCTGGCTTTATTTGATGTCAATTAGCCTTCCGGTGTTGGGTAAAATTATAAAAGAAATAATATATCTCTTTTGAACAAGTTATGGAATGGTTTCTTAGTCCCTTAGCTTCAAATTACCCTCGCCTTTCGTCATCATTTATACGCGTGAATTCTAGGATTCTATGGTATCCCAGAAAACATCAGTTCTTCAACGTATCTCTGGAGTTTTCGTCGACTCCCGAGAATTTTCATCCACCAAGCACTATATTGAAATTTCCGAGTATAATATATAATATCCTGTTTCATGGGAGTCCTTGGTTCTCGCTCACATCAATAATGTCTTCTAGTATCCAAGGTATCACAGAAACTTGTAATGCAGGTATATAGGAGCCCTGTAAATCCCACTCCAGCTAGCAGTAGGTTTATAGTTTGGAATCTCAACATTAACATACAACCTGGGCTCACGATATAAAGCATAGGGATTTCCATCCGCATAATACAACAGACCTCGAGTGTTGTTAGAATTACCTACTAAGCTTAGTTTGAGATTATATTAATCTTTGTTCTGAATCTTGAATACCTCAGTTTCCCGCAAATAAACTCATTCGAGGCAACAGTCGATGATTTGGCAATATCATACACCAGTAGCCATGCTACCTTGGGGGGAGCCAATCGAGTACAGTTGAAATCACCCATTCAATAGCGTGGCCGCGTGGGTCTCTGAGTATACTATAATTATAAACGTGGTTAGCATATACTTAATACTGGACTCCCCACCAACGATATCACGATGTTTTTCTCCGTCTCCATACCAAAGACCTTTCTCATCCTTCAACTATTCTTTTCATTGGTATCATGTCAGGTGCGGGGAAGCACAAGCGGCTATAAGCCAACATACTCCCCCATTCACCTCGCCTGGTTGGCCAAAAATCAAAAAGATATTAGGCAACAGGCGGCCGTACAACTAAAAGAACTAAGAGAGGCACAAACTTCCAAGGGATCGCAGCCCGAGCAACTTCAGCGAGAAGTCACAGAAGATCAGGAGTTCCTGGCTAACAGTGTTATTATTTCCAAAAGAACATGGGAGGTTTTCGAAGAGGCACTTCAAATAGCGGCCGAAGGTCCGAATGGAACGTTAGGCGAGAGTCCCGTTCAAATTCTTACCGAAGCGGCCAAGTCAATAGCCAAACTAACCATTCAGATCCATACAATCGGCGGGTATGTGAAACGAATTTTGAAATTACCTGAGTCTGAAAGGAAGGGGCTTCCGGGAGACAAGGCTTATGTCCAAATTTTCGACAAGCTGATGAGAACTCTTCAACCAGTATTCAACCTTTACCCTGGACTAAAAGATAAGAACGACGAAGAGATTATTAGTGTTATTGCTAAAGGTGGCTATATTGACCAAACATGGGGCGCTTCATCTCTATATTTCCTAGCACAACTGCGAAAATTGTTGGACTATGACGAATTATCTCGCAATACGATATTGGTCTCTGATGCGCCATTACGTACCGCATTTCGAACAATCGATAGAGCGAGGTCCCAAATGAGAGAGTATCTTTTCGACATGCAAGCAGTGTTAGCCAAACTTCAAAAAAAATACCCTAAAGAACCGTTCGACCTTACTCTACACTACCCGGAGATATCGCCTGAAGGCGAAAGAAGACAGGATATTGGCTATCATAAATACTACGAAGGAAGATATATAGATAAATATACATCTAGGGCTCTTGGCGGCATTACTAGAGATGGAGTCCCGGTCGAGGAGCCATTTATATCGTGGTCAAAAGCTAATGAACTCAGATTCGAAATGTATTTTGGCATCATGGAGTTATTCGACCGAATCGTGGCAGGAAATATGAGTTTGATGATGGAAATGATTATCGATATCTTGCTTGCCGCAAACGTGTTCCTTGGAAGGAGAACGTCGCTCCCAGATTACGAGTTCGGTCTTCTGCTTGAGATGAACCCAGGACTAGAGAATTGGGATGCATTTAGTTGGATGGAGTCGTACCCAGAAATGGAATTTGGTCGTGCGACACCACGCCTCGCGACATGGGACCCACCCCCTGCCGAATTCTTGCTTCCACAGGGCCAACATGATGCAGATCCATTCGCCCCTCAGTATCTCAAGTTTGATAACGCTTAACTTCCGTTTCTCCGATTATTCGTCTTTGTTAAATAATATACAATGCAAATCTGTATAACTTTACAAACAGTAGGCTGCAAAGGCCGAATCTGTGGATAGTACTACCTTGTAAGTGCCTAGGTAGTTAGTATTACCAACCGCACTAAAGTCTATTTACGAAGCGACTACTTCGGCTTTTGGTACGAAAGAAGAGTGATCCCGAGCAATATCTGGATATTTCACACGCTACCCATCTTAGAATGAAGAAGGCTCACAGAATAACTTCATCTCTAGACCCTTAAATCTGGCATTCTTCCCATTCCCTTAGCCTTCTCACCACCCCCATTTCTAGCTCTTCTTCCTTCGACATGATCCCTAATTGCCTTGAAAACCCAGCTTTTCTGCCATTTTTCTGGAACAGGCTTATACGCAACTTTGACGGTTCCAACCGTCTGTGCCCATTCCCCGGTGACGGCTTTAGTTCCTTTGATATCTCCCCAAGAACCCGCACGGTTCATCATCGGCTGCTCAATGCTTCCAAGACCCTGAGGCCCTGGCGGTGACTGGATCTTTCCGTCTGGATGTACTGGACTCGCTGTCTTTTTCGATGAGGAAGTATTGTACGCTGTGGTCTCGGTAACCGCACCTCCGTCTTTTGTGGGTATTTCAGGTTGTGTTATAGCATCAGTAAGATCTACTGGAGGGTCTTGAGTGCACCAGTAGTAGATATCCCAGTCGTTTTCGTCAAGGAACGAGTCGTATTCTCGCAACTGGTCAATTGACATCTTGGACAGGTTTTCATCGGCGAACGTCGACAGCAATAGATCAGTTTCTAGAATACCTCTTTTACGGGATTGATCTATTATAAGAAATTAAGTCATGTTAATGGCCGAATCTATAAACCACAATCGGACTGATTCAAAGGTTAAAACTTACAAACCAGTCTAGCTCTCATAGTCCTCTCATCTTCTCCAACACGCTTAATAGGCTCAGCGATAAACTTTGCCCAATCGCTCTCCGAGGGATCCCGAACGCCATGCCCGGACCTAATAGACCCACTGACCTCCCCTTCCTTGCCTGTTGTCGGGAACTTTGACCCGCTCGCATAGTTCGGGTCTACAGCTCCAATAAACTCTGGCGGCGGTGGCGCCTTCCCGACAGACGGAAATTCTGTGCTCAATGTCGAATTCACGTTCGGAACATGTGGTTGGTTTGGATTCTTTGGATTATTATTCGAAGGTATATCCGTCCTGTTTGGAAGCGCAAGTCGTGAAGTCGTGGAGAATTGCGAAGCTAGGACTGGTACTAGACGCTTTGAAGGTACAGTCCGTACCAATGTTCGAATCGGCAGCATTATTATTGCGCAAGATATACTCTCTTAGATTTTCTTTTCTGAATGAAGGCTAGACTCTGAATATTTTTTATGATACGGTATCAAAGTGGAAATAAGAAGTATTGGAAATTCAATGGGTTCTATTTGTCGGTAACAAAAAAGTTGTCGGCAAGAATCCGCCGCCTGTGAAAAACAAATGAGCGAAACATGAGGTCATGGTTGGGCCGCTGAGCCTCGGGCATGGCAGACGACAACACAGCAACACGCAAAATACCACATTTTAGTACGTCCTAGTTAACATGTTACACTGCAGTACCAGTACAAGCTTAGGGATTCGCCCAAAGTACGTGGAGGTCATCTTATACTATCAGGTGGATATCTAATAGGATCAAGCTGTATGATACCTGCGGTATGGGAATTTGCTGGTTAACTGGGCCTCAGAATCGCCGAAATTCGCATCCAGGCTCCGTGGAACCTCCCCTGGAAAGGTTCCAAATTCTGGGTCATCTTCAATGTGCAGTAACCTCAGCGAATTCCGTGCGATATTTGCTTCCGCCAAAGTCCTCCACAGCTTGAATCTAAGGTCTAAATCGTCGATCTGCCTGTGGTAAGACCGATTCCACGTTCCCATCTTATATTTATTCATCTCCCAAAGCTGCCTTAGATTCTCAAGCCCCTTGTTCAGCCTTTCTAAGCCTGATTTCAGTGACTGAATTTCTCGGTTAAGATCGAATTGCTGCTTCAGTGGAAGCCCGGGTACTTTAGTTTTGGCTTCCGCCGCTGTTAGTTTTCCAACAGTCTCGAGCGCTTCTTTCTCTCCTCGAGTGTACCGCCTTTGTACTTCGGCTTGAGCCTTTTTGTACAGTTCCGCCAGTGAATCCGTCTTTTCTTGATAGTAGTTAAACCACGTAGTATCAATATCGGCCCGCATTGATTCATAAGTATTCCCGATAGCATTCCAATTCGGGTCATGCTTGTCGATAGGGAGAGTCCGTAAGTTTCCTAGAATGGGTGTACCATACCGCCGCCACTGATCGTACATCTCTTCGCGGCTTGAGCGGCCCATCGGACGTGATTCATCAGTAGGACCAGGTGGTACTTCATTCTCTGCCAATTCCTGTTCCCTAATATCTGCTTCGAGTTCCATCGCTGGATTTTCGAACAATTCTGGGAAATGGGCACGTTCCTCCACCTCGCCCTCGTTAAGCCAACCTAAATTTTAATCGTTAGTTTTCTGTCTTTTCCGACGAGAACCTCTCTTTTCATAATTTTCTTTTTCTTTTTGTTTCTTTATCCATTTCGATTGTTCGGGACATACCTTCGTATGGCGTATATATATCTTTAGTTCCAGGTGTGACTTGCCACTGATATTTTTCATCCCCTCTCTTTGGTGGGACAAATGGCTGATAGGGCTCTTCTCGACTCAAATCTGTGTATGGGTATGGATATTCCAGTCCCGACCTTGTTCCAGATGATCTACCGGTCCCCCTTCGCTCTGATGACTGGGAATTAGAATTCGGATTGTTTTCAAGAATCCTAGCAGGAATGGTGCCTCCGACCATCCCTTCTGTTAGAACCCTCTGGGGGTTTTCTCGGTTATTAGTTGGTCCGTTCCGCACTGGTATATCGCCGTATAAGCTACGAAAAGCACCTGGCGCGGCTCTTTCCGGGACATTGAATGATCTGAAATTGAAATTTACGGCGTTAATGGGAGGACCATTGTACACCTCCGGGTTTGTCTGGGAGGATTGAAGTGGTAAATTTTCAGTTTGTTCGGTCTCTGGGATCATAGCTTGGGTCTCCGGGGCTGTTATCTGTGACGACGGGTTTTGATTACTTCCAGGAATCATACTTTGAGTATTTTGCGTCTGCTGGTTCAAGTTATTGAGGAGGATGGCCTGCCCGGGGTTTATAGGGAAAAATTGGGCTGAATTTTGGTTATTGTTATTGATATTCTGAGAACCCTGCTCAGGGCGATTCCGAGGAGGTTGGGAAAAGGCGTTCTGGGGATATGCAGCCCCAATGGTAACACCTCGAGAGCCCCCAGAAACCATATTCTGCGAGTTTATAGGCTGCCCTCGCAGGTTTCCTGGTCCCTGGGACATCGGTTGCATCATTTCATAGTACGGTGGCCGTGTCTGAGGTTGGTTCCCAGTCTGTCCTTGGCTAGGCCGTGGCTGGATAGGTATCGGCCCTCGAGGCTGCTGTCGTTCTATTATAAATGGGCGATTCGCTCCTGGACCGGTGCTCCCAGTTCTCTGATTTCCTACATCTGGAATTTCTTCTTCGGTCTCAAGTGCTGCTTCAAAGTATTCCCCTTGGTTATTGGATAATTGTGCGGACGCCTCAGGCTCTATCTGTGTGCCCGCAATATTTTCTTCAGTACCCGTCCCAGGGTTTTCGGTCTGAATGCGAGTACCATCGTCGTTTGTAAAGTCCAGATTCCTAAGGTTCGTATTTGATCCCGTCGGGGGGACACGAAACGGGATTGGGCCTTGCCCTACACCCATACCGGACCTGATATTGAAAGTCCTGCCCGGCGGAATCTGTACCGGGCGTACATTTGCAAGCCCACCGGTACCACCATCTTCCATTTGAGCCCCAGTATTCAAATTCTCATTAGCATTCGCGTTTGGGCCCGGGATCAAAGGGTAGTCCCTCAAAATACTGCTCAACGGAATTCTAACAACGTTACCACCACGCCGATGCACCGGCCTAGCTTCAAATCTCATTTCTGCAATAGCCTGTAACGCAACTCTCAAATTGCTAGCAACTGGTTCAATATCGTTTCTTGCCAGGCTCAGTGCGAGCCCGCTAGCTGTTGCCGGGTTAGGAGATCTAATCTCCAAACGTTGAGCTATTTCAAAAGATGTTCCGTCCGGAGTTGACCTCCACACTATAGCTTCACCTTCGACTTCGGGAACTCCAGATTCAACGACCCATATCCAATCCTCGGAATTCGGCCCAACCTCTTGAAACGACCAGTATTCCCCTAGATCGATACCATCGAGGAAGTTTAGATCTATAGTCGATACACCACGGTAAAGGGCATAGCCCATATTTTTTCCCCCGTTAACAAGTTGTCTAAATTTCAGAACAATGAATTGATTTGTCCCCACAGTTTCACAGTTGGCCGTTTTGTAGAATATCATAGCTGCTGCATTGTGACCGGATGGTACAGTACCGCCGTATCTGGGATTTGCAATTGGGAAACCTGGGCCTCCGGCACCATTAATGATACCAATACCTTGAAGCTACACACCGAAGTTAGTATCGAGGACTCGTAGGAACCCTTCACTTAATTGGAAGTGAATTTGTCAGATATATATAGAGGGGAGTGAACTAATGAGATCTTACATGTTCATGTTCTCCCGAGATGCTCTTTTGCGTCGAGGTACACGCGTTTATATACGAATCATCCCTCCAATCCGGTTCCCACCCTCGATCAAAAACCTCTTTTCGCTGTCCTGTATATACTTCACCAATATAATATGCCTGAACCGTCGAAAATGATAGAATACTGAGTAATAGCGACTGCATGATGGGTAATAAAATTGCATAGATCCTGGCTTTCTGGGACAGGACCATATTCAAGTAAACTAGAGGTATCCCTACCCCTCACAACGTGGATAGTGGTTAGCTCACTTATTAGCAACCTTGGATAAAGGAAATGCCCATCGCACGTGGGAGCATAGGTTTAGGATGGCGTCCACGCATGATTGATGGTGTTTGAGTCCATTCTTGGCCATATGGTCGACATATGCGCCTATTTAATATTTCAAGCCTTACATTCCTTACAACCGAAATCGATAGCTGAAAAGTTAGGTAATTCGAAAAGAAAATTCCGTGAGACGGCTACATAGGCTGCAGGCTGGTATTTAAATTATGACCAATGGGCATCCAAGGAGGCGGGCCATAGGGTCGACGAGTCAATTGTCAAGTCTCATATTGTGTAGTTCGATAACTACTTAAGTACTAAGTACCTATATATCGATTTCTGTAGATGAGTGTCAGTCCAGTTTCGAAACGAATGCAATATTCGAACATACCTGTGAGGGGGTCCAGGTATTGATGGCAAGTCAATCCCTTCGTTCACTCTATATTTTCAAGGTTGTAAGGTTTGAGACGTAGAAGATTGATGTAAAACGTATTTGGTATTTCCCTTTAAGCCTAATCCCTTCCGTGTATTGCTGACCCATCTAAAATAACACTACGACTTCAAAAAAAGGGGACGAAAGAGTGAGTAGCGAGTGTTAAATAATATAATCTTGAAACAGAATGGATGAAGAATAAGACGGCCAAACCCCGCTATTAAGGCCCACCAAAAAAAGCAGAAGCAAAAAGACACATGCCTATCCCAGCCCAACCTTACCCGCCCCATCACCACTAGCTTATCAACATATTAGCAAGAGCAAAAACCCTAAAGCATTAGCAATAAAACAGTAAAAACCAAGGTTCAAAAAAAAAACTCCATAGCATGCAATGCAAGCTTTTCTATTCCAACCTTTCATCAACAGTCTTCCCAAAGTCACAATTTCCCTCTTCTTAATCTGCTTCGGCCAACTGGATTATCAACTTGCCCGCCAAATCTAAAAAGGGAAAGGGACTTGAGATTTCCTTCTCCTCGATGCTCTTCCACCCGCTGTACTGACTTCCGCTCTCACTCTTAGTACTCCTAGTACTCTTACTTCTCTCCATCATTGCCGCTCTAGGGTCTGCCGGTGGCCCCGCCGAACCCCCCTTCCGTTCATTCTCCTTTCTTAATTCCTCAACCACCTTTTCAACTTCTTTCGGCACAACCACGTTCCCTTCGCCATCAACCCGTTCGTACCCTGCACACTTGAAGTCTACCAAGTAAAAATTGCTCTCCAACTGGTATAGCTGTATCTCCATATAAACGTAGACTGCATCCTCCACTTCTCCCACTCCTGCGCCTAGGCCTCCCCGACTGACACTGCTATAATTCGAATGCGCCGAAGAAGGTCTCGGTGGCGTGGTGTGCTTATATCCCTGCTTCTTCCATCTACAATGAATCACCCAAGGGTCTTCCGGAATCTCGTTTTCTGCGCCACTGCCACCCTGTCGATACGATGAAGTTGACGAGGAACTACTACGTCGACTGTTACTTCCGTCGCGACGGGATCCTGGTGGTGTCTCGGGTTCGAGTATATCATCATTCGAGTTTTCGTTGCCACTAGGCCGATCCTGATTCTCGTATTCAGTCCCCTTGTCGCCGCCCTTTTGAGCGGGTACAAGCCATTCGGCGCCTAGCTTTCTAAGAGCACGATAAATACATGCAATAGCATCGAGAGGCTGGTTCCGGGATCTTATACCGAACTGCCATTTCGTGGGTCTAGACTTTCGCGCGGCTGGGTTAAGGGGTGTCATAGGATCAGGTCGGCTAGAAGATCGACTTGAAACTGAACGAATACGACGGGATTCCTTGATTGGTATAGACGCCGATGCGGCGGATTGGGCGGCTTGCTGCTGCTGATAAGCTGCTGCCGCTCCGGGACCGCCCTTCATGAAAGCCCGATGGTACTCTGGAAGACTGGTAGGTAAGATTGAAACAGTAGAATTTGGCGGGATGTTAGGGTTGGTTAAACTGCTAGCTGGGGCGCCAACATCGTCCTTGGTAACACCATCCGATCCACCGAGTGTAAGCTTCATTATAGGAGAGGTAATGCTTGATACACCTGAGCGAGGAGTGTTTGTCCCGCCTGAAGAATTTGGTCCAGGTGACGGAGTGCCACGATTACCAACGGGGCTAAGCGGTGTGAAACTTTCTTGGATAGGCGGGGAGTGGGGGAATGCATGCCACGCAGGTGGAGATTGTGCTAAGAACGATGGTGGTGCTTTCGATGCACGTGCTGTAAATTCATTGTCAGTGCGATATACCATGAAGTAGTCGATTAGGAAAAAACTTACCATCTTTTCGCATCGCGTAGTTATGTTTGAGAATATCGTATGCATCCTTTATAGCACTCGGCTCAGGTCTCTCTAGTGCATCGACCAAATCATCTTTCCCGTAACCAAGCTTGTCACTCAGCTTATTGACAAGGTTGTCGTGCAACTGCTTAGGCGGCTTCGGTAGAGCGGAAAGAATCTTCGATGGGTCTACGCCAGTGTCGAGGAATTCCTGGGCCGGAGGCCATAGATAGTCTGGGAGATCCTTGAGGAACCATGGGTCCTGTTTGATCTCAGCAACTGTAATTCTGTTGACAGGGTTGACGACCAGCATCTTTTTCAGAAGTGATACGGATTCCCGAGATAGATATGTGGGAATATGGTATGTACCCTCTGTTCAATTGTCAGCACTATGGCATATTAAGGTACAGGTCTGAGATATCAACTTACGAGCAATCTTTTTGAATAGAGTCGGAATGTAGTCGTCATCAAACGGCAACCTCCCACACAGCATAACGTAGAGAATAACCCCACAACTCCAGACATCTACCTCAGGTCCAGCATACAGCTTCCCCGAAATGACTTCTGGGGCGGCATAATTTGGACTGCCACAACTTGTTTTCAAGAAATTGCCGTCTGTCATGATATTTGAGAGTCCGAAGTCGGCGATTTTGACATTCAGATTATCGTCTAGGAGCAAGTTCTCGGGTTTCAAGTCACGATGGACGATTTTGTGGATGTGACAGTATTCTACGGCGCATATTATTTGCTGAAAGAAACGTCTCGATTGGGTTTCGTCCATTCGACCGTGTTTGACAATATAATCAAAGAGTTCGCCGCCGGCATATTCGATAACCATGATGATTTCGGTAGGAGTGGTAATGACCGAGTATCTACCTCATACCGAAAAGAGGATCGATCCAATGATTAAAAATTCCGTATATAAAATAGTAATACTAAATATATTTTGATGTGATGGAACCTACAGTTTGATGATGTGAGGATGCCGTAACAGCTGTAAGTACTGGATCTCACGTTCGACTCTACCAGCCATATCTCGGTTCGCGAGCTTTCGTCTATTTATGATCTTAAGAGCGACCTTCTGGCCGGAAGTCTGATGTACTGCAAGCTTTACCTTGCCAAAGGAACCTTCACCGAGAGTTTTAACGATATTGTACTGACCCAAGCGCTGTTGGGTGCGTGTTTGGGGCGGGGGATCAGATCGCGCGGCATGTTGTTGCTGTTGTGCTTGATCTCGTGGGGGAGGATAGGCGGGAATGGGAATGGAGAGGTCTTCGTCCGGGATAGCGGACATTGTGTGAAAGGTGAAAGTAAACTATTATCAATAACTATCGAAGCCGTAAATTAAAAGAAGGTAGGTGGTCGTTCGTGGTGTAGCGAGGAGGACGAGGAGGACAAGAAGAGGAGAGATCTCGAGACTAGAACGGGACGGAGAGAGGTGGGGAGTTTGGAGTTGAGTTGAGCCGAGTTGAGTTGTTGGGAACGGTGACGTCGTGTTGCTTTGGCTGAGCTGAGCTGGTACCTCTTCTATTTTGCTTTCATGTGGATATTAGACGGAAGAAAAGATATCACGAAGATTGAGAGATTTAGCAATTGGATTTTTTTTTAATTTTAGTTTTTGAGTTATATTCTCTTTCTCCATATAATATAAAACCCACCAAAAAGCGGTTCCAATTTGATGCTGGACTCGAGCTCTGCGGTTAATTTGCAAAGTGGGGGATTCTCTTAACAGCACTGCACTGCACCCGAGCCTCTATCGGTGTAAAGAGGGGCGCCAACAACCTCGAACAGGCCCCTCCCATGCAAAAACATGTAAACCCACTCCAAACTAACGACACCATGAACTGCATTTGCATATGCTTCATCGAATAGACCGACGAGCTTCATCATAGCTGCATTTGTTAGCTTCGGTGCGGCAGCGAGTCCAGCTTGGGGTCCTACCGAAGTTGTCGACAACCTAGCCCAATATGGACGGCATCTGGAGGAGTTCCCGACAGCTGTACAACTCTAAACTCTATCAAACCATACTAACACTTTACTCAGCTAGGTAGCATCTGCCGCTAAGTTGCAAGTGATTTTTTTTTTCTTGAAGCGTCGCAAGCACGACGATTTTGAAGATTTGTTCGGCGGGTCTTATTCGGAGAATTGGGCCGAACCGGTCAGGCAAGAACCCGGTCTCGTATTCGGCGCCTTCTCACACTCTTGCATTGGAGTTTATTACACGAGATTATGCAGCTGCCTCATTTGATTTCCTGCCATTGGATAATAGTGTCACCCAGAAGATTTGAAACAAATTCAGCGACTCGGGCCTCAGTCCAGTGTTGCTGTATGTACTTATATATCAGGATATTTGAAACCCAGCTGCCCAGCCTCATAGCTTATATAGCTTATATCATGATATTGCAGGTTCATATGATCGATATCCCCATTCTTATGCGTGTGGATGCCGGTTTATCCGTATCACACTATGACAGTAAGCGATTTTGGATGCCACCACCAGAAGATGGCATCTTAATATAAACAGATTTTACTAAGATGCCATGTTTAGGATAAGGGGAATGTACCAAGGCGGTAATTCGTAATAGGTCATGTAATTTAGGATAGCTTTTAACAGAAAATTAAGGATAATAAGAATTAATTCAGAGTGTCTTCTCTATTTCTCAACATGCATCGATGCAATTGATGTGAACATCTTGCAAAATACAACATTAAGTAACTGTGTTGTGGCATTAAGACAAGTTCATGATCATCTGAGGCAGCAGAAAATGATCCCTATGATTCGAGATTATTTTTTGATAGCGTTCCAAGTGTGAATTAAATTTAGAGATACGACCGCACAAATGAAACCTTGACCGAGTCCGTATATAGCGTACCATTGAAACTATTGAATGAGGTAGAAGAAGGACCCATTGTCGTCTTCGTCATGCATTTGAATGGAATTGGTTTGAGTTAAGCTAAACCAGCCCTTTATATTTGAAGGGTATAAACGTATGCAAATACACTTTCTAAGGATTTTATTAAATGATATTTGGCGCCGAACGGTCTCTACATGCAGCAGCAGACAAACGCTGGACATAAACAACAGCCCCGTTTACCTTTCTTCCTTTGAGTTAAGACTAAGGACGTTCTTTCGCAAGGGTTAGATTAAATCAAAAGGTAGGCGAAGATTTCTCGTTCGTCATGCTGGAAGTAAAGAAAAGATAAAAAAAGTGAAATACGAGGAGGGTTTTTGAAAAAAACATCTCAACAATGAAAGTGCCGCCTACGAAAGTTTAGAAGTCTCCCTGATTATTCTCTCCGGGTGGTTTTGGCTCTCTCCTAGATCGAAGATATTTGGACCCGTCTGGACAATTATTGGCCAACCGGCCCTTTCAAGAGCCTTTTGTGCGAGCTCTATAAGAATTAAATCGCTCCCTGTAATTTTTAATATTTTGAATATAATTAGAGAATCTGAATTCAAGTATGTGACGAGCAAAAATCTGAATGCTCTTTTTAGATGAACAAGAAAAAACTAACCTCGAACACCGGCGAATGATGCGACGATAGGGGCGTACTCGGTATTCCCCGAAGCTCTTGACTGATATGGATTTTGTCCGACTAATTAAATTAGTATTTTTTCTTTAGATAATGGAATGAAGTTCTCGTTTGAACTTACTTGGAATTATCGCTTGAGGTATCCCGACAATGGAGGAAAAGAAAATAGAGTCGTATGCTGTCGGGGCGAACTCCGGTCTATATATTTAATAATGAATAATCACGACCTCGGAAGAGTTCTACAAAATTGCGCAATCAATTACTCACCCAGCAGGAGGAACAACGTCCCTAGGATTGTTACCAGGTCGCCCTAGTGGAATCAACATTATGGGTCCCGAGATACCGTCTGCCTCGGTTTCTAAAAATGTCTTAAAGATCCAGTCACGAAATACTTTCATTTCATCTATAGATCGCTGCCGATTTTCTGGTGATGATTCTTTCCCTCGATTCCTAGGGGAAGAGGAGGCTTTGTTTAGAATCGGGAAAATAGAGAAACTTTGGGCTAATTGCATACTCACCAGCGTCTCTCCATGAAAGGACTTGTATATGGCTTTTTTCCGAACTTCTTTTGGTAGTCGCTGCGAAATTTGTCATATACATGATACCCGTCATAGTGATTGGGATAGTAACCGGTCTGATACAGAAATACATACTATTAGTGTTGTTTCAAAGGTCGCTTGAAGCTAATGCAAACTTGCTCACCTTCGCTAGGAATTCTACGACAGTTAAGTGACGGACATCCTCGGGCCCGCTCTTGAGCCATTCAGCTGCTATGGAAACCTTTTCGTGTTTGATGCCAACATAATTCTCAAGAATTTTAAGAAAGCTTTCAACCATGGCTTGCTGGGCATCATTTTTCATGGGGAACCAGTCCGTCAAGTAGTAAATTTTCGAGGGCAGCTGTATGTATGAAATTTTAGATTTAACCCATAGCACATATCCGATTGTTTTTATTTGGGCTTACCTTCGCCTGCGAAAGTGATGCGAAGCCTGATGCTTTTAAAATATCGACGAGTTCTTGGGGGCTGCGGCCAAGAATACCGATGGAGTCAAATGCCCTATTTCGACGTCAAAAGGAGTTCAAGACAGAAATGAGTAAGAGGGTTTTATCGCTCATGGGTTACATACTCGACGTTAGGCATAATATTTTTCATGGGAAACGCCTGATCAGTTCCCTTTAGGCCCCACAAGCCATATGATGCCGCAGGCATTCGGATACTGCCAGAGGCTATACCAGATGATGGACTTAGCAAAATATATCAAAGTGGTTCTCAAAGAAAGACTTACTATCACCGCCCAAGGATAAATCAACCCAATCATATCCAGCTACCGTAGCTCCCGCACCGCTCGAACTACCTGAGGGTCCTTGGTATCCATCACCACGAGGGTTCCATGGCGCAAAGTAATCAATACACTTCTCCGGCGGTATTTCAGATCCTGCATACGCCCCCATTTTGGTTTTCCCGAGGATAATAGCCCCTTGATCAATAAGCTCTTGAATAAACTGGGATGTTTCTTCGTCCGGTCCGTAGCATTCCGTGTACGCGCGACTTCCTAACGTCTTTTTGATTCCGGCTAGAAAATAAATGTCTTTGACTGTTATCCGTTTCCCGTTCAAGGGTTTATCTTTCGTGGCGGGATAGTAGATACGAGAAGGCACGGCAACAACCGGATAGAGACCGTTATAGGCACCCGCCCTCAGAGGTTGGAATCTACAATTATGCGTTAAATTTATCTATTTTATATCTTAGAAGGTGCAGAACATGACCTACCCATGCGGGTTACCATCATCAGCAGGGAATACCGCGGTAACAAAAGCTCTCAAGTGATCCTCGTAAAGACGCCAAGGTTGATGAATATTTCTGCCCCTAAGGATATAGGGACCCTGTGGAAGCGGTGCCTCCAAGTGCGAAGTTGGTCTAGAGAAGAGTAACCCGATATTTTTCGAAGTTAAATAGCTCTCGAGTTCGCTCGAGACTTGGGTTGAGGTTTCATCTCTTCCCACTTGAGCTATGATAATACCATTCTTTATAAAGTCCAAAGTAAAGACATCATCGATGGCGCTAAAAGTGGAAATGCTCTTCTCCAGAAAGTCGCGAGTAATTGGAGAGTCGGCCTGAACGTTAAGAAGGACAGCGGGCACAATCGACAGTGGGGGCAGGACACCAGTGTACTCTTCCGGAAGCGTTTTCTTAAACATGTATACATAAGTATTAGCAGAGGTTTCCAAGCAGGAACTTATTGCACCGCCGGCCGGCCTACTTATGTAAGTACCTACCTCGACTCGATTTCTGACAAAGTATGCAACCGAACCGATTTCCACAACGCAGTACTGCTTCAAAGCGGACTGGTGAAGGTCCTTGAAACCGTTCATGATGACGAAACTACTCTCTGGTTGATTTAGTCTTATTGCTGACGGATATCTAGGGCGCGGAAAAGTCTCTGTTGAAAAGTGAGGTTTTATAGAGCTGCGCGTCCAGAAAGTAGATGCAAAACATGTTGATGCTCGAATAGTCAGAACCGCAAGGCTTATTGCTACCAACCGACGCCAAGGCTTAATTCGCACATTGAAAAACGGAATCATACCATCGATATCTATGGCCTCTTGCTTCGCCTCCTGCTACCCAATTGCAAGCCACTTTGATTGGCCTTTGAAATTAAAACTGGCTCAGGATACGTCTACTAATAGATAGAACCCGCTCGAGTTCTAAATACGGGGGACAAAAAGCCCATGACGAGGTACCGGCATTTACCACGTTGACACGAATTCTTTCTTGCGAGAACATGTTCCACAAAGCAGACGAGATTGTGGAATTCCTCTGGAACATTCCGATATATTGAAAGGACCCCCACTAACTACCCCGCTCGCCGGGTTGGATAGTCGTGCGTGTTCCCAATTGGCGTCCAGTCGCGGCGTTCGAATAACTCTGAGATGCACGAGAAAACGAAATTGGCCGGCATCCCTGGCATTCTGTGTTCATGCAGCAAGAAATCGCCCCACGCCTCGGCAGGACTTATGCGAGTTTCGGTTCGCGAATCGCACCTTTCCGGGCCTAGTTATCCTCGGCCCGCTGACAAGGCTGAAAGATCTTAAGACTCCTCGACGATGCTTATTTAATATCGATATATCACGCTCATGGGCTCGCACAGCTAGCAAAATTAGCGTTGCTGCTTAAAAAAAACCCTATCAGTAATATCCTGTTTAAAATTTATTTCCTCCCCTCGAATTTCCCCTTATTTTCTTTTTTTGATAGTTGTCGCCGACGCGCCATGGCTTCGAACGAGCTAGCCAGCGAAGAGGGTGTCCCCGGCACGATATGGTACCTTTCTCGTCTCGAGCTCTATCGGAAGCAGAAACCTTTCATGGTGACTTTCGATACTTCCACTTTCGAGGGATCCAAAAAGACAAATCATTTGTATGAATCGTACCCAACCCGCATCGTCGATATGCGCGCAGATATGGGCCAATACAAGCTCAACTTGCATGGTTTTGAAGTTTGCCATTGGGACACCCCCCTTGTCTCGAACGATTTCGACGATGAGAATATTCTACGGGAAAAGTACTATCCAGAGATCGCTTCACAACTTCAGAAGCATCTTGCTGGGGTATCGACTGTACACGTATTTCAACACCTTGTAAGTTACTTATGCTTGCCGTTGGTAACACACAAAGCCGCAGGGATGCGAGTGCACACGTATTTTTAACCCTGTTTTGGATTCAATTCTCGTAGCGCCGAAAGACACCCAAAGGCTTTATGGAAGCTCTCGAAAAGGAACCCGACTATCATCAACCGATAATTTATGCCCATGCAGGTAACCCCACCCTTGTCCCCCACACTTCTCTCTCAAACAAATTCTCCCGAGATATCGACCGGAATCTCAAAGAGCCTCATTTTCTCAACATTTCGGGTGCTTATCACATTAACGCAAGCTCAGACTTTAGTACCCGTGGCGCCGAAGTGCAAATCGAAAGCTTTTTTAGGGAAAACGAACACCTAAGAGGGCGCAGGTGGGAGATCATCAAGTACTCAAGCGAACTGCTACTCTGCTATTTTTTTTAAAAAAAGACCTCGTATCTAACCTCTATGATTATAGTGCTTGGCGTGTGACCAAAGGCCCGAACAATGATTGGCCTCTTGCTGTCTGTGACGCTCGGACGGTGAGTCGTGAAGATGTGGAACAAAATGATGTTATCCACAGAACCCACGTTGGAGAAAGCCTTCGGCTCTATCACAATCCCAAACACAAATGGCATTTTCTAAGTAGCCAGGAAGTAACCGAAGTTGTACTTTTTCGAAATGCGAGTTCCAAGGAACTACAACTTCCCGGTAAGAAAACCTCAAAACGAGCTAGATGGGAAAATCTGACACGGAATAATATAACAGTGGGATTCCACTCAGCAGTGACATTAGGCCCCCAGAAATTCACGGATCTGCGTGAGAGCATCGAGATTCGAATGCTTTGCATTTTCTAGTTAGATTGTCTTCAATTACTACGTAGTAAATAGTGAGCTTGTATTGGTGGCACTGATGTACTCTTGTTAATCGAATTCCAGACCGCCGTACCATCGCATGGTGAAGCAACTTAGAAAAAAAAGAAAAATTTCACGTAGCTGAAATGAATAACACCCCCTATAGGAATAGAGACGAGAGCAACTTCACTGTTTTGTGAATCAGATATTCGAGATAAAAAGAGTGTCAATTTCAAGTAGGTACATGTGGACTACATTAGATATATCGACATGCATGTGTAACAATTAACCGCACAGATAACACCTCGGAATGATTAATTTAAATTTGTAAGATGTGAGTCTCCACTTTTGTGTCACATCCCCCCAAATTGATCTTAGTGGAACAGTGCGATGAGGCTCAAATTGAAACACCTGGGCGCCTATGTATTCTCCTTAGCTCAGAAAATGGAAGCCTCAGCATAAGTATATTTGAATTTACTACTTACTTTCCTTGGTTTAGCCACCGTTCTCAGCGCCATATTGGCTGAGAGCATCTTCACCAACTCCAAAGATAGTTTGCTTTTGAGCAGCCGCAATTATTTCAGCAAACTGAGGTGCATTGGGGTCTGCGAAGAACTTCCATGGTTGTTCGCGATTATCCACAGATTTATCGTCGCCATTCTCAGCACCATAATGATCGATGAAAAGCTGATTGTTTGGGCCGTTTTCGGCACCGTACTGCTCGAGAGTCCCTTGTCCTCCAAGGGCAGTTTGGTCCGGAGCATTTGCAATCGTTCGGGCAAATCGCAGCGCGGTTGGGTCAGCAAAGCGCTTCCATGGTTGTTCACGCTGGTCCACGGCATCTTGTAAACCACCTTCGACCAATGGAATTGGGTTGATAGAATCCATCTGTTTGATAGTAATCAGTAGTGCCCATCGTAGGGAGATGGATCAGAGATTCCTGACCTTGCGTATGTATGACTAAAGTTAAGAGAATAATGCTTGGTATCGATAATTCAAGATCTGAAAAACCCCAAGGTTGACCCGAGGCAGAAAACTGCAATTCACACCTTCATTTATAACATTTCTCTCGGACTTGCATGGCAGGCGGCTTGAAGGTGCTCCACCTAGATGTTTCCGCTGAGATCTTATCACATTACTATGTACAATTCTTGGCAAAGAAATTGAATTACGATAACTAGTCTCGTAATACATGATAATGAATGAACTCGAGATAACGTTAAAGGCTTCGAGACGAGACGTCATGGATCGCAAAGTCGCTTGGTTTATTGCTTGTATCTATACATGGTCGTTTATTCTACTGTAGCAGCGGTTTGTATTGGAAAATCACCAGGTCGGCGTCTTTCCTCCTCCTTAAAGAGTGAGTTTCATGTTATTGCATTGCATTGCATTGCATTGCAGTACGCGGGTTGTATCCTCACATATGAGACCTTGTGACTATTGCGCAGCTTGAACCAAGACTTCAGACTCGTAGAGCCTTGTTGTAGCTTGAGGTTTTTAGGTACGCCACCTACATTTTTACTGGAATCGGAGAGATCTCTTGATCGGAAGAGAAGCAAAGGTGCAATTTCCATCTCAATTACAAGGCAGACTCCAAAACTCTCTACTAACCTCCGATCTATCGATATCGCATTTCCATCTTCTAGTTGCAACAACTAATTATTCGCCTATTCACATTTTCACCCTTTCTTTGGTATAGTACTGGTCTGGATAGTACACATAACCGTAGAAATGCCAGGTGGAATTCCTCTTAAGTACTTTGGCGACGAAACCCTTTATTATGAAGGTTACAATTATGAGCCCCAAAGAGGTGCCTCTATCAAGTTAGTGTCACAGCAGTACATACTCTTGAGCGTCTAGCGCTAGCTCCCACTGATACCTTCTCACCTAATTATAAATTAGTATCATTGCTATCAATGGATTCACCTCCTCTGAAGACGATAAAGAACCTTGGCTGGCTGTTGACCAGGACTTTTGGCTCCAAACACGCCTTCTTAAGGATTCACCGGGTGCGAGACTGCTCATTGTGAATAATCGACTGTCCGATGGGGCCAGTTGGAAAGCACTTCTCGGACGTGAAAACAGTCTTAAAGACACTGTTCTTAGATTTAAGGAAGGAAGCCAAGTAAGGGTTCCAAAACAAGATGATTTCGAGACAAGATTTAGTAATAGATATACATAGGCCCCGGTGATAATTTTCTGCCATGGCCTTGGAGGATTTCTTGTACTCAAGGTATGTAAGCCTTGAGCCCTTTAAGATTCGAATATATATCTCCAAACTAATAGGCCTTGTATATATATCCTAGATGGTATCAGGGCTAAATACGTCAGACCGTGAATCTCACCTGCTTCTTTCGATAAAATCGATTATACTATTCGGTACACCTTGCCGATACGCAAATAGTAAAGAGTTACAAAAGACTTTGAAGCTTTGTGCTACAGTAGAACTCGGTCTAAAAGATAAACAGAATAGACCAAAATTTGACCAAGAAACTGAAAATGATATAAAATCTATATTGGAAGCTGCGGCGAATCTAAGCGTTGAGTTCGTAGGGGTTTACGAAAAACGTCAGACTTCCTATAGTTGGAGGGAGTTACAAAGACCTGATTTATTGGTTAGCGTTACTAATTATCTTTTTCTAATTTGTAACCGACATCGATTCTAACTTGAGCTTCTAAATTAGGTTCGAAACACAACATCTACACCGGCCGGCGAGACGTTCATTGCCCATGACAGCGATCATTGGAACATATCTCGGGTGGCCTCTAACTCTGACACCTACATCGAACTCCAGAAACATGTAGCAAAATGGTCGGTTTTTTTAGCGGATCTGCCTCCATGTAGGTGAACAGTTCAAATATTCGCCATATGAACTTTTAGGAGCTGTCCTCGAGTGTTAACTTGACGATATTCCTCTCACAGCCGCTGGACGAAGACCCTCGACGGTGCGTAGCAATTCTAGAAACACATCCCTAAGCGGAATTTCTCCTACCAGCAGTTTGGTACCGCCGATTGCAACTCCTATCACTTTGCAAAGAGCGAGTCCCAAACCAAGCAACCCAGGTAAAATGATTGATAGTCATATTTTATTTGTCTACTTAGTATTCATATTAACACATTCTCAAATCTCGTTCACACCAACCTAAATAGGATATGACCCTTCATCGACAAACGGAATCGATGTTGAGAACAATCGGCCAACCCGGCAGACTTCTATTTCGCTTAAGCTTGCATTACCCTGCCATGTGATCCAACCTCCCAAGAACTCTAATTTCGTAGGTAGGGTGGATATATTGGAAGAGATGGATGCCAATCTCATATCAAACCCTTTTAAAAATGGTAGTGATATCCGCGCGTTCACGATTTGGGGTCCTCCTGGGATGGGCAAATCTCAGACTGCACTCCGTTTCGCTTATACGCATAAAAAGGAGTTTCCATCGATCCTCTTCACTGTCGCGGATACGGAAACTAAACTTCTAAGCGACTTGGCCGCTTACTCGCAAACTCTCGGGCTTACAACAGAAGACCAATCAAAAAACATACCAGGGCAGGTTAAGCGCCTACTGGAATGGTATGAAAAAACAGGTTCGTCGACGAACTCTTCCTTAGCTTTTTGTCATTCCTATCCCAAATCAATGTATAGAACATTAACCATAGATCGCAGACGTGCCATGGCTTCTGATATTTGATAACGCGAAAAGCGTCAAACTGATTACTGATTACTGGCCGAAGGAAGGGGTGGGGGCTATCATCATCACTTCGCTTAGTGCAGAGTTTGCATCGAATAATGTAGCTGGGGCTGGAAAAGAGTTGAAACCGCTTCATGATGAAGAAGCTATTGAATTACTGGCGAAACAGCTAGCAGACCGACCCATAACTAATTATGATCGAAACGAAGCTTTGCGGATTGCTCAACGTATGGAGAACCTTCCACTCGGTATCCAAGCATCTGTTGGCCTAATCAATGGTGCTCAATGTTCCTTACACGACTTTAATCGACAATGGACCTCTCGTACGAAAGTCATCAAGGATTCGACGGAAGATCATACCACGACACGGCATGCCAAATATCCACGAGCTCTCAGAGACGCATGGCTTGACACTCTGAACACACTTAGACCGGAATCAAAAGCCATGATTGATGTCATGGCCCTTTTAGATCCTGATAATATACAAGAAGAAATTTTCGAAGAAAGGGCATCTTTAGGATCTCCAAGTACCATGCCATTTTTGGGAAACAAGACAAAGTGCTTTGGTGATTTGAAATCACAAGGTTTGCTGTCACACGGAGACCAAAGTCAAAGTTTCCGCGGTTTTAGTATCCACCGTACGCTACAGGACTGTATCAAATTGCAGATGTCGGAGAATCCTATCCATGGGAATAGACAAACGGCATTGGGCAATGCGAGCGCTTTGATAAGCAGTCTTATTTCTTCATTATGGGAGACAGACTGGATCAAAATTCGCAAAGAGTATAAGAACTTTCTCCCCCATACTGAGACAATCCGCCTCTTTTTTCATGAGATAGAAGATGTACCCTCGATGAAAGTCCCCATCAGCTTTTTGGAAATGCTGCGGAAAGCCGCTGGGTATGTTACATTTGACACCAAGATTATACGAATAACTTCAAACTAACAAAACACGAATATTCGAAGTCTGTGCTACAAGAGAAATTTCCTAAATCTTGGACTGGAAATACTTAAGACGGCAGAAGATATTATAGCGCTGAATGCAGAGCAGTCATCTTTAAAAATCGAAGGTACCGAAGAGGCTATACTCAATGAGATCATAGAGATTAGATACCAGCATGCCTGCATCTCCACCGAGACGGCGGAATTTAAGGAATCGCTAGAACATTTCGAATTGGCGAAGGAGTCCTATGCAAAATTCAAAGAGTTAGGATACGTGAAGAAAAATTCGACTCGGTACATGACAATTGTTGGTGGGGTTGCAAACTCGCTGAATGGTCTCCATCGAAATGAGGAAGCGGAAGGTTACTATTTAGAGTGTATTGAACTGACTCCACCTGATGATTGGCAACCATATAACATCAACCTATGCCGATGTCTTTGGGACACCGGGATACCCGAAAAACTGAATGAGGGTGCAAATCGATTGAACGCTTGGATTGCGGCCCGTGCGGATGCATTTGGTCCTGATGACCAAAATGATTACTTGTAAGTATAGTTAAAGTGAAGAAGATGTTCTTTCTTGTTCTAGGCCCGTGAAGTCAGGAAAGAGTCGATTAATCAACACCATTGGGTTGACAGGTCCGGACACGCCAAATACGTCCTAGGTAATATTCGAATATCTCAGGGCAAATACGACGAAGCGCGTGAGCTTCACATGTCTACTGTGAAGAACTTCAAAGCGGTTCTAGGCGATGATCATCATAAGACTGGCGATGCATATCACAAAGCTGGCTGGCATTTTGACAGAATTGGGGAATATGAAGAAGCGAAGTATAGCCTCTCTACTAGCTCTATTGATTATTGATACCAATGGCATGCAAACTTGGATTTCTAAGCATTCTGAAATAATATTTAGGAAATATTTGGAAAACGCCCTTAAGGTTTATCAAATTGGTTCAGACGCAACTTATCGAAATGGAGAGATTGCGCGGACCACCTTTAAGCTGAGTTTGGTCCTAGCCAAAATGGATCGTGAGCAACAGGCGGCCGCGGAGGATGAACGCAAAACGGCGGAAGTATTCAGAAAGAAATCCATGGGGATGAAATATTTCCCTTCAGATGAAGAATCAGAATATGACAATCTAGTCAGCTTGTGGGCAAGGTGAACGGAGCTCCATGCACGATATTCAGAGCTTTCTTTCAAAACCAAATTTGATCAAAATACATGTCAATCAGGTGATTGTGAGAATAAAATGAACCACATCATGCCTTAAGCAGATGAAACTTTCAAAGAATCGTGCCTTCGAAACATTCGAAACATTCGAAACATTCGAAACATAAACCTTTGAACATACTTTAAAATTTTAGATATATAGCCCCATGTCGGAATGAGCAAAGAAAGAGCTGTGACAGGAATAACAACGGCAAAAAAAGTTGAGATCGGAGGGTTTGGAGTTGTGAATGTAATTACATTCATACCAAATACAGAGGATACAAAAGCCATCGGAATGAATGTATAGGCTAAGAAGGTAAGCTTTTCGATACGTTGAGCCTGCTCAAGGGCTCTCTTTGATTCTGAAATGCTGATACGACTCATTTCGATGGTGATAGAATCCCCAGCTGTACGTGAGAACTGGTTCGCAAGATCCCGTAGATGTTCGAAGTCGGTTATTAGAGTCTTGGCAATGTGATCAGCACGCTCCGTAGAGCTGCATTCAGGCCATCCTAGATCCTGTCGTGATTCCAAAAAGCCGACTACATCATCGAAATATAGGCGTGCGTCATCAGAGATCTGTTTGGCCCTGCGCAAAGTAGTTGCGATCTCTTCCTCATCTCCGGGAATTTCCTTGCCAAATGTCTCGAGAAAACTGAAGAATCTGATCCAACATATAGCAGAAGTGACTAATAAATCGTAAACAATAAAAATCGGACTTTCTTGGGCGAACTTCTTATCTTCAGGGCTCATAGTGACACCACAGTCAGCTCGAGACCGGCATGGATCTGGCGTCGAGTAGTTGCGAGAATCGCTCTCTGCTCGTACGGCTTTCCGCAATATGCCTTGGCCTTCTAATGCGCAGGAACCGAACTTTGTGATGGGATAAAACTGAGGTAGTGGTGATCTAGAACCATCGTTGACATACCCTGAGTCCTTGTCCGGATTTCCGCTGTCATTAATGAGTATAGCAGACCAAGATCGGTCGGTGATGTTTATATTATAAGGTATGAAAGTTGCATATTGCTCAACACTGAAGAAGTTCCGGCCATGGAGATGAACTTTGCGGCAAACCTCGATGCCAGCTTTATCTTCTTGCAATCTTTTTCGCGATATTTCCTTAACGGTGCTGTCGACGAGAGCTTGCCGTCGACTGTAACTCTCTGAAATCGAATCTGTCCGATCTCTTGCGTAGCAACCGAGCGATATAAAGCGGACTGTAATAGACTTTTTGCGATCAGAAGGAAGAGCACGAACTCGGAAGACTCCAGGCCAATCTAGGGGCTCTAGAAGCACCTCTGGCTCAATTTTTGTCTCATCTCCGATTCTTTGCATCAAACAAAGGCTCGGACGACCTCGTATAGAAATAAATTTTCTCGGCTCCCCTTTGTCCACCTTTAGAGGGTAAGATGGGATATCATGTGGAGCCGTGCCAATAACTTGAACTTGGTTCAAGTATTCCTCGAGATCTAAGATACACGCATTTTCATTTTGGATCTCTTCGCTGGTATTGCTAAGCGTGATTTTGTTGATGACAGTTGTGCTCAATTTTTGATGGGTGAAGAGGCCTGCGTCTATGAAATCACGAGATTTCACACTCCAGGTACTGGCTCTGGGCACCATGGGTATTAAGACAGACATTCTATTCGTTTTTTATGGTAGATAATGGTAGGTTATTGGATTTCTTGCGACTCTGCATGTAGAAATTATGAGTATTCTATTCGTTGAGAAGAGCTTGAAGTATACAAAGGTTACGTTACTTGGAAATTATGGTCGAAGTCTATAGATCTGGGGCTCATCGGGGCGATGGTCGAGCTTCTACACCACGGAGCAAGAGGGTTACCAGACGAGTATCCTAACCCGCTCGACTGAACGCTTCTTATCTTCGCCCCCAAACTGTTTTTTTTATTTTAACCTTGATATTAGCTAGAAATTTAAAAATTGACGGAAGAACGCAGAACGCAAAACGCAAAACGGCCAAGACGTTGCAAGCTGCTTTGGGGACCCATTTAGAACGGTCAACGTTGCAACCCGCAAATGCAAGGCTTGAACGAAGAAATATCAAAGCCTCCCGTTACTTCTGTAAAAACAACCGCCTGCAGAAGCAAACTCGAACGTGCCGTGATTCGATTCGTAGGAGGGTCCTCGGGGACCCACTCTTTTCGGCTTAATAGCCTGCATGACCGCCTGCGGGACCATGGAATGCAATCTAGACCAGGATATCCAGATTTAAGAATCAATACATACAGGAGCTGTACAAGGCTGAAGATATCCGCTTTTTGCTTCATCGTTTAGGATTCGTTGGTTAAAGGCCAAGGCTTCCGATTGGATTATAACAAGTATGTAATGCTTTTGCTCTGTTTCATGCAATGCCGAATGGACCTCGTCACGATACTTTTTGTTTTTTTTCTTTCCCACTTCCCTGTAAGCTCTTGAATTCCTCAGAGATGCAGCGAGGTTCTTCAAAGTCCATGTACATATGTACACCTGCTGAAGCTAAGGCTGTTGTTTTTTGCAGAGAAAAATCGAGTTGCACCGCTTTTACCTACGCGCTGGTATATGCACGGGATATCCAATCACAGCGACAGCCCCCCCGGTGGACTCGTATCTGGACATCAATTATTTTGCCACAGGTAGGCATAATCTAATCTATTGACAAATTGGATCGCCCAATCTTTCGAGAACTAAGAATCAGTCGAATGAGGCTCAACTTTATCAGTCGTCAATTATCCTGTCAGTTTCGAATTCACCCTTTCTCTCTTTTGCCTTTTATGGAACCTAATTTTAAAGCAGATTTTTTTTCTAACAGCAGAATATTCTAAGGTCTCACCTGCTTACCATCAGCCTTCAAACTCGGGGTAAATACGTAATACTCTACCATTTAGAAATATTCGAATCATGGATCATGATCATATAGCATTGCCCGTCGGTAACGGTACACAGGCGTCAGTGCTATACATGAAAAGGTTGGATTTATATCGAACCCAGAAGCCGTACGAGATCCTGTTCAGTATTAAAAATCTAAATGCCACCGAAGCTCAACAAACAAACTGTGAGCTAGAGCCTCATGTTATTCAAGCTCTTGATGCAGAATATACGCGCTCTAATTTCAGTATCACCAAAAATGGGTTTCAATTTGCAAATTTCCCAACGAAGATGAAACCCACTGATTTCAGCGATGAGAAAATGATAAAAGAAATATATTATGGAGAGGTCAAGGAATGTCTGCAACAGATATTCTCGGAAAAAATAGAAATTAGGATACTTGACCATCAGGTAATGATATCACTCTCCACTATACAATTGCCAGCTGCGGTTGCTCAAACCCAGGTAGCGACGTAGAAGAAACCCTGTATTCCCGATTCCTACGAATGAAGGCAATGGTTTCCTACAGCCGGTACCAACAGTCCACACAGGTAATTTCCTTATTAGACCGCCGTATACGTATCGAAATACCCCCGGAACAGGTATTGATCAGGTAATCCTAGATTTCTCCTCCAAAGGTATTGCATTAAAAACTGGATCGCTCCAAAGGCTCTTAGATGCAGAGCCGGATCTTCAGAATCGGACCTATAAAGTGATCAAGTGAGTTATTGCAATCACAATGAGGGCCTTTTAGTTCGAACGTTCGCGATTGACTAATAATTATTTATTGTCTAGCGTATGGAGAAGAATAGCTGGTGCTCCGGATGACTGGCCGTTAGCAGTTTGTGACTACCAATCTCTAAATTTGAGGACTGACGTAGAAGAGGTTGATCGAGTGGCGCAAAACTCTATAACCGCCAGCAACCGTTTCTACCATAATCCTCGACATAGTTGGTACTTCTTGAAAAAGCAGTCATACGACGACGTCACAATGTTTTGCAACTGCGATTCGCGTGGCCCGCAGTATCCATGTATGTTCCCCGATCGTCAAAATATATATACTCTTCTAGTTTGTCTCTAACAACTATTCACCATTCAGTCAGCCCTCACGCGGCGCTAGAAATCAAACACCCTGACTCCGAAGGTGAAACTGAGATTGAGACTTCGTACCCACCAAGGGAGAGTATTGAGGTTAGAGCCTTTTGCTTCTTCTGATGGCAATAAACATCTTGAGCTTTTATTTCGTGAACGAGAGTCCGCACTTTACGAAATAAGATACAGAGATATATGTATGCGCACCGCTATCTTATAGAATTTGAAATCATTATCTTCAACGTGTTGGCGCTTCTTCCAACTGCCCGGTTTGGTGAATGTGGTAATAAATGTACGGGTGGTATTATGTGGGAGCCGTAGTATACACAATGTATCGGCGCCGGTGACTCCGGCGGCTTGTAATCCAGTATTTGCGCCTCTGTGTAGTGAATTAAGCTGTTCACCGACAGCGCAACTTCTGTATTGGTCATAATATATAATAAAATATATTTAATTTAATATATTGTAATTCAAATTAATATTATTAAATCAAATTACCACCTCTATTTTCTAGATATTACATCCAAATTTGTATACAAGAACAGATCATTATAATATGCTATTTCCATATTTGTTAAGAAGGTACTACTACAGTGATCATATGATCCGTGGAGAAACTTAAGTACTTGTTTCGAGGACATCATCGATCACCTAGTTACGATGACAATGCTTGCGAGACTAAGGCCTCACTTAGTCATACCATGATACAATTTACTTCTCCAACCTTTCTCCAGCTTGCGGTGTCCAGGCCGCTGGTTGAAATCCTTCTCCAGGCGCTGACGGCCTCCCCTGTTCTCTCTTCTCCCTCTCAATCTTCAACCTCTCCTCCATATCTTGAACTGTGGTCTCCTTCCCTACTCTTACAGGCGCTCGTTCTTTTTCCTTCTCCATCTCTTGAATCTTCCCTATCAAGCTTCCGTCCGAAGCTTCAGTAGCCCGTGCACTAGCCTGCAGCCTCCTAAACTCCTTCTCACCGGGCTTCTTCAACAGTGTCCCCGCCTTCGCCCACCTCTCATCCGCCAATCTCGCTCTTTCCACCATAATTTTTTGTCGTGTAACTTCATCTTGTAGTTCTTGAATACTCGGCGGTTCAAACCTTGTAGCCCTTAGCCATTGATGCCATTGTGCTATAACATAGTCCCAATATAATCAGCCTCAATTCCATGACGATTAGACTAAGTCTTAGAAAAGAATACGTACGATCAACTTTAAATTCCGAATAATTGGCCAAACTGTGAACGCCCCCTCTAAAATCCATAATCCTCCTCGGCCTATACGCCACCAACCGATCTCTAAACTCCCAGAATGTATTTCCCTCCAAATCCATCCCAATGAAGTACCTTTTACGCCACGGGAGCCGTAGCGACCTCCATCGAAGCCACAACTTTTTGAAAGGCTTTGTGGTAGGGAGGATATAGCGCGATATCGGTGTCGACGCTTGTAGTGACATATTATCCCCGTTTCAACCCTTAGCGGGGAAGTTCGGATTATGATTATGTGAAGGTATAGAGGAAATCCAGCGGACTAGCTCGGGCTAAAAGTGGGCTTGCTATCGCATGTCGTCGTGACGAGGGAGCCTATCAATTCTTTTGTAATGCATCCATCGATCTGCAACGCGAGGATTGTTTTATCGTGTTTGTCGTGGAAAGAACTTCCTCTTTTGGAGTAGCCATTAGGCAACGCATTAACGTGTGGTATTTTTGTCAGCGACCAGGTGTCTGCATTTCGAGTATTTGACGACAAAAGATCGATAGAATGGTTATCAGGGTCTACAATACTAGAGTCTAACAGACTACGGTCTATTCGGTTTAGAAGGTAAACATTGTAAACTCTACAGTGTGATAACTCTGGTCTGACTATGGGCAAGATATGAATTGATTCTGATAGATCAAGGCCAACCGGCGTTTGGAAACAGGACTATATATAAAAGGCTATCCGGAATTCAGTAAGTGTCTCCCTCAAGCTCGGAATATATACCCATCATGATAGCACGATCAATTTTTATGAATATTGATATCGAATCATTCCGTAGAAACAACAGATCGATAGCCAGCTAAACCTTTCAGTCTTCTCCTACAAAGCTTGAAAGTGTTGATAAACACCATCCCAGAGTTTTTCATTTTTTCCGGTTACAGAAATTTATCGCCAACTGGCCAATCGATATTATTTAACATTCTAAGCTACGCGATATTTTCTCCCATTTATTATCAGGTATCTTCACAGCCATAGCGTGATCTTTAGCCAATGGCACAAAAATACCATGGAGTTATGACATTTAAATATTCGAGAGCCTAGCTGAAAGGTATCTTCAGCTGGACAGGATGCATATGCCGGGGGCAAAACGGTGGCGTTGGATCCTTCCGTTTTCCATCCCGGTATTTATCCAGCAAATGCCAACTCATGCAGGGCACGCGGTTTCCATTGACGAATTATATCTGTTGCACAGCATCCACATCGCATATGCTTAACTTTTTAGGCTTCGGGATGGATGCATTGTTCGTTGCACCACAGCTGAAATCTTCACGTCTAAGCGTTATCTTTAAAAAAGTACCCCTGTTCAAAATGTAAACATTAGGAACTTTTGTCTCAGAAGCCGGAACCACCTGCGGCTGCATGCACCTTCGCCTCTTATGTTTCGAGTTTCGAACGTTTCTATAAAATATATAAGACTGTCCAGAACTCGATATCCGAAGTGCACTAGAACTCAAAAAACCTATCGCCGATGCGCTGGGAAACCTAGCCTGCATACTACGGGTTCAGATATCTCGGTTCCAACATCCAATCGATTACCAAATTACTTCCTCATATCTTAACATAACCATGGATCCTCTCTCCATTTCTGCCTCAATCGCCGGGCTAATAGCCCTGACAACCGGCCTCATAAAATTAACAGATACACTGCGCAACAGTCTAAAAGAGGATGTCCTCCAACTCGTTGTCGGCGTTTCGCAAGATATTGAACTGTTACACGGTATCCTGATGCGTATACAGACCTGGGCAGATTCAGTTCAATCCAATGGCAAAGGTCACGACCAATTGTTGAATCTTTCACCATTCGTAGCCAATTTTACGGATATCATAAAACGTATTAGAGGCGAATTATTAGCCTTGAAAGAAGTAGCCAAAAAAAGAGGGTTGAGAAGGCTTTATTCGGTTGTCAGTCTAAATGAGAGAATGAAGGCTTTGGATGCGTCCCGGGTAGCCCTGAGCGAGGCAAAGGCAACGTTGTTACTCGCATTGTCGACGAAGGATAGGTAAACTATTTCAATGACATAGATACTCACGGAACCCAAAACCTGACCGGAATTTTGTAGTGATATTTCGGCATCCCTCGATAACATCCAAACAAAACTAGAGACCATTTGTCTAAATATATCTTCCGCAGATCCAAGCGATTCAACTGCAACTACGAGCTCAGAATTTGATGGTCCACGGTCCTTTGAGGATTGGCTCCAGAGTCTCGCAACAGAGGGGCAAGAAGAAGGAGAGTTAGCAGATTATAGACGTAGAAGACAGAGAAAAAGACAAGGGGAAGACAATAAATGTTCCCAAAAGGTACCACAAGCCCACGACAAAATATATGTCAAAGTGGTGGACATGAAACATAGAAGTGGGAAAAAAGTCACGGAAACCCTTTTTCTGGATAGATCAGCGAATCTAATTGATATAATACTACAACTTCACAACAAAGGTAAGATGAATTCTTGAAGTTTCTCCTAATTGATTAGCCCTAGGGTTTCGAGGACGATCCTCTAACTCAAGCGATACCGGCCGTCTTTAGGGTACGAAGATATCTGCGGTTTTCAAACTGAGGATGGAAATCACCAATATGCGCCCTTTGAGCCATCCAATGCCCCACCGTTGATCCGCGTGACAGCAGGACCGTCCAATTATGATTTATCCAAAGGCCTTTGCATCAATGAAAACGAGCGCCTTGTTGACTACTTCAATAACTTCCTTGATTACGAAACGCCCAAAGGACCTAACTTCAACCCTTCATACTTTGATATACAGCGGCGAAGCTTGTCACAAGGCCTAGAAATCGTCGACTTACACGATAGCGAGGTTTCAAGGACATGGATTGATTTCAACCGATGCCAGAGAGTACCTGCAGATGGTAAGGTTCACGAACCACCAGATATACTCGGAGGCTTCCCCGTTCTTGCTGTGTCTGATTTCAAAATAAGTTGCCAGTAAATATGGTTAAACAAGGCGGGTTTTTCTTTCCTATGCTTCAGAGGGAAAGCCTCGGATTCAAGTTCGACTCAAATCGTGGTTGCCCAGATGAATTATTTGCGATTAAGCTACACGTTGGCTCCGTCAATGTCGTTACTGGGAAACCGGTAGTGCCGGTTTCGAATTCAGCAGCGGGGCAGAACGTGCAAGATTACGTTGTGACACCGGCTCAGAAAAGACTCGATGGTCTTAAACATGGACAGGGGAAGGTGCAACAATTCGTCGCGATGCCCTTATCTTGGGGGTATGGTGTCGAGGAGCAAGCCACAGGCTCGGAATTTATCGGTGGAATTCAGCTCCAGATTGCTCCAAAACTCAAGACAGACGTCAAATTCATGTCACAGCGTCATAGAAGCCACGAAGTCTCTTACCCAAACAACTTCCTCCGCCCAAAGCGTTCTAAGATTTCCGAATCCCGTGGCTTGGATATTTTTAAATCGCCCCGGGAACTAGGCATCTCACGTTGCTTCATGGAGGTTCTCCTAGATAATACTTTTCAACCGAGATGCGACCAGAATGTATCGAATGGGATACGAGGAAAACTTGAGAAGGAAGAGGATCAATTTCATGTAATTCTGAGCTTCTTGAAAAGTATGCTCCGGAGTAGGTTCGTGTATGAACTTGGATCGCATATCGAAGGTAGCTACGGAATTGTACCACATGCTCCTCTCATCCTACATCCAGTCGAGCCAATCGTCTTTACAGTTGAATACGACTCCAAATTTAACCCCGAAGCCGTATACCAGGAGATATCTCACGGATTCTCCCCGTTTACAGACTTCAGAGATGCGTTTTCTGTTATCCTAGAAAAGTACATTCTCCCAAGCACACAGTGGGCCCAGGAATCGATTTTTATTGATGGGAAAAGTCTCTCAACAATATTGGACGTTTGCAAACGTCGGATATACGTCCCACTCCGAGAAGTTCTGCCGAACGGGGGTATTATTCTTATCGGTCCTGCCGACGAACTCGCTCGAAAGTCCACATTACTTTTAACGGAAAAGTTTAAATCAAAAAGGGAAGTCATATCATTGCGTGAGCGACCACAACCCCGCGGACGCACCCTTGGATCCGACGGTTGGAGGATGTCAATCGGTGTACAGGGAAACATACGTCAAAGAATAAAGGATACAGAATACCCAGGTTTGTGGCGTTGGGATCGTTCCCAGTTTGTAAACTTACAGATCATCAACGCCATGATGTTTTATAGAATCACGGGCCTCGCCTACACATCTTGTGGTGACTTGGAAGTTCCTACAGAATTTATCGAGGAACAATTTCATAACTACCCAGATATAGTTGCCCGAAAAAACCGGGTTCATGGCTCTGGATACAAAACCATTACAGAGATAGACTCTTCGGCAGGGATAAATATCGATATCAAAATACCGAAGGGAGGTCACAGGATCGGCTGTGCATGCTGCGAAAACAATTTCTGTGATACATTGTGAGTAAACCAAATCTCTAGATCTATGGAATCATTATTAAGATCTCCAAAGCTAACAGACAGGGACCATGATACCACAGAATCCAGCCGTGCAATCACGTCTTTTGTAGCTATTGCATCGCCGGCACTATGACAAATATTGCAAAAGAATTGGTGTGTGACGTTTGCGGCATACGCGCCGGTAGCACCATTCGGTTTTCTGCGACTATGGGACTACCGATGGGTACTATACTCGAACTACGGAAAGAAAATGGACCGACAAGGCAGCGCATTAATATGTCGCCACAAAAGCTTATGCTGCCACTCCAATCTAATGTGACTAATTTATCATGTACCGATGTGGAATTCACTTTGGTAGATATGCTACCAGCCTACTCGATACTGTCACCGTTCCTACCCGGTAAAGAGCCTGGAGACTTTCCAAGCCCGGGTCACTGTCTTTATGAAGTTGCATCTCGGCCGGATATCATTGACGCCATAGTCATTGAGTTCCTTGGACTCCCTCTCCGGAAACGAGTTTCACTGCTATACCAGGTCTTCAAGGCCCTACCATCATTTCATCCGCAAAATTGGAAGGGAAGATCGAAGCTTGAAAACGAAGGGTTCAAATTAAACCAAAATACAATCCGAATTTTCCTACAGCTTGTCCCAAATGCATCAGATATGATTGCGCATGGAGGATCATATAACTCATTAACCGACGTGCTGCACCCTTCCGAGGAGAATACACAATGGCTACGGCTGTACTTCGAAGATATCTATTCCTGGGTACTGAAAACGATACCTTCCTTTGCGGATATCGGTATATCGACCTGGGAGTTTCTTCGATTCGAAATGACCAAGAAGTCTATCGATATAATAATTGATGACATCGTATCCCAGAAGACGCCAACTGCTTTGCTGAACTCCATCCTTCTCTCTCTAAGGGAGACAAAATGTGTAGACTACGCAATCAGCCGATTGGTCGGCATAGGCGCTGATATAAACGCCCAAGATAAAAATGGAAATACGATATTCCACATCACCAATATCGGGAAGGAAACTTGGCGCTTCAACAAAGACATCCTTAAACTCGGTGGCCGCATCGACATCCCAAATAACGATTTGGACACACCGCTTCACCTCGCCGCTCGCCACTTCTATTCAATTACCCACCTAGAAGACCTTTGCGCAGACCCTTTAGCCAAAACTATCGTAAACCAAAAAAACCAAGAAGGTCACACACCCTGGCAAATCCATTTTGCTACCATCTGTAACTCTCCGTGGACAATGGATGCTATTTCCGACGGTGACGGGCGCGAATGCGCAGCAATTAATATCTTGCTTTCAGCAGGCGCGGACCCGACGATTGCTCTACCCAGCTGTGATACGTGGGTAACGAGGGCTACAAGACAGGGTATATGGGATTCATGTCAACATCCGGAAAGTTTGGAAGGATGGATCGATGCACAACTTTATAGCGACTATGTCGACTATTGGAATGGCCTTGATTACACAGAGGAGGGGATCAAAAATCGGGAATCCCTGTGGAGAACTAGATTCCAGCGATCGGCACCTAGATACATCGAAAACGAAATCTCAAGCATATTTGAGGATTAGGCTATAACTACTTAAGTACTATATATAATAGTTGAGTTAGCCTACTTCGTACATCAAACCATTAACCATATCATATATTAATTAGACCAACTGTAGCGCGGTCACTCTCATATCCATATTTAACATAATGCATTCTACGTAGATCTACCATTAATTTACTATGAGACAAATGATAAACCGTGTTAAAAGCCTGTGTTGTGTGCCTAAATTGCCACTTTCCGTAGACGTCTCGCAGAAATAGTGTCCAAAAACGCAGCATGGTCCCACGTTCGATCCACAAGCCACGATTATAATAAAATATTCCGAAGCGCGAGCTCAACTACAATCACTATCACTATCACTGTCACGGACATAACGTCATACTTGCGCAATTCTATTAACTTCGATATCCACAGTTCACGCGCAGTAAGAAAAAAAAACTAAGTCAAAAAAAAATTTAAAATAGGTCTTCAAAATCTAGAATGAGAAAATATAGTATTAATTCCGCATCTCATTATCACATTAGTTAAAAACAGGTATTAAGTTTGAAGGGATTAGTGTAGTTATAGCCCTTCCAAACATCATCGTATCAGTTGTGCAGTCTTTGTTGCCAGTTTCTTTTTTTTGTATCGTTGCTTTTATCGTAAAAATCACATTTGAAAGAAAAGCCGCTGGTTCATTACGCCACGCATGTCTCTGACCAACCAGCCTCCCTTATTGTAAGATAAGAAAGGGGAAAAAAAGAAACATCCAAAAAATTTGAGTATTTCCTCCTCAATTATCCATCGATAAGTATATGTTTCGGGGTCAAAGAGAGAAATTCCAAAAGCCCATTCGTCCAACAAAAAAAAAGAGGAGTCCTTTTCAATCCTCTTGTTATCGTTGGGTAAAAAGAAGGACGTCGATTACATCATTTATCCCACGGCCACTTCAACTCAATCCCTTTCAAGACGAAATCAGCCTCCTAGACGCGACTCCTAGACGCGGGAACGACGGATCCTCTCCTCCAGGCGAGAACGCTCAAGACCAATGAAGCCAGATAAGTTCCGAAGAGGAACCAAAGGAAGGCAGTGAGAGCCTGGGCTTCATGGCAGCGGGCAGTGGGGTCTCGGCCTCCGTTTGTGATTGAGTTGGTTATCACATAGGCCTGTTGCCTTCAATTAGCATTTTTCTTTGTTCCTTTATTATCTGCTTCTCTCTGAGAATATCAGACATACCATATTACCGCAGCTATGTACTCCCAATCCGGCTGCCAATGCCGTACCAGCAGCAAACGTAAACAAAGTGTTTGAAGCATCGATTCCTAGTAGAATCTGGGAGTGGCCGGAATCTGTAATGACTGCGTATAAAGTGTAGAAACCACCAAGGAAAGACCAGATGCTTGTGAAGAGCGCAAAGTTGACTTGTGAGGGCGAGCCGCCAAATACTTGTTGTGCGACTAGAGCACCGGAAAGAGCGAGAGCAATGACGGTGAGGAGGAACTATAGTTTTTTTTTATTAGTACGTAGATCTCAGGGAATTCCTATCGAAGGGTACATAGTATACCTGAGTGCCTCGGAGGGCGAGACTGGTGATATGCATTTTTAAGGATGGGTGGTTGGTATGTGAGATGTAGGGCAGTCGGGTTGTTCGGATGATGACAAGATTATTTTCGATTCGTTAAGGGCGACAGCAACAAATCAACAAACGAAGCAACAATCAAAAGTCCAAATATTGAAAATCGCTGGCGATTGAATTCAAGGGAAATGAAGATATTCGAAGAAGAGTAAAAACAGGAGGAGGAGGGAAAGGGAAACCGGAGGTGAGATAGATTGAGTTCGTAAAAAAGATTAAATGCGAGGTGTGTAGCTAAAGTGTGTGGGTGTGTTGTGAGGAGTTGTGCAGCACAGTCGATGTGGACCCGAAAGAGGTAACTGTAACTCTACTGTTCCGCGGCTTTTTGGAGGGATGAAGCAAACGAGGACACTACAGAGGCTGGTTCTGGTCTGAAGAAGAAGATGTCACGGGTAGGTATCGTGTCGTTTCCTATCGTATGGTATCCGTATCGTCATGCAATGCAATGTAAGTGCTACGTCTGTCCGGATGCAGAGATGAAAGGTGAGAAGGAAGGAAGAAAGGGATGCTTCAGGGTTCCGCTGCTTCCTTTGCCTGTTATATGGACCCGAACCCGGGAATTAAACAAATGAATGCTGACGACACTGCTGCTAACTAGCTACATACCACGTTTTGAAGAGAGAAACATGAAAAACATGGACGAGGAATGCATCTGGAATTAAGGAAAGAAGGAAGGGTCCCCTCTTTAGAATGTACTTGGTAAGTACCGTCGAGGTATCTGTGATGTCTCCAATGCTACCGAATCAAGCATGCTAACTACCTCCGATTGTACAGGAAGATACGAGATACGACAGACATGCATATCGCATGACAGAAAAATATGTCACTGGCTCGCATCACCATAGCAAAAAGCAGGGAAGACCAGGCGGGTCAGCAGGGTTTACGTCAAAGGCAAACCAGGGTCTGTCTCAAGCGAACAACATCCTGGTCGCGGAGGCCGGGCCTCCAGCACTTTGCTGCACCCGTGGACTTTTTTTTACATTCCCGACCATTCGAGGATAGCCTACTAGCTACTTGAGCTTTCCACATACGTATACCCCGCCATGTTGGGTTCGGTTTCTTGGTGGTGTGAATATAATATCACTGGTGCGCTCGCTTGCTGACGCTATACTAGTCTAAGATATGATTATCTCTCCACCGAATTCGAAGTCAATGGATGATGATGATATCCAAGAACGCTCGAACTAGACTCGAACGGCAAAGCTCGGAGTATGCGATCGTACGTCGGATGCCGGGTTCGGAAATAGTTACAGCAAAGGAGCCGCTCAATACCAGTCTTTCAGCAATTCGTTACCAGAATCTCTAGTACCTAGCTCAACCATCAAATCATGAAATTGGAGTCTGGAGGCCTGGCCGTTTCATACGCCGTGTGTATACCCAGTTTCACCTTCCTATTCAAATCGAAACTCATATAGCCTGGCTAAAACGGTCCTAGCTTCATGAAGTTATTTACAACTCAGTCGATTCGAAAATGCAACAGTTCGTGCAACCTAGTTAATACAGCTTACAGCAGCGTAGGTATATTACTAATATATATCGGTGCCGTCATATCGAATTACCCTCAGAATACTTGAGAGTCGGTTACTTGTGGCCCCACGCATCTATATATACATTTGACAACTAGAATGTGTGTTCGTGCGTGCATTGTCACATTACCTCGCTGGGCGTTTAAAATTTATCTTATGCCTTTATGTTGATCGTATGCATAAGTGCTTAATAGCTGTATGTAAGCACGCATAATTATAGATGGTAAAAGGCTTTATACTCTTAATATCTTATCGATTTAACTTGTAGTTAGTTAGTTAGGGGGACTTTGCTCGTGTCTCTGAACTCCTTAAGAAACTGCTAGGCTATACCGGAAATACTGGTGAAGACCCCTTTTTTACTAATATATTACCTAGGTAGTTGCTTCTAGAACAGTCTGTATCATCTACTAGTATGCTCTATAAACAATTCAATGATTAAAATATCAAACTAAGCATGTACACATAGTATGTATAGAATGATCTTCCAGCAAACCCGCGTTCATAAATCTACCCCATACAAGAGATTTAGACGATCCTCTCAATGTAGATATACTTCCTAAGGGTCCGTATGTACGTATCTAGAGTAGTTAAACAGATTTTCCTAAGACGGCTTAATTCTGAATAGTAAGAACATATACAGTTATTGTTGATGTCCCTCAATCATAGCCAAGGCTAGAGCTATCGATACATTTCACTTGAGATATACCTTGTATCTACACCCTCTCATTCCCTGAACAGCTGGAGGACTCAATAGCTGTTGGGAAGCTGTCTAGAGATATTGGGTGACTGGTAATATAACCAGAAGGCCTAGCTAGGTGTGATGTTAGGGAGTGCGGGCGACGTGACTGGAAGTGTGCCAACCAAGTTTCCCTCGCTCAGCCCACGAAACGTATCTTTTTCAACACTGACTGGTATTTAAATGACCTTGCCCCTGCCCGGCTCTTCCATCCTCTTCCTTCCCTCCTCCACCTCTCAAGAACATAACCATCATCAACCATCTTGGTTCCAACTCTTCCACTTTCTCCCCTCCCCATCCGTTTGTACTGTTTCGAACGATCGAAAGGCTCTCTAGAATCGCACCGTTTTCTTCATCTCTACTATCCTTCTATTCCCTCTTTGTTATCATACTATACTCCATCATGTCTGGCTGGGATGATGGTCCGGTTCAGGGTAAGCAGCTATAGCTTCATTCTACTAACATGTTCATACAACCTCCTAGCTCTCCTACTCCCTACCCTTTTCCGTTCTCTCCTGGTCACCCCCCTCTCCCTTTTATTTTTTATCTCTCTTAGCTAGCAGAGAGTGTCTTGATATGGTCTACTAACACAATGCTTTCACGAACTCCCAGTCGATGAAGGGGAATGGGTCCCCCCACCAATGCCTGTAGCCACAGGTCTAACCACGAACAACATCTCCTCTGGTGACAACTTCTTTGAAGATGGAGCTGACGGTGGTGATCGGTATGTACCTAGCCTCTTACAAGCTTGATCATCAACATCTGTCATCTAACAAATGTGTTAAACCCCCAAAAGCCCTCGTGGTGCTCCTGGCGCCTGCCGTAGGTGCAACGAGGAAGGTCACTTCGCTGCTGAATGGTAAATGTCTCTCCCCTAATAACCGTACCTTATCCGCCAATCCCTATTGACTATTCTACAGTCCGAATCAGAAGTGTAGCTGTTGTGGCCAAAAAGGCCACTCTGCTAGCAAGTGCCCTACTCCCAAGTGCAACATTTGCAACACCGAGGGTCATATTCCTTTTGAATGCCCCCAGAAGGATAATCAAGCCTGCCGACACTGCGGCGAGACCGGCCACATGGTCAAAGGTATGCTCCAAACTCAGCTTCTCGTATTATCAAACCCACACTAACATCATCCAATAGAATGCCCCATCAGAGCAAATGAGCCATGCCGTAACTGCCAACAACTTGGTCACCGTGCTGCCGAGTGCACGAATCAACGCAAGATGCAATTCGGTGGAGCTGATCTTGAAGGCGAAGTCGAGGACAAAGATCAAAAGATCGAGGCTTGTTGGAATAACATGGATCAGGCTTCGAAGGATCGAGATCTCGATGCTTTCAAAGATGTTAGTTTCGAATACCTTGCATTCACAACTTTAGCTAACTTCCACCCGTAGGCATTCTTCAAATACGTTGCTCTTTGCCCAGATTCCACTTTTCCGACCCTCCAAAACGCCTTTAAGGAGGAAGGAAAATTTGCTTATGGCTTAGTTGCTATTGTGCGTATTAGCTACTCTTGATTACTCATTTACTATAGGGTCTAACTCGCGGCTGGTGTGGATGACAGAAAAAAGATATCACTGGTACCCAAGTTATCGTCGATCTTCAAGGTAACATGAACAAGAAGTTCGTCGTTACTTTTCAGACATCGGTCAAAGGTCGACGAACGAAAGGTGCTGCCAAGGACCCGGAAAGGTTCCCCGTCGATGATAACGACAACATGTCTCGCTTGGAAAACGCTGGATTCGTCCAGGAGTCCTATGTCCCATGGTGCTATAACTGCAAAGGTGAAGATAGACAACCTCTAATCTAATACAGACCAATATTAATATCTCATCATTGTCTAGAAACCGGTCACGTTTCTCGAGCGTGCCCTCAAGAACGTCAAGCCAGGGATCCTTCCGACATCCCTTCCATCAAATGTGTCAACTGTGATCAGGAAGGGCACCGTGCTCGTGATTGTAAGTTTTTATTCCTGACTTACCTATGTAGTTGCTGGAGTGCACTGGACCACTAATAGCATGAAGGCCCTGAGGAACGTAAGCAGCGAAGAAATCCGAACGCTTGCCGCAACTGTGGTGAAGAGGGTCACGAAGCCAAGGAATGTGAGAAACCTCGTGATGCTTCTAACGTTCAATGCCGCAAGTGCGAAAAAATGGGACATTTCTCCAAAGACTGTCCCGATGCTCCCAAGATGACCTGCCGTAATTGCGATCAAGAAGTGAGCCCTCTTTCACCTCTACCAGTCTAACAGCCCTCTAACCGAGCCAACAGGGACACCGCGCCGCTGAATGCCCTGAGCCAAAGAAGGGTATGACCTGCAACAACTGCGGAGAGGAAGGTCACCGACGTGTCGATTGTACCAATCCTCGCAAGATCATTTGCAACAACTGCGACGAGGAAGGTCACGTTGGACGCGATTGCCCCAAGCCTAGAGATCCAGCTCGAGTCAAATGTCGCAACTGCGATGAGAGTAAGCTTCCTTGTATTTGGTTCGCCGCTGATTTTCACTTTACTAATATTTTAACCAACAAACAGTGGGTCACAGTGCTAAGGAGTGCCCGAAGCCTCGTGATATGTCACGTATCAAATGTAATGAGTGTGGGTAAGTATACACTCCTCCCCCAGAAATCTTTCTAGAAAAAGACTCAGACGACTAAATAATATCTTTTCATAAAAGGGAAATGGGCCATTGGTCTCGAAACTGCACAAACAAGGGTGCCGGTGGTGATGATGACGGCTTCAATGCTACTTCTGGCGGTGGTGCTGACTACGGCAGCGCTCCCGCTGTCGACACCACCCAACAACTCTGGAAGCAGGACGAGCCTGAAGTCTCTTCTGGCGGTGGCGGCTGGTAGGTTACGCGCCTCCCAACCCTGAGCAGTTTTCTTATAATTCTATTTTTATTGTTCCGGACTTGCAATGGCCCCCTACGGGCAGTTCACGAAGAGGATATTGCAAGATTTATCGCACGAAGTGAAAGCAACGAAGCCTATGGAGGATAAAGGAAGCTTTCAAAATCCCTACTCTCTTAATTAGTACTTCCAAGGCAATATACTAGATCGATCGTTTTTATTTTTCGTAACTGAACTACATACAGGGAATAAGCATGAAAATATACCCTGTTGTGGCCTTTGGTATCGAAAGGAAAATGTATCTTTAGTTTTATTAGCGAAGCAATATAAGCTCTAGCTCTGCCCTTTCAAATCAAGCCTCATTGAGAGATTTTTAACCCTTGATATAATAACATCTTCGAGATATGGATCGAAGCCCAAAGTTGCGTTCGATTCGAACTGCAACATGCAGGTCTTAATTTAAGACTTAATGCCGTTCCGAAGCCATGTGGTATTTTTCCACTTGTGTAACTTCAAAATGTGTTGAGAAATTTTGACGTCAATGCCATGCAGAACCCGGCTTCGCGCGACGCCAGTCTGCGTGACGTCCAGGATACCATCCCACCTGCAATCCTGAACAGTAAAAGTCATCCTTCTGCTCATCTCTAAAATGTCAAGCATCTCGATACAACGGGCCGGCCCCGTGCTTCGGCAATGCTTTCAGCAGCATGCCTCCGTAGCTAGCTTCTCCCGCAGGACCATCCGAGGCCTCAAAACGCTCGAACAAAACAAGAACATCGTCAGTTAACACTATGACCCTTCGGCCTTCGTATGCATGGAATTCTTCAAATCCTTCAATACTAACCCCAATATATATGTAACTAGTACATCCACCCCTCCACTACCACTCCCCAAACCTACACACTAACCTACCTCCCCACCACCCCTCCCTCCCAAAAGCTAGCAATAGGCACAACCACAACCATCCCCCCAACCCCATCAACCTTCACCGAAAACCCCCATTTCCGAACCCTCCTAATGTCAACCCTCTCCACTCACGCAGCCAACGATCAAGACCTCATCAACGAAGCCTACGGAACATGGGGTGCAACAATGGGCGTAAAGGCCTCCGTCTCCAAGGGAATGAAAAGAGATAGGAAGTTACATACCGAATCTACCGGTACACCTTCTACCAGTGCCACTTCTGAAAAAACGGATCAAGTAGATACTACTTCCATTGGGGGGTTTCATCATGTGGTGGATAGGAGGACGCCGTATTATGGTGGTATGAGGATTCCGGAGAGTCAAGATATTTTGGGGAGTTTGCAGGTTGATGGGAATGGGAGGTTGGTAGGTGGGTTTGTGGAGTGTGAGAGTTATAGGTTGGTTACTTCGGATGGGATATTGGGATTGACGGAATACTTGGAGGGGAAGGTTAAGGAGAGGATCGAAGAGGAAGAGAAGAAAGAGAAGAAGATATAAGGGGGTTTAGGAGGTTTTGGAGTGTAATTTTAGGTGGGTGTGATGGGACTCAAAGGTACAGACCTATTAGGCCTAAGGGAGTTATTGTAAATATCATGATAGAAGATTCGCGAGCTACGAAAGTGAGTATAACTCGTCGTATATAATACTCTACTATTATTTTCATTTGAAAATGCATAAATCCCAGCTCATACATGTATACACAGTTCAAAGAAGGTAAGTAGGTATCCGCATGTCTGTGTATCGATGTGTCAAAGAGAATGGACGGATGTAGAATGGCCTATATATTCGGACTCAAATTACTCACGTTAGTATATAAAAATTAATATTATCGTCGGATTTTCTATAAATGTATTTGATATATCTGTCGATATATTTAACAGCCTTCGGTGCTTTTGTTTTACATTTCCTACAAGAAAGCTGTATATGTCTTGCTGGCGAAGCTGCTTCGTACTTGCTAGTATATGTAGTCCCATGTAGAGCTATAGAGTCTGAATATTAATACATCCAACGTCTCGAACCTAAATATATGTCGTGCACAATATTATTTGATTCAAAAGATACCGCAAAGGCCCTCGGCAAGGATAAAACTGCTATAAAACGTTAAAACCTGTATTTTCTCTTGCCCTTGGAATAACCCGAGCACCCATGCATATATGAGATTTAATCGAGCGGTCGCTTGCGCAGCTGGCTTAGGCTCAATTAAAATCCGATACCGGAAAAACACCCACACCAAAAAAAAAAATCCAACACCACCTTCCCAAAGTATCTACACCACCATCGACGCCACCGACAACCGAAGAAAAAAAAAAAGCTTCAAAGAGCAAAAAGATAGTGATGAGAGTGGGATTCGAACCCACGCACGGTTACCCGTACCAGGATGTCACTTGTTAAGGTATAACCTTAACCTGGCGCCATAGACCAACTCGGCCATCTCACCGACTGCTGATGTGCCTCCTGAAAGTTAGAAGACTAGTCAAACCTGTCTAGATCGTCCAATAGCTGCCAAGCTGAATGAATATTCTAGCTTTGGAGGGTAGGGTTAGGATAGGTTTTTAGGCTCAAATGTCATATATAACCTTCAAAATTCCCAGGGTGAGGTTTTGGACTCCAAAACCTACTGTGCCGATGTCTTTCTAAATCTATCAAGGGAAGCTAGAAGGACACCTCAGTGACTTTGTGCCTGAGTACCGACTTATGGAGTCTAGTTTAGACGGGTGACCGAGAGCCACCAAAACGAGGATGTGTTCAAAGTACACCGGACATGCATCAATATTCAAAGCTTAAAGACATTCAACTTGCAAAACCGTTTATTTATCGTATGCCAATATAGTTTTAACGTATGTGAATCTATAACTTTTTTTAAAAAAAAATACCAATTGTATACGACTGATCCTTCATTTCTTCTTCATGAACGGGTAAGCTAATGCTCTTCAAACAATCCAAACTGCAAAAAATAAACATAAAAAAGTATTAGACAGTAAGGGAAGTAACCGCAAAAGTAATAATATTAAAAGAAGTCATGTACCGTCCAATTCACCAATGTCCAAAGAATCTATGCAGTGAAGTGAATATTTGCAAAGAATTGAAAAGATTCCAAAAAGACTATCTTCAAATCCAGGCGTTTCCAAAAGAGCCTGGTCCCTCAGACAAATCATTGGCTCAATTTCCCCGGATACTTATACGCAATTCCCAATTTTAAACGCTGCGTCTGATAGGTTCGATTAATTGCTAAAGGCGTATTTTGTTAGTATACGATGGTTTGATCAATTATTGGGTTGGAGGTGTGTAACTTACTAGAGCTCAATCGGGGCTAACTGGTCGATACTATACAACCAGTTCCCACCTTCCGCTTCAGCAATCAACCATTCATACGGCCATACAACCAAATGTCCCACAATCAAACTCAAAAGCTCCTCTGCGACATCCTTATCCATAACATCGTCAGTGGCATGGAACTCGCGCTTACTATTCCTCGTTCCCGCTCTCTTCCTCCTCCTAACTGAAGCCGCAGGTCCCACACTGCTACCGGTAGCGCTACCGCCAACGGCACTACCTGGCGGTGCTAACCCTCCGGAAGTGCCAGGTGGCCCGGCCCTTAAGGATGTTTCCGAAAGTCTAGGATCTCCGCCTTCTGTCGACTCCTTCTCATTCTGTGACAATTGTCCCTTCCCAGTTTCTCTCCTTACCTCGGTCGCAACTTCATTCTTTTCTTTCAGTCCACTATCACCCTCACCTTGTCCAGCTTTTTCATTCCAATCTTCTGTTTTACCCTTCTCATGCTCTTGGTTGTGGTGGTGTGGACCGATGTGCAACTTCTCTGTCACTTTCCCTATTGTCTCAGCTGCCTCAGGCGATATCTTCTCGCCGATTTTCTCTGGCAGTGACACGGGAACGCCAACTCCAGGGGCGGCCTGGCCAGTTCTATTCCTGTTCTGAGTCTGAGTCGAAGGTTTGTCTCCGTCCTGAGACGCTGCAAATTTGTCTGCGTAGGCCATATACTCCTTATACTGCGCCCAACTCTTCACCTCATTGTCGGGCATACATCTAAATACCTCTCTAAAGATCTTTGTATTGTTTACAGCGATCTTGTGCCAAGTATCTAGGTAAAAAGAGTCGTTGAGTGGGTCGACGAAGTGATCCGAGTCTACGAGGGGCTGCTTGATCTCCGAGTAAAGTGGATGCGAAGGCTTCATCGGCGGCAACGTTCCTTGACTGAGACGGGTTGCGGCCGGTCCTCCGATATCCATATCACTCGTAGGTGGCAGCGGCGGGAGTTGGCTGGAAATTGGGAGACCAAGTTCTGATGAATTTAGCCGCTGAGTTGGGATTGGTGGCATAAGTTCGGCGTTTCCGCCAGTAGCCTCCTCTTCAGCATGGCTATCAACAGAAGCGGGTTTGCCTTTCGAAGAATGCCCACGATGGTCCCTAGCGCCTTCCAAGGAATTTCTAACGATTCCGGTATCGACCTGGCTGAAGCTAGAGGTAAATTCATATCCATCTTGCCCCAGCTTCCTATCCATAGCCGTAGCGGGTCGTCCTTCTTTCTCCCGGTTATATTCGTCTACAGCCTTCATATGGTCGATTCCCAAACCCTGAACGTCTCTTTCCCTTTCTTTAACCCTCGGATCGCTGGTAACCCGCTTGTGCGATATGATATTTGGATTGTTCGCTTGCTCCCAATCAACATCATGGTTAAAGCTAGGGAGCTTTTCAACACGGTTGACGGCATCTACATCGCCCTGTCTTACGGGATGTGGAGGGCTGGATGGCCCAGCATGACTTGGCCCAGCAATCCCAGAAATACCGGACCTAAGCGAACCAGAATCAAGGTCAGTAGTTGCACGCGTGGTAATACTATTGCCATCATGCCATCTGTGTTCTGACCCTGTTTCTTCGTCTTCTTCAGCTACTCTTTCTTGGACCATGAGTTCATCGACGTCGATTCCGAGATGCTCGCGCATGAGGCGCAAGCGAAGGGTGTGTGCGAAACGCCCAACGAGGTAGGGTCGCCCAGCCATGGTAGACCAAATTGTATCCTGATCTCGAACGACTGCCGCGACTTCTGAGTCACGGAATCCCAACATAGATCTTTCGTTGATGTTGGCGGATCCAATAATCGCAATACGATCATCCACAACCATACACTATCGACGTTAGCACCCAAAGCAGCATAAGTACCCGGGGGATCACTTACCTTAGCGTGAATGTATAGTTGCTCAGTCACCAGTTGCTGTTGAGGACCGATTTTGCCCCAGCTCCTCAGCGCATAAAACTCAATGTAGTCCTCAGGGTTGATACCATTAGCTTTTAATTTGCCAAATATACTTCCATCTCCTCGACAGATGCTCCTAAACTGGCATTGCATGATCAAACGCACGCTACTACCATCCGGTTGATCAACGCTAGATTGGAAGCCTGGTAGGAGAGGTAGGATGATGATAGCCCTCCAGTCCTCATCGTTTTTATGTGCTCGGATAATACGCTCTACCAGCGCATCCCCGATAGAATTTTCCATCTTTGTTCCATCAGGTAGTTCACCTGAAGTAATAAAAAACTGGTTTTCGATGTAAACCAAGTGGTCGCTAGTTTCGATAGCCTTAAGGTATGCGTTAAGGATCGAATGCTCATTTTTATCCACCGTACCCGTTGACCATGAACAAGCGCTTCGGAGCATCTGAACCTCACAGGAACCGCTAATTCCTAGAGATTCGATCTCCTGCTGCGTGAAGTCCGGCGGTGGTAGTAAGAATGGCGTTGGCCTTGACGGTGTACGTTGCCTGAGAAGGTAATTCCATCGCTGAACGAAATGCCGCGTTAGATCCCTGGCAGGTTGACCGACAACCTGCATGGAGATATCATGCCACGGCATTCGCGGCGTTTTCTGGCGTTCATACATATCTTCGTATGGCTTGTTAAGCTCATAGAAATCCTCGACGCGAGGATTGGAATAATCCTTCCCAGGCCAAAGCTGGTACTTATCCGGGTCTTTGGGACCGGTTTCGTCAAAGCCCGTAAACTTATCGTCTACAAGCGCATGTTGTGGCGTATCCCATCTGCCGAAGCAGAGATCCAACCCGCCAAGGAACACGACTGTATGATCAACAATCAACAGTTTCTCATGGTGGGCCCAGAAGAAGGTGTTTTGGCGGAGTTGGTTTGGCGAACGTTGGACATAAATGTTGGGGTGCAGATCAAGCAGTGAGTACTTAGTATATGCCGAATCTATCGGCACAGCGGCTCCGATATTGCGGTAAATGATCACGAATATCTTGACGCCTTCGCTAGCTTTCCTCTGAAGTAGTCTGTCCAATCGCCACTTGTGCGATACTGCCGGTGGACGCCGTAGATACTAAACTATATTAGTTTCGTTCGTTGCATATTCGAAAAGGATCAGTGCTTACAATCTCCGGGCTCAGCCACCAATCGTGAATATAGATAACATCTTTGGCCATTGAAATCGCACGACTAACGTTCCAAAAATAGTCTCTTCCATCGACAAGCCACTGTGCAAAGCAGTATTGCCTGACTGGTGCAAAGCTATCAAACCGATGCTTCTGCGACCAAACAGTCTGATCAGCCATGTACTTGATACTGTCGTAAAACTGACCTAGCTGCCTCTCATTCTTGGCAAGAAGTTTGATCTTCCGTTCAGAGTTCTTGAGCTTCAGCTTATGATGTTGCGGATGAGCCGGGTTAGTGGAGGCGCTCGCCACTGCCTTTGGATTCTTAGGCAAAGAGCGTTTGGCATCGAGTTGGAAATCACTATCAACCAGAATCACATCATAGATGTTCATCTCCTCCGGCGAATCAACGCAAACAATATAGCTGTGGCGTACAAGGAACCATTTTGGACGATGACCTTTGATGATACTGCCAGGCGCCCACCCACGCCGGAATTCGGACCCTTTCGAAGACTGGATAACTAGATACCCTTCCTTCCCATGGTAGCTGTTCTCAGCCGCAAGGCGGATACCTAAGGATGAGAGTTCAAGAAACTTGCATAGTCGGTTCGAATCAGGACGGAATATCATAATACGAATAAGTTCCTGGAGGTACTTTTCAAGTTTCTTTCGCTGCTTTATAGAGAATCCATCCCGTCGCAAGATAGGCGTAGACGCCACAGTAGCACCAGCCAAGGTACCGATTCCAAGTGCGATACCAGCACCAATATTTCCTGGCTCGATGGGGTGCCCACCAGTTGAGTTACGACGGACAGGAGGCCTTTTCTTTGAAGAGAAGGTTCTTCGGATAGACCCTGCGATACTATTCTTGCGAGGCATCTCGTAGTCCTCGCTGTCATCATCATATGTAGGCTGGCGAGTGGGAGGACCTGGTCGGGGAACGGCAAGAAGGTTGGATGAACCAGCGGCGCCGGATTGGGCCGCAGAGCTAGGGCCAGCTTCGCTTGGATCAACTGCTGCATTTGCAGTGAGGGGTCGCTCCGCGAGGGGGCCGGTATTTAGGCGCGTATTTGTCGCTGTCTCATTCCCACTATCAGAGGAGGAATCTTCTAACCCCCTCCAGCCTTTGAGGTATGGAATCGATGCTTTAGGGAACTTCGGGAGCTGGTGTTTTGATCCATCGCCCAAAGTTGTATAAGTATTGCTGAAATCTTGAAGGCGATACTTAGTGTGTAAATTAAAGAAGTCACGGAATTCTCGATGGATGACCCATCTCATCCTAGTTAACCCGGATCCGTATTCTAACTCAATTCTGAATACCGTATGGTTTCTCGACTTGTTGTTCAGCTTCGAATCTGTAATCTTGATCTTCAATTGTTCCAGGATGATTGGAATTCGCTTGTTACCATGCTCGTCTCTTTGGAACATGCTGGCGAAGATCAAAGCCGCTGGGATGCCTGCTGTCAATTCAGCTACGAGCTCTGCTGACTTCTCACGATCGATCTTCGCTTCCTCCTTTTTCTTTTGCCCAATCATTCGAATACCAGCCTTCAGAGCCTTCCATTTGGCAGCACTAGCCCCTCCTCCTCCAGGCGATGGCGCGGTATTGATTTCTGAGCCTTTTCTGCTATGGGCGAAATCAGTGATACGACGGAAGCTGCTTGGTCGACGGGAGTACGGATGATGTCTGCCCTTCCCATCCGTATCGGATCCTTCGGGAACATCTGTCATTGTAGCCCTTCGGCGTAGACGAGGGCTTTTTCCTGCAGCACTCGGGGTCCCAGGAGCAGTACTAGGCCCCGCGTGTCCGGGATCCGAACTCTCATCCTCTTCTTGGTCAATGGGGGACATGGGAGCGCTACCGCCATTCCCACCTTCGGTATCATTACCCCCGTGGCTTGAGAGAGTTCTCGTATGCTGAGCCGCTGAGTGAGAGAAAGCTCTCAATTTCGAAAATAAGCTAGGCCTAGCACCTTCATCATCCATGGTCTTGGCTTCCTCCTCCCCCTCACGTGAATACTCCCCAGACTTCTTGCTAAATTTAAAAATTCCACTCATCCGTTTGGGGGTACCCGGTGCAGTATTCCCTCCACGTGGAGTCTGCTCCCCTTCCGTATCCTCATCGCCAAAGTACTCATTCTGCGATGCGAACTGGACATCGCGTGTTCTTGGTGATGGGTCTCGAGATTCAGATGTCTTTCTCGTAAGCCGTTCTTTGCTTGTATCGGGTTGGGTACCAGAGCCCTGAGGCCCTGGGCGTATCTCTTCTAAGAGGAAAGCAGGGCGTGGAGGCTGCAATGGCTCTTCTGGAGCCGTTGTTGTTGTTGCTGTTGCAGGCTCTTCGGACTTCAGCTTCCCTTTCCCTTTCTCTTCTGGTGCAATTGGCGACTCAGAGGTCGAAGCATTAGAGTTCCCTCCGCCAATTGCCTTTAAAATTGGACTCCCAGGTATCGCAGTTTTGAAAGCACTACGAACAGCCTCTCCAATTGCCCCAAGCTTGGGAGAGTTGGTGGATCCATTGGCCTTTTCGGTTTCGGTTGCTGGTACCTGGGAACCAGACGGCTCCGGTGGTGCCATTGGCTGGGTCTGAAATGCAGACGGGTAGATGCTGTACGGCTACGATGTAGGGGGAAGGTCAAGGTCTCTAGGTGGCTGGGGCGTCCGAACCAACAGCAAATCGCTGCAGGCAGCTGTGTAACGTCTAGAACTACTCTAGCAGGCAAAGAAGTATTGTCAGCAGAAATTCGACATATAAGGAGTGAGATTAGAATAGTATCACCAACGTTGAACGAAGCTCCAGCAAACTCTGATAAAGAGTTGCGATGAAAGATGAAGCCGTGAAGAAGCGTGAAGGGGTCGAGGGAGATGAAGCTGGACAGGCGTTAAGCTAGATTCAAGCCGGATCGTCAACACAACACGCTCAATTGGAGCAATCTTAATGCAAGGGAGACTTCAACCTCAACTTCAACCTTACTTCTTACTCCTAGATGGACGGTGACTGCAGGATGAATTCGCCTCAAGAGATATCCAAGTTTAATAGGAACAACAGATGGCAGGAGATTCAGGAGAAACTACTCAACAGAGGAGAGTGAGAACTACAACTGGAACTGCAACCTCAGGAAACCTCTCACGCCAGTGCTTGTGCAGTGCAGTGCTGTTCTTCACACCGGGGCCTGTTAAGATTGGGTAACTAGCTCGGCTGGACAACCGAAAACCGAAACGAAATTACCACCCGCGAAGCTGGAAGGCATCGATCGAGACGCTGGTTGATAGTATACGAAGAGTCGAATCGAAGGTATGTATTTCGACCTCGGCCAACGGTTGGGGAAGTAATATAATGATATGACGGAGGTTTTTTATTTGATTAATAACAGGTCCCGTCTCGTCCAGCCTCAAGTTGGGGCCATAGCATACATAGCTCTATTCGGAATACGATGTCCCAAACACCCGCTGCCCAGAGTTATGGGCCATCTCGTGGCATGGGGGCTACCTCCAAGCTCACCTGGATTTGGGCGGTTGCATGAAATCGCACACAGAAAAGAAATAAGAGAAAAACGTTATGGATCTCATCCTGGTCATTGAAAAAGTTGGGGTTGCCATATGGCTCGGATGACGTCTGCTCCGTCCTGGGTCTCAACTGGGATTTCGTAGACGGGAGTCAGGCGGAGACATTCGACAATTATCGCTGTTCAGGTGCCAAATACTATCAGCGACACAGATGGGATCGTGGGGAAACGTGGGAGACTCGACGGGCATATCCTACACATATCCTTCGGGACTTAAGCTTCGTCTTGTCCAGATGACCAGTCCCAGTGGCCATCGGGTGGTTCTTTCGGATCCAACTGCAGCCAAGAGAATGAAATGATATTTGGTGCGAGTTACTCGAGAAAAAGGTAAGGACGGCGGTGGAACATAAGGAATATACTTTCAGGCCCCTCTAAATGATACCACCATTAAGCGGGATTCATAGCCCGTATGTCGTATCAGCACAGTCGGTGGCCGGGAGGCTAGTCGTTTACTCTTTCCTTCCGAACATGGGCGCGCGCGCCACACCTGCAGCCTTCTTATGATATTGTTCCACGACATTTACTTGCAGTGGCTAAGCTAGAGGTCTTATCGATAATGTTGAATACAAACTGCCACGAGCCATATACGTATATACCTGCATCTTTAAATTTCGAATTTACAATCATATAACTTGCATTTTTAAGCTCTTGTGGTTGAGCACCAGTGCAGGGGCTTCAAACCCGCAAACGTAGCAGAAACCCGCGATAGCACTGTGTATGACTTTGTGCACGAATAAGCTTATAAGCTTATTAGTTAGGATGGAGCTTAAACGTCTCGATATCAGTCACAACCAGCACTTAACCACTCATAAAATTCTCGTACTCCATAACCTGTTGATATACCAAGTGGTTTTTACGGCTATTCAGCCATTCAGGTCGAAGGAAATATTGCTTTTAGCTTCAAAATACGGCACGATGACAAGGCTGTCGCAAACCAATGCAATGTTCCATGTATGTGCACATCCGTGAGTCAGTCCAAAGCGCGCGAAGATTGACGCGGTCAGCCTCATTGCCTTGCAACGTTTTGGCAATATGTAGTCGTGCTACAAATGGCCCTTTTCCTGCTCTCAAAAAATACTCAACCACCATCCACTTTTTCTAGTTATATCTAGCTCATATGCCCGTGAATACATGAGCGATCCAATCTGTCAACAATCGTGATCTTCCCACGAATTATCATCTACTACAATAGGTAATCATGGCAGACGAAATGAATATGACCCCCGACTCCTCATCCTGGTCGATGCCATCGGCTCCGATCCTCACACCCTCGCATTCCAGCGCCGTGATCATCTCGAATTATAAACGAGATCCATCTGAACAGGATGTCAGCCAACGAATGCTCCATCTGGGTCGATCCATGAACATTATCGGCCCAAAACTTATCTCGCGCCAGAGATATGAATCCGAGGCTCTTGGTAGTGGTGCCAAGTTCGAAGTTTATGCCCATAAGCTTCCAGAAGGTCGAGATACTGAAGATGGGATGTTATGGGAAGGCATCGATGTTAGAAGACTTGCTTTCAAGAGAGGTAAAACGTCTCTGAAGAAACCCGAGGAGCTCGATGACCCTTCAACTTCATGGGTTGCCGTCGTTTCGGAAAGTCAAGATAGTATTGGTGACGTGAGAGGCGATGAAAAAAAGGCAAAGCAACTAGAGCAAGTAGCCGCAGTAGTAAGAGAAATGGTAAGTCGGTAGATCTAGAAAGGTTGCATTGAGTCGCGTTATATATAGCTAATACAAATTCTCCACGACTAGAAAGCGCTTGCTCGCGATAGCCTTCGCCGCCACCGAAATATTGTGAAGCTCTTCGCCTGGGGATTCGATATGGAAGATTTCAATAATGGGTCTCTGATGACACCAATACTAGTTGAAGAAAGAGCTTGGGGTACATTTAGCGAGCTCCTTGCAACAGAGAGACTAGGTGCTGTAGAACGGTTCAATCTCTGCCATGATGCTCTCCAGGGCCTCACCGCTCTGCACAAAGAAGGCCTCTACCACGGTGATATTAATCCTAAGAATATTCTTGTTTACCAGGAGCAGGAATGCATCGTTGCGAAGATCAGTGATTTCAGTCATTGTGGCTTCTTCCCAACAGAGCCTGGAGATATGGTCTGGTACCAGGGTACCAAAGGATGGCAAGCTCCCGAAGTTGGCGATAGTCTCCCAGCTTCCAAAGCGGATATCGTAGCTCTCGAATCCTACTCTTTTGGCCTTGTTCTATGGTCTGCAGTCGGCCTTGCAGGGAGATCTCCACTTCTTAAGAGTCCAGCGGCTAGCTCCTCCCTTCCAAACTTCGCTCGTGCTTGCCTTGAAAGCTATGATCTCCCTTCGAATGTTTTAGCAAGAGTCGAGAATACCATCCCACGGCTCATAAATCACGCCCCCAATTCCAGATTTTGGGTCATTGCTGGGATGTTGGGGGACCAGCTTCCAATGCAGGGGTAAGTTCTACCAAAACTTATATTCAAACCATGACAGAGACTAATACGCCTTGGATAGTCGACGACTTGTTTTACACATGTCTACACCGATAAATCTGTCTATGGATGAAAGCTTTCAGCATCTCGATGCATTGTAAGTCACAACCATACAGACTTAATGAACTATGTAACTGATATATATTAGCATACGGAGGCATACCAGGAAAACTCAGGTCCCGGACCCCAAAGCAGCCAACGGCACCACAACCAATCCATTCCTGAGATTAATGGTCCAGGAAGCCTACATTCGCAGTATAGATTGGAGACTCACGGGTGCCCCGATCCTTTCAGGCTTCGCTATACCCGCATATCAGCGCCCTGATCCACAAAACTACCAACCTCCCGTAGCGAAGCCTCTAAAACGATATAGGTTTATGGATCTTCATGAATTAGAGAAAATTGATGAAGAACGCCAGAAGGGTGAATTTAGTTCACTTGCGGCTGGAGAACTCTTTGATATTGCCATTGGGCTCTATTCATACGATGAAGAGCGCGGGTTACTTTATCTACGACAAGCTGCTAGTATTGGCGACGTTCGAGCTCAAGCTTTGTATGAGACACTTGCATCAAAAACTTCACCACGAGTTGTGCCTGCCGATACTCTCCAACAGTGGGCCTTCGATGCTGCTGCAACAGGTTTCACAATATCTCCACAGTCTTCTCCAAACTCGTCAGCACGACTTGCTGGAACTCAATTCCGAGGAAACTCGGGATACAATTGTTACTCTTATGCGAAAGAGAACGGCATGCGTAATGTGCAATGCTTCCATATGGATCTCGAGTCTATGAAGGAGTATTTGCGTTCCAAGAAGTTTCAAAACATACAGGGCCAGATTCAGCTTGATGGGCATGAGCGGAATACTCTTCTCCACCTTGCAGCGTTAGCGGGAGATCTCGAGGTTATGAAGGGTTTTACGGAACGATTCACTGACCGGCCCTGGGCTTTGAATCCCATGAATGAGAGAAACGAAACTCCATTGCTTATCGCCTTCCGTAGTGGAAACGCGGAGGTAATCAAGATACTTCTAGAGGCTGGAGCATCAGCAAACATTCGTGATGGGAATCAATCGCCGCTTCATTGGTTATTCGCTGTCCCTGCCGAGTCCATGGCTGAAATCTCTAAGCTCGCTGTATCATCTGGTAAAGCCAGATTAAACGCTATAGCACCCGATACCCCAATGCTCCACTTCCCATTCTACCTGCCAAAGGGATCTCCCCTCGTTTGGGCAGTCGCTGCTGCCTCTCTTCCCGCCGTCGAAATAATCTCTGAAGCTATCGTCACCCATCCAGACCTCACCTCTGAAGAAAAAGAATCATGCTTTACAGGTGCAATTAATTTGGCCATGGTCCGCCACGAGGCAGACATGATGAAAATCATGCTCGACACCGCAAAGTCTCACGGTGTTAATCTCACTAGTATTGCCTCCGAAGCGTTCGAATGGTCCGTCATTGACGTTCCCGAAGACTCTGATGACATCCCCATCGCTGCTACGCCTCTGTCCGGTGATTGGAGAGATGAATTGGTCCGAACTATCCGCCATGGCAACGATCCAAAGAAATTGCGACAAACCCTTATGCACCTCAACTCTCTCCAGACAAGTCGTGTCGTTGACGCGGAGGCTGATGCAGCCACTAATATTGCTGCTAGTTTTACATGTAAGTTCCTCTTCCTTTCTTAATTCCACTCTATGTTGGAATACTAACAATATATTCTATAGATCTCAAGCAAGTCATCCTCCAACATGACTCAGTCTCCACCACCCGTCTCCTCCAACGCCATGGCTCAACTTATTCAAAATCCGACCTTGGAACCGCTCTCTTCCTCAACATCGAACACAATTGGACTCTCCCCTCAAATCCACATTTTCCAGCTTTCATGGACATATTTCGCGGGCTGATAAATGCCGGCGCAGATGTCAACATGCCAAACCCCCTCCCTGCCGGCCTAGGTAACACGCTTATGCACGTTATCATCAGGAAATACACGGACGAACATTCAGGATCTCAGATCAACGAGATTCGTGCGCTAGTGATCCTCCTGATCAGGGTATTACACAGTTGTGGTGCGGAATTGAACAAGAAGAATACAGTTGGAATGACGGTCATGGATTATGCTTTGCACAATAACAGGAATTTCAAGCAAGATGAGGAACTCGTAGATTTGTTGCATAAGTGGGGTGTAAAGAGCACCTTTAGGCTGTTGCCGACGAGTGTGGAAGATAGGATTGGAAATTGGAATTCAAGACAGCTGGAGTGGAAGCAGCCGGAACCGGAGAGAGTCGATGTTAGGAAAACGGGACTAGCTATTAGGTGGCATGATGGGGGTGCTGAGGTTAATGAGGAGATGAAGGATAATGAAGTAGATGAAGACTACGAGGAAATTGTTGTCGGGTTGAATAGATCTGCTATTTAGTGTCCGTGTACTTGGTCTCCATATTTTACTCGAGCGCGATTTGGCGTAATTGGGCTTTTTGGGCGTATTCTAAATCGGCTAATCAATGAATTATTGAATTTGAAATCACTTTTATATACTTATATATAAGTTCGGGGGTATTTATTGTAACGTACCCTCCTCCGAGCAAAAGTTCCGCTATATACCTACTATTAAGTACATAGGCATATAGCACTTGCCTTGAGGTTTAGACTACTATCTTTGTCTAGGCTCAAATATCCTAAACCGCATATCGATATGGATTCCATACGTCTTCCGCGGCTCTTGGACCACAGTAAGACTTCAATTCCTCTCAATCCCTTCAAAATCCAGATCCCTTGCAAAGAAATCCTTAACAATGAAATAATACCTCCCAAAACCCTCCATCCCACCTTCAGTACTGAGCCCCATTTCCTCCATGCTTGTTCTCCCAAGAACCTTCATAATCCTTCCTCTTTCCAAGACTCGTTTCCCATCAACAACCTCTTCCTTCAACTCTAAAAATACAAAAACATGATTCTCAGGCTCGAAGTCTCCATTCGGGACTGGCATGTTACTGAATGGATGTCTGCTAAGAACCTTCAATGCTACTTGAGACATTGTAGTCTCTGGTGGAATTGAAAACCTATTATATAGCGGCTGCGGGGTCGGTGGGAATCCTCGAGGCAGTTTGAAAGGTGCGTAGAATGTAAGGTGGACTTTTTTTGGGAATTTACCCTTGGAAAATCCATTCGGACTTGTTGAGCGTTGGACCTTCCAGGTTTTGCCGTAAGGTTTTGAGGTACTGGGCTCTCGAGGGATATAACTAGATCGGTCGGAATTGGAAACCGAATTGCGAGGCCAGCGGGTGGTGGCGCTGCCTTTCTCGCGAGGGTGAAACGTAGAATTGGAGCCCCAGTCAGAATCTCTGGGGGCAGAGCTACTAGTAGTACCCCATTCCGAGTCTCGGGGAGTTGAGCTACCCCAATCGGAATCTCGAGGAGCAGAAACGCTACCAGAACCCCAACCTTCGTCTACAGGAGCGACAGGACCGGTGGTGTCCCAGTCGCTTCCAGCTACCTGTGATTTTTGATTAGTAGCGTCCCAAGAGGCCCATTCAGGATCACCTGCGGGCGCGGCTGGCGCTTGTTCCTGAGATACACTCTCCCTGTATTCTTGTCTCCGTGGTTCTTCAATTGCCTTTTTCTGCTGTTGAGGATGTGGTTCAGTTGTCTCCCGCTCCTCCTCCTCCTTCTCTTCTCTCGCCTCCTCCGGCTCGTCTTTTGCCGCACGCGTAACAAGACTAGCCAGCTGGTCCACCGCATGCTTTGCAGGTTTGGTTTTTTCCTGTTCCCCATTCGTAGATACAACCTCCGGTTCCCCAGCATCCGCACTGACTACCGTGGTAGAAGTAGAAGTAGTAGTAGCGGTAGTAGGAGGAGGAGGGGGAGCATCAACCCTCTCACTCTCCCTCTTGACGCCCCCATTGGTATCAACAATAACCTGAGCACCTTCACCTGCCAAGTCCTCCCAATCCTGAATTCTAACCACCAATCCAGCTTCGTCAATTATCCTCCATTTCCCATTCTGAAGATTTGTCTTGACTTCAGCTGCATCGGTTGCGCTCGCTTCTGGTAAAGTTGATATCACATTTATAAAATCCTACCGCGGTGTATCGATTAATTAGCATATATATCCTTCCAATATTTATATAAATATTTAGGCCAAGCCATTGGAATATACTAAACTCACATCGGCAGTTAAAACTTTCGAAAAAGGTAGCACGTATGGTCTAGTATACGGCAATATTTGCACTGTAACGCATTTTCTATCACTGCGTTGGTAATGCGAGAGAGAGCGCGGACCCTTAATGTTTGTTCAGTAAGTTAGTCACAATGCAATTGAACAACTGAACAGCAGCCAATACAACTCATGAGAATTTCGAGGAGAAGACCCGGTATACGTACTGTGGGGTTACCCTGGGGTTGAAGATCTATAAGATTCTTCTCGACGACGTCGACAGACATGACTCTCTTTCTCAAAATAAAAAAAAAGACACCCAACAATTACAATCTTAAAACTCGATCGCCGCGAAAGCTGAGGAGGCTAGATCTAGAATTGAAATGGGAAGATGGTCGGGAAAGTGTAGGTATGATGTACATTCATGTAAGTACGTGGACATGACGATAAAAAATTCAACTGCGCGCGGGCAGAATGCGAAGAGACGGACCATGATTAATATTGATTCGTACTAGTGTGCTTTACGGTTTGAAGCTGCCCTGCCGGGCCCGGTGGCATATGCCGACGACGTGGATGTATCGCGTGGGCAGCTTTTCGACTGGTTGGGATTCTGACCTAACTGTGGTATGGTGTGGTGGCTGGCCGGTAAACCCATGCTTCCGCATCCACTGCCTGAAATTTCGAACCAACCAACCACATTCAAACAAAGGTACAAACCGTTTCCAAAAAAAAATAGTTCTGATGTATTGTTGGAAATGCTGCCTGAAAGTATCGGGGAATGAATCCCTTTATACACCAGTACCGAGAAGATTCCATTGGATTTGCTGGGGTACGTATAGAACTCAAGGTTCACATATATGCATACAAATAGAGTCGAAGTTCAAGATGAGAGCTGGTAGCTAGTCTTGGCTTATAAGATTTACTTCAAGACACACGAATATCAATACATGGGAGGAAATGATTATAAGAGTATAGACTTCAGGAAATAGAATAAATACAACCACATTGATTTTTTTTTTTTTTTGTTTACAGAGAGATGTATAAGATGTTTACTTCAAGTTTTTTACGAAATCTAGAAAATATCAAGAACCATATATTGTCATCGTCCGCATGTAAACGGATATAAAGCCTGAAAGCTTTAACATCACGCACTCTCGATCTCGCCCTCCCCTTCTCTCTTTCCGTTATAATTCGAATCCATTTGCATCATACATTTCACGCTAATAAAAATTGGCGGTAGCTGATGGTATTGGATTAATAGTAAAACTCATAGATAATTTTTATATCTAAATAATGTTGCCTGCTAGGTATTCGCACCTGAAGTTAATCTAGAATTTTTTAGTCGCCAGAAGATTATATTATTACTTGCTCTTACAGATATAATATTGATACTTCGTACATGCATGAAGCTGATCAGCATCAATCGTATCAAAAAAGGTTCAATGCAATAGCATATAGACGTATACGTATTAAACAATAAAGCCAACTGAAGCCCCCGTTCTGAGGGTAAGGCCTAGTCTAGAAGGGTAAGACCAGCCGGTTGATAGTCATACATTCATAAAACATATATATACGTTCTATCCATCGGTCAGCGATCAGACGAATATCTACCTTCGCTTTTCCCATAGCTTAATTCAGTGTATATTCATACATGCATATCTACAGCAAAGGTCTGCACGCTGCATTTCGTATACATATATCTCGGTTTTTTATAGAAGCTGGAACTCCTAGTCTAAATCCGATTTCAGGAATATATTAGTACTTCTTGATAAATCTGGGGAGATAGTGTGTACTGACGAGGTATCAGACGGTCCCTTATACACTATTTTGTACATTGTGATATTTAGAGTTGTCATTGTTGTATTTGAGGCCTGGCCAGGTGGCACACTCTTAACTAAACTCTGTTACCCGGAAGATACCGCCCCATCGATGTTCCACCAGAAAGCCCGTCGGGTCAACATCCTCCGGCCCGCGGCGCCCGTCAGTCAGTCAGTTCGGGGTCAACTGTTGCCCGGCCAGCCTTCTCAACTGACAAATGCAACAACGCCAACAAAAATCTCTGGCACGTTGCAGTGGGGTAAGAGGTAGGTAAGCTAGGTAAGTATACTTACAGTACAACCTTCTCTCCACCGCTATAAACATAATACACCCTGGAAGAAGAAAAATGACTAGCAGCATCTCCCTCATTATCTATAACGGCGGCCTGTTCAAAGACCACTGGTCACTTTTCATCCCCACCATCGGGGAAGATATTGGGTATAGGCTCCATGCCACAGGAGACCTTCGCACTGGATTTGAATTCGAATTGATAGAAAGATATGATCTTGAGAATACAAATCGTCGGCACACTAAACAATTTCTATCTGAAATCACGTATGCATCTCAAGTATCTCTTGAGCCAGTGATTGGAGTGTTTTGAGACGGGAACGCTGATAGAAACAAATCATTGGGGAATAAGTGATGTAGATAGAGTTATTCAAGTAGCTCGACAAACTCCTACGCCAGGGCCGAGTCTAAGATCTACAAGTTATGATGTATGCAATTCCCAATTCCATATATCATATCACATACATAACCAAAAGATCATTTCTCATGATCTGCTAAGACTAATGTCTACTACCGAACAGGGGCCGAAGGTTAGATTATACCAGCAACGGAATTGCCAAGATTGGGTTATTGATGTATTAGAAGCACTAGAATCAGAGGAACTTGTGCAAGCTGGTACCCGCAGTCAAGTCAAAACGCAATCTTAGCTTAGCTTAGCTTAGTTGAGCTGAGCTGAGGAATTTATTTTGGAATCAAAACGAACCTCTTACATCCCAAGTCGAAGAACAAACCAATTCCAAGCATCATAATGTGTCCCTTCTAAATCCCTATCATATATATTGATTCTGAATACCAATTCAGGTCCAAGCATATCCATCTTCACAAACTTCGGAAGATAAATCTCTGACCATGCGCTTCCAACCTCTGCTGTCCATCGGGCTTTACATCCTTCCCAATATTCCGGAAGCCACCCCGATTGGTGCCAATCTATAATAGTTAACACAAATCCACTGTCTTCTTTTAAGATATCACTAATACTATTGTTGTTGCCCTTTCTCGGGTATGAAATCATGATGTTACTAGGATGAAGATCACCATGTGTGAAAACAATATCCGAGTCGTCGATTAAATGGGCTCGAAATGGATCAGGGGAGCGATCCCTCGATCCCTCCGGCCTGTGCAGACATGTAAACCAATCGTGGAATCCGCGAACAGTCGTAAAAGAACCTGCAGGTAGTATACTGGGTGATGAAAAGATTACATCCTTAATAGGTCCTTGGGATATACTGCCTGTATGTGATAATTGTCAATAGTAGTTATTAACCAACAATGCGGTGCTCTAACATACCAATAAACCGATCATCAGGGTCTTGCTTTAACCTTCTTAACGAAGATATCATTTTCTTCAAACATCGGCATATATCATCTCTTTCATCTTCAGAGATATCATCCCAAACCGTATCAAGCTGTTTCCCATCTATAAGTTCCATATAAAGAAAAGTAAAGCCATTATCCTGACGCCAGGCAAATATTTCAGGCACATTGACCTCAGAGCTCAAATTTCTCTTCAAGAAATATAAACATTGACCTTCTGCAATAGATATTTCGGTACCCCATTTAACAAGCAGGCCTTGATCTGGGAACATCATCGGTGGGGGTCGCTCGAACGTGGGGAATTCTGTAGTCGCATTATAGCGATCTCGGATCTCAGATGCAGATGGTAGTTCACGGTTAGGATTTGCGGTGAAATATGAAGAGTCATAGAATGTTTCTGAGGGGCTTGAGGGGAGTGAAGAGGGTACAATCTGGATGTCATCCTGGGATGACATATTTCCCTGACGAATCTATATCATCAACCCATTTACGAGTGGCAGTACGTGCTCAAGGAAGTATGTGATTATAGAGCACGAATACGTGAGAGATTTGAATGATTCAAAGCCAAAGGTGGTTGGTTAAACGTAGCCTCGAATTCCATTTATTAACGGGGATCCGGATGCATTGTAGTGCGTGCATATCTGTTCTGTAAAACGCTCTGTCGGCTTTCGATAGACGGATGTGTTGCAGAACCTGGACTGGCTAGTAAACATTTAATCCCAAGAAGCTAAGCTTCAGTGCTTCGGAATAACCTCTAAAACTGTACTCAGGAGTCCATGGTCAGGTTGAATTTTTTTTAACTCAAAGTCCCCTGCTCTCGGTCTAATCATAACCAGACCTCCGACTCGGGAAAGCCGAGGCTCGCCCTGTTTGGCAAAAATGCTGTGTAGATGCCAGGATGTCTTGATACCATATCATATGGACCGTGCCTTTTTCCCAACAGTGTTAGTCTGGTCCGGATACAACCTTGCAGTTTTAGATCCATCCAGCTGAAGAAATTTTCTAGATTTAGCTTGTCGTCTGAGAAATTTTCTTAAAAAGAGGCGGACCAAATTTAATTGCTAGAAAGAACATTTACCATGGTCAGTATAGTAATCTCGTAAGCCGTTCCATTACTGGCCAGCGCTATACGAGACTAGTCTACTGCTTGTGGGTGTGATAATATATATAAGATTCGAATCTGATATGGACGTCTTCGCGCTTCGACGTCAGAAATGTCTGAGCTTATACATCAATCCATACTTTGTAAATTTAGTTCGTCTACATATTTCCTCCGTACAAAGTCGAAGATCTAGAAGCAGCTCATGTCCATTGATTATTTGATCATGAGCTCTGATGTTTAATTTTCCCTTCATCTGGTCGTTCCTTTGAGAAAAAGCTTTTCTTTACTCAATCGGGTCGCATTAAAGGTCGCACTGGAATTCTATTCCGCAGGCTAAATAGCTTGTCAGACGTGCGCTCGACGTCATACTCTTAGACATCCCTGACCTAGTTATAACGTTCCTGAAGAAGTCGCGCGATATATAGTATAATCTAGAGAAGAAGAGAGAGAATAAGCCGCAAGATAGTCAGGCACGCTGCGGCATATTCGATATTGAATACGTAAGTACTCTTTTAATTATAAGTATCCAATCCGATATCCACACTTATATACGATACATCTTTGGTCCGCGGGCAGTCCGAGGTCTCATTCGAAGAAAGCTGTCCATGCAGTGCATCGAAATTAGCCTTGTTTCGCCAGCTCACCCACCGCATGTATACACCATTATACTTTCTATAGCTACTATACTTACTTAGTTATACGACAGAAACTAGCAAAGATCTTAGGAAAGATTCGAAGTACGCAAGACCGAGAGTTTAGAAGGAGGAGAATACGAAATACGAAAGTTAATTTGATTAATTAAACTCGGACAAGTGGGACCAGCCTTTTCAAACGAGAACCACACCTTGCACCCCCATTCTACCCAAAGCGGGGGCCGTCTGAAGCCCGTCGAGTAACATAAAAGTAATATTAGCGAAGCAATATTGCAATCGGGTCCGATTTACGCTGTGCAAAGAGGTTACGTGGTTGTGCACTGGTGACAAAGCTCCGCCGCAATCGAAGACTCTGGGCGAGAACCAGATCTTCTGATACGTACTATAACGTTAATACATTATTACCCAGCAATCACACATATAATTATATAAAAAGAGGTATGTATGTATGTATGTGTGTATGGTACTTTTATAAAATATTCTCCATCTGTCCGCAATTTCTTCGTTTTGAGGCTAATTAATAATATCCATTCAGTCTTTGTCTTCGAGTTATATAAGTAGAAACCATCGGGACTGCCGGTATCCGAACAAAACCGGCGCCGACTCAACTCAACTAAAACACCACAAACCCGGCCCAACAACATCCAATCTGGTCAAATCGTCGATATCGATACCAAACCAGACAGACAGACATATATTCATACTTCATAGACATCGCAATTGTCATTCTACATCATCTTCAGCTTCAATCTATACCTGTAGACTTTCAAGATATATACTAGCACTTTTGGCATTCCAATTTCCGGACTAAATTAATTAGTTCCCACCGAACCCGACAGCACAGGCCTAAAGCGCAGGCCCCCACCCCGCATTGGTGCTCACTAACGAAACGACGCGGTTCGCGATAACCTCTTAACTCCACCAGCTAACTACCTAACTCCACCTCAGCTTACTCTTTTTTTTTCTTTCTTTCTCTCACGCCGGATTGATTGACTCCTCCCGTTCACTTGTTCATCTACCTACGTTTCAAATTGATCTTAAATATCAAAGCATCGTACCATTCTACATAACTCGCATGGGATTCGCATAAACTGCCCTACCAGGTTCCACGCTGTTCAATTCACGACAAACTTGCCAAGATGGCGATGGAACAGCTCGAAATCCACAGCAGGGTCAGTTTTGCATCTAATCGAAGGTGTCTTACATCCTTGTCAGTAAGCTCTTGCTAATATTTTGCTTTTATTCTCAGTCCTACCTGATCCGGTATGTCGATGTCGCCGGTGACCATGTTATCTCGTGGAGTATCCAGCCTCACAAAAAGTCAATGTATGTTGCTCCTGCTCCACCTCCCCCTCGGCAACGCTCCAGGTCCAAATAGGCTAATTTCCTTAGAAACTTCGGTCTCTTCAAGCATATAAAGCCTCCTGGGGGTACAACTCCCCAATTATCCAGTTCGACAGTCGGTGCTCCTTCTATCTCCTCTGGTGCTTCTGTTCTCCAACCCGATGAAAGTGTGCCCCAAGAGCGGCCCCGCACCCAGAGAGCGAACTCCACAGAAGCCGAGACAATCCAGAAACTCGAGGCTTCGGGTCTCCGACAGGTCCAATGGTACGGCAAAATCGAGGCCGAAAAGGTCACCACTGGCAAATTCGACGTGCCAGCTGGCCAAGGCGGTGCCTGGGCTTTAGTCTTCGATAACACATTCTCCAAGCAAACCAGCAAAACCGCGACTTTGGTACTTTTGACATACCCATCCAGTAACCCTGCGCCGGCTAGTCATCATATGCACCACTTCGACTCTCCTTCCGCGTCCACATTGTCTCTACCGCCGGTTGTGGGTGCTCCTCAGCTTTCTTCAACCATTATCAATGCCTCTACGGATTCGGTTGCCGAAAGCAATGGCCCCTCCGTGTCAACCGGCTTCTACACCGGTATTTTGAAAAAGAGAAAGAGAAAGAAGGGACAGGGTTTTGCACGTCGGTTCTTTTCATTGGATTTCACATCATCTACGCTATCGTATTATCTTAATAAGGATTCTTCGTCGCTAAGAGGTGCTATCCCGCTCGGCCTAGCTGAGTTGAGCGCTAATGAAAAGAACTTCGAGATTACGGTCGACTCCGGAGCGGAAGTTTGGATTTTACGCGCAGCATCCCTAAATGAATGGCAAGGATGGAAAGATGCCCTTAACAGAGCATCACAAAAGGCACAAAAGCGAACAGAAGTGGGGATGGGACGTGACGAACCTCGTGGATTGGGGAGCCAGAGCCATTTGCCTAGTTCGGCAGCCTACCAAAGCGCGGAAGATGAAGGATGGGCAGCAGTGGAGTCTCTAATGGGTAGAATTTCAGGAATTAGAGATGCCACCCGCCGATTGACTACTATGTCCGCCTCTGCCTCCAACGTAAAACGGGGCAGTATGGCAAGTTTGGGGTCTGAGCTCGGGGCAGGCACTATAGCTACTACTGGACCCACACCGACAACGGATGAGAAGCGTCCATTCTGGAAGCGAAAGGCGAGCGGTGGTAATACGCCGTCTCTAGCTAACAGCCCTACTGTAAGAGAGAAAAGAGGGAAGTCTCTATCCGCGGGAGTCGGAATGACAGCCGCACATATGGTTGCGCCAGCACTACCAATCCCACCGGTCCCACCACTGCCAAATGCAGACATTACACCCCATCTCAACGAACTTCTCTCCGATCTCGACGCTTTTGTCGCTGATATCACACAAATCGTCCAAGAAGCTAAACATCGACGATACCTCCATCGCAAGCCATCCGCCAATGGCGTCTTAAGCTCTGCCGCTTCCCGAAAGAGCATGGAATCAGTTGATGACCAAGAGTTCTTTGACGCAAACGATGGGGATGCGGCTACTGTCAACGAAGGAAGAATCGTTATCGTTGACAATGATAGTGAAGAAGGTCACAGTGAGACCTATGCGACTGATGACGAAGGCAGCGGGGATTCAGAAGATGACCAAAGCTTCAGTGGCATGTCTGGAAGCTTTAATGCCTTCCCACCTAAATCATCGGACCTTAGCCCTCTCCCATTAGAAGCCGTCTCTAGAAGAGCTACTGTGAAGGGTACCACAGTACTGCCACCCAGTTTGATCGCTTTCTTCAGGAAAAATGTATGTTGCAACCTCCCCAACATCACGTTATGGAAAATCACTAACAAAAGAAAATAGGTTGGCAAAGATCTCAGCACAATCGCCATGCCGGTATCTGCAAACGAACCCCTCAGCGCTTTACAAAAGATTGCAGAACAGCTCGAATACTCCGAACTCCTTGATTATGCTGCCGACGCTCCGGACGCGAACGGTGAGCGACTTCTTTATATCGCTGCTTTTGCGATTAGCAACTTTTCCAACACCAGAGCCAAGGAACGTGCGATTCGTAAACCCTTCAACCCACTTCTTGGAGAGACATACGAGCTAGTGCGTGAAGATAAAGGTAAAACACCCCCCGCTAATCCCTCACCAGCTTTCAAGATGTGCTAACTCGATACACTAGGGTACCGCTTCCTCGCCGAAAAGGTTTGCCATCGCCCTCTGATCATGGCCGCCCAAGCCGACTCTCCAAACTGGACATTCACCCAATCCCCACAACCAAGCCAAAAGTTCTGGGGTAAATCTGCCGAAATTAATACCACGGGTCGCGTCCGTATAACGCTCCACAAAACCGGCGATAACTATAGCTGGGCACCCGCCACCACTTTCCTCCGCAACATCATCGCTGGTGAGAAATACGTAGAGCCAGTTGGCACTATGACCATCTATCACGAAAACACTGGAGAACGCGCGCAAGTGACTTTCAAAGTTAAGGGAATGTTCTCAGGAAGAAGCGAAGATGTTAGTGTCCAAGTATTTGACAAGGACGGGAAAGTTGGGAAGTATAGTTTACATGGCAAGTGGACTGGATCGCTTGTTATCTTTGATGAAGCGGAAAGTATGGTTAAGCAATTATGGCAAGTTGGAGATTTAGTCCCCGATGCCGCGAAGAAATATGGGTTTACGACGTTTGCGGCGCAACTTAACGAAACCACGGCTATTGAGGAAGGCAAGATGTCAGGGACGGATACAAGACTTCGACCTGACCAAAGACTTTGTGAGGAAGGAATGCTAGATGAAGCGGAGAACGTGAAGTTAGAGCTAGAGGAGAAGCAGAGAGGACGAAGACGGGTGATGGATGAGGAAGGCAAAACACACACACCCAAGTGGTTCATGAAGGTCCGAGAGACAGCGGATGAGGAGCTTTGGGGAATGGAGGCTGGGAAGGAAGGGTATTGGGCGAGAAGGAAGAAGGGAGAGTGGCCGGGAGATATGGTCGAATTGTACAAGTGAAGAGATTCACAAAGTGCTTTTTGTTTTTGTTTCTTTTAAAAAAGCTAAAGGGGTGGTTATACGGGCAAGGTGTGGTTCACTGAGTTTGAGGTACTCCTCCGTGGGAGCTACGGGGGGGTCCCTATAGATGCTGCATTAATAGTCCTTGTTCCAAGCATTCGAAGATGTATGGTACCAGATTGGTATCCATACCCTAGTATATATAGCAGTCAAAAAAGCATTAAATCAACGACGGTAATAAAATTAACTACTTAAAAGTCGTCTCGATTCCCGGGTAGAGTGACTGATACCGACCGTCCTTCGCGATATCTTTTATCGATCGCATCGTGTCGAATTCATGAAATATATGGTTTACGAGGTATATATACTGTCATCATACGATATACGAGAGATACGTAGTATCCACCCATAGCTATAACTAAGTATTAGATAGCCCATATGAAAACCTCGGCCTCGTCCGACGGCGCGGATGCATATACACGCATGCATGGCATGGCCGTGGCATGGCACGTAGCGTCAATTCCAACAGCCACAAAGCTTTGACCAAGTCAATTGATCATATCGTAAAAACGAATATAGGGTATTAGCGAGAGTGGGTTCTAGTCCCAGGTCTTGTTTACGAGACAAATCTATATATTGGTATGACCTCTTAAGTTAATCACCAGTTTCAGAAACACTAAATGGTTAAGGGCTTTCTTGTTTGTTTGTTTCCACATGGTCATAGCTTTTTGAAATCCCCTGTCATAGCATGAATAGCGGCTAAATTGTACCGAATCCCAGCCATGCATGGCCAGCTTCCCGTAAAACTCGTCAACATGCAACATGACATCTCGGAACTTAACTCTCCCATGTGTCATTTTTGCATCTTGTCGAACCATGGCAATGCGCAAGCGCGGCACAGAAATCTCAGCTGTCGGCCCGGTTAATATCAATAGTATCTTAAGTTTGCAATATTATTGGTTACCATTTTCTTATTGGACGGGGAGCTACGGGATATTGCCCTGCTGGAGATACTACGAGTCGGAGAGCTGGCGGCCGGAGTTTTTTTTAGTTAAAAGGAAAATATATTTGCGGTAACGGTAACGTATAACGGAAGTGGGTAAAATGGAATAGTTTATAGTTCCGATCCTTGTTTATACGTATAACTTAAGAATCGTTTAAAGAAGTGTACTTACATCGCTATTGCGATCTTATCGATCTTTAAATTCGCTAGGCTATAGCTATATAGCTATTTGGGGGTAAATTTAATATGATATAGATATCTTATAGCCGCGTTATAGCTAATGATCGAGCCGGGTCTTGAACCAATGGCTTGAAGTGCCACGAAAATAACTTCTGTTAATTTATCATGATATGTATGACTTCAATTCTTTAAGGGTTGGCAGCGACGATTGCATAGCTATATAGTATACTAGTAACGATACCTGAATCCTCAAAGTCGAGACATCATGGAATCCAGTACCCCTCAGAGCTCTACGGTTCCAAGATATACACCCCCAAGAATTAACCTAGCTTGTTATAGGGCCAGGGTCAAGATTTAAGCTGCACCATAGCCCAATAATACAACGTGGGCAGTCTTTTATCCCAGCTTCATTGTAACACCACTATCTTCTCATTGTGGGCAATACATCTACGGATCCGCGGAGTGATATAGACCGTACTTTTCCAATTGAGACTATTCCTTCTTTTCTAATACGTATATATGCAGGGGAGCGTATTCGATACGAGAATATGGTAATATGGCTTTAATCTGGCTCTAGCTCTGCCGCACAAGCGCAGAGAACAATTATTATAGTGTATTAATATACACTGTCATGTCGTTGTGAGGTACGCACACACCGAGCTACCTATATTATCTAAATAGAATACTTCAATGCTCATCCGACAATCAGTATACGCAAGTATTATACGACCCGCACCCACGTTCCGCTAGATCTTGGCCAGTGCAGTCAGAAAATTAATTGACATGGGCAGGCCTAGCTAGATAGCATGGGTATACCAGTATACACCATTTAAACGAAATAATCTCCGTTCGGCCGTTATTTTCAAGACTTTGACATGAAAAAAAATATGATATCCTAACGGCTTATGATTGCGGGAGCGAAACGCCCTCGCGGTAAATTAATTTATCGTAGCGGTCGAATAGTACTATGTTGCCCAGATAGCTGCAGCCTTAAATACATCTATGTTTCCTTTCGAACAAGGTTATACGTAGTCTAAGCTTGGCTATAACCTATATAAGCGGACAGATCTTAAGCTTAGGCTAAACTTAACCTTCTAAAATACGAATACATCAGCATGCATGCGGCGTCGGTGGTATATATATGATCTGGGGTATATATCACCAAGATATTAGAGCAAACTTAACTAGGATTTTCCGAGGGACCGATGTATCCTACTAGATACGATTAATAGTACAAGGCTAGATACTGTCGCTTTCCCATGTTCATTATCAAGTTTGAATCTCGAGACGATGCATATCCCGACTTTTCTCAGAAGGAGAGTATACATGCCTAACTCGTGTCCCCATGGGTTATTGACGAGGGTATGATACATCGATTTACGAATTATTCTAGGGTCTTAATGTCTGGTTCCAAAAGGATAAATACCTTACCTTGGTACGCTCTGTAGCTACTCGGTTCCATCTTCTCTACCCAGATATAAAGGCAACAAACACTAGTCTCCAAATTTCGAATTTTGATCAAGTCGCATATCAAGCTCCTCGTTTTTTTAGTTACATAATACATATCATCTTCCATTTCTATACTTTACGAAAAGTAGAAAGAAAAAAACTTTTACTGTCAACATGAAGATCTCCTCCATCGCCATCCTCGCCGTCGGTATTCCAACTGTTGTTCAAGCCGGTGGCTTCGTCAGCAGCTGCGCACAAATCTTCCTCGGTGGCACTTGGATCAATGCCCTTTGCAAGAATAAAGCTGGCGTTTACGTCCCCACAGCAAAGGATCTCAACGCGGAAATTGGAAATGCCAATGGTCTTCTCGCTAGACACTCGTATGTGTTATTTCTATTGATTGCATACGCGTGTATATATTCTTCTCACAGGATGTAGAGAATATATATATATATATGCCGTTTATTAACCTTCTACGTATAGATCGGGATATGCGAATGTTTGTAGAGATTGCTCGTTGACTACAGCGGCCGTGTTTAAATGCTCGTGTCCACGCATTAACCGTTATCAGCCGGCTTCTATCAATCTTAGTGAGTTATCTTACTATTGGGTCATAGCAATTTGTAGAATTTTGGCTAACTTGATAATTTTCTACGATAAGACAACTTCTTGAGCAATAGGGATGGTACTTTGTTTTGGGATTAATTTCAAACCCGAGAATTTGTGGCCTACAGATACACACGCTCACGATACACAGGGGCCAAATACTCATATTATATGATCATGTCATCATTGATTTTTCTTTGTAGAATGTATTTAATAACTACTATTTAGACTTCGTCATTTCTCTTACGAGGTTTTTTGGATTTACGAATATTATAAGGCATATCATCATGAATTGCCATCAAGTGATCATGTCTAAGGGAAATGTTGATCCCTTGTTCCGCAAGACCCGATATCTCTCAAAATAATTTAACATTCAATGCATCCTGTTTATTTTGAGAGATTGCATAGCGCGCGAGGCTCCCAAGAGAGGATCAGAGCCATTAGTCTCCATAATGAGACCAAGTTCCCCATATTTATGCAGCCTCCCGCAATTTTATTTTTATTTTCAATGCTGTTTTACCTTCGAAACTTCGAGTTTTCTCGATCACCTAAATCTTATTGTAATATTTTTCAATCAGTATTTCTTTTCTAGTCTACCAAATATAGATAGGCTTTAGAAAATCAAAACCAAATCTAGAGTCGTAAAAATCATACCGCTTATACTTTCTTTAGAAACTCAGGCCCCATTTGTTTAAGTGACCGATATGCATGCAGGCTTCCATCTATGCCAAATGCCGCTTGATCGCGCCGCAGGCCAGGATCGCTGTGCCCGTGGTCTTGGGACCCGCCGATACGGATCTATTCCCCGATACATACAGCTTTTTCCAATAATAGATGAATGCTTACCATCATATACCAGGCAGACGTTGTCGAGAACATAAGACTGGTAGGGTGCCTTGGCGCGAGTATGTAGCGCTTCTAGAATTCTACCAATCGAACGTCAGGTCGAAGTTTCCACCCGTTCCATTTTGTGTTGCTTATACAAAATTACCACATATCGAGGACCCTCGAAACCTTGTGGTACCAGAATCCCGTCCCGTCTGCAACCATCCGCTGGTATGTGTATGATATTATATATATACGTAGACGGCGTTTGTCAAAATATCTTAAAATAACGGTAAGGGAGCTCATGATCTTCACGGACGGTGAAAGGCTAACTGATGAGGCAGTCTCTTTATACCACGAACTAGCTAATATTTTAAACCTTCACATGTTTGCTTCAAGCTTCGACAAACTTTGCATCTCGAAATCTCGAGGAGGCCATAGGTGCAGGGTAGCTTTCCCGGTACACAAAAAAAGCTTGTGACCACCAAACAAACATCTCTAGATCGATTATGCTAAAGATAGAAAACCCATTCAAAGTTTTTTTTTCTACTCCTTCATTTCTGATGCCCACTCCGTCAGGCACCCAAACATTCTACGTGGAATATCCTGGGGAAAGCTCTACCAAAGCCTTTCCAGACCGGCTCGTCCCGCCAGTTTGCGTTGTGGAAGTGACAAATGGGACGAAATAGGGCTAGTGTGGGTCGTTTATATCAGACGGGCAGGTTCATAATCCTGGCCTCGTAAACGAGCAGAGGGCTCCGCAGGAGTCGCCTTGGACTTAGGCAGCGAAACCGCCTGAGCTGCAGGCTGGAACACCGGATCAAGAGATCCCCTCGAAGGAACTCCACGAGATCCCTATCGACGGGACTGCTTGATATCGTCATCGCGATCATGGTTCGGAATATCTAGCTATATCGAAGAAAAAATATATTCCTTGATGGGGCATCCTTGAGGGCTTAGACTGAGGCCGATTTACTTGCAGCACAAGTTTGTCAGCAGGCTTATAACACGAGTATGCAAGCCCACCTTCGGCTACTTTCTGGGTAACCGACAGGTGCGAGGGGCGACTGTGTGTGGGCCTCCACTATGTACCGCGAAGCAAGTGGTTTCACAAAGGGTCTGACCGACGGAACAGGCCCCACCCGGACCAATATACTCTGGCCGGATATTGGGCGGCGATGTCGCCTGTATGCACCACCGCCCTAGGGTCTTCGATTATTGATCATAAAATGCCCTAACCGGCCCTGCGGCTTACTGCGAAGCAACGGAAGGATGTGGGCAAGTTTCCGGATACAGGGAAAGAGATCGCCCAGTGGTCCCTCTTATCAAGACCCTTAGGACTTTGACCATGCATAACTACAGAAATCCAACCTTTCGAGCAGGTGTAACGTTGGAAAACCTGGAGGCTGTGCCCACCTACATACAACAAACAGAACTCCTCGTTTGCAAGACTTGCAATTGTTGCAACAATTGCGAGAGCGGGTCCCACTTGCCCAAGAACAGTTATTCCCCAGGCTGATATCACCCAACCATATCGTGAGCACTGCTACATCGAGTTGGCAAGCTTACACCCAAGAACCTTGATTTTTGAAACAGGATATTGCAGACTTCAACAAGATAGCCAATGTTTCAATCAAGAAGACATTTACATGGCCGTCCCCGTCTGCCTGCAAATTTTGTCTAAATGAAAGATTTTTAATGACGAGTCGTAGGAGTTCTACTAGGAGTTACAATCTCCAGAGGTACCATTTCAGGTAGGGTTACGCAGACTCCGCTCGCGCCACCGCAAACGTTTTCCTTCTTTGGTACTTAACGGCGAAAAGGTATTTGACAGGTACCTGGATCATGAACTGAACCATCGAAGAACACCAGTAACCTTCTCTGCAGGTGAGTAAATTTAGATGTTCCCGTCCAGCTGCTTTAGCCGAACTGGGGCAAAACAGAAGGCGTCGGCGGAGCTACATGGGGGGGAGCCTTCTAATTCGCCAGCGACAGCTCCTGGGTAGTGTGTCAGAAGCCCAAGTACAAATCTCAAGAGCCACCCACATTGACTCGATTGACGGTCCTCATAAAAATAGTGGTCGCAGGATTTGTTTCGGCATCGTTGTCCCTCGTGTCACAAACTGCTCTCTAAAACTTCATCACATCGAAAATTTGAATTTGAATTTTCTCGCCCCGATCATTCCAGATTCCTTCAAGGTCGATCTGCGCCTGTGCCTCGAATTATTGCATTCTCCTTTCACGACACAATAGCCTAGCAAACCTGCCAAATACCTTCCTCTTAGCTCGATGATCCTCTTACCGGCAGTTCGCCCATAGTTGTTCTCACTCTACTAACTTTGTTGGATCCGACAAACTAACAAATTTTCTCAGCTGATATCTCGATGACTTCCATATCATAACCATCAACCTTGACAACAGAAAGAAAAAAAAATCGCAGAAAATTTATTATCGTATAAGTAGAGTCCTCGAACTCATAAGGATACCTTTGGCCCTTTTTAGGAAATCCCTCAGCCCTTTCCGGGGAGGTATTTTATAACGGGCGGGTCTCCTTGGCTTGCATCAGACAGCGTTTGAAAGGAGGCCAGGCCCAACAACACTTCTTCCATAACATCGATTCCTCTTAATCCAACATCTCCAGTGCAGCTGGGAAAAACCGACGATGTATCGCCGGAAAATCTTTTCAACAATAGTGAGCGCAGGACTGCTCCTAATACCTTCTGTATATGGTCAATTTCCTGGGAAGAATACAAATGGTGAGGGTTCTGGAAGTGGAATAAATCTCGAAGAGGCAACAGGAACCCGAGAATCTTCACCAGCTCAAACCACAATAGCAACTTCAACGTCGGACAATTGCAATCGCCCTGTTCAGCTTATTGGGTTATCAAACGATGGGCCATATATCCCCGTCTTTATCGACGGCACAGGCCCCTACAATCTTGCTGTTTCTTTCGAAGAAGAAGGGACCTATATCTTTTCCCAAAAATTCTGCAGAGAAGCTCTTGGAATAAATGGCGAGTCCTGCTTTTACACGGCCTCCCAAAGCGAGTTAGGAGCCGATGATGAAGAGCATACTGTCAATACTGGAGAGGGCGGGTTTGAGTTCGAGTATATTACTCAACCTACAGAAGCGAAGATAGGCCAAGAAAACAATAGCGTCGTCTTTGAAAGATACCCCATCAGGGTCGTCGATGATGTGGATTCCAGGAGCTTGCCGCGGCTGCGCGCTCGATTCGGGTCAAGAGGGGTATATGGAATTATCGGATTAAAGAATAGCGGAGATTTCATCCGACGACTATCTTCAGCTTGTGGACAGTCTGGCTGGGGGATTCACCTGCAACCTGGATCGTTCTTTTCGTTTGGGGGGATCGATTCTCAAGCAAGTGCGATCGGGACAAATAATACTGACGTTGTGGTCGACCTAGTGGGTGGATATATTGGTGAGATTCAACCAATTACCACTGGTTTCTCAAGTTCTCCCAACAGCGGTTTTACCAGAGACATCCGGGTTGATCCAATGGCCCCCTACAACGTTGTCCCGAGTGACATTGGAAACGCTGTCGAAGGCGGGCTTGCGGCTGGCTCTAGTGTCGATATCACATTGGCTGGTGTTACTTTCAACATACCGTGGACAGGTCTCGTTCATGCTGGCGCGATAATTACAAGGCGAGAAGCTACGATGATACTCGGAGCTCCATTTCTTCAATATATATACGCTGCTACCCTCCCAGGCGGACGACAAAATATAGTTATTGCTAGAGATAGCGGCGCGAGTACCGCAGAATTCAAACCTTTCTCCGAAATTTTAACGACTCTGCCTACCAAAACTCAACCGGGGAACTCACAATCCAGCAGCCCTAATAGTCCGGACAGAAAGGTCGAAAACTCCGGTGATGATAACTTTGATGAACCAATGGCATCGGATCCTATGATGGTGAAATCAAGCAACAACATTGGGGCCATTGTGGGAGGGGTAGTAGGCGGCGTCGTTGGTCTTCTCATAATTCTTGTCGCAGCTTGCTGTTTTTACCGTCGCCGCAAGCTTATGAAGGGTAATAGCCCACGAGGCGTTGAAAAGGAATACGAAGCCGACTTTGATGCAGAAATAGGTCATCACGATGGATTCCTCCCGCAGTTCAAAGAATCGGGATATGCCACTCTTCCAACCCCACCCCCACCACCAGGACAAGAAGCAAGGCCTCAAATCCCATCCTTGATATTGGGGTCGCCTATAAATGCTCAATACGACAGCCAGACGGAATATACCCCAAGTCTTCACCCATATCACGACGAATCACCTTCTAGATCACTGAACGTCACACCTCTCCCGCCACCATCTCAAACCCCCATATTAACAATCCCTCCAGTCCCTGAACGACGACTTTCAATAACCCCATCTCTCTCAATTGAGCCACCTTCCCCTCTTTCTCGGAATGTAAGCGCGGCTTCGCGTCAAAACTTCCCGAGTATATCACAGTTACAGCGCAACCGATCAAATGTTCGTGCTGTACCCGAAGAAGATGACTACGATGTTGTCAGCATGGCTTCCGGGCCAATATATAACCCGATCCTAGCATCACAGGAAGCTTCGTCGTCAGCTCCACGACTACCATTTACACACCGACCAGAGAGTGGTGGAGCCATGGGGATGACAGATAGAGGCGCAGGACTATAAAACCTGACAACTATCGTTCTTTCGCTTCAGTTTACACTTTTATTAAACGTCATAACGATCAAAAAGCAAAAGGGAATATTTCAAATCTTATAATGACATGGGGATCATACAGGAGAAGAAGAAAAATGAAACCCTAACTTCAGTCGCTTGAAACGATATTGAATAATGATATTTTATAAATATTCTTCTCTGAAAGAAAGAAAATCAGGAAGGTCATATTTGGCGGGATCTATTTGGCGTTCGGAATCCATTTCTTTGTGCATATCCTTTGTTTTCTCAAATCTTCTTTTCTCCACCAGACCTACCTTTCGATATGTAAATATTTTTTTCCTCACCAGGGTACATCCAAGATTTCGGATTATCCCTGCTTTATCCTTTTTTTTTTCCTTTAATGTTTTATGATACTCAAATGGTTCGTCACCAAGCGCTCGTTTTTTCTTCTCCTTGATCCTTTCTTTCTCAAGCAAGATACCCCGGCGGGGCACGTTTCCTCTCGCTAACTATAACTACTATTTATTACTACAACTACTACTACAAGAACCACTACTAGCTAGCTACAATACTTCTTTTAACAGAAGCTCCAGCGATGTACCGAGAAATTCAATGTGGATAACTAAATTCCAATTAATTGCTAGTTACTAAGTAACCTATATTATATTATCCGATGTTCTTTCGCTTTCTCCAATGTTGGTGACATATATGATGCAACCCATCCAAGGATCGTAGCTGCCAGGACCAGGGAAGTAAGCTAGGGTCCAATGCATGTATGTCTGCTGGCAATGTTTATAATCCCGCAAAATATATAGATATATATAAATATACCCAACCCGGTCAAAAAAGACATCGATCATAATGCATAAAAACCTACCCTCTCTCAAGCTTCCAAACGGCACAGCGGGGAGCATATGCGCATATCCCAGAAACACGTTTAAGAATTAAGCTGGCGCTAAAAAATTACCTTGTTGTTTGGGCAAACACTTGTCTATTCTTAAAAAAAAAGATAAAAAAGCATAAAGTAACTTGTTTAGTGAAAAAAATTGCCTATCTGAATATTCTAGTAGTCGTAGTAATAGAAGGCTGAAGAAGTAGGCTAGTAGACCTGGCTGGCTGGAAGGAAGGAAGGAAGGAAGGAAGGAATCGAAAGCAGGCTGTACAAGTTCGATAACATAAAATACTTTGGATGGTATACGTACACCGCTGAAGCGATAAGAGCGAAAGGAGATAGATCCATGTAAAATATGTATTCCAACCAAGGGTATATTCTACTAAATCGGGATAAGAGAAAGATTATTGACAAGCGGCTGAGATCGTGATAGACAGAGGAGGAAAAGGGCTCAAAGAGAAACACGGGTTATCCTCAAATGTCTTGGGACAAAGAGGAAGACGATGGATGGAGGGAAGGGATTTCGACCAAGATAATGTTTTAGAAAGTTAATAAAAGAGAACAGTTCCCTGTACTGCGGGTGCGGTTGATGACAAATAGACGATTGGGTTGGTGTAGTGGTTTTGGTGGATGCAGGTTGGAGTCTCTTTTCCCACACAACTGATATGCAATATTGGAGTTGTGATATCGGATTCCTTCCCAATCCCGCACAACTTCTAAAGGCGCCCTTTTGTTTGGATTGATTGCCCATTGGCTGGCCTTCCTTTTTTTCTTTACTCCTGTCTCTTCGAAATCATGAGAATTTCGTGTGAATGATCTCGGGGTTCTCATGCCAATCGTCTATGCTAACCCACATCTGTACAAGTATTCCCAAATTAGCATATCTGCACCTATCGCTTCGGTTGCTATCAAACCTCGCATGGAAGCATGTCTTCCCACAACCGAAGATGCAGCAACAAAAAACCAAAACGCCACAAAACAGCATGGTATATGGATTGCATTTCCTGTATAACGCAAAAGAAGAAGAAGAAGAAAGAGAAGAGAGGGTTGGAAACGCTACCTTTCTAAAAGTACTCAGCCCAGCCAAGATACTTCCACCTATCCACGTGCTGTATTTCCTTTCTGGTGGTGCTGTTATTCTGATTTTCATATCTTTGACTGCGAGACGGCGTATTTCGGCAAGGAGACGGTCACCGAACCCTATAATTTCTCGGTTCAGAATGTTGCTATTTTGATATCTTTCTATGAAATGCGAGCACATAATGCATGCAAAAGCACAAACCTTTTGTTAATGTCGATCCACCCGATAGGATGATATTTCCAAAGAGGGCTTTCCTCAAATCCATGTCTGTTCGTGATATCGCATCCACTAAGATTTGGTGAATACCCTGATACTCGAGCCCGATGATCTCGGGATCGAAGAGTATCTCGGGGGCCCTGAATCGTTCGGCTCCAAGCTTTAAATAAAATCAATATAGCGTCCTCCCCGAGGTCATAGCATAGCTCCAATCATACCTTAAGAATATTCCCATCTGGCAGTTTATAGTCCTCAACCTTGCCGACACCACCACCGGCCCATTCCTTCTCCTCTTTCTTTGGATCCGGGGCGATGTAGCTCGCCTTCTCTTTGATCTGCCTTACAACCTCCTTTTCGGCGGATGTATGGAAAACGGCTCCGGATTTCCTTAACAGCGTTTGTAGATGCTCTGTAACATCTCTTCCTGCGACATCTATCCTTCTTACAGCTGAGGGAACCGCAAAACCTTCGTATACCGGAACAGCGTGGGAAACTCCGTCGCCAGAGTCAAGGACGATACCAGTTGTACGACCTGAAGCGTATCTATCGATAAGAAATCCCATCGTTAGTGCCCGAATGTTACCTCTTGAGATGATTAAATAGGGAGTGTACTTACAACGACAGGACTGCTTGTACACTAGTAAATAGTGCAGGAACGTTAAACGTCTCGAAGAATATCTGCGCCGCCATATCTCTGTTCGCGCGCGGATTCAGCGGCGCCTCTGTGAGAAGTACTGGATGCTTAAACAATTCTAATCAGCCACCTTTTCCATCCCATATACTCTCCATCCACCGGACTATAATTCCAACAGCTTCAAACTCCCCCATCATATCCCATCTCCTCATAACAAATCGTTAAAATAAAATAAAAATCAATTAAAGATCCCCTACCTCCTCCGACAAAGTCTTCAGTTCATCACTGTAAACATACTGCCATATCCTCTCCATATCGTCCCAGTCCGTTACAATCCCATGTTCGAGTGGATACTTGATCTTTAACAGGCCGCGTAGATCCTGCGCGCGAGATCCGATGAATACGTCGCCTTCGAGGGCGCCTGCGAGCACGCGTGGATGTTTTGGACGGCCGACGAAGGAGTTGAAGAAGCATTTCGGCGTATCTTCGCCTGCGAATCCGGCCTTGATTGTGCCGGATCCGTTATCGATGACCACCGGCTGGTTGAGAAGGGAATCGAGCACCATGATGGGCCGCTAAGGGGGGAGGCAATTGGTGGTAATGGAGGTCGATGGAGGGGAGTTTTGTTATCAGGTATTGGGGAGAGCTTGGAGGCAGTTGGAGCTTCGAGCTGCCTGTTTGCTAGCAAAGTGGAGCTCCACGTTTCCAACATTATCCCAACACAATGGGGAATAAAACAATGTCCTCGAAGGTGATGAGAATTAGACTGCGTGGAGCACAAGGTATTTAGAGAGCACGAGACTATTGATTTCGGGTGTCATAATAGTTCTGTAGAGCCTAATCAATGAAAACTAGATTCTAACTTTTATTATCATTCATAATTTATGGGCGCCGTTAAAGGGTGGGATAATACACAATAGAGTGCTAGAAGTCAGAGAACCACAGGTATTGTACAGAGCTATTGTAATGCAAAAAAACAAGGGACCAGCGCCCAGATATAAACGTGCTTAAGAAAGGCTGCGCAGCCATAGTATATAATACACCGCCGGCTGGGACAAATATGAATCCAGAACAGCCATAAAATTTGGTAGGGCGAGTCGCATGTCAAACCCCAAAGCAAACTAATGTTTACCTCCCCTTTTACCTCTAAAAAAGCCTCTGCCTCTGCCTCCCCGCCCAGAGTTCCTACGATGGGGTTGAGGCGGGGGCGGGGGCGGTTGATCAAGAGGGGGTGGAGGAGGTCCTGGCGGGAGAGGTGGCTGATTGGAACTTTGTACGCTAAGCTGTATAGATCCGGGTAGGCTCCATCCAGGTTGCTGACCATAATAGTTCTGGGACTGTGCTGGAGGAGGGGGCGGGACAGCGTGATAGCCCTGATTCCCACGGTGAGGCGGCTGGTGTCCTTGCCCACGCGGAAAATCCTGGGGACGATCTCTATAGTTTCCTCGGTCCTGAGCATAACCACCGACACGGTCACTGAAGCTGGACCTTCTAGGACTACGGCTTCGGTCCCGGCGGTAGTGGTCATTACGGTGGAAGTGATCGCCCCCTGGTCGAGCAGGAAGCCTGTCCACGCCAGACTGCGATCTTTGGTATCGAGTGAAACTCGGACCACCACGATCATCTCGAGAGTCTTGTCCTGGTAAATTACGAGGTAGATTCATTTGGATATGTGGCCGAGTGTTCCCACTAGCACGAGGCGGTGCTCCATATCTATGCTGCTCGAGATAATCTCTCTTGATATTTGAATCTGGAATAGCAACTTTCGCGGCTTGTAACCTAGCTTCAAACCACCCGAGTTCACTATCGTCGTCATTAGTGTCAGCCTTTGCCTTGCCATTCCGTATGTACTTAGAGTCCATATTCATGCTGGTCCATTTAGAAGCAGACTTTGCATTCCATATGGAAGTAGTTGGAACATTTGATCTCCTTTTCCCAAAGGTAGGACAGTCATCGCCAAAATGGTCATCATCACCACATTCATAGCATGCCATTGGTATCTTAGGTGCCTTTATGACAGGCTTCCTGGATTGTGGCGGCATGATGCGCCAGATTTCAAAGTCCTTCTGACCGGCTGGGACATTAAAGATAGGCAAATCCGAAGCCTTCTTGTTGGTTGATGATTTATATGGGCAATTGAAACTAAAATGCTCATGTGAGGCTTCACAGACATCACACTAGTAGTCGTTAGCAAAGAAGTGGTATGTCGAGGATTAAAATAAACCATACCTTAAGCTTGTCACATTGTTCGGTTAGATGTGGCTCCATACAAATATCACAGATCTTTCGCTTCTTAGGCGTTTCCTGGGACTCAATATCTACTAAAGCCTTTTGTGCCGCAGCTGCGCCCGACATATCAGGCGCGAAGAGCTTCCGGTAGTCCTCGTGGAGCAATGGCGGGATTGGCTGCCTCACATAGTATTTTTGCTGGTGTGACCAGATGTCAGTGTCGACGGATTCAACAGAGTCACAGTCAGATACAGCGCCATCTTCTTCTTCTTCTTCTTCATCGTTATCTCCATCTTCTTCCTCATCATCAACATCGTCGCTATCAGAAGCACTTTCGTTGTTGTCATCACTGTGATCATCCGCGCCATCTCTAACGACTGGGTGAGTGGGTCCTTCAGTGTTCGTATTTGGGAGTTCGTCTGTGGGGTCAACTGGATCACTCAAGAGACTGATAACCTCAATCTCACCATTTCCAGATGTTTGCTTAGATGGCAACGTTGGGCTGATACCCTTTAACGCTTGAGCACTTGCAGATGCACCTTGAGGAAGACCAGGGACCGAATAGTCGACAACCTGGATCTGGCCTGCGTTGATGGATTCGATCAAAGGTCTGCGTGTAATCTTTGCGACCCCTATTGCAGATCTGGCGGATTTCCCCAGCTTTAGCCCAGCTGACACCGCGATCGCGCCGTTGGATTTCGTGGGATCAGGGCGCTCTACGGCTGGGTCATTGAACGGCTCTGGAACGTTCTGCTTCTTCGACCTGCCCTTAACTACAGACTCTTCATCTGACGATTCATCGATTGTAATGACTTCGGGTTCTTCGTTATTTTCATCTTCATCTTCATCTTCATCTTCAAGGTCCTCAAGGTCTTCAAGTTCCTCAAGTTCTTCGTCCTTGTTATCATCCTGAAGGTTCAATGTAATCCCTGAATCATCCATCATGTCACTATCATCGTCGCTATCGCTAGAGCCATCATCCGGATATGGTCGCTTCTTAGTTTCCTTCCCAGTTTCGGCCAAGGCCTTGCTAGGCTCCTTCGCAACATCTTTGGCTTCCTCAATTTCAAGCGGTCGCTCTTCAATCGGCTGCGGTTCGGGAACGTCTGAGGCAGTGGCGGTTGGAAGAGTATCGCTATCACCAGTTAGATCCATAACTTCAGATAGTCCATTCTCCGTACGCGTTTGTCCATCAGCCTCAATGGTTTCAATGTTTTGAGGTGCTATTTCTTCTGGCGCTGGCACTGGCACTGGCACTGGCGGTATTGGGCTCGTCGCGCCATTTTCGGTAACTCCTGTAGATGGTTGAGGTTCCTCCATTGTTTGGTTAATATTAATACTGTTTATCGCGCTATTAAAATCCTCTCCGACTCATACTTGAATCGAGATTGCTGGATTGCTGGATTTGGCAGTGATGGCGATGGGCTGATATGATGAAAGGAGGAAGGAGAGAGAAGCTTTGAAGCCGCGGCGGTGTTGAGCGTTGTCAGGCATGGAAATGAAATTCTTCTGCCGCTTCGTCGTACAATGCGGCAACTCATCACGAGATTTGGGTGCGGCGCTCCAAAATATCACGCATACAACACACTTTTATCCATGATCAATCCGGTTTCGACATTCCTTTTTTCAGCTCCTCCTATTCGATTAATATTCTTATTGTATTTGAGAGTCAGAAACACAAGTAGACAATCGGATCCTAAAATATAGCTTCCTAAAACTCGAAGACCAGCTCAGAACTTGAACTGATCAAGGTTCCTGCTCGTACCGTGTCATGCTCGAGGACGTCGCAAGTCATATCATGTGAGCAGTGCTGCAGCAGCAATTGCAATCCTATCTCACTCTTCTATCAATTGTATTAATCAGGCCCTCTTTGAAGCTATGAAGATAGTGCCTACGCACCAAACTATCGGGCTATATGACACTTTGCAGCTTAAGTTCAGTATTTGTGCGCTATTGTCCGGACGTTGAAATTCCGGTGGTGTAACGGTCTCTCCTCCTCCCTCTCACCCTCCTCTTTAATTACCATTTTCACCCACCAGCTGCCCGGCGAGAATAAAACATCCAGCCCAGGCCAACATACGATCTAGTAAGATTATCACATGGCTACTTTGAGGCCTGAAGGCAGGTACTTCGACATCTTTTGTTTTTTTTTTCTGAATGAAAGTTCCGGCGGCTACGGATCCCCCGCTCTCAACATCTTTACCCGCCCACCAGCTTCCCGACCCTTGCCCTCTACCTTCTATGTCATAACATCGAGATCAATCGTAATCAATGCCTAATAAGAATGTCACCTGATAGATTTAGATTTCGGAACTCTTGTTTGTTTTTCTCTTTTTTTTATTAATTCCAATGATCTCCTGCTCCGTGCCGAGACAGCCGTCCCGCTCCCATAGTCGCATTTAATTTCCCCCAACCATGTCCCTACAAAGAAAGCCATCTGGACTAAGCAGGTGAGCCCTCAATAGAAATATCACCTGGCTATCTTCAGCCCCAGAACCAATAATTTGATGAGTTTTCTTTTTAGAAACAAGATTCTCGCAGACTACAGCAAGCGGTGACTGTATCGGCTGCCCGGTGGGCATACCATTATTTCGGCACGGCCCGGATGACGTCTTCCTCTAATACGATACAGTCTGGGAGTCTAGCGACAAGACGACTCTCAATCGGCTTAGCTTAGCCTAGATCATGATAAATCACAAACGGTCGGCAATTCGGGGCATTACGCGGTCTCTTACGTGAAGCGGGATTTAACGCAAGCGGAAAAGAAGCATGGATCCCTGGGTACGAGACCGATAGATACCAGCCGCACCATAGAACTAAGTGATCCAGGCAGCCCACTAGCCGCTGGACATTGATATTCCAACTCTTCTTCTCTGTATGTACTCAAATATGTATATACGTAGCATAATTGATATCCAAGGAGAATATCCTCAATGGCTTTGGCACCCTAAAATTAAAAGAATAACACCACTCGTTACAATTCACCACCTGCATATGTTTGTTCTCACACTGTATACAACCCAATTACCTAAATTTATGCAAGCGGGGTAGACCGCGGGAGATCTACCCGGGTCCTAACGATTGGCCCGGAGTTCGGCAAAGTCAGAAGCTCAATCCTGTTGTCGAAAACGAACCCGGACCGAATATGTACTTATATGCCAACGTCTACCTAGCTAAGTAGGTAGCCATCTAAACATCGGCCCATTGTCATATCTACAAAAAGATTATATGACAGCAGTCTCAGTATACTTGCACCCGAACAGCATATCCCTCTCGGAAGAAGATTTTAAATTTTTCAATACTATCTGTTCCTCATGACGCCATCCAACGGACCTCCGGACCGTTTGTACAACCATACGTAACATTCTTAAGTAATCCTCGACATATAAATGTTTAAACCCCTCCAAATTAGCTAAATTTAATAATATTATTTATAAATAAAAAAAAGGATTCGGAACATCTGCACCATTAAGCGTACTATGCATATTACCGTGGTAGTAGAAAGGCTAAAACGTCAAACCATTTTGTTTTCTTGGTTAACGAGAAGGTTAGTATAGTTAAGTTTAACAGTCCAACCTGGCGTGACCATGTCACAGTCACAGTCACGAATCACACCCCAAACCTTTATTTGTTAGTACAAACGCATAAACTTTCACATAGAAAAATAAAATAAAATAAAAAAAATCTTCCGATGCAGAAATATTAAATGTACCTGCTCGCATTGATTTCATGTAGTGTGCTGTACATGTGCTAACTATGCTGTGCTGTGCCCTTCAGTTAAAGTTTACCTTCGGCCGTTGGACGGACATCGGTGGTCGGTCGCCCGTTCGGCTGAAACCGAAGACTCAATTTCAATGACCCAGCCAAGCCAGCCCGCCTGAGAAAATTTTTACCACAAAGGTCTTTGCGCGGAGAAACGTTGAGCTTGAGTGAGTAAGGACAGAAAGAAAAAAGAAACAAAGAAGTACCAGACTACCTAAATGCAAACGCCCACGCGGCCCAGACAGACGAAAGAAAGAAAATGAAAGAAAGAAAGAAAAGAAGAAAAGAAAAGAAACCAAAAAAAGGCTGAAGGGAGAAAAAAAAAAAAAAGAAGAAAGAAAGAAACAGTCGTCTACTTACCCAATCGATGAGCGTAATACAGTCGAACCGGGAACATGGATCCTCAAGGATTACTTCTTTAGCTAACAAAGCTAAAGGTTCAAGCGTCAGGTGGTACTTGTTGGAAAAAAAAAAAAACCTGGAAACGTGTTGCGCTGCCCCGATGATCGAAGGACTGCGGTTCTGGGTTGATCTCATTCTGGCGGCGAATGATATAATTTCCCGCCAAGCTCAGGCCACTTCAGCATGCACCCTGCTGCTTATTCTTTCCGTTCCATCATGTCGACCGACATGTCATTGCGGCGGTGGTCTTACGAAATAATTAATTATGTCTACGGGTGCACGAGGTCAAGAAAGTTTTTGGTTTGAGAAGAGTGTGGAATATCGTCAATTCTCCAAAGAAACAGTAATAGCTAGTACAATAACTAAAGCAGTGTCGTTGAAAAACGCCAATGGTGTGAACATGCTAGAAATACTTCATAAGAAAGAAAGAAATAAAAAATACAAAATCCAGAATAAAGTCTTTATTAGAGAAATAAAACTCCAATCCCAAGTATCCAAACAAACATGTGACTCCCCGAAACTTTTTTGTGGTTTTCAGCCGTGATGAAACAAAAGGAACGCCGATGGTAAAAGGTTGTGGAGGTTGTGAAGGTTTTTTTTTGTGACAGTAGTCCAGGAGCCATGAATCGAGACCGTTAAACCCCTTCTTCTCCTTGAAGTCATGAACGAAATCAAAGTCGAGAGGGGTATCCAATGCAGTATTAAAAACAGTGTATGTGAACGCCTGTTGTTCTCCCCATATGAATTGATGAAAGTAGAAAGTATTTGCCTTCGGCTATATGAGGTCGGATCGAAAAGAATGAAGTTATTAGAGACCTCCCTCCATCTAATTCGAACTTTCGGAATTTAATGTCGTCCAAAGTTTCGGATCTTATTGACGATTCTATCGGCATTGGAAGCTATGGATCGACTCGAGTATCCGCTGTGATTCGAGCTTTCCGAGACCCTTCGGACTGATCCCTCCAAGCTGACTCTGTCCTCTTCGGCCTCGCTGTCGTGACCTTCCTCCTCATGAGGAACGATGTTTCCGGCGCCACCACGACCAACGGTATACATTGGAGCGATGGAGTCGCGTCTTAGCTTGTCGCGCTGAAGCTCTTCGTCGAAGGAGAACATGGCACGCTCCGAGGCTGCGTGAGCGTTACCGACACCACCGCGACCACCGTAGAATGGACGAGCGTGTGGCTTGATGTCGTGAGACTTTGCTTTTGGGGCTGCAACCTCAGCCGAGGTGAGCTTGCGATAGTTGCCGGCGCCGCCAATGCCGGTGTGGTAGTAGGCGGTATGTGGAGCTGGTTCGTAGGTGGTGAAGCCCATTGTTGATATTGTAGTAGTAACAAAGTACTAGGGTATGTGTATGAGATGAGTAGTTGGAATAAGGTAGTGAAGCTAAGAAAGCTTTAACTGTCGATGTGAAGTTTTCTTCTCGTAAGAGATATTGAAGTCTTGTTGGAAGCTAGATTGATAATCTTGAAGATGCTGATGATGATAAGATAGAAGAACCAGGTATGTCCACCAGGAACCAGCTGCTTATATACCAATTTCCATTCCAAGACACCTAGGCTCGATGGCGAGTCCGAAAGTTCATTGCTATGACACATTACTTCATCGAAATAGCTAGATCGTTAATAATGGGAATGCAAAGAAGGCAGAGGGGCATACGGGAAGAAGCAAAGAAACAAGGCATGACCCTGTCCTAGCGCGCATTTCCCCAGATTTTCATAGCGGATGTGGCCCGAATGAATTGCTGGTGTGCAGCCTGTCCAACCAGAGTGCCAGAAGCCTGCCATGAGCCCCAGCTTTTTTAGCTTTTGTGGTTTGTGGTTTGTTCTTTTTTTTCACTCTCGCTCTTCGCCCTCCCTTTCTGCGGTTCGGGAAAAAGCAAAGCTCGGACCCAAGGTACAAAAATTTTTTCTCATGCGGATTTTTTTTCGAAGAGCGCACCGAAGGCTGGCAAGCGCAGGTGATCCAACCTTAACGCTGGGCTGGCACCATTCGAACCGTCGTTTTGCTTTTGGGACAGCCAGCTAATTAGGGATACCGTGTGATGTCGTCTTTGGGCGTCTCAATGATGTATGTTGCAGCCCCATGGCCTGGCCGCCCCCCTCTTGTCTGAGGAGGGAAAATTTTTTTGCTTCGGGGTTCCTCTGGGATGCGAAAAGGCTTCCTTCGGTAGCATCTCAACATGCCTGGAATGGAATAATTATGTAAAGCTCTCACTTCATATTTATTACCGGGGAACGAACTTCTTATTTCTGGGCGTATTAGACGAAGCACTTTTGCTGCTATATTTGCAATTTTGAGCGTTTGGGTTGACGAATGTTTTGGGTCGGTAGTTGCCCGGCCGTGAACCAGAGAGAGTGCACGTGGTGCCTGACCTCACAAGTGAAATTTTTTCCAGACGCCGGTTTGGTATTTTTTGTTTCTGTTGTTGAGCTCAATGGTCCAAAATCGTTGAAGCCCGAAAGACATATCACGAACACCGAACACCGCAACAGCCGGATGAAACGGGACGGTCCAGCAAGGAGTAACAGTGAGTGAGTGCAAAAAAAAGGAGTCACCCGCTTAACAGACGTCAACTACGCAAAAACGCGATTCTCGCAGAGATGATATTCTTCAGTCATTCCTGTCGACGCTATGCCCAGCACCGACAAGACAATGCGAGAGAGGGAACCAGTAATTGTAACAAAAAGGATCCCCGGATTCCAATTTCCCATGGAGTTACTCCGTAAATAGGTAGTACAGAAATATAATACTTTCTGCATACCGAAACGTAACAGTAATATCGCCATTCCTTGACGCAATACGAAGCTGTTTCCTCATCATGAACGCATCTGTTTTGTGTAGAGTCAATATACTATGTATGTGTCGGCAAGCGCAAGGCAAGGTCAGGCAAGGCAGGGCCAAAAAAAGCTTGGTTGGAAAGAAAAACAGCTGTTGTAGATGCCTTTCCCGGGGAATATTACGTTATACCTTCGCATGGAATTTGCTCTCCCCGGCAGCCTCCGACTGAGCCGATGCCGTGTCAGGGGGCCAAAAATCCCCTCTCCCCTTCGTAAGCTCGAAGGAATGGCCAATGGACACGGTCAGGTGGTTCTAGACGCCATCCAAAAAGATGTCCTCTTACCTAAAAGTTGGCTAAAAGCAACCCAGAAACAGCAGTCCTTGCTCGAGACGCCGATTCTTGGAGGTACCAGCTCCCCTTCTAGCTTTCCAGTAGCTTAGCCCTACCAGTCCGACTTCGTACCACTTTGTCAGCCCATGGCAAGCTTTTGGATGGATCTTGTTTGTGTGAGTGTGAGTGAGTGTGAAGAGAGTGGAGCCCCCTCCGCGGAGTGTGATTGGATGAAGAAGGTTGTGGAACGAAGAGAGCTCGCCAGCTTAGCAGCTTTACCAAAGAAAGGGCATTTCTATTACCCCCATTTTATCAAATCGTAATTGACATAAAGACCATAAATTGCCCCCTTTTTGGACTTTCTTGCCAGGCCTTCTTGGTAAATTCCTCAAACAAGCATAAGCCTTCCCCTCATTGCATTGAATTCTTTGGAAAAGTAAAAATTAAGGTCGGTCTTGAATCATGTCACGATGGGGTAATGAAGATTGTTCTTGCAGCCAACCAGCGTCGAAGCTTGGCGGTGTCCGTCCCAATGGCGATATTTCACTGGTGCATTTCGACAACAGGTGCAACACATCACCGCCAATGAGCTCCCGCCACTGCACCGTTTCAGATATATCTGGCTTAGATCTATAAGGTATTATAGTTTCAAACGGTTAAAATCATACTCAGAAGAAATTAGAAAGAAAAAAAGCTCCGAAGAGACCTGGCAGTTGCTGTGCAGAGTAGGAATCACATCTGTTCCATTGATGCAGCATATTTCTTTTCGATCTAGCCCCCCCCTCGCTTGGGTGACAACGTTGACGCTGTTGTGACCAATTCGTGTCGGCTTTGATGCGCGGTATGTTATGTTATGTTATGTCTATAGACGGTCGCACGTATGTGATTGTAATGTACATACATCGTCCATGGCAATCCATGCATGCTGCATTGACATACGAATATGGGTATGGGATATGGATATTGAATATTATATGTTTCGATCCTGAAACTGCTCTTGGATTTCTATTACTTGAGAAATACCTCATCCAATCGACCATACTTTCGAAACCGTCGACGCCAATTCCAGGGAATTGTAACCGTTAGACATTCTTGCTCAATTACACGATAATCGCCACATATCGCGGCATCGGAATTCCACACTTTCCCCTAAAACGAAAGTCCGGTGCGGAACCGATCAAAATTTCAAAATGTGAATTTCCATGGATCCAAAGAATCGAAACTATTAACTCTTGGTGTTTCTCCACAATTCATTGTTCATTCCTGAAGCGAGTATACTAGTACTATAGTATAGTATGAGAGAGCCTCCACCAGCACACTCTCATCGATGCTATGCTACATAATGTATGCATCGGCTTGATCCCGTCGCATTAGCTCAAAAGGTCCGACATCGACGCGAAACACCTTAAAAACCAGGCTCCACCTGAGTGAAAAAAAATTTAGCGCAGCTCCGCCAGATTCCAGGTCTAATCTCGATTAGGTGTTTTCCCCAGATTTCTGTCTCGCACAGTGGATCCATGGGATCGAATTCCCCCTTTTACGGAGATGGTGTTTCTTTTCCACACGGCGCACCGGTGGTGTCAACTTTCTTTTTTTTTCTTCTTCCTCTTTCTTTCGATGGGCAGCTGAGCGCTCTATTTTTTTTCTTTCTTTCGGTTAAACGCTGAAGCTGGGGCTGCCAGAGCCTGTTCGTCAGCTCACGCAGCCGCGGCGCAGGATGAAGAAAAAAAAAGAGAGGCAAACCAAGCAGCGCAAACAAGTACAAGCTGCTGCCAGGACTTCTTGGAAGCGAGTAAAAGGTAAACGTAAACCCCGAATTTCGCATATTTTAATATTTTTAAAACTCCAAAATTAAATAGAACAATCGCCGAACATCGAATCCTCCAAAAAGTCTTCCATGTTTCGCGGATCTGACGAGACCTTGAGCTCATATGCAAAATTTTCTTTTAAATTTTGAACCTCATGACCCATAGCATGATATCATTCATTTCCTTTTTATTTGATCTCATGAAATTTTCTGAGCCCGAATGCGATGGAATTTTCTTTCAAATCAACTTGGCAGCGCTCACTGCACTGTCGCCTTGACATAGTTGGTTACGGTTTCGCGCCTTAGTGATCCGGAAATAATATCCCATCACAAGGCATGATTTCGACAAGGAAAAAAAAAAAAAAAAAAAAAAAAAAAAAGAAGTAATAACCGTATTACTTTGCGTGATCACTATACACATATACGTTGTTCATCGTCGGAATATCTCCACCGGCTACAATACATTACTCGTATCCAATCACTTACCCACATTCACATCGTCAGATCCACATGTCCACATGGTGTGCAAATCTGCATGGATTACTCTATTTTCCGTAGTCAAAAACATGTCCAACAAATTACTGACATTCGTGTCACTCGGTCTGGACGTCCAGCAAAGCATGCTTAAGCTTCCCTGCAGCCATCAAGCACGATATATCGATACGAGGATGTGATAGCTAGTGCAGTGCAGTGCAGGAACGCCCATTGTTAATTACCCCAGACTTTCTTAAAGCTTCCCCTCCCGAATTCGAAGGCAATATATAGCTAGACTACCTGTAGTTTAGCTATTTTATATCTCCTGACTCGGAAACCCTATTAACGTTTAGCCTTCTTTCTTCCTCTTCTTTAACTACTTCCTTCATCCACGGCCTTGCCCCGCTAACTACTCGGCAGTCAACTTATGCATCTGCCTGATCTTGATCAACTGCTAAGCTAATTAGTTGCTTAGACTTACTAACTCGCTAAAACAGTCGAAAAAACCCGAAGAACCCAAAGATCACACCTTCAAAACGCCTATCCCGCCGGACCTTCCCCCTATATCGCAACAGCAGCGCGAAGAGCCCTCTTAGCTCAATCGGAAGAGCGCCAGACTTTTAAACCAAAACCAGGTCATCTGGCGGTCGTGAGTTCGAGCCTCACAGAGGGCGTAAGCGTGTGATGTTGAATTGATGGTTGTATTCGGATCTTCAAGGTTCGATATGACTGTTTCTTTTTTTTATATTTATTTTTGGAAATTTTGTTCTTGCGCTTTCTATGTTTTTGGCAGGTGGGGATGCAAGCAAATGTTGGTTTTGTTAGATACTTATACACTGTGCCGGAAATGGATGTATTTCGAGTACTAGTGCAATACTATCTAATCATAAGAAATAAACAACCTTGAATAATTTATCGTTATACCGATTTATTCCACGATGAATCGTGTTGATATGATACCATAGTCCTGCCGTAATAACATCACGCATTTGTCGGCACAGTGGTCATTCTAGTGTTTTTAATAATTAATGTTGCGTTCATGGGATGCGAGAGTATTGTTGGATCGGCAATAATCACCGCTTCACCTCTGACTATCTTAATTATGAGCTTTCGTTAGCTATGGGCTTCTGGCTCCGACGATCTGTCAAAGATGTTTCATCATCATATTTCTATTTCCCAAATAACCCTTCAATTGACCAATTGTTCGATCAGGTACTCTTTAAATCCAATTTCGACGGCTCCCATAGCTATAGCTCTTCAGACTTTCAAGATGTTTTCTCTACTCACAGCTCGTCATCGCATTCTCCAACCTCCCAGCATTCGTGGCTACAATATACGCCAAGTGTTATGCCTTACCTGCATTAAAGGATCTCTCCCAATCTAATATCTAGAATTCATAGTACACTAAGGGTGTAGACCAGGCTCATGATCTTTCAAAAGTCCTTCCTGAGTGACGTATCATGAAGTTTTTCATGGGTGGGCTTGGTGCTTTGGTGAGTTTATCGCTTCCAAAATACATAAATTGTTCCTTACTTAGACTTCTAGACACTCGGTGGAGCCGTGTTCGGGTTTACGCTGGTGAAGGAGGTTGCGGTTTTGGAAGCACATCTCAATGAAATGCGACGCAATATTGCCCTTATCAAGGGCAAGTTGCTTGAGATTCCGGTTTCTGCAGAGGCCTTGGAGGCTCTAGAATCTAAAGGAAAGGAAACAAAGAAATAGACGCTAAGGCTAGCCTGATGACGGCTCGACTCCTGCTCAGGCAAAGCCGAAGGCAGATATTCTTCGCAGTTCTTTTTCTTCAGGTTTTTCTTTTCTGCAATAATTTTAGGAAGCTTGAAAAGCCTATAATGGTTGGGGGTGGTCTCGTTCGCACATCGTGGTTACAGCAGATTATTGTGTGTTTTTCTTATTTTTTTTTATAACGGCATAGGTTCGACTCATATTCAGGCGGAGTTGAAGGCATATGGTGTTCCGGTCGAGTCTCTAATCCTTTTCGGTGCATACTCGGGTTCTGGGCGTTCTGGTGATAGAGTTTCTACTTATGGTGTTACAGGGACCCAAACCTATTATCAACTATACAGGCGAAGCGGTCGAGAATGCCCTCACACTACCCAATGTCCCCAGTGGCAAAAGGTATAGAACTTGATAATAAAAGCTCTGCTAATCTGATTATTCAAAGGATTCTCTATCTCGATCAATTACACCCTCCTCCTCCTTTGGTATACATCTGAGGTTTCGAGTGCAAACCTGGCTATCTAGCTATTGTCGAAATTGAGATACCCATCATAAAAGCATGGCTTGTCCAGGCATGAACGCACTTGTACGTTTAACAGCCCCATATAGAAAGAAAGCAGTCAAGCAATGCTTCTTCTTTTAAGACACCAAAGTCTGGGGTAAAGCATAACGGCAGAACATCGCCCTGCACCTCTTACATGTATGCATCCATGTACGTCACGACCCCAGACTAACTAATATTAATATCACGCGCTTCCCTAGTAGATAGTCTGGGGAAACTTAAGCCTTTCCCAATCTAGAAAGGTATCCAGTAGTAGTAGTAGCAGGCAACAATTGCTCAAATAGCAAATAGGCATCTATGCCGGCATCGCATTATATCCACAGGCCGAGGTCGAAGAGAACTTGGACATGCAAGCCGCATGTACTAAGATCCCGATCCCGATTCTAGCCACCTCCGCTTCCGCTGGCTTCCAATGCTCTTACCTAACAGATTCCGTCTTCCATGCCGTCCATATGTAATCGAGAGAGGAAAACCACAGGTACAACACAATGAAGCCGGCATGAATGGTCGGTAGGCTAGTATCTTATGTGTACTATGTACTGTCGGAATGTCTGCGTTCTATAATAGATGTGAGCTATAGGGACCTTTGGATGTGTATATGCAGCTGAGATTGTCAACATCACGCTAGAGCGGGTACTTTTATATATACTACGTATACGTATATTGCTTGTTAGAATCGATTTGGGTACCACGCAGGGAGCTCGATAAAATCGTCATGCATGCATGATATGAACGGTCTAGATCCTCCATGGAAAGGGAGCTCAGGAACAAAAGTCAGCGGTAGCCCTTTTTGATCAATTCCTAGTCTCGTGACCGGCAATTCCAATATGGCCAATTGGAACTGAATTTGGGATTGGCGGTGGTGTAGAGACATTAATATATTTCGACTGGATACTAAGCTTGCCATTTTGGCGCATAACAAAAATGTATAAGTTGTTGCACTTTAGTATCCAACACGCTGACAGGTGATTTCGAGAAGGGCTGACAGGGTACCAATATCGGACGCCTCCTATTAGTTAATTAACCTGACGTGTCTGGTAGGTACTAGATTCGAAGCTGTTCGAAGGATAGTACACGTACGTAGTGATCGATATCGCGACAACTTCTCGTAGCTTCATGTCTAATGCATCGAAGCTCTACTATAGAGATACCATTTTAGGTAATAAAATATAGCGTTCTTATTCCCCTCCTCCCTCTTACCAATATTTTATAAAAAAAACAATGACCGAAACCCTAGATACCGACCCCCCCAAAACCAAACAGAATATCAAGTACCCCCACCCCCTCGACACTTGCCCTAGGCCTTCCACCATCCCACCCCTCTCGTTTCATGACTACATCCTCCGTAAATTCTCCTGCTCCATACGTAACCAACCAAACTGGACAACTCTCGTCACAAACCGGAAGTTAATGTCACAATGGATCCAAAGATCCGCCTATCAAGATGGTTATAAATATAGTGAAAAAACCGACGGTTTCTGTCTTGTCTGGGACTCTGAAGATATCAAATTTGCTCATGAGGAACTGGTGGAGAGGTATAAACCGTATGTTGAGGAGTTAAGGGAGAAAGGGTGTTTTATTGAACCAGATGTTGATTGTGTCTGGAGAGCTGATGGAGTGATTTTGGAGGAGTTGAGAGAGAAGTTAATTAACGGTATGCCTTTTATAGAAATACCTCTCTTCTATAGCTATACTGGAGAGTATGGGTCCCGATTCATGATCATCTTGAACTTACGGGAATAATAATATATAGCTGCCTCCACACTGGAAAAGCTCCCAGAAGACAAAAAGACCTGGGCACCAGACCGTGAAGGTATAGTCCAGGATCTCATCCATCCATCCTGGTGGCCCATAGTCTACGGCAGAACCCTTTTGCCAAACGGAGAGACCATCACCCGCCCCTTCGAATCCGAATCCGAATCCAAATCCAAATATTCAAAAGGGTGGTCTACCGGATTCTGCTGGCTACCCTCTGAATTCAAGATCTCACCTGACGGAAAATCCACCTCAATTGAATCATACATAAATAATCTAACCGACCCAGAACAACAGAAACTATTCCACCCAATTCTAGAAGAAGTATTCACACAGTTCATCCCACTATTCAACCACGTTCTCGCAGACTTAAACGAAAAAAGGGATTTGTCTCATAGAACCACCGGCGGGATACCAGGACCTAATTCTTTTGGTGGATCTGAATACGCCTCTGACCTTTCGGTCGAAGAGTTCAAGGGGTTTTGGGAGAGGATTATTAAGGAATATGAAAACGGGGAGGAGTTATCTCTGGGATTTAGGAATGATAACAAAAGTAGGAGGGAAGATTTTGATTATTATGACAGCGGTACTGATGGTGGATTTGGAAGTATTCATGATGACGATGAGTACGAGTACGGCGAGGGTGACGCTGTGGAAGACGATGCATCTGACTATAATGAAAACGAAATATTGAACCCAGAAAGTGAATATCATACGTGGGTCCCACCCACTAGCCTAACTAAGCTCGAACCAGACGACGAAGAAATACAGGGAAGTGAAAATGAGAATGGCGAAGAAGGGGAGGAAGGAGCAGAAGAGGAAGCAAAAGTGGAGAAATTGGAAGAAAAGGAAGTGGAAAGAGAGGAAGTGAAAAGAGGGGAAGTGAAAGAAGAAGAAGAGGAGGAAGAAAACGACTTCGATTCAATCTTCGCCTGGAAGCCAACCGATATCTTCGACTGCAGATTCTACGAAATCTGGGATATTGGATCCACACGACCCGATAAGATGTGGTACCCACCGAAAATCACCGATGAAATCAATCTGAAAGGGAAAACCGTCAAAATAGTCGTCCAAATGACGAATATAATGATCACACCCGAAAATCCAGTTCAGCATGTAGGTCCTCGAAACATTGCCGACTATTGGGCTTATCACGGATTGAGGGTACGTAACAGATCTAGACACCATATCCCGGGCTCTCTATACTAGTACTGCATATATATCATATCTATCAACATGCTAACTTCTTTCAAAATTCTTCCAGAATGAAAGAATAATAGCAACTGGGATATACTATTACGCCCAAGAGAACATTGCAGAAACAACATTAGCCTTCGCTCGTAAAACTAACGAAAAGGACCCTCTACACCCTTGCAACTATCACTACTGTAGCTACGGATTCCGGGACAGACCCTTCCAAAAAGTCGGCAAGACTTCAATTAAGGTACTTACTTCTAATCCCATAACGGACCCCTAAGAAAACTAGATAATTAATATAGTTATAGCAAAACCGCCTAATAGTCTTTCCGAACATCTACGCTCACGCCACAACTCTCCGTCTAGAAGACATCAAAAAGCCAGGATACCAAAAGACCCTAACATTCTTCCTCTGCGATCCAAATTACAACGAACTTCTCACTACAAAGACAGTAGCACCCCAGCAACCCCAGCATCGTGTCGAAGTTGAAGAGGCCATCCGCGAAGGAGTTTGGGGTAATCTTCCTAGTGAATTGTTTGAGTTCGTTCTAGACAGTTTACCTCCGCCGATTAGCGTAGAAGAGGCGTACCGTTATAGAGAGGCGATGATTATGACACCATATTAGAGTCTTATAGAAGAGGATGGAATTTCGGGGATTTGTGATTGACTGTTGGAGTTTGGGATCATAGAACTGAACATATCTAGCATTGTAGTAGAATGATCTTCTAATTTCATCATATTTGATATCGGTCAGTAGTTGCATTCTCATTCAATATGAATTCCATTATGAATTTGGCACGTGCACGATGCAAAATGCGGCCAGAAGGGCGAGGTAAGGTAAAGGTAAGGTAAGGTAAGGTAATGTACAGTATCAGTATCAGCAGTATCAGCTAAAAAAAAAAAGTAAAGAAACAAGCCCTCAGCGCTTGAAAGAGAAATTATAACCATGATGCCCTTATATCAAGAGCTTCGATATCCACTTCTGTCACAATGAACACCATATTAAACAGCTCCCGTCAAACTAATGGTCGATATCTTAACGTCTCCTCGCATCAAGCTGGTTCTTAAGATAAACGAGACCTATTTAAACTAATGTTAGCAAAACCCCCGCCATAGCATCTCAAACCTTCCAAGGTGTATAATAAGAAAGAAGAAAAGAAAAGAAAAGAAAAGAGAGTAACAAAGGAAAAAACCCACCCCCCACACGAACATCCCCGAATATTAAAAATCACTGAGATAGAAATAAAATTCTAAGGAAATATATCATACCAAGAATAGTCGCAACGTACTTGACAACCACAGTCTTCTTATCCCCTCCTCCAAGTGACAATAACCATCCAAACCAACTAACTCTAGCTTTCCCATCACGGCTAAAATTGGGTTTCTTCTCGAGAAGCATACGGTACTGTGCGAGTTTGCTGGGGATGTACGGTGGATATCTAGCATCCAAGACCATTTCGAACCAACCACCGGGTTGTCGGACGGTGGTGCGGTGGTGGGAGAAAGCATCGAAGCCGAATTTGTCTCTGTAGTTACCCATGCCGGACTCACCAACACCGCCGAAGGCGAGCTTGTGGGATGCTCCGTGCCAGATTGTACTATTCACTATGTTAGCCTTTTTTCCCCAGGGATTTAGATCTTAGGAGACAACTTACTCGTTGACTGTAGCACCACCTGATCTAGTATGGCCCAAGACTAATCTTCCGTTAGCATCACATGTCGAATATTATTCAGCATCAGCAAAGCAAAAAAAAGACTTACTGTGATTCGCCTCCTTCTTATCCGTAGTAAACGTATACAATGCCAATGGCGTATCACTAACCCGGTTGACAAAGGCAATCGCCTCATCCACATCATCAATAACCACATACGGCAACACCGGTCCAAAAATCTCGTCCTTCATCAAAGCATCATCCCCATCTTTGACCTTTACGACAGTCAAATCAATAAACTTCTCGCTTTCATCAGTTTGTCCTCCAATCTTGATCTCCCCAGAGGTGGAATCAATAAGCTTTTTGATCCTTTGGAAGTGGCGGTCGTTGACTATGCGTGGGAAGTCCGGCGAGGCTTTGAGACCGTTGGGGTAGAATTTACGCCAGGTTGAGGCTAGAGACGAAATGAATTCGGCCTCTTTGGAGGAAGGGACTATGACGTAGTCCGGGGAGAGACAGACTTGGCCAGCATTTAAGGCTTTGCCCCAGCAAATACGGCGGGCAGCCAGTTTGATGTCCGCATTCTTGGTGATGATAACTGGGTTCAATCCGCCTCTATCCATATTTGTTAGCATCTTTTTTTCTTCTTCATGTATTAGAAGAAATAATAAGTAATAGGGGGAAAAACATACAATTCAAGGATCGTAGGAGTGAGATGCTTCGCAGCAGCAGTAGCCACAATTCTTCCCACGACACCATTACCAGTATAGCATATTTTATCGAACTTTTGTGCAAGAAGCTCAGTGGTCTCTGGGATAGCGCCGTTAATAACAGCGAATGCATCCGGATCGAGAGATTCAGTTATGATCTTTGTGAGAACCGCGCAAGAAGCCTGTGAGATTTCAGAGGGCTTGATGATTACACAGTTTCCTGCAGCAATGGCACCAAGGAGAGGCCCAAGTGTGAGTTGGAAGGGATAGTTGTATGCTCTAGAAAATTATTTTGTTAGTCTCTTTGCTATTTGATATTTGATATATCTATATGATTCTATGACGAAGTGGTACTAACCCAATGATCAAAACGACACCCAATGGCTCCTTTCTAATCGTCGGACTCCCCGCCTTGCTCAATAAATCCGCAGTAACGGGGACTTCCTTAACCCAGTTATCAATATCGCCCAGCGCATCAATAATCGCGTTCTTCAGCCAAATAGCATCACTTTGTAGAGCTTCATGCTCCGACTTTTTGAGGTCTTGCCATAAGGCGGCGGCGATATCACTTTCGTTGTCGTGAAGGCCCCACCAGAGTTTCCTGAGTTGCTGTTTTCGCCATTCGACGGGGCGGGTCTTGTGCGACTGGAATGTTGCCCGGAGACGGACGTGTGTGGCGGAGATGTCGGGGATTGGGGTGGCGGGGGGAGGACCGAACGTCTTGGACGACGACATGTTTATTTTTGCTATTATTATGGAGATTGAGGTTGAGGTAGTGTTGGAGAGGGAGAGATGGATGAGAAGTAGGTAATGGTAGTCTTCAGAGTGAAGATAAATTGACTGACAGGAAGCTAACTTATAAAAGCGGAATGAATGGTGACGACCTTACGTTTATTTATGAGATCTGCTAGTCCAAGTCAGTCTGATTTTACCCCGGATAAGTGCTAAGTAAGTATTTAGTAAGTTAAGTATCGAATTATGACAGGCTGCAGCTAACCAAGCAGTCGGATAAGATAAAAGAATTAAATAGTTGATTAGTTACATTCGCCCAACCTGCCATTTTCAACCGAGGCTGGTTCGCAAACTCTCCTTCCTCTTTGACAATCTCATGGTATATGCTGTGTATGTGATTACAATCGAATCTGGAGAATAACCCGCCGGAGACGGCTTCTTTCTGGCCCCGAATTCGAAAACGAAAAATTTAAACCTGCGGGGCGGGGCTTTAAAGGGGGTTTAAACCGATTACTTTATCTGATACAGCCGACCTTTTGGGACTGACAGATGGCGAACGAAGCAGTAAATGACGACGATAGAACTAGCGCCATCACATGCATTTCAAAAAACCAAAAACTTCCCCCAGTTTCCCGTCTTAGCGAGACTGCATCGACTGGGATCTCTTAAGCAGTTGGTGTTGGTTTGTTCGTATGGCTAAGCCGCAATTGACCAACAATACGACCACTCCACTTTTTTAAACTCTTTTTTTTTCATTCGCGGAACCGTTCTCATCCTGGGACTAAAACTTCGCGGTATGGAGAAGAAACCTGGGTATACGCACTTTTGAGGATGTGGTAAGCGGGTGCGGGCGAATATATGGCTCGCTGACTGTACATCGCGGAGAACGAGGGCCTGGAACGCTCGGAAGTGGATATCCTTCGAAATACTTGTCTCATATCGTACATACATACACAGGATCCCATCGTCATAGATTTCGAGCAGGAATGGCCCGGAGTACTTGAAAAGATAAATCAAGAAAGGTTGATTTACCCTTCCATTCGCTTTGCAAGAGCAGCCTCGACTACTCTCTTCCCCGCCTCACCATCACCGCCCCACTCCATTCCCTGCAAAAACTCCTCCAATGCAGCTTCGTATCCCAAATGTACCATCTCGTCATCAACCTTTACTCCGTTCTTCGCCAGAGCTCCAATCACACAAGCAATTCTTGCAATCTCAGCTCTAGTCTCCGGTGATATCTCTTCGTTCACGTTTGAATATATTGCCTCCGAAGCTTCTTCTTCCAATCTCGTGATGCTCACACTTTTCCCTTCCGGCCCGCCGGACTCGGTAAGCGGTGTTGTATGTTTCGCGATATAAATATATCCGTTCACACCGAGATAAATATCGACTTCTCCGCCACCATTGGACGTATTCATTGTTAAAACGTGAGATTTCATCCGTCGGACCATTCCGGCGTCTATAGTCATAAATACTCCGTTACGGAGTTTTCCATACTTAAGACTTCGGGTGTGAAGACTCGCCAGACCGTCGTTGGAGAGGGTTTGTACTTCTGCGACTAACAAGTCGCCTTCGGAGAAGAAAGTACGGATTTGTAGTTCGTCGGTTGAGGTTCTTTTACGGAGGATGCCACCGGGGAGGTTTATCGATGAGAGAAGTAAGGTTGCGGAATGGGGAGCTGCGATGTCCACTCGCCATCGTTTTGTTTGGACTTCAAGAATCCGACCGACCACCAGATCACCGATTTCAGGGACATAACGGAATTTAAGAGCTCGGATGGAAAGAAGTTTGTTTGTTTTGGAGATTGTGCCGGCGAGGGAGGAGACGATGGATTGACTGCCGCCTGGAGCGAGGGGTTGGGAGAGGTAGGTTCCATGGCCGCTGGATTCATATTGTATTAGCATCACCACCTCCAATTATCCACCTGTCGGACATATAGATGTAGGTATAAATTGAAAGATAGATATAGTGTAGAGTAGATAGATAAATTATTCATACCGCATCCATTGAGGGTCCTCGGTGACAACCTCGCCGGGTGTCACGATCCCACCAGATTGTCTGCCTGCTGCTCGTCGCGGCGCATCGCCGTCCATTGCTATATCCCCATCATTATCAAAATCAAGACGAACACCACCTTCGTCGTCCGCTTCGTCGTCGGCTGTCACAAACGGTGCTGGTGCTATTATTTGTATCGGCATTGTTATAGTTATCTGGAGGGGTTTAAAGTTTTTGTCGCGCCGCGAAGAGAAGAGATTTGGGGAATTTGTTTTCCGAGCTGTCGCAAACAAATTTGATGATGCCGCATTTCCAACAAACTGCGGCAGACGAAACCTTAGTTAGCTTAGCGGGGTTAAGTTCTTTCCAAAACTTTCTAACTTCTCACGGCAGCTGGACGAAAGCTTCACTACAATCACCGCTAAAAACAGAAGAAGAAAGGAAGTGACAAAACTAAGCTCAATCGAGGTCGGAATATCAGAACATCCTCGAACCTCAATTCCCATAAAGAGGTGCTGAGAATAGTCAGGACTAAAAATGACCCTCAAAGACCACCTCCATCTTCGCGGTTCTGTCTCCCACCATGACGACGATAAAGACAAAGACAAAGACCCTAAAGACCCTCAAGCGGAACCCGAGTCTACAGCTAGAAAGCTGTTCCGACGATTAAAGTCCGGTGGGAGGTCCTCAGATGAAGATAGTGGCGATGAGGGAACTTCAAAACAACATCGATCGGACTCTGAAGCCGAGCTGATCATCGAACTCCCTCCTGCTGCAGACTTTCATGTCCACTTGAGAGATGGATCGATGATGGAAACTGTTACACCGACTATTGAGAATGGTGGCGTCAATTTGGTCTATGTCATGGTATGTCCTTCATGATACGATATTATATATTAGATAAAGATTAGGCATCTAATGGTGGTATACAATACAGCCAAACCTCGTCCCCCCAATTACAGAACCCTCTGCCGCTCTCTCCTATATGTCAAAACTTCAAGCCCTCTCTCCCAAAACCACCTTTCTCGCAACCCTCTACCTCCATCCTTCAATAACTCCAGCCACAATCGCAGAGGCAGCGGCATCCGGCATCGTTGGTGTAAAATCCTACCCAAGAGGTCTAACTACAAACTCCGATTCCGGCGTCCTATCCTACGAATCATTCTATCCAGTGTTCCAAGCCATGTCAGACCACGATATAGTTCTAAACCTCCACGGAGAATGTCCATCGACACCTGCCGAGGATGTAGCAGGGATAGAAGACGAGGATATAACAATCCTAAACGCCGAAGCGAAGTTCTTACCAACTTTACTATCTATCCATCAGAAATTTCCAAAACTAAGGATAGTTTTGGAACATTGTACCACTGCTGCCGCTGTTGAGGCTGTTAGAGCTTGTGGGCCTACCGTTGCTGGAACAATTACTGCGCATCATTTGTTTTTGACAATAGATAATTGGGCAGATGATCCGTTTTGCTTTTGTAAGCCCGTCGCGAAGTTACCAGCTGACAGAGCGGCATTGCTTGCCGCTGCTAGCAGCGGGGATCCCAAATTCTTCTTGGGGACGGATTCAGCACCACATCCAAAGCCGGCAAAACAGGGCAGGTCGGGGAATAATAAGACGGTGGCGGGAGTATTTACACAACCTTATGCTGTTCAATTGGTCGCTGAAGCATTTGATAAGGTTGGGAAGGCAGATAAAGAGACGCTGGAAGGATTCTGTTGCAGATTCGGAAGGGAGTTCTATAAGGTGAAGGAGAAGGGAATTGAAGTTGAAGGGAAGGATAAGAGGACGATTGTATTGATGAAGGGACTTGGGGAGAAGGCTATTAAGGAGGTTGGAACTGGAGATGGAGCTGTTGTGCCATTCAGAGCAGGTGAGGAGGTGTGGAGTTTGAAGTGGAGGGACTAAGTTTTAGTCTGGTATACTAAATTGATGATGAATATATCTTGTTTTTCTTGGGATTTTGAATAGGGGCTCGGGTTAATTTGGCAAGTTAGGTTTTTAATACAAAGGAACCCTCTCCTTTGAGAGAAGGGTCTATTAAGATCGATTCTAAGGATGTGTAGAACTTATATCTCAGGTGCTGGTATAGTTGTATATAGGTTTGTAAGTGGTCTGGCTGGATAGCCTCACCGTCAACATGCGTGAACATGTTAACGCTAAAGTCTCCAGACTCAGAACCTTACACTATCATTCTTCGAAGCCCAAGTATGATATATCATTTAGGGAACTCAATAGGTTAATTAAAAAGCGATCTAGTGTTAAATTACCTGTGTCAACATTTATGGTAAGAGGAATGTCACAGATCTGGCTGCAATGTAGGCAAGAGTAGACCCCCCTGAATGAATTTCAACTGTGGTATATTTGGTTGCAGCTGCGTTGTCTCACCAGCCACAGCCCATATAAAGCGTATGTGGAATGTGGCTGGTGCTATGACGCTAAAAAAATTTACACAGCACAACAAAGCTCTTATCAGCTCCACTGACTCAACCTCAAAGATCAAATAAAGGCCATACTCACCGCCATCACACCACCACTACCCCCAAACAATACACTACCCTGTCAACCTCCCCATATCATCATCAATTGCATCGATACATCGATACTTTTCCAGCTAAGCTCGTGGTTTTCAATATGTCTGAAGAAGAGGTATACATATCTATATCCATATAGCCCACTTTTCTTTTTATCGTCCCCACAAAATAGCTTGTATAGCTTTTCTTAGTAATATTGTGGCGATGGTCACTAACTCTGGTTTTTTGAGGAGCAGCAGAAGAAGTCGGTCGCCTTTGGCGAAACTACAGATCTTGAGAATGGAGAGAAGGTTGAGACGAGTGAGGGGAATACTGCTGAAGGGCATTCTGTCGCTGGTATGTTGGCCACCTATATCTCCTTCCCTCCACCCCCTCCTCCTCTCATATACTCCTACCCCCCTTCACCCTTTCTCCCAATCGCTATACTCTTTTATTTACACGGTTTTATATTTGGGTGTCGTCTATAACTTTTGATGATGATATATAGGCACAAATATCAGTGCTGACGAGATGCTCTCCCGCATAGAAAACGGCGATGCCGAAGCCTCCACATTCGATCCATCCGCCGTGAAGAAAAAGAAGAAGCCAAAGAAGGAGAAGGAATCCGAGAACGGCGAGGAAGCTCCAAAGGAGAACGGTGACGGCGAAGCTTTCGACCCCAAGCTCCTGAAGAAAAAGAAGTCGAAGAAAGCAAAGGCTGAAGAAGGTGAAGTTGGCGCCGAAGGTGACGGAGAATTCGACCCTACAAAACTCACAAAGAAGCCAAAGAAAACAACCAAGAAGAAGGCAGCAGGTGATGATGATGACTTCCAAAAGCGTCTCGAGGAACTCGGTCTTGAGGACAAGAAGGATGAGCCTGCTGCTCCACAGACTCAGGAGGAATTCGAGGCCGAACTCGCACAGGGAGGTGGTGTTTGGGCTCAAGACAATGCCACACCATTCAAATACTCCCAACTCTTGAAGCGATTCTATATCAACCTTTACGAAGACCACCCAGAACTCTCCGGCGACGGCCGCCTAAAGAACTACAAGATCCCACCACCACAAGTCGCCCGTGAAGGTAACAAGAAATCGATCTTTGCCAACCTCCCCGAAATCGCAAAGAAGATGAAGAGAAATCCGGAACATATTATTCAATTCATCTTTGCCGAATTGGGTACCAACGGTTCCGTCGATGGTGCTGGGAGATTGGTTATCAAGGGTCGTTTCCAGCAGAAACAGTTGGAGAGCGTTTTGAGACGATACATTGTTGAGTACTTGACCTGTGGAACTTGCAAGAGTCCGAATACCACATTGATGAAGGAGAATCGACTTTTCTTCGTCAACTGCAATATCTGTGGATCGAGGAAATCCGTCTCGTATGTATCCTATATCATATGCCCCTTTTTCCATGTTGAAGGAAAATATGCTAACGGAATCACGCTAGTGCTATCAAAACTGGTTTCCAAGCCGCCTTGGGAAAGAGAAAGAAGATGCAAGCTTAGATGTTTGTGGGATACCATTTCTTCTACATGTTTTTGGGGGTCTTCTTTGCGTATTCTTATAAGGTTTTGTGCTGGGGATTTTTCACCTTACCCGGAGAATTTCCTTACTTACTTACACACGTCGTCCTGTAAGCTGGTTTAAGTGTAATGGATAACTTAACTGGCCAACCTCCGTCTCTATCAACACCACCCTTCCAACCCTCCTTACCGGTTCCTTCTACCTCAAACACCGTTGGACCCTCGTTTCCTATCATCATCATTCATCACATTATCGGGTGTTACTGATTTACCCCTCCTGCTGTTTTTCATCTCTATTTTTTTATATTTCCATACCTCGGGTCTCTTTTCTGAGCATTTTGATGAATGGGTCCTGTTATACAATATGATTATGTCTCCCTCTCTCCTCGCCCTCCCCATTTTCCTATCCTCCCACCTCTGTTCGGTTTATGAGTACCGGGTCCAATGACTTTATAATGCTGTTTTTTTTTTTGTTTTCGAACTCCCTTTTGTTCTTGATTGTCGGATACTTTCTGATTCCCTTATGCGCTGGCGATGATGAGGAACGAGGACGATGATGACGATGGATGATTTCCCCCCCAACATGTAGCTTTACTTTTTTCCAGGGGGGTTTTTCTTACTTTAGGGGTTTTTATCACACGCACACGCAACGAAAAGTCGGTAGATGGGGGGGAGAATGAAATGGAGAATTCTTTTTTTTTCTATACTTATTTATATTTTCTATCCCTTTGATAATCTTTTTTTTAAATTTATATATGTAGTTGATCGAGTAGGCTTGAGAGTATAGTAGTAGTATTAATTTAATGTAATGTAATGTAGTTTAGTGTAGTGTAGTGGAATGTTATAAGGTACCATACTGGGGGGTCAATCTATGGGTATGGATCGGGGTAGTTGGGTAATATATCGAGAACAGCCACACTGGCAGTTAACGTTATGCCATAGGAGGTCACTGTGCAAGGACTGTTCTTTGCCCCACATCTTTCATGACAGGCCAAAAAAAAAAAAAGGAATTTTAGAACAAGAGACTTAAGCTTAGAATCGAGGTAAGCTGGAGTTTAAAGGTGGAGCGCACGACAGCGGCTGAGAATACGAATTAACTCTGGGAAGTTCCTTCCAAAGATGGATATCGAAAGCTGGCCGGTCTATTTCCTGCGAGAGCAAGGACAAGCTCCACCGTTTTTGCTTTCCAAGACCCTTTCGAACGCCACTGTTTTTCACCTCTGCATATTACACAGTTACATACTTATGTGCTTCGGTAGTTTTGATAGGATCTAGAAGGGGAGAGAAGGGAAGAGTGTACCTGTTTGTCTCGTATGCAAATGCATGTTGATACTTGTCGGGACAGGTTGTCTACATGCTACACGAAGCTTATCCGACAAACCAACCAATTGCAACCAACCCCGCTTGAATTAATTAAGTACTTAACTACTATACATCCACAACAGTATTTAGTTAGGCTGCGAATATGTAAAGTTTGTACTCTTTTCGAAGGATTTTTATTTTTCTGGATTTTAATTAAGCAATGCAATGGAATGAATGGAGGGCGCTAGACAAGGGTAGCTTGCCTGCCTTGCTTGTTCACAAAGCTTTTTCTGGTTGGGCCGGGTTGGCGCGAGCTCGAGAGGGAAAAAACCGCTCCACAGCCTCAATTGAATTTCCAACCAACCGGCCGGACCCATGATTTGAATTACATACATGACATACATACATCGTTATAGTGGATGGCGCACAGATCGGAAGACCATTTGAAACGAGCTGTTGGAAGCATACATACATATCATGAGAGGCTGAGAAAGAAAGGAAGAAAGAAAAAACTCTCTTTTTTGCCATTTTGGACGGGGTATATAAGATGATGTAGCTACTTATTGAGCTATTGCCCCCCCCCCGCCATATGATGTAGCTAAGTATTTAACTGGAATATATAAAGAACTTTGGAAGCTGAAATCATCTTCGGAAGCTTCTTACGATCGTTTCCATTTCAAAAAATAAGTTTTGTCTTTCTGTTAATTCAGTTAAAAGGTTCGTATGCTTTCTGTTTTATGTTTTACTTTGCTAGCTTGCTTGCATGAGCGCTGCTGTTATCTATAACATGTTGCCAATTAAGCGCTGTTCCTGCCCCTCTTTTTTGTCGCAACAGAACAGGAACAAGGACAAGAACAAGAACAAGCTTCCCATTAGCTAGTTAAGCAGCTAGGAACAGTTGTCGGCAGACCAGATTTCTGCTGTTTTCTGGGCGCTGCAAGCTTGAGAAATCGATCGGCTTTTTCGGGTTTTTGGAGGAAAGCGGCGAATCAGAGTGAACTTCACAATTTCCCTCCCTCCGCTTTGTCTTCCTCTTCCTCTTCCTCTTCTCCTTCTCCTTCTTCGTCATCTTCCTTTCTAAAGTTCCAACCGCACCCCGCATTTGCTGTTTCGAATCACCGGAACAGCTGGTCCATCGCTTTCTGTTCGAAAAGAGAAAGAAAGAAAAAGGTCATTATAGATAGAATAGAAATTAGGCTGGAAATCCCCGCGATATCACTTCTGATAGTCGGGATAAGATCCATTCTCTAAGAAAACAATCTTCCCCTCCTCGATCCTCATTCCCTCTCCCTTTTTTTATTTTTTTGGCTTCGTTCTAGTTTGGTGCTTCTTTTTTTCAGCCCCACTATCCCGTCTTTTTTCAAGCTCTCTTGCTAACCCAATTTTCATTGCGCCGGTGCGCGCGCTCTGGAATTTCCGGTCGAATTATAGACTTTCTACCTCCTACTAGTACTAGTTACCGCATACGATTTACGAGAACCTCTCCTCGATCCAACAGCTGAAACGAACCAGCTGAACAAGAAAATCCTCAAAAAAAGGAAATAAACTTACGACGGGTCGGGAGTTTTAACCCTGAGATCCGGATCTTCGACAATCGGAACGAAGTTAGGCATTTGCGCGAAAAGCAAAAAGCTGTAGAAGATGTCTCATTTTCAAGGATCTCCACCGCCGCAGGGTGGTTATTATCCTCGTAAGTAGTATCTATTTTTATTTTATTTTTATTTTCTTTTGTAAAAAGGTGGTCAGACGACGGGAGAGAGGCGAGAGGTGTGAGGTTTGGGAAATCTGTAGGCGAGGGGATAGGCGAGAATGTTGGTGGTTGTGGAGTATTGTTGGAGGAGGTTACCGCATGCATGTAGTTTTGTGGCGATGAGGAGGAGGACGGATGATAATGGTGATAGTCTCGAGTCTAGGCGCTCCCCGGGGGGGATATAGACAAGAGGGATATCATGAAACTATCACATATCGAATACTACCGGGACACTTCAGAAATGATGCTAACGATGTTTCCTATGCATAGCTCCCCCAGAGAAAGGAAACTACCCACCACCATCCGGCGCCCCCCCAGGTCAACCATCCTTCGCCCCTCCTCCACAACAGTCATTCGCTCCTCCTCCACAGCAGTCATTTGCCCCACCACCAAATCAATTCAGTCCACCACCTCAGGAACAACGTGGTTCGCAGCAGTACTTCTCCCCACCGCCCCAGAACTTCGGACCTCCCTCAGGCCCCCCACCGCCGCAGCAGACCCCACAACAGCAGCCTCAGCAGAATTTCCAGCAGGGGCCTCCTCAAGCTGGACCTTCTGCACCGGTAGCTCAAGTTGGTGGTGCAATTAGTCAGGAACTTGTGGGCCAGTTCAATGGTGGAAGCTATAGAATCGATCATCGGGATTCGAATACCATTTTGACCATGATATTGGCTCATGGATGTCCTATTACTGCCAAGCCTGGTAAGAAAGCCTTCTAAAACTCAACCGCCCCCCAAAGGATATACATTTAGAGCTCAGTATTAACGAATTTTCAAAAACACAGGTGCAATGGTAGCCATGGCAGCCACCGTAACCCTTAAGGGTTCCGTCAAAGTCTCCCTCAAGAAACTCATCAGCGGTGGTGAACTCGCTCACTCCACTTTTACCGGTCCGGGAGAAGTGATTCTCGCCCCAGCATCCCTAGGAGACATCGTTCCCATCCGTCTTGATGGAAATCAACAATGGACCATGGGTAAAGATGCTTGGTTGGCGAATACCCAGGGCGTTGTGAGAGATTATAAAAGCCAGGGTATCGGAAGCGCAATGTTCTCCGGAGAAGGATTGTTTGTGTATAAAATCACCGGACAGGGAGTTCTATTCGTGACCAGTTTGGGAGCGATTATTCAGAAGAATTTAGCGCCTAATGAGCAGTATATTGTTGATAACGGACGTAAGTTATCTTTATCTTCTATTATAAAATCACTTTTAAAATTTTTGGGAATATGGCTAATATTTATTGTGTTTAGATCTCGTCGCCTGGAATTGCAAATACATCATCGAGAGAATTGCAAGCGGTGGTATTATCAGCGCGTTATCGTCGAACGAAGGTCTTGTCTGTCGCTTCACGGGACCAGGAACAGTGTTTATTCAGACCAGAAATCCAAGCGAATTTGGTTCTTGGATCAGGTCGCATGTGCCAACAGGTGGGGGTGGAGGCAGTTCCCTCCTTTCCTTCTAAAAGCCCGTTTTGCCCTTGCCTTTCCTTTCCTTTTAAATACCTACACACGCAGGCATAAAACCCTGTTCCTTCTTGAAAGACGTTTTTTTTTGTATAGGGGGTTTGTTTAAATGGTCTTGGTTAGATCATACACACTTCCTATGGTTTTGTGGAGTATCTTTCTTTCTTTCTTTCTTTCTTTTCTTCTTCTATGATTTTGTTTCGAAGTTTTTCGGTGAAGGAGAGGTAGTGTATTCTTTTTATTATTTTTTGTATGGTGACTAATATGTTGTGTGATGTCTGAAAACTATAGGTCGGTGAGCTGGATGGAAGTAACGTTTACTGTCTGTTATAAGTTTTGATTGAAACGTCTTGTTGGGAAGAGAGAGAAAGAGCTAGAGAGCTAGAGAGCTAGAGAGCTAGAGAGACAAAGAGACAGAGATTTATATAGCCTTCATTCTTTTTTCCAGCTACCTTCATTTAAAATTTTATTATGATTGGAGAGAGAAAGAGTTTTTGTTTTGGGAGGATCGAGGTTACGATATATTCATGAGAGGGTCAATTGTTATTGCTGGATACCTATGGATTTAGTACGTTTTAAATACAGAATGGATATGATACGATATATATCGATATGTAAATGCTGGAAGGGTTTATATAATTTCATAATGTCTTAATTGCTGGTGATAATGTATGTACTTTATACATGCAAACCTTGGCCATGGATTTATATTATATATATTGCACTGTAGGCATTAGCTATGGTATTTTGGTACGGGAACGATGTCGATGTCGACGACAGCTCCAGAGGTTCGTTTTAGAGCTATTTCCTTGGGAGTTTTGAATTCTCTTATGGCTACATATGTACTTGAAATTGTAATATCTGGGGACGAAGCCAAGATGTCTCCGTCTAGTCTCCTCTAAATTGATTGAATCTCACGACCAGGGTATACTCAGAAGCCTTAAAGTCTGGTAATGAGACGTGTTACACAGCATGCAGGGTAGGCTATATCCTTTTAAATTTTTACTCTGTGTATTTATTGATATGCGAAAACTGTGGGCTGTAAGATCTTCTATGCGGTCGTTCACTAGTTAGCATACAAGGGTTCCTCGTTTTGACGTTGAATTAATTTTTGCAGGGAAAGGACCGATATCAACGACGTCAAAGCGCGCTCGCAATATAGAACCCTTTTTTTCTATCAATGCGATCTTGAAACCGACCTCCAACATCTGATCTGCGCATATCCATGTATGTGTATGTATATGTATGTATGGATCCCCTGCAATTACTGGGGCTGAACAAAGATAATAGAAATTGAAAAATCCCCGGAAGGTTCAGGCCAATCTAATCGCGAAAACAAGCGAGAAAAGGGTCAACTTCGAATTCGTGAACAGCGCATTGCAATGTTTTCACGGGAACTGCCCTTTGTGAGCTCAGACCCTCGAATTGTAGACCGGAGATAATGGTTATATGTATAAAACCGCAAAACCTATCACTGACTGTGGAAGGATGAACCGAAATAATAATTGAAGTGCATGTGCCAGGTTTATGCGAGATTAGCGGGCTGTCTATGTCCAGCTGACGAACGCCATCGATCTTCAAAGTCTCTCGGTTGGATTTGAAACCCGCTGTCATCGGATTGGCGGCCTGGTTTTTTTTTTTCTCTTTCCCTTTCGCGAGAAAATGAATATCAAGATACATCCAATACGTTCGTCAAGTACAGGACGAATTGTCCAAAGGAACTCTTAGAAAAGGAAGGGAAAGCCAAAGCCAGAAACAAAAAGCTTGTCTACCTTACCGAAATAACAATACCCTCCTTGGCGACCAACTGATTGGGGCAGGATATCGCGAGATGAAGTTAGGTTGGTGGAACCTGCTTTTTCGTCCTACTAACTAACCTAACGGCAGTTGGCTTGGTTTTGCCCTGTTGTCCGTGAGGTGTTTTGTTGGTCGCACATTTTGTGCGAATTAACACCCACCCTTTCTCTGATTTCCGGGCCGCACTTAATTTTTTTTTTTACTTCCTTTCATTCCCCTAATTCAATCATTCATCAGTCGGCTACGCAATCGATTTAGGCGCAAAAAGGAGGGTCTTGCGCTGCAGGGAGGTCAATGCCAGCAAGGAGATATGACTTACGAAACGACAAACGGCGATTGGTGTAGACGCGTTATGTCAGCGGGAGCTACTGTTGGAATACGGCAAGTCTTGGGAGGAACAACACGGCGGCGACAAGAAAAGAAAACCCCTAGGAGTGGTAGTCTGGAGAGCCCCGTTAGCGGTTCTGGATGATAAGTTTCAAACAGATTGAAGCCTAGAGGTTTTAATATGTTTCGGCTCGGAAAGGCGACGGCCATAACGGAAGCAAAGAGTCGGAAGCGATAACTTGACTTCTTGATGTGCTGTTGGGAGTATCCGGGTCTTGGAATATCTCCTATGTGCGCATGTCTCAGGGGCTGCTGTTGGAGTGGGAGATGCGAAAAGCGATGCGCTCGATGGGTGTGACACCTGAAAGGCCTCCTCCATAAGCTGCTGGCGAGGTTGTTAAGGCCGCAGTGTACTCGGCCGCAGGACGGAGAATCTAGGCCTGCCCGAGCCGCATTGTGAACAATATCAGGGGTGCTCAGGCTGGGCTTGCATATGCATCGGGGACTCGGGCATCTTTTATCTCGTACGGGATAGTGACTCAGTCTCTTGGGCATTGGAGGACGGGGTTTCTTTCTTTTTCTCCTAAAAAGGTCTTTTAGGTAAGTACGGGATAGAAAACTCTTCTTTGTTTCTATATTGAGCCCGAATTATCAAAGTGTCTTTGAAACATCTGGGGATGTTGGGTCATGCATAAGCGAGAGAGATGCTGATGTTTGAACGATCGCCAGATCTTGCGTTAGGAGACGTTCGGAGCTGAATTTCTCGGAGAAATTGTATGTTCTTTCCCAGATCTGGGCCAGCCTTGCTAGGGTTACGGAGTATATTGGGAAAGACTTTTGCTCAGCCTCTACCAAGACTGACTCGCCTCGAGAGTTTGTGAGGTTTGGGATGCCTAAGGGAATTTTCGGTCTCGGTCTAACCCTGGGTGTGGCTAGAACGGAGGTCCTTGACAGCTTTGTGCGAGACATACCCGCTGAAGGCGTTGTTTAGTCGGAGGGGTAGGGAAAATCCTGCTGCAGATGTCTAAAACGAATTTTTGGTCTGGGTCCTCGAGCCAACTGGAAACGATCCCTCGTGGGTGTGGGAGCGAACGAGTTGACTGGACCGCTATCTGAGCGCACACCAGTACTGCAGTCTCCCAGTCTGTGCGGCTAACAATGTGGACGAGCGGAAAATTCGGGTTATCAGCTGCCAAAATTTCCTTGTGGACTTCCCTGCAGGTGGGAGCACCCGTTGAAGCCTTAATTGCCGAATCCCCGCCGGATAAGTTTACTCCTCCAGGAATGGAGTGTGAGTTAGCGAACGATATGGTGGTTGTCGATATCATGGATATGGGATTGAGGTCACATAGAGCCAAAAGGAAAAAAGACTTCCAACTAGAGGCAAGACATGACTTGGAATGTTGATCATAGACGATATCTGATGCTCAATCGGCGGTTCTTGGTCAAGTTTTTTGAACATCATGACTTTCAAGGCAAGGCGTCAATCAAAAATTTATATTTCTTGTCTCGATTTGAAGACAGTTGCCCGTTTGCCAAGTCGACTGCGGTGTTTAGGATGGAAATACTTCTCCCTTTCGCCTTGACGGGACTTCCCATCTGCGAGCTCGTGGAAAGTCCAATTCTCATAACTCCGTGAGCAGGATCGTGAAGGGAGAATCTGTTCACTGCCAGAACCGGCGGCCACAGTCGACAGTCAGGGCACTTGCAACTTGAACACTGGAATGACGGGATATATATCAAGACTAGCATGCATTTAGGATAATGCTGCAATGCCATCGATAGCAGTCAGTCATGGCTAGTCGATGTCAATATTCTTGCGTCCAGGTGGGCACTTGGCCATTTGATAATTGTGACATACGATACACGTATATCCCGGACTCACCAACGACAAGAGCGAGAAAAAGACGGAACGTTGAACCGCGAACCTTTTGTCTGGATAAGCCAGGCTGTGTTCTAGTTGGTTGTGTTTCTCTTTCGTATGCAACTGCTGGACCAAGCGAGAGAGCCGGTATGCTGGTGGTTGGGATCCAACAAGGTGTCCAAGTTGGACTGACGAGCTACTGTACGGATACGGCATCGCCGCCGCCCTCAACTTGGGGGTATGGATTGCTCGAGGCGGCGATCGAAAACTCGCCTCGAAGCTTCGGTAAAAACTGACAACTGGTACTGACGACCGCATGGTTCACTGCTTCATTCTATCCTGAATGGCATCTTCTAATGTTCCCGAAGACAAAACTACGGTTAGGATTTTCCATATCCATAGGCCACATTTACATCAACCCGTATTGAGAATAGTGGATGCAGAGACTCCTACATGGTTTGCTGTGGGAGTCGGGAGAATGCATCCATCCACGTCGCACAACTAGCGAGATACTGCATCGTGTTCTGTGTCTTAATCCAGCCGATAGGACTGCGATCTATACAAGATCCTAGTGCAATAAAAAGCTGTACCGGGCCATCTCAAGACCTTTCTTGGGGAGGTTAGGTGCGGCATGCGTGGCCACAAGGCCGTGCCCAACTCCTCCGTTAATTCACTGTCATTATTACTCAGCGGCATGTTATTGACGTGATCCGTGCGATCAGGTCAGTCCTATCCGAGTAGCGAACGCCGTTATCCATATGCGTCGACGCTTCTCCAGAATGATCGAGGTTTGAAATGTTAGTGTGGAGGCCTAGTTGATAGCGTGAGGTCTTGGTTCTCGGGCTCGGTTTCCTTGCGATGAGATCGAAATTCCCCCCCGGTCTGACTAGCCAGGTATTACCACAACCGTCTATTATCCCGAATACCAGCTCCCCAGGACTAATTCTGTGCGATTTGCTTCGTTAGCTAGCTTTTTGGGGCCAACCAATGTCGTTGGAATTTGTCGTGTTGTGGTGTTGCATCCAACATGGAAGCAAGCGAATCGGTGCACACTGTGACAGTAGCAAATACGAACGACCATATAGCTCTCCAAATTGGTATCGACGGTTTCAGCTTTACGGCTTCCAAATGCAAACCTCAGAAGATTACTGGGAATTCAGGCCATCGATCGAGCCTTGAAAGTTGCTTCGGAAATCGTACGAAACGGTAGGCCCTTGTACCTGGCTCGTTAGCGAGCTTCGCGTGGCTCCATCTTATACCTTCGCGAGAAAGAGGGGGTGTTGGACCCGCTGCAACTTCAACATTCCAGGCAAAGTTTAATCTCAATTTCAACATATATGATACATATCTGGATGTTCGGTAGACCTCATCTGGAGAATTCCAATGAATGTTTCGTGAATGTTTGCGGTCGAAATTGCACAGGTATGTTATTTGCTACTCTACCAATTGATGCCTGGGGAAATATCAAAATTGTTACACTATGGATGGGCTCTTCATCGATGCTGACGCTTTTGTGCAGGCTTCACTTCTTCACCCATCGGCTAAAATGTCTCCCAGAAAAAACAAAAAGGATTTTTTTTTTTTTTTTTGAAGATGATCGATCTTTATGATGGACGCTAATTGCTATTCCTTGCTGGTAGCTGGTCCTGTCGTGCGCGCAATGCTCAATGTTGCCTCGAAGATTACTTTGTTCTTTGCATGGTTCGAAATATTGTTTCCGAGCGCACGAAAGAGAAAAAAGACCGAAGAAACAAAAAAAAAAAAAAAAAGACAACGGCTTTTTACCAATTATAGAAGGATGGCCTGCGTAATTGATACCAAAAAGAATATCATATATTTCCAAATTTCGGCTCGATTCCCTCCACAGAAGGAAACCATGGGTGACGAATGCGTCCTGGTAAAACTTGGATAGGAATGCATTCTTTCGGTTCTTTTTCTTCCCATTACATCAATTTGATGCATATGACTTCTCCATTGACACTAGAACGCTTCTCTCGCAAAGCGTCCATACCTTTCAGAGAAATTCCTGGCCATTGCGGATGGTTCTTAATTGAAGGAAAAGCAACTATCAGCTGACATGCACAAGGTCCCCTGCTCCATGCCGCCTGTCCACAAGCCCAGGTAGCGCCCGTATCCTAGACATCAAGATTATCAGGCGCCTGCTGTGTCGATTCCCCGGATAGGAAATTTCGCTGCATCGGTCCACGTTCCTCAGCGTGGCGCGTTGGCAACGACGGTTGAATGAATGCTTTTACAATTTGGATCGATACGAAGCCTTCTCGGTCACCCGGTTACTTCATCATCAATATTCGAGAGACAATGGAATCCTCAATGTTATGGGAGCCTGTCATTAAGGACCGTGTCAATCAAAGAACAACCGCAAATTTGCTAACGATCCGATGCGAGGTTGGATACCATATTATCATGATTTCTTAATGCCTTCGTGGACGATTGAAGACTCTCATAAATCAGAGTGAACCTCGAACTGTAGAAGTTCTTTTTTGTTTTCGTCATTGACTGTTGGCTTTCATTGTGAGCCTCGTCTATACGCGGTTCTCGACAGTCATCACCAACTACACCACTCTCGTTTCATCCACAACCCACTCTCGTTTTTTGATATTTCTTTCCAATTCAATTGCCACTCGTTTTCGCAGTTCTGATCAGGAAAGGACCGACTTCGATCCTTCACCCCCAGCAAAGTTTATCGTTTTTGGGTTTCTGTTGGGATAACACACCATCAAGACGAATCGTCCTCCAACAACCTCAAAAAGTATCTCGCGCGTCCACCTGGCCATTCTAGACTCCACGGGCGATACATAAGGCCAAAAACTTTACTGTATTAACTCGAGGAGTAACCTAGGAGGCAAGATCTGCGTCTGCACGGCCTTGAGGACAGTGGGAGAGCGGGTTTAGGTGTGTTGTCGTCACTGCCCCTCGACGTATCGCTTCGGGTCCAAAGAAAGAGCCATATTCTCTCTCTGTCTCCGCGGAATCTACCGCTATCAAGAGAAGAGAAGGAATTATATTGGTTCGAGAGTTGATCCAAGATAGAAAAAGAAGATCATCATCGGGTCTTCTATATCTTGGGAGTGTCGAGAGCTGATAAGGCCTTGGTTCCTTTTTTTTTCTCGTTTCGACTCGACGCATTCCTGGGAAGTGTTCCGGGCAACTTGAGTTCAAATGTGGAAGCAAGAAGAGAGTAAGGATGCCTACGCTTCCGAAAACGGGGTTCAGTCTGAATCATGGTGGTCGAGGGACTCCTCCTGCACTCTTGCACCTACAGATCAAATGGATTCTTTGTTCGCGGAGTACTTGCACGCGCAGCAGTCAGCCACCGAGGCAGGATCTGAGGGAAAAGCAAGTGTAGAAGACCAGACCGGACCCCTCAGGGCAACCTTCGAGCATCCGCACTCGATTGGATCTTACATGCCACCCCAAGTCCCCGGGATCGAGGTTACCATGAGTGAAGACCGCCACCACCCTACCCTATCATGGGCTAGACAAGACGGCTTTGAGACAAGCGGTACACCGGATATCCTTGATGGTGGTAGCGGCAGTCTCACAAATTTCAGGGACGAGAACAAGAATGTGGACGCAGTTGCAATTGCGGTTACAGAAGAAGATGTTGTTCAAGGAGAGGCTGGTGATGTTCGAACACAAGTTGCACTGAATATTGCCATCACTGCAATGAATAGTGGTGTGGTGGAGGGCAGTACTAGCAGTACTTACAGGCATTATAACCCAGATGCCAGTGCCAAAAAGGATGGAGAGCTAGAGCGAACCCTAAGCCCGTTGGACTCGACTAGTTCTACCTCTGCGGACCTTAATAAGCCCAAGGCCGACCAATTGCAATCGTCCGCAGCTGCTTCACCTCTGCCCGGCTCTTTCTCCTTAGTGAAACCTGAAGGTCCTAATAAACAGGGCTCATCCTCACCATCTCCTTCTCCTGTGATTAATACCTCCTCTCCCATTGCCTCTCAACATCAACCTCATCTTTCTCTCCCTTATGCTCCAACTCTGCCATCAAATTCCCCCTCCCCCTCCCCCTGTGCTACTATTGCTACTGGTACTAGACTCAAGCCGGGTTATTTGACGAACTCAACCGCAAGACGTTCCCTGTCTGCAGTGCAACAGTACCGCCTTTTAGACGAGCGTCAGGCTAAAAGAGCTCCACTCTGGAGACGACGAGTTAATTATAAAAGCTCATTATCCGACCCCGAAGAAATGCTCGCAACGGCTCGAACTCCCCAGGCCTATGATATATCAAGCCCTAATCCAATGACTGAATCAATCAGGTATCAGGCCCATTTGGAGCCCTCACATTTTCTACAAACCGGTAGCAGGGAGCATTCTGCAACAGATCACGGAGATTTGTTCCCGCTTTCCCCGCCACTATCTAGTGCCCGCTCGAGCTTTTTGTGCCCGAACAACAATGTTGCACCTCACTTAAACGGCAACTATAACCTGTCCACTGAATCTCTCTCTCCAAACGTGGAAGCAAACGCTATCAACTTGCTCTCTCGACCTCACAACATGCCACAACTTCAAGAACAAATGGAAAACCCTTACGCAACCGCCCAGGGTCGTCAGTATCTTCATCACTCTCCAAGCAATGAGTATCTCTCTCCAGGTAATTCTTTTGAGGACCCAATGATGAAGCCTCAGCCACCTGTAAGCGCCTATTCTGGTCTTAACGCCTCATGTCCCGTCACGGAGTCTTTTGACCTGGAAGATGCTGAGGGCTCATCATCCTCCGCCCAAGGATCCTCACCTCAGGCTTGGTGGGGTCAGGGTGCTGGTCTGGAACTTGCACAAGATGGAGCTGCTATGATGTATCCTGCCACTTCTACCCCTTCTGCAACTCCAAGTGCGTTCACTACTTTACCGAACATGTCGCCCAAGCGTCGTTTTAATCAAACACCTTCAAGCGACAATCTGCACAACCAACTGCTGATGCTTCAACACCAGCAACAGCCTCGCTCACCAATGCTTGAACAAGATCGATTATATGCTTTCATGAACGGGCAACAGACTCATTCTGCGATGCCCTCCCCTCCAGGCTCTCCTGGATATTATTTTGGTCCACAGATCACAAGCGATAGTTTTTGCTCCCCAACGAATCCGACGGGTGTTAATTTCATCGACCCGTTCAACAACTCAGGGCATCATCAGCCACAGCATCAACAATTCAACACCTTTCCAAGACGGACTCAACTCCCAAAGTCGATGCTGGGATACGATACCCCAGTACAATCTACTCCACCAGTGCCCATCAGAACAGTTCCATCTCACGCCGGTCATTCTAATGGCATCATAACAAGGTCTTCCTATCTACGAAAGTCTGGCAGCCTCGGCAGGTCCGCACGCATGCCATCCATTGGCAAGAACGATCCGAAAGAGGTCTCCTTTGTCAATTTCACTCCCCATGATGCCACAAAAATTCTAAGTGGAGTTGCACCAAGTGGCAGTTCCAAAACTAAGGCACGAAGAGAGAGAGAGGCCCAAGAGAAGAGACGAAAGCTATCAGAAGCAGCCGCCGCCGCCGTTTTAGCCGCTGGTGGTGATCCTTCAGCTATCGAGAATATTGGTTTCTGACCTCTGGCCACGGGCTCGGATGACTCGAAATGCCTTGCCCATTCACCGACCTGTCCGACATAGGGTGTCTTGGAATCTTCAAAATATTCCTTGTGGTATCCTCCCTTTTACTTTTTCTTTTTATTGCCTTGCTTTTGTCGGTGTTCTGTATACCCTTTTGCGGATATCAAAAACTTGGGAAGAATTATTTGGTTGGGTCTATTTTTTTTTTACTCCTTTCTTGGGTTCAGGGATTTTCATTTGGGTGTTCCACGTTCCACAGCGGTAAACGGGGTTCAATATTGGTATTCGGGATCAGACTGGGCTCTTCTTTTGGTATTATCAAATTATTCTTATTTTATTGTTTTCCCTATTGTATTCAAATTTCGGAGATAGCCCCCTGGGGTGTACATGTGATCCTACTACCGCTACTACAGCATTGGAATTCTTTCCTTTTACCACAAAATTTATCTCCTTGTACGATGCCTTCTGCTGCTATGTGCTAACAAGCTAGAAGGATCTCTACTAAGTTTCACACTACGTACGGAGTTTCAAGCATGTGCCACACGGTTTTCATGTTTTTACCCTTATCTTCCCCTTTCGTGGCTACGTACGTGCCGAAACGACAACGACGTTGAGGGGTTTGGATCAACGAAGACGACTGCCGCCTCACGCTTTCCTCCCGTGGCACCCATCCGTTTGCCTCGAGTCGGTTCTCGCCAATCTCGTTTTCCACGCCCCAGAATCCGGCTTGCCGAGAAGCGTGTCCTCTTCGTGGTCTTATCTCTTTCTTCTCTCTCACTTGCGAACTATGTTTAATCACTCATTCAACCGCTTTCCGCGCTTCTTTCCAGCGTTCTCATTTGTTCTTACCCATACATCCTTTCCGAAGTTTTCCTTTCTTCATTTTCATTGCTTCTGATACACTTCTTTTGCCTCACACGAGGAAATCCTATATCCTTTATCCCTTCTAAGACACCCTTTTCTTTCTATAAATTCTATTGTAATAGGCTTTACAGCCACAAACCCACTTTCAAAGGCTAAATGGTAACCTTTAGTCAATTCCTTTTATTTTCTTATTCTATACTTCAAGTTCACACTACCTCAGCATTTGATTTTGATTTTCTTATTTTCCAAGTACATGATCAATTCGTTCCTTGGATTTTACTTCCCAATTATGTTTCCTTTGAACGCGGTTTTAGCAAGATAGCTGTACATGTAACGGCTTGTTTTCACTTTTACCAAAACTACCTCGGTGTATGTATACATAGGTATTCTAGCCATGAAAATCTAGCTCTTGAATATAATAAATCTCTAAAAAGCATAAACGAAGGTGCACGAACTATCTGGTGTAAAATGATCGACGATATAGATCGTACTTAGCTCGATATCCAACTGCAGAGTTACAAGAAGTGGGGTTCTAAGCTTCAAAGTTAGGACCGTATGAAGTTCATTTCTCACTGGGTGGGAAAATCTCTTCCTGTGGAGCAGGAGTTTTTTTATGAACGCTAACGCATGCACTCCATGGACCGATGGCTCTGAATTATCCTGTTTAAACAATGGTTCAGTAGCCTCGTAACTGGTATTCGTCAACTAGAGAACAATGAGACAATGGATGAGAATTGTAGCGCCACGTTCTTTCTGACAATGGGTTTATACTAGGGGGTTCCTAGAAAAGAGTGAGGTTTTAGAGTATGGCGTGAAGCGGTACGGAGAGTACTTTTGTGCCGTATATCTGGGCTAATCGATTGTAATTCGGGCTAGCCGGTCGGTGAAAGGCGGGATTTTTGTAGGAGGGCGGTCTCAGAGAAGAATCGACTAGACCCAAGATATCCTAGAGGGTAGACATTCACCGATAGTGATAGGATGATAGTATCGTTTACCCCTCACATCCCTTGGCTATCTGAATCCCCCCCTTCCCCCCCATATCACTCGTACGATTTGGAGTCTTTGATTCATAATAATGTGACAGGTTTTCGTAAAGAGAAACATGTAAATTGTCCGACTCAGTCCACTGTGATTCGATATACTGGCCCCATAAGGGGGGTGTCTAGTCATCATTCCTAGCGATTCGAATGAGCGCCACCAGTCAGGCCAAGATTTCCTATGACTGACGCTAATGTAGCCTACTGCCTTAGGCTTTGTATTACCCGCTGGAGAACAGCCTCCTCTCCATGGTCCTACCCGGAAACTGATAAAAGAGACAGGTTTTGTGAATATTGGGCATGAATTTCGGCCACGGCGGGGCCAGATTTTGGGATAAACGGTCTAGATTAGTGGTACCTACTTCTACAGATTTCAAGGCACCCCATGTCGGTCTTTGTTTCTCCGGGCCGTGGGAGACCTTCGCCTCTGCCGGCTGTACCCAAGACGGAGCTAGGGAGCCTTGGAGGGGGATCTGCACAGGCCTTTCATACTGTTAGCTAGTAAAGACTTCGACTCTTAAGATAATTTTCCGATTGCACTATACAATTGGCTACTGCATATTGCAATGGCTAGTAGCAGCCCTTTTCCTTGGGAGATTCTGCTGAAATTGATTTGATACTAGATTATAAAATTCTAAGTAGTACGCGAACGTTACTTTAGAATGGGGACTTGGAATGCTGAAGATCTCGCGCACGGGACTTTCCATATTTTTCATCTTTTCTTTACGACAGAACTAAATCCTTGATATGCCGCATGGTTAGCCGATCTTCAATCGCGATTAGATTATGGAACCCTCTGTGTACTCTCTTGTCACTCACTACCTTTGACTTTTTAGTATATTTGTTGGGACTTATTGGAAAAGGTTTGAGTCTTTTTGGCTTCCTTTCCAGAACATACCGAGGCGGCTTGGACAGGATGGAGGGGGGGGGATGCCAGGGAAGAACCCATACCTTGTCTGCGTTGGAAGATTCACATGTGTGTTGATGGTGAGGTTGTTTCTTTAACTCCGAAACGCTGTTGTGGCTACAGTACTTTTACGCCGAGTGGGAGGGTCTTTCTTTCTTCCTATTCGTCTTTGCGAGGGTGCTTTGACACTAGTTTTTTTTGAGTAACATAAAGGGTAGTACTTCGATCCAGTAGACTTGCCACAGATAGTTCAAAGCTGCCCCAATTAATCAAAAGAATCTGAAAGAGAGAAAGAAAAAAAGGTATCGGCATTAACTTAACGCCAAATGGTCTTTCATAGGCGTTATCTCCACAAAAAAAAATTTGTTCTCATTTTAATCATCATGATTAAGCACTCCAAGCGATAAGCCATTCCGTGCGGCCGTGTGAAGCCATGGCGCAATATGCGAGATCTAGAGTGTGTATTGTGGGGCAAAAAGGTCTGTGCAACATCGGTTGACCTCGCCAAAAAAAAAAAAAAAAAAAAAAAAAAGGCTAACTATGCTGAGGGGCGGCTGGGATACATTCTATTGACTAAGTTCATAATGGGTTCATGGTGGGTTCGTAGTAGGCTAGGTATAAGATATCTAGATGGAAACGCGACGATCGGGCTCTCACATCGGGAAAAAGAACAATCTTAGCGAAAGGACGTAGATCTAGAGCGGACGGGTCGTTCGAGAGATGATCCTAAACGGTTAATTAAGATCATCATCTTTGCATTGATATTCTCCGATCTTATTTTTATTTTATTTTTTTGGGTTTTATTATTATTCTTTTGTCGAAATCTATCCCATCCCCGGTGATACGGTACCCTGGTTTTTCACGTGTGCGTGCTACGGTTAACTTGTCTAGGACCTCTTGTCGTATCGACTTAAAATCTCGCGAATCGGTGGAACTAGCTGCTGTAAAGTGCAAATCAGGATCTTGGTTGTACCGCGGTTGAAACCTAAAATATCATAACCATGTAGTATCTAAGTGCGTACTTAAGGTGTATCGTATTTTTAAATCCCATGAAACCATGGGTTTCTCAATGGACCTGAGCAAAGGAGTAGCTCGCTTGAGAGGCCATGAGTCGGGAGGTAAGCACGGACTTTGGGAAGGATTGCTTATAAAGTTTGCTAGGTTTATTTTAGATATCATTTTTTTTAAAGTTTTTTTTTATCCTTTCCTTCGTACGAGCTATAGTGGCATTAATACTTAAAACTCGGGACTTTGCGAAAAAAGCTTTCTGAGGTTTTAAGTTGTGTCGATGGAGGTGGCTTTTTAGAATCGATTCATGAGGGGGGGGGGGTCAGGAGTTAACTCATAGGGTTTCCTTGCAAGAAACAGATTTACGCCAAAGGAGTCTCGATCGATTGATAGATCGAATAGTTGCTGTAACATTATGTGGCAGTAAGTTCGAACTCTCATGCAGTATGCAATTGCGCGATTGAAATCTAAACTCCCGATTGACATTTTAGCTCCATGGCCATCGTTTGAAGGGCTACATCTATTCGGGGAGTAATCTTTTTACTATTTTTCTGTAGTATTCTTACCCCTCCTCTTTTCTCTCTTTAGAAAAAGCGGGAGAGATTCAAAGTGAATTTTTGGGGTATTCGGCGAAATTGGTATAGTCTCATACAAGTTGGGTTCTAGTTCATCCTGGGGATCGATCGAGCTATTATGTGTATGTGTGTTGATTTTGTGGCATTTCATACAAGGCCCGATCCCCAAAGCTAAGTGGTGCTAGATACTATCGACCACGGACCGATTTTGACGTCTTCAGTAAGGTAGTTCAATTCACTAGATATATAAAGAGAATTCGACCTTGGAATTTGCTTGAAAATCCGACTTAGAATTATGTTTTATCAGAAGACGGGTCATTGTGTATATATATCACCACACTTCGAAATATATCTAATATCAATTAAAATTTGTGTCTACTCGAAGTATTGAATCAAATCAATCGAATACTATTTTTCAAGTTTAGTGGTCACAACATATGTCGAGAAAAGTTTTATAGACACATCAATTCATTACATTCATTGCAATTCCTGAATTCTCTAGCTTGGAATTGAGTGTTCCCTCTGCGTCTTGAATATTTTAGTGAATAGTTATCGATAGGCGAATATAGAGCATTGGTTATGTTTGTATGTGATAGCCGGTAGGGCCTAATTGAAATAGATCTTTACAGGTCGAAACTAGCCGCCAATCGGTCTTCGATTGCAAATATTATAATATTAAATTATCTGATATAACTGCAAAAAATATGTATCTAAGGAATCGTACAAAAGACGAAAAGGCCGATGTGCTGAAAATCTTAGGAACATTGGATATGAAGCAAAAGTGAATCGATCCCCAACCCCTATATATATGATAAGGAAAATACAACTTGTGAGTATGGGTATCAAGTTCTAAGCCGCATAAAGATCAAGTTGAAAGGAACATGGTAATGTTAACAGTATATATCCTCGAGTCATTTGAGGGTTGGTGGTGAGAACACTGTTAAAAACTACGTTATAATCGTTCGAAAAGCTGGACCTTATTACTTTAGACAGAAAGCCAGTTGGAGATATCTTGGATAAATGCTATGAAGATGAAGGAATAGGTAGTACTACAGTATTTATGCCGTTCCAGCTTACTTCTGTACATCTGCTTGCTTGCTGAAACCTGCCGAATATTCGGATAAATACAACAAAAACAACACCATTTGTCGAATCCGGATATCCAGATCGCAATGAACCGGGTTAGGATCAATCAGACGATCAGGATGTTCACTTGAAAATTAATATACTGAACAATCGGATACTTCCTATGGACTAGAACATCACTTCATACATTATTTAACTATGCCTTAATGATCTTTCTTCAGATTAAGGCGCAGGCAAATTGAGGTTGTCTTTCCGCATTGAGGATATATATTCTCTCTGACTTCAAACCGATATCTGCGGCCAAAGCATAAGGATAAACAGGGTATCCCGTCCGCTCTGCCTTACTTAAGCCTTATAGCGATCAGTTAGTAGTACAGTGGGTGACCATGTGCGAATCTTGATTGCCGCAGATTCAATTATCTTTTTGAATTTTTGCCGGTTCAGCAAATCTTCTAGTGACTTTTTTGCGCTTTTTAGACTTGGTTTCGGCCTCATCCTCAATTGAAAAGAGTACAGAAATAGGTATCTTCATTAAGCTAGTAGATGCTATCGGACTCAAGATGTTATTACCCTCTTCAATTCGCGTGTGGTGGTGGTGAAAATTTTTGATACAACCCCGGTCCAGTTTTGGTACGCGAGAGGAAGGTTGTCGTTGACTAGACTAAACTAATTCTAGTAACTCTTGGCACATAACTGCAAACCCAACGCTGCCCAGTACTGGGTGAACACGAACATATTTCGGGGACGACCGATGCATGTGTGAATGCAGCTGTATTAATTGCAGCTTCCGGCTTTTCTGCAGTACTAATTCGCTATTACCTGTCAAAGGGATACCCCCACGAAATAAGCTATTCTTTATGATACCATGCGCTACAACATCCTCGGAGTTCTAATTTGAAAAACGATTAATAAGTGACGGTATGCAGGGATTAAAGGGCCTCGGAGTGTGTCTAGTGTTTTTATAGATGTCTTTATCTACATGAGCTCGTGTGAACTATCAGGTCAATTCCAGTCTTCTATAATCCTCAAATGATGTTTTATTTTTATATGGCTAAAATCGTCCAGACCTCAGTGTCGGCTAAATACTCCGCCTTATAACTCTCGCTAACTTCAGTTCCTCGGATGGGTCCTCGATTCTCCCAGCTCATAAGTCTTTCGGCATCGCTCGAGTTTTGCTCCATAACATCTGTTTGACTTAAGTTGACCGTGAATATTTCAACTTTCCCCGGCTCGTCGCAATCTTCCAAATCGACCACTATGATGTGATTGTTCAAATCATCGATCTTATAGATACCCTTGTCGAATGAAGTCGCGCACAGGCTGGCTTCTTCGCCATTCGCTATCCTTTCGGGAAATTTCATTCCGCAGCAAGCTCCGGAGTGGAGGAGGGACAGGGAGCTGGCAAGGCGGTTGGCGACTCTGATTGCACCTATAATCATTATGAATGAGTTAACCCGAGCTTGAAGCATAGTTTTGGGCGGTAGTCTGGTACTCACTGATAACAGCCATTTTACAAATTATTTAAATATTTACCAGATCTGGTATCATTGAGAGTAATATAATATTAGGTCGATATTATAAGCAGCTGCAGCCGAACGATAAATTGCTCTGGAGATTAATGCCTGAAGAGAGCCTTTTCTTTATGTACTTATCTTTCAAATTAAATTATTGAGTTTTGAGGACGGGTGGAGCTGCTTTATACTTCAAAGTAAATCAAAATAATGATACAAATTGTATACATGTAGTTTATTCAAGTTAAAAAAACTCCGACGCTTCGCGGGTTGTAGATGTGTTCGCCTAATGCGACATGACTAACTTGAGTAAATGCAGCCACTCACCCCGGTCGAATTCATGGAATACATCTAGCTAGGAAGCATCAAAATGGAAAAAATGGACGTCACACAGTCTGCCTTCAGGCATTAGTCTAGCTTTTAATCTGGCGCCTTACAGAAACCTCGTTTACTCATATTGAAAGCCTTATATTTACACTAATATATTTACAGAAATGCTAAAGTCTCTATGACTCGAACACTCTCTTCGGTTTCGGTTTCGGTGTATCCTTTGGCTTCGCAAGCTTTAACTTCAGCCTACCCAATAAGCTCTCCTGCGCTGCCAATCTCTCCGCCTCCTTCTCTGCCGTCATTTCTCTCCCTTCAACCATATCCGAACTATCAATAATCATTCCCCTAACCCCAGCCCAATGTCTTAACATCTCCCACTCCCATCCGGTTTCCAAGCCTCTCTTCTGAGGCTCTTGGTAACCCCAAGCCATCGCAACTCGATCAGTCAACGCTCTTTGCTCCTCCATAAACCATCTTTCTCTCATATATACCCCAGGAATCCAGTTGACTCTGATCATATGATCGTTCCATGTTAACAGCGCAATCATTCCCAAGCTCCCTGTGCAGATATAGTATGTCATGAACCCGATAAACGCATACGCCACAGCTTTATCATGTACCCATTGTTCCTGGAACTGTGCGAGCCAATCTGAGAGTTTCCATAAACAAATAGGAACTGCGCCTGCCGCACCACCGAACGGTAATAGTTTCGTGTAGAGTTTATGTCTACACCATGCTGTAGTAGACATGCTGTTATCTATTATATCCAGGGCTAGGGGCATATTCTTTGCTGTTATGGCAACTTGTAAAGCCTCCTTGGCGGTTTGGAATGATATTGCGTTCTTGGCGGCGTTAGGGTTGGGTTTACTGGCTGGTTTGGAAGGGTCGTAGACGGTAGCTTTGTTGGCGTAGAGTTTGAAGACTGAAGGTAAGGTAGAAGGGTCTTTGAGGATCGAGGCCAGCTTGACGTATTCAGCCAGGACTTTAGGCGAGATAAAGACATATGGGTGAATAGCTATATGGTACGCCATGTCCATCAAAGGATGTACCGGACCATTCAACCTAGCTTCCTTCTCGGCCTCAATTGTATCTTGGGATTGCGAAACTGGCTGTGGCGGTGATTCCTTGCTGGTACTCGGGGTAACATTGGCGCCCGGAGAACCGGCGAGCGAGAGTATAGCATCGTTTAGATTGGGATTTGCCTTGGTGACTTTGGCGGCCTGCGGCCTAGGAGCAGAATAGTTTGTAGCAAGTCGTTGAAGCGCCTTGAAGGCTAGAATCACCTCTGTTTCACGAGGGACCTTCGGACTATCGCCGACAGTTTGTGCAAATAGTTTTTCATTTATAGCATTGAATAGTTTGTCGTATGATTTGATATCATCCGGTGAGTATAATGCTGTTGGCGGCGGCGCGTCTGCCTGGGCCGTCGAGGAATTGTGCCGAAGAGTCTGGATGAGCGGGTGAAGTCCCGACGGGACCGGTCTTCGGGCAATTGGCCTCGGAAGAGATCGCAACGACAGAATCCGTGTCGACGAATGAACGCCCCGGAAGGAGCAGAAAAGACACAGCGCCTTCGCGGCTGGTCTTCGAGTGGCGAGCTGCATTGGTGGTGAAGCTGTCGAGGTCAACTTTTGGTTGGCTTGAAATTGGATGTTGTATTATTCACCAATCAACACAAAAAATGAAAAAAAAGGTTCCGTTCAAGATAAAAACTGGCTAAGGAGTAATATTACATGATGAGAGATAGATATCCACATCGTTCTATTCAAGATAACATGCGCAAAGATTAAATTCTTCTTAACCTTCTGCACCAAGTCTCTTCAAATCTCCATTTACAAAGGCATCCGCGTTCATTAGATCTGTGCTTCCGTATACCACCCGTCTCTTGACAATTGAACCTCCGCCGCCTCCAACAAGGCCACCGCCCCCTCCTTGAGTTTGGTTCCGCTTCGACCATTCGACCAAGTTGCCGAACTCTTCCATATTTCCTCCACCGACAGTAAAGACGATAGAGTCTGCGAACCCCTGCCTTCTCTGCCCAAATGTCGCGACTGTTCCGGGTGCTGGCGCCCCAGGTGCCCTCCCTGATCTTGCAGAACTTGATCTAGGATCGAAATACAGATAATCTTCGGTTTTGGCTATAGCCGAAGACGAAGCGCCTGCTGGGTCCATAATTGATTCGACAATTTTAGTGATCGTAAGGTCCTTATTGACGGGCAGGAAATTTTTGACATTAGATATTAAATTCTCGAAACCACCAGAGAGGGCGCCATCTCTGAATTTATCCGTGAGCTGCGCAAAGAAAATATTAGTACACAGTTTCTTATATCATAGTGGCAGACGATAAGATGCTTACTCTATTACTTATTGAAGTAAAACCACGGAAGAGTTCTCCGCTAGCGCTTGACTGTGCGGGCTGGCTGGGTGCCGAAGTCATCATTGTCATCCGTGTGATTTCTCGGACTCTGCACGGGGTTGTTAGCTCGCCTCCATCACGATTCTCGGGGGAGGATAAGTGTTACTTTTTCAAGTATGCTAAGGGTTCTAGCTCACACCCAGCCTTCGCTAGTGCAGCCTCGTACTCTGCCATATCCCCTCGTGTGACATCTTGCTCCGAACTTAAATACCAGATCGCAAATAATCGCAATTTATCGCCTGGGTTCTTTCGTTCCGGGTCATTAATGACTTCTAGTAATTGTGCCTTTGTTTGTTTTGTGATGCTTTCTTCTGCCTGGAAGAAGTTGTCCAGCTGGCGGTCTTTGATCCCCTTTAATAATGCGGTAGCGATGTTCATATGCATGTCGAGTAAAGCCTTCCGTTCTCTCAGTTCTGGAAGGAGAGTAATCGCGGCCTTTAGATGCTGTGCGCTTGCGCTTGCATCACTATAATCTTGTTAATAGGTGTCGTTTCATGCTTAATAATGCAGGAATGGTATACATACGTTGAGATATCTTCCAAACTATTAGCCCCGGTTTTTCGTGTAATGTCGGCAGCATCCTCCTTATACCTCGTTAACTCATTATCGATGTCTTCAGCTACCTGTGGAAAAGGTACGCCGGCATTTCTTGCCCAGAAGAAATCATTACTCGTTAGATCATATGCCTTCTTCGAAGTCTTTCCTTCATCCTCAACGGTCTCAACAGTAATACGGTTTAATCTCATGTTCAAAACATCATGTACTAATGCTTGATAAGTCCATGAATGTGACAACATGGGAACAAGGTCAACGTTTCGATCAAGGATAATGAGAACAGGTCTCTGGGCTGCTTGGCTGGGGTGAGCTGGGTATGTCGATGAAGGGCCTGCCTGAGGTGCCGTGAAGAGGTTTTCCTTGTTATTAAGGATGTGGTCGCGGAGTTTCCGATCTAATTTCTGGGCAATGATTTCCGCAGCATTGCCTTTGGGACACCTAATAATCGGTATGACGCCTTCAATAGAAGCTCATGTTAGCACCTGGAATACAAGCAAGTGAACAGAAGCCCCTACCCATTGTAACAACGACTGAGAATAACCCTGCAACAATCTTATCCACCGTTGCATCAATCACAGTGTCCGAAGATTTGCTACTATTCATCGTATAGTAGACATCGCTGAGGTGTAAACTGAACAGATCTGGTTCAGAGACCACAAAGTTCAAATACTGATCATAAACCTGTGCGATCTGGGAACTGGTTTGTGTCTGAGCGGTTATGGCGGCGAACTCCTCCAGTAGGGTTCTGGGTATCGATGATGTGAAGTTTATGTACGTGGTCTCGTATAGCTTAGCTTGTAAGTCCTTCGTAATCAATTTGATGTTTTCGGATGTCGGTTCGACGATGTAGATCGCTGGGACGTCTGGAATAGGGTGTCGCTGTGAATTGAGATTCCTATACACCATGAGCATGAGCCATCCAAGTAATAAACCACTTTCCGGATACCAGTAGCAAGATCATACAGATGAATTGTCACCCCGTTTGCCCGTAGATCATTGACGCGCAAAACAGAACTGATGACATCCCTCCCCAGATTATCGAACACCAAGACCTTCCATAACGGTTCTCCTTCCTCGTCTACCAAAGGGGCAGCCGAGACAAAAGCGGTACCACCAGCCGGATCATCTGGATTCTGCTTCGGTTTTTCGGCATTCAGGTTGAGTACTTTCTCGATGGAAGCTGTTCAGTTCACCAAGTTCCCAAACGTTAGTACAAAGCAGTCGCGCAAGGAAGAAGTAGCAGCATTCCAAAGGAAATGGGTCCCACCAACTTGTCGGTCTCGCAGCGTCGCCATAGCTGTGAGATACCTAAGGGTTCAAAAGCGTAACTTGTGGTAATGGTGGTTTGAAGCTGAATTGAAGCTGTGGAGGGTCGTTTGAGTAGGCGCACTCATACATGCTGAGAAGAGCTGTGCTGTTTCAACGTGTCTTCAGGGTGTTTACGAAGCCCCCGATGTGTTGGGGTGACGTCGTTGGGGGTGTTTGATAATAGTATATTACTACTTTAGGATTGACGGCCTGCGTACAAAATATCACACATTCAACTCAATACAATTCAAAATATTTTCAAGCAAGATACAAGAAGTATTCTCTGATAGGAATGCGCAGCACTAGGATAAGAGCGATGGAGAAGGAAGGAGTCTTATGTAAAGCTTATGTAAAGAAAAGGTGGATTGCAGAATCTAGTTCTCTCTAGACTAGAGTATTGAAGTACCGAGACCTAAAGACGTATTTGACAGGTAGTGCAGAAGCAGAAAGACCCAAATAGTGAATGAATGAGAATTCAAGCAGATTCGCCAGGTTGCTCGTTCTCTTGGCTCTTATTCGTCTTGTTTTCCTCTCCTCGTTGAAACAGGTTTGGAACGGTGAGTCTGTTTCTATTCTTAAACCCATGGGCAACGTCCCATGGTCCCCAAATCTTGTCGTAAACTTCTCCAACTTCAGGGTCATCGAGAAGATCCCTAGGAACCAAGCGGATAAATTCTTCCAACTTCTCGATGCGGGCAAAGGCAAACCCAAGAAGACTTTGGAGAGATCTGATTTTGACCTTCTGGTTGTGGGTCTCTTCCTCTAGGGTGGAGATCTTCTCGCCGGCTTCGATGAGCAAGGGTCCAAATGATTGCCTGCGGTGACGGGGTCCGTAGCTTTCGAAAAGATCGTAGGGACCTTCTCGGGGAACCAAGTTCTCCTGAATACTGTCGGAACATGAGTTGCGACCTCGAATTGAAGAGGTGTCCGGCCCAATGGTAAGTTTCTTTTTCTGAACGGCAGCCATGACGATTATAGCAATGTAAGTGCCTGATAGGCCAGTTGAGCGCGAGACGTCGTCCTCGATCAGAATGAGCTTATGGCATTTATCCAAGAGGATGGTTTTCAAAACTTACCGAGAAACTTCACGTGGGATCTCCCTAGCTTCTTAGTAAGGAGGTTGCGAAGATAGGGATGCCGGAGTGGAGAAGAAGAAGGTTGCTGATTCCAGAAGAACTTGGAAGTCTGTTTTTGGTTGTGCGCGCGTGCGATGATGAAAATTATGGGAGAGGATCCGGGTTTTAGGTTGTATTGGTGTATGTTTTATAGCTTTCCGTTCGTTTTAATTGTTACCAACTTTTGGTTATGCTACGACTTGCCGAAGCGTTTTAATACAAGACTAATGCTACGAGACCGAAGAAAATCCGATCTCTGCACTTAATAGCTTGTGCTCTGAAGATAACCATCACATCATCCACTGCTATCCTAGCTTAGCAGCGCTCTGAATTATGTTATACAATTACATGAATACATGACACTGGAATGAGATTCACTTATTTTTATGCCTAGGTATATTATATATATCCAGATGACCAGTTTGATTTAATGGGGTTTAGGTGCCATTAGCCTCCAGACCAGTGCCATTATATTGTTTTAGTTAGGTTATTGTGCCCGTGCCGTAAACCAAATACTACTGTCGAAGTTAGCTTATAAAGCGTGCAGGTTGTATTATATACATACAATTCTCGTTTGTGAGAAGCGAGGAAGCGGTACTTAAGCTTCCTTATATTTCAAGCCCTAAAGGTCAGTGTAATAATTAATATTCTAAATAAATTTCGTGTCTTTATAGGCAGTAATTGTCTAGTTTCGAGTGCCACGGTAATTCTACTACTTAAAAACTGTAAAGGCTGCATTAAAACACCGCAGGGCGATGTACAACAGTAGCTTCAGAGCTTGAAAGATGGATTTCTTCCTCTAAATGGATTCACAAGTGGTTTTGTGGTGGGTTTGCATCATATCTGTCTAATTAAATGTCTATCTGTGAATACTAGTATATATACCATGATCGGGGCTATTGTTTGAATTGATACGTCTCTAGTATAATATTTTCATATCGATAGCATTGTCTGTTGGTTTATGAATCTGTTGTGAATTAGCAGTGGGAGCGCTAGTGGCTTAGGAGTTTAAGCATTTAGTTAGATCTATAGAAGATGGTCATGGTGGCCATGCGTACGAGGTACACCAACTACTAAGTGCTTTGAATTTTGGATATGGATTTTCATGGCATTGGAAGAACTCTGGACAACTAGAATATATAGATTACTAGAATTTAATTAGAAACTGGATCGATTTAATGAACGTTTAACGTTTGGGAATATTTCGAAAAACGGCCCCCGTAGATTTTGAATATAATGAAATCAATAAGTACTTAAGTTTAAGCGTTTTTGAATTCCCTTGGTATACCGTTTAATACAGCACTAGGATCTAATCGAATTGACTTCTAGCGTACGGAAAATTAAAGATTGTGGGCCGTATTAATTTCATTGATATGTAGATTTGGTATCAAATTAATGATCTGACAATCATCATCCTAACATACGTACCCTCATCTTTTCAACCTCGCAGCTAGGTGGGCTTGTCGTTCTTCAGAGATCGATCAAAAAGAGATCAATTCTATGCCAATAATCATCAATTATACCACGTGTCGATAAGTACAGCACGAAGAACCTACAGGGATAACCATGCGGATCCGGGTTGGAAACAGAGGCACAAGTGATACGATGCAACCGAGTGGCACGAGTGATTTTATGCCTTTCAAAACAATCATAGTGCTGATAGATGATATAAATTAGACTCGAACCTGAATACAAAGGCTATCAAGTGAGTAAGTATTTTTTTTAATTTACTCGGGGGGAGTACGCATAATTATAACAGGGTGACTTCTCGCCCTGTCGTCATGATGACTGTGAAACAACACGGATCAATGCTTCGCAAAATGCAACAAGGTTCTCGCGTTGATAGACACATGCGGGAATATTCCGGATACGTAACGGACTTGTATGTACTTGAATGATAATTATAAAATTGAAAAAGTCGATAGATTGAATATATGGGAATTTTACCGCATCAAAAATCATTCGATAGTCAAGAGCGAAAGAGCTATTGAGCAATTGAGGCAGTTGCGCATGAGAGCAAATATGAATCTGAATCGAATTCACGGCCTTAAATTAATAAATTATGGCTTCGAGGCGGGAACTTGCGTATTTTCATTGGATTGCCAAAATTGGAGCAGACAGCGCCAAGGCTGCAGGTCACATTGAAAGTGAAGAAAAAAAGCAAGCACTGATTAGTCCTGCTGCTGGGAAATCCTGTCATTTTAAGCTAAACGGCCCCTCGCCCTAAACCAGTCACCGCTTCTCCCTCCCTTTTCTTCTTCTTCTTTTCTCCGCCAAACAAAAGTTGTGGGAAGACCACCACCGTCAGTTGTTCAAACCGAACCCTCTTCTCCCCCCATCATCATCATCATCATCATTGTCATCATCATTGTCGCCACTTCTCCCCCCCGTCCGATACATATAACATCTATAGAAATCACAAAAACAGTACGCGGGGAATAACGAGACAGAGCGGATCGATAGAATCTTCTATTTTCTTTCTTTTCGTTCATTAAAAAAAGACCACTAACCCTTTGAAAGCGAGCATTTTTTTTATTCGTGTCATCGGCAGTGCCCTGAAATCACCGACCCAAAAAAAAAACAAGAGATCACATCACACTACTCTGTCTTTTTCATCCTTCTCCCTTATTCCAAACGCGACTTCAACCTTCACGCAGTTTACTCTTTTGCCTTCTTTTTCATCTGCCGCAAATTTTACTATTTCGTGATACCTGAAGAACCCAGAGACAGACTTTGACTCTGAAATAGGAGAGTCGTCTTCTGACCAAAGAAAAGAACTTGCTCGTCCCCCGGTTTTTTTTAAAAAGGAAAACTGGTGCGGACAAATTTCCTGCCCAGCTGGAAATCAGAGAAGATACAAAGGAACTTGCTTGTAATCGCAGTAGACTGTTATTACCGTCTTGTTTCTTCCTAGAGAGAACATCTACGAGGAATTATATTATTTACCCAGATTATATATCTGTGTCAAGTAATACCCTTGTTTTTGTACGAAGAATATTTGAGTGTCAGAGAACCGACAGCCGGCCTCCCTTTTTTTGCTGGTCAAGAAGACGAGAGAAAGAAGACCACTACGTGAATTAAAGGTTCGTAGACGTGGGCTGGATTTTTTTCCTTACGTCTGACGAACTCCCGGGATTCTTGATTCACAAGAAAGAAAAAAAACCTTTAAGAGAGAGACCGAGAGAAAAGAATCGCTAGAGCATTACTACGTCCTACTAAAAATACTATATAACAGAAAGGTCTGGAAGAGGCAACATTGAAAAGTCGGACCTGAAAGAGAAGATGACAAAACGATCCGACCGTTCCACATTATAGAATCATCATTATCTGAGCATTCAACCTGGGCCATATCATTGTTGGTTGGCGCTTGGGGCCTGGAAGGCGTCTTCGCCGGAATAAACCAGCAAATAAGTTTCTACGAACTAAGATTTGAGAAGAGTCGGACGAGGAGCTGAGCTTGCTCCTTCTTTTTCATAAGGTATTATAAAACTGCTGCAAAGATACACTCTACTATCTAATTCTACTGCGCCATTGTACTGTTCATCGCAAGAGCGAGAACAGGGAGTTTCCGTACCCTCGACGACCACATGTGTGATCCAAGAGACCGGCTCCACATAGACAGACAGCTAGACAGACCATTTTCCGCTACTTGCAGGACGGCTTGGTTGACTTTTTTCGGGGTGTCTCTGCCAATGGACAGGGCAGCTTAGGTCCACACACACACACACAGACACACCCTTTTGACTACCGATCTACTCGACGACCACCATTTTATCCTAACCTTGTGCTTGCTTCCCTTGCTGGCTTGTAAACCGTCAAGGCGCTGCTGCTTTTCCTCAGGTAAATCCTTTTGCCCCCCCAGTTATACATTACATACCGTTCCCATATGAGATACTACTGTACGAATTCAAGATATCGCACAGTAGAAGAAGAGAAAGAAGAACGCAAGGAATACATTCGTTCATCCATCTATATCCGTACCACATAATTGCACGTTATAGATTCCCGATCGTGCCCCAAAGAACCCGAGAACCAAGCTCTGCCAGTTTCAATCATCTTTTTTCTGAAGCGACTTGAGGAACAGGCAATATTCTTGACCCGCTTGGAAGAAACCGGCTTGAGGGAATTGCTTTTTGCTTCTTCGCCGTATGCGTATCTGTGAAGCTAAACCGTTTCGCGTGTTGGAAAATCCACAGAATAGGAAATTGTCAAACAGACAAACATGCAGCCTGCCATGTTCACTCCAAACCATTATTCCGCAACACAACAACAACAACAATCATTAGCCACCACAGCACAACAACAACTGATGCAACAACAACAGATGAGACGGACGACTCGCTCTTCGCAGCGGTCTCCGGCAGTACCGCCAGCATCTACAACGATGCAAAGTATGCCTCCACAAGTCGTGCAAGGCCATTCCCACCAGATGCAGTATCAGACAATACCTGCTACGCATCTACAAGCGAATGGCCCCAAGCAGCTGTCGTATAGCCCGTCTCTTTATGTTGCCAGTCCTGATCAGCAGATGTTGACGGGACGACCTGCAAGCGTAAATCCAGCATATAGCACGCCAGAAATCCAATTCCAATTCCCAAACTTCGAGGACATTGAAGACTCTTCTCTCCTAACCACCACTTCCTCTCATCCATACCAAACACAGCTTCAATCTCATTCTCCAGACCACCAATTATTACAGGACTTGCAGGGGACGGTGAACCCTGCTTATAATCCCGCAGATCTCCAATTTAGTTTCTCCCAATTTGACGACCCTTCTATGATGGCTGCTGCTGGAGGGGGAGGCCCTCCTCATCCCTCTAATCCCTTCCAAGGGCAGCTGAATTCGAATTCGCCTGATCCAATGCTGGGAGGTGATGCCTTTCGGTATCGTGTGATGCAATCCAATAGTAATGGTGGTGACCCGGTTGGCCAAAGGGCCATTTCTCCTCTTTTTACTCGACAGCAACAGCAGCAGCAGCAGCAACATCAACAGCAGCAACAGCAACAACAGCAGCAACATCATCATCATCAGCAGCAGCAGCAGCAGGCCGTATTGAACTCTAGTGTCGGTGTCGGTGTCGGTGTCGGCGCACCGAGTAAGCAGAATAACGGCATGTATTCGCAGGACGCTGCTGACTGGAGGGCCGGTGCCAATGGTTTGTATGCTCTGGACCAGTATCTTGGTGTCCAAGGCCAGTTCCCATCCTCGACGGGAGGTACCCCTCAATCTCATGCTTCGGTTTCCGGACCTGTTCGTCAAATGCCCATAAATCAGCAACCAGTACAAAACCCAAGTGTCAAGCAGCAGATGATATCTGTTGGACCTTCGGATGACATTGTTGAAACAATGACCCCAAAGCCGTTGGCTGTCGATGGAGCCGGTGATAGCGATGTTAAGCCGAAGGTAACGAGGAAGAAGAAGCAGCAGCAGAGTGCTGTAGCTGTAGCGTCGTCACCGAAGTTAGTGAATGGGTCAACACATATGATGATGGATATGGAGAGGTTGATACTCTTTGACGTCAATAGTAAGTCGCGTTCTTTCCTTTCTGTTCATTCACAGACTCTGGTGTTGCTTTGAACCCTTTTCTATTCATTCAGAAATCCTGGTGTTGCTCTTAATCCCTTTCCCCTCACACTCATCTCTTCTTCCTCTTCCTCTTCCTCTTCTTCTTGATCACCTCCCTAAACCTATTCATCTCAATTGCTATTCCCAGACACAATAACCTAACCACCATCAACCTACACCTTTGCATCTATTCTCCCTTTGCTTTCCCTTTCATCAAGATCCCCTTTCACTTTTCTCTTGAGAATCAACCATTCTGATAAACAAAATAGTGGACGAAGAAGTCGTGTATGATCCCACTGGTTCTGTTACCCTGTCTTATGAACCCGTTGCTCCTATGAACGCCAAATCACCAAACTCAACCGACTCTCCAGACCCAGCAATGGCTTTAGAAACTAATAACAACAAGAAGGCCAAGGCCAAGTCCAAGGCGAAGGCAGTTAAGGTGGTACCAAAAGATCCAATTGCACAAATGAAGAGCCGTATGTTAGACGCTCTTGAAGACGATGATGTTCCTGCCTCCAAAGTTCTCATAATCTGTCGAGATGAATTGAAGGCCATTGCCGAAGATGATTCTGATAGCAACGAGAAAATCGTCGCGTGGTTGAAGACAGTATTTGATCATGGATTTGATGACCTGTTCCGTTTGATGACCAACACTAGTCTCTTCATCACCAGAATCCGAAAATGGATAGTTGATGCTTGGAAGGCGGATAAAATGAGTGCCATTGTACTTCACGGCCTACAGGTTTATCAAAAACTAGCTCTCGACGAGGATCATCTAGAAAGGTTCAAGCTTAGATCTGTGTTTTCTGTCTTTTCAAAAGGTACAAGAGACGAGAAAGTGAAACAGGCCTGTGCACATATCCTATCAAGAGCTGCCAAACTCACTGCTAAGCAAGAGGCTGAAGCTAAAAAGGCAGAGGCTAAGGCCAAAGCTGAAGCATCAAAACCTGCGTCTACCAAACCCTCAACCGAAAATGTTAAGACTGATGGTGGGGTTGCTGCGGCAAAGCCAACTGCGGCATCGAAATCAGCAGATAGTGAAGCTATCCTTAAGGATGCTGCAAAGATTGCAAGCTTAGCAAACGAGGACAATAAGACAGGGAAGCGAAAGACGGAGCTCTTGGAGAAGGACCACCCCAGCAAAAGGGTCGCCCCGAATCCACCCTCCGATAAGTCCAAGATTCAGCTCCCGATTGCTCCTGATGGATCAAAGCCTTCCATTGCCGGAGGAGCTGCTAAGCCTAAGTCATCAACTGGTGGTTTCTTCGCTGATATTCAGAAGGCAGTCAAGCCCAAGCCTATCCCGTAAGTACTTGCTTCGTTACAGTCTGTTGGTATCTCAAACAACTAACATTAATTTTTTTATAGAGCTGCCCCCCAGCCTGGTGGCTTCACATCAATCTTTGATCTACTCAAGGAGCGAGAAGCTGCTAATGCCGCCGCCAAGAGTACGACAGTTGCTGAGAAGCCTCCACCCCCAGCTAAGAAGAAGAAGACAGTCCGGTGGAAGCCGGACGAAGAATTGAATGAAATCAGGGTTTTCAAAACGGAGCTCCCCGAAGGAGAGGATGGTAATGACCCGATGGAAGTTGAAGGAGCTATGGACGCCGGCTTGGTTAAAGCCAAGGTCCGCGCCAATTTGAAGGAAGAAGCTCAAGCCCTGAAGGACTTTATGAGCAAGACAAAAAGTCAAGGCTACGTTGATTTTGACGATGATTTCGAAATGGATTGGGATAGTCTGGCGCCCATTCTCATTGATCATTTGGCCCCGCAGTATATCCGGGGCCTTTGCTTCAAGAGAATGGGCGATCAGCGTGCTGAAAGCCAGGAGGCGAAGGCCCAACAGGAACGCGAGAGAAACGTCCTCGCTGTTCACTACTCCATGTCCCATCCGGCCCCGCCCAACCCCTCAGAGCTTGCTAGTGCCACAGAGGTGGAACAGTCAAGCGAAGCCTGGGATGCTCCCCTGCTTTTACCGCCACCCAACTGGAGGCGTGATGGTAACTACCTCTTCGCTGACCCAAATCAGCGGAAGAGCATGGCTCGAGAGTTCATGCCACAGCCTGCTCCTCCAACCGCTCCTCCTCCTACTGCTCCGATAGACCTTACGAGCATTTTTGCAAATCTCGGAGGTGGGCAGTCAGCCTCTGCCCCTGTTCAGCCGGTATCTGCCCCACAGGAGCCCCCCAAGGCCAATCAATTGGCATCCATCCTGGCCGAGCTACAAAAGTTGGCACCTACAACTGCACCTGCACCTGCTCCCGCCCCAGCTCCCGCCCCCGCCCCCGCTGTCCAGGCTCCCCAGCCAGCCTCGACACCTACCCCGGTACAGAACAACCCACTGCAAAGCAACCCACTTCTTGCTTTCCTCGGCCTTCAGAGCCAAACTCCACAGCCTCAGGCTCCAGCCCAACCGCAGATCGATATTGCCAAAGCTCTCCAACAGTTAGTTCAGCAGCAGCAGCAGCAGCAGCAGCAGCAACCGCAGCAACAAATACAACCGCAGCCGCAACCACCGCAACCGCAGCAGCAGCAACAACAGGCCCAGGCAAACCCTTTTGGAAATATTCCATTCCCTTTTATGCTCCCTCAACAAGCTGGCCAGGCTCCCGCCTTTCCGTTTAATATGCCATTCCCACCGCCGCTTCTCCCTGGCCAGAATCCGCTAGAAATGATGGCAATGTACCAGGCAATGGCAGCTCAAGCTCCCCAACAGCCCCAGACTACTCCAACCCCACAATTCGGACAAACTGTCGCTGACACGCTCCCGAATTTCCGCAACATGGCGATTCAGCAGACCAATGACGTCAAGATGAACGATGACAGCGATGGCTACCAACCCCCCGAACAAACTCAAACGGAAAAGGCTTACCAGGATAATAGCCATAATAACAACAATAATGGGAACAACGGACCCAAAGAAGGAAAGGGTAGCTGGTCTAAGTTTGGCAAGAAGAAGAAGCACGCTTACCAGGATCAACCGCCATATAAGAAACACAAAGGCGACTCTGGGCACGGTGGGAAACGTGTTTGTGCTTTCTGGCAAGCTGGAAACTGTTTAAAGAAGGATGACTGTCAATACTCCCATGATGGACCACCAGGACAAGGGGGGTCCGAGCAAGCTGATCAGATACGGCAACACCTCTACGGGAAGGACTCCGGCGATGGTGGGAGAGGCCACGAAAAGAAACACAAGAAGTTCAAGAAGAGAACAGGATACGTTGGTGGCTCTGGCTCGGCAGCTGATACTGCGGCTGCAAGTGCATCGAACGATTGGAACGGTGAGATGGAATACTAAATACCCTGATTGCCTATTACGATGTGTTTGGTATAAATGACGAACTCAACGACCTCGACGATTTTTTCTTTCTGCCTTTTCTTCTTGTTTTTAAATGCTCAGCGATCTTACGACTCGAAGTGGGATTATGCATCTCGCTGTTTTCAAACATCTTCGACTTGTTTTTATTGGACATATAACCTGGTTTGGATGCAATGGCGTACCGCCGTCGCTACACTTCCACAGTTGTAAACTATTAGTCCTGTTTCTCTCCCAACTCCCAGAGGAGTTTTTTTTTTGCTCTTTTCGCACAGATTCGATTCTATTACAAGATGGCGTTTTGTATTCGTGGAGTTGACGTTTTTACTTTACAACCTTCATCGCAAGAGCCCTTATTACAAAAAACCTAATATCATGGCACAATACGACCCCTTGTACTGCCTTCCCTCTTCTTTTCACTTTCTCTGTCGACGACTACTTGCATTGTTCTCCGGCGCTCCTATTAGACGATTCGTTTTCAAGCCGCCTATATGTGTGTTCTTTTGTTTTCCCTTCCCCCCTTCCCCCCTTCCCCCTCTTCCTGTAGTAACAGTGCCTGTACTACGATTTACTCTGTCTGGATGGATAATATGAGGTTTCTATCAACCCCTTTTATTAGAGAGAAGGGGTTTTCAGATGGATATTGTACTTTACTGCCCGTCACATGTGAAGGAGAAGTCGGAGATGTATTCTATTATTAGAACTATTTTACTAGTATACCTATGTGACTAGCGGTGGATGAATGAAATGGAATCTTTATATTATAATAATTTCCCTTTGATTTCTATTTGTAAACGTGTAAGAACGTGAATTGACTCGTAAGTACTAGTACTTAGTCGGCAATAGATTTAAGTATTAGTTAGTAGTGTTCACATAGTATTTAATTGACGTGCTAGGCCTGTGCGTATAGATATGTGAAGAAGTATGAAGTATGAAGCACTCCACTAATTAGATATTCTCCAGTGCCTCCGATTTGAATTTTGCAAGAAACCATTACGAGGCTACTAGATATAACCTAATTGTAGCCATAGGTGCCATAGGGGGAGAAAGAAGAAGAAATAAATAAACTGATAGGATAGATTTTAATCAATAGAATGTAATCAGTGGTTAGAAGCTACAACTAAGGATCAGTCGGACACAACATACAACTGCAACAACTACTGAAAATTCAAATAACTTCTAAAATCACAATAAGTAGCATCATTAGGTTTAGTATCACCAATCATAATAATTAACTTTTCCACCGAAGAGCCCATATACGTGCACAATCCAAAATTATGATACCCGCCGGCACTCTGCGAAGAGTCTATGAATATAGTATTGCGATCCGGAAAAAAACCAATATACTGCCAACCGTTACTTGTAACCGTGGCCTCTTCGGCGAACATGAGGGGCCCGGCTGTAGGTTGGGTAGAGTCGCTGACTACTGGTGCTGCAGCGTACCAGTTTACGTTTGTTCCGGTGTTGGTGTCTAGTATCGGGTAGACCAGACGACCTGTATCGTCGAGTGTGAGTGATCCTGCTGGTGCGTTTGCAGTTCCGAGTTCGAAGGCACCGTTGCTGATGGTGCCGCCTTCTAGGTATGTAAGACTTCCACTGGCACGACGCCAGCCCAAGCTTGCACTGAAACTCGAAGGTGTGGCGACAATGACGCTGACTTCGGTTGACATGTAGTACTCTGTTGTTTCTGTGGGGTTTGTAGTTGTGGTTGAGTCAAGGACGATTGTTAGTCCTGAAGCCGTGGTTGTGGTGGTTTCTTCGACGGTGGATTGGACCGGGTATGAGACCATTAGATTGCAACCGACGGTGATATTTGAAGCGGGGAAGCGGGTTAGAGCATCTGGTGTGGAGATCGTCTCCGCTCGTGGGATCCTATGGCGTGAACGGGTTGGCCAGGGTTTGTATGAAGTCGTTGTGGCTTGGACTACCCCGGTCTGTGATAGGATTGTTGAGATTGATTCTTCGATAATGATGGTCTGGCTTGTTGAGGTGGAGAAGTCGAGGATGGATGATGTGACTAAGACGGTTCTACTGGCTGCGAAGAGGTTTAGGAAGGAAGAACACCAACAGGTGTAGAATGCACCACCCGCTGAGATTATATCTGTGACTGCTTCGTAGCCGTTACCGGTGATGGTGGCGAAGACGGTGGGGTTTGCGTTATCGGTTGGACATGAGCCCGTGAAGCCGGTGGGAGAGCTTGAAATAGTAGTGCTGGAGTCCTCGGCGGATGTGGAACTTGAATTCTCGGCATCTGAGCTGGTGGCTGTGGTATCTTGAGTCTCAGTTTCGCTGGTGGTATCGATCGAGGTAGTGTCTGTGGAAGATGTAGTTATCGACTGTTGATTCGAAGTGATACTTGCCCCCGTGCCGGAAGAAGAACCTTGTGAAGTTGTTGCCGTCGTCGAAGTTGAAGTTGAACTACTACTGAATGAAATTGGAGGGAGATCTTCCTGAACGACAGGAACGACACTGACACCGTCGAACTCGGAACCCGGGTCTACACCTTCATCCGCGGTATACAGCTGTGTCTGTCCCGTCGTACCCGACTTATAGAAGTTATTATCGACGCCATCAACATTCAATTCTATAGCCCCTCCGGCCCCGAAAGAGAAGTTTCCGGCCTTGTCACTCGATGTCAGGTTAGATTCATCGATGGATTGAATCTGCGAAACCGCATCGGTGGATTGTCGTCGCTTGAATCTGCCAGTACTGGTCCAACTTCCAAGGAATAGAACTTGGGACGGTGAATTATAAACTCGTAAGAAACCGTCTTCATCAGCAAAGAGAACAGTTGCGTTAGTAGCAGTACTCGCATCAACGAGTAGAAGCTGACCATTACTTGATAGTTCAGCGGCTAATGGTATTCCATCAGATCCAGTTACGGATAAGGTAACCGGCTGACCCACTGCGGGTATAACCGTCGGCTCTGGAGTCTCTGAGCTGGTTAAAGAACCAACACCGGCTCCGAAGTTAACGGCATTGCAAAATGGTAGTTGACCGAAGCAGTCATAAAAGGATGTAACGGTACCACCGAAGGTTATGAAAGATGTTACCGTTGAGGTTGTGAGCGAGGCTGATGCTTCGTCGTTTTCACACCCGTCAGTCAACTGGGCATGCGTTAGCAGCGGGCTAAGAAAGAAAAGAGTCAGTAGCATATTTGATATATTTTTTATATCACTATGACTCTGTTCAATCTGTATGGAGTTAAGGAAACTTTTTATATGGTTAACTAAAGATATTGTTAACGAAAAAGTCTTCGAATATATGGACCGACTTTAATGCTAGATCGACTATCGTAACGGCATCCTTAGGAAAGTTTATAATTAAGGGACAAGTACATCTTTACCAACAGCGAGAATCCTTCTATATATTAGGCCTATTCTAGGCCCCGGTTAGTTATCCTAGCTAGCTTCCGAGGTGAATATCGACTCTAAATTTAGATGACCTTCAGTCATATCATTTCTTGATCAATTGATCCCTTGAGACTATCATATCCATCCATCTTAATATGTATACACAACGCTTCCATATCTAGATTTTTAATTTTAGTACTCTAGCTATGGTGTTCAGAGTCCGAGAATTCGAATACCACGCAGACGTGTACGTGTTGACGTACCGGGGTCTTCCAGGAATTAACATGCAGGATCGCCGGTTTTGGACATCGAATGGGAATGTTTCGACGAATCAAATGTCGACACAGGCCGAATACGGACGAACGACATGCACTTGTTGCATTTTTCGCGTTGTCCACCATTTCGAAGTTTTGCTTGATGACAGTTATAGTTAACTACTTAAGTACTTGGGCATATGTGAATGCAATCAATGGGGAAGCATAGATAAATAGTGAATTTAACATGGTTTATAGATAAGTAATTGTAAGAAGAGATTCGGTATTGATAGTAAATATAGATACAAGTTCAAATTAGAATAGTTCATATGTCAACGTGGGTTCTTTATCGAGAAAGGTTAGTCGATCAATATGCGTGAGAATGCCAATCATGATCATATCGGTCAGGATCTATCCTTATAGTAAATAGCGTGACTAGATGTGTTTTTCATTAATACCCACTAGCAATTCTAATCATGGGAATACTCTCTTGCTTCCCTATCTTCTCCAAAGTCGCCTGCGTTTTGACTTCACTCTGTGCGATTGCCTCGTCCCACTCTCGATCTAGTTCTCCAAATCGTCTAGCCTGTAAAAAGTACCGCGTAGTCCTTTTAGGAACCTTCCATCCAAAATAACCATAATTGTGGCAAATCCTCCAACCGTAGTATAGATGTTCCGGCAACTTTGAAGCCATGCGTCTAGCTCTATCTGCCCAGGGTGGTGTAATCGTCGTCCCAACGCGAGGAGCAATGGTGAGATGTGCTTCTAGATCATGGAAACTTCCTTGGGTAATATCGATATCGGCGCTGTTCATTTTCCAAATCCGAAGATCATCCGTTGTGATATCTGGAACTCTAGGGAGGTAGATATCGTTCTCCAAGCATCCAAAGTCGTCATTGACTTGCATGCGTCTTGGAAGAAGCGAGAAGTTTCTGGAATGACCGATTGTTGTTAACATAAACAAGTTGTTTGCGCCCTCTTTCTTAAGGTTCCTTCTCGTTTGCCAATCATAGAGTTTCCGTGGAGTGTTTCCTGGTGCGAGATATTTTTGTGTAACCTTGGATGTAAGGGATTGCGTTTGGACTTGGTTGGCTTTATTGCGCCGGTGGAGCGCTAAGAAGGCTTCATGTTGTCTTTGTCTAGCTTCTACACTTCGTCGCTTTTCTGCTTCTACCTTTTTTCGGGCTTCTTGTACTCGTCGTTCTGATTCTTCCTTTCTTCGTAAATCTGCAGCTATTCTCTCAGCCTTTCGTTGTTGTACTAGGGCTGTCGCATCAGCCAATTTACGTGCTCTGGCTGCTGCAATTCCTTCTGCTTGGGCTTGAGCTCGCTTCTGGACTGTTTGAGGCCTGATAGAGATACGTCGATTCGGGCCTCGGAAAATTGGCGTCCCACGCAACTGCGGCGTAACACTAGACACTCCTGTTCGCTGGCTGATTTGAGGAGTAGCCTGGTTCATTGATATTGATAGTCTAGATCGAAACAGACCTCGAGACATCCGCCGGTTGGGTACTCGTCTCGCCAGAGAGACGCGACGTGACCCAAACAATTTACTCTGTGTCCCATAAGCTGCTTCAACTAATTTAGCTTTCTCTGCACGTCTTCTCGCCAGAGACTTTCGTTTTCGCTCATGTTCTTGAGCGGCCGACTCCAGCTCAATTCTTCTCGCCTCATCCTCTTGTCGTTTTCTTTCCCTTTCTTCCACTGCTCGCTGCTTCTCGCGTTGGCTCTCTTCCCATATCCTTCGGAGGTGGGCGCTCTGCTGACGTGCTTTCTCGGCTTGCATGTGTGGATACTTCGCCTTTTGTTGATTGTGGTTTTGTTCCAGTTCTTCGTAGTCTTCTGGATTATCGTTCTCCCGATCGCTATCAGAAGATTCCCAATCTCTGTCCAGACTTTCGACTGATTGCTTTTGCTGGAATACCTCAGACACCAATTTTGTCTCATATTTGACCTTACGACTGGGTGAGCTTGGTCCTCCATTAGGACTATCATCAGGCGAAACGATTCTTAATTTCGCCAAAGGCGATAGAATCTTGAATCGGCTTAACGAATTTCTTTGTTGTCGTCGTCTGGGTGTAAGCCCAATCTGGCCAGTAACAACAGCCTCCTCTTCAGCCAGTCGGTTTGCAGCCTCAATTCTAACACTGTAGTCACGACATAAGACGCCCATGTTGTGAAGAGTCTCCATCGGAACTTTTCTTTCCGATAGCATTGATTTGAAGTAATTCGGCGGTTGGATGTCTCTTGGTGGAAGGTAAGGGGGTAAGAGAAGTTCTGGAAAGTCTAGTCCTTGTGGAGGGGTGCGAAGAGAACAGGTGAAGTGATCACATAGTTCGCAGCGGAGACCTCGTGGGGTCTCGTGTTTGCAATGAGTTTTGTGCGTCATGGTGATGGTGGTAAGTACTAGTAATGTATTGTGATGGATTGAGGTGAAATTACCCCGATAGTTAGTGAATTTGGTGATTGATGGGATGTTAGGGATAGTGGTTGATGATGATGATAATAATGATGACGATGATGATAGTAGGAGAAGGAGGTCGATGTGCGATGAAAGTGGGAGAATTAATAATAAAAAAAAATATTGAAAGGACTGGGTGGAAAGACTGTAACGTAGGTGCGCTCTGTGAAACAAATTCTGGTCGTCAGGGTTCTTGGTGAGCTGTGGTACAAGATTGACATTAAACACAAAGTACAGATTGGTTATATTATCAGGAAGCCCCATGACACCGACGAATCCATGGGCAGCCAAGTTCGCAAAGGAAATGAAGGATTAGGGGATAATTTATTTCAATTAGTATGTAGCTTTGGTGGTTAAATGCATGATGAAGACAGGCTTAGGAGACAAGCAAGGCCAATAGAGGAATAGAAGGAAATATCTCAAACATCAAGCTATGGTGACAAGATCGAGAGGAAAGAAACCCCGGGGCAGATTTTTCCGACTTCATTTCTATTCAGAAGAAATGAACGAGATGAAGGATAAAGGATTCCCGAATTCCAATACCCAAAACGTCAGGATGTTAGGAAATAAATCAAAAGAGATAAGAAAAATGGAAAGAAAAGAGAAAGCTCCATGAGTCGTCGAATACCGCAAGCTGTAAAATGTCGAAAGGTGGGCGTCATAGCAAAAAGTGGTTAATCAAGGCCTCCATAGCAGTAATGAGGGACACCCCTCAGAACTCCATCTTCGGAGATTCCATGATAGAAGCGGTAGAGACTGTTTTCGACCTCCAAATCCCATTGCCTTTCCATCACCCCGAATAGAAATGCTTGCTCCATGAGATGGCCCGGGGCAGTGCTTGGCCAGATACCCTCCTTGTAGCCAAGAGAAAAGTACTGGATGTATTCTCTCTGGGTGGAATCTAAAGCAATCCCGTCGAACATACGCTCTAAAGCCTGGCGCCAGGGCTTTGGAGTTCCCCACTTGGGATTACAAATCATATTTTTGTAGTCTTCAGCAAGAATATCAATCAGAAGATTGGCTGGATCAGTGACTTCACCAGGAACAATCGGCTTTTTCGGATTCTCGAAAGCAGCATTCCATGGAGGGATGGACTTATCAGATGTTCGACCTGGCGTGCCAGTTCTGAACATTCCCGGCCATCTAGTAGATCGCTTCTTGTTAGGAGTTCTCTGGGGCGTAATGTAGCCTGTGCCTGAAACATGGCGGACCGGCGACGGCCCACCGCTTTCAAGAGGCTGGCGATGGAGAGCAGGTTTGACTTGTTGGATGAAAGGCTTTCCCATTGGTGTCTTTCGCTTGCTTTGGCGACGGGAGCTCTTTCCTGTGATGGGTATTGGCTGAGGGGCGGCAGCCGTGCAGATTCCGGTGCCGTGCTTGACGTTTGGCCTGAAGTTAAGCTCTTGAGGAGCATACATCTCCTTGGAGGAGGGTAACTGGTCCATGCTGGGCTAGAATAGGTGGAATAGAACGGTTCTAGCTTGAAAGAACTTTGAAGCTCCGAAGCTAGCAACAAGTAAAACCTAAATGCCATAGACGTCAGAGTTTTCATTACGATTTCAGATGAGATATTTGAGGGTACCTTAGAAGCGATTTTTATTAAGCAGATGAGACAAGTGACGCGTCGAGGGACCTAGGAAACTAGGATGATGACTGAGAGAAATATTAAGGGGTTGAGTGTGAATGGGACAGGTAAAGGTGGGAGAAGAAGAGGATGAATTGGCCAATTGGATGTAGTGATATATATCATCATAGAACATTTGTAGCCACCCCCACAAATAGTCGTGACAGGACAGTATAACTCTTCTGAAAAGCGATAATGTACAGAACTAACTAATACAGAGCCCATGCATCCGCCGCACGATTAAAGGGAAAAATCAACCGAAAGAGAAGTAATTGATTTGAAAAGGTTCCTGTCAATAGCTATCACACTCCCCGAGTCCAGCCCGTTCCGCCATACTCCAATGATAGCTCAACAGGAATGAGAGGGGAAATACATGAAAATGGACGAAAAAATATGCCAACGAAATAAAGGATAAGAAAAAGAACTTGAGAGATGGAAAACAAATAAAGGGGAAAAAAGAAACTGGGAAAAAAGAAGATGAAACTAATTTGTGCCGAAGAGTCGAAAACGAAAAAAGAAGAAACAAAAGAAAAACTGCTTCTGGAAACACCATCCCATGTTGGGGTGGGTGAAAGCTCAGACTCTAGTCTTCCAGGATCTTTAATTCGCTCCCGCCGTTCAGTTTGAGGCTAAAATCCAATTATTATTTAGATTTAGATATAATAGGTTGGAATTAATACTCACGTGGGAAGCCTTTCTGGGCAATCTTCGAAACCTCATCGATCGATTCAAATTGAGAGAGTCCGATCTCCTACCAATCCTTGTAGGATGAAGTCTGATCAGATGACAAGGCTTTGAAGTTTCCGTGCTCGTCAACTTCTGTATCGAAGTATTCTGCGATTCGTTGCAAATGGGTATTGATCTGGCCTGAAGCTGCTTCGGCGGGACTCGGATGATCGGGTGAAGAGTCCTCCCACAATCGTTCGAGTCGTCCGATTTCATAGGCTCGCCAATACCTTCGATGGCTATTTTCGGGGTACGGCATACCGTGATAGCCTTGGGCTCGATGAATCATGAACAACTCGTAGTAGCTAGTTGGCAATCGCTTCAAGAGTCGCTTGATTTCACGAGTCCATGGACGTTGGATATTCCTGCCGTCATCGGTTCTTTCTGGGCGAGTATTTGACAAATTGACCTGGATTGCGAGCTCGGGAGAGCGATCTTGATGCCGCCCTTTCCACTTTCGGATTCGCTGAGAGACTTTATCCTCAAGGCGAGCGGCTAACCCAGGACTGTTCATGTTCGACGGGCAAGCCTCAAAGAGAGTGCCCTGATCGCTTTCAAGAAGCTTCGTTTTTAGAGAATAACTTTCGGACATGATGGTATGGAGGGATGATTTAGGGTCTGAGAAGGGAGGGGAAGATGGTATGGAGGGAGGGAGCTTTCGATTGAAGTGATGGGTTGCTTGCATGGATTAAGCTGTGAATGGGCTATTTGGGTTGTAAAAGAAGAGGGAGGGAGCCTGACCAACTCAACCAACTCCTCGTATATATATATTGAAACATAACGCCCGTCTACTTTGCTACCCTTTTGCTAGATCTTTAGAATTACTCTTCGGGATTCTGCGTCCATCTCACAAAAGAACAGGCAAAGGTGCAGGATGTCATCTGTATATAGAATAGCCCGTCCTACACCGTATTTTTCTTGTTCAGGACGTGGGTTTCGGCCTTGTATCACCCTCGGAAGCTCAGCTCACCCGTTCAGTCGGCCTTCTCAACTAACTGGGTTTTAAACTGGCTCTCTAAACCATACATGGATTCCTGGAGTTCTATTTTATGATTAATCTAGTTCCTGATGAAGCGGAGATATAAATAAGAAGATCTTAATGGCTATTTCAAGTCTAGTCTGTATTATCTTCAACACCCTATAGCTCTAAGATATCAGGCAATTGGCTAACTTGAGACTGTCTATACTCACCTTCACCTTCATTCGGAACTAGATCCAATGCAGTCTTTGTTGCATATTTTGTGTTGGATTGGTTCCAGTCTCATATGTAAGTAGCTTGCTGGCCAATATTTTGATTACAATTTGCTGTCCAAGGCCTCATAAGCCTGCTTCAGGCATGATACCACCTCTTTTTGGCAGGATTCTATTCATTATCCCCTGTAAGTGATTTAATAAGGTTTATCTGATCGAGAGCTCATATACACTAGATTTGAAATAGACCCTAAGCAGCCGCCCAGTACTTGATTCCCTAGCTAGCTTCTTCCTCTTAAATCTTTTTATCTCTTCTTATGCAAATTATTTTAAATTCCGGATTTCGATTGAACTATGTGTTTTATTTGGCTTTTTTTCTTCTAATACTTTAGCCTACTAGCTATTTTGAGAGCGAGAGATCTCGAGATTAAAAGTGCAATCTTGATACTGTCTATACCCGGGTTAGTTTTACAGTTGATATATGAGTAAAGATAGCTACTAGTATTAAGGTCAGTTCAAGTCTATACTCATTTTCATAACTGTATGACGGTTACTTTGGGCTCGGTTAGTAATACCCTCACAGTGTCCTGGCGGCTGAGATGGTTCGAATTCCTTCCTGGGCCCCGGTGCATGTTATCAATGCTTATTGTCTATTAGTCTAATGCCGTCTACTACTGCTGCTGTGATGTGATCTACTCGATGAAGATGGCTGGGTTGCGTCGGTTCCATAAGGGTCCTCGAAACGGCGGCTCTCCGCAGTTCCAAAAGGTTTATCTCCATATCTTCTGGCGTTCTTGTGGGAACCAGTCACAGAGCCAGGAGGAGCCGGAGTGGAGCTGCCGTATGTAGCTCTTGAACCCGAGGAACTTGAAGGTGGTGTTTTGCGAGATGCACGAGAACTTTCTGGAGGCGTGTAACAAGAACTTGAAGGTGGTCGGCTGCTACGTCGGGAACTTTCCGTAGTCGTGTATTGAGCACTCGAGGAAGAGGCTCTATGGGATGCGCGAGAAATTTCAGAGCGCCCATAATTAGAAGCACTATCCGAAGGTGTGATGGTCTGTTGAGAAACTTCCAAACTAGTATATCGGGAGCTTGAAGAAGGGGGTCTACGAGATGAACGAGAGCCTTCTGAAGGTGTATAATAAGAGCTTTCTGGAGGCTTACTGTTATGTCGAGAACTCTCTGCGGTAGTATATCGAGAACTTGATAGAGAGTCTCCACGAGAACTTTCCGAAGGAGTATACTCTGAACCACTTGGAGTATACTCTGAACCACTTAGGGAAGTGTACCGGGAACTGCGCGAAGGATCTGGATCTGAAGAGTAGCGGGAACTTTCTGACTGACCACAGTGGGAAGTACTTTCTGACCGGGGATAGTGAGAACTGGAGCCTTGAGAAGGCGTATACTGAGAACTCTGTGAACTGGTGTGTCGAGAACTCCCAGCGCGAGAGGAAGAAGATTGGTCATGTGTGAGTGGGATTCTACTTCCAGCTTGAGAGCCATGTGAAAGGATATGCTGTACATTGCCATGCTGATCGTAAGTCGCTGGGAATTTTCTTCCGATTGTTGAGCTAACCGGCTGATGTTGTTGGACATTTCCATGAAAATCATAGGTCGTTGGTATTCTGCTTCTACCGTTACTTCTTAAACTACCTGAACGCGGATTCTCGGTCTTCATGTCACTTGAAGGGTTTTCGCATCCAGACCCTCGATTAGAGGGGTTTGCGCTAACTACAGACAAATTCTTCTTGTAGCTTATAACCGATGAGGCTGTGCCTACAGGAGAACTATGATGATCAAGTGTTTCTTCCTCTGGGATCGATGGAAGCCTTCCTTTGTTTCTTGGAGATGGTCCAGAATTCTTATCAGCCTTCTCCTGGAGACAAGCCCGTCTGAGATTCTCGTTTATTTCTTCTATCTGGTCAAATCGCTCCATCGTTTTTTTACGCCAATTTGTCATTGTAGCTTGACTGAAAGGGGCCTGACCCTCGCCCTTCCGATTGAGTAAGGATTCAACTGAGTAATCGTTCGGCTTGCATAATTTTCTCAGTTCGTTGGTCATTTCTGATTTGGTTTGTGATGACCGCGGGGTAGTAGTAGCTCTCGTTCCCAACGGGGAGGAAGTGATGATTCGACCTGATAATTTAGGGGTTGGCGAGGGCGAAGCTGCTCCTTCCGCTGGTTCTTTTGTAGGAATATCGAGCGTTATCTTAAATTTCGGCATCCTGTTGATCAGTCTTCCGTCAAGTACGAGTAATCTTTCGTAATATTTGTGTATTCTTATTTAGATATCTGGAATTAATTGCCTTATCTTTTGGTCTAGATTTATACAATCGCTGTGGAGTCTATCAAGTTTATCCTGTGGAAAGAAAAGCTAAAATGTAAAAGATGTGCTTGCAATGTGATGTAGCTGCTGGAAGAATAAGGTAAAAGTAAATATGTATACATCCGTGTATATATATAAGTTCAACTGCCGGCCCAAGTTTGGGTGTCTGATACTAGTATGCTCCCCGCCAGTCCGATCAGGGCTCGGGCTCATCGTCCAGAAACAATTTTTGCTGTACACGCATCCTTATATAAATATCCAATACACATACCTGTTGGCACAAAATTTATTGTTTATATCTTGCTTTGAGTTCTATGTTTTTGCAATACGAGTCTGAGATTGCTATAGCGCTAGTATAAGGACTCTCATATATTGTCTATTCGATTAATTAAGGGCGGGCAAATTTACGAGCAGTGCTGGTCGTCTGCAACCTTCACAGTTTGGTTACGAGACTGCATTAGTTGGTCTCGTTCCCAGACGTCACAAAAGGCAACACCATTAGTTTTGATATGGATTTTCTATTATTTCCTATGCTCTGTAGTAAACTTAGGTTCTCGTACAATTACAGTCATAAACCAAGACCTAAATCGTGGGAGCTGACTGCCACTTAAGATTGTGACATTCATTCCATGCTCTACGTTCTAAACAGCCATATTTGTATGCCATTTTCAATAGTCTGGGGGTGTTTTCAGGAATTTCCAGTCTGTGCCCCCCCGCCTGCTCGAAGTACTGAAACATCTTTTTCCACTCAGAACGTATATTCTGTAATATTTCTTTCTTTTCATCTGCCCAAGGTAATCTCTCCCCGATAGCAGTATAGCAGTAGTTATTGTATTTTGAGAGATCGGTGTCGAAGCCAGGGTCTTCGAGATATTCGTAGTCGACAGGCTTAATACTACGAAGGATTGCATATCGCCAAAAAAGATGCCATGGCATGAATTTGTCAAATGGAATTGCATCTGACTCTGGTTTTTGTGAAATATCATCCCGGGGGGTGCTAGCGCTAGGGCTCGTGCTCTGGCCCATCTTGCAAATGTTCTTTCGATTTATTGAGTTTAAGCGCTGTCGTATTACGGCAATATCGTCAAGACACATAAATCATAAATACTAAACTAAATCAAACTCTACGGATGAATAAATTTTGGGAGAACTTGCAGTAGCATATGTGTCCCTTCGAAAGTATTCATGAGGCCAAAATTCGCGCATGAAACTGTTTCCAGATGTTCGAGTTGTTGATGCTGTTGCATTTTCTGCGTTGGGTAACACAGGCGCGCGTCTGTAGCGTCTATGGGTAACAAACGCCCGCTTACTGCGTTGTGGGGAGAGGGTTGTCTGCCCTAAAACAACACACCCGCTCTGGCTCTCACAAAAATTTCTTGAAGACAACCTACAAGGGTCTGCCGTAGACATCTCTATCATCACCAGCATCATCATTACGGGCAAACCCCAACCCCTCCTCCGACTACGGTACGATACCCCCTAGACCGCTGCTAAAAAGCCCGGACTATTTTCTAGTCGACATCCTTTTCGCTCAAAGACGACGAGACGAATTGCAGGGACAACTTGAGGCTGACTTGGAGATCTTTTCTTTGCGAAAACAACAGAATTATACCTTTGTCACATAATCCCGACAACCAATAGCCCAACATGGCCGAACAAATGATCTTGAGGGGAACCTTGGAGGGTAAATATCACCGCTCGAAGTTGGAATTGTTGAAAATAGGGTAGTTTGGCTGATGGAATTGGATTTGCAGGTCACAGCGGATGGGTTACCTGTCTGGCTACCTCGATGGAGAAGTATGTCAAAAACGCTCCATGATCTATCTTCTAGGATGCTCTGCTTAGAGTAGAGGGACATTATTCCCAATTTCAAAGAGAAGAATGTCGAACTGACAATTGGTGAAATTACGGCAGCCCCAACATGCTCCTCTCTGGTTCTCGTGACAAGTCTCTCATCGTCTGGAACTTGTCTCGCAACGACGAGTCGTATGGTACCCCCAAGCGATCTCTCCACGGCCATTCTCACATCGTCTCCGACTGTGTTATCTCCTCTGATGGTGCCTATGCTCTCTCCTCCTCCTGGGACAAGACTCTCCGTCTCTGGGAGCTCTCCACCGGCAATACCACCCGCACTTTCGTTGGCCACACCAACGACATTCTCTCCGTCAGCTTCTCCGCCGACAACAGACAGATTGTTTCCGGTTCTCGTGATCGATCGATAAAGTTGTGGAACACCCTTGGTGACTGCAAGTACACAATCACTGAGAAGGGACACACCGACTGGGTTTCGTGTGTTAGGTTCTCACCAAACCCCCAGAATCCGGTGATTGTCTCCTCAGGTTGGGATAAGCTTGTCAAGGTGAGTTCGAACGTTCGTTTTGCAGTGCTATTAGCTGCAATTTTGCAGGATTTCCACGAGTGTCTTTCAAGATACTCGATCCGATGATGCTTTGCATTTTCAAATGTATTTGCTACTTCAGAGGCCCCATCTAGGCCTATGAGACAAAAAATCACCATTCAATGCCTGAGTTTATTGAAATCCGCATTTTATTGCCAAATTGCAACATGTTTTCCACGTGGAGGCCGGCTTGCTGACGAATTTCTGCTGGAAATCAGGTCTGGGGTCTTCAAACTTGCCGCATCCAAACCGACCACATCGGTCACTCCGGCTATATTAACACCGTCACTATCTCCCCCGACGGTTCCCTCTGCGCTTCCGGCGGTAAGGATGGTACTACCATGCTTTGGGACTTGAACGAATCCAAGCACCTCTACTCCCTCAGCGCTGGCGACGAGATCCACGCTCTCGTCTTCTCCCCCAACCGCTACTGGCTCTGCGCTGCTACCTCCTCCTCGATCGTCATCTTCGACTTGGAGAAGAAGAGCAGAGTTGACGAGCTCAAGCCAGAGTTCCCATCCAACAGCCTTAACCCAGAGAAGAAGAAGAGCAGAGACCCAGAGTGTGTCTCGCTCGCATGGAGCGCCGATGGTCAGACTTTGTTTGCTGGTACGTAAACTCTCCAAAAGCAAAAATCCTTATTTTAGTAAAGAAACTTAGCCCAACTAACGCAAATCAAATTTACAGGTTACACCGATAACAAGATCAGAGCCTGGGGTGTCATGTCGAGAGCATAAACGAATTAATTCATATAAAAGCAAAACCGAATCTTTAGGACAGAGCCAAACTTTTAATGAATTCTTTTGTGCCCTCTTTCTTATTCCATTGTTATGTCATACCTCTTACTTTTTTTTTCCTTTTGTCGCTTTTTACGGGAGTCTCTCAATGTTCTTCTTTTGAAATCCGCCATTCCGACCTTGTATCTTACTATTACACACTACCATTACTACTACTAAAGAACCGACACGGACCCTTCTGACAAAGACACACACGCTACCGACTACCTACCTATATACCCCCCCTACAATATCTCTTCCTTATTTCGTTTTCTCTCTCTCTTGAGTCGGTGTCCTCCTTTCTCCTCATACATGTGCATACGATGCCCTTCCAATGATGGAGCATGTGGCTTTATAAATAGATGAATATATCCGTAATCAGCCAAAACAAATTAGAAAGATGTAGTCGCATTTAGCGTGATATACAAGCCTTTCGTTTTGATGGCTCTCAGCTCAGCGGACCCGTCTAAACTTGACTACGTGATATCTACCTAGGTATGTGTCAGGTATACGGGCCTCTGGAGCCTTGGAAGCACCAAATACTATTTTCTCCCTGACTACCTAGGTAGTTACATAAACATTAAGATTTCAAGGATTACGTATTAATATTCTAGAATTTAGGGAAGCCTAGGTGAACCCCATTTCAAACCTAAGCGACTTGGTTTTGCGCAATCTTATATATGATAAAGTTGGAATAACGACCATAAAAGAAATATAAAAAGGGGAAGAAAGATATTTTCCATTGCTGCCCTTGCACCGATCCTTCCTGCCTCAATCCGTATTTAGAAATTTAAAGAAAATAGATCCAATCTGCACCGCTACCCAAATCCTGTCCCCCATACCATCGATATCCAGATCAGACCGGCTCCAAGAAGACCTGTAGAATAAACATTGCCTTGATAGTGCGCCAGGCAAAGGCCAGGTCTTGTACGGTATTCGAAAAGATAAGAAATGAACGTAAAGGAAAACCAAACCGATCTTGCGCCGGTATACATGAATTTTTTTGAGAATAAGGAAACGTAAAACCTAAATAGAGAGACAAGAAAATTAAAGCATTGTGGAAAGGATAATAAAAAGAGAGAGAAAACAAAAAGAAAACCCAGGACCTTAAATTAATCATAAAAAAGAAACCCTGAGCTGTTTGATTGAGAACAAATTTAAGGATGATTCAATGTCGATGCCATCCTCATAAGCTTTAATTTGTGCTCAGATATCACCAGCAGTAGCAACTAAAGCTGCGAAAACACCGACGCCACCAATAAGGGCACCAGCCATTGCAGTAGCGATAGTAGATCCCCAAGTAGCTCCGGCATTCTGAACGCGAGGACGTTTAGCTTCCGGTTCTGCCGCCTCGAGCTCATTCTTTAGCTCGCTAGCAAGCGCAAGAAGTTCTTTGCGCTCTGCTTCTTCGCGTGGACTCTGAGTTTCAGCAGAACCAGCATCCTGACCACCACGGGTCAAGAAACGCTGAGGAAGTGGGGCGATCTTTCGGGGTGTAGATATCTCCAGGGCCTCGAGCTCCGAAGCAACAGTGTAATGCGGGCACTCCTCGTCCTCTTCGCTCTCAAGGCGCTTGCGTTTTTTGCTAGCCGGAAGGATATCAGTATCTGGATCCACCATGGTAGTATCCGCAGCATCTTTTGGTTCTTCAATTTCGAGGTCGGGCTGCGTGCTGAGGAGATCATCTACTTCAGCGTTCCAACGCTTAACAATTTCGTCCTCTTGAGAGGAGCGAACTTCCTCTTCATCCTTCGGTGAGAAGAAGTTCTCCATTGACATAGCGCTCTTGACAGCATTTTGGACTGTCGTCATTTCGATATCCTTTGTAGGGTTCTCAGCGATATCGTCGTCTGACGAGTCGGATTCAGTATCATGGCCCTCATCGCCACAGAATTCCATGATCATCTCATCTAAATCCACCTCTTCCTCCTCCTCCTCCTCCTCCTCCTCCTCCTCATCTTCTTCGTCCTCCTCATATTCATCGCCTAATATATGTGATATAATGTTACGTAGATCCTCCTCCTCCTCCTCCTCATCATCATCCGAAACACTCTCTGATTCGTATCTATTGCCAATGCTATTGTTAGGTGACGAGTAACCCTCTTCGTCGCCTCCAGACGAAATGCTATCGTTGTCGGAGTAGAAGGATCGCTTCCCCTGCTGCTGCCGCTGCTCATTCCCTCCCTCCTCATCTTCTTCGTTCTCATCATCAGATACTTGGAAGTTCCCCGCCATTTTGAGTACAGGGGATGGTGAACGAGACTTGGAATGAGTTGAAATACATTCCGGGACGTCAGTTCCACGCTTAAATGTCAAATTTTCCTCAGCCAGGCGTTTCTCAGCATCTGGCTCCCCACAATTCTCAACTTTGGCCCCTTGGCCGAAGTTTCGTACCCAGAACGGGATGGCGGGATTTGGTTTGGCAGTCTCTTCGTCCGCGGGGACATTTTGTGTGGAGGTATTGGTTTCTGGTTCCTTCGGCGTTTGGAGCGAATGAGATGACTGCATTTCAATTCTCGATCGAAGGAACTCCTGGGCGCGGTCCCTCATTGCTTCTGCTTTGCGAACTTGCTCCATTGCTAATTTAGTGCGATTGGCTAAATTAGTGATAGAGTCCCGAGACATAGTGAGCGAACTAGTCACATCGAGAGGCTTACTGTCTGAGGCAGACGGGGTACCGCCTGCGTAGACAAAAGGCGAGAGGTATGGAGCGGCGGTCCAGGTACTATTCCATGCCTTTTGAACTTCAGGCGGAACAATTTCGTTCACGAGAGTTGGCATGGGTGATTGAACAGACGACAACGCAGGAAGATTTGTAGAGGTTTTGATTGACTCTGGTGAGAATGGAGACGTCGGGGCAGACTCGGGTGTAACTTCTGGATCTGAAGTGCTGTCTTCGTCCATGGAATCTTCATAGTCCTCAACCGATTGAGTATCAGATTCCCCATCAACCGAACTCATAGCATCATCTTCGCTCGAATAAGAGTGATTGCAGATAGGGGTTTGAGAGGATCGCCTGGACTGCTCTTGACGTTCTTGAGCAAGGAGGTCAGGGATAGAGATCCGGGCTCCTGGAAGTTTGCTTTGCTGTGGGATAGGTGTCTCGGCGGTCAAATCCACGACATGTGTCTCCCGAACGATAGGAGGCGGGTCCAAGTCAATGCAAACATGTTCACGTAGGGTTTCTCGAACTACAGTGATCGGCTGCAATGGTGGCTCATCCGCCCAATTAGTACCGGGCCACTGGCAGCCTCTGGCTTTGGGTTTCTCGGACCATTCCGACTCGTCCCAGTGACCAGGTACCCTGTTTTGAGCCGTATCTTCTTCCCAATCACTACCGTGGTCTGAGCCAGAGGTTAAGTCTACTGTGTTAATTGGGTTGATTCGAGTGATCATGACTTCGTCTTCTTCCTCTTCTTCTTCCTCGCTTGAGTAGTAAGGACTATCTGGAAGGATTAGTTCATCGCTAGTGATGCCGTACCCGTGTTGGATTTCTGCCATCCTGCTATTCTGAACGACTTTCACGTCGAAAGCCTTCGGGGGAAATACGTCTACGAACGTTTTAGTGGATATACGGAGAAAAGTATCCGAAAGGAACATCATACCAGAACCCCGAGTCACAGAGTTTCCGAACCTAACCTGGGAGCCGGTTTCTAGAGGGACAAATAGCTTCGGTTCGAGTAGTTGATTGTCGAGGTATGTGCCGTGCATAGAACCGGCATCGGAAATAAGAACCTGAAATAGTTTGTACGTTAGCAAACTGTGGGAGGAAAGAACCAGGATCGATGGCCAGTGAGAAAGGGCAGTATCAGTAGGATATATGCTTATTTTAGGTTGTATCAATAAATAGTGATGATACGCAGTGCCAGAGTTGTGGGGGAAGCGAGCTAAACGAGGCTCGAGGGCACAGCACACCTTTCCACCTTCATCACACTTGATCCACGAATGCAAACGGCTCATAACCGGGGAATCGAAATAGGCATTATCGTGACCAGGTTGGAGGTTCTTAGTTTTATTTCTGCTCGACCGACCGACAATAACAAGAGGTTCCTTTCGAGTGATAGGGATGGTCCGAGTTCCAACCGAGTCTGGCACGTCGCCGGTTGGGGTGAGAACGACCTCAGCGATATCTGCACGAGACATTTGATGTTTAGTATTTTTGGCTTGACTAGGAATACCTTGAGACGGCAGAGTAAAGAGATAAATATAGAGAAACAGAAATTCAGGTGCGAAGAGTTGTAGGATGAGTCCGGAACGCGGTGACTCGGAAGTTAGGCGGGGTGCTGGGGCAGTGGATGATTCCAACTCACTCTCGAGAGGCATGGAAGCCATATTCTGCTAGCTATCCAGAGCTACGCCTGGATGAAAGAAAACTACAGCAGAGATAGTATTTTAAATTTAAAATCCGGTGATGAAGCTGAATAGAATAGTAGTTGTGGCCTGGATGGTGATGGTGATGGTAGTTGATAGGAGGAGGAGGAGGAGGTGAGATAGAGGGGAGTTGATTAGAAGTGGTGGAGCGTAGTCACGGAATGAATGAATGGAGGGGTTACGGCGAGGATGTGTTGGAGTCAATTAACAACCTCCCAGAACCTCAGTTGCTCTCAGCTCGGTTGCTCCTTTAGATTTCAAATGCTGCCAATCTGCTCAAAACGAGTGCTCCACCGAGCTCTCGAAGGAATCCTCTCTGATCCTGCGGGTTAACGTCTTATAGCAAATCTCATTCGTTCGAGATTGAAACAGTTGATTTGGCAAGCGGCAGTAATGCACGGGTGAATACGGACTTTGGGAGGTATTACGAGGCTGTCGGATGAGGTTCAATATCCTCAGCCGGACACAAGTACAAGACAATGAACTACTTACTTACTACTTAAGTAGTAAGTACTTACTTATATCGACGGCATAGCGCGAGGATCCAGTACAGCCGGGCTTACAGTCATCCATACACATCTACTACTCGCTCTGAGCTGCCCAATACCACCGTTCCACATACTATCGTGGAATATACTTGACAAGAGAGTTTGGAAAGAAGAAAGAAAATAACAAAGAACGAACGAACGAACGAAGAATGGTATGTCTTCGGCGTGCCTGAAGAACCGATATCGATGTAACCCGCGTTCTCTCCGCGACGTCAACCCGCTGCATGATATCTTCCAAGCAATTGCTCCGATATCACGCCGTTTACCTATCAGCGATACCCCGCCAACCAGAGCGAGTTAGTGAATCACGAGAGCAAGCATGGTGCAGCCCAACTTCAATCACTTTGCCTGTTCTAGTTTAATGCAAAACAGCCCTGTCCGCAGGATCCAAGATCGAGGTCCATGGACCCGCTCCATAAGAGGCAATTCTTCGACCACAAACACGGAAATCCAACACATCCCAACGCAGATGCGACATTAAAGCCGTCTCCCTACCTATTTACCAGTCCTCCCTACCTACCTACCTACTTCCTCGCTAGTATTTAACAAAAGGATGTCAGAAGCGAAGGCTAGAATGTCTCTCTAGAGCCAAAACCTTGTTGATAAGAGCAAGCCGATCTTTGGTATTAGTAGAAAAGGTTGCAAAAACGAAAACAGACATTTTGATCAGTACCCTGATATTAAACAAAGTTAATTGGAATCTTTTGATGACCGCATATTGGAGGAGGCATTATATCATGTGCACCATCCTTTTACTAACTTCTTCAAGTCTGATCTTAGTAGCATCCATAATTCAGGTCTTCTAGCGTAGTTCCTCTAGGAGCTTCGAGCTTGAGAACCATTGACTAAACAGAAGTTGCTTCAGAACATAAAAAGTCAAAAAATTTTAAACCCCGCAGGACAGGCAGGCTCGCTCGAGGATCTGAATCTAACTCAAAGTGATAAAAGCCTGTACGAAGTAGCCCACATATAGAGTATAATGGTAACTAGTGTGGCTTTGGAGCTTCTAATATATGAGTTCAAATGGATTATTTGCAGGTTAGAGTGTCTACCTGCTCCTTGAGCGCTATCCCAGGATTGGGAACGGGATCAAGCTAGGGCTTACCTTTTTAAGCTCTTTAATTCGGCAAAATAATCTGAAAGTACCTTTTCACAGCAATTTCTGGTTGTCTTTTTAAGACAGGAATAACAGAGATTTGGTATTACAAACACATGATCATATATATGAGCTATTCAACTGGTCAGGCTTTTTTAGCTATGGTGGACGGTATCTGGTCTCATACTCAGATGATATTCAAAGAAAGTAAGAGAGTAAGTGCTTAATCTGGTCGACCGCGTCCACAATACGAGACTTAAGGTGGTTGTGCTTGTACACAGTTAGTGCTACGGCTCGAAGCAATATTATATATTATGATATCAAAGCTACGAAGACCCTGACCCGGCCGTTCTTTGAATCGTTCAATACAGCCTTCAAAGCAGCGACAAGACTATCCAACGATCCAATTCAACGATACAGAAAGCAGTAATTCAATGAAGTCGTCATTAAAGTTCTCCGGTTAAGCGATCCTTTATCGAGTTCCGCAGCAGAGCGTGTCAACACAAAAAATACAACATCAGTATCCCTGCCACCAACTCCGTCTACGGAGTGAGAATTTGCCTGAGTCACACAAGCTAAAATACAAAAGAGGCAGGCAAGCAAGGATTACTCAAAGAGCTCCCAAAAACTCCCAGATTTAAGATTCAAAAATGCGAAAAAAAAGAAGATTGGAAATAATTCCTAATAGCATCGAACAGTTTCGATCTGTTGGCCTCCGGGTTATGAGCCCGGCGCGCTTCCACTGCGCCACGATGCTTTGAATTCGATGAAGAGTACAAAGTGGAAATGGTTTATTTCACTCGCCAAGGCCCCAGATTCAAATTTTTAAAAAGGTCAAGAAAGAAAATACCAAGCGCATTGATTCATAGCCCGAGTAAGGAATCAATCAGTGTTAGAAAATATGGGGTTAAGGCGATGAAATTGACCTTAAAAAATTAACAGGCGATCGAACTCCGCCTATAGCTTTATTATACCCTTCGACTTCATCAATACTCTAATTCAGCCAGGCATCTGGCATTTATTCTGCGCCACCGCCAACCAGGATAAACACTTTTCATTTTTCATTCTTTGATCTTTTTGTTGAATTTTTTTTTTAGGGGGGTCTCATATTCGAATATTCGTTGGAGCCGTGAAAATTCTTTGGGGTCGACTATATAACATTTTGGTCTTGCCGTATTTGCATGCACGCAGACATTGACACGAGTGGGCTCAAGTTAGCTACCAAGCTATATAGTTAGTCGCAAATATATATTTCAACTTCCAAAACTTTATCATTTGTATCTTATGGCATGACGGTAACCGTCCCCCAATTCAAGTCTTTTTTTATAGCCGTAAAAACAAAATTTTTTTCTACGGAATTTTCGCGAAATCACAGTATAATTTAATTAACTGCATCCGATAGGATGAATACTAATGGTAGTCTGACTCCGAGACCATGATAGCAGTATGATTGATGCTCTGTAGACATGTATTACATTTCGTCTTGGGAGGCTCAATTATGATATCGTCTCCAGTTTTTTAATGCTCTTATAGTCTCAAATATGTTAATTATATTACCCTAATAGTTCAAGAGATTTGATGGCATAAAAATTGTGATGAGGGTCTAATGACAGATATTTATTTAGTAAATTAGGACTTATTATGAAAAATCGGTCCATTGTATATTTAATAAGGAACATAGACGTTTGCGGCTTTGCGGTTGTGCTGAAAACTAGTCTCGAGCGATTTTGCACCCATTATTAGCATCCATTACCTAAGTTTTAGTTTATGGGTGATTCGTGAATTCATGAACCTTTGTTAAACTATGGCCTAATTAGTTACATATACTCTGCGCATTGTTTCTCTGATGCATTTTAAATTGACCCATAGGCTAGTGTCAAGCTTAGTTGTGTCGGTCAGGTCTCGACGTCTTTGTTGCATTCCATATCGGTGTTATGCTGCGTGTGTGTATGCGCAACGAAGGATCAATTATAGTTATATATATGAGGTTAGTTTACCTTCGTTAACTGGTCTTAGTTTCTTGCAACTGTTTTTGGGTTATCGGGATCTTTAGTTTCTGGGCGAAATAAATAACAAATGAATTGGGTATTTTTAGCTATTTAAATTTCCTGAACGGTGATCGTTTTGCTGTGGGTGGTCACTAGTATCGTTCCCAAGGCGGTCGCCCATTGTTATTCAGAAGCTTTCGTATATTATGCATTCTTTTTGAAGATTTTTGCTGAGGCATGCGGGCACGCGTGAGAAATCACAATCCGATCGAAAGGTGCCTCCATCGCAGTCTGCGAAGGATCCCCACCAAATGGGGGAGATAGTTCCCATGTACAACAGGTTGGTGACCGAGGGAGGAGGGACTCGGAAGAGAGATGTGTATTAAAGTCATATATCTCTGATTCCCAATTAATTATCTCCGAGCATTTAAGTTATTGTATTTATAAATTTAACCTATAACACCAAACCACCCATGAAGCTTGTAGGCCTTGAATTCCATGTATTAAGACCAAAGTTTCGCAGGATTCCATCACGATTCTTCGATATATATATCAAGATGCTTGATCCTCTTCTAGGCCTGAGTACGAGACGTCGACAACTGATCCTGATCTATAGGGTACCCCACTTGTTCCTAATAATGAAATTATAAGTCTTTAAAGACCTAAATATTTATATATATAGATATGTATAAAGAAGTAAAGCAATTTTAGATCAGAGAATAACAGTTCGGCCCGGGCGCCCTGGATGTCGACATTTTGGATCAAATTTAAAGCTCTAACAATATGACATCTTAGAAAATGATATTCCATCGCGGATTCAATATAAGGCTATCGCCAATTAATAATATAAACAGAGTAGGTAATATATATATAGTGCAGTATAGTCTCGTACCCAAACTGTGGGCTTCGCCGAAGGCGTTTTGCGTTCTGCAGTCGGGCTATGTCCTCCATCTAGTACCTCAGCTAAGTCTGAATAATTTCGTAGAAGAGTCTCTGAATGATCATGAAGTACTGGCTAGTGGCCTGACAGATTAGACTAAACCTCGCATCGCCAAAAGAAGAGCGGGTTGACATCGGTAGACGAAGCATAGGGGTATATTTTTCTTGGGGGTAGACGATGGGAACGAGACCAGGGTGGACGACCCAAAAGATAAGTCCAGAACGTATTCATAGGGGCTCATGAGATCCATGAAAGACTTCTACAACATACTTAAGAGCTTAAACCTGTTGGTGTACCAGTAGCATGTTTCCCAATAGTATTAAGTATGATTATATATTTTCGATCAAGATAAGTAAGCGATTTGTTATGCATGGGTAAATGTATGCCACGGGTGGAGCGATATATGCAATAACTCGGAGGATATGAGAGATCTGATACCTTCTGGGATAATATTAATATCCTGAGTCTTTCTTATGAGCTTATTGCGGACGGGAGGAAGTGTGGAACTTGGGATAAGAGCGAAATAGAAGAAAGTTAAGGATGGGAATGCGTGGGGAAGTTTTTAAATAATATAAGTCACCATGGCCAGGCACCTTTAATTAAAGACGGTTCTAGATCATCGATCACCATCACCGATAAGTATTAATATATTCCGCCAAGAGCTTGAGGCTTCTGGGCTATTCTCTTAGCACAAGAGATTCTCAAAAGTTCTAACCTGGTTTTTGATCCAATATTTATTTTCGAAATGATAGTTTCATCAACCATGGTCGACGTCATAGCACAAGACTAAGCGGTCTTGTAACAGAGCAGGGCAGATGCATACGTAACCCACGGATCAATCGAGATTTGATGCGTTGTCCTGATCTTACAAACGTTGCATTTTCCCCATCCCTTGTCTGTGCATGCAGCCCGAGACGCCTCTTTCACGGCCCGGCGACATCCCGATACTGCGGTCCAATGGTACCTCCGCATTGCTCGTGAATGCAAGTTGTATGCACTCCGGATGCTTTCTACCGTGGTGTAATTGAGTATCTTGTAGCAATCCTCGGGACGAGTATACACACTATTGGTATGCATGGAGAATACAGTATTAGTTAAATGTCCTGTCAAAGCCCCCACAAAGTTTAAACACGGAATTACCAGTCATTTTTTTCTCGTTTCAATCTGCGTTTAAGTTATCTCTGATTTGTATAATGAGAATCCCTTCCCTGTCTAGAATGGAAGTAGCAAAAGGAAATGCGGCGAAGAGTTAAAAGGTCAATACAGCATGCATTTTAGAATTTTTCCCCATAGCGCCATGTAATAAAAACAAGAAAGGGCGGTATTAGAAGTAAAAGTAATAAATGACAAGAGTGCTATATGGAAACAACGGAAATAGGGTATTTTGTAACAGGACGTGGAGGCCGATGTGGCTATTGGGCACAAGTAAGGTTGTGGGACACAAAAAGTAAGATAAGGTGCTCTCATTTGCAGTAGATAGAGACTTGCTAAAGAAAGTGGGCAGAATCATTCCTCACTGGAGACGAGAGACTTTTGTAAAATTATTAAAGGGAATTCAAGTAGAGATTTAGGGGATTCAACCCTCAATAAACTCCACTTGATGCGAAAGAAAAACACATTGAGTGATGACGTAGTGACTTTGAAATGTTAGGATTTGCCCCCCCTATATATCAGAAAAGTCGATATCAAACTCCAAATCCATACTAGCGATGGCGGCGTCAATGCCCTTATTTTGTGGGACCTTAACTTGAGGAACCTTACTATCGGTCTTCCCAAGTCCGGCACCCCCTCCGTTCTTTTGTTTTTCCTTCTCCTTATCGCCATCATCTTCAAACAGATCGTCAACATCACCGTCCTTATCCTTCGGTTTTTCGTTGTGATAGATTTTGGCGTGTGTCTTGACACGAGCAAAGGGATCCATAAAGCTTGAATCGCCGTTCTCGGCCGCCATACGAGCTGCTATCTCGTTACGCTTCTTCTCTTCGATCTGGGCTTTACGGATATCTTGACGATTTGTTTCACGATTGCGCTTGTTGATTTGGCCTAGAACATCGAGTTGGGTCGGTCGACTTAGAGCTGCGGTAAGAGCTCTGGGTGGAGCACGCCATTCAAGCTCACGGTCGATACGGAGAATCTCGGGTTCATCGCCTTCGTCAACGAGTTGCTGGCGGCGACGTTTGAGAGACGGAAGATCGAGATTGGGGATAACAGGATCATCAGGATAGTACGAGGTTCTCATGCGCCGCATGGCATCGAAATCCTCATTAGTAAGCTGATGTGTAATAAGATTTTTGACATCTTTGCGCTTGCGCTCGATAAAGGCGACATCTGGTCGCTTGAGCTTAGCTACCTCCATAGCGCCAATGTACCAACGCCACTCGTCCTAGGTATAAATGTTAGACATATCTGGTGGTTACAGAACCAGGGCGGAGAGTAGGTTACCTCGGTGGGATGGCTGTCCGAAATGACATCGACACGTGTTGGCTTTTCAGCAGCACCAGTAGCGATAATGGCATTGCGCCTAAACTTGATAGTACGGTCTCCGCTCGAGACTTCGTAAATAGACTTCGAGTCCTGCCAATCTGTATTTAAATGGTCGCGGTTAGTCCTGAACGTGGGGTTTACAAGTTGAATAGATGACAGACCTTTAATTTGGCACAAGCGATAGATAAGCTTGCCAGTATCGGGATGGTTGCCGATGGAAACTCGTACGAAACAACCGGCAGTAGCGGTTTCGAAATTAGGATAAGTCCAATATTTCGTGATAGTGTTTCGGGTAACCATCAGCAACTTAACCTCATCGAAAGTTGCTTCCTCACTCCCCTTCCGAGTTGGGGCGGATTGCTTCTCTTGTGATGCCGCCCACTTGGCATCGTCATGCTCGTTGTCGCTTTCTTCGTCCTCTCCCTCAGAGATAGGATCACGACGCTTCTTGGGACGGTCAGCATCACCACCACCGGCCTTGCGAGCGTGTTTCTCATCACGCTTCTGGCGTAATGCTGACAAGGAAGCGTTCTTCTTTGAGTCAGCAGACTTCTTGGCGGAGGAATCGCCACGGGTGGAGCGTCGAGCTCCAGCAGACGCGTGGAGGGAGTCATCGTAGTCTTCATCGTCAGCAGCCCTCTTTTTCTTCTTGGCCAAAGCCAACTTCTTGCGACGAGCCAAGTTCACCATCTGCTCGTTTTCACGGTACTTGTCGACCTCCTCCTTCCTCTCTGCAATAAACTGCTCCCTTTGGAGCTGGTTGAAGTTCTCAACCTGGGCCTTCTCGGCCGCCGACTTGTAGATCCCATCGTAGGGATACAAGTCGGCGGGAGAGTCCGCCATCTCATCATCGCTGGAAATTGGCTCGCTGACGATAGCCGAGGATGGGGTGTCTGAGAGGGACCTGCGATGTTTTCGAGGCATGTTAGCGGGTAGTCAAAAGAGACCAAGATGTATCTTGCTATGATATCGGGATTAATGAAAAATGCGTTCCAGAACAGACTGACGACGCTAGTGAAGGTGTAGGGAAGGATAGGCGCGATGTTAGATGGGAGGTGATGTGGTGATGGGTTGGAGAGAGAGGATAATGAGGTGGAGAGATGAGGATGGGGTGGATGAAAGAGATAGAAGGCACGGTGGATTAAGGAAGGTAGACGTAGGCGTAGGCGTAGACGTAGACGTAGTCCAACCAGCAAATTCTACCCTCGATTCAACCTAACCCATCCTCATTCATCCCATCGGTATATCTATCTTCCTTTCTCTTCTAACCTCCATCGTCACACCACCTCATACCCAGGGAGAGTCTAGTAGTAAGGGGACTGGATGGTACTTACCCATCATCATTCTCATCATCATCCTCATCGTCACTGCCCCTTCTCTTCTTCCCCTTCCTTCCACCCGTTGCCGGCCCCTTCGCTCTCTTCTTCGGCGGACTACCTTCATCCTCTCCAGGAGAAGGCCTTTTCCTTCCTCCTGCTCCTCCTTTCCCACTGATGCCACCACCAATTTCGCCGTCATCGTCGTCATCGTCGCCGACCCTGGGTGGCGACGGGGATGTCACCACTGCCGTCACCTTCCTCTTTTTCGACTGGCTTCCTACGGTGCTGTCACTGATGGCACCCTCGGACTCGTCGCCGGATAAGGCGCCAGACGCCTGTTTCGTTACGGCCTTAGACTCGGAATCCGAGTGGTGGCCTTCAGAGGCTTCTGAGTGGTCGTCGCCTCCGCCGAGGCCGAGAAGTTCGTCGTCGAGATCATCGAAGCCGTCGGACATGGCTGCTGTTTATGCGAGTATTGAAACTTGAATGGGCCTCGAATTGACTGTCGCTGCTACTACTAGCTGCAACTGTTGGATATATATATATATATATGTATGTATGTACGGTACGCTACGGATGAGAATGCTGTTCGATGTATGGAGGAGAAGGCAGAAAGAAAAGATCCGGTCCGGCAAGAGTAAAAATGGACAGATAAGAAAACGCGTCTAGAGCTTTCTATAAATGTCTGACCCGTACCCAATGCAACCCTGTCGGCTGATCCTCCCACTCAAAAAAAAAAGACGCCTTAGGCAATGCAATCTACTAGATATCTACACACTCGAACTTCGAGAATACCAATCGGAGGAGGCTGACTGTTTCGGAGGTTTGGGGGGCGGGAATGGTTCGAAAGAATAGTTGAGCAAAAAGGAGAAAGGAATTAACATTGAGGTTCGGCCCCAAAAAAGGACAGACGTCAGTTCCAAGCGAACAGTCGGCTCTGGTCCACCAACCAACGGTCAACGCACATGGGAGAGAAGCTTAATTCCAAGTAGATGCGCTCGCAGGGATGTTTTCGGGTTACATTACGTTACGTTATAGTCCTACATCAGTACGAGCTCGCGAAGTGCATTCGATTCCGTCCGGGGCTCAATTGGTGGTGGGATCGAAACCCCGAAGGTTATACATCGGTCTAACGAAGAATCAGAATGCCTATTTAAAGGCAACTAAATCTGGGGACAAGTCCACGGAAACTGTATTCATTGCATCCAAAACTGGCATTAGGCCATCTGAACTCACCATCAGTTTGAGAACTGGCCGGCTATTGTAGGTAACTACTGACAAGCTTTAAGGAGGAATTATCCAAAAAAAAAACCACAAACATTTCTCCCATCTACAAAGGAAACCTTTAGAGACGTCGCCCGAAAGAAACAAGCATACAGAAGAGGGGAAAAAATAATTGAAGTAAGGGGGAAATAGTCATAATCATATAAAAGAAATCAGATCTAATGGTACGCATGTCGACCATCCAATCCACCAGCCAACTCCGCCTCGAGCGCCGCATTCCCGTCTGGAACATAAGTCCCTGCCTCATGCGGTCTTGGTGCTTGATCACCATATTGCCCAGTAGCTTGTCTCTCTGGGATTCCCACACTAATAGTGTCACTACCAGCCTGTCCAGCCGGTTTTCTAACAGTATGACGGAAAGTGACAACCTCATCTAAAATCATCTTCTTCATTTCCTGGATGTCCTCGACCACTTCAAAACCGAACTGGAATTCAGCGGGGCAAGTGGGTTCATCAGATGGATCGTGCCAGATCTGAAGATATCGGTGCTCAAGTGCCTTCTCGACTGTAATACGTTCAGATGGGTCGAATGCAAGCATCTTGTCGAGGAGATCGAGGGCATCGGGGTTGGCGTTGGGGAAGAGCCTGTTAAATGCGATCTTAGGCATAAATGGAAGATTACGGACGTATTCCTGAGCACGCGGGGAACCTATGCGGCATAGTGTCTCTTCGTTGGGAGTTCCGAGATAGTGAAGGATCTGGTTGAGCTGATCGACGTAGTCGCGACCCTTGAAGAAAGGACGACCCCCAAGAAGCTCAGCCAGAATACATCCGACCGACCAAACATCAACTACAATGATAATCTAATTCAGTATTTTGCTACTCTCACCTGGACAGCAGGTTAGAACTGGGAATGCGAGACAACGTACTGGCTTTAGTATAGCTTTGGAAGCTCAACATAATCTCCGGCGCACGATACCATCTCGTAGCCACGTATTCAGTCATATAGCCTGCATTCTCTTCAGGATCGACGGAGAAACCTCTTGCAAGACCAAAATCGCAGATTTTGAGTTCGCAGTCCGCGTTGACGAGCAAATTTCCGGGCTTGAGATCTCTGTGCAGAACGTTGGCCGAATGGATATATTTAAGACCGCAAAGGATTTGGTAAATGAAGGATTGGAAGTGAGCATCGGTCAATGGTTGGCCACTATCATCATCATTTTGTTAGCGCAATGGCCACTGGATTACAGAGCAAAGTAGGACGAGAAAATACCTCCGGATGATAGCAGCGAGATCGCACTCCATCAATTCTACACTACGTTAGTTTTACCCCATACTAATCCCTACACGGCGCACAGATCTCATAAACATACCCTCATAAAGGTAAACTTCATTGAAGTTATCTGGCTTTGGAATATCCATGTCATATAGACATGTAATCTTCACTTCCAATCAGCAATCAGTGTCTCTGTCAAGCTAGCCCAAGCTAGCCTAAGGAAACCTGGTAGAATTACTCACATTCCTGTGCCCTCTGAAGTGCTGTAAGAGTTTGATCTCTCTCAAAGCTCTCTTTGCTAAAATTTTCTTCGAGAAGACATTGGTAACCTTCTTCACCGCGATACCCTCACCAGTAGTATGGTTCTGAGCAGCACTAAACACCACGACACCCACCAATTAGCCTTAAAGCCATCCACAAGTATCGATACTATCCTTTTCACAGCAACATTTATCTAGATCTATGTCAAGCCAAACAGCCGGCGTTACTCCCGTATGTGGATTTCGCGTATCCCGGTTCGTTGCCGAGTCCCTCTCCCACAGGATCGCACATGGCGGGGTAACGTGTGAACTGGAAGGAAATGGACAAAACCTACCAAACGATACCGTAAGCTCCCTGACCGAGCTCTTTGGTCACAGTATACCGTTCATCGACGATAAAGTCTTGATTGAAGACTCTGAATAGCTTCCGGTTCAGAAGGGAGTCCATCGCGTCTGGCTAAATCGTGGTCTGGCACAACTGAAGCCAAAAATACGGATACCAAAGGAAGCGTGGTCGTTCGGAGTAGCGAGGGGATTAATAACTAAAATGTGTTGCTGAGTTATCTGCTTTAAATCTCGATTCGCCGGTACTCGAGCAAGAACGAAGGAAAAGAGCTTGAGATATGATAATAAGAAGTTTGGAAGCGGAGAAACAATAGTTCTGATTGTTACCCACTCCGTAAAAGGGGGAAGTCGCTGAAACTGCCTTGTTGTCTAGTTCGGGCAGCGAGCGCTAAGCAATTAATTCCTGCTTGGAAGCTGGAGGGGCTGCAGCGGGGGGAGGGGGGGGAGCTATTATCTTAGGTGGTGTCCCGCTTGGCTGCGATATTAACGGCCGCTTCGAGCAGGAACATCCGACAATGCAAAAGTATCGTGAGAGGTTGGGAGATCTTTCGAATTCTGAATCACTTGTAGACAGACCTAAATACTAGATTTCCATTCTTTTTCTAATACCACAATCATGGATATTTATATTTGAGGCTGCTAGAGCCTAGCCAAAGTGGGGTGGGGTATTGCATACATGTAGTACCAGAGACTTCGGTTCAGCCTTAGCTGGTGTCATGAGGGGCAATACAATGCAATGCGCCTTGGACAGGCTGATACACGACAAGATTACGGTAAGATACAGATGCAACTGTGCTGATTGGAGGCTTACCAGATAGGAGAGTACGGTAGATGGTACAGTCTCACGCCCATGCATGTCAAAGCGCTGAACCTCGAGATCCTATTCCTGGTGTAGCTATAACATTTAGCTTGTCCATTGCATAGTCTGTCTGCACTGTATCATATGCATGGCGTAGGGCTGCACTCGCCACGTTCAAGCCGATCGTGGCTGGAGTTTTGAAATACAACAGCTCAACAAATTTATATTTAAAGTCCGGACCGCGGCTATATATACTTTCTAGTCCTGTCTGTGGTCTCGTATCCAGTCGGCGTGCTGACTTGTGTAAAATGTTTCTAGATCGAAATACTTCATACCAAAGATTTTACAATTCCGCGCCGTCGACGAGTCAATATGATTAATTGGTATATTCAGAGTTATATATTTTCGACCAAGTTTTATACCTGAACTAGGGACCTATGCATACAACGAGAGAGATGTTCAAGGCAGCATTACACCCACTACATATCATCGTCGTCATTGTCATCTTCCTCTGAACTATCAAAGCCACTGTTTCTATCTTCTCCCGAATCGCTAGAATCCACTCCCATATGGTCTTCCTCCAAATCATCAGAACTCTCCCCATTATATAGCTCACGATATAGCTCTAAAAAGCCATTACGCTCACTGTTGTCACTATCTCCATCCAAGCCGTCCCTATCAGAATCGCTCTCCTCATCATCTTCACCTTCACTACTGGATTCGCTAGAACAGTCACCTCCCCTATATTGGCCCACCTTAGACCTTTTCGATTCGCACCCACGAGATCCACAGTGATCCTCCCTCTGTCTTTTTCGTTTGTTTGTACCAGACTCCTCGGTCATTGACTCTCCGAAATTTACGTTCTTCATGTAAATTGTAGACGGATTGTAGTCTCGGAGCCGCGAATGGTTGAAAAAGGGTTCTGAAATAATCCGCCCTGAAGAATGGGGTGCCATAACCCCTGAGCCCGTACCATTCGAAATCGCACCAACACGAGCTGGTAAAGGACTATTAACCGGTTGCTTTGTAGGAGCAGGCAGTACACTTATTATCTCTCTTGCATAGGCTGCCGCCACCATTGCGGCATATTCTTGCCAACCTTTGTTCTTGTGTGAGTCAGCATAATCGCATATGCCTCTAATAACGAGACATCGACAATCCACAGAACTCATCACCCCAGCGGCCTCCATCTCGAAGCAAAGAGTCCCTCCTGAATCTTTGCTGATCCTATCTCTTTCAATGCCGTTTTTCATAACTTGATCCCCAGATGCTATCTTTCCATAGTAAACCTTAGGGTTGCCACCGCGCGCACGCGGCTCTCGAGTTACTATATTAATTTTATCGCAATGGTCCTTGCAAAGTTTACCTTCTTGCGCATGGATATAATCTGCCTTGTATAGAATATCCTCGTAAATGATATCCCCAAGTGACCCGGTGCCACTTCGCTGACGCGGGAATGAGTTCAACATCGGATTCTTTTCGAAAAAAGCGGAATACTTCAAAATGTTAAACTCGTTCCTTCCATTCGCCGCCCGGACCGAGGCAACTGCCGTTCGCAAAGTTCTTGACGGTGACATAGGATCTCCAATTCTTTTGTTTCCATCCGGGTGGGCTTTTACAAAGTCGTATTGTACGACCTCCATACCTACCACAACGTCCCCAAGCCTGATATCCTTACCCGCACTCGGAACGCCACCTCCAATTCCTACCATCAAGAAATATTTGATGGAGGGAAAATCAGCCTCCATCCTCGTCGACATGATGGCAGCCGAAATCTTTCCGTATCCGCGGTCTGGCAAAGGCCCCACAACGACATTGTGCCCTTGGATTCGCCCGTAACTGTATATGGCCTCTATTCCTTTGATAGAGTCTAGATCCTCGTAAACTTCATCAAACATAGCCTGGGCAGCGGCTAGTTCAGCAGGAATTGCGGATACCCATCCAATAGTGAAATCTTCAGGACACGGGGAAGGTAGCCTCCGTCGTTGCATAGTTGGGAAGTGTCGATGGGGAGATGAGAAGCGTACCCTCCGGCTGTGAGTTTTTCGCAAGCTACTCAATTTAAATCTTGAGAAACCCTGGGGTGTCTACTTCTCTGTCTCTAGATTTTGTAAATACGTTAGATGAATATAAAAGCGTGCGTGCATATATATATTGAGATTCTTGAAGGCTTGAAGGAAATTATGAACTTTAAAGACTATACGGACGAGTTGGTGATCCTACAGATTCGAGGCTACGATAAATCGAGTGCAATTGCGAATATGCAGGACACGTAGCGTATAGTGCGCACCGTGTGCACCGTCGAATCGATACCGCCCTTTCTGCGTTCTAAAATCCTCTCCGCACGTGCACGTGCACACACGAACTGATTCTTGGCTATGAAAATCTATACATATACATAAGATAAGCCCATGACCAATGTCACAAAATCAAATACAGGGGCGGTTCCGTCAAATATAAACATACCAATCTATATTTCAAGAGAGATAAAGGGACAACCAAGCATTGAAAAACAAATGCGTTGACGAGGCTGATAATTGGAGGTACTAGTATACTGTAGTACTGGCGGTGGTAAAATATTGGCTAGACTATAAATTCTATTTGTAGTGTGCTGCGTCGGATTTAGAAAGGTGTTTCTATGACGAGAAGGGTAGAATGTAACGTTATAACGAAGCTTATCATATGGATGAATTGAATTGCCCGATAGTGTATATATATGTAGAAAAATCAAGAGGACCTGAGGACCAGTTGGAAGATCTAGACATGGGGTATGCCTTAACTGTGCCACTGACATGCACAAGGTCGAACACTTTGAGAGGCGGAAAGGTTTTGTCAGGTATCAAAACACGCCAAATCCCGATGTTTTTGCGAGAACCCTGATTGAAATAGGCTGAAAAAAAGATGTGCATGGAAATAATACATGCAGTTCGGCATGAGACGCCTTGATTGCTTTAGTGTAATACCGGATCAGTTCTTTGAAAATACTTATGCATGATACACGTGAGCCAGTTATTGTGTTTCATGAGGATTCTATGCTTTATGTCAGGACACGGCTGGAAGATTAATAGATTATATAATAGGTACTTAATTATAGAAAATTAGACAAATTGGCAAAATTTGCTCCCTGTAGCCCATATCTTATATATCCTGTAACGAGACTTGCTGCCTCTGGACTATATATCACATATCATTGATAGACTAGTAACTTAAGTATTTAAGTACTAGTCTTTACCAGCTGATCACAGGGTTTAGGATTTACAGTCAAAAAGAGTAAGACTAGCGATAGCAAGCAATTCAATTCAATTTTTGACATGTTTACTATCAATGGAACCCTACCCGCCATTCAGAACCCATTCTCTGCAAATAGTATAGACAGTTGTGTCAATACCACTTCCTCGTCCAAGTGCTTTCATCAATGCATCGACCCCGTAGTTAACAGGTCGTTGCATGCAAAATTATCGTCGTCGTCTCTATCTTGTAGGTAGCCAACTCTCTAGCTCCCATCCAGGCTCTGCATCAACCCTATGAACTAAATACAAAGCTTGTATGCCAATAGAATCCTTTAGGCCGGCAAGACGTCTCCTCCCACTAAAAGTGATCTGCTCCAACTTGTTAGCCCCAGCTTTCAACCAATCGTGTACAAAGTCTTCGAGTTCGTTAGCTGGTGAGAGTCCGCGCGGGTCCCCGCCTCCTGGCCAAGGTAACTCCAAGTATTTCAGCTCCTCGAGTTCGCAAATCGAAAGGTAGTCGCTCGATTTGGCGGTTGGTCGATAATCATAGTTGTAAGATTTTATAAATAGCGAGTCCAAGTTGGGAAAGAGAGCCACTAATTTCTTCATATTGCTCTCTATCGCTCCTGGGAGTTCGTTTCTGGTGATTCTTAGAACTCGCAAGCTTTCGAAAGTGGGAAACGTTACCCCATTGATTATTTCTTCTGTATCAACGGGATTAAAGTAATAACCGTACCCATCTGTCTCTATCGTCAAATCTCTTAATCCCGGCGCCTTGAATAGTGGGTAGTAGTAATATCCCCTTAGATCTATGCGACCCAAACGTCGGTCCCACGGGAGTGCAAGGCCATTTACTGAAATCCTGGCAATCTCCAACGCGGCCATTGGTTTCACAAGTTCATTTACTACCCCGTCGATATCCCTTCCATCTTCAAAAAACTTATCTCCCATTAAAGCGTCAGCTTCTCCAGCTTCGCTTATTTTATCAATGTAAAGTATGATTTCAAATCTCTTTAACTTCTGAAAAAACGGCTGTTTGGCAATAGCTTTGAATACTACAGCAAAAACACCTTTTTCAGACACCATTCGAACCTGGTAGTTGACACATAGGTCTGTGATGTTTTCGAAGTACTGCAGTGACGATGTATAATTTTGCAGTCGGTTGAGGACAATATTGAAATTGCTGTATCCACCAGGGTTCAGCCTGCGTTCGGATATGGTGCTGGGCCAGTCCCAAGACTTCTCGAAATGAATCGACCTGTATAATAGGTATATACGTCAGAATATAAGTAGCATTTTATGTAATTCTTTGATAAGCTGATATTATATTATGTTATATTATAACTGCCGTTGGAAAACCCACCGAATGGCTGTTCCCAAGAAGGGACCATCACGTCCGAAAAGGTTTATTGCATCCTCTGTAGGAATAACGCTCCGTGTACGCATACGGGATGGGAATGTAAGGTGATAGCATGTTTTGGAACACCATGAAATGCTTTGTTGGTCCCTCACCGGAAGATAGTCAACGATGAGATTGATTAACTCTGCCGGGAGGTTCTCAAGATACGTGCTATTCTCGCCGTCGTTGCGACCCATGGTTCTGTTGAAGCGTAATAGGTACTTAAGTAGGTATGTATTTAAGAGTCTGATTCGACCAAAACAAATCTAGGGACGAAAGTATCGATATTGAATCAAAAATAGTTTGGTAGGGCAGTGTCTAGTATACTTCTAGCCGGCTCTAGGGTCTACTCATGAGTAACTGTCGCTGTGTATTTGCAATATCATGACTAGAGAACTTTTGTAATGACACGTGTACACGGAATTTTTATTTTTGGTGCGCCAATGGCTCTTTGGCGAATTGCAGCTTGTTTGGATATACCGACAGCAAAAATACCCGAACGGTTGGGAAAAGGTAGGGTTGAGGAAAGGGGTGTCATGATTAAACATTATTGCGGAATGAGGTGGTTAAGGGCAGTGCTTGATACTATCTAATGACTGTGAATAGGATGCTTGTGATAGGCGAGGGAGGATGCATAGAAGGCGCCAGCTAGACCCGCTTACTGGAGAGACTATAAAAGGGAAAGGAGAGATGAGGGGGAGGGGGAACTGAGATGGAGAGGTATCGAGGTGAGGGATTGTTTTATGATCCGTGATGATTTCTTTTTATCCTCGGAACACCATCGACGCCGTAATCATACTCATCATCTCCGAGGCCTCCTTTAACCCATCCGCTTCCTCTGAAAACCTCTAGTCTTCCAGCCAGCGCGTCCACCAAAGCTTGTCTAACTCTTCCAGTGCGGGTACTATCCCAGAACAATCCCACATTAACCTCTTGGCTAGTAGCCCAGCTGGCCTGGTCAAAGTTCCCGGATCCCAAGGCTACCACTTCCTCATCCACAATCAAACATTTGACATGACTTTTGTCATACCATGTCAATTTGAAGTTATCCTCGGGCTGCTTGATAAATGGCAGCAACGGGGGCCTTTTCATTGAATTATAACGGTATATCCAAAGTCCACCCGTTGTGATGGCTTCCTCTTCATCCAGAGTTCCTTTCCAATTTTGTAGTTCAGCCACCATCTTGATTAAGCATTTGTCTGTGGTGGTTCCAGCGGTGACTAGTTGTTCCCATTTCATCATTCCCATTGATGTGACAATCTCTACTACAACTCCTCTCTTGACCGCTCTCATGAGAGCATCGATTAGTGGCTTTGCTGTAACGTTGGGCGTATGAACATAGATCGATTTCTCTGCTCCTTCGATAGCCGCCATCCAGAACGCATTTTGAGGATTTCCAAGGTACTCCTGATCCCTGCCAGCATTCTCAAAGACAACACCCATCATACTTTTCACAATCTTCCATATAAACTCAACTTCCCCGAGCGGCCAGACTGGGGGGAAGCTCCCTCTCTCCGGATGGGGTAAAAAAACCGTTGGAGCGAACCCTTCCCACCTAGCCCCGCCAGCGAGGCTAGTTTTTTCCACAGCCAACCCTCTGGGCCTCTCCATCACAATTGATCCGCCACCTTCATTAAGCATAACTGCTGGAAACCTTTCCATTATCGGGTCGAATCTTTCGGGTCCTGGTTCCTCCCCGTGTCTCCAGATACTCTCCCAATACTGCACAAATTTTCTGACTACACAGTCTGGACTATCATCTGGATACCTCAGGTAGGCTGTCGCACCTTCCAACCATTCTTCCCAGCTCAAGTTAGAGCTAGGAACTACAAGTATCTTGCGATCAACAATCATGTATTTCCCATGCAGTAATCCGACGGGCCGTACAAAGATACTTTTCACTGTCAAGTCGATCTTCCCTTTCAGGTAATTTGGATCTCCAAGCCCGAGCTTCTTCCATTCTCGGGGTTTCCAGATTCTTCCCTTAGGATTCTTGGTATGCAACACCTTTTGAAGAAACCCACTGGACGAGAAGCATATATGGACTTTCAATGTATTATCTGTGCCCCTCCGAACATTCTTTAATACCTGCCGTGTCGCCAGGATCTCAATTGTTCGGCTTAGGTTCTTGACAGATGCAGATGTAGGATTCAGGAATCCAGTAACAATGATGACCTCATTTTCTGCTTCTAGCATCTTCGTGCATTGGAAGTTTGTTAACGATTCGCCAGTGCCAACAACATAATCATCGACATAGGAGGTACTGAGTAAGTCCTCAATAGGATGAGTAGCTGAGGAGGGATTATCGAGGCGTGAAAGTCGTAAACGTTCCAGCTTTGACATGAACTTGTGTTTCGACGAATGGATATCCTGAGAATGTGATGATAACGTGGTGTAGAACGCGTAGGCGATTCGCTTGTGTGTTGGTGTCAGACCGGGTTGGTTGAGCCATGATGCTAACTTTGGCGACAAGCTCGGATCTGCACCTGATAAAGTATAAGTTTGACCAGGCCGTGAAGTTCGAGGCGGAACAGAAGAAGGAAGAATACGGTCGTCAGTCTGGGGCTGGCGATGAGTCGTAGCGGCAGTAATAGTCGTAGTAGCCATCGTAGACGCGGGGGTAAAGACGGTTGAAAGGGGTAAGGCTTGGTGATTTCTAGCTGGGGTATGTGCAGCGCTATTTATGGGGGAATTAGGCGAGCGAAGAGGTGACGAGGACAATGAGCAGGGACGTCACTGCGATCAGCCAAACCGGCACCGGCGTCTGGAATGTTTATATTATAGCAAGCGCAAGCGGAAATACACTTGATAGATAAAGGAATTCAGCAATCCAATCATGACCAATTACCTAAGTACTCTGCCCTATCGTACAAAATAAATAACCGCTTCATGGCCTGGAGCCACCGTTGGCGTCCTAGGTATTATACAACAATTCGGAATTAATAATATTTACAGATACATAAGTATATTGCATCCTTGCCCTCACCCAGTCGATGACCTTGAGGCACATATCAAGAAAACTTGACGGACTTGATAACTTTTGTCCTGATACCAGTAGCTTCACCACTGTACGCCCCTGTGGGTGCCTTATAAATCGCCTTCTTGCTGCCCAACTTCTTCTTCGCGGCCTCAAACTTCTTCCTCTTCTTGACTCTAGGATTTCTCACATCCTTCTTCCTGTGGGGTGTTAAGCCCTTGTTCTTCTCGATTGTATACCCAATGGCACGCTTCCCAGTGACTGGATCGATAGTTTCAGTCTCCACAACCCGATCCTTCGTTTGTGCTGCTTCCTTCTGTAACTTCTTCTTCATCTTATCCATGAGCGACTTTGAGGCGACAGCGTTATAGTAATCTAAAGCATCTTCGTCCCCAGCTAGCCCATCATTCTCGATTTCTGCCTTTAATGTCCGTGCATTGGTTAAATCATTATCGTCGTAGTCGCTATCGCCGCCCAAGTCGGCACCGAGATCACCGCCCAAACCACGCTTCTTAGCATCTGCGTTAAGTCGCTCTTCGCGGTCTTTATTCCTTTCCTTTCGAGGTAAATCAACATCTCCACCAGCGTCTCGGCCAGCAAGCGCACGCTTGTTGGATTTCTGGTGAATTTGTGCAGTGTAGAAACGTAGTGATTTCTTTCGCTTAGCCTTTTCTTCTGCATCAGAGGAATATAGCACATCCTGGTCTCCAAAGTCATCCGCGGCACGGAATTGAACAGCAGTTTTGGCATTCTTGGGCTTTTGACGAGTGGTGTTGGTTGAAGGGAGAAGGGAATCGAGATCGGCCAGGCCGGCATCTGATTTGGCGAGGCGTTTGGCTTCTTTCAAGGATATTGAAGAGGACGACTTCGCCTTCTTCGAGGTTTCTTCTATACCGTTAAGTTTCTGCTTCGATTTCGCTTTGCCGGGCACCTGAAGGACGGGTTCTTCTTCTTTCTCTCCGTCGCTTAGGCTCATGTCATCGTTTATGTCCTCCTCTTCCTCATCATCATCATCATCATCGTATTCTTTTTCTTCCTCATCATCGCCTATGCTCATGTCCCCCATAGATCTCTCTACATCCTCTGGTTCAGGTGTTTGGCCCTCTTCCTCGCCCTCGATCTTTAACCACTCTAACCTCCACTTCAAGATTGTCTCCATGATTTCATGGTCCCTCAGCTCTACGACTGTCCCCTCCTCTCTTGGTTGATTTAGGAATGCGAAATACATACTTAGCACCCCGAGGTACGCTGATAAAACAATCCACTTTCTCCTTGCTAGCGACGCTCTATTTGTCTTTTCTTTGCCTTTTGCCATAACATCTTCGTACGTTGGGGCCAGACGTAGGTACTCTTGTCGCAACGGCTCGAATTCGGGGTGGAGGAGGTTCAGAAGCTCGAGTTTATCTTTCTCTGAAGATGGAATCGTAATCTTTTTGGGCTTGCCAATATTATCCAAGTTTAGGTCGTCTAGAGCCGGGACACTAGGTTTTCCCTTCGTTTTTCCACCTGTCACGGTAGTAGTAGTTGCTGTTCCGTTCCATTCGTCCTCATCGACTCCGAAGTCCTTGGCAGACATGGACTGTAGTTGCTTCTGCTGAATCCGTCGTGCTTCAGCCTCCTCCATTTCTGCATCCTCGTCGTTTTCAAAGTCATTGGCGCCGTAGTAGCTTTTCTTAGATTGACCCCAATCGGCGTATTCATCCTGTTCCTCATCTTCTTCACTCTCTTCGTCGTCATCGTCTGATAAACGGCTGCTTTTGGCTCTGCCAGCTGTCTCCTCTTCCTCCTCTTCGCCATCGTCCGAATCTTCCTCAGAAGGTAAACCCTCAATGTCCATTTCTTCATCATCGCTTTCAAACGCGGGATCTTGATTTAATCTTCTTCTCTTAGTAGCTGGGTCTTCATCGAATTCTATGCGATCTCGGTTCAGGTAAAACTCGTCCTCAGAGTCAGCGACATCCTCGTAGGTCGTTAATTTCTTTCCTAATTTCGCATCAGAAGGATCAACTGGTCGGGGCCCTGAAGGTTTTGAGTTTGCGCTACGGGAGCGCTTTGATTTCTTTGCCATTATTGGGCTATTTGGGCGATGGCAATACTGTGTATGGTGGAAGATGGTTTTTCTGAATGATTCTTTTAATTTTTTTTGTATGCGAAATTTTTTTTATCGGGCGAAAGATGCGAGTGCCAAGACCTGGCAGGGCAGCTTAAGCGGGAGCCAGTTACGCAGCACTCATTGTCTCTCATAAGTCTAAGACGGGAATAAACCGACCTTCACCAAGAGCCTCAACTTTAGAACACGAAACAATAAGATACGAACATGCGATTCAGTTAGCTATTCTACATTTCTACTCGATTATCTACGAAATCGTCCCTCCTCCTACCATTCCTCGTTCAGAATGTCGACCGACCTCTCCCAAAGCCAAACGAGCTCTTATCTTGGTGCGTCTACCGATCCGGATCACGACGTCGCGTCCCTGGCATCAGAAAGCACAGAAAGAGATGAGTCAGATGCCGAACTCGAATGGCAGGAGTCGATTAAGCAGCTGGAGATGCTGCTAACGATGGTTGTGGTGCCCTTCGCGGGGAAATGGTTGGGAAGACGTTGTGCCTTTTGGGGTAAGAGTTCCCTTCTCTACTCCTCGCCGAATCAACTAGGAAGAGGGAGAGGGTGGAGTTTAGGATTCTGATTGCTAATCTATCGGATTCTTTTAGTCTGGGGGAAAGCCATGGAGTGGAAATATCCTGTAGATGTGGTTATAACATCGAAAGCCGAGTTTGCTGCTGGAGGCGTTGGGGCCGTGATTGCCGCCTCAGCACCGATATGAGCGGTGCGGGACAACCTCAGGACGGAAACAAATCCCGACCGAATGAGCTCTCCCAAAGATAGGAAACTCGGGCCGAAGGACAAGAATTGGCTAGCAGGAGTAGCCGTCGGGATCGAGAGGGCATAGCTGCACGGGAACTGTTGGGCCGGGAGGAGAGAATATCTACATAAAAGACGGTGACGAATGTTTATACTACCTACAAACAACAAACGACCCCAACCCCTCATCATTCATATGACTGGCGTTCTACTGGTTGTCTTCTTGCTGTCATTTATCTTACCCAATTGGTTACATCATAACTACTGTATATACTACACGCCAACTATAGCCGTTCACACGGAGCTCACTAGTTCCACGGCACCCCGATTCCGTGTCTTCTCTTACTCAAGTTCCCCCACAATACCCGATTCTCGGCCTTCATGCGTCGGTAAATGAGTGATCGGCCCGGTTAAATCTCTTGGTCACAGACATTCCGAAACGGACGGTTCGAACTCCCACCCATCTTGTTCGACCCCTCACTTGCCCGCGCAATGAATTAACCGAATTGACCGAGATTTGAGGAACTCCACCAAACCAGGCCACCTTCCGACCCTGGTCAACTTGCACAAGCTTGGAGAACGTTAAAACATCATCATCCAAACTCGGCATGTGCCGTTCCAACATGTTGAGAGAAGAAAATGCACCGATAACATATTCTGCAGCCTGCAGGGTGCGAAATCACGCTGGAAAACCGGAAACCAAGGGTCCAAACGAGCTACCCACTTCCCCGCCCTCTCAATTGACTTTGATGCATGAACCAATGAAGCTGAAAACTATGGCGGTCCGCGCGGTCAGCCACGGATATGTTTGCATCGAAGAAGTCAAGTTTTTAGACAGTGCGCGCCCAATGGATCCATGGATAACGAAATGAAAACCAGAATGAGCTCCAGCGACCCCCAAGCTAGCAAACTTAGCTAAAAGGAAGCTAAGAACCACCAAATGAATGGTACGAGTTAGTACCTGCGGCATGGGGTAGTTGGGAACGTACGTAAACAATAAACAACCAGATGAACCGTTGATTCAACAAAATTCCGCCATAGGCCAATCTCCTCCTGACCGAGATCCCATGCATGCATCTTATGACTGGCAGACTTGCATATTCTCCAGCGACGTCGCTGTCACACTAACTAGATGTAAAATATGCTGTACTACTGTCTCCGAGCTTCGACCTATCACGGTCAAAGCTCACAAAATTTAAAGTTATCGCACACCACCTCTACCAACCGCATTGCCGCCGCCCCCACTACCCAGGAGTCTATAGGACTCACCAGGAAAAGTGTGAAAAAATCTTCCCCGCCGCCTGGTACACGGATTTTAAGACCTGAAAAAACTCGCTACCCCATGTTCTACCATTTAAACTCAGTGCGCTAGAAAATTTTTATAAATTCCATTGAGATCTGCTTCCCTCCATCCGAATCTTTCAAGTTTCTCTTCTGTCGCATATGCCTTTCCTCTCTCTCAATTGCAATTAGAAACTCCAGAAAAGAAGGCACAATGGGGACCTCAGTGGATGACCCAAAGGCATTCGACGAACCCGTCAATGTTCGCGACTCCGTCTTTAAAGACGTTGGCAACGATGCAGAAATCGGTGTCAATAGTGCATCGGCTTCTGAAGTTGACCGGGTTTATAGGTGAGGCAGTTGGTCCTTCTTCTTTTGGAAATACTACACATCCCAACACAAATACATTACTGTCTTGTTCTTAACGACCCTCTACCTTTTTCGGGACACGACACTAACGATTGTTACATAATAGAAAACTCGATAGAAGGATAATTCCAGGTAAACTTTTATGATTGGGTCTTTTAGAGTAGATTGGGATACTAAATAAACTTGGAAATTAGCCTTATGGGTCCTATACTTCCTCTGCGCTGCTATCCGTTCAAATGTCGGCCTCGCCCTCACAATGAATTTCTCTACTGGCGACTCGTTAGGCCAAAAACTCGGGCTGAATGGCCACCAAATCAGTACCGGTCTAGCACTCTTTTATGTTTGTTATGTAATATTTGACTTTCCGTCAAATCTCATCATGTCAAAGCTTTCACCCCATGTCTGGCTGAGCCGTATCGTATTCTGCGTCGGTGTTGTTGGTGCGTGTCATGCAGCATTAAACGCAGCATGGAACTTTTAGTAAGCATACCGATGATTTCTGAAATAAGCACCTCAATCCATTTACTAATGATGTGAAACTAGTCTCATCCGTGTTCTTCTCGGTATCGTCATCGCGGGGATGTGGCCCGGCATGTCCTACTACCTAACTCTTTTCTATCCGCCCAACCGCACAGGAAAGAGAATAGGCTACTATTTCACCGCCGCTCAAGTCTCTGCGGCAGTTGTTTCTCTTGTCTCTGCTGGATTCCAAAAGATGAATGGCTACGGAGGACTCACTGGATTTGAATGGATGTTTATGATTTACGGTATCATTACCGTTATCGATGCCATTTTACTGCTTTGGTGGCTTCCTGACCGTCCCTATCCACCGGGAGAGAGCCGAAAGCTCCGATGGTACTACAACTATCTCCCCCGCCAAGTACCAGCATTCAGCACGGAACGAGACCAAAAAATCCATTACGAAGAAATGAAGAAAGTCTACCACGCCCCCGCGTGGACAGTCAAAGACTTAGGCAGCGTAATGATCGATTGGCGTCTCTGGCCGTTGACCCTTATGTATTTCGGCGTCGTTGGTGTGGGTATCGGTGTTCAAAACTATGGTACTTTGATTATCAAATCAACCAACCCCTCCCTGACACCCGTGGAGATCAGTTTATTGTTCGCGCCGATCTGGGTGTGCGATTTAATTGCTATATTGATTGCCATGCCGTTGTCTGATCGGTTCAATGGGAAGAGGGCGTACATATTCTCTTTTGGATGTGTTTTGCAAATAGTGGGGCTCTCCATGACGACGTTTTCTACGAAGTCGTGGACGAGATATGGCGGCCTATTAGTCGTGGGCTTTGGACTTGGTCCTACAACGCCTAATGTGATGACATGGACTAAGTAATTTTTGCCCTCGTATTCTAAGTTGTTGGAAGATTATGCTGACAATAAGTGTGTAGTGAAATCTTTGCCCGAAGGCACGGTGAAGTTGGCGTTGCTGCGGCTACCGCACTGGTTTCCGGGCTGGGAAATCTTGGATCTGTAACAACGGTGAGTGCTTCTTCCTCCGTGACAAATACATTATGAGTCAATTCGGGATTTACTAACATTTGACATGAAGACTTATGCCCTATACACTGGCTGGGCATCCGACGCAGTCGCAGGTCCACGGCAATTTAGAAAAAGTAACATCGTTATGATGGGAATCCTCGGGATGAGTATCGTAAGCAGCATCGCTTTGAAGTTACTGCTACACTTCTTTGACGGCAACAAAAAGGAAGCGGAGGAGTCAGTCGAGAGAGTCGCAGTTGAACAGGCTGATCCAAAATAGAGTATTGGTATTTCTAACTATACAGAACTGGGAGGTTTGGCTGGATGGTATATATATAAACGGATGGCCATAATTATATTATTTGAGAGATCTAGACTCTAGATTCGAGGAAGAGCTCAGGTTTCGGGATATGCTTATTTGTCTCGACTGCCGTGAGATTATATTGTAATGGGCGGTATATTTCTACTTCATCTAACTACTGTTAGCTATTAATTGACAAGGATACAACTATAATTTGCAAATTTGTTCTCATCGGGGATGAATATAAACCCTAATTTAACTCGGTGCAAACGGCGAGAGGAGGACAGGAGGTTACTCGCTGTCGTTCACGAATACTAGTTACAGCATACAGGGACAGGGTACCCCAGAAGGCTATAACCAGGATCTGGATATCCCTTCCCCTTCTTATTTAGAGATTGCTAGCTGCGCATTGTCCTTCATCGCGCGCAAATACTATATCTAACGACGATATATCGCCACTTGGTGGTATTTGGGAACTGTCCAATCCTGTGCTAGGGACTATTATTGCGGTATGTATGGTACGACGGGTTTAGTTGTGTGATAATCGCGATTTGATCCGACCTAGGCTTGGAATTATAGATAGATATTAGTTTTACAGATAACCCTGACACTAAGCAATTTGAATTACGCTGTGCCGGAATACATACATCCGTGTTGTATGGGTATCTAGTCTGCAGTGGGGGGAGCTCCTTAGATTGGCCACTAAATTAAGAATTATAAGTACAGTGGCGCGATAGCCACTTGACCAATGTGGGTACGTTGGAATATAGCGGGCATAATCGAGTAAGGGGGTAAAGTCGTCGGCTGCAAGTAATCGGGTAGCCACAGTTGGGAGAATCGGAGCGCTAAACGCGGGGATTGAGAGACGAGAGGTAACGCTAGTTTCGTTACGAACGATACTAACGAAGTATGAGATGAATCAGCCGTTTCCAATTGCAAGGTGGAGGAGTCGGAGGCCTTGGAAGGATATGCAAGCGCCCTAGCGCCTCCAGTCTTCGAGGATGTAATCGAACTCCAATTGTAGTTTATTTGGTGTACCGTAGAACTAGTGTCCGACGAAAGAAAAAAGTTATATCTATCGGTGCTGAGTATTCGTCCCTGCTTCAAAGCGCGGCTATCGTGGACACTCAGCCTATCACCAGATTCCGAGATAGGTCTCTTCGAGGGGGGTTTAACGAGAGTTAGGGCCCGTGGTATCGGAAATTCGATCCATGCTCGTGTATTTATGGCGAAAAGACTTTATGACTTTGCCGGAAAACTTTTGAGGACGACCGCGGAAAATTCGATGAGCAGTGGTTAATAACTATCGACTCCGTGCCTGTCTATTCCTTCGATCAAGTCGCACGCGACATCCCTTAACTTTTCCAAACAGATTCATCTAATTTGTGAATGGATAAGATGTGATTCCAACTTGGATGAACTCGATCCAGAAGAAAGGTTTTCCGCCGGGCCGTGTATACTCATAATTGTTGTTTTGGTATTGGGAAGGAAGTCTGTCATGGAGGAAGAATGGGGGAATTTGGACATGGGAGCGGAAGAATAAAAGGGTGTAATCCAAGGCTATAGGTGGAAAATCGATCGAAATTGAGAGAAAAGGTTGCCTTTTAGTTCCGTTACCGAGTTAAGGAAACCCGAATGAAATATTTGGTCTGACTGTCGGATTTTTTTAGAGTTTCTGGCTCGGGTGGTGCTCCTTATTCTATGTTTTGGCACGAAGCCTCGAAGTCGTCACGGCGGAAGGGGCTAGGCGGCTGCCATGTTATGGTATACCGGTATACCGCGGTTTTTCGGCCAATAGTTGTAAGTCGCGAGAATGATATCATTAGATACTGTAAATGGGCTCTCTAGTAAGGGAAACTTGATAGGGAATAAGTTTAAAGTCTCCCCAGTTTGTTTTGAATAGTTTTCCGAGTATTTCGACGTCGACTGCGCGAGTGCGCGCAGCCCGAAAACGATTCCCCCGTTAAAACGGCTCGCGGACGACTCGGACTCAAATGTATGTGAAACGAGATTGAGCCTTTCAAAAGAATTGAGCATCAGGCTCTCTAGAAAAGAGTTTCGGTATGCAACCGCGTATAATGGGCGCTCTTCAAATGTCTAGTAAACAATATATAATATTGAAAAGGTCGAAAGTGACTTATGGTGTATTAGGGAAGGTATTTCGCTGGTCTATGTTGCTCGAACCAAATCCTTTGATGGCTGGGGAATGATAAGCACAAGATTGGGGATGAAGTTGTTCTGACGTTTCACCTATCTAGCCTGTTGGGACCGCGAGGCCCGGCAGAGTGCTATATGCTGGAAATTTCCAAAACCGTGCATGACGGGATAGGCATGTCGGTCGACATAGTAGCAAACTTGGAAATTGTACGCCCGAGAAATTTTGTCTAGTTCAAGGCTTTCTTCTCTTTTCAATGGAAAGCATACGCACTTACGGACGAAAGTAATTAGGAAAAATGTTGATGGTCTAAATGGATAGCTAAGCGCAGTCGTAAGCTGGTTCCCACAGCATAATTTGCGAATAAACCTGATTTAGAAGGCTAGCTATCTGTTATGAAAAAGAAACTGAAAAAAAAGAAGGACTTACGACGAAGATAAAAGGTATACTCCACTTAATTTTGATTGTTCGGTAAATATTAACAGCGCTAGCAGGAGTCAGTTGATAAGATCCGAAACTTTAGAGTTGCAAATGGCGCCTTGATTGCATGCGCATGCGGGGGAAATTAAATTACGGATCAACTAATCTATATAGACGAGAAATTAATCCATGGCGTCGATGATTTGTTCTTTCAAGATATCACCGGTATGAGGTACCTACTCTATTCGGATTGTTTACATCTCTGTCCTTCTGTTTGCGGGTTTACAGGGACTAGGATCCGTGGAATGTAGAGACTCGTATTCATGTTTAACCCGTCGACATCGGCAGGGACACATTGTTGCAACAAGGTTAAGCGACTGTATTGCGCAGCAATTTTGCCCCCAATTGCAAATTAATTTTAACCGAGTAGGACAGTAAAGCTGCAATGTTTGCTTCGGGCAATTTCTTTACATTTAGGATCCTAATTATTTGTTTATTTTCAACTAGGGTTTGAGATTTGACGCATCAAATATCTGATAATACAAAATTTTGGATCATGGAACGAGCGTGAAGGATCACAACTACCCTTGCGGACGCCGGCAAGCAGAAACCCGGCCGTTTTTTTTTTTTTTCCAGCCCGTAGGAATGTTGAAATACGAGGGAGCGATTAGAAAATAGTAACCATATCGTGCCTGTAATCAGATTAGCTGCTCAAGACTCGAACCCACACATTTGTTCATTTCTTTCGTTAACATTCGAATATTCTAATCAAGGATTAATAGCACCGCAAACAAATAATTCTTTTTAGCCCATAAGAAAAAATCCGGTTAGTTATTCTGCGTAAAGAGGGAAAACAAGAGACTGAATACTCTAGATATAAAGCGGGTAAGCGGAAATATTCGTAATTCCTGAAAGGGAGCAACGATCGGCCTTTCAAAATGTCAGGTTCAACAAGTTTACGAAAACGCCTAAAGCAATTACTATATGTGCCTGAATTGAAACGCTTTGGGCATAATATTTGTTTCGACGGCCGTGGGGAAGATATACTAATTCGCCGGATCGAGTGTTAGGAAGATTTCATGGAGACGCATGCGGCTAAGACCCAACCACGACAGTAAACAGCATCGTATTCAGCAAAAAATCTATAGATTCATGCTGTTTATGACTATTGAGGCTTGTTAGAGCCTGTCGTCTTGAAACTAATCATCTCCATACTGTACAGATATCGATGTGTACGGGTAGATCGTTCCTTGGTTGGCAGAGATAGTTTCGTGTGATTGTTTGGGTATTGATTTCAAAGTACTTAAGTCTTGGGGGAAGTTTAAGCGTTTTCCCAATACCCTATTACTTCTAGTGGCCAGGATCCGTCATCGCTCTCAGGCTTGGAATAGAAATTAGTTAATGGGTTTGGACAGAGATTCTATTAAGTACTTGTACAGTTGCGGTACCCCCTTGTTGGGCTGATTCTGCGTGTCAGTTCCTCTTTATTGGGTACTTACTTACCTGTTCCTTTCTCAGCGTACTCCGTCCCTCGTATCTCTTTCCTAACCTTCTTGAATTCTAAGAGGCTCCCATTTTCATTCTTTTCTCACCTTCTTCACTCTTCTCTTACTCTATATGCAAGTATACCTCAGGCCTCGAAAGCTCATATTTCCTGGGGGAAATTATATTATTTTATCTTTTGCTACTTAGCTCTTTAACTCGGTTGCCTTAAAAGCCTAATCTTCAGCATATTACTAGCCAGCGTCGACATCGACCCGGTCCCTAAACAAACGCGTAACTTATCGTTCCACTGCACAACTTAACTCTTCGCTGCGTACTACGCCATACTTCTTATTCTATTGATTTGAATAAGGTGTCAAGCTCGCTCTCATTGTTTGTCTTTCAATATCCGGAACAGGACCGGTTTCTTGACTGGCCCGTATTTTATCTCCTGGACGCTTTACCTAAGACCAGCGCCGAACTGCATGGCCCGCCAAAGCCTCACGCTTCTGTATATATCAACATTGAAAATCACGTTGCAACAACCTTAAAAGGCCTTAAGTGCACTGCCTACAGTTCAGAATGGCTGCTTTTCGATTACATATGGCATTTCCAGATCTATTCTTCTCACCTGATCCTATATGCATATATTAATTGTTTCAACCTCACCATCGGCACGGTCGCCTCAGCCAAATTGTCTTGCAACGATAAGAAAACATTCCCCAGGCTTTCGGTATCTCTTTACTATACTAGTGCTCCGGTTTTGTCTCGTCGCCAGACTCCTCAACTGCGGCCCCGGTTACAATCACATAAGTTTGAGACCCTCGGATACGGCCTCCGAACTTTCGAACTGGCTCATATACATAGAAACACCTATGGCACACACATAGTGCCGATCTCACCCACCAAAAGCTTTCCGGAACTGGAGAGCAATGGACTTCGTGTTATCTGTCAACCATGAGGGTCTAGAGAATTTGAAGTCTTGGGCGAATTTGGGTAACTCAGCCGCAACGTTACGCACCGCTCTCGCACAAGCTACAATAGCGACCGAAGAGGCTATTGCGAAATAGCGACCGAAAACTCAAGGTTGGTTGGTGCGACGAACCTTAAAGAGCCCCCTCAACTTGGGTGCGCTGATTCGATTCACTCAATCGTGTGAACCCAAGTTAACTTACAACGTTACACAGTCCAGTCACAAGGTTGAAGTTTTACCTTAAAGGTTCTCTATTTGATGGGTTAGGTTGTCAACGCAGAACAGCAACGCCACAGCATTTTCTACCGTCTTCAATCACCAATAATTTCCAACTTGGCACATTGGATTTTACGGAGACATGGGAAAAGGTCTGGGTATGAAGCTGTCAACATAGATGGTTTACAATCAAAAGAAGCTGACGCCTTAGCTTAGGAAATCTAAATTCGAAATGTCAGTCTCTGCAGCTGTTAGTTACGTCTCGACGTGTGTTGTTTCACCAAATCCGATCTTCCAACAAATTCACCCTCGGGGGCTGGTCCGATCAGTTGCCGATTGCCCGAGAGATTTCTGCAAAAGAACTCGTCGGACGCGAACCAGTTTCCATCCAATTGAATCCGTGTGGATCTATGGTAGAGGGGTGTACCTATCGAAGGTACCGACATGTACACACACATACCTTGTACAGATCTAAGAGCTCTGGGTTGCCCATAGGTACAAGGCAAATGCTATCTATATCTCATATCAACTTATACTTTATGTCTTTCACGAAAGCATAGAATGTTGCCGCCGTTAGATCACCACCGTGGAGCGGAAGCTTTCTAAACGTTCCGATCAACCGATTAAGGGATTTCACAATTATCGGGCCGTTCCGTTGACGCCATCCGGTTTAATTAACTCGGCAACATAGTCCGGGAGCCCTGGTTCGGGGACATCCCAGCGTTCTCTGAACGGCAGGCTATTGAGAACACGGCTTTGCGAAAAGGCTATAATGCCGGGAAAATGGACTGTTGCTTGCTAGCGAGCTGCTCCGAAGATTAAAGAATGCGCCACTTCAAAAGAAAAGATTGATCGCGAAATATTAATACAGACTAGTCGACTGCTCACGGGCAGGCATGGCTCGTGACGCCGGTTGGACTTCCCCGTGGTTCCGTGCGGTTGCGCTAGGTCTCCCCAGGCTACATAGGGGGCGCCCACCTTGCTTTGGATGGGTCACCCTGCAAAAGTTGACTCAATTTGGTAACGTCAAAACGAGTTAGGTTTGTTGTATTTTTTATTGACCTTTTCGTTCGCCAGACTGAAGGCGGCCTTAGTTGATATCACGCTTTCTTTCTCTCTTTCTTTCTTTCTCGCTCTCTTTTTTTTTGCGGTTTTTAGCTTTGAAAAATTCAAATCACTAACATGAAATGATAGAAGCTGGGCTATCATAACATCCCTCGCATTCGTGCTTTAGGTCTAGCTTCGATGCAACGAGGTCTGTTGATGCACAGGTAAGCATTGGCTGCGGCCATTGTTTTGAATCGACCCCGCTCGACTCGAGTAATTCCTAAAACTTACAACGCCTAACCAAGGCTTAAGCAATTAAAAGGAGGCTTCTGCACAAGAAAGCCACGGATCGATGTTCCCCACAGTTCCAAGAAAGGAGTTTCCCGGCATCCTTCTCTCGCAACCAGTACGAAAATTTTTTCAGTGACGATCCCGAGAATCTGGCACAGTGAAGATAAGGCAGCCAGTTTGTTGGGACAAAAGCTGACTTCCCCCCACCTCTTTCGAACATTTAATGTATCATAACCTATAGTAGATATATATATGGCTTTCTACTAGTACATTTCCAACAGACGGAAGCGAGAAGAAGAATAAAAACGGCTGGGCGCTGCTGAGGGGGTGTGATTGGCATTGCATGAGAACCACAGCGATTGAGAACTTTCGTACCCGACGACTCGGGCCAGGAGGTGATTCGTCAATTTTATCTGGAACGTCTCCACACTAACAAGGGCAGCCAAAATGCCGGGTCACAAATGTCGGCATTCTCTCAGTGCCTAGCGAATCAACAAAGAGCGATCCACTAATCATAGACGTTATTACTCTCGTGTGATACAAACTACATGATTTTTGTCTCAAATAAAACTGTCACATTTGGAGAGCTTTCAGGCGTAACAAATTGCACTACTTAGCGATATCTTTTGACTCCATGACCGCCTCGTTTCATGACAGATGTTAGTCTCATGCCCGTGAGGTTGAACCTTTTTTAAGTCCGTGAAATTCGAAAAGAGCGGCTTGTAGGCACTGAAAAAAAAAAAAAAACGGGAATTGACCCGCGATGGGGAATTGACAACTGTGTCCAGGATAACAAAAAGCAATTCGACGTCTATTTGGAACCGGAAGCAGGATTTCGCGAACAGCTCAATCATAGGGCCAATTAAACATAATATTACGTGGTAAAGATGAATTTAAACATTTCTGCACATGGATATTGAGGAAAAAGGAAAAGAAACCGCCGTCGACAGTCCGCTGCCAGAGCCTGTCCCAGAATGATTTCTAGACTGTCCGAAAAATAGTGCTTTCGCAGTGCGTGAGTGGAAACAAGACTACAGTCATTCCCATCCCGTCCCTGCTCCAATCGATTGGGTATGAAAGCTGATCTTAACGTAATAGCTAACACAGGCCGGCCGAGCGGCGGCTTTCGAAGGACAAGAAATTAATGTTATGCTAGGCATTTAATAACTATACTAGTTGTACAGGGGGGCATACGATCTTAGGCAATCAATTGCAGCGCTGGCTTTCTCGTCAACGGTATACGCATCCTAGTGTTTGCTGCGGTCGGACCGACTGTACACATAATTCCGTACAATTTCATACTTTTCTAGCCAATTCATATGATCATGATCTTATGCATATGCACTGTGCCAATCACAAGGTTGCTGGTGTTGTTAAACTAGCAAGATTAACTTGTATCTAGTTATAGTTCAAGTTGCCACGATACCAATGCACAGGCAGTTACTAGAATCTAAAGGGTGGAGACAAGGGGCTGTGTTTTCAGATCTCGTCTACGCGGGAGTCGGCCTAGCTCCGTCTTGTATTTTATCAGATAGCTAGTTAACTAGAACAACGTGCAACGGCAACGTCCCGTGCGAGAACCTGGCTAGATACTAAACAGGGACGACCCAAAACCGACGTCCTGCTAACATGATATCATGATATTATTGTTGCTTGTACTACTTGAAAAAGATCATCAGCCCGGAATGTGTCTTATGCATGGGCCCACTGTGACTTCTTATGAATATTGTGCAGCATGTTGCGATGCCAGAACAAAGCTCCCTGACCTAGCCCCCAGGGCTTGAAAACCCCCTTACTTTGCAAGATTTGTCGAAAAAAAATTGTTATAAGAAGGCTACAAAATCCTCACGATGTCGACTGGTGTATGAACTTCATCAAACCAGGTCCAGGTCTAGATTATCAAATATACCTGATTTATCTTTTACATATTAATCTTCTTGTTATATTGAATATCACCCAAGCACATTTGGGGTACTTTTGTGTATCCTTCCTCGTCAAAGCATCGATTGAAACAATCCTTGTCATCTCGTTTGGACACGAGGATGTCATCCCCAGACAATAATAATGGGTCCGGGTGCCGGATCCCCCAGCGACAACAATCGCCCGAGGCAGGGAATTCCCACTTAACTGACAATGGGAAACCTGTAGACGCGGAGCGAGCTAAGGTAAACCCATCCAGTTGGTCTCCAGATTCGGCCGGACAGATACCTTTTCCATTGGTACTTCCACAAATATTATCAGAACAGCTAACCAGTACGCTGATGAGACACAGGACGAAAACAACTATCGTGAGCCTGCAAAAACCACTGGCAAAATACCAGGCCGAACCCGGAAGGGAACGAGCTCGAAGAGCGTGTCTGACGCGAAGGGTGAAGGATCACACAACCCGCAGTCCTAGATGTGGGATTTCTGTCGGTGAGTAGCACCTGTCCAATACAACAAGGAGTGTCACTTCTAATGACCTGAGTATTGCCAATCTTGAAGGTCTCAGCTGAGAAACTTGTGTACCCGTGCATTAGCATTCGCTTGTGTGATCGTAGGGGGAAAAAAGGGTGGATTAGGAGGGACTCGACTACGCGTCGGCATTCGGAAAGGGCAAAGTATGGCTGGAGCCCTGCGGGCTTCTAGAATTTTAAGAACATACTAAGACCAGTGACCCGTCCTGAACAAGACGCCACTTAGTCCCCGTTCAAGGCTACCCTGCAGAAAATTTCAAATATCTGGGCCAAACTTCATGAACCCGTAATTCAACCACATTTTTACCCCCTCTTGGTCAAACTGGCATTGATATTAGACGTACATGCAATGTAATTTTTTTTTTTTTACAAATGCTCCTTTGAATCTTGTAATAACACTGTGTTCTCTCGGGATCTCCCACAGTTTGTTGTTCATATTTGGTCAATCAAATACGTATACGTACCGTAGAATATAGCTTTAAACTGATATCATATGTTTCCTAAGATCGAACGATCAATCATGTTCATCCATGCCCGTTCTTGATACCATGCAAAATGGTTTCTCTAATGTGTACTCACATCACGGGGCCACCGGCAGGGGGGGATTAACATCTTTTTATCTTCAACTCATCATATGACTTTCCTATACTGAAGAAAAGAAAAACAAACAGGCTCCTCATGACTATGACAACAGCCATCTGCAGATCCGCAAAGGGATGTCGGGATATGCTCAGCCTTTGGGCTACATATTACTTGGTCAATGAATATTTCCGCTATCCACGGTACTAGTTGGTTTCAACAAAAACGGATGCCAGGCCTGCAGGCGGGAAGTTTATTCGGCCCCGCTGAAAAATATTATCCATGCCCCCCCCCAAAACAAAGTTTGAATGAATGAATGAATGAATGAATGAATGAATGAATGAGGAGAAAGAAAAAAAATCGAAGAGAGCCAAGGAAAGGGAAGGAAAGCGAAAGAAAACAAAAAAAAAAACTAAGACCGTGCCCGGCTGGGATCTTACTAGCAAGCTAGTAGCCCCACAAGCTGTCTATTATCACGACTAACTGCCCCCCCACGCGTTTGATCTAATAATTTCTTTAGTTAGAAGACTGAGCGGTATATGAGTAAGCTGTCATTCCTCAAGTAGGACCTATTGTTCGAGATACTCTCACAAAAGGTCTATCTCCAGCGACTCGCTGTATCTTCCGGTCTGCATTGACTCCTACTCACTATAGGCAGAGAGATTCGGATCCTTGTCTTCCCAAGATTGAGATTGTCGGTAGGATCGGGGCTGAAGGTATTGTATGCACGAGAAATGAAAAGCTTTGTACATGTCACCCTTCGAAGCAAGGTCTCGCACGCATCTGGAACCCTGTCGCTAGGTATACGGAATTTGACATCCGACTCTAGTGAATGGATAGTGCAGGTGGATATGGTGAAAACATACGTTTTAACCCTTTCATTTCTCATTGGTTTAGACTTTTGATTTTCATCGACCCGATACCATCGCTTCGCCTCTGGATGTTCAAATCTTGAGGGCCAAAGCTTGCATGCAGGCTCGCCCCATGCTCCAGGGTGGGGCTATAGAGTCCATCGTTTACATCGATCCCGAATATAATATTAATATTTTCCCCTGCAACCACTAGCGATAGTACTGGGGCCGGAAGGCTTCCCCGAACGTGTCTCTTATAATAGTCTAACGGGGAGATATATTTACTTATTTGCACGGACCTCCTGAAGCCACGGCACCCCTCAGGTTATTATTACACGCTAGCGAAGTATATTGTGACTAAGACAAAGCTAGAGTCCGGGTTAGTATCTGTATCTGGCCCAAAGAAGTTATTTTCCAACTACAACTAGTCTAAGTGTGTATATTAATCAAAAGATGTAAATCACATTTATACATTCCGCGGATCCGGCTTGGGTTTCAATTCTTGATGTCGACTAGCTTGCTTCCTGGTATATATGCTGGCATCTGATCCCGAGACAAATATCGACTAAGAACAAACTTCTCTTGCAAGGCCCGGACGGAGGTCATAGCGCATAGAAACGTTAAACTAGGTCTGTAGGTACTTAGAACCATCACGGCTTAGCGCAGCCGGGACTCTGAAGATGAGACAAAGGGTCTAGAACCCTCGATTGACTGTGATACCATATTGGTATACTAACGATTTCAAACCCCCACGTCTCTCATATTTCTTGGGCACTAAAAATTGATGCGATGCAACGATCTCACTAATTAGAAAGTCAGTTGAGTTTAACCTGAGATTCGACTGGTCCTAGCTATCCATATATCAGGCCATCAAAAGTTAAGATTGCCGTGCACCTAGATGGGCCCACAACGACGACATCACTACTCTCATCATATAGGCCTTCACCTAGTATAGTATAGTACCCACGGTCCGGAAGGGTTCTACATGGATCCGCGAGGCCAAATAACCGACTGACATGCATGAATGCGCCTGGCTAGAGGCACCCGACTTGATTATTATTTAAAAAAGAAAATTACTGTACTCAGGCACCCATTATTCATCTTCTAGGTCTTTAAAATCACGCACAACTGAATATGGCGGCTTCACAGGCCTACAGGGCATGCACAGAGATCACTCAATAGCTCACGGACGCCACTATGGGGTACGTGGCGAACCGGAAAACTTCCCATATGATCTCGAAATGCATGTATACAGGTTTCGCACGCGGTCCGATGTTTTATCTTAGCGTATGCAGTGCAAGACTTGCTGTTGCCTCTCGCTATCGGGGAAGACGGTGCATTCCCGGGTCCCTTCATACGTCCCAACGAGTATTCACGCTATCTGAAAGCAAAAATTGGGCCTAATGGCTCCTACCTGAAACCTGATCATGAACTTCGAATTCTCTTGAGTCCCAACCTCGCCGTAATTGCCTTATTCAGACTAGTTGACTGATCCTACTTGTAGCTGTCCTAAAAAACAAATTGAAGGGATGTCTCAGTACTGGTTAGTGTTTAGACCTACGGATAGCAGTCGACCTAAAATTTAGATCGTAGTGATTGAACCCGCCCTTCTGGATGGCCCTTAGTAGTGTCAAAAAGAAGAGCAGTAATTATGTACTTATACCTTCGTTTAATTGTACAGTTGCGAGTATAGCGGCCTCATTCTTCATCCAACAACGGAAAAAAAGTAATAAGCCAGGCAGAAAGACTTTGTTAGTTGCCTAGACAAATCGTTCCGAGTATATTTCTCCAATTCAACATTGCATTGAGCTCTCGGATAAACCCCCTTAAGCTTTGCCAGATTTTCCAACCCACGTGTTCCGAGATTCGACTCTCGAAAAAACCACTTATGTATAGAGTATGGTCTTTGACTATTCAGTTTGGTCCTCTGACGCCGTCTGGTTGATACTTGGCAAGCCAGTGTAGGACAAATTGAGTGGAAGTGACGTGTTACGTGTATACAATCAGCTTCAAACGTCTACGTAACCATCAGTAGGATTCCGATCATGATAACATTGGACACTGATTGATTTTAGACTGTTATGTCCACGTTGTATACCTATTTAGGCTTCGCCTGCATAATAGCTATGAGGCCAGGAGTGCGGTTCTAGCCTCGAGACTACATTCCTATTGGCAGCTGCCAGCCTGCAGCTGCGGAGCGGCAGAAAGATCTAGGGGGAAAGGATAAGTGACGGGTGCATACTGCAGCTGTAAGCAAAAAGAACGCAATCATAAGCTATAAAGCTAGACGCGGAAAGGGACGGTTTCCAGGTTTGTAAAACTATAGCTAAGCTAAGGTAACCAATTAATTGCGAAGTTTTAATTCAGTCTCGTAACCAGTTTTAATTTGCGTACGTACGGGATATCCGGGATCAAAGCGATCGGAATTACAACACCTGGTTAATCCCCAACACAGTGCTAGCAGAGATTCTTACCAGCAGGCCTAATTTAATTGAATTCTTGAGCTAGAAAACAGTAATAAAATCGTAAGCCTGATGTAAATGGTGGCCCCGTTGCATCAATTAGATTATTGGGGCACCGCAAAACGGCGACGGAAGTGAGAAAATCGAGCCGCCGAGGCACACTTCCATCTATTAGATCCACCCATGGCCATGATATGATACATGATACCTATTACATTGCATGGAACACTCTAGATATTCCATAGCTAGATGTTGTTGACTATACTATTCACAGCCTCAATTCCGATGCTCCTAATACGCCGATAGGCCAACCAGGGCGGAAATGGAATTGACCAGAACCCCTTGCATTGCCTTTCTCCCAACTCTACATATGTATACATCCGCTGTGGCAATTAACCCCTACAAATGAATGTAGATATCCGTCGTATGCGAGATAATTTGTGTTGCATGCTGATCCAGGAGCCCACATAGGCCGGATCCGCGAAGTGCGACTTAACTTGTGTAACAATGCAATGTACATATCTAAAGACGTGACGGCCTGGTCACCACGGCCACGTCAGGGCCACGGCCATGCCGTAGTTATATAATCCACATGTACTATTAATTGAGCTAACGAATTGGGAGCTCGGAACGAATCCTATGCCGTGGGTAGTCAGTTGGAACGTTATATGACCCGCGAGACTGCGGAGCACGGGTCAAACCAAAATAGTTACAGAGCTTGTCAAAGCCTTGGCCTGGCCAAGCAAGTAGCTACGTAGTATACGGTGTTATTAAAAGTAACATAAGATAATCCTAGCGTTCGGATTACAAAACGCGCATAAACCTGTAAAGCTCTCGGTTGCAGCCTTGTAGTTGCCGCCACTGTTAGCCATTGTACTGCTATTGGAACTACCACAGTTCGATTCTCAGCCTGTCCGGGTGGATAAAACTATATACATGTATACAGCCAGCATGCTCAAATTATGACACCCGGATCTAGACTACAGGTTAAAGGGAACTATGGAATGGTATATGAAACACCAACCATCCGGCATTCTCTCAAATTATATCTCCTTGCTTAATATGATGTTCGGCCGGGAAATTTAAGCTCAAATGATACGTGTGCCTGAATAATATAAAGCCAAGATATTTCTTATGTCTTCGGCCCGAGAGGGGTACTTGGGAATTCATAAAACTTGAAATCAAAAGGACTATTGGATTTCTCCGCGTTATATCCGCCTGTAGATCATATGTACTTATCTGGCCGTGGGGTTGTAACTATTAATATTGGCTGGATGCCGCGGAATTGGGTCTAGGCCAGTGGGGGAAAAAAATTATTCTGAGGTTCTACACGCTGGTTCTAATGGGTAGCGGAATTCGAAGCATACCAGACCGTGGCCGCATAGGCACCCAATGGCCGGGTGGGGACGTCCCCGCAAAAACTTGATTGTTCCTCGGCGTATACATAAACATCCAAAACTAAGACAAAATGAATAATATTAATGCAAAAACGCCACCACAATCTCAAGCTTCTTCGATAAGTACTGGTACTTAACCTCGTCCCCAGACGTCACAAATGGAGGCATCATACGGCAAGGGGTCGTCTATCATGCATAGATCATGACACAGGTGACGATCGATTCGTGTCCGTAAATTACTTTACCGACGCCGGATCGGTTGGAAATCATCCCTTCCTTTTTTCTTGCCCCTAAGTATTGCATATCACAAAGTCTAGTTGAAAGCCAGAATAGATGGCATGAAACCATCTGAGAGTTTGGAGGAGGCATTCACGGGTTCGTTTTGTACACACCTCCATGATACGCGTGGAAATTAGCTTTAACCCGGTCTCGCTTGCCCTTGATCTTAGCGTGGACATTCAGATATCCTATCAGCTGGACTTGTATACAGCTAGCAGCTGCACATTACCGGCCGGATACGGTCCCGGCCACTAAGAAGGAAAGACCCCCAGTTCCATCTGGCTTTAACTGACTAAACGGTGCAGGTATCTTTTTGTACCATATTCCCATCGAAATAAACCCTATCTTCAACATCAAAGCCGATATATAAACAATACAGGCCAATATGCCGTCAAAATGGAGAGGCCCTCGGGCCATTGCCTTCCAGAATATAAATATGCGACTGTTTTCCTAATGTTAATTGACCAAACTTGTTTCACCGCCATCGGCTACTCGAAGTTGCCTTGTCATTCCACCCAGCTGCACTGGCTCTGGACTCTCATATTTTTCGTAAACATCTCTCTCACATTCTTGTTAACACAAACGATTGCGGCTGACTCCAAAAAATACCCGTATTATCAAACTATCTTCACGGCATTATTACCATCACTTCAGGCCGGCTGGACTGTATGAATTATTCGCCCAAGCAGCAACGCTGTCCGCTAAGCCCTCTAAAACTACACTCGAGACTTCCTCATTGAACAATCGACAAGACACCAACCCTGAGAATATCTGGAACCAAGTATCTACACTAGATTTGTTCACCTATGATGGAAGGAGCGGCATCAAATAGCCCATCCAGTCTTCCGAGAGAGTATTACCTGGGGGGCCAGTCAAACCTAGAAAATAGTATTGACGAGCTCTCGAACATTATATACACCACACATGCGGAAACGACATTACACAATGAATCACAATCAGTACATGGCGACGAAGTTCTATTTCATTTCAACCCCATGAGCGAGAACACCAATACAGACATGGATATGAGCCCACTGGAACGGTTTGTAATGTCGGTCCAACGCTCAGAAAACCCAAATGTCTGCTATAGTCGTACCCAGGCATCCGAATGCCTTTCACAGAGTCACGGAGGGCTATCAGAATCGAAGGCAGTATCAGAACAAACATCGATAACTAAATCAACAATACAATCGGATACAAAAGCGTCTCGGCGAACCACTAGGACTATTTCAACGGCTGATACAAACTACGATTAAAGGCTGATGAGGTAATCATAAAATTCATCGAAAAAGACATCCCACTGATATGTCAATCCACTGATGATCCAAGAATTTTAGGGACTAGAAACATTTTTTATACCTATGAATGAGGCGATTATACCATTACAGGTTTTTTTTAGGGTGGTGGGCTCGAGCGGCAAATCCTAAGGTCTATGCGAATAGGTTTAGATTTACGACAGTTTTAAAATACGTGTTGCAAATAATAGACTGGACTAGATTCGTCTTGTGAGACTAGACAGAAAATTAATAATGAATAAATCAGATTGGTGGTTGATGTTTCTTAAAGCACATAGGCCCATGGGATTTATCTTTGCTTGTGATGCTAGTATTCTATGGTCCTCACTTTTAGGTCTAGGGAGAAACAACGGTCCTCAAACAAAACTCCGAAAGGCGGGAACCTATTAGGATGGAAAGAATTGTCTCGCAAACTAGACCTGGGAGCCTACCGTCGGGAAAAGGCTGTATAAACCAAATATATACCAAACGAAGCGTGTATTGAATGTATCGATGGGTGTCTGGTCTTTCCAAAGCTAGTTGTCGATGGCTCTTTAATTTAGAAAATCATGTCAATGTATTGCTACATCTGGTTGGTACTCTCGGTCTTTATCGTTGTATAGCGACGGGTGACTAAATAGATCGGGCTGCATGGGGAGGAGGTATTTCGCCGATAAATTGTTATTTTCGAGTGGGGAAAATCCTATCGACTGAGAACCAAATTCGTCGAAAATCAGTGGAGCTCTTCTGCTAAGCCTTGACAGATGCAACCGATAGCGACAAATAATACCTAAGGCCAGGCTTCGATGTTATGAAGGTCTCCTAATTTATAGAAAGGAGATGATACACTGACTGATGACTAAACGCCAGCCGAGATAGGGTTACAAGATCTTCGGGAAATTTTAAGATGTAAAAATAGTTGTCGGAGTAAGGGTACTCGAAGCCGATTTTGGGATCTGGGAGTACGTGGTTTGGGGAATAGCGTAGTGTAACCGTTTTGAACTTAAGGATGATCGAGGTATCTCTATTGTTGCTATCATAAGATAAGGTCCGTAGCGTTAATACGGTGTCGACGCGTGCCTCCTAAAAAAGTGACGATGGTTTTAATTTCAGCAGCCGAATCGTTGTACGAGAGACCGTGGTCCGCCCATCGTGCTATGCGGGCAAAGTTTCCCTCTATAGGTGTATATCAAAGAATCGTCCTTCAGGATATGGAGATCCGCAATATATTTTCTCAAGGTTTCGCAAGGGTCGTGATATCGTGTAGGGCGATTTTGCGATTTTGCTCCAGCGCGGGATCGTCGACGATGGGGGCAGTCGTTGAGTCTAGGGCCTTGAACTCCGAAGTACCCGATCGTATGCACGTCAAAATATAGGATATAGTATGCTTTCTCTTGCGGTATGCTCTCATAGTATGCATGCCGTTAGAAACCCGAAGTATAAGTATATACTAGTCCGACCAAATTCCTGCTCCGATTTGTTTATGTAAGGCTGAAGTGTTTTAAGTAACAAGGCTAGGTATACAATATTTTTCTCGCGAAAGAAACCATTCCTTGTGATGAGCAAAAGAGGGGCTCTTTCAAATGAAATTTGCGGGCTGGGCTGGGTGGACTCGTGAACGGGTACTGCAGTACTGGCCGGACCGTGTCACCCTAAACTAAAATACATTCTAATTGACCGGTGCGTCGCGATTGACGAGAACAACGGCTTCCCAACCAAAAATAAAAGTAAAAGAGTAGATTGGGCCTCATCAGCACGGTTAAATAGTTTATATTCTTTTCACCGTATTCTCAAGAATCAAAAGGATGCCTTGAAATAATCGGGTACAAAGAGAGGAGTTCATGCGAATGTTTATCCGCCCCAGCACGAGCACGAGCACGATTTGTATGGCCTTTCATTTGTTTAGATGTTTCTAAGACACTGAATCTCCTTGCCCCGCTGCAATGGAATATTTACTCCGAAAATTTCCATCTTCTCGGTGGAATAGGGCACGAGAAAATAGTTTTCCGAGATTCGCCATAGCAGTGATATTTCTTCATATTACTCGAACAAGATATCGATTCATCTTTAACCCTACAGGCCACCGCATTTTCCAAATAAACATCTATCGCACGTTCCCGTTTCAAGGTTGAATTAGGTGTCGTGTGAGGTTTGTGTTTGTCTACTATCCAGGAGCAGCTACTAGATGTGCAGCCCGTCGAGAAACCGGGAGCTGCATCATAGGAACGCAAGGTTTTCCATAACAAACATTAAGTAGTTGGAATCGATTCTATTATAATATTACAGTCTCTTCGTCGCCTGAAATTACTTAAGCTTAACTCCTATACAACCTAGATGGTAAATCCAGAACTAATAAGCATGTAGGGTTTCGCAGGACGTTTTCGATTATAGTAACTTTTGTGTTCGCATAAGTTGGGTCGATAGTGTATAACATAATATTTTAAACGATTATGGATAGCAACGAAAAAATCACTCATTTGTATGATGATTTGGTCAATTAGTAGAGTTTTAGTTATTTCATCTAGAAACAAAAGCATCATATGCGGCAGCGAAGGTGTGATACCGGAAATCGAAGCTCGTTCTACCATCGGTCATTGAAATTGGTTCTGGTACCCCTTGCGAACACGACAGCCGCACCGTATGCATACCAACACAGCATATACGCATGCATGACTATAGCTATATTGGCCGGCAATTAAATTCCTTGCAGCGGCCCAGCGACCTGTAGCAGAATAACCCCGATTTGCTGAGTTCGTAAGGCATCTGCCCGACAAATATAAAATAGAAATCCGGGTTCAATTGCCAGAGCTATGCTAGCCTATACTAGTAAGCTCTAACAACGCACTTGTTAGAATTAGGCATACAGATTTAGCATAGGTATATATAAATGAAGTTAAAATTTTTTAGAAGAGCTCTATGCAATTGTTTGCATTCCTATTTGTTAAACGGAGTCTTTAAATTTGTGACTCTATAGATCGAATCTTAGAACAACAAGAAGTAAGTAATAGGAAGAAAAAGATAATGGTTTTAAGGAAGCATCAATTTTGTAGTTAAATCCAAAGAAAGTTAAAGCCCCTTTGTGAGGCCTGGGAATGAGACTAAGTTATACGGCCTATATATGCACTTAGATATATAACCCCCCCTCCCCCAATGAACCAGGTACGATAACCGAAAGGCAAAGCATCAATTGATAGACTATTGAGCCACACGAAGTTGGCTTTTGTCCAAGGGCGGTGTTTGAATTGGTTGTATTTAACTCGTCATTGGAGTTCCAACCCGTACCCCTTTAATCTTTGCTTCTGTACTAGTTGGCTGGCTATCATCTCTCACTCCCGACTGACTGGTAGCTTGCTGGCCCCTGAGCTTCCCCTTTCCCACTTCTATAGTCTCTTTTTTCTTAGGTGTTTTGTTTTCAGCCGGAAGCTTGGGCGAGTCTTGACCATCCGGCTCTGTTTCCTCATCAGAACCCCGGAAATTGTCTACCGAGCTCGAAGCCGAAAGAGTTGGGATTTTATTTTCTTTTATATCATCAGAAGTAAAATTGCAAGACCCCAAAATCAAACGGGCCGTAGGTTCCTGCTTCCACAGTAGTCGAAAAGTTAGCCACCACGATGCCCTGGGATGGGAAATCGAAACCCAGCGGAATTTAATCAAGAAACTTTTACTTACTGATCTTCCCGTCTGCATATTGCAATATTGTTCTATGACTGATCGGATCTGGATAATATTTGGATAAAATATCCGGCACGTTGTAACCACTTGAGAAGATTGTAATTTTAGGGGCGGTGATGGTTGTATACTAGTATACTAGGGATTGAGATTGGAAGAACAAAAGTCAGAAGGAGCTAGAGGGAGTGGGTGCGTCCTATTTAAAGAGGGTGTGGAAAGCAGCAATATATGTAGTAGCAATCGTCCAATCCGCTTCAATAATTCGATCTGAGCTAGAAATGAGGGGTTGCATAGTTCAAGCAAGGACGACTTCTCATCTCACATGCAGTCTCGGTTCTATCCCATGATACGACCGCTCTGAATCCGACAGGATCGACGAGAGACGTTTCGATTCGTCCGTTAATACTGGGGTTTACATTTGCGGGATAAAACCATTCGCCTCGACGGTTCCAGACTCTGCATAATCGAGAAGACTATTGCATTTTTCCTAGAAAAATTACAAATTGACGAGTTGATCTCTGACTCTTCCCGTGTGTGATACAGCTTGCATACTTGAATATCTTGATATTGTATATCATGGGTGTTGCGTGGTCGACAAGTTGACATTGGCCTAAGTTTGGCCGTCTTTACATATACAGCCATGGCGCCACAGAAGCTTTCTCACAAAAAAAGAAACTGGGAATCGGTCGAGTGACCCACTTGACCCACTTTTACGATAGGACAGTGCCACATATTGCAGACACGATGACAAGTTCGGGCCATGGCCATGGCTTTCGATTCTAGTCTGTCCCGCGCGTCTGAGCTCTGCCATCGCGAGCATGCTTTCGGCGGATCCGCAGTGTCAAATTTTGTGCTTGAATTAGGAATGAGGTGATCATGATCTCGAATTGAGAAAACTTGGATACTGACCTAGAGATTAAAACCATTCGTTTGGCCCTGAGATTCTAGACCGGGTTTTTGAAGTAGGATTTCTGCAAGATGCATTCGAAACTTGGTTGGTTCAAGGGAAGGTGGCCGGGCCACATGTGTATGCACACAGTGCACATGAGTTTCCGGGCCACGGGGATAACAGGGCACACGTACTCCTGGGCCGTGGGATAAACAGGGTACCGGAAACTTGGAGCATGGAGCTAATCGAAGAAAGGACAAGCGTCAAACCCAGCTACTAGCTCCGATAAGGCAAGCTTGCAAGGGTAGGTCCAACACCAAAATAAGTATCACATTTACAATTCTCAATGTGACCTACAAGCGAAGGAAACCGCACGTACGTATTTTCATGATACGGCTTCTTAGAAATCACGAGGGTTGCTTAAGTCTTGCTTGATCTGATTTTGTGTCTAGCGATTTATCTAAACTACTGATAACCCGGCGTGTTATTGTGAAACTTCGGATCCCAAACTTCGAAAATCTCAGGCTTTCCTGGCATGCAGAGTATGGCATGACATTTCGATCTAAGTTCTATTCAAGGGCTGAATAGAAGCGGCCTAGGTGCGAAAGCGAAAGGCTAGATTAGATCGGTACAGAAAACGAGGCGAACGCAGAGCAGATTAACTAGCCTATGGAGCACTTCCAGGTGGCCAATGAACAGCACGCAACTTTCACCAAGTGAATGCGATAGCAATCCTCTACTTTGCTTACAAGCTCCGGTTTATGGCCGAAGTATCATATAGCTATAGCGAGGGATAAGCGCCACATCGCCAAGGCTTTCAACTTGGTAGAAGCAAAGGAAAAGTCCTTAGGTACTACATTTGTTCACCTTATGCATATCTGGTCCGGATCCTGCTGATATGGCTTTGACGCTGGCGGGGCTATATATAGGTAAGTATCTTTCGATCAACATTAACCCAGCAAATAAACCTTTGACCATGGGCCTATAACGTCCACTCGTAAGAGAGTTATATTCCTGGCAGCTTCAAACATGCACCTCGATTATGACCAGATATATGGTCAGGTCTCACGACAAGTCCTAAATTGCATTGGCAACAGGAAAAAAGCAACAGCAACAACACATCGAGCTTAGGTGAGAATACATGCGAAAGGCTGATAAACATGTTCTCAAAGAAGACGTCCTAGAGTTTTACGAAAGCAATTAAATATCATTAAACCAACTCATCTTCCTTATAACGACCCGAAAACAAAACACCGTAGATACCATACATACGCCATTAAAATGGACGGAAGTTGATCAATCTAAGAAATAACTCGAGTACCTCCGGCTCCGCTCGCCCCCCCTTCCTTGACTTCACTAGCCTCAGCATCGATGACCTGGGTATTGAGCCTAAGTCTTTTCGTATACATATCCAAGTACACTGCTTCCTGAACAAGGCGGAAGGGGCGCCCTCTGGCACTTGCTTTGAGATAACAGAGTTGTGGACAGGCAACTATGAAGGGAAGCATTGGTTTACTTCCCCAGCACCTTTGAAAGAGTGCGGAGGCCTTCAGAAGATTCCATTTCCCAAATGGCTCGCCAGCAGAACGGCCCCAATCTTCTAGCACTAGGTTTTCCGACCTAGTGCTGGGCGCGATTTCTTGAAAAATTGCGAACAGCTTTTCCTTATTGGCTTTGTCGAGTTGTCTGTCGGATTGGGGTTGAAAGGATTTGAAATCTGATCCCGGGTACATACGGCCATACTCCTTGACTATCTTGTCTAATCTGTGCTTCCTAAAACTAAGGAGTTCCTCGTATATCTCATTTGATAATTCGCGTGCATTCTTACTCCGCGACGGATCTCTCGCTGTCATCATATAATACTCCAGCTCCTCACTAAAAGAGTCGGATATGTCGTGGTCGGTGAAGATGTCCGGAAACTTCGCTTTGAAGTTTTGCTCATAGGCCTCTGTAATCCCGAGGATGGTACCTTTAATGTAATCCAAGACGTGGACACTCTCTAAGGTCTGAACCTCGTGCTGGAACCTAGAGTATGTCACTCCCTTTCTCAAGTAAAGGGGTTCGGCGCGGTTTTTGAGAATTAGATCCACCTCATTCTGAATCTTTTCCCAACGTTCAGTTTCCAAAGTCAAGCCCTGCTTCGGGGCATCGAGTAAAAGACAAGCAAGTTCCGCAAGTCGAATTGACAACGGATGATCAATACCAAGATAATAGGAAACCTTTTTGTGCATCAAAGTGCATATTCCGACGTTTGAATCTGATAACATCTTCGGGATTTCTGCTCGAAGAATAGCCTTTATTGTTGCATCTTCGTCCATTTCATTATCCTTCAGATAACACCCAACTGTATCTTGCTCCGTAGATTCTTTAAACAAATCCTTCCGAACTGAGGTAGATTTGGGTGGGAGCCTTGAACTGAACGGCTCGACTACCCTTTGATCCCAGATCACTAATACACTGTCTCCATCATAATCTCCCCCGGATAGACGGGAAGCAAGGCTATACTCTCCCACTATGGGAAACACAATACAGTCCACAAGATCCCCATAGGCCTCAAGGACTTCAGGGTTCATTACTGCAATCGCAGACTGGATATCCGAAGCAATATAAGCCGGCGAACGGCCGACCAAAACTTTGCCAGATAAGAACTTAAGAAGCTTATCATTGAAGACGAACCCGTCTGATGAAAATTGAAGGAAAACCTCGCCTTCTCTGAGAACCTTTTTGAAGTCTGGGGCACATTTGACCGACGTAGATTCTGAGATGGTGAATTTTAGGTCATTCCAGGAATCGAGTCGGTTCTTATTGCACCCGGAAATCAAATTTTTGAGTACGAGACACTCAGAAACGGCAAATCCAGCATCGACCATTTGAATGATTCGCTCCTCGGCGGAGGCGGGCATTGAGCCGGCATACTTGAAGCATCCATCTTTGTCTCTCCGTTTTTTTAAGGCGCCGCTTTGATAAAAGTTTTTTACGAAGGATGGGTCACCAGCCCGTTCCAGGAGTTCCCAGATCCCATCCTTCTCAATCTCCTCTTTAGCAAGATTTCCAAGGGTCTCTTTAGAGACTCCTCCGTTATGGAGGATCGTAAGGAATTGGGATGTGATTTTCCCTCGCTTCAAAGGTCTCGCATAATCCACGACTTCGATATTTAGGTCTTGTCGAGTTTCGAACTTGATTTGTGTCTTTCGGTATGTAATTCGGAGCGATTCCGAGTCACTGTTCTCTACATCTAACAAGATTAAGCCCTTCCTACCCCCATGCCGAATTTGGAAGTATGACGGAACATAATCGAGTCCCATTTTCTCAGCGATAGCCTTAAGAACAGCAAAGGTAGCTGTACCACATCCATCGGTCATGGGAAATTTAATCGTAGAAACTAAATCCTTTTCTTCTTTAATTTGTACATTTTCGAGCGGAACAAGAACTGTTCTCGAAAACCCTTTGGGTTCACAAATGTTAGTATCTTTCCCTCCTAGTCAAACCTCCTCCGTATTAGGACTTACCGAGTTTAATCCTAGCATTGTACTTTGCCGTGGACATCTCCTGGTTCTGAGATGGGGAAATCATCCATTTGATGGGCTGGGAAACAGCTTGAGTTGGAATATCGTCGCCGGAGACCGCAAACATTATGACGGAGGATGATTCCATGTCTGCTTCCTTATCTGCCTTCGATATATCTGATGCATGTATCGCCTCCCAATGCCGCCCTAGAATATCCATTCCCCGCATGATGGCATCGCAGAGAGGAGCCTCGAGCGTAAGGCGCCCAAGCGAGCCTTGAAAGTGACGTGGGCGACTCAACTTTAGAAAACGTGAACCAAACTCTCGATTGAATCGGTGGGAATATACCTCCCTCGTCAAGGGCTTTAGCTTAACTCCGACGTAATACCCTGATCCTTGTTTCTTTTTGACTTCTAACACCCCTGCCTGTTGGGTATAGTCATCGAATTCCGCAGAAAAGTTGGTATTACTGAAGAATGGGCCCATCGGTTGCGACAATACACTTTCGCCTGTCTCTTTAAGGAACTCCCTCTTCATCCGACCGATCACCTCCCCCAAAGTACAGTTGGCTGTCTCATTCCCGAGAACAGCTGCAACCGCTCTGTTAACGGCACCCCGGCTTTTCGACTCCTGGAAAGTCCTTTCTACCTCGTATCTAGCCTGAGAGGTGACAGTATAGCTCGAGAAATCAATCTCGGTGCTTTTGCAATCCCAGCTGAGGTGAGACACCCGAGACGATGAGGCATCTCCCCCCTTTATCTCCGCAGTAGCGGGGTCGTTTTCTTTATTTTGACTGCTACGAGAGATGAGCGTTTCTCCTTCCGCATCCTCATGTTCAGGATCCATGAAGCTTTCGAGTTGGGCTTCCTGCGAAGTCTCAATGAGGGCTATATGACAGGAACAGCATCCGTTAGCCGCGTAGAACTTAGAACAAAAATCAAAGGGGGGGAATACCTGGACGTTGTGACTCAATTTGTTCTGCAAATCCACATAATAAGTCTTCGAATTCCGGCGAATCATCCAGACCGAACTCGGACTCCTGGGAGGTGTAGCTCTGCTCGAACTGGGGGAGAAGAGAAAAGCCTTCATCATTCCTTGGAACAGTGTCTATGAATGATTGCTCCTCGAGGATTCGCTCTGGACCCCAAGCCTGACTGGAGTCTAGCAGAAGGGGTATATCTAGAGTTAGACGAGTGAAGTCCATGCTAATGAAACTGCTTTGTCTCAAATGATCTCAACTACCTCTGTTAGCGTAACAGCAAAACCAACCGCGAAGGAAAGATTGAGCTGATCATGAGGATGTAGAGCCTATAGCCAAAATTATGCAGTAGGAGTGGTGGGGAAGGAAAGAGGAAAGAGGAACAGTGTCTGCACAAGAAGTCAGAACACCCAATTTCTCTATTATCATGATTGGCGGAGTCGATCATGCAAGTAATCGAGGGTAGTCCTAGCAGTACATGGAAACCGCCAAAATTAAGTGAACCTATAAAGAAAAAACAACATTCAAATAAGGCTGGGCGCGTAGTCATCTAAGTCCGATTCGAAGAACACGGTGCGACCAAAGAGACGTCCGAGTCGACATCGCCACGACGCGCGACCCAGAATTGGAGCAATGCCAAAACGGGGCAATGATGGGTAGCCCATCGATAAAATTGGGATTCAGAATGACAAGGTTACAAAAGAAATGGTGTAAAGTGTACCCCAAAAAGGGTGATGGACTCCTTTTTGACGTTTGCATTTGTTGCTACTGAAGTATGTCGTATGCAATGACCGGACAGTAAGAGAACGGAGGTCAGCTCACTTGTTGGTTGTAGATGACAGATCACGTGCGCTTGCCCACCGAAAAAATTGGTACTGCAACACAAAAGTCTGGTTGCGAGATTGGGTTCGATTGGGTCTGTATGTGGATGCTAATAACTACTACTGATGAACTGGCACCCGTCTTGCCTCCACGAGAGGCAGATTGTATAGCGTACTTATACCCATTACTGCGGCGATATACAGGCATCATAAAAGCACAGCTTAGCAGGTCTCCAGGCTCTTTATGCAGAGTTTGTCAGTCGCATGCAGCGCAGCCTCTCATTGCATTGTCCTACCGTAGACGCCCAATAATATAACATAATATCCAAACCAAGACATGATCATGCATGATATGAGGCTACCAACTTTGAATCGTGGTCCTCCCTGCAAGCTTAGTAAGGCAGTGAAAAAAAACGGTTGGCATATTGCAAAATTTAGCGAGCAATTGATGCTATTAATATATTGTAAGAATATGCCTACCCCGTCCACTTCATAGCAATTAATGCTAGTCTACGATAATACAATCCTATGGCTAGAATTTGTAAAAAAAAAGTATTTATGGTTATATCGATATTGAATACGAGACTATCGATACTTCATCGCGCGCTTTTTGAAAAATGCGGTTCTATAGCTAGCTAAATGCTGACGCCAAAATTGAATCTTCAACGTATTAAACTATGTACAATCGATCTATGAATCGAATTTGAGACTCCAAAGCCCAGCGGGCGTCAGTACCGGTATACCACTGAACTGCCAGGCCATAAATGCTCATATAATCAGAGGTGTCATTTTGCTAGCTGCCCATAATCGAATTTCAACTGGCAGGGGCGTAATTTAAATTTAGTTCTTCTTGCAATGTTCTTCGAACTCGCTCCAGTTTCCGGACTGCTTGGCCCCTAAGAGTCAGAAATATTAGTACTTTGCTTACGTGTGAGTAATAATGTATAGAGTAAACTTACAAACACAGAGCACCTTGCACTCTCCCTTCAAAACTTCGCTGGGATTGCGAGGGACAGTCTTATCACAGTCAATGTCCGCTCGCTTGACTGGTGTGGAGGGAATAGCTACGGCCTGAGCGGTAGCGAGGAGAGCGGCGGCGGCGAAAACGAATGAGAACTTCATTTTGATTTTATGGAATTTTGTATTATTGCTCCTTGAGTAATGAACGTTGAGGGCTTTTGGAGTTTATGATAGAACTTAAAGAGCGAAGTAAAGAATGAAGATATATAGCGTAGGTGTGGAAAGATGATTGAAATGCCGGATGATGGTTGATAGAGGAGAGAAGCATTTAGCACAGAGAATGCATCTCTTTTATACTTTTCAGGAGCATATAAAATCCCCTTAGATATCAGTATATTTCACGATGCGGAGAGCTCAAGCTCGGGAGGAGGTGTCTATTGCAATTGAAACAGAATTCTAGAATGGCATTGTTGGATTTTGTAAACCTTCCAGATTAAGGTCTAGTCGATGTCTCAAAAGCTTCTCTGCCAGCCCCAAAACGAAGGAAAAACGTCTGAAGCTAGCACCTTGTCTCAACTTCCATGGATTCACTGTCTAGTTTTTATCGCTACCGTTTCTATTGAATGAACCACCTACTTTTTAAACTCCCCGCTGTCGTATTCCTTACCCGCAAATTTTTTCCCCCATCCTAGTATACCGAACTTACCGAGCATTGGAACTCCGCCAGTATTCGGCACCTACCGAGTTGCGCGTGGAGCCCCACAAATTGATACCACTGATCCAAAGGGCCAATTTACCTGCTATTTCCAGGAACATTCGGTCTCAATCATCTAGATCTACCCGTTGCCCACTAGTAGTCCGGCCGGCGTCTTAGTCTGAGAGTGACGAGAAAGAATAGAATATGACAGAACCAGCACCATAATCTACATTCGTAAACATAACTTTAGACAGAAGTTGTAAACATGAAACTACACAGGAGTCCTAATAATTAGGAATAATAATGAAATCAATAGCTGAAGAAACACTATGAGCCATGAAGATCTCAGGATCTGGTGTCAATATCATACTACTCTCAACCACTGTTGATATCTGCGTTCAAAGCTGGTGGAACACAGGGTATCCCGTCCGCTCTGCCTTACTCAAGCCCCTAAGCGGTCGCTCAGTAGTATAGTGGGTGACCATATGCGAATCGCGACTAACGCAGGTTTCTCTTTTTTTTTTTTTTTGCGTCGTTCTGTTTAGGTATACTGGTTGTGTGTGGGCAGGGTATGCAAATTTTACCCTTGTACCGGTTAACTAGCCTAAATAACACAAACCTCTTGTCCTTCTGTGTTAAGCTTCTGGAAGCTGGCTTAGCGCCAAGTCTGCTAGTAAAACTGTCAATGTTCAGTTACCAGTTTCGAACGAGACTAACTCGTCCTAGGTATCCCGAAGTTTCGAAACTACAACTTCAACGCAACTATAATCCCGCTTGGGTAGCTAAGTGTTCTGGGTTCGCGCAAAATTTGATACCTCTTGCTTTCCGAAGGGTTGCTCCCTATGGTACGCAAAGCTTAGGTATTAGATGGGTATCCTCCTGATTGGTGACTTCAAGTATCCTTATATTAACCGATAGAGCTAAATTCCTTCGAACAGAAAAATGTTTTTCTATTATAGAAAGAAGAGCCCCTCCATAAAATGGCCAGCGCGCTGAACCGTTTTGCGAAATCTCCCGTTTGATAAATTAAATGTCTAGATTAAGCGCTAGGTATACAGACAAATACGTGATTCATCGAAGGTAGATTAAACGAGCCAATGATCCTGAATACCTATAAAATGTAGTGTAACCACCTCGATACCCTGGTTATATTTTTATCCTCTCCATTAAAACGTGGCTATATAATAGAATCAAGCCAGCTGCATTTTTGATACGACGAAATATCCTCAATAAGTTTGGGCTGGTGCGCCAGTACTGCAGTAGACCCGGGATTGCAGACCTACAAACAGAGCGCGCGGGGAGCCAGCCGGCTAGCCAGCCCCAACTCTAGTTAGGAGCACAATGGTACCGGTAGCTTCAGATGCGATTCGTCCCGGCCGGGGCACACATGAATGCATTTAATGGAGTAATAAGCTCTTAAATTCGTGAACGGCGGTGGATATCGGGAGTATACGCGCACCTCAGCTAGTCAGGCTTTTGAAAAGCTGCTTGGGGTGCGGCCGGATTAGAAACCTCCGACCTTGTAATGTTGGCAATATTCATGCATGCACCCCCGATCACGGGAGAGCATATGCATACCCTAGCTCTAACTAAACTTCCACACTGTAACTCAATAGCGCGGTGGCCAGGCCCCCTGTACCAGGAAAATTTGACGATATATCGATATCAAAAGGCTTTTACAGATAAAGCTTCCTTGTGAGCTCACAGTCAAAATATTAACTTATTAAGATACGTTGCTGGCCCTGATGCAGGGCGAACATTCATAAGGCCGATGCGACTCCGCGGATCCAACCTCCGTCTTAATTACAGAGACCGAACTTACCTCAGCCGTAGAAAACAATTTCATAGACCAACCTACACTCACCCTCCATGGCCAGCTTTACTCCAAGTAGTGGCGATAACACCGGTATGTGTGCGCTAGAAATGGATCTAAGTCTGGCCTAAAGTTGACCGCATCCCAACCAATGAATCCCTTTTATGTTAGGCGTGACTCCAGTCGAATTACATTACCCCCATCGAAAAATACAATGGTTTATCTGATTCGCTGAGTTTCTCTAAATGTCAAACATCGCAGCAAACAAGGACTGCCGAAATAAAAATAGCGGTATGCAAACGATGTATATGGAAGTACCCTAACATCGAATCTTGACTCCTCCTTAAGCATTCAATTAGATTTCTTGAACCCAAGCGCTTTCAGTGAGTTTGACTATCAATAATTCTTCCTCCTCTATACCCGAGCAGAGAACATGCTCCAAAGCATTTCCGAATTCCTCTAAAAACAATTAAGGATTTCGATCGGCAGTTGCAGTTCTTCAAACGTGAAATGATAAACAACACATATTGAGACTTGTAGACATCGAGGACCTAAGCTTCGAACAATAGATCGTTCGAGGTTACGCTTGTGTTAATCTTGCACTACTCGTAAGTTCTTCATAATTCTAGATTCATAGACAAATCTTTTGAAGGTTTAGCCTATCCTCGTTTCACCTATCAATTATCTCCTCTCGATTTGTATGTGTGTAACCCAGAAATACCAGATATCCCAGGAGAAATCCAACACCTTCCTGTGTTGTCTGAGGCAGAACACGTACTCAACCGGCTAGGGCCTAAGCTGTATACGATGACATTGACATCTAGACTGTGGATTTCACATAAACAAGAAATTGGCGGTTTGTCTCGGGTTATTACGGCTAGGACTTAGCGCAGCGTCAACATTCGTCCATACAAAGTCTCGAACTTCATGAAGCACAAACCCCGCACCTTGGTTCATTGAAGCCCCGGGCCCGGCCCCTTAGCAATCTGTCAGCACCTATTCACATATCTAGACAAACCGCGTGTCCTGCTATTTGGTACTTTGATCTCAGATCTGAGAAATGACGACAAATTAGACGGTGGCTCAGAAACAGCCAGCTGAGTCATATGTTCCAAACCTTTATAGAAGTGGAGACTATGTTCAAGGGTATCAGCGAGAGGGTATCCTCCCCCGGATATTAAGTAAATGCATATGCATGTGAAACACACACGATGATAATATGAACTGGCTTGGTTTTTGTGAAGGATTACCCCAAGTCTAGGGTATCCTGAGTCTGTCTGGATACCCCGGTGCGAAAATCATTCGGAATTTGAGATTTTTGTCACCCCTCTCGTGTATTTTATAACTATCCGCTGATATGCCTCAGCGCCCGGCTGACTTAAGGAATAATCTATGTATAAAGACATGGCACATAGCTTTGAGATTTCGAACAGCTCACAGCAAACGAATGAATGTCTCAAAACCCATCCTCCTAATCTCAAAAGCGAGCATGGTGTGCCGGAAATTACAGCTTGCGCATTGTAGGGATGTCCCAATAGCTAATCCGACCCAGGAAATTCTTGCTTTGTCAACATGGCCATATGACTATACATCTACCGGGATATTAATAGCCGAACTTAACAAAGGCTGTCCTGCACAAGGCCTTCTTCGTGCATGAATAACTGATCCTTGAGGCGATTATATTTTCCCTGCTATTGTAGGCGTCCCCTACACCTTCCGAGTCCACGGAGGTGCTCCCAACTTACCGGCCGGGGAACCATGTATCTACAGCAGCATTTCGCGGCCAGTGTTCGTAGATTCATGCAAAGGCCCGACTCAAGAACGAATTTACACCAAGAGCGTCAATTACCATGTCCTTCCCGAATTTCTTCTCTTTTCGAGGTTCTGTTATTCACCCAGATTTTTTTTTTTTGTGTGGCAAAAGGACACACGGTCCCAACTACCCCTGTCAGTTCTATTGTACGATATGCCCTCACATTAGGAGAAAAACACGGGAAAAAACCCTGAAAATTCTTCCTTTCTTCTTTTCTTCCTTATTTTTGTTTTCATTTGCTTTTTTCCAAAGGAAAAGGGGCGGAGGCTCGACATCCGATGCAGCGGCGGCGCCTGACTGTTGAATTCTGAGTGTTGGGTCCCAACAACACGATACATCGAATCGGGCCATGTGTGGGCATATATGTCCATATAGATATTTGATACTCCCTGTACTTAATTATAGATTTTCCATGGTACTTTAACGGTACCGACGATAATATAGCCAGAAAGAACCTGGCCAGGGTTCGAATTCGAGACCCTGCATCCGTTGATCGAGATGGAAATCACAGACCCATAATCTGTCTTATATGTCTCTTTCACGATAAGGCGGATTTAATACAAGACTGGTCTAGACAGCTATGTTAACATGTTGCGTACTAACGCTCAATAGATTTAAAGTACTTGCTTGAGGCCCCCATATCAGATCCCCACTCGGCGCCCGGGTTCCAGCCGATGGCAGGTGACACTTGGCAATGACGTTGACAGCATAGACCCACTGGTAGTTCTGGCCGCAACGTTAACCATCAAATAATCATACTCTACGGAATCAATTAGTCCACAGATCCTAATAACATATGAATATCGATGCTTCAGTGCATTTCATTGCAACTCCTTAAGCTTAAGTAACACGTGAATCACATCTTTTCTTCTGCTGCCCTAGCTTCGAACTGCCCACATCTGCCCAATGCAGCAGGGCCAGGTTCCTAAGCTACAAGTATGTTCCTACTTCCGAAAGATCGTTCTAACTAACCTAGCTATTTAAACACTATTACGCTATGAGGCTAATGAGCTGAATGAAAGTTTATTATATTCTTTGCGGAATCAATCTGGACTCTTGCGACCGAAATAGAATATCCTGTTATTCCGCAGTAAATCAAGTTTGAAGATATTGTTACATGTCCAAATCAAGAAAAGCATGTCTCGTAAACCAAACTAGCGCAAAAAGTAAACCAATGAACGACTGAGATTGCGCGATACAGTAGTATAGAATTACATGAAAGGTTCGAATATAGCGGCGCCATAATTTAAAATGCTTCCATGCTTCCGCCGCACCAGCACCCTTAAATAAGATGGCAGTTAGATTTCAAGAGGATTTGCAGAGACATCAAAATCTTAGGCCTTGTAGAGAGTGGTATGACCATACCCAACTCCGAGTTGCTGATTGATCGTGAATCGATACTTCAGAGCTGGTGAAAAAAATAAAGCTATCGCGATAGTTAGCCTTCATGCTATAGTCATATACTAAGCCTTCATTTATGTCATTCGAGATTAAGCGTAGATTACTTACTGGGCCTCGACTTCTCAGCGCTAATGACGCCTGGGGCAACCACAAGCAGCTTTTCCTTCAACCCATTCTCTCTTGATTTCGGAAGCGGTTTCAAATTCCTCCGAGCCAGAGTCAGAGCCCCTGAATGGGGTCTCTGATTCAGCCGTAGGTTCTTTATAGATCCCTTGCAATGGCGGTGGCAAGATGAAATCCGCTGAACCATTCGTTGGTGGGCTACCATTCTTGATCTAATTTCAATTCGGTGTCAATGAGATCGACTCGTATTAAGGTAAGAAATACCCGTAACCTTAGGGTGAACACATACTTGTTGATCAGGCATTGTTTTGGAATTGAACGAGATATTTGGAGTATTATAAGTATAATATTAGACGTTTGAGTACCCAGTTTGGTTGCTCACTCGAGTTTTGATTGTGTGATGAGAAAGAAGAGAACTCAAAATGCGTGAGATGGGGGGGATAGGGAGTATTTATAAAAGGGCTGAACCAGTGAAACTTTTCTAAAAGCCAACCTTCCCGACCGCAAGCTCAGCCCATTCGAGAGTATCTACCTATTACGTTGCAAAGGGCCGCTAGCTCATTCAGCTGTGACAATTGAGGTGATAAGGGTCCATTGGTGCAGATACGGGGACCAGGGTCTGGTGCTAGGTTGCCGTTGGAGCCATCTCGCGATATTGATTTCTCCTCATATGATCATCCTCCTCCTCCTCGCCCCATGCGTTCCTCCCCAAGACCAAGTCTAATCTCTCAGGCCAGCCGCGCCGCACTGCTAAAACCATGCCATACGTACACGCTCTGGCCGAATTTACCTCACTATGTTGAGCAAACTCGGAGTGATTCGGGCAATTTCGTTATCTCCTTGGTTTGGGATTACGGGGCTTCGTTGCATCATGATATCATCTGAACTCAAACTTAGTAGCCAAAAGCTTTTAGCTGCTTAGCGTTCTTCGCCCGGGGCCCAACCACTGAGTGTAATCCAAGAACAGTTCCAGAGGAGTCAGTCGGACATGCAACCTGCATGCACCCAAATCACAGCGGATGCTCCGTGCAAAAGTATTAATTTCCGTGCTCTTGTCAGTGAAAGTCGAGAAGTTCACTAGCGGGTCGCGATCGGGGATGAATCAAGTACAAGCTTAAGAAGGATCCAATGTTATCCTGCTTATCGATTCCCCAAGCGGGTCCGTGGAGTACGGCTCGTTTACGGAAGGGTGGCTCCCCCGCCGGAAGGCCTTAAGGATCCGCTAACGAGCCCACAAGATCCGGTCGTCTCCTCCGCTGGAATATGATAGAGTAGGTTATTGCAGTTTCAATACCTTGGAACGCGATCTTGGGCGCGAAATTTGACCGGATGAAACAGCTGCGGATCGTGCCATCGCAAAGCCAATATAATAGTACGTAAACGTGCTACAGCCACCAAATACACTAACCCGCTCCTAACCACTGCAGTACTGGCCCAAGGCAATTCTATAGATGTATACGTTAAGAGATAGTGATAACCGTGCCGTGTCTCATTAATATTGCTGAGTTAATTGATCAAAGCCTTCAAAGATCCTATTCAAAGGTAGTGCTCGCGGCCGCGCGCCGCCCCTGACTTGGCAGCCGAGCTGCGGATTTTAGTCAAAACATGCACTGGACGATGCATATGCCTTTTGCGACCGACAGATTCGAGAAAGCTTTCGAAAGGCAGCAGAAAAACTTAAAAAATAAGCCCTTGACACGTCTTAATATACCTAGGTATACAGGAAGAACTTTAGGGGCACGATGGCCCTTCGCTAGCGAGCAAGCAGAGCCTGCAATGGTCTGGCGGAGCTACCGCGAATTCGCCATCTACGCGTACGGCCACATAGACCGATTCCTCTTGCGCGTGGCCTGTTTCTAGTCTGACATTGCCGGTTTATAGACGCTAGGCAAAATAGGAAATCAACCAGTATCACGTGCAGAGCCAACTTGTGCAATTCAGTAGTTACCTTCTATAGCTAGCTTAAAGCCGACCGCCTTTGATATAGATCCATTCTTTTTTAGCTTCGAGTATATATATGTACTCGAATCACGAAGGGTTCTCGTTGATCATGATCAAGTAAAAGTTAATATGTTGTAACACAATTACCCTCAACACAAACGTACCCAGCCGACACATGCAGGTTATCTTATTATTGCCATTTGGGGAATTCGGTGTCGTCGAAATTCAAACTTCAGAATGAAGCTAAGTCGCCCCTTTCGACCACCATAAACAATTCTGATTATACCCAGTTATAAGATGGCAAATAAGGTGAGAATTAAGATAATATTCGATCGCTGGAGTAAAGTACTAGCATGAAGGTTGTGAATGTTGGGTTTAATTGCTTAAATATAATGCACTTCATATCGGATCCAATAAGTATATTACGGAGTACGGATGATCTCGCTGGGTACATACAGTATCTTTGAAATCCGAATAATTAACTGAAATTTCAGGATGAGTGCATTTAAATCACGAGACTTTCTGATGCTAACTTTGTATACCTGGTACTCATGAAGTGTGATCTAATTCTAGTACGACGCTATGCATATGCCAAACCACTATTTTTTGCGGCTGGCCGGCGACAGGCGGGCTAAAAACCAAAATCAATCAAACCTGACGTTGAAATAAGATTGCGGCGGCAGTGTCACAAGCTACAGGGCTGAGAAGAAGAAGCATCCTTGAACTATTCCGGGAGAATTCATTAGCCCTATGCATTCCGGTCTTGGGCGTTCGTTTCGGGGCTGCCAGCGAGGGGCACAGAGGCTATGTACCTGGCCGGTACAATGCTAGCTTGATGCCCTGTTATTCCCTCGCCCAGTATCCCTCGCTACCTACGGAAGAACTTGCCGATAACATACAGCCTTTTCTGATTTCCGCACGGCATCGTCATATAAATGATTTACGATAGTTCCTTCCCAAATTGCAAACCTATTACTGAATTTTTAGACCTCCAATGCAACATAAATACCTCTACACGTATACGGTGAGAACTATTTCAGCAGACATTTATAGCTGGGGTATCTGCACGGTTTGCACCTGAAGAGGTTTAGGAATGCGAATGGTAACTGCCTTCTACCTAACTAGGCTGTGGTAGAGGTGGGGTAGAAACTCCTCTCTAGATAGCTATTGGAAGGTCGACACTTGGGGTGTTCTTTTTCGCTTGAGCCAGTTAGGGTCCTGCCAGCGCAGCCGCCCTCAAAGAAGAGTGACAGCACCTTTGTCAACTTAAGCTTATGAACTTGAATTAGATAACATCTATGTTTAATTAAATTTTGTTAGAAGATCGTGACATGGTTAGACGTGTGGATTGACGGCTTGTTCCAATATTTCCGAGATTTTTCATGGCTTGTTTAGGTAGGATAGGAAATAAATGAAGTCTCGATGTTTGTCGGGCTTCTGGTCAAATAGCCAGGTTTGGGTGACTAAGTGCTTAGTTAACACACACTGACAGTCAGTTGATACAGTCTCGAAGCGCAGCTCCACCGATACATCCAGCGGAAGGAATTTTACTCGGGTCCCGGTTTTTATTTGATGCAGCGGCATTAAATGGAGTAGTTAGGTCGAGCACGCTGAATGCACCCAATGGCGCGGTAGTAATTTTGCGGATGAGAGACCCAACCAGCCTCGTCAATGTGCCCAGATCTGCAGATGTGATCGTTTTTGTAAACATGTGCGCCCACGCGGCCGCATCTCCTTATGTAGACCCCCCTGATTCACGTCAATATTGTATAGAATCCTAGGATATGTTCACGGAAATACTTTAGCCTCGAATCCAGATATTCAACGTCTGATACAAAGCAGGTCAGGCTCACCATTTAGCTAGTTTATAAAGATATTATATATAATATTATTATAATGGCGTCGAAATTCGAAGTCGCGGGCTTAAGGCAGTCTCGAAAGAGCACCTCTTTAAGCTTTCTTGAGACCTAAACTCTTCCAGACCAGGGAGATTAAGAGAACGCCCCACGACGAATCATCCCTGATTCTTAGACTACAAGAGTAGACATTAGAGATTAGAGAATGTTGGCACTATTTTAAGATCTTGTCTCATAGCCAGACCGCTCAATTGTGGACTACCCCGGCGCGTTACTACCCACCCCCCGAGCGGCGGGTACACTTCATGGTAGACTAGTCTCGTTCCCTAGTGGCCAATCGAATCAGGATGTGACACCCTCTCGCCCCAGAAATAGGGCTTTAATTGGTGATTTTGGCCGAAGTATGCAGTACTAGTACACCATTCTACGTAGTGTAGTTAGTGTTGACTCGCCTGGTCCAGCACTGTTCTCTAACTACTCGTTACTATATTTCTCACGTAGAGAGGAACAGATACATGCCTCGCGCGGATTGGTATTATTATCGATGTAACTACCCCGGTTTCTAACTACAAAAGTTAGAGAAAGGCCAAGCTCTGCGGAGAAACCCCCTCACTTTCGTTTTTTTCGTTCGCAGCAGATGATTGGGTGCCCATAGAGTACAGCGCATGTACATGTACTTACTATATACATATATCTCAGGAAACCTTTGTCAATCTACATGGTGAGCTGGGCTCAGCATACAACTAGCAGCATTACAGGTCATGCATATAAAAGTTTCACATTCCTGGCCCTCGAAAGGTCTTCACGGCCAGTATGCCACGTCTGATTTAAAGCCCCTAATTCAATTCCCATCATATCTTTCTTGCTTATACCAACGAGACCTTTCTAGACCCCGAAGATCCCCACAACACAAATATCCTGTTGTAAATTCTTAGTTTCATCCCACAACGGCGCCTGGAACTGATTATAATTTTGGCTCGGAAAACATTATATAGTCAATCAAACGAAGCTAATATCATTTTCCCCAGGCAGAATCTTGAATTTGATAATGCTTTAACAAAATAAAAGAAATGTGACATGCCTATAAAGCCGACCCGTCTTCATTGGTCGTTCTATGTTCACTCGGAGCTGAGGCACTCTCGTTGAGTTATACAAGTATAGTATACATTGCCCATGCACAGAGCGCTTGTCAACAAATGGATTTTGAATACGTGGCCAACTGCAGTTTCTAGAGGGATATTCGAGATAAAATTTCAGTCCTTTCGCCGGGGTATAGGTTCCTAAAGCTGTTTTGCAGAAGAAACCAAAACTATTCTGAATATACGTATGGCGTTGTGCCGAAGCCGGGACAGGTTTTCCGTTTTTATTCTTTGCCAATCGAGTGGAAGCTAGCCGACCGGGGTATTCCTCTTTCTTTATGGTATAAGTCCATTGTATTTGCTCCTTTCTTGTGTTTTTCGCTTGAGAATGTCTTCTATCCTCCACTGGGTAGTTCGGATCTGGCCTGGTCCTACTGCTTCACAAAATCGTAACCCCCCTTGATGTACCTCCCAACCTGATATCTCCGAAATCACGCTAATACTACCTGTAGTTATCCTACTTAAACCTCCGGTATTCGGGAGAGTCATTGTTAATTACCCGATGGGCCCGTCGATAATACCCCCGATATGCTGGGATCATGCTTTGAGCAAGAGACAACAAAGGACTTTCCGACAAGCCCAATGCGGCCATGGAATATTAATATTTGACTATGGTGAAAGAAGGAAAGGTGCCTATCGGCATGGGCCACCTCTGAATCAGTGTAACACATTGATCTCACCGTATTGGATCTGAAGACGGGTTGCAAAGCACAAGGGCCCCAACCCCTACCCTCTAGCCACTACTTGATGCTAGCAGTCGGTTTTTGTGCTACCACACCTTTTGATTGTTAATTCGTCGATATCTAAAGGTTGTTGACGCTGGCCTCACTCTCTCCCTTTGCTCACTGCAATTGACTCCGCTGAAAATTTAGATACAGGGAAGTTGATGGAAAGACAATCTCACATTCTTACAATATCAATATAGTTCTCCTTCTTCTTCCCGTTCTCTTCTCTTCTCTCAACTACGAGCTTAAACTTTCACTCCATGATATTTGATGTGGTGGAGGCTGGGAACGCGCGCGGTCCGGTCCAGGATCGAATTCCTCGCACCGCAGATGTTAACGCGAATCTCTAACGCAAGTTTCCTTTTTCGCCCAATTCGCGGAGGAAAAAAAAACTCCTCTATTAAGTAGGCTCAGGTAATCATTTTCCGTGTTTCAGGAGGTTTTGGCATGGCTTGTGAGCTTCTGTAGACACGTCAGACATTCACCTCGACACGATTGCCCCGTCGACCTCGAGAACGTAAACACCATTTCCGAGAACCTCAGCTTTCCTAGCCACCTATAACACTCAGTTTTCATCATTATATACACTCGGCAAAGACTAAATAGTTGCAATCCGATGGGCGTGCCCCTTTTAAGCGTTCTAACCGGTCGCACATGCCGTTGAAAGGGGCATGCTGCTCTCACCGACGGCTAGGACAAGTACTTGCAAGTTAAACAATTTGAATATCGAAACGCCTGTCACTGGAACTGCTTCCTCACCCAGCGCTACCTTCCTTTGAAGTATTTTCTAGCTTCTACAGCGTATAAATTTCCTAGAACTTTGGTTGTTCTAGCCATTAATCGGCTAACTTGTAAATAGATGTTCGCCAAGTAGATCGACTGTTTTCCGACCGACGACAATATACCACGAGCCCACCACCTCGATTTTTTCCACCGATAATATCGAGGCCATCAGACTTAGGAATGCATATACCCGTACCTTAGAAGCTTAGATCTATGGACGATGAAACCGTTCTCTGAGGTTACTGATTAAACAATAACATCACAAACCTACGGTTCCAACGACATGTCGACAGGGAATATATTCCCGATTCTCTGGAAGTTTTCCAAGAGCGAGCGACCGATAAAATGATCTTCAATATTAATTCCTCCTGCTCGGTACACTCACTCAATACTGTAAAACTTAACACTCGTGAGGGTAGACAGTCTGTGAGGGCTCGCACTCATAGGTAAGCATCCAACACTCACCCCAGATCTTCCATGATATCATTGTTGTCCTTTAGACACCAGCACAGCGAATTTGGCCAAAAGAAGAACTGCAGTTTTAGTGATCGATTGCAGTTCCAAAGTAATGTAATCAGAATTGATGTTGAGATAGGACCCCCCAGCTCCAGAACGATATTCTTAAATATTTGGCTTCCGCAAGTCATCTAAACCCCTAGGCACCGCAGCCAGATCGATAAGTATTACAACCTATCAGTACCCTCGAGATACTTCTGAGAGAGGCAGAATACGATATACGGGAGTACTCCGATATACGGAACATATTACTGAGACAAAGAACGGTTGTAAAGTGGTGGAGACATTCACAACCAGTACAATCATTCCAGGCTGGCCTCGTTCCCAGCTGCGGACGTCACAAAGGGAGACATAGTCTGGGACTAGTCTGGGGGACGCAGGTCTGGGACATCACTTTGTTTGGCCCCAGAATGACTAGCTTTCCAGCTTAATTTCCCACCAGCTACCAGGTGCAGGCCTGGCCGGATCCATAAGGCCGGAAATCTTGCGCACGTCAGGTATACCAAGAGCCCGTTATTGGGTCTGTTGCACAAGAAACGGCAATATGGGTTCGTATTCGAGGCTCTTGTTCCACCTGTTGCACAGGGGCTCTACCAGGCTAGTTCCATTTAGTCTGGGGAGGTTAGTTCACTGATAGTCTGTCTTGCACTAAGTCCGAACGCGAGGCTCCAATCCAGTCTACCACAAGTGGACATGTATGCATAGAACGCGCCAGCCAGTGCAGCCTTTGAACTACCTTGAGGTTTTGTCATACGCTAGCTCCCGTGGTATTTGCGCTGCATAGCTTCGGGTCGGATAATTATGTCTCTAGTCAGTTAATATCAAAATTGTGGCACTGCGCATGCGCACCCGTCCCCTTTTACCTAATCATTCGAGTCTAATTTGTGAGAAAGGAATCATAGGAAATCGGTCCCAACGGCATGACGCCTGTTTGCATGATTTCGGCCATATTACACGCTCTCCAACCGTTGCTTTCTGAACTTCATCCAGCTATGCCCATGTGGATTTGTGCATGCAGCCTCATGAGCTCACGGCTACCGACCTAGTGATAGTATACACGGCCTCCATATAGGGATATATATAGAGGCATGTAGCACCATCAGCCACCCGGGTAGCCGACCTGCTGGCTGTGCAAGCTAGCCCGAGACATACCAAAGAATTCTATCAGCCTACCGGGCAGCTAGAGCTTAGTTACACTAAACCTCCAAGAGCGCAGTTCTAATACCAGATCAAGCTGTTAATTGTGTTACACAAACTCAACTCTTGCAACAAGTTCCCGATATCTACCCCGACCGATCCCATGGCCAAAGCCACACTTATGCTAGAAACCATGATGAGCGGTTGACATCGTTAGCCGGTTTCATTCGGTATATCGCAAGGATTTTAAGGACTCTCAACATTGTAACACAATATGGCTCTTGACCCTGCAAATCGAGTCGATTTATGGTCTTCTGTCACTTGTGCACGTGTATCATCAGCTATGCTCATGCCCAACTGGTTGGCCATTGAGTCCTTCCTTGCGGCAACCTAGAAACTAACTATCAAGACAGTATTCTTGACTCAAGTATTTAAACACCAAGTCCCCAACGGACTCGCCAGACCACTTACCCATAATTTCACAGCGATCGAATCCCAACTCGAAGTCATCTCATTGTATTCGTACAAATCTCAGTGCATCTCTACAATATATATAATTGCCATAAATATATATGATCTCGTCTCTTTTCATTCTCCTTCATACCCGGCAGCATTAACCATAAACAACATACAAAATGAACCCAACCGTACCTACCGTATATTCCCCTATCCCATCGTTCCTTAACGATGACGACGGCATCACCTCATCTCAAACCCAGGTAGGGAACAGGAACTCGGGCCAAATTGCGTGTCCCAGCCACAATGCTCCGACAGCAAGCCGCGCATGCCCAGATTGCACCGATGTCGAAAGAGCACTTCCACTTGGCCAAGGCGGGCAATTTACTGCCTACCGATCATGGCCAATCAAGCTCAGACTGAGCTATGAAAAACATTTCAAACCCACCAATTTCGTATCTCGCGCTGGCGGAATCACATATATCGCTTTCTGCTACGGGTTCTCTATCTTCCTTTTAGCCCCAGAAAATGCTCCGCAGTCCGCCCGTATACCCCTCTGGATCCTCCTTGACTATATGATGGCAATCATGGGCCTCTTTTTGTGGAATAGGAATGAAAGCCTATTTTCAGTCTGTGCGCAGTTCATAGGCTCAATTCCTCTGTGGCTTCTACTCTTAGGTTTCATAGACGCTACTGATACAGTCCTTCGCTCCGAGCATCCCTTTCAGCCCTTTTTCGGCTAAACGAATATTTTCACATCATACGCTTGAATCCACGTACAGGATCGATAGCATTTTATAGTATGATTGGAGTCTCCGGTTCTGGTTCTAGTTCTGTTACTGCCAGCATCAGCCGCAACATTAAATCTAGGTGTAGATATTATTATTCTTAGATTTCTTATGTATCACTTTGGATTTCGCTTACTTTCTTTCTTTCTTTCTTTCTTTCTTTCGCCTTCCAAGATGGATGAAAAAGATGGACGCCGAAAAAGACACTTGCATGTTCGTAAAAAATATAAAAGCATGGGAGGTATAAAGTTGTCTCGTACCCAAGTATAAAGCATAATACCTCTAAAGGCGCCAATGGCCGTATGTCCTACTTTGGGCAATCACGACTTCTAGATATAAACACCCAGACAGTAGTTAACACCCATAAGCTCAATTCCGTAGGTATCTCTATGCACACCACGTGGAATATATATTAATAAACTTTTCGTTGAATGTGCCCTTGTAGATATGTACAGATCTTTGCAGAGTATTGGTCTTCAAAGTTACCATTTAATATTTCACCCCTTATAAGCTTAAGGCAGCAAGACGTATATAAAGGGTCGATGAAAAGTAACTACGTATTGTTTTTGATCAATTGATCATGAATGAGTGTAGGATGCTCGGAGCATCAAAGCATTTCCAGCACCTCCGAAGTGGACTTATGCATATATGCAGCCACATTTTCTAACATAAATAAACACCCCTCTAAAATCCAAGTGTTCCATAATTTTAATAGTACAAAGCCTGAATCCATACCATTCTTAAGTTGGCAAGAAATGAATGTAACCGGGCTGGGTGCCCCACCGCGCTAGCCCGCATACCCCCACCTTTCACTACTACGTATTACTTGCAAATTTAAAGTTCTGTTGATAAGGATTCTGCTTCACAAAGCCTTGTTGAACGTTTTTCTCTCCGAACCTTGTGCTAGTTTCCACAACCGACATATTATCCCGAACAGCATCCATTCCGTTCCCCGCTTTCTCCGTCCAGCGTCCCGTAGGTCGAAACTTCAGTTCCACACCTTCATCCGTCAGCCCACGGTCCGCCAACAACCTCGAAGACTCGATCTCCGAGACCAACCTCTTGGCAATCCGTTCCGTCATCTGTCTAACCGTAAGCTCTACCCCTTCTGAAGCCTCTTCGTCACCATGCCAAAAGAAGCCACGGAGGATGGGGTCACATATAACCCCGCCGATCCTAAACCTCAATTCCCCAGATATAACAGCCCCAGAAGTTTCCTCAACCGGGGGGTATAAAAACACCGAGTCATCCAAAAACGGTGAATTGGTGATATCGACCTTCAGAGGTTTCGCTTTATCTGGCCGCCAATAAAAGAATGTATATTTTGTAACCCCCCCGTTTTGTAGAGTACATTGCATATGCCCCGTACTAGCGGCGACAAGGCGATGCACTGTGACGTTACTATCGGTGAGTGGTGTTGTATAGGTATATCGTCTTTTCTTGAAGTTCGGCGTTGCGACGAGGATATCTGCCCATTTTTGACAGACACAGGAAGCAACGACACGGGCGTTAAGAGATAGTTCGCAGAGTATCTTTTCCTCGAGTTCTGTAGGAAGAGGGAGGGACGGTCGGGGTGGTAGTTGGCATGCAACATCTTCCGGTAGAATATCTGTGGACATTGTGTGTTGTTTATGTTGTATTATTTCCCAGGTTCCGATCGACGCTGCGCAGATGACGCGGAAATAGGAAATCGTCGGCTGCTTGGTTTTGAGTATTCGGCTTCGAAAGAAAGTCTAGTTGATTTTAAGTCTTTAGGTCTGTTTGCGTTTTCTGTTAAACGAATTTATAAGGGCGATGATTCTTTCAATCCATCAAACCAGTCTTGCTCGTGCTTATGAAAGTTGCCATGAACCGTGATTGCCTGCATATGCGATGCAGTTAGATCCGGTGGGAACAAATATACGACAAAGGTATGTAAAACAAATGCGTAATAGCGTATGATTTTTTAATAGTTGAGGGTCCCTCAGAAAAAACGATATATGCAAACCTTTTCGAAGCCATCTAACGTTATAACCCGTTGCGCTGGCGAATTAAATCCTTTTTATAAAGCACAGTAATAGGATCCTATTAGTTATTTACAGCTGTATTACACAATCAACAAACTCGCAAAAGGATAGAAATACGACAGGCTACCCTTACAACCCCGGCACATATCCGCAAGGCTTACAAGCTTGTCGACCCTTGGCTTTTGGTCCGTTCTGAACTTGTAGTCTTTTGGGCAATCCATGTCATGCTCCATGCGGAGGAAAACCAACCCGAAATTCGATGTTTGATATCGATAACTGTGCGGGGGAAATTGAGGCTCAGGCCACCGGCCGGCCGGGTACGTACCAGCACGACGTGATATACCACAGGAAATAGACGAGAGCCAATTCATAAAAAATTGGGAACACCATGTTGCCCTGAAATTTTAAGACCTCGACCAAACCTGCAAATTGAACTAGATGTCGCTATGAATACAAGATAAATGACAACAATAGTACGCTGAACTAGGCGAATAGCACCCGGAATATCGAAGGGAGTTATATCATAAATAAAAATACGTTAAAGCGGACCTCGTATGCATCTGTGCGACTAGTATCGCTTCGTTAGACCAAGATGAGCATCATGAAAAGACGTTGAGGTACCAAGATATCGAAAATCATCAAAGTATACGTAGAGAGATGCGTAAAAACCAGCCGTTACAAAATGATATCATGAAACTGGCAACATCCATAAAGAACAAGCAATACTGGCAACATCCATAAGGAACAAGCAATACAAAATCAAAACTTGCAAAGAATAAAAAGCACCAAAAACAGGCGCTCAAATGTAAAAAAAAAGGGCAAGACACCTCAGCCACCCGCAACCACAGACTCAGTACCCCGGCAACTTGTGTGCATCAATGTGCATCCTTTGCTGCTTGTACCTTCTTCTTTATTCCTCCAACAAAGTCAACAATCTTGGTCTTCCCGAGTTGTGCAATATTTCCAAGATCGTGGTCGTCCTCATAAAACCCGCTAGTTTGGGGCGCATTCCCATTCTTGTAATTCGTGGCAGAAACAGCTCTAGTATAATTGGAACCCCCGCCGGGCGACGGGTTTCGCTGTTTAGGACCAGGAGTCGCGGATGTGGGTGTGGGTGCTGAAGAGATAGTATACCCAGCACCAATTGTTGGTTCTTTGCTACCACTTTCCCATACGGAACCAGCGCCTAATGAACCGGTCACACCTTCTGCAACAGCCTCCCAGCGACCCGAGAGACTACTTGATGGCCTCTCTGCATTTTCAGCGACTTCGACACATTTCTCCATTCGTTCTTTGAGATGCAAACATATCTCGTGGAACTTTAGCACATCTTCATTACCAGCCACCTTAGGGTGGTTCACCGAACCGCCTTTTGCTTCTTGGAGTTCATGCCACTTAAGCCACATCTGAACCAGCCGACCAATGGCGCGGGGCTGGTCAATAAGGAAGGGAAGTGATGGGAACCCTTCTTTGGAACCCTGTTGAAGACGGGCTTGGATTGTTATAGGTGTGGCGTAGGATGGTGGAACCTGGAAGCTCGTAACGACTTCTGGAGGCGACCCACTCACAGAGTCAATATACTTCTTGAACTCGCCGTTGTGTTCCTATTCAGATATTAGCACTTGGTAGAACAGACTATAAGAGCGTCTAAGGGAATACATACAACTAAGAACTCATTCATATTTTCGAACCACGGCTCTTTCACGCCGAAGGTAGTCATATTAGCCAATCCCTGTAAACTCTTCGCAACTAAGGTAAGTGTCCTTTGTGCCCGCGTACCAGGGTGATCTATTTGGGGATTAGCATCGAAAGCTATGTTGCCAGTTTTGCACGGAACGACGGTAACTTACCTTTTAAAAGACCGAACATCTTCGGGTTCATGATGGCCGGGCAAAAGAATCGGAGAAAGAGGAAGCCAGAAACGCTAGAATAGGTCGGTCCCGAAATAATACCTCCAAACTTCTCTTCGACACAAAGCCTGATGTGGTATAGAACTTTTTTCACCTCCAACGGGCATTTACCTCCAGAGCTAAAGATAGACTGCCACACACTCCTAACAAGCGAGTTCAGTGTTTTCCAATTCTGTTTTATCTCATCCTGGTTCTTGCATTTCATTGGATCCACTTCGCAGTACAGATCCTCCTCCGCGATCCGTTTGACATGTCCGCCAATAGTTTCCTCCATATACTCTTTGCCATATCTTGCCATGTGTGCCTCTACAGCTTTGGTCAGTAGTGAATTCCCGCGGAAAAGAATATTCGCTTCCATCTGGGCGCGCTTAGTAGTATCAGATTTAATAGATGGATCGGGGTTCGCCTGGTTTAACTGGACATCGACTTCCGCAGAGGACCCAGCGTTAGGTAAAGCTTTTGACCCGCCATCTTTGTAGATACCACTGACATCCGCTTCAGCAAGAGCCATAAGCCAGTCAACTGCTTTTCCAGAGACCTGGAAAACTTTTAATAAGGTGTGAGCTAGGCGACGAAGATCCGTGTTCACGACCTGACTGATTAGGATAGTAAGACCGTTAGAGAAGTCCGAAATAAGCTATGATAATCGAGTTAGCGGGCCACATTCACGGGTACATTTAGAGCGGAAAGCCATACCTCAAGCAAAGGTTTGTACTCCTCCATCATTAGAACCACAAGCTCCTCTTTCCTCATCCTCAACATGACCTCACCAATAGGCGCTTCTTGAGCCTTGGAAACCGGGAGGATCGGCCACCAGGTATCTGTCTCGGCATCAAACTGCAAGTCGTTGAGATTGATTGTAATAACACCGATGGCTTCGCCAGTTATTATTTGATAGGTCGATAAAGGTCCATTGCTGCTTGTCGGTCCCCGGTCTCGCTTGTGCTTTACGGTCCTTTGTTTCAACACCACCTCAATAACATTCAGTTGAGATGGTAGCTCGTTGAATTCAAATGTTTCCATCCACATACAACTTGCTCCTTTCACTCTTGGGGGAGACCGCGCCCTGATATCCCCGTCGATAAAGAGCTCGAAAAAGAACTCAGTGTCCTTCTTCTCACTAAACTGGTGACGATGTTCATCCGGTTGGGGGGGCAGATTGGGAAGTTTAGCCTCGACGATCTTCATGCTAAAAAGACGTGGCACTCTGAACGCATCTGCAAGAGAAGATGCTCCAAGGTCGAAGTTCTGAGCGAGGGAAGGAGTTTGGGGTGATGCAGCTGTTGAGGCACTGAGACCGGTCATACCGGCGGGCCCATAGAGTTCGGGTACTGTGTATGCTCTCAATAGAACAAACCACACCTCGAATAAGATTTTTGTATCCAAAGCAAGATATATCGGTGGCGTACCGGCCTGGAATCGCGTATTCGTGCTAGCATGTGGGTAGATACCGATGCAGTGTTCCATCCCGAGCACAGAAGAATCCAGGTATTGAATAGAGGAACGAGACAGTGACGACAACGTTACGACGTTGAGTAAAGCGACGTCAGACTCGTTGTATAGTTTAAACTCGCCGTTCTCTTGAAGAATACACGAGATCCGTCGCCAGGTAGGTCCAGCCACTTTGTTGGATTTTGAAGACTTATCCTTTGATGCGGGAGCGGGCTGGGCATTGCTACTCTGTCCGCTGCGATCCCACAGCATCATCTTGCCAACCTTGATGATAGCAGCTTCCTTCAACACAGTGGCATCAGAATTACGCCTTCGTTCAACCTTCCGATCAGTTGCCAACCGAACCGGCTGCGTCTTTATCTTCTTATTATTAGGACCTGCCGGGCGGATTGGCTGCCAACAAAGTAGCGCCGCGAGCCAACAGTCGTATTGATATGCATTTAGCGGCCGAAGCTTAATATCCTGACGCGAACTGAATGTAGACACTTCGATGATACCTTCGTTGTCGTCTGACTTGGTACCACTGGTCCGTATCTGGCAGCCTCGAAGGTCCCCGATGACTGTAATCTTGGTCTTGTCATCTTTGTTATGGGTGAGGCGGCCGGTCTCCTCCTGAATCGTGCAAAACCCTTCTGTCCAGGTCATGCCATCTCCAATTCTGTATGCCAAAGTTCCTTCCATCCTACCCCGTAATTCCTTCATCAGGTTGAGCACTTTGCTAGCGTCGCCCCCTTGTGATGATTTAAGATTTGATATGGAGTCTGAAGTCTTAATCGAATGCGGTGCACCGTTTGACTCTTCTTTCTTGACAGATCTTTGCTTGAGTAGCTTGGCATTATTCGTTACCTTGGGTGTCGCCGCTTTTTGCGGGGTGCCATTTGATGCATATATAGTTGTTGAGATCTGAGCACTCGGCCCAGTTAGAGGAGGGGCGGATTGTGGCACCGGTGACGATGGCACACTGTGATTGGGTGATCTTCCTCTTAATGCCTGGAATGATGTGTTTAAAGATATCTCGTTCAGTGGGGCAGCAACCGCGGCAACATCCGTCTCATCAGTGCTACTCGAGGGAGAATGGGGTATAGCCCTGGCTCGTGTGCGATACTCGATTGTTTTCTCATTCGATAACGGCTGAGGATGGCTAGTTGGCGCAAATGTAGCGTTCCGAGTACTTATGGGAAACTGATTCATCCGCGACTCAGGTTTGTTGATTTCATTGTTTGGGGTCCTTGGAGGAGTCGATAAGGCAGATCTCGGGTGCGAAGTCTTTTTGATTTCATCATCACTTGTGTCCTGAGGTACCGAGCGGATGGTCGTATCCCTAAACTGTGCCAGGCTATTCATCGACATTGTAGCAGACTGGCTCCGTCTTACTGTCTTGCTAGATTTCCGTTCTGGAGAGTTGCTACTCGAGGACGGTCTTCTGTTGAAGGCCCTCCCGGTCGAGGCTGTCGACCCAGCTATCATCCCGTTCGTCCCCTCGCTATTCAAAGAAACCATCATTGTCATAACTTGTCGAGAATATTCAACCAAGTCGTCAGCAATGGATTGCTGGGCAATTGGAACCACCACGTTTGGTCCCCCAAAGTTTGCTCGAGAGCGATTTCGGTAAGCTTCGATAGATATACTAGATGCGGTGGTATGTACAAGTATATATCCTCAGAGCGAGCTCGCCGGTTTGCCTTCCCTATATATCTCTGTAGCTGCAATCGTCAGGGTCTTGTCGCACAAGGTTGCTGATGAACCAACTCGTGAGGTGGTCGTACAAAAGACCACAGCTGCTCCGTGCAACGCTGTTAGGAGGAAAATTGAGATTCGACCAGGTTGGTTTATATCTGATACCGAGGATATGCTGTCCGCAAACTATCCAGCAGTGTGTCTGTTTTATCAGTCTGTTGTTCAGCCGTCTTCTGAGCGGGGCGCCACTTTATTTTCGATTGATTGTGATGGCGTAAGATTTTTCAACGCCCTATATCCGCAATGTCATAGCATTGTTCTCCCTTGACGAAGAATCTTTGGAAAATAATAGTAGTTTCTGAAACTAGGCTGAATTATATTCCCAAAAGCGAAGGCGTAAGACAGTATGGGAAGGCGATGTGAAATGATCCAAAACCAACCTGAACGAAAGGAATTCTTTAGAAAAGAGGGTCCCGGTTAGAGGAAACGGGTAATCGATCTCAAGATCGCCACTAGCCCAGCTGGTCAAGATTGGTGTGATTCCGGTTTAATATCTGCAGCATAAATACGTAAAAGATCCAATTCAGCCACCACTTTGAGTGGAAATAAGAAGCACAGACGGATCCACAGAATGAAAACCCTGTTCCAATCGCCGGTATCCTAGTCTCGGCGTCGCTATAGCAGGTGTTCTTTTTTTTAAATTTTTAATCTTTTTAAATGGCTTTTTTTTTCTTCTTATTTTTTGTTGCGTCGTCAACTCCAGGAATTTTGGTCGTGGATTTCGCCTAAGGTATTGAATTGAGATGAGGCCAGGGAGGCAAGCCGACGAGATTGGATGGCGGTACGATAGTGGCTTAAGGAAGGTGTCCCGAAACCTGAGACAGAGAAAAACGCAGCCTCTTCCTGTCCTGCTGGTTATTGATCTTTCCCTTTCTCCGAACGATGATTCGAAGCTGGCTTGAGTCGTCGTGAAACCTTTATGTCCTTCCCACGGTTCGACCTGTTTTTATTTTGCGTGCGTGTGGAAGCTAAGGGGAGACACCTGCGTCTTTTGTACGACCACCACCTTTACAACCATCCACAACCAGAGTGGATGATGCACTGCAAGATGGAGGTGGGAGAACGAGCTAGAATAAAAAAATAAAAAATAAAATAAAAGAACGACCAACCAGGTGAAAGAAAGAGACAGCGTTTAATGCGAGAATGGTCGGAATGATTGGATAGGAAGGCCGGGATGATAATTGTTGTTGACGGTGTTTCTCGAAGGAATTCGGAGAGTGGAATGGAGTGAGGGGCCTTAATATGCACCGTTCCTGAGAACACTGATTATAAAGTGGAGATGCAGGACGAGGACGAGGGGGGGAAGGGAAGTCTGTTATTCAGGTACCAGTTAACAACACAAAGGCAAATGACCAGGTACCTTGCCCGTCGTGCTCATACTCAGACGTACTATTTATTCCCAGCCTCTTGCCGGTGGGGAGGTTAAGCAGGACCTATTTCTCTGCGTAACTGTACGGATTGTGCTAAAAGCACCTGAAACCGAAGTATGTATAGCACTAAGTTAGTAGTTTAAGCAGTGCAGTATACTCAAGCACGCACTTGGATTCTAAGAAAAGCCCACTATACCAGCACTAGCAAAGTCAGCAGCAGCCTCCCGTCAAAACTGTGGTAATGTATACATGTAATGTACTTTTATCTCCAGACTATAGTTGATGATATACTAGTGTACTGGCCATGGTGTTGTTACGGATGGATCTGTTCCCCTCGCCAGACCTGACCACAGCTGTCCAGACCCACCACATCTTTCAGATGCCTAGAGTTTCTTTCCTTCGCCTATAAGGATATTGACTGGGAGAGCCTCCCAATTCTAGTCCCCATCCTCCCTCTTCCCATCGCGGGTGCTGGCCAATAGGCAGTGTTTCTGCTACTGCAGGCTCCGGCCGGCCATACAGATGCGGACCACCCTCCCAGCATCGAGTTATGCATTTATGGAAGGTGCATGAGGCCCTTCTCCCATCTTGTCGCTCTACATATCTTGTCCCTCTTCCAAAGAGTAGCTCTATCTCCATCAGTCAGAAACCTGCATGAAATCCGGTTCCAAGTCGACGAGTCCCGTTCCTCTAGCTGGTGGCAATAAAGTCCATAATAAGAAGTACTTAAGTACTTACTTACTTGACCTAACTCGGCATATTTCTACTACGTGCCCTCCTTCCTCATAGACGAATTCCCCTATTTTCCGCTGATTTTCTCATGCCAGGATCAGATGAAAACGCCTCGAGTCGAGCCTGTTCCGCGGCCAGACCAGTCCCCACCCTTGTCCGTATGTAGGCCGAGTAGATCATGTACGGTACCATTACTACTGCACTTGCATGCAGCGTTTTCTTGCATACCCCCCAAATACATGGGCGAGCTCATACATAGTGCGTCCATAGTACATTTGCTGCCCTGCTTAATTAGTTGAACTTAATAACTCGGATAAAGCCCTATCAGCCGTTTTGAAGTTTCGTGGGCCGGGTTAGCTTACGGGAAAGATTACGAATAAAAGGTTTCTCCGCAGCCTTCCTTGGCCTTGGATGTTACATAGTACTTCATTTCCAACGGGAAGCGACCATGGTTTCAAAATTTTTATTGTAACAGCTAGCTTCATTATCATCGGCAGTTATATTAAAAACTTTGGTCGTGCTGGGACATTCTGCATGATATAAAGGACAACTTAGCCGTCAATAGGTCCCTGAGCTAGAGGTCAAAGCTTTTTTTTTTTTACCTTGCAGGGAATGTGACCGGAATATCTTTGAGCTTCTCCGAATTCGATCAGTTTTTTTAGTGGCGCCTTCCCTGCTTCAGTTCTCCAAAGGGTAGCATTGTTGAGCCACATGCACATCCGTGAAAAGCACGATTGTGGCGCTGGAATCACGATGCACCGCCATCACCGTTCAAGTTAGTGAGTGGCGTCGCGGGCGATATGCACAGGGATTTTCGCAATCACTCCACAGCGCCTGACGTCAGTTTCACAAGGGTGCATTCCACAAGCCCTATAAGTGTCGATTCTACCTATTCTGGGCGAGAATAACTGAGCTTGACTACATACCCACTGACGCTTGTTGGAATTCAATCCTGCTCGTTTCATACCCCAAGTTACCCTTCCTTGGGATCATTAAGCTAGATCGCGATCGATCAGGCGCGGGCTGTCTGTCGAGCTACCAGTACAAGTCCAGTAAACTTTTAACCGACAGGCACGGAACTCAAACTAGGAACGGCAATAATAATACCACACATCCAAAACTCTAACCCCAAAATGCCTCTCCTTGAGATCCCAAGATCAAATCGGATTGTTGATGTTCAGATAATCGATACCACTTTTCGCATCAAAGATGGCCCGCTTTCCGTTTTTATGGAGCCGGTTATTGAAGGCCAACAAAAGCTAAATGTTGGGGCGTTCGGGTACCTTATTACTCATAGAAGCCCCTCGTCTGGGTTTGGAGAGGAGAGTGTCCAAAGAGTGCTATTTGACCTCGGACCGCCAAAAGATTGGAAGTCGGATTTACCGGAACCCCTTGTAAAAAGGATTAGCACTTGGGAAAATGACGGGGCTACCATTACCGTTGAAAAAAATATATCCGAGGTACTAGAAATTGGCGGAGTCGACCTGAATACTATTGATGGTTTAATGTGGAGGTATTATTACATTACAGGTGCAAATTGCATATCGACAGGACCATTAACCTAATTTTAATATATGTAGCCATGCGCACTGGGATCACATGGGCCGTCCCTCCCTCTTTCCGCCATCTACAAATCTCATCGTCGGACCATCCATTCGCTCCAAATTCGCTCCAGGCTATCCCGAAAACCCTGATGCCCCATTCTTCTCACGCGAATTTTCCGGTCGAGAAGTGGTCGAACTTTCATTCGAATCTTCAAACCTAACAATAGGAGGCATGAAAGCTATAGACTTCTTTAACGACGGAAGCTTCTACATCATCGATGCACCCGGCCATGCTGTTGGGCATATAAACGCCCTAGCAAGGACCACTACTTCACAAGATGGTTTAAATGATTCATTCATCTTCCTTGGGGCAGATTCATACCACTTAGGCTCACAACTACGACCAAACTCATATACCCCTCTTCCTAGCTCCGTCGAAATTCCAAGTTTTCTACCCTGTCCCTGTCCTGGTGAGCTTTTCGAACGGATCCACCCGCTTCCGGTGGGTGGAGATCCATCTCTTACCCCGTTTCATATAATTCCTGAAAAATCGGTTGCGATAAATTTCAAAGACGCACGTGAAGTTATCAGTAGGATCCAGGTGTTCGATGCGGATGAGAGGGTACTTGTTCTGAATGCTCATGAATGGAACTATTATGATGTGCTGGATGTGTTTCCTGAGAGTGCTAACGAATGGAAGAGGAAAGGCTGGAAGGAGAAGGCGAGATGGAGGTTTTTAGGAAGTTTCCAGGGGGCAGTAGATCTGATTTTTACCGATAGGGCGTAGGGATTGTTTTTTTTTTTTTTGGCCAAAGCATCCACTATGGGATGGTGTAGGCAGAAATTACCCCAGGTTAGATGCTAGGATAGATATGCGAGCTAATATCTAAAACCCTGTATATCCTATATCCTGCGCAGGGCCCTGACTACCGTGTGAACAATTGGCATCGACTTCGAATCCCGAGGATTATTGCCATACATATGGTTCCAACGAAGCATCGTACCTCATCCACATCCTGCCTGCGATGCTAGTCCGACGAATTGAAATCATCGATTAATTCGTGGAGCAGCATCTTATGTGCCACCCTGGTCGAAGGGCGCGCGTTATCACCAGTAATGCTATTTTGACATAAAATTAATTTAATCATCACATGCGTCGGGAGAGCATTGACAATCAAGTTCACAATTTCCATGGTCTAGAAGTACCTCCCTTTTTTGACGTTTGGGAACAAGACCAAGACCAAGACCAAACGGAATTATTTTTTGATTACAAACCTAGAGCCTAGAACGATCTAGAGCCCGGCTCAAGGAATGAGGACTAAAACTGAAGGACCCCAATTGCGCCATGCATAGTGGAAGCTAGACTCCGCTAATACATACCCTAGCGCGGATATGTGTTAATTCTATCCGTGGAATACTTAACTATCACATCTAGATATCTTTGGGGCCAATGCCTTCTAAGAATGATCATATAAGTGTAAGAATATTCTTTTCCAACTACATACCAATCCTTGAAATACATAGATATATATATCTGTATGAATACTTTAATATATGCCTTGGCCGGTTATGAAGGGACCTACACGCGATGAGTGGACATTACAAATCAGGGTCAATCTAGAGATCGACCGGCTGGATAGATATAGAGACCATTATAGTTAACTATTAAAAACTGCCTAATCTTTTGAATTAAAGACATTGGCATAAACTATCGCTTCTCATTGAGCCTAGTTATATATAATACCGCTTATTAAAAATAGGGCCAGATATGATGAAATTATTATTAAAGGACACAAAGGAAATGTATGATTAAAGGAAAACACGCTAATCGGAAAAAGAAGAAAAACAAAAAAAAGAAGATATAATCTCCTAATCTCGAGGTTACTGTACACTTCTCGAGATATATTCCCATCTCTTTTCATTTACATATCTCTGCCGTCGCTCGCTGCCTTGACCAACTCCCTCAACTTCTCTACTTTAATCCCCTTCTCCAAGCTTACACCGCTAACTCCGATACACCCCATAATCGCCTCAATAACCCAATTTTGACAATTCCATTCCTTGTCAACATTGTTAACTTGCACCTTCTCGAAAATATCTTCGACCTTTTTAACGTCCTTTTCGTAAACCTTTCCAACATGTAGTACGTGCGCCAGACTTTGGGACTTTAGAACATATACATCATCGCGTGGACGATACTCGAATAGTGGGTGACCGTGAATGACGTGGTGGGCGGTTCCCGCATGAGAGAGGGATTTAGTGATTATGATAGCCCAGTGGTCGGGCTTTTGGTTGCCAGCGGCGTCGAGGCCACGATCGTAAGCTGCGATGTAGATCTGGAGGGCTTGTGGACGTTTGAAGAAGTTAAGGCCGAACATTTTGGATGAGATTTTCTTGAGATCGTAAGCGGTGGAAGTAAGAGAAAGTAAAAGCTTTCGTTGGAATTTCGTTGGATAAGAAAAAGGAAGTGAAAAAAGGATATAGGAGAGTCGTTTGTATAGCTTTGAAAGTGTATATTTGATGTTATGGAGTATATATAATAGTCGTAAGAGTATATTCTGAAATCGATTTGATTTCTGTCGTACTAGTTAAAGTGACAGAAGCTTGGGGCGATTCAAGAAAGGACGTCGTATCGTTGATTGTATTAACTTTTGCTTCGAAGACAGCTGATTAAGGACTTTAAAGACGATTATTCTTCTTTCCCTTTTGTTCTTTTATAATAATGATAACAAGAAGAAGAGGCTGGCGTAATATCTATTTTTGAATTTTTGTTGAAGGGAAATAATTTTTTTGAAACCGGTGCAAAGGAAAGAGTCGATTTGTGTAACTGATTATGACAAATGAATGTGAAATAAATGATCGGATTGTTGGTCTTGAATTGTGTTGAAAGTGTGGTATTTTTCTCCAGCTTCTCTGTTCTACAGAAAAAGAATGACAAAGCAAATTCAAAGAATAAAAATTATTTTTAAAAAGGTGGTTAAAAGAATGGAAAAAAAAACTGCAGATGAGAAATGAAGAAAGGAAAGAATGGCTTTCTAGAAGTCAAGAAAAGTTAGAGGTTCTCCGATTTCACGTCTTTATGTACAATTCCTTCGTTCGCTGACCCGGTTCGCTGCAGCATTTAGGGACCCACTTTCAGCCCGCACTTGCACATGGGTTCTTGTTCATGCTAGAGTTCATTTTAGGGTGCGGGTTTGGAATACCGCGCGCGTCTACTCATATCCCGGCCTCAAAAGGATTCTATTGGCTGTTCCCCGTAGCCCTTCGCCGAATTTCCTACCCACCATCTGGCCTGGTGTGGGTACCTGCAGGAACAATAAGGGAACCAAAAAGCCAGCCAGTCTCGTGAGGGAATTTGACGCTCACGATGCTGAATTGAGGCAGAACCTTGATCGCTCGACCATCTCAGGAGATTAACTTCCTCGATAGTGTATTCCCAGGCCTTCGCGGTTTTCCATATCGCTTTCCCATTTCTTTTATTGTGCATACTTTTTTTATAAACGTTTCAAATTTCTTCGCTTCAAGCCCCTATTCCGATACATACAAACATTGCAGCCTACGCTTATCCATTGTCGCGCCGTCGCTAGCCATTTAGTATTCTACTTTGGCGATTTCCGGTGGACTATAGAGTCGATCCCCCCTGGTCGAGATGAAGCACGTCTAAACCGGGGTAAACTATTGCGATTCCCGAGCGCCGCAGGAAAACAGTATAGGAGGATCACACTCGAAAAGAGATGATGTCTTCTTTGAGCACAGGTTTCTAACAATAGCTGGAATCCCTACTTCCTCACTGCTTGCTTTGTGCGCCCCGCTCTCTCTCGCTTTCTTAGGTTGTCTCGACCTGGTACGGAGCTGGCAATCCTAAGCTTCATTCACCCCCTCTTTTTCGCTCTGTTGCACGCAGGACGACTTTGCCTCTTCCTCACGCAATATCGATTCCCAAGGCCCTGGGTCAACCACCAACCACCCTCCCTCTCAGAGTGTTTCTCATTTCTGACGACAGAGGAACAATAGAGGCTCTCGGCTCGCCGCATGAACGCATGAACCGGAACCAAGTCTTGGCTCCTACGTGTTCGCCATAGTCACCTCATCAATCAACCTCAAACTCTTACGCCACAGCCGCCCACCTTTCTTACTCACCGCCGCAAGAGGTTGTACTACCAACAGTCCCAGAAAAACCAAGGGCTTAAGCTGCTAGTCAAGGCATAATAGTACAAATCAAATCAAATCAAATCAAATCAAATCAAATCAAATCAAATCAAATCAAATCAAATCAAGAAAATCAACCACCTAGACAAACATAAACAAACACAGTCAGATGCTCCTAACCTTCGACCTCTCTCTAACCCCCCGTCCCCTTCCCTCAAATTTCCAACCAAAACCCCTCCATCCAGTCCACAAGTCTTACTTGGACTTAAGAATCTATATTGCTAGAACTTTATATCGGTTCTTTAGTTTCTTACAGAGGGTGTTTAATTTTTGGATATCCAAGAAAAATGATCGATATGTGAAAGGGAAGGGGAGTAGCAACCCCGGTTTCCGGGTAGCTAGGATTTCCGGTGGATACTATATTAAATGGGGGGTAAGGGATGTTGAGGCCAGGGCGATGGGATTCGTCAGAGAGAATACGGGGGTCCCGGTTCCAAGGGTTTTAGGGTTTTGGAGTCATCGAGGGGAAACAAGTTCAAAGATTGGTTCCACGTCATCAGATGGGCAGAACAAATCTGAAACGTCAAAGAGAAGAGAAAGTGCTGGGCCAAGTGAATTGAATTACATGCTCATAGAGGCGTTACCAGGCGACCCGATTGGAGAAGTTTGGATGGAAATGGATGATGCTGCCAAAGGAAGGTTTAAGCAGGAACTCGTCGGGTACCTCAGGGAGCTTAGGGCGCTGGAACAGCACCCGATGGCGGGTAACACCCATAATGGCGATGTAGTGGATGAAGTGAAACCTAGGTACATCGGCGCGATTGATCACCAACCTCTAACAGACCATAGGATCGCGACGGTACCCTACGGACCGTTTGAGGATGTGGAGGGGTGGCTGGAGTGTGAATATCTACTTGGTTACGTGGCTAAGGCCAGGCCTCAGGAGGTGCATGAGAGGCTGGAACAAGAGCTCAAGAAAAGAGATGCAGGAGTGGTGTTTACCCATTCAGATCTGACGCCTAGAAATGTACTAGTGGAAAAGGAAAGCGGTCGGATTACAGGAATTGTAGATTGGGATTCTGCAGGGTGGTGTGTGGAATGGTGGGAGGGGGTCAAGGGAGTTTACGGGTGGAACGATGGCAGCTTCGCCCAGAAACTCGAAGGAAAGGACAACATAACTACTACTCCAAGTGAAGATAGTTTGCTAGGGACGTGGAGAGCCTTGCTAAGAGAAGTAGTGGGCGACTTCGATGATGAGCTCAAGGCGGACGAAGAGATGAGAGACATCTATGGATTTCCGTACTAGCTTTACGATTATTATGAACGGCGTTACCGGTGTGTGTATAGCATTAGCATTAGCTTATGAGGCGTAGGGATGGTGTGCATGTACATATACTGCATTGAACCGGACTAGTTGCATTAAACATTATGTTAGGGGATATGTATTCTCATCACGAGGATGGATATATACACGAAGCCATATTGTTAACTACTATTTTCAAACATTGGATGTGGATGTTCAGTAGCAGGTGGTCGATCTTGACAAAAGTGTGCTCAACTCTTACACCTGCCTGTTCTCCCATGGTAGTCCCTTGGCCTTCCTCTCCCGCAAAACGATCCCATCATGCCCCCTCCTTACAAAGATATACACAATAGCACAAGCCCAGCTCAACAAAGTTTCAAACAGAAAGCCCACTCTTGGTGTCGGACCAACCATTGCCGACCTTGCTGCTCTAGCCAGGAATGACGAAACCGGTAGCGTCTGACCTCTTTGTAGCTCTTCTAAGCAGTATTTGGCCACATCCTCTGGTGTCTGGGGCGTATCATCCTCCGCCTCGATTTCCTTTAACATATCCGGCTTAGTCAGGTTCTCGTTGTCTAGGCCCGGTGACAAGATTGAACCGGGACAACAGCAGTGAACGTCGATATCGTAAAGAAGGCATTCTTGGCGAAGAGTATCTGTCAAAGCACGCAGAGCGGCCTTCGGACCACTGTATGAGCTATATCCGACGAGTGGGCAGAAAGCTACTAGAGATGACGTGAAAATTATCTTTCTTTGATGGTTTCCATTTGTAGGGTATTTCTGGGTCGGTGGTGGGCGAGATGTCATTAGTTGGATAACATTGTGAGCAATGTAGACAGCCGACCAGTAATTGGTCTTCATGGACCACTCGAGGTCCGCAGGCTTATAATCTCTGAAGAAGCCAGGGTTTGCGCCACCGGCACAGCACCATAAGATCTCGGTTTCACCGATCTGTGCCTCCGCTTCAGCAACTGCCCTTTGCGCACCCTCCACCTCGGAGAGGTCGGCGGAGATGACTGCTAGCTTTTGGTCTGGGTATTTTGATGCATTGGCATCCTATAAGACATCATCAGCCCAAAATCCGGAGGGTAATTGGATAATCGGAATAATGCATGTACGGACCATGACGGCTTGGATCTCTGCTGCTGCTGCTGCAAGCTTCGTGAGATCACGAGCCACAATCGCAACATTAGCCCCCAATGAAGCTAGCAGAATGGCTACCGCCTTTCCCATGCCCTGGGATGCTCCAGTAACTATGATGTTCTAATTGAGTCCAAGCGACAAGTCAGCTATACAACTCTTGTGATTCGAAGCGAGATATTAATGTAGATTGAGGTGAGGGGGGGACTAGCTTACGCGTCCAGCAACTGGCATCTGGTTCTTCGCGAAGAACCCCATTGTGAGAGAAGTAGCGACGATAAGAGCTGCGACGGTAGTCAAGCCGATAACAATAGGGCTGTCGGGGAGGGACATGCTTTTGAAGCAAAAGCAGATGTGCGTATGATATTAATCTCAGGTAGTTAGCTGTCAGCCCGGCCCCCTATAATAAGAAACACCGGAATCACGTTCAGCCGTGGATAATGCGTGCTCTCGTTCACTTGACTGAGGTGAGGTGGCCTGGATAGTCTCAAAACTAGGCAAAGCTTAGCTTGGGGTCTGGCGTCCAAAGGCTGGCAGGGGTGTTTTGTTCGGCACTTCTGGGCCTAAGTTGGTGTAGTGGGGAATCATCAAATTTCTTTTCTGACCAACCTTTTATTTGCACCAAACGGCACCGACACCCCAAACACCATCATCATCATCCGGTAGAAAGAAAGGGTAATCACGGAGGATTTACGAGAGTATTGGGAAAGGTGTTCGCGCTGGGAGAAGGCATGATCCGTCCGCAATGGGTCTGCCGGCACTGTCTTTCACGGGCACGGACAACAACAGCTTCTCGACTGGCATTAGCACGACCAAATTTGGCCCATAACATCATCACGAGACGACAATCGCATAGTATGCTCGCCTACTTCAAATGATTGCGCGCATATATTTCTATAACCCTAGCTAATACCGAGGGGCTGTCCAGCTTCTACGCGTGTCGATGAAGATGAGGATTTCTTCCTAGCGGAGTCGCTCCTCAAACGAGCAAAGCAGCTTGCGACCGAATACGATGTGCTCGAAAGACAATTGATGGAAGACTTTAATACCAAGACGGCGGCAAGGGCAGGTCATCTACGGCCAGTGTCGGAAGCTTTAAAAGAGTATGAAGCCGCAGTGGAGGTACTGTGAGATCCCCCGCACATTTCCTATCTTCGCATGCTATCTTTTGTCCCTAGTGCACTTGCCAACAGACGACTACAATGTAGAACCTGAAGGAACTTCGTGTGCTAGCATCGGATCCCGAGTCGGATTTGTCTGCCATGGCGGCTGACGACATACCTCCTACAATCGATCAGATTCGTACATCCTCCACGGCATTAACCACCTCTCTTGTCCCCAGGCACCAGTTCGCCGCCTTTCCCTGTACAATCGAGATTCGTCCGGGCACCGGTGGTTCCGAAGCCACACTCTTCGCAAACGATCTCTATAAAATGTACAATTCGCTACTTAGCAACCTTCGCTGGCAGAGCTCGGTAATATCCTACCAAACACACAATGAAATCGGGGGTGAAGGCTGCTCGGAGGCTATTATAAGTGTATCCACGCCCGAGTCTTACGATCTTCTACGCCACGAGGCAGGTGTGCATCGCGTGCAAAGGATACCGGCCACAGAGAACAAGGGAAGAACGCACACTTCTACAGCATCGGTTATGGTGTTACCGAAACTCGGAGACGAGGAAGGTGATTTCGAATACGGAACAGACGATGATCCGCTCGCACAAATTGATATGAAAGATGTCAAAACCGATGTGATGAGGGCCAGCGGCGCTGGTGGACAGCATGTCAACAGAACAGAATCAGCCGTTCGAATGACACATATCCCTACTGGAATTGTCGTCGCCATCCAAGATTCTCGATCACAGCACAAGAATAGGTCTTCAGCACTGACTATTCTTAAGGCGAAAGTGGCAGACAAGAGGAGGAAAGAAAAGGAGGAGGAGGCCCTGAGCATGAGAAGAGGGGTAGTTAAAGTTGGGGCGGGGAGAAGTGATAAGATACGGACGTATAACTTTACTCAGAACCGAGTAACGGACCATAGAAGCGGGCAGAGCAACCACGACCTGCCGCGACTAATGGAAGGAGATGGACTGATTGACATGATAGAAGGGGTGCAAGAGTGGGACAAGCAGCGGAGTGTCGAAGTGATGCTGGCGTTGCAGGAAATGGAGGATTTAAAGAAGGAAAAGAAATAGCTGACGCTCTTGTACAAAATCAACATACCTCCTACCAAGTACCTACTTAAGTAAGTACTTGAGTTATTTAAACTGGGACAAGTATTTGCCCGTATCAACAACCTGTATATACAATTCAACTGTACATATCTACTTGCATGGGTATTAATCCACATACTGGCTTCGAGTCCAGTATATCCGGTATACAACATATACATATATTATGTATCATAGACCACATATTATAAACTCGTATGAATGCCTACGTAAGTAAGTAGATTGTGGATATACTTTAATAGCTCACCACCGATTGGCTTAAACGACCTCCCCCATCCAGCTAGTCAACCACTCAAATCGTCAGTTAACTAGTGTTTTCTAAGCTTGGCCTCTTTATCGGCTTATCGGCGTGTTTCGTTAACATTCTCTGCTGCGGGAAAATTTTGTGCTTGAAAAATTCAAAGCGAATTAATTCCACACGACCATTCGTTAGCGATTCGATTCCACCATCTCTTCCCCTCCAACGCCGACATCATCGAGTTCGAGTTTAGAAGACTCAGTCGCAGGATTATTCAATTCGAATCTCCCGCTGTCGACTCTTTTTTGTCCAGCTGCTGCTCCTCCCGGCAATACTGATTTTACCAGTGAGATAATCGCCAGTTGTTATACCTAAGTCTCTTCATTACGTAGCGCAGGGCTAGGCTAAACCGTCCGCCCGAGTCAAAGAGAAAAAAACAAATCCGTAGAGGGAAAAAAAACTACACTACGTCCGTCGTCCTACGTTCGCGCTCGGATCTAAATTCCTTCAATCGATATTCTAGCTCGCATCTCCAGCTAGTAACGTTACGCTACCAAATTCCATATACCCGGGAAGAAAGAGGGAAAACACATCCATTAACGCCTTTCCGTCACGGCTCTGACGACCCCACCAACCCACAACTGGAAGACAATTTAAAAAAGATCCACCATGTCGAATGCCATACCCTCTACACCCGCAACAGCGGCTCTACCTATCGATGCTTCGTCCTCGCTATGGTCTCGTGTATCCGGATGGGTCGCTGACAATAAGGCTGTCGCTTATACTATTGGCGCTGTAGTCGTCGTCGTTACTGGCGCCGGCGTTGTTTACTACTTGAATACCCAGAAGGACGGTGACGTCAGGAAGATTGGAGAGGTACATATTTCCGAATCATCATCAGGGGAACGTCAGGATGGATCTATAAGGAAAAAGAAAAAGAAGTCCAAGAAGACGAAGAAAGATGATACCGAGAAGGGTGAAAATGCCGCTGCTACTTGTATGACATTGCTTTAATGTCAGTTTTCGTACAGACTATGCTAACCGACTCCTCGAACAGCTACACCACCACCAGCAGCGACAGTCGAACCAGAAGCGGAATTACCCGAATTTACGGAAGAGAATGTTAACGAATATACTGCTGAGGTTCGAATACCCCCACCCGTATCAAGGGGGGCCTACCAATTGGCTAACAAAAAAGCGTTTATAGGAGCGAAAGGTATTTGCTGGCAAACTGAAGGGCCAAGGAAACGAAGCCTATAATGCCAAAAAGTACGACGAAGCTATAAAACTTTATACCCAAGCCATCCTCTGCAAGCCGGATCCGATATTTTACTCCAACCGAGCTGCCTGCTACAACGCCCAGAGTAACTGGGAGGCTGTTATCGAAGATACCACCGCCGCTATCGCCTTAAACCCAGAGTATGTCAAGGCTTTGAACCGACGGGCGAATGCTTACGAGCAGATCGGGGAGTTCTCAAAGTCTCTATTAGACTACACTGCCTCATGTATTCTCGAGCAATTCAGGAACGACAATGCAGCTGCAAGCGTTGAGCGGTTGCTCAAGATTGTAGCAGAAACAAAGGGGCGGAAGATGTTGGAAGGAAAGCCAAAGAGATTGCCGTCGCCCACATTTGTTACAAACTACCTACAGAGTTTCAGAGAGAAGCCAGCACCGGAGGGACTAGAAGATGCGACTGACGAGAACACCGGAGACTACTGGTTAAACAAGGGGTTGCAGGATATCAAAATTAAGACGGCACAGAGCTACGAGGATGCAGCCCAGGCATTCGACAAGGCACTGGAGCTCGGTGTTTCTGAGAAATATCAAGCATTTGCCTACAACATGCGGGGTACTTTCAAATACTTGAAGGGCGATAGTGCTGATGCCCTGGCGGATATCACTCAGAGTATTGAATTCGATCCGAAGTTGACACAGAGTTACATCAAAAGGGCTAGCATGATTCTCGAAACTGGCGACAAACAAGGCGCAGAAGAAGACTTCCAGCGCGCTATTAGTCAAAACCCCGACGACCCGGATATCTACTACCACCGTGCCCAGCTTCACTTCATTACCCTTGAGTACTCGGAAGCTGCTCGAGACTACCAGAAATCTATCGACCTAGATCGCGATTTCATCTACTCTCATATCCAACTTGGTGTTACCCAGTATAAACAAGGCAGTATTGCTTCGTCCATGGCTACCTTCCGTCGCTGTGAAAAGAAGTTTGAGAAGAACCCAGATGTCTACAACTACTATGGTGAACTATTGCTTGACCAGAGTAAGTACGAAGAGGCGATTGGGAAGTTCGACCAAGCGATCAACATGGAGAAGGAGGCTAGGCCGATGGGAATGAACGTGCTGCCATTAATCAATAAGGCACTCGCTACCTTCCAGTGGAAGCAGAACTATGAGGAGGCTGAGAAGTATTGCAAGACTGCACTGATCTGTAAGTTTTTCCCTTTTGGCTCTGTTTGATGTACGAAGAACCGGAAGCTTATACCCTCAATTTATAGTGGATCCGGATTGCGATATTGCCATTGCAACACTGGCCCAGCTACTTCTTCAACAAGGAAGGGTTGCAGAGGCCCTTGAGTACTTCGAACGGGCAGCAGATCTAGCTAGGACGGAGGGCGAGATTGTGAACGCCCTAAGCTACGCTGAGGCGACAAGGACACAATTGGAAGTGCAAGAGAAGTATCCGCATCTGGCAGCGAAGATGGGGGCATTGTCAAGCGCCGCAGCTATGAGTGGGATGCCGAGATAGGCTATAAACGCTCTTTCTTACACATAATCTCTCGTTTTTAATCCAACGAATTCGAATTAAGTTTTTGTTGGATTGTACTATTCTGGAGGTTGTTGGGGAAGCCTACGATAGTTGGGAAGGTTTATGTAGATACTTAATTCTTCTTCTTTTTCCAATCATTTTCTTTGTACATTGCGGATCCAGCTTTTGGGACCACGACCTGTTTTTCTTCGACAGCTCTTTCATTCGTACTCTTCCTGGTCGTGCGTAATCTCTTCCCTTCTTACTCTACTGTTGGTATCGGGGTTCATTTTTGGGGTCAAAGGGACAAAAGGGTTATGTATAAGGGATCCCACACGCATGGCTATCGCGCATTGAGTTGTTTTCTCTCCACTCTGGGCGGGGGGTGTATATTTGGGCTTCCTGGCCGTTAATATGATAATTTACCATACCTATAAGTATATAAGTTAATTTGGCAAATTCTCTATTCGCAATCTTTTCCCAGAGTACTAGTTCAAGACAAAACCAGATATAAATTTGGCGAATCCGTAGCCGATATGGTACGGCATGGTATACTGTGAAATAATTTTTGAATTTTATGAGTTTCAAAAGCAAAAAAAGGGTGGTAGCTTTGTACAAAAGATCCCGTGCGCACACTCTTCATCTTCCTCATTCCTTCCTTCTTCCTTTCGCTATAAACAAAGATTGACAGAAATGAATATAAAAAAGAACCATTTTCTCCGTATGCCCGAATATCTACACCGTGGTCCTATCAATTCACGAAATCAGCACGACTTGTCTCCGAAGTTTAAAGGGCGGTATGACACCAATGCATACCTTCGAGGTCCTTTAAAATATAATCTACTGTCCAGTCCTAGCGGCTGCTCTCTCCTGCTCGAGCTTGAAGTAGTAGGCATCGCGTTGACGAACGGCGGGGAGATGGTATCCATACCTAGATTCATTACCCACAAACGTTTAGTGACCCAATCGATAATAAAGATAGATACGCATGAGGTAAAGGGGACTAGGACATACCACCATCCAAGACCGCAGACGACACCACCGCCTATAACAATCATGAGAGAGAACCTCCGTTAGCCCATTTGATCTTGTGATATATATCTCTACCCGATTTGATATCATAACAATCCCGCCCTCCCGGGTTCCTCCGATTTTCGGTCCTTTTTTTATATCATTGAAATGTATCGGAATATGGTATTCTTTCGACGGGGTTTTCGGAGAGACTATCGTTGGAGCGGTGGAATGGGAGGGGGTTAGGTCGTGGACATACCGAGAGCAACACTAAGATCGAGAACAAGTCCCTTCTTTAAACGACCGGTGATTGGTGCAATTGGCATTGTGACGGTGATTGATCTCAAGAAGGGAGGAAGGATTTCGGTATTGGTATCGGCTTCGCTGGTAGAGGAGGAGAGGAGTGGAGATTTGTGATTTGGGTTTCTTCTTCTTCTTTTTTTGCTTTCGGAGGTCTGCAATGGTTGACGTCGAAAATGTCGAAGCGAGGTTGATTTTTGCCAAGACCATTGGGTTTGTTTTCGGAAGGATGGGCATTGGGTGACAACACGGGTGTGAGGTTTGGGGTCAGGCCACTCTTGGATGCTTGATTACTACGCACCACTCAAGCACTCTCCGCATAATATACGCATAAGACGGTGACTACAACAATAGTCATGGGAAAGTATTGTAGATGCTAGAATCTCCGTCCGCTCCTCGATGATATCATAGTTTACGAGAATATGCACCCGTCCAAACCTCCTCACTTTTTAATTTTTAATTTTTAATTTTTTCTTTTTGGAAAAACATTGACAGGTCATGAGAGTGAAGAAAAGACTATGTTGCATATTACTCACCGTTATGGCGTTACCCTAAATAACTTCAACAGACCGACCCTTGATAGTGACTCGAAATCCTATCACAGAATTTAATTGAATTTGCAGTACAATTGAGTATGTACGATATTAATACTCAATAAGATAACAAAGGCCGGTACCACCTGGACTGGCTAAGCCGCGGCTAGAAACCCAATTGCTCAATTGACTAATCAAAAAGTCCAGCCCCGAGAGGCTGTCTCTTTCGAAAAGCATAATCCTGCGTCGTATACGCCTGAGATTCTGACGGGGCCGAAAGGTGCATCGAGTGAAAAATAGGGCGCCTTTTGTGTAAGAACGGAAATCATCAGATGTTAGCATCTCTTCGTATTGTTCTAGGAATGAGAAGCGGCTGTGTAGGAAATTGCAATTGCTGCATTAGAGCAACTTTGGAATAAGAAGGGAGCCTTACAAGCCTTCATTCGGGATTAAGAGTGGATACCGCCGCAGTAACTTCCAGTCATGACAATCCTTCTTCCTCGACGTCCGAGCACAATACCAACTATGATTCGCGTTATCTATATCATCAAAGGTGGTTGGATGTAGCGTTATAGGCCCTTTTCCAGTAGAATCATGGTGAGCCACCCTCCAGAGTCTAGGACGCGCTTGTGTCCGTGGGTAGCGGTGAAGTTCCGGCGCTCCAGCTCCCATTGCCACTATCTTCAAGTTGTTTGATCTTTTTACCGGCATAGGATCATGTATTTCGTGGTTCAGCATGTTCTCCAGCCCACATTTTATCGCTCTGGCCAAGGCTTCATTTGCGAAATAAACTTCTTCGATCATAGATGATGGACCCTTAAGCTGAACTGAATGAAAAAGCACTTCAAGCTTTGGAAAGGCATGAAGGGGGAATGATATCATTAGAGGGAAACAAGGACAGTTATCAGCCCTGATACAGTCCGTGGAATGGTTTGTGTCTCTAGTTATCCCTAATTCCACAAGGTTAGGGCATTTTTGGCCTATTTTGTGAAGGGTGGACGCCGAAAGGACCAAAGGTGTGGGTTGAGATATATCTGCGCAAAGGTACAACCTCTTGAGCGTCTTTCCGTGGCTAAAAATCGCTAAAATAGTTTGGCGTTCGAACGTCCTACCGTATACGTAATGCAGCTCCACCAGGCCCTTTATGGAGGTAAGAAGGTCTATTCCATTCCCTCGCCCAGCAATACCGATATCTGTTATATAAAGTCGTTGGAGCTGTGAGAGGGGGAGTATGATATTGAAGATGTCTACATCTGCGTGGACTCGAAGCGGTGCTTGATATTCAACTAAAGCAGGAAGATCGAGCCTTTCAAGCTGATGCATTTGAAGCTGACCTCGTATTTCATCTCTTGGGTGGATAATCCCAAAACTGACTGTTTGCAGTGTGGATGCACTAGCTTTAATGATCTGGGATATGGTTTCGATCTCTCTTGGAAGGAGAAGGCCGTTCCATCTCAAAGTGTTTATCGAGGTAAATTTGCTAAGTTCCGGATTATGTTCCATATTTTCCAAGAATTCGACTGCGTCGATGTAGAGACAATTGAGCGTGGTCCCTTGATTGTTGGCCAGAAAAGTCAGAAGGCTTGAACTCATTTCGAGATGAGAGCGCCATCTTTTTTTTTTTTTGACGATCAATGAAAGCTGTTAGTATAGATACTATTTACAAAGCTTAAAGAGATGCAACTAGATTGAATAAGGTGGTTTCTCTCACATAAAGCTTCTTAGCTGCGCGTTCCCAAGTCTTCGAAGGAACCCTTCCATCAACTCATTAACCATAGCCGCAAGTCCGTCTTCCCATATTTTAGGGGCATTACGATCTTCGTGCTCAGCAAGGAGGACGACATTTTTAACCAGATGAAGGCTCGAATGGCGATGCTGATATGTAAATAGCGATCTAATATAATTCTTCGGTATGGCGATTCCGCTCCGGAGCTCTATTATTATACTTTCATAAAGCACTGGCGTCACGATTGCGTTCCATTGTCGACAAACGAGAGAGAATGACCAGAGATCAGATCGTGATAGCTAAATATTAATGCGACAAAGAGTTAGAGTTAGCTTCTAATTAATATTATAATTGTGGATGCTGTTGCATGTTGCGGGTTGGGAATTTACCCAAATCGAATTGTCCTAGTGCACTTACATGACCGCAATTAAAAATTTGCTCAACGAGTTCGGGGGGAAGTGACATTATACTCGAAGATCTAAGATGTATATTGTATATAGCGACTTATGATATATATTCGCTTTTTTTTAGTATGTTAGCAAGCTCGAGAGTTGATATCTCGCGGGAGAAAGATAGTTTCGCGAAGTCAACCAAGAGCTGTATATGTGTGTTTGATTCGGATAAAGACCTAATAGAGTCGTTCAAAGTACATTATGCACTATATGTTGCCTGAAGTAACTACCTAAATTTAAACCTTGCAATTTACTTGCATATGTTTTTATATGTTAGCGGCTATGGTTTAACCAATGCAATTGCAATTGCTATTTACAAAATGCAAAGGAATTATCGAACGGTGGCACAGAACAATGCAATAGACCAAACGCGGAAGCTATTCAATTGACCACCTTGCCATATAGCTAGGGTGGCACTGCGCTAAATAGCATACGGACATAGTTATGAAGTACTAAAGTTATAACCTCTTCCCATGATCCGTATCTTTATATTAGGATTAGTATTTAACTGATTGTTGCCGCTACTGATTGGAGAAACCTAGCGCTATAGCCTGGGGGGTTGGGTCCCCATATACTAAGTGTATAATTAATTCTCTTCCATTGAAAACAATGGGAACTATTGAATTACATCGCCAGGTACTGAGGAATAGCGCCGGGGACCATGTAGTGGGGGTTTGTAGATTATCTAGCGAACATGGAGCCAATTCTTACATTTTGACCAACGAATCGATGCCCTACCGTACCGTAGTAGAACAGAAGTGAAGAAGTTCACAAGGGGCCAAGGCTCAATAACTTGTGACCCTATTGATGAGTCTGCAAATTAGAAGAAGGATTTCCGTTTTTGCCATGGTTTGAAGAAAAAGCGCCGCGAATCGTGAGATTGCATGCTGGCCGTCCTAAACAGGGTACTGTTTTTAGGACGGTGTTCCCCTCCACACATGTGCATATGTGGCACACAAAAATCATGGTTTTAGTCACTCGATCTAAGAGCCTTACGATAGGAAAGAATAGTCGTTGTAGCATTGTTCTAGAAAAGAATGTAATTTAAATCATTTAATTTTCGATTATCATCCGTATCATTCCACTTTTTCTCAAAGACATGCCGCTCAGAAGCTAATATGATAGTAAAAAAAATATTGCAATGATTCGGAAGAAGAAGAAACGGCATAAAGAAAGAGACGGGATAAATGGATATTGGGGAAGGAAATGGAAAAAAAGATACGGTACGAGAGGGGACTGCAAGAGCTGATCAGTAAAGCGACGATAGTAACCCTGTATAAACGCCGGATATTTGTCAATCAATAACAAAGGTGGTGGTAGTAGTGGTAGGCATAAGTAAAGCGTGTAAGCGTTTCAGATTGTCTAATAACGTAGAAAAAAATGAAGAAGGTTCCGCCGGTGTGTGTTCGTATCAGGAGAGATAGTTTGTGTAAGAAGGAATTAAGCTGGCGGGAAGGATACCGAAGAAGGGAACAAAATAGAGAATAAAAGAGGAGCTGGATGTTGATAGTAGAACACCCGATTTTTGAAAAAAAAAGAGGAAATTCAAAGCAGAGCTCTCTTGTTATTCACTGGAGAAGCAACTTAATCTCTCCAAGGGTTGTCAAACTCGGCAGTGGTCCCAAGACTTGGCTGTTGACCATGTGGCTTGCCGGCTTGCTTCAAGTCGGCACTTCCGTGTTTTTTGAGCGCCTGGCTTAACGTCTCGACTGTGACCTCACTATGGTGAGCAGCAGCGCTCGGGGCAGGAATACTCATATCCTTCTCCATACTGAAATCACTAAGTCCCAAACCAGTACCGGGAGGAGAATGAGGAACATGAGGAGGAGTTCGGATGGGTGAGTTTGAGCGAAGCGATGGAGCTCTATTGCTCGCTTGTGAAGCTGTCGGTTTGCTAATATGCGATGATTCTAGGTTGGTGGAAGACTGCGAGGCCTGCTCATTTTCAGCTTGGACGACATCGGCGAAGGAAATGAACGAGAGCCGACGCTTGTCAGCTGATGCCAGAGACGAAGTATAGCCGTGACCAATGGATTCATCGCCACTATGCGCAGATTCTTCGGCCCATGGGTTAGAGTAAGACTCGGGGTGAGAAAGGACCGTGTGGTGAGAGGTTGAAGAAACGATTTCCACGCGGTCCGGATCGACTGAAGAGTCGGTTATCGCCAAGGAAGTAGCTTCGAGGACGGCGGGAATGTGGTTCTCGGTGGAGAAGTGGGTAGGAATGGAGGGGCTTCCTGGTGGAAGGGAAGGATCTTGAACGTTTCGCTCAAAAATAGAGGAAGTCGAAAGTCGCGGAGAACCAGCTTTAGAGCGACGTTGAGAGCCGAAGTGGCTTGAACGGACCGGAGAGACTGGTGAAGTCGTGCTGTTGGTACCAGTCGACTTGGTCTCTGGTGGAGAGATGGTAGTAATTGGAGGGATAACGGTAGTAGATGAAGTCTTGCTGCTGTCATCCGAAGCCGCCTGCTTCTTCTTGCCGAAATTGAAGAAGCTACGGCGCTTTTGTTGGGTAGGAGTCAACTGCGCCTTTTCGCTCTCGCCAGAGATGGTATCTGGTGGGAGCTGGTGTATCGACTCACCAAGAGGCGCCGGCGCACTAGCGGTCGTCATTGTGTGGTCTGAAGGGTGGGATGGTCTAAAGTTAGAAGTATGAGAGAGGGTTGACGAAGTAGGAATATCGTCGGCGAAGTCGATGAGTGAATCGGAGTGTTTAGAAGGAGGTTGGTGATGATGTTGAGGTTGATGATGTTGGCTGCTATGGTAGCTTTCAGTGGAATTGGATGCGGCAAGCACAGGGTGGCTAATCAGAAATGAAGCTTCGTCGGAGTGTATTGGCGCATCTGCGATATAAAATCAATACTTTTTGTTCTCTTTTGCCTTATCGAAAACAGAATCGCGAAGGGAGAACAAGACAAGCTATTGGACAAGGATTTGGATTATTTTGAAGGAAGAAGAAGTGATTTATTTCCGGAGATGAAGATAAAGGTATGGTGGGAGAATTGAAGAGGTGGTGGTGGTGGTGGTGGTGATGGTGGTGTAGTAAATAGGCAGGATACGAGAGGGATCCGAACCAGATGACATAGCCAGAACAAGGCTCAGTCAGTCCTGCAGCGGGCGAAGTGAACTGGCGGGACCAACCAACAGAACTAAAACCAACCAGCTGCAAAACGAAAAAAACAGGGACAGGAACAGAAAACAGCCGCCATGCCATGCTATGCCATGACCTGCAAATTTGCATCCCAAAACCCAAAACCAGTCAGGATAGCGCCGGCCGGGGACAGCAAGGTACGGACGGTCGGTCACACTCCCAGCGGGGAGGACACTAAAAGGGCACTGTATGCTGATACTAACACTTTCGAGGCTATCATGCAAAAGATCTTTCCGAAACACCACATCTGGAATTTTCAATAAGATCTGTTTGCGTGATGTCAACCGCAAGACGAATCAGAGAACAGTAGCGGGCGTTAAACGGCCGTCGGGCAGCAGCCTTAAAGGCAATCATGGGAACTGTTCTCTAAAACTGGAAAAGCAGATGGTCCAATGACAGGAGCTCATTCTTGTCCTTTCACACTTCCTCCCGGCGGTGTCCACGTCCAGTGACCTGCTGATCCTGCTCGACACAGAAGGGGGTCAGGACATGGCTTCTTCTATCGTGGGACCAAACGATGCAGTGAGCCTGTCAACTACATGGCATAATCGATAGAAGACGAGAATGAAGGAAGAGAACAGGGAACTCGCATGTAACGGCAAAAGACAACAGGCAGCAGGCAGTTGTACTACGACGACGACGAAGACGACGACGACGTCTCCTAACTGAACTCAGCTCTGCGGGAGCATCGGACGGAGCAGCTTCAGGGACCTCGTCTGTGAACCCCTCCTCTTGGCCATGGTTCCCTGTTCTGTATCCATCCACTCCATTTCGTCTTACCGATTGCGCACAATGACACCGGTCTGCCCATGCATTCCTTTTCCTTATTTGATGTTGCTCAAATCTTGACTTCTTTTGCCATGACCCGCCTAGCGGCATCTCATCGCTCTTGTCCTGTCTAGTTCTTTTTTTTTTTTTTTTTGCCTTCGCAGTCACCACCGATGGAATGTCTGGCCGCAGGAGGCCGAAGGAGAAAATTCCTCAAACCAATTATCAATGCCGGCTGACGCCCTTGGTTTTGCTTGATAATGTAAATCTGTCTCTGCATGATACCGAATACCGACATTTAGGAAACCAATAAAAATTTTGACTCCGTATCTGTATCTATATCGGTATCGTGGTGTTCCATGCATGGATTTTTCCAAGCAGAAAAGAAAAGAAAAGAATCTTTGAACGGAAGTGGGTCGCTTCTGCTACCCCCCTTTCAGATCCGAAAGACCCCTCTTTCGAGGTAGTTGAGGGTCCCACCCGGAATGAGCTGTATCCTTCCCCGGCATAGCGAACTCGTCTAAAAAGGCCTTAATACATTCCCTCTTAGAACCTGTCACCATCGACAAGAACCATGAAGCGATTCGAGACCCTGGGTTGGCGGCACAGGAAACCTTCTTGTTCTTGTTTGTCCGAGAGTATTTCCCTCAACAAGACAGGTCATGCGCAACGTAAGAAAACCACTCTTTCAAAAACAAAGACAAGGGGAACGCCCACGAGGCATGGAAAGCAAAAACGGAAGCAGGATCAATTTTTTGTTGAACTAAAAAAAAAAAAAAAAAAACGTAGTCTATCGGTGTGGACCCTAGGAATTGGATACGAGGGACGGGAAGATGAAAGACTCAATGGAATGATGGCGACAGATTGCAAAAAAGACGCAAAAACGATATCGATACCGATATCTCTATCGGCAGTATATCTCTCCTATCAGCTTACCTAGTATCGGTACTGTCGAATCCGTAGATGGGGTAACGGATTTTCTTTTCCAGAAGAGAGACATGTGGTATTACGTTCGATATGATGGTAGCGTTATCGGTCGTTCGTGATCGGGCCGCGAAAAGGATATTGAAAGTCGGAAATTACAGCGACGATATTGATGTTTTTTTCTTTAGGGGTTTTGACCGCCCGCCGGGAATTGGGTCTTGATATAGACACCTTGATCTTCTAAGCCGGTGAGATTGAGAATTGGGGTGTGATATATTTGGAATCTCAGCGCAGGCTGAGCTGAATATTTGGCTGGAATCTGGACGATATCTTCTCACAAATCAAAGCGATGGAGATCGAAATTAATTGAACGTTGTGCGACGAGAAACAGATACAATGGGAATAAGCCGTGTAGAGTGTATAATAAAAAAAATAGGAAACGTCTTTAAAAGGAGAAAAGGAAGAAATCAGGAGTCCAGTCGTCCCGAAGCTTGAAATTAATCCGATTCCCGTCACGCACAGCTTGAGGGTCGGGTTTAGCTACAATAACCTGCTAGGAAAAGAAGGCCGACTCGAAGCCACACCCCTACCTTGCGGACACAGTTAACCTCTAAACGGCGACACGGCGCCGTGAAAACTTTTCGAAGGTCGATTTGAGCTGGCTGCCTGGCGATTGGAGCTACGTAATAGAGGTGGACAATGAGGCAAAAAAGCTGTACGATATCATGTAGAACGACGGTGGCATGCAGCTGATGCAGGGTCAAGAGCGTGAGCCAGTTCAGCGTCCGTTGTTTCAGCTTGCTGTTTTGGAAAGTTCGATGACGCTGGTGGCCTTGGCTAAATAGCGCCACATTCTAAGAGTGTGGCGGTTAATGAGGCTGTGATATCACGTGCTGATCGCTGGGTCACACAGGAGCAACACAGATCAATCCAACAACGGGCCAAACTAACCAGGCTCCTTAGTGCATGTGCTACTCCGGCTATAGCCTCAAATCAAGTTTTGGCCAGAAACCTGTCGAATACTCGAACTCGAATCATGAAGTTGAACTAAGGTTCAGGCTAGAGAATAGTAGTAATATCCTAGATTCCCTAATTTCTTCTAAGATTATAAAAAAAGCAACGCCACTGACTAAATTAGAAGATATATTTCGACGTAGCTACACGCTGTCTGGTTTACGAGACCGTTCTACAAGCTACACCGGTGCACCATAATTCTGCAATCAATGCAATCCAGCCGGCCCCGCCAACATTGGACCTCAATTTAAAACATATATTGGGGAACATGGATTGTACATTTGTATCATAGGAAAGATTAGAAATCTTCGAGGTCTACTAGTACGTATATAAGCATAAATGCTAGGAATCGTAAATATTGATTCATAATAACGTGCAATATGCGCAATAATTGTAATCGAAAGCCAAAGTTCTACCTTGTGTCCCTCCTCTATTCAATAAAAAACCTCAGTTAGGTGTATATATACATTATATATAGGTTCTAGACGTAGTTCACATTCTTACCATCCCGTGTTCCTACTAATACTATTGGCCCTGCAAGTGAAACAACCGAAATGTCTCACCAATTCCTTCTAAAGCTCATCGATGGCTAGAAGTGGTTCAATTCAACCTAGGATCAAGGCTATAGTCCGCCATTTCGTACATCTCTTCATACATAGTCTGTTGTTTCATGAAACAAACGTTATAGCACTTGAGTCGCACATCATGACTAGGAAAAGGATACCGGACCTCGTTGCTTCGAAGCTTCTCATCGGTGGTCCTTAGCTTTGAATCCAGGTAACCCTTTCTCCGGAAAAGAAGATAATAGACTTCTATGCATGCGGAGTAGCACGCTAGTCCGGTTCTGACTTAAAACGTTCGTCAAGACGCACAGGATACCGGATTTAACATGGCCATGTATTAAGTGGCTAGATGAATTGGGGTGTTGAGTATACGCACTTACATACCTTTTTTCTTCCAGGTCTGGGTACGAGACAACCTTTGTTAAGGGTGCGAAATTTAAAACCTCTCTACCTCTTCCACCATTGATTTTAGACTTCAGATGCAAGAGGGGCAACCAATGTATATGCACGCTCTCAGAGATATGATCTAGGCTCAGCTCCTTGAACACCGTGCACTGATGCACCCCCCATTTCTTGGACTTTCTTTTTAATTTTTTTCTTCACTCCCACCAGTACTGTTTTCTGTAGAACTAGGTATGTACTCGAGGAATTTCCAACGTACAAATCCTAGATATAGGGTCAGTCACTCAACCTGAATTGATACTATCGAGCTACAGTCCATAAACCCATGAGCTCAATTGCAACCCATCTGAGCGCCCATAGCTAGTTAGCCACCTTTCTGTTGCAGTAGCAAATTTTTGGAATGCGCTCGTTAATGCTTTCCAAGTCCGGTCAACCCTATATAATTATTATCCAATCTCTTGCTTGAGACAGGGTGAACAAAGCCATTCCCTCAAGATCTGCAGTGTTCTTTTGAGCCCTTTCAAGCTATACGCAGTAGCGAATGAAACCCAATACTTCACATCGGATATGCCTGTGCAGGAGTACCGATACCCAATACATGCAGCTGCACTAATCCCCAAACGTACACGCAAATCAAGAAGAAGCTTGAGTCACAAAACCCACTACCTTCGGAACACGCGCACACACGGGTCGTAGTCGATGTGGCGTTTATCCGTGCACACCTAGATACCCGTATGTAGTACTAAAGTCTTGGAAATTTTCAAACCTCACTTTCTTTTCAAGAGATGTGCATAGGTGTATACTAATTAATAATACTTTTGCTCGAACCCAATTTTCAACCTTCATGCCCCTAGGCCAGGTCGACTGGTCTGGTACAAAATACAAGCGTTTGTGTCGGGGCTGGAATTCTAGAAGATCTTTGAAGATAACTTAACGTATATATAATATAGCGTTCAAACCGAATATTCTCAATCGACTTGTGGTTATGGTTGCTTGGATATACCCTAGTTAGGGCGCATACGTATACATAACCTTTACTCTACACGTCTTTCTCGTCATATCTCAAATGTTGGGGGACCCCGGGCTGAACGTTGGTTGGACGCTTCAAATTGATGTGGGTCGTTAGTGCATCACTAAAGCTAAGTATGGACATATGCAAGAACCCCTGCACCTCGAAGCGAGATCGAAAGTATCTCGATGAAATCGAGAAAATGCTTGTGATACTAAGTATGTACTCCGTACAATAGCTGAACAATGAGATTAACTGAATGCAAGAGACTGTTTAATTTTCTTGGCGGTCCATATAACTTTCAGATATCCTTCGATTTCACCTGGCTACACTGCCCTTGAGAGACTTCGGACATTGCCGGGCTTCTGTGGCAGGAGGACGCGAGGGTCTTGGCACTCATTAACCATGAACCAATATTAGAGTACGCCTCGTATTCGTTGATAAACTCTCTTGGCATAGTGATTTATATTACTATATTTGCATTTTGTGGTTGTTATCAAGGATTTCAGGCCGACTCTGCAGCAGGGAGATACAAACTTCGGCCGAATACTCTATATTATGTTACCCCTTCCAATACCGCTGCGGGGCTCTGTCGTTACATTCATTGCATTCTTCATCTATTCGAATTCATCAGAATAGATCGAAACCGACACACCCACGTGGCGGGGAATACAAATCCGGATCCATGGTTTTGGGAGGCATAGTGTACACCGGCCTCGGTAATCAGTCCCAGACGATGTTACAGAGCATGTTGCAGAACAATCTCCTAGTGTGAGATGGTCACCTTGGTGCCTAGCTAGCTTCATCCGTTATGATGCGGTACGTACTTACATTTGACACAAACATCCATCTTGTGAATTAGTTAGAACCTGGGCTTATTCATCCCTTAACAATCTGCAAGCATAATTGAGATGTAAGACAATTGCAAGCAACGGCCCAAAACAGCGACCAACGAGGTCTAACCTGAACGGTCTCGGGGATACGGTTCGTCTCCTCCAACCCAGGTAACGCTATAGTGGTTGCGCTCGGATGTCGCGTGTCTGTGTGGTACATAACGCCAGCCAATCACTTCCACACTTACGAGGATCTGAACTCTTGAAAAAAAAGTTTACTTCGTAAAGCTGCCCCGATTTGATGTTTCTCATGAATTCACTTTCGGTTTGTGGGGTGGTGGTTTGTGGCCCTGCCTAAGTTAAGCTACCGAATTCCTTGTGTTACACTTGGACCCGCCTATATCTTCGTCACGGTTCCCATAAGACTTTTAAGTTTATTACATTTCGAATTCCTGTATACTGTACGGTGATAAATTAATCAAAACACCAAAAGCAGAATTCCCCCATGGCTATATGGCTACTTATCATGTCTCTATGAATTAATCCCTCGACGACCCAGAAAACAGACCTCCTATCTACCCAAGAAGCCGTCAAGCGAAACGATCCACCTGTTAATTGTCGAAAACTCCACGCTCGATCGAAGAATTTCCAAATGTGCCTCCAGGAATGGTTCAACCGAGCGACTAAATTCCAACAAAACATTGTAAGGCGTTCGTATTAGTATGGCGGAAGCCGCGCAAGCTGGTGGTTCGGAACTTGTAGCATGGATCGTCGCGGCACCAATTGTATCAATGGTACTATGCACCGGAGGGGTCGCTGCCCGATTATTCACGCGAGTCAGGTTCGCAAATCAAGAGTTGTTCCTTGAGGATTGGTTGGTTATTGGGCCGGCGTATGTATGTTTTCCCTTTTTATATATCGTGGTCCTACCCTGCATCCGGATTTATGAATCTCGAGACTAATATTCTAATCGTCATTTGCTCTTCTAGATCTGTATTATGGGAGTAGCCGTTACTATGATTGTTGCTACAAGCTACGGTCTCGGATGGCATACAGACCATGGGATTAGCCCTGCCGATGTGGAGAAAACAATGAAGGTACGCTACCGATGTGTCAAAATCTCCACAGAATAACAAGCTTCTTTAGTATTAAGTCTGCTAACCATTAATTAATTGTTAGACGATATGTACGCAGATATGCAGCCTCAACGACTCCTTTCAAGGCCACTAATTGATATGAGAAACTTTAGACGCCATCCAGATACCATTATTTATCGCCGTCGGTGCCATCCGCACATCCCTCCTCCTCTTCATTCAACGACTTTCATATGCATGTTCCTGGTCCATCTATTTAATTACAACCGGACTTATTCCTATCAACATAATACATGTTCTTATCGCTATATTCGTATCAATTTTTCGGTGCAACCCGATCAGAAGCACATGGGACTTTGATTCCATATCATATACATGCATACCCCGAGCCGTCACCTATACGTTAATAACGATCGGACTGGTAGTCGATATTGCGATATTCCTATTGCCGGCGATATTGGTGATTCGATTGGATATCAAGAGGAAGAAAAAATTGCAGAGCATTGTTATGTTCGCATTAGGTGGAGGGTAAGGAGCCATGACTCTATTCGCAAATATTTCAATTTTAGGCGGACAAACAAAGACGTAATTAGCTAACTGCCATGCCTCAACTCCTGCAGTGGATGTATTGTCGAAGGGTTACGTTTTGGTCAAATACGTGAGGCGGAAACCAGCAGTGATATCACATGTATGCGCCCTCCTATGCCCCTATTCCTCAGAACCTTACTAATATTCTTATTTGCCCCTAGATACATCAGGTGTCATCATGATTTTCATATTTTTTCAGGTAATATTAGGTATGCTTTGTTGTTGTGCACCAGCTATAAAGGTATTTGCAGCTAGCACCTTCGCCTCGAAATTCAAATGCACCAAGTACTTCATATCAGAGTCAACCGAGGATGTACGCGAGACGGATCCTACCCGAGATCCTCCTAGTGTTGCGAGGAACCCTGAAGAGAGAGACTTGGAAAGCGCCCCCGAGTCGTTTTACGAAGAGGCGTCGATCTCCGAGGCTATGGGATGGGAACCATCCACAGAAGGGATAGAGATGGAAATACAGGATTCCGATGCGGCAAGAGATAAGCAAGATAAAAGCGGAACAGTAGTTAAGGAGAGGAAGATTTTAAATCTAAAAGAAGTCCTAGAATTGGATTCTCAGAAGAGAGCAGCATTAGAGGTACCGCCAGGCAGTGAGGGGCTTGGAAGTGCGAGGAGCGGGAGTAGTGGTCGCACAGATGAGTTCCAAGCTACACCAGTAGAGTGGGGACGACAGTTATGAATATCCCATTAATGAGTTCTTTACGCCAGTCTCGTCTTTTCATTCATCACACGCTCTGTTTTTCTTCACGCTTTAGCCTTGTTTTTCCTATTTTCGATGGTATGCATGGTGACATGTTTATGTATACCCCTGAAAGTACATGTGAGCATTTCTTTACGAATATTATATTAATAATGCTACAATATTGAGAAAAATATGTCGATGAGCCATGACCGTGAAATCTATACATTTCGGATTCTGGGTCGGGTATTAATCTAGTGCTGCTGAGCCGATAATGACGGGCACTCAACTAATGTAGGCATAAACATTGCCCGCCTTCCTTAGATTAAGATAAGGAGGGTTCTTCCACAGTTCATTCTAGCGTGTGAGCCTACTCTATAATTTAGTCCCGTCCACATGCCTGCGATTGTGCCGGGAGTAATGTTAAGCGGTAACATAAAGTTTAGCTCACTATCTAAGACTGACTGGGTCGTGGCCGACGTCCCGCGGTCACCCTGCACACAAATGTAATTCATCAATATGAGAATTTAGTGATATGAATGTAAATAATTTCATTATAAATACGTATACGCGTGGATTAGGGTTCGTTGGTTTGGAGGCCTGGGAGAGAAGAAATCGACGTGATATATCGACCTTATTCCCATGAGAAAAACAAAAACAAATGGAAGTTGTCCTATTCGGGTACATTCTAACTCAGTAGCTCCTAAAAAGGGAATAGCAAAGGCCTGATTACCACAGTGTGGATCAGTAGCCTACTATTTAAAGAGGGGCTTCCGGGTGCAAATCAACAGATTTACAGTCGTTCTTGTTATCAATGAATGAACCGATGAATAAAGTCTTCGCTCCATTGATATCGGCCTCAACTGGCACACAACTCTGGAGTTTATCGAGGACTGCATCATTAGGAACCACATTGCCATTGGCATGCTTGGTCCATTTCAGGAAGTTTCCATTGACAGATGACGGAGAGTCCCAAAGAATTTCTCTCGGGTCAGCACTTCCAAGAGTGTATGAGACCCAAACAGAATTACTTTGTCCTGCATTATTGTACGAAAGACGGTTTTCTGAATCAAGGAACCATACAGTCGCTTGGGCTTTATCGGAGACGAAGATAGCATGAGTGATAAAGGGGGAGTTGTTGTGGGAAACAGCCTTCAGATAGTGCTGTGATACACCGGGCCCGTTGGATCGAAGAACAAATTTCTCTGGTGGTGGTGGAGGCACATGGGTATAAAATGTAGCAATGGTGGTCAGAGTGGTTGTAACCTCAACCTCTTTGTAGTTGGTGACAGTTGTAACAGTTTCAGTAACTTCGACTATGGTCTTCGAAACATCCACGGTTTCCGTCAAAGTCTTGGTGATTTCGGTTGTCAAAGAGTCAGATGCAGTAATTGTTACTGTCGGGGCGGTGTAGGTGACGGGGATGATCTCCAATGGGACTGTCAGGCATGAGCAAGCGCTGGAGATCCGATCAGGAGGGTATGTGGCGACCCTCTCTGTTAGGGGAGCATGTGTATTCCGCTTCACGTAGTTTTGAGTGATAGTGGTAACGATAGTATCCGTTTGGGTCGCAGTCTTAGTGCTAGTAGCACAATCCGTTACTGTATTGACAACGGTGTCGATGTCGGTGAATATCAGGGTCTTTGTGAGGGTCTCTTCGACTTCATCGACGACCGTGATCGTAGTTGTCTCGCTAATAGTGCTGTATAAAGTATTAGTAACTTCTAGCGTCGAAGTATGAATAGATATATAAGCAGTGTAGTATAGAAAATGAGCCTACAGAGTGGGTGTTACGGTGGCAACTGTGATAGTTGTACCGGGGAGATTCAAGTATGTGCTGCAGAACACGACAGCCTCGCCGATATTGTCGGAATTCCTCAATAAACGGAGGAGATTGTCGGCATTACAGCCATTGCTTCCCGTGCGTTTCTGGAGAATGTGCACTGGGTTTGGCGCTGAGGTGACTAATGAGGCTCCACTTAAGAGCAAAAATTTGGTAACAAACGATTTCATCTTGCGGGTAGAATTTAAATCGAATACACAAAACAAGAGCTACTAGTTAACTGAGCGGGTAGTGCCAATTCTTTACAGAACGCTTGTGGATACTTATAAAATCTTCGGAAGGAAGGATGTGAAAGATGGCCCCTTTTATACTACTACGCTGTCCAAGTTCACCGGGTATAATACAATTATTGAACTCTTGAGAGAGCTTGTAATAATACCCCCATGAATGTTGAATGACGGGGCAACGAAACGCCGGGCGCAAGGCTATGGCCTCGAGCCTTGTCATTACGCAAGTCTGGCTATTGTGATTGAAGCTGAAAAACTTTCGAAAATGGTGGCTGCTGCAGTATGCCCCAGCGAGCAAATAGAATTTTTCCGCCCAGACCTGAGCTGAAGTACCCTGCCGTTGCATGCCTGTTGATGGTCTCGGAAAACTATGAGTTTTGTTGGTGTTCAAAAGCCGGACCGTAGAATATTTATGTCAGGATGTTGATGTCGGGTTGCAAGTGTTGCAATTTTTGGCGGGAGAGCAAGCAGAAACCCCATGTTGGGATGTGAGAATATAGTCACTGCTAAGCTATCATTGGTCAAGCTTTCGGTGGCGGCATTCCGTGTGACAGGAGGGTGGAAGTTTCCGGGGAGCAATTGGCGAATTGACAACATTCAATTTCAAATCAAAATATATGACACCTCAGATATGCAGCTTCGAGATCTCAGATCTTGTCGCAAGATTGGCTAACGGAAGCCCCCCTCCGAGGAAAAAGAAACTTGGACATTATTCCTTATAAGTCCCTGGACAATTGCCAGCTAGTTGTAGATTAGGCCGAACCAACAGCACATGAAATATCTACGGGAGACGGGGCTACCCTTTACATTTCAGCTCTAAAGCCTTAGATGCGAATAGGGGGGCTAGATCCAGATATCCGTAGGTTCAAGCCGAATCGTCAAGGTGGGCAGATCTTAGAAACACGATCTCGGTCAGTATCGGATTGAGATCTCGGAACCGGTTAACCTTTGATGTTATGATCTTACAATAAATTATAACGTAAAGATTATAATTAATCGCGGTATCGATCTTTTGATACGATAAGAAGTAAGTTAAGCATATTTAGTGGCTCTCTAGGACGTTCAGCGTATGTCTCTCTTCGCATAGGCACTCAAATGCCCCCTCTATTGTAAATCTATAGAAGGGGCCTAGACCTATAAGCCGTCATTAGGTTTCGTAGGTTAAAACCTTGCACTAGACCATACACCTTTGGACTAGCCTCAAATCCATTTCCATATGTATGTCTAACTCTCAGGGCCCCGAGAGGGACTAGTTAGCCCCTCAACCTGATAGCAATACAACAAAAATTATGAATTAACCGTTTGATATTAACCTTAAATTTAAAAAACCCGAACCCGGCAAATGTCGATTAACACAAATTTAAACCAATAAGAATCAAAAAACCATATGCAGAGACAAGAAGACACACTGATCAATGGCGTGTGGCCCAAATATATCCATTACCATTACAATGAAAAATGATTGAAAACACAATTATACAAAGGGAATTACAAGCAAAACCAATTAGGCGCAATATTAAGATAACACAATAACAAATCAACGAAGGAAAAGAAATGCTGTTCTAATATCGGGCTTTTCCCTCCAAGCCGAGCCTTTAGATTTTGTTACTCATAGACAGCTAAGCAGCAGGAGCTTGCGGTTGGGTACTTGGAGTGGTGGGTGGAACCGCCTTCTGAGCATTTGCAAAATCCGGCAGTTGGCCCTTTTCAAGCTGCTCCAACGCTATTGTGAACTGATCGGGACTCAGTTTCGGTAGAACTGCCCATATCTCAGACGGCACTGTAGTCAAGAATTGTTGGATTTCGGCTGAGAGTTGTTTCACAGCTGGAAGAGACAGAATAGCGGCTCTGATCTGATCTGGTGAAGGCGTGGGAGTATTTTGACGCTTTGTTTCTTTGGTAACAGCTCGACGTGTGTCTCTCGAACGACGCTGAACACCACGAGGTGGGCCGTAAGAAGATGCGGCTCTTACTCCTTGGCGATGGTTGACTAAAGGATTTATCATATTAATTTGATGCAATTTATGAAATTAGAGGTCTGGATCGATAACCTACATTGAGCAACGCCGGTGTCTGAGGTCGCACTGTTCGCCAGAGCTGAAGAGCCAGCAATGAGAAGGGGAATAAAGAAAAGAACCGAAAACTTCATTTTGTTAGAGTTATAGAAACCCGTTTGTGAAATAGGGCTGCTCTTTTCAGTTATTCCTGAAGTGGAACCAAGATATTCGAAGCTAAATGAATAGTTCGAGAATATCGAATCGGTGTTAGAAAGGCGAGTGATTATCTTGAAAACAGAATTGACCGTGTAAATCGAGATAATAAACTAGTTTTAGCAAAACTATAGAGAAGAAGTGTAAAGAATGACAAGATTGGAAGTTGATAATTGAATTATTGATTGAGCGTGGCCAGCACAGCTATATCCACCAGGGACTTTAGAGAGAAGTGTTTAGAATGAGTTGATGATGAGTAGAAAAGTTGCAACGAGGTGGATGCCATCGCAATATATATACTCGTCTCCTCTATGGGATTTGTATGAAATGTCTATTTGGATATATGGTATACATATTTGCTACCCAAGACTCAGGGTCTCGAGCTAAAACTCGGGGATTATTGTGATTCGTCTGGCGGCCCATGTCAGAAACCTTCTAGACTTCGCTAGAAACCAAGCCTCCACAAGGTGCGTCAAATTATGCAAGAGCAAAAAAACGGTGGCTAACTAATGGCGAATTCAAGGATGGGGAAAAGCATCACTGGCCCTATCCCCAAATTGTTACAAGCCAAATTGCATTTACTCCCGGTCCCAGCGGACTCAACTGACCTTCAGTAGTTAGAGCTGGCAGCCGTACGAAAACAACAGATAACCCCGGCTACTTGAGCCTGTTTAAACATTGGCGGTGGTAAGCGGCCAGTTTCTGTGCAGAATAAGAAAGATATCATCAATATCGGAAAGGCGGTGGTTTCGTGGCGTCGACATGCATAAAGTCAGGCTTGAGGCTAAACCTTTCGGAATCGTTTCATCTTCGGAGTGTTGCAAGCCTATGCTCAAAGAAGTGTTGGGTTGCGTGCAATTTTGTGTAACGAGAGCCTCGCTTCCAGGATCTGACCAATCATGATGCGCCAAGAGCCGCAGGGGGATGCACAGGAGGTTTGGGGAGAGAAGCAAGCCTCCTCAAAGATTTTTACTGTTCCTGCATGCGGAGAGAAACAATAGGACACGATAATATGATACGACAGTCTACAAACGAGAGTAATTGGCGGTTAATTCACTGGATACGTCATGTCTAAGCTTATTCGTGTTAGATTCGATTAGAGACGGAAATTCATATATATTCAGCATGCCACTCGCTATTGTCATGTATTCTACAACAGCATCTAAGTCTATAACATCCATTCCTCCAGTGTTCCCTCGCCGGTCGTAGGGTATTTTATTTCTTTATCCTTTTATTTCCACATTCGTTTTCTCAATAATTCAATATTTCTCCCATTTCATATATATCTTTTTGCCCAAATTTAACTTATTAGCTTGTAATTTTAATACCGCCGGCGGACCTTCACTCTTTCAAAATGGTTGCCGCTTCGAAGATTCTCCCAGTTTTGTCTTTGGGACTAATCGGGCTTTCCCAAGCTGCAGAATGGCACGTTCCAATTGCTGCAGAAGAGAACCATATTGGTATGGTTCCTATTCGTCAGGAACATATTATCAAAGGCTTAAAGAGAAGATCCGATGATCTATCTCGGCTTAAGCCCCAGGATGAAGTCAAGATGTTCTACGGGAGAGCATTGTGTAAGCTTCCAATCAACAACTAAATAGGCAACTTGAATCAAGACAACCGGCTAACTAAAAATCAATACAGCGGAGGCACATCTTAGAATCGCTGACATGACAATTACCAAACCGGATGCGAACCATCCGCTCATCTTGTTGGAGAACTTTGATGACCTTACCGAAAGCATAACTTGCACCGATCAGGACTCCAAGATTGCACTAAAATTCAAGAGCAAGAACGCTATGGACACTGCTATCAAGTCCTGGGATTGGATCAACCAAAGCGATAATGATTACTTCTTTCTCTTCACTCATCATCATCACACGGGTTGCGGCCCTGATGAGGAAAGAACTTCCTACAAAATTACTGCCGTCACCTACGATAAAACTACTTTTACAACAGTTCTCACAAAGGAGAAGGCAACATGGAATGAAACCCTTCAGAACTTTGAAATCAAGATCAGGACTGTTGAGCACCCTCGGCCGAGCTTCGCTAGGAGAGACCTTAAAAGTGTCCTCCGCACCGGTATCTGCGCATTTTCTGGACCTTTCGAGGACTTGTTCAAATTTCAATGCGAGGAAGAAGTTGGAAAGGGTATTAACTCAGTTGTAGATACGGTGGAGGAAGGGTTCGACAAAGCGGTCGATACTGTTGGTGAAGGGTTTGATAAGGCTGTTGATTTGGTTGGCGAGGGAATTGATGTTGTTGGTGAAGGACTTGACAAGGCTGCTGATTTGGTTGGAGAAGGTATCGATACAGTCGTTGATGTGGCAAGCACTGTTGGAGGATACGTCGAAGAAGGCCTGAAGCCGGTTGTGGATGTTGTCAGCAGTGGCCTCAATACCCTCCTCGAGAAGTTTGTCGACGGAAATTATAAGGTTTCTTTTGGAAAGAAAGACCCCAAGCACAAAATTCCACTCACAGGTGTTGCATTCAAGGGAGAAGTCGACGTTGACATGGGGGCGAATTGTGTCGGCTGCTATCTCGAGGGTGGGTTTGGCTTCAAAGCCACGATCTCTCGAGTGAATGGAGCAACCCTGCCGAGTGCCATCTTTGATATCTCGCCACAGATCGAGGGAAACTTCGGTCTTGAACTTATTGGCGTGGTTTCCAAGGAACACGACTACAACGTCGGCGCGGCGATCGGGGACGATATCTTGAAGACCATGGGTATTTCCCCATTTCTCAAGATCGCACCCGAGGCTATTGCAGGCCCCGGAGTTGTGCTCAAGGGCGAAGCCACCATTTCTACAACTATGGGTGCTCGCTTCAGTTCTAAAGGCGCTCGGATACGACTTGTCGCTGGCACAGACCCCAGTATCTCAGTCCCATCTTGGCCCAAGGATCAGTTCAAACCAAACTTCGAGTTCGCCGGCCCCGAGTTCCAGGGCGAGATCAATCCATACATTCGCTGGGGTTTCGGTTTCGGTCTGGAAATTGCGGATACTGGCAAGTTTGGTGTATGGGGAGGTATCGACACCAGTGTCAATAACGTCTGGGCTTACAACACTTGTGAGGGAGCCAAAGAAAAGACCTTCCACTATCAATCCACTTTCAACGTTGCCGCAAAGGTCAACGTTGTCGCGGAGATTGAGACATCTATCGGCAATAGCGAAAGGCTAAGGGACAAGGCAAAGAAGGGAGCCAAGGACGGGTTTATCAACGGTGCCATCGACACAGTCGTCAGAAAGGTTCTAGGGGACTTGGCCGATGGTATTTCTATTACAAACGCTACTATTTACGATGGCTGCGAGGCTCCAGCCAAGCCCGCCAGTGCAAAGGGAGTGCAAGTCCTCAGCACTCCTAAGCTACCTAAAGCTGCTGCGCCAAAGTATATGTCTGGATACTCTCGCCCAATCTACGGCGAACTACTTTAATCGTTCCGCTAGATATTTATGTTATTTGATGATTTGTCATGAGAACTTATGTACTAGTACTCTTATTTATGTATTCACAGTTAGTTTAGCGTTTCCAGTCCCCAATATACATAGTAAACTTTATTTTTCAAGAATCTACCACATCTAAATATTTCGACTATAGATATATATAGTCTCGCTCCCATAAATATTTTTTAGATGGAGCAAGCTGGGTATGAGATAATGTATCGGGTAATTCATATAAATATGTGCTTTCGAATGGCACCACCATCGATGTCGTCTTGTATGCATGTATGCGTGGTGGGGAACCCTCTCGGTCTAAGTTATGCAATCTACAATAAAACCAACCGTCGACCCGTGTACGACATCCCTCATGGGATATAAATTTGTAGCATATGCTTGTTGAAGATAAGAAAATGAATATAATTTGGAGACTATTCAACAGGAGGTTATCATAAGCTTCACTAAAATCGATCCAACCCAGATAATATTTCGTTCCGACAACGCAGAAATGCCACAACTTTTGTGGTATTTCACCAGTACGATTTACGTGCATGTATACATTGCTAGCTCGGACTCTCGGAGATATCTAGATACCAAAGAGCTTAAGAGCTTAGGAGACTAGTTATCGCGATCTTTCTAGCCATAGTTATACTCATACTTCAAGATTACTTCCAACTTTGTCTAACATTTGGGAAATCAGGTTCATAATAATTACTTGAGAGGGTGGGTGTCCTCATACTTTTAGGTATCAGTTACCCCGTAAACTTAATGTACCGGCCGTGCACAGCTGCGGGGCGCCGACGTTTATGGTGACTTTTGTCCAATTACACTCCTTAGTTTCAATCCCATCCTCTATTCTGGGGCCCGTCCTCGTATTAGAACTGGAATTCATCAGTCAACCGAGCTGAGTTCCATGCGTCGGCGTCCCGATTCTGTATGCAGAGACATGCGGTTTCGTGCATATGCGCAAACCCTCCTATCAAGACTCGGATACAATATCAGCTCGCCAACATCCATGGAGAGCAACTATATCCACATGGAGGCAAACCTGCATATCTAATGAACGGCTTTCTGGACCGTTATTGGTGTTTGACTTTTCCGTCGCGATTGCGAGATAGGTGGCTGCAGATGGCTGAAAATGATACTCGTAACGATCGAATAGCAATGTATCCATGATGGACGACCAAAGTTTGCTTAATTATTCCTTCTTAACCACTCCTTTGGATGGAAGCGCACATTTTAAACCAATTTCTGAGCGCACATACAAATTAGTCATCTGTGAGGTAACACCATTCTATACTTACTTACATATGCATGATATATGTATATCCTCCTGAGGATAGCTAAGTCAAACTTTGCATCGCGCGGCATAAAAAGTGGAAGAAAACCCAAGAGCTAACGTGCCCACGAATTCAGCCTCACGAATATATTGCGAACACAGACGACTTAAAGAGTACGCCAATACAAAGATTATCTCACCCCGCTTGGATAAGCCAAAGCCAGAAAATAACTGTCCTAGTACCCATGCTATAAGACAACTTTATGCTTATATATATGGAGGCTTTCGGGAGCTGTCTGGAAGAAGTAAAACATAACGTATGCACATAACTCATCAAATCGAAGTTTCCCCACTCGTACCGGCCGTAGTTATATCGTAGACCGCAAAAAATATTACCTCGAGCTCTCTTGCTTGGTAGTCTGGACCAATACTAGGACTCCCAATTTATCTGTGTTTTTCTCTCTCTCTAAGCTCTTCAAAGCCTTCGACATTCTTACTTTGGTGCTCATGAGCCGGTTTTTGCCATGAGCCTTGACATCTGCCCAGGCGAAAATGCCACTGAATGCCTTCTAAGGGCGCTCCTCGCGGCCCAGCTTGCCACAAAAAATGAAATCAATTGGGATCCTATTAGCCTGGGTTTCACCGCCATTATTGGTGTATTGGCGCTCCTATTCGCGATCTTGACAGTAGTGCAGGGCGTTCTGGCCGCCGGCCCAAGAAGTCTAAAGGCCGGTGAGTCGGCAATTGGATGGTACAGCAGGTTTTCGAAATCAAGCTTCTCGATGAGCGAAATGCGAGTTCGGTCGGTCGCTTATACCCCCATTCTTCAGACGAATATCCTTCAAATGTACAATCTCAAACGACACTCCTTATCGTCCAAAATTCGAAAAGGACCTAGAATCCTTCGACAGAACACCAATACAATTGGACCCCACCCCCCCCGCTAGTTGGGTTGTTCTAATGGAGCATACCAACATCATAGACGTCCGTGGCTTTGATAAGAAAACCTTTTACACCGATTATCTTCCCAGAGACCTTCTTGCCCCACCAGCATACGCAGAGGTACTATGCATCTCAGTACTTGCACTACTCTCTGGTTGTACCACTCTAAACTTTGATGAAAAGCGCTACCCTCACATTGAGGGTCTATATACTCGACTATACTTCCGTGACCATGCTGAACTCGGAGATGTCGCTGTATTTCAACATTTCCCCGATATTCATGGATGCCGAGATGAAAAGGGTCCAGATATTTTGGCAGTTCAAAAGGCCTTCTGGTCAGCACAAGGATATCTTTCATTCGACGACGTTTTAATTAAAAAATATTTTTCTCATGATGCCAATCCTGATGCTTACTTGAGAATTGGTGGAGAGATTTCTGATACTGAAACCGGAGCTATTCTTCGAAGAATGCGAACAGCCTTGCCTAGAAGCTTCACGGATAAAGATGACAAAGTATATGAATCAGCTTTTGGCGGAGCTTGGGAGTATGCTGGTATCCTTCTCGGCTCAGTGGATGTTTTGACGACACCTGCCTATCCCACCAAAAAGATTGGACTCGGAGAGATTATTAAAGAGCTTGGGATGGATCTGGGCATTCTTCCAATAGAAAAAATAACGTCCGAATTTTTAAACCCTCTCGCAGAAGAATTTTCGAGGTACGGGTTCTCGATCTATGTAGTCGGGAGGCCAGATTTCGCAGGTGATATATCTTCCGACTCTCAATTCAAGGTGAAAATGCCCTGTATCCCTTGGTTGCAGCATGCTCGACGATGTCGTGAGCACCTAGGTCCGGAATTTGAGACCAAATTCGCAGAACCCCCATTTTATGACCCATATAACCGGCCGCCGGGGCACCATACCATTGTCCTCGACTTCATAGAGGCTAGAAATTTGATCAAATGGATTCAAGCCTTTGAGGGACCCAATCAGCCAACTCGTTCTACAAGTCCCAGTGAGGTTTCTCCCTCAGGAGTTATGTTATCTATGCTAGATCATTTTCTTGGGAGCTGTGCTCCCTTCATCACCTTACAGGCGTACTGGGATATTCTCGCTACTAAAGTTTTGGCTGAGCAAAGACCACTACCAAAGGGCGTGTCAGTTGCTCACTTAGAGCTCCTCCAGGGACCACGACGAGAGATAAAACAATTGGTCTTCGTAAAAAGATTACTTTGGCTCAGAGCGGTTTGCTTAGCTGGGTTCCTCCAGACCTTGCCTGATACTACTCTCTTGGTCGATACAGATTTGGGGAGGAGACTGGTACCGGTGCTCTGATAATACACCGCTCTATTCGACGGGCTACTCGAGATAACTTAGTTTGTATTTTTTATACGACATATAACTCATCATCTTTATGAAGGGCATTGTTGTAACCAAGGTGATAACACGGATAATTACTAATATATGTTGCGTAAAAGATCTGATAGTTTTACATGTATGCTACTTTGCATATGATGGTTGAGCGTCTTGTCTCGAGACTTGTATGTTATTGAGTTTGGGGGTATTCTAAATTGAGCCTTCGCGACGTTAATATTAATGCAGCTACCTAATCCTAACAGGTAGCTAAAGTACACGAGACTAAGCTATAAGTATGTAAATTGTACTCTGCAGCTGTCCAAGGTCAAGGAGGGCTGTAGAGCACGAGCGTATATTTTTCCTTCCTATGCGAGATCACACTATATTTTGTATTTCCCCCAGATGATATGAGACTCTCAAAAATTGCAACGTCTTGAATTTCCCTCGAATTCTCCTGCATAGCACAGCCCCAAACATGATATTGAACCCTCGACTGAGCTATAATCAACCAACTGTGGTAACAACACCGACCACGGCTAAACGTTGGACCAAGCGGAATAGGCCAACCGACCATGCCCTAACACGCCATGGTTCCATCTTTCCAGCGCAACCCTCGAAACTATATGTGAGGACTTAAGTATGTATGGAAGGATGAGAAGGCAGCATCGAAAAGTCTTTCGTATTCGGCTTTCCGTTTTATCGGTCCCTTGCTGAAACGAGCGCAGAATCTCTGGAATGTGGAGTTCATTCCATTACATGTGCCCCACCAACTAAACACAGTCAGCTGCGACCATAAGCAATGGCCAAGAGAACGTGGCTGCAAAAGGGGTTCGCCTCCAAATTCATTGATCAGTTGTCCGTTTCGAGCTTCCCGGGAAAGTTGAAGAAGAGAACCCATGGATTGATCGTCAGGAACCGGCCCTAAAAGTGTTCACGGCGGGGAAATGGGTGCTGACTTGGACAAAGCACTAGATTCATGAGATTTTGGATTTGAAATTCGTTTTCGACTACATCGACCCCGCGATTGGCCAGCCAAGGAAGCACGAACCACTCAATTGATCAACGGAAGGAGACTCATTTTGGGTTGCGCTGCGCGGGTCAGCCTCTCCGCACGGGAAGGGTGAAAGAGGTTTTAAGTAGCCGAGAAGTGAAGCGAAAGTTGAGTGGCTTTTGTGATTCTGGTGCAGATGCAGTACGTAGTCACATAATTCAACGAAGCAGGTATGTAGCTACTTATTAAGTACTTACCTGTTATAATGTATCATGCTATGTAACTACGGATTTAAGGACGGCGCGTGATGCCCAAGAACTTTATGGAAAACTAATTCCCAAAAAATATACTTAAGTTACTACACCCACTTTTTTTTTGGAGGGGGGAGAGGGGGGGGAGCTTAATGGTCTTTGGTATGTACATACATATGTAGTACCTGACGGAGTCAAGAGTGTGCCGTTCAGCCTCTGCGATCCACTCATCATCTTCGAAAACCTCAATACTCTGCAAATTTATAACCGCATTGAAAGGGCATCCCTGGCTAAAATGATATCCCCGAAATTTGGCTATTGAAATGGGTTTCGCTATCATCAAGGGGAGATTATTATTATTCATGCAAAGTAGTTTGCATTGTATTTCCCGAACCGAACTTTGTTCGACAAAGCTAAAGAGCACAAAGCGCTACACTAGACGACAACGAAGTATTTTAAGTTTCTGATCGGTCACTTGTGGTTGGATTCCGTGGTGTTCTTCACATAAAAATGTATGTCGGTACATATGTACAGTACTGACGGGAGCAAAAAGGAAAATATTTGAGAGCTGACCACGTATGGAATCGAACCATAGCCTCGGTTTTAAATCCCGTATGCTTACCAGTACACCACAAGGTCTATCTTTCTCAGCGATATATTACGACCATTGGCTTTATTGAAGTTTCTGTCAAACTTTCGAGCTTCAAGTTCAGAACCAAAATTACAAAGGCACCAATCCAAGAACTCAAGATCTTATCCTGCCGTGAAACCCGAACCTTAAACGTTGAGACTTTCCGTCCTTGATTCAGAATTATTCCGCGTAAGACGGGATGTAATGTATAATTACCTCGAGTTCAGGACCTGCAGAGGGGCTTCCTGCAGGTACAACCTTTCTGCACTGCTGGCTTGTGGCGACTGGGGCAGCTGATACACCATGTTTCCTTCCGCTTGTGCAACATGCACACAAGTTAATGGTGTTGGAAAGCGACGATTGGGCTTGCATAATGCTCCGTGTTATCAAGATGTGGGTTTCTACATACCTTTTTTGGTATGCATAGTAAAGACCATGTGATGCAGCGACAAGATCCTCGCTATCGATATCCTAGGTATGGATATCTCCGTATATTTTAGAAAAGGGTTACGGGCTGGGCGTCGGAAAAGCAGCGGCTTGGGGTTTGTGGAGCGAAGCCAACCGAGCCGGCGAATGGATCCTATAGGCCTAACGGAGCGAAGCGTCTGTCCGATGATATCACGATTTCGGGAAGGGAGGGGATCTAGATCAAGTCTTCGTGATGCTGCTCGAGTACTCTGTAGATGAGAAAACATTAATATTGGCCAGGTTTTAAAAATGTATCAATATGTCAATCGTAATTGCCCGCAATTGCATATAGTATTAATGAACAAAAATTACATGCCGCCCAATATATACATCGTAAGATTTCTACATATAGCTACCGCGTCGTGAAATAAAAATATCTTCGTGGTTTGAAACTATAGGATAGTACATGACCCACGCCCTATTGAACCCAATTTCGTAACATGTATTATTCTGTATTATGCCGTTGATTTTATACCCCAGTTTTCCCAAAGTCCATTTGCTCCTCCCTCGCCTTCGTGATGGCTGCTTGTTTCTCGCGCCATCTTCTCCTATATACAAGTGATACAACAAGACCTACGAGTGCAAATACGACTACCCCGACTACGACACCGGCGGCAACTATGCCGGGTTTTATGGTGCCACCGTCAGACGACCCTTCTGAGGCTTGGCTTGAGGAAGAGGTCGTGGCGGCCGGAGCAGTGTCAAGTGCTTCCGTTGAAGATTCGACTGAAGTTGTTGTCAAAACTTTTGTTGTGAGGGTTGAGCTTGGTGCTTCTGTTGTGACACTACTCTCTTCGGCTGTGCTGGTTGGCTCAGCGGTTGAGGTTTTGGCTACAGAGGTTGTCTTGGGCGGAGCTGTCGTCCCCGGTTGCGATTCTGATTTGCTCGGTTTCGGCGCTGTTGTTGGTTCGGGTTCATCTTCGCCTTCGTCTGATTTTGTGGGTTTCGCAGGTACGCTTGTAGGTACAACTGCGGGAGTAGTGGGCGCTGGGGCATCGGTGCTAGTACTCTTGCAGGAATCCTCGTTACCAAAGAAGCATTTGACTTCACTTTCTACAGGGTCCCAAGCCGATTTGATGTCGTCAAAGAAACCAGCTTGGACGGCTTTTCCAGAGATGAGAAGGAAGGAGAGAAGGAGCTGGGCGTGAAGCAACATTGTTACTTTTTTCTTTTTTTTTTAAGAGAAGTTTACGCTCTAAACGAGTGGATTGAGAGATGTTCGTTGAGCCGGCTCAATATTGGGAATATGATGCCTTAAAAATGAATGTTGTATCGAGATGAAATATCTCGATGTTGGATATAGCTGGTAAAGAATGACGTGCCGTTCTTCTACATGCGATTAACGCGCGCGCACAGAGCGTCGATAGACGGGGGAGGCTGAATTGGTTTATAATTGTGTTTCTATCGCCAGATTTCATTTGGCATGTTTTGGGTTTTGAAAAGGGGAACGCCTCGGTCCAATCTGTGTGCGCGGCTGATGATAGGGTAGGAAGCGATAGGGGGGCATGTGCGAGCCAGGCGGCCAGTCAAACAATTGTCTCTTCGTCCCACACAGCGACTTGAAGTGTGGCCGCTGCCTGATGACTGCTAGTTCTCATGTTTTGTTGTTGGAATAATAATACAGGGTAAAGCGCTTGTTCTGTCAAAGAATTTAACGGAGTTGAAGCGGCGATAGATTTCTTAATTTAGACGGCAAAGGCATGGATCGCATGAAGATGAGCATCCTGAACTGGAGATCCTACCGAGTCCACACGGGCTACCAATTGGGGGTGTCAAAATGTTCACTGATAGAGCTGACCCTGGATGGACGAAGTCGAAGCGTGGACTTGAATATATTCCTAGAACGCACCCGTGGCCTGATAATACACATGTTAATATATTTATATATGTGTGCTTCAAAGGCTGGTGAGCGCTGTATGCACTGGTGTCGATTCCTGTGTAGCGTACCGATTAGCCGTACCCTCGGCGTCTGGTCTCGAGGATACATACCGATGTCTGCCTCCAAAATCAAAATCGAAATATTGAAATGGTCTGGCGCACAGGCACTCTTGTCAAATGAACAAACACACTTTGAGCAAGCGGCAGGTGCAGGCTAGGCTAGGCCCATGGAGGATTGAGAGCCAACAGCATGCTGTATTCCGTGAGGTCACTGGCCCTCCCCTGTTCAATTCCAGCTGGACCCTGGTCAACAGCTCAGGTACCAGGGCAGGGCCTTTAGCAGAGTCCAGACGCTTCTTCCTTTCTTGGACCCCCCTGAACCGTAGGCGACACCGGATCGTGCAAAAGGAGAAAGACCTGGGATTCCAATCGCTGTCAATCGGTTTTCAGAAGAACCAACTGAGGCAGTCGCATCTAAAGTTTCGTGGATGTCGACAGAGATCCTTCCGAACAGTCGCCATTGGGTGATCATCATTACATGAGTGACGGGCAATAACTGCCTCTTCGATGCGGAATTCCGCAGGCCTGGGTCTCGTATGTACAGCAGAGTTAGCCCGTTGGTGCTATCGAATCGATAAATTTGATAAATTTGATAAATTTGATTGAGAGATGATACCAACCCGAAAACGGAGGCTTTCAAGCCCGCTATCCAATTGTAAAGTTGACCGAGATAGCCTGCAGCCCCACCCGGCCTGTCAGTTTCAATTTATCGCAGTCGTCCAACAAAGACTAGCTACGAAAGGGCACCCTTAACAGAGCCTTTTATACCCTTTTCGCCCCCACTGCTAAAGAATTCTGAAAGAACGAAAGAACAAATGAATGAAAGAAACTAAGAAGAGACAAAATAAGGACGAGTTCTCCTGATTTCTTTTATTCTGGTGACTGGGAATCCGAACCAGGACTTTTACAGTACAGAATACGGGGGGATCTGGAGTCGTTGCTTCCTTTGACTGAATCTTTTTTTCATTTCTTTCTATCCCACAATCGATACTCAACACCAAGATTGATTCAGCACGAGCAACATCATTGTCATCATAATCAACATCATCGTCACTGCCCTTACCAACACTCACGACCTGTCACTATCATTGTTTCATCGACCTACTTCCACAAGAACTGGCGTAGTGCGGGTATGGGTATGGGTTTGTCCACTGGTCACATGAATTCCCTGCTTCTGTAGCACGACGCACTGCGCTGCCATGCGACCTGACCGATAACACGACTAATCATTCTCCACCTTCACTTCACCATTGCCAACACCGACCCGTCTGTCCTTCCTGTACCTCCAAGGAGGACTTACTTTCGGTACGTATTAGATCTGCTTAGCGACTTCTTGTGTTTCTCGTTTTCTCCCCTCCAATTTGGTCACCTGTGTCTGTGGATCTTGTTCCACAGTTTTTCAGTCGGCTCTCGTTTATAGAATGGTTGCCGGTATATATCTTCGATCTTCAACCGTCATGACTTACTACAACTTTCGTTGAGTCGTTGTTTGGTTCAACTTGGCCGGGGCCGTAATATTTGGAAACCTTCCAAGTATTGGAAACTAGAGTAATATATCGGGAACATGAGACAAGTGTTCGCCGGTGTGCGTCTCGGTTTCGCGAAATGCATAGATGACCGACATAATCCTTCTTTTTCTTTTTTTTTTTTTTTTATGCATATGCTTCTTAGTCTACCCGTCTCTGTTCTATCTTATGCTATCTCCTGCATGGTCTTATTATCATCATTATTTTCCGCTGGTATCTCGGGCTGGCATGCTATATTTGCACCAGTGCATCCACATGCCCGACGCCTTGCATCTGCATGAATATGACCCTACCTTGGTGGTTCTGCAAGCCAAGTCGTAGTGTCGACGGCGAACCAATCCGGGGTACAAGCCGGTGCCTGCACAGACCTGACGCTGTGACATCCTTTCACTACCCTTTCTCCATGTTTGTGCCTGTTCTATGTTTTTCCCACTAAAGACAAAAAGGTCTGTGAACTCCAGATCTAATTTTCTTTCTCTCCACCTTTAGTCTGTCTTCCTGTGTTCGTTTTGCTCGATGGCCGACGCTAGATCACGACTCAGTGACCCGGTGGAGCCTAACTACCTGCAGCAAGCCTATTCGCCTAATACTGACTAATTCTGAGCTAGATCTCTTATTTTCCCCTTTTTGCCCAGTTCGAAATCCTTGGATAGCGAACGCCCTCCCTTATTTATCGAATTTATCCAGAAGCCAGCCTGACTACCCCGGTAATACCTCATCGCTCGTGTAAGTATCGAGCATTGCGATCGCAAACCTATCAGTTCCCCTATCCGATTTCTTCAATTCGATCTGAAACGCTTAAAACAAACCTTCAAGTTTGCTTCTCATTCGTTATATTTATACATTTCTCCGAATCAAGCAGAGCAAAGCTGGCCAACGGCTCTGGCGTACAATATAGCTTCCAACCCATATCGTCCTCAAGCCCTCGGACTTTACTATTATTAGTTCCGAATCGAGCTTGAACACCCCAAACTCGCGATATCACGAAACTGCTTTTGTGCTCGTGCATCGCATCGTCTTTCTTTTTGTGTGCTGGGCTTAATTGCTTGTTTCTCGTTTCCGTCCATTCTCCGTCCATTTACGGGACTGTGTCTACCTGGCACATTGCCCCCAGCTGCCGCGAGAAATATATTTACGGTCGCATTGACAGCTTGGTTATTTCTTTAATTACGACTTGTTTTGTGAACTCAAATTACAACTCCCCGACATTACAACGGCGCAGGTTCCCATAGTGGGGGATCACCAGTATAAAGAATGATGCGACAATCTCGACCAGACGTTATAGACCTGATTCCCCAAGCACGCTCGAGGTCCAGAAGCCTCAGCATGTCGTCAGACACTGCCCTTTCTGTTTTCGGGGGCAGCTCCTCAACGCCCGCTCCGCTAACAGGTGTTCTACCAGAAGCTGCATACATTGCAACCTCAGCTGCCACCCAAATTGTTACCAGCGACCACGAGTCATTCTTTCAGACCTTGTGTGCAGAGGGTATCGTCAAGCCAGGCCCGCCAACAATTCTAGTTACGCCCGACGCGCTAAGACTGGTAAATCAATTCCTTGATTATCTGCTTTGGTCGATATTACTGGTTGGAAAATCAACAACGCTCAGGTCTCTTCGCCCTGCTGTCACTGAAGTTTTGAAGAGTAGGTTGGCTAGGGAGGCGATTGCGTCTGCGGAGGCTGAGCTCGAGGAATATCTCGGGGATGGGGATGGGGATGACCTGGAGGATGGCCCTTCTGAGGGCGATGAGTTTGATGTTGAGAGGATATGGAAGAAGGCAAGACTGAGGTGTATGATCTATTCATCATTAGGGGACCTTGAGGAGGACGACGACGAAGGATACGAGGAGTCGGAATACTCATCGAATGGCATTGATCAATATGCCAGGAACGGCCCACCTACTGCGGTCTCACCAGCTGTTGCTATTTTTTTGACATCTATCCTCGAATTCATTGGGGAACAAACCCTTTTGGTCGCGGGGCATGCAACGGTCGCTAGGTTTTCCCAAGCCCGTATTGCAGCGGCGGCTGAAGAGGGCACAAATGGCAGCTATGAAGCCGTTGATAGACCTTCGGTTGAAGAATTGGATATGGAGAAAGTTGCATTAAACCCCGTTTTAGGACGGATGTGGCGACAATGGAAGAAACTATTACGTGGTCCGTCTGCGGGGGGGCAGATAGCTTCCAGAGCACCGAGTATCCGTCGTGATAGCAGACGACAGAGCACAATCAGCACCATCAGTATTCAGAGTGTTCTGGAGAGTCGGTCTGACTCTGGGGCTGCATCTCCGTGTACTCGAGATCTCACAACTAAAAAATCGGACGACGGGATCAGTCCAGTTGAGGAGCACATGCCACCGGTTATTAAATCCGGACTACGGAAACTGGCATCGGCCGAAATGCTTGGAAGTGCTCCGTTGACACCAATTCCTGAGACACCTTCGAATATGGATGGGGGAAATGGCGCGAAAATGGTTATCCCCGACATGGCAGCCATGGTATGTTTTATCGCGAGACCCCCCACTTGCCCTCGATTGTATCTGCTTGCATGCATGCTCTTTTCCAACCCCTTTTCTCCACTGTGGCAAAAGTACAACACCCTGGTCGCGGGGTCAACACAATACAACAGGCCCACCATGTGTTTCACGCTTAGCTGCCATGCGGTCGAAGGACGTCTTTGGTGGAAGCGGACTGTGCAGATCAAGTCTTTTTTCCACTACTTGCATGGGAGATATATAATATATAGCTAACGGCCCGTCCCCTTCGACCCTATAGAAGCATGAAGTTATTTCTGGAATCCCTGATTTCCCGCGACCCAACAGTATGACGACTTTTCCATCGCACTCATCAACATTCGTCTTTCCCTTCAGCAAGGCGCAACCAAAGGAGGTGAATGTTGCTATAGGAGAAGAGGAAGTAATTGAGCGAACATCTTATCGAAGAGCACGCTCGAACTCGCTGCCGCTTCCTGGATCGTTCCCGTTCTCACCCGAAGATGTTGATTTTCCGTTGAGTCCGATAAGCCCACTGAGTCCACTAAGTCCTATGAGCCTCAGACCGAATGGGGAAGAAGAAGAAGAAGAAGCTATTACACCGGTACCTGAGAGGCCACCACACCAATTCCCGGACCCAGTTTCAAAAGAGCAGGATCTTGAAAGTATAGCCGAAACCGACGAAGATGCCACTGATATCGACGACGAAGCTGGTGAAGTGAGCACGTTGGATAGCTTCGTCATCCATGAGACTGCCGAAGCAACTGCTACTACCCCAACCTTTTATAGAGCACAATCTGTGCGGATTATATCAACTGGAAGTGCACCTGTTGGGTTTGAAATTACGGAGAGGAAATCAAGTAGTACAATCAGTACTTTACGTGAGAAGGAAGAGCCAAATGAAAGCAGGGATAGCGCACAGAGAGAAAGTCCTGTAGATCGATCACTACACTCGCCTGACGAAATTGGAGTAGCGAGAACATCAGATATCGCTCTCCCGACTCCCATCTCGTCTCCTATCATTGGCACGAATAGCGATTCGCAAATTGCGGAACAGTCTGGCTTGCTTGTTGTTCGTCGTCCTTCTGCAGATTCATCAGCAGAAAGCGCGACATCCGCCACCCGAGATATTGCGAAAGAGCGGAGGCGGCGTTCAAAATATTATCAACCAGCCCCAGCACCGTCTGCACCAGACTTCTATCCTGAACATCATACCGATGACGAAATCGTGGAGTATGAAAAGCAGAAAGATGATGAACCAGAAAAGCAACCCACCCTGCAGATCTCACAAGTTTTGCACATAAATGACGAACCCAGCGTGTTCGATGCGCGAAAGTCTGCTCGCGAAGAGCTTCTAGACCTCTATAGCCACGATCCAGAGTTTGATGAGGATGACGAACCAGAGCCTGTGAAACGTCAGACCAAACCTGTTCGTTCATTGCGTGGCGCATCTCCTTTCGGTTCACCAGACCTGTCACAAACTGCCAAATCTACCCATTCAAATTCGTCCGAATCACTCACAGGAAGATCTCATTCTTCTGGGGCTTTGAGCGCAGATCGGCGACAGTACCCCTCCTTTGACCTTGCGCGCCCTAGCTCCAACCGTGACGTTTCCACGCCCACGTCCAGTGAGCGGGCTGGCGTACGGGTATGGACACCACCCGCAACGCCGGATGCTGCCAAGGGAGGACGGTTTAAAGCGACTCTTAACAAGACTAAGGGTCATGCGCATTCCGCGTCGGTTTCCTCTCAGACATCCGCCAAGTTAAAAGGGTTTATAGGTGGACGGCCAACGACTGCGGATGATAAGCGCCAAGTGAGCAGCAGGCAGGATTGGGATAACGAAAGCTCTTACAGTGATACTCATGCATCTAAGATCGATGAAAAGGAACGCAGCTTCGAACAACTGATTAATAGCGGTGCAACACTGCAGTACACTCTTACGCCTGATAATGTCAAGCGGATCGACCTTGAGGTAAGGGAAAACTCATTCTTGCGCAAACCCCTTGCTTTGATGTTTGGGCTAACTTTTGGCTGCCTTACACAATTAGATTGCTTCGTCGAGGAAAGGCTCAGGTGACTCTGGCAGAACAAAGGCTTCTGTGGATAAATATGTTCCGATTGTAACTCCCGTAACTCAATCCCCACAAACTGGACGATCGAGCGCTCAAAAGTCAAGACCTTTGACAACGATTGCCTCGGAAGAATACGAATACGACGACATCGTTCCAGATATCCCCTCAAAACAAACTCGCCTAGCTGGAGTTAGCTCCGCAAACGACAATATAACGTTCTTCCCACCACGTTCAACATCCACCTCATCTGGAATGATGCCGCAACCGCCACGTGGAGCATCCCTACAAGCGATAAACACCCAGCCAAACACTAGAATCACTGCTGGGCAAGCACCACTTTCACCTCTTGAATCACCAAGGTCACCTGCCACCAGATCCCCATTAATACCACGACGACCCACCGCAAGCTCCATCGATGAAATCCGATCCTTACGTTCTGCTAGTTCAAGAGGAAAGCTTGTAGCCCGAGCACCCCAGCCAGCGACAGCCGATTCCACACTTGCATTGATTGACTTTTTCCGAAATACACCACCCCCGCTTGACGCACCTGTCAACCCTCCACTTGGAAGGTCGTCATCAGTTTCATCACGAACGCCATCGGTTTCATCACGAACGCCATCAATCTCTTCCCGAACACCATACAGATCGGCGATGGATTCAAAGCATAATGGACCTAACGCTACACCACAAGACTCAATGACTAGCATAGCTGAAAAGTCGAATTCCCACTCTTCATTCCACTCCCAAGCAGACCTCATTAAAAAGCCCGAACCACCACAGCCTTCCCCTCGGGTGCTACAACGCCCACAAACAGATGGCGGTCCAACTCGGAAACAAGTTCGCATAAAAGACCCCTATGCTATAGATTCTGATGATGAAGACGACGAACTCTTCGACCGCCCTGCCCCAAGGGCGCGGCAAGAAGAGTCATTGATGGACTTCCTCATGAATGCCCCTCCACCAGAACCTACGCCGGTGCAACCATTTGTTCAGCAACAACCTCTTAAGAAGAAAAGTAGTGCAGCTCAGCTTATTGGTCGCTTCCGCTCATCCTCAAAGTCCAGCAAGATTTCAAAAGCCATGGTATCCGCCCCAGTTGAATCCCGTATGGCCCCAAAGTTCCAGCAAAGTGCCAGTAGCGGCAGCTCTGCAAGCCTTCCGCCGAGGAAACATGTTCCCCTCTCTGTAAAGCCAGTGATGGAGCAGCAATTTCCGCCGAGGGCCCAGTCTAGTGGTGGGATCGCGACAAAAGGCATGATGGTGTCTTCGCCCCCACCGCCAATGCCCAGGAAACCGTCGATATTCCAGGCGAGAGATGCGAAGGCGTACGCTCCCGATTCAGACTCGAGTGGTTTAGCCGATTTTCTGAGATATACAGGTCCACCAGTTAATATTGAACCTGCCCCAGCGGTCAGTGGCGAGAAATTCAAGAGTTCTGGAAAAAAGAAACGCGGAATCGCCGTTTAGGAGGCATTTCCCTAGTCGGAGGGGGTTTTCCCTTTATTACTATTTCCTAGCGTTAAAAAATATATAAACTCTCGGGTAAGGTAGCGTATGTTTGGTTCTTTTCAAGTTTAAATTTCTTTCTTGGAGGCTCTATTTTTTCGGAGAAAACGATGCCTCGGTTCTTTTGTTATTTTTATCCCGTTCCTCTGGTAGCTTGCACAGCATCGTCACTATATCATGACTTCCAAAAGTACGCCATCCTTTATCGACGGCATACAGGACGACTTCCTCGTTCTTATTATGATATACGTCTCTGTTCTATTCTATGAATGACAAGCGTTTTAAGTCTTGCTCTTTTCTTATTGTTCTCTTCTTCTTTCTCTACCGTTTTTTCTTAATATGGAATTGTATACTTTCGCTCTCCTTTGTTATAACTTGTTGACCCTTTTTCTTTCTGTTCGCTCCTCCTTCCCTTCCGATGATACCTCCCTCGCTCGTGCGTTCCCTTCTTTTTCTATTTTGTAATATAGTTAATTTCCTGGCCCTCTTGTTCCTTTGTATTCAGACTATAGCCAGGTATTATATTAGACCAACCAGATCGTGTTTTTAACGTTTCGGTCCCCTCTTAAGGCCTTATCAATATCCTTTCCCCGGTTGACCTGTCCAACAACAACACCCAATTATACAAAGCTTGCGAAGCTCACATCAGCGCACATCAAAAATTATAAAATTAGTAACTATGACATTTATTTCATAAATATGAGAAGAGGAACTCGGTTGGAATTTTAATTTAGGATATGGCCCGTTCCCGGAGTCAGTCCTTTCATCTGAATTCCTTAGGGCAGACGCGTGCATAAAGGAATTGGCCCAAGTTATGACTACAAAATCAAGCAGTGGCGGTTACATCAAATATATCCGAGCTGAACTGAGCTGAACTGAACTGAATTTCCTGACTTCGCCTAATTAAACACTATTCTGAGCTGCATCCTTTCGTAGAACATCATTAAGTCCTTCCCTCCTCACACAGTTCTCAAACCGGAAGCTCCCTGCCAGGTCATCTAGCTCTTGTAAAGTCTTTCCAGTGAACAACTCAGCAAACTCTTTCACCAGATACTCGCTCATCAGGCACTCCCTAACAGCCCTTTCAATTTGTCTATCAAATTGCCAAATATTTGGATACTTTGCTCTCCGGATGTGCTCTGGAATTGTTTCCTTCAGCCCGTCAATAAATGGTTGATATATATTCTGAACTTGCTCTTTCTCTGAGAATCCCCAGAAGTCCAGCGCCAACTTCCCCTTCTTCTCCACAAATGGCCGGACTAGCTTCATGTACGGGCTTTCAGGATTAATGTATGTCATTCCTTGATACCCAATATCTTTATAGAGCCAGATACTCCAGCTGACGCCTGTCTCTTGGTAAATCTTCAGCTGCTCTCTTAGTACTTCGTAGCGGGAATTATTGACTTGATCGGCCTCGGGGTCCCTCAATGGGTCAGCGTAAACAGGTCCGAACTCGCCATTCCAGATTGGAATGCCGGCTTTCCGCATATATTCTACTTTCCGTTCGAATTGTGACCGCAATTTATCTTTTTGTTCCGTAGTACCAGAGTACCTCGGCTGTCCAGGAATCGGGAATCCTAGCATGGCGTAGTCGTGGCACGCATAAACGGTATTTGGAAGGAATTTATCGGTGGGGAAGTGAGAGAAGTCCATCGAGTAAGTATTCCCGTCGACGAAGAGGATATGATCGGGGTCAACAGCCCTGATAGCCTTCTCTACACGCTCGTACCAGGCGAAGAGGCGGGTATGTTTCGGGTCTGCCGGTTCGTTAAGTGGGTTATAGCCGGCAATGACGGGATTTCCAGCGTAATGCTTTGCGATTTCGATCCAAAGGTCTATAGCCTGATCTTGGAAAACTTTGTATTCCCAAAACATAGCCTTGTTGAGACCGGAGTCGCTGTGCCAATCCTGATTCTGGCCGCCGGGTGCCGCGTGGAGGTCTAAGATAGCGTAAATGTTATATTTGGCGCAGATGTTTACGATTCTATCGAGTTGCGCGAACCCCTCGGGTTTAAGAACAGAGGGATTAGCGTCATCGATAAAATGACGGTAGTTGAATGGAACTCGGATACAGTTGAGCCCTAGGGATGCGTAAAACTCCGCGTCCTTCTCTGTGAAGAAATATTCTATGAGTTTCTCGAAGAAGAAGTTCGCTTTCTCGTCACCAAGGACTTCGGCCATTGCGGCGCGCAGCTCGTGCTCATGACCGGAGTACCCTGTAATAAAATTTTCCATGTTCAGGTGGCCGGCGACAGCAGCACCTTTAAGAACGACCACTTCCCCATCGCTGTCTATAATTGAAGTACCAGATACTTTGAGGAGTTTGCATTTGGGTCTTGAAACACCATTCGATTTCGGACCGGATAGCTTCAGCAGTAATTGCTCTTGGATTTCTGTGGCAACTTGTGTCATTCTGATATATTTCTGAGTGAAGATGTAAGGTCTTGAGTGCGGATGCATACAAAAAAAATAATTAAAGGCGAAACTATATCGACAATTGAGTATGATAAAGAATGAAAGCTGGTCCTCTGTGGGGTGTTTTCCTCTGTACTCTTATACTTCTTTCCTAGACAAATAGCTAAGATTGGGTTTGTAAGCATATATCAATGATCGGGGGTATGCAAAAAGCTAAGAGTTTAGAATTGAAGCCTATCTGAAGGTCTCTGACCACTAAGACTTCAACTTACATTTCAATCCTTCATTTGAAGCTAAAACGGATTAAATGATTAGCGCTATAGCTATATTGGTATACACCAGGCAGTTGAAATCGGTATACAAGGATAAACCGGCCGTTGTTGCATATTTAGCGTTGTGGAGTGTTAAAGGCGACATTCCCCGACATTTCGGAGCTGGAGTTCGAGTTCCACAACATTGCACAGCTGCACAGACGATTCTTGCCACCTGAGCTTCACTAGCGCTAGCCCGGAATGTAGATAACACTCCTATGGACATTTTATTTCCGAATTAATAAACGGGTACAGTTCAAGGGATATGGCATGGGTGTGTCCCGAGTCCAAAGATTTAGCATCCGGTACGTTTGATCACAATCAGATGGCTGAGACCTACGCTGCTATTAAGCTACTTGAATTTCGTCCGCAAACTCGGATGGCTAAACGGATAAATTGTAAGCGGCCATCTATGGTGGATCCAAGACGCCCACAATTGCGGAAGCCTACTAACATTTCGCCTCAGATCCTTCAATTATGCCGATAATATTGTCGGGTTTCCTTCCCCATGAGAGTTTCATGTAGCTATAGGTTGGATTTAAGGTCGACATCCATAAAAGCATATATGAGTATCATATTAAACTAGTTAGGTTCAGAACCTAAATGAACGTTTGTGGCGAATGGGGTTTTGGTATCGATAAGTCAATTGTACTGTATATGTTGCAGCGGCACGGCTTCACTTTCAGTGCTAGTCGGGTTGTGTACCATAAAATAAACATCTAGCTGAGGCCTTAGAATATGATCATAGGATTGCACCTGTGCTATGCCTATGCATCGTTGTGGCAATTGCGATCCCGTAAGCGTCCCCGGCGAGCAGGGGGTTCTTAAGGTGCTAGGGTGCTTAGGAGGCACCTTTCTAAGGTTACGAGTGCACAGCTAGATAGTTATCTGAGGGGCTGATACTCACATCCTAGCCTAAGACTAACGAGCTACCGTATCTCTCCGCAATGGGTTTGAGCGGTGATAGGGGAATCAAGAGAGCGGGCTTATGTTTTGGCTCTGGACGGCTAAGAGGTGAGCGTTATGGAGGCAGAGCCGGTGCATTCGTTGATATGTAAGTATGTAAGGGCCACAAAAAATAAAGAAAAGATGAATAAAAAGGCTTAGACGGGTTTGTATTCGGAACCTGGTCCTAGGCCTTGCAGTTGTTCCTAATGACGGTAGGTGTGCTCCAGGAGTATCCTGTTATCGTTATCACCAACATTATGCAATATATCAGCATTATCAACAACTGTGAGGATCTTCAACATCCAGGGTTATAAAACATTTCGCGGCACAAACTACGACATGTTTTGATATTTGCTTTGCCAAAGCTCTATAATATGTTATAGATCCATAGATAATACAATATAATTAAGAGTAACCCAACCAGAAACGTACGTTGGTATCGATATGGCATGTACACTACATGGTATCTACGAAGAAATCACTTCATATATGCATTTGCACAAATATATCTAGTTACTATTTTCAAGCTTCGAATTCAAATAATATCTCCCTCGATTACGAAAGACTTGGAATTTTAGCATTCGAAACTAAGTTATCATTATATGCTGCGGAAAACGCCAGAAGAATTTTATGGATCAAATTTAGACAACTATTAGATACATATAAATCACTTTTGCTTACATAGCATACTTTACACTTTCAAAAATCCTATAGCTAGTAAACTTCAAAAACTACGGTTTAGAACGCTAGCTATCACCATTCAGCAAGCCACCGATGATTTTACTTACAACTACTGTCCTTATAGCTTTATTAGACATGATTCAAAGGACAGCGAGCAGCCCAGGAATCGCGATCCCAGAAGCCAGTTCTACCACATCTTCATGCCCATCGAGGCCCGGGGTCAAATGCCCGCGAGAAAATATGGAGACTCAGGTTGCAGGGGTGGAAGCAATATACCCTGCATCTGGTACAGTTTATAGTAAATCTCTGGCGTCTGAAACTTTGGTGCTAGAGATCAAGAAAAGCGGTACGAACAAAGAACCTCTTCAGCCCGAAGCTACGGCTGCATCTTCTCAGAGCACACCCAACCTCCAACCTCCGGCCTCTCAAAATCCACATTTCAACAGCGAAGACGTTTCCGGCAAACGTGCCAACCTCGGAGATTTTCTTCTTGTCACAACAATAATTGTTTGTAGAAGTCCAAGCGACATAATAGAAATGAGAGTGGAGGAATATGAGGCGCGGGATAACTGGCTGCATCATGGTAACCCAGTCATAGACGAACTGGACTATACACATTGGAGACTCCAAATGGACTTTCTTGAGGAGGTTTGGGTCCCTGGAAGACTTGAGCCACGCACTCAGCTCCTAAACTCTATCACAAAGAGTATTGCTGAGTGTAAAGATTGCATGTGCGAACGGGGAGACAATGGCGAACCTACAGGATTGTTAGTGGGGACTGGGGATCATGCATGCCCTCAAATCCAAGCTGACGATTGCAACGTCATATACGGTAACTATTTCTTCTCCAAGCCTCACTTGAGTTTCTAAAGTTATTGTTGGTGTATGGTACTAAGAAAATACCGCCCCGGTACACTAGTTTGCGGATGCATAGACTCGGCTACCACGAACGAGCTAGGAGGTAGGTTTCACCGACTCAAGGCGTCTGGTCTAAAACAGCAGGATCGGCCCCAACGGTGGCGCGATCCTGGAACGAAAGAACCCTATTATCTAGAGGGCCCGGAGTTCCGGCAACCTGAGAGACCATATTGGAGCGATATGAGTGGCCTAAGTGGTGCCTTGGCGGCGAGTACTGCCGATCGTAGCAGGAATGCGCATAGATATGAACGCTCGGGGTGGAGTAATGTGCCCGGGATTCGCAAACGGGACGCTAAAGAATTTCGATCTGGAATCATGTTCCCTGAGAACAAAGGCGATTCCGAGGAGAGTATCCAAGGGGAGAAGGGGTAACAAAAAAGTTAGAATGATAGGAAAAAGTACACATCATAGAGTCTTCGTTAGCTAGAGTTTCCATCGCCCACAGGCGGTGAGCTTAAGATAATGAGAGGGGAAAGATTGCCAGCTATGCCGGTGGCTCATCATATCAAATAGACGTACAAGCTGCAACTAGCAAGAAGATGGAATATGTGACAGAGGTACTAACGTTCATGCCAAAATATGAATTAATCTTGCTCCAGTGCTTGCAGGACCCCCTAGGCCAGCCCTTATCTACTACAGAATCGATAACATTCGGACATTGAACAGATTCCTTCCTCATCAACTTCCACACCCCCATTATAATAGCTTTGTGCCCTTTGAAAAGCCCTTTCTAGAATACCAATTCTCCATTTTACATCAGCCGCCTCATCTCGCCAAAACCTATTCATCTCCACAACATCGTAAACTGCCTCCTGCCAGCCATCCGGCATTCTCAACCCGGAAAATCTTGAATCGAAGTTGCACTCTGTAGTCCCATCGCTCTTCTCTGCTAACGTAAATGAAGCAGCCATAAGGACTAGTGCACTTCTCGTACTACTTCTAATCATCGGTAGTGTCCCATGGTGTTGGTGGCGATATCCACAACGATCATTCCTAATTCTTTCCACGTGTTTTTCCAATCCCTTATAGGCTAAATCTGAAAATCGACTCTCCTCTTGAGTGACTTCGTCGTTTGGGCCAGGCACTTTCCCTTGAGACCCACAATGTACCGCTGCGTCCACAAATGGCCAGTAAATCATCTCAAATAGATTGTTGTAATGGCCCCGTAATACAAATTTGCATATATCATCCGTTACCGGTAAGTCATCAAATCGTACTGCTTCAGGCAGTGCATCGTACCAGGCTTTGGCTTGTAGTTCATACTCTTCAACCGATCTAGAAAGTAACGACAGCGTATCCACGCCTTCTTTACATAGGTCCCCAAATGCTAGTATTTCTCGTTTAATCCTCGATACCAATCTTCTTAGCGAGATCTCGGATAAATAGAAAAACCAGCCCCTTTGCTCAGAGAGTGTAAGTCCGTCTATACTAGTGTCTTGGTCACTAATATTTGGTGGAGAAGGAAGGAATGGCGGGTAAGTCAGTTTTTGAGTGTTTGGGAGTTTGAAATCTTGTGGCTGGAGTTCGGAGCGCATCTCCATTTCAGATTTCCAGGCAGACCAGTATATTGCCTGTTCAAGGGTCTGGTTTCCATAACGTGTTTGACTATCTGTCGAAGTCGTTGTAAGGGTTGTGTGAGGCGTTGAAGGGCTTGCTGTGTTATAGGATACGGTTACAACCCGGTTAGAATTTTCTCTTGTTAGAAAGTCAAGAGTTTGGCAGTTTGAGAGGGCTTGTAAGAAGAGTCGCCATGCTTCTATGGGGCGAAATATGGTAATCATGTATACTCCAGAGAGAAATAGGCACTGAGTTGAGATTATGTCGCCATTAGTTAAGCATATGCCTAACCGTTTTTGCGCCGCATGGAAGAAAGACTGGGCGGTTTGATATTGGTGTGAACCAGGTGTAACATCATATCTTGTGTCCTCATTGCCGACTATTGGGGCGGCTAAGGATCCTAAGGCACAGACTAACAATGCCAGACATGATTGTGGGGACCAGTCAATACCATGGAGTGCTAGGCGGGAAACTAGCTGCCGCGTGTGGACCTCGTCTAGCACCGGGTTCTTTACGTGGGTATGGGCAAAGAACCTATCGAGAAGAACCTTGGCACTCTGAGGTTCCAACTCGGAGACATGTGAGGGGGAGAACCCGTCGGTAAAAGTATCCGACTGACGAGTTTGGAAGAAGTGCATCATCGAAGGCGGGGCTTCCAGTTGGAATCTAAACTCTGGCCACGCAAGAACCTCTTCGACAGGCCCAGGTATAAGCCTGCTTGATAAGCCATCGCTCTCGGTTTCTGAAATGGAATCAGTGCTTTCATTAGCCTTCCGGCTAATTGGAGAGTGGGAATTCTGTGTATCGCCAGATTCTCCGGGTTCAATGTTCGGAGAAATGAAAGAGTTTCCTCTAAGTATCTGCTCTAGATCGTCTAGTCTCTCTAGAATCCGAAGGCTCGCTGGGTCGAAGCTTGACAGATCTGTTGGTGATTGGATGCATTTCGCTCCCACTTTTAGGCAAAATGAACAAGATGGTTTAAGGTTATCACATTTCGTCCTCCGCGCTCGGCAAACCTGGCAAGCTTTTATTGCTCTTTTACGGGGGTATGCAGCGGTTCCACGTGGAGCGGGTCGTTTTCGAGGTCCTGGAGGCCTAGGTATGGAGTGGTCTTGGCTCGACATTGAGCTGTGTTCTAGTGATATGGTGTTGGTGGTGTTGGATCTTGTTTACGGGTGCCTGCCTAAATTCCTCGAAATCTGTCGAGTATCAGGCGATCGCGCATAGGAGGTGAGAAGTGAGATATCTTGAACCGCGGAATCTCGGATTTGAAGATCCAATGGGTCCAATGGGGCATGGTGACTTTAAATGCTCCAGGTTTCCCCACACTTCAACTCCAGGAAGCCTTTTGCCGAAGTCTACCGCCGAAGTTCCAAGCGCTAGCTCAGGTAGTACGCACGTATTAGTTCAGCTTGGACTATACTAAAACTCCGCTAGGAGGCAAGCGTGCACCTAAGCTTTCCCCAACAGCTGAACCATGGGGACAACTTCTCGCTTGGTTAAATTGAGCCTTCGCGGAGTGTCGGCGTTAATGCACAGTTCCCAAGCCCATGGTCGACCATTCTTGAGCTTCGCGGAGCTGGTGTGGAGAAAGTCTTGTTCGCTTTCCCCAGGTTTTCGGGATTCCTTCTGCCCTCGTGAGAAATCGCGCGAAAGAAAAAGCTGGGGATGGGAATTTCCGTGGAGAACATGCTATAGAGTTGCAACGTCCAGATTACAGCTTCTTCTCACGATGGTTCAAAACATAAATTGACCTGTATTTCCTCCAAGTTCAGAATCGGCATCAACGACAGGGAGCCGAAGCAGGGGATTTAGCAGTCTACTACATCGCTATCGCAAATCAGAAACATTGCAGGTCACTATTTTACAATATGTCGGACATCAAACCCACCGTCGAGATCGACGAAGAGCGCACTTCAATAAAGCATCAAACAGTACTTGATGCGGACAATGAGGCAGAGCACTCAATCACGCTTGGGTATATCTGGAAAAATCATCCTTCTTTGATATTCCACTCGTTGTACTGGGGTATATCTGCATTTGGGTGGTAAGTTGATTCGAAGCCCTTTTAATCCAACTTTATAAACAGTTATTCATATTCTAACATGATTCAGGGGCTTCGACGCACAAATCAACGGTGCCATGATCAGCGTTCCGTCTTTCAGGCGAGACTTTGGGTAAGCCCATACTCCATGATATTTCGCACCCGGGAAAGTCGTGGATGACTAATGTAATCCCCAGATACATTGAAAACGGCGAGGCTATTCTCCCGGCAAAGTGGCAAACAGCCTTCAATTGCATCACGACGGTCGGCGGCTTCTTCGGCGCTTTCATTTGCTCGTATATATCTGATCGCTTCGGACGTAAAATCGGTCTTCTCTTCGGTCTCGCCTTCGCCACGGGTGGGATCTTCGGCGAAATATTTGCCACGAACAATGTCGCATTTCTCATGGCAAAGCTTGTCCTAGGCTTCGGTCTCGCTAGTTTTCTAACCATCGGCCCCATGGCTACCAGTGAGATCACACCAGTAGTCCTGCGTGGCCTTTCTACCGCTGGTATTAACTTGGGTATCGCCCTTGGTCAGCTTGTTTCGAATGGTGTAATCAAAGGGTTCGGTAACCGCACTGACCACTGGGCCTACCGTGCTCCATTTGCCATCCAATTCGCATTCATCGCCTTCCTTCTGGCATTTTACCCTTTCACTCCAGAGACACCTTGGTTCCTGGTCCGAAAAGGCCGTATCCCAGAAGCCACTGCTGCATTCGAAAAACTATGGGGCGGAAATATCAATGCTGCAGCCAAAGTCGCCGCGTTACAAGCGATCATCGCTGAGGAGGAGAAATCAGCGGAGAACCCTTCGATCTTCGACTGCTTTCGTGGTACCAACCTTATACGTACTGGTATTTCCCTATTCGGTTTCGCATGCCAGCACTTCACGGGCATCATCTTCGTTCTCGGATACTCCACCTACTTCTTCCAACTTGCCGGTCTCGATACTTCTCGCTCTTTCGATCTTGGTGTAGGTGTCACTGCTTGCGGTTTTACTGGTAATTTGGTCAGTTGGTTTGTGCTGAACTCCTTTGGTCGCCGGCGAGTCTTCAACTACGGCATGGTTGTCCTCACTGCTCTCCTACTCCTCATCGGAATAATGGACGTCGTTCCAACCTCTGGCGCAAAGTGGGTACAAGCTTCATGTACCGTTATCTACGCATTCGTTTATTTCCTCACAATCGGAGCGATCGCGTACGTTTTACTGGGCGAGGTTTCGTCGCCAGCAATGAGAGCTTCAACGGCAGCACTGGCGACAGCGACACAAAGTATTCTGGGATTGATTATGAATTTTGCCATTCCGTACATGATTAACCCCGACGAAGGAAACTTGAGAGGAAAGGTTGGGTTCGTGTTTGGAGGATTGGCAGCCATGGCTACCGTTTGCAGCTTTTTGTATATCCCAGAGTTGAAGGGACGGACCTTCGCAGAGATAGATCAAATGTTCCAGATGAGGGTTCCACCTAGAAAGATGGGAGGATACCAGTTTTAGTGTAGCATGGAGGGTTTGTGTGTGGGTATCTCGACTCAAGAGGGGGATAGGGAATCATCTTAATAAAGAGTAATATTATATGCTGATATCACGAATGTAATATAATGAAATATTTCTACTACAAGCGAGATCGTGGAATCAGAATCTGCGTTGACTAAGGTAAAAACCAACATAGCTTGGCAGTCCATCCGGAATTGTGCCGAATGTCAGCCAGCACTGCAGCACAGCCGATTCTAAACGAGCCCGGCCAAAAGGTTGCAGGTGGGGTTTCCAATTGCTGCCCCAACAAACCCCCCGCTCTTTCCTTTCCCATTTTACCCCCCATAGCCATATGGCCACCATGCAAGCTGTTGCTTTCCCTTTCCCGCCATTTCTTCTTCAACACCAGGATACGGAGATTTGACAGCCTGCAGATGAGCGGGTATTAGCTAATAGATTCGTAGATGGGACGAAAATATATATATCGAGCTGGCGCATTTGCTCGATTGAAGTTTGTGAGAATGAAGATATTGCAACATCGATTTTTCAAACATATCGAAAACCCCACTCTCCTCTGGAGCTCCAGACTAAGAGGAGGTATAGATGGCCTCATCTATCCCAGCCATTTTAACTCCTAGTTACAGCTTTGCAGTCCAGAAGTACATGTACATACATATGCACATGTACATGGGGGGAGGGGGGGTTTGCAGGTGATTGCTGTGATTGGCAACAACTTGCTCGTTATCCTATCGACCAAGCCGCAGGGCACTGCGGCTTTTGGATGATAAGGATGCATGAATACATTGCAGTACATGCATAAGCAAGCTACTTCGATGGAGCCGGGAGGATGAGGGGTAAGCTTGGACATACGTACTTCTAGCCTACCCCGCAGCAACTTCATAGAAACAAAATTCTTTTTTCAGAAAAAAAAAAAAAAAAAAAACTAGCTCAATTTTGTTATTCAACAGGTTTCTTAGCCAAATATTCTCAAGCTAAAGGCATTCTAAACAAACTCATTCCCAAGGCAGAAGTCAGCAATCCTCAAAACCAAATAGTAAACGGAAGGTGAAAATATATTCTCGAAAAGCCGAAGCCATCGATGCATCGGCGAATACATCCATTCCCTCGGGTTCTGCTGTAGCGGTAGGTGCTTAGCGTCGGTGACACCAGATGCAAATGCCCATCTCACATGGCTGTTGCTTCTGCTTAGACGGAACGGGTTCCTGTATACAACCAGATGCATGTAAACATCTACCATCCAATCAGTGAGTTTCTGATACGTAAGCGGGTTGCACAACTATGTGTTGAAGGTCTAACGATTCTAGATCGATCACCGAATAACTAGAATGTTGCATAAGTACTACTTAGCTACTTAAGTAGGTACCTAGGGTGCGTGGCGATATATTGTGTCACATATGATAAGCTCTACGATAGAAGAATGAGATTTGTTTGTTTGTTTGTTTGGTAGAAGAATAGATTTGGTTCATGATAAGAGCTATCTATCCTAATATCTACGCAGAGGGTAGATATGATCCTTGATGATTTTTGTAAGCATCGAAGGACAGGGCCACTTTGATGTTTGTGGACTCGGGGGGGTTGAGGTACAAGACGGGGTATAGGTTGTAGTCTATAACAAAGGAAAGTTCAAAAAACGATAAGCTGAACACGAGCAAAGGGACAAGGAATTATCATTTCACGCAAACGGTAGTAGTAGTAAGAATTTATTTTTCACCCAGTGAACCCAACGGAAAAAACAACAGGCCATAAAGACATAACAAAAAGAAGCTCTCAACATCGCAAAGGTTTCGTATCTATTAAAAAGCTGTAAAGAAAAGAGGTGTTGGTTGGTGCATCTCTAAAAGTGTGTCGAAGTGAACAGGAAGAGAACAAAGGCTTTGGTGATTTACTCGGATGGAGCACCGCCGCAGATGGTCTCCATCATGATGCCGGTGATCTGGTATGGGTCGCCGTTGGAGGATGGTCGACGATCTTCGAAGTATCCGTAACCCTTGTGGGCGCACTCACGAGGGATACGGATCGAAGCACCACGGTTGGCAACACCATATGAGAAAGAGTCGATGGAACCAGTCTCGTGCTTGCCAGTGAGACGGAGTTCATTGTCAGAACCATAAACAGCGATGTGCTCCTTATGACGCTTGGAGAGCTTCTCAAGGGCAGCCTCAATGTGCTTCATACCACCCTCCTCGCGCATCAATTGAGTGGAGACGTTGGTGTGGAGACCAGAGCCGTTCCAGTCACCTGGGATTGGCTTGGGGTGGAAGGAGATCTTGACACCGAACTCTTCAGCGACACGGTGGAGGAGATAACGGGCAGCCCAGAGGTGGTCACCCATCTCGATACCCAGGCAGGGACCGACCTGGAATTCCCACTGGGATGGTAGAACCTCAGCGTTGATACCAGAGATCTTGATGCCGGCGTAAAGGCAGGCTTTGTAGTGAGCCTCGACAATATCACGGCAGTAGACGTTGCCAGTACCGACGGCACAATAGTATGGACCTTGTGGACCCGGGAAACCACCCTTTGGCCAGCCATATGGCCAACCGTTGGTGTCGAAAAGAGTGTATTCTTGCTCAAGACCGAACCATGGCTTCTGATCTTTGTTGGCCTCCATGATCCTGTTGCACTCGTGGCGGTAGTTGTACTTATTTGGGGTGCCGTCTGGGTTCCAGGTCTCGCAAATGACGAGAATATTTGGTGACTTGCGGATTGGGTCTGGGAAGATGGCGACGGGTCTGAGGTAAACGTCCGAGTTATCGCCTGGGGCCTGTCCGGTGGACGAGCCGTCGAAGTTCCATTCTGGGAGGTCCTCGGGACCGGATGGTTCCTTGAAGAGGGTCTTGGTCTTTCCACGGATATTACTAAGAGCATCGATCCAGATGTACTCGGCCATTATACAACCCTTCTGGTCAAGGTTGATGAACTTGTTCAAGGCATTGGTATTGGAAATGACTGTCGACGATTCAGCCATGGTGAATGTGATGTAATGTGAAAGTTGCTACGAACGAAAAAGGGGATACGAAACAAGCGATAGAAGAGGAGAGCTCTAGAAAGAAGACGAGTGGACTATTTGGTAGAAGGGAAGTTGATGATGTGAAGTTGTGATGGAATGGGGGAAGAGAAGGTTGTGATTGAGAGGGAAGATCTCGCTTTTATAAACTCTGCTTGTCAAGAACGTTCTTTTGGCCGTGGAAAAAGCAACTCCCAAAAAGGTACATGCAGTGACCGCAGCACAGCACCAACGGCAAAATACTCGCAGCAGAGAAGAAGCAAAGGCATGTCACTTTCACTGCTACTAAAACTCGCCGGGATTATTGATACTAACTACATATTTGTTCTAGTGGGGTTCCTCGTGGAATCAGGAATAATCAATCGGTGGCCATGTAACGGGACCCGACTGAAAAGGCTCAAGGCAATTCTAAATAAAACTCAGCCGAAAACCAAAAAATTTTTATTTTTATTTTTTCACTGGGTGTCGGTGGAATGCCTCGCCAGACTCAATGTATCGTCGGTCCACGCTTCTCGACGTCGCAATAGGATCACCATTGGGAGAGGACGTTTGGGAAGACAAAGAAATCAAAGTCACCGTCGAATGGAGAAACATCTCCTACTTCGGCCACAATGACCAGGGTCACCCATCATCTGCATGTGTTGGGCTACCCAACCGAAGATTCTTTTTGTTGCACTACGGAGCAACGATTTAGAGGCTGCTGCACTAGGGATATCATGCGAGGGACTATTAGGATGACGAGAGAGTCCTATCAGGGTCCCGTTTCACCCTCCTACGCAAACCCTTCTCCAGGATCGGAAGTTGGCTGCTATAGCTAAGCTCCAGCTTGCCTCCATCTTTCGGAGTACAGCTCTATACCTACAATCAGTACCGTCGATACCTCTTGATATCTAGACGCGGGGCTGCTCCATCTTCCTGACCTGCATGGTGGGGGTAACTTGTCGGTACCTTTCCTTCTGCTATCATGGCCCGTCGGTGTATTTGTTTTACCCCTCATCTGAAGCAATATTGTGAAAATTTTGCCTTCGTTGCAGGGTACATATCTCCGACATCAAGAACTGTTTAAGCAAGTTCTCGCATGCTGTATGTACCTGTCTGTGCAACCATGATTCTTGAGGCCGGAGCCCGAGAAAATTCATCATACCCGTCGACAAATATGCGATGAGGTTCCTTTTTTTTTTTTTTTTTTCCTATAAGTCGCATCGCCGACTCTTCTGCTTCGAGCAAGTCCCTCGCAATGCCGAAGTCATGGCGCTGAAAATGAGCGATATATCGTCTTTCTCATGGGGGATCACATAGTTTTCACATCTTGAAACGACGCCTAGTCTAACCGCGGCGGGTCCACGAGAGCCTCGCCTCCAAATTTCCGCATCGAAAGGTACCTATCCGGTTCGAAGATGAGAGGGCCTATGAAATCCCATCAATTTCAATTCTGGTGGTGTCAGTCGACTCGTGCTGCTGCATATTTTCCTTATCAGTGCCCCGCCACTAATTCGAGTACAGGCTATTTCCAGGTGTCCGAAAAAGAACCAGACCTGAGTTCCAGAACGAGGCGTCGCAAGGTCGATGATATTGACATGATAACATCGAGTAACACTTTCTTCCGAGCCATCCTCAAAGTATTCTCGGCTTCTATTTGCGCTCCAATGATCGAATACCAAATACTAAGCAACCTTACTCATTACCGTCACCCTTACGGCGATTCCTAACCTAGAAATAGTCCTCTCAAAAGGAATGCATATCCTATGTGTCAACTAAAAACTTCACAGTCCCATTTGATACCCATTTCCAGCGGTTTCATTACAGCCTCATGCCAGGCCTGAAGCCTTCTGAGTGTGGGGTTTTGAGATCAATAAACCAACAAATACGGGAGAAAAAAGCAACAGTAAGCCAGCCAGATGTAAAATTCCTTATCGGCGTCTTAGCCTTGAACCCCGGTCGATGGGGTTCTTCGTCGCATTTTACACCCGAGTCGACGTCGTCACTTAGGAAGCATCGGCAAAGGTGTGGTACCTCCACACTAAAGCTTATCGGGATCCATCCAAGCGCGGGAATATTTTCGCGAAGTCGTCGTCGCAAATATGCATAGTATGTGCAAGAAGATATGGGATTGTTTGACGGCCGGGTTTTGGTTAGATCGGACCCCACGCTTATCTTCTCGAGCTGAGTCGAGTCGCATGAGGCCCTGAGGCTTCAGCTTTAAACTTGAAAGATAGAACCTTTTTAGTCGCCTGGAAATACGATTCGGAAGGGCAAAGTGGTAAAACAAAAGAATCCACGGTCGCATATGTGCTCATGTCTCGAATCTGGATGATGTCTGTTACGAGAGTCTACCTTTGAGCCGGCACTGAGTAATGGCCAGCTGTGCCCGGCGACCTAGCTCCATACCAGCCAGCCAAGGGCGAATATCGCGTACTAACAGATATGACAATTGACTTGAGCCTCTTAGTGAGGACCCCTTATCACCACCATTTACACAGCGAAAAAGAAATGATAGTCAATCCCATCATGTCTCCCTCCTACCGTCGCATGCGAAGGTAACCCCAAGCTTGAGAAGTTTCCAGTTGCGAGATTTTCCGTGTCCGCTGCCAATTGTCCAGAGCCCTGATTCCGGAATCTCCCTTGACTTGACCTCGATATATAAACAGCAGACCTCGTCCGTTCCGACACAAAAAAATTTGACTTGTGAAGAGAGTTTCGCCTTTCTTCCGGTCCTACATTGCTAAGTAGTTACTGCTCCAGAGTTTGGTTCTCTGCTTGTCATCACACAAGCTTGCCGTTGTAGTCACGGGACTAGTCGACTCTGGCCAGAGAATACCAATCTTCGACCAGTTATAACCTTAGTATCTTATACGCAAGGTCACCCAAACGGGAGAACCGACCTGCAAACTGGAATCTTAGCTACGACCTCGCAATCCAGCTTCCCCATGTTACTCCGAGCTCGAGAAACTCTACCGATAAACCTATCTTACGTCTGGACCTGTCGACAAACCAAACACGGACAAGGCACCAAGATGTCATGTCATAGGGCAGATAGATAACGGCTTGACCTAGTCCCACACATTCATTTCACCCGAAGAAGGTCATTTTATTCCTTTTGAGAATCTATTCATAGTTCTCTCCCGCTGCTATGAGTGTCCGAGGCTTGTCTCCTTGGAAGTCCACCAAAGTCTCGACAACTCGGAAAGAAGCAAATCTCCCCGTGAAATGTCTTCAGCCAATCAACGCCTGCAGCTCCCAGCCAACAACGTCAACACAACACCTTTTGTCCGTTTGATCCTCCCTAACTTGCAGTTAAAGGCATGGCTCCTCGCTCAATATACGGAATTTTTTTCAATATCTTAGGTAATAAGAAATCCCTTATTGGTTGGTTTCTTTTTCTATTCCTGGAGGTTGAAGTCAAGTCACAGCAGGGGAATACGTGGAATTTCTCCTTCGAATGGAATCAGAATGAGTGAAGGAATCGGACAGTAATAGGCGGGTTCCTATCTTCCTTTGCGGTCGAATGGGCACTACGAGATAGCAGGTGTGCTAACCACACGACGGTATTCCCCATTCGGGCCACAGATCGATATCTCTGCACCAAACTAAGGCATGTGCTCTTTTAGTTGGGTTGCGTCGGGGCGTTATTTACCAAGAGATAGGTAAATTCACGGAACCGCCGCCTACGGACAAACTATAGTACTAGCGTAGGTACATTTCGAAACCTGCAAGGAAGCAGGCAGGGAAGCAAGGCCAGCCTTATCTCTCGGCATGCAAGCCAATATGCGATTTATCCCTCAATTTGGGGGCGTGAAGAGATAAGTGACACATTGCTGTGTGTCTATTCCGGGAACTCGGAGATGAAATTACGAGAGAGCAATACGGATTGGGAAGGGTTCTGGAAACGGTGTCAGTTTGGGTGGAAAGGCATGCAAGTGGCTAGTACAATGGCTGAGCCTCGAGCTGACGGCTGACTCAGCTGTTTGAGGAACTTGCCACAGTATCTGACGGTGTGGTCCCTCGGCGTCTACGAGACGTGATGATGCCATACCATACTTTTCAGGTACCATTTCCGCGCACCTGTTTTGAGGATGGGCTACAAGAGGCTGTGTTCTATCGAATGATAGACAAAAGTCCAATTGTGTCCTGTTCAAATAGACGCCAACCTAAAATGATTGACTTTTTTTCTTCTTCAAAGAGTTTTCGCTCGCCTAACGGCAGGAGAGGAGTGCGCTATTTCCGGAAAGTCTGGAAGACTACCGACAAAAAGCCTGCACAGAAACTTCAATTTGCTCTAAAAAGTTCTTCGGATAATCTGGTTTTCTTTGGGGGTTTCATGCTTTGTCCTTCTATGGACGAGGCAAAACATGTGAAGGCAAGGAAGACTTTGTTGGGTCCTGAATCAGGGTACCCAGCACCTTCGGAGAAATTCCTTTTGCAAACAAAATCCAGCCATGGAGGAGCCCAGTACCTTGGCAACCGAGGGATTTTGTTCAGTCTGTTCTTGACCACTACGTCATAGAATTTTGGAGGTAGGCTTCAGAAATTGTCTCTTCGCTGCATGCGAATACAATGCACAAATTTCTGCATTTCCAGAGCCTTTTTCGGGACCTTTATTTGTTATTTTATTTGATTCCGGTATGATGGGCTTTCGGGCGAATGAAGCCCCATTTTCAGAAAAAATTTCCGCGAAATTCGGATGGCGGAATGACGGCTCTATGACGCCTTGAAGCCGCTCAGATTCTTCCACGATGTCTGCTGCAAATGAACACCGTTTTATTTTGGAAGGATGTGCTATTATCCAACGCCCTCCTGCTTCTGGAAGAAAGGTACTTCGAGGTACATGTGTATAGTACCTTGGGACTTTGGCTGGTCTCCTGCCCTTGAGTCCTCGTCTCGTGCGAATAAATCATGGGTTTAGAAAAGATCGTTCTCCAAGGTTGTTCAATCAAGATGAAACTGAAGCTCCATTTTTACGAATTGAAGCTTGAGCTTCAAAATGCCGCAATGCACGACAGGTTGCTTGTCAGCTACCATATGCACGTAGCTGTAAAGGAGAGGTTGCTAACTGAAGGGCGTTACACAGTGGTCGATCTATTTGGGGGACCCTTTTGCTCTTGGTATTGCGTGAGCACTATTCTCAATCTGACAATTCGAACAGCTTAAGATGCTAAGAAAACGTCATTTAACCTAATTTGGGGTTGCAATATCGCTTGGTTTCATCAATTTAGAAGATCATACTTTCCCTGGCATCTTGAAATTCGACGTTTTCTGCGACTTCAAGAGATTTTCACAGGAGATGTCGAATTTCATGCAGAATATAAATGCGAATGAAGGAAGCTTAAGGAAGGAAGGAAACACAAAGCAAGGAGCTTCGCCGATTCTATTTCGCAATCGCCGGTGCATAATGAGCAAATTTTGCTCCCTCTTCCATTGTGGGGTTCTGTATTCGACATCTCCATGCGATGCTTGAAAGCTCTTTGTGAACCCTGAGGAGAAACTGTGGGGAAGTACTCTGTAAAAGCCTCGCCGAAAGCTGGGAAGCAGGGGATTGCAAAGGTTTCAATGCGTGACAATTGTGGAGAAAGCAGAAGCAACAAAATTTTTTCTGTGAAAAAAGAAAAAGCCGCCGGATCTCGTTACAAGGAATGTGATATCACAATTATGGTATCTGGAGTTCCTTGCTTTCGGCCTCCTTTCAAGGAAATAGTTTTTCGGTGTTTAAGGTAAGATAGTGACTCTGAGGTGTCGGGGATGAGGCTTTTCGATGTTTTGGTGCGGAATTTACGCGAAACATTTGGGGTCGCTCGCCGGATACGTGCCGAGGACGACAAAATTCAACAAACAACGCAGGAAACCTTCCACAGTCTTGTCATGTCGTCCGTCAGCCATGAGTCTAGGTATCGTCGCTAAGATAAAGTCTTGTTCGGACTGTTACCCGTTTTAGATGACAATTGCGGCATCCGCTCGCCATCAGTGACGATGCCAATAGTTGTAATCGGCGCTCCTTTTTTTCTTTTTTTTGTGGGGAGAGTAATCGAGTTCAAGAATCAAATTTATGACATTTGCTGAATGTTTCCTGAGAATACGTCGATATATACCAATAAAACCGACAGATTACATTTAACTATTTAAGATCAAACAAACCGCACGTAAGTTTTTAATAGATATAACGAATCGGGCATCCAATCGGATATGCTAGTGTCGAGGCTATTGGGAAACTATGATATTGAGCTTCTTTGATATGTCATGGAATTAACAGTTTAACAGACATGGATGTATAAGCTTTCATTATTTTCTACAACCAATTGATCTATAAATTTGAATCTAGGTACATGTATGACTATGGTTGGTATGTGAATCCGCACCTTGCTCAAGTCAAAGCTCTGATTTATCGGACCAATGGATTTGAAAATTTGACTCTGTGGATCCTTCATAGCATTGTTGGTCGGGCCATCCTATGTAGCGAATGTCGGATAGCCGACGTCGGGAATAGCCGAGGCATCCTGCAGACCTGCAGCCGTGACGACATCTAAAACTTTGGGCCCTCCAAATAATTGTACATGAATTGGTAGTTGTCGAAATCCGGGGAAACTAGCGTATGTCCGACGTTTAGTACTATGGAAAGGTAAGGCACCTCAACTATAGTACAACTGAGGTCTTGATATCTAACCTCATGTTCGCGAGGAACACGCATATGTTTAGTTATGCTCCTACAAAACTTGAATCGACCAGTTTGGAAAGTCAGATCACTCAAATTCACAATCCAGATCGGTCGAACAACCTCGACAACACTTTTGTTGCAACACCGTTGTAGTATAGGCACAATGTCGAACGGGCTTGACAAGAATGATGTGTATCCTTCAGCGACGGCTACTGAGTTATTCAAATTCGCATCACGAAGGAGTGTAGTTCATTCCACAAAAGGAATTGTATCATGCACGAGTCCTTTGGCATCTCAAGCAGGAATCAAGATATTAGAAAGAGGCGGTAATGCTGCTGTGAGCGAACCATTCCTTCACTTCCCAATTATATTAGTCGAATTCGAAGCCGTATACCTGTATTAGGCTTGGGATTAAGTTTCTGGCGGATGTTTGATACATGCGCATGTATCAAAACTAGATCTGACAAGGTTGATTCAAGCGTAGCTAACTGAGGAGCTGTCGCGCTCTTGTGTGTGTACTAGGATGCGGCAATTGCTGTTGCTGCAGCCCTCAACGTCACCGAACCGACTTCTACAGGCATTGGCGGGGATGCCTTCATGCTCTTTTGGAATAATTCTACCAAGAAGATAACTGCTCTCAATGGTTCCGGTCGCTCCCCGGCAGCATTAACCAGAGAATTGGTGGTCAAATCCGAAGGAGTAAGCTCCGGTTCCCTTCCGAAGCCTTCAATCCACGCGGTGACCGTCCCAGGTGCGGCAGCAGCTTGGGTTGATACGATTGAAAAAGTTGGAAGTGGCAATGTATCATTGGCAGAAGTTTTAGCCCCTGCGATCGAGCTTGCGGAGAATGGATACCCGGTGTCACAGGTTACGGCCGCAATGTGGAAGAATGGTGAGAAGGAGTTGTTGGAAGCGTCCCCTAATGGATCTGAGATGCTTGTTCCGCCAAACCAATACAGCGACCAGGTCCATGCGCCAGAGCCTGGCGAAATAATGGTGATGAAGAACCTAGCAGAGACATTTAGAACCGTTGGAAGAGAAGGGAAGAAGGGTTTCTATGAAGGACGGATTGCGGAGGAAATTGTAAACGTCGTAAAAGCAAGGGGAGGCGTCTTGGAGTTGGGAGACTTGAAGAGACATGCGGAATTGGGGAGTGAGTTTGTAGAACCGATTTCAATGTTCGTGGAAAGGTTTGGAGTGGATGTTTGGGAGTGCCCACCCAACGGGTAAGAGATATAGTCGAAGTATATTGATGAAGAGTTCTACAATACTGACGAAGTTTGTGACTTAGGCAGGGTATAGTGGCTTTGATGGCTTTGGGCATTATCGAGCAGCTAGAGAAGTCGGGAGCAATACTGCCAATCGAGCAATTGAAGCATAACTCTACCGAGTATCTACATTGTATCATTGAGGTCCTTCGGATTGCATTTGCAGATGCTGCGTGGTATGTAACGGACCCACACATGCTAAAAATCCGAACATCACAGCTTCTTGACAAGGTGAGAGAAACCTTCTAGTAAGACTTATCTATAGCTCTTAAATGTTAACATCGGTGCAGGGGTATTTGGCAGAAAGAGCGAAGCTGTTCAACCCGAAGAAGGCTACTGCCGATTTCGATCATGGAAGTCCGGCTTTGAATAGCTCAGATACGGTGTATTTCTCAGTTACGGATCAGGATGGTAATGGGTGTAGTTTCATTATGTAAGCCGACATCTCTAGGAATCAGAAACTCGTTGGCCGAACCTTGCTGATAATTGTAGTTCGAACTTTGCTGGTTTCGGTTCTGCTGTTGTTCCGAAAGGGTGTGGCTTCACGCTCCAAAATCGAGGTGCCAACTTCAACCTAGAAGCGGATCATCCAAACGTGGTTGCTCCAAATAAGCGGCCCTACCACACAATCATTCCAGCTTTAATAACTAAGGATGGAGAGTTACATACTGTCTACGGTGTCATGGGTGGATTTATGCAGCCACAGGGGCATGTGCAAGTTTTGCTTAATATGCTTGGATTTGGATTCAATCCGCAGGTATCTTTGGATGCGCCCAGGATTTGTGTACGTTCTCTAACCCCCCACTTTACCCTCAGAAGCAAACTACTAAATTTTAAACCAGATCGGTGGTATGGCTCTCGATAATTCAGTGCTTGTCGAAGAAGGAATAGCGGAATCAGTCGTGGAAGAGCTTAGAGAGATGGGGCATACGAAGATTAAATTGCTTAAAGGTTTTCAGAGAGAAGTATTTGGAAGAGGTCAAGTTATTCGGGTACATTATGATGGAGGAAGACGAGTGTATTCTGCAGGTTCGGATATGAGAGGGGATGGACAGGCAGCACCACTTTTATAAACTGCAACTTTGATACAGGCTGCAGGTATATCTATAATAGCAATGATATATACAATATTGTGTATAGTCAGAACCCTCCCTGTCCCCAAAGCGCCTAGAATCGAGGCTAGAAACTCCCGCCAAATGTCTCCAATATCGACAAAAGGGTAGATGATCTTAGTGAGCCCATTGGAATCAAGAAACCTGGTGACGAACGCTATGGGAAGCAGGCAAAGCTTGATATTTTCCCTCGATCATATTTGGTTTGTCCGTCTAAACATGTATCAATATCGAGATTTGTCAGCTAAATTATGGTTGTCTTGGATGGCCATGGGGTCGATAGTTATAAGTACTTACGTTCAACCTTCAACATCTCCAAAAGGTCCTCCTGTACATAGTTTGAGGATGCTCTAACCACCGGATCCCCAGCACAGCCCGGTTTTCTATAGAACCAACAATTACAGTGGCCAGTATGGATAGATTTAGTATTCCATAAAACTAGATTCTTGGCGCTCTCTTCTGGTGGCTTTGCAATGTCTATACAGCATTGTTTGCCCTTGCATTCCGGCGGTGTAATTTGTTTGAAGGTAGCGCCGACAATACTATCCAATTTGGTGTCGAGATAACGGATTTCGAGTTCGACAAAACATTCTGCATCTGTTTCGGCCGCGAGGCAGATAGGAAGAGTCGTAAGGAAGATAAGGAAAAGTAGAAGTGGAAATACTCCGTAGCCCATTCTATCTTCTACGCATGCAAACCCGAGGGCGACTGGCTCGGCCGGTAGAGCTACTGAATTGTTTCCGCAATAATTTAATTAATGTACGGGACCGAATAGCTATAGCCTTCAATTCCTAATCTATATTCTGGGGAGGATTTAGAGGAATATAGGAGGGTTAAGTCATAAAGAAACTGAATAACTCGGAGATGGCGAATATCAAGTAGGTTTTGAATAGATATTAATATTAAGCATCTAGCCAAGAAGGTATTGAACTAGAATAAATTTGCACATGAACCGCAGTTGCAAGTAGTGTCAAGTGGTTCAGCAAAATAATATAAAAACTGAAAGTCCAGAGAGTATTATGACTTGCTGGCTTTTTCAATGGCGGGGTCTTAGGCACCCTATTTTAATAGCTGATATATTTGAAACTAGATGCCTCTGTAAGTGAAATAGGAGTGCTAGCTAGCAAGGCACTAACTTATACTTTGCCACCGGTATTGTATATTAAGTATTATAGCCAGTACTCTGCATGCTATGCTAAGTACAGTATTTATCTGGCAAAGCAAAGGCGCGGGCTGCAACAACTGTTAGTCCTCTTTTTGTGCACAGCTTAGTTAGTATGTATATTAATGTTTCTGTTTTAATGTTAGCTGTATACTGGCGGCACGAGGTATTCGAAAAGATCAGCTGTTTGTTGGTTCAAAAAGTAATGAACGCATGTATGCTAAGCACCGTAGCCGTCTTTTATCTTAGCTAGCTTCAGAAGCTATGGTATTTCGGCGCATGTGGCACATACACATCGGACGGGTGAAAGCGACCATTCAAATATACGTCACAAACGAAGAGAGATTTTCTTAAGAAGCAGCCATCAACGATATATATGTATATCGGCACCTCGTATTGGTATAAGTAGACTTTGGTGATTTCGAGATATGTACCGCTTGCTCTAGTTCCAAGATTAAGACTATACATATGTGCCACGGCTGGTACAGGTGTGATTTAATATCATCACCCGATTTTCGACTGTCGATGGCTTTAAGAACGGAGCCAAATATCTAAAGTAAAAATGTAAATACAGCAATTTAGATCTACTAGGTGCCCACCTGGGGATCCGGAAGACCTGCCCTGTGAATCTCCGTTAACGAGCTAGTTGAAACCAACTTTTGCCATCGTAAATTCCAGAATATTAGTACTATAGTGCTAAGTTTAATCGCCAGACAAAAGCCATATGTTTGAAAGTTTGCCATTCATGCGACAGGCGGTGGGTTGGGCGGTAGTCTTTCCATATTTTGAACTTTATCCCAGTAGCATAGAATGCTCTTGGCCGTCGTTGTATTGGAGTTTTTACGCACTGCAGTATTATATAAATAATAATGTATGTTTTAGCCATAGTTCAGTTTGAACTTAAGAGGACAAAGGGTCTATGAGACTTCAGAATTCTCCCACTTACAGTTGTTTGCATCTCTCATATAGTCTACGGGCTCTGGCACTGTATAACTTGTTCCCTGCATCAAGAAGCTCCAGTCTCCAGTACAATTATTCGAAGTCGGGAAAACAAAACAAGTACACCCATCCGACGCAATACTTCCGATCTTTCCCCCCTCACCAAAGATTTTGTCGGACCCGGGAAAGTATTTTTCTAGATCCCCAATACAACATTTCGCCTCCGGACCTTTGCTGACTTCGCAAAACGGGTCTATATCTGGTTTCCAGATTGCTAACTGCCCGTCTGTCTCGCCTGGATCTGCAGCGTCGCGATTCATATTATCAAATTCAAAGAAGGCGATGGCGCATTGGTGCATTCTTATGGACAGTGATAGTTGACTTTGAGTAGGATAGGGATATATAATAAGAAGAAAAACGGATATCAAAATATTAATAAAAAGATTTATACGATTCATGTTGAGATATATTTTGTAACATAGAAAAACATGAGCCGGCGCCCTTTGAGATTTTAAGATCTTATTTTTGAGGGAGTCATATATGCTGATAACCATATATGCGGATAAGCGTGTAACAGGTTAGAATCTGGCGTGCTCTGATCATGAAAAAGTAGTAGTGATCATGACAATCGTGGATGACTTCTGCATTCAATTTGGCAGACTGTCAGTGAATCGATTTTGCAATTTTGAGAGATCAACATAAGGGGGTAATTTGATCGCAGTTGAGCTCTCGACCATAGATCTCTGGGATTATACCTGATGGGCTACAAGGTCTTGGCCCGAACTTCAAATTCGTCGGCGTGCCTAAGACCTCGATCTCAAAGGATTAAAATAGGCTGAGCAAGAGTTGGGTTGGGTTGGTCTTGACGTCTCGTTGCCAGAATTCTGGAAATGTACACACCTCAAAGTATACTAAAATCTATGCCACTAACCGTACGATTAAAAAGGAGATGTGAGCTCTCTCGAACTCAGCTAATAGCAAGCCGGTTCTAGGTATGGGTCGCCTTAACTTAAGATGGAACCAATCTCTAAGCTAGCCACGAATGCGCAAACCAACGTTCTATATGTACATACTTGCATGGTATACCAAGCATATTTTGGCTTCTCGAACTTTCCTAAGGCAACAAGATCAGATTGAAAACGTCTGTATATGTCTATATATTCGGGAAAGCTGAAACGCACGTACATAATTACATATTTGTAGCATCTTCCAGTTTGCGCCTTAACCACAATTCGAAGAGTATTCCTACAATGTTAAATACCATATTCAGACGATGATACCGAGGAAGCTGGAGCCTGATGAGTCTGTGGAGGCGACCAAGGGCAAATATGTGATACAATATATATATAACCTACACTTTGCAAAGTATTGCCTTGATTTTGATTGACGATCGGACTAATACTGTATGTGTAAGATATTTGACATTGTGAACTAGCTGCGAAATCGTATGTCCATATAGTGTAGTACTGGTATAAAGTTTATAAAGCCAACCAGTCGTGATCGTGATGTAGATACTATAAATTCAATTCGACTCAAGACTATATATACACATCTCAAAATATATAGGGCTGCGCGCTGACCAAACATCCTGATCGACCGTCCCCCAAGATAGCTAGGTAGTCATGCTACTTTTAATGATAAACGGTAAATTTATAAATCTTACATCAACGACTTAGGATCGCTTGATAGGTACATTCATGAATTGAGAATATATAAAGCTAATGTTTGGCTTCCGACCCCCATTAATACATCACCACTGATCTTAGAACATCCTAATGAACAAGGTACCATGGCCGCGCACCGATATCGCGATAATAATTAGAAGGGGTGAGTAATACTCGCTAATAGTATACCCTGACCGAATACGCTGGAAATATATACATAGAAAAGACAGTCATATGATAAGTGCATAAGCGTCAGCCCGGTCGAGTATTAATATTGTGAATATATCAAAACAGTGTAATCAATCGGGTCAAAAAAAACACGAGTAGCTCGCGATGTAGTTATCTAATAGATGATTGTTAGATAAAATATATATAACTCTTCGATTTCTAAGGGTGCATTATTCTCAGTTGGCTCGCCGAATTGTGGGTTTTTAGTAGATATATCTACCAGGAATACTCACCAGGAACCAGTTTTAAATCATCTAACACATCTCCATCCCTAGCACCAAACTTTGGAGTTCCTGCGCATCCCAAATCCCCCCAAAACTCACAAAAGGCACCGGTAACAGCTACCGAGCCAGCTTCTATCTTAAACGGTGGCTTCCCGGTTGCAGGATCAGGAAGCTCAAAACATATTGTTGAGACAGCACCTGCGTCTTTTAATATTGGTATCTTATCGTAACCTTCACCCGCGAATTTAGGTTTGGAGCGGATGGTAAGAAGTGCCGTATCCTTGTATCTATGGGATAACTGCGCATAAGCGGTGGAGAAAGAGAGGGGAAGAAAAATAAAGAGGCTCTTGAACATTTCTCTTTGGAGGACCCGGTCAACTCAGCACCTTCACGAATTCGGAGGATAGCAAGTTGGAGGTTGTTTGTAGGAATCCACGCGGCAACGCCCACATCATGGGTTGATTCGAGTTTGGGTCGAGTAGGCTTAGAGGTTAATGGATGGGGAGCCAAAGCAAAAGGTTCAGGTCTCCTTGCTGCGGTTTTACAGGATATCTTCCCTAAATTCTATGTGACAGATCGCCACTTTCGACGGGCTAATGTTACCCACCACTACCGCCGATAAGCAGCTTAAAAAAGGTCTGGGCCGGATTAACCAAAATTTTGAAACAAGTAGTTGGGGACACGAGCAGGAATGCTTCGTAATATAGATATCCAACTCTCTCTGAGGCTTCCAGTCCTCAATGTTATGTTGGATATCTGTTGGACAAACTTCGCCATATATACACACATGCAAAGCACAGTATCGCCTAACACCTCTCCAAATCTTTAAAACCCAATTGCTAAGGAAAAGGAAAACCAAAGTTACAAATATACCTTTACAACGGCATTTCAGGGTAATAAGCCAACCAGGCGCACAAACTCCATACCAACGCCAAACTTCCCAAACATAAGAAAAAGCACAGCCTATACTTTAGAGAAAAAATTTGTTATGCTTTGGCTTCCTTTTTCCTTCCTTGATACCCCTCTCTTTAACTTTTTTGGCGTGCCACTTGCTCCCCTCTTTGGGTTATTCGTTGTGCTGGTACTGCTGTAATACCTTTGCTCTCTCTTCACTGGTGAAGGGGTTTTGATCGGCGAGGACATTGGCGGCTCAGTGTCATCTGATGATATTTCCGACAACTTGCGTTTAGGGGCGGGGTGGAGCGGTGTTGTTGGGTTCGATTTGGTCGGACTTTTGGAGGGCGATGGTAAAAGGGGCAGAGGTGTACTAGAATCCGCCTCATCTGGGTTTAATGTGAGGTTTAGGTCATCTTCCATAGGTGTATCCGAATGTGCCTCTTCCATGAAATCTGTATCTTGTGCTAAACTCTCTTCCTTGATATCATCCTCTTCTATGTAATTATCCTCCTGCTTGGTATCCTCTTCCTTTACGTCTTCCGCCTCCATTTTGTTATCACTATCAACGTGTGATAATCTCTTTGGATTTGTCCACGGCTTTTCTGGCTCTTTAAAAGGTTGTAAAGGTTTGCCACCTTTTGAGAAGAAGTTTTTGATGTTTGATTTGTTATCTTCACTGTCCAATGGGACGATAAAGCTTGGTGAGTTGTTTCCGACTTTCCCGACTTCTTTTCTGACGGGATAACACTCTAGACCCTGTTTTTCGAATGGTTGAAGAAGTTTCTGGAGACCGGAGTCCCAAACACGAGAAGGGTTGAGCCATTCCTTTATTTGTGGAGAATTGGGTTCAAATATCACTGGCATGCGGTCGTGGAGGAAATTGAGTTGTTTCGAGGAGGAAGTTGTAATTATTGTATACGTGTAGAGTTCCTCTGTTGAGTCTAGCATGGTATTAGATGTAAATACTTCATCGAGGATCTTATAGGAGTAATACCTTCATATCTGACGGAGTCCCATAGTCCGGCTATGTATAATAGTTGTCCATCCGATCTTTTTGTGAAGTGTGGGACCCGATCCTTGCCCTTCTTTAACCACTCGAAGAAACCCTGCGCGACAACTATACATCTCTTTTTATTCTTCATCGATGTCCACATTCCCTTGTTATCGTACAAGGAGTCATCGCGACAGTTTATTGTCTTTAACATTGAAGAGTAACCTGGGTTTCGCTTCGTCCAGAATGGGACCAATCCCCATTTCATTGCTGATAAAACGTATTTGACTTTTCCATCGCTAGACTTGGAGAGCGAATCATTTAATATGTTGCCACTATCTGTCACTTCTGTCGTCCTTGTAATATCTTTGCCACCATCGTGCGATTCATCCATGGTTTCTGATTCTCCGTCATCTGGATCGCCGCTACTAGCAGTTGGAAGGTCGGCATCATTGTCGGCCGGGCCAGCATTTTCGCTGACAGCACGGTATATAGGTTCGTAGTATCCCGGTGCAACGTTATAAGATTCTCGGACTCGGTCGACGTCCAGTTCGTCTTCGTCGATTTCAAGACCAGCATCGTGGAGGGCATTCCGGATTTCACGACGGCCCTGGGGTTGGTTATGGTTAGCAACTGGATCTAGTTAAACGTTATAAACTCAAGGGGCGAACAAGGAGGGGTAGATAAATATGTGGGAAAAGACATACTAAGGCCATTGCGTATCGTCCACACATTATGAAGAACCAAAAAGATTAATCAGTCTCGTCTTCCTGATCTATACCTGTTAGAAGATTATTGAGGGGTTGAAGTCGGGACAGTGCAATGCGATGCATTATGAGTCGACTGCGCTCAGCTCAGAAGGATTCCCGCGTTTTGCGATGACGGCGCGTCTGTGCGACAGACCTCCGGGGTGTCACCGGGAGTAAGATCGGGTCAGTTCCCGGACCACTGATGCCCATCCTTGGCGCTGGGGATATGACGTCGGGAAGCGCCCCGCTTAAAATTTGGCTAAAGAGAAACCACACCTTCGAGGCTCAACCTGACATTCCACCACCGTGCACCAGACAAATCGACATGCGCTGATATTAATATCGCGATCGCTCCAGGCCGTGGAGTACCGATGACAAACCTAAACCTTTATATTCAAGACTTACAGACACAATGACAACAATGAACCTGGCACGATCAATAGCGCTGGCCGCTCGGGGCTACCCCTCGAGAAACCCACAATGTGTCTGTGGACGGCCATTGATCAGAACCTCAAGGACCCAATGGACCTCCTTCCCGCAAACAACAGTACGAAATGTTACAGCTCGAAGAATACATACTTCACATTTTCTTCAATCCCTGCCAAAACCAAAGCAGTCCGCAAATCCCCATGTCCCAATCGACCGCTTCCAGACGGGAAAACAGCGAACGTATAACCTCCTAAAGCTCCAGACCTACCGTGAAGCTTATCACGATAGCCCTAAACAATTCATATTTGTCATGGTTATGGGTGTGATCACTTTGGGTTTACTAGCTGTAGGAGCGCAGGGTGCATACTATACTCTTATCAAGCCTTTACATAACTACCCTGAAGATGTCGCGAAATTCATTCGAAGAGCAATATTCTATGAAAGTAAAATGGATATTAAGGAGTGTATGAAAAACTACCAGCGTGCTATTACAGCATCTGAAATGCTGAGCATGGACCCGTTGAGTGATGAGGTTACAGGATTGAAGATTATGTATGCTGGGATAGCGGAGAAATGTCATGCGTTTGATAAGGGTGTGGAATGGCTTGAAAGATTGAGGTTTGAGATGTTGACCTTAATGGAAGAGCGGAGAGAGGAGTTGGGTACTATCGGGTGGTTGAAGGTTATGAAGCGAGTGATCGGTATCTCGGTGAAGATTGGAGACCTGCAGGTACTAGATAAGGATGATGCGAATGCAGAGAAGACGTACGAGTGGAGCGTAAAGGAAGCAATGAGGGTCATGAGCATACAGAGTCGACTAAACGAAGATGAGGAGAGGCCGTGGACTGTGTTAGAAATTGCGGCGATCTTTGAGAGTGAGCTACACCACCCCAGCCGATCAGATAGTAAAAGGGACGAGACGTCTAATTCACTTATAGATATGGCTTCTTTCTATGAGCGAACAAACAAGTTTGACTACGCGACGACATTATACATCCAAGCTGCAAATTTATTCCGTCCGCCATCATGTCACAGTGTTATCCTATGTTTGTTGCCCACTATGACGATCTTTTCGTGCCATCCACTAACACACGCATTCTAGTAAACAATGTCGGTGCCTGTAATATGCAACGTCGCCTCCCATCCGGGGAGCCAATGGACCGAGAAACGCAACTTGAATCCGCAAAGAAGTGGATGGAAAAGGCACTAGATGTCGCTAGTAATATCAAACCTCCTGCGCGAACAGAAGAGTGCGATCAAGGTTGCGTAGTGGCTCTCCACAATATTGGAGAAGTCGAGGAGCAGCTAGGAAAGATGGATGAAGCGATATTGAAGTTTCAGGAAGCACAGAGCTTAGCATTCGCAATTGGGTTTGCAGATGCATATCAAAATGCAGGGGTTGCTCAAGAGCGAATAAAGGCTAAGCAAGCTGGAACATACGAAAGCCCCGAAGATAGGAAGAAGAGAGAAAAGGAAGAACAGCGAAGGATAGACGAAGCTAGGACTGGCGGCTTACCCCCGCTAACGTTAAGCAAAGTGGGTCCAGGATCCAGGAAGCGGGAATGAGATTGATGAGACTCCATTGAGGATGTGATTTGTAAGATATCGATGTTGTAAAACCAGGGAAATATAATAGCCGAGCCATTGACGACTTTGGTAATCTGTATTCGATTACTACCATAGCGCTAAAACGCATCATACCTTTGCACTTTGCAGCATTTTATCAACATGTTAACATGTCACAGAACTGGGGGAGGATTACTTATATCGGGTTCAAGCTACCCCCGGATATCTCCCATATGTATATATAGCGCATGCACGTGGCCGATCAACATATGCCTAACTAGTACCTAATTAACTATAAGCCAAGAGCTACACTCACATCTATAAGCTCGCAACTTGAAGGGGTTATTGCTGAGGTGTTCTAATTTTATAAGCATGGAAAGCTTCGTATTTCGGTTATATACTCTGATATTTATTCATATGAGTTAATCTTGAGGAAGTATTCTAAGGCGCCCTCGCGTCCGGTGCGTCCTAAATTATAAAACTGCCCAAGTAAATTCATGTTGAGAGCGTTGTATTCGCACAGTCCATATTTTGTTTTAATCTAACCAAGACCACAAGTTTACAAACCACTAGCTAAATTAGGAATCATAGACCATGAATGCTACTGAGAATTGTTCGACGTGCACGTGCTGGCGTTCAGAAAAAATTTGAAGATCAGCCTATCCCTGGGAACGAGACCAGCCTATCCTAAGTATAAAAAGATATAGTTCCCCTTGTCCTCAGGTTGTCTCGTACCCAATTTCTTTCTTTTCTCATTCTCTCGTTTTATTCTTCTCCTCCATAGAGCCAAGCGTACTGCCTACCAAAGGACCAGGCGTAGCGTACCAGTATATTCTAGATTTATTACAAAACTGAAGGTCCCCGTACTATTATACAAGGATATCTATACGTATTCGAATACCTCAGTATTGCTAGTATATACGTTCGGATACCAACTTCATCACCACTGACATGCCCGGCCCTTCATATCTTTCACGAGTGTCAACACACCTTTCAGGCCTGGTAGATACTTTAGAGATGTCTCTGCATGACGTCGAGAGATATGAGGCGAAATGCTTCTTTCTTCCGGGTCGAATGATAAAAATCAAGCCTCAACTTTTACCAGGAGACCCTGACTACTTAATTAATGCCAATAGGGACCGTGATGGTAGCGATGAAGATGCCATTGATGCAGCAATGTTCGGATACACTGTTAACGTTAACTCTCGCGAAAGCTTCTTCTCCGCCGAGGACGCAAAGATCCACCCAGAGATCGCCAAGATCTGCCAAATTGAACGTCAGATATTAAAGTTTCACTCATTGGAAGAGCATAATAAGAGATATACAGCCTTGGAATCCGAGTTCAATCGCCTCAACGGTTTGATGGCACCACTACGAACACATCCCAACAATAGCCGTCCGTTCAAACCTCTATACGACAAAATATTGAGAACTTACCAGCATCGTAAGAAGGATCGAAAGGTTATTGCGAATTTCGAAGATTGGGTGATTGGAGAAACGGACGCTTTAAGCGACAAAGAGATCGATGGACTTCAACGGAAGATCCAGAACACACTTCATAATGCCATCAATCCGATGAGGAAACTTCCTGCAGACTGCGATAGAACTCTAGAATTTGCCCTTGCGGCTTTGGTAGAACGTCGAAAGCTCAAAGCCAAACTGGAACCAATACTCCACAAGGGCCCCGAGTCACTTCGACGGATCGCGAAAACTATGGAAGGGAAGATGATCAACGAAGAATCGCATTTAAGAATGGGCATATGTGAAATCCCTAGCCTTAAAGCCCATTCTTTAGAAAAATTAAAGCAAGATGTTCGGGATTTGACAGAAATATTTCGGATGATAAAGGCTGCGAGGGGGGATTACAAAGAATGGGAGAGGATGCGGTTCAGAAAAACTTATCAGAGTGATAAGCCGGCGCCGGGTGAACGCTTGGAACCAATAGAAGAGAAGAGAAGGAGGAAGATTTTCTCAAGTTCGCAAAGGAAATGGTTAAAAATGGGATTGTTGGGGAATTGTGGCCATGTCGAGATAACTGAACGAGATTAGCCACGGCAGTTATAACACAGCTACCCGTAAATCGAAGGTTTGTAGTATGTTATTGCATGTTGGAATGAAATTTTTAGCATAGCTCTATACCATAGCCAGAATTATTGAACGAGTTTAACTTCCTTTTACCGAGATATCGAGACTATGTGTACCTATGCAAAGTTTTAACGTTTTAAAACCGGAGCAAATATATTTAAATATAAATACCTAGAACTAGCTGGGTGTACTGTGCTGCATCGGCTAATATTAGTAGCTGGTAACGTTGCATATTTGGAGTTGTGATAAATGTGGCTATCAATAGCCGGCCAGTGGCTGAGTCATTCTTGGATTTCTGTGGCTGGTGTCCAAAATGTTCAGCATCGCGACTGTCTCGAAACCAACCACCATCGCTTCCTCAAGCAATCTCACCAACAGCTCCACCAAGCAGCCTCCCACTCGTCGCACAGCTCGCTGGACCCGTCCTCGGCCACGAGCGACATCATCTCTACCGCTTACAATGCCGAAATATAAGTCACTCCCGCCCAATACCCCCTGTCTACGCTGGTACTGACCTCCCATTACTCTTCTGTAGGTTCCCAAACCATCACTACCAACCCTACAATCTATAGCCGAAAGCGCGTCACGCAAAAACCGCTAGATGAGCCCAACCATTCAGCAGGCAATGATTTTCTAATACAAAAGTGAACTTGCTTGTCTTCTTTTGCGTCGCTTTTTTTATAGGTGACTATTGCGACGTGTACCTGACACACGACTCAATCAGCGTTCGAAAGGCCCACAACAACGGACGAAATCATATTCGAAATGTGGTTGAATACTATCAGCGTATGATGTCTCTACAATATAGGCATAAAAGGGGACACGGCTAATAAGTCTACGTTATAGAAATCGGACAGGAGCGAGCCCAGTCGGTGATTGATACAATTACGAATTCGTACGCCGCTGAAGGACATGCACTACCGTTCCCTGGTATGCCTATGATGCCCAGCTTCCCGGGTGGCCCACCGCCACCTAGCGGACTGCCGTCTGGAATGCCACCACCACCATTCGGGTTCCCAGGTAAGTGGCTTATTTGGAAGCTGTAGATGTTAAAAAAACTTGCTGATTGTCGCGCTGCAGGTGGTACAGGAATGCCACCACCACCAGGAGGATTCCCTGGCGGTTTGCCACCTCGTAAGTGTCAAATCTCCGAACATGATTGATTGGAGCCTCTAGCTGACGCTGTGATAGCGGGAGGGCGAGGTATGCCTCTACCACTTCCATTGCCAGGCCAGCCCGGCGCTCCACCTCTTCCTCTCCCAGGCATGCCTGGCGCCCCACCATTTCCGCCAAATTTCCCTCTACCGACAAACCTCCCTGGAGGTATGCCCCCCTTAGGTCCTAATGGTATGCCACTTCCAATCCCTCCACCAGGTGGTCTGCCAGCAGGAATGATACCACCTCCAGGTTTTCATGGCGGTCCTCCTGGTCCGCCAGGTGGGATTAACCCCCCTCCGGGCCTGGGAATGCCGCTTCCAGGCGATCCACGGCAAATCCCCCCCTCCTCAACAGCAGCAACTCAGCGGGTTCGGAAACCCACCAAGCTAGGTGCTTGATGGTAGCTCGGGACCACTAAATCTTCTGTATCCGCCACTCCCACTCCAACCTCCTCAGCCTATAACCGCGCCACTTCCTTTGGTTTCACAACTCACGGGGACTACAATATCGAGCGGGAGCCAATCTTTTGGTGGGATTTCGGATGCAGATACTGCTGTGTGGTCTAACGAGGGCCTTGATAACTCTGGGCAGGGGTTGAGAAATAACACTACGCAGCAATCAAATACACCTGACCCTGGCGCATACGGTTGGCATTCACCGCAAACCAAAAAGCATGGCAAAGGTTATGCTAGTGGCAGGAAGGGATAAGAGCCGATGTCACGCCTCATAAATCCGAATTTCTTTATCGTAACACAAGGTCTTCATCAGTACTTTTTTCTCTGTTGCATAGCATTACATCCTCCAAAAGAACCTGATAATATTTACACGATAATGGTCGTTTCCTTGATAATGTTTGCTTGAGGGGTTTTTGTTTTCTTCCTTGCTATTTTTATTACGGTATTCATGGGACTTGTATTATTATTATCATCATCCGTTGCAGCTGACCTGGGTTTTTTTAAAGAGCTCAAAAGAATTATAACAAAATTTTCTTCTAAACTCTTCTCTTTTCCTTCTTTTCCTTCTTCTCCGCTAGCTATAGCCGAACATCACCTGTTTTTGATCGGAAAGTCTTGCCATGATACTACCACCTTTTGCTGCGTTCGGCTGTTGAAACCGACCACACATCTGCAAAATCTATCAGGCTTAAGTATTTATCCGCGAGTCAACTCGCAGAACTGCGATAATTTCAAGTGGCATTATATAGTGGCAAACAAACATTTCCCTATATCCAGACGAGAATAAGGAAAACACTGTTGTTGAAGGGAAGAAGTTACCGACCAAGCCACTAGGGTCTTTACGTAAAATATCCTTACCTTCAGGATCCCATGGGCCGAGAGAGCTAAGATTTTGACGACTTTCAATATACCCTAACAATCATATATCCACCATCGGCGAATTAAATTGGCAACATGACTAGATAAGAATTGGCCAATGCCACCCCTTCAGCAGATTGACAAGTTATAGTAGCAAAATGCGACAGTTAGCAATGCGAATCGGAACTATGCCCCCCGGAAACCTCGCCTTCCCCAGCTTTTTACCACCCTCCTTCAGCTCCTTGTGGCCCATCCACAAACTCCGCAACGTGCCCTAAATCCCGGCTCATGTATGCAATATGCAATGCCTTGATATGTGAATTCTGAAAGCCGAGAGGACCTAGCAAGCGAGCCAAGCATCTCGAAACTCGAGATCTTCCATAAAGTTGATCGATTGGGTCTAGTCAGCGGCCGGCCCGCATAGTTCTCGTTTTCTGCTGTAAAGATCATGATACACAATATGCATATCATTCTTAGCGACCATTTTTTAGCACATCTCTTACTATTAATTAACCCTTGTCTTGTTATGGGTATAGGCATAGTCATAAGCATTTTGGATGTATTGAGTGGCGTTCGTCGCCTTCCGGAAGATCTTGAGCAGGAACATGACATGATTCAGGCCACTGTCCTCTACTCGAATAATCTGGGCACTACTGTTGGATAAGACCACTGATTGGCTTAGATCTTGAGGGTCTGTGGTCGTGTGAGCGTGATATCATAGAGTGATATTCGGCCCGTCTCGCCGTGGGATAAGAGTCCATGGTCCCATGGTTCGAGGCCGTATTTTGGGGGTATGTGGAGGGCCATAGCTCTCGTACGGGACAAAGACGACGAGGGTGAGCGAGTGAGGAGAAAGTAGATACCATGTACGAGCCTCGGTACAATAGCTTCGATAGTAGGATTGACAATGTATGTGAATCTGTACAAGGGGATGTCTTCTGGAGAAGTATAAAAGGGTGATGATGGTATCAAGGAAGTAGATTGTGCAATCAGTATCTATTCAGCAGTTCATTCGTCAGTTGCAATTCATTCGGTACCTTCATCTCCAAGATCAATAAAATCTTTAGATCTTTTCATATCTTTACCAAGATCACCTTTTCTAAATATCCAATCAAAATGAAGTTCTTCACCGTCCTTGCCCTTGCCGTCCTCCCACTCGCCTTCGCATCCCCAATTGAGATCCCAGAGGCCCTCCAAAGTATGTCCACCTAGAATAATATTCCACCAGATTAACTCTCTCTCTTTGAGCTGCTGGGCCTAGTGTCGGTTTGTTTTCTAACAGAAAGGTGAATGAATAGAGCGTGACTGCAACTACAACGCCATCACCGCCTGCTCCAGCGGTTGCGGCAGCACTGCCACCGCCGCCTGCAAGAGCTGCAATAACAATCCCAGCTGTTTCACCGCCTGCTACAACGCTAGACTATCCCAATGCAAGAACTGCTGTGCTAGCAAATGCACTCGTTGTTAAGCTTTGATCGATCGATCCACATACATATAAAGAGATATAAGTATGTATGGGGCCATGGGAAGAATATAATAATCGGGTCCTCCTAGTTGAGAAGTATCAATTAGTAGGTTACATATGTACACAATTGATTTGGGTCGAATCAGATAGCTGGAATAATGGGTCCTGTATTATACTATACCATGAATCGTTAAATATAAATATAAACGTCGCCCCGAAGCAGGGTTCTAAACAACCACATGTCGCATTTTAAATTTCCATTGATTTGATACCAATCTGCGGGTAACAAAATTTTTTGATTTAGATGGTTAATTATTAGTCCGAATTATACTTTCTTGAGCAATTGAGGTTCATAAGGTTTATATAAGAAGGACTGTTGTATTATTGACCCCGGCAGCCTCGATGGTCTCATCGAGCCTTAAATGGTGTAGCTGCTGGGGCCCACTCCAAGCGACCCGGTTGTGTCGTTATGCTAATTAATCGAATCCTCCACCAAAACTCCACCGCGATATCAATTTATCCCAACTTCACCATCCAAAGTACTTTGCGCATCACAGGCAGAGCAACTGTAGGCCAAAAATTAAAAACGATGCCACTTGAAGCCCCTTTCACTTCTCTACCCCTAACCCGGGATTCGGTGCTTGCTGCGCACGAACTAATAAAATCACACATCCACCGAACTCCCGTTTTATCATCAAAGTCCCTCGATAGCTTTGCAAGTACCCCACGAAGCACTACAATTGAAGGTATTCATAATGCCCGCTCTGTAGATGCCAATAATGCGGCCAAACCAAAGATTAGGTTTATCTTCAAGGCTGAGAATTTGCAGAGGGGTGGGGCATTTAAGATTCGGTATGTGGCCTTGATATTCTTAACTACCATTTTTTTTTTCTCAATGTGCTTTTAGATAATGTATCCAATTTGCATCAATCGAAGTTTTACGGGAAAAAATGCTAATACAGTTATTAAATATATCACAGAGGAGCAACCCATGCCCTTTCACATCTAACCCCCCTCCAAGCCTCAAAAGGCGTGATAACTCATTCCTCAGGGAACCATGCTCAAGCTCTAGCAATCGCCTCGTCGTCCCATGTCCCTCCAATACCTTGTACAGTAATAATGCCATCAATCTCCACACCGTCAAAGATAGCAGCAACAAAGGGATATGGTGCAAATGTTGTATTCTCTGGCTCCACAGCACCCGAGCGGGAAGCCAAGGTACTAGAAGAGCAGTCAAAGACTGGAGCGACTTTGATCCCGCCGTATGATCACCCTTGGATATTACTAGGACAGGGAACCGTAGCGCTAGAGTTAGTTGAACAGGCTGAAGAGGTTGGAAGGAAACTCGATGCTATCATTGCGCCATGTGGGGGTGGGGGTCTACTAAGCGGTATTGCGACGGCTTGCGAAGGAACTGGAATTAAGGTATTCGGTGCAGAACCGAGGAAAGATGGAGGAAATGATTGCGAAAGAGGACTTAAGAGGGGGAAACGAGTTGAGGAAGTGAAGACTTTGACGATTGCAGATGGACTTCGGACGCCTACGGGAGTAATTACGTATGGAATTATTGAGAAGAAAGTGGAAGGGGTGTTCAGCGTTACTGAATGGGAGATTCTACAGGCCACGAGGTTGGTTCTGGAGAGGTTAAAGGTTGTGGTCGAACCCAGCGCGGTTGTGGGGTTGGCAGTGGCGTTATTTGATGAAGGGTTTAGGAAACTCGTGGAGAAGGAGGGTGGAGAGGAAGGGTGGAATGTTGGGGTAGTGTTCTCGGGGGGGAATACGACTGTGGAGATGTTGGCTGGGGTGTTTGGACGGGAGGAGGAGTTTAAAGGACAGCAGGACGAACTTCTACGGCAGGATTTGTGAGAGTAGACGCTTACTAGACCTGTGATGGAAGTAAGTATGTATATCTAATTATACCGGTTCGAATCCATAGATAAAGATCTATAGAAGTCGCGGTCTAGACTAGATCTCGGATATCAAATAACGTGGATTTGAAGCCACCGTAGTATGTATTGAATTCGGTCCACATGCATTGACCATAAGGAGAAACTTCGGATATCACATTCCGACGATACCTGCACTGAGCCTCACGCATTATGCGCATGGCATCACACAATGCCATTCCATCGAGATGCATCAAATTAAACACTTCAGAAATTTGACCAAAAGTTCTGACCAGCAAATCATAACCTACACTGGACGCATCCCCCACTCTCGCTTCCCGAAAAATGTCTCTCTTCCGTCAATCAAGTCGGAGAAACTCTGCGGCAACTCAGAGTTGTTCGAAGCCGGTTCTAGACCCCTGAGCTGCCGTTCCTTTTTCCCATTCTATTTTCCTGAGAGCAAGAACCCCAGCCGCTTCTTCGGCTACAATCACCACCGAGTCTTAAAGATTACGGGCGAAACTTGGTTTGATTGTTATGTAGCCGACGGAAATATTTTCCACAGAACAATAGGGGAATTGGACGGAACCCCTTGCTGTTCAGTATAACATTGCATATGGCGTGCATTAAATGCCGTTGGAACTGTTAAGCACCTGGGAAGTTAACTAGTTGTGCATATATATAACGCACCCATACCTTTCGAACAGTTGTGTGTGTGTGTGTGTGTGTGTATGTGTGTCTGTGCGGGATCATACGATCGATTAGTTGAATTAATCGGATTGAATTAATTCAGTATCTAATATATGATACTCCGGACCTGATGAATATACTGGCACCTGGATTTCCTTTAAGATCTGAGTATAAGTAAGCACATAGTAAGTAAGTAAAGAGTCAAGGATTATCTCGTACGACCCCCATACTACCTATCTATTTATGATATCTTGATTGTCGCATGGGTCGTTGATTTGCAAGGCGAGAGTAACGTTATTATCCCCTTCTTCGCATCATCCCGTCCAACATGTACATTACACGACCGCACCATAAAATTCAAACAACGGAAATTTGGCGAGGGAAGGGAAGGAACGCACGGGTTTACCCGCCCGTTAGCCGTTTAATCTTCAAACGAGTAAAGAAAGGCAGTTGTAACGTTGCCGGCGTGCGCATGACCAAAGAGACCAAAAGGAGATGAAAAATGAAGAAAAGAAATAGCATAGTTGATTTTGTATTGAAACATAGACTTGCGGGACGGGCGCAAGCGGCCGGGAAATTTGAATATATCCTCCCTGATGTTACGTATACCGGTAATATCCATGGGTAACGCATCATATCATACGGACTCGTGATCATAATATCAATCGTATCGGGGCAGGGTCTAGGGGATAACATACTTTGATACAAATCAATCGACGTCGCACGACAGCGATGTGCAGTGCAGTGCGCATACATAGTATAATGGCTAGCACCCCATGGTCCTAGTCTTAAAGAGGCGCCGCCTTCAGCTCGCCGATGCATGTGCGACTGCGCACATAGATCTATAGACAATAGCATATTATTTTGTGCGAACGTTACTAGAACTTGGCACGATACTTGATAAGATATCTAGATAATGCTCAATTGATAAGCTAGAAAAATCAAAAATATCGATATCGTGAATATTAATATATACGACTGCGACATGAATCGAGGTGATCAAACTCGCCCGGTTAACTTATTTAGCTCTGTTCGCGTCGGGAAGACGGGCTAGCTCCACTCCCGCAAAATGAGAGACATTGGCCAATTAGGTGAATCGGGTGGCCTGGCCTGCTGTTTGGAGGGTAAGTACTTAGGAAGAACTTATGATCCCTGGTGGGCGGGTGAACCGAGCTATTGGGAACGGGTCTTTTCGTCTTTTTTTCATCCCTTCTTTCTGACCTTTTTGTGCGAAGCCCTTTATGACACCGTTTTAATTGTCATATGAAACTTCGAAATTCTCTCTCTCTCTCTCTCTCTCTTTTTTTTTTTTTTTTTCCATCTCATCCGTGAAGTTGCGAAACAGTAGTTGGAACGAAATTGGATCTTTTTGACTGTTGACTCGACGAACAAAGCTCAAGCAGGTGAACAGGGAATAAGCTTGCTGGTCTTCGACGGGCTCCACTTTCGCAAGCTGAGCAGAAGAAAGGAAGAAAAGGCACTGCAGGAACTAGGAACTAACTAAGTCAGTTCGAGGCCGAAGCTTAAGACTTACTTACATATATGCATTACCTTACACTACGCTACACTACGCTGCACTTAGTCTACACAGAAACTACTCAGGAAAAGGAAAGTCTCCACCGGCGCGGCACCTGCACCACCTCCTCTTCTTTTTCTTCTTTCTTCCTTTCCCATCGAACGTACATGCCAGCCGTCCTGTCGTTTCTTTCTTCTTCCATCCTTTTTCATCTGATATTTCGACTTCGAGCCTCTCTCACGTCATGATCCCGCGACCACAGCTCGTATACGTTGAATAGACCTGCATTTATTTGTAAGCCACCACCCACCCATCATTTCTTGTCCTTGGAGCTTGGGCCTGTTCTGTTCTGTTCTGGCTCGGTCTACATTCACGTGCATTGGCTAACCTCCTGGTGTTCTCGCCTCGGTAGCCCAAGAATCACGTAGTTATCTGATTGATTGATTCGATTGATTCGATTGACTGATTAACGGTTTCGATTGATTTGATTCCCGACTTTTATTTGTTTTTTGAGCCGCCGAGCTGTCTGACTGGCCGGCTGTTGGGAACCGTCGTTTCCGGTTTGTGCACGATTAGTCGCTTCGTGTGCCTGCATACATCCCACCAGCGGCCGCCGTACATACGACCTACATACTTACTACTTACATTTACATTACATCCAACATCCAACGACGCCAACAGTTGCTAGCTAAGAAGAGCAGAACTTAGAAATTATATCCGGGACGGCCTTTTTAAATAATATCATATCATATTTTGGACGCACACACACACGACACACACACGCCATGTTGTAACCATTTCCCCCCATTTTTTTCATTTCCCTTGCCCTCTGCAGCATCATTCCATTCTGGCCGAAAAACGACTCAAAGGAGAATTACCAACATTTTCTTTTATAATTTTCTTTTAATTTTAAAACGAACCTTGTGGGATACACTAACTATTAATTATCGGTTGTCTCGGTTTGCTTTATTTTATCTTTTATCTTTATTATTTTTGGAGGCCTGTCCTTTATTCGGCTTGCTTTAGGGCGATTTGTTGTATCACGACATCGATTTATATAGCGTCAACCGCCAGCCCCGTCTTTGCATGAAAATACCCTTACGACTTACGGCATATACGTCTCCTCAGCCTCTCAATCTACGAAATTATCAATAATACCCATTTTAACGATTCATAGACTCTGTACTGTCGACATTATCAAGTTCAGCATCGGATTCGACATCATTTACAATGCATCGTCGTCCAACAACACACCTCCGTACCCGTCGGGCTCTCATAATCCTTGACTGCCAAAATGCATTTCTTTCCCCTTCCCCAAACCCATTGGCTCCGCCATCTTATCAGGTGGAATCAATACCATCAACACTGTCGCCTTTACTCTCTGCCTTTAGAGAAGTGGGCGATGAGGTTATTTGGGTCAATACCCAGTTCGAAGGGACTTGGGAATCTGGAAGGCGGGATGGAGTCTTCGTTGATGACGACGACGAAGAGGTTCCCAAAGAAGAAGTCAAGAAGGAAGTCAAGAAAGTGGTCAATGGGAACAAGGCTAATGGGAACGGGAACGGGAATAAAGCTAATGCGAACGGGAACAAGGCTAACGGGAATGCAAACGGAAACAAGGCTGGTCCGTCAAGAACTAATGGACATTCTTATCGACGAGTCCCGTTGAAGAAGGGGATGGTGGCGGGGAAATATAAGGATATGGTTAGCGACTTGTTAAAAGGCTACGACGAATCCGACAGCGATGGTGACAACGGTACGAACGGTACGAACGGTACTCCAAAAGAGAAGAAAGAAGACGAAGTAAAAGAGGACCCAGGATCGAACACCGACGAATATTTATCCGAAGAATTCACAAAGCTTTATTCATCATTCTGGAAAGAACCGGACGTCTACAAAGCATATCCCGATTATATAAAATCGCTAATAGTACCCAGCGACAAGCAATACACTAAATCATCATACTCAGCCTTCCATATCCCGAATTTCTTGGGAATCCTAAGGAGTCGCATGGTCACGGAAATATACTTTGCAGGAGCACATAGTAATGTCGGTGTCTTTGCGACAGTGGCTGACGGGGCCATGCATGGGTTCGTGATGACTGTGGTTGAAGACTGTGTGTTTTATAGGAGCAAGAAAAGACACGATACGGCAATGGATGAGATGGAAACGGATTTGGGCATGATCAAGATGGATAGTTCAGAGTTATTGAAGAAGATGGGGAAGACACCAGGGAAGAAACAAGAAAAAGTGGCAGAGAAAGAGGAAGAAGATGCTACAGGGGAGGAAGTCTCCGGGACAGGCAGGATTAGGAATCCAACGCTTGACCCTGAAGTTGTCGAAGCGCTGATGGAGAAGTTGAAAGTGGGCAGCACGACCGAGGAAGACGAAGAAGAATCTAAGAAGGCCAAGAGGAATTCGAGAATCGGGGACGGCGGGAAGACGGTTAATGGTGCCGGAAGGGTGATCGCTAGTGGGAGTAGCAGAGTCGCACAAAGAGAGAGCCTTAAGACGCCAGAGCAACTATTCGGAAATTTTGCGACCACAGGGGTGCAGCGCCCGAATAGTGCACCCGTCAGTGGGTTTCAATTTTCTGCCCCCGAGCTACTAGAGAGGAAGAAAGAAGAAGGTGCGTCATCATCACCGACGAGTTCTCTTTCTTCAGAAAGTGTCATCGAACGAACATCAATATTCCAACGACCGTACAGCATGGATGCGACAAAGCTCGAGGATCAAGATGAAGAAATATGTGTCCGAGAATTTAAGCGCAATGTTCGACCGAGAGTATCTCGCCCAGCTGCATCTGCACCAGGCCCCGCTTCCTCGTCATCTCCGTCATCTGCTACCTCAGGGCCAGTACCTCGAGAACGTGTGCGCGCAAAGGTCACAATGCGCCGCCCGACAGATAAAAAGGGTCGTCCAGTTTCCCCAGATAAACCTGGTATTAGCAACAGCGGGAAACTAGAAATTGCAAGGGCAATGAGTAGTCTGAGTATTTCCACGATATCAAGTGGCGAAGCTGAGAAGTCGCAGGCTGCAAAGGATGAATTGCTCAAGAGCATTATGACAAAAAAGACCGAGCCATCCACATCTTTACCGTCGCTACCAATTGTTGCACCGGAAACCACGTTAGCGTCATCATCATCCAAGTCACCTGCGGCTGAAGTTGAGACTAAGGCTGTTGGAGCGGGTGGCGCCAAAGCTGAGGATGTTGAAGCTACCAAAGAAGCTACAGCTGGCGAGGAGAAGACTGGCGAAGTTGCTGGAACGCCCGAAAAGGCAAGCGAGCAGCCGGTGAAGGATCAGGTCGATAACGTTGAGAATCATTCCACCAAACCTCACGAAGAGTCTATAAAAACACCGCCATTGGCGACTTCATCTATGCTTTCTCCTCCAGTATCATCAACAGCATCAATCGATTCTGCTTCGTCGCCTTCAAAGGAAATTTCAAAGGACACAATGCCTTCATCTGATTCTGAAGCTTCAGCCCCGTCGCCAGGCGACAACACAATTGAAAATCCACCACTGAAACAAGATTCAGTCGACCAGCAAGCTCATGTCGAACAGCCACCTGCTGAAAGCTCCACCACCACAATCGCCACCACAAAGATAACAACCGCTGCTTCTGATCCGGGGCCATCTACGGCTCCTGCCTCTCAAGAGCCACCCGCGGATGCTGCCGCTCCTCAATCGACCCACAAAGCTCGCAAACAAAAGCGTAAAGATGCGAACCACTCCGCTGCCCTAGGTCCAAATGACACCCTTGGTGAACCCACCGACACAACCTCCTTAATCACTTCCCTCCTTCCAGCAGACTTCAGCGCTAGTGTCTTTGCCCAACTGAAGTCAGAAGTCCAATGGCGAGTTATGTACCACCGTGGCGGCGAAGTCCCACGCCTGGTAGCGGTACAAGGCCAAATCGATGAAGACGGTTCATTCCCAATCTACCGTCACCCATCAGACGAATCTCCACCTCTGCTTCCATTTTCTAGGACGGTAGAAGAGATTAGGAAACATGTGGAGGCTAGGTTGGGGCACAAGGTCAACCACGTCCTGATCCAGCTCTATAGAACTGGTATAGATTACATTTCTGAGCATTCAGACAAGACATTGGACATCGTGAAAGGAAGCGGGATCGTGAATGTGAGCTTGGGAGCGCAGAGGGTTATGACTTTGAGGACAAAGAAGAGGGAGAGGGAAAAACTTGTTCCCCATGTTCAAGATGATACGAAGAAGGACGAACCTGAGCCCAGAGCTGAGCTAGAACCAACTAAGAAAAACCCAACGGTTGCAGAAGATTCTCCTACCTCTACCCCTTCAAAAGTGGAGGAGGAGCCAGAAGAGCCTCGTATCATCCAAAAGATTCCATTGCCTCACAATTCAATGTTTATTCTGGGCCTTCCCACCAACCAAAAATGGATGCACAGCATACAACCAGACAAGCGTCTGCTCCGCGACAAAGCCCCCGAAGAACTGGCCTACTCCGGTGAACGAATCTCTCTAACCTTCCGCCACATTGGTACCTTCTTAAGCAAAGATGAGAAGAAAATCTGGGGCCAGGGTGCCACGGCTAAGAGCAAAGAAGACGCAAAGGATACCATTGTAGGCGATCAAAAGAATGCCGAGGAAATGGTTTTTGCGTTTGCGGCAGAGAATAGGATGGGTGCTGGATTTGAATGGGACGAGTGGTACGGCAAGGGATTCGACGTGCTCCATTTCAAAGAACAGAGGAGAAAAATTAGAGTGCTGAAAGGTGACCCTGGGTGTCTGGGGGTTAGAATTGCTATGGAAGTTGTGGGATGGAAAGATGTGGTCGTTGAAGAGGTGGGGATTGAGCAAGTTAAGGGGATGGAGGTCGCCGGAGGGCTTAGGGGAGACCTGCCGGTATTGGAGGATGTGGACAGGGATAGAACGGTGGTAGTGGGAGAGGAAGCTGTGTTGATGTTCTTGGCTACAGCGGTGGATGAGGGTATCAAGTGGTTGTTGCCAGATCTAGTGACGAGACGGGCTGAATATGCGAGGTGTCTGAGCGGACTGATGGAAGTCAGGAGATTAAAAGCTGCTATGGAAGTGCTGGCAGTTGTCAGTGCTGGAAGTGTAGTGGTTGAGCATCCGCTTTTCGAGAAAGTCCACGAAGAGCTACAGTACTGGGATGCATGGTATTCACCAAAGAAAGAGAGTGTGAGCTCCGAAACCGAGGGCGTCGGGAGCAGAGTTAACGTTGTGGATTGCGCCGTCTTCCCATACGTGAAGCGCCTAAGGGAGTTTGGATTTTTGGATGTGAAGGAGAAGGATGGAGCTGGGGCTAGATATGATAATCTAGTGAAATTTGTGAAAAGGTTTGAGAAGGAAAAGTTTGTGAAGGCGGTGGACAAGACTGTTGCCTAAGTATTCTTCCTTATACACACTCCACCCCCAACATTATCGATATTCGTACTGCCCTCTTCTCCTGAATTTACCTCTCTTATGTAGTTAGCATATCAAGCAAGTATGGTGTTTTGGAGTTTAGTTTATTGGTTTATCAATTCCTAGTTCAAGTTTTGATTTCCTTTGGTATTGGTTCCAGCCTAACCTCTGATCATTGAGTCGGCTTTTAAGTTTATCTATACATCGTTTTGAGTAGTATACAAATGACAATCAGTTGTTTGATAAAAAGAATACAGTGCGAATTATAAGTACTAGTAGTCACGCCTTTATTTTAAACGCCAATTTCCAAGTAATCCATGATGATAGATAGTCTTCCAGATGCATGCCCGTAGAACGCCTGATAGAAACAAAAATAAAAGCCAGTTAATCTGCAATGAGGACCTGCTCACCAATCCTCTTCCGCTTTCCTCCTCTGGCGCTCGTAGTTCTCGATGTAACCACCTTCTTCCCCGCTGCAACGACCCTCCTTTTCTTCTCCGGTTCTAGAAATTCGCCATCCTCATCAACGGTATCATCATCTCCCTCTTCCTCTTCGAGCTCTACTAGCCCCTGTATCAACCCCACAGCCCTCCTCCCACCCCCGGCACCCCTTCCATCACAGTTCCCAACCGAACTCTCCACCGTCAACAAACTTTCTCTAAACCTCGCGGCATTTTCAACTTCCTCCTCATGACTCTTCATTTTGTGGAAACTGGCGTGATGGCTGCAACCGTCGCAGTCGAATGAGGTTGTGGCTTTTAAAGGATGTACCATGAACCGTTGGCAGGAGCAGCCGGAAATTAGACTTGACTTTTGAAGACAAGGGCCGCGGGGGATTGGGTATGACATCTTTTTTTTAAAAAAAAAAAAAAAAAATGAAAATAGATTGATTATCAAGTTAGCCATAGGGAGTTTTTCGATTTATGATTTTCTTCTTATCCTTTAAAGTGTAATGGAAGGGAGGGAAAGGACGTACAGTAGTCCAGATAGAATTCTGGGGTAATCCAGCCGGCTGCATTATTACCGGTCGAACCGTCCTCGATTCAGAAAATTGGGTTTGGGTAGTAGTAGTAGTAGTAGTAGCGGTATTACTTGTGGTAATTTTAGCAGAGGTATTCTTTTTAGATCGAATGGGTCGCAAAGGTGGTGAAGGCGATAATTCTATGATTCTTGAGCTTGCTGCTTCCTTTTGTGGCAATATCGACTTTTTGGGATGGCTATGACCGCTGCCACTGCTGTTTGTTTGTCGCCGCTGGTGTGGTTGCTGTGGTTGTTGCTCGTGTGCAGGTGGCGGCGCGTTTTGCTCGGTTGGACTGTTGAGGAGTGCGTTGGTAAGAGATGCAGCGGCGAAGGTTGTTATGGCGCCGAAGATAGACATCGGGAGGGGGGGGGAAGCCAGTTGGTGAGTGTGACGATGATGCCCGTTTTTTTAAAAAAATGATTGGTATTGACTCAGTATTTACTACCTCTTACTGCCTAGGAAGTAAGTATATTAATTAATGCTTGGGGAAGCCTGTGAGAGGGAAAGGTCTGACAGGGGTCATGATGATGGAGCCAATCAAGCTGTAATAAGTCACAACAAGAGGAACACAGAAGTCCCACTAGAAAGTTATAACTACTCTCCTGTACATACAAGAGGCGATTTCCAGATGTTCTTGTTCCCAGACTCTCGTCTTTCACCATGGAATAGCTTCAGGTGGCCCGTCACTAAGCATATGCATTTCTTCATCGCGATCCCGGCCTTCAAACTCGAAGGGTGCCACCACCCTTGAATCCTGTACAAACCGCCGCGCCCACAGTTCTCCCCATTTCGACTCGGATCCCATCCCATAAAACAGTTCTTCCCTAAAATACCACCCATCATACCTCTCTGCCACTAAAACTTTCTCTCCACCGATCGTCAACCATATGTCCACGAATTGAATCTGTTTGGAGTTCCCCCAAGTGATATCGCAGCGTGCTCTTTGGTACCCACCGCGGTTCCATTCTATCATCTGTAAACCTGGTGGATGTAATAATAATTCCATGCAATCGACAAGCAAGTTTGTGGAATGCATTGAATCTGGACTCTCGTCGTTTTCTAGGTCTAGGCTACTCTTCTCCGTGATACTAAGCCGTTTGATATTTGGCAGACTATCTAGAAAGCCAAAGTCCTGGATAGGTTCACAAAAAACTTTTAGCTTATTCCTTTATTTTTTTTGTTACCAGAGGGGGGGGGGGGGGGAAACAAAAAACGAAATGCTAAAGAATATAGGAAGTACCTTTTGCAGAAACAATCCAAGTTTCGCTATAGAAAGACTTTCAAGGTTTGGAAAAGTGGTCTTCAATATTTGTGACGCAGTCGAGTTAAATGCACACGTCTGGTGCTCCCCACATTCCAACCAAAATCTCTTTACACTTTTGAATTGAAGCCCCGATGCTTCAATAATATAACCCGGGATTGCCATGATAAGCCAAGAAGGAGAACAATATTGCCCCAATCTTGCATAATGGAAATCCCTAACCTCAAGTTCGTCAATCCTATCAAGCATATCCATAGTATGTAAAATATACCAAACGTTCCTGAACACGAACGCTGTCGAAACCAACGACCGTCCAGCCAAAGTTATCGAAAACCTCGATAACCCCCTTTCCCGTCTTTTACCCTTCCATTCCTCCGTAAACCCCATCCAGAAGAACTCAGCCCAGTTACGATTGGATATCCAGCTGTTCCCGCTGACATCAACCCCACCAGAATTTCGTAACTGCATCTGGTTTGTGCCCGAGTTTATAGGCATCAATATACCCATGTCGTGCGGATATTGGATCACTGGGTAATTATACAAGGCGCATTTGACTTTAACCTCCATATCATCAAGCATCGGACAATGCATAAGAATATGGGGAATAAGGTTGAAAGCCCAAGTATGCGTTACTCCGTAGGAGTTTGAATGCCGACCGGGGATATCGATAAGTTGGCAATTTATTCGGACGTTGCGAACGTTGGCGAGTAGATTTACGGGTACTGGGAAAATCGAAGGTAGGTCTCTGTTGAGTCGAGTTATGGTGTCGAAAAGTCTGTCCAGTCTGGTGTCTAATCCCGAATAGATTTTACGAACTGGGTCGGTAATGTGTAGAGTTCTAGAGGTATTGGGGAATACAGTTGCTTACCTGTTAGTACTTCTCCCGCTTTATATATATAATATTATGCTTATAAACGGATACGCGGTATGCATATGTGGGGGTGTAGTTTGCAATTGTATGGCAAATAGAGAAGAAAAAAATGATTGAAGAGGTGAAAAAAGGAAGATTGGTTCGCATCTACGCTTGCAATGAAGGGTATTTATCGTGCAGACTTTGGTAACAAATCCAAGCTTTCGTGTGTTTTCCATCGACGGTTGTAGCTATATTTCGGAAGCTCTCCGATCACTGGGGTTTTGAAGTCCATGGAGGTGAGGATCAGTGTATAACCGGCCGTATACCAGCTTCGACAGGTTCGCAGAAAGGCGAGGCGGTCAGATTGTGTTAATGGCCTGCATATGAGGTGGAGGATGTCAAACGGCAGGAATACTGCGGGTTTCGAGTACTGTGGCGGCATTTTGGCAGGGTTAAGATCTTTTAGCTATATCTACTTGGATCGAATGCAATGCAGGCGGATTTCAAGTCGGATGGGAATGATCACGTATCAATATATATAAGTAGTCTGGAGTTGGGCAACGTTGGCTGGTCCCGATCAGGTCTGAAGCCGTGGAGTCATACCAGCTGCACTGTAGTTCGCATTAGTGGGTCTGGATCGAGCCAATGATGTTTAGGCCTCATCGTTGGCCCAACCTCACACACAACAGGCGGCACATAGCCAGCAGCAGGGGAGTAATGCGGCCTTAACCATGAGTTCTCGTGGGTAATTGGCACACAATTCTAGTAAAAATAATAATATGTACTGTTACATAATAATTTATTCAAAGTCTCTGTTAACCAGCGTCTAACATGAGGTTAATAGAAACAAGTCGTGCTATGCCGTGCTATCAATGAATTAATAAGGATACGTACATGTATCTGTCTAAGTGCCCCATGTACTTACCTGCTATACAATTCCCGGTACTGGGGTTCAAAATATGCATAAGTAAATTGTGTAAATCTCAGAGCATGCATGAGCAGACATCGACTGGATAGTTTGTCGATCGTCTCGCAATTTTGTTCACGCTATCCGATATCATCCTGTACAAGAGCCCACTGACCTCTTCACCCTCGGTTGATCAAGGTTATTCGGCCAAAATTTGGAAACAGATCTTTATCGTCACCATGGATGAAACAGAAAAGCAACCCTTTATACAAAAAATTTGCAACAGCCTCAACCCTTTCGTTGCGGCGCATTCGAAGGTTTGGTGTTGTGAGTATTGGGTGTTCGAGTTCTCCGTTGTAGCTGGAAATTAACAAGCGTCCGATTCCTGGTAAATCAAGTGCGCGAATGAGCCATTCGATGTACAATCCGGGGTGTGATACTTTTTGGTTTAAATTCACAGCGCAAGAGATGGGTTGTTAGTTCAAATTCACGAGCTTTGATTTAATCGATGTAATCGAATATTTGAAATTCGAAATCGAATGCATATCCGGGAGGCCTTAAGGAAGGAACTCACTTTTGTCTTGAGTGCACAAACCAACATAACACTGGATATGGTTCTCGAGCATTCCCTTTTGTCCACCCGGGCCCGACTGGATGTTAATCCCCCTAACTAGCGATCGTCGACGCCAGAGGGAGTCGCACCAAACTAAATAAGCTCCGAGACACTGTCCAATAAACTCTTTCATAGCTGCGATCCTGCCAAATTGGCAGTAGCTATACTGTTGTTGAGTTCCGAAGATCTTCTCGCAAGCTGGAACCCAGACCCAATTGTCCCCTCGAATGTGACTAGGCCACCCCGCACCGATGTAGCACTGAAAAACACGAGTGGCAATCCAGTATTCTAGGAAGGTCTTCATGAACTGCGCATGAGTAAGCCGCCCGAGTACCTGTAAAAAAGGAGATAATTGATCATTTTGATCATTTTGATTCTGCCTGGCCGTGTTGTGCATATAGGTGGTCTTCGTGGTTGTGTCATTGGCGTCCGGCTCCTCAACTTTGATTCCCAGTCCACGTCTCTTTCTGGCAAGAGCTAGTCTGCAGTGGGATGAGAAGAACTCTGCTAGCTTAATATACTTCCTGAGATCCTTACATTGCTCATCAAGAGGTTGATCTTCCATTCTGAACTCTCGAAGAGCCTTTGCAGCAGGGAATCCGGGCTCGACGTAGTCCTCATCCTGCTCAGATTCCATCGCAATCGTCCATGGAACCGGGGCAGCAGAAGAAGGTTTATCTTTCTCCCATCTCCTGTCGCGCCATTTCTGTTGTTCAATCTGGATCTTATCGATGTGATAGATGGTCATGGCTTCATAGCTGTCCTGCTTGACTCTGTTTATGAAGATAGCACATCCTTGTGTTGAGCGGATAGAGGCCCTGATTGAACGACATGTAGATTCCAGGGAGATTATATCGTAGGCAGAACATTCCTCTAGAATGTTGAAAGTGACATCAAGAGGGAGGTTATTTAGCCTCGGACCCGAGTCCAGAAGGGGTGCTAGATGTTGGGGTGCCAGGATAGGACGTTGCAGCTGGGGCTCCATGGTTGCGATTAATATTATGTACGGTAGCGGTTGCTAGATGATAGTTTGGTAGTTTGGTAGCTTGGTAGTACGTCGGATGGTTTGGTGATTTGGTGGCTTGGTGCGTATCGTTACGCAACAGGTCGGTCAGATGTAAACGTTTGAGAGGTGGCAGGATGGGGACGGAGCGGTGGGGTGAAGAGCTTAAGAGATGGTGATGGAGGGCAGTTGAGAACTACGCTCAGCACAGTTGAGGAGTCTGGCGACGAGACAAGTTGGTACAGGATATCCATGAATTCGATAGGAGGTCAGTAACATAATATATTGATTAGTCTAGCGGTCCACACTTCGAACAGGAAACCCTCGCCCAGAGCTCATTGATCAGCTTATATCTAAAAAAAAAGGAAAATGTTATGCATCATCCCAGTACGCCGTATCTATGATATAAGAATTCAACAGGTCCTACGCGAGGAGCCAGTATTGGTATCGTTCGGCTCGACTTTATATACATCTCTCTATAATCTAAATGATCGAAAGAAAAGTCTGAATGGGTCTATTTCTTCTGGGAGCTCTTCTTCTGATTGACTGACTTCTGAGTCTTCATCTAATTTAAAAAGTGTGATCTCTTTCTTTTTTTTTGGCGGGGTTAGCGTCCGAAGAATCCCAATTCTTCTTCCTCTTCTTGCCCGCGATTGCCTCGGGGGAGCTGAGATCTGTCTCGTCCTGCGTTTGAGCGGGACTAGACCCGGGTCCAGCCATCTGCCTTTTTTTTCCCGTCTTATATTTCTTCTTCGGATCTATCTTGATCAACCTGCAGATTTCATGGATACTATCCAACGTGCTATCAAAGTCGATATCCCATAGAAAGCATTCGGGGCCCAAGGGCTCTAGCTTTTGGGGTCCACTAGGATTGGTTTCTGAATGCCAAAGGTCTTTAAACAGATTGTTGAACAGTGTGATGACTGGGCTAACCGACTTTTGACCAAAGCTTTCCATCAAAGGCATGTAAAAATCATTAAACCAAACATATTCCTCCACCAATCGGCATGTATCAAGCATCTCCATGTAGAGTTCCTCCGACTCATTAAAGTCAGCTTGGAGTAATTTTTGATGGCAACCCAGTACCCCAAGTCCATTCTTGAGCATAAAGTTCGTTTCGTAAAGGACTACCTTCACATTATTCTTGGCTTCCATCGCCCATGCAAACTTTTTAAGAAACTCCTTCCCGGAATCGATGATAATTAAATAACGCTCTAATAGGTTCACCATGCCGTGCATGGGATTTGTCATCATATAGTGTCGAGCGTTGTACTGATGTTTCTGGTGCTCCATCACATACTTGACGGCTTTCTTCGTTGGAGAGGAGATAAAAAATTTCTTGAGCTTGTTAGCAGCCCTTTGGAAGGATGGGTCGATATTTTTATCGTCGTCACCCTTCCCGAGGAACATCTCTTTGAGGAAAAGAGATGCCCGCTCGACCCTTCTTTGAGCCATGCGGTACGCGGGGAGGGCGTCTTCTCGGAGCTTGGCCAGATTATCGAGTACCTTCATAGTATGTCGTCTGGCCGCGGAATCCGCCAGGACTAGGTCCTCATCAAAGATCTCGAGTATTGCGGGCGTGATGTAGCGCAGGTTCATAGACTGAAAATCAACCATGACCTCGCTCGAGAGGCGATATCGTGGGGAGGTGGAGGCAGGATGCCATCCACCGACCCCTCCGGCGGCTCCGATGTTTGACGCCCTCGAACAATGTGAGGAAGCAGCGCAGTCGCATTTCTCGGGAGAACCCGAGGTCGTATGTACTTTTAAGCACATGATTCTGAGGTCTAAGGCCTATAAGGTGGTTATGGTAGCGTTGGTAAAAAAGAAGCTTGGAGTTGAAGCTTGAAGCGGGAGGGGGTCAAAAACTTAAAAGGTAGGATGGTGAGAGGAATAGAAGAGAGAGAAGAAGGAAAGGAGAAAGAAGAAGAGAAAATAAGATCTGAAAGAGGAGAGGGCCTAGGGGAAGAGAGAGAAGAGGGAAGTTTCTAAAAACCCATTGCTGAGGTCCACTCCGTTGATCTTTGAATATTTCTGTTGCTGATCCACCCCCAATGGTATTTGAAAAGTGTTGTACGTTGCATTTTCTGCGTTGTGTTGCTGATCTACAGGCCAAAAATGGCAACACAGTGCTGGGAACAGCCAAGAATAGCCCTAACTTTAGACGGCGCAACTAAATAGGCCCTTGAATCGTCAACCCAATTCTGTGTCATGTGACTATCTGATAGCGCAACACACACACAGCACGCCCATTCGATTCATCCCCTCTGCAGCTCTGGATATATCGATATGGATACGAGACTAAGATGACAGTTGCAGAGCAACCTGCCACAATAATTTGTTCTCAGCTGTTGGATTTGAGTTTAGTGTAAGTCTTATAGTATAGTATCAGCTATAATAGTGGTACGAGTCCACTATATGCACCAAGTAGTTCATATTAATATTCATTACTATACAAGTGCAAGCTGTCTTGTTTTTGACAGGAAAAGATTCGGATACTATTCGTTTCTGTATATCCATACGAAGTATCTATGTTTAATTTTCTCACTAGCGATACTCAATTGATCAAGAGTTTTGAGTAAAGGCCGTTAACCGCTGCCCTTTGGAACTCCAGGTGCTCTCAAACTCTCCAGATCCTGGCATTTAATTTCTAAATTTATAGCTTAATTATGCTACGGGTCTCTGCTACAGATATTCTGCGAATATATATATATAGTTCGCCCATTAAATTATATTCTCTAGGGCAACTAGTCGACTAAGTCTCGTTTCAAAAAATCGCAAATTTACGATATATATGCATGGCGCCCATATGTATAGCCACGAATGTACCATGCGCGCAACTGAAGTCGCGGACCACGAGCCCTCGTCTTTATCGATACATCTCGAAGCCACGCCACAAGCTCACGAGGCGCGATGGCTCAGGAGTGAACTTCGGAGATCTAGAGACAACATCAATGTCGATCATAATTTCCTGATCAGTTTATATATATTATTATATATTTTTACGACGAAGATCTTCGAACGACATAAGATTCCCGAGGCGTCGATTGCGTGCTGATCGTGCATATTAACTCTAAAGAATCGGAAACCGCATGTTTATATACTATACGAATGCTATTTAAAGGCATTGTTTTAGACTAGCCTTTCGTCTATAGCTGGCTAAATAGTCGCAGATTATTCTTTTAGCGTATTGAAAGGGTATAAATTCTTTTAAACGACTATATACATTCTGGTATCTTGGGATAATATATACATTCACGATATTTCTACATAGCCTGTTCCTTTAGATATAGGTATTATAGGAAGAGACTAGCGTAATGTTCCTCGGAGCTGTAAAAGTCTCCTTTAAGCAACAACCCTGCGGGCGTCCTGTCCAAGCTTGATGATTGGAGAGTTTCCGTTGGCAATGGCCTTGATAGCAGTGTTGATATAAGAAACAACCTTGGCATTCTCAGAAGTATTGACGATAGAGGCAAGCTTGTATGGGAGCTTGAGGAATGGGGCGAGAACTGGGTACAAGACTCCGACAATATCAACGAGGATATCGCCGTTGATATCGACCGAGTCGACGGAAGCCTGGAAGCGCTTGACGAAGAGGTCAATGGAAGCACCGAGCTTAGCATCGGCAGTAATCAAGGCAGAGAGACCCTTGACCTTGATATTGGCCTTCTGGGTGACACCCTTGAAGGTGATAGTAAGCTGGGCCTCGCCATCGACGTTGGCGATAGCATCAACAAGGAGACCGTTGGGGCCATTGCCAAGGTTGACGTAGGTGGCCTTAACAACTGGCTTGACGATATCATTGACGGTGATTTCAATGTCGCTGTTGACAACAAACTTCTTGCCCTTGACCTTGGCCAAAGTCTCTGGGAGCTTCTGGTCGATCTGGCCCTGAACAAAGGAAGTGAAAGAACCTGGACCGCTGAAGAAGTAGAAATCGAAGTCACGACCAGCTTCAAGGATCTTTGCTGGTGCGAGCAAAACGCCAACCTGACCAGCTGGGTTCTTGGAGTTGAGAGAGAAGCCGGTTTTCCATGGGGCAACTCCGATGTCAACGTTGACGGTGCTCTGAGAGCCGCCTTCTGGCTTGAAGTTAAGCTTGAAGCTGCTCTGGACGGGAACCCAGCCGTTGGCCTCAATGGCATACTTTTGAGAGACAGCGTTGGGGCCAACTTTGAAGGTCGCTGGTGGGCTGACGTTCATGTGCTGGTTGTCGGTACCAGTGACGGTCAATTGTTGCGACCAGTGGTTGTAAACATAGACCTCGGCAGAGGTGCCCAGACCGCGAGGCTCGACCTCTGCGAATGTTTCTGGTCTTGGGGCTGGAACAAGGGCGTTCGCAGCCGCCAGGAGTGGGAGAAGGCGGATCAATGACTGCATTGTGAGAGACAAATCCGAATAAAGAGACCGTTCAAAACGATGGAAAATATTATTCAAACAGTTGTTTTGCCTTGCTTTAGATGATGTTATGGTCCGCTCCTGGCTTGTGGATGGGGATGCAAAAAGATCAGCTCTACGGGCACTTCACTACATACTTATATATTTCCTTTCCACGTTCTGAAAGATCAGCTTTCGCACCTCCCGAAATTAGATTGGCAGAAGCTCGTATAGAAATCGAGCTCAATGATTTCGTATTTTGAGCGTTAGGAGGCCTCTACAGCGCTGTCAATCTTGGCTTGGCTCGATCGCAAACAAGTAGGTAAAAAAAGCCCCCGCCACGTGCACCGATGTGACTTAAACAGACGGGTGCTATTGGCTTGGTACTCTTGTCTACCCCGCATCATAGTGATGGAGAAAGTCACTATCATTGACTGTAAAGAGAAATTGAGGCCCTAGCTACGGGCATGGTTTCCCTGGTTGTCGGGAAAGTACTGGCCTAGACCAGTTAGCGTTGAAGATAATTGATTCTGGCCGCGGCTGGTGTAGTAGACTGAAGCTGACAGAGCATCTAGTCTCGTATATGATCTTCGATCTGCTAACCTCCAACTTAACCGAAATATTGCAGCTTGTCTACAACACCATAATTAAGATTATATTTTAAAATCGATCACCCGGATCTGTTTACGCTTGCAGCCGACAATGAATCGACGTCGTCTGATTTCCTGGTTTTGCGTGAGTAGAATGTAGATACCTTTGAAGACCAGCAAGCTGGCCGAGTTTTGCGGGGAAACCCACTAGTCATCTGGTACTCGCAAGCTGTCGAGAGGCCGTGTGAGACTCCGACCAGGTCCAGGGTAGTCATGGAAGGCCATCCGGTGCCAGAAGAGGAAGGCGGCCTGATCGAGGTAGTGTTGCAAAATGTGTGTTGTTCAGGCAGACGAGACTCGATATCAACAGGCCGGTCCATGCATAAAGAAACCAGCCCATGTTAGGCTTGGATTGGGACCGTGGTGACGATGAGCGATTTGATGCTATAAAATCTTCAACGGACAGGCCATCCTAGCTTTATATGAGAAATTCAGACAAGTATTCGATTATAATTAATCGACCTTGAATTTAACTTCATACCGTTGAATTACAATTACGTTAACTCAGTAAACTTACACATCATACAGTAGCGTGGGATATATATCAAGAACAATTGATCGGAAATTTAAATATATTTGATCATGACACTATCTAGGAATGTCCACATAAATTCAATCTGTCGTAACCAAGGTTGACTACGTGATGCCTAGGGGGCAAAATCTAGCCTCTTGCCCTCACAAATTGGCCGATTGGCATGCCACCTTACAAGGACCGGGTCCTAGGCGGGAACAAGCGACTTTGACGAAACTTTATACCTCGGGAAGGTCAATCTTCAACTATGGAAATCCCATGACTGCTGACTTCACATAACTATCCCAGCAGCGCGTAGCTATAAAAGGTGCCTAGTTAACCCTGTAACAATTTTCGAACTGATAAACTCGAATCTATCACCGCTCCTGACGATATCCACGTGCACGTGGCCTCAAAATGATCTTCATTGACCTAACTATTCAGGATAGAGTACAAAAGATAATTTGTAAACATATTTCGCCATCTGCATAAAGCATGCATGGCGAAAGTAAATTATTAAACGTCTCGAGATATCGAGCTTTAGGAGACTAAAGCCACGAAATTCGAGTTCCTGTGTCCCGTTGGGAGATGATACTAGGAATGAGCATGCGAAAAATCTAAACCCGTTTGATTTAGACAATAAGCCTAAATCTAGCTTACAAAGCGAACGATATAATCTCTCGAACTAGATTGATCGATAAATAGGCCCGTCATTACTTCTAGCAACCACATAACCCATATTCTACACCAATTACGTGATGTGGCGTGCTCCCCCAGCATCTGATTTCAATTCATATCATACACATTCAGGATGTATTTCAGGTAGACTTGCATTTCTCCTTGGCACCTCGAGACTAGCACCTAGCTAATTTCTTAACAGGGCTAACCGAAATATTCATGCGAATGCTCTAATATCTCATACATACTAAGTATGTATATTTGTAAACGTTTTCGTTACTGATCCTATAAGACTGGGACTGGTGTGATTGAAATCTAGGCTTTACTCAACGGCCTAAAAAGTGCTGGTTCGATTGCTCAAACCCCTAGATTTTAATATGACAGTAATACTCTCTCTATTAGTGGAAAATCGAAAGGATGATTATACGGGTTAACCGTTGTAAATTTAAAGATACTAGCACAAATAAAGTCGAAAAAAGTCATGAATTCGAAGAGGCTCAGAGCTCAAAAAAAGAAGGAATCAGTGGACTAAATATATTTAATGACATTCCAATGTGCTGGGATGATTTTGAGCCTGAATATGGCGTCTCTATACCATTACCTCTAGATCATAAGATCGAGGATGCGGCCAGAGCTTGAAGTAATGCGTTCTTTCAATATTTACCCCAGTCTTCTGAAGTTCCTTGTCAATCTTTCGGACGATATATTTTAGAAGACTCCTGAGAGTCATATCACCAAGGTGAGAAGGAAAAATCGTCAATTTTTGGAAGTTTTTAAAGCGTCCTGAGGATGTGAGCTGGTTGACCCAAATGTTGAGAAACGATGTTCTTAGATCGCTATCGACGTGGGATTTAGAGACCGAAACGTCTTCACCCGGAAGTTTTAGATCTTGCGCGAGAGTTCCACGAAAAGGTAGAAGAAAATGTTCATCTAAGATGAAGCTCTCCGTAATATCAATCTCGCCCCATGATTCCGGTATATCCTTCATGGAAACCAAAATGCCTCCATCCCGCAGGCCCTCTGATAAACGCTGCGGATCCCAGGCCATGCTGTATTTCTCGATAACTCTATTGCGAACCGCACAGCAAAAGGCGAAGCGCCCGGAAGTTTCGCCGACCGCCCGATGTATGGCAACGGCATTCTGCCATGCAGATTGAAAGCGGACATACCGGCTTCTTTGCAAACGTGAAGATTCGCGGATAATATCTCCCCATAAAGGAAGTACACAGCTCGCAATGACCTGATAGGTGAAGTCGTCGGAGAGATACTCGAGGATCTGCGTGTGAAGTTCGGTGGGCAAGCTGCAGATGCTAACTTTCGGGTTCATTGCACTATATATCCGGACGTCCAAGCCGGGGGTCAACGGGTTTGATCAATCCGGTAAAACTTTAAATCCACGGCGCGCGAGTTAGCACTTGTAGCCGACGGGTTATACAATACAATGAGAATAACAACTTGGTAGGGTTTATACAGGATGAATGCAAATGTGATTTCATGTAAAAATATACCGATTATGAGTTATCTAGGCCAATGCAAAGCTTCGACATTCGACGAGCGATGATTATTACGCAATATCGCCGGTACCCGAGAGGCCCCTGATTCCGAATCTCGATTCTCACTGCAGCCGCAGGATTCGGTTCCTGCCAGCTGGTGCTAGCTGGTTCTCGGCAGCCTTGAAAAATATCACGAGCTCAACGCAAGAAGTTTCATAAATCATCATTCTCGCGAGGAGAGTTATACGTTGCAACAGATAGCACCCGGACGACAAAAGAGATACATATTAATATTGAAATGGAAATTTAGGCCGATTTTAGGGTTCCCTCCGTTTGAGTGTTTCGCTACACATACTTGTACATACACATGTGACTTCTAGTAGGCCCAATGCAGTGACCGGGAGGGTGCAATGAGGAAAATGTAGCTCTTCCTCACCACCAAACCTCAGGATCTCTAATATCAACAGCCCTTCGACCGCTTCGTACTTTTCCTTTTTTATGACCTACATGCACCTAGGTTTTAGAACAAGTGTCGACATGTCGTAAGTCTCAGCCAGGATAGTCAATTATATTAACCCAGTACATGTAGACAATTGTATTGATACATGCATGTACATACATACATACACTAACCACGAAATTGATATTATACCTTGTGAAATCTAATGCCTCAGGTTTTAGATTTCATCTGCGATTTGACACCCTCAGAGCCTAGTCTCAGAGCCTACCTCTAGACTTCAATCTAAAAAGTGCAAATACTAGATTACCGGTAATTTTGGTATAAAAAGAGTAGCGCAACAATCGTTAAACTTGAAGGGCCAGTATTCATGAATCGAATTAGATCACATGACTTTCTTTTCTCTCTCCAGAACCTTCCCTTCCATTTCAATGTCCAGCTCTCGGCCCAACCCCACGGGGAGCGCAGAGCCCTACCCTAAAGATTCCCTCGGAGAGTGCAATAAATAACCTCACTCTAAAGATTCCCTCGGGGAGGGCAATAAATTTAACATTAGGTATATAAATCTCCTCTTCCCTCACTATGCCTCTCCCGCACCACCCCACCACCCCACCACGTGCACGGCTTCCTCTCGCCGAAACATTCAAACGCGATAGATAGCAACCTGTCTTTTCAACTTTGCTTTCTTCCTCCACCACCATCCCAAAAGCTTAAAGACCTAAAGTCTCAACCCTATTTCAAGCATTTCCTAGCCTTCCAAGCTTTTTCAACTCTCTACCATCCGATTCCTTTCATTAAAAACGTATTCAGCTTTCAACATGACGAAGCAATCCAAACTTGAGGAGTTCATCCAAAATATCTCCTTCCCCACGCCTGCTGTGGAGATCAATGGAGATTCAGCCTTGGATCTAATTTCCGAGTACTTGCCCCTGGTGGAAGGAATATTTAACGCTTTCAAGAATCAGATCAACTTGATGTCCAGCCGGGTGACAGCTGTAGGAGCCGGTGCCCTTACAAACTTTCAACGTCATAACCATTCCCAAGAGAAAATTCTATCTAAAGCCTTGTCATGGATTGATCGTGCCGTGACAGCCAAAAACAGGCTTTTCAGGCTGCATATGAAAGCCATTGAGATAGAAAGCTTTATAACCCGGCTTTTAGACTGCCTTCAGACTGAGGATATTATTGACATTGACAATGATATTTGTAAGCTCTCCCTTTCACCAAGTTAAGAAGTCGGCTCATAACCCAGACACAGCATACTAACAATTGAAATAGTGGGACGACGTTTCATTTCCGCCAACGAGGATGACTTGCAAACGGTAAACGACATCATCAAGTTCCTCACCTGGAAGCAAAGATTCGGCGAGCTCCAAGCCGCTTTCACCAAGGGATATAAGATGTTGGATGAACATCTCCAATACCTCCGCGATCAGCAAAAGTCCCTCGAGCAGGCTTGTGCCACCGTCAAATCAACATTCCGAACCATCCCACAAGCCGACCCGATGCTGGCCACCCATGGCCAGTTTATTCCATGGGTTGGCCCGAAGGCCTCTGAGGATGCACCTATTGCCGTGGCCAGACACCAGTCGGCCAAAATCATGGGCACACCAGCATACAAGACAAAGAGAAAGACCGGTTGCTTGTCGAATGCCGATACCCAGAATGCCACAGGGAAAGGTAGCTATACCAACCCTCTTATCACGAAAGGGGGTATAGCACCCCCAGAACAGTTCGAGGATAGCGCCCTAGCGTATGGCCAGAATTTAGACTCCCAAAACATGCAAGATGCCTGGGCTTTAGCCGCTAGAGGGCTTATGTCACAGGAAGACCATTTGAGGGGACAAGAGGGACATATACTCCCACAGCTCCCCGACCAGAGCCAGGCTCCAGATGCATACGAATTGGACCCGGCCCTTGGCCCTCCATACAACTATTTTCAACCGGCGTTTGGAGCCCCTCCCTACAGTAACGCTTTCGACACCGGCCAGGCAGCAGGTGCCCCGCCGAATCAGATCGGCGAACAAGGGTTCCACGACGGCTATGGGCTCGCGTTCCCAAGTTTGTACGAATCATTTTGCCTTACCCTTCAAACGGGCTGGACTCAACCCACGGCGTCCACATCCGGGGTTCCCATCAAAAATACTGCCGAGACCCAGGCAATGGCCGACTTCCAACCGTTTGGTGTAGACTTACTCGATTACAACCCCGAAGCCGTTTTTAACACTCCTTTCGCTGCGCCTATTCAACCCTTCCCTGATGCTGCTCTATACGCCACCCCTGTGGACACTATCGCCCAACACACGATTGGGCCAGATCACCAGGTGGTTCCAATGGGTGGAGCAAATTCTCAAGTTGGGTTCAGCCAGGTAGTTGCCCCGGATAGTAATGCTTCCACTATCCCGTACAAAAACGCTAGTTGGCCACAGATGCCCTTAGATACACCACAAATTGCCCAACCCCAGCAAGCTGGTCCGTATCTCACAGGCGGGCTCGACATAACTGCCGATGCCCCGTTTGAGAACTATATCTGGCCGATTCCGGGGCCTGATATGTACTACAATCAATTCGGTGCTCAGGAAGAATCCGGGACTCAGCATCAGTTCAGTCAGGATCTTTCCCCTGGGACCAACGCTTTCTTTGGTGTCGTCCCCCAACCCACCATGGAAATGGCTACACCCAAAAGCCTTGCTGGGGCCGACGCTATCCATACTATTGAGCAACCACTAGTTGAGTATGAAGCCGCGGATGACCAGGCACCCGACCCAGGGGCGGACCTCGAATCTGCTTTGCTCTGGAGCTTTCCCTGGCTCAAGTGAGAGGTAGTTACTCCCGACTCCTATGCGCTAATGCTTGTATACTATTTCTTCTCCTTATCAAAACAGCTTTTTTTTAGAAAAAAAACCTGTATCAAGAAATCATTTGTAGCTATCAAAGGAACAATCAGTTTTTCGACATGACAAACTTTCCCCTAATACATTCCGATATTGATCCCCATATGATCTTATCAATAGCGTGGGAACTTAGTCTAGGTAGTCCACAGGCCCAAATCTAGTACTAACAGTACAAGCCTTTGCCAATTTTCTTGACAAAGTGTAAAGAACTATCAAATAACTTATGATAGGAGGCTGCGTAGGAAGCTTGAACGCATCTAAGAGGTAACATTCGAATATTTCATGACATATGTATGCAGTCTAAATTTGCCGCCCGTCACAAAGATTACGAAATCAATTTCGAATTCAAGAGCTGACTTTGCCGAAGCTGAAGAAATCCTGCAGCCTAACGAACCAAAACTTGCACGCGTGGGTCTTTCCACAGCGAGCACAGCTGCCATGCACATGCGCACAAGCATATACCTACCAGCCATACTGGAGCCCTACGAGAAATACACTTAAAGGTTCTTAGGATCTTAGAATACTTTTGACCATAGAAAACTTCCACCGGATTACTGATCGCAATCGAGAGTGCATTGGCTACGCGCGTAACTTTACGAGATTGGTTTGTGACATGCAGCATGCAGTACACGTACGTACATGCCATCTATGGGTAGGCGCTTCAACACAGATATCGGTATTAACTTTGGTTTTCCATGCCTCTGATTGGCTAGAATCCGAAGCCTTTGCCAAAAATGGATCTTTCCTAAAAAGGGAATTCCGGCAAACAGCTTGTTCAACACAAAACGTCTGGATAAATGATTGTAGGCATAAGTCAAGGGACAAGACAAGGGCATGGCAATATGGGAAACTAGAATTGGAGGACCCTTGGGCTCCAGGTTAAATTTCAAGAGAGGCTCATAGGCAAATGACAAGAGCCCGCAGGCGATTGGATGGGATACCGTTGCAATTGTTAGCCAATATCGTTTCAGAAGGAAAACAATCGCTTCACGGCTATACACTTCACAAAACATATTTCATCAAACCAACAAAGAATTTACAAAATCGACTCGCCCAACCTCAGATTTGCCTCGAAAAGCCTGAAAAAGGGCTTAATCAAATTGCAGGGTGCTTTTATAAATTTTTATGGAGATATCACCATCTCCGCAGAGAGCGCATCAGAGAGCGCACTCTTTACTCTTTACCGACTCGTCAAGCCCCAATCAGTCAAACCAACCCCCCTTGACCAATTTCGCGTCAAATGACTTGATTTTCGGGTCATTGGAATGCTCAGGACCCCGCGCACACTTTGAGCCAAGTTTTATAAGCTCCGCAGATTGCGCAAAACCCATTTTAATGTCCAAAATAGACACGTGACCTGTTGCATACTGTTGCATAGTGACGGTATAATGCGTTGTTGCGCAACACGTTGACACTCTCGACGACTACGTGGCAAATTTAAACCCACCCTCAGCCAAGCAGTTGCACCAAATGGTGTCAAATTTCTATTTCTACAGGATAATCAAGAATTATACATGATATCTAGTCTCGAATATCACATGCTTTCAGTCACCTGAAATTATAGCTTTATAGCCTCGAGACCAGCTACTTTAGTACTAGCTAGCTGCGTAGATAGGCATGCCAGACATTGCATACAAATACGATCGCACCGGATATCACCAGATATCGATATCGCGAGATCTCGACACATTTACATCGAACAACAGACCATATAATAGGCCTATAGCTGGCCACTGCAACCTGATACACAAGAGTGGCCTAGAAGGCGTCCTAGAAAAAAAAAAGCCAGGCCTATGCCCGTATTGCAAGCTCCATGATGAAGTATACTTGTATCAGTTGATTAGGCGAACATACGAACTGTGTATTCGTCATTTATTTTACAGTAGTTAGGTAATTGACTGTTAAGCCAAGCTGACCTTGGGGATTTGATTCCTCGATATAGTAGGGACACCAACCGGAGGGCAAAGACCCAAATCTGGGGAGACGATTGGGAACCCGATCTTCCAGCCGGCCAGACGATCTCATGATAATAGTCTGCATACCAGCTGGTTGAATATAGTGTTCACCGAATTCATGAATGGATGTACATGTATTTCCATATAAATGTACACTTTTCTCATAAACCAGGCCTAGGGATCCACCGCATATGTACACAAACTTTGTAGTAGTTCAAAGATGGATGGAAAGATATCGGAGATTCAATGCTCGAGTATAAGGTACTAATGCGCTATCTTGCAATGGCTTCCGGAATTAGTTACACGTATATGGATGCTAGGACTGCCTCGTTCCCCCGACATCACAAAAGGGATTTATGACGAATGGCCATACATATATAATATACTAGTGTACGAGTATAGATCAAGGCAGAATGAAAGGCAGATTTTGCAAATTTTGTAGGTTTGAAACCTTCGTAGACAGCTTCCCTATACACCAGAGCGTGGAAGCGAACTAGGAGACGGAATCTTTCTATTCCGGATAAAGCCATTCAATTAACCATAGATATAAGCTTATAATTAATAAGCTTCTCATTATCTCGGATGTGGGTTGCTCCGGACGCTTAGGGTTTCTCTTTCAACAGCATGCAGCATCGCTCGGTTATTATAGCCATACCGCATGGGGGTTTACCAGGTTAACTCTCCGACAGCACACCACCCCACCCTGCATATCTAGTCAATTTGAATACAATAGAATTGAATCGATACTAAGCGGTAACGTTGTAGGATTTGTTCTGTTGCTCCGAAATTAACCCTACAAATATGCCTATTTATGGGGTCAATATTCGATCGGCACGCGTATACGTGCTTCAGGCATTTCATGTCTGTAATGGGTTCGAGTGTCCGCACGACCTATCAGTACCTAATAACAATCATAAGTAACGCCCGATTAAATTCTATACCGTGAGTTTGCAAGCTTGTGCATGCTAGGCAGCCCAGTGCAGAATGTCCATTTTTCCCTCTATGACGTCTATAACTAGAAACAAAGCCATAGTATATTAATAAACGATATAATTCTTATAAGCCAATTGCAAAGGTACGTCGATGCAGTAATTGATTAATACAAAAGTCTCAATTCAAGGGTATAGTTATCAAACATCGCAGAATCATGTCGGTCAAATACGAAGACACGGGTTCCGAAGTCTCGTTTCGGACCCAGGTTTAGCCAAGATTGTCTGCCTTCGGGATTCTGCGGTACAAGGATTATATTTTCCCAATGCTGGTCATGCCGGGAAGATACGAGGTCGTTCAACCCAGCGTTTCAGAATAAAAAAATACAGAAGATTCTAGCATCTGCAGAATTTGGGATCGTAGCTCCCGGTATAATCTTTCTAGTATATTCTAGTGTATCGGTTTCCGGACGGCCCTCAGGATTTTCACTTTTGTCTGAAGGTCTTTCTCTATTACTTAGCTAACACTACTAGATATAAGTAAACCGTTAACAAGTGAGTCAAACTTCAAATACATTTCTATATATATAAATTTAAAATGCAATCACGCCCTCAAATATACCGTCTATCTAAAATTCATACGATAGCTCTGGTCTCGGAACCCCAATAACCGACTTCGCGACCAATCGAAACCTTTCCCGTTGACGCAAATCCGAAGAGCGGCGAACGATCATACCACCACCTTTTCTGGTGGCAGACTTTTTTTTTTTGGTAAATAGCCTAATATCAAATAGAGGCTCTACTATGTAACACCCTTTAGACGCCACGCCACGAGTTGTGGTCGGTAAATATCGCTTACGAATGATAGTGCTCCTGAAAGCTTGACCCGACAAGGTGGTCGTATTCGGATATTTATGCTAGTCAAAACCACATCAACTGCCTCAATACACGGTTGAGAGCTCAGAAAATCCCCATATTTTCCCATTTTAAGGCCTTTCGTTGTTTCTTAGGTGGTATGCTAGACAAGGATAGCACGGACCAATGAGTGGACTTTGAGTTTATATTGAGCAGGGCTACCCCGCCTTGCAGGCGGATGCATATTCCGAAAGCAATACGGGGTGGATTCCCACAACATGTTTTATGGTATGATGTAGGGCACGTCGAATCATTGTAACCTCGGCCTCGGAGGGACATCTCCCTTAGACTAATAGTATAGTTATAGGTTGTAACCCTAGTTAGAAAACGGATGTTTCTCTCTCTCTCTCAATTTTCGTTAAGTAAGAAAATCTCAAGCTCACGGCCACTAGATGCGCAATCACGATACATAGCTGATGATAGCTAGTAGAATTTACTCTCACCCAGGTCAAGTTCCACGATATATTGATCAATGAGCTATTAATGCTACATGAATCAACAATACTTATATGGGTATATACACTGGTGCCGAGCCGTCGGGGGGCCATTCAATCAGCTATCAATTGCTTAGTCCAATTGTGGACAAACTACACGATCGAGTAACAAGGGCATAGCTAGCAAGTTTAGGCTTTGGTAACCGAGTCCTTGTGATCTTAGCAACGATATGGCATAACATTATGCTCCCCAAAGAATATCAACGGGGAGATACTTCACCCCTTCCGTCAGAGCCCCATAAATCAAGGTACCCGAAAAGTACCCGAAACGATGCTAAATGGGATTTATCGGCAGCGATATTCTTCTACCACGTTTCGGAATATTCCCTACCTAATCTCTAACCTAAAGAAACCCTTGGGGTATGTAGATAAGCCCAACTTCGTACCTTAGCCTTGCGGCTTGAGAAGGTGCCCCGATAAGGCCATGATAGCACGTATTCATTACAAGATGCCATGAGACATCAATCAAGGAAGCTCAACGCACAAGTGCACGTAGGCAGTGATTGTACAGCAATTGATGTAACCATAATCGCCAGAGGTCTTTAGTTCTAAAACGAAGGCCGAAGACAAAAATCGGTTAAAAAAACGAATCTGCAGAGGCGGTTTCTAAATGCGCAGGAGATAGGATTTAATTCTCGAAAACTGGATCCGAAGATTGGTCGACTCGGACCAAGACCCGTTTTAGGTATAGCTAAGTACTTAATATACGATAACATTTATAGCTACCGGTATAGTTAGAATGTTAGTCGGTTAAAATTGTTTGTTTTTTAATACACACTCTCGCTAAGACCTGGTCAGCGGAGCAGTTTGCGAAAGTTGGTGCAGAATATATATATCTCTCCGCTTCAACCCCGGATACAACATGGCCATGAACGAATCATTTATCCAAAGTTAACTAGCTTTGCATTCCCACCTGCATTCTTCCGTAGAGATCTCCGCTACATATGCGGCTCAATTAAATAATACGAGGTGCTACATGAGCCTCTTGTCGCTTTATTGCCAAGAGCCTCATGAGATCCTGCTCCGGAATCCGAGGTCTACTTTCAATCAAGTCATTTCGGTGATACTATATATTATCGTATTCGATGGTATTCAACCGGCGGCCCGTGAGCCCTGTTCTTCAAAAAACAATTATGGAAGCTATTCTAAATTGCCGAATCGTATCTCAGTTTATCCTACACCCCGATCAATGGAGACGGGGCCAAATACATTGGTAGAACGGCAAGCGATAAGCCTCCGTCCACGTACTAACAACCTGGGTAATCATGAGGGACCGCGTTATGGATGCGGTATCGTGGCCTCACGCGCTCGCTCTTGCTACCTAATGCTCCTTGACAATTAATAGCTATCACGCAATCTATATAAAGGCACGGATCCCGCCCTCAACATGACCTTTTCTCTTCATCAGCCATCAAGCAATCACACAATCAATCAGCTGTCCCTTAAAACAATCACTTCGAATACTTTAGAAATTTAGCATTTCTTTGAAGCCCAATCAATCAAAATGAAGGTCTCAATGGTCATTCTCGCTACTCTTGCCGCCATGGTCATGGCTGCTCCATCCCCAGCCCCACACCCAGAGACTGATCTCGACCTCCTCAATGATCTTGTCAAGCGCCAGAGCTTCGGATGCGGCTCATGCAACAAGCGCAAGAAGTTGTGCTGGAGCTGCAACTCTGGTGGATGCAGCTACACCACAGTCAAGTGCTAGATCGATTGCTAGCTAGTAGAGCTTAGCCGGATCCTCTCGGTAAGAATATTCAAACTAGAACATGCAAAGGAGTTTCACCGTATAAAATATTAACATAATCTTTCAGGTACTCGAGATAAGCTGCATCCGGCTGATAGCAGCTCTGTTCAATATGCTGCCACGATCCCGAATCCGGAAATCAATCCTCCAAATTTAAATCCAACTTTACTCAAGTAATTTTACGGCAAATTACTAGCGAGCAAATTACGGGGGTTCTGAACAGATGTATATAGTCTGGTTGATTTTTTAATTCTTATTCTCCTGTAACTCTTCTAACAACCATTGTATTTTATCACGTTCTTTCCAAATGCTACCACTAAACCCTAAACTTAAGGTGTGGCCTTCTATCTCTTTAAGTATGGTGATTTCATTTGGCACTATTTAACTTGAGTTATAGAGCTCGAGCTCTGGTCAATAAATTCAAGTCCGGATATATATATCTAGCCGGCCTTGTCGCACCAGCCTATCACCAGAATAACACAAAACTTTTCTCCAATATGTGTTGTGGGTCATGCATGACTCGGATGTTAAGTGCGCAGTACGGCGTGCCGAGTGATCGAATAGTAATTAAAGTAGAGTATATCTGTGTTTTGTGAAACCTTCCGTGAATCATAGTTGAGGAGTCTAGCGACTGGTTTCGAGTTGACTGCAATACAGTGACGTTCTAGAACTCTCATTGCCGACGAGACACGCTCTTGTTGATGGCTGATCAGCTGATAGCTTCTATTCTGGAGCCGTAAAAACCAAACATCTGAATCAACGATTGTTCTCGTACCAATTCTAATTACTATTGCGACGGCGGCTAACAGTAAATATCGATTAGAACTAGCCTGTCTCACGACGGTTTAAGCCTAGCTCAGAAGCAACGCCGTTATGAACGCTTGGCTGCCACAAGCTAGTTACCCCTACCCCTATGGCAACCTTTTTAGCACCTCTAGCTTCAAATTTCGAGGGACTAAAGGATCGATAGGCCACATTATCATTCGTTTGGATTCACACTGGGGAGACAAGGCCTAGGTTCCGAAATTAATTGCGGATGAGTAACCCTTTATATAACGTTCCAAGAATACCACATGGCCTCGGAACTATCGATCGGTGTTGGTTGAAGTTGTTCAGGACAATGAAGGATGAGGAATATATTCATACAGGAACCATTATCTAACGCTAATACAAAGACTATGGTACAATGCTCTCTAATAAAAAGACCACGAGCATTCTTCCAATTCCCATCATTGGAAACGAAGATGTATTGACAAATTAATGCCAAATGTAATTAAAGAAAATACAGTATGAAAAAAGTTAGAGTACAAACGCGCAGCCAATAGTCGATCCGGTATCCTCCCCGTTATCAGTTCAGTTTGTCCCTGCTCGCTGCATTTATATAAAATCGAGCAAGCCGCCGGCACTGACCCCTAGAGTTGCTTAAACAGCAGAGAGGGAAATGGGTGTGCAAAAAGTAGTAACCCAGGTGGTAGGTCCGATCCAGAGCAGATACTGAGCACCATCATCGCAGGCATAGAGATTAGGAGATGTGGTTCTAACAACGCCGAGAGCTCCAGATGCGGGATCCAATGTCCAAGATTCGAAACCACATTCGTTGGTGTCGACACAGCCGTTGATGTCTGTCTCGTTCCTGAAGGAAACTGGGGCAGGTGTTTCTTCATACACATCACCCTGGTTCAAGAACGACTGGGAGAAGAGAGTGACTGCGGCATCATCGACAGCACTCAGTTCGCTAGTTGCAGCATCATAGCTGAATGTGGAGGCGTCAGTGGATGGGACGAGTCCGACATAGTTTGTTCCATCAACCTCTGTGATCTTGAGGAAAGTGTCTGCAGCGATACCAGACCCAGTAACCTTAAGAGTATAGGTAGGCAGCTGGCGCTCAGAAAGCTCTTTAGCAGCTGGAACGGCAGCTGCTCCCAAGACAAGGAGGGAAGAAAGGATAAGTCGCAACATCTTCGAAATATGTATCGATTGTGTGTAGAAGAACGATAAACGAGGATATTTGAAGGAAGGAAGGTAAGGGTCTTCTTGCGACTGAACAAAGAGGAGGGAATGACTGTCAAGGTCGAAGCGTCTGAAGAACAAAGAATGCCCCCTTCAACGAATGGGAGGGCCAGGCTCTTAAATAGCAATGAAACGAAACATTGAACATGGCGGCCTCGTGGCGATCGGCAACGGTATCAACCTCTTCTGGAGGCGTTCCCTCCTTCATCCCAAGTTCTAAATCAAAAAACGATGGCTTCTTGGGGAATCCGTTACGAAGCCATCAGCGGGTGGGGCATACATAGAAATGAAGTGTTTAGCGTTGTTAGCGTTGCGTTTAGGCCTTTCGATAAATTCTGTGGATCTTTGTGGTCCTGTGGCAATGTGGGCACCAATCAGGGGAAATAAAATTTGACCGACCCATCAAAAGCATTAGCCCAGCAAAAGACCTTGACTGAGCCCCTGATCCTGCCACTCCATCTCAACGGTACCGAAGTCTTGACCTTCTAGGCTTGCAGCGGATATGTGCGTCCGTAGACATTCAGGCCGCATGTGCCGACGCCTAAATACCTTGCCGATTCGGACAATGTGCATGCGATAGTGCCGAGTTATATAATAGTTTCGGGAGCGTTTCGACACTGTTCACGAGCCCGCGATGCCATATTCTCACTACAATGGGAACGGATGGCCGACTTCAAGCAGAGTCCAAGTTTTGGGAATATAACGAAGCACAAGTTGATTCACAGTAATCCAGCCAGGGAAATGTGACGAGAGACGGACAAAGAATTCAAAGGACCAAGAATATGTGATTTAAAATGACAGGGAACACGAAACAGCACTTTCCCCTTCCCCGTTAGTCGCCCCACGTGGGAGCCTATCCGAATCCACGTTGACAGCAATGATTTCACGACCATACCCTGCTCTTTGGCCTCTGCTAATTCAGTTATCCTGGCAAGCGGGTCTCTTATCAATACGCAGCTACGCAGGACACAGATGAGATGCAATGTCAGTGTTTCGTGATGTTTATTTGAGCTCAGGGGTTTACATAAAAAGTTGCTTCGTTAGCGAAATGCAGAAAATCACTGCTGCTTAAAGCGTCTAGGCGTCTGTGCTCACGGCTGAAAAATCCAGTCGATTAGACCCCATATGGTAGTACTATACGGGGCCAGTCTCCCAAGCCTTCGCTATTGTGTCTGCCGAGTGCTAAGAATTTTTCATAAAATTTCTGGCGTCGAGCTCGACGGACATAATATTTGGCAGCGCTACAGAAACATGGTTTGCCCTAGTTATTTCATATCTTATGTTCCATTGCTCCTGCCGTCCCTTTATTACTATATGATAGAGAACTGCTCGCATTAACTACTAGGTATACAGTATTGTTTTCATGCCGTCCCAGCCTAAGGACAAGCATGGGTCCTTCGAATAACACCTCCGAATATAGGATGTCAGGCGGAGTGTGTCGGCCAGCGCTCCAAGCATGCCAGTGTGTACTATGTACATACGACCCGCAGCGAAATATAGTAGCTCGTGGGCTGTTCCTTGAGAATAACTGTGGGGCATCAAGTACCAAAATTCAAGATCCCGGTTACGCAGGTCCAGAGGTTGCAGCGGCAAAGACTTCCCAAAAACCCTAATTCCCCTGCAGCTCTTAGCTCGATTTTTGGTCACTTGCCGAGATGCAAAAAGCCTGAGCACGGTCAATTAAACGTGGTTATTATCACAACGTGGCTTCGTGCACTTTTTCAGGGATACAAAGATATCTACAAATTTGATACGAACTAAATTCCGAGTTTTCCGGGTCTAGCCCGCGATCTTTCCTCGCGGTATGCAGTACCCTGAATGCAATGGCGTAACATCAGTCGCGATCAGCTGCTAGGTGCAAGGTTCGCGAATCTTAGAGTTTATAGAGCACGGTTGGGGATACAATTGCTCAATGACGCCTGTTTTTCGAGCTTTTGGGGTTCGAATTTCGGTCGCCCAGCGCATATCAGGCTGCACATGTGGAAGCGGAAGCCGGAAGCTAGTTTCGAAGGCTTCGACAGATTCGCGAAACAAAAAACAAAGAATGATAGGCTTAATTAAGCCATGACAGCCAATATTAATTGCCATCAGCCATGTTTTAGAGCTTCAGTTAGTGCAAACTCAGCGGAACCGGCACCACCTGCAAGCTTCGAGCTTCTGTGGATCCGAGAAGTTCTGGTGAGCATGTGTGTCCATAGCACTTAGTTACTTACTTACTGTGTATATACATAGTTAGGTACGTCGTAACATTGGGATATATTGGCCGAAGATTAGCAATCAGTTATGCAATTCGAATATTCATTTGTTTCCAATATTCCCATAAAATGTTAAATTCTGGGCTAATGCAATGCATTAACTACACGCTAAATTGCATCCCATTTCTGTAAAGCGAGCCTGGGCATAAGCTCCTGATTTGGGCAAGCCGTGGCCCACTATTTGTAACTGAGTTATTTTAGTAAAAGAAATATTATAGGCCGCTAATACGCGGACGCCCCAGCTGCCCAGGACCCACTGGAACGCTCATCCCAAAATACTCGACAGCCATCCACGAAACGCATAAATTTGCAAAATAGCCTTTCAGGAGCCAGCTTGCAGACCAAATAAAAACTTTCGGCCAAAAATACCGACAAATGAACTCTCTATTGCCCGTTACATACGTACTGTGTATGTTGCCCTCGCGGTATTTTTCACTTTCGCCAACATCTCTTGAATTCCCTCTGCGTGGTTTCGAGCTTGCCGAAATATCTCCAAAGTTGCGGCTAAACGAAAGTTAGGTTGAGCTCGAGTGTGGTCGCGACGTCGGGGCCTTGAGTATCCGTGTACTGGTTGCGAATTGGCTAAGTTCGGATAGGCGGCAGTATGACATAACTGACCGAGCTCAAAAGCCATGCACGCACGTTTGGATTCGTGACAACGTCGAATGGAAGCAAATTCTCATGCTATGGTTTAGTTATCGCAGTTGTCTTTCTAAATACATTGGCTTGAAGATTCTACGGGATACAACATACCGGATTCAATACACAGCTACGCTATATTTAAAAACTACGCCGATATGTGGGTATTCCTGGGTATACGGATGGGACAAGCTAATATGGTTCCAGGATACTAGCATAGTAGTAATTAAGAGCTATACTATATATTCTCACACCCATGCAATATAACATTCTGCCCATTTAATAACAAGATGGGTAAGATGGGTAAAATAGAAACCTCTGTAATTCTTGTTACTGTAATATATTTTGTCTCTTCTTTAAGAACTCCTGAATTATGACCGCTAACATCCTGTATGTAGTTTAGAACTTAGTTAGATAATCAATCAATCAATCAATCAATCACCTATACGAATGTACGGATTGACCCGGTGTAAACGTAAGCCTATTACGTTAACACCTACAGGCCCAAAAGAGTATATTTTCTAAATCTGATATTTAATTTGAATATATAACATGCATGGATTGTCCATTCTTTTCTATATTCCAATAATATCACTTATAAAAATCTTGTATCTGAAATCCAACCATTTAAGTCTCTGTATATTCCTTTTTTCGACATCAACACTTTGAGTCTTTATTCCAAACTCCAGTTTAGTAATATGAATCATATGGCTCTGGCTCATCACTGTAGTCAGAACCTTCATCGCCATAATCTACAACTTCAGTTTCCTGGGGCAATGAAGTCGTGGACTTTGAAGGCGTGTTTGAAGGCGTGGGCTTTGGAGTCTGGGCACTTTGGATTGGCGCTGGCTCTGGCTCAGGTATATTTGTTGGCTGGGGTTTAGGTGGCGAATAATCCTTGTCTCCGGGCCTGAGTTGCTGGAATGGAACGCATCCACCGAAAGGCCCATCTTCTGACCTATCTTGGCAGCGTATAATACAAATGCTCTTCCGACCGTTATGACTACCCTTGCAGTCCAAGCTAGTTGGAAGGTAGACCATCATATGCCATTGCTTCGTGCCTTCCTTGTTGGGCTTTACTCCTGCCGGTAAAGCGCCCGGGGTAAGCTTTAATCTCGTCGGGAAAGTTCGTCCCAGACCAGTAGAATCAACAAAGCATCTGAATCCGCCGCCACTACCCTCAACCACAGTCTTATTTACTTCATGCATCTAAGCAAAAAATTAACCCTTCTATATCAATCATTTGACAGCTTAGCTATATTACTTACCGTCATCTTTATAAAACCACCAGCGGCCGCAGTCGTGAGCTTGTCAATTTTGATGGAGTGTGTCAACTCCAGCGAGACATTGACCATTGCGCCCGGTTTAACGGGTTGCTGAAAAAACTTAGCGGTTCTGTGGACAGCTTTCTCCGTGTTCCATAATGCATCTCTGTACTTGGCATATTGACCGACAGTGTGAAGGGTCACGCCACACCCGCCGTCAAAGTATTTGCGCCTGACTGGTACGAGGTATTTTTCTTTATGGCATACTTTTTTACCTTTTTTATCAAGCCAGCATCCAGGAAGCTTCCATGGAACAGCTGGAGAGGCGAATACTGTTGTATCTTTTTGAAAAGGCCATCGTGCATCGCCCGACCGGAACCCAACCAGTTTCCCATCATAGAGAACATGCGTTTGTGAGGTTATACCAAAAGCTTGCCCGTTGACAGCGCGTTCTTGGTCTCCTCGAGCGCCGATGATAGCGACATGACCGGAAATTGGTGATACAAGGCTCAAAACTGCGAGCGCAACGGCGCTATTGAGGATTTGCATCTTGCTGAGACGTATAAAATAAACGAGTGTGCGTCTAAAGCGGTAGAAATGAATGTAATTTTGGATTGTCTAAGGAGTCGACAAGTCCAAAAATGGAGGAAGAATGGAGCGCCCGTGAAGCTTGATCGATGAGGATGATCGATGAAGGATGTTGAAAAAAAAAAAAAAAAAATCGAATATGGAAGAACGTAGATCATTTTATACAAAGTCCTGACATGCTTTTGAAGATGATGTATTACACCTAGTTCTAAATCGATATCTATATGGCTCTTGCAACTCAATTGAATGCGAGCCTCGAAAGCCGATGCGGCGTCGGTCGTAGCATCTTGCTAGTGTTGGTGTTCCTCAGCATCTTGTTGCCAAAATCAGTTGAGTCTGTCCCAACTCGCGTCAATCATACCGTTTAAGCCACAACAGAAGACCTGCCGATGCCCTGGCAAGCCACAAAATTTAAGAGCGCCAGGGCAAGACGCTTCCTCAATAATAATGACAAATATTATATGATATTACTATACAGATGTATATACGTATAAGCAGGCGTCAGGCAGAGAATCGCGATTCGCGTACCGATATCTCGCTCGCATACGTACATGTATAATTCGACTAATTCTTAAATCTCGCGTAACATGGCTTTTGTTGCAAGGAATAACTAACCACATGCTGGTTTGGTTCGCTTAAACTCTTAAATCCAGCTAGTACATACTCTATTTTAAAAGCCACGTTACATGGGTGTGAAAATAGTATATCGATGTCATACAGGTCTCTTATCGATTATCTGTCTCTCTTATCTATGAACGTTACCCCCTCGGTTTAGCGTTTGTTTATCTGGGCGTACGACTGTGGCGGTTGGAAATGGAATGATACCTTGGTCACAACTATTGTAACACTGTACTTGTCCGCCTGCAAAGTTTGCAACGTTTCCATACATGCATCATCGCTCATAACCGCCCGGCCGGTCGAACGTTGAACACCGCTAGCTGGCACTTTTACGATGAAAAACTTCCTGTGACTTACACCACAAAACTTGATAGAGGGTGAAGGGCAAGAAAGGCTGATAATCGCTGCAACGGTTGGTATATACATCTGTTGCTCAATGGTTAATTTTAGATAGGCGGCGCTCTTCCCACCCTCCAGGGACATCACAACCGACGGGTGTGATAGTACTCTGTAGAAGGACAGGTTTCGCGAGTGCGCTTACAAGCCGGAGTGCTTGGATCGATTCAAGGGTTTGTCCTGGTGCCACAGCACTGGGAAGGTTTTTGAGCCACTCAAATTATATTAATGCATTAATATTTTGAGGAGTCTGGCGACGAGACAAATTATATACAATGTCGCACTTCATTCAGTATTTCTTGCCGGTACCGGTTTGATCCGTACCATCACTGCACGGTTCATTTACCGGTGGTTTTGGATTTTCCGTAATATATCGGTGTGACTTGTCTAATATAATATTACATGAAACATGAGGATATGTATACGTATATTGTTATCTTTGCAGAAGGTGAAATCCAACATTATCCTTGGACTGTGATTCCTCTTCAGCGCTCTGTACGTCTTCTTTTCCAACCCGTATCGCTCCTTCAGATAGACCAGAACCCGGTACCGGTGTAAGCGGCCCGCGGTTTGAAATAAACGAAAGCAGATTACCCTGCTGCATCTTTTGGCGGATAGTGAAGAGGTCTTTAAGCTCTCGACGATAAATTGACTTTAGGTGCATATCCCAGACCCTTTTTCGGTAGGTTGCGTGTCTGTAGATATCGTAGCACCGGTTGATATGTTTGACACACGATGTTAGGTAGGTGTTTTCATACAACGTTGGTGCAGACCCTAAGCCCTTACGGATGGACTTAACCTCTAAGAGCATTTCCCTAACAAGCTCTGGTACACTAGACTCTCTGCTGACTTTGCCTTCTTCGTGGATCATATCATAGACGGATTTAACTTTGTTTTTAATCCTATCTATTTGGTACCACACTCCAGCAGGACCGTTGCAGGTCATACAACTGCCATCGGCACACCCGACACTCGCATATTGACCTAAGGTCTTCCCACAATCGATATCTGGCGCTTGGTTTGACAGATGGAGGGTATCAACGACTCTCTTTGCTGATTCTCGAATATGCTTTATATTGTCGGGGTGGAGTTGTTCGCCCAATTCATATTGCACTGCTGTCTCGACATCGTAGGCTGAGGTTGACATCTGAATTACGCGATCGTGTAAATCTTTGATTTGGAGGTTTAGACGATGCATGCGCTCGTGTACTAGCGCTCTAGACCTTACGGGGGGCATGATTGCAGTACCGACTGGCATCCGAATATTCGTATGAGATGGCGTACTGATATATCGGTATATATCGTGGCAATTGTATTTCATTTGTTCTTTTTAGCGATTAGATGATTACTAAGAGTTTTTTGTTTATACCGTGTGACAAATCTTGTATAATCCGGAACCAATAGGTATATTCGGGGTCAGATGTATACTCTAGGCTTTTTAGAGTCTTTGGAGTATTGATGTGGAGCAGGAAGAAACCCTGCAACTTTAGAAAGCTAAGGGTTCTGTCCTGAGATATAGCTAGTCTATTATTAATCTATTGCGTAAGTTTTTTGTCGATCCAGATCGGGGATCAGTCCATTATGCAGCAGTTGGGTTAGCGCTATGCATGTGCTGGATTTCAATATTTTCTTGAGTCTTGGGGGTAGACGATTCACCAATCATTGAAGGGATCTTGACTCGTCAGGAAAGTGTATAGTGCCGCTATACCTTTTTTCTCTTTTTTGTGGTGTCGATTTCTCATGGGGACGCGAAGTACTTGAGACATAGATGCATTCGATAATGCTTTTTTTTTGTTCCCCATTGACAAAGAAATCACGGCCACGTGTAGGGTCATGTCATATAATATTGGTTACGAGACTGAGGTTGAATTTGGGTCACCGCTGATCCTGAATATCAACACGCCGCATCATAATTATAGGTTTAGAATACATCCTTTTCGAGGGAGATCACCCGATATCTTGGCCTCAAGTAGACTAGCCACCAGCGCGCCGAATGTCTACTCCGCTTAGCAACCCAATGTTGTAGCTGGTGCCGTACCTAGATACATTAAAGTGTTGCGAGAGCCTCGTCAGACAAAGAATGAGAACCGCCACTTTTGTATGTTATCTCGTACAGCGCGAGAGCAAATAGCCTTCGTAACTGCTGGAGTTATCTGTAGACTTAAGCGTTTATGGATAGCGCGATAGGCATAACTTGTTTACATCTCTAGATATCTTGGAACTTTGTGAGAGCGCCTGGATTCTAGGCTCGCTTTCAAAACTCCTGTATCTAGCATATTAGGAATACCCGAGATGAATTTGAGAATTAATTCAACAGGTATGTCTCTGGATTGCTTACACGTCGAATCTAACTCATGCATATAGCTTAGCTTGCGCCGTTTCCAAACGAGTCCGAGCCACAAGGCCTTGAGTTTATCCTCGGGTGTAAAATTGTTCTGAAATTTCAAAATTTCAACGAGGATTGATAATCTCCTTTGTGTTGTAGCTGTTGGATTCCATGCCAAGAATCAGATTCGGTCATTTCTTTTTTCGGCCGCCTTAACGCTTAACCCCTTGCGAAAAACCGCAATGGCTTCACGTCTCAATCGTCTACCGACATCCCTTCTCTTGAAGTCTACAAAGCTCGACTTCTTTGAACCGCAAATATCTCCACCCCCACGACTTCTCGACGCGTCCACTGATTCCGAATGAGGTCAGAATTCTCTACCAAACGAAGCTATCCAATAAAATACCGGGCGGAGCTGCTGGTTTGACGTCATCTCATGAAAGGGCAATGCTGCAGCCAGGGAGACTTGGGAATAGGAATGATATGGGGATATTTATAGTTTCGTATGATGCTCAGATTGCTTAACTAGCTCTTTGATATCGTTTTATGTCTAATTTGTGAATATTATCTCGTGGCGACTTGAGCTAACATTACTTTATAGCTATGCTTGTGCTCCATACCGGTCTACCACTAAGAAGTCGGGCAGAGGCCCATAGAGCCACTTGCAACCCTCAGAACTTCGTCCTCGTCTCATCTATATACCTATAAAACTCTTCGTGGCCCTTCTGAATATGACGGTTATGGTGAGGGCGAGGGGACCTATCGAACGCAGGTGGATATAAATCACAACGACACCCCATCAGTTTAACAGCTTTACAGGTTGTATTTCGGTTCAAAATCGAACCACGGTCTCGTACGCTGAAATAATGCGTATCATATATACGTCTCGAGTTATATATGGAACTACTGGATGGTAATTCAACATTACCTGGATTATCTGGTGTGACTGACTCATCCTTCCGACTGGAAACGAACGTCGAAGACGTGTCGAACACATTCGACCAAATTCAAGACACCCCAAAGATCATAAAGAGCGGTTGCAAATCCATTGAGGGGGAATTCCTTGTCCCTAGCCCGAAACTGCAATCGAATTTCGCCGTATCTCACAATACAATGGAATGGGCTTCGAGGCGGTCGACATATTCAAGAAGTCGACGGGCTATACCCGGTGTTTTATGTAATGGTTAAGTCCTGTTAACCAATTGGGGCCGCTTTTTTACCCCAGAGAGTCTCACATTTGGAGCTGAGGCTTCTTTTCAAGGCAATGTGGGAGCCGGTGTGACGACCTTATGGGCCTGGAGCGTGCCTTCCCCCAAAGCTGATTTGCTTGTCGCACAGTCGACTCAGGTAGTTTCAGCATCGTGATGGCTATGGTAGAGCTCTTGCGATGCTACTTTGCCTGTAGTTAGAAGTATTTAGTTAATTTCCGGTGCCCCGGTGGCTATACATGGGGCATGCTATTTCAACTTTGTGTAGCTACTATATCTCAATTTCTTTATTTCAATAAATTCTAAATCCCTTCGTCCCCTCCCGAGTCTCCTAAGGTAAGTCAGATTCTGTAGCTTCTTTTTATATCAATCGGATCGATGGCACCGTCTCAAACCCAAGCCGGTGTGGTGTTGTTTATGTTCAAGACGGGGAAGCAAGTAGTAGTGGATCCTCGCCTCCTCCCACCCTGCTAGGAGAAAGGCCCCTCAGACATATATCCCTCCTTCCCACCACGCCCATTCAACCTTTTCTTCCTCTTCCTCCTCATCATCACTCCTTCACCACCACCTACATCTCACAACCTCCACCAACCCTCCATGCATCGTCAAATCCATCAAATCCATCCCGAATTTAGCGAATAATAAGCTTAGAGAGCTTAAATACATTAAATTCGCCTGGAATCAACCAATAGCAAGCCGGATATCACGACTGCCCAGCTAGCTGGACAACACATCAACAGGCGCGACTTTATCACCTACTTTTTCTAACGTCAACCTTTTCATAAAGTAACATGGCGAGAGCTAAGCCGAGGAGCAAGCCTGTTTCGGAGGATGAAGAGATGACCCGGGATGAAGATGTTCCCATGAATGTGTGTTTTCTCCCGAACACGGTTCTATTTATTGAGACACGGGCTTGATACCCCGAGTTCTAGCTCACATAATCTCTATCGAATACTCGAGCTAATTTGATAATCCACAGGACGCTGAAACCGAATCCTCAGTTGCTTCGGAAGGAGAAGAGCAGGCTGATGATGAAGACGATGAAGATACTACTCAGCCAATCAACAAGAGGCAACGACGAACTGAGATCAATAATGAGCGTCGAAAGCACTTTGGTCGTCAAAAGGAAGATCTCCAATCCGCAAAGGTAGTGTGCTCTGTTTCCATCCCTCTCCTTTGCTACGTGTATATTGTTGTTAGTGCTTCAACATATTTTTGCCCTTTTTGATTTTCCTGTTTCTGGCAAAATTGGTGTTCCGCGACAATTTTACTCGGGTATAATTTTGATTTACTTTTTCTGGAGAGTCCTTTTTTCTGGCGGGTTTGTTGGCGTTGTTTTGGGTTTTTTTGTGGATGGTGGATCTGATTGGGCTAACATGATTTGGGTAATTGTTTGATCGGGGATTTTAGTATTCAGACTCTGCAAAGCGATTTGCATATCTGATTGGTCTGACGGGTAAGTGCGCATGACAAACCCTTTATCCAGATTTTGGTGTTGACCTGAACTCTATGGTAGATTTGTTTCGTCACTTTATTGGGCTCAATCCTGAATTAGCGAAGGCTGTTGAACAGGCAGATGTTATCAACAAGAACAAAAAGAAGGGCAGGAATTCCTCCGCTGCTACAGGCAGCAGAACCCGTAGAACGGAAAAGGAAGAAGATGCGGAACTTTTGGAAGACGAAATCAATGCCGATGATTCTGAGCAACGTACCATCTTCTCTGAGAACCCAAACTGTAAGTTTCCAGAACTGAAGGCAGAATAAATAGCAAAAACGAAATTGCTGATATTTTGTATAGATATCCAGGGTCAGATGCGTGACTACCAGGTTGCCGGTTTGAACTGGCTTATCTCTTTGCATGAGAATGGTATCTCGGGTATTTTGGCCGACGAGATGGGTCTCGGAAAGACCCTCCAAACAATTTCGGTAAGTGGGATCGGCTCTATTATGGACATTATTGTTAAAAGGCTAATGAGACGTATCTTAGTTCGTTGGGTACCTAAGATTTATCCAGGACATCAAAGGGCCGCATCTGGTCATCGTCCCTAAATCTACCCTTGACAATTGGAAGAGGGAATTTGCGAGATGGATTCCTGAAATCCATACGCTCGTTCTCCAGGGTGCTAAAGACGAAAGACAAGAGCTCATCAACCAACGTCTTTTACCCCAGGATTTCGATGTCTGTATCACAAGCTACGAAATGGTAATGCGAGAGAAGCATCACTTGAAGAAGTTTGCGTGGAAGTACATCATTGTCGATGAGGCGCATCGTATCAAGAATGAGGAGTCTTCTCTCTCAAAAATCGTTCGAATGTTCGAATCCCGTGGACGTCTTTTGATCACTGGCACACCTCTTCAGAACAACCTTCACGAACTCTGGGCCTTGTTAAACTTCCTTCTCCCTGATGTATTTAGCAGCTCCGAGGCTTTCGATGAATGGTTCGAGAGCAGTGGTCATGACCAAGATACTGTTGTATTACAGCTCCACAAGGTCCTCCGGCCTTTCTTGCTCCGTCGTGTCAAGGCTGATGTCGAAAAGAGTCTCCTCCCCAAGAAAGGTATGTAAAAAGATATAAGGACTCCCTGCTTTCTTCTCCGCCTTCTTTTCTAGGGAGCTAACAATACGATAGAATGCAATCTTTACGTGGGAATGTCGGATATGCAGATCAAGCAGTACCGAAATATCCTTGAGAAAGATATTGATGCATTGAATGGTCAAAACATTGGGAAGCGAGAGTCCAAAACACGACTTCTCAATATTGTCATGCAGCTTCGTAAATGCTGCAACCACCCATATCTCTTTGACGGAGCCGAACCCGGTCCTCCCTACACCACAGATGAGCATTTAGTCTTCAATTCCGGAAAGATGGTCGTACTGGATAAGCTTCTAAAGCGTATGCAAGAGAAGGGCTCGAGGGTTCTTATATTCTCGCAGATGTCCCGTGTTCTAGATATTCTCGAGGATTACTGTATGTTCCGAGAATTCAAGTACAACCGCATTGACGGAAGCACCGCCCACGAAGACCGTATATCAGCTATCGATGAGTACAACAAGCCCGGCTCCGAGAAATTCATTTTCTTATTGACGACCCGTGCTGGTGGGTTGGGTATCAATCTGACGACTGCCGACATTGTTGTTCTTTATGACAGCGACTGGGTAAGTTTCCATAGAAGGGAGGATTAAATTGCTGGTCAACTAACACGTCCGCTAGAATCCCCAAGCTGATCTCCAGGCAATGGATCGTGCTCATCGTATCGGCCAGACCAAACAAGTACATGTCTACCGATTCATTACAGAAAATGCTATCGAGGAGAAGATCATCGAACGTGCCGCTCAGAAGCTTCGGCTTGATCAGCTCGTTATTCAACAGGGCCGAGCTCAACCGGCCGCAAAGGCCGCATCTAGTGGCGAAGACTTGCTGGGTATTATTCAGCATGGTGCGCAACAGATCATGGACAAAGCGACTGCGAAAGAAGGCACCCAGGGTACTATCGATGATGACGAGGATATCGATGCTTACATCAACAAAGGGAGCGAGAAGACAGAGAAAATGAAGGCCAAATTCTCTACCATGGGGTTGGAAGACGTCCAAAGATTCAATTCCGATTCAGCGTACGAATGGAATGGACAGGATTTCCAGAAGAGGGAAACGAGATTGAACTTCAATTGGATCAACCCCGCCAAGAGAGAAAGAAAGGAACAAGTCTACTCTGTCGACAAATACTACTCGACCATCCTGAACCCCAAGGTTCCTAAAGGTGAACAGAAGCCGCGAGCACCAAGACCACCTACACAGATCCGAATTCAAGACCACCAATTCTATCCACACCGATTGGTCCAGCTCCAGGAACAAGAGACAGCCTACTACCGCAAAACAATTGGCTACAAGATTCCGGGAGTGGAATCTGATGACGATCTTAGGAAGGATGACCGGGAGCTCGAGCAGATGGAAATAGATAATGCCGTCCCATTAACTGTGGAAGAAATCGCTGAGAAGGAACGCCTTGCTGAGCAAGGCTTCTATGATTGGAGCAGACGGGACTATCAGCAATTCGTCAACTTATCCGCTCGATACGGCCGCAAGGCCCTCGATTCTATTGCTGCGGAGATGGACAAGGAACCAAAGCAGGTCAAGGCTTATGCGAAAGTGTTCTGGGAACGGTATACGGAAATTGATGGATACGACCGCGCCATTCAGACAATTGTTGCTGGTGAAGAGCGATCCGAGAAGACGCGAAAGCAGCAGGAAAATCTCCGTACTAAAATCGAACAATATCGCGTTCCGCTCCAGCAGATGAAGATCAACTACAGCGTTTCTACTACGAATAAGAAGATTTACACTGAGGATGAAGATCGATTCTTACTGGTCCAGCTTGACAAGTACGGCCTTGAATCCGAGAACCTTTACGAATACATTCAAAACGATATTCGCGATTGCCCTCTGTTTAGGTTCGATTGGTTCTTTTTATCACGGACCCCAGCCGAGCTATCGCGAAGATGTCAAACGTTGTTGACTACAGTTGATAGAGAGTTTGATCCAAAGTCAAAGGCTCTTGAGGACGAAGAGGAACCGAAACCGGGGAAGAAGGGGACCAAGGGCAGTGGCAAGACTAGCCGTCAGAGAAGCGTTGAGGACGATGATGAGACCGGGCCACCAGCTAAAAAGGGCAAGACAACGAACGGTGTTGCTGCTAATGGCAAGGGGCCGAAGGTAAATACTCCACAGAATACTCAAGTGGCGTGGGCCAAATAGTCGAAACTAACAATACTGTTTTCCTAGAATAAAAACATCGATCAAGTCAAGACCGGAGCAGGCAGCAAGGCAGCATCGAACACCACGTCGAGGGCCACTAGCGTTGGTTCTAATTCTGATGTCGGTGGGAGCTCGAAGCCAGGCCCCAAACCGAAAGGGAAGGCGAATGGTACCGCTTCGAAGGCTAGCACTCCAGTTAGCGCCTCGAAGAGCAAGGGCAAGAAGCGTACTTGATTTCTCTCCAAATTAGACTACTTTAGCAATTGTATTCATAATACCGCCTTTTTTTTTTTTTTTTTTCCTCTATGTTTTCTTGTCTTGTCTGAGGGTGTTACTCGTTTCCTGGATTGTCTTATAAAAATGATAGATAGATTCCCCGGCGTGTCTGTGGCAGGGATGTTAACTTGAATACTACTAATGAAATGGCAATTCCTAATATTATCCAAGTCTTTGTAATGCTGTAATGAAGCCATAGCCAAAGTGGAGATATTTGTCCGTCAGCCAGAAAGTGGCTGGTGGTGGCGTCATAAGCTGTGTTTGCATAAGATCACGTGTAGTGGCTAGAAGAGGCGAACAACAAAGAAAGAAAACAACCTCCTGTCATTGCCCGAGATCCTTCCTCCTTTATCTTCCAAACTAACATCGCCAGACCTCAAAGCCCGGACTGTCAAGTGTATGCTTCCCATCGCAAAGGCCTGGTGCTGTCTGTCCGGATTTCATTCGACTTATTTCTTAGTCACCATCCTCCCGCACATTCGAATTCTTGGCCGGCTAAAACAACAAGACCTCACAGCAGTCACTCCACCATCCGCCACCGAGCTCCGTGGTTTCACCGTACAGGCTACACCCGTCGAAATCGCTAGAGACGTAATCTGGAAATAATTTAACGAAAGACTTATTTTCGGGGTTTATCTTTTATCTATTCTCTTATTCGAACACTGCGCAGGAGGTGCGAGGAAACTGGCAAACTTTACCTACTACATATTCACTGATCCTTAGTACTGACTGTCTAAGTAGCTAGTGCTCTTAGTGCGTGCGGGCGGTTAGGCAAACAATAACCTCATCCGACATCACAGTCCTGGTCAACCTCCAATATCGATAGCAAAAACGGACGACACCCATCTTCTGGCCATACTCCTCCGAGTCCCATCAAACCTTTCTTTCTCCCTCGTATCTGTCCATCACGATGGATATGACATCCCTTTCCTCAACCCTCCCGGGGAATAACCCAAACTCTTCGTCCTCTTCTCGTCGCCCCCAGAACCCCTCGAAACAGCATTCCCCAGACATCGCCGATGACAGCCAGAACATCATAGAAGCATTTCAGTCTGCCGCTCGGTCGGTAACACATCTCTACCGAAGCTCCGCTGCTTTGATTAGAAGCTCCCGGACTGATGGATATACTGATGCTCTCTCCGACGTCCTCGAGGCCATCGATAATGAGTCAGCTTACAACGATCCTTCGCTCGCACTATCTAGAATAAGAGACTGGGTGATCGATAGAAGGCACGAAATGAAAGGGGGCGTTGCCAACGGAAATACAACAGGACGGAGCGAATCGATGCCCCCCCAACAGCAACGGGAAATGAGCACAGAATCAGAGATGGATGATGGAGCCAACAACAATGGTAATGGCAAAGAGGAAGAACAACAAAAAAGGGAGGACACAAGAGAAGACGTAGCCCACCCGGATCTACAACATCAGCAGCATTTCCAGATGAATGTTCAATCGATACCTCAATTTTCGTTTCAGCCGTTGAACCCGCTTCCTCAGTACCCCTCACAAACTCCAGACGTTGTTGAACCATTACAGTCACCTGGAGTTGACGGCATATTCATGTTCAATTCCCCGGTAATGACACAGCAAATGATGCCGAACGGAAGAACATCAGGTGCAGGAAACAAAGTACCCCTAGCGCCCCGGAGTAACAACGCCGGACTGGGTATTGGGGCGGGAACAAAGAGAAGAAACCAGTCAGTAGATTTCTTCGATATCGGTGGATTTGGAAACTTCGGAATGAACGGTACACCCGGACGGGATTTTGGAAATTGGGGGAGTGGCGGTGGCGGCGGCGGCGGACAAGGGAATGCTAAGAGGGGGAAATTTGTGTGATTTGGCAACGAGAAGATAGCATGATACCGGTTTTTATGGACAGCTATACTTCTTTCCTTTTTGTTCTGGTTACACCCCCCTCCGACTTGTCTCTCCTGTGTATTTTCATTTTTATATGGGGACAATGATGGACACTGTACTCATGTGGTAGCTTGGGGATACCTTTGATCTCCTTTTTTTCTTCTTTTGTTTTTTTCTCTTTCGTCTACTTGGGCATCAGGGGGTAAGAAACAATGATACGAAAGAGCTGGCATAGAGACGGCTTACTCCCGACTGTTCTCTCTTCCTAACTATTACTCCCGAACCCCATCCTATTCTCTTGCTATTCTCTTCCTTTTTTTTTCTTTTCTTCGGCTTCATTGCATCAGTTACGGCGCCTACGGATTCCTCGTTCCTATAATTCCCTTCGATAGCGGTTCACCCAGTCTTTACCACGGCACCATCATATACCCTAGTACCTTTTCTTCCTCACCACTTCTTCTTAATCGACTTTAACCCGTTCGAGGGCCTTCCGTTACCCCGACGCTGGCCAGCACCCCCCTCCTCCTCGATAAAGAAAGCTAAGCACAGTAAACAAATCTAAACACAAACAGACCGAGGAAGAAGATATCTTCATTTTTGGTTTGCGAACGGAACTAATTTTCTTGTCCTCATTACCTGGAAGTTATTTTATTGCAGCATAATTTGGATATTGTATTATTTTTTTTATTTTTTTTATGCTTCATCTTTCCCCGGGCGCCTTTCCTGGTTCTCTCCTTCTTTTGTTACTCTCTCTCTCTCTCTCTCTCTCTCTCTCTCTCTCTCACTTCTTCTTCTTCCTTTTCTTTTCTCATTTTCTCCTTTTCTTCTTTTTTCGTTTCGGTAACCAAACTGCATAGACCCCTCGGCGTTAATGTATTTCCGTGATAATTTTTTCCATCGTCGCTATGTAAAATTATATCTATACTTGAAATTGGTTTATCCTCTTGTGGGAGGCTTATACGCACTATAGCCTATTAGTCATTCCTGTGGGCTCCCCAAAGCAAACAGGTAGTTACGACAAAAATAAGAGAATTCAATACAATAGAATAAAAGGATAAACTTTAGGGGAAAAAATAAATATCAGTTACTACTATATACAAGGATAAACCTCTTTCGCATATGCACGCCAGCTTTAAGGCATATAAGCTTTAACTAGCTAGGACTCTGGAGTTTCTGCCTGATCGACTAATATATTAAGTTATAGATGTGGTGTCCCAAAATATATATAGGCGCGAATAAAAAGAGGGGACTTTGAAACACATGCGAGGTCCGCTTGAGACCTTGACCCGACGGCCGGGGGCGGGAGATAACAAGGGGTTTGGAAACGGAAACATTTAATGACACAAAACGTTCCGACTTTAATAGTTAGGAAAATGTATGAACAGGCGCACTTTCCCACTGGAAGAATCTTCATAGGGTTCGGATTTTTTTTTTATTTTGGATTTATTTTGGATTTTATTTTAATTTTGTTATGAGAGAGTCGAGCTCGAGGGAGTTAAAGAAAAAGTTGATATTGATATCTTAAAGCCTAGCTACGGTTAATCATTTGAATTTTTATATGCACATATGCATGGACAAACAGTAATGTATATAGATTTTTGATTATTACACCGTTGGGTATCATATCGCTTGATCTTTAAAATAAAAGATAGAAATATTACAAAGAGAGAAAAAAAAGGTGGGGGGTAGAAGAAGGTGGGGCTGGAAGCAAAGAAGGCGGAGGGAGGAAGGGAGGAAAGAATTGAAGGTAGTAGTTAAAGGGTAGATATAAAAAAACTCCGAATATTAATTTTCATACAACCGAACCAAAAAAGAAAGAAAGAAAGAAAAATATATAAAGTAACGATCCAGATATCATCATAGCCAAAGGAAATAATAATTGACTATGACTATTTGAAATCGAAGAGAAATGAAAAGAAAAGGTTAAGAATGTTAGGGCCAAAGGGATGGGATGGGTATTGCTTCCAGTACAGCGACATCTTATAAACTAATAACCGCGGGGCCAGCGATAACTGTTGTCTCATCAAGCTTATTTCCATCTCCATTGGTAGTCAGTTGGACATAAACCTCACCAGCCAAGTCTGCAGGGACGGTGCAAGAACCCTCAGCAAGCGGGACAAAGACGGTTCCGACACCACCAGCAGTAAAGGCGCAGAACTTTGCATCACCGGTAGTACTACCGTTAGCAAGATTGAGAGGGGTACCGGCCTTGATGCTTTGCGCATTCGTGATTACAAGGGATGGGAAAGCAGTGAAGCCGAGATTTGAACCTTCAGGGCAGGATTTGATGAATTGGGCAGCGAGAGTGAATACGCTCTGAGGGGGGAGTGGGGTATCAAAAGCTTGTGGGACTGGAAGTTCGACACCTGCAGCGGCTGTATATCAAAGAAAAAACATTTCAAGTCAGTAATCCGAATAAAACTATATTAAGAAGCGATGGGGCGAAAACATACCTCGAATGAAAGTATTGTGCCGACTCTCAACTGTGACAATACTTGCTGCAGCAGCCAAAATGTCTTTCGAGGTAACCAATGGTGCAGCACCTAGATATGCAGATACACCGACAGCCTCAAGAATCTTTGCAGTGGCAACCATATCACCAGCCGTTGTGAACCCAAAATTATATTCGCATGGTTGAACAGGGTTGGCACCAGCTTTTGTGAGTACATCCGAAATGACGGTAACGTGCGTGGCCTCGGTTTCTCCCACTTTCTTAAGGGCAGTAATCTGTGCGGCCGAGAGACCAAGGGCGGAAAAGTCGGCTTCGGGGAACTTTGCGAACCCTTGGGTATAGAAGGCAGCTTCCAAATGTTCTAGAGTGAGAGCACTGAGGAAGAATATTACGTTAGAAACCTCATATACCAATTGATTTTAGCGGGCTTTAATTTATATGAAGGGGACTTACAATTGCAGGATATCCGTATCTGTCAAAGCACCAGTAGCCTGTCTCTTGCTGAAGGTTGGCAATCTGTGCGGTATCGCCTCTCCCAATCCAACCAAAGAAGCAGCACCGACAACAGCGGCCAAGAGTGTCGATCGGAAAGAAACCATTTTGTATATTCTTATTCTTTTACTTTCGTTCTTAGATTTATCTAGAGATCGGAGAGTTTGTTGAAGTTCCTGAACCTTAAAAGAGGAGGGGGAAAAAAGTAGAATTGAATAGATATGACTGTCAAAGTCTTAAATATTCTGATATACTTTTTATATAAACGTTGTCTGTCGTATCGTAAAAAAGGAGAAATAGTCAAGGAGAGGTATATTATAAATATAAAAAAAGAACCCTCGATCCAGTCGAACTTATACTTTGTGATATTAGAGTATTAGACCTAAGAATATCAAAAAGGTAAAAAAATTATATTGAATCCTCCTGGGATGGAAAAAAAAGGAATGATCGGACGATGTGTTTTGTGAGGGAAGAAGTGAAGATATAAAGAGAGTGAGAAAGAACGTAAACCAAGCACCCAGGCTCGAAGGTCTTTTTTGGTCTTCTTTTTTTGTTTAAACGACAAAAGGTTCGGAGTCCAAGGCTCTGAAGAAAGAAAGGGAAACCAAAAAAGAAGATTCCCTAGAAAACAGGACGATGCGGGAATATATACTTCGTGAACTCATGTCCTTTCGACCAGGCCGCAATAAAGACGATGCCCAGACGTTCTGTGTGACATGTCCCAGGGGCATCATAGAAAGTTCTCCACCACAAAACAGGCTCGCTATGCTAAGCATTGTAAATGGCGATAAGCTCAGATCTTTGTTTAGCGCCGCCCTGGACGGTAGCTTAGGAATCTTCGATACCTCCTTAGCTGCATGGACAGACCTGGACATGGACATGGGGTCATAGCCCAGAGGTACTATGTAGAACAGAATCATTACTAATGTCTGGGAAAAAAACGGATTCGTTTCGTCAGTGCACGGCGTATACGAAAGAGCCCGCTGCTGGTTCCTACCAGCAAAGAAACATTTGCGGGCCTAATTAAACCGTTTTACCATGCAGGCCAGAAGAGGGCATGGTCATGGTCATGGTCATATGGGCTGGGCTGGGTTGAAACATCCTTAATAGGCGTACGATATAGCACTTTCTTTCGAGTCGAGGATAGCGGCGAACAGCCTCCTCTATTATTCCCCTTCTATTATCCACTAAGACTGCAAACAAAAAAAGGGACCCTGAACGGAAGACGTCAAGCCGGTCTGCCCACCCAAGATGATGGCGAAGTCGTCGGTGCACGCGGTGTGTCAAATGTGTCGCTAAAGCACCCTGTTTTCGGGCAGCCGAAACATCCATCGAAACGTTGGCCGTCTTGACGTCGCGCAACGCAAAAAGAAAGAAAAAGGCTCTCTGATTCGATCCAATTGCAATTCCAGGAACATGAAGCACCGCCTGTCGCAAACATTGTTCAGATTCCGTTTCATGGGTTATTTGGGATCCCGTGAAATATATAGAATCCCATGTCTCGTAAACACCGACCGATTCGCTCCAATCGAATTATTTTTACAACGGATGGATTTGTTCTTATGCAAACAAGCCCAGATAAAACTCGATCGAGACATACCCATATGATGTGCGCACATCGCATCGTTGCAGTCGTTGCATTGGTAGTTATAGTTAGTGTCTTAGCAGTTTTATATTATCAATTACAAAAGAATTATCGATAATGGCGTATCCTTCTGTGATACCCATTTCGGTACCTTCCTCACTCTAACTCTGCCGTCATATGTGCTAGTTCTTAGGATGTTCCCGGTACGAACCTGGTGGCTGATTGATACACAATGGGCTGGGCGTTTCGTTTCACTTAAAAAATACATGCATCAGCACTGTACTGCACTGCTGCGCATCTGCCATGCGGCTGCAGGCACGGCTTCATGCAGACTACATACTTGGCTCCGTCATTCCGTATTGATAGCTGGAAAAGCCGTAATATCTCTCTAGAACTGCTGGGTTTACGGATAGTTTCATTAATGCAACGGACTTTTAGACATTATTAAATTCTCGAATTTCATTTCCCCACTATCATCGTCATAGTACCTCAAAGAGGAAAATTTTCGCTAGAGGCCCGGGGCCGGGGATCGCTTGCTACGCTTTCGTTTCTTATCGTTCGTCCATCAGAGTAATAAATATCCCGCTCCTAATCAGATCGCTTCACACATTCTCATACTAACAGGCTCTTTGTTCAGTTCTGTGACATGCGCATTCAGAAACGAAGAAATAAACCATAGTATCTTCCTATCTTCCCCCCATCCCAATGATCTCGCCGCACGGCAGAGTGCAAATGTGTTCCGACCACTGGGGTTAACATGCAAAGAAAGAGACAAAGTAGAGCAACGAAGTTCGATGAAGAAGAGAAAAAGAAAGAAACAAAAAGAAAATAAGTATCGTAATGGGTTCGGTAAGTTCCGTTCTCCATCTACCTCTAATCGATAGAAAAAAGAAATCCCGATCCTTGTTCATGTCATATCATGCTGGCTCATATCCGTAAAAAGTGACGAAAAAAGGGAAAAGAAAGAAATATATTCAACCGGAAAAAAGACACATCTCCTTCAATTCAGTCTTAAGAAATCGAAAAGGTGAATATGTACTTCTATCGTCTATCCACCCACACTTAGAATGCATATGGGTTGATAGTGCGGGTGGTGAGGCATCTGTTGCTCACGAGTTAGTTAACACGTTACGGTGTATGAGAAAAGGGAAATAATTGACTTACGGAGGACTCTTGCTTAATTCAGCCCTCAAAATAACTGGAACCCTAGTCATCTCTTTGATGTACTGGATATAATCACTGCCATCCTCCTTTAGGCTCCAGTACGGCATCCAGAACTCCTTGGAGTTCATATTCTGTTTCTTCGTCTTATCTTTAGCAGCGGTAACTGACAACTTAGGGTCGCTTCGGGTGCGATGCGGCTGTTGCCCAAGGTTTTTGGTAGGGCTTCCGGGCATGCTTTGGGTCGGGCGGGTAGATTCCCCAGACAAAGAAACACCTCCGATGGCCTCTGCAACATCATTTTCGTCAATGTTATCGACATCATCATCGTCAAAGAGAGCATCAACGGCGTCAGCGGACAGAGTGGCGGCTTCGGTAGCGCGGCGCGCAGCCTCTTCTTTCTCTTTCTGTTGGGCGGCAGCGGCAGCGGCAGCATTGGCAGCTGCTGCGTTATGAGCTGCGCGGATGGATCCCGCATGCTTGGGACGCTCGTCTTCAGGGACAAACGAGGAGCTGGTTACACCCTTCTCCCAGTAAAGCTCAAGGACTCGCTTTTTCTTGTCGAATTCTGCTTTTTTGAGTGGGAGTTGGTCACAATGAACACGCTTCTCGAAGCCGTACTCAGGGATCAAGACATCGAACGCCGATTCGTAGACGCAGATGACAATTCCTTCGCAGATCAATTCACCACCGGCTTCCTGGCGACGGCGATCAACGACACGGCAGAGTTCAAGGTGAACGCTCTGCTCTTGTGCGTTCTTAGCGGAGTCTTTCTTAACGTTGCACTGCTCAACAGCCTTAGAAAGAGTATCAACGTCCTCGGGAATGTCTGGTGTAGTGCCATCTGGAGCATTGAGAATGGCATCGAGTTGGCGATGAACCATTATATCCGCATATCGGCGAATTGGGGAATTGAAGTGGGTAAAGATTGGAATATTCAGAGTGAAGTGAGATCGATACTCTGGCGGGACCTTAGCCGGAATGTAGTACTTGGCACGATGCATCGTCTTGATGAGCAAGGTTTCCATACCCTAAGATTTTCATGTTAGTCACTGTATACCTGTAGATTTATTGGTTGTTGAAATAAACTTACCTTGCGGATATCCTCATCTTCAACTTTGAACAAACTCTTTTGCAAGGCAGCACTGCTCGAGACGTCGATATCATAGCCGATAGCGTTCATTCTATCAGCGAAGGTATCGAGGCGACGCTTCATCGGAGTTGCATGTCGACGAAGAATGGCTTTCTCAGGGAAAGCGGCTTGTAACTTCGCAGCAACATAGGTGTTGGCCTTGATCATAAGTTCCTCAATAATCTCGTGGGAAGGAGTGGTGTTGAAAAGATTGTCTTCAACTGGAACATTTTCGTCGTCGATTTGGAAGAATAGACGAAGCGCAGGAACGGATATGTCCCCGGCTTGGAATCTGTCTTGACGGAACTTGTAGGTGATGCGTTGGAGAAGCTTGACATCCTCAATAAGACCAGCATCCAAACCACTCATGTCAATGCCATGGACGATGCTGTCGACATCTTTATACGACAACTTGCCAACACTCTTGATGATGCTCTTTCCGATCCAAGTTTCATCCTCCAACACCTGGCACGTCTCGGTATCAACCTTGATCACGACGGAAACGGTGAACCGTTCGGCCCCTGGGGCAAGGGAACAAAGACCCTCGGCAAGCTTAGGTGGCAGCATCGGGACATTCCTATTGATGAGAGAGACACCAATACCCCTCTTCTTCGCCTCACGGTCGACCAAGGAGTTAAGCTTAACAAAGTGAGCGACGTCGGTGATGTGGATACCAATCTCCATAACGCCATCACGATCCTTCCTTATGTGGATCGCATCCTCCAAGTCTTCACTACCACTTGGGTCGATCGTGAAAGTGCGAACGTCTCTGAAGTCCCTGCGTTTTGCAGCAGCTTCCCCTTCAAACTCAACGCTCCACTCATCAAAGCCAACATTCTTCAAGACAGCATCGTTGAACTCGTCGGGACCAAAATTGTTGTCTCGGAGTAAGGCGTCAGTCTCAATTTTGACATCCCCCATTTCACCAAGTTGCTCCACGAGAGTACCAAACGGATGTAACGACGTGATTGGCCAGCGTTTTATGCATGCCACGAAAATACGGTTCGCATACGCTTGATGGTTCTCAACGAAATCTTTGGGAGCTTGCTCGGTGGGAATTGCAATGAGAGGGACACGCTTATCGGTAGGTTTGAACCAAACAATCTTTGGTTTCTCTTCGCGGCGCTCAGGGGCAGCTGGACGCCCAGCAGCCTGGCGTTCCGCCTCTTGCTTCTCCTTGGTAGCCTGGGAGCTCGGGCGCAACAAACCAAGAGTACTATATGTCTGTTAGTATGTATATTGACCTAGCAATGTGAGATAGTGAGCCTTACCCAGAAAACATTTGTCCAGCCACTCTTTCTATGACGGCTACGATATGCCCAGCGTACAATGGCTTGTGTTCGTCACTAATTTCTTCTTCCTCGACGAGAAGAAGACTTTGGCCCTCAACTTCAACATCGTCATTCTTCTTTTGGGTCGGGCGTTGGCGAAGAGAGCCGCGGCGGCGGAGCCCACCACCATTGCCATCATCCTGTCCATCTCCTTGAGACGTAGAATTGCTCGGTCGATCTCCGCCAGTCCTAGTGTCGGAGATATCCTTGCGCTTCTTCTTTTCTTCTTTCTCTTTCTTCTGGCCCCAGACTTCATCGACATCCAACAACTCAACCGCGACCAAATCGCCCTCTAAAGCACGATTTCTGTCCTTGCTACCGCAAATGAAAATATCGGCATCTAACAAACCGTCTTGCGTAGCGACGTATGCATCACTGCGATTCTTCTTGTTGACACGCATGATACCAGATACAAGCTGCCCATTGCTCAAAAGAGCAGGGAGGGAAGCCTGTGGAAGGTATGGTGTAAAGAGAGTCTTTCGCTGCTGTTGCTGTTGAGCAGCCATATGATTCTGTTGGCCTCCCATGCCAACCATAGCGAGGTTGTGTCCACTAATCAAGCCCTGAGCGGCAGCTTGCTGGAGGTTAAACTGTTGCTGCTGCTGAAGCAGATTGGCATTCAACAGGGCTGGATTGACGGGATTAAACATTAATTGTGGGGCACCTGGAATTACACCGAGTGCTTGACCCGGGAATTGGAATTGTCCCATACCACCCATATTACTGATCGAACCACCACCAACAGAGGCGCGGGAGCGATGTCCTGGGGTAAAAGTATTGAGATTTTGCTGAACCTGTGGCATTGGGTCTTGCGCAGAAGGTGGGTTGGCCTGTTGACGCCAATTACCTTCAAAGTTACGCGACGGTGTACGGCCGTGCCCACCACCATACCCAGCATTGCTACTGCGACGTTCACGAGTTGGGGGGTTGTCGCTAGGTGGGGCGTTTTCATTGGTACCGGACTGAGTGGCAGGGAACTGGAAACCTCCCATCCTACCACCGGTGAGTGGTGACTTGGTATTTCCGACGGCCATGCTGTGGCTACGACCATGTCCACTTAGACGAGAGCGGGTTGGAAGACCACCGCTGACATTTCCAGAGGTAGAACTAAGGGTGGGGGTAGGAGCAGACTCTCCTTCTTTAGCAGCTCCAGCTCCTTCAGCTGAGGGCGTGGTAGCAGCTGGAGTGCCAGAAGCCGTTGCCGACTTCTCACCACCAGCGGGGAATGGGAAAGTGCTAGTTTGCGAACCACCTGGTGCTGGACTGGTACCGCCTTTACGAGCCAGCTGCGCGAGCTCGGCGGCTTTCTTGGCCTCCGGGAGAGCGAGCGAATGACGACGTTGATGACCACTACCACTACCACCAGAACGGCGAGGAAGGGTACCTCCGCCTTCGGTGCTCCGACCAGTAGAGTTGGAATGAGTTAAGCCAGGCATGGAAAATTCACCGAAGTTAGACGCACCCGAAGATGGAGCTGGTGGAGGTCCACCAGCGGGGTTTTGGCTAGCATTAGAGACGACACTTGACTGTCTACGGTTACCAGCAGGTTGCGTTGGGATCCCAGCTGGAATACCCTGCGGTTGTGGAGGTGGGAATTGGAACGCTGGTCCCTGGCCGAGGTTCGACCCCTGAGCTTGAGCAAATGCAAAAGCTTGCTGTTGTTGTTGTGCAGCGTGCTGGTTGAGGTACTGCTGCTGAGCAAGAATTTGCTGTTGCTGAGCTTGGAGTAGCTCAATCTGCTGCTGAATCGCAAGCTGCTCAACGGTAGGCAGCTGCCCAGCCTGAATACCGAGTTGAAGTTGTTGGGCTATATAATTGAAGTCCGTCAGCCGCAGGCTATCACAATGCATATCATGTGTTGTGGGTGGAGTTGCACCCCTCCTTTGATATCAACACAAGAACAGGAAGCAGCGAGGGGGCATACCCATGAACGGCGTCATCTCCGATGGAGTTCTTCTATGCCCAATGTGGAGGCGGCGCCCCCCGGGGCCGATTGGGTGATTTGATGGATCCATAATGTTCGTTTAACAGGAATTAAAGGAACGTTCGAATCGAAGCTATGAGAAGGATAGTTGTGAATTGCGTGATGGCTATCTTATTTTTTTTTTCTGGGTTTTTGTTGATAGAGACTATATTCTAGGGAAGGACCAGAGGAGACGACGCAACGTTAGCAATCTTGATGCCACGAGTGTCACATTGCAAGAGTTTAACAGCAAGCGACACCTTTCGTTGAGGTACAACTGCGATATCAAGCTCGAGAATCAATTACGGGGAGAGCAGCACTTGAGACAGTAGAACCGACGTTTGAGAGGGTCGGACACTGGTGACACTCGGAAGAACGCCGTATCCTCAAATTCGTCACAAAGAGGGGTAAACTTCACCTACCAGTCTTAACTAACAGCAAGAGGAAAAGACAAAATGCTTGCTAAAGGATCGCTAGCAGAGCTATCAAGTTGATTGAAAGGTAGCGTGATGGCTAGGTTGTCTCAAAATGTTCGGGATAAGGAAGTCGTGCGTAAATGATCGTATACGCGTCGTCAGGAAGAGAGAAATCGTTCTGATATGTGGTGAAGACCACAGCTACGTGAGAAGATCAGTGTGAGTCGAAACCCCTGGAGGGAATCGAGGATTGAAGATGAGGCGAACTAAGGAATGGGTGAAGGGAGGAAAGAGGGGTTAGGAAGTTGAAGATAGATGGTGCAGGGAGGGAAAGAAGGGATGAAGAACCAGGGCAGGCGGGAAACCAGTAAAAAGAAGGTTTCCTGTAGGCCAGAGACGTAACTCGATCATAAGCCTGCCAGCCGTGGGGGAACGAAAGCACGTAACAGAAAGCGGCCAACAGGAAGTAGCCGAGATTCAATGGCCTGGACGGAAAATGCCTGCCCGGGTATGCAGCATGGCGGGTACAGTTTCAGCAGGATTAACGGGAACTATCAGGAGTAAACTCACCCTCAAAATCGGATCGCACACTGCAGATGCAAGCAAGCAAGCAAAGAAGAAAGAAGACAGATATATCTCCAAGCACCAACGGGATGGAGAATTTGTCTGCTTGAAAAAGAGGCACAAGCAGAAAAGTCAGAGGCGAGAGAATTGCGGGGTTTCAGAGGCTATGCCGAAGCGAGGAATGAAGGGAGAAGGTTTCGTCCGTGGAAAGGTGGCGGCAACTGCAAAGCACCAGCAGGGGTGAACCAGCAGCGGTGCCGAGACCCTCGTTCAAATATGCAATGCACGGACTTGGGTATCAACAGAAAATGGGAAGCACGGTAAGGATACAATCCTTGAAAAGATAGTGGAATTGGCCCAGATTTCGACTGATATCTTGATCAGGGCACCATTACAAAAATACAAAGTCAGTCTAATTCACCATGAAAAAGCCGTTTTGCGTTGGTAAGGGGCTGAAGCATACGTACCAACCAAAGGCGTGACGTGAGATGTCTTGGCTTTGATATCCGGGAGCGGTGTTGAGACAGACCCGACGAGGGGACGATAGATTGCGCTTGACCTGTGGCTAGCACGAGGTATCCTTTCGCTGCGGGCGAGGTATCCAGCAGGCAGGCAAGTTACACCGGATCTCACGTTGCCGTCGATTGGCCTGAGCCAATTGCGAGGCAGTGAGCCAGGAATAGCTGGCAGGCGTGGTATGCGTATTGATTTAGTAGGGGTGTGAAAAAACGAGTAAGATATACTTAGAATAGTACTTGGTAGCAGTTTCTACACGATGATGACGAAAACGGGGTAGCGGAACAAGAAGGAAACGGTTTGAAAAGTGCTAATGCTTTGTTTTATATCATAGACAATGGTACGAGAGGTAAGAGGGAGTCGGAGATGGGAGATGATTATGACGATGATGATATCGATGGTGATGATGAACGGAAGGATGAGGTAGAGATAGGTTGACGGAAGGTAGGTGACAGGAAGAAGGAGAAGAGAATCAGAAGAAGAAGGGAAAGAAAGGCCTTTACATTATTATTTTTCTTTTAGCAAAATATATTAATAATTAATAATATAGGTAACAGGGTTGTTTACAGAATAAATATATGGCGATATATAAGTAAGTATTTATATTTGGTCTCGAGATTGAGGTTATAACCGCCAACCGGGCGTTGAGGGTCTACGTGGTACACGCCCAAACGGACTCAGAACTATGACCACATCCAGCAGTACAGGTAACACCTAGGTATCCAGGTACTTACTTATAAACACAACATGGGATGTTTTTCCGGAGCCGACGTTGTCGTTGTTGATAGATGTACATGTACCGGTACCTGGTTTCACCTCTTGACCTTTGAGCTAGTCTCGAAGCCAGCTGCAGGCGCACCGAGTCAAAATTCAGGAGGATAAGTACTTGCTTGATCTAGGTACGAGACCGGCTTGGTCTTTTTCACGTATTAAGTGTAGAGCACGTCTGAAGATATCGATATCAGCAACCGAAATTGTGATAGCTAAGTACTAGGTAAGTACCTATCATAATATTAGGTAAGTACTTCGTAGAGAATGCAAATGGGTTTGATCAACATTCACTGGTATCTTTTCGAGCATATGCATATGCACTAGCTGTTGCTTCGAATATAGTTCTAGGCCAGTCTAACCTACGGCTACAGCTACGTATACATGCTACACAATACCTTTTCAACCAATACTAGTACTACTAATATATTCTAATATCTATTGATATTGAACACATCTCAAAGAATTTCGTTAGCTATGAGAGAGGGGCACCGGCACCATTATCTTCTAAAAACATGATCGATGGTAAGTGTATGGCAGTTTAATATAATACCCGTAGATTATTATCTCAGGCGCCTCGGATCCCTTGATAGCTTATCGATTATAAGTATATACCAGTTACTACCTACTTAGATACATGTACATACCCTCTAGATCTCATATAATAAGTTGTGACACATGGCTATTAATATCCAATGCTACTCCGTATGGTGGAATTGATGCTTTGCGTTGCAGATATCCTTCAGGACCCACCTTGCGATATCTGAAACAATTGGCACCGCAGTCTTCGGATTCCGTTACATTGCGTCGTCACCCTGAAAGGGCTTGGAGTTTTTCCGGCCTTTAAATTTGACTCCGGCTACCAACCCTCGAGATTATCTACGCGCAAACCGGTTCTACGCGGATTGATACTTTATATAAACCCTATTTTACGGGCTTGCGGACGGAAATCGTACCGACCTTCTGTTCTCGTCATTCATGCGAGTGGTTTGTGTAATGGCGCCGACCAATATATTAATAGCTAATCGGTTCTGGGCCCCATTCCTAGAAGCCGCTAGGATACCCACTTATTAAAATTCTTAGGTACCTAAGCGAAGTACCAGATATTCTATGCAAGGACTTACTTACTTACTTACTTACTTACTATCAATATAATATGCATATGGCGTATCAAATGTTGAAGTGTGTCAAAGTCTAGGGAGTATTCAGCTATAATCGATTGGATTCGATTCACAGTCTCGGGCGCTTTATAGTCTTATGAGCTTCACATAGTATAGTGTCCAGAAGGCATTTACAGTCCCACAGTTTTAACTCTAGCGCCTTTTATTATAAATCCGAATCTGAGGCTATATATAAGAGTTAGTCTTGAGGCCGTAATATATAACAGGTTATTGCCTCAAAGTTCAATTGGGTCAATGGCTGAATACCACAGTATACGTATACGTGGTTTCTCTGTAACTCTGCGAATTGATTAACTGGTGATTCGGTAAAGCCTTAAGGTAAGAGACCAGAGGGATAATTATTTGCGCAGTGCACGTGGTCTACGTGGATCTACCATGTTCTCGTGACTCTTCCTTCGAATTATGTCGTGGCCCATTGCATTGCTGAGATTCTGGGATCGAAGTTCGGTCAGCGCCACATACACATACACATACACATACACATACACATACACATACACATACGCATTAGCCACATATGAACGCCACAACCCGCTCGGATCTCATATTCGAATCCATGTTATCTTCCCGCTGCTTCGCCAATGTGAAATAAGAGTTTTCAATGAGGAAAGGCGAGATGTTGACCTAAACACCAATGGGTTTCGTTCCTGTGATATCATAATCACCATCCAGCCTTTGTATCTGCCTCTTCGAGCCACTAAACTGCGCCCCGCTATCTCGCTTAGTATGGGCCTGTCACATCCATCCAATGATAACCCCGGTAATCCCTTGTTGAGAGGCTCGTGTCGGGTAGCTAAGAGTCAGAGCCTGAGGCATGCCCAAAATCTAACTATTTCGGGAAGAAGAGTGAGCCTTGAATGTCAGGCCGCCTTGGGATTCAAAGGCATTCCCAGAAAACCTCATAAAGGGACCTTGAGTCACCTTTGAACCAAAACCTCTTTCTTTCCCTCACCTCACGGCTCTTCTCTTCTCATCAATCATCAAGATTCGATCGCAAAGCATCACCAATTCCTGCGCTGTCCCCAATTGCCCTCCAAAACATTAACTTTTGCAGTTTCTACGGCCTTCCGAACACATTGGCTTCCTTCAACACAATTTCTGCAACAGATGTATCATTTCTCAGCTCAACCTTCTGAGAGTATCACATCGATTCACCAACCCGAACATTCCGCGCCTCAAGGTGCAGGGATACCCCACTCTAGCCAGCTCGGCAATTTAGAGGGGTTTAAACCCCACTATTCTGGCGATAAGTCGCGTCCTTTGAATAGGGACACCCCGAATCCCGAACCAATCTACAGTTCTAACGGGATTGGTATCAACGAGAGTGTATCTCTCTGAGAGATCCCTCGAGATCCCCCTTTCTCTGCTCAAGCAGAGAATATATTCCTTATAAAACGAATATTTGTTTTATAAGAACCTTTATTTATTGATTTTTTTTTTTGTTTTTTGAAAAAAAAAGATAAATCTCACAGGCTCGCCAATCGAGTTTGTGGATCAAAAAATTAAAAACTAACAAAACCATCTAGGAGCTATTCTCCTGCACTGTCATTGACTTCATTTTTTCGTTTTTTATTTCATTTTTTTTTTTTTTTAGCTCTTTTGATTTCGGGTTCATTTTTCTCTCTTTTGTTTCCGCTGAAGTTTGAAGTTTATGATTGAAATCTTCCTAGGAGCCCGATTTCAATTTGAGGACCTTTGGTAGACGATTTCACTTCCGTTTCTTCCGCGGCTTTCGTTCGAACGATAAGAAGAAGAAGCGTCAGCGAGTAGTTCCTGCATAGGAACAAAACCACCAAGATGGACATACCATCAGACTTTCCGGGTGCGGGCAGCTCCTCACCTTGCCCCGCCCTGGACTCTATTGCGTCTGGACCCTTTCGTGTAAACCGTAAGGAGGTCTGGATGCAGGATACCATCGATAACGTCAAGGCCAAGATTCAAGAGGACGAGCAACCCCATTGCGTATCAATGGGAACCATTCGCCCTGATAACACGGTTATGCATGGAATAAGAAAGGAGGGAAAAGACAATGGGCTAGGCGACGTGGATAAAAACTATCTAGAAGACGCCAGCTGCATCATGAGGACGAAGCATGGCAGCGACAATGGGTTCAAGAGACATTGTCTCAACGGGAAGACCATCACCCTTGATATGGCACCTGGCTACAGTCAGGGCCCGGGAGGGCCCTCAGAACAAACATCTACCACTCCCGAGAAACCGTCGCTTTTAAATCCATCGGTATTACCAGCGAGGACGGATCAGCATTGCTATTCTTCAGTTGGTGATCCCGTTCTGTCGACCATCAGCTTCTCGGCCAAACCTCTACCTTCTAACTGCGGCGTTGACGAACTTGATTGGAATTTGCCCGGCTGGACTGTGTTATACATCCAGACCATTGTGAACAATCTACTATCTCTGCGCCAGCACGTATCAAAGGTTATTGAGGACTTTCAAGAAGAAAGCACAGCCCTCCTAGCCCAGAATTCGATAGATATTTCGAGATTTCCATACCACTATCCACCATCAGCATACGTAACACATAGATGTAAGTAATTCTCGGAATTTTCTAAGTTTGATGTACTTGCTAATTATTATGTCTAGACGAACTCGTTTCCCGTCATCGAACCATACAGGAGAGTGCTACCGGCGTAGCCACCCACACTTCCAGTTTGATAGACCAAAAAGAGTCCTCGTATTCAAACTCGTCTGCATTGGTTTCGCCAGTCCCGAGATATCAGGAACATATACCTACTACTCCGAAATCTCTCGTCTTCCATGAATGGCCGGACATAACTCCCCCATGGAAAGTAGCCCCCACGAAAATAACCAATCTCAGGAAGAAATCTTCTCCAATAGCTTCTCGACAGACTTTCCAAGCTTCGACGAACAAAACTCTACAATCTCCACCCCCACACAAATCTCAAATACTCCAAACATGGAGGCCCACCATAACTTCGACCAAATCCCATTTGGCAACGATCTATTCAACTATCCACTATCTGACCCCACAATGTCCTTCGATTGGCTCAACGCCGACGATATCAATAACATCTTGAACTTCACATTCGACCAACAAACATTTACACAAACCAGAACAGGTTACCAAACAAGCGAACATACAGCACCATTGAGCCCAGCTTCGTTAGCCCCCAGTAGCAGCAACAGCTCCAAGAAAACGTCCACAAAGCGCAAACAGTCGACTACAACAGACAAAAGCATGCTCTTCTTCAACGAAAAAACGGGACTGTTATCGCCAAATATCACCAGACTCACACCATCGACGACGCAGTCCCCAAACACTAATGGTCCTCATTCGCCATCCCCAGCACCACAGGACGTTCAGCAGCAAAGCTCCCAGACATCTTCTAACGATTCTTCCTACCCACAACCTTACGTCTGTGAGCATTGCAAGGCCCCATTCAGGTTCAGCCGTGACTACTGGCAACATAAAGCCCAAGCCCACAACGACTTCCGTTTCCGATGCCAACTCGGCTGCGGCAAGGGCTTCGCCCGCCACGACAACCTCGTCCAGCACCACCGCGAATCTAAGCGTCACCGTCGAAGCCCGTCTCCTGTCATTGATGCCGAAGAATTCTCGCGCCGAAAGAAGGCGAGAAAGGCATCGTTAATGACTGTGGAGAGCGATGAGCCGCGGTTCGACTCCCCTCTCACCTCCTCCTTCGGCGGCAGCAGTGACACAGCAAGCAATGGTACTCCGAGAGATGCTGAGAACGATGCGTCAATGCATCCAGATTACCTGCGTTTGCAGCGAGACTTTGAGCTGTTGAATGCAAAGTACGAGCTGCTGAAAAAGAAGGTCAACACGCTGACAGAGGAGAAGGAGGAGTGGGAGGCTCGTGAGTATGTAAGACGGGGGCGTGGAAGGGAGTAGTTGACGGTGGGTATGGAACTTAGGGAGGATTCGTTGGAGCTCAATAATATTCAAATTGAGGTATGATATTTCCCACTATAAATCCATCAATAGGCGATCTGGTTACTAACCCCATCATAGAACTTCATATCCAAAACCCTAAAAAAACAGTAATATCCACAAATTCCTACAAAAAAAAAAGCCTCTGAAATTCCTTGCAAATATTGTACTAGTTTAATCCTCCTATTCCTTTCAAAAGTATATAGTTAACATCTCATCTATCATCTTCTCCCCTATACCCTTCTCCTCTACCCCTTCAGTCTCCACCTTTTCAGTTCATTTAGCTGCCGATTTCAGTTTTGTATCATAGCGAGCAGTCTTTTAAGCTTTATTATTATGTTTTGAAGATAGTTTAAGGGACATAGAATTACTGGAGTCAATGGAATCGAAATAACTCTCAAATACAACGACGTAATCACCGTAAAAACAGAATGTGACTTAAATAAACCAAACAGGAACAACATATCTAGATAAGGAATCAGTTGCCTTAAACTCCGATACATACAAAGCTTAGTGTGCACATGAAATAAACACGAGCACTCTATAAGCTTATCTACATCTAAACCAAAAGCGAAGGTATACATATGGTAGCCGATGTAAACAATTTAACTTCCAAGATCACGAACCGATAGCACCATCAACCTTGGCAGGTTTAGATATATCTTTCGGCGATGATGTCTTTAATTTGAACCTACGGCTCGTTTATTCAAGGATGCTTTCGAGGGAATACCTGGTTGAGACTTCGAACCATCATGGCTCTTTGGCTCCATCCCCAGTCCCGTGTCACCCCAAGCATTCAAATTTCCCGACTCGCCAGAATCCCATTCCATATCATGAACGCCATCATCCTCAGAACTTGGAAAGTCATTTTCAGCGTCATCGTCATCATCATCCTCATCATACGGGTAACCCAGGTCGTCATCATGATCAGGGTCATACTCCTCATCATCGTCATAGCGAATAGTATTCGGCCTTCCAGATCGAAAATCTTCTCCAGAATTCCAAATCCTCCTCAAACCTTTCCCAGCCACACTAGGTTGACACTCCAAAGTCCCCCATTTCTTTTGAAATATCACTCTCCCCACCGAAGCCGTGGTCCACCAAGCATTGTCGAACCCATAAGAATCATAAGTCCACGGTTCACCTTTCCCACCTTTCAACTCATCCTGCCAAGTATTCCTGTTCTTGCCAGCCACATTTTTAGTCTTCATAAAACCTTTCAACTCTCTTTTCAACATTTTATACCTCCTTGACTCAAGTTTTTCTTCCTCATCCCAGGGACGTTCTTTCCCTAATCCTCGCTCTTTCGTGGCAGGTGCTCGCCCCCCTCCGAAGAAAGCGTGTTCGGGATCTTCGACATGATTGGCAACATCATAGATATCACCAACACGACGTTCCAAGATAGAAAAACCGTTCAGCCTCATGCGTTCATAATAGTCGCAATCGGTATGATAATAAGGAATAAAAGTATCCCAAGCCCCAATATTGGCGTCCGTATCAAGTGACACAGCGACGTTAACGAGTGAAAGATGGTCGAAGCTATACCAAACAAGACCCCAACGTTTACCTTCCTTCTTCGAAGCAGCAGAGTTCATAGTCGGATACAAAGAAACAAGAGATGAAACGACGTTCTCGTAAAATGATTTATACGGGCGACGAGCTTCGTCACTGAGAGCTACTACGTCTTGATGACTCCAGAAGAAGTGAGTCCAGCCTTTATTCATGGCAGTAGATAACATGAAGTTTTGGAGCTGTGCGAAGGAAAAGAGGGTTGGTGTTCTGATAATATTGACACCGTAACGACCGCGGTAGAGGTTGTAATCGAGGTGGAACGGATTAGCGTTTGACAGTAAACCGCGGAGATTGGCGTCCATGGTTCCGGTGTTATCAATAATATAAATTTGAGAACGTGGCCAACCGGCAGCAATGTAAGAAAGGACGGTTTGTTGGAGCATCAAGTGGTTACGCCCGAAAGGAATAAACAGAGGGGTCATCGGCGACTGGGCAACAATATCGTTGGCGAGGAGTAAGGTTTTGGAATCCGTACTCATGATATTATAAGAAGGAACGACTGGAAGCCGTTTTCTGGAAAGTGGCGGCAAAAAGTATGGATCCTCGCTCCAGGTACTTTGGAACTCCGGCGATGGCGCTTTCGTGTGCGGTGTAGGGTACAAATCATGGGCGAAGCCTATAGGAGCCACTCGAGGAACCGTTGTGGTTTTATATACCGAGATAAAGTAGCCCAGTCCAATTCCGATTAGGAATATCACAGTTGAGTACCTGAATCGAGCGGTGAAACTGTGCGTAATGTACTCGTATAGCTCGACAAAGATATCGAGCCAGCATATTTTAAGATGCCTAGGTGAGTGTTTATATTTCCCAGCATATGAGCTTTTGCGCTCAGAGGTATCGCTCGCTTCTAACCGGGAGCGATTGGGCCATCTGGGCCAAGCTGCAGAGTTGGACATAATACTGATGCCGTTTTGCAGTAGCTAGTAGCTTGAGGATGTATATTGTACTTACAACCGTAAGTTCAAGACCTAAAAGTTTCAATTAATTAAATGAGGGAATACAGAATTTATAAAGCAGCAACGGTGATAGATAGATGGAAGTGCTAGGTTTATGAAGTTAAGTTATGAGTGGAATATCTTCAACATATCCGGGTACGGTAGTATCAGATCTACACGGAGAAATAGAGGACGTTTGGGCACCCTCGTCACCCTGACTATGAGAATATCCCGAGTAGTAGTCTCTATGTTATATAGACTTTTTCAGGATCCATGCGCTATACGTAGCTTCGGTTACTAACATACCTAGTGTACTTAAGTACATATTCATGCACTGTTTTTTTTTTTCGACTCGTGGCAATTTCAGGCTTTCTAACACCACCGTAGCTTAGACTTGGAACAAAATGTTGATGGCGGTGCCCATGAAACATTAGAAGATTTTGTTATATTGTTGGAGTCAAATGCAAGACGGGCAATGTACACCTGCTAAATTTCGCTTTGTAGATACGGACATATATTCTCAACCCTGCTACGAGGCAATGCAAAAAATGAAATAACATATAACTGGGAAATACTCGTGTACTTTATCCACCACAGAATGTGTACGTACCATGAAACATATATTGTTGCCGATCCTAAAGCCTAGCTTTCCGCGTTAACGTTAACTCTAGTCGGTGTTACAAATACCTGTAGTACGCTGGTGGTGTTTCTAGAATTCTGCGCATGTATATCTCTATAGCGAAAGATCGTTAGGCTTCGTAATTAGTATTCTATAACACCATGTGGAAGCTGTACATGCGTGTAACGTTGAAAGTTGCGAGTATACGTAAATATTGTAATGGGCACTCTAAGCTATGGATACTAGCTTTAGTACTTATAACATATGTATGTTCTACCGAAGGGACTAGACACATGAACTAATATTATAGCTAATTAAAATACTTTGGTGATGAGCTACAATAAAACCAGCTTTTAAATTTTGAGCATAAGTCAGATTAACTGAAAGCATGAATAGTGTAACATCTTCGCTTTCCATGGTCCAACTTAGAACAAGCGACTAAAACCTGTTGTTCTGGGCCAGAAACAGTAGGCTTTGCATTTGGGCCTTTCAATTGATCGAACTTACCATTACAGTAGGTTTTCGGTGGCTAGCTAAAGCTATCTTGTTATATTCCTCCTTGGTTTCTTTTTTCTATTGTTCTTCTAATTTTAGAGGCCCTAGAGATATTACGCTAAGGAAGTGATATGTTTGAGCGGGTCAGTGCCAGCGCGGCGGCGCGTGCTCGACTTCCAAAATTACAACCGAATTGTAATAGAAACAAGCCGTCCGCTTTGAATGCGACCTCACTTTTTTCGTCAAGCACTATGGAGTGGATTGTAATAAGTACAAAATAGCTACCAAGTAGCCATCGCGATGTCTGTAACATACAAGGATCGCAATATATCGAACGAGATACATACTTAAAAAGAGGTTATGTAATTACCCTAGCGTACTCGATCGCCGACCTGATTTTTACAAAATTACTCACTTGCAACCGCTACCCAACTATTGCGTCGGCACGGCCTCTAGTATCATGCATGCATCAAACGCAACCTCATTCGCTCTGGGCATTGATCGGACAGCCACCAACAAATAAATTGCTTGTTGCAATTAGCACGTGCCACCGCGCCAGATGGAAGTAGCTACGCCTACATTGATTCCTTTGGAAGTTGAAACGCAACCTGATCTTAACCAGGCTATGTATATTCGCGAGAGCTTGACAACTAGGTTGTTATGAGCAACAAGACGTGGCAGAGGAGGCTGAGAACAAAAAAAGTTGAATGTTGAAGGGCTAGCTATAGCGGTTAAATTCACCATCTTTTTTTTTTTGTCTATTGTCATTTCGGTGGACTCGATCGTCCATGATTGCACTGGTCAGGAGGTGAAGATTGGCGCCATGCATACGAAGAACCGTAGTAGCTATAACTAGGTATGGGGGGGTGTTTTTTTTTTTGGTAGTCGAGTGATCATTATAGCTGTAGCGAGGCCGGAGAAACCACTAGAACCTCATCGCGCTCTGAGGCATTCCATGCATCATGACTGACATGGTCCCCGGTACCGTTCCGCACAACTCAAGGGTTAGCTATGTATCGCACGGCAGGTGAGCCAAGAAAGCGAGGGAAAGCGTCGTAACACTCAGCATTTATTAAGATATTCGTCAAGGGGTGTCAAGACGACCTGCATACAAAGAAATCGTCGATGAGTATTGGCGGCTTGACTATCGGACGCTCAAGGAGGCCTAGTTAAGTCGTACCGGAATCCAGGAGAAGGATGGCATATTAGCTTACAAGCTGTTGTGTATCATATTTTTGGATGACGAGAGACTCTTGATCCAAGAACAATTCAGGTCTGAAATAATCGCTGCCTCTGATTGGTCGGGCCTGCATATTGTCCTGAATTTTCGAAGTTTTGGACAGGGATCTGTGAAGGTATATCGATCAGGTAGTTGTCGTAGTCTTCGAGCAGCGCTCCCCTGAAGACAGAAGATAAAAAGGGCATAGATAGCACCTCCAGACTAAAAGGTCTTTTGAAAAAAATATTTTTTCCTCAAGCCCAAACGGTTAAAAGATCTAGCATCGGTTACAATTTTCTCTCTCTGCCCATCGGGCCACTGTGCCTTGGTGTGCATGCTTATACTATATCCATTCGAATTTACTTGGCTCTATAAAATACCACACAACGCAATTCATATTGCATTAGGTTGGGTCGTTTGGGGTCTCAAAGCCGGGTCTTAATCTTAGTCTCGATACTTTCGGGCTTTGATCCAGGCCAGACGGAGGCTCTTTAAGCCCGGCCTATCCTTACTTTTTATATCTTTATCCCCTCTACGCCATCAAGATATCCGATTTTGGTATCCACTATCCTCTAGTTCACGATTCTGATTATCTACCAGAACAACTCGACCTTAACCTATATAGCTGGGAATACCAAACCAACTTCAGAGGCCTAGATAATTTTGTTGATCAAAAGCTTGGTGAGGGGCGACATTCGCACCAGCTTAACGCTTCATTTGAAGTCAACAGCCACTGTTCCCCAGTAACTCCGCCTTCCTCCGCTTTTACCTCTATCATATCCAACGAATTCCACTTCCTCAGTGATAGTCCAGCCCTTCTGGAAACCAATAGTGGTTAGTAAATAATTAATTAAGATAATCTAACATTTTAAAGTACCGAATTAAGTCGGTGCTGGTATGCCGGAGTTATTTTGGCTAACCTTGATATCAAATTGTATATAGATAATTTCGATCTTAGCCGGCCTGCTTTACCGCAGTTCACCTCCCAGCACCAGCTTGATCGCTATCTCTTCTGGCTACAATACTATACCGAAGATCATCAAGATGGCTTCACCAATCGATGGAATTTCTTCGAGCAGCTCATTGAACACTCTGGGGCCGGACGGCTCCTTGGGTCGGATATGAAATCCCCTCCCACCTACCCCATCGCAAGCCCAACAGAAACTGGTATGAATCCACTCCCCCATAACTCTAATGCTGTCGGGCTAACAATCCCTCTTATCTCAAGCCGCTAGTCCCATCACTCCTTTAAACGATAACACACCTTCCCCGCAAATATATCCTCTTCTTACTTATGTAACCTCTAATAATTTTGACATTTCTGGGGGTGTGGTGCCCAGCCCTCCGATGACCTCGCCAACTTTGTCCCCAACGAACTCTATTTTTCCCTTTTTTAACCCTAACGGACACGATGGAAGCCCGGAATCGCAATCGGAGCTCACGAACGATGAAAATTTCAAGCTGAAAGTAACTGATGTTCAACACCAAATCAAAAAAAATCAGTCTTAAAGAAGCCATGGAAAATCGTTCCAAGCGCCGAGCCAAGAAAAAAACTGCCAAAAAAGCCACCAAGCGAAGTAATAAGAAAGTGGCAGCAGATATATGCCGGGTTGAGAAGAATGCATCTGGTCTTAAACCTCGGAAAAACCGTACACTCAAGTGTCCAGAACCAGAATGCAAATCAAAACCATGGAGCAATCAGAAAATGTTCCAGGACCACCTCGCCGAGCACGATATTCGGTATTTTGTTTGCGAATTGTGTGATAAAGATTTCCCAAGGTTTGATAATGCTGTTGGCCACCTTTTAACAAGCAAGAAATCGACACATATCGAAAACCGAGAAAATCTTTGTGCAAAAAAAAGGTTCGAAAAACAGTTGGAGATAAACTCACAATCGTCGGAATCACCTACACCGTCCTCCACCTCCTTCTAAATACCTCCTCCGGATCCACACCCTCTAAAAAATGACAATCATTCAACCCTCTCTCCTTTCCTTCTGCATATTTCGATCATTTTTGTCATTTGTGATTTTCCCTGTCTCTCCTTTATATCATTTTGAGAATATTGAACATTTTTGGTAATCTATGCTTCTTCTTCTCGTCTTTCCTTATTATCCCCTTTTTACCCCAAAGCTCCTGCCCTCTTTCTGATACATGTCCTCACCTGTCTATTTCAAATTTACATTTTATATTTTATACATACAGAAGATGAGATAGTATATCATCATCACAAAATCCTGTACCCCCAATACACATTCCTAGCACCCTTTCCGAGCCACAACGGCCGTCCTTTCGCCCCTGGACACGCACAGCCGGGTGTGGCAAGGTACTGACAAGCAGTTTCTACGGGCCGAAAAAATACCTCAAGGTCAGAGCGGCCTAAGGTAGGTGACTTCGGAGATCTAGCTCCTCTACAAGAATAACGATAACGGTAGGGGCTAGATCAGTGGTGTTAGGACCTGACGGGGGGCTACATCAGCGATAAAATGACATGATCACGTATATCATGTCATTTTATCGCTGATTTAGCCCCCCGTCAGGTCCTAACACCACTGATCTAACTTTCTATACATCTAGGTTTTTACCTAGTATCACATTCATAGCTATTATACCGAAGTCACTCGGTTCTGTTATTTTACAGCTAGTCGTATGATGCTACTACAAACAAAGACAGTGTTTTTTATTTTACATGTATCTAGAACAGATATCCTTGGATGACAATGTTAATGCAGAGCTTTTACACCCGCCCGGATTTCTCCTTATATAAACACCTAGGTCCTGATCGTAAGTACTGCCGTGAATAAGGGTTTTCTAGAATGAAATCGCAATTTTGCATATTTGTATTTATATATATAATATACACATATTACTATTGAACGCCCAAGAAGGGTAAAACTCTTAAGATCTTGTATAATCAGGCCCTCCACTTTAAACCTGAAGAGCTCTCTATCTACGCCATCCGTCGACTCGATCGATCATTGAACCGCCTTACGTCTAATGGTACTAGGGAAAAAAAAACACACAAGGCTCTCAACATATCACCCAAAAAAGTCTACCACTTTACAAGTAAATCCTCCGAATCATCTCCTTCCCAAACCTATCCAGATCAGGGCTTTGCACCATTTGCCTGATTCTGTTCCCCCATAACGGATGCAGCCACCCATCACAATCCCCTTCTACCTCCTCAGCCCCTGCCATCTCCTCGAGCGTTGGTTTCTTCCTTGTCCTTCTATCGACCACATACATGCCTCTAGTCCATTGACCAGAAGAATCTATTCTAATATCTCTATCTTCAACTGCCTTCCACCCTGCAATGTGTTTAGTAATCATATACCACACGCAAAGCGGATCATGTAATGAAATATCCACATCTTGAATCCTCTTCTGGGAGGAACCAGCTTCAGCAGCATACAAAACCTCCATCTTACGGAAGGTGGCATGTATAAATACATGGCTCCACTGTGCCAATGGACTTCCTTCGTCTCTAAGGCTATCAGTAACGCTATTGAACTCTGCTTCGTTAAGGAGATGCATTGTTGTGATATCCAACGGGAAGATTGTTAGTTTTAGTTTTGATGAGAGGCTCTCTGGGTAAGCCTTCAAAGATTTACAAGGTGGAAGGGTGCTCTTGGGAGAAGGGCTGGTAAGAGCGAACACTCGAGCTGCCGCAACTGCATCAGCGTAGGCATTAAACTCGGCATTTGGAGTGACGTTTCCTTCCATATCGATAGTGCCGGACATGATCACTACCTCTTTTGCGAGAAGGAAAGTTTCTGGATCGTGTGCCGCAGCCAATGCCAGATTTGTCAGAGGGCCGACGGCAACTATAGTGACTGTATGAGGAGGGTTTTTCTTGAGCTGAGACAATATCTCAAGGTAGGCTGGCGACGAAGAGGGTGTGAAGAGAGCCTCGTGAGGAAGAGGGATAGGGTTTTCTGGTGGAATTGGAGTAGAGGATGCTGAAGGCGAGTGAAATAAATGGCGGAAGAGTTCCTCGGGAGTAAAGTGTGGTGCCTGGGCAAGGCATTAGCGGGCGTCCACATGCAGTTCCTTCCATAGGTATCATGAAACATACCTTAGCATGAACTCCACCGAGACCGTCGATTCCATGGAAGTAGTCAGCCATAAGTAGTTGCTCATCTAGTGGCTGCTCTGCTCCTACTGCTAGAATTGGCTTGTACTTTCGCAGAGACTCATACCCCAATGGCTTCCCGTTGGCCTTTCTCCAGGCCAATTCCTTTTCAAGGACATGGAATAGAGAGATAGCATTTCTCAAGCAGCTAAAGATTTATCAGCATCACTAGCTCAAGATTTTAAGGGGCCCCCTCCCGAGTTAACACCTAGGGTTTCACATTGACATACTTCTCAACGTCAATATTGCCGAATGTAAGCTATACATTTGAACGGCCGGTGTTAGCGCTCGGAAAGCCCATAGAATAATCGATTGCGCGAATCTTGAGATATAAGCTTACCGACACAAGCAAGAGCTCAATCTCCTCCGCGGACGCAGATAACGCCAATAGCAGCGCGAGGATATCGTCCACACTATATATCGAAACAGGACACAAACGCACCGATCATAGCTAAGTCAGTAACACAATACCCTATGACTCCCCGCCCCCTACTGTGGTACGTGTACCTACCCAGGATCAGTATCTATAATAATCTTTTCAGGAGCCATCTTGGTTTATCCGCGAGCGCAATGTTGATGTTGATTCTATGCTGTAGGATACTCGAATCGAAAGCTTAGCTTAGCCCCGAATTCGAACCGAGCTTTTAACGTTTTCTAGGCCAGATTGGATTAGGTAAAGACATGCTACAAGCGGCGTTTGCCGACGTTGTGTTGGAGATTAGATATGGACTGTGTTGCTGACGCTTAACTAATTCGCATCGAGTTCTCGTTTGCGATATCGCGATGATAAATGTACATGCGCACTTGTACGAGAACTCGGCTGGTGAAGTGCCCGACTGGATTTTTTGTCAAATCAAATCGCAAGGCGGCGGCTCCGCTTTTGCAAATACATCTTCATTTCTTTTTCCCGAGCACCGTGCAGCCATTAGTCGAACGGACGAGATTTTTTTTCGAAGACATGCAGCGAGGCGTTGCAAACTGACCAAGGAGATTAATGGATAACCGATCTCTTAAGTCATATCCCTGACCAAAACACGCTACAAACGAGCTCCAAAATGCAGGTATTCGTGTCGTGGCTCATATTGGGCTCTCAGAACTGCGATGCTGACGCAGTGTCCGCGGTGCGATTAATTTTGATGCAGCCCTTATCCAATCAGTAGCGGATTTCACATTGCGTTTTTGGTCGAATACGAGGGCGCAAGCGGTAGAATCCTTATCAGCCGTAGTTGGTGCGCAATATATCTGTTCATTTTGTGACTAGCCGCGCTACCCACGGTGAAAATCCCGATAGCCAATTGTATCATGAAATGGGTCGAGATTAGAGAAAGGGTGTGTAGAAAATCGGAAAGGCTGAAGCGGGGTTGTGTTCATGGATGACTGTGCAATTGCAGTATTGATGGGACATCGATCCGATCAAAAGCTATAAATCTGGCTCTTCTTGTCTTCTTTTGACTCTTAATCTTTGACCTGTCCTCGATCAGCTTTCTAAACCAGTCAAGTAAACCGTCTAATTTGACCTCTAATTTATATATATACCGTCGTCCTGTTGTCGTCCCTACTGCACGAGTTTGTTACCGCGCCTTTGCTAAATCACATTTGCCCCCGAAAATATAAACATGCAGATTCTAAAGCCTTTAATGGGTGAATCTTCTGGTTTTGACGTCTTTTCGCATATATCAGGTATTGAACCCCTCCTTGGATTCATTAGGTTCATTATAGATACCATTTCAGTCATAGAATTAAAGATAGTAAATATCGATCAGTTGATTATTGTACTAAAGACTCAATCTCTAGATGTACCTTGGGAGACCAGCACTTCATTAATATCGGATACCAGCACTCCTATCGACTTTATCACGCAAACCTCTCCCCAGGTAGAGGTAATATTCGAATATACCTCCATTCTCAAATTCTCTATCGAAATACTAGTCGAAACGCCCACAGAAACCCTACGTAGTACCTTACTCCAAACTCTTCGTCGAATCACCAATCCTCAAGCCATCTCATTTCCAATAAACCTCGCTGAAACACTTCGTTCAGCTCTCATCCTCCGGTGCTACTTTCACATATCTCAGGGTCTGTCTAACTACCCTCTTGAGGAGATCTCCCTCATGCCACCTTTTCTCCCAGATAAAGCCTCTGTCAATTCAACCTCTGCTTTGGAATCTTGGAATTCCTGGAACCCCCTCCCACAAGTATCACCGAGCCTTTGTGATCCCCTTTTACTATTGTTATTACCTGTATCTGGTATCCTAGATTTGGGGCAATGCTGTTCATATCTTACCCCGGTGATTGATGATACAGGCAAGGAGTTAGATGTGTTTATCCATGAGGTCCAAGCATATGACCCGCCGTATAATGGTTGTAGCAAGCGATACTATTGTTTGTATGATAATTGTGTGTATAATATGGGTCCTGTTTCGGTTTCTGAAGAAGGGTTTGAGAAGCATTTGCAGAGTTATCATGGTATTGAGGGGACGTTCTATTGATTCTTATGGACAATATATGATGACCAAGGTTTAGGTATCTATGCATGTCATTTATTTGAGTATTGCAATGTGGTTGTGAAGCTAGCTATAGGATCTAGTCTCCGTTAGGATCTAGACATCGAAATACGAACTGCGTTGTCATGTTGGATTCACAATGTTGGATTAATCAGCACTGCCACGTGTGGCTCGTGATGTGCCTTGAATCGTGGCGTGATTCAGAACTTCAGATGATACATGTAATTCTTAAAACCCGATTCCGGGGTTTTCTCCACGAGCTAACCGACCGGATTCCGGCAAAGTTGATTGAATTCAAATAAACCAAGCAAATATTTCATCATTATGTCGAAGTTCTGTGAATACCTATCTGTTAACATATCGATGAAAACATTACTATTAATTTTTTTAATATTGGTAATGGAGTAAGGTGCTAGACTTGTCCAGAGGCGGCCTACCCACAGTAGTTACTCCGTATATGGATACTGTTTGACAATTTTGCCAACTAATCCAATCCCGCGATGCTCATCTGATATCTGCAGGAGAAATACGGGAAGAAAGCGGGGTAAGCTCTTAAAAATACACGAAAAATAAAGGGGCACACTATTCCTATGGTCAGCCAAAGAATATAAAATAAAAATCAACAAATCAATATATCTGAAATCAAGAAACAGAGGGCTATAATAGAAGATTAGATAGCGTTATCGGCTCGAGCTGTCGCAACTAGCGACAGCCTAAAATCATAGTAAACTAAGGTGCACTGACGTACGCGGCTCAACGTTAACAAGGTGTGGAAGCCCGTCCTGCGACGGGTTCTGCGAGTTACCCTTACATAACGCCAGTCTGGCGTGGGATCACTAGTTGTCAGTTGACAACTTTACCGAGCACGGATTTGCTTAGCTTGTGCATGTGGCTGCTAATTGATGCGGCGGTGCTTCAAAAAATTTTCGTTTCATCCCGTACCCGTCAAAGTTTTTTTTCTCTATCTGTTTGTTTTGTAAACCTTTTGATGGTGATGATCACAATATGATAGATCTTTTATTATGCAGATTCGGAGGATACCGTGAGCAAGGGTTATCATCGGTATTCGATCCACGTGAAGGACCCCCCTCTTATGCATAGTATGCGTGGTCGAAGGGGTGCAGAAAGGGTAGCGTAATCCCGCCTCCCAAGGAAGCAAATGATGAACGTCCACCACCCCACAGAATACTTATGATCGGTTGCATATTTTTTTAGCAAAGAACAGATCGTTAAACGCTTCCTGTTTTGGAACTTTTCTGCAACTTGGCCAGGCTGGGGTTAAGATTCTTTCTAATATAACATTTTATTGGATTCCCTTTAGCAAGTTGGCCTGTAGAGACCACCTGCCTGAAAATGCGGGATTTTTGACGGGAAGAGTTGAGGTGAGGTAGGCAGGCAGTGGCTGTGGGGGAATTGTAGTTTTTTTGGTGTCTGGAATACAAACGTTTAGCCTTTGTCCGATGGTGAGACTGGGTTCGGAGGGCAGTTTCAGGGACCAAGTTGACGGCAGGGTGCTTTGTTCCCTTGTCCAACATGGCACGACTGATTTTAATCGGTAGAAATGTGCACTGTACTGTGTAGAATGCTTTCCTGCGCCAATTGCGTGGATTTCTTTAAATATTCTCGGTCAGCCGGCCGATTAATTCTTGCAGACGGGTGGTGGTCGGTGGGGACGGTTAACGGCTTTCCCTTTTCAATCAATTGCAAGTGTCAAGCTGCAAGATACATACTTACTTACCTGTAGGCAGTATGTAATGTTAAAGCTTTCCCATATGCAGAGAAATGTCCAGTTCTGAAAAAATTGATCTTCGGTGCTGTTACACGTTGGCGTTTACATGAACGGGATTTGGAGGGAGTGGCCCCTGCAGCCTGACCAAAGCCTCCCCACCTTTCCAGCTTGGGGTCCAGGCACCATTCCAGACTGGGTTAACTGTATGACAGCCAGGAAAGAGGACAGGGCGAAAGGGAATTAAACGGCAGGCAGGCCAGGCAGGCCAACTGTTGCAGAGAACTTACCTAGTTAGACAGACGAACGACGTGGGGAGCAGGCTTAGCAGGTTGAATTGTCGTTATGCAGTTTTGGTAGGCGGTATTAATCTTGTTAAATTGCCTACGCACCCCCCCAGCCAGTGGTTATTGAGGCAAAGAAAGGGAGAACTGAACTGTTCATTCCTCGACTCCTTTTGCCAGCATATCGATCTTCATATTTTTGTCTTTCGTTATTTTCTCTTTCGATCTTTGGAGACGAGCAAGTGGAATTGAATTCCTTGCGGCTGGGTTGTAGGATTTCTCTTCTATCGATATCGATCAGTTAACTCTCATTCGACTGCCGCTGCCAACATACACTACAGACCGGAAGAATCTATTTATCGATCAAGCACTCACCGTATACTACGTCTGTAAGTAACCAACCAACTGTGAATATCCACCCTTGAAAAGTCGATACCTATCGTCGTCTGTCTTGTTTGTGTTTGTGATGTTGGTTGGCGCCTGGAACCATGATTAGTCTACAATCATGAGCGGCTCGAGATTGTGTGTCCGTCTGTTTCTATAATTAATCCCCCATCACTTCCGCACCATGCTTTCATGCTTCCATACATTCGCATATGTATATATGTAGTATGTATGAATTCATTTGGTCTTACCTCATCTCTGCTCTTTCTCGTTGCATCTTGACGCCGTTTCAGAGTAAAATTTGCCGGGTCTTTTCCTTCACTAGTTCGGGTTTCCCTGGTGGTGTTGATTGATGTTTGCCTGCCACCAATTCATTCGCTGTCGGCCCGGGTACATCCTTTTCCAGCTGCCAGTCTGCCAGTCTATTAATTGATATGGTTATCTAACATTCCATCGCTCCTGTTCTAATATTAATTCTTCAAGACTATCGATATCCCTCTTAACATGCTCCCATTGATGCCGACATCGTGAACATCCTCCCCCCGACATTCCCACCGCTTGTTCGGTGCTTTCATTCAGAATCACCTTTCCTATCCTCACAATGTTGGCGATTCCCCGTCCGGTTCTGGCGCCTTCAACACATAATGGTGTTCCGCCGTCTAGGCACGACAACAACAACAACGACGACGACGACGACGACGACGAATCTTATCTAGACGATTCCCCCAGCCAGCGTCCTTCTGTCTCCGACGACGTCGACCGTTTTTACCTCCCAGTATGCTCGCCCGTTGTCACAAACCAACCTACTCCTCTTCCTCCCCTATCCTCGATCCCAGGGAACTTCCCGTCTGCTAAAGATGACGAGGAAGCCGAAAACAAACCAACAAAGCGGACATCGCCGCTGGTAATCGTTCAAACTGGTGTCTTCTACTTCTTTTCCTGCGGTTGGTGCGGTATGACCGAGACTTCCAAAAGGGTTCGGAAGGAAGCAGAGGTGGCGAATCAGTCTCTTCGTGAGAGATGGAGATACGAAGTGGAAAACCGACCGAAGGCGCTTCGAAAGTTGATTAAGACCACTGCCGACAATGTCGAAACAAACATTGTGCCGTCAATTATGGCTCGCGTTTCTCATCATTACCATCACTACACGGGGACTGAACAAACAAATACAAAACAGGGTGATGTGATGTCGATGGCTTCGTCCGATACATATGCACCTATGGCATATTCTCGATGGCGGCGACATGAAGTTGTGCGAGCAAGGGAAGGCAGCCAAGCCGCTCCTCTCATTCAGAACTTCGCTCAGGCGACGAGTGCGACTCACGGCCCTAATAACGATTTAATGTGGATGATGGAGCCACCCCCGGCACCGGTATGGAAGAGCGACGGGAAGCAAGCACCGAGATTAGCACTAGCCGATGAGGACGAAATGCTGCAGGAGAATATCAAACCACGCTTGGTTTCTAGGCCGACCGCCCCAAGCAGACCAAAGCCGACAATCATGAGGATTGCAACCTTACCTTCTATTGAGTCTTTGGCTAGTCGGGTTGCTGAAGAACAGCAACAGGAGGCTGTTAATCTCCCAAGAATCCCGCCCACAGCTCTTCAAATCTCATCGCCTTCGTACACTAACCGGCGAATCTCACGTCCACAACCACTTGTTCTTGGTGAGGCTCTGAAGGAAAGTACTTCCCGTCAGCCACAGCCAGCATCGCCACAAACCCCACCCTTCTCTGCTCCAGCTCGATCCTTGTCTTGGGAAACAACCACCGAAATCACGCCTAGATCATCTAGCGAGCGTGATTTCAACATCCATGGCTCGGACGGTGCATCTTCTCCAACCACAATCTACTCCACAGCCCCAGTTCCTCGCCTTGGCTCTCCATCTCTCACAAAGGCCGCTCTAGCCTCGCGAGATGAGAATGGAAACCTTGAATTGACATTTGGACCTAGACGTTTGAGTGTCACTGCTCTCAACAATGCCACGACTACCACACTTGCCGAAAGCAACGGTAGCACCCTCATGCTTGATAAGGTTATCAGCGACAGCTTTGACAAGGCCTTTACCCCAATCCCGGATTTTTCAGTTTATTCGATCTCGCCGCCTAATTCGCCGCCAAGATCTCCGGGTTCTAGGGCTGCCAGGAGAAGAAGTATTCCTTTGACTGGATTTAGGGTCTAGGCTACTAGATCATTATTAAAGGTTGCGCCCGTTAGCTACCTACTGGTAGTGCAAAAGCTAGTTATTTGGAGGATGCCCTTTTTTTTTTCCGAGTTATCCAACTCTTTCTTTTATATCCTGTTACACAAAGCATCTTTTTTTTTTACAATTGGGTGGTCAGTTTTTTTTTTTTTTTTGCATTGGCTTTGGGAATTGGCGTTCGGTTGTATCATATTTCCTTTCTACCTTACTCTGCATTTAGCTTGTCCTTTTTTCTGCTTTTCATTCATGATAGTATATTGCTATCGAGCTTTGGTTGGTGTGTCAAGATAGTCGGAAAGGTCCGGGGTTCTATTGCTTCCCTCTCCACAGGAAGCTTTTCTTATCATCAGATTGCTTTTACCAGCCGTGGCATCATCTGAGGATTTTGAGATGAAGATTCTTTTTCTTTTTCTCTTTTTCTTTTTCTTCTTTTTTCTCTTTTTCTTAATTTCTCTTGTAGATACCACTTTTAAAATATCTTTGCTTTTTTTGGTATATATTTCATATTTTGATGTCTTATTACTTTATTTTTGGTATGACAAAAACTATACATGTCCTTTCATTTCTTCGTTTCAACTTTCTATTCCTTTCTTACCTTTTATTTTTCAACTGTATTCTTTATCGATTGACATCAGATGTAGTTGTTGATAGACTAGATTGTGGTATGGCATAGGGGAGGGTAGATTTGAGGTGTCGATGTGTTAGGAAAGTGCAACTAAGATGAGAGTTAATCGAAAAACTTTGATTTATCCTTGCGACTTAATGTGGACGCTTCGTATATTCACTAGCTAAGCATAAGAATTGAATGAGATGTTAGTGCTAGCACTACCAATATTCCGTTCGATTAATTTGATTAAGCTTATTAGCTTATAAGGGCCGAACCATATATATTTATCATCTTTCTGAAACCTGGCAATGAGAATAACATCAAAATCTTCTACTACGGTAAGAAATTCGAATCTATAATTAATAGGATTTGTGGGTAACGTTATAACCCGTTTGGTACTTTGTGGTTGAGGATATAACTATATCTTCAGGTAGAGGAAATAGTAGTCGCGTATTGTAAGGAAATAGAATACACACTGAGTTTTATAAAACCAGTAGATAGCTCGACTAGTATACAGGTATCCACCAAAATTCAGCCCTACAAATTTAAATTCTGCATTCTGACATCAAGGCCCGCGTCCCGAGTAACTCCTTCGACCGAAATGTGATGTTCTCCACCTATCCGGACTCCGCATTCATTGCAATTTCCGATTCGCATGGGTTGGCCACATTCTCCAACAGTGAACTACAAGAGAAATGCATATTAGCTACGATTGTTCACAGTTTCTCGGAAAGTATATCTCTTACCTGGTGTCCATTAGGGCAGACGTACCAATGCCCAGTTCCTCCAAACTCACGGGTCATTGCGTCATAAATTTGCTTCATCTCTTTGTTTGTAACATTGGAATAAAAAATACCACCTCGGACAGACTTTATCGTCTCTTCAACTTCGGATTTGAGCCCTTTACATGTGGCAACAGTATCACAGATTTCTAAACATTCTGCCAAGTCCTTTACGATATCTTCTTTGATATCTGCAGCAGCTGTGTCGGATATTTTGTCTTCCTCCTTTTCCATTTCGTCTCTATGCTTGATATGTAAAGTCACAAACTTTGCTAACGCAATGCGAGCTTGGACTTCAATTAGTTGGTGTTTTCGTTCTTTACATATCTGGACCAATTTATCGCAGTTGAGAACCGTGGAGCTGGTATTGGCGGCTATAAGTTTCCAAAGCGCCTTCTTCATCGAAGCTGGTGTCGTCGTCCTACTGGCGATGATATCCATATCGCAAATCTTCGAAAGGATTACTCGCAATTCTTGGTACGCCCCTTCAATGCCGAATCTATATTGTACTACTGAAGGATTATATTCATCCGCTGTAATACCGTATTTGCGACACGCTGATACTGTAAGCTCATAGACGCGGTGGTACGGTTGTTCTTTTTCTAAGACCTCGGAGTTGTATCGTTTGATCACTTTCGATAGTGTCGAACATGCCTTGTAGCGTGCGTCGATTCTGTAGAGAACATTCATTAGGATTAATCATGAGACTCCTATGAATCTGCTGGTAGACTTTAGGATGAGCTGGCTGTTGACTTACTGCTTCATATCTTTCGGTTTAAATGCTTCCCTTGATTTCTCTAAGTTATCCTGGAATGAGCTTATTTGTGTTATTATTTCCATCAGTCGATTGTGCGAGGCGAGTGTAAACTGTCTGATACAGTTTTGCAGTTGGTATTTCTTCACAACCTCGTTGTATCGGACGGATGTCGTAAATGGAGCCCGACAATTTGGACATGTGAGAAGCTTCGGCGCTGACTTTTCCTGCAAGTATCTGCCTACGATCTTCCAATCTTCCGTATCGTCGAATGCGAAAAAATCTTTCATGTTTGCGGTTCCGTCAAGGGTACTGACGGTATAGTAATGGTTGCATGGGAGAAAAATTATTGGTTCGTCCTTGGAGTCTCGATAAGTCCCGAGCATCAACATGTCTACTTGAAAATCTAGGACCTCATCGGACCCACACTCCCGGCAGAACTTCTTGTCCGGGCACTTCTCTCCGCAGATTGAAGGGCACTGATGACCGCACTCGAGAAGTTTGGGGCAGAGTTCATCGCAAGGCAGGATGTTGCATGAAACACCACACGGCATCAAACATTTCTGATGCGCACAACCAAGTGTGCATTGTTCCGCACACGGTCGACAAGGTTCCTTGCACTTCTTACTACACTTAGAATGCGTACAACGGATCTCGCACTCTATTTGGCACGAATCGCAAGCTTCACCATCGTGACACGCTTTCTGACATGAATGCGAACAAGTGTTAAAAGGACGATTGCAAATTTGCTGGCAGTCGCCGTGGAGGATGGTGAAATCTCCTGGCGTTTTGGTAGATGGTTTTCTGCAATTCCGGCATTGGTTTTGACAGCGATGCCCACACCCAAGAAGGTTTTTACAGACAGCAGGGCACCGGTAGTTGGGTGAGTTGACATCACGTCCGCAATCGACTGTGACCGTGTGATTGCACCCCGGGACGATCTTCTGAACTTTTGCTGTGCAGTAGTAGGATTCGGCTGCCTTTTGGTACTCAAAGCATGGCATAATTGTAACTGTATGACCGCACTTTAAAGGAACATCTCGATAAGGATGGCGGCATGGTGGACAGGGCTGACTGCATTTTGAAATGCAAGGGTGGTCGCAGCCTATAAGTTGTTTCGGGCAAGGTTGAGAACATGGCGCAAGTTTGTGGAGGGCAGTCGAATGGCATTTTGAAGGGCAAGCATGGCCACATTCAAGTCGCGATTCGCATTTAAGATTGCATCCACCTTCTGGAGCGTATGTGATGAAGTCTTCTTTCGAGGCCGCGCGGATCGAAGTCTCCTTGTGACGGTCGCATTCTAATTCAAAAGCATCGCCGAGACAGTTGTTAAGATTCATTTGGCTTATGACGTTTTGCCACATTGGTACTGATCCGGCTGTATTGGCGTCGCCGATGATGTACATTCCCCATTTGGCGCGACTGAAATATACTATGGTTAGAATATCAATTGGTCAATTTGGAAATCGGATTATATATATTTCACCTCAGAAGAACGTTAATACGGTTGCTGGTCTTTAAGAAGCCACACTGGCGCTCATTGTTACTCCGAACAAGGGAAATAATTACTACATCTGCCTCTTCACCCTGAAGCACGGATCGAGTCATCGTTAGCATATGCGTGGATACATAAAGGGTTTGATGTTAGTTAGTCAAAACTCATCTGCATACTTGAAAATTATCAATGGTTGCAATTCTGACGGCCGTAGCAAGACTTGCTTTCCTGATCACAGTTTGAAGTGTTGGATCTGTTGGCTTCTGGTCCTCTTCGTCATCAAGGAATTCTTCGGATTCATCCAGAGCCTCTTGGTCCCGACTTCCAACGATAATATTCATGATATTCCCTAGCGATCTCCTGAGTTTAGACATTTGTCCAAGGTAGGGGGTTAAGACTGCTATCTGATGTTCCTTAAAGACGCCCTGGTGTAAAAGATGCGTCACTAATGAAATAACGATGTCCTGTTCAAAGTCATTTGTATAAGAGGTCGTCGCTTTTATGGCATCACCTTTCGAGTCTGGGTGCTCATGGGTCATCCAGAATAGCCGCTTCTTCATGCCAGGGATCGGTGGATAATCTGGGACAGCATCTAGAAGATTGGGATAAGTTTTCAGTCTGATTAAGTCTGCGATCGTGGGATGCATTCGACGTTGGGTATTGAGACTAGCTATAGGAAATTTGAGGCCCCTATTTCCATAGGATTGTTGGACAAGTTTTTCGAAGAGCGATACGTCTAAACGGTATGCTTGGCCTTTTCTGCTTTCCACGGAGAGGTCGTAGTTTGCAACGTGGGGCCTTAGTTGCTCGTGGTCGCCAATTAAGATCATGTGTTCAATTGATGGGATAAGGGCAGTGATTGTATGCGCCTCCAGAATTTCTTTGAAATGCAATTCATGGTTAGTAGTACGACTTTAAATTACGGAGTTGATTAAGACTGGTAATACCTCCAGCTTCTTCACAGAATAAAACTTTGGCATGAATTCTTTCTAGCATGTCAGCGTGACCAGCCAAACTAGAAGTTGTCACACCGATAATATCCGCTGCTTGTAGAAGTCGTCTATCTCTTTCTTTCCTGAGTGTCGATAGAGTTTCACTCTTGATGCGGTGCTGCTTCGTCACATCTGCAAGACCAGATATTGAGTTGCTAAGGATTTCGTCTTTCCAGAATTTGAGCACCGCGAAGATCTCGTGGCGACTCAAGGACCATGGGTCTATATTGCTGTTTATAAAAGATTCGACAGGTCTATTGATTTTTCCAGATGTAGCCTTCTTCCTCCAAGCCGCGAAGGGCTTCCGTTTTCCACGTTTGACCTCAAACCCCTCAATGTCTTGATTTTTTGTAAACAGTGCTTTGAAAAAGACGGGATAGTTCTCGTTGATGTGAGAGCGAAGCGTATATTCTGAGTCTAGGGAGTCGAGAGTTCTACAGTACTCAGTAGCTTCAGATGCTTGTATCTTAGTCGCATTCCTAAGGTCATACATTTCTTTTCCTTCAACCCGAGTATTGCCAGTTGACATTACGAGTTTCCTGAGAAGGTAATCATCAAGCTTTTCGGATTTTGACCTCGAACCCAAACGGACAATGTTGTTGATACCAATAGTCAGAAGATGTTCGAGGAATTGGTCCAGAGCATGGTTTGTATAGCAGCTATTTGCATGTCAGATATCAGAAAGAGATGCGATGGAGAATCACACTAACTTACACGCAAACTATGGGGCCCAAGTCAGCTTTCTTTTTGTTGGCGAGTAGAACTTTGACAATCTTGGTTCCAACAAAGCTTTTGCCAGTTCCTGGGGGTCCTTGGATCAGGCCGACTTCGCGGGAGAGGGCTTTCACAAGCGATCGTGCCTGTCCGTCATCTAGGGTAGTATTCTCGAGTAACTTTTGTGTGTCAAAGTTATGTTCTGTTGGGTAAAGGGGGACTGGATCTTTTGGTGGTGTAGTAAAGATTGATTGTAAATCGAAGAAAAACCCAGGACGCGAAGCATATGGTGGCGGCCGAACATCAACTTGAGAGTTATCTTCGACAGATTGTTGGAAATCGAGGGACGGATCAGGTGCGAGCCAATCGATGAAGGGAATTGCCTGGGTATTACTTATACGGTTTTGCAAACCTTGTAGGATAGGCCGAAACGCTGCTAACAAGGTTTTTGGAAATTCAATAAGGCTGACTTTGGAAGAATCTTGGAAGTATCTCAATTTGAATAGCCATTTGATATCGTCTTCCCTGACGGCATTCGCAAAGCTTAGAATAATCCCGGCGCGAGCAGGATGCCCTGCTAGAGTTGATAAGCTTTGGTCAGGCCCTTGCGTCATAGTCTCCCGGTCTTGCTCTCGGATATCTCTCTCCGTCACATATCTATCAGCGACAGTAAAGAAGACTGCTTCATTTGCATCATTAAGGACACAGACAAGGGAATTAAAGGCAAGGACATCTTCGTGCGCCCACCACTCCCGTCGTTCACGGGGAGTCGAATTCACCATTGGTTGGTCGAATGTGATACCTACCTTCAGCCCTTGATTGGCGCTAAAGAAAACATTTTCCACTCTGACATTTTGGTGAATTAGTACGGCGGTTCCTGCAGTGAAGAATCTTTTTACTCCATCGAGCTTTCGCCTTCTGGATCCTCGAAGAACATCTAAGTTTGCACGGTTCTCTATGATTTGGCGAAGAGATTCGCGAAGATACCCTATACTATCCTCCCGAAGCAGCCGGAATTGAGTGTCAAGAAGTTTCTTGTTTCGGTCCAAGCGGAGCCCCTCCCCTCCAAGTTGGGGAAGATATTCAGGCACATCAGATCTAATCTCTTCAGCAGTAGGTAGGATAAGGATGTTTGCAATCGAAGCATGATCATTATCGTGCCTGGGCCCTTTGTCCGAAAGATCTCCTGGTAGTCGTATCGTATTCTGTATTGCAGGGTGAAGTTTCTGGCTTGGATGCACAGCTCCTTCTCCTAAGCTACTTGATGCGGGTTGAGTGGGGATTAAAGAGGGAATTTGCTCTCCAAGCTCTAGTTGCTCGTTTAATATTTTGAAATGTTGGTGAAGCGCCCTCATTTCAGGGTTTTCTAGCAGCTTCTGCTCATTAGCTTGTGATAAAGCTTCCCTTACGATTGCTTTCATTCCATCTTGCAGGATCGCATTTGCTTGGTTCAGATGGATGGTGTGTCTGAGAGCTGACGCAATCATTGAAAAAACCTTTAGGTACTCATCAGGGTCATGGGACATCAAAGTCTTCAAGCGTGATAGTATCCTAGGGAAGAATTTGATGCTACGGGTGCCAGAGACGCCGTACATAACGTTGTAGATAGTACCGGCGTATCTTTCGACGACGATTGAGTTTTGAAATTCAGTGTTGGTAATGATCTTGAGAAATGGAATAACATGGGCGATAAAATTAAGTTGCCCGGTGGTTCCATCATATGCCAAATTTGCATCCAGGAGCTGGCGGATGTGCTCTAGGTTCTTTTCATCCGCAAATTCTTTTATCACTTCCTGGACGTTTTCGACATCTTTGGTTGTTATGATTTGCAGGGCTCCTTCAAGGAAGGTTTTCATTTGTACCGATGAGTATGGGCTTCGGATCCTGCAAATTTTCCTCCAACTTTCTAAAGGGTTGACTGGCCTGGATGCAGGAGCATCTGCAGTGGTTGCAGTGGTTGCTACATTAGGAGTGACGAAAGCCCTGGATGAAGCAACTGCTGAGCTGCTCGATGGTCTACCTTGTGAAGCCTGATTGCCAGATTCGCTAGTGAAGTGACCGCGGGAGCATTTTATGCCGAAGCGACAGTTTCCTGATCGTTGATAAACTCTGCATGCCTCTACTAGGTTTTCTTGATGCGCATATTTGCATTTAGACCCTCTTTTGCATCTCTTCTCGCGCCATTCGAAGCAAATCTTGGCACTTGACATAATGGATGATCGGATCTAAGGTTGTAGAATTGTGACCGAGGCGGTGGGTATCGGTTGGGCTCCTTGGCGGGACCAATGCATTAATGGTCCAGAATATATTATTTAGATTTTTAAAGAATTAAGATCGAGCGGATTGATGTAAAGTTTTAACGGATGCGATAGATTTCGATCTCGAGAGATAAGACTGAGCTTTTAGATGTAGATGATAAAATGTAGATTGGTCTCGCTTCCAAAGATAGATATGGTGGTAAGATCTTTAAGATATTTGTGAACTTCGACGTCGTAAGCTCGATAGCTCAATATATAGGTTCCCGAGGATATCGATAAAGAATCTTCTTGATGACACTATAGTTACGAGAGTTTCAACCACAGGTGTATTAGTCCTAGATCAATTGATCAATTATATGGATCGATTGTATATGGAGTCTCAAGCAAGGTATATGGTAGTTTAGACACGTCGGCATACGGCTATCGATATCCAGTACTATTATTTATGTTCTGGAAGTATTGGGCTTGCCTGGACGTGTACGCCGGTTGCGTGGGCCAGTTAAGTGGAGCCGCCCATAATATAAACGTTTGATTTGATTTTCTTCCAGAACTCTTATAATTTAGGTACTTACATAAGGTAAATTAGGCCATGTGGATTTTACGTCGTAGGTTTTGAATTGGAGGCTGATTTTGGGTGTATACACGTGTACGTATTTCTTCGATCCCTTAGTCTTTTAGATTATAAACTTTTTGGAGATTTTTTAAATTCTGGATAACTCAGTGGTCGTAATAGGCGTAACGGATTTTAATTTTTGAAGAGAGGCAGGTCTAGATAGGAAAAAATCATTCAGTGCAGCGTGGCTCTAGAAAATTCCGAAATTTTCGATCGATAGAAGGTTGTAGCGGCTTGGAACTAAAATGTGATATAATAGAAAGTTATTTGCAAGGTATTTACCATCGCTAGGAAGTAAGGTCCTAAAACATTAAGGATTCATTGCTATCAACTTGCATTGATGTGGGGAGCAATCGATGATTCAATGCCCGAAATTCATCCCCGCTGGCACCAGAGTTCACAGCGTTGGTTGGCCAGAGCTTGCTCGCTTGGTTTAACAAACAAAACTGCATTCGGCTTCTTGCGTCGAATTACAAAGGATCTGGGTGGCACAATTGTATTACCTACAAGACATGTGGCACGATCGGCTGACCTGTCCGTGATCTTGATTGATATGATATCTTTCGTCTTTCCAGGTATATAGTCATCCTTGAATTGGAAGTTTCCTACTAACTTTCGGCGGAGCATTCCGAAACTATCATCGGCCCAAGAGCCGGTCAATTGATATAATTAGGAGCTTTCTCTGCTAGCATGCGAATCAGTTAAAACAAGATCATAAGTGGCTTGAACGCTATCAGCCTTGTTTCCATGCGTGTCACACAATTGATACGTAACCGTGTTTGCTTGGGCATGGTACATGGTATAGGGTAGGGGAAAGTGTTTTGGTGTCGAGATACTCTCTACTACTCTCCATAGAACGTAAGCTTGTTACCACCTCAAAGCCCTCGTATCGAGACTTTGCAGCATGTATGATTTTCAAGGCGGGGTTTTTTATGGTGGAAATTTCAACCATTGGTAGAAATTTATGGCGAAAGCTCGACCATGGCAACTCTGGGGCAGGTTCGGACAACATTTGGGTTAGGCAAGATCCCTGCACCTCAATACAACTGTCAGACCCTCGTTGACAGAACCCCACATAAATATACAGAAGAAGTCTGTTTCGGAGATTTTACTAAGAGTATTGTAGGAAGAAGTGGTGGTGATGATTCTATTGGTCTATCGAAACAGTAGCTATAGCGGGGTTATCAGTGTGCATGTGATCATACGGGCACTGCGAAGGCAGATAACTGTGCCGCGATCAAACAGCAGTTCTAGCTAGCTCTGTAGAAGGATTTTGTTCCAATCGGAGATCAAGGATTCAATGCGCTACATCATTCGTTTCGGTTGTCGCTACCTTGATGCTAGCATGGGCGCGATAATTTGAAGGGTTGCAAATTTCTTGCGAGGTTGATTGTATTCTTTCTGGGAGAAGTTTGGAAGGTTCTAGTAAAGAATATTTTTAGTGAAGTAGATGCCTAGCGAGTGCAATTATATCGGTAGGCCGGATGGAGTCGAGTCGACTGTGCCGGTGACGCGACGGTATACTAGGATATCGTTTAGATCAAGCATCGGTCGCCCTCGATCCGTCCAAATTCCCCACCGTAGCTGTGCCATATTAAGGATTATTTGCTCCGAGGATTGATTATTAGCCACATTATCATCATATTAAAGGTATCTGATGACCGGAAAGCTGGGGTATTAGGACTCATCAATTGCTCCTCGTGCGAGTCGATCGCGTCTACGCAGGCTCTTCGTCGCAGTGCTATCGATGCCTGCTATTTCAATATCGCCGACTATGAATCCCAACGATAGAAGGTAGAACTGGAGGCTTGATATGCAGTATTTAATATCCAAGATGATACTTTTCACATAGATTATCGGTGAACAGAGTGTTATTTGGCATCGTGACGCGACCCATGTGCAGCAGTCATTCAGGATGTTCCAGGCCTGCATTAATCCTGGGAATATGCGTTGTGTGGTATTTTGAAGGAGTATATCGATCAGGCACAATGAACTGCACAATCGAATGAAAAAGCCTCGTTTCTTGAACTTTCAAACCAGCCGTGCGAGGCTCTTTGACTTTGTTCCCTGAAGTATTGCTACGACGCAAGACTATTGGTGCGGGGCTCCAGGTATTACAACCGGGGTGTGGTGGAAATATCCTTGGCAATTCCGAATTTGTGACCCCTGCAATGTTGCCTACTGTTCAGAAATTTCGGGCAGCGTTTAGATTTGGGGGTCAGAAGAACTTCCACCTGTTGAGGATAGGGATAAATCTCTCTCATTGTCCCTTCCTAATTGACGAAGGAATCTCTCTTCGCCTTTATAGTGGGGGAAATATCTCGACAAGACCTGATCAGTAGCTTTCAGGAGTTTCTCTTTGCCACTACATTTGCTAACGTCGCAATCTCCTACCGCTCCCACCAAACCCCCGAGAAGGAGGACAAGACCACCCAACCTACGGTCTTACCAAGCCGTCTCACTTTGGACACCCAGCCAGTCATCACGACTTCTCTGGCTGGCACTGTCCTCGACAACTTTTTTTATTTATTTTTTTTGACAACCGTCAAAATTTCTCTTAAATCGAATTCGGTTTCTAGTAATCCGGATCACCACAAACCTTTCTACGTTGACCAGGAACTTCCTGGTGAATCAGAGGTAAATTATTTGTTATCGATCTGTAGACCCGGGGATGTTGAACAGGGGAGTGTTCAACTAAGTCCTTCGGAGACCTACGACAGTGGACCGCTGGCTGGCTCCAACGGTTCTCGTCACAGTAGTGTGTCTTTTCATACTGCTGAAGATCATACAGAAGCTCAATATGATGAGTTCTTAAATGGATGCGTGACTGGCTTTTCTGCCGAGCGCAGTCGTGAGTACTTACCTTCCTCGGACTCGAAATCGTAGCCGTAGCTCTAACATAGAGTTCGAAATTAGACAATTCCTTCCCTTACGGGGGCGAGAATCACAGTAACATTCATTTTAATACGGGCAACAGCCAATCTGTGGCCATGTCATTCACTGACAATTTTTTTGGTACATCCTTTTCATTCGACGGCACCCTGCTTAGTCCACTCGGTTAGTTTCCCTGAGTCTAGCTTGTTTGAATAGTATCATGGATGGCTAACATAGTTATTGTACGTAGACATCATGGACGAAAGTCCCACATATCCCAATCTACTTGGGGGCGACTTTACATTATATTCAGATGGAAACGACCCGGAGGAGCACTTCAGCCTCCAATCTTCCCCAGAGGTCTCCCAAGGTATTCAAAATACCCCAGCTGAGTCTCCAGACTCCCCTTGGAGCCATGAGGAAGATGCTATCGGTTCCCCAATCCTTTCTCCCTTGACTTCTGGACATCTCGAAGAACAAGGGAGCCTCAGACCTACCGAGGATTTGAATGCCCTGGCCGCGCGGAGACTCCGGGAGGATGATGGCGGGAAGCGGCGGAGGAAACTCTCAGCTGCTACTCCAGCCAAACGCTCCCGGGTCGAAAAAAAGACAGCGCCCGAGCCAAAGAGCAGGATCCGACGACCTCGGAAGGCCTCTTTCTTCTGTGGTTGGGAGGGATGCAAGGCTTCCTTTACTAGGCAAAGGGAGTTTGAAATGCACATGGGGAAACATGAGAAACCCCTGTTTTTCTGTGATATCTGTCAACAACTCCTCACGAGGAAGGACAATCGGAAAAAGCACGATGAGTCTAAACGTCATAATGACAATTTGCTTGCACATCAAGCAAATCCTGCAAATTCCCCATTGCTCCCTCCTGCCGCCAACACCACCGCCACCACCACCACCAACACCAACACCAACACCATCACCGCTAATATCACTACCACTACCGCTAATATCACGGCCGCCACCACTAGTGCAGCCTCGCCCTTCTCTTCCTCACCCCTCTCTCCCTTTGGCTCATTAGAGTCATATCCCTCACCTACCTCCAGTCCAACTGTGAGCACCTCCAGTTCTCCTCCCTACCTCGAGGACACACCACTGTTCTTGAGCCATTATTCTATCTATCCCGACCTTCTCAACCAACCTATCATCACTGACTTGTCCTCCTTCGATACTGAAGCAAAAATGCTGATGCTGCATGCGAAGATAGCAGCCATTGGCAAAAACGCCGAAGCCCTCGACGTTGAGATAAGAGAGGTTCTGCAAGAGATGGGAACAATCCGAAGAGAGGCCTAGACTTATTGAGAGTGACCATAGGTTAACTACCAAAGTCAACTCACTGTCTACCTCTTTATGCAGAAGAAAAGCTTCTAGTCGAAAGGAAGGACCTGCTAATCTCCCCATGGCGACCTGAATTAGAAGACTGAGCTTTGTCATCACATAGGATTCTTCATCGTCTCTTTCACTGACACCTCTGTCCCGTTACTAATATTCCACCGAGGTTCCAACTTTCTCGAATCGTCTACCCTAGAACGCAAATTATCGTCTCTTGCCTGAGGCCGAACAACCTCTCCTTGTCGTAAGGGATCGTGGTGTTACCGTTGTATCTGTTCATAGCTCAAAGGAGATTCACTGGCAGAATTAATCTTCTTTGAGGGACTGAGAAAACGATGATGTCTTGACCTTGACGATAGTGGGGGGTTGTTCGGAATCATGCAAAGAGGCCTAGGGTATGGGGACTCAAGTAAAGTCATTGGAAACATAAAGGCATTTAGTAATCCGGAGTTCTTGTTGGTGCGAAAGAGTCTTTTGAGGGTACTTGTTGTGATGGCCACTCTGGCATATCTGGACTATGGATTTATCGTTTAAAAATTTCACAAACTTGGTTTGCTCTTCGGTAGCGTGATTTCCCCACTCATTCCTCCTCTTCCCCCTTCCTCCTCTTCCTCCTCCCCCTTCCCTTTCTTCTTTTCTCCTGCATAAGATAAATGCCCTTTCCATGGATATCTACTGTCTGGTTTACGAGATATTCTGTTTTTAACTCCCTCCGCCTTCAAATAGTTGCACTTGGTGCATAAGATAACCTACTACCGCCTGTTGACCCTTCTCTTTTCTACTCTCATTCCTATTTCTCCGTTCTCCGTCCGCCGCTTGCCGTTCTCTCCGCTCTCCGCCTGCTCCTGCAACCCCAAGTCCCCGCTCTTAGTTTCAATATACTCTTTGTTGTTTCCACCACTTTTTGTTCTCTTGTTTACATCATTTACCTTATGCTGACTTTATCGTCGTTTTTCTTGTTGTCATTGGAATTATTTTTTCATCTCTGTATGCTTCATGCTACCCTTTGCATTAATATCGTCACCAGTATCTACAACTGTGGCTACCGTATTGTTTTGTCAATGTCCAATAGTTTATGATCAATGCGAGTTTATCTTCCTGGAATACTTCATAGGCAGTCAAAAGTTTCGTCGCGAAAATTTAAAACATACTATGCCTGCACGCTGTACAGAGCAAGCGAACTTGCGCTAAGATTTTAAACGGCTTCATGGGCAAGGATAGATCGAGCTCATGACCATGAGTGCATAGGAAAAAAACCCGTTGTCTGGTACAGCTGAATCATATGTGCATATAGTTGGGGGGCACTGGCAGTGTAAACGCGTTAACGTCATTGGAATGTTATATGCTTTCGGGGACGGCTACTCGTCAAGCAAGAAGGGAATTCATGAATTCAGGGTAACCAAACGGCGTCAGAAATCATCCCGATTCGGACAATACAAGCAGAGACTGCAGTGATCTGGGCAAACAGCTGACGCATCGAAGTGTACTTTATACCGTACTTCTTTGTACCATTAGCGTCAATTTGGCGAAGGTTTATAAAGCGGGGTACGGGAGGGTGACTCTCCCACATCCCTGACCCTTGTAATATACAGAAAGAGGACTAGTCAACAGCAAGCAAAAGGTCTGGAGAAGCAGATACCCGAGGAGATTTCAGAGGAGCCCATGCAGAATAGCTGTAAGCCTGCCGTTCAATTGGCCCACCTACGCACTATTGAAGTCTGGAACGGGACGATCCAGCTAGTTCTTGTCGTGCCCCCCAACATATCCTCATGCGAAACGTTCTGAAAATGGTGATTCTAGCAGGCCGTAATATATAAATGTGCCTGTTAACTCGATGGATCTCAAAACAGAGCTCGTCTGGTTCATCCCAAGATCCCCCACGAGGAGTGCGACTTTATTGCTTTGGAGATGTTTGTGGAACCTTCATACCGATTTTTCGTTTCAAAATAGGCATTCAATACCCAGATCGATCCTGTTCGTGTTCTAAGATTAATTGGATGTCGAGTCTGCAGCAAACTGCGCAATTAATGGCTTGCACAGCCCGTCCAACGTTACGCACGACTGAATAATCAGCATTTCAACGAATCTGAATAGCATATCTCATCCAAGATAGCGTTCGAATTCATTAACCTGCTTCGAATCCGTACCGTGCGACTGGTTAACGAGGCAGCTACAACCGGTTTCTCTGCTGGTTGTGCCGTCTCAGCCTTGCTCAAAATTTATCCAATCTCGTTCTACCAATTATCCTTTGAACGCCCGCCCTTATTTCAAACCCATTACCTTCTTGATTTCCTCTGTTTAAACCAGGATAACGAAACGGCCCCGTTTGAATACGTCAATCCGCAAGGTACACTACTACCCCGTTTTTTTTCTTTCTCTCTCTCTCTCTTTCTTTATCTCTACTCAACCCGTTATACTTTTTTTTACACCCCCGCGAAGCGAGGAAGAGGTATCTTTTTATATAAAGAGACGTGTCACATACATACATAATTGAGATTAACATGACTGTTGGTATAACAATAGCCGTGCTTCTCAATAACACACCGGAAACTAGCGAGTGGGAATGGAAATGCTCGAGATCCAGGGATAGCTATAACTCCACCATACAGAACGACGAGAAATCGCACAATGAGGGTAGTTCCGGTCCTGAGGATCAGAACACAAAAATCAAACTCGAGGATACCGAACCGGTATTTAAGCTCGAGGATAGCAAAACTTGGTTCGCTCCGGCTGGCGTCCCGAGTCTAAAACTCTTGTGGCGAAGTCCCTTGGATTCGCCGCGACAGCGAACGATAAAAGCGGAGTCGCAATCCCCAGAGCTGCTGGATCGAGACGATCGCCCATGCTCGTTGGACTCTAGCGCCCAAACTCCTGAAGTTAGTGCCGAGCGCTGGATCAAGTCTGATCCTGATCTTGAAGTCGATAGCCCCATTATTAGCGACAGGCAGGAAATTAAAGAAGATATCGAAGAAGGGAGCCAGAATCGGCTGGCTATTCCAGAACCTTCTAGCTCGCGCTCCAGTTCGAGGTATATATCCACATCGGGCAGCCCCACTCCACCCGCGCCAAAAGCCCCGGGACGCCGCCCTCATCATCGCCGAAAATCTTGGCCTTGCCAAGTGTACCAGTGCAAAGGAATCTTCACAAATAAAAGGCTCTACGAGCGACATTTGAGTAGAGACCATAGATACAAATCGACAGAGTGCGCGATTTGCGGGAAGACCCTTGGCAGGAAAGATTACATGACAGACCATATCCGAAGCAAAAGACATAAAAAGGCTTTGGATGAGCAAAAGAAACTGAGAAAAGAAGCATAATATTCCTTGATCTCATACCCAGATCTGGAAGAACATTCTTATTAATTTGATTTGCGGTCCCATGTGTATTCTGCCTAGCTAGTATGAATACACAAGCGTACCTGTTATGCCCGTCAAAGCCGGGGCAGCGACAACTACCCAGCCTGATTCTCCAGCATGGATTAGGGAATTATCATAAAATAGCCGAACCAGATCCCATACCCACTCATCCCAAGCCACGAGCTTCGCCAAACCGAATGGCCCACTGGTAACGATACATTTAACCGCCCACCTTCGATCCAAACCCGAGCAAGAAACACGCGCACTAAGATTGATGGGAATACAACATAAAACGGGCTCCAGATTAATTAGGATAATGCCTGGTCCGATCATCGATCGATCATGCACCCTTCGAATCGAATTAGTTCCATTTTATTGTGAGCAAACCATCGTACAGAATCAAAGACTCACTCTCGAATACGATCGTATCATTTTACCGCTTTGTAAATCGAAGGACCTCAGCAGTTTATACATATTTGAAAGTTCATTGGTACAATTACCCGATATATCGAACACACACTACGGGCTCTCTTTACGATCTCTTATCTTTTCTTAACTGATTCTTGAACGGCTAGCTAAATTACAAATGTAGAAGATCTAAAGATTTAGCGCTGCCAGTTCGCTGTTCTTTCTTTTTGCACATACATATTATACTATGTTCTTAATCTCGGGTTCACTTTTGATATCCCCATGGTTCAACATACCATTTTTTGGTGGCCTTTAGAAGCTTGGAGATATATAAGATCAGCCGTACATGTCGCTCTTTTAAAATATTATATTCAAACGATAGAGTCTTAAACTCTACAGGCTTACATTATTCCCTAATTCTCGCACCATATATACCACGGCCTTACTCCTAAATAGATTAATTTTAGATTAAAATATAAACACATTCTTAGCCTTAAGCTTCGTGAGCTGAATAAAATACAATCAAAATGCCCTATGCAACAATTCCAGGATCGATAACTGGGTAGAAAAATCACCTACGATATATATTCTACCTCGGGCAGAGATATATATTGGATGCATGCTATTCATGGGCTTCTTATGGAGATACTTGATGATGGCAAAAATACTAGTTACAAAGCTCTGAATTGGCTTGCAGCGCTGCAGCCATAGAGAGTATCTCCAGGATTGAGTTGAGCTCTAAGCTGGTGCATCCCAAAGAAGCCCTTTTAGTTCGTCGAAAGATTAGGGTCTAGAGCATTCAATCGTACTTATAACTTTCGTGATGAAGGTTAAACGTTCTTTGAGTCGGTTCTAGAAATAACATTATTCAGCTAGGAGATTTTCCAAGATTTAGTTCCGTTTAGAATAGCGGTGTGATAGCTTGTCCAGATCTCAACGTCGAACATCTGCTTTCATTACCATCTCGTACTCGAGTACCCACAAAACATCACATTTAGTACCCACTTCTTAAATTTCCTTAGATCAGAGCTTAAGGCCTTGAAATTTGAGTGTCCATCGATATCTCGAAACATTCCATAATACCCATCGCAACAGATTCTTGATCGACTAGCTTCCCAATCGTTCCACCCAAAAATGCATCTATCCAGCTTCTTTATCACGTTATTGATGGGGTTTGGGGTCGCTTTCCCCACACATACCGAACTTGAGGATGTATTCACTATCGTCAAGGGAGGGCCAGGGGCCTGTACAGAAGGAGAAGCCTATACCATCAACTTATATCACATGGATATTATCTCGATGCTGGAGGCGGGGCTAGAAATGTTCAATGATGCTTTAGAGCGAGAGACGGTCTTCAGTAATAAAGATGTACACCTGCGTCAAATTGGAGCAAGATTAATGATCGAATCTTGGTTTGGAATCGATTTCAAAGACCCCTACGAGGAGGACGGGAAGAATATTTACCATGCACCTATTGAACTGGGGTTATTCTTCTTTATCCAAGGTAACTAATGTCTCTTTAAGATATGAAAAGGCTGTACAGTTGTCCTTGAAACTAATAACTACCAATGGCTATCTTCTAGGTATTATGGAAACAGCCCTCGGTTTCATTGATCGTAAAGAACCACTCGAACATCTAAACGCCACAAAACCGAAAATATACTGTAACGACAAATGGATTTTGAATATAAACAATACTAACTTCAACCCAAAAAACGAAGGATGCGCCAAACCCAACGTCTTAGGCCTCTCTGCATGGCAGCTAAGTGCCATAACTCTCTGTCCAAAATCGTTTCAGAAGCCAAAAAACTCGAATTTAATTAGGGGAGGTCCACCGGGGCCTATGGACCCTGAAAACGCGATGAACGATCACATTTCGGGTAGCATGCTCCTGTTACACGAGATCATTCATTTGGTTCTGGGCCCACAGGATCGTCGAGGTAAACAGGTGGAACTTTGTAAGTAAAACCCATCTAATCTCATCACCATCATCATAATCCCTCAATTAGTTATGACCGGTCTCGTAAACTAGACAACACACGGAGCACACGTTATGACCCGATATATATACGTTTAATGAACTAATCATGGCTTGCAATATTGTAGACACTGCGGACGACTGTCGTGCGGCAATCATGATGCAGATCACGCCCCTTTACTTTGAGGCTAAAAGGAATCCACAATCATATGTGTGGTTTATGCAGGGAGCTTATCTCGCAAGAGAAGCGAGATATGCAGAGGGGAGTTATTTTGAGTATAGTAGGGGTCAACCTTGGTATATCACGATGAGTTCAAATAATACTATTTAGGTCTTCACGTTTTCGTGTGTCGTTGCCTTCAAACCATTGGCAGGATTCCGATTGAATACCTAAGGCGGAGAACGGCGCTTGAGAACATACTGCTTTGTTATTATTTTAGTCTTTTTTTGGGGAATTCGCATCTGATGTTTATGAGCAGTAGTTTTTGCACAAATTTGAAGTCTATTATCGCCAGTGGTCTAATGGTATAAGCGCAGTCCGCTTGAACTGCCGATTAGACTTCAATGGTGAATATAATAAGTTAATTGTATACGCCACTTTCCATTTTCTCATCTTCTTTCTCTCCCCTTCCTTCTCTTTCTTTAAAAGGTAATGATGGCAGCGTAATGCTTCGCGGGAGAGAAATTTGCGAAGTCGTGCCAACTGAATATACAATATTACCCACTTTACGCAAGTCTCCCATTGAAAATCTGCTCCAAGGCTGCCTTTATGACCTCTCTTCCCTCTGCAGCAATCTCTTCGTCCTCTGTCCTCTCGGTATCTAGATCGATCATCAAAAATCTTCGTGCGATGTGTTCCTAAAATCCGCATGTTGACATGATTAAAATGACTTCCAATGCAGTAGTGATCCGCCTAGCGCTGTCGGCTTTCCAATGTTGAGGCCGATGGATGTGAACAGGAAAACAGATAATCTTACAGCATAGGCGAATTCTCTCCTCTCCCTCATACTCATCTCCGAACAGGCGCTAGATAAATCTTCTCCTTTGGCGAGTTTGACAATCAAGCTTTCTGCTCTATCGACAATCGCTTTATCGATACCGTTCATTGCTGCACATCTATATATAGTGGTGATCTTTAGCACTAATATATATATGGCTTCAGGTCAAATTATGACTACTTACACTGTCCCGAAACTGCTAGTCGATCTCCCCTGTTCTAATGTGTATAGATAGGTAATCTGGTTCTGGGCTTTCTCCGCGGTTTCGTCGAGAAGTATTCTCATGTGTCCATAACTAAGCGAAGGATGGCCGACAAGAAAGCCATTTTCGAAGATTTCTAGGTTAAAAATCAAAAAGGCGAGTTAGTAATCCGTATGGATTCACAGAGAATAGTTCTCACCATGATAATGCGTCGCCATTAGAGTTTTTGGCGCATCTGATCCAAGTTCCAATAGGTGCTCTGCAATTGCACAGGCAAGTCCAGCTCCATCTATTATATCAATTAATATTTTAAGATTAAGATAGGAAAATGGATATATAACCTGTGGATTCTGTCCCCTTTCCGAACTCGTCAACGACTAGCAAGGAACGTCTGCTTGCCAACCTAAGCGCCGCTGCAATCTGTTGCAAGTCGATCATAAACGCACTTTGTGTTTTAGTAACAGATTCTTTGGTTTGAATTCTCGTAAGAATAGCGTCTGTGAGGCCAATCGTGGCATGTTCGGCAGGAACGTAACTACGAGCCGGCGTTAAACAGAGTTTTTATATCTTGGCTTTTTAGCAAGGGAATCATACCATCCGATATGTGCCATGTAAACTATCAATGCTACCTGCTTCAAATAAACGGACTTTCCGGAGTAATTTGGTCCCGTAACAATCATCATGCTCTTGCTAGCCTGATCATTGTCGAGTGGAGAATGGGGAGGATTGTTAAGGTCACTGTTCTCGCCTCCACCTCCTTCGAGGTTTGTATCATTGGGGATGAACGCTGCGACGCATAACTCTTGCAGCGGGTGTCTTCCTTTGTGAATTCGGATTATGTTGCCTTCGGTAATTAGAGGACGGGTCCAATGATGTGTCATCGCAGCTTGTGCGAGTGAGAGAATACTTCTCAGAGTCAACCTCTAGCGCACTTAATTAAGAAGGTAGCATGAATACACACCTGTCTAACTCACCACAGATACTGGAAATTGATGTCAATAAATCCTTGTATTTCATCACTTTTTCTTGGAGTTCGTGAAGGATATCGATTTCTTTGTCTAAGGGCGATTGCGTTAGAGCTAGCGGTTATACGGAATGCCTATAGGTTAACTTTACCGCAGATAGCTCCAAATATGTCACCCAAACTTTCCTCCAGATCCCTCGTCCGCTGACTCTTGAAGTAAGCGCTGTGAGCTGTCGAGAACATCCAATCCCACTTATTCATGATATCGTCCTCGTCGTTACTTCCGGAGTAAACTGGCTCCTTATCTGGTCCTAGCGGAATACAAATTAAATATCCGAGTTGCGGGTAGTAAACAACGTTTAAATTTAGTCCAGTCGTTTTGATTTTTGGCGGAAGTTGGTTCATAATCTCTTTTGCAACATCGCCAAGCATGTAATCGAAACTGTTGTAAGTATCTTTGATGGCATCAAGGTCACTATCAACACCAGGTTTGACGCAGACACGGCCTTGATACTGGGACTCTTCAAAATCGACCTGAAAAGCAAGCGTTATTATTCATAACAGCTGAAAACGAGCTACTTGGGGGGTCATACAGTGTCATCAATCATTTTCCCAATGTTTTGAAGATGTACGATCTCAAATGCGTCGGCGATCTTTCGAAAAACTTCGATATCTAGTGTCCCAAGCATCTCGGCGACGTAGTTTCGGATCTTGACTGTATTGTAGACGAACTATATTTACCAATCAGCCTCTCGCTAAAGAAAATGAATAAAGATCTTAAGTTGACTCCCGACATGAAGAAGCGAATTCCAGGTCCTTGTTGAAGTACTTCTAGCCTTCCTTTTAGCGCCGAACTCAACGTCCCCCAGCATACCGTTCCCACTACTTTCACCACCTTTCTTCAACATTATGAGTATTTTGCGTATATCAGGGATTTTCTTCAGGCTTTTGTGTATTCCTCCAACTGCATTTGAGTTATCAGGTCGAATCAGAGTTTTGATAGCATTATATCTCGAGGTTATTACCCCGGAGTCAAGCGAAGGACGCAAGAACATTTGTTTGAGACATTGGTAACCCTGAGGAGTGCGGGTAGTGTTTACGATTCCAAAAAGTGATAAGCCTTCCTTACCACGGCCATGGGGCCCTTGTTTGTGGAAACTTGGATGTGATTCGTCGGAGAAGATCTGGAGCGAGGTCATGGTGTCTGCATTCAAAAACCTGCCACATCCCTGTAAGTAGCTCGGAAGGTGAAGTTGTATACATGCGTCTGTCTCGCGTTTGTAGTGCCTCTTACATAGTATTCTCCATGGTCCAGAGCTTAAGTCTTGAAACACCACATTCATCCGGGCTCACTTCAATGTGAGGGTTTTGGATGGCCCGTCTCCTTCGGACATTCAAAAGAACGGCGCCGGCGCAGCCCACCTATATAAAACTTTAGTAAGATACTGCAAAGTTCCAAATATATAAAGTGATTTAGGGTAAATTACGGAAACATAATTCCCTTCTGTATCAATATAGCTCTCAAGTCGGAGCATGGTCTGTTTTTTGCCCGTAGCCCTTCCAGGCATTGGTCCTAGTCCATATTCATCGTCATCATCCATCGCATTAGTGTCGTTTGGTGTAATGAAGGTTGCGTATTCATCATTTGATTCGAAATCTAAGTTAGAGAGTTTGTTCCGGCCTTGCTCCACTGAAAATTCTGGTGCTGGTCGGATGCTCAAGTCAACACCCGGATAGCTCTCTAGAGTATCTAGTAAACTTCATTAGACACCATTGTGACGAAATTCGATGGGGACTAACTGGGTAAATACCGCTGTCTGTGTTACTGGAGAACAAGTCGTCCGCCCTGCTAGGAAATAGCATCGCTGTCGGTTGGATTTGAAACCTCACTAGGGTGTATTTTCAGCCGATGAAGAACAAACAAGGTTCTAGTATGACTATGCACTCACGGCTTTCGAGAACCTCTCTAGCAGCTCCACCACTGGAACCAAAAATATTGACCTCTATATCATTGACGAACCATAGTGTCTCATCCTGCTCAGTATAGAAAGAACAACCAAGCCTCCTCCCACGATAGTCAATTGCCATGATAACAGCCTTATCTCCATCCTGTTCTTCCTCAGCTTCGCCGTCAATTTGAGCATTTGTTTCTTCTACTAGGTCCAGGTCGGGATATCCGGTAAAAGAACGAACGATTTCGGGTTGGGGAGTGGATACGAAAGATGCAGGAGACTCCCTAGACAAATTCGGCCCCGAGGGAGTGGGTAACACTTTGGCATTGGTCGAGGAACTAGACGATGACCCATGGTATGCGAAGAGACCACCTGGACCGATATACCTCTTTGGAGTAGCCCTGAATGGAGAGATTGGACGAGGACGTTTAGTGCCACGGGAAGATGACAACTGGGAGGATTGTGGTTTTCGAAATGTTGGCCCTGGAGGAGATGAAGTTACAGGCGGCAATGACGTACGTGTAAAACGCCGTTGAAGAGTATTACGGGGCATTCTCGTCTGTGATTTAATTCTTCGATGGGTCTAATGTGCATGGACACTTAGATATAATATACAATGGCATAAGATCAATTGTTCATGGAGACTTCAGGAAGAGGATGGTGAAGGAGGTTCGACTAAAGTGCTGTTCTGAGTTAGGATTGGTTATGAGCTGAGTTCGAGGTCGAGATCATGGGATTTTCAATTCGCACGGGCCTAGTACCTGGTATGCCGGTATCTGAGCTGCGCTTGCGCTGCGCTTGGTCAATTGAGCTATTCAGCATCCAAGCGGCTTAACCAAGATCGGTTAGATCGGTTAGCTTAGGTGACACAAGATCTTAAAATCCAACATCCCATAACAATTAATATTCAACGCGTTGCAATTGGGAAACCAGCGATCCCAAAGCTTCGAAGCCTCCTGAGCTGAATTCTCGACAAAGTCTCGAGTGATAATTAACAAAGAAAGTATCTAATATAAATTGCTTCAATAAAAAAAGACCTGGCTCATCCCTTAATTCTGTATGTAACACCGGAGTTCCGACTTCCCGGCGAGTGTTGTTCAGCCAGCTCTAGCTCCAACTTCGGAAGCAACCGGATTTCGACTGAGTTGGAAAATACTAAGATATCTTTCATAGAACGTGGTCTACTACTCGGGATTCCCCATCCATGTGAAATCAGGTTTCTGGAATTCTGCCTACTGGGCTCGCTTCTGCCGGTTTTGGATCCGAATTATTGGAGCGGAAATCTCACAATTTCACCGGGACGTTTGAAATTAGCTTTCCTTCGGAATGTGATGGGCATTGCAACAACGAAAAGTGAAGTTAACAGACGATCCTAGGAGATCCGGCGGTCGGAACATGCACGTATAATTATGCCATTAAGTCAACGACTTCAGAGCTCCCGCACGTGATTCTATATAATATCCTCTTAATTATAAGTCTAACTCCAATCTTCAATACCGTATTGAGACTGGCCACCAGCGATTCAATGTCAAAAGGTTTTATATCAAGATGACTACTACACTATCCGTTTACCGACATCCTCCGCGACGACGCCCGCGCAAAACTTGGCTCCAACGCCGGTTCCTCCTCTTCGAAGTCACGTTCGGCCTTTATATGATGTCAACAGCCGAAAAGCTGGCATTCTACACATTTCTATTCCTGTTTCTTGGCTTCCTAACTGCAGCGGTCACATTGTACCTCCCACAACATCTTCAAACCGTTGCCCGGAGGTTATTATTTTACATCTTTGGTGACCGTGGTGTCATCCGGAATCAGGATGTATTGGAGTATAGTTCTGTTTTTACTGAAGGAGTGGGAGTTAGTAGGAATGCTGCTATGGATACGCCACCCGGGTTTTCGATAGGACGTGGGGAGGCTATGACCTCTATGGGCTATTAATCATGTCTTCAAGGCTGTTTGCAGAGGGAATTGTTTTTCTGAGTGCGTTGACGAAGTATTTGGTTTATGACGGTTGTGGTCTCATATTCAAGAATGGCAAGGTTGAGAATATAATGAAGGTTCTGGTCTGATCTAAGACTAGGCCTCCAATTCTATTTCTAAGATTACCTACTTAGGTACCTATGAAGGGACCACATCTCCACGAAGTAACGAGTTTCTGTGTTATGAAAATTTGGTCGCAATACGCATGTGGTGCATACTTGGCGACATGCCAGAATTAGTAATCTTTATCTTGACGATATATTGATCGAAATAATAGGGTATTGATTGGGATATGTTAGGCTATTGAGGTTTTGTTGAGGCACTTGGTAGAAGGGCTGCGGGTAGGATGAGAGTAAAGAGATATATTATTCGAAGTTCCACAATATAATTAGGAACACCTCGGCTTTCCGTTTCATACATATTGAAAAGCCCTCCAGGAACGCCATTCCGAAAAGTCAAATGCGGCACCATAACACATGACCAGATCCAAGCAGAGTGAAGCGAAATACATAGAATCTAAAAAAAGATATACTATCATCATGATAGCATTTGTGCCCCTTCTATTATCAAAAAAGGAAAATTGGATGATGATTTAGTCATCCTCTCGCTTTGTTGCGCCGGACTTCCTTGGCTTTTTCGCAGCTGGAGGTTTCGAGCCACCCTTCCCTTTGCTGCCCCTCTCTGGTGTCTCGTCGCCTTCGTCTTTTTGGGCTCTCCTTCTCTTTGTCCCTGCTATCTTGCCATCAGAGTTGTCGCCAGCAAAAGACATTCTGGTCCCACCTCGCTTGGGCTTCAGTTCAGCTGGAGAAGCCGGACCGGGAGGGTGATGTTCCTCTTCATCTTCCTCAACAGGTGCCGCGCCTCGCTTGCCCTTCTTCTTCCGCTCTTTTCCGCCAGGGGCCTCGTTGTCCTGCAAGAAGACCTGGGGTTGATACTTTCGAAGCCAACAGTACACGCTCATCGGATTTCGTGGCCAGTGATGTTCTTCCTCGGCAGTGGCAGCAGGTATCGAAGCGTTTGTCGCAGCCGGGAATTTATTGTGAGTAGGCGACGCGTTTGGAAGTGATGGTGCTGTGAATGCTCCATCCTCTTGGTGATAGTGGATGATTGTTCCGGGTGGTAGTTCTTCGTCCTCGATTGGATTGAGGAACGGCGATGTTTCGCGAAAACGTGGAGGAGTCGAGCCACGGGTATACTCTGGTTCCTCTGGTAGCTCCCCGCGTATACGGACAGGCTGTTCAGTTGATTGAGAAGGTGGGGTGAGGGGCTTCGAGGGGTCGTGTACTACGCCATTAGAAGTGTATTTCGGATTCGTTTCTGAAGGCGATTCTTCTGGGGCCTGTAATGGATCTGGGATGTTTGCCGTTGAGGTGTCAACGTCCATTGCTTCCGGGTCCTCGTTAGGGGTCTCGGCTGGTGGATTCGGAGCCTCTGTTTCCCCGCCATTCGGATCATCCATGAAAAACTTCGTTTTGAATTGCTCCAGCGATGTAGGTGACATCATCCGCGGCGGTGTCAATGAAGTGGGCGAACCGATATCCTGGAAGTGCTTGTGTTTTATGTGCGGGTTCGAATTCAATTCGAGTAGTTGATCTAAGAGTCGGCTATTGGGTCTCGGTCAGCTCTGGATTGATGCTATCTGGATAATAACACTCACTTATTCTCTTCTGTAATCCTCTTGATGGTAGCAGTGGCGACTAAATCTTGCCTAAAGAGCTCGTCGGAGCGCTTCATCACGCCCTCAAACTGATGCCGAAGCTTACGGTATTTCTTCCTGCAAATCTGATTAACATGATATCCACCATTGTCGTCGTTATTTCGAATTACACGTACTTCCATGATTTGTACGATGCCCTTGGCTCTGCATCGTGGTTAGTTCGGTCATTGGTCCCATGTGAAATCTCCATCTCTAGCTGATCGCGAAACGCGCTCCAATCCAATTTTTTGGATGAGCCGTGAGGGTGTTTCGACACGTCGGACAAACTGGGCGATTTTCGTAACGGAGGGCATAAAAGTTGTTCGGAAGATGCTCGTGTGATGGGAGAGCGTTGGATGGTTGTAAGGATCGCGATGGGAGGGATGAGGTTGGTGGATTGGCGTTTGTGGCGATGGCGATCCGAAAGGGATGGTGTTGAGGTTTGTCCTGGTTGAGGTCATTGGAAAATGCCGAGATGTGGCGCGTAGTAGCTGTGGCAGATTAACGCCACAGTGGCTTTGCCAACATTTTTGTTACTCCCAGGTCACAGCATCGCGGACCAGAACATTGCAAACCCATTTATCAATATTACCTGAATAACAATTTGGTTACGAGGCTGTCTGGATATATCGATGCAGGTTTTTCGAGCAGGCAATACTGCTCAATAGCTGTAGGCTCCTTTAAAAAGAATAATTTTTATATCAGCTAGGCTATAGGTCGCTTGTATCGATATCTGCCACCATTGACTGTTCGATATTTGGATTAAAGTGAGTCTACTTTAAAAGTCAAGAGATCCCGGAGCCCCTTTCTCAAAGAAATGTATACGACCGTGAGATCAATGCTTACATTTACATTCAAATCCAAAGCTTATCCCAAAATATATGTCTGGCTGCCCTGATCATCATTCGGCCCCATAATATATAAGTCTCGCGTGCACTGCCCGTATCTAGACGGTGCTTAGAAGCCCACGTACGTCACTTGGTCCGAACATGCACCTTCTATAGACGTTCAATCTCGACAATAACCTATCTTTTTTTTACTCATCTGTTATTCGCTCTCCCTTGCTGCTGTCTTTGTCAAAATGACACCCGAACTTGAATTCAGTAATTCTCCGGATCTGATTCTAGAGTTCGTCCAAGGTGCTGTCAAAAGAAGAGGGTTCGTCTCCGCAGCAGCCTTGGCGGACGCTAGCTCAATATGGCACAGCTCCCTTTATATAGCTCGGCTGCCAACCCAGGTTGTTGATAACAGAATATTCCGGGTTCTTGTTTTAGGAGAAGACTGTGATGCCGATGCTTTAACAACGGTCTTATACATTCTCCACCATAGAGCCAGGAAGGTCCCACGATCGATTTCATTTCAAAAGTTAGTAAACATATCAATGATTTGCAAGAAATACGATCTCGCCGAAGCCCTTTTGCCGTGGCCTGAATTCTGGATAGAGGATTTGGTTCAAGAAAACCAAAATACAGGCGATGAAGGGTGGCTGCTTGTGTCTCATGTATTTGAAGATATCCCAGATGCACAAAAGCAAGCGACTGGTATAGCGTCAAAGCTGGCGATAGAGTGCGCTGGATGGACTTTGAAGGAATCCACACATTTTGTACGATATTCAGAGCGTCATGAGCAAACAAGCCTAAGTCCGAACGATATGTCTGTAGTTCGCACGGATCTTATACCAAGTTCAGCTCTAGGTATGTATATCTTACATTAATTTGGCTTGTTTCGTCTCTTCCCCAAACTTGTCTAGGAGTTTTTCGTCACTCTTCTACTATCAAAATTTAGATTACTAGAGCTAGCTAACGGAATCGTGTACAAGATGAAATTTGGAATACTCGGAAATCGAAACTGCTTAAAATCGTTCCTTTCCTTGAAGATCTCTACCGCGATATGTCACTGCATGCCGAAATTTACGATTGCGAGAAGTCGCGTCTTTGCAGTAATCGGGTCTGCGTAGATGTCGCTGTTGGCTCAATACTACGGTCAACTAGGGAACTTGGGCTTCCTCTGTTTGCTCCATTTCCCCCTGACACTTTCACAAGTATGCCATTATGGTTATTACGGAATAAATTCTTAGCCTTGAGCTGTACGACTATAATTCCGTGGAGTCGAATAGATACGGCCGGGTTGTTCAAGCATTTGTTTAAACTGCCTAAAGATGAAAATTACTGCCATTATCAATTGCAGGGAGGTACGACCACCACTTCAGAATTCTCTGCGATATATTTATCTAATCCATCGGAAGGTATGTTACGCTTTGGCCTACCCAAAAAAGAAATGTTACCTAGACTCAAATTCAATAGATAAATCTAACGTATTATAATCGGCGTAGAGCTTAAAATCACAGATTCAGAAGATTGGGAGAACGCCAGACCAGAATATGATATTGGTAAATCAGAATGTGGCATTGCAACGAGGATGCGTGGCTTTCAAGAACAGATTCGCCAGAATATATGATATCGGTTTCAATCTGGGTGCATGTTTAGCGACTGTAATGTCGTGAAAGTCGTGAAAGGTCCCTATTGAGCCCCTCCGTCATGGCAATCAATTGCGAATAAACATATTCGCCTATTAAACTCGTCCCTCAGGGGGGCAACATAAGTTAGATCTGCAGAATCTCACTTTTTAGTCTTTGATTATCTCAAATTGCAATATATAACCGGAGATAGAGTTTTCAACGGCATCTGCAATCTCCGCTATTTCCTGCGCTTTCTTCGCAATTGTGCATCGTTCCTGTTTTGAAGATCCCATTAGTAAATCACTGGGTGGTGGAGAGCCTACAATTGAACATCAAGGTTAAAGCATTAATTAGCTAGTTTCTTATAAATTATGAGATATATATAATCTACTTTTTGTTTTTTAAAAAGATTCAGGGGGACCGCTGAAGATTAACTCACCAGCAGCCGTCGGATTTACTAGTATTCCAGCTTGAATATGCTCCATATTCCCACCACCGCTAAGTTTATATGTTCCATAGTCAAAAAAGCCTTTCCTTAAGACGAACACAGGGTATGTTGTAACAGTCCAGGGAATAATTGTTTTGCAGCTGGTCGCAATTGCTTTCAGTTGTCTACAAACTATCCAAAGAGGAAATTTGTCAAAGCCCGCTGTACTGGAAATCTGGTGGATAGTAAGTCCGAGTCGTTTTATCGAACGAACGACAGAGCCGGTGGCCAATTCGAGGCACGCGTAGTCACTGCATGGCGGTGTATTAGCATCGCCTTGGCCTTGGCCTTGGCTGATAACGTCCAATCCAGCACAAAAGTTTCGGATCTTTTCCACAGCCAACTTTTTCCCACGTTCGCTCTCTTCCACAATATAGTCTATGAAACCGTAAGCCAAAATACACTGGAGCTCAACGCTGGGAACGAGACTAAGTTTTTGCAGCCAGGGCTGACATACTAACTATCCGATCAGGAGTAAATCTGAGTTTCACAGTATGCCCATGTATTTCATCCGAAAAGCAGTCTGAACTTGACCGGGGGTACCGTCGAAACTCTGAGTGGTCTGGACTCCAATTATAGCACTCTTTTGCAAGCTGTACTGACAGTTCGCGTACCAATTTTGCAATACCTCTAACGGTTGGGAAGATATGTCCTATTAGGAGCCAGTCCTCCTGCCCGACTTTTGAAAGATCATGATCCCTCGCGTTGATCAGGTTGGGAATCCAGGTATCCGGCCACGGATGAACGATTCTAGCGCAATCGTACTTGTCGCAAACCACTGCAAGCTCAACCAGTAGTTGGTAAGAAAGTGTTTTGGATATTGACTTCGTTTCGTAGTGGATAATTTTGAGGATTATGAGCATTGCCTCTGCTTGGTCATCTGGTAAGGAGAGGACTCGCAGCTGTCTTCCGAGGTCTGTGTCTACTGGTAGGGCGCAGAAGCCATTATCAGGGTCCAGCATACGGTTGAACACATCAGAGGCATTCCGAATGGCCGCGGATGTGCCGTATACTATGTCCACTATCCTCCCATCATGGTGAAGCTCAATTTTGAGATCGGGGCATTTACTATAGTAATGCTTCTGAACCTCCGGGTCCATGTTTCTGTTATGTGGGCCGAAGCCAGGGAAACAATTTAATATGTATGGGTACGAGACCACGACTGTACGAATTTGCTAAGGCTAAGGTGGCAATCGGTGAGATTATAGAATTAAGATTATATGCGGTGTTTGGTGGTATGATAGTGGAGGCCTCTGAACAGGGGGTTTACTAATGATAATAGCTTAAAATCAATATAGGATCAAGGAGATCGATACAATATGTGCAGCCTGGTCTCGTTGGTACAGCCCTGGGATTAAGACCAATGCAATACAGCCTCACCGGACTGGGTGTTCAGGTACTAGTACTTGTCAGCACAACGGGCAAATATTCCAACGTTCAACACAATGACATGTGGAACTAGGAGAGCTAATGCTAGAAGTTAGATAGCCTCGAGACCAGGCGCAGATGTGAAGGCAGAGACCCTAGCGAAGTTAGAAGCGTATACCACAGTATGTAAGTCATGTAAAGCCAGTTAGCTAAAAGGAATCAATGTAGTTTTTGTGTTTTATCACAGTTGACATGATTGGTTTTACGAGATCCCGAGCTGTAAAAATTGAGGCATCGGTCTTACGATTTCCAAGTTAACTATTCCACAAGTTCCCAAATCGACTGGTTACATTTCCTATTAAAGTATGTGTCTCATTCGTCTTTGGCCATGTCGCAGAAGTTCTATTTTTGTTTCGTTGGACACCTTGAGCAAAAGCATAATACCTCAAAACTTCACGCAACTTTTCGACTCTCTCCCAGACAACCCAGAGGCAGACTTGCTTCCGAATACATGAAGGACAATAGGTTCCTTCAAGATCCCAGCCTGCCTGGTGTGATGACCCCATAGAAGATGCTAATGTAACTTCATAGCATCCGGTATCTCCTTGACAGTCTCTTTCTATAATATTGCCTTTGATTTCATCAAACTGCCGCTTAAGAATTTCGATCTCGAGAAGCAAATCCGTCATCTCTGAAATGGCCCTTGAAAAGGATTCATCCCGGGTTTCCTTGATCTTGACTACAAATCGGAGTTCAGGTGCGCTATAGTTAGCACCCGATACTTCAAAACAAATTTATAGCTGTAAATTGGTGAGTTTTAACGGCAAGACATGATACGTACTAAAAGTTGGTTGAGGAACTCTTTCAAACATCACCGGCAGCACCACTCTCTGCCCATCCCTGGATGATTTCAACATCCTGCTTGCATCATCGAATGACTCCATATCGCCCACAATTTCTTCCACGAGTGTATTGAAAACCTTTCGGTGATATGATGTATAGTTGTCGATATTCGGAAATGCTTGTGCTAAGAAAAGCCATTCTTCGCAGCCCTCCTTCGAAATATCCTCTTTCCAAGGTTCGGTAAGGTATTCGGCGCCGTTATTCCTTGAATTCGAGCTTTCTTCGCTGGGCAATAACGCCACCACCCATTTCTCCGCCCACAGGCCAATTGCCCTTTGCCATAGATACTTATCGCATAAGATTGCCACAGCAAAGATATTTTCTCTATTCATTTCCCTAGGGATACTGTCTAATTGAAAGTGTATGATATTAAGTATCCACCCTAATGCTGCAATAGAATCTTCATGGAGGCGCAAAACGGTAATTGGATTACCGTTTAAGTTTGTTTGCGGGAGAGGTTTAAATCCATTCTTTGGGTCTAACATTCGATCGAAGAAGCGTGATGATACTCGCAAACAGGCCGCCGAAACTAGAAACCCGTACATCTGCTGGTCTTCTTCATCTTCGAGTTCGATAATCAGATCCGGTTCTCGGGTGAACCATATGAAATGCATCCCATGGATAAAACAGACCCCCGAAAGCTAGCGCTCACAACTATTGACGCCAAAGTTAAGTGCAAGGTAATATATGTAGCTAAACGGAAATGAGAGGTGCACTTGCTTCGATTTCAATATTGGCCGGTAAACTTGGACTTCAAGCGGACTGCCGGGTTGAATGTAATGGATAATATATACCCGGAGAACTATTCCTTTGTATGTGGGCTTAGCCATATACGTGTGTGTAGGCCTAGGTATATACCTGAATGCAAATGTGGGACCAACTGTGGAACCTGAATGTACCGAACGCAAACAGATATACATATATCTATACTAGCTTTCGAATTCGGGCCCAAAATACCCTAAAAGTTAAGACCATAAGAAGCCGACCCACTTCGCTTGCTTCCCTGGAGCTGGTGACTAAGTTCCAAAGACATCAAGGATTAATACCCCAGCTAGCAGCCGCGATTTCGATACTAAAGCTTGACCCTGTCGAGAGCGCTGGTTCTAGAATTATGCTGTGCTGCCAAGAATGGCTGGGAGGAAGGCAACGCAACATAGGTCCAACAACGTTGCATGTTGCTATTTAAAGAACCGGCTGTAAGCCAAAGCTGATGTACCGTGTCGAAGAATGTTATAGCCTCGCGCACATATATACTGGGCTCAATGCAATCCGGCTGTTGTCTAGTGTTGCAGCTAAAGAAGCATGGAACTCATCGCGGCTAGCGAAATATCAAAACTCCATTATTATTTAAAAGATATTTGTAATTTCAGGTTACAATATACTAGTATACTCGAACGTGCATGTTTTTTTTGTTTTTTTAAATTAGATTCGCTGAAGTCGAGGCAGCACATCCATATGTGTAGTTTTGGTTCTTCAATTAGCCAGTGGCCGCAAATATAGACTCAATTGCAAGCGAGCTGGCGTCACAGAACGCTCTAGCGCTCAAGCTCGCTATCAAGATTGAATGAGGTTATAATAAATCTAGTAAGGTGGGTTTATGACCGTTTAACGTTTCTGGGTTCAATTTTACATGCTCACAGGTAGTATTTCAGAAACGGAGCAGACCCAAACACATACTTGATTAGGTAGGTACTTATATACAGTACTTGTTTATAGGTCTAAACTTTACAAATTTAGTATCAAGATAGTGCAAAATGGAAAACAAAAAAATGGAAAACATATATATATAAAAATAGTTCTTTCCATATTCACCGGGTTAGAAATTAGAAAAAACATTTATTTTAAAACACAATAGTATCAAAGGCTGTTCGGCATAAGAATAGTAACCAATACATAGATACAAATTGCAATTTTAGATTGCGACTTGAATTCATAGATTCTGTCAGATTTGATAGATTAATCTTTATCAGTTTTGAGAACTTCTATTTTGAAATTTGCCCTTTACTGGCACCTAAAAGGCCTAGTCAATTTGCCCGATGGTAACCTTCTAGTCAACTGGATTAAAATAATCCACAGTGATATTAGAGGATAGGGATTTTAGCTACGGCATGAAAGATGAGATCTCTTCTGCAGTAAATAGGGCGATAAAATTGTACATACATCGGCTCAGCGTGGTCGGTAACAACTATAGCCTCGAATCGGCCAACGACATTAAAAACGGGGGAGTAAACAAATAGATGGGATAAGTTGTACATGTGGATATAGGGAAAAGAGGTGGCGAATCGGGGGAGCGGTGGATGAAGGAGCAAAGGAATAGTGAAGTTTAAGTGGCACCGGGGCTAGGATCAAATGATGGCCCTGGCCACTGACTCACGAGCGAAATAGTTCTTTGCCTTCTACTTATTTCTCTTATTTCCCTCCTCCGGTTCTATATCAATACCTAGAACTCGTTTCCGGCACCGCACCAGTTTAGCATACTGAGGCCCAAGGATATCAAGGATCCTGTATCCTGACATAAAATTAGAGACATCCTTGACATTGTTCTTCAGATCTTGCAGTCCGTTTTGGTGGGCCTTCGCGGTGATCCGCTGAACTCGATCGGCGAACATCCAAACCGGCCAAGTCGGAGTTGGGGAAACCGGGTTTGAGAGGAACATTTCCGCCAAGCCAAGGTTTTTAAGAGACCTCCCCAGCATTGATTTAGCGTGATTGGTTTCCCTTGCTGGTGGCAGGGAGCTGGAGCTGGAGCATTGCGTAAAGGCGGTGACTTGACGCGTCCAATGAAACAGGTATCGCTTTCTCTCCTGGAGGATGTGCGCTAAAAGGATGAGAAAGTTAGTGTAAGTCTCTTGAAGATTTGTCCCTGAGAGTTCAGGCTTCATAGAAATAGAACTTAGTGGGGGTTTAAGATACCGAAAATGCAGGATGGTATGTCTTCATCCTGAATCTGAGTGATACTGTTGGCTTCAGAAGAACCGTCCATTGGCTGCGACCACCGCTGGAAGCCCTCTACGCCTTCCCGCTGGCAGATTTCCCGTGACAATATAAGTGAAAGCTTCTCAATTATCCGACTCGAACAATCGATACCTGGGAAAGTATCGGCTATGAACAACCAGCCTTCGAACCCTGGCTTTGTAACGTGGGATTCGTCCTCGCCAATCAGAGCACGAATCCAGAATGAAACTAACTTTTCTACAGCATCAGCAAGCTGATACTTGCGAGCAAAGCCTGCGAAATCTTTCAGCCTTCTAAAGGTGATCGGTTTAGGAGCTTCGGGTAACTTGTGAATGATATGTAGAAGAAGTGGAAGAACGCCTATATCTTCTCCAGATTCGATCATAATTCTCATGATTGGATAATCTGCCCCGTCGATAACCCTGCGAGCTGGGTACGCCATCTTTTCCATCATAAGAGATAGTCTTCGGTGGCAAAGCATCACTGAGATGTCGACTAAGAAAGCCAAATGATATTCATTTGTTTCCTCCTTTCCTAAATAGAGAAGGGTATCTGGGTCCTCTGCAATCCACTCAACTATACCATTGTTGACACATTCAGGATCAGGTACCCTCGGCCCGGTGTACAACTTAAATTGGCGGCCGCTAAGGAGGAAAGGGAGAATTTAGTTTCTTTCATTGACGGGGAGGAAGCGGACTATATATGAGGTTAGAAGCAGACTAGGAGTGAACATACTGCTGCATGTTGTAACTACTAGAGGAAGGATACGTAAAAATTCTTGGCTATTCGAACGTTCTCTAAATTTTCTTGCGAGTTTGTTTGGGCGGAGAGAAGTGGTATTAGTATGTGGGGGGTTGAGGGGTTAGGTACGTTGTATGCTTGAAGTGTCGGAGAGCCTGTGAAGGGACACCCATGGGGCAACGCTGGGCCCTTTTGGTATCCTATGAATACCTCGCCTTCCGTCAACAACATTATCCACTTGTTTTGGTTTAAGCTGTTAGTAAATTTTCTTTTTTTTTAATTTATAGGGATTTCAAAGATGCTATTTCTGTGGGCCTATACTGGTCTAAATACTAGGCTAGACAGCTCCTAATATGTGTTGACGCGTTGCAGTTTGTCGTCCCCAGGGCTCGCGGGAACCATGGACCGGGCATTAGTCTTGGCATCCGGGCTCCAAAGTCTTAGCGTCGCATAAAATTTTCCATTTGCGACTTTTGAACCGCAAAATTGCATCCTCACCAACCATCATCACAATCCGTTAGTTCAGTATCATACTAGCCTGTCATCCCGTTCATAATTACCTACCGCAATGGCTAACGCGCCGGTCGATACATCTCCCGATCGAACGTTTAAAAAGCGAAAGATTTCAGAGAACTCCGAACCAGAGCTCGAAATCGATGTTAGCCTACCGGAACCGCCATCGAAAAAAGACCTCCGAAAACTGAAGAAGCTGAAGTCGAAGGGTGTTGACACCGATGCTCTTGAATCTCTCAATGTTCCTCTGATTGATCGATCTAAGAAGGGTGCTCAGGAAGGCGAGGCTCCCGCCAATGGCGCGAACTCGAAACGAAGCCCATATGGTGTTTGGATTGGAAATCTTACTTTCAATACGACTCGGGAGGAATTGATTGACTTCTTTACTCGTGGATCGAAAGAGAATGATAACGACGACGACAGTAAAAAAGAGAGGGAGGCTTCCGAAGTGATAGGAACAGGTATCAGGCAGAAGGATATCACCCGGCTTAACATCCCAAGATCTACCAAATTCAAAAACCAGAATAAGGGCTTCGCATACGTCGACTTTTTGACAGCTGGGTGTATTTCGCATGCCCTCAAACTTTCTGAGAAGCTTTTCAACGGCAGAAAGGTGCTTATAAAAGCATCCACGGATTTCAATGGTCGGCCGGAAGAAGATAAAAACAAGAAGAAGGGAGAACAGGGCTCTATCAACTCTGGGACAAACCCACCCTGCCGTAGTATCTTTGTTGGGAATCTCAGGTATGAAGTTACGGAGCAAGAGATATTTAGACACTTTAGTCCCGCTGGAAAGATAAAGAAGGTGCGATTTATGACATTCGAGGACTCTGGAAAGTGTAAGGGGTTCTCCTGGGTTGATTTTGAGGAACTTAAGAGTGCGGAGAATGTCTTTTCGGGGAAGATAGAGGGTGCTGAGGACAGTGGAGATGAGAAAGAAGAGGATGACAACAAGGACGATTCGGAGAGTGGAAGTGAGAGTGATAGTGAGGAGCAACCAAAAAAGAAGAGGAAGACTACGAAGAAACAAAAGAAACAAAAGACCAATCCTTATGCTTTCATGGGGAACCGAAGGCTCAGGCTAGAATACGGAGAGGATTCAACGACAAGATATAAAAAGAGATTTGGCGACGGAAAAGCGGATACCGACGGAAAGTCAGAAAAGCCAAACTCGTCGCACAAGAAGACATCAAAGGATGCACCGGTTAGAAAAGAGACTAGCAGGGAACCGAAGAGACCGCTAACGACCGAGGAGAAGCAGGCCAAGACTGTGGAATCTAGACTCACCGGTAGAATCGTAGAGGGTACGGGGAAAAGGATTACATTTGATTGATTGTTAAACCATATCTTAGCGTATATATTCGCAATAGTCTTAGAATACCGAACTACAATTTAACTATCATGACACATTATAATCGTAACACTGATACCATTATTTCAAATAAGAAGCCCTTTCTTGGGTTACTAGCTACTAAGCCTTGGTATTGGCTACACCAGCCGTGATTTACATGGGAATTACCTTTAATGCCACGTGTGAAAATATAAATTACATAAATCTATGGTGCTAATTGTAAGCTAACGTGATTCCAAAAACGAACTTACGATCAGCAAATCTGCAGCTATAGCTAGACCGTTTGAGCTCTTTACTTCTTTTAGCAAGTACAACAAAATCAACACGACAGTTGCATACGTATATCGCGGGGGGGACTTATAATTACTATTTAATGCGTAAAGCTACTGTAGTCTCGTTGTTACAAGATGTTATGTCTGGGGGAAGGTGGAGAATGTCCTTGCGAGTTTGAATTGTTGAGATATAAGTTATCTCGCTATCAAGGGGAGAGAATCTCAGCTGAATTATGTAGGACTATCTGCGAGTACGTACGGCATGCTTAAGCAAGAACCTCGAACACAGCCGGTATATAAAATAATCCCGTATAATGATAGGGGTTGATATCGTCGATATAATAAAGTCTTGTAAAAAAAGGTTGAGCGGGATAGTTTATTGTGAAAACAAAAATTCAGAGAGAAGGAGTAAATGTTTGAATGAGGGTGACAAGTCATGGACTCGGCTCAAAGTTCGAAGCTCTTTGTGGCCAAGGAGAAGGAATCGTAAGCCACGGCTGAAGAAGACAAGATGAATGCCAAGCGCTAATGCTCTACCATTTTCCATCTAGCGACCAGTACATATCGCCAGAGTAGTATATGGCCGATTTTTTATCACCTTTGAGGAGCTGACATTTGTTTGGAGCCTTTCCGGTGTAGTCATTGACTAGAGTAGTGATTAGGATGTCGGCAAGTCGAAAGACCTCCTTGCATTCGATATTAAATGGAGTTTCACGAGTGACACATAAACCGATACTTCCATCCTTTCCACAGCCGAATCGTTTGCAGGCACGGCCAGTGATTGAACAGGAGCCATGGAAATTCTTGACTTTGTCGAGGGCAGAAATATAATCAAGAAGGCTGGCACCACTTCGTTGGTCTGAAGTGCGGGAGCAGTCGATAATGTAGTTGCCGCCGCGTTTGAGAAGGAGATCGGGCTCGTTGACAGTGGATGCGGTGTTAAAAACGGAAGGGTCGAATCCAGGAGTTGATTCGATTTGAGCTTTGATGGATTCAATGCTCCCAAATAATGTATAGTTGCTACCACCAGGGGCGACAGGACCAGTCCATTCAATGTCGTCATAGAGATTCAATCCATGATGAGTGGCCGAATCGGGTAGAGTTGGAGTAGGAATTCCGGCGCAGAGCCAGACAGAGAAAGTGAGGGTGAAGACCAACGCGATCAATGGTTTGATAGACCCCATTCTGAACGCTAGGGATACAAGGAAGTCCTAGGCTACAGAGAACTGATACGGGAATCAGGATGGTTGAAAGTTCGTTAATTGGTTATTCAACTTTGGAAGTGGAAATGGAGGTAGATGTTCAGTATAAAAGGAGAAAGATTGTAAGAGGGGCTGTTTAAATAGTCGTATGATTCAGAACGGAACATTGAGTGAGGGAATCCTTTCAAGCCACACTTATAAGGATGCTCAGCGATTAGTATCCCTCCCTTGTCTTAAAACAGTTCGGAATCTTGATCTGAGTCTTGGTCTACAGTATCGTTGCTAGGATGTCGTCTATTTGCCTAGAGGATTCGTATTCGATTTTGTATGGTATACTATATACATGAATCCGCAACATTGAATTTAAATTTCAAGTGTTCATAATATTTCAGAAGGTAATTGAGGCCTTGGCTACAGCGGGATGCTAATTATTGGATCTTCAATCTTTATTGATGCGTTCGTTATACCTTAGTATAAACAAAAAATTTAACAAGGAGAAGTGCACGTATATGTCTAGTACGACATGCATGACTACTATAGCGGTCTTCCAATACACTTTTGTTGTGGGGAGGATACTTGTCTCGTATCGCAGAAGCAGTCCATATGAAGTATACGACGAGCTGAAGTAACAAAACATGTTAATGCCAACTGGTTATAATAGTTAACACGAGATAAAATTGAACTAATGCTTCGTTGAAATCATCAAGGTACTGATATTGATATAGAATCTCAGATTTACTCTAGAAAAAAATTGCCCAATATGCAAATAGATTATAACGATTAATCGTACAAGATGCAGAACCCCATCATATTATAGTAAAATCCGGCCGATATATATCTATCTCAGGATGAACGCTTCCATATATAGATATAGATATAGATCGTGTCTACCTCAAACCTTAATTAAAGGGTGTAATGGTAATGATCAAATGGTTACATAACTTATGCTAGTTGAACCCGCCAATATTCATGAAATCGAATCCTTCCCCTAGTCTAAATAAGGTAAGTGCTTCGCCACTAAAAACAGAGCGGCTTCGTTCGACCTGTATGCAAGCAACATGAACTCCAACTCGTCGACCACCGCTTGCATATCAGATAACCTTTCCTGTCTCCCAGGATTTTCAAGTTCCCACAGCCCCCAGCAAAACCCCGGGTCATAGAACTGAGCTTTCATCCAGTTTTCGAAATTTGCCTTGAATTCTTCCATGTTATCAAAGTAGAATTTCTTGCTACTTGAAGTTTCAGAAGATGTCCCTTTCGGCAAGGCGGGTTTTCGAGCAACGCGGAGCAGGTATTTTCCTTCTCTTCCGCAGTTAGATCTGTGGATTGATACTGGAGGAGTAGCTGTTGGCGTGTAAGATTTCGGGAATTCAAACCACTGATCAAATTCGTTATCCTGAACTATGACATCACTTAGGGACTCAAGGGAGGATCGAGGAGTGAGTATCTGAACAGGAACATTGGAGGAAGATGAGCCTGTAGAAGCCCTATCCAGGAATTCATGAGAACTGGATCTTCTATCTGGTATTGACTGAGTATATATATTAGTGATTGCATTAGATTTAAGCCATTCAATCGAATCCTGGAAAAACTCATTGAGATTGTCGAAACCGAGCAGGTTGTCGATGGATGATTGTATAGTGTTAGAGGGCAATAGTGATCCTGTGCGTTCTAGGTCGCGGATTTGCGGCGCTGGGGTTTGCATGAAAAAGGGATTTTGTGAATTTTCTAAACTCTCATTTACACTTGTGGCTAGGCTGGAGAGCGTCATCGGGGTTTGTGCAGGTGTTGGAGAGCTTGGAAAGACCCGTTGAGTAAGGGTTCGACTCGTTGGCGCTACAGGGGCAATTGACCGTGATCGGTCTCCAATCGAGGGATACACCGCACTCGTGCTCAGAGCAAAAGTTCCAGGAGAAATCGTGTTCGTTTGAGGCGAAGGGTGAATGTGGGAAACATCAAGGTCTTTATGAAACGTCAGGCTATTTTCAAACAAAAGAAATACGTATATAGAGTACTATAACTTCAAGAATATATAGACTTACGAGGGGATGGAATTGGACGATGATTAGGCCAATTTGGGTTACAAACAAGGAATATTTGTGACCATGTTCGCGCCTGCCGAATCTCTGGAGGAACAGTCCCACTGAAGTGGTTTCTTTTCAAATGTTCCCTAAACATGTACGTAAAAGGTTAGAAGGTAATTCAATTTTAGTCCAATGGAGTAGAGCAAGCTAGACGCAACCGATAGATATCGCGACAGTTACGCTTACGATAGATGCTCCTTCACTGACCTTACGCCCGGTAAATCCCGCCGGTGTACAAAGAGGCACCTTTCATGTGTGGTCGGATCTCCCTTTGCAAATGGGCAGGCTAAACGCTGATTGATTTCCTGTGCACTCATAAGTTTCTTTTTCCTTTTGGGAGGTTCTGAACCTTTTCCACCGTCGTCATCATCAGAATCTCCTCTGCCGTGCTTTTTAGTCCGGTTCGTCTGTCTAGACCTTGAAGCAGGTAAATTCCCGGGTGAGTTTCCACTCCCTCCAGGTGCACTACTATATCCGCTTGTTGAGCCGCCGTTGGGTCCACCACCAGCACTAGATCGAGAATTTGACCCCCTTTCGTAGGTCAACCCTAAATAAACAAGATATAAAAGCGAGGCGCTGAGTTTCCCCAATTCTTCGTCGTCGTCGATTTCATCTAGGCTATCTGAGGAGTGATAGCCAAGAGAATACTGAGCGGGGCGAGGTCTCGAAAATACAGGGCCTTGGGTAGATGGCTTCGAACAGGTTATTTCCGACATCGAGTCAAGGCTTGGACATGATAGAAAACACCCTGCAGATAAATCCATAGAGTTTGTTACTCCGGGATAGTTCTGTGCTCGATACAAGGTGGACTCCTTGGAAGCTTGCGGGCTTGATCGCGACGATATCGAGTTTTCGTCTTCCTTACTTTTGCCTTGTACCGCATTCCGGTACCAGTGCAACGGGCTCTTCGGGTCCGAACTTGATTCTAAAGAGTTTAAAAGGTCCCAGAATTTCCCCCCACCAGATTTTACGTTCGAGGATAGAGATGGCACTAGCAATTCGTTTGAAGAGCCGGGTAGTTTCCCCTCGGCTAAACAGCTATATGGATTTGCGGTGACTCCATCTCCTACTAGCGGGTTAAGAAGATTCCTGGGCTTTAGTGGGGCAGTATATGAGGTGTTTTCTTTAGAGACGGTGTATTCTTGAACGTAGATATTTTGTATACCGTCCTTTGGCTGTGAACTCGAATACAAGCGCGAAGGATTGTACCTCATGCGCAAAATCAATTCGTCCTGGGATTTATAGTTTGGTTTCCCAGAATTACTTGATCCTAATTCGAGGATAGCGGAATTAAAAGCTTTTCTGACATCCGAGGGGTGATCTTTCCAAACAATGGCATCCGAGTCTCCACGAGTTCGTCCCCAATGGTATATTTGTAAAGCACAATTAAGCAGCTGCTCTAACGGGGACTCTTCTTCCAACCCTTCTTTCTCCGAGGACAAAGCCGCAAGGTCGCCTGCAGAAAAGCTGCTCTCGTTTTTCAACAGCCATCGCTCCATTCCATCGAGCGTCTTGGTAAGAAACTCGCCGTTGGACTTGAAACTATTTCCTTTTTGTTTTTTGACATGTTTAGAATCCTTACTGGCGGGATTCGTGATTACTAGAGAGCTTTGACTAGCTGGTATTGACGAGGATTCCGTTGTTTTACTGCTATCGGCCGCGATATCGGAAGGCAGCGTGTAGTGAATCAAGCGGCTGGGGTTATTTTCCCTCCCAAACTCTGTCCATCACGTTGCTTCTATCAGCGAGGCCATTCAATTGTTGGGGTTTCAGGCTAAAATACCTCGAGAACGGCGGGACCGTGGAACATAAGGAGAAGTCGGATTTTCGATGTTTAAATCAACTTCTTTGGATCTTTTCCCGGGATGAGGTAGAGAGTCGTTCATTGATACGCTACTCTTTTCTTCATATAAATTGCTAGAGATGTAACCTCGACTCCTTGGTCTTTCATCTTGGTGGGTATCGTTCTTCGGGGGGCTACTACCATTTCTAGGTGCCCTTTGAATACCTCTAGCACCGGAAGGAGTACCGGTACGAGAGTTCGGACAAGAGGAGCGCCCGCTCTTCATGGGGGCACGTGAGGACTTAATCATGCCCCCCGCGGTATAAACTCACTCGTTAATGCCACAAGACGTACGTACTTAGACGTATGTCAAAGTTCCATTATATAGTCTCTTCGGTTGTTTAAACGATTACCCTTAGCTACCAGTTCTTTGGGCGCCGAACTAATTCGCTCGAAATTGTTGTTTCGATGACTGGTGTATTGTATATAAATTTAAAATACTCCGGATTGATTGAAACCAATTTGCTGAGAAAGATAAAGAGAACCCTTAATAAAGCGAAGGGTAATTGAGACTCGATATCGATGCCGGCGATTAAACAGTACATCAACTAGTATCCACAGCTTAAAGTATAATGATAGACTAGCCCCGTACTCGGATTGTAGAAATGAGCGTGTGGCTGTTAATAATCGCTAAAAGATGATGGCAGATACATCGATCGAGTGACAAATTTTTTATAAATTTATATGTCTGCTCTTCGGGGAGTCGAGTCTCGTACCCACTTTTGGTTCAGGGTATACTCACCACAGTACTACCCTGAGGCTTGAGATATTGGTCTTTAGTAACGTTACTCACCAACAGCAAGTTGACGATTGGATACGGGGGTATCTAGATGTACTACCATTTTTTAAACCACTAAAAGCATAGATATCTTCTTAAGTAAGTTTTTTCCCGCTGAATCCTGAAAAGCAGGAGCCTTGAATGGCGTAAGTGCAAGCGTCGAGGGGTTGTTGGCAGAAAACATTCCAGCCAATAGGATTCCGGGAAGCATCGCAATCCCCAGACCTTGCTGAACGGCCAACGAGGATGCATTGTGCTGCACTGTAGAATGGGCATCCTTCACAGTTCAGCCGAAATCCAGTTGCACGGTGCTCAGGCATAGTTAGATGACATCGCATCTTGCATGGAACCCCGCCTCGAAAAAATGAGAAGAGTTAGCCCGGAATGGAAAGAGTCGCTGTCGCGTTGACATTAAACGCGTGGGATGATAATAGTCTAGCTACCATCTCGGATCATTACTGACGTGTCAAGTCGCATCTATGCTTCGATCGGATTCGATGGCTTTCAAACGTCCTAAAACGAGATTGCTGGACCCAGCTGGGGGGGAAAAAAAGTTGGAAGGGAAAATCAATAAGAAAGAAGATGACCAGGCGCAGCTGCGATGTTCAAAAAGCAAAAACTCCATGACCCCCACCTTCCCCATTCCCAATGCCTGCAACTCCATCTATTTTTGTTATCTTCTTCCCATTTCCTGACATCTGTATATACTAACTATCCAAGATGCTAGACTCCAGCAGTTAAACCAAATCACTTGAGTATATATGATCGAGGCCTATTCGCAGGTGATGTCTATGCCCTTCCCGTAGACCATACCAGGGAAAATCCACCGTAAACAATAGTATCCGACGCCCAGTTAAAGATTATACGAAACGGGAGCTCTTGAGTCATCTCCTTCACTAACCCATGCCTCATCGCAGAACCTGATCCATTCTAGGATCTTCACTCCATCCACGGACTCCCTGTCAACCTCTCTAAACACCCTCCTTAGTATACCGCCCGCTCTACTGCTCCCTTCCCCATTATTCCTTCTCCATATGATTTTTTCGTTAGATTCCTCCAGCACAGCCGTCCACATCTTTTTCCCAACACCCCAATACCTCAGCTTCTCTTGCGACTGTCCGAACTGCAAGAAACCATCGTCTTCTAATTCTAGTTTACTCCCCCAAACTTTGTTTTTCGTTGGTAACGGCAATCCCCATTCTGGGTTCATATTAGTGCTGTGCGGCTCATTCAAGATAATCAAAGCCTTCAAACGCCGTAAACGCTTTAGAGACGCTGAAAAATTCGAGATATTGTGTTCCTATATCGAGGTTTTAGTCATTGATATCATGAAAAACGCTCCGACATGCAATACCTACCCACTCTCTCCAAAGCAGAGCAACGCCGAACTCTTCCAAACCATAACAAGTCACCAACAACTGCGCCACTAAGCCCTTTGTCATTGCCCAACTGCCTTTCAAGAGAAGCCTTTTCAACCAAATCCCCATTCCTGGCTCGATCACTCCCATACTTCCTAAGATAGTATTTGAAGAGTTCGGCGCAAGATCATTATGCATAGAATAGGTAGATCTCCAGATTGGTTGTCGATACTCAATTGATCCTTGGCGACTCCCCGAAATGAGGTTTACGGCTTCATTTCTTGTATTAGGTGACAAGTCGTGTCCATCTCGGGTGGCCGATAGTCCTGCGATCCTTGATGGTGTCCCACCAACCCAAAAGTCAGCCTTTTGAGTGATAACTACCAATTCGTCAAGTCGTAGTTCCGCGAACTCCTTCTCAAAGTTTTTGTGCCATGCTTCCTTTCGGTCCGAACAGAGGGGTAAATTATCGACCACCAGACTCTTAAGGTTCCGTGGGAATATCATCGACCGTTCTCCATTAGATGTTAAGCCATTGTTTCCTATTTCTTTGAACAATTTCTTCCGGCCGTTGAAAGGAATGTGCAGTTTCTTCCAATAAGATGGGCCTAGCCGGTTCAACTCAAATGCTGCCATCGTACAATCCTCTAGCCGAAGTGTTTCCAGATTTACAATAGGCATGTTTGACGATCTAGGCGTTTCGGCGACATCATTGTCCGAATCTTGTATGATCAACCCAGCATTGTTTGATGCTCGTCCAGCTAGGTCTTTAATGTAGTTGTTTCCTCTATCTCTGCCTGAGATTTTAACACGGATATCAAGATGTTTGAGGCTTGGGCAATTCGCGATTATGTTCCAGAGTTCGACAGATCCAAGAACGGAGGTACGGTCGAGAATCGAGCGATGGGATGGAGGTAGAGACGTTATTGTCAAAGATTTGAGAACAGGTGATGATATATTGCCCCACAGTGGAAGAAACCGAGTTGTGGACTGGGCCAAACGACGGGAGTCGCAGGTTATACTATTGAATTTATGGGGTATAATGGTGAGACTATTAATACTTTGGGAAGCAGAAATAGCAGCCTCGCATTCTGGTATCAGCAAATCTGCTGTATCTATGTAAAGGCTGTTTGATTCGTGTTACGGTTAGTTTAACGGTATGGATCCTATAAATTGCTCGGAGATTAGGCACCTTTGAAGCCTTGGAAGTGTCTCTATCAGATACACCAACTGGTTCATAAATATATTTCTGGTCCTATCGGCGATTTTATCCTTGGTATCTGGGACGATAGTGTGACAAAGTGATTTAATAAGCCCCGTCCAGACTTGACGGTCTGAGGGGCGACGTAAATCTTCATTGAGTAAGTCGAAGAGGACTTTAACAGGATATCCAACTGTGTACTGGTCGGTCGATTGCCTAGACTCAGTATCCGGCCATGACTCGAAAAAAATGGTGTTGTAGATGTGGGGTATAGCGGCATCACGGGTTTGGCGGGATGCCTGACAGAAGGAAATGAGGTCTCGGCGTGAGGCGATCTAGGATACCATTAGTTATAACTAGTAGTCAAGGTATTCAATCGACCATAAGAAGAAACTTACGAAGCCCGCGACAAGGCAGAGGATATCATAGGGTAGAGAGACGGTCATCCTAGCCATGGTCGGTGGTAAAGAAGTGGTGATATCGTGATGTGTGGAGATGAGGTGACGTCGAGGAGGCGGTTGAGTTGTTGTGTTGAAGCTGCTTATGTAAATCACGCAGACAGGCTGAACAGACCCAGTAACTAAGTACAGTCTGCAACCAGACTTGTCAAGATACAACTTTGGAAGTTCAGACTATAAGGAAGATCGATCAGTTCACGCAGGCAGGGAATAATAACACGGGTCTGGGTGAGGAATTCAGAGGCAAAGAGGTAACGAATTATATATATTCGTCGATTATTACGCGTGTCAGCTTGCAATTGAGCCCGCTAAGTAATATTAATTGTGGCGGGAAGCATAATTAATCCTCCCTGTCCTGTCCTGCACCAGGTCATTCTTTTACACCGCCCTATCTTTCCTCCCAAGATAACTAGTGGGACAACATTGATCGCCTCAGCTGTAAGGTATCTCGTGTAACTTCTGTTCCCACTTGTCCTAGCACGCTACTGATTATACATATCAAGATTTAGAGGTTTGTCAGAAAGATCAGCTTAGTTAGACCAGCCTGGTTGGTTGGATTGTTCCACTGCGTCGGGTCTCGCTAGTTCGAAACGACCCAGGATCCGGCCTACTGAACGCCAGTCTTTGAGTCTAGCACTCAACCTTGGCTCGAATATTAATAAAACTCTCGTGGCTGTCCGATGGTACACAAGAGCTCCCGCGGTATCCATTTGCAATCCGGCCGGTGGCATCCTACGGATTTACATTTACAGCTTGGTATATCCCTGCCCGACCTCCTTGAGGATCTATTAATATTCAACTAAGCCCAAGTACTCTAAAGATTTATACAAAAGAATTAGAGGTTAATCCAAAGCGAGGAAGAAAACATACTGATGTATAAGTCGTTGGGTGGTTAACATTGGCTCCCGAGTATAGTACTCGAGGTATACAAAATGTGGATGATTTCTCACTAAAAAGTAGATAGTATCGCCATATCTACCTAAGTAGGTATAGAGATACAACCCCAACGCCGACCTTTAACCTTCACTTAAATTCGTCTATTGTTTCAGTCACAGGATGCATTCCCAACAGGCTCAAAAATCCTTCCGAAGTATCTTAGTTCTATAGTTAAATTTGGTTGCAAAATTTCAGGGTTTATAAGACTTAGTTAACAGGGGCGGAATACCACATCTACAACACATATCACTGGACTAATCAGCCTCGTGTGGGATCAGTTTGGGCAAAAACAACACATATGAAATAGGGTTCGGACCAGACGAGAATTCTCAGAGTCTTCGCGGGACGCGTTCTTCATTTTCGAAAAATCCCCGAAACCCCCCTCTTCTTCTTTCGATATCCTGCTGGGTGGATGATGAATAGGTGTACGGTCGTGGCGCTTGACCTTGACCTTGAGGCCGAGCCTGAACCTGAACCTGAAATTGAACTTGGGAGCTTGGTAGTCCAACGCCACCGCTTGGGCCCTGCACCGTCTGTAAATAGTTGTCCTCCCTATAAACATCCTCACGTTGAGTAGATTGGGATTGTGGCGCTTCCGCTCCGCGGTAGCTCGGTTCTCCAGGTTTTGGAAGGACTCTACCTGTATCCTGAATTCGTGAGCCTTGTGCATATCTAGTTTGGGCATTGGGCTGGTGCCATGCGGTTTGATCGTTCATAGCCGGCTTCGTGGGCTTCGGGATAGGGTAAGGCAGTTCAGTGTCGTGGTACCTATCATCTCCTACTCTACTGAGGAGGTCTAAACATTAAGCTTTAGATTTAGGTCTATGATTTAAGGGCAAGATTACATACCGTCCATCCTACAAGGAAACCCGCTAATTGGGTAATATTCTTTGTCGTCATGAAATCTGATATATACCGCTTGCCATGATTTAATGTTTGATGTAGTGATTATATGATTTACTTCAAAGATAGCATCATGACCCCTAACCCTTCTGACAGTATCCTGGTTGAAGGGAAGCTTATTGTTCTCGTTGACTGCATCCAAGAGTGAGTCCTGATTCGAAGAGAAAAAGTAAGCTATTTTGGCTACTAGGGTCTTGACTTCGGTTGAATGATTATCGAGTCGACATCGAATAACTCCAGGAAGATGTAATAAAGTAGCCCCTTTCCCCTTGTCATGTCGCGGGCGGGACGTAGCTTGAAAAAAGAATAATTTGGCAAGTAGACGATGTGCAACAGAATGTAAATATCGGTAACCACCTTTTGGGGTCATAGGATCGAAATAGCGTTCTGTTTCTTCTTGTAGAACCTTAAGCTGCCTCACATCATCGAGTTTACATCTTTTAATCGGTAGATTAGCGTTAAGGCGATGATGCGTTTTAGTGTCGTACTTTTCTGCCCCTTTGTCTTGTTTAAATTCCTCCCATACAACCTCTCCGTTCAAGTTTTGTAGGAAGGCTTGGATTATGTCTCTGACCCAGCTTCGATTAAAAACGAAAGATGGTTCCCACAGCGTGTAATTTTCGAATTTTCCTGTCCCTAATGACAGCAAAATATCCGTTCGCTTTGAGTCCTTGAGTTCCGGCCATATCTGTTTGGCTTCGTTTAATGCCCAGTTGATAGGATTGTTATTCTTTACACCACCATCTATATAGAAGTCTTGACTTGGACCCGATCTGACGTAGCGGCTAAAGTAAACAGGTGCAGCAGACGTACAGAGTCCCCTAGTCCCAACCCCAACGAATGTTAGATCTAAATCCATGAGCTGAATAGTTTTAAATTTTGGATGATACTCACGCTTCCCATGCTGCAAGATCTTGTTCATCATTGTCCTCTCTTTCAAAGTCTGGTCGTTGTTCTGCCAGGGCGCATGATTAGCGACATGCACAATTTATAAATATTTCCTACAAGGAGAAATTAATATACTTACCTGGGACTGTCCTGTTGTAATTTGCAACTGTACTAGCGATTTCTCCTTTCTTTACAGTCGTTACGCCAACATGCGTAATCGGTTGTTTTCCAGTCTGCATAGGGCTGCCAAACATAGACAGATCTTTCCCGTCGATAGATAGAATTTCCTTCACCCGCGTTTTAAGATATTCAGTACTGTACAAACTATCGTACCAGTTAAAGGCAAATCCTATTTTCTTAACAGTTTGACCTAATGGTCCGAAAAATGTGTTTTCGCAGATGTTAGTAAACTCTTGGAACATGGTATCGAGACTGAGGCCGCGTAGGCCTAGTCCTAGTGCGATAAGCCCACCTAACACAACCCGGGAGGTTAGAATATCGAATTGATATATGATTGTTGTCAATTTGGAACATTACCAACTCACCAGTGCTTGTACCAACAATCAAGTCAAAAAAATAGCCAATGTTAATCCCGAGTCCAGTTATATCCATCAAGCGCTTCAATATCACGAGCTCGATGATACCTCTAACACCCCCACCATCTAATGTTAGAACCCGGATACCGGCACAAGGAGGAATCGATCGGATCGTCTGAATTTGTTGAAAATTGGCGTTGCACAGGAAACATTGCGATATATCGTAAGCTAAATGGACTATTCTCGATGGCGTAGCAAAATCTCGGACACACGTCGTACATAAAGCATGGCCGCATGGGAGAACATGATGCGGTATCGAACGCAAGCAAGTAAAACATGATTTGTAACTTTTGCAACTATTCCAGAATGATTTCATTTTCTGCTGTGAAAGAATACTCAGTCGTTGAGCACGTATAAGCTTTTCGTCGTCTGGACGCTTCGCTCCGCCATCCCGCCAACAGAGTTGGTTATGAAACATTATGAATGAAGCTTTAATGTCACCCAACGCTAATTGAACGCAACTCGAAATGTCCTCGGGGATAAAGGGACCTCTACCGATTCCTTTTTTAATTGATTTGTGCCCTTCGTGATGGTGCTCATACTTGATAATACAGTTTTCATCACCATCAGTAAATTCGCAGCGTTTGTGAGAGCGATAAAATCGAGTAATGCCGCCGAGGCATGTTTTCAAGAACTGGAACTCTGTTTCAAATGTATACTGCGGTGGTAAGGCTAGTAGTAGGTTAACAACTAATGTCTAACTTGATGGGATTTAAGTTTTATATTTACCTCTTTGGTGGTCCCTTAACGATGCATTGATGAGGCTTGAAGCTACAATTTCCCCAAAGAGCTGAGTTGACTGAAGATTACTGGTTTCTTCCATACACTTCATAAGAACCAATATGTGGTCAGACATTTTCCGAGGTTCAACCGCCCTTTGCGGGCGATTTTGTACATATCGAATGGCCCATCAGATGTTGCGAAATGGTGGAAGGCCAGGTCGAATTGACTTGAAAGATCAGTAAAATTAAATCTGTTATAACTTTCCTTCTTCTTGGTTTGCGCTTCTTTAGAACAGCTCAGGATGGTATGTCGTAAAAGACGGTATTTGGATAACATTAATTCTGCTGCGACACCCCGATCCTTCCGTCTCGGAATGTAGCACACTTCGATTCTTTGAAAATACTTCTTGACTAGCGCGTAAGTCGTAAAAATTTTATTACTGTCCCTTGTCGAATTGATTCGGTCAACCGCCTCGGTTAGGAGGGACGACTCCCGCCAACCAGTCTCTGGAAGCTGTTCTAGCATACTATCCCGAGCGGAAAACTCCTGACTTTCCCATTCCTTCTGCCAATTGCTAGGTTGGTTTATTACAACCACCAAAGCTTTATAGGGCTCCATGTTGACCGAATCTGCTTCTCCGCGAGCGGCCCACTCTAGAAGACGTATTATATCCTTCGAAACAGATGCGCTTCCATCCATTACGTAGCATATAACATCGCTGAAAAGGTACATGAACTGTGGATATAATCCATCGGTTATGCTTTCGCGCTTGTGCTCTCCCCTCTCGATTGTCCATTTCCTCCTAAATGGCATATCCTCATGAGATCTGTTTAGATCCATCCCGCTAACCGCTTGGGCTTTCGTATGAGTATTGAAGCCTTCGCAATCGGCAAAAAGAATAGGACTTCGTTCGCTCAGTGTTTGGGGATCGGCGTAGAGATGTATACCCGCGCTGGTCGGGGTTAAGTTAAAGTTAGGGTTTTGAATCGCTGTTACTGGTGTTTCGAGCGAATTTAATCGTAAATCATTGATGCTCAAGTCATCAGGATTGAATGATAGCCCCGCTGTTCTTGTTGATGTCTTGATCATAGCTCTGATTAAAGTCGACTTGCCCTTCCCAGTGTCACCGATAAAAGACACTATACTAGGAAATTGATTCTCCGCAAGTTTTCCCTGAGCGCTCAATCTTTGGAATCGGTCGGTGACATAAAGAACACCACGGCGAGGGTCGGCTTCGGTGCTTTCCGCTATAAACCAGCGGGCAACCCTGTTATCTTCCTCATGGAGTCGACGTTGCAGAACGATATCCGTCTCCGTCGAGAAAATTGCAGATAGATGGCTCTTGATCTTGGCATCATTCCGGAGCCTTCTAGCAGATTTAGGCTGGTGTTGAATATCATCCGCCTCGCGGGGAAGTAGAGACTCAAAGCAGGTGATATGACGAGGATTAGAGCATGGGAATTTGGTCTTGCATTTGCGACACCAATCAGCGCAGAGGACTCCATATATATCTTCGGAGAGTACAAGGTGAGAAATTGCGGGACATGAACATATCCTTAGAGACTCATCCACAGATGAATCAGGGACCTCTCGGCCACAGTCGCTTCGCATACACTTGTAAAGGTGCCGTGGCTCCATTTTAAGCGGTACTTATTCGCGGATATCCTTAATTATTATGTTCTAGTCTTCCGATGTATCTCGAAACCGCCTCGATCAATGTATGTATTCATACAAAAGCTATCTTGACCGAGTTGCAAAATGTGACAATACGCTACTAATATATTATCGATAGGTATACCGTAGGTGAGTCAAGGGTAAATACTAAATATTTAAATCTGGGACCCTCTCGAGTCACCAACCCGTAGTAATATCCCTTAAAATTTTTGAACGAAGGCTAGGAAAGTACGAGGGAAGCGGGGTAATATGATGGACCAATTATATTCTATCTTTATGAGCCGCATGCATATGGTACGGCGATTACCGTGATGTGCATATACTTCTAATATATGAATATCCTAAGCCTCAAATTTCAGCGCCATTCAGCCCACGCCGCCACGAACGCGTCGCCTTTTGAATGTAATATTTGTCAGCAGAATGTAATCAGTGACAGAAAGAGTCTGTTAAAAATTGCCACTCCGTCCTTTGGAAAAAGAAGGTTTTCTGCACGCGGGAAGCCCGTACATACGAAGATTGCATGAGCCTGACACAGGTCTTAAGCTTATGAACATGATGTAATGAGGCTCTTTAGATTTACGAAGGCCATGAGGGACGCGGGATCGAGGCCAGCTACTTTCATCAGCTCTCTCTCGGTCAAGACTACTAGTATTAAGCTGGTATGTGACCCAGAGCGGCACCGTACAGATTTCTGAGCTCCTTATTTAAAATCTCTGTTAACATGTTGTTAGCTAGCGCTAATGATATATCAACTAAGTTTACGTTTAAATTTTCGTAAGCCGTATCCTGTCAGGTTTACTAGATCGATCTAGTCCTATCCTAATCAATCCAAGACATGCACTAGGGGCGGAAGAAACTAATACATGTACATTCACCTAGTTCCTAAAAGCCCTTGTATCTGCTCATCCATCCTATATACAAAACTGCAATATTAACCCAGTGCGTAAACTATAAACAAGATATATTGACGGACGTCATTAAATTGATAAAAAGTAATTTCTACATATAAGAAGAACAAACTTGGCCCGACTACAGGTATACCAAGATCCAACTGCCGAAGGCCTTTAGATTCTCTTTAATCCCGAGAGAAGAGTCTAGTGGGAGGTCACCTCTTCTTTCACTCCCAGGTAATCTATATTGTATTTCAAAATCCTTGACTTTTCCAGCCTTGTAGCTCCTGGGTTCCTTAAGTGCATAAAACAGGGCCAAGGAAGCAAAGAGAAAGACCTAATAAAATCTTTCGTAGTTAGTATCATCTCTATGTCGTGGTTATTTTGCCCCTCTTTGCTTTTCCCGTCCAAATATCAGGATTTGGGGTGATTTTTGTACGCACGCTTATATACGATGCAACTATCCCACCTGCATCAACTGGTTTCTTTAGCATGGCGGGAAGACCACTTGTAAGAATCACAAAAGCACAACCAATGAATCCAAAAGTCGCCCTCACAGGCTGGAAGTGTGATTTGTATGCATAAAGGTTATTGCTCGCTCGTAGCTTGTCTGGCGCCACCTGGTTTTCTAGTTGTCGAAGGCTTTGGGCCCGTTAGCAACAGATTCGTGGGTATCTGCATAGAGAAAAGGAATAGAAATTGTAGGTTAGATTAGATAATACTCACTGGCGATAGTATCTTATGTAAGAGAGGCAGATGCAGCAGTTGACAATTTGCGCTGACACAACAGCATTTGTTGAAAACTTCCTAAAGACCTATCGGGATAATGTTAGCTTCTCGGTACGAAAATCCTATAGATTGGTTCATTATATACCTCAGAAGGCTCTTGCCATATTCCCACGATGGAAACAAGTGCTACAATCCAACCAGTTCCCACAGCAGCCGACGGAATTCCCTGCAGGGATTTCATTCGACAGGTAACCTTGAGTCTCTTTTGAAAAGATTTTGGCCATACCATATCTCGCTTTGCTAGCGAATAAAGAATTCTCGAGGAAACATAAAGTGAATTTACCGCAGATGCAAATCCTGAAAAGACGAAAAATGCGTTTAAAATATGCGGCAGGATAGGTATTCCAGCTTCGATGATGGCAATGAGGAATGGAGATGTAGCGCTTTCGCTTTTCTCAAAGCCATCATGTAGACGAGGATCCCGCTTAAGGTTTGGATTTGTTGACCAAACTGGGAACGACATAGCAGTTATGCTAGCAAGGTATAGAACGATCACTCGAATATAGATCTTTCTCGTTCCGACTTTAATACTTTCGGGGCTTTTCGCTTGGTCCAGATATTTTGCCTCGCCAACAGCTACAGCTACTATTTCCATCCCCACATAGCTGAAAAGTGCAGCGCTGAGGACATTGCTAAAGTTTGTAGCATTTTTCTGTTTAGTTAAGGATAATGGTAGAATTGTAGAATGATACCACCATGAGGATATACTTACAGTGTTAATAGGAACTGCCCAGCTGGGCCAGATATCGTTCTTGTCCCCAGTTGAAACTCATTTAAGAAAGGGCCATTAGTTGAGTGCCATGCTATTCATTTGGAAACTTAGATTTATATTGCACGAAAAGCCTTAGTGGAGATCTTGGAAGACTAGTTGACCCACCAGCAGAGAAACCGATTCTATTTTGACCAGGTCTGGCTATATCAGGAAAAGGGATTATTAGGTCATAGTCGAATTTAAATTTTTGAGCTACCAAGACTAGGTCGCTTACCATTTCCGTCGGCAATGATAAGCATCAAAATTATGAGTCCGCAGAGTACCAGCATTTTGAAGTACCCAACAACTGCTTCGATTTTTCCGTATATCTAAAATCTCATTAGTATATATCCGAATTACTCTTTCGATGTTTAATTACGCTATTTGATTAGGAGCTCCAACCTTTATGGGGATTAGGTTAATAGGTAATAACAAAACCCAAAAGAAAAATATCCAAAACGTCCTGGGAAGCTTGTCCGCATTGGTAAATCGCCATCGAATATTCTTATCATAGGCAAATTCCATGATGTTTGATATCTCAACTATCTGAGTTGGTACTACAATAGCGTAGCATGCCCTACATTGAAGCATTTACCATCGTTACATCAATATATGATAAACAAGCCGGAATACTGCAGCCCTCCAGATCTAGCTCTAGGCAATTCGGCACCCGTTAATGGGTACGGATTTGCTTAGATTAGGTCTCAAAAGCAAGGGTTCGGAATCTACCTACCAATACAGCCATCCAACAGCAAATCCCACATGGCTTCCAAGAAACCGAGAGGGAAATTCTACCAGGATCCCTTCAACGGGTAATACAGCGGTCATTTCGCCTAGGGTCGCTATCACTGACCAATAAATCAGGCCCCCGATAGCATAGCCTAGTAGTGCGCCACCTGGGCCTGCATCTCTAATCATGTGTCCCGTCGTGAGAAATATCCCTAATAGGAGTTTAAACCATCTTAGCGGGTTTAAAAATCTTTGCAAGTAGCGGTGCTGATCACAATCATGTAACGTTTAGGAGCCAGTGCCTTGTATTATCGACATTCGAGAATAGCCGGTATACGGTGCGATAGTCCAGAAATGTGACAAAGCCAAGGCCTGTAGCTAACTCACCTGTTCCAACAACTCTATATGTATAGCGGACATCATCAGCTGAAAGTCAGGGGATGATATTAGTGCACCCCGAAAGGGGACGATTTTGTAGATGTGACGTCAGTACTTACCCAGAGAATGCAATCATCTGATATATGGGTCCAATGAATGGAATAGTCAGCTTCTGTTCTAATTATCTAAAGCTATGAAAAGGTTCCTTGAGGCTTTGAGGAGCATAGCCTTCAGGCCCAGGTGCCCTAGAGGCCAAACATACGTTTATCTGTCGCTCTGTCAATGCACGTCTATATATATTTCGAAAGCTCAATTGTTAGCCCTAGCACAACTTTTGAATTAATATATCGTATAAAATAATGACCTTAGCCCTGATGAAGACGGCACGCCCTGGTTAGGCGGCCCGGAGCCATTCATCGCAGAGGTTTGATTATTCGCATTCCCGTTTGTAATGTTTTGTTGAAAGGTGTTCAATGGTATAGCTGTGCCATTTCCGAAGTTTGGAGGACCGTTCGACATGATGTATACAATATTAATATTAATTTAATAATTACAAAAGCTGGATATATCGATAAACCGTTTATATGATCATAATAGCTATATAGAAGCTTGGGCCCAATTCGTGAAAGTTTTGGTCTAGTGGGAAGTTGATCGCGGAACAACCAGCATTTTAAGGGTCTTTCAATTAAGTAAACCCTCAAGATACTGGTCTTTGCATGAAGGTCTAGCGCCCTTGTAAGACATATGCATGGACATGGGCTAGCTAGCTTCGGACATAGAGGCACGTGCATGTGTCACCATAAATCCTTCCCTTCTTTGGGCCTCCAGCCTTCTCTCAAACAAGTTTCTCGACTTGCAGGAAGGCTGTTTGTGTTCGAATGTTGCATTTTTCATTTGCATATATTATGTCCCGTCCTGCATATGCAGCTGCGCAGCCGGAATCCCCAATTCAAAAGAAACATCTCGTCAGTTCCCAGCCAATCCAATAGGTCCAATTACGAAAAAAAAAGAATTTTCCGCCAGATTTCTGCGCGCTGAAACGGTATTTCCCGACTTCTAGTCCTCTACAGCTTTTACTCTTTTACCCCAACCGAAAAAACGAACTTTCTTGCATATGAACTGGCAGATGCATCCAGGGATAGAATCCGAAGTTATTGACGACAGAGCTTCAGCTTTCGGGATGCTAAATTGCATATTGATGATACTAGATTCTGATGTGGAATGGCCCAACTCTAGACTCCGCATATGTTCTATACTGGTTATGGGATTAATACGTACGTACGTCTGTACTCGTAAACCTATAAACTTGACAGAAATATTTAAATCTCGCAATGCTTTGGCGCATCGCGTACGTACACATTTTCGTCACTTTCAGACCATGTATGAGTAAGGAAGCGCACTCAGCCTTAAGCCTCTTTGGACCACTTTGCAGAAGTTTGGGGGAGGCTGTCGAATTTTATGTCGCAAAGGAATATTTGCCCCTTCGAATTCTTCTCATTTTCGACCAAACAGAAGCTCGGATTGGCGGCCGGGCACCAATCAGGGAACCCGATGTGGAGACCGGGCCGCCTTGGCATTGAAACTACATAACACAGGTACATGTACATGTACATGCATTATCTGCATTGTTGCTCACGAGCTGAATTGATAGCCTCGAAGTCCGGCTGAAATATTTTATTACAAAAGTGCAGGGTGATGACACAGAGTGCATATACTTTGCAAAAGAATCGCCAAGAAAAACTAGAACACGGCCACTCGTGAGCTTTAGGAATGCACATGTCATCGGTCTGTTATATCCAAAAACTGTTCGGTCCAGCGTCATTAATTATCAGAACCTCGCTACACCTCGAGCGATATTATTCTTACAATTACACCTCAGGGTGAATCTTAGAATGTGAAATCAAATGTCAATTTTCACAATCGCTGGACTATCATCATTCTATAGCCGGCTGGATGGGCGAACAGATGTAGATTCCCTCTGCGAAGAGGCAATCGGAAAATATGTTCTCTCGAGATCGAACTCTGACATCACAGGGACAACTGACCGTGATGGGCCGGCTAGTTTCATAGAGTTGGCGGAAACTATTGGATCCGTCTTTCTACTCCAGCTTGTCCACCAGTTCCGGCAGCCAACCGTCACAACTATCCCGGAATCTCAGGACCCATCATCTGTGCCCCCTCGTTTATACTCTCTTTCACCAGATAAAGTTCCAAGTATTTTAAGGTATTTGCATCAGCAATATCGATCTTTTTATCCTTCTGCCAATGACATCCGGAGAACTATACTCGAGGTTCTATATATTGGATCACGGCTCCTCCATATCAAAGGCGTCCAAGCTCGGCGACGATCACAATGGTTCCACTACCTAGCCGATGCTGTTAATGATCCAGATATTTTCCCTAACGATGGCTCCATGGACGCTTCTATCTGCTTTGGTATCAAGGCATTTCTTCCTCGGCAATCAGTGCAGAGTTCCACGCAGCAGACGTCTCGAGACCTAAGATATTTTGCTGGAGTGCCTTATGGCATCATATCAAATCCTCTAGTATGTCATTTTTAAATTCTAAGTTTCAGTGCTTTTCTTTTCATTTTTCCCTTTATTTTTTTGGTGAGGCCAGTAAATTTCTCTAAAATATTTCGAATTATATTATTACTTATATATGTCTGTTGAATGTATTGCTCGTTAACACATGTCCTAGTAGAATCCTCTCGACTTTGGCAGGGTTCGAAACAATGTTATTGAGATACAGCAACAATCCGGAGCTACCAATGACCAAATTGATGACCTCGACTACTTCTGGTCGATGTGCGATATTCTACTTGTATTAATTGCGGCTTCTGCGGAGCCCTACCGTGCCAGAAACATCGACGATTATAGACGAGAACTTTCCTCACTTGCGGAAGAATGCCACACGAATATTACGAATTTTGCTTACGATAAGCTTAGTTACGTTGCATCATTAGCGGAGGAGGTCTCCCGTGTTGAGACTGCCCAGTCAACGCTAGCACAGCGGTCATCCCTAAGCCGGACTTCGGAATTCCTGCGCAGAAGGGAACTTCTGACAACGATAAATGATAGAAATATGGCAAGAGTACTAGATTCTATCAAGACTCTACGACAAGGCAGTTATAGTAAGCAACTACATTTCACCTAAGCCAGTCTTTCTAATTGAATGTGAAAGAATTGTCTCAAATATCTCTATTTTGAAGGAGATGTCTGCTAATTTCGCGCCGATGGGCATATGGTATTTTAGACATCACAGATAAATTATATGCCTCTAATTGTCCAGAAGGACACGTACTCAACGAAATACAGACGGAAAGTTTTCTCGTGGAGTATGAACGTCGGGCTGGAATCAGGCTTCGAACAAATGAAAACGTACTGAGAACATATGCAGAGCAGTAGACCATAATTACGATGATGGATGCAGAGGCTGACCCAGTTTATATTAGAGTACTCGAGTCGCTATCCGAACCCCGGATGCATATCCATGCCCTGTATGCTCTGAAATCTCGAGGATCGACTACTCGCAGGATCTTGGGAGCCTCACTTCTCTCACTGAGATCACCCAGTTTACGACTCTATCAAGAATTCTTCAAGATGCGAAAGAAGAAGTCTCTAGCGCTCTGAAGGATATGTCTCGCCATTATCATATGGCGGATCAACGACTCGAAGTTAATTTCTCTCGGAATGGGTCATCAAATCGAGTACAGCCAATTGAGCAAGGCACTAACCGGCAAAATGGTAGGTTGAGTGTGGGGAAACCACCAAGGAGCAATGGTCAATCAAGTCAAAGCAGCAGTCCATCAAGTCGCGATAGTATCAGCCGGTCTTCGAATACCCCTCTTCCTAGTCCAAACGGTAGCAGCGGCAGCATTGGTGGACTAAGAAAATTCACATCAACTTTCGGGCTAATGAAGCTCGGTCAAGCCCAAAAGGAACCAGAAATAAATCTTACCCATTTCAATGCAGATCCTATATCTATTTCTACACACACTGGCTCATCTCGTGTCTTTTTCTACGGCAAATCTTCAATATCAATATATTCATACGCCAGTGTAATTCCTGAGCCTCGTGCGAGGATAGAACTAGTCTCGGCTGAGGATTCTATATTACGGTCGATGCCAACGTCCATATCGATTTCACCATCAAAAGATTTCTTAGCTGTGGCGGTTAACCTTTTGAGGGGGAATAGTCAAGTATAACTTCACAGATATCTTTTAGCATGCATGAGAGCCACATTATAACTCTATAATCTTTTAGATTCAAGTTTGGTCGCTAGGGGAAGACGGTTATAGGCCAAAGTTGGCTTGGTATCAGATTCTAGAGGGCATCGCAAGTGGCTTGGTGGTCCACCCGGATGAAAACTTCCTTTTCGTAATTACAAACAAGAGAACGCTGAATGCGTTCGACCTAAGTCAAGGAAGCCGGGTGTTGGATTTTGATATTCCTGCGGAATTTGGGTTTCCGGACGAACTTTCCATTGTTGGGGGGGATATCTTACTATTTCGATGCTTTCCCGATGTGAGCATTGGGCAAATGAAGATTTTTACTTTGGAATTCGGGACGTCAGGATGCCAAATGGGTTGGGATTACCATATTGAGGTTTGTCGAGGCCCTTCTTCTCGCCATCGTATTCGACTATAGTCAGGTATCTATCCACAAATCTAACTTTTGAATTTTTAGTGGCAAGAGAGAGAAAGTGACGACAATGGGGTTTCCGCGCTTAGTCTTTGCGAAACTAAAGCCAGTGGGTCCACGCTCTGTTATAGTACCTGGACGATGTCTGGACAGCCCTCCATAATTCGGTGGGGAGCCCCCGGTATTCCAAGTTCTAACCACCAGCTACACGATGATAGCCTTGGCACTAGGATCCAAGATATGGCAATAGTCCCTAACGCAGATTTTATGGCTCTCATCAACGAACGTGGCGACATCTATCAATACGCAGTTAGAATTGGATCCCGACCGAAACACTTGAAAACTATCACCTTTGGGAGCAGGAGACGTAGCACGAACAATTTCAAGGATCGGGTCTGTCTTAAAATTGACGAGGACCATAATAAAATCATTGTTGCGTATACTAGAAAAGGCCGGGGGTATATTGAAAAGCATGATATGGCCTTTGGTCAGGGTTAGAGTTAGGAGCTCGCCGGCGTTTTGGTGATCATATCGTTAGATAATTTAGCCCTTAGGGCAACTTTGGAGCGTTTAGTTTGACATAGTATATAGACTTTGCATTGTATAATGTATCTTGTAGCTAATTAGAACTCGAAACTAGACTCGATGTATTGTAGAAAGTTCTAGCTCATATTTTTCAGTGGACAGATCGATTATAAATTCGTGAAACCTTGCTGCATCGGGGCAACAGGCCTAAGCTTAGCACGAGGCGATTTGAAGGTGACGATATCTGTATTGTGTTGTAAGTGTTGCATTCGAGTCCATAATGTTCGATTTAGTCGACACTAAACTAGCTTGGCTCAGTGCTTGGTTGTCTAGTTGATTGTCAAATTGGGCTTATATGATCTTGATGATAATATCAGAGTGCTGACAAACCAGCTTGATTGTCAAATACGAGAAAACGACCAGGTACAGTTATCGACACAGATTAGTAATCAGCCTGATTTCTGGGCGTGTTCTGAGGGTTTATCAGACCAGTATACGTATCGAGAATATAGATCCCTAGAATACATCAACGTGTAGAATTCCCATTGCATTGCATCTTGTATGTTATCGAGTTCAAACATCCAAGATATGCTTAACCTCGTCGGTACCTGGCTAACAAACTTTGCAACTTGCCCAAGAATTTGGGCCGCGAAGTTGAACTGGCAAATCCGAGTCGTTAGCCAAGAACAAGTTATCTCACTAAGCCCGAAGCGGCAAGCCCTAAGCCCAGTTTGGTGCATTCTGCGAGCTTCAGAGTCAAGGGTCCTGTCCAAGACCGCCCCCAGCATCCACCATTCCCATGCATTGAGGAGCATATGCATTGTTATCGGATAAAAAAGATATTTCTTCTTCCTTAGTTGGGACTATGGGGCGATCAGCCCAGCCGCCACAAGATGGTTGAAGTTTAGAAAAGTTCGACTCGGGGATTCGTTATCTTCTAGACATCTTATTGTTCTAGACGAGATCAATTGCCTCGACAAGTCATTTAAAAAGCCGATTCTGACTTGTCGCGTGGGAGTTCCGGGCGCTGGTGATTTCGGTTATCGCGTCGGCGCCAGTTTCGGTAGCAATGGAATACGAACTTCGACCGGTAAGAGCCTCTGCCCAGCAAGAAAAATCCGGAGAAATCTACCACCAACCAACACCAGCTTCACCCTCGGATGCTAGCATCTCTCCCATCGAAGGAAATGTCGTCTCCGAAACTGCGAGTATCCGTCAGCATGATAAAGTTGTGACAGGATGGATGCCGCTCGTTCTGCGCCCCTGGTCCCTCTTTATATTCCTACTCGTCTTTATTGGAATCTTCATCACCTTGATCGGATTGTATGTGAGGTCAAAACGGGAGCAGGGACTCAGCAATGAACGGGAGAGTAGGCATTATTTATGGACCTACGGCCCCACTGCCGGTATGTTTTTTTTCCCTTCACAGAATACGGGGTTACATCCGTTCTCTGATGGCACGCTCTGATACAAATTCTGTCTAGTTTTCATCGTCTTGGCAGCGTTCTGGCGGCACCTTGACTACCAGGTCAAACTGCTTATGCCATATGTTGAACTCGCGAAAGGCCCGAAGCACGCAAAGCTCACGGTTATGCTGGATTATATATCCCCTTTCCAACCTGTCGCATTTTGGTATGCGTGTAAGAATCGACACTGGTTGGTTATTCTTTCTGCGACTGCGTTTGCAACATTAAAGATTGCAGTTATCTTTGCTACAGGGTTATTCATCCTGCAAGGGACGGCGTTACAAACTGCGGATAAAGACTTTTTAAGATATCAGAACCAGTTTTCTGCAGTGGGGTTCAAGCCTGATGTTGATGCCCGTGCCAGTTTAACGGTGTTTGGAGTCACTGCACTAAACCTGTCCTACCCGGCGGGGACGAGTCACGACTTTGCAATCCAAACCTTTCGCAATTTTGGTAATGTACCACTGGATAATATTGCGTCCATATCCGTTCCAGCGGATGTATTCTCCGCAAAGCTAGATTGTCAGCCCGCCCGGTTGGAGTGGATCGACGATAGGGATCTGGTCAACGAGATAACACCATTATCTCAGTTTTATAATACAACCGCGTTCGTCCCGGGCTGTACACTGAAAAAGATCAGACTTGATGCACCAGGCTGGTTGGGGAATGATACGCAGCAGGGGTACTATGGAAGGGTCCAGAACTCGACTTGCCAGGAAATACAGGATCCGGTTGCTGCGAACAGACTTTTCGTCGGTATTGCATATTCAACCCGATTCAACTACCTTAATAGCCTGAAGAATTACACGGCCTTCGTGTGTACTCCCTCGTATACAATTCAGAGAAATGAAATCACAATACCACACAACCGTCTCAACGATTACTCTCAGATATCCAGTTTGCGACCGCTAAGCGACGCCTCAAGTATACCGGGATTCACATCAAAAGACCTTACAGATGCGGTCTACGCGGCACTCGCTGCATCATACAGCCAACTGAATAATGGAGGCTGGGACAAGACATTTGACCCATTCTTTACGTTGATGTCCGCAATACAACCTCAGTTGAACTATACTGCTTTCATGGAACCAGACATCCTCAAACCGGCGGCCGAAGATCTTTATATGACCCTCGCAGCCCAGATCGCAGGTAGTTCGCTTACGCAGCCAACATCTGATACCACTATCGTCGATGCCACCGTCTCAAAGATTCAACAACGGCTTATCCTTCGGCCCGTGTCGGTTATTGTCATGGAAATAATTGTGGCAATCTTGATATTCATTACAATCCTCCTGAGTGTCATGATTCCACGGCAGGGCGTCGCACCACGAGACCCTAGCTCCATCGGGGCGGTAGCTACCATTCTCTCCCGCAGTAGGTCACTCGAGCAATCATTATCCGGAACATCCAATCTCTCCGAGAAGGACCTCGAAAACTGGCTGCACCGCTACCGCTTTTATTCAACCGTAGAAGCCACCTCTAGTGGTCGAATTTTCAAAATAGAACTAGCGGATATGCATCCAGACTCGGGTGATAGACAGCGCTACTCCGATGAAACAAAGCTTCCCGAACCCGCTGAGAGAAGTAAATGGTGGAAACCACTCGGTTTGAAGTGGTGGGTTATAATTCCACTAGTGGTCTTTCCTATCGCTATTATAGTCGTCCTAGAAGTTCTTTACCGAAAGTCTGTTCGGGATCAAGGGTTGGCTTACATCCCTGATGGTGGATATGTTCACTACACTTGGGTTTTCGTCCCGGCATTCGTGATGGTTGTCATTGTTACGTTATTTAACATGCTCGACTATGCCACCCGATGTATTGCACCATATCAAGCTATGCGTGCCGACAGCACGGTAGCAAGTCGTGGGATTTTATACAATCCTAATGGAAAACTAACACTCCCCGCTCTCTGGTTCGCCATCAAAGAGAAGCATGTTACAGTCATCGCCACCACATTTGCAGTCTTAATCGCCCCGGTACTTACGATTGCTGTGTCCGGTCTCTTCTACTCACAGTTGGCGGCCAACGCAAGTACCCTTACAGTACAGCAAGATACCTGGTTTAACGTTTCTTTCCCAGATTACAATGTCAATACTACGGATGACATTATTTCGAGTTTAATCGTTAGTGGGAATCTGTCATATCCCCGATGGACCTACGAAGACCTCGCATTTGGGGAACTATCCGTGTTGAATGATACCACAGAAAAAATGGATGCTGCGGATAGCGTTACGGTATCAGTACCTGCTGTGAGGTCGGCGTTGAACTGCTCTATTATCCCTCGGGAAAGGCATCTGGAGCTGCGGTTGGGGCAGGAAGAAACAATCGAACGGGGCCAGAATCTAACAGAGCTGCCAGTATGGGTGAATATCAGCATGCCGGACCAATGCGGAAATTCGGGGACGACATCCAACAATATCACATGGCTGACCGATTTCATCGAGCACCCGCAAACTGGATACTTTGGCCACGTAGTACCTATCTCTTCATTTGAAGGCGAAAACTGTCCGAAGCTCGCAGTGTTCTACGGTAAAATGAACAACAACAGAATCGCGAATTTCTCGACATTGTTTTGCAGTGGATACACGCAGAGCTTGGAGGTGGAGACAACTTTCTTGTTGCCCGACTTCATGATCGATACTACGACACCTGGCGTATCCCCACCTAAAAGGAGGGAGGAAACGGCACGGTGGTTTTCGAACCAATCCGTTTCTATCGAATATAGTTTCGCCACTTTGAAGGCCGATTCATCATCTCCACATATTTTCGACGATTTTATCAGAGGTGTGGTATATGGAAAAAACGGGATGCCACCGGAGGAGCTACTGGATCCTGAAAGGCTTATGGAAGGAACCGCATGGCTATACGCCGTATCTGCCACACAGACACTAAACCAGGACACCCGAATCCCAAATCCAAATGGAGCCACCAGGATTGAGGGCGTGAGCAGGACTAGACCAAGGTCGAGACTAGTACAATCGCTCGTGTCAACTCGAGTATTGCAAGTCTTGCTCGCATTTATAATGTTAACGACAGTAGTGGCTTATATCGGTGTCAAAGCCCGAGAATTATTGCCAAGGGAGAGTAACTCCATTGCCACCGTTGGCGGGTATCTGGCGGGTAGTGATGTCCTGAGACTCGTCCCAGACGGCGCGGAATGGGGCGCAGGTGGGAAAGGAGGCGGGACTGGCAGCGAAGAAGTCTTCGCAGGGTATATGTTTGGCTTCGGGTGGTGGGAAGATACCGAAAGGGCGGGCAGGAGGAGGTACGGGGTGGGGATCGGGAGAGGGGGCGGCAGGACTAGTCCGAGTTAAGACTCTCCCCATTGATTAACATAATCTTTCTTATTTTATACGGTGTATTTCGGTGTGCTCAGGAATTATATTAGACTAGGTGTATGATATAGGTAGTTTTAATAGCATCGAGTTTAGTGTAATTATAGCCTAATGTTTATATTCTTACTATCTTATGTTGCTGACTAGTTTGACGGACGTCCTTTCAAGAGTATACAACATATGTTTAACCACAGGCCGTGCCACTACACCACTAGCCTCACTAACTTCCTCGCGGGCACCTAAAGCCTCTTCTTTGATAACCTTCCATAGCAGCCTCGGGTCTGTAAGTCCCTTCTCCAAGACTTCTTCCTTGACATATCTGTCATCGGGATCCTGGGATGTCAGGAAGGAACACCTAAAGCTGCTATAGCTCAATAACAACCATTTCGCACCCGGGGCTGTCAAATACGCCATATGTAGCGATAATATCACCAATGGATGAATATCTGCGGTAGTTTGACCTCTTCCTTCAATAGCTTCCGCTGTAATCACATAAGGAAGTTCGACGGCTACATCATCCGCACAGGCTATCGCGTCTGCAGTTGACTTGTCGATGATCAGACCAAAACCCCCTTCATCGTCAGCTGATACTGATTTCTCAAACTCCAAGATCTGTTGGGTTGATAATAAATCGAGTGTTTTCCAATTCATGCTCCCATCCTTAGACTCTCCTGCCTCGACAACTATAGATGAGAAATCGACATTATAGATATGACTTGGATCCTTGGCGATATCTTTTAGATTATATGAAAGCGAAGAAGTTCCACAACCTATGTGAAGAACTCGCGGGGAAGGTGCAGTAGAGAGCGTTGATCGAATCGAAGAAAGAAAAGGTTTGGCTGCCGCGGGGAGAAGCCAGTCGAATGGGGAGGGGTTTTTAGTAAAGCGAATATCCCAGTATTCTTTTTCGCCAAAGGAAGGGGCAGTCATGGTGGGCTATCCCTCATTTAATCGAATTAAGATGCAAAGTCGTCGGCCATGGGGTTGATATTGATGGAGCCCGGGAAGAGATAAATTTAAGGGGACTGCCTTGGCCTTAGCCGGTCTAAGATTTAGGCATGCGTACGCATTTAGAAGCCGGCATTGCATCGTATAGATCCTTCTCCCGGACGAAAATACAACAAACTGATAAACTTTTTGTGTTGGTATATATGGTAGGTTTTTGAATATCAAGTTACTGTGGTAAAGTAATCACAAACGAAAGAATGTAGAATATTCCATAAACTCCACTAATCTATGCACTCAATACAGCAAATCTAGTATAAAACAAAAATCCATCCAAACATGTAAATACGTAAGTAAGTATATATATACACCATGAAACTCGAGTGTATCCAACTACCAAAGGGTTCCACTGGTAGCACTGCTTCCATGCTCCATGGTTGGTGTAGGAGCCGTAAAAGTGGTAGGTCCGCCAACAGTTCCATTACCTGGAGTCTCCACCGTAGTCTCCACCGCCGCTTCCAAAGCAGCCGCAATCTCCTTGGCAAGAACTTTATGAACTTGTGTCTTGATATGCAATTTATCCGCCCAAACACCATTTTTAACACCATACTTTGGTTCCTCCTGGAGCTTCCTGATGATGTTATAGCTATCGATCAACAAAATAGAAGAAACGGAGTGTTCATCTCTAAACTGTCGAACTTTCCTAGCGAGGTTACTGTTCCATGATCTTACGATTCCCTGAACTCTAGATGTATCGGAAGCAAAGAGTGGAGCTGTCTCCAGCGGTGGTAGGTTGATGACCAAAAACGCCTTTGCGTCAACATCGAAGTATAGTTGGTCCAGCAACGAAAATTGAGATGTGATCAATTCGTCGATGCGCGGGTCGGTTGAGTTTCCACCGCTGGCAAAGATGCTTTTTACGTCATTAATACCGAACCACGAAGAGTATATCGTATCAACGTTCTGTTGCCATGGTTTTTCTTCGAAGGGGAGGGAAGCATATTTGGACGTATAAAGGTTGAATTGCCCTTGGAAGGAGCGACGGGAGGTGGTATTTTCGTAAGTGTAGTTTAGGGAGGCACCTGTATCATCCTTGCGGTTAGCTATCTCTGATTTCAAGAATGATGGTGCATGATGGTGATATATTTTAGTATCGTGTGAATTGAGAGACATACCAATTCGAGCGAGATTGTAGTTAAATGTAATAGAACTGTTGAACTTCGTGGTGATGTATGGAATGTACGTCGCATTGTATCTGCGCCTGTCATCTACGCCTTCGGGATTTCCGAAGGGGTTTTCGATAGAAGGTTGAATACCGTTGACCGAGAAGTTGGTGTTGGTGTATGAGTCTCCACTGGCGATAGCAACATTGAAGTTAGTATTCACAAGAATAGACTTTAAAATGTACAATACATTTTGAGTAACTTACAAACTAAACCAGTATCTAACGGGCGGCCCCGAGGGGGTGGGAATTGTCGGCATAGACCGAGTAAAGGTCGCAGGGAAAGGAGCGGATGTGGGAGCTATCGAAGTTACAAAAGTGGAGGGTTTGGCGGCGGGGTTTTGGGTTATCGCAGCTGCGGGAGTCTTTACAGCTGTTGGAGTGTTCGCAGTGAGAGTGATGCTGAACAGACCGACGAGTGCGGATAAATGCATTTTGAAGTAAACTTATAAAAAAATATCGATAAAATAGGTTTGAATTTTGTGATAGATAGAATAGAATAAACACCGAAAGGAATGTATATGTGTGTACTAGAATCGAATAGAAGGAGGATTTTAGAATCAAAATATAGAAAGACTCGAAGGAATGTGCTGAATGAATTGAATGTTTTGGTGTAGATCGAATGAATATTGGCTTTTACGATGGTTCACTAGACCTTTATATACATGCACACTCAACTTTCACCAAACATCAACATCTTGACAGTTAACAACAGTAAAATCTGTCGAACTTGCAATCCGTCTGAGCATAAACCGTCGATGTACTCAAATATCACCAATTCGAAAGCCAAGCTTGCAAGACGGGGTTTGTGGAAAAATCGTGTTGCAGGTGTCGTCCCAATGCAATCTCTCGAAACCCGGGGTATAATCGGAATAGGAAAGTGGTAGGAGAAGATGAGGGCGCTCCCACCATCGACAAACATTTTGAGGCTAACCCGGATTGAATGTTGAATAAAACAGTGAAATCTGCTAGAAGTAGATATTTTGTGGAAACTTCTATGCACCCTTTATATTTAACATCTAATTTAAGGAGCAGAGATCAAAAACAGTCGAGAGTCGGAACGCGTGAACGAGAGGCTGATTGCCTGTTGTAACGAAACCAGTGATCCTCTGCTTCTAGAGTATATTTTTCGCTTGATAAATATAATACAAGCATCGTGCTTCATGCGGATTAGTTCGTTTCGACTCTACAGCTGCCAGCCTGTATATATATAGCTATATATAGTGGTTCTTGAATTGTCGAGGTAAGTACGAACCCTTAAGCTTTATATAGCTAGCTTCTATAGATCTAATGGGCTTTGAGTACTTGTATAAGTAGGTATACATGTATTAGTCTCGTATTGTATTCAAATCTACTAGTTTTTACATCATACACTAATTAACTGCCTGTTCTATTAGGTCCCTTTATAATTATAGTATGAGTGGGGCTTTATAAATTAATTTCGAGCATCAAATATACTCCTGTCAGAGGAATACTTGGTATTCCGATAGATACATTAGTATATATATAATCGTTGAAAACTCTTCTCTCATTAGGATGGGTGTACTGACACATATGCATAAAGGTCTTAATTTAAGAAAGTTATGTTCGGATATACAACTTTTTGAAAAACTGCGGAAAATAATTTTTTTTTGCTATTACTGGTTTAGACATTTTGCAGGCAAAAAAGGATAAAACATATACGTAAACAAGTCTCGTATAGCGCTCAAACTCTCTCCCTCATATAAGTAAATTAAGTAAAAAGGTCAGAGGTAAGTAAGTAAGTAGTTACTGAAACAAAACGCTCCGGATCCTACCCCCCCACGGTTGCGTAAACAAATTATTAACATCTATGCAGCCCCCCGAACTATTTAGCCCAGGGATCCTTCCGATCCTCATAACAGCTTGACAACCCGCCGCCGTGAATGCTACGGGAACACCAGTGAAATATCCGGATCCGGTGTTGATCCAGGCCGAGTGTGTGAAGTAGTCAATATCTATACAGTCCGTAACGGAGGGCCAGTGTGTGTAGAGCATTTGGCCGGTGCTGTTTTGTTTATGATATATACTATATATTAGCCACTACTTCTTCATATTGGCTTGGGGGTGGACGGAGAGAAGAGCTAGAGGAGAGGATAATACCAGTTTGAAGTGCCGTATTCGTCTAAAGCTATTGTTTCCCAAGGATATGCCGGGATGGCAAAGGATAGAAGGAATATAAAGAGAAGCATCGTGCTTTTGAGTTTATGATTTTTATATTGTATTATCAAGACGGTGATATTAATATATAATGTTATATAATTCTTTCTTTGTGAGGTTTCGTACAAGTATATAGGTAATCTCGAGATCTCATAGATAAGCCGACACACGATAATTAGAGTCGAACAACGATGATAACGATTATACAAATCTACTTTCTCTATTCTATTTATACCCCCATCGATAAGGTTTTGAAAACACTGATATCATGACTTTTGAAGATCTGAACCTAAATCCTAGATTTAACTTTGTCTTTTTACACACACACACACCAGATGCATCCATCTTTCCCCTCCGATCCTGTTAATAACAAAAAAATTTGAAGAAATTGTGTTGAGAGCCAACAGAAGGTGTGGTAATTAAAGAAACGCCAAGAGAATTTCCCTTTCTGTCCACAAACCTCCAGTTCACCGCCGTCATAATTGACTTACGTTCTAAGTTGAGAGCTATCTACCTACTTACTTGCTTGGTGCTTAAGTATCTTCACGACACCCAACCCCCACAATCGGCTTCGAATCCGTATTAGACTACCGTCAAGATGGCCCGATCTCTACCTTCAAAGCTATTAATAGCATTCTCCTCCATCCTCCTCGCTCACGCGTATGTAACCCCCCTCCTCTTCCTCCTTCAAATACGATACTATACCGTACCATACCGTACCATACCATACCACGTCGATCAAAAACACTAACAAAATGACCACTATAGCTGCTACTCCGCCCACGAACACTCCCTCCTCTCCACCACGGCCGCAGCCGCTCACGACTCCTCTTCTTCCTCTCCACATTCCGCGACAATAACATCAGGTTCAACACTCCCTCTAGATATCACCCTCGAAACTTTATTGTCGGTATCATTACTTTTGGTCGGAATCGTCAGCTCAGGATGGGAATTAAAGCCTATCAGTCTTAGGAGTTACGCCGGTGGAGTTGAGAGTGGAAAGATTTTGGTGGATGGGAAGAAAGGGAAAGGATTGTTTGTGGGGTTGGAGGAGAGGGCTGGATTTGCGGATATCAGGGTATGATTTTTGTCTCCCCCTTTCCCCTTTTGATCTCCTTCCTTGGATATGGAGCTAATTTGATGGTTTTTTTGAAGAAACAACGGAAGGAGTTCACGGATTGGATGAAGACGCAGGGTAGGGTTGAGTGATGGAGGATTGGGAGGAAGTCGATGTTTGTAGATTAGTCACTTGGGTAATATACGGTTTTAATAATACTGGCGAAACCGGAATGGTCAGAAGCATCGATTCATTTGTGTTCCCTTATAATTCTCATGTATGATGAAATCCCAAGAAAGAAAAAACATGACCCCGTTCTAAGGTAGCTACTTAATAAGACAAAGATCCCCCACCATGAAAAAACATAAAAGGCATACAAAGAATCGCTTTCCCCACACCTCCCATTTTCAAATCCTCTCAAACGGTTCCTGATATCATAGAACTGGGAGTAGAAGAGAAGGAGAAGGAAAAGAGAAAAGAGGTGATAGATATAAAAACTTTTTTTTAGTTAACTTTTGGGAATAACTAAAAATATTTACAGCTTCTGCATGGCCTGGACGTCGGTACTCTGGACGTAGTCCTCGAACTCCTCGATCTGTTGCTGGAGCTCGTCGAGGGAGACCTTCTCGTCTTCGACGACCAAGTTGATCTGTAGCTTCTTGATGCCGAAGCCGATGGCGACGAGCTGGGAGGCACCCCAGACGAGACCGTCCTTTTCGATGGAACGGACATTGGCTTCGAGTTCCTTCATGTCACTATTTTCGATCAATCAGTACTCTTTCTTTCTTTATTGTGCTCCCCCTTTATTCTAACGGTAGGAAACCGGGGGGTTAACTTACGTCTCGTCATCCCATGGCTTGACATCCAATGTGACGATGGACTTGGCAGCTGGCTTAACCTTGCCGGCCTTCTTCTTGCTGTATCCCGCCAATAACATTAGAATTTGTCTCTCTTTTCGAAAACAATAAAATAAGTGGAATGAGAGATGGAGAGGGAAACATACTTGTACTCCTCCAACCTCTGAGCCTTCAACTTCTCAGCCTCCTCATCAACCTCATCATCAGAACCGAAGAGATCGACATCATCATCGTCTTCTTCTTCAGCAGCAGCTGGTGGGGCAGCAACGACCTCGGTGGCAGCTGGACCACCCTCTGGGCCGTAGGTGTCAAGAGGAGTGTTTTCGTCACCGGTCAAGGAGCCGAATTCGGCCTCGTAGCTGGTGATGTGGTTGTACCAACGAGCGGCATATGGGTATTTGGAGGCATCTGGAGCGGACGAAACGGCCTTGTAGACTGCGACGTCGGCTTGAGATGGAGAGTATCTATATCGATATAATTAGTACATTTCTTTTGCTTAAAAAAATTATTTCGCAAAGTGGGGTAAATATAGTTTTTTTTTTCTTCTTCCTTTCTTGTCGGTATTTTTTTTTGTTTCCCTTGCGATGGGTTTGTAGACGTAGTGTAAAGTGGATTGGACTGGAATAGAAGAAAGAATAAAAAGACATACCCAGTGATGTAGCTGCGAGTCTCGAGCCAGCTGTTCAAGGCTATAAGTATAGGGAAGTATATGTTAGCGGCAATATATGTAGAGTAGAAGAAGAAAGGAAGAAGACTAATGAGGGGCACACATACCAGACTTGCCAGTATCAGCGAGTAAATCTCCGAAGCCCATTGTGAGAGAAGATTATAAATAAATTACTTGAAGAAGGAGTAGTAAAAATAATAAATTATTTGATGGGTGGAAGTGATGATGATGATGGCTGACGAGAAGAGGTGGTTGATGGGAGAGAGAAAGAGGGAGGATAGTATGGTGGGGGGGGAAGATGAATGAGTAAATATTGGCTAACAACTTAACTATCCTTTCCTTGCTGGGTCCCAAGTCAGTCACTCAAGAGGGGCGGATGAAATGATTTTTTTTTCTTCCAATCAATTTGGCGGGGTGGAGGGTATGTGTTGCACCGCCACATATATCAAACAGGCAGTTGCTTGTTGTCAGGCGGTTGTTGTTTTCCGTGGCTGGTATCAACAGCGTTGTTTGTGGCCGTGCAACCCACAAAAAAAATTTTTTTTCTTTCGTGTATAAATTGGCGGTCCTCTCGACGAAATTCCTCTTCTTCTTTCTTCTCTCTTTAGTTAACGTGAGTCTTCCACAACCCCCCCTAAAAGTTCAACTTTGAGAGAAGAAGAAGAGAAGATGCTAACTATTTCACAGAGTAGTGGATATTATACCTTAACAAGTTATATAATCTACAATACCTACCTGGGGGCTCCGTCTCTGACGGCTTGCTGAGGACTATTCAAAATCAAATGGATTTTCTTCCGTTCCCGGCCCCTTCGATAAAGTCTCTCCTTGGCAGGAGGGCGGCCGATTCTTTTGTCTGAAAGGTTTTCTGATCTCTTTTTCTTTCCTTCGGGGGGGTTCAAGGGTGGTGGGGATTTTGTGACGGGGAGTCGGATACATACTTTTTTTTCTTTCTTTCTCTTCTCTTTTCGGATTTTCGTATCGTATGTCACATCATACATACGCCCTCACGGTCTGGATGTTTACCCGATTGATGGGTGCCAATTGAGACGTGATCGTATGTTTGTGATTGCGAGTTCGCGATAATTTTTCTTATTTTTTCGTGATTTGTTGGTGGCTTGATATTGGGCCAGTGTCGGTTTGATTCCGATGCACGTGTGTGTGTGTGTTTGTGTGTTTGTCCATTATTCTTAGTGCCTTAGCCTTGATGAATATATTATTATTATCTCTCTCCACTTTTATTCTATCCCGTAAGAATCATCACAAACTCCGTAAACCTGTGCAATCAATTGCGACTACTTTGATCGAATTCTTTTTCGTAGTTGATTCAGACGCGAAGAAAACATGGCTGGTAAAACTTTTTTTTCTCTTTCCCGTTCGGTTGACTACTAGCGCAATGAGCTAATCGATAGACGTGTAGGCGGTACGTCATCCTGCATCCATCCATCTCTCATCGGTCATCACAAAACAATACACCCTTTGAAGTGAAGAGGCAATTAGTTGATGATGGTGATGATGGTGATATAGCTTCCCTCTGGCTCCTCCCACCACCCGGAGCCCTCTCTACGATCCTAAAGACCCTCATATCCAATACTCTCCCTCCTCGTATCCCCGGTCCTGTTCGTATGTTTCCAATTTCTCCATTTATCATATATCTTTCAATACTAATATGATGACATAGCGGACTTCCAACCCCACATCACCATCTCCTCCGGTATCCCTCTCACCTCCTCTACAGATTTCCAAAATGTACTAGATTTGATTACCATCCAAGAACCACCCGTCGTAAAATTCAGACGTATCCGCTACGGAACAGCGTTCTGGACTAAAATCACCATTGAGATACACAAATCCACGTCCCTGAAATCATTGGCTGTAGCAGCTAGATCTGCTATCTTGCCGGGTTATACTGAGGAAGAAGCGAGGTGTTGGGTGGAGAAGTATACGACCCCCGCGGAGAGTGGGCAGGAAGGGTTTATTCCACATTTGAGTCTTGTTTATTATGGAGAAGAGGTGGAGGGATCGGTCAGATTGGGCGTTGGGAGTGATGTTGATGATGCTGGGGTGGTGTTAGAGGAAGTTGAGGGGGGGGGAGATGTCAAGGAAATGGGCGGGTGGGTTGGAGGAAAGTTAGTGGTTGTGGATACTACGAAGAGGGTGGAGCAGTGGAAGGACAGTATCCTGGCTGAGAGAGTGCTTTAGGTAAGTAGTCGTCTACTACTTTGCATTTTCATGTACCGTCAAGGTACTGTGAGAATAAGGCCAAATCTCGTCTCGTGCTCAGACAACGGCTGGCCACAGCTATATACCTAGGTACATGTATCCACTTAAGTAGTTACTTAAGTACCTAGTCTGGTGGGTTCAGTACCCGTCTAAAAACTAGACTATTAAGTACCTAGGTACTTACCTAAGTACTTAGGTAGACACTAGTTATCGTTCCCAATCATACTTGAAACTATTGATCTATACGTACGTAGTTATAACTACTTAAGTACTTAAGTATGTACCTGTGGATTGCCTGTGCATGTGTCTCCCGTACGTGCAAGGTTGGTAATACAATTGAATACTTTAATATTAAGGGATCCTAGGCCTATTAGGTACTCACGCTTCAAATCAAGCATGCTATGTAGGCGCCTAAGCGTATATAAGTACTGATTAAGTACTTAGATAAACCAAAACCTCAGTAATTGAGCCCTTATATATATATTAGGTCCTTGAGTAAGTAGCTATAGGTCTTGGAAAGTATATATATATCGATATTAATATTAATATTAATATCCTAGGTACATAGCGCTAGTCGACTCTCGGAGCCATGATTTGCCTGTGTAGTTAACGCTACGCTCCTGATCAAATTTTGGTTGACTTAGGTAGCTTACTTACGTCCTAGCATTGATTTCCCACGTAGTATTAGGTACCTAGCCTTGTGCACCTACCTACGTATAGTTATGTATAAGGGGTAATTGATTAGCTCGATTACATATACTAGTACTTATTGGAATATACGTTGCCCACTCTGTCGCAAGATAATGATTATTTCCTCTGCAATGGGATTTGATTTTGATATGGTACTGCTTGCCAACATTTGGATTAGGACCCAATATTATGCTACAATATCCAAGCCTGGCGAAAGAAAGCCAGAAGAGTACTTGTACCAAGTACGTTCGAATGAGATTACAAGGGTAGTACTTAAGGAGCTGCCACCAAGCTCGAATTTCATGGAGAGTTACCTCCCCTAGTCCTATGCAGGATTCAGGTTAATATTATTGAGTGGATCCACCCGTAGCTAGAGGTAAGTACTATGTAGAATTCCGTCCGGTATGTGCCGTTGACGTGACTTAGGTATCAGATCTACCTTGCCAGATATCGATAGCGTCCATTACCATCCTGTAGATAAACAGTAACCTGGTATAGCCTCTTCGTTAGCCCGTACATGCACATGTACGTATACCGCATCGAATACTTTATAGATTTTGATTATAAATATCCTTGGATCGGTGAATTTAATTAAGTTCTGTATGCGAGGTAGTTACCTGCCAGTGCATGGCCTTGTCAGCGCCCAGCCATGCGCTTTTACGCGACGAACAAGAAAATGGGTGATCAATTCGGTAAACGCGCCCCAACACACCGCCAATTCTAACGTCACCCCATGGATCCACCGCTTTGATTGATGGTTTTCCACGACTCTACCGACGAATCGACGATATAGAATACTCGAATTTGGCCCTTGGGACCCTTCGACTGTGGTAGGATCTACTTGATTGGGGTTTCGGTTTGGTAGTTCCGGGGGCGGTACACTGATATAATTGTGTTTAGTAGCCTGTTTTTCCCCGGACGACGGAAGTGCGACGATATCGATTGAACAGGTACGGGAGAACTTGAGCTTCTCTTGGGCAGTACTAGGCTCGATATAACACAATACGCCGGTGGGGAAACGACTGCCTGGGCTTAAGACGACATATACACCTCGTGTGGCGTCCGAAGAGGACTGCTCCAAACGTTTCCCTTGTGTACACCTCTACATCGGCGGCCTTGGTCCCCAGCAACGGGTTGACCCTGGCACTGGTTTCGTATACGGCCGACTTCGATAAATCGATAGAACATCTTTGTTCTGTTCGTATAATAGTATACGGTATGGATATGCTGGTTCAGTTCAGAAGTTTTGATTTTTGTTTGAGTTATGCTGCCAGTTTGCTTTTTGTTGCTTTCACCTTTTTCTGGGGCGAAGGGGATTGGATATGATGGATTCGGAGAATAAGACTGGAAGTCCCTAGCTAGGGCGATTGTCGAAGATTTCTATATGGCTGCGCCACGTATGAAAGGAGAGGAGGGAAGAGGAGATTGGGGATCAGACTGAGGCTATAGATGGGGGTTTTAAACCACAGGGGAAGCTTCATGACTGGGAAATTATTGGCATTGGTTGGTGAATTGAAAACGAAGGAGCAGTAAATCATGGAAGACAAGCAGTGTAGGCCAGCTTATGGCCTTTGCACCGCAGCATTTGGTTGATAAGATAAGGCTTGATGTTTCAAAATGTCCAATCTTCTGCGAAGCTACAGGCAGTCTTGCCGAGCATTTCTGTCAGGGCAGTTGAATGGCTCTTGGCGACCATTCTGAGAGCGACAACACAAGCCTCCCAAAAATGACACACGGTCACACAACATCGCCAAAATATCTGTCGACCTTCAATGCTCAGCAACGTCTTTTCATTATTATTTCCCTTTTCGGCTATCCGATGAGAGGAAAAGGTTTCCCTAACGGAATGGTTCTTCTATCCATTTAAATCCCTCCTCTTTGTCTCCATTTCCTTTTCTCCTCTCCCCTTCAACCACACTCCCGCTTCCAATTCGACAACTTCGCCTTCTGCTATCGCAACTTTTATCGCTTTTCAAAACTTCTTATCTGTCGTACATTCTACGAGCCGAGCCGCCGTAGTTTGTCCCTGCTTTTGACAATTTAATTTTCAGTAAGAGCCTTTTCGCTTTCTTTTTGAAACGGAATTGCTTCTCCCTATTTTTCCTCTTCGCTATCTTCGTGGGATCCCGTGACTTTTAGTTTCGTTATCCTGCAAGATATTCTTCCATACCTAACTCCTCTTCGCTATCTTCGTCAGGTTCTCTGGCAAGATATTCTCTCTCCCTATCCTCTTCGCTATCTTCGTAGGATCTCGTGACTTTTGTTTCGTTATCTTGCAAGATATTCTTCATTCCCTTCTTGTTCTATCTTCGTTTGACTTTGGTGACTTTGCTCCCAATTTCGAGCAAGATATCCCTACTCCTGTATTTCCTATTTGTTTTTATCCGTTTCTTCCTGTATCATCTTCTTGCAACAATGTCGGTCTCGACTGTCATGATGTGCCAGATGATTCTCATTTGTTTCTTCACCTTCGTTTGCTTCTATCTCTACATGGTAGCTTTGGATCACATTACTACCGCAAGTTTGAGATATCCCACTGACCTCCCCCCCACCTGGTGTTTATTCCCCGATCCCCGTCCCCTTTTCTCCTCTTGGGCCCAGTTCTCCGTTTCGTTGTTCGCCCAGTTTTGCTCGCTCTTTCCTGCCCGGCCCCATCCCCAGCCCCTCCCCCAGCCCTTCTTCCGTGTCTTCGGACACACCAAAGTCGAAAGGGTTGCTCCTTTCGCATCAATTTTTGTGCACCTCGTATGGGTGGCTTGGCTCGCAGATGTGGCCAGATACGTTTGGGACTATTTGGTCCCCCAGGTTGTCGCCCCCGCCCCCGCCCCAGGTCCAGTCCCCGTCCCTGCTCCGCCACCACCAATGTCATTGGTGGATAAGTACCTCGGCGAGGAACTTAATCCACCTGAGTACTCGTGGGAGTCTTTAACGGCCCCTGGTCCGAAGCACGAAGATTTTCTTCGTAGCTTCGAGCAGGATGCTGGGAGCTCCCACGAGCTCCTGGAAAGATACCTCCGAGGTATCTTGGAGCGGGGACGGGAGCGGCGCGCCGCCGAAGAGGAGAAAAATGCGGCCGCCGGAGAGGGGATTGGGCACCCCCTCCCACCACTACCGGCATCACCAACGCCGCCACCGCTGCCGTCGCCGCCGCCACAAACAACCACCTGCGGGGGTTGGATTCAGGTCTCAGGACCCGAACCAACAATGCGGCGCCCCGCCAAACGCGCCGTCGAAGGGGGTGGGGACCGTGAGCGGGAGTGGAAAGTTTCTCGGCTGGAGTCAGCCGAGGACTTCCCTCCCAGCACTTCTGTGCCCACGGTCCTCCCCTCACGGAGGAACCGCTGCCGCCGCCGCCTCCCAGATCCCAAATTCGTCCTACTCTGGGAGGCGGCAATGAAACCGCTCTTCGATTCTGACTGGTGGAAGGGCTGGCCCCTGTTCAAGGGACAGGGGCCGATGCCCGTCCCTCCACTCAGCGCCTACAGCCGGGCGCTTGACCGGCTGTGTGAGGCCACTGAGGCCGTGTTGAAGATGAGGCGGGAGGAGTACCAGGAGGCTTTGGCGGGCCTCAACGAAATCGAGCGATCCTTGGCCGAAATAAAGGCCAAGATCGCCGATTTAGACTCGAGGGAGTGGCTTTGGGAGGATACCTCCTCGGAAATAAGTAAGTTTATTCTTTTACCTTTCTCCACATTTACATGAAATGTTTACTGATGCACGCGTTTTATAACTAGCCCCCGAGGACGAGGCCACCCTCCCAGTGGTCCTCATAGACTAAGCCCTCCCTCCCAGGCCCGCCCAACTCCCCCAAACTCATCCCAGACACGACCTCACGGCCTCACTACCACCATCATCACAATTACCACCACAACCGCGGCCCTATGCCCCCTGAACCAGGCACCGGTAAGCTATATACTCGCTTGCTTCCGCTTTTTTTTGCACTTCAGTACTAAAAAATTCATGCATAGAACACTCACAATGGTGAGTCTTCGGTAACCCACCGCTGCCTCGTCTCTCTGCCGCCCCTCCCGCCATGGAGGGAGGGCATGTTGAGCCGCAGCATTCAATTCACGGAGGCCAGCCCCAGTGTTGTAGCTTGGACCCTACACACTGTGGGCCAAAGATCACATGAAGTTGAAAGAATGTAAGTCTTCCCGCTACTGACATCTTTCTATCATCATACATATACTAATAAACGTTTAAGATATACAGTAGAGAGATTACGATGATGATAAGCAAATGGAAGAAGGACTGTTGTTATAGACGATGTTTTTTTTAACATTTTTTCATCGTCTTGCTTTTGTGCCCGCCCCCCTCGTTCTCTTGCCCCCGCTCGTTTCCCCTGGTGCCTTTTCCCTTTCCCTTTCCCTTTCCCTTTCCCTTTCATCCCCTTTCCCGTTCCCCCTGCCCTAACCCCCTCCCCCTTCAAGTTTTGCTGTTCTTTTATTTTTCAAAATGCTTTTCTATTTATTGCTATTTTTCATATGCGAAGTATAGCTTAGCTATAGTTCAATAAATTTGTTCCTGTTCCCCTATGATCACTGTTCCATGGTTCTAATCGTCTCCTTTTTGCAGTTCCAATTGTTCTTGCTTTTTGCTTTTATTACTTTTAGGTTTTTGATTTACTATGACCTCCTTTGGCTCCATTGCGTGCCGCCGTACCTATCATTTGATGGCTGAAACTCACACACTAACATGGCGCCTTGTGCAGTTGCACAAACAGGGATTTTATCTAGACGACCCGCGACTGAACCAACATTGGATCCTATTTGGTTAACAGCCTGGAACTTAACTCCTTACTCACCTACGTAGGCACCTAATTGAGGGGGTATCTGCCTAAGTACCCAGTGCGTGCTTGAGTAGTAGTAGAAGTAGTAGTTACGTACCTAGGCCAGGCAGACAGGCTGTGACACCACCGAGGCTGCCACAACCCCCAACAACGCGTCTCCCTGCAACTCATTACCAGCAGTAGATTCCTTCCACACATTTATCCAGGACAACCTACGACCTTAACCTCCACCAAATCTCTTGCGATTCATCGCGTCTCAAACCAGGGCCTCTCCGGTCCCACTTTGAGATCTTCCTTCATTCCGCGCTTCCTTCCTTCCTTTAAAGCGTATCTTAAAGGATGGCCGAGCCTTCCGTCCCTTCCCGTCAAGGCTACGGCTGTCAACGTGAGCACCTCGACCCAAACGATCCAGAAGCCGAACCGGGTGCTGCAGAGGCATGGAATGCATACCTTCTCGAATTAGCAAAAGCGGAATCCAGACTACCAATCCCCATAACAAAGACCCCAGAGCTACCACTCGTTCTACAACCTGAAGTTTCTATTTTCGTGGGAACCGAAGGTGATGATGCCGCTATATCTTTGTCGAGGACGACGCCTCCTGGTGCTGCTACAACTTCTACCGTTGTTACTGACGATGGGAAAGTAGAATTGACCTTAGCTCAAGTTTGTGAGTCGATGAGGATCCATAGGCTGGAAACTCAAGCTGAACTACAAGCTGTTGAGGATCAATTCCGGAAGGATTGGGTAGCTAGAGGGTTTTCGTTGGATTTACTACCTGAAAACATCAACGGCGATAACGACAACAATTCTTCTTCCTCTACGAAAAAGACGGCAAAATCTAATTCTAATTCTAAAGATGTCGACGATGAACCATTGGTACAGATGTTGGAACGGATACAGATCGAAAGCGAATCATGGAATCCACATAACAGAAAGAAAAAGGGAGCTACCGCTAAGGGGGTTTCAATGAAAAAGACTGCCCCTCAGGGACCTGATAAAGAGGTACTAAGGAAGCTGGTGTACCTCGCTACAAAACGTTATTTACCGGAAACTATCACCTCCGTGGTTTCTGGCCCTAATGAGTGTCGACCGGTATCTTCACTGTCATCAAACTCTTTACTCCCCGAAATGGTCCAGCATACAAAATATCTACCGGCTGACCCGCCCGTGATAAATCTTCCAAGTCTTACCAATGAGGAGGTACAAGCTGTTATGGATAGTAAGATCAAGGAGGAACAAGACTACAAAGCGAGGGTACGTGCTCTTGAGGATAGCATCAGGAGGAACGAAAAACTGTTTGAGGAAGGGGAGGAGTACCTAAGACATTTCGAAGAGATGAAGGCAAAACAACAGACAGAATTCGAAGATATGATCTTGAAGAGGAGGAAGGCCGTGAGAGAGGAGGCTGCCAGAAGGCAAAAAGAAGATGAAGAGAGAATTAAGAGAGAAGCAGAGGAGAAAAGGAGAATGGAGGCTGCTCAGGCGAAAGAATTGGCCGAGCGGCTGAGAAGAGAGGAGGAACAGCGGAGGTTGGCGGAGATCAGAGAAGCGGAAAGGAGGGCGAGGGAAGAACAAGAAAGGCAGCAGAAGATCAAGGAGGAAGCTCAACGGAAGAAAGACGAGGCTGCGAGAAAGGCCAAAGAGGCACAAGATGCGCAGCAAGCGGTTGAACTGGCGGCGAAAGAGAAAGCGCAGCTGTTCCTTCAGGAAAGAGAGCGGCAAAAGCTTGAAAAAGAGAAGCAAGTTCAGGCACAGCAGGCGCAACAGGTACAACAGGTACAGGCGCAACAAGCACAGGCGCAACCGCAGCGGGCGACAGCACCAGGGGTTGTGAATGAAGTATGTCTCCGAGATAATTTCGCAATTTATCAGGTTTAGTTGCTAATTGAGATTTTTAGGCCGGAATCAAGGAAATGGTTGAGAGGCTGCTTTCAACGATGCCATACGCTACTTCCGAATACGAAAACATTAAGGCTAAGGTCATCCAACTCCTGGCATGGAAACAAAGATACTTGCAGGGAATCATCAAGATGGGCCCTCCAAACCCCGGATACGCTCGGTTTTTTTCGTCTTACGCTGAATTCCGTGTCTCTATGGGGGTCGTGGAACTCAGAGTTAAAACAATCAAGACCTATTACATGAACGGTGATTTGACCAATTTCAAGACGAAATTGTCAAAGAAGGTTATGCAAGTCGTCGGGAATAGCAATGGTTACTTGGATGCCGCAAAGGTTATCGTCGGTCAATTACAAGCCGTCAACGTTGTTAGCCAAGAGAAGGAGCCCCAAATCATTGCCGTAGATGATTTTGTTAACCCCCAACAGAAAAAGACTGGGGATAGGGGTCTTCCGGGAATCTTCCTATCTCTTTACAACTTCATCAAAATTATTCTTGTCAAAGCAATGACTGAAGGGCCTGAGAAAATTGCTATCCTAAAAGCCCTGGCTACGCTTCTAAATTCGGTTATGGGTGGGAACGCAACCTTCTGGAGACATTCGGCACTTACTATGATCCTTTATTTCCGATTTTTTGAGCAATCGCCTACTCTATTCGGTGCCATGGGTGAGAAGAAGGACATTGGGTACCGAACGATTGGCGGACAAATTGCCGAATCTCCGACAGAGGTCAATGGTCGCGCGGAGGTCGTAGCCACGATCTTTTGTCTAATGGGAATTCTTCGACCAAGCAATACAAAGCGAGAACAGATTCTTACGATAGTTGATGTTCACCGTGCACTGATGGTGAACCTATCCGTCCCCGTTCATCTCCGAGATGAATTACATTACATCAATATCCGTACAGTCATGACAATCGCGCCCTGGACGCTACGAACCTATTTAGGTTACGAAGGGGTAGTTAAATTAGAATCAGAGATAGTTAAGTACTGTAGAGAGGAGACGAATGTGAAGCTCAAGGCGCTGGCTAGTTTATTGATGGAACAGGCGAAACAGTTGCACAGCCAGGGATTTACAGATCGAAGAAAGGAGTTTGGATGCGATGAATGGAGGTACTGGGATCCGGCAGATGTCAAAGATACTAATGCGAAGAGAAGGGCGGTTGGAGAGGTTGTTCATCCGGGCCAGGAGAAGGTGGATTATGAGGTTACTAAGGGGAGGATTGATAGGGAAACAGCCATTGAAGAAAAGTTTAGACCTCCTGGGGCGGAGTCGGCGCCGCAGAGGATGTAATGGGGCCTCTATATTATAGAATTCTAGGGCTGGCGTTAGGATTTTCTTGTTACTCATCTCGCTGTATTTCTACGATTGCACGCTGATATTTTTAACCTGTCTGTAAAGACGGGTGGATATTTAGCATGCATGATATGATGGTTGTTTTATACTGTAACATAGAAGACATTAGACTACGATAGCGCAAACGACTGAAATGTTATGCATGCTCTGCTCTTCGCCATCTAACGACGGAAGTTTGATTGCATAAAATATTCCACTTTGGGCCGCCCGTCGAAACTTGGCGCTGACTTTAGTTGTTCCAGTCCCGATGCTTTGGCGCGGGTCGAAAATTCAACAATAACATTATTTGGTTCCCAGTCAATTTCATCTCGATCCCATTCACGTATACATACGGAAGAAAGAGTGTTTTAAAATGACATGTGCTTCGTTTCTCGTCCGCCTTCCCGACGAACTTCTGATCCACATATTCTCAGCTGGAGGCTTCAAGCTCAAAAATTATGTGGCCCTTTCCCGTGTCTGCAAACGGCTCCATCACCTTGCGAGCTCATATCTTTATAGAGACTTTATAGTTTCCAGCGGACTTTCTTATAAAGAATTGAATGGGTTCAAGAAGTTTGGGGCTCGTACGCGGTATATCTATTATATATAGCCCTTCTCATTTACACTATTAAGTTCCTGGATTGGGATTAATATATTATATTAATTAAGTGGATAGGGTTATATACATGGCTGACTGAAAGAACCAGATTACTAGATATAAACTACACCCCATCAATGTTAACTTCCGACAAAGCACATATAAACTCCACCGTCGGATTTCCCAATTTTATAATTAACTTCCCCGGTATAACGAAATTCACATTTACCGATTCGTTGGGGATATCATTCAACCAGTTTTTATTTATTATCAGGAAGACATTGGTACTAAACCCCCGTCTCAAACATGCTGAATTCCGCTGTAAAACCCCTGCTAGAGGGGTGGGAATAAGAGATGATATTGAGAAATTATTGGATGAAGAAATGACGGATGGGAGCTATGCAAAACTTGAGAAGCTGGTGGTTTTTTATAGGGGAACAAAACGGTCTTTTGAGATTGGAGAGATAAATACGTCAGAGAGGATGGAGGCGATTAGGAGGGCTGTTGGGAGATCGATGGAGAGCGTGCTGGACCTAAAGGTTTTTGTGACAAATTACCTTAGAATGCCGCCAAAGGGGTGTGAAGATAGGTGGGTTAGTAGAGGAAGATGGGGAATGAGTAGGGTTAAGAGAGTGGAGATTGTGGTTGACTGTTGGCCGGAGTTGGAGATGGGGGTTGTGGATTTGAGCGGGGAGATGGTGGAGGAGCTAAGTGTAGGGACTAGGAAGGAAACGATAAACCTTGCAAATGTAAGTTTTAGATATCTAGCTTTCTTGATTCTAGGTTTAAATTTTGGTATGAAAGGGAATATCTAGGACTGGGGCTAATATGTAGAGTATGGTATATATAGGTTGCGGAGAGTATTCATTCACGATTTCCAAATGTTAGAGTACTAAAGTTTTTTACTGTTGGTAGGAAGGGGGCAGGTTTGATGTTGCACGTATCCGATGTAAGAGTTATTACGAAGAGGTTTTTGTTTTTAGAGAGGGTTGAATCCGGGGGTGAAGGGTATTCTGAGTGTTTTTCGACAGGGAAGAGTGTGTTCGTGATCAAGATGACCCATGAGATTGGAGGTGGAGTCGAAGTTATAGAGGAGAGAGCTTGAAATAGGTATCTCGCTCGATATTTATATATATATCCGTTTTAGTTAATATCCGGAACTAATCAGTGCAATTGTATTCCTACAATGGATCACTAATAAACAATTCGTCCGTCCCAGTGCCCAACCATACTTTCTTCGCAAACCTCGAGGCTTTATAGTCTTCCAGATAAAGATTGTCGGGGAAATTGTTAAGATTTGGGCCGTTTGTTGTGGGCATGTGCACGAACCTGTCGGTCAGAGGGTCGCCGATGTATCCATATCTTTGAAGGAGTGTCCATTCGTAGTGTAGACGAGAGGATTCCATCTTGTCGGGGAAGTCGATGTCTAGGTCGGCTTCCGGAAAACGTTGGAGTAGGGTGTACATTAACTAATAGATATTATCAGCCATAGTTCCCTTAGTAATATTGGGAATTTTGAAGGGGGGAATAGAGGTTTAGGAGGTAGGGGTAGGGGGTGTTTACCTCACCAGTAACTCGACCATCATTTCTCCAAGTATCCGCTGCATGGGCTAGAAATTCAAAATCTCGTTTCCTCTGGCCCTCAGAGTTCTTGATGCACTTTTGGAAGTATTCGATTCCCTTACCAGCCATCCCTCTTTCATGACAATAAAAACAGATCATAGCCTGTAAATGATTGACACTAGCGATATGGTCTGGTTTCAAAACGGTCATTTCTTTATACCCCAGATCGGTCTCCACTTCCATTGTCTGCGAAGTTATTTCGTCCAAATCATGGCAAAGTTCCTTTAAAGTACCAAGTTCATCCGTAATCTCCAGTTCTTCGGGTAAAATATTTCTAACGACCATAAGGAACAAACACTTTGAAACGTTGTAGAAGCATATGTGGACTATTTGTTTCAGTGTCAGAACTGGGTATAAGTCATCCATCCGGGGCCTAAAATCTGCCAGTTGTTGATAAGAACCATCAACTTTGTTGCGGACTAAATCTCCAATGAAAACCCATTTGCAAAAGTCGTCGACTAGATCTCGTTGTTTGTATTGTGGATTTAGACCTTGTTTTGATATGTATTTTATTAAGAGTACTATTCGGAGCGCTTCGGCTCGGATCCACATTATTGGCTGGTTGTAAAACTTGAGGTATTGAGAGATTTCTCCGGGGTTGTGATTGGATCCCGGGAGGAATTTGTACTTTATGCCCGTGCCAGTGAATGATTTGAAGGTTTCGAGAACGGTAGTTTGGAATAGCGAAATTGTAGTCGAAGAGGAGATTGGTTCTTGGTAGATGTTCTGTGGGGTGTGAAGAGTGAATGTAAGGGAGAAGAATTGAGATTGATCGGTGTCTCTGATTTCTGATTTGAACGAATACAATTAGTATTTCAGTATGATATACTAGTAAAGTTAGCAGATGAATGTATGCATACTGAGGATTTGTAGTAATTGGACGAAGGGCGTAATCTGTGATTCCGTTAAGACGATTTCAGGATCCTTCGACCCCGGTGTGAACTTCATCTTGGGTGTACTTTCATCATCACTCTTAACCTCCTTCCATATAATATCCAAAGTGCCCATGCTACCCTTGATATCCCGCTTCGTCGGACGGGTATAAAACCATCGGAATCCCAGCCGACCCATTAACCGGCATAAAGAACTAGTATACGGGATCCCCCTGATCTTTAATACCGGCCCACAGATGGTGTATAAATATCTATGGGCTTCTTTATATATCCTCTTATTTGTTAATAAGATTTCATGATATATTCGAATTCTGGACATCGTTGCCATTGCATTTCCCTTCGAATATACAACAAGCTCGACATCATCACTATCAGAGTCCGAAGAGGAGATTTGATCTTCATTTGTGACTTTCCTGGGAGTGAGACCACGGTAGGTATAAATATCCGTTGGGTATGTTGGAGCAATGGTATTTATATTGTCAGAATCATTGAGGTTCGTGGACGAGGAAGAAGGGATTGATACTGTGTTGTTATTGTTGGCGTTGCGGGCGGGGTCGAGCGGGTAGGTGTAGACATCGTGAGAGGTGTTCAGAGAAGGGGAAAGAAGGTAGGCGTAGACTTCATTACGGATCTCACCGGGGAGAAGTTCAAAGCGTGAAAATGGTGCTGCAGGGGTTGAAGATATTGAATCCGGAGATAATGCTCCGGGGGGAGGACTTGGAGAAGCTGAAGGGGATTCATGTACCCGTACCTCTGAAAGGTCATTTGCAGCCGCGGCTGTGAGGTTCTCCCACCACTGTTGGATTATGGCGATGTCGGCGGGGTTGACTTGAGGGTCCATGGGTATTTTAATTATAAGTTTGAGGCTTCAAGCGGCTGTTTACTTGTTAGTTAGAAGTATTGCCGGGGTGTTTATTTTAGAGTAGTAGATTAGAATAAGAATATATATCGAGGCAGAGACTACATCTATCCATAAATTTACTTGATCATGACTTGGGTTTTATCTTGATTGAATTTAACCTAGAAGCTGGACCCGCATCAAAATTGAAAATCCTTTGAGCACGATGCTTTGCAAATTTATTATCGTTCCACATACTTATAATTTCAGATAATTCGATGCTGCTATCGTAATATTCTTTGGGGCTATTGGAATAGCACCATATCCCAGTTCGCGGTAAACGAGGTTACTGCAGAATATTCAATTGATCAAGTCGACATATGTATGCATGCATACTAAGTAAGTAGTATGTATGCATGTACTTGAGTTCTTACTGAAATACCTGGGTACAAGGTATACGGGTATACCGATACCTACCAACCTCCCGCCCAACCAGGTCACTGGGATCCACAGGCGCTTTAGCTTTGACCTTCACATCCTCGAAGCCCTTGTTCTCCAAGCTATCCCGGTCGTCATTAACTGGGCTAAACTTTATTAGGTTAGTGATATTGATACACCTCTCGATCTAGATCTCTGTTCATGCAAGATGCCCCGATTCGATTCGCGAGCTCCCAACCATTTTTACTCTTAGCTTACTTCTCCTCAAACTGTTGGACATATCATTGTACACGTTCATGCGGGCCATTCCGAATGAGCATGTAGGAGAGTATTCTGCAGCTAATTAATTAAGCTGTTAAGATCAAATTGATGCTGGAAGGGAGATCTCGATCTCGATCTAGGATCTTTATATACGGTCCGTCCGCCTGGGGTCTTTATGAGACTACCAGTCCTTTATATATCCTTACGCGATATCGATTGATATATCAATACCGTATATTAATACCGTATATATATACCAAAACAACAAAATGCGGGTTCACATGATATCTGCGAGTTCATATGCTGTTTCAATCCTTTTAGTCGTTCTTCCATTCGCGAGCAGTGGTCTAATAAATAGTATCGGAATCGATATTCGTGTCCCCCTACCCCTACCAACCAGTCAGTCCCAGCCGAATCCGATTTGGCAGCAATATGGTTTACTCGACGTCACTGCGACAATTAATTCAACAATTGTGGTTGTACCTATTCCAATAACTCAAGCTCGAGCTATAATTCCGGCACAATATCCGATATTGACGGCTGCGTATCGTGAGCTATTGCCAGGATGGCTGGAGGACATGTATCCTGTGAGGAAAAGATTTCACAAAAATCCACTATTTACTGCCTCATGGATAATATGCAACTAACCTAGGTTCACCCTTTGTGACTTTGATATATATTGTTTATAGCTCATCGTTGCCATTCAACTGGAACATGATATCCATGGGTTTGGACTCACGATTCCAGACTTTACCGTGTGTTCCCTTTTCACTCATTTGTATATAAGCTATGTAGTCAATTAAGGTGCTAATGATTATGAGATGTACTCGCAGACCTTCCGAATAGCCTTCCCATTCGTCGACATACTCAAAGACGGTTACTCGAATTTCGTTTACGCGCCAGTGAACTGGATAAATCTCAATCCGGTTGGATTATTGGGCCTTTCTGTTTATGGTCTCTTCACCCCTATCGCAAGCATGGATCCTCCGGGCGATCCCTACGACTTTGTCCCGGTTTCGAAGGCTAGTGCACCTGGAGAGGTATATTTTAATTTTACGGGTACCCTCAACATTAACCATAAAACACCAAATGGATATGTCAAATTAGCACCGGCCACGCCGGATATTCCATGGAATTTGTACGTCAAAGCTTTTTCTGAAATTATAGAAGATGGTCTACTCACCTTTTGATCGATGAAATAAAAAAATAGTATTAGGAATGTCACGAACCAACCGTTTACCGGAAACTTTCTGATATGCGACAACCAGATTAGGATCTTTAACACTTCATTGACCCAGTTGCCGTTTGACCCCGTCCCCGTGGCTGGTAGTGTATTCCTTGACTCTATCAAGTATCCACACTTAAAACTGAATAGGAATGATGCAAAGGGATGGTTATTCGCAGCCGCTTTTAAGGAAAATAATTTTTTGCCTTGTTCGGTGTATAAAGGATACGGAGGAACCGGAAGTGGGGACTCTTTGTAAACAGGCCTATTAATTCTGCGCTGCTTATAGAGTTTTCTGTATTGGAGGATGTTATTGTATTAAACCCCTGGTTTCTAGAAATAACCATATTATCACTGTCATAGTCCGCAGTTAGCCTTAACCGATCCCACAAGCCAGCTAGCATGCAAGCCCTCTTAAACCTCCATTCGAATATCCATAACTCCGGTTCTCTAACTCGTTTACTTTTCACCGAGGTAGAGTATTGATTGTTTCTCATAAAGTATATCTCTAATATAAGGTCTAGATGTTTACAAAGATAAGAAACCAAAAGCGCCATACCGGTCCAAAGGGAACAACATTCCAACTACCATTCTCAAAACCCTGAGCTCGTCCTTGCTCAGCTATTTCAGAATAATGGAAAGGACCTCTAAACACCAACAATTCTCTCGCTCCATCTCCACCTCCAGATACCACACCACCAGTCCATTCGCCAAGCTAAGAGTCAAGAACGGTCTGAAGGGAAAGAAGGTGAAGAACGAGGTAGCTAAACTACTACACGAGGCAGGGGTAGTTATTTAGGTAGAAGCTAATGGAATTATAGATACCAAGTACACTACCATACCGGTTTTAACCAGCTACTGCAGCGCCAAACTACTGTCAGCCTCTCTCTCTTTCTCTCTCTCCGAATGGACTTTTCAAACATGATGCTCTCACATATCTCCCCAAGGCCATCCTCCGCTCAAACAGAATATCCTGCCCCATTTTCCCGGCCACTTATGGCAACCGGCGGCAGCCACAACAGCAACAACAAAGATAGAAGTAACAACGACGGCGGTCAACCTGAGGATGCAGCCTATGCACTGCTCCTCCAAGAAAACAAAATGCTCAAGATAACCATCTTGGAGCTACAAATTGCGCAATGCCGCAACTTGGCTTTGATCGACTGTTTTGGTAACGGTCAGGTCAACGGCCCCGAAAATGGACCGCCATCTCAGAGGCAGGGGGTGTTGAGAAATCGGATGGAGGAGCTAGAGGCTAGGCTTCTAAAGATGAGGGAGGAAGGTTATGAGAATACGGGGCTGCAGAGGAACAATAATGGATGAAGAGGAGATGGGGTCAGGTTGACACAGAGCTACTAATTACTTAGGAACCTAGGTAGTTTCAATTTGTTCAATTGTTAGGTCAAGCCTATACACTTTTGTTACTTTCGATCATAAACTGGTTTGAAATATCCTCTTATGTTAAAAGGAAAACATGAAAACATAGTGGAACCATAAGTTGTTAGGGAGGATCATTCTTAAAATTCATTCCCTCTATGATACAAGCCTATCCTCTAAAATATGAACATCAAAGGGAAAGGACATCCAGATATATATATTCACGAAACTCATAAATTCGTAACATCATGTCATCGTTAATAGATCGTTCATGCATTTTTCAAGTCGTATTTAGAAAAAGTACTTGAGAGCACGCTTCCGTCTATATCCGCCATACCCACCTTCATCTTCATCATCATCACCTGCCTTGCCGCCATCATCCTTTGCAGCAGGGGTAGGGGGGGACTTTGCGGTGGTTGTAGTTGTGGCCTTGGGGGAGGTAGTTGTAGAGGCCTTAATGCTTGTGGAGAAGGTTACACTACCACTTGCAGTCGTTTGTGTGCTATTGGGCTGAGTTTTACTAGAAGGTGAAGAATCCTTGGTAGTAGTGCTATCCGACTTGGATTCGGTTCCAGATGGATGGGGTTCGATTTTAGCAGCATTATCAGCGGCGTCTGATGTCTCGCCGACGACAATGGCAGCGAAACGTTCAACTGCAGCTACCGTTTTACCGCTCTTATCAACTGGCTCAGCAAGTTCTTCGACTGTGCTGACACCGGCTTTCTTTTCTTCAGTGATGGCAGTGACGAGAACTGGATCGCTGAATTCGGCCTTGACGGAGACATCGGTGCTGACCGTGATGGTGTTGACAGTGACACCGACCTTTAGGGTCTTGAATTTGTTGACATCGATCTCCTCACCATTCTATTTATTTCGTAAGGGTTATTATATATTACTTTACGCGAAGTGGTTTGGGAGGTTGGTTAGGGACTTACGCTCATGGCTGTCCAAGCAAGATTCTTCTTCAGGTACTCGTTGATCTCTTCTTCGGTACCCTCAACACCCTTGGCCTTAAGAATGGCATTAATTGGGATAATAGCAGTCTGAAGGTTCGACACCCTCTTCATATCAGGGTTTCCAAGAACAGACAAAGTACCGATCTTATTATCGGCCTTAATCCATTCTGCAGAGTCTGATGGCGGCTTGCCCAAGAAGACGTAGATAGAGAAAGTCTCAGACATCTCAGCCTGATCAACGATAATGTTAACGTTCCATTCGCTTCTAGACTCGGTCTCTGCACGCTTCTGGACCAAAGCCTCAGGCTTATAAAGCAAGTTAATTTGTTCGGTAGAGAAAGTATCAAGATCCTCCTGACTGACATCCTTCTTGTCGCAGGGTACTTCGGGGAAACCGTAGCCGTACGACCAGATTGCACTGACGTCTTCAACGTCCTTAGAGGTCCACCATTCTCCATTGGGGTGCTTGAAGGGGTAGAGTGGAGTGTTTTCGTCATCTTGGGTAACACCGGCTGTGACGCGGCGTTGGAAGGTTCCGACACCACGACCACTGGCGAGCTTAAGATCTGGGTTAGCTGCCTGCCAGATTGCCATGAGGCGATCGATGTTATTGTGATGAAGCCTGTGATTCGCACTTGTTAGGTTTTTTTTTCATAATAGAGAAGGCATTGAGGATTACATACCAGAAGATGGGATCGAAAGCAGAATAGGCGAGATAGTACATTGCACCACCACCTTCACCTCCGATTTCAACGTGAACTTGGTTGTGCAAAACTTCGAGGGCACTAGAGAAGTCGTTGAAGGAAGATGTACTCATCAAGTTGTTGAAAGTTTGTTGACGACGGCTATTTATGTCTATGTTAGTGGTTATTTTCATAGATTGTAACGTGATAATTGGTGCCATACGTAATGAAACCAGCCTGCATAGCTTTATCGGCGGCAGCTTCATCAGAAACGCCGGTGAACTTGGAAGTACCACGGGTAGTACGCTTCGCTCCAATGAACTGTAATCTTGTTAATACTATATATTCAATCTAGTTGGATGTGATATCATATACTTACTGGCTTCTTGAATGTTTGATTCTCTTGATCCTTGAAAATGTAGGAGTGGAATGGGTTATCAATGGTCTTTTGACCATCTGGAGTAATGACTGTAACCTTTTCTTTCTTGACGATATCCGGGGTGTGACTCTCAAATTGGCGGGTTGACCAATCCCAGTATCTTTGTTTAGGTTTTATTAGCAACGATAACCGCATTCGAAGACGTAGTAAAGGTTTGTACTCACGGGAATCTGAGCCTCTTTGCAGCAGCCTGGTATTTCGTCTTGAGGGCTTCAGTCTTGTATTTCTCTGCGATCTCCTCACCGGCAGCGACAAGAGCTTGCTGTAAGGATGTTAGAAAAAGGTTTTAGGAAAGGCAACACAAATCGTTGTTGGAATTTTGATTACCTCAAGAACAAGCATGTATGGACGATGCCAGGTAGCGAACTATCGATTTAGTTAGTTCTTAATTCGGTATATGGTGTATACGATGTTAAACTTACGAGAAGACTGCCGTGTGGGCAGTAACCTCTGGTCCTATCGAAAGATTCACCATTACCTGGGGAGGCAGCCTTCGGATCTGGCCATGCTACGAACCTAGAAGATCGAACCAACATCAGAGGTGATTCCCAGCTTGTATAATCTTATCAAAAGGTTTTATTAGAACTTACGGAATACCGTGAATACCAGAGAGTTGGTAGTAACTCCATGGGTCAGTCTCGCCGGCGGTATGAAGCTTATTCATAGCTACAAGCAACAGATTGAAAACATCAGGATCCTTTGCTTCCAATGTGTTGATGTCTTGTCTGTTAGCACAGCCATTCTGAGCTCCAGTAATGGCAAATTCGTAACCAGTTGGAGTCGGCTTGGCTGATGTAGTCGTTGTTGTAGTGGTAGATTCTTTCTCGCTAGTTGTTGTGGTAGTAGCTTTAGAAGTTGTGGTTGTAGTAGTAGCCTGCGAAGTGGTAGTCGTAGTCGAGCTTTCATCATCGCCATCAGCACTAGTTGTGGTAGTGACCTTGGGAGTCGTGGTTGTGGTCTGTGAAGTCGTAGTTCCAGGAGAGTTTCCATCTAAATCTTCACTAGTTGTGCTCAAAGTAGTAGTAGTAGTCTTGACAGATGGTCCACCACCTGTAGCGTTTGTGGTAGTGGAGTTACTGGGACGGGTAGTCTCCACATTGACCTCAGTATCACTACTAGTAGTAGTGATAGTGGTAGTGGTCTTAGCGGAGGAAGTGGTAGTTTTGGTATCATCAACATCGTCTTCAGTAGTAGTACTAGTCGTCTTAGCGGAAGAAGTGGTTGTAGTCGTAGTACTTGGCTCAGCGGTAGTGGTAGTAGTACTCGGCTTGGTGGTTGTCGTAGTTGCTGGTGGTTTGGGTGAAGTTGTGGTGGTTGTAGTCTTCTTCGGGGTTGTAGTAGTTGTAGTAGTCTTCTTTGAGGTTGTGGTAGTAGTGGTCTTCTTTGGAGTGGTGGTGGTGGTCTTCTTGGTGGTGGTTGTTGTGGTCTTCTTTGTAGGCTTTGGGGGGTCTTGTGTTCGGATACAAGCCCAGACCGAGGTCGACTTTTTGACATTCGCACAGTTGTTCTTCAATCCAGGATTGTACCTATAGTAGTTATCCACCAACGTTAACGAATCATCCCTGCTGACTTTCTTTAACTCCAATAGGAACTGGGCCGGATGATACGATATATGGGTCGATATCCACGTCATGCATGTCTGGTTATACTAAATTTAATAGTATACATGATATCGATATATATCTCGAGTCTCGGCTCCCCTTAAGACTTTTCGCACGCAGTTGGAACTGCGATATCCCAAATTCCTACACCCTCAAAATTTTACGAAACACTCATATATTACAATAGAGAGGCCTTAGGTGTATTTAATATTCTTCAAGGATAGGAGTTTCAGCTTACTTAAGGAATGTCGTCTGTGTAAGTACAATCTGGTACATCTTCGCCACCTGAATGATGGAAGCGCAGGTATCGGTCCTACGAATTACTGTCCAAGCATTGCAGCTAGTAGGATGTCCTGCTAGGACCGGGTAGTCTCTTTTTCTGAGAGTCTGCTCCCTGGCAACGATCGGAGACTCATTTTCAACCGGGACGGCAAGCACCGGGCTGATCGTGTTCAGCAAAAGAAGATACACCAAACCTTTCATAATGAGTGTCGTGAAGGCGTCTGATCCCGCCATCGTGGGATGAATGAATATTCGAATAAACGAAAAGAAATGAAAGAAATGTATGTATCAACACTCCGTTCTATCTCGCGATCTCGAAAGGATTCGCAAAGACTTCTCCCAATTTTTGAAGGAATGACCGGAGAGGCTAGTAGCAAAGCCCTGCCAAGAAAGGACTAAAAGTCAGGGAGAAAAAAACGAAAGTCTATGGCCTCGGCCAAAAAAAGGAACAAAGTATTCTCAAGGACGCATTCTTCACGACATGGTCGTTCCTTTATAGATGAAAGTTCAAGCGATGGTAGGTAACATGTTTTCCACGGATAGGCCAGAATATCTGCAGTAGTCCCCATCTAGACCTATCTTCCCGCCTTAGATTTCCTAATAAAACCAGCTAGAGAACTTCGTGCGAATCTAGGATCTGGAATACCCTTTAAGGATGCATGCCTCAATCCATGTCGATACATGTCTTGGCAATGACGTTGGACCCACATTTGGTTCGCACTACCGTGGCGGTTCTGGAATACCGAAGCCTTTCCTAATCCGTATCGGGAAGTTCGTCAAACATGCTTCTTAACGAGCCGAGAAGAGGATACTGTAAGCGCGGCGCTTGACAGCTAGTCCTTTCTTTAAACCCTGACCGCTAAGACTTGTTCCTCAGGAATGTAACGTTGAATATTTGGAGCGAATACCAGTTGGAAGTCGCAACCCAGATTGTTGATTTCGGTGGGTCACAAACCGAACTAATGGTAGGCGGAATAGGCACTTGCTGGCCGACGGGCACGGCGTCGTGCATGGCCGAAATGTTCACATCTTGCTTTGGGAAGCTTCTCCCGGACTTGTAGATCTAAACTACTGCGATACAGGATTATATCTTCAATTTATAAGATATGAGGCCAGAAATCTGCAGCTTTCTTAATTAGGACTTTTATAACCCCCTAATAGTTTTTCGACGCGAGATACACAAGTAACTCGCAGCGCCCTAATTGAGGGCAATAAACATTTCTTGAAACATGCAGGTTGCTACATAGGGTATCTATCATGCCCTTACAGACCAGTGTCACGCCACGCGGCATTGTGTTTTACGGGATATGATTATGACGATAGGTACCAAATCTCAGGGTCATAAGCGATGACAATCATGACAGTCAAAACTTCCAATCGGAAGCCAAGGCTTGGTCCCATTGCTACTAAGCCTGGGAACTGAGGTATATATAAACAGTGCTGGTCGCACGTCGGAAAAAAGAATGTCATTAATAAGTTAAATTCCTATAGAGTTTATTGAGTCTTGAACACAGCCACTGCCATGCCGGGAATAACGGCAGGCTCTACCCTCTCCCAAAAAACATCAAATATTGTAAAATTCATCCCTAACCGAACCGTGCCGAGCCACCGTCCCCTCGATACGGTCGGGTTTGTACCTCGTTTCAACCATCCTCCATTCGTTTTTGTGTCTTCTGTCGCTGTCGCGGAAGAACTGGCGATATGTGATGCCCTCTAGATTTGGTAGGGACTTGAAGAGCCCTGGGAAGGTTTCCTCCCACGGAATGGGCGAGCCTGATCCAGGCTGGTACTGGGCGATCCAGAGCTGCTTCAGCTTTCGGAATCTCGTGGTTCGGGGAATGACCTCCCGATACGAACTCTTGTCTGTTGGCAAGGACAAGAGGTTGAGAGAACGAACGTCCTCGGTATCGAAACACAAGGTCAAGTCGGGTGAAATTGCATCCATGGTGCAATTGACACGCTTGACCATTCGCTCCCAGCAGTCTAATTGGGGTAGGTCGGGATGTGCATCTCGACGTCTTCGTGACGCCGGATCGATGTTTCCAACCTGTATGGTTGTCCCGATCCCGTTAAGGGCATCTGAAATCTGCCTCCAACGGGATATTCGCTCTCCAAAGTTTCTTTCCTGGACTTTGAAGCGAATCGTACTGAGCGCCGATAGGGTAAGGTCACACGGACCTCCCACGGCGATAAGGTGTTCCTTGAACGAGTCCACGTCGGAGAGGCCAGAAATGACCATCTCTTCCAGGTGGTTGAGGGAGAGGGCGACTGTTTCCGCTATTCCCAGGAAGGAATAGAACATCTCGTATGGCTGGTATATTGCCTCCGGCAACTCTGCTGAGTCGACGCCGGACCCGGATTCTAACCGGATTGTCCTCAATCCCGTACACTTGAGAATGGCCTCCTTGAGCCACCTCATTGAGACACGACTCTTTCGAGCCTGCGTCTTAGTCCACTCTTTGGGCATCCGGGAGGTTCGGACCGTTAAGGTCCTAACATAGCCGCCGTAGTCGTCGAGGGCATGAAGGGGTGACTCGGCCCGCCTCCCCCCTTTCTCCTTTGAAGGAGTGATACTGAGAGATTTCACGTCATTCGCGGCGCTCGGATGATAGAACATATTGACTGTGAGGTCGCGATATACCTCCGGGGTAACGGTATCGTGTAGGTATTTGCACGTCTGTGAAAGACGCGACTTTGAGGACTCGTCGAGGTGGCTGGATACCTCCAGCAGCATCTCCATCGGGAGAGACATCAGGTTGACCATTTTGAACGAAATATTCTTATTTTTGAGCTTTGTGGTTCGGTTTATTGGAAGTACTATCACTTCCAAACGGCTGCAAGTCAAGAACTGATCAGGGTCAACTTGAACGAGTTGGCGGCAGCGAAGGTTCGTGAGAGGAAGGTTTAGGGCTGAGAAAAAGGATGATGGGGAAGGATGATAGAGAAGAAAAGCACAAGAGATCAAGTCTTCTTACTTTAATCTTGTCACAGTTGTCGAAAACTAAAGATTTGCGTTATAGAAGGTTGGAAGAGGATAAATCTTTGATAATCTTTGATAAATTCTTGCCGCATGGCAGTTTATCAAACAAAATATCACAATCAGCAACAAAACGGGTGCTTGTTGTATTATTTGCGTTGGCTTTGTCTTCTGTTACACAGACAAGGATCGTCGCTGGCCGGATACAGCCGGCTTTAAGATCTGCTAGATCGTTACCATGTGCGCGTGCGCCTAGCTAGTGCAGCCCAGCGAGCTTGAGATTCGATTCATAAGATCGACAACGGAAATTGATTATTAACTGCCAAAGATTAATCTCACATGTAGAACTTTAAAGAGAATAATATGAATTTGGCTATATCACAATCGATGGAGTTTTTTAGTGTTGCTTTCATTATTAATAATATATTATACATTCCATCAGCCCGGCCAGATCAATAGACCATCCCCGACACGAAGGCCGTTCAGCTAGATATACATGTACCTACGGGTACTAGTACTATAGTACTATATATAGCTAGCTATTTATACACCGGATCTGTGGCGCCATGGCATACGCGCTAGCTATTTAGCTATTCACGTTCCACTATGGATATCGCGCGGCAGCATGCCTTTAGTTACTAGCGTTGTTGGTAGCGACTTCAGGAGCGTGACAGTCGACAATCAGATATAAAAACACACCTAAATACTAGCCCTACTATACCTAAGCTCTGCTATGTGAATGCAGATAAATAACACCCTGGAATTCTTTTGGCTGGGGCGGAGTATGAGACAAAAATATAAGAGGAAAAAAAAGCTTTACATTTATTGCCATGCCCGCTAGCTTTTGCATGCTAGGGCTGCTCATGGTATTCTGCGATTACGCAAACTCATGCGTATATATAGAAATACTTTGATTGTATCAATCGCAAGAGGGAGAATCCATCCGCGATTCGGCTAAGTCCGGCCTAGCCATGATTAATTATACATTAAGTAAATTTAGAAAACTATATACATGCCAACCTATATATATCGGCAAGAACGTCTAAAATTAAAATGCTGCTCCTCGTGTCTTGGGAGTCGATACTGTTCCGGAATTTAGGTACTTCTAGGCCGAAAGAGGGTCGCCAATCTTTACATCCTCGTAATAGTACAGCCTCTTCAACGTATACGGGGAACCCACCCTAGTACCTTGTTGAGGCATATACATGTATACTGCGGTGGCTGTCTTCAACGCAGTCGATTTCATACCACAGTATCGGAAAACTTCTGACCAAGTTTCTCCAATCTTTGCTTTGGATAGATTACGAAACAGGGGGATCATCTCCTTAGCAAACGCCCAAACCGTTTGTTCGTCTCTACTGTCGGACTGGTAGTAAAGTTCCAAAACCTTCACATTTTGAAAACGCCACATTCCAAGGTATGCCTATGTAGCAGTCCAATATTAGCCTTTTCGTTCAAAATTCAAATATCAATTTGAATGAACCGGATCCACCACGTACCTTGATATCGAAAATATGTGCCTTCAGCTCGCTACGTATGACTAACTTGGTAATGTTGTAGTAATCCACGCCTAGCCACCGTTCTGGACATTTGAAAGTGCCACCCACGCCAAGCTCCACCTGGTACACTCTTGGAAACTGGACACCAGCGGCCACATCAAGCATTGGTTGTTTGTGATCGAACGGTCGGTGAAGACTACAGCACTGAGCTGTCTTTTGGGGTCCTTCGTCTGTAGAAACGGATAAACGAAGTTTGGTTATATTCTCCTTTGCACTTCCTAAGGCCATGTAAAGTGCTTCGAATATCTTATCATTCGCCGAATTACCATCAAAAAGCCCGTGGAAAGAAACTGCCAATGAATCTAGAGTTGCGAATTTTGTTTCGTCTTCTGATATAAGACCATCCAGAAAGTCAAAAAGATCGAATTTACAGGGCCGGCATTGTATACTAAGGTCATCGAGGCGTGGGATGTTGGAAATTGCATTTTGGACCAGTTTAAGTACGATATTGGGGTTGAAGGGCGAATCTTTTGGTGCTATAATGCCAAAACTTCTGACCTGCCCGCAGCCGCTAAGAAGCCAAAATAGTTCGTCAAGATCTAACTCAGAGAATGTATATTCGCCGTTTCGGTATAGTGTTCTCGAGTGCCCTGCAACTTGGTTCGTTACGTCTTCGAAAACGACTCGAAGAGATCTGTGGCGAATATTATATTAGTCAGATGCATCGATGCAAATAATTTTCTTAGAAGTTACCAGAAGGTCTCCAAGCTTACCTTATCATATGTTTATATCTGTTAAATGTATTAAAAACTTCGGAATTGCCTTTTTTATGAATAAGAAGTTTGAATTGGGGCTGTCTTCGATAGGCGATTTTGAGCTCGAAGTTCTTGTAAATGCTTTGAAGGACGCAAAAGTGAAGTCCCGAGCATGTCCGCGAAAGGTTTACCCGATCCAACACACTAATATCGGAGTAACTGAGAACATTCTGAATAACTTCTGAAGGTAAATCTAGTATGCCTCGGCCAGAGATTTTCTGTTCTGGTTGTTTCCGGCTCACATTCGAAAACAAGCTTCTGAAGCTGGATGACGGTTTAACGTTTGATGCCGGTCTCACACATGATTCCGATCTTGCAGAGCTATTAGAGCCGGATTTGGTGAGTCTCGGCGGCTCGAGAAATGTCCGTCTATCCAATGAGGAAGTTCGGACCGGTTTTATTGATTTGTCCGGATTAATAGAAACTCTGAATAGGGACCTTGATCGCATGTTGGGCTTATAATGTCGATGTCGTGACTAATCGTAGAACTGGCTAATAAAAATTAAAAACGTAAACTATATGTCGAGTAATGGTCTAAACATTTCTGGCAGCCAGAAAACTCGGAGACTCCGATCTTTTTAAACCCTTCCTTTAGCCCTTATGCTTCTTTTTTTCTATCGAGGGGTTTTGTTTGTCACAGCCCGATTTCGAAATAAAGTCTTCGTGGTATCACGGAGCATAGCCTAATCATTATACATCTCTATTGCTGCAACCCAAGAAAACACAAGACCACACAAGCAATTCCAGATACTGATCGTGGAGGGAGTTAGCCTGATACTACTAGTGTCATACTTGCCATGCATGAACAATGGCTCCTAGCAAACGAGACTAAAACAACGAAACGGTTGAGATTTCCCCTTTGACGCCGGTAGAAATTGCATGTTTCTAGATCGATACTAGCCTTTAAGAGGATGTTCTAGCCGTTCGCTAGTTTCGAATCGAATTTTCGGTAGCTCCCGACCGGGATAAAAAGAGGAATTTGTAACCGGAAGTAAGCCTTCGTTTTGAAACTTCAACCCTGTCATGCGGAATTCGATCATGCTTCAGAATTTTCCGACGAACTACGGTGCAATTTCCGAAACAAGGGTAACAGATCGTAATGGCATTCTCTTATAAGCTTATTTTTCTTTGACCTGGAGACTGAATTATAAAGTTTAGTTCCCCTTATTGGGGTTAAAGCGGAGTGGCGGGCTACACATCCTATAATATAATGCAGTTAAATATATCTGAGTACATAGATAGGTTCAGATTACTTATCTAGATTGTGCAAGCCACTTCGTTGCAAATAAAACCACTAGCGGCGTGTGAAGCCAAGAATCCGGGCACTTGATAGCTGAGAGCACCCCGGGGGGATAAACAGTGCTTGGAATTTCTTCAATATAAGGACCTTGTAACGTTGGTATAGTTTCTCGTTGTACATACCTACTGGCTTCCAGGTCTGGGTACGAGACAGACCTACTGGCTATAGATCTTATAATTGTGCAACAAGATTACTGCAAAAGAGTCTAATGGTAATCGACCTTATTTCAAAGGTACACGGAGGCTTTTACTCGCATATAACAAATATTTAAACTGGTTGCAGCTGGGTTTAAAGTACTATTATCAGTTGACTCTTTGATTTCTAGAATTCTAGACTAGTCGAAGAGTTGGACTTTGTTGCCCTCCGCCACAATGCAATAGACTTGTTATCCTCTATTGCATCAAGTAGGTTCTCTCGACTTGTCATCGGCTCCGACCTCCATTGTGGTTTTTCGGTCGCCTTCTCCGCTACCTCTTCATCCATCAAGCGCACTATTTCCCTATACTTTCGTCTTATGCCGTCTTCCATATCAAGGAGGTCTGGGATTGTCCATTGGTCATATAGGCGGCCATGCGTGTTCGCTGGGGGGTAGCATCCATGAGATTTTAAAAAAAGGTAACAGAGATAGCAAAGATACTTGCTAGTTCCAATGACTCTAGGAAGTAGATTCCCTACAGGCATCCCTTTTTGCCGCAAGTCATAGTATACAACCAACTGTACCTCAGCATGAACGTGACAGGTCTTTGCCCACTCCTCATACCCGATATCCGTCGGTATCCCTGCGTACGGTGGCAAATATTTTAGCTCGAGATGTTGGAAGTAGTACGGATATTGTTGAGAGGCCCGTAAGAGAGTTTGTGCGACACGGTAGTAGGCTGCGATCTTCTCGATTTGCCTCAATGTCTTGACGGCGGACTGCAGCTGAGGAGTTGGCCCGACCGTTTCTAAACGGTGGGCATAGTCTTTTATCGAGTTTGAAGTACATAGTCCATAGCTTGCTTTGACAAGGCTTTCAATAGAGGAGACTTCATCATCAGATTGTGCAGGTACCGTTTCGAAGCATTCGTAGAGTTTTGCGAGGTATTCTATCTCCGTTTCCACAACCTTCCGTTGTGATTTCTCTTTCTTTGTGTAGAGGAACTGAACACGATGCAGGAGGTTTCTGAAGTCCTCCCAGAGAGGCTTTTTATGTGTCCGAGAGAGATACGTTGGCTTCTCCCACTTTGAGGAACGTAGGCGCCCAAGAATACGGCGGTGATGCAACCGTATAATTAATTCAAATAGTTCATCGTCGTTTGACCCGTGACCACTTTTAGAATACACGGCCAGCGTTCCGCAAATCTTTCCTAGGGACTCCTGCAAATATTCATCGATTGTGTCTATAGCAGCAAAACATACGACAAGTGATTGTTCTTCCAAATTCTCTTCCAGACAAACTGCCGCAACGCTCTGTGCCCCTTGCTCTACGGCCACCAAAAACGCAAATGCGTCTGCAAGCTTCTGTTCGTCATCGATTGAGAATTTTCTGCCGCTGTCGGTATCAGTGGGCAGAAGAAAGAGCTGTGGATCTACAGGAACGGCGTTCGTACGCTCTTCGAGGTTGATGAGATGGGTACGGAAGGTATTCTCATCTAGGTCTCGCCATATTGATTGGCTGGGGCTAGCTGTCCGTGCGTTCATGCGGAGTGCGAGGTGGTGGAATCTGCAGGTTGTAGGTACTCGAACTCAGTCTCGAACTTTCACAGGAGGTTTTACGGCGGACACAACACACATTCACGCTCAGGAGTCAACACAGAAGACTGTTGGATCTTCGAACAGCATACACTTTGTACTAAGGATGAGGCTGGGTAGTCAATCTGATATTATGACATGTAGTACGTAATACTATTGTATCCCAAGATAAAACACAAGCTAGGGTACATTAGGCTTCTGTCATATGATTTCTTGATAGATTTTTTGTAAGCAGAAGCTTACATTTTGGGCTAGTAATTTCCAAGTTTAATTTGCATAGACACCTGAAAATTTCGAAAAGAGATCAAGGGGCCATGACCAATCAAGGAATCGGAATACCCCCAGAACCTGGATGCTTTGTTCCAGCGAGATTATCAATGGCGAGACTATCGATAATAGCACCCCTTGCAAGCAATGCCTCAAGTCTCGAAGGCAAACCGACCGGTATCGCGATTTTAGCATTTGAGATCCTGAACTCAATCGAAACAAGATCCGTCCAGCGGTCTGAAAATTGATATTTTCCCATATCAGTTGGTTGAAGCGTAGTCGAGGCTGAAATGTCAAAAACCGGTCTGGCCGTAAATTTCACGGTAGATGTAACGGTAGTTTTTTGGTTTGAACCGGGCGCCGAGTATTTGGTGCCAATAATGGTGATATCACAACTCGCAGGTGCGATAACTTTCGTAAGAGGGTCATCGCTGAGAGGAGGTGGTAAGGGCTGCCCTTGGGTGATGGCCGGTACGAATATACATGCTAAGCAAGTAGTGTTCAAATCGAAACTTCGGAACAGAGGCTGTCCATCGGGGCCTGGCGCTATCTTGACCCCAACGGTTTTGCCTCGGTCGATGATGTTATCCTGGAATGTTGGGGAGATACGGGATATATAGTGGCTTGGTGAGCAGGGTCGGAGTAATGATGATTTAAAGGAAGTTATCGGGATGCCGCTACCAGAAGGTAAGGGTTGTGCCTCGATAACGGTAAAGTCTGAGAGATCGAATTGCTGGACTGGGTCCTGGATGCGCCCTGTTATTGCGCCGTTTTGGAACTGAGGGCCCTCAAACTACTCGGTTTTTCAAGACTTCTATTAGTCCTAACGCCGAACGTAACGTATATAGCATCAAGGATATCTCGATCTCAGGATGTCACAAGGAAGTAACCGTCACTAATCAGCTACGAAGATGGTAGTATTTTGGGAATTGCATACATTTAAAGCGAACGGTTGATCTTGGCATGCGACCTGATTGATCCAATTCAATAATAATAATAAAAGTATTTTCTTTAGAAGGAACGCCATCTTTCAAGGAATTTAGGATGGCTCGAGGGTTGTTACTCTAAAGATCTATAAGTTACGGTTATGATATGACAGTGGAGGATTCAAAAATATTAGAAATGGTGGACAATTTCCCTCTGTCTTGATTTGATAATTTGTATGGTCGTCGCCAGAACTTGTAGATTTATTTATATGCTTTTAATTGCGCAACTAACAAAGCTCACTCGGATTTGAAATAGCAGCTATCGATATCGACCATAGTCGCATCGCCTGAAACATCAACCCCAGAAAGTCCAAATACGCCTATCAACATAAGAACTAGATTGATCTGGATTCAATCTCCAGTGGCTATGTTTTCCAAGGTCATACAAGATATAGTTCCAATATAACATGTTGGTCCTAACCGTCACACAGGTCCAACGTTAGACATATTAGTCCCAATCCGATGTCTTGTGTGACCGTAACATTGTTGATACCCAAAATTCCGACAGTAGGCCGGAACTAGCCAGCAAATTCCAAATCATAAAACTTGCGGAAGTGAGCTTCCGGTTTCCGTTGATCGGGGGTTCGTTCATGCATTTCCGGTACATGCTACTGGAATTGCTCAATTGGTCAGGTGTGTTCTAAACGAGGTTCCAAGTTTCAGCTTTAGCACGTACGGCAGTTTAGTAAAGGATTTTATGGAACTTATAATTCCGTCTGAGACTTGAAATAAGAGTCTTCTGGGATATCAAAGTCTCGGCTAGCCAATTGATTGAAATTTATCGGGGGTGTCTAGAGGTTAAATGTTTCAAATATGCCATGTCAGGACCTAGAGCTAATACATGAGTATTGTCCGGAGTTTGAGCCACTCCCGAAACACATCCTTTTAAACCAAGCCCCTACTACTGAGATCTAGACTTGAAGTGATTTTTCTGGCTATGAGGTTATGTTCATTGATGCAAGCATGCTATGTACACTTCGTTAAATTATCCGTTCTCATGCACCATAATTATATAATTATTTTAAAGAATCGCTAAGGTCTTTAATACAAAAGATCTAGCTATCTAATAGAGGCGCTTAGGAGGAGACATGGAAGCCTTGATGGTCAAGCTTCCGACGTTCTGCCAGCCCTTCTTCAACAAAGAGACAAGGTAGTTGATGGCCAACATGATGTTACCAATCAACTGATCTTCGGTCATACCGACGTTTCCGACGGCAACACCCAAGCAGAGAACCTTCTTCAACTGGAACTTGATTGTAGACTTGACATCCGTCAATTTACCCGTGAGATCCTCATTATGCGAAATCGGGGTTGGGAATTTGCCAGCTACAAAGCAGAATTAGCTACGGAAACACCTCGAAAGGGGGGGTTTTTTTTTTAATTTTTGGAAAGGATAAGGCCATACCCTTGGACAAACCAGGTCCCAAGAGACGTGGAATCTGCTTGATCAAATTCTCGGAAGCGATGAAAGCATCGTACTTCCTGGCGAGCTTCTTGATCAACTTCTTGTTCTTGTTGAGCTTCTTCAAGTCGTCAACAGACATGGAGTCAACACCAACGTGCTTCGCACGATCGATATCGTGCTGGTCACCGAGGATGCAGACGCTCATGTTTGGGCGAGGAACCTGGGGGAGCTTGACAGTTCCGGAGAAACGCTTGTCACGCTGAGGGTCATAGTTCTTCAAGCCGATCTGGAGTTCGACGGTTTCCAAGAAATTACGCTTCTTGGTTTCGAGACTGTAGGAGAGAAGTTCCTTGACGTGTCCACGCACTCCGGCTGTATATTGCGAGATAGCCCTGTTAGCCTATGTTCTTTCATTCTTTCTCTCTTCCTGTCGATCTTCCACCCATCGCAAGATCCACCCTAGAGAGGCATCGGGAAAACGAACCGACTGAGATTTTCGACATTTTGAATGTGGCAGTCTTCCAGACGAATTATCGTAACGTTTCGTTTGGTGAGGATTTAAGCGAGGAGAGACAAAGACGGTCGTGATGTCGTTATAGATGATGATTGTTGGTATCTTCAAATTCCATCCACGATAGATCTTTTTTTTTTGCGAAGGAAGAGCTGGTTAGTTCTAACCGCATTTGTATTAGCGCGGGGTTTAGGGCTTTGTCCGAAATCCAACACTTACAACACATTCTTGGGTTTATCTTGCTCAAAGGCATTCCAAGATTGTCACGTGCAACACATCTAAAAATAACCTACTAAACGGACCAATGTGAGGCAGCTGTGCCGCGTTGGCGTACAATTAATTTGGGGAACTTGAACAACCACCGACGCGACAGGCACAATCATATGATCATTGTTGAGAAATGGCCGGGTGTCAATATGAATTCTAGAAGCCTTGTTTTATGTTAACCCAGACCCCCAGTGCTGTGGCATTTTCCGGACGCTCACTCGAACTTGGCTTGTTTTTTAAGGCTCTACAGCGACCAAAACTCCAGGCACGATTTCTCAAATCGAGACGGCTACTTTGAAGCTTGGAGGTTTACCAGTTTGCCAACAAGGCTTCCACCCAATCAACTGTATCGTGCATGTCCCCGCGATTGACTCATGCAATCGCCGAGTTCTAAGAATCATAAGACCAATTGCAATTTAATTAGAGTACGCGAGCGCTGTTGCTTGTCCCATCTCGCGCCGGCTCAGCGGTCTGCGGAACGCGCCTGTATAAATATTTATACTACTATAGCTACCCTGCGCCCCCAAACCGACCCGGTCCAGTTGTTAGCTCAACCATCATCCCAATACGAAACTATATACCATTATCCTATCCTTCTTTGAGCTCTCCTGCCTCCTCCAAGAGCCACCTACGTAACTAATAAATACAGTCTCATATGGCCGATACAACAATGGCAAAATCCTGGCCATCTGGTATTGATAAAGGCTCCGAATTACAGTTCAGCCTTTTAGAATACTGCCAACCACCGGCAAGAGAGCCGTCAAAAGAGTTATCAAAAGACTCCCAGGATACCGGCCAAGATGAGCAAACCTCTGACCCGCGCTCAGCAGATGAAATAGATAAAAATGAAGCCAAAAAGGCGGAGGAGCAGGAAGATAGCGAAGGGTGGACCGAAACTAGTGGAGGTTCCGAGACAGCAGTGGTTGCTGAGAAACCTTTGACAAATGGAGACAACCAAATTAAAGATGAAACCAACAACCAAGGCAATACACCTCTAAACCTCTCGGTCAACCCTCTGAAGGAGTACTACGAATCTCCAGACCTCAAAGTTATCATAAAAGGCGACCCCGACGGAATGGCTTTTTTGGTTTCATCGCATGCGCTTGCGATGGCATCGAAAGAATGGAGGAGCAAATTAAGTCCAAACAATCTCAAAAACTTAGAAAGACATACATTTGAGGCATCTAGCGACGGGGCTATAAAGGTCTTGTGCTTGGAAGATGTTGATCCTTCATCTTTGGATATCCTATTTCAGGTAATTCATTGGAAAACCGAAGATTTACCCCAACATTTGACATTTGACGCCCTTCGGAAGCTCGCCACAGCTTGCGAGAAGTATGGTTGTGGGAGAGTTTTGAATCCCTGGCCGCTGGTCTGGATGGAGGAATACGAAGAGCAAGCAGTACGTCCAGGTTTCGAGGATTGGATGTTCATCGCTCAAGCACTGGATACCAGGAATGCTAAAGTCGATGTGATTTCCCGGCAAATGGTCCTTGAGATATCCTCGATCAGCAAGTGTGGCACATACCTTCGACGTGATGTACGAGGAGAAGGAATTTCTGCGCATACTACCGAAATAGAGGTGAATCTTATACCTCCCAGAGTACTTGGTATGGATTTCTCATATAAATAAATTTCAGGGAAAATACACTTTGCTGACTTTTTACTTCGGAAATATTCTCGAACAGAATATATACTTCAAGAACGCACAAAAGCAATTGATCAAGTTATTTGTTTACTTAGGCAATTCCTCAGCGATATTGCCAGTGCTAGTTCGGGCTCTTACGGATTAAGAGAGGAGTTCTGCCTCAGTGAAACTTGTTCCGACATAGCTTCAGGGTCGCTTCTTCGAAACTTGAAGGCCTTGAATTTATGGCCTTTATTACGCTCTGGGACGCCACAAGAATGGCATGGATCGCTCACCACTCTGGTTATGCAAATTGAGACAATCAGAATGACAACCTTCCTCAAATTTGTGGCCACCGAAACTAGTCCTGAGCCTAGTCCCGGCCCCAGTCCTGAGCCTGAACCTAAGGTACCAAAACCTAAAAACCCTCTAAAGCACCAATCAAAGCAAAAAAGGGATAAACCAAAGCGAGAGGCCGCCTACCTCGTAAAACAAGTGCTTCCTCATGCAAATCCCGGGCCCTCCAGAGCAGATTCAAATATAACACAAGCCCAGGCACAATCGGCACCGCCGGAACTCCCCGCCCAAAATAAGCCTAGCTCCGAACCCCTCTTCGGCACTGGAGACACGGGAGAGATCGCTTTCAACCTCTACGATAATCAAACCTGGGAGTCTCCTCTGTTCGGAGGAATGTTGTACTTCAATGATATGGATGATAGATGGGCAGCCACTATGAAAGAACTTCGCTACGAGCACCCCGCTTTCGAAGCTATGTATCGTTTTCGAGGTAATCTCTTCTCTATTTATCGAGCCCAAGTATAAATGGTCCCAATTACTAACATTGATTAACGCGGGTTCTATAGGAAACTATCGCCCTTGTCCTTCATCTTTTGCGTTGGGCAATCTAATAACTGAGTGCAGAAGGATTGTCACGGATATATCTACGGGCGGGTACCAGCCAGGTTTTTAAGCAAATATAAAACACAAGTTGTATTGGACGAATATAGGGCATTAATCTTCGGTTTTATAAACAATTATTTGCAAAAAAAAAAAAAAAACTTGTGAACTAATCTTTCCAAAATTGGCTTCGTGTGCTCGTCTGCTCCATAATTCACATCTAGCTCGCTCTTGACCGGAGGTCTACGCCTCGCTATAGCGCGAGGAACATCGTGGTTATAAACACAAATACAAATGGATATCTATCAGCAGTACACATATAGTAAGATATCGTGAGACCCTCAGTATATGTATATAGATAGCATTGGAGCACTGTCGTGCCTCTTCAAAACGTTCGAAACCTTACGGCAATGTCATCTTGTCCGACCTTACACAAGCCCACTCATCAATCAAGGACGTCTTGGCTAGTTTACAGACATACTAATCTTGAGCATGGAGTGAAGCATACATGCCGTGATTCATCTAGATTTAAATGGACTACATAGGCGCCGTGCATGTCAAGGATTGCAAATCGGCAACGAATTAAAACCCCAGCTCGCAGGCCTACAAACAACTACCATCCTGGCTCTCGAAGCGGTGACACATGCAGTACCCGACGTTTACAGACCAGCTTTCGATATCATATTGTCGAGCAGCGCGGTCATTAATCCCGGATCTAGTTGACGAAGACCTTATAGCATCATACCGCTAATTGAGGGAAACATACATACTAGTTGGATTTAAACTAGTAATTACCCTACTGTGTAGTACGAAATCCGACAAGTGAAACTACATATGCATACTATACTACACCGGTACACCGATATATCCAATAAAAGGCGCAAGCTATAAATTTCGATCGGCATGCTTATCTAAGCTTGGCACACTACGCCAAATTCGAGTGTTGCCTACATCACAACCCCTGCATCAAGTTAAGACCCCGTTGCAGGCACCTTTTGTCTGGAAGCATAATAACATTTGCAGTGCATGTAGAGCATAAATATACTCCATGGATTCAGAGATCCCGAAAGCGTTTAAATTTATTGGCAATCGAGTACCCTCCCCTTTTTTTCGTGAACAGAAACCCCGGACCTCAATCGAACAAATTTGTTAAGCCATTGCATGCATTAGAAATAATGATACGTCTCGAATATATGGTCTAGACAGCTATCATAATCAGAGATTTGTGTTCCAGAATTCACCAGTTCGATAAGTCATGACAGAAAGTTTTTCCACCGGGCCCTGGCCACTTGGCTTCGATACAGGAGCAGACAGTCAGTCCCGTTTCCAAGATTATTGTCAACCTCCAGCTTGGCCGACACCGCCGGAAAAATACGAAGGAAATAATCCCGATGGCGCAAAGCAAAAACCCGAAGAAAAGAATGGAGAGGATGGGAAACAACCTGAGGTGCTCTACACGCAAAGGACATTACAATGGATCTCAAACCACCCAGTATACTATGAAGCAGCGGACTTAAAGGTCGTTTTGAAGAACGAGAGTGGCAACTTCTCTTTCTTGGTTTCATCTCATGCTCTTTCTATTGCCTCCAAAGTGTGGAAACTTATCATACATCCACGAGGGACAAGAGAACTCGATATCGAAAATCTAGTCCCATACGGTGCCGTCAAGATAATGAAGCTGGAAGACGATGATGCTCTAGCATTAGACGTCATTTTCAAAATCATACATCTTCAAACGGACGAAATCCCAGCCGAGATATCCTTTGGGCTTCTTAAGAAAATTGCGATTGTCAGTGATAAGTATGAGTGCGGCAAGGTGTTCAATCCGTGGCCAAAATTATGGATGAAGACATACGAAAGGCGAGCAACTTCTCCTCTATACGAAGACTGGATTTTTATTGCAAAAGCGCTTGGCTCGAAAACTACAAAAGCCAAGGCAATATCCAGAAAGTTAATACTAGAAGTATCCTCGACAAGTCAATGTGGCAACTATTCTTGGCGGATAATATCGGCGTCCACTGGCACTGTTAGCTCCAAAGTCGAAATTCATTTGAAGCATCTGCCAGATGGGTTTTTAGGTAAGCCTCCCTTCATTTTTTATTGCATTGCGCATTGCAAATACTTTAGAGATTACGTATAAATGCATATGTCATATCAAACAAATATTTTCAGTACAAATTCTAAAATTTAGTTGGTAAAATTTGCAGTATATGTAATGCGAGAAAGACTGAGAGCAATCAAAGCTATTGTCACAATGTTATGACAATTTACTAGCGACATAGTCAGCGCGAAGAAACCCCAGGGCATCTCCAGCGCTTCATATTGCAAAGAGGCCTGCTCCGATGTTGCAGTAGGATCCCTTGTTCGGAATTTGAAGCTGGCGGGTCTATGGCCGCTACTCAGTTCAGGCACCCCGCATGAATGGCACGGATCAGTGCGGGCCCTTGTTAAAAAAATAGAAGGTCTAAAAATTACGACTGTAATCGAAACTCCGGATCCCAAACCGGAGCCCAGCACTAGTCTCGGAGCTAGAACTGCTCCACCCAACACCATATCTGCTACTCCACGGGCGGGTGGCCTCTTCGGAACCGCCACAGCTGTGGCAAATAACAATCCAGTTAATCTTTTTGCCCCAACTGCTACCAGCTCGCCTTCAACCAGTGCCTCCAGTAGTACCTTGACTGCCGCGAGACTAGCCACTGCTTTGACTTCTCCAGCTGAACATCAAAACAATACCCTCAGTTTCTATGAATATCCTGCTTTCACAACTACTTCGTATACCAGTAAGTCCCCGTTACAATTTCTTATCAAGATAAATTCCCAATGCATAGGGAGACTAGTCCGCTAAACCAAGACATACATAGGTGGACATAAACCGTGTCACAAGGCTTTTGCATTAGGTGAATTGATAACAACGTGTCAAGGAATTATTAAAGATGTATTGGCAGGAGGATATGATGAGGAGGTATGACGATATAAAATGTCAACAACTTGAGATTTCCGCCGAGGTTATACTGTAAAACAAATTAAACACTATATTATATTATATAGATTAGAACTTGTCTCGTTGCCAGATTCCTCAACTGTGGATTAGAACCGGAAGATTCAAACCCCAATTTCCTTTTACAATCGCTCAATATGTTAGCAACAATTTAGAATGCCTGACTTATAAGTTATATTGACGTGAGATCATCCCGCTGTAATATATGAAGTTTGGTCTATGTTAGATTTTGTGTATTTATAAAGCATGGCTAATGCAAGCCCATGCAAGAAGTAAGAATACGTTGCAGAAACTAAACCCGAGATCATATGCAGAGTATTTAATGGTATATGGGTATCTGTGAACTAATGCCAATGCATTTCTATAAGTAATTACGCAGGGTTAGCCAACATATTAAGACGAGACTATAGTCTCGACACTAAACTAGCTAACTGAGCTCGGAATTGTGTAATCAGGTATGTACTTACATTCTAGCTAGATCTAACTACTATTAGCTAGTAACTACATGCCGGTGAGTTCGTTTGATGTTGGGAGTTACTCACCTATACTCTGCCTTTAGTGAAAATGATGAATGTCAGAATTGACCTATAGCCTAGCTCCACACTAAATCAAGATCTTGAGATCTCAAGTACGCATAGCAAATCTCTCTTTCATAACACTCGACACTCGACCGCCATCCATGAGCCCATTCTCATATTTAACTTCATTTACCACTACGGTCCAATATCTACTTCACACCCACTAGCACGAACTTCTGGTCCAAAATAAACGACAATCCCATCCATCCAGTAATGAGCCCATAAAGCTCGTAATGTCTTACTCCAAACTAGAATCTCTCCCAGTCGAGATCTCTGTCCAAATTAGCTCCCTGGTAAGCGCAGCTCATTCTATAAGAGCAATATAATAAAGTGAATCGCGAGTTAACTCTGATATCGTGACGTTGATTAGTTAAAACGAAGGGATTTATGCAGTCTGGCTCGCTGTAGCAGGATCTTGAACGCGCACTATGCTCCAGAACTATACAGCACAATTGTTACCAAGAGCGACCGAGGGACTCAATACCGTGCATTGATCCGCAGGAATGGAGGCTTTCTTCACTATACGCAGGATGTTTGCAGTTACATCAAGAGTCTCATTTTCATGAGCGAGTGTCCTCGAAACGAACATGAATTCGCCGATGAGACAATGTATCCGCTGTTGAATAGAATTTCCCGAAGTGGTTCACTTCGGCTTCTGCAGTAAGTATTGCGTGCATTTCAGTCGCTCTGTTTTTCGGCCCAGCCACAGTTTGAGATGTTACTTTGTTATAACACTTTCTGACAACTTACATTGGTTCATGAGATTAGTTGGAATATGACCCATGGCACAGTACCAACATGTGTTTTGCAAGCCGGGTCCTTCAGTAAGGGTCTTGTGACGTTATCGATTGACCTGGGGAACCCAATTCAACTGGCCCGAGGCACTTACCAGAATATTGGATGTCAATCAATCCGCAAATTGAGCCTTCGCAACATATACAACCATCCAAAAAATTTCTTAATCATCTACAATTTCGTCATAACCGCAGAGAGTTTATCTCATCTTGAATTACAGTTCGTACCATCACGCACAGAATTTGGAGCCTTACAGCAAACCTTAGGGAGTGAGGACCATCCCCCGTTTGAGGACGAGGAAATCCAGGCACAGTTTGGAGCTATGAGCTCTCTTCGAGAGCTCTTCCGCGCCACCATATACGCTCCATTGTCGCGCTTGCATAGACCCTATTCTATCGCCATCCAATACGCCCCTGTGACGGAAGATTTGGCTCTTTGTGCCGATTCACAGAAGATCCGGGACTTAAGTCTACGATTCTGCACCGATTTAGGGGTATTGAGAGCCTTAGGAGACAAGAAACTTTCCTTGCGTACATTGGAGATGATAGTTTAGGAAACCGATCTCCAGTGCTCGCTTCAATTATTTAGATCATTGCGACCCGGCCTGGAGACCCTCGTATTCATTTCACTCTGCAAAGAGTTCAGCCTAGAAAGATTAAACGACCAGGAATCGCGATCCCCATACTGCATATATGCGGACGTGATCAATAAACATTCGGGTTCCCTAAAGAACATCGCTTTGCATGAATCTGCGGGAACTGGGATTGAAAGAGAACAACTCTATCCCGGAGATTCTATTGTCGCTAGAGCTAAGGCTCTCCTTCCAGCCCAAGTTTCCTTATCCGTTAAGACCGATATCACCCAGGTTGGCTCTCCCTCTGCCCCAAATTTTCTCCCTCCAACGACCTCGCCATGTGCATGTGAATCCCAATATATATTCGATCGCACAGCTACTAATTATAACATTTCTTGCCTAGGCCGGACCTATTCTTGGTGCTCCCGCACTCCCACCTAATTTTGATCGAAGAATTGAGTTCTCAGCCGAGGATATTTCTTCCTTCAGTTTCAGTACATTGGAAATACTCCATGTGGTTCCCCACAACTGGGCTTTCATAACGGAAATGAGGCTGGCGCAAGAATATGACTTCTCTATCGACCTTTTACTGAAGAATGCCGCCAACGATCTCATTCGTAACTATAGGCAATTTGGAACAGCTTCACCCGCGCTCAGCTACCTTGTTATTGGCGTCAAAGGTGAAAAGGAGCTGGTATTTAGAGTTCGTTGGACCCCAAGATCTGATCGTGGGGACTATTATGAATGGGAACCATTGCTATCCGTTGAAAATCAGGAGAGGTATATGGCAACCCTACAGGGGTGCTCCATTTTTGAGTTATATCCAAGAGTACTTTTCGAACCAACCCACGGCGTCAATCGTCCATTCAAAGGCTGAACTCGAGCTCGGTGTCGTTACTCCGCCGCACAACTACCCCGAATCTCTAACCTGTTGACCATAACCCCCACCAAGCCACACCTAACTAAGTACCTATATTGTTACCCTCCTTTTACCCACAGCTATTGTTGCCATTAAGTGTACCATTTCCTTGAATCCTACGAATTTTCACGAGTTTGGTGGCGAATATTCCAGGCAAGAACATTCTGAAACCAGACAACAGTTTTGCTTTCCCAGCGATTAATTAATTATGATTGATAAAAGGGAGAAGCTTAGCTAGTCCAGAAATAATTCAAGATATGTTCTTAATTTAGTAAGAAAGATATAAATCTACCACGACGTCAATGCTATCATTCCTTTTCCATTGTCGTGGGCACGACTAATCCTTTAAAGGCACAGCTGCACCTGGTCTCGAGACTAGGCTGACATGTCAGTTGGCCGCGATCAATTGCATTTGCACAGTTAATACTAAGCTCAGGTGTATACTCTAAATGTTATGTTAGAAATCCTGGCCGGGCGCGGGCCTTACAGCTCTAGACCTACCGTAGATTTATAAAGCTGGTTTATATGGATTAATATATACGTACTTATAGGTATATACCAGCACCGAACTTTTATAATATATTCTGTGTACCAATATAAATACTTGTTACGTGGGTACATCCGTCCCCTTTCCCATTCACTAATTCACAGTATTTGATAATCTTCTGATTAAATCATAGTCCCAAATATCGATACACCGAGATAGCTCTTATAATTAAGTTCATACATACCCTCCGCGGATCCGCCTGTTGGTTATATGACCAATACAAAAAATGCGTTGTATCAAAATCAAACTGGCGATTCTTTGGCTTTGTCTAGCGCCAGGGGCCATAGCGACACCCGTAGTGCAAATGCGCCCGCACGAAGGCGATGACCATGGCCATACGGATGGCAATGACTCCGATATAGTCTCAAAGCCAAATCAAACCGAAAGCAAAATTGAAATCTCGGAGAACGACCACAGTGGGAAAAATCTAGTAGAGAAGACTATCAATCCAACTATTTTTTACTCTCCACTCTATGTCGTATGCCCCGATCCCAGCGCCATAGTCAGTATGCCTGATGACCCGCCAAACGGTTATCCGGAAATCGACGGGCGCCAGCGACCCAGAGGATTGGATCTTGCCCGCGCCACAAGGGTCAGGACGTTGTGTCTCGAGTGTTTTTGTAACCAACAGACCGGCGATTTGGCAGCTTGGAATCCGGGGCGGAGGGTCTGCGGCGGTCCAGTTATATTCTTTGCCCAAAAATGCCAATACTGGTTCGGTACGTTGACTTCCCCGTCTCCTGCATCCAAGACCTATATACGACATGGATGTATACTTTGTATATACTTCCTTATGTATTCAAATTTCATTTTTTTTTGGTTCGGGTTTGCACGCTCTTGATTATACTGATGAAATAAAATGAAATAGGTTGCTTCTGCAGCACTACTATGTTTAATCCTCCATACGACCCAGCAGTGAACCTCCTGGACTACCAACACGCCATCGACAATATTCCTGGGCCGGTCAGACGGCTGCATGACGGATGGCACTGGCGACCCGATGGCAATATCATGCTGACTTGGCAAGATCAGTGGATACATCGCGGTGTCCAGATACTGGAAGAATGGGAAATGGCTGCCTTGGCCCCAGAAAGAGAGGAGACTGAAAGTGTCAGTCCTCAACTATACACCGCAGACGATCCGAAGGGGCAACCGTATATGTGGCCAGGGGGCAGTTCCAATTCAAAATTCAACGGTGGAGGAAATGGGGGGTCGGCGGGTGGGGCGGGTGGAGCGGGTGGGGGGTTAGTTAGTAAACGCGAAGAAATGGACCAACATGTGAAGAAGGGGGTAGCCTGATTGTATCTACCTCTTCCGTCACAATAGCACACCCAAGTGCCCGTCGGTCGGCGCAAGAAACCGGAACCAGCTTCTGGTGGGTGATACCACTAGCCCAGGTGACGGTGCTACCAAACCGGGGTATACTATATAAGTAATTATAATTAGACCCACATGCAATTTAAGCTTAATTTAACATCCGTGCGGAGGAATATTACATATTCGCCGTAAACCTTCGGAAAATGGTTAAATCCCTATTGAAGAGGAGCTGTATGTAGATGCGGTTGTAGGTAAGGTATTATACATAATTCGATATAATAGATGTCATGAAGTTAATGTCGTAGTTGGATTCGTTCATATAGACATACATAAGTAGCATCAGGATATATCGATATCGATTAATTCCAGGCTATATATCATGCAGTTCAACACAATCTGTGATTCGTGGCCAAAAAGCCTGGCAAGTCAACACATCTCGCTGTTGTATTTTGCGAAAGCAGAATTGACAGGCCCGAGACAAGACTGGAAGTTAATCATATTAACTCTTGATGCTAGAGGTTAGCATAGATCTATTTTGTTGACATAATTTATGCTCCGTGACTTTTATCTTAGTTAGTTTTTTTCTTTTGAAACTTCTCCTTCGAAGTTTTGGTCACAGCCTGTAGTGAACTAGTCTTACTATTTTTATTTAATTGTCTAGCCTCGAGGTCCCGCGGGGCTAGCTAGGCGTAGATGAGGGTAGGGTCAATTATCAAACCAGAGTGATCTATATAGGTACTAAGCATGCTATAGGATATACGCCAGTGCCACCATGGTACCACCACAAATATTGACTTGTGCAGCTTCAAGTCGAGTACGTAATGTACCTACATAATTATAATGCACGTATATTCGAAATACAATATTTTTCTCCCAAGATAACCAAGGTAAAACTGCCCACGTTCCATATTAACGGGCTCAGGCAAATGAAATACCATATGCAAGCGGCGGAACAAAGTATCACGCCACGTTATCATGTTCGTACTGTGGGCGATCTGGATAGTCCCTTGCGCCAGATGTGTTTGATAAATAGCGACTCTATCTTACAATTTTGGCAGCCAACATCACCACCACACAACATTGGAGTTCCTTCCAGTCTTTTATGCCAGCGACCTGGTGGCTCGTTCTTGAGGCGGCGGTATTCGAAGAGCTCGGAAGGTCTCTTAGGCTTCCTTGGGAAGATTGCGGAAATTCTTTCGAAGGCCATTCCTCTCTTAGGGCACTGTGCGCGAGCGATGACAAAATTAATACTTAACCTGAAACCTGTGGAATGTCAGGAAGCTACAAATGATCCTTCTTCCGGTTGCATTTGTTGGGAAGGGTGGCTAGATGCAGTGCAACAGATGAAGAAAACTCACAAGTGGGATTTGGGACTTGTATTTTAGGACTGAATAGGCTTTCTTCAATGTTGGTTTTGAGGTTTATCGGATTAGATCAGAGCTCGGTAAAATTAGCGATACACTGCATGTAGTAGGTATTTGTAACAGTTATACGGCGGATGATATGTAGAGAACCTGACTACTATCCTTAGGTCAGAATGGTATTTCAAGCGTATAGACATGTCGAAAAGCAATGTTATGTTGCATTCTCGAGGGGGTGGCAGAGTGAAAAAGAGGCACACTGTATTACATATGTCTCTGTTGTGAAATCCGACAGCTTTCGCACGTATACAGCCTTCTGGTTAGGTCACCGGTGGCGAGGGATATGAAGGGTCTGGATTCGTACCGGTATATGACTAGATCTAGAAGGAGATTTTTTTGCGAAGTCTGGTTTGAGACAAAGAAAGAGGATTCACTCATATCCTTATATGTGAATGAGAAAGAGGATGAAGGGGAAAAATGATTAAAACAGAAAGAAAAAAAAGGTCATGCGAATTATTTGGGGGAGCGCATAGCTGGTTTTTTGGTTTGATAGATTTCTGATTGCTGATACAACCACTAATTCAGACTGAAGGCAGAATAGGCCTCTCGCTACCCCTGCAAGATTCGTTCTTCGTCCCATTTACTGGCCTCCATTATTACTACCTCGGAGACAAGCTTTCTCTCCCTCATGCAGAGTACCACAAACCATCCGGATAGAAGGACGCCGACGGATTGTATGTTTTGAGAGGCGAAGGACCGGCAGGTACCTTATCCTAATCGAGGCACAAATAAAGGATATTTGTATCCCCAGACTATATTTGTATCATTTGCGAGTACTTCCAGGGATCCAAGTCGTACAGCTACAGCCTTTTGGTTCGACCCTTCAGTTGGGGGCGAGGTCGGGAGGTACTCATTTGAATATTTGCGGATCCTCATCACTATCAACGCGCCGGCATCCGTGTGTGAATTCGAATGTGAACTTGTCAAAAATAGTATATACGGGTACCGCGGGTACGTACGTATACGCTACAACATATGTTGTTCCCTAGCCTCGAATCTACATGCAACAGATCGATACCAGGGTGCGGGTGTGCGTCAAGTCCTCAAGTTTTAACGTTTTCTGAAACGAATCCGTTGGTGGGTACAGACGGAAGGCTGTGGTCCATGTATGTACGTTTCGAGATCCCGCCGTGGACGAGTTGTAGTGCAGTTGGTACAGCTTCACAAGTGAGAGTCCGCAGCTTCCACCGGTGGGCATGAGAAACTCGATCAATGCAAAGCAATTCTTTTAGTAGCTTTTCTTGGAGAAAAAGGAGGAAGAAAAATAATGAGAGAGAGAGAGAGAGACCGCTGCTATGAAAGCCAACCATCCTGGACAGAACGAAGAGGTGTGGCAGTACGATTCGGGTGGTCTGAAGACCCAAGCCAAATGATTGGTTGCTTACTATGCAAAAAAAGCCCTGGCGGCCATGCCACGCTCGATCCAACTTGACGGCTGATCACAATTTCAAAACGGTCTTAAACTCAGACGGGGAGGATAAAATCTCGAACTCTCTGCCTCCTGCTCATATGATCGGCTATGAATTGTGTGGGGTGTATAGACTGAGCTAGCTGACGAGACCTGGAGAGTCGACCGGACCCGGCGGGACGTCTCAAGATGACACGAAATAGATACTACGCCGCACGTCACATCCAGGCCAAGCTCGATCGTTTACGATGTAGTTGGGATAACATCTATGGTACATGTACATGTACCGGTCATTTGACCTTAGGATAATTCACCGTGAAGATGAAGAAGTGATAATAATCAGGCTTATATAAATCAGCAACATCAGCACCCGGCCCATCTGTAAGACTCAAGCAAGGCTGACCTATGTCATATACACATGCGCATGCACTGAATAGGCCGTAAGTACAGTACTTACATAGCCGGTTGACGGGGTTAAGATTAAACCGAGTCCCTGTAGTAACTTTTCCCTTGTCCTCGCACAAAATTTAAAGATCTTGTGAAAGAAAGAAAGAAAGAAAGAAAGAAAGAAAGAAAGAAAGAAAGAAAGAAAGAAAGAAAGAAAGAAAGAAAGAAAGAAAGAAAGAAAGAAAGAAAGAAAGAGACATGGGGGTTATTCTTGTGCTTCTTAACGTTTTCGGGTGGGCATTTTTGGTGCAGGCAATCCCCTTCTCATCCTCATCCTCATCCTCTTCTCCATATTCTCCATATTCTCCTCCTCCTCCTCCTCCGCCTCCTCCTCCTCCTCCTCCGCCTCCTTCTTCTTCTTCTTCTTCTCCTTCTTCTCTATCTCTATCTCTTTCTCTTCCTCCTTCTCCTTCTCCTTCTCCTTCTCCTTCTTCCACTTTTCCCGTAAATGTCCTCCCCACAAATTCATCGTTTACTACCCGCCATGGCCAGTCCTTCCTTTCCAGCAGCTCGGTTACTCACACCAGAACAGATGTACAAACACTTCTTTCACCCAGCTCCACGCCGGTCGCTGCTAGCGCTCATGATCAGATTCCAACAAAAACCGTCGATACAAACCTAGGCATGGGTGTCAAAAGAAATGATGACGACAATCCCATAAAGCCGAATATGTTTTACAAAGAAGGCGCTATGGGGATAAGATGCCCCCGGAGCGGGAGGTTTACGATCGAAGGCCTCATGGGGACCACCCTTCCGTCCCTATAGAAGATTGGCCTATCTGGGCAGATCATGGGACGCGCTTGGAGGCCTATCGCATGATTCGTGGGCGACAACACTCCTGTCGTGCTTGTAGATGTGATGACCATGGCGGAATATGGCCCCGCCTCCCGCCTCCCCCCCCTAAGAAGGGTGGCCGCCGTCAGTCTGGTGGTGACTGCCACAGCCAGAGAGCTGCAGATCGATGTGCAGTCATCTTTGGTATGAACTCCTCTGCTTCCTATCTTACAACATCATTTTAGTTTGCCTTTATCTCACCATGTCATGGCTAAAGAGGAACCGCAATTAACACTTATATTGGCTCGCATAGGCTGCTTTTGTTTCGCAACTTTAACCCAACCAACCGCCACAAATCTTGCAGCAACCGTCGAAAACTACCAAGACGCAATTAATAGAATCCCCGGTACGGTACGGGAGTCTGTAAAAAATAAATATTGGAATTGGAGGATGCACGGCCTGAATCCTAATCCAGGACAAATGATGAGATGGACCAACAATTTTAACGAAGTATTAGATATGGCGGCAAATGTTGATAGAGATTGGGTTACGGAACCAGTGCCAAATATCCACAGTGAGCCATATTTTGAGGATGGAGAAGAGGACTTCGAGTGGGCCCGCCACGAATACGGCTATTACGGTCCACGATATGGCCCCGGCCCCGGTTCCGATTCCGGTGCTGGTTCCGGTTCCGGTTCCGGTTCCGACCCGATCGCGAAACGAGAATCTACTGATGTCGACAGGACGACTTGTGGAGTCAACGAGGGCCCTCAGCGAGCTCGCGGTCACAAGCCTTCTTCTTCAGACAATGAATCTCCAACAGCAACTACAAAATGTGGTTCAGAAGCGGATACCATTTACTCAAGTACGAGCTAGTTTAAAGGAACCCTGCCCCACAGGTCTAGGAGTTTGAAAACGAGGCAATATCTTCCCGAATGAGCTTAGAATGAACGCATGGATGGATGGATGGATGGATGGATGGATGGATGGATGTACTCTGATATTGTCTTTTCCATAGATCCATCTTGATGGTGCGGCTTCCCCCCCCCACCTTCGATTCCTTTAGTTTTTATACACCTTCTTGTACTTCTAGGTTACTATGCTGTTCTTTTCATTCTTCTTTACACCGGATTCGAGGCCAGGCTAGCTAGGTTGTTCATGTTTGTGTATGTGTATGTATCTAAGTTAGCTATAGCCCCGAGCCTTGTAGTCTCGAGCCTCCAGAGTGCTCTTGAGGCGAAGTATCTCCTTTATTTACTACTCCTTACTGCTTTGTATATATAAATATATGAGTCTCGACACTGCACTGCACTAAACCAGCTTAGCTCAGCTACTTATGGACTTTAGCTGCCGTATGCAGTAGTTACTTACCCAACACAGTTTGGGTTCGAGGCTGTGTTGGGAGGAGCTAACAGCTGTGTGTTGCCCGAGGCTGGTCGCAGTCGCGCGGACGTTTTTGTCACTCGCCCTCCTTTCCATCAACATCAACATCAACATCAACATCGGCGTCAACATCAACATCAATCCCGCCGTATCCCTATTTGGCCATCTCTTCTTTATCCTCGTACTCACTTATGTATGCATATATGCCCTATATATAGTAGCAATCATATACAGACTGCTGTTACTAGGAATTGCTTTCTTCAGAATTAGTTTTGCTTTAGATTTCGGTTCCTTGTCATTCCTCTTCCCTCGGTTCCTTTCGGTATCCCTGTCCAAACACTGTCACAAACTTATTGTTTGCTTGCGACAGAGCCTGCCTGAGGTATGTTCATATCATATCGTATCGTATCAGGATACATCATGTCCATGCAGATGTAATAAATTAATCAGCCCGCAAAGACGACAATTAGTACGACAAAGATTGCGAACGACATAATATATATACTAGTTCAACCAAATTTTTATTTCGCCCTCGTTGTTAAAGCTACCGGTACACCGCCAAGGGTCCCATCACTCCTAAACGATACTTAATTGATCCCTTGCTCCAGGCTTCAGAGGTAGGATATCCTAATTACTAGTACTCAAGTCTACGGTCCTTGTTTGCTCATATTGATGTCGTTGGTGGAGACCCAAGCCCTTAGACACTTAGCTGCTTACCTTCCCTATCGAATAGTTAAGTATAGATGCTGACCACCATTACATTGTTGTGAACCAGGATACGCGTCGGCTCTGCTATGATACCGCTCTGCCAGCTCACAGTTTAGCCCCTGGGCGTCGCTTCTTCTTGTTCATCCTTCTTCTTTCCCCCCTCCTTTTGGTGGTCGATAGTACCACCCTAAACGAAGTAATTTTTAATTTAACGTAGATCCCAGCGTGGTCTGTCTGCCGCGCTGGAACAACGTGCGCCTGTTTTTCTGTCAAATTGACTTCGCCGGCTGCCCTCATTTCTCCTTCGCCGACCAGGTCGGCGTCCTCTCCTTTTCACCCACCTGGATCCCCAACCATCGTTGACACAGCAGAGGATCAGTCTCCGCTTTCCCCGCGCAAAACTCCCACCCCAAACCACCGGCAGCGCCGCAGTTCTCTCTCGACCTACTATACAGCCTCCTCGAACGCCCCTTCCCTTCACAATTCCCCTGCTCCCGTGTACCCCGGTGCCCGCAATTTCCAAACTTGGACACAAAGCTCCGTCGGCTTACGCTACACAGAGGAGTGGATCCGGGGACGAGGCTTTAGACCTGCGAATAGCCAAACCTGGTTTGGGGGAACAGCTTTTGGATCAAACTACAACGCTTGGAACGACGAGGACGACGAGGAACACAAGACTACCTCGATCGACGACTCTTCCACTAACCAGGAAGATTCAACTGGCGACGACCTCAAAACACCCACCTTAAATTCCCTTCTCCAAATCCGTCAGGCTCAGATTTTTGAACCCGGCTGGCTGGTCGGACATAAAAAGAACTTGTCCGCCTCTACAGTTACCGCTGAGAGCGTTCACGCCCAGCAAACATCATTTGTACCGGCACCAGTGTCAGCGCCGCCGCCGCCGGAACCCCGGACATCTTTACACCGGAGATTAACCAGCATTCCCGCCGGCCTTCAAGGATATTTCGCTTGGAACTCCAAAAAGGAAGAAAGCGACGACGAGGATCTTATTTTTGGAACAGATTCATCTCACGCAGACGAGGACTACGATTCTGAAGAACCTGGGTCAAAGAGAGGAACACAAGCGCCGCTTGGCTTCAAAACAGCACCGCAATCAATGGCCGCGTCAAGCGTTGGGAGAAGATCACTAGGGAGCGGACTAGGAGGCTCAAAATATGCCATTAGCAATGGTAGTACGGAGCCTGAACTCGAGTTAGAAAAGGATAAGTCAGGCGAGTCTTCAAAGATCAACTCTCCGCCTACACCACCAACCAAGTCTACCGACATGGATGGGCCGACAATAGTTTCAATCAGGAGAGCGGAGACATCGTTATTTCCGCATCTGGGACGGCTACCGAGGAAACCGTTAGACGGGATGATGGAGGAGGATGATGAGATACCATCGACTCCATCGAACCTCCAACCCCTATATATCGGTAGAGACACACCAACACCGACTCCGTCTGTTGTTACTTCTGCAACACGCTCGCGGACTTCGGTTCGATGGCATGGCAAGCTTGTGATAATCAATGTCCCCCTCGAAAACCGTGTCCTCCAACCCCTTACCCCGAAGGAAGTCGAGGCTCAGTACGCTAAATTCGGAGAGAAGCCTTATGTTTGGACCCCTAGCTCGGAACAGATGTCCCGAGAATTGTTCCCCGCTGATTCAGACCGATATATACCTACTAAAATCGAGGCTCCCCGTGTGAGCATACCGGATAAACAGAAATGGGAATCCTACGTTAACGCACTTCGGGAAGAGAAGCTGAAGGCTTTGGGTGTCGATCTCAGCGATATTCTTGGACCTCCTTCTTCGTCACCCGTGCCCTCAATCGGTGGCCGTACTTCGATACCACCGGAATTACAGCAGCGAAATTCATCCTCGCCGCATCCATCCTTACCCTTCTCAAATACCTTCTCCCCACCGCCGTCGCAAGTTAATGGCAGCCACCCTCCGTTTTCTCATCAGAGACACTTCTCTCAATCACCTATGATGCCGCCACCGGTTTCTACCGCCAGTCCCTTCAACAAGCCTTTCCATCTCCAACGCCAAAGTATGAGCATATCGCGCACACCACCCATGTACGGTGGTGTCCCACCGCCCGGTTTCCAACAATCGCCCCAACCTCAAAACTGGGAACCATACAATACTCGTAGTTCGCCACAGCCGCAACCTACTCCCTCATCTTACGGCCAACAGCCTATGCCTCCGACCTGGTCACCTCAAATGGATATGCGTAATATTGCTAGTCCTGGGGCTTTCAAAAGTTTCAGCCCACAACCGCCTGGTTTTGTTGATCCTAATGGTCTGCCGCAATCTCAAGTTGACTATTCCATGGGCGGTCATGATCCCCGGCCCATGTTCGGCAGGCATCAGCATCGCCCTTCAGTCCAATGGCAGAATCTGCATCAACAAGTCGCCCAGCACCAAATGCAGTTGCAGCAGCAGCAGCAGCAGCAGCAGCAAGCGCAATTACTACAACAACAGCAACAACAACATAATCAACTACAGAATCAACTACAGCAGCCATTAAAACCACGTCTCGAAGACCTAGTGGAGGCTGATGAGCCAGAGGAAACTGTCAGCTCTCTTCCCACTAGCAAACCGGATGAACAGAGGGTTACACCAATCGTAGTGCCGGTACCCAAGCATGGAATGAATCGGTTAAGTGTGCATCTGAGACAGGAAATGCAAGGTGGCAAGGACGAAGATGAAGAAGAGGATATCAAACGGGAATCAGCGGGGGAACCCAATCATCTCGCCCAGTCAGCGAATGATGGTATCGTGGAACAGGTTGTTGAAGCCAAAGCTAATGTATTAGAAACCGCGGATGAACCTTCACTAGTAAAAGTGGTGACTTCCGTCAAAGATGCCACGACGGTTCCAGAAACTGAACTCCAACCGGTTGATGGCAAAGCTAGCTCTCAGTTGACCGGTAATCCTGCTGTTACAGAAGAAAAGGAAGTTGTAATTCTGCCTATTAAATCAGAGTTCGAAACAAATCCTACGTCACCGATTTTAGAAGAAACATCAATGGGATTTCTTTCAAATCCCACAACATCTCCACTTGCCGAACAAGCTACAGAGGACAGCGGGGATGACACAGATCCGACCAAGCCGTCATCGAGGTTTCACACCCGTGAAAACTCTAATATTTCCAACATTTCTTCCCGGCTACCCCCTTTCCTACGTGGGACCCCGATCCACAGCCGCCATAATTCTCAGATGGCGCGCGCAGAGCCGGAGCTTCCGAATACTCGCAACCATGTCTCGATCCCTCTGATCCCTGCACAGCATACCCTCAGTGTCCAGAATGGCCACATGAACGGCGCTCTCAGCGGCGGGTTCAGAGATGATCTCAGCGATGGTGCCCAGACAAACATCTCTGATATCCACACGAACCCTAGCGAGCCACCGAGTCCCAGACGACGCCACTTCTCTGGAATTGGCGCTGAGAGCAAATGGGTGCCTGATGCTGTCCCTCATCATGAACGAAAGGAGTCCAGCTTGTCGAATGTATCTAACCAGTTCGCGCCTGCCTCGCAAAATCAACCAACTTCCAAACTCAACGTTGGCGCCCCCGAGTTTAAATTCGGTGGATTTAACCCAAACGCAGCTGTCTTCTCACCGCCTACTACCCACCTCGCACCTGTCAAGCCTGTTGCCCCCGTGCAGATCAATCACTCTCGCAATAGTAGCGGTGCACAATTCAACGTCGATGCTCCCGTTTTTCAGCCGTCCAGCTTTGCTCTAGAACCTGGAAATCAAGTGGACAGCAGCTTCTCCTCTGAACCTTCGAGTGATTCAAAGGGACCTATAAGCCCCTTTTCCTTCTTCTCTAAGGGCTTCAATCCCGTTGTCCCAATCTTCACCCCTCCGAAAATAGGACCGGTTACGTCGATGTCCAACACCTCCACTCCTATATTCTCTTACAGAACCGAGGATTTCATTTCACCGCCAACCACCTCCAAGAAGGCTGTTGTCACGCCGTTGGATCCCGAAGATACCGAAGAAGAACTTGGGTGGGCTGCCGGTGGGCGGCCTAGCTTTCTGCGGGATAACAGAAGTGGGAAGAAAGGCAGGTTTATCCGCGGCCGAGACGACGGGGATGACGTTCCCATGTTCGCACCTTCACCTGGTCCATTAATGAGAGAGATGGAGCGAGAAATTGAACGGCGGCACTTGGAAGAAGAAGAGGAGGAGCGGGCAAAGAATGCTTCACCCAAGCGAGCACTTGAGGACGATGACAAAGAATCATTGGCATATGATCAATTACCTCAAATACCAACTACTTCTTCGCCATCTTCCGCCCCTGAAGTACTTGAACACAGGGATAGAGGAAGCATCATGGAATCGTATGTGGGCAACGAAACCGACACCCGTGTCGAATTGACCAAGTCCGAGAAATATCTCTTCAAGATCTCAACCGACGCTACCAATTTCGCAGAAGCTAGACCTGCTAGCGCCAGCGACCACTATGAAAAGCGGGCCAAGAGCGACGTGTTTGGCGTGATGGATCAGGAATACCAACACCTCGAAGATTTGGCCATTGGACAAGCATTGATGGGACGGAAGCAGAAGGAAGATGTTCCAATTCCTAGTGACGAGAAAGAAGCCACCGTACCGGGCGACGTCGTGTTCGATCCCGAGGCTGCAGAATTTATGTTTACAGATGCAACTGAGAAAGGAGGCGATCAAGTGGTACTCTCTTCTGCGCCAATCGCAGAACGGCTCCCAATGCCGTCAGCCCAAGAGTTAAATGATACTTTTAATTTCATGTTTACTCAAGAGAATGCGGAGACCGAGGCTGCTGACGGAGAAGAGGACGAAGAGCTACACCCAGAAGAAGAAGATTCAGATGACCTGCAGAGAGAGGTACAGCTTAACCCACCTGTGGAATCTGCATTTGTAGCGTCTCCGTCTAGTAGCAGCGAGAGCATCCAACCCGCACCAGCACTACCTGAATATATCCCCCCTCCCGAAAAAACCAAGTTCGCCTCGCAGCAAACCCAAGCTGAGAACAGGGTAAGAGCTAATGCACCTAGCCCCGCAAGCCCAGAAAGGGCTAATACATTTATTACACACGTGCCACAGACTCCTGCGGAACGAGGAATACCTACTATCGACCCTCTGGAGCCGGATAGCGATTGGGATTCCTTACTCCCAGATAATGATACCCAGGATTCTAAGCTCCGTTCCCGCGCCTCGTTCTTCGATACCCGGGTTGAAAGTATGGTGGGCGGAATACTCGAAACGAGGCTTGACCCTGTGGAAAAGCAATTGGGTGCCATATATTCTGCCTTGCAAAATTTCACCCCCTTAAGGAAAAGAATGGTAACCCGGGAAAGTGCTTGGAGCGATGCCGATGACGAGGAAGATGCTGATGACGACAGTAGCAATGTCTTGAGGAGCCCCGGAAAAAGAAAAGAAGACAAGAAATTGGAGCGTATCAGAAGCGTCGTTATGGATGCCCTTGCTACTCGAGAATTTGCTACCTCTTCGAAGCCTATAGAACCCATCCATGATACTGTTAAAGGCGTTGAAGAAATCAAAATTATGATGACATCATTCTTGGAGACGCAAAAGCAGAAGGATGAAGAAAGACTTTTGGTTATCGATAAGGGCGTAAAGAAGGAAGAAGGGAACGGAGTTGAGGAGGGCGCCGCTGCCACCATCGAGATTTTACAAATGAGGATTTCTGCACTAGAAAAGACTCTTGAAGCTGGACGAAAAGCTCAAGAAGGAGAAGTCAATGCCAAAAAAGTCTTGCAGGACTCAATATCTGAACTTGAAAGGAGGCTAAATATATCAACCGAGAGAGAGCGAGAAGCGAAAGAGAGAGCTGATGAAATGGAGAGGAAGTTCAAAGAGGTAGAGGACAAGAGAAACAAAACACTAACACAAGCCCAAATGAGAGCTGCTCTTCTCGAGGGCGCGCATGTGAGCCTGCAAAAATCCGTTGGGGATTTGACCGTGACCAAGGCGAACTTAGAAGGCCAACTTGCCGACGCAAAAGCTAAGTCCGATAAGATTGTTGCCGACATGGAAGCCGCAGTCGCGGAAGCCTCGGAGCTTCGCAGGGCAATTCCGGTACTGGAAGCAAGTCTTGAGGAATCAAGACGGTTACATGATGGCTCCAACACCAGGCTAGAAGACCTTCAAGATAAGGTTATCAAGGCTGCCGCCGAAGTAGAGAATAAGCAAGCGAGGTGGAGAGAACGAAATGAGCTGCAGAAAAACCGCATTCAGACTCTTGAGACCCGGCTTGATACTGAATTGAGGATGCGGGAGGGTAGAGAGGAGGAGATGAAGAGGCTTGAGGCTGAGGAGAAGAACGCGATCAGGCTGCGGATTGAACTTGAACACGTTCTCAAGATGAAAGAACGCATGGAAGCTGACGTGTTGAGGATGCAAGACGAGGAAAGAGAAGCTATTAGATTAAGGGTGGAGGTTGAACAAGTCAGGCGGGACAACCTCAAGATGGAAGCTCTCGTAGACCGATTGAGGGCAGAGGTCATCGACAAAGAAAGAGCGGTAGTCACCGAGAGGGACACCAGCAGTCACGAGGCTCTCAAGATTACTCTAGCACTCCAAGCTCAGCTCGAGGCCGCACGCTCAGAAACTGAGAGCGTGAAAGTCAACCTTGAGACTGAGATCACTAAGATCATGATGGAGACTGAAACTTCCAAAGAGAGACTGAAGATGTTGCACGACGAAGTTATGGACTCTAAGGATGCCTTTATTCGAGAAATGAAGACTTCCCATGAAGTTGCAATGCAACATGAAGCTCACCAAAATACTGCGAAGCTTGAAGATCAACATCAGCGGTACGAGAATATGATCGACAGTCTCAAGGAAAAACACAGGCGTGACATTGAAAACGCTATCGAAGATATTGAGCGGGAAAGGATCTTTTTGAAAGAGCAGATGGAGGTTCAACAAGCTCAACAAAGCGTTTATACCGATAAAATCGAAGTCTTGGAAAACCAATTGGAGATCGCAAAGAAGGCTGCCCAAGCCGCCGTTATCGCTGCCCAGGGCTCCAAATCTCCAGCAATCACCCGTCAACATGTCCCCTACCACGCGACGGAGACCAAGAACACGCCATCCGCCGCCGACAACAAGGCCCTCCGAGAATCACTCGCAGTTTTGCAAGAACAGCTCCAAGAGAAAGAAGCTACTATCGAAACTCAAGCGGAGGAAATAGAATCCCTTCGTAAATCACCCGCTGCTAAAGAAGTGGAACACGAAAATATCTTCCTTCGCGAACTTCTTAGTGTTCGTATCGGCGAACTCGAAGAGATTGTCCGCCAGCTCAGCAAACCACAGTTTGATAAAGTCACCGTGCGGAATGCTGCAATTAGGCTGAAGGCGAACCTCGAGATGGAGCAGCAGGAAAGAGAACGTAACGCGGCATTGAGTGCGTCCACCGAGCAGGTTCCGACTACCACTGTTGGCAGCCTGTATGGGATTGCCAACCGGGGCCTCAGCGGGGCCCTTGGAGGGTTGAGGAAGGGCAAGGCGAAGTACGATGACCCTGGATACATTTCTGTCTCCGCGTCGACGTCCCCTGCAATGGCAAGAGATTCATCGGACCAAGGAAGTGTTCAACAGTCACCATCCAGGCCAACCTCACGACAGAACTTCCTGACAGGGCTACTAACTCCACCGATATCCTTGAGCAGGCCAGCAGCGCTCGCATCGACTCTCGCAAAGGATAGATTTGTGGGGATCACAAGCAGAGTGAGCAGTGACGCAATAGCTCCCCGCCCCTCTCCATCGCTCAGCAGCTCCACGTCTACGCTTACAGCTACTGCTAGCTCATCAAGGGTCCGGCCAAGGGCTCCGAGCCATGCTAGCGAAAAGAGCAGCACTTTCGTATATGATGAGGATGCAAATGATAATGTAGAATCTAGTCTATCGGAGCCTCAGTATTTTGTGGAGGAAGATGAGGATATTGCCGATGCTCTTACCAATGCACAAGTTAACATGGAGAGCATCGTCGACGATGATGATGACGAAGACGAGGATGATTTGGGAGTCCCCGGATTCGCAATGAATAGTCCATATATGAGACGGTAAAACTCCATCGGCTACAAGCTGAACCTTACAAAAGTTACCAATTTCGTTTCTTTCTCCTTTCATTTCTTCTGGTTCCTTTTGGGTTTTCTTGTGCGCAAGCTCCGGTCTTTGATGCGGCCGACTCTAATATCGGAAAGTAATGTGGATTGTGGGATGTACAATTGTCTCTTGCAATAATGATGTCCGGTGTTTGGTTCCTTTTATGTTTTATTTGTTTTAGCGTCCGCCGCTGCTATCTCTTTGACGTTGCACCTCACGTTAACCTTTACATTACCCACTATAATATCCCTCTTTTCTTTTCAGCTTTTTAATATATTTTCTTTTAATTTGCAACTTATATTACACGTTGCCAATTTCTTTACTTGTCTTCCATTCTCTTCGTACATAATTTGATTCGTATACTTTTCTTCTTTCTTGTATCTACCTAAATTAGCAGCTATTTTTACTATCGATACCGACTAATATCCAGCCATCACTTTCAATTTACGTAAGATCATGCGGGGTCGCCTGACGTTTTGGTCCCAAGTTTTTTTAATTTTTTTTATTTTCCAAAATAATAAAATTATAAAGTATGCGCCTGTTAACTCCATGGCCCAAATGCACGAACAAAGCGCTAAAACTCGATGACTCCAACCAGCACGACAAAACTGATAAACGGGCAAACGAAAGATTGCGAAAGGGTATGAAAGTTATAATGCAGTTGCTCCAAGATTCATGCTAGCCCTGTATACCTTAACTCCGTTGAAAACATTGACAAACCACAAGATTTCTTAACTAGAACAGAATGAAAAGTGAAACAGAAGACCTCCTAAAAGACAAGAGACAAAAAAAGAAGGGTAAAAAGGGTAAAAAGATGATTTCATTGAGGATCGAACTCAAGACCTCGACCGTGTTAAGGTCGCGTGATAACCAACTACACCATGAAACCATGTCTTGTTCGGCACAAAGTGTGTATATAAAGGCTCCGAGAATGGTGCATCATGCATGTAGACGGTCATTGAAACGCGCGATGAGAGATGGAGATGTGATTCCCCGCGTAGACGGGGGCCCAACGCAGGAAAGGTGGGATTGGGGCAGACATTCTCGCTTCCACCTTCGTCAACACAAAATATGCAACAAAGTGGTTACGAAAGTGTCTCTGCTAGCCCAGTATAATCGCATATGAATAGCGGAGAATCGATGATAGTATAGTTCTCAAATGGCTGTTTCGCGGCTAAGACTGCCTCGAAGAACCATACCCTGAACCACGGTTCGCCATGCTGGAATAGCCTTGGCTTTGAAGGGACCTGTCTTTTTTTTATTTATTTTCTTGTTAGCAGGTTCGTTTGGGGGGATGGTAAATTTTTTTTTGGGGGGAGCATACTGGATTGACGCGGCAGGTCCGAGAAACCAGAAGCGCCATAGATATGAGCAGGTCTTTGTCGTTGTGCTGTGGTTTTGAGGATCGTGTCGACGTCTTGCCAGTTAATATCATCGTTATTGTTGTTGGTTTTAGAGATATTAGGTGGATAAGTGGGCTCGAGGGTTGGTGACTCGGGTTCTTGCTGCTGGGAGCGAGAACTAGTCCGTCGGTGGGACTGGGACTGGGAATTGGAAGGAGTATAGCAAGGAGCCGGCATCTTTTTTTTATTCTTTCTCTGCTGCGTTGTAGCGTGGGAATGCAGTGGCCAAAAGGGTATTTTTTGACGGACGTGCAGCAGGATCCGTTTAGGATTGTAGGAACGGTTTCTTAGGAGTGAAGGATACTTCGGTAGGCGAATTTAGAACGAGAAGACTTAATTGGAAAAAAAAGGGTTGAATTTGAAAGAATGGCAAAATATATCGACGAGAATTTTCTTTGGAGATTTGAGGTTTATTTATGTTTTCAGTAACTAACAACTGGACTGGTAGAAAGGTAGAATTCTAGAAACAGATATTTTGGGTATCGAGAGGGGTATTTATCTTCAAGACCATGTTCGATATGGCCCTGAACACCTTCAAGCAACATCACTCAAACGAAGTCGTAGGCCTAAATACTAGGTATTGCGCCTCAGAGTAAGGTAAATGAAAAGGCGAAATAGGACTCTTCTTCGGCTTCTCTTCTTCCTCTTTTTTTGTTTTTTGTTTTTTAAGAAAGAAACTTTCCTTGCTAGCAAAGCTATGTCGCCTCGTTCTGGTTCGGTGGAAATAAAATAAATAAAATAAAAATGTACAAAAAATAAAATAAAAAATTAGGACAGCGGGTTAGTTAGGCCTTATATCGCAAGTTCAAGGTTAGGATACTGCTATGGGTTTTGTTTTTGCATCGCCACACAGTTAACTAGCAGCTATAGCTAGCTAGCTAGCACCCACCTATCTAACGTTGGTAACTAGCTTGACTGGTCCGCAAGTTACTAAGTGAGTAAGTTGCGTCTCAAAACACACATATTCCAGGCCCAACCGGTCGCGGCCAGGGCGGATTCTTAAGGGTGCGTGCTATGGAAATTAACCGGGGTATGTTGGTAGCATGAATCTGAGCTTGTGCTAGCTCTATGCAGAGTTGCAGAGTAGCTAGCTCCCGCTCAGAAATACCCTGAAATTCTGTTAGTTTCGTCATTTAGCTTGCTTGCACCTTCGTAAGTTAGAAAAAGAAAAAAGAAAAAAGAAAAGGAGGGGGAACTCAAGGATGGGAAGGGAAGAGCAAGAGGGGGAAAGAAAGAAAGTAGAAAGAAGGATCTCAGGGGCTTGGACAGACTCACAAAATTGATATCGAGCGCAGAGATGGCAACAGCCAACGCAACCCCTTCACCACAACAGAGCAGTCAGATCGACACCTCAGAAAATATTCTTGGTGTCCACACCGGCGCCTTCTGTTGTGCCTCGACGGGCTTGGGGGTTGAATTTCCACGACTTGCTATCGGAGCTCGAGTAGGTCTTGAAGTTTTGCCGGAGAAAGATAGATCCTTGGAATATGGAGCCGGTAGCCACGGCGCAGTCGTTACCTGGCCTTCATTTTCGAAATCTTTCTGCCCTGTGCCAGACACCATGCTTCGAATGCCCCAGTCATACTTATAATTAACGAGACGGAACACTGAAGAATAATTATAAAATAAGAATAAAGCAAGAATAAAATAAAATAAAATAATAAATTATGGAACCCGGCACTTTTCGCTGTGGCGTTCTTCTTTAAGACCCCTTTGAATTCTTCTTCTTATCTTCTTAACAAGAAGAACAGGAAGAAGAGAGGCTCGAGGGAAAAGAATGGGATGGAATCGGAATGGTTGTCTCGGAAAATAGTGTGCTGCGCGAAACGTCCGAAGCTGTGATCGATCTTGCAAGCTTGGACTCGATCCTATAGGCCTTCTGAGCTCTTCAATTTGAAGAAGAGAAAGGGGGACTAGGACAACAGTTATCGATAATTGGGCGTCGGGCGGTCTAGGGCTAGGCAGATATGCCTTCTATTCAAGCTTGAATTCTCTAAAAGTTGCAAACTTCGCAGGTTCAAACAAGAAAAAGTAAAATAAGAAGGTTGGAGAAAAGGTGACCCGATGAAAAATCGCTAGAAGACGGCGCGTAGCTAGGCCATGTAATCAGCGGAGTTATCGTCGAACTAGTTGGAACCGTCGCATTCAGGTCGAAAACTCCATGAAACATTAGAATCTGCTTTTCTGAAATCCGGAAAGGTCTTTTATTAATACCCTCTCTTACGGAACTTATTATCCCGACCAGGCCGCGTACAAACCCGTCACTTCCGAGGCATGTGGGCATCAAGTTTAATCAGATGGACAGGGAATTGCTCCAACGTTTGAGCCCTCGTCATGCGCTTTTGTTCAAAACGCAGAAGAAAAAACCAGGCTCTGCTATGGAAATCTTTCGGGGAAGAAAGATCGAACCTCGTCGCCAACGAACAAGGATGTTGCTCATCGTTCGATTTGTGCAGATTCGAATATTCGATAGCAGAGCCAGCTATAAGGCCTCCGAGTGCATACGCATAATCCCTCGAGTAAATTAAAAATGCTTAGCTTAGCTTAGTAGCTACCAGCATTCTTAAGTTGCTAGATTCTATCTTGAATCTAATCAGCGGCACATGTACAGTCGCAAGAAAAAACGTAAAATTTGACGAACATGTTGACATCGAAAGAGAGCTCCATATGCAATCGGCCTTGTTTGATATTCGATTCGAAAAGCATCTTGAATGCTCGCTCGATCAAACGCGAACACTGATTGACAGATCAGAGCTCCCTGCCTCGTTTCAAAGTTTTCCCACCATTATATAGAGCGCTCGACTTGTGCGTGACGAATGCGAAGATTCAAACGCAGAGTCCACCTGGTTTCGTTACAATATTTACTTCCATCTATAGCTATGCGTTTGCCTGCCCAGCTGAGACGATAGCAATTCAAGGCTGAACTAAATCGCCCAAGTATATAGCAAACAGTTCTCTCATTCCCCCCCGGCACGTTCTTTCATTCAGGAAGACTTTTCAGAACCTTCGGCAAAAGTACTTTAGTCAACAAGATCCCAATCGAAAAACCGTCTGAGCGTAAAGTGCCTTCCACCATTAATATCTTCTCTCACCACGACGCCACTAGTTGATCTTAGAGATGAGTTTGGTCCGTGATACAGACCCTCCCATAGTCTTGTTTCCAGGCCTCGCTCGAGTTCTCAAGTAAGCTTATAAGCTAGTACGGCTATTATCTCATCAATGACAGGGAATCGATATCGATCGATCAACTCCACAATGTTCGCCATCATATCTGTCAATTGCAAAGCTATTGGACGCGGTATTCTTCACCACCTTGAACATTTTCCGAAAAAGCGGAAGCAACGCCATAGATCCTCTCGTAGCCTTCTTCTTACGAAGAACCATTTCTCTCAGCTGAATCCCAGTTCGGCCTCGTCCTCGGAAGATGATATTTCTCTAGAGCCTCTCAAGGCTGTGGGTCAACACTTTCTTACCGAGACTGACACCGACACCGAAAAGGTAATACTTGAGATTCAGGATCAGGATACCGATCATATCGATCTAGCTGGAATATATAGTATTCCTGGCCCCGGCTGTGGCCACGACATCGGTATCACATCGGTATCGCTTCTGAAAAAAATCGAAAGCTGGCTTGCGGAGACGCTTCCACCCGACTCATGCCTCGACGAGAAGCGAGCTCTCATAGCTCAAGATAACCTGGAGGCCCTCTTTGACTGCGCACTCGCTTTCTACGAAGCAGGCAAGCGGTCCGTAAGCGAAAATGCAAACCGTAACTACTTGTCGAGTGAGGATATTCAAAAGGTCATCGCCGCAGCTGTGAGCCAATCAGCAAATCCCGAATTCCGTGAGAGATTGCTTCAAAACTTTCTCGGAAATTCTTATGCCCATGGTCAATGCCTGCCCACCGGATATATAGTTAAGCCTCAGGGTGAAATTCAGCCAGGCGCTCCTGATTCGCCACTACGGTCGCCATCCTCCTGTCCCGCGAAAAACAAGTTAACATCCGGACTCCCAGTAGCCTCGCGAGATCAGTTCCCGTCGGTTCCGTCAACCCTACCGAATCTGGTTAACGTTGATGCGCAACACACGGGGTTTCAGCCAGACGTCCACATTGTTACACAAACCCCACAGCAGCAGCTGAAACCCGCCGCCGTCAATAGCGAGGTAACACGGGTGCCAGCTTATAATTATGATTCTGATCGTACATCATTCCCACCGTTCGATGCAGAAGCCTTAGGCTTCGGATCCACGGTGCCGATGCCCCGGCATCTCGGTTCAATCTCCAATTTCAAAGGACAGAAGACTCATGGCAGGCATTCATCGGATTTGGTCCTACAGCCGTCCCGTCTGCCTTCACATGAATATGAAAGCACGCAGCTACACGACGCTATCAAACGAGGCGATCTACCTATGGTGCAAAGTCTATTAGGTAACAGATTCGATATCTTCAAAGACAACGCACACACAGCCGTCGCTCGACTTCCTGCCAATGCCATCGCCGACTGCGTCCAGTATCGAAGAAAGGACATCCTTTCATACTTTATCAGCCATGATATTAAGTGCTACCCAATTGCGATATGGGAAACGCAGCGATCTGGTGACAACGAACTACGTAAATTTATCACGGCAAAGTATGAAGAACGGGAACGCCAGCTACATCGCCCAAAGCCGGGTTCGTACCAAGACCGGTTTTTACAACTTGGACTCTATGGGGGCGAATCACTTGGGTATTCCCTCCGGGCACCGCTACCCAAAACTCCCACCCGAGGTACCACTTGTAATAGTTCAACACCAGAACAATGGAGTGAAGATTTCGATACTGATGGCATGGGGATTCCCAGTCATGATATGGGAGCTGATAATACCTCCCAATCGGAGTTCAACATCGAAGAGTATTATGGGGGCTACCATAGCGGCTCCGATATCCTCAGCGGCCAGGAAGTGGTACAAGAAGGTCAGGAAGTACGTCATGAAGAGGAAAAAGTATTGGAAGCAGAATTAGATGAAGATGAAGACGAAGATAAAGACGAAGATGAAGATAAACGAGACGTAAATGGGGAAGGATACCAAGGGTACAGGTACAAAGACTACGAAGAGGGTGATGAATATGAAGAGGAAGGGGAAGGGGAAGGGGAAGGGGAAGGGGAAGGGGAAGGGGAAGGGGAAGGGGAAGAGGAAGAGAACAACAGCTATGAAGGTGGAAACTGGGAAGACGGCAATGCTGAAAGACCGCTCGAGTGCGTAGATGGTGGCGAAGGCCCTAATGGAGGCCATTCGATGGATGGATCCGGACCCAGGATTGGTAGCAGTCAGCAAGCAAATCGAGCTACTGGCAAACGTTCCCGCTCTCAAAGGGAAAATAATAACAATGATGACGAGGATCACAACGGACCCCCAGACAAGAGACGCCAGAAACACGACATGGACAACCAGAGCTCGGAAAAATACAACTGCCCCTTCTACGAACTAGATCACACCCGCTACGAAAAATGTCAGCGTATTGCTAGGGCATCCTTCAGTGGTATAAAGTAAGTATAGTAGTATTTTCATGCCTCTTTTATTCCTACAAAAGTAGCCCTTGAAGATTGAAGTTTTAGCTATTATGCTCTTTCTTATGATCGATATGTTATATTAACGCTATCATTCCTTTATATAGGGAGCATTTAAAGCGGAACCATTTCCGAGAAGGCGTTCCCGACGGTATGTATACTAATAAAACCAAAGAAGAGCTGCGTGAGTTCTGTAGGAACTGGTCTTGTAAACAAGACAACTCGAAGTCCACCTTGGTTCAAAAAAATAGTATGATACAGAAAAGCCACTTAACAGAATCTATTTTGGAGACTACACCAACTTCGGGCCAAGGAATTAGCATGGCTGGCGATATCGACGCTACGGTTGCCCAATTCGACCCCTATATGAATCAACCGCTAGATTTTTCATTCCTACCGCAGCTCACCTCCCCAACATCGGGACTTAATTTACAAACGCAAAACCCCCCTATAGCACTCGAACATGGCTTCGCAAAAATGGCTACAGGTATTTCCCAGGCTCCTGCACAGCTAAATCTATTAGGTTCGACACCCACACATTGGTTAGGGCACCCGCTTTACGCTACAATGGATAGTAGCTTCACTCAAAGCACCATTTTCCCTGATGAAATGCTGGCGTTTAAGATGGACCCGCCTCCAAACACCTCGCCACCATATCTTGGAGGGGCGGGAGCACTGTTTATGACCGGTGGGCCACCAGTAGCAACGCCAACAGGAGCGAGAATCCCCCCTTCGCCTTCCTTGAAAGTAGCTCGCCAGTCCAATACGTCCCAGAAGACATGCATGCCGACAGACCCTCATATTAAACGTTGTCTCGACCACCTATACCCGAAAACAGCCACCAGTGAGAGGGCCTCCCAAGAAGCTGGAGAGACACCACCATCACTGCCAACGTCAATGCCACATTCTTTCTCTTCACCTCCCACAGTTCCTATGACTCCTGGTCGTCTCGTAAGCGAGATTAACCAGACCCTCAAGCAGAGTTCTCAAGAATCCGATAAACCATATCCTTCAGCTTCGAGGCCTGATCTCGGTCCAGGCAGCAGTATTCTGGGACAAAATAAAGCATCGACAATAGGATCAGGGTCGCCCTCGTTTCTATCGCTAAATCGTAAAACATCCACTACAGCTACCCATTTATCAGATACAGATCTAACCGCCACTACCGCCCAATTCTCAAACCCGCCCTCCGGCCCAGGAAAGCCTAAGAAAAGGGAAATCAAGGTGAAGCTGGAAGAGCCACAGAAAAGTCCCGAGCGCAAGAGGTGGTATACGCTTCTTGTTAATAATAAGGATGATGTGATACAGAACCTCGATCGCTGGATGACAGAGACCTTGCGGCCTTTGCAGATCTACTTTTCATGGGATCAATATGACTTACAGAATCCTAAAACCGAACAACGGGTCTGCAATCTGGAGGAACTGGTAGAAGAATTAGTTGAAAATCAGTGGGGTGCCCTCGAAAGAAACATTTCACGGTTTTATTTGGTTGAAAAGGAACGCAAGGCGGCACATGCCTAGGCGTCAGAGGCAGTCTCGAAGCACGTTGAAGCCCTATATCTTTGCAGGTCTTATCTTCTGGATTTCTCGTTAGTGTTTTAAATTTAGGTAGCATCATTCTTTCACCATAATTTTAGTATCATTTTCCCCGATTGTTTGATTCCAGATATCCTGTAACCTCATATAATCTTTCTTCCGTCAACCGGTATTTATTCACAAAATTCTATGGGAGTGAATTAATACCAATAGAGTAAAAGAGTAAAAACCCAACAACCTGGGGTTCGCGGGGAATAGCCGATGGTTTGTTGATAGTATCCGTGAGCTTTGGTGAGCGGACGGTCCGAGCCGGATTGGATTACGTAACCATTCATACCATGTTAGTGTCGAACTTGGTTAGTTGTTACTAAAGCCTTCCGAGCTCCGGCCTGGGCCTAATTAATGTGTCAGAGTCATAATGCTACCTCGCAAGAGAGAAAAAAATAAATAAAAAAGTCTTAGCATGAGAATAGATTACGCTCGTGAGCGCTGTTCTGCTGGCTTTTGTCTTAGACAAAGAAGTTTGAAAAGGAAAAAAATTTAAACAGTTAAGCTTCTACCAGTTGTGCCTGTGCTTTTTCACATTCGTGGAAACATATCGGACGAAAAAAAAAATTCCATGGGCTCGGAACTTTATTAAGACAAGATCATACCTTTTATATTTGGGGGAGCACCCTCCAGGCTCCAAATTCCACGCCGTTAACGTCCGTTTTTAAATCTTTGACTATAACGTCGCCCGCATACCTGCACCTGCACAAACATAAAGGAGCCGCATCATCGGTATTGACGAATCAGTCCCCTTGCAGCCGCAGAAACCCGCCAACTGGGATACAGCTTGAATTGTGTCGTTGCGCAGCGAATCAAATTATGGACCCATACTCAACGTTCGTTGGGCCGTCCGAAGCCAACCTCCCAGCTGGTTGTATTTCTTCTGGTCAGTTAAGAGCAGAGAAGCCTTCTTGCAGCCCGCAGGGGTTAGAATCGGGTCGCAAGTCCTGTGGCACTACAAGTCTCCGAGGATGGAGGAGAGTCGTTCTGCACTTCACACCCTCGTAAGTACTCTAAACAACACATAAAATGCAACAATCTCGCCCAGAACAACGCATTCGCTAGCTTCTCCAGTCCGCCCCTCGATGCCCTCGTACCCAACGGTCGACGCACCTGACAGCAGATCTGGAATGGAGGTGTTCGAATAGCTAGAGAATAGCTATGCTGAGTTCAGGCCGAAGGGGCTAGCTTTCAAGGCAGTGCTGATATAGGGATGTAGATGGTTCGCAATAACCATGGGTACCGGAATTGTTTCTATTCTTCTTTATGACCTCCCGTTCAACGCTCCTTGGATTCGATACATCGCCATCGTCCTCTTTTGCCTCAATATAGTCCTCTTCCTCTCATTCTCTTTAATATCGGTTCTAAGGTACTTGATGTTTCCGGGACTATGGGGATTTATGATACAGCATCCGGTGCAATCACTGTTCATCGGAACGTTCCCAATGGGCCTATGCACGATTATCAATATGATTCTATTGGTTTGTCTGCCTTGGGGCGAGGGTATGCTTACTCTGGCCTGGGCGCTTTGGTGGATCGATGTTGCCATATCTTGTGCATGTTGCATGTATATGCCATTCGTGATGTAGGTTCCCCGCTCTCACCCTTATTGTCTCGACGAGGTTCTTAAGTACTAGTAGTTATCGGAAACCCTACTAACAAACATATCCCCCCAGAATGCATATTCATGAAGCAAAGCTAGGTACCATGACAGCTGCTTGGCTTTTACCGATTGTGTCGCCTATCGTCGCAGCAGCATCGGGTGCCTTGGTCGCTGGCGCCATGACAGAGAGTCACCCCTCACATGCTCTCTGGACGCTCGTAACTTCGTATGTCCTCTGGGGATGTGGTGTCCCTCTCGCTATGGTCGTCTTGGTCATGTACTTCCAAAGGCTAGCTTTGCACCATCTTCCGACTCCGGAGGTTATTGTTTCGGTTTTCCTGCCCCTCGGGCCTCTAGGGTCTGGTGCTTTTGGGATCATGAAACTCGGAGAAGTCGCAAATGTTTTGTTACCGATCACTGGGACTTTACCCGCAGTAAAGGACGCCATGGCAGGTGGAATTCTCTACATCCTAGGATTCGCGGTTGCCTTGGTGATGTGGGGTTTTGCTCTGGTATGGCTTTTCTTCGCTGTTGCAAGTATTACGAGGACAAGATTTCCGTTTAATATGGGTATGTCAAAAAAAGCGGTCCTATTTCTCTTCGTTCCGTAGTCTTAGGAGAATAAACAGTGGGAACAGCTACGATGGTATCAAATACGCTGACATGTATATTTTTTTTCTGGTAGGATTCTGGGGCTTTGTCTTTCCAGGTAAGAGTCACATCCGTTCACTGATGCGCGATGGTCCACCACACCCGCCGCCAAACACACACACACTAATCGGGAATCTCACAGGTGGCGTCTTCGTTCTTGCTACAAACCAGATTTCGAAAGAACTGCCCAGCGGGTTTTTCAAAGTACTCACCATGGTAAGAAAATTCTTTCGCACACAACGAAAACTCTGCCTTTTCCCCCAGAACAGTTGTTAACGGAATTTTTTTTTTCCCTTTTCGAAATTTAGATATTCACAATGATTATTGTCCTACTTTGGATATTCGTCTCGGTCAGGACAATCGAAAAAACACTCACTGGGAAACTCATCTTCTCACCTTGTGTTCAGCAATACCAAGAGAATAGAATGAAGATGACGAGGTGTACTAGTGGAGAGGTTGATATTGTTCCCGGCCCTAATGGCTGTGGAAATTCCGCAACCCGGGAGGAGATGACATGTGCAGGACTTTGATTGCTGTAGGATATTCACTAGCCGTCTTTGTAACACTATTGTTATTTTCCGTTGTTTTCATGTACCTTTGCATATAGTGTTCTCTTTTTGTCTCAATCATAATTAAATAATTGCTTCATTTCCTGAATGTAGTCTTCGAATATGAGGGATAACCCACAACCTCCAACCTGAAATAAAGGAGTAACATCACATCCGTCAGGGCAATGTATGCATCCGAGGCACGAGTGGAGATCACATAGCATACGTGGATCCACAAGGCGATACGGTTATGGGGCTTTCAACCGTCTACGCATATACGTTTCGGCTACGGAGTACCAAATACATTCCATATGCCCAACGGCAATTAGAAATTTTCAATCGCTGCAACCGTTAACCAGGATGAGTGAATGGGTAGTTCCGTTTGCAAAATTATGCAATGTTCGTCTCACATATGTACATACGCGGGTTAATTCGAGTTTTCCCGGGTCTAGTTGATTTAGGTGGAAGGTCGATTCGTTCGTTAATAGCTATTTCCTTATCGAAAATACGAAGCGTTAGGAGAAGGAATATGTGATCTTCACAAATCGCTAATATCGATAGAACGAGTACGGTTGCAATTGGCTTTTTAACCCAACTTCAAGAGGTTCTTTTTCTCCGTATGGAAATATTCAGCTTTTTAGTTCTCATGCTCTCAGGATCTCACCGGTCAGTTTCGGCAGTTGGGGCAAGTCTAATTACCGTCGACTTACCACACCATGGCGTTGGCATTTCGTCCTTGATGGTATAAGTTTACTATTCTTCAAGTTCCCTTTCGCTGTCATAAATGTCATAATATTGGTGTTCTGAGATCTTGAGTTTCCAGGACCGGTATTTGAGGCCTTCTGCTGGCAAGAATATCTCCCGGAAACCTCATAGAGTTGCATGATATATCGTTCAAAACCTAGAACACCAAATTCTCAAGAACTATTGAGTAATCCGCCGCTAGCTGGAAGGTATCTCCCTCCTCGAAGTAGTTCGATCGAAGTTTTCAGTGTTTCGACCTTTGTCGTTCGAAAGGATTCAATTCGTTTCGCTCTTACTAAACTACGCCTTAATATCCACAGTCCGCCATATCACTTCATCCCTTAAACCCTTACAAGTATTTCTCGGATAACGTGGCAAATTGACGGATAGATGAAAAGGAACGGAATTTCCCCTCCCTGTAAATACTAGTGTCACATGAATACATTTAGGTACTAATATACAAAAACACAACAATCCAAGATAAACTAAACCAGTATTTATACATCCATGTTGGTACAAATTCGATTGAAGACGAATGGAAAGAGCCTCAGAGCCTATTATCCAACATACAGGTACGTGGACCCCCCCCCTCCCCCCCATACAGCCTACTTACGTGGTACCGACAAGGCAACGTTACAGATACATACGCGTACGGCTAACAGACCGCCTTAACTTCTCAGTCTATCCCTGTGCAGCCACAATTATCATGTTAGCTATTTTTTTTTTCTCTTTAAGAGAAATCAAGTTATGTATGTATCAAGTTATAATAGACAAGGGGGGATGGGGGTATCGGAAGGAAAGAAAGAAAGAAGAGGACGGGAGTATATTGAAAGGGACTTTCGCATGGTTGCACGATGAAGTTTCGAAACCATTCTCCCAACAATAAATTGTCCAATCATCGAGTAAAGTCCTGGGTAAATGAGGACGTCGAAAAGGGGTTCATTGGAGATACCTTTGCGAGCCGTCTAAGAGGTACCTTCCCAACCCCTTCATCCATGCTAGCAGATCAAAGTGGCTTTCTTTAAGGAGAGTGGGTCATCAAAATAGTTCACTGGTACCGGGCCATGAGGGCGACACCGTGACCGGTGATACCGTGGCCTGGGAAACCGGTCACGTTGCGCCCCATACCCAGACACCATGGAAGGGTGGAGTGGAGTGTAAGGTATATAGCCATCTACAGCGCAGAGCTGCAGAGAACTTGTCCGCATTGTCCAGCATGACAGATCATAGATCTATGGCGCTGTCGACCCCGCTTCTGAAAGAAGCCCCACATATGCGCCCAGCGATCCCAATATAGAAAAGTCGGAAGGGGCATAGTAATAACAGAATGGATCAACTAAATCTAAGAACAGACACTGTCATGATAACACTAGAAACAGGTGACAAGTAGGCAGCACCTTTCCGTAGCACGTCTTGTCTAGAAACTTTAGGGAATATCGAATAGAATGGGTTTATCCCAGCTCGACTCAAGTTTCTGTGCCTCCCGTTCAAAGGATCCAGAGCCAATCAGATTTGCGAGCAAGGTTCACCGACAGATGCTGGATGCCGCTTCTGCTGACATGTATATGTGGGTATCAAGGAAAAATTCGCAAAGGACGGTCCTCCGCAGACGTGTACGCCGTGCCAAACGAATCGCGGGCAAAATGCGACTGTGGCGGTCTAGTCTTAGAGCTCGAGCCCGGCCTGGCGGGTGGGGTCTACTAAACAATTTGAATATAAAAGCCACCTGCATGTACATATGTGTGTGCGTCCATACAAGGTACATACATACATATATACATATATCTAGTTGGCTTTGAATAAATATTTTAGTTTGAGACCCACGTAGCCACAATTTGATTTAGATGTGTATTTTAAGCTTATGGGAGGGGGCCACGGATCTGGAGGCGTGTACCGCTGACAGCGACACTATTCCAGAGCCAGCCAGGAACGTTCGAACGTGATTCAGATTCTTATGTCTGGGGTCGAGACTTCAATATCGGGGTCTCTTACTGATCAAAAAATCGGAATGAGCCTTACAGGAAGAAAAAACAACGTCAATATCGGCTTCCGGGTTTCGAATTCGACTGTTGATTGCCATGCATCCAGGGAAGCTATATATCTCCCGGGTCGTCAAAGCCCAGTGCATAAAGTGGCGCGCCGTTCGATCGATACCTGAGAAAGGTGGGAAATGAGTCAATTAGACAACATGTAACATGATAGATTCATGAATACATTCGCCCGCAGATGCAAGAGAAATCTCGTGATACTTGAGCAACTACTTGTCCCAAAGCACTCGGCAATGGTATTGCTGATTACGGTGACTCCGAATACAGCAGGCAATTGATTCCTGGGTTGGCTGTTGTAAGCATTTTGCAGGCTTTGCGTTGGCTTTGTAAGGGAACCATAATCTAGCCGCCTGAACCGAACGAATCACAAGTGGCTTCACGATGCTTCTTCATCATAAAATATTCAGCTTTCGAGCTCATTCTTCCTCGAAAGGAATCCATAGCATGATATTAGGTACTAGCGCTGCACGGTTTTTTTTTTTTTTTTTAATTCATCCGTTGACTGTTATACGTGATATGCATGGTGGGACTGCAGTTCAGCCTTACGACTGACATGATATTCAACCTCGCTTCTGTCAGTCAATGGCATATTGCGGCGTGGCCTGTCAGTAGCTAGAAAAGGATAAGGATATGCCTTCCGAACTTTCAGCTCATCCCGATTTAGTCAACTGGTATCAGTGCTCTGCTTAATTTGGGCTCTGATAGCTCCACTTTAGTACTTAGGAACACTGACCAACCCCCAAAATAATCCTCCACATGATATAATATTGAATGACAGATACTGGTATGTAGACCGGTGGCATGGAAAGGAACTAAACTGGAATGCCTCGATCGATAGTGGGGTATCTGTATTCCGGCTATTGCATGCATTGGCCTAGTATACCAAATACTTACTCATTATGATTCAGAATCAGATTCATTGTAGGATTCGATAATATCGCCGGTGAAATGTCCTCTCCTTCCGCAGTGGTGACATTCAATTGATCGAATACTCCAATTGGCCATGGTATTGCACCAAGAAAACTCTGCATTGTGAAAGATCTTAAGAGAAGGGCGCAAATGCATGTATGCACGCTCTAGAAGCCAGGATAATTGATACTAAAATGACCCCAGGGACAATGCATATTGACTACAAACAAGGCCTTAAGCCCTTGAGGACTCAATCATTATCCAATACCATGACTATTGCTTGCTTCAAATTCTGTCATACCGCTTCACCGTACGACATGGGATATGTTAGCTTCATGTATTATAGTCAACCCGCTCCCGATCGTGAACATTCGCCACTCGGTAGATGGATCTCTCGGTGGTGGCTACCTCGCTGTGTTCGACGATTCAGCCTTACAGCCCTGCATGCACTTTGATGAGGAAACGAACGGCTCCACCCCAAGACGCTATCACCGAACCGAGGTAGGTCTGAATGAAAAAGCTTAACCTCAAGCTACTAGCTCCGCAGCTGCTCGAGCTTCTAAAATAGAGCTCGCTGGTATACTGAGGTGTCTACGAACTCGCGAACTACACCAGCTCCGCAATTGATGTCAATTTTAAGACATCGCTGGCGCTTTCTCAGCTGCCTAATCATATCCGAATGCGGACTAAACCCCACATAAGAACTGTGGCATGTCTATGTAGAAGAATGAGGAAAATATGCCCCGAAAGTCTCACAATGAGGGAATAACAATATAGTTTGCGCGATAGGATGCATTGTTACGTCTCCGTGCTTTCAAAAAATGGTGATCGGTAGTACAAGCTAAGAGCTCAATCGAATATCGAATCCAGCCGCCAGCCGGCGGACATTGCCATTTGCCTTCAGCCCTATGGGAGTGGTCTGCATCCTGGCTAGTTTATTTCATTGTTTTCGTCCTTGTCGATACGATCGGCAAGGGAAATGTTCTGCAGAATATTTAACTAAACCTTCAGAGGAAAGTGCTTTTTGATATTCCTCGCGCACTCCGACAGTATAGTTCTTTTCGTGTAGTTAAACTTGAACTAAACCATGCATAGGAAACTAACACCCAGAGCGAGTTTCTGCAGAGACGATCGTAAGATTCTTAATCGGTTAGTTTTACTTCGAGAAATCATTCTCGCAGGGCTGAGTAAAGTTCTACAAGGTTACTTCTCGAATACGAACGTGATGGGGATCTTCCTAGCCTTCGGAACTATGCTTTCCCTGCAATCAGTAGCACAATTTGCCACTATATATAGGACTTGGCCGGACAAACATTCATCATATCCTTGTCCTTCGGGAAACTCGACAAACAGCATTTGAAGCACGTGGGTCCGCCCTACCAGAACCATATAGCAGAAAGTAATAATCAAGGGTTGCCGGGTCGATCAACCCTCTTTGCCCAATTAATCATGGCGATGATGCTTCGCCGACAATCAACTGAGCCTTATGACACCAAGTCCAAAGAGATAATGATCTTCCTATTCTTTAGAGATTTCAAGTAAACTTTTCGCACATTCGGATTCCAAATTGAAGCTTAGCGCTCCCGTCGAGTCCGTTGGGCGCGAGCTCCTCGCAGTTCGGGAGGTGCGAGGTCTCGATAGTAATGTCACGAAATCTTCCGGGACCCATAACGACGATCCCACGTCTAGGGAGCCGGAGAACTTCTCGAGTGTATTTTGTACCAGGTACTTCTGGTTCAAAGCTACATAGCTTCGCTTGAAGTCTGATAAGAGAAGATATTTGAAGTTCGGCGCTGTCATCTCCTTAGCATAAGACATTCGTTGCCTGGCAAAATTGCAGCCTTATAGGACCTGAGTATATGTTTACAGGCAGGGCCTAGGGCAGGGTATTCATAGAAGTAAAGATTTTCATCAAATTCCTGAGAAGACAAACCTGTGACAATAATCATTTTTTCTACAAGGCTTCGACATGACTCTCGAGGTACCTATTGGCTACCTATTTCCTCTTCCTGGATGTAACACTCCATTCAAAGAATGGAACAGTTGATTTCCTGTGTAAAAGTGGTCGTCAGCTTGACAGCCGGGCCAGCTTGGTTGGAACCGGAACGCAGATGCGGCCCCTCTCCGTAGTCTGGGGCCCTCTCCGCAAACTCGCTAACTGAACCGATAATGCGGCGGCGAGCAATCGGGCCACGATTTATTTCGCAATGTCTCCTTGGCATTAATTTCTGGAGCTGAACAGAATGTGTGGATGATTCCAGCGACAGGATCACCGATACTCGTGCCCGAAAGGTTTGTATTGCAGTTATACTATGTTTTCTTAAGCTTCTGCAGCAGAGCGAAATAGGCTGCCGTTCGTAGGAGCGCACGAGTCATTTTTTTTTTGTGAATCTAGTTCGATCAGAAGAAGTCCAGAATTTCGAAGATATACTGGACGGATCCGAACAAGTTTTATGGATATGTGTCAGTCGACTTGGAAGTGAGTGTTGTGGAGGGCACCAAGACGACGCTGCGACCAGGGTATATCCGGGAACTCCGCCCTTTATCGATATGCGGATGCTCATGATGTGGCATCGTGATGCGAGCTGCTTTAATCGATAATGAAATTTCGAAAGGCTCAAGGATGCTCGTTATCACCATTCACGTCATATGCGGTCGACTGAAGCAAAAAAGTGATCCGAACTCCCATTGACCAATAATCGAATATCGCGAAATGCAATGCAAGTGCAGGTGAAGGTTTATTTGGAGCTTCGAAGGAGCTCATGGGCGAAGCTCATGAACTCCACGCGGGTCGCGGAGCCGGTCGCTGGATTATGCACATTATCGCGGGCTTATACATTTTCACGAGAAATAACCGGGTCCCATGCAAAAGGCTGCGCTGAAAGCCGAGCATCTCCTATACTTACATAGCAAAGGTGCTGAAGGAGCTCGAAAGTAGTAATATAGTATGTAAGGAAGTAGCTCATAGCTCGTAGCTAGCAGAAAGCTTGACATGATGTTGCAACGTTGACGCGGAATTCGAAAGCTTACGATCGCGTAAGAGCCCCTTCAAACCCCGAGATATGCGTCCCAGGGTTCGTACATACATGAGCATGCTATCTTTAACGCAAAGGAAGCTGTCGAGATACATGATACATCAGCATCCTGCTTAGTTTTATCTTTTTTGCCTTCGTGTCACAGCAGCCCAAACGCTTACTTATCCCTTTGCAAGCAAGTAGATTTCCGGACACAGGCTTGCGCACGGACTCCAGCTGCATATGGGTGCTGGGGAAAGAAGAGCCCCACAATCGACATAGCTTCCAGGTACGGGCCTCTTCGATTAAATTCTGGCTGGATCCCATAGACAACACGCAAGCTAGCTAACTGTCGGCCGTAATACGTACATACTGTGGCTATACGAGTGTTTGTCGCTCTCTGTGGGTCGAGTTTACAAGGGGGGTTCGATGGAACCCTGGTAGAAGTTTTGTTTTCTCCACCAACTTCCGGCCTTATGGTAAGGTTTGGATGCTTGTGCAGTGGTGTTTGCTTGCATAAGCCTGAGCGCAGGTAAGTGAACAATGCAGTGAATAAACCAGCACTCCAACCAGCTTCCGACTTATACTCGTACAAACTCATGGATATTTACACGAGCTTCAAGGGTTCTCTCCTACCAATCTTCTTTGCGAACTTGGAGTTGTTTCTATATGTAAAAACGAGGTAAATCAGCCTAAAGAATACTCCTGGGGGACGACTTGCACCTCTAAGACTTTTTTCCGGTCTGGATTATGATTAGATTTGAGACTAGTGACGGATAGATTCGCCCCCACGTGCTTACATAAAGACTGAACTTGTCTAGAAATTTCAAAGACAAATTGATTATCAGAGAGTGGAGCCTGGGAGTATACTAGTATAGTTGAGGGTATTTGATATTCAAAATAAAATAATCAAAGCATAGCTCCTCAAGCGACGGCGGAATTGATTCCCGCGGGTCTAGTATCGGCTTTCGGCTTATGCCAGGGCCTCAGTATACCCGTATTATATAAGACCGGAGATTGCAACAAAGTCCATCGGGTCAAACCCCGATATTTATTCATCCAGGCCATGAATATTATTTATCTTGAACGGCCCGCCGTGGCCATTTTTCGCAAATTTGAAGATGTGTATCCTTCCTTGCGAATCATATAGGTCCGTTTAGTCAGCCAGGTTTGGGGCCTAGCCCGTGAGTGGATTCTCCGAATTGGGGTGATCGTCATTGTCACTATAGGAAAAGGGTCCCGTTTCTTGATGTTTTATAATCTCGCTGTATGTGGTCTAGTAGATTGTGGATTGATACCCAGACGTCCAAGCGGCTGTGCCGAAAAGCTTCGAAAGGGAGCTAGAATGTTCTTGTGTGTGACGATGTCATCAGCTCACACGCATCCACAAGATAAAATAAAATAAAATAAAATCATACTTAATTCAACATAAATATATAAACAGGACCTGTTAACTCGATTTGGAAAGCTATTGTGGGTCTAAAAATGTGGTCGAATAGGATGGTTGGATTTGAAGGGTTGCTTCAAGGGTGTATTGCATAAGACTTGGATGCTCTAGCCGGTGTTCGGAATTTAGCTGCATGAAGCCTCTGTCGTATGTATGTAGGTACTTTAGGCACGGTACATAACTTGGGACGGAGTCGGGTAGACTTGAGTGGAATACATGCGGTTACTCATCAAAGTATCTCTTTGCTGCCGTCTTAGTAGGAATTCCTCACAGTGGTACTTTTATGATTAGTCATGGTCATAGAGGGAAAAAGGCCTAGGGCTCCTTCCAAAAGAAGAGTTTACAGTATGGCTACGGACTTTGCTAGAGCAGAGTTCTTTTTTCTCTTTTTCTTAAAAAAAAATTCAAGTTGGCGCTTTATTTGCGACCAATTCTTTATTCGTCTCAGTAGGTATCTAGATACAGGATGCAGCGGCGTTTGATGGTACAGAGGGAGGAATGGAAGGAAGAAGACATAAGATATATTTAATGATGACAGATGAAAACAAAAGAAAGAAAAAAAGAAACTTTCAGAAGACCGTACCCAGAAAGAGAAAAAGTTCAAAGAACAAAAAGAAGAAACGAGTAAAAGTTGTAAGATGAAAAGGTATCTTTAAAGAAGCGAAAGTATAATGAAGAGGTATCACAGAAATGGCAGCGAATGTAAACGGTGATATACACCAATAGTTGAACGAGTGACCAGCCTTTGAAAAGGGGGGGAAGTGAAAAAAAAAAAAAAAAAAAAAAAACTCGTAACAAAGGAAAGCTTTTTATAACCATAAAGCCCATGATTCGCCAAATGAAAGCAGAAAGCAAAAGGAAGCAGCAGATAACTCCAGCGCAAGATGCAAAGCCCAGGTATTAAGAACAGTTTAGTGGATTATTGCAAGATGGTTTAGAAGTTCACGGGGTAAGTCCCTGGTTCTGTGGGAGCTCGTCGTGGAGCTGCTGTTCCCTCCAGAAATCAGCCCATTGGAGAACATCCTCGCCGAGAAGTTCGTTTTTGATACCATAAAGGCCGTCTTCAAATTCGCGGTCTTCCTCACCACCACTGACATCTCCTTCGTGCTTTGCAGTGGTATAATTGCTGCTGGCGCTGCGTGTCATATCCGATGCTGGGCTAGCTGCCATTCTCATATTCCAGTCTTGAACGTATTGTAAGGAGGCGTGTTCTTCTGGGAAGTCCCAAGCACTAGCTGGGTTTTGCCAAGATGGCTCACCAGTCCATAGATGATCCTGCTCAGTAGCAAGGTCGACAATATCCGGGCTAATTCTGAGACCGTCAGAAAATGTTCCAGAGAGATCGTAGTTGCCAGCCATAGCCTGTTGCAGATATGGGTCATATGCTAACTGACTGGTCTCCATCATATCTTCGGCACCATATGGAAGAGGGAGGATTGTGGGTGGACACGATGGGTATGCCTTCATTGGGTATCCCTGGGGCATGGCATCAGAAATGTTGTAAAACCCAGGAGTGGGAGGAGAAAGCATAGTGTGACGGCGTTCTTGTTTCCTGGCTTGCTGGTAGAGTGGTGGGCTATGGAATGGAGTCTTAGGCTGCGGAAGATGTGATAGTGATCTCCTCTTAGTCTGGTGGTCCTGTGGAGCGCTCTGACGAGGGAAGGTATAGGCGGTCTCGCCAGGAGACGCTCGGGACTGTGGTGGGGAATCGGTTTCTGGGGAAGAAGCCCTGTTCTCAAGCTCGAGAAGTCTTCTCTTTAACTTCTTGCCTGAATGATTCCGTTTCATGTTAGTTTCCCGTGCTTTTCCCTAAATATATATGTGAATCATGATATGAGGATCTCAGGCACATACGGTAGTTGCGCTGGGCAATTCTATTCTGTATTCTTCGGCGCTCAGCCAAATCTGTAATCTTAGTCCAATCCTCTTCTGGACGCGCTTGGCTCAACGAGCTATTGCTCGGGCTCTTGCTACGCTTTCTTGGAGTCATATCTGCGGGCATTGTATGCAACATCGCCTGTGTCGCTGTTGGCTCTGTATGAAGTTGGAAGAAGGATTGCATTTGAGGTCGTGTGAGGATGTGTTGCGTTTGCGTTGGAGGTTGACGTTCCCAGCTCAGCTCAGCCGAAAGCCCCAGATTGATTGTTGATTCAACTTAACGTTATTACACTATTACAATAACGAGATTCTACTATTGCGCTGTTGTAGAAAAAGGGATGTCTAAACTCGATTGAAAGGAAGGATAAGACTCAAGGCGGAAAAAGGATCGAAATATGAAGAAAGATGAGAGGAGGGGGTATCGATCGGTGTACGGTGCGCAGTATATATAGGCAATGATGATGCGATGCGCAGGTATTATTATAGAGAAAAGAGAAGGATGCAGTGCGGAGAGATGTAAAGACAAGATGGATAGAGGAGAAGGAGGAGCGCTCTTCGAAGATATATATGTTTTATGACGCAGGAGGACCTGTTCTTCTTATGAATGAATATTGCTTGATGTAGTTTGAGAAGTGTCGTTCCAAAGACGGGAACGAGGCTCTTTTTTAACTTCAACTGCAGACTACTTAGCGGGCCAGTTTTGGATTTTGGAAACAAGGGTGCAGTGCCATGAACGAAGCTCTCTTTACGGAGTACTACAGGCCTGCCCGTCCTCTTCAAGTTGGCCTGTCCAGTGAAGGGAGTCCATGCTATGTTCAACAGGCTGCCCCACGAGCTAGAACCGGCACCGCCGTGCGCTTGAAAGAAAAAAGTAAATATTCTTTAATATGGTCACTGCCAAAAGGAGCTGCATGCATCGACATACACAGCAGTAGTAGGCCCACTGGCTCTGCTATGTGGAAGGTATCCAAGAAGCAAAAAAGAAACTGTACCGAAGTCTTGAAACTTTGCTTTTTGACTGAAGACTCCCATTTTTTTGAAACCCCTGCATGTCAAATGGGTTCCAGGGCCGTCGAGGTACACGGTACAAGTACCGCCCAAATTTGCGATCCTGTCGACTCCGTCCGTTATCCAAATTGGCTCAGGGCAAAAAGGGCGGCGGGTTATTGCTTGGTTCCTTCGCAGCCTCCCAAAATTGCAGGGTTAAAGGCTGCTCCGGTGCATAGACTTCCAAGAGTGTTTGGACTGTTACAGCGCTCTGATTGGTTGCCTTATCGGTTTCCTGCAATAACACCTAAGGCTGTCTAACCGGGAACTCCCCGGAAGACTATCCTCACAAACCCTCATCAACATGGGCGGCTCGGGCCCCGCCCCCTAACAAAGTTTTCCCGGGGGGGCATATTATTAGTATAGGCGGAGCACGAGCATTTGCAGTAGGGATTTTCTTTCCTTCCACCTTCGCGTCGTAGACACGATTGCATAGCACCGGGGCTTTATCAAAGCTACGCCTGGCAATTAACTCGCAAAACTTCACCACCTCCTGCCATTGTATGTATGTGTTTGCTGCGGATCACCCTTTCACATATTTCGCTGGCTTGTTCTATTCTTTGTTTAGTATGGGGGTGTGTCGGTCCCAACCTCCCTGGGCCGGATTGTCTGTACAAGCCGCAAGGCCCCGCCTAATAGGCCTTAGAATTTGAGTATCTGAATCATTTTACTTGACTACATACTCGAGCACTCATATTGAAAAGGCTAGTGAGTAGCTCGTATATCTGAATTTTGCCGTCTTCTTGAGATACCCGATTTGGACGAAATCGAATCAAGTTCCCCAGAAAGGCAGAATCAAGCACTTGATCTCAAAAATTTCTTCCCAAGAGGCGAGGACCGGGTTTCTGACAATTCTTTCTCCGTCGATTCCATAGATAGCTTTACCAAGACTCAATCTTGACAATTAATTAATCTTAGCGGCCTGCAATGTCGCCGCCGCCTCTAGCTAAACTCTCCTTCCACGGATCCAACAAATGAATATTATGTGTAGGGCGCATTGCCGACCGCAGTACTAGTCACCTCACAATCTCTTGAATAAACGTTTCAAGATATATTTCCAACGCAGAAAGGCTGGAAGCTGGCTGGTGTTTGTCATATCTGCAGGATGTCTGTGGGATCCTTTGACCAATCACCGTATGCAGGAAGTACAGATACTCCAATATTAATATTGCAATTCGACAACAAACCCCCCCCAATAACTTGCCAACTCTACAGCGCCTGCGAACTCCTACGAATATGTTGGTATGATGGAATATCATGACCATGGCGCCGCTATATTTTCGGTCTTTGTGGCTTGTCGTGACACTTCAAGAAGCTCTATAATAGGGGCTTCATATGACAGGACCTGTTTGTGCTGAAAATGTGGAACCAATCTGCAAGTCGTGGCAACCGTTGTCCCCACCAAACAAGGGTCCCTGATTTCGATATATTCGCACTTGGCGAAAAAAAAACACCAACCGACGTGGAGCAGAAACCATCCAGTTCGTTATGACTGATTGTTCTCCCTTTTTCATTATCTTGATGGGGAACTCGTCTGGTTTTGACGGGTTTGAACAATCTTCTAACCCTTCTGTTGGGAGGCCTTGAGCTCCAACCAAAACCAAGGATCTCCCCCTGATAACGAGGATATCCGAGCAACAGTTTCTCGGTACTCCTTGACGGAGATCTTGAGAGGCTCTTTTTGTCAAGAGATCTGGAGAGAGACATCTCACAAGGCGAAAGTGGCTCACATCTATAATACTTTTCGATATTATTAGATAGATAAGTCAACGTAGGGAACTAAACCGACCAAAGCCGAGAAGCGATTCGCGAATTCCGAATTCGACTCGTCTACCTGCATAAAGCCGCAGCGGTTTCTTGCATTGCACGCCACATTCTATTGATACCAACCTTTGCGAACAGATAGACGACTCTGTTTACATGTTTCTTTTCAAAATAAAAATGAAAAACAAAAAAATGGAAGGGAAAGGGAAGAAAGAAAGACCGAATTAGCGAAGCCGCAGTCATCGAAAACACACGATGTGAAACAATATTGCGAGAGGAATGTTCTCTTCGGTAAGCACAATGCAACGGAAAACCTTCAAATTTGGACTTTTAGTCTGGTGGCATTGACGAACAACAGCTTTTGTCAGAGTTTTGTCAGCAATCCAAACACTCAGGAAATTTATAATCTACCCGTTTTATAGCCTGAGCAAGTTTTCTTTTTTTAAATTTTTTCTTGAATTTTTTACTTTTCTACCTTTTTGTCTATCCTTCCTGGGATGAATTCCCATCATCCAGAATATTGGGCACAAAGCCTGGTAAACAGCGAGCGCCAACACATCGAGGCTAGTCGAAACGGCTCACACGAACTATCCGCGTGTCCCGTTTAAAACTACGAAGGAGGCGTGATTTATCTTGTTCGTTGCAACGGTGGAAATACGTGATGGGTGTGGGGAGCTTGATTTAGAGTGGATAATTCCTCATAAGTGGCTCTACCGAATCGAGTCGCATTCAGCCGGATGTCGTCTGATATGATTGGAATACCAGAGAACACACACGTTCGTTCTTCTAGGCATCCATATTTCCCATAACCCAAACCGGCCTGACCAGGGACTAGGGTTAGCAGCTTTTGGAATAATTGAACGTGCACGAGCCCTATAAGACTTAACGAGGATGGGTGTACGTGTGTTTTTCCTATACATACTTTTTTCTTCGATATTAAATTTGTTAATTTGACGCTTAAACGGAGCATTTGTTACAATTGAAGCACGGCTGTCCTTACAATGGCGTAGAGCCTGCTGTGAAACGGTCTTAATTATCATTTGTCCATTCGATCCCGACTGGCCGAAACACACTACCCCGTAGGGTGAACAAGGTTCTCAGGATTTCAACTTCCGGGCTCTTGCCTGTGCGCTAACTAGCTAGTAAATTGTTCCATGAATGGTTTGACGACTATTCTTCCCAAATTACTTTACTAGTATGTATGTAGGAAAGGGATATTTGAGGCAGATATCAAAATGCAAAAGAAACTAGGGGGAGGGGAACAGAGCCGTCTACCTGTACCCCACAGTTCTCGTACGATGTCCCAAGGTACTTTACTTGGTTTGGGGTTTGCGAGTCAGTATCAGGCTACTCGGCCACATTAGTGTCAAAAATCTCAAATTCATGGTCGAAAATAACATCGCGGGCGAAATTCGAAAGATTTCTGGCACTTATTCCTTTGGTCCACCTTGCGGGGCCCTTCTGCTTCCATCTATCATTATTCTTGGAAACGTTGTAGTTCTTTTGCGGCTTAGACTTGCACATACCATCCTCGTGAAATGTTTGCGTTGGTTCGGTCGCTAGAGGTGGGGAATATTTCTATTTTTACCAACTGGATGGTGGTGAGGAATCCCGGGTTCACCAACAAATACTTTAGAGGGCTTACAAATTCTGTGACCAGGATTGTACCTGCTCCGGGGAAATTCTCTCCCGGGGAGAAGCACGACCCGGGCCCCCAGGCGAGCAACCCTCAGTATCGATAGCTGATCTATCTGGATCCTGCTTGTCCATTTTTATTCCCAATCATGTCGTGACTGTGATATATATCTCTTGTGCTTTTGGTGGGCAAAGGAATTCATCCTGGGATTGGTACCAAAAGCCGGAAATACTCTACCCAAAACGGTAGCAAAGCCGTGGACACGGAATACCTTAATTATCGCTTGCTAGTGTATATTTCCTATCCCCAGTACAGCCAATAGAAATGAGCCTCATGGGCGGGATATGAAAGCCAAAATACGTATTGATACCAAAATCCTATCGGATAAACTTTTTTGGCTTGCGGGAAACACATGGGGCGCCAAGTTCACGAAACTAGGTTGACCTTTGGAGTTACAGAATGATGAAAACATGGTGTCAATGTGCGCCGGCTGTTGACAATTGGAAAAGAGCCGGGACACGAACATCCTTTGATTCTCAAATCTGGTTATCTGGTTGTGAGAAAACCGCCTATTCCTTATAATTGACGCTTGGCCATGCTCTATATGGAAAAAAATGTATTTCATATCCACTTTCCATCTAGTTAAAGATCCAAAAACCCGGATGGGTATTTAAGCAATTTCGGAGCCATCTGGCGCGAACTCCACGAGGAAAGCTGGGCCAAGAGATATCCTAAAGGTTAGATACTAGTATAAACCTTTTTTACTTTGGCTTATTAATCTGTATTGTATTTAGATTTATATTTCTTAGAATGGACCCAGGGAAAAGATGATCAAGGAAGGATATAACCATCGATCGTAAAAAGTATCCGTGAAAGCACCGAGATTGATTTCAAATCGGCCAAGCCTCCGTTAACGTTGATATATATAGTTATATATGAGATTCGGTATAATGTTGAACTTCCACAGCAGGGAAACCATTTTCCTATTGCAGAATTCTCGCGACATTTGCCGACGATCAAGTATATGGCCCCATATCATCAGTGCACCTCCGTGTAATAATGCCCAGAAGCCGCGAAATTACCTACAGGCAAAATGTTGCAAACTATCAAGGCAAAGCTCTCTTAAGTTCTTGGTTGATCAACTGTCCTATTCCTTGAACTCGAGGTATAAGATAAGGAACCCATGATTCGATCCTTAAAACTGTGTAACAAATATTCATAACGTTAACCCGTGGGGTTGTGATAGAATAGACGGAAGTTCTCCCGCTTAAAAGAGCCTGCAACATGCGAGTTTTGACAGAAAGGAACGTGACCAGCGAATTACGAGGCTCCGTTGAAACAGACCTACCCCCATAAAATTTAGTGAGCGATTACCAATCTGTTCTTCTGCCGTGTGGGTGTGATTACGAATACTTGGAATAGAACGGATTTAAAGTCTGGTATATCCACGGTTGTGTGCTGGTCTGCAAGGCAGCCAATCCAACGTCAAACCCTAGGATCGGGAAGTGCGCACAGATGTTCTCCGCACATACACTAGAAACCTGTTTGTTAGTCAACTAGCTATCCTTAAGACGAATCTAGTGAACGGTATACGTATATCCGCATAGTTAGCTCAATCTACGAGAAACTTCCGAAACCCACGAAACAGACGAAAGCTTGGCCCACTTGGCAGGACTGTTTCTTGAAGGTATCGTGGAACCGGAAGTCATGATGATCACCGAGGTTCCTGTGTTTCCCAAGACGTACCAAATGGGCACCTGATTGACCCTTTCTCAGCTAGTAGTGCCGGCAAATATAAACCGAAACTTGTGATACTATCGCAGAGTTTCATTTCCCTATCTTCGATCTTCTTGCACAAGCATTATATGTACACAGCTGTTTTCTTGAAACCTCTCCAAAAGACCTAGGCAGAATGGTGTGCGACTAGAAAATCCCTAATTAATAGTCAAAAAACTATAGCTCCTATCGACGTGATGATAGTAGACTATGTATACTAGTAACGTCATCTACGATGTAACGGTATTGTCGTACAAGGCTGAGGAACGAAAAAGAGCAAGGTTAGGTTGTTACCACAAACCTGGTCTAGAATGAAGAATATGTCGGCAGTTGGAATTATGTACTCCGATGTTCCCTAAAAAAGTTTGTTCACGCTATAGCTAGTATAGAAGAGAATGTCGAATCTACGAATACGGGAGGCTCAAGGGGAGGGTTAGTTAACGTCACGGCCTTGCAAAGCGAGCCAATGGGGATTGAGAAATTTGCGGAGGTGCCTTTCGGCAAAGCAGCCTTCCAAGAACGAACGAAGGGGAAAAAAATCAGGAGGCTCTTTCCACACGGGAAAGTCAAGTCCCCTGCCTAGCTTCCCAGAGCCTCATAATTCCTCGGCTGGGGCTGCCGGGACCGAGACAATTTTCTCAAGTCACGTGTGATACCTTTCCTTTCTTCTTTCTTGAGAGCTTTCCCATGCAATCTCGCTAGCGAGAAACTCCCCTTACTAAAGTGGGTCACTTGAAACAGGAAGAGGTCCCAGCGTCTGCAGCGAACCCAGTCTGTCCAGTCCATTTTAGGCAAGCCGGCCTTTTAAACCACGCAGGCAAGGGAGAATTAGTGTGCTGGAAAAGACGACAAGGGGGACACACGACATTTTTGTTTGAAAGCTTTCTGGATTGCCAGTCGGAATCATCGCTGCAGACCCTGATGAATTCACTCTTTCAAGAACTGCATACAGACCCTGTCTATCGGCTTCATTATTTAGAATATCTGACTCCTTAGTAAGGCCACGCCAACGTTCTAAATATGTGCTGACATACATGCCATACCATGCCTTGACCCGATTGCAAGCTCAAAGCCAGATCAAGATAAGAACATGATACCACGAATAGGTCATACTACATACATACCATAGCCCAGCTTACTGCTGGAAGCGGGTATATCCTTCGCAATTTACAAATATGGGAGAATACCTGCTCAAGCATGGCTATGCTCGATATTCGAAGCTCCTCCCAAGCAGTTTCAATTGATATATTTTGCGAGTCAGTGAATCTCTAGCTTTAACGGCTGGCAAGCGCAAGCCCTCTGTATGTAAAATAGATGCAGGGGCAGCAGCAATATACCAGGAAAGCACGGAGATAGATCTCGATACATACTTCTTCCTGCTCTTTGGCCTCGATGATCCACTCTTAAGCTCGGAGCGCCGTATTTTAGATTGAGCCTAGCGAATCGTCATTTCCGTGTATACGAGCTCTCAGGATCTGATCATGAAGATACCCGAAGCGCACAGGTGAGTAGGAGCATCGAAATTGAGAACAGGAAGAAAAGGTCGCACAAGGATCTAGAAGCTAAGAGATTCACAACATTTGACAGAAAAAAAGGTTACCGCAATACCAGTATCAACTGATAGGAAGCTATAGACCTTAATACTCGGTCTGATGTTTTCAATATATGCATATAACCAGGATTCTGGTATTCCTGTTGACAGTGCATTGAGAAAGGAAAAGACGCCTCAACCGTCGCACAACCGTTGTTAAGCGACTCCCGCAAAACCTCGCTCTTCTGCAAGGCAAGTAGGTGTGCTGGGCAGGTGTTTCACCCATTCGGTTCAGCCCTAGGAGAAAGGGAAGTCTCAGCCCTGGGAGCTGGGAATCCCCACAAACAACCCGAGGTCGCCGAGGCGGGAGTGTCATCATCACCGCTATTACCCAATGCCAATTTCTTGACGGCCATATGCATGGGGACTTCAACTTGTGGAAAATTCGAAATGTTCGAAATATTCTAGACTTTTTTCTTTCTGAGACGTCGACGTCACCATTGAGGCTTTCTAGCGGGGCCTTTGTGGAGAAACATGTAGTTTTCGTGATCATATTAACAAGACTGCGCGGCTGCGTGGGGTTTTTGGAAAATCTTGCTGTTACCGGAGTTAAGGGAGCGGGTTCGTTCGGATGGTATTAGCAAGCAGCACATTTGTTGCAGTTCGGTCGAACATTGGCACCGACAGCTGTTCTGCGGTGTGTAACCAGGACGGAGGCGGAGGGAAGTGTTGCCGAGCAACGAGGCCGCAGCATTCTCGAAGCATCCCCGGGCGAGGGAAGTCTTGTGTTGTCGGACAACACAAACTAGGGGGATCCCAGGGCCTTGGGGAAAGGGACAACACTTCGGGAGGGTCTATCACCGGGAACCTGACTCTCAACGGAACACATTTGCGAATGAGATAACCAGGTTTGATTGGTCTCCCTCAACATATGTAGTACGACTTGGTGCTGGTGATACTACGGTATGCTAGCTAGAGTATAGTAGGCCTGGGCATATGCAAATGTGCATATGAGCGACATACCAATGATTCACAGCAGTGCTACATACCTACCTAGGTACTCACTGCTACGTCCTGGCTTACAAGTCCTTACACATACGTCCTCAGCAGCCGAGCTACGTGCCCACCGATAAGGCGGCCAGATGCTAACGACTCAGTTCGTAATCGATCGTTTTCCTTGCTTTGTTGGTCAAAAGCCTAGGCTAGTTCATACGTATATACTAAGTGTATGCGACTAAATTGGGCAGGCGCCAGTCCCGTTCCCCAATATCAATGGGGCTCTCAACCCAAAACCCTAGCCCGAAAACTCTAGTTCAGCCCTGCTGGTAGGCTTCGCCTTCGCCGAAAAGCCAAGGTTAGCGGTATGATCTTCCCTCAGCGTATCAGGGAACTCAGTTTGACGATCAGTTGACGCAACGGCGTTTTTACAATATACCAGGGCTACTTGGGCGTATATTGTTCATCCTTTAACTTTCCTTTTTTTTTTTTTTTTTTTTTTTTTGATTCTGCAAATGCTCTGGTGCGGCAGGGTTCATAATGACTTATCTATTTTACATATATGTATGTACGGTACACATATGTCCTTACATAGTCACAGCGAGCTCACTAAGAGAGTTTGACGCATGTACATGGGTTTGATGGCATGGTTCCAAGATAAAGGAAATCACACAGGTATTTTTGTTCAATCATTGTGCGTGAAGCTCGCAATACAGGAACCCAAATTTACCATCCATACGTGTTTCATCGGCCGTAACACCCGCAAGGTCTGGATAGACGAGAGGACAATTTAGAGTCTAATGGACGTAGAATGAGCACCCAATACCACTGCATCGGAAAAATATCCACTGGGAAAGGCGAACAAAGCGCTGGCAGAACAAGAAATCTTCCAAAAAAAACAAAGCGCACCAACATTTCGTGGAGGATCTCAAGTCCCCTGCTGGGCTCTCTGCACAGTCGCCAGGGCCTAGTGATGAATACGAGGCCAAATTCGTGTTCGTTAGTTTTTTTTATGGGATTTCCTTTTTTATCTTAGCCCTATCGGAATTATCCCATTCGCGAAAAGTCAAACAGTTCAATAAATCTTGTAGTAATCTTGATCGATACTTATTCTTTTATTCTTTTATATTCTTTTATATTCTTTTTTCTCCCTGTGAATACTATTAGATTCTAGAGTTCTGGCATGCCATGGTGGAGAGATAAATTTCTATTTCTGATTTAAGTCGGTCGGCACTGGGCAGTCTAGTTGCAAATATTGCTTTAGCTTCTGACTACTTTGATGGGACCCCTGTCTAGCTGAAGAAAATGCACTGAGCGAATACCAAGGAACCAATCCTTTTGCCTACCGAGCCTCAGGAACATATCGAAAATTCCAAACAGTCGATTGAAAAGAAGCTAGCGATGCGTTTTCAAAAGTTAGTAGGGAAAATGAAAGGAACGATTAATAACAAAATAAAACAAAAAACAATGAGATAATAAGAAAATGAATGCGGATTGCAAGTTCATTTCAAAACCCGTACGACATCAAAGAACCCAGTCATTATACTGCAATCCTATGCCCGGCCGGAAATTGGAAAGGGACATATATGGCTTGTGGGAGACTGGCGACACATGATGTTGCATAACAGTGTTTACGGCTCACGAAAACGACGGGTAGGGATAGCACGGATGATGAGTTACTGTGAATATATTCTTTATTCCGGCGGTTGATTCTCAGTTCATCAAGGAGAAGAACCGTGAGAGTATTCCCATTGGTCGTCGACGGACTGCAGAAGCGGATCATCATAATGCGACCAGCAATATTTTGCTCCACCGTCAGCCCTATAATCGATACCACTGTCAGGATGGTACCCGTGATCGTTAGGCAGCCAATTGACATGGTTAAGATACACTGGACCCATAGAGGGGGCGAGAAGGGACATCCTTCTCAGGACTTAGCATCGCTGGAGGCTCTTCGATTTGCGATCCGCATATCAATATCGAGAGTTCTATTGGGGACGGATGAAGGGTTCGCATATAGTACCCCTAATTGATATCTTGATCGAAACCACTATCCCGGAAGGGACACAGCTCATTTCGAAGTCTTTTTGATTCATCCTGACAAGATGATACAGCCTTTTCTTCAGCTGCAAGCATGACCGTGTGACTAGGATGTGTGAATCTTCATTTTCCTATTTTCCCCTATTGAGCTGCCCAGAACATTGTAGATTAGTTTTCAAGCTGGTTGGGGTTCTTTTTTTTTTCCTCCAAGAAGGATAATGTCGTTGATGCCGCAAGAGAAGGCAGTTTTAACTTTTTTTATATGGCAGATTTGTTGTAATTCGCACTTGCCGTGGCCCACAAAACGGCAACGCCGAAATAGTTTCCCATGTATTAGGCTCACCGCTTGAGGGGATTGTTGAACCTCGATGCTGGCTGATCGATGAGATTAAAACTAGTTTACGAATATGATGAGTATAGAGTAGTTATAATCAGTTAGATCTCAGTTTTAATACTCGTTTACCTTAAACTTTCAATCCGTGAAAGGTCTCTCGAGATCTCATTTTAGCATTAATTTCAGCCGTCTACTTTTGTGTTGCTCGCCAGCTTTCCCGCCGAACCAACTTCGAAGCTCTCAGTAGCTTCTGAAGATCGAATTCCTTTTTTCTCTTTAAGGAAAAAAAGGCACATTAAACTCTTCTTCCCATAATGTCCAGATTCCTATATCTTATACGCTCGATATATTCATGGATGAGGCAACGTGACAAAGTCGGGCCAGATTTCTTGAACGCTGATACCTTCCTTAATTCATAGATGCAACACGCCGTGTGTTGCACAGATTAATGCCTATGGCGGTTTACTGCATTGCGGGTGCATTGATTCTTGACTAAATATCAAGGTTACCGGAGGGTAAAATACAACTGGTCCCCAGACATGTAATCCAAGGCTACAGGATACTAATAATCAGGATTTGGGTCGCAATCAGATCTTCTAGAGCTATCTGTAATCCCGCAAACCCATTGCTACCATACAATGCCGAATATGCAGATTGATACGGTCGCATACATCCAATGACACTGAGAAGGGCATATCATGCCATGGGATGAAATGGGTTCACGATAATGCAGGACACTACCGGTTATCTTAGTCGGCATCTGGGCTTTCAGTGGAATATGCCTACGTATCACGCAGAGAGTGCAAACCACTGTTACATTACCCATTTGGGGAAGTTGTGGGCCGGTCGGGATCGATCTGACAGTCAACCTCAAAGTTAATTGATCATGCCTAGGGGCTATTCATGAACTCAATGCCATTGTTGAAAGTCTACACCGAGCTGACCACGCGTCGATGGTGATAGATACCGGATCATGTGCATTTACTAGGCCAGCGCAGTGTCACCTCTCCTCCTGACGGCATATGCGTATGACTACTTAAGCACTGTCCCATGTTTTCCAGGGATTCAGGACTGTCGACAGCCCAATGCCGTTTCAAGATCTTACGCAAATACCGGAGCCAGTTCGCTAGCAAGGGATACATGGTTTCCCATGACCGAGAAAGCCCTAGGGCCGGATCTCGAAATATCTTCTACGGTCGGTCGACGGGCACACCAATGGCTCCCAGAGCCAATGCATGTATACCGTTTCATCATCACCAGATTGCAGATATTGCACGGGAAACAAGAGCATCAAAGCCCTGTACGACCCGCATTTATGGTACTGTTCCTGCGTCTTGCAGCGAAAGGAAGCCTTTCCTGTAACACCATCCATAATTTTCCTGCGGTTTCAAACCCTCGAGGCGATACAAAACTCCACAAATATAACCCTTGCATCGGCTTAGAATCCATATATCGACGCTCTTGTTTGAACCTTGTTGCATGTTTGGATAGAAACATCGGGTTGCATGTGGTATCCACAGGCATGCCTACGGGACTATTGTATGAAGATCGATATAGAAACTTTGCTTCCTAAAACGGCATTTCCTTCGGCGCAGCCAAGCCCAAATATCTTGTGACATGACTGCAGGATAAGGGTTCTCCTATGGTTACTAAAGGTATGTACCAGAAGTTAGAATCACAACGGTCGCGGGATTGCATGTTACTAATTTGGAGGGGCCGTATCTAGAGCTCGCCGGAAAAGTGTCGAAACGAGAAAGCGTCTACGTGCACAGCCCTCAATCCCAATCATATATACGTGCATGCAATGTAGTCGACCTCGGTGGGGAACCTAGCTCGCTGCGGGTAGTTGCGTTGTGGAGTCGACTTCCTATCGTCGTTAGAGCGAAGATAACTTCTGATGACTAAACAAAGCCCCATCGATTTCGAGTGTTCCCCTAGTCACAAAGTTCAATCACCCTTGTCAGCAAGCCTATATTATTTTCGTCTACGGACTAAATAAAATCTATTTTATTGACGGAAATCTCTAAAGTTAGCTTCGGGATACCGGCAAAAATGACATTCAGAATTCATGGATCCGAGCTAAACTATTAGCTAGGGTTGAATCTTCCTCCGGATTTGTAACGTTACTACAGTATTTCATACATAACTGCATGCTATATCGTGAGCACTAGCCAGCTCCCCGATGTCAGCATCATGGGCAATCACGGTTTCATATCTATCGGCGTAAAATGCCATATCGCCGGCGAGGAATCTTTTCAAAAGTTACAAGGGTCTGGAGCGGGTGTGTGCTTATGCAAACAGAAAGTTCAGCGAGTTTAGCATTGCGACTTCAATGCAGCGAGGAGGCTGGGCGACAGCGCGGCGAGCTTATCCACCTCGAAAACTTGGCGGAACTAGATTTCTGTTCTCGGTCAAAGTCTGAAGAGCTTCGGGAGAGTGGGCTCAGAGCTCTTCCCCTCCACAACCCCGCTTATGCAGAATACAGGTCTGCAGGTCACCATTTTTGTCGATGTGCTGGGCCACGTTGAATTTTGGCGAGAGAGGAAAGATCCAGCGAGCATCTCGGGAGCTGCCGCGCGCTGCGAGTAGATACGGATCTCGTCGCGAGGAAAGCTAGAGCCAGCATGCATATCCTCGAACAAGGCCGCTGTGCTGTGCTGTGCTGTGCTGTGGGTAAGAACGACGACCCGTGTTTCTATTGTGGGAAACATCACGTGGAAATCCTTGGCCAGTGTCTCCACACCATCTTCCAGGAAGCTCAGTCTAGTCGCAAAGTCTCCACTTTGTGAGATCTATAGACGCCCCAGCCGGTTGTATCTTTTTTTGGGATATCACAAAATGGTCTTTGCCAAAAAAAAAGGCTATGCAAAAACTCTTTCGGATTGCATTCAAACTTAGCTTTCCAAGGCCCTTGCTGAATGTATTCTGGACCCGCAACTTTAACTATCGACGGGTAGCTAGTAGCCAGTAGAGCACGTAAATGGACTGACCTCTTATTAGCAATCGCAGGTCAAAGTACTCTAGAAATATCTTGCAGGAGCAAAAGATAGCAACACAATCAGGTCGAACAATGCGTGTGCCGAAACTTGCTCTAGTCCCAGCAACCAGAATACATCGTGTTTCAAGAACATACGCATTGTTGACAGCCGAAAAGTATTTTTGACAGGTCTTCCGTGGGTATACCCTGTCCAAAGGTCTCATATGCCCATATCGGGTCATACACCTGATCGAATTTACCCTTACGTATACGATATCCAAATTAATATCAATCGAATCTCTGCGCGCGGTATGGAATATCAATTTATGCTAAAATCTTCGCCACGAAAGTAAACTCGAAACCTGGCGTATCAGTGTCCCAAAACGGCACAGTTTGTCCTTTTTGTAATATATAATCGGGATTGATAAAGATTCTCGAGGGCTGTGCTAGCTAGATTTAAGTTATCTACCCCAAATAGATAAAATCGTGCCGGGTCCGCTATGTATTGTTAGCAAACTGCCGAAGGATGTGGGATGAAGTTTTGTATTCACTGCTAATGCATAGACCAAACCACGATATTCCATGAAAGTATGACCAATTCAGGATATTCGTCCGAATGCATAGTTTTCTGCTGATGAAAACACAATGTCGGCGTGCAGAGCTTCGTTCAAATGGATATAGAAACTATGTCGAATCGTGCATAAATCTAAATTCGGGTTTAGACTCCTAAAAAACGACGAATACGAGTCTTTCGTTTTCCGTAGAAGCACAGCATGGGTTTCCGAGGACACCATCTACGGTACGAGCTGCACTGATAGCTAGCTTAGCCATCGGATAAACTCTGAAACTGCAGTTTGAAGTTTCCAAAAGCGGCCTGAAACGACGATGTAGGATGTATATCCATACATCTTAAAAAAAAAATTTAAAAAATGGAAGGGAATGCGTAAGAAAAAAGATAAAACCCGAAGGCTTAAACTCGGTTACAGTTCTATTGTCGTAGAATGCCTGTTTGCCTAACACCCCTTTGGAAACAACATGGACTTGCACAACAGCAGCATCGCATCTCAAAGACGTCCATCGGCGTCCTCTAGATGATCTCGCGCATGCGCGCCGTGCATGAGAGATGCATCTACATGAACGCCCCAGAGCTCCCTCTCTCTCTCGCCGGAAGATTGCGCCAGAAAATATCTCGAGCTCACCACTTCTCAAGAGATTTGATGGTGATACTACAGGTTCCCCGCTGCACCTGCAACCAATTCCACGAGACGTACTGTGCATATGGGCCACCTGGGATGGTCGTACAAGGATCGCTGCCTACCCTTCCTACCACATGGCCTCAAAGGCTTCTCATACAAAACTTTAAAAGTTCCTTTGAACAGCAACTTTTGCTTCAACATTTAGAAACCCCTGCATACCGCAGCCCTCCTCTCGCGAGAGTATTTCATATTATTTTTGTATATGTCAACAAAAAATTAAATTCTAGATTTGCGAATTGAAACTCCACACACACACACACGCACATATGCAAAAAAAGAGATCGGGGAGATTACACTTAGGGAAAGCGCCTGCCTGCCGCATCTACGGCAATAATTCCTTTGCCATGTTTGTGGAGTTAAAAGAGTGCTCCTGGGACCGGGTGCGAATTCGAATTCCGGGGGGTTGCTTGAGTACCTGGTACATGTTATAACCCCAGGCTGTCGATGTCGCCCCATCCTCGTGCCGGCGAGGATCGATATCATGATATTTATGCATCAGGGGAGTTGGGATTTTATTCCCCGAGAGACCCACAGAGACCATGTGACCCACTTATCTTGCAATATGACTCTTACTGGCAACGGGTGTGTAGCGGTTGAATATAACCCCGTCACCATCTCCTCCAACCTCCACGCAGGTATCACGACCGTAGTTTATGCTAACTACGTAGTATGCATGTTGTAAACAGAGTATGGGGAAGATGTGATTTTCGGAAGAAAAACCAATGGAGTGCTATATACAACCTACCTGCAACTGCCAGGGAGGTCGAAACATCAAATTCCGAAGTTTCTTCTTGGTCTAGGGTGTCGAAGAGGTACCTCATCCGGCCACAATTTGAACCCTTAAGGCCGTTGCACTGCACATTTGCCAAGCATTTGCATAGCATTTTGGGTATGCTGCGGATTGCGCGTGCATTGTTTTCAAGACTTGCCCCCCTTATCACTCTAAGGACAGCGGTATAGCTTTGTCGCTCGCAAAATAATATTATAATAAATAATAATAATAATATGTTCACATTAATATTAAACATTTAAAACCTGCAAATGCAAGTTAAACTGTAGGTCAGTAGCTTCAAATCCAGGCGCTGATGTGCTTTGGTGCGAACCGCGAACCCACGATGTTAGTGCATGCACTCAATTGCAATGCCTGCTCCAAAATAAAACGCATAAAACGTATCATATTGCGATTGTACGGAGTATATAATCAGGGTAGGCGGGGGCAGTTCGATCGCCCACTGCTGTTATACCAGTGCGAAAGGGTGCATAGCTATGCCTCCAATATAATCTGCGAAAAACGAAAGTTTGTATTACTCGAGACTGGAGTCTGTATACTACATTGGTACATCGTTCAATGCAATGCCCAACTTACCCCGCGCCTACGATTTTCTGGCTATATCCTTCTCTAGCTACTACCTCCAAAACACCGACTGAGTAGACATCCTGTCACAACCCCTCCCTGACCTGTCGAATGTGTATTTTGGAACCCGTGAAGAGCTTTTCCCACAAAAGCACACACTCGTTCTACGGCATGTCTACCCCGCCACCATTGATGATTAAACCAATTCCCACAATATATTACAAAAACGCCACCTTATCATGATTTTCGAAAACTAGGCCAGAACTCATTTCGGAGTTCGGTTTGAATACTTGGTAGTTAGTTTCCATTCAATATCTCTACTTCTTTCGTCAAAGCATATGTGTATATGTGTATTTCTATGCATCGCATTTGTGGCTATGGTTCTAAAACCCAAAGTCACGGACGAGGGTAGTCCCCAGCTACACCTGTCAGAAAAGGGCGGGGTTATTCGGAGCGAAAGGAAAAGGGCAACATGGATTAGGAGTTATTGTACCCGATACCAAGCTCACAAAGCACCATCATACATATCTTTCTCATGATGACCAAATTACCCTCATATATGCACCATATACGGGGATAACACATACGTAGCCAGCACCCATAGGACCGTTTCGATATCACATATCCTTGCAATGAAAGTATTCCTGTAGAGCCTCCGTAATATTAAACTTAACCCCAGAACATACATATGGCAACTTCCTTGCTTTGCCACCTGTAGAGTATGTTGTCTTTGCTATATGAGAGCAGAATAGGCGCCGGGAAAAATTAGATTTCATGAACTTTCAAACCGCCTAATGCATGTGCGGCTCAATAGAAAAAAAAGGACTTACACACACGCTTTGAACACTCGAACCCCTTTGAGATCCTTCTCCCATTTTAGCTGGTCAGGGGGCTGACTAACTCAAGCAATTGACATGTCAATTTAGAGGTGGAAAACAGGGTTTAGTGGGAATTGTTGACGAACGTTAAGAGTATATTATAGGTCACGGGTGTTCGCTCAGTGCGGTTATTCAACGGCTAGTTTGATGCATGGTTTATGAGCAAAGCCTACAAGCCCGAGCGGGCGGTCTGGGCAACTCGTTTTGGCCTTAAAACCCGATTCAAGTTTAAAATGTGAATCTCTCGAATAGAATAAATTCTTCAAAAAACTGGTATCGAAACATTCGGCAGATGGCAGCGCAGCCAGGTGGAATTAATTTGCCTTTCGGCGAGTAGTTGTCTTCCACCACCGACATCAAAAACAGCTGACCATATCGTGATACCACGATATTTCCAAATTTGCTCAAACCCATTCTTAGAAATTCCAAATATATTTTTGTCTTATTCTATTAATCGAAAAAAAAAAAAAAAAAAAAGGGAACGTTCCCACGAAGAGAATCGCGACCTCGGACGAATGCGAAAAAGCCTCCGTCAATGGCCCCACTGCAACAAAGAGGTATAGAATTGAAGGAACAGGGTAGTGAAGAGTGATTTCTTAATTAGAACCAGCGATTCTCTAGCCAACTAACAGCAAATATTCTAAGTGGTGGGGCTGCTGATGAGACAGAAGATACGAGGGCGATTTGCTCTGCGTAAGAAAAAAGAAATGTAACGGAATCACATAGAATCGAGAGGTGGCAATCCATTAGTATTCTTGCCTTTTGTTTTTCCAAAAACTATGTATGTGGGTGGTGTTGAATGTGGTCTCACTTGCTCCTTCTAGACCCAATACCAAGTAGTCCATTAATCAGTCCAGTTCAACAGATTGGAATGATTCTTTGCTTCCTCTATGACGGGCTGATTGAAGCCTTGCAGGATCGATGACCTCGCTACCTGAAACCTTTCGCACCGCTGGCCTTCGAATCGTTGGTATGATATTCCAAAACGACGAATCAGTTGGTTCAATTTCGGGCCGAAAGAATCGGACCAGCCTGCGCCATTGCCTTTCTATGAAGCCGGATAAACGGTGCCAAATGAGAGAAAAAGAGCAGATGAAAATGAGGACCCAGAAGAAAATGATCCAGGGGAGCCATAGGAGGAAGCGGGATCCCTGGTCGGTTCTCCTCTCTGCTGACGTACCCTTGGCTTTTGCAAACCGACCAAAGAGAGGAATATGGGTATTCGTGACGGTTTTTGTTTGGGTGACGATTTCTGTGACCGCGGGGACGGTAATCGTTACAGCGCCCCGAGCTGTAAGTAGTGCATTTGTAGAGCCAACGGCGTCGATGCGGATTGGGACTCGAGTTTCCCTAGCGAGAGGGTTCGAGCGACCCCATGTATTTGAATCTTTGAACCGGTAGGTATGCCATAGGCCAACTTGAGAAACCATGCCAATGGGCCCAATTTCTGCATAACTTTTGATAAGATCTGCCTCATTCCCCTCTGAGAAGGGTCGATTTACAGACCAATCTTCAGAAATAAATCGTGTATATGGCCCATCGGCTCCGCTGACGGTGGCATTGAACGGGAGAGTTCTCGCCACGCTATCGTAGGGGCCCCAACGTCCATTCCAAGTTGCGGTAGCGGAATTGTATACAGCTATTCCAAAGAAACTTCCTTGCAAAGTGACGTTTTTTTTAGGACTAGAGGACACGGGTAGAACTTCTGTTAAAATAGGGATGAATTTTGTTTTAGAGGCGACCTCTTCGATACGGCGACAGACCTCACTAAGTCTGCTAACCGCAACGTCAATTTCTCCACTGACCCAGTATTTGAATTCTGTCTCCGGACCATATGGGAAAGGGGAGACATTGACAACGTCATACATAGTAGATGTTGTCCAAGTTGCGATAGATGCTGTATGTGACCCAGTGATTGCTATCGTGTCCCACATAGGATTGTAGGATAGATATAAACTAGCGGATGCTGAAGCTGAGTCCGCTTTTGCCACTTGTTCGAAGTTCATCTCCAATTTTATCAGTTCTCCTCTGCTAAGGCCAGTCATACGAGTTGGTGTGGGATAAGCAGTACTAGTGTATTCGAGCCTACTAAAAAATTCTCCGCCGAGAGGACCACCTCTGTCCCCAAATTCGATTGATTCTGGATCTCCGGAAGATTCTGTGATTCTGCCGTCATCGTGATGGTAACTGTGGTGGTATTTCCGATGTTCCTCGGTAGCCAAAGGTGTGACAATAGTAGATGATACGACCGATATGACGGTGGGTAACTGCGCATTGACATTTGGAAGGGTGGCCGTTGAAATTTCGATTCGGAGGGTCATAGTGGCCATTGCTGGATCGGCTACTGCAACTTTAAGTTCGATAGCTCTATGGTCTTCTGTAGGAATAGAATCCATAGTTGGGAGATCCTCACTCGAACCGTAGTTTATGTTGCAGAGGAAATGTTTTTGATTTTTTATATAACCCATCTCGCACCGAGGCAGATGAGAGCGATGCTCAAATTGGTCAAGGTCTCGGAGAGCGCGAGTCCCTACTTGTGGGGTTATGTGTTAGTGGTTCTTTCTACAGAGGTACCTTTCCAAGTTACCGGAGCAAGAACATACCAATTCCGCCTCTTAGAAGGGATTGCGCCTCGAGGTAGTTGTTGTAAAACCTTTCACTCAAGGCTAGGCATTGAAGGCTATTTGGAGCGATGGATAGGATTACTGGTAGTAATGAGCCCTGGAAGGGCCATACTAGCCCCGCAAGAGTACGCATTTCGGATGTGTGTAGTCTTTTTAGTGTGGCAGGATATTATGAAAGCCGTAAGTCAACTATCTAGAACCGTGTGGCTGTTATCTTTTTAGCATATTAACAGGAGAGCCCATCTCGGCTGAGGTCCGAATACGATACCTCTATATTAGGTATTAGAATAATTTTGTCATGCATGTGCTGGAGAGGTACGTGGCGAGACGAATGATTGACCGTATACGCGTAATAGTATATATTCCGGAGTCAAGGATATGATATACGGGAGGGCGAGGGGATATTAGGAAGAGGAAGAAGATGAATGGAGATACACCTGAAAGTACTTAAGTCGACGTTCCGACGGGTTGGGAATATTCTTGAATTAAATGATATTATGGTTTTGCGATAGGCGATCCATCGAATAATGATGTGAAACCCCATATGAACATTGTCGTCAAAAATCAAAATTAAATTGATAATAAACCAAATAGAAGGAGGAGCGCAGTGGTATATCTATTTGGTTGACTTGCCTTGCTGAGGAATACCGATAGAAGGTGAAGTCTGTGTCTGTTTTTCTTCCACCCGTAGTTCCTTGAGGCTTTCTACCAAGCTCTGCTCGGACGCTCTATCAGTCTTAAGGATTGATTTTGTGTATGCTGAAGGCGATCTATGAAATATATAGGTATCTTTGGCATCTTCAACGCCGGTGGCCCGTTCTAAAGGTGTGATTAGTGCTCCGGAGTAGATCGAAGTGACTTCCGGAACAGAGAAAGCAGTAATAGACCTAACCTGGGCTGAGAAACGCCCGAACTGTTTCCCAAACATACTGTGCACGAGGAAATAAGTTATTGTTTCATACCCTATCATCGGGATTCGATGCTATACCTTCTGCACATGATGCTTATCCGTTTAATCTTCGACTTATCTAGTGGGTCGAGTGGGCCATCTTCCGGCTTCCTCTTGCCTCGATAGTAGGGATGAAAGGCACTCCACGGTATCCATATCACTATCGACATCGGAGCTTCTGTCTTCTCGCCTGGATCCGCTTCTTGAGGCAGCAGTAAGGCATGTGGCCTCCCGGAAAGGTCTACTAGAGGAATTGCCTCTCCGCAATTCGTCTCGCTGGGTACATCATTTGTCGCACCGAGAACTGAGAATGAAAACTCATAAGAGATTGTACTCTGATCTCTGCCATCTGGCCTCTTTGGCAGAATCGTATCCTTTAGTACAAGAGTGTAAATCCGGTCTGTTTCAGACAGTTTGCGTTTCAACTGTTAACAAAACTTCCGTAATTGCGGGGCTTCCGGGCAGAACACCAACCGTCTATCGCCCCGAGCCCAATGGCGACTCCATTTGCCTTGCTAAGGTCCCACGGCCCGCCTGCGGAACCTGTAGTACGCTGTGATGCAAACCCAGCACCTCCGAGGGCCGTGATATCAAGGTCACCGTGAAATATGGCGGTAGACTTGTCATCTGAGATTTTCAAGTAGGACTATAAACATGACACGCCCACGCCGTTTTCGTGAAAGATTAGATGACAAGCATTAGCCTTGCTCGAGCTTTGGCTCGGGACCATTAGATTGATTCCGCAGCATACCTGCGACCGCCCGCCTCTAACTCGGTCGTCGCTTGCTGTCCAGTGTTCCGATTCCCATTTTCTATCGTATGGAATGTTAACTTTTAATTACCCCCGAGACCGTAACATGTATAGGTATATGGATAGCTAACCGTTGACCTCCGAACAAGTCTGTTATTGTATTCTCCCGAAGAGTGGCATCAGTTTTACCACTATATATTATGTTTTTACTGCTGTCGTCGGAGCTAGGCATTGTCTAAAAGTATCTTCTGACCGGAGCTTAAGGCTTGAGGAAGTAACTCTCGCTGACAGGCCAGGCTAAATAAACCTAACATTGATTAGGCCCACCAACACGCTGGCCCAAGCCAAAAGCGCACCATAACCTGCGAATTAGTACAACGCAACATAGATTCCGGCAAAGTACGCAGACACATGCTCAAGGTAGAAGAAAAGTCTCATAGATCTGGAATAAACCTCGGTCTCAAGTATTTAGTTGTTTCTACGGAGTTAGACTGTTCGTAATTCTGAAGGATTTTGATCCCACAATGCCATATTATCTTGACAGTCTCGCACCGCTAGAAATGCAATTTCAAACAAGGGCGGGTTTCGCGAACTAGTTGACGAACCCCTGTTAATCTCATCGCCTCGCTACGTGATCGTGCGAGATTTCATATTACATTTGTACAGTGTCGGATCCAGATCTTGTTATAGTTCAGGGGCACAGTTGTTATCTCGTCCATCGAGTTCGTATGCATTATATAACAGGCACCATACGTGGATATCTACCCATCTTGAACATCCGACAGTCCGTATTCACAAGCCGCGAGGATGCAGTTTGAAACAAATGAGAAGTACTACCAGTCCTTCGACCTTGATTTCCGATGTTTAGACAAGGAGGAAGTTCTGAAGCAGGCTGACGGGAGGTTGTCGGATTTCCAATGCCGGAATATGGTGGTGGATTTTGGGCCGGACAACGCATATATCGGGTGGGATTTCGATGAGAGACAAGTTGGAGCAGTGAAGGAGTCTTGGAAGAACATTGAACAAGTAATGATAACACACAAGGGCATCGATTTTCCTCCAAGAGCGAATATGGAATGCTAACAATGGTTGCTAACCTTTAGTGTCCTAGTGCTCCAAATGCAAGATGGATGTATGATATCCAGGAGTCGGTCGTCGGGCCCGCGGGCGGTGTTAAATTTTCTGTGTGTAACCTTAAAACTAACTGGACGGGCTCTGAAGTGCTATATTCGATGCCTACGAACAGCGTGTGCTCGTAAACGTGAGTTTCATATTCCCGAATATTAATGTATATAGCGATATACACATGAAGACCATGGACTATGGTTGAAATATCTCGGCTTGGCTAATATAATTTGAATCGTAGGCCCTTCTCGCGAAGTATGGCATATCCGCTCGTACTAGGGCCAGCATGACTTCACCCCGTGGCAAAGGAAATCTTGAAATCGTCCGAAAGATGTGGCATTGGTCTTCCTTTGAGTATGATGAAAGATGTAAGACTATTGCCATGCTAAATTAATTCCTAGCCGATACGTAACATTACACTCAGTTAGATATTGATGATAGGTTATAATCGTTATACTAGTTCTCATACTGGGCATAAACTCTCTACACAATCTCGCACCATCAGAGGACGACGACAGACGTAGTAGGAGTCCTAAACTGGAAGAAGAGGTATTCAAAAAGCCCCTACCGTGGTACAACAGGATATTTAGAAAATCTCCACGCCCTATACCTAACCATAGCGACGAACTCCCGCTTACGACTGCACCCCAATCGATTAACCTCGATGCCCGACAAAGCTCTGTCCCCCGCCTTCCAATTACAGATTCTAAACGTCATCGAGTCTCCCAGTACGCCCAAAATAAATTCAACCGCCAAAGCCAGTCCAATAACTCCACCCAAAACCCTCGCGCAAATAAATCGTATAGTTTAGACCAAGCCGATGATATTTTCGACAACGCTGCAGACTTTGATGAAGATCACTACCATCCTCGCATGCTCAGATTGTGGATATGGTTAATAAAGTTAGATGATAATACAGTGATAACGCTCCATGAACCGTTCCCGCCATTTAGATCGGATGTTGCAACATATGACAAAGTCGCGAATACTACGGCGAAAGTCAGGAGGAATATTCGAATGGTGTTGAAGTGCCTGTCAGCTGCAGGAGTACCAAAGAATATAGACGGTTCAGATGCTTATAATCCAGAGTTAGCTATGGAGACGGGGGCGTTAATTGTACGACAGATGGTATGATGCTACACTTGCGATTAATACCCCCTGTAGGTTCAAGGCAAATATGCTAAACAATCTTTAGCCCGAACAATCCTGTGACTTATTATTCTACTACCTATTCGACGATTGGTACTCAACATGGGGACTGACTGTCGACAGGGCACACCCTTATACCAAAAAACTGAGCCAAATGGTATAGACATTTCGCCAACCGGTTGGAACAGTAGCAGCTAATTCTATGGCCTGTTTAGAAAAATGAAAACCCTCAGCTCTACCACATCGATGAACTCCACGATATCGTGCGACGTTTAGCAACCCTAAAAAGAGTCTATCAAAGCTACGAACTGGTTCTAAATCGTTTACTAGAAGAAAATAAGCACTTACCTAGCGCACCAGAAAAGAAGTTTGGTCCTCTAGCATTAACCCGGTTTGCGAGGTTGAAGCATAGAATTACGTATCTCGCTATCGGAGAAATTACCGAATGTGAGAAGGAAGCGGAAGGCTTGATATCTTTAGTGTGTTTAATCCCATTTCCGTCTTTTGTTCCCCGGGTATTTTACAATACTGACAAATTAGACCTTTAACCGTCTAAACTTCCGTGAAGTCCAAGCTGTCGAAAAATTATCCCTTCTATCTATCACACTCGTCAAATTCACTATAGTTTTTCTTCCATTATCTCTTATAATGGCCTATTTTAGCATGGATGTTGAAGGTATCACGGGTCGCTATACGGCAGCACACTTTTGGGGGGCTGCAGGGGTGGCCGTGTTCTTGACCTCGGCCTTTTTGTTGTGTGTCGGGAAGTTAAATAAGATAATGTTAGGAACTAAGAAAGCTAGGAGGAATATGAAAAGGGCAATTGATTGAAATGGCTGGTAGATATCTATGAATGCGGAAGATAGGGTATTAGGTCTCATTATGTTGCATGGATGCATCTATAGTTGAATTGCGCCGGAATGCCGGAATTTTGTAAATAGTCTGAAATATAAAGGCGTATTGTATCTATTTATTAGTTTACTTGTTTTTGATGTGGAAAATAAAGATGCAGGGCGCTTATGAGGGTGGCGTGTTTTTTTCCTATCACATGGCCCAGAGGTCTCGATAAATTGATACGGTTGTACAATTGAAGAATCTCGAAACACTTCGAACTCGGGACTAGGACTTTATAGAGCAGGGAAACGTACACCAGCAAGATTGTGATGTGAAGAGCATAGTAGTGAGATTCGATCGGGTCCTAGGATCCTTTAATTAATTGACTATGGCTCGGGCATAATTTTCAACGCGGGCCGGTTCCGCCAGAACTCACAGGTCTCGTTATTCCACTAAGAACTTGACCAGCACCCGTACAGTTACTCAGGAATCTACCGAAAATAAATCTATGCTATCGGGTCAGCAGTAGAGAGTTCTTGTCGAAATTGTGTCAGCGGTTGGTGAGTTTCTCCTCCTTAGGTGAGCGGCTATATGGAACTGTACTGAAGAGAACTATGGTTCACGGATATACGATAATTTATTGACTATATTTAGATATAAAGGGCAGAGATTGTGGTTGAAATGTTTTGTTTCTTTGCTGGTACCATGGTTGAAACATCTGTTCATCTCATATGAATGATGCATGATGATAAAGAGCCTGAACACTCTGCTAAGTCGATCGATAATCCCAAATCTGTTGCGATATATGACCGTAGTGATAGAATAGGTGATACGGAATGATTCCAATGCTCTTGAAATAACGGAGTCAAGGCATTACTGGCATTGATGAAAAATATATTTCGCCTTCTACCCCTACGTGATATGCAAATACTAAATCGAAACCGATTCGGAATCCCAATTTCTTGAGGGGAAAGCTTCTGCGCCTGGTCTCGAGGCTAAAAGTTTTCAAGACTAAGAAAAGAAAATATGCATGTGTAAAAAAGGATGGCCTATCAAATTCTTGTCGAACAATCTCAGCTGTCTTCGGCTTAAATCATACTAGAACCCCACGCCTCTTGTATAGCAATCATCCAATCAGTGATTTTTCCTCGAAAATCAGAATCATGTCAGCTCAATACTTTCCGAATGACGCGGGATGGCCTTTAGACAGCGTAGCCTGAGCGTAGTTGAATTTGGCGTTCGTTTACAAATAAAATACATAGTCCGCCCCCACTATCAGCAGCGTGCCGAAGCGTTTTAATACATGTATATAAGACTACCGCACCATGCGCAAGAATTAACTCCGGAGGCGTTGATGCCTGACACATCAATATATCTCGTGGGTGCTTAGACGGCAGGGCAGGTATTATGATTTTAAAGCACGGTAGATATTGTGATTGCTATGACATAACGTCCTCGGCTCTATGCAGTGTTGGCCTTGGTTCTGGCGGGATTGTGGCGAGTCATAGACCATATTCCCGCAAGGAAGAAGTATAATAGGATAGTAAAGGTGTGCATTGGGCCCATTATGAGCGGCGGAGATGCTGGGCATGAGCAAAAGGAAGGTGATAGTTAAGTAGCTGCTATGCAGGGTTGAGATTTTCGCATCGAGGCCTAGAAAGATTTGGGGGCCGATCGAAGTGGTGGAGGAGGAGTAAAATCCTATATTCAACGGTGAATCGATGCTAGGAATAAGAAACAGGGCCGGAAAACCTGCTATTTAAGACTTGTAGTAGGATTTCGGGGTTTCCGATTAAATTTGGTGGTGGAGGCCGGTATCTTGGTTACAAGTTTGGTTTAAAATTGCCACGATATGGTTGAAATCGATTTAAAGAGCTTCTCCCTCCTGCTCCTTTTATGCATTTAAAATTTCAGCTATGAGGTTCAGCATATACACCTAGCTATGGTTAGACACCTTGCCCCGGGGCCCTAAGTTTCTTGGTATGTTCGTATATACATACGTAGTCTGCTGAGTCGGGGACTTCTTTGAAATTAAAAATTTAAAAGCAAATTTGCAATATTTGTGTTCTACATTAACTGCACAAGAGCATTCTATAAGCGCAAGATTGAGTGGAGCCCGAGCCACAGGCATCGATTTATCGCAATCGAAGTTGGAGAGGGATCAAAGCTGCAGACCATGTAAGCCTTTTTTTTAGCCCCCTCGGGACTTAATATTCTGCCAAAACCTGCTGTAGACCCCAGGCAAAAGATTTTCGGCTTGTACCGGGGAGCCTAAGATGGGAATGGATGTGGAAACGGGATTTTACTAGTTTTGCAAGGGCAAAGCCAGTCACGTCAGCTATACGTTCTAACTATCTCTTTATTTCTTTCTTCCCCTTGAAGTTATGCAACAGCGGATGCATGTTTAAGATCAAATTTAATCTAGGCTTCGGGTCAGACAGTATAATAGGTGTCAGCCAGGAGCTGCAGCAGGAGGATCCATATGCCATGTGTGCTTATGCATGCACAGATGCTTATTGGGTCTGGAGACTGGAATCGTGTGTATAGTTTGACGATATTGAGATGTGACTAAGTCTATACAGCAGGCGCAACAAGGGACGTGCCGCGGATGAGTGTTTAATATTTGGGTTCCTAGCTCAATATAAACCGAAATAGGCCTAATTGGTAATCGCCGTGATTGCAGATATGGAGACGGAATCGATACGAGCACAGCTTAATCATATTGATTCGATTTGATGTGTTGGAGTGACAGTTTTGTATCTTGGGCGATCTCTGAAATATTCGAAATATTCGAAATTAGGTTCGAGACGAATATCTTTTCGATCCACTCGACAAGTATGTAACAGACCACACTCCAATGGTGTCGTATATTATTCTGCCAGTGTTGCACATGCAGACCAGCCTACTGCATTATCTATGCCAATTGCACCGACCCCTTTAGGCGCCGTTCGAGGCAATGCAATCGACTAATTATCCTTGAATTAAGGAACCCCAATCAAAAAAGCCCAAGGACTTCAATGGCTTTCGATGCGTGAAGTTGCAGCTGCAGGTGTGGTGGAGGTAGCAGTTCGGATTGTCTCAGCTTCCGAACTGCTGCGCTGGATTCCCAAGATCTCATGTTTTACATAATAGCACCCCCGAGCTGCCCCGCAAGCTTCCTTGGCCGAATGAAATTGCATCGAGAAAAAGTGCTCAGGACCGATGTAACGGAATAACGACACTAATAGGCTTGGCCTTGGGAGGTATCAGACCACTTCCTTGATTTGATCGCCAAAGCAGACCCAGGACCACTTGACCGACTTCACCTGCACAAATTAAACTGACTTCACCTGGCCTAAAATGTAGAACGCCACCTGTGGGCCTTTGGAAACATCATGATGGCCTGAACGATCGATCTCTATAGGTCATATTCAGGGATACGGCAAATTTAACCAACAGCAGCCATTTCCTGAAAACTCTCTATTTTCACCTTCTAATTCCACCCGAGTCGCATGGGCCCGATCTACTCTGCAATGCGCATTCCTCCATCTTTGCTGGCCAAAAAAAAAAAAAATTTGGGTGGCAAAAAGGTTAGCACTTCGGAACTCGCAAGCCCTCGAATTTTTCATTCCACCGATTTTGGGCGGTGCGGCAGAAAATGATTGGGTCAGCTAAGCAGTTCGGAACCTTGTGAGGCCCCACATTCTAGCATTTCGGAACTCAAAAGAGATAACGAAAAAAACAGGAGCTCCTTGATCCACCTTAAATCTCGCACTTCGGCCCATCATTTATTCCACTTTCACACCACCAAAAAGACTTCTTCGATTATCTTTCGTAAAGGGCAAGTTGATGTTACGTAACGACATTAGGTCTAAAGGTTTAAAGAGAACCCTTCTAGATTAAAAAAAAAAAGAGTTCAGGGAAAATTTGAATATCCTGATGCTCGCATGATCGATCATATAACTACATTGCGGTTGTAAAGACTTTGAGACCGCTAAATATTGAAGATCGCAGTTTTAAACCAGGCATCGTTTCCGCCAAGAGCCTCATCCACATCCGGAACTTGCAATTCCATCCCACGTTCCTGGCTAGCGTCGATCTAATGTTACGTGCTTTCCTGTATAGACGCCGATAAGGAGACGGCTGAAGGGGCCTCGCTTGGCGTCTGTAGGTATTTGTAATAACTCAAGAGAACTCTTGGTCAGAAGTTTCCCACCGACCGCCATTTGGAGCATGACGTTGACAGCGCTGGCAACGGCGGGAAATTTTCTACACTTTTGTTGCTGGCTTACAGGGATGGCTAATTGATTGCAAAGGACTGACGAATGAAAAAAAACTTTGGTCTTGAGCAAATAGATATTATTATCCGAGCTGAGCGAACTATTTTACATGCACCAAATTAATAATTACATTGCAGCACTTCGGAGCCACCAAAGCCTAGATGATCGGCTGCCTACAATGCCAACGCCAACCCAATAATGGCCGCAAGCGGAGCAATAACCACAACAGTTGCGCGAGCCACACCTGCACCACCGGCTGGGGAACTAGTCAATGCAGGAGGAGTCGAGTTTGTAGGCGTGCTAGTTGTTGTGCTTGCAATAGTCGTTCGTGGACCATCGCAGTGCCTGTTACATTTTGGTTAATGACGGAAATTCTCTATCGAATGTAGGGTTGAACTTACCAGTGGTCGCCATGTGCCTCGCAGCCAACGGATTCAGCAGGGCTTGGAGCAAGAGTGCCAGACCCTGTACCATGGCTAGCGCTGGTGGTGGTGGTAGTTGCTTCTCGTGGGCCCGCGCAGTGCCTGGGACGCATTGTTCAGAACACGTTGAGGAAAACATCAATTCACATGCATGATAGGAATATTGAAACTTACCAGTGATCTCCATGGGCTTCGCAGCCTACAGATCCAGTCGGACTTGGGGCCAAAGTGCCTTCACCTTCTTCATGGTCATGACTTGTGGTCTTTGCCGCCGTAGTAGTCACGGCGACAGGCCCTTCGCAGTGCCTATGGAAATTATTAGAAATGGGGCAACATAAATCGCGGTGATTTGACATACCAGTGGTCTCCGTGCGCTTCGCAGCCAACAGATTCTGTCGGACTAGGGGCTAAGGTCCCGGTATGATCGTGGTCATCATCATCGTCATCTGTATGGTGATCATGGTCGTCCGTAGTTACAGTTGCGACTGGCGTTGAAGTTGGTGGAGCGGTGGTAATGGCTCTATCTACACGGGGCCCGGTACAATGCCTAAGGTATCGACGTCGGTTTGCGCCTTTGATCGACGATGACTTTGAGGAACTACAATCACAAATGAACTTACCAGTGGTCGCCATGTGGCTCGCAACCTATCAGAATATATTAAAATCTTCTAAAGGATCAATAAGGTGGAATAGATAAAGGGTTTACCTGAACTCTCGGTTGGAGAAGGAGCTGGAGCATGGCCATCGTGGTCATCAGTTGTCGTTTGCGCAAATCCAGCTGGAAGGACTGCTAACAAGAGCAATAAGCTAGATCCGAGAAGCTTCATATTGGGGAATGAATGAGAGCGTGCAAACTTCAACAAAAAAAAAAAAAATTATTATTTTGGGAGGAGGACAAGCGAAAGTTGCGAAGTGCGACGGGACACGAAAATCTAGGTGGAATGTCGGTATTGCCAACGGAAATCAGCAGGTACCCGGCTTTTATGTCTATGGGAGTTACTAGTTACTAAGTGAACTATCCCGTTTGCTATACGGCCCAGCTAGCCATGTATGAGGCGCCTGAAAAGAATGACGATACTAAAGCATGATATCCACCAGACTATTACCTCGTCTCGATCGATTCTTGGGTCGTATGCCAAGTCAAAATGCCACAAAGCCGTCGATGCATATCTTCGACCTGGCTCGGTTGGATTTAAATCTACCAATTCCCTGCAACCAGATGCAGGTGGAATGGTGGCACGACATCAATCTCGGGGAGTTGGATAAAAGAAACTTGCTCATGTCCTATCCACACACACCGCAACTTAAACGACAGCGCATGATCATATGGCTATGAAGGGAGTTGTAGTGTGTGGTTTGCAAGATGCAATAGAATTCGCTAGCGGCTGAGTGGGATCTTGGCGCGGCCAGGAAGGTTCGACATTGAAAAGAGTTCAGCCGGCCTCCAGAAGCCGCCTTGGCTGCGTCAAGATATGGGTAAGCAACTACCATAACCATATTGCAACATGATTTCTGCTCACATGAATTAGCATTCCATCTGCGGACAGACTCTAGTCCGATTGCACCCCAACCTGACATGTAATGTGAACTGCGGTTTTGTGGAGTGGGTGCTCGTGAGCGAGTATTTTTTTTTTTCACTTCCACCTGCCCGCAAGGTTTCAGCGAATGGCTGGATTGTTTGTCCCCACGCAAGCCCGAACCAGATAACGTTTCCCTCGACTGCACAATCTCGGACGGGACTCTGTCTCAAAACCAGTTCAAGGAACACGCTCCCACTCGGGTTCCCAAATGGGGAATGGCGGGTGGTCCCTGTCGCTGCTGGGCTTGGCCTGTGCCTGGCGCTGCGACCATGTTATGCACGCTAATGAAGTCCAGTCCATTAAAAATCCTTTATATCTGCCCCGTCCAATCTATCAAATCGTCCTGGGAGAAGCTGCTTGATTTCCTTCGCTTCGAGCCGTCGGGGCGTCATTTCTTACCTTTCCCACTGGACTGTCTAGCTTACAGCGCATTTATCCCCTTGCTTGGTAGCCGGAGCTTGCCTTTGCCTACTTGCCTATCCTACTTTTCCATTGGCCTTGTCGTCCGGCTCTTCTCTCTCATAGAGCCAGCAGCTTCGCCCTCGAAGCCGTCGTACTTCTTGGCCGCACCTCTTTTCAGCTTTGGTCGAGTTTCCATCGTTCTAATTATTTCTCTGTCCCATCTCTCCGTAATCTTAAGGATCGGATCAATAAAACTCGTGTTTCCCTGAGAAATTTATTATCTTTTCAATTTATACGCGGCATTATGAAAAAATCAGTTCTCTTTGTCTCGTTTGCGGCATTGTCGCTTGCGCATTCCGCTGGTGTCAAACGTCAGAATACGGCGCAGGCGACCTCGAGCGCGGCGGATCATGATCACGATGACCACGACGACATAACAGCCGTGACTGCTTGCCATCTTCACGGCGCGACGCAGTAAGTATACTTTCTATGTCTAAACTCTGTTGATGAAGTATTTGCTTCGAAAAAACAATTCAATTTGCTGAACTCTGATTTTACCACACAACACAGGTATTGTATGCACGAGGCGACGGAGTTTATGATATTGGCTTCCGCGACAGCGACTGAAGATTTACCGTCGTCTTATACAGACTGCCATGCCCACGCGACACAGACGTAGGTTAAATACGACACCCTCTGTAAAATGTCGATCCAATTAACTTTAATACTAACATATTGAATTCAGGTGGTGCGTTGCACCAAATGGGGACGAAGTCCAGATCGCGGCTGAAGCGCAAACTACGCCGGCTCCAACTGGTGCAGACGACCATGAGGATGACCATGATCATGATCATACGGCTGGCACTACTACCTCTACAACTATCCCTCTATCCATTACGAAGTGTCATACTCATTCCACTGAGATGTAAGCCATGATAGCCCATTCTCGATTGCAGGGGTAATAACGTTGACGTGTTAATTTTGCGGCAGATTTTGTATGGCTGGCGAGACAGAGTATCTTGTGAAGGCGACATTGACAGCTTCGGAATTCCCTCCGGAATACACTGGTTGTCACTCACACGGATCGGCAATGTAAATTGATTCCAATAAGCCTAAAACTTTCGAATTCGTGTGCAACTAAAACTAACGGGATATGCGTAGGTATTGTGCTGATCCGAGTGGGGACGATGTTCTGGTACAACTTGCTGGTGCGGAAGAGGAACCGAGCGGAGAAGGGGAAGGTGAACCCCAATTACACTGTCATTTTCACGCTGGTGTTGAGTATGTTGTTCTAGAGTGTTACACGGCTACGGGATGCGAAATACAGAGTAGAGGTGCTGACTGTGAATAACCAGGCATTGTGTCGGCGCTGAAGGAGAGAAATCCAGTGCAGCAAGGGTTTGCACTAGGACGGACCGAGAATATAATATTAAGCTGAGGGTTGGTTTATTGTTCGTTATTTTGGTAACAAGCGCCCTCGGTGAGTCCTAGGTCTATCTTTTGTTTGATTTTGGAGGCATTGTTAACAGAATCTAGGTGTCTTTGGACCGATCTTACTGTCATTGGTTTTAAACTCAAAAGCATACTCTGTGCTTCTCATTTTTAAACAATTTGGTACAGGTGTTATTATCTCGACTGCATTCGTCCACCTCTTTACTCATGCCAACCTCATGTTCACGAACGAATGTCTCGAGGGTGTTGAATACGAGGCTACAACAGCTGCGATTCTTATGGCTGGTCTCTTTCTTTCCTTCCTTGTGGAGTATCTTGGACAAAGAATTGTGCATGCCCGACACGCCAAATTGATTGAGGCGAACCGCGAAAACATGTCTTCTAATCTAATGGCGGAGATGAAGGTTCAGAACGAGATTGTTAGCGTATTGGTGTTGGAAGCAGGAATTATATTCCATTCTCTTCTTATTGGGCTTACCCTCGTTGTCGCTGGCGATAGCTACTTCCTCACCCTCTTTGCTGTCATCCTCTTCCACCAAATGTTCGAGGGTATTGCTCTGGGAACTAGAATCGCAGCTCTTGGGACCGCTTCTCCAAACCGGGTACCACACGGTCATCTACACAGCCACAGCCACAGTCATGACATCAACCGTATCTCTCATAGCGAAGAACCCCGTCCCTCCGAACCGAAAACAACAGCCAGCTCTCCAGAAGCTGTTGAGGTTATGAAACCGGTTGGCGTGTCTCTTGGCAGAAAGTTGGCTTTTGCATCTGCATTCGCATTAGTTACGCCTATCGGTATGGCAATCGGTATCGGTGTGTTGGATAGGTTTAACGGAAATGATCCGTCGACTATTATCGCTATTGGAACGCTGGATGCCCTCAGTGCCGGTATCTTGGTTTGGGTCGGTGTTGTGGAGATGTGGGCTGAGGACTGGATGTTTGGTGGTGAGATGACTTATGCTGGATTCTTTACCACGATTTTGGGAGGGCTTGGGCTAGTTTTGGGGATGGGTATTATGAGCTTCTTGGGTAAATGGGCTTAATCTCTATACTCTACTGAGATCTAGACTCAGAGTATAGGTATACATGGCAGGCCAAAACTGATTCAACTTATATATATTTAATATTATTTATAATCAAGAACCAGCGCTAGAGGCCAAGGTGGGAATCCAATTTTCTGCATTATATTAGTACATATATTGTTATGCTGTCTCTTAGATGAGGAACTATGCGTATACAATTTTGTTAAATATCTTTTTAGCAACCTAACTAAATTCTTGTTATATGAAGTTTGAATATGATATATGTCTCTTGATGATATTTTTGTCTTTCCGCGGTAGCCTCCTTCACTGGGTTCTATAAATTTACATCGTTGTTTTTATCCGTCGAAGTGCATATCTGTGGGTCGTTTATGAAATTAATAGTGCGTCATTTTCTACTTAATCTAGGAGAGAGTAAGGATACCCATTTTATGGATTTTTCTTTTATTTTATTCTATATTTTATATATTTCTTTCCAATCTTCGTCATCGGCGCGTACAGTTTTATACTACTTAACTATGTCGGTGGTCTCGAGGCTGTACAGTGAACCTGATGAATAAAAGGGCGAGCAAAAGTGCGTTGCTAGTGTTGGAAGAGTGGTGTGTTGGACACGTGACCATTTTGGAGGCTGGAATGTTTGGTTTCTTCTTTCTGCTGGCTGTTATTCTGTTTCTGTTATCGATTGCTTGCTTTGCTTTGCTTTGGTCGTCTTCGCACCTCCATTTTTATATTTCACCTTTATTCCACGCTCCAGCCACAGATAGCTACTTGCCTAGCTCTCAGACCCACTTCTTCCTCGAGTCTCCCACAACCTCCCCTCCTCCTCCTCCTCTCAACTTTCTCCCGATCTCGAAACCGCTCTCTTCATCATCATCGCCGGCAACTTCCCCTGCCCTCTGCCGCACGGTTCCTGTTTTCCCGTCGCCCGACTCTAGCATTCCTCGCATCCGATTCCATAACACGTCACCATCATTGACCATATATTTTCAGCGGTTGTGGCTTCGACAGCCGGCAGACGGAGTATCAGTGGAGCTAGCAAAACAGCAGGTATGGTACCTCTGACATGGGTCCTTGCGTGATGTGGGGAACCTTGGAGCTTGAAAGAAGAACATATCGGGTTGTTCCATGTGGCACCCATCACCCATCCTTCTGCTCTGGATCCTTCACAAAATAGCCACACTTTGCAAGCTCCAGGACTCTTCTAAAGCTCCTGTCTGATCTTACATATCTTCTTACATCTAGACTCCACTCATACTGGTACTGCATCAGCAGCCAAGATGACAGACCACCCTGTTTTCTCAAACGACCCTACCCATAACGACGTCTACGAAGAGGAGGACGAAGAAGAGGAACTCTCAGAAGCTGAAGAAGAAGAGGACGTTGAAGGCGAAGAAGAAGAGGAAGAAGATGAGGAAGAATCTCTCGTTTCCGAGTCTTGGATATCCAACTTTTGCTCTGTCATTGGTCACGAGTACTTTGCCGAAGTAACCGAGGAGTTTATCGAGGATGACTTCAACCTCACCGGCCTTTCTGCCATCGTTCCGATGTATAAGGAGGCGCTAGAAATGATCTTAGACGTTGAGCCTGATGATTCATCCGATGAAGCGTCAGAGGTTGACTTAGAAAGCGATGCATACAATAACGGTGCCGCCGCCCGGAAGAAGGCTGCAAGGATGGGTGCTGGTACAGCCGGCAATATCGCACTGATTGAAAGCTCGGCAGAAATATTGTACGGTCTCGTTCACCAGAGATATATTCTCTCTCGCCCGGGGATGCAACAAATGTACGAAAAGTATCTCGCCGCCCATTTCGGTCATTGTCCCAGATTTTTCTGCAACAACGCCCGCGTCCTCCCTTGTGGTTCCAACGATACCCCGAATATCGACACCGTGAAGCTCTTTTGTCCATGCTGCTTGGACGTTTACACGCCACCCAATTCAAGATTCCAACAAGTAGATGGCGCTTTCTTCGGTACCAGCTTTGCTAGCCTGTTCCTTATGACATTCACAGATATCGATTATAGTGCTCCGAGTCACAAGACACCTGCACAAATCCCGCCGGTGGCTAGGAAACCTGGCGCACTTGTCTCCGCGTCGACATTGAACTCCGGTGCATCTGGATCCGCTTCATCCTTGCCGCCACAGCCTGCTAATCTAAACGGATTCGCTGCACAAAATATCGCGCCAGGGTTGGGAGTACACAGGCAATATGAGATGAAAATCTACGGGTTTAAAGTTAGCGAGAGGAGTAAAAGTGGGCCCAGGATGAAATGGTTGAGGATCAGACCCGAAGATATGAACTTGTTGGATGAAATGACACGTGCCGAGATGAGAAGGACAGGAAGGTTAAGAAAGAAGAAGAAGAAGCCAGTAAGGGATGAGGACGGGATGGACATGTCTCCAGGGCCACAAGAATCGTTAGAGCAAAGAAGGACGATTAAGAAGCCAGTAAGGAGGATAAGTAAAGCTTGACGGGCCTAGCCAACCTCGACTAGGTAACCAGCTAGCTTTTGCAGCCTTTAGGCTTTCAATCTCCATTTGTTCGATATAGACCAACCAGCCAACCAGCCAACTCTTTTCATACATCACCTCTTCTCCGCCTCTTTTCCTGTACATTCCCGTGTTCCCTCCTCTTTAGGGCGTCTGCTCGGTTTTTCTACTGGATAGATATCTTAGCCTTACAGCTTGTTCTCGGGCCAAAAGTATCTGGTCCTTCTTGGTGTGGCTCCTGTGAACTTTACGGTTTGTATACTTCCTTTGTTAGAAATACTGCTATTTTGTCTCCCTTTCCTTTTCTATCTTATCCAATGTATCTATTTCCCTCTTGTGTTACTGCGCAGCATGGGTCGTGTTTCTAGCTTTTATTTCTAATTTTATGATACACTATCACAATGAGGAGGCAAAAGCCGGTCGCAATGGGTGGAATTTTCTTGATGTTTCGAACTGTAGCGAATACTTTGTAGGGAACGAATCCATTTTTGACAAAAGTAGAAAGCGGTCGATATAATTATAATGTCTTGCAGTGGGAACTTGCTAGTGCTTAACATCGATTCGCAATCGATCATTCTATCAACAGCGCGACTCGATCAATTGATCAATTCGACTCGATTCTACTGCTAGTCGGTGATCACCTCCAGTATGTTTCACAGTCAGGTTTCACCACCGCCCAAGCTTTTGCACAAACCTCCACAACCTCCTCTGGCAAAGGACCCTTCTCCAAATCCTCACAATTCTCTCTCAAGTGGTTTTCACTACTAGCTCCAATGATCACCTTATCCCCGTTCTCTCTATTCATCAAACTATGATGATTGATCCACCTTAACGCCACCTCCACCAAAGTTAAACCGTGTTTATTCGCTACTGCTTCAATGAGGCTCCGGGCCTTGAAATAAGACTCCTTCCAATAACGTGCCCTATACATTTGTCCCTGTATTTTGGTATTATCAAACCTCGTGCCGGATTCCACGTCCCCATCGACAGACTTTGGACCCGTAGCGGTGAAGAATCCACCGGCCAATGGGTTATAAGCATAAAATGAGATTTCATAGTGGCGTAAAACACTGAATAATTCAGGTTCTACTTCCCGATGAATGACGTTGTAGACTCCTTGGTATACTTTAGGAAGTTGATACCCTCTCGCCTTTGAAATTTCACAAATACGAGCGACTTCCCAGGATTTGTAATTTGAAATTCCTAGGTTTTTGATCTTACCGGACGTGAAGAGGTCGTTTACAGCGGGGAGGGTGATGCTGATGTCTGTTGTGTGGTCTGGGGCGTGGAGGTACCATAGGTCTATTGATGGGAGATTCAGAGATTTTAAGGAGATTGAGACTTCCTTATTGATGCAGGCGGGGGTATGATTTGTGGCTGTAGGGTTGGCGACACCAGCCTTTGCGGTTGGATAGAGCTTTGTGGCGACAGTTAGGCCCTCTGTCCCGATTTTTCCGAGGTATATTTCTGAAGTGCCAGAATTGTACATTCGTGCGGTGTCGAGTTCGGTGTGGCCGTAGGATTTAAAGATTTCTAAGGTGTTATTTTGTTAATTTAATAAAGATATCCAAGAATTGGAAGGGGGGGGGTGTAAATATATGAGAATATATACCGATGAGTTGCTTGCATTCTTCGGGGTCGGTGATACGACTGTTCTCGCCGAAGGTCATGGTGCCCAGGATGACGGGCAGTTGGGCCCTGCTTTGTGCCATATTTGTTTTATTTCTAAGGATCTAAACCTCGAATCGTGGTTTGCAAATCTGTCTATAAGTGCAGATGGTGGTTAGCTATCAATTTTAGAAAGGATATTGGGGAGGCTTCTAGCTTATATATATAGACTAAGGTCTAGCCCTCGAAGCGAAGTCTAGTATATATTTGCAATTTGTTACTTACGTTAAGCTCAAGTAGATCTCAAATCTGAAACCTGAACCCCCAAACAGCGCTATTTGACCGTTCAATGGTGTGGTGCCTTTTGATTGTGAGTCAATGCAATGCAATGCGGAGAAAACCCGTAATATAGTGTTAGTATATTTATAATAACTAGATCCATAAACTCGACAATTGAATAATGCTTGTATAATTGTAAGCCCGGTTTAATCCCCATTAACGCCGACAAGGCGACCAAACGACTTGCAATAATAGAAATTAATAAGCAACGATGTCATGATTCAAGGTTTCGGCGGGGCCGCGGGGTAATTAGGTGATCTAAAAGGTAGGGATTCTAGCCTGTAGAAGCAAACGTTTAAACCAGTACCGGAAAGTGATAAAGTTGCATCTACGCATGCATACATCTTACCGAACAGTTGGGAAGTGTTGGATTTTTGGGACGGGTTAACACAAAAGGCTCAGGACGATATATATATCGATCACGACAATGATTGCCGGTTAACTCTACATGCTATCTAACATTTTTATTCTATTTAGTTGAGTAGACGCAGGATATGTGTCACACGTGTAGGGAGTACAGATCTGCAGATACTTAGGTGATCGGCTGTCCCCGAATTCATGGGAAACCAAGCGTGAAGATGTATAGATGTCGTACGTACGGGGCCTGGGGGAAGACATTAGGAATTATGCCCATAAAATTTAATAATTTTCATGAAGCTTGAAGTTGGTAGTGCTCGTGCGCTGTCAGGAACATTTAGTATTTTCTCAGATTTCCAAGTTCGCAGTTGATACCTCTATGATCTAAGCTTCATCCGACCTATATCTGGGTGGGAGTCAAACTTAAGCTTGGTTGTTCTGTTGCCATGCTCAACTAGTATATAGGTGTTCAAATTTACACAGATAGAATTTTTTTCAAATATTAGAGCTGTATGTAGTCAATTAAATAGATTCTTTTTAAAACAAAAACGCCAATTGCTTCGTTATTGGTCCCGCAATTAGAATTCGTAAAGTCGTAGAAGATATATATACAATCCCACCACCCCCTTCCACTCTTCGAATTTGCTGAGATCGCACCAAAAAAGCCGCAAATATGCATGCATTACATGATGTATATATAAAACATTAGTATATAGTCAAAAATACCCCGCCCACCCAAGATCTATCGATATTCGAAGGATCTAGCGCTCTATAGAGATGTTTAAGAAGAACTAGCTAGACGGCGCTCCTTACGGGCCATCAAGAAATGCGCAGATGCGTAGGCAACAATACCGACGAAACACATAGCGGTGGTAACCCCGAATCCCGTCAAGTACTTTGGTGCGTCTTCACTCGGGAAAAGGTAGGCACCATAAATCGATGCCAAATTACCCATACCGTTCATGAAAGCGAGGGCAACAGCGCGAGTCTCGGGTTCCATAGATCCAAAGGTAGAGCCTCCGTAACTCAAACCGCAACCGTTGGCAGTCCAAAGACCGGCGGCCATCAAGACAAGAAGAACGTATCGGGCAGTGAAACCGTAGACACCAACAACGATTGCGCTGGTGACTAAGGCGACTGTCATCCAGCCGGCGATGATGATGCCTCTGTATCGGTTGTATTTATCTGCGAAGAAACCATTGGCTAAGTTGACGACGAATGCGACGGCATAGATTGGAATGGTCATGTATTGGGCCATGTGGGCGGTGTATCCGAGACCCTTGACGAGAGTTGGGTAGAAGTAAGAGAGTGTCGAAGAACCAACTACGAGTTTAGATTAGTAAATGAAAATGTTGAAATTGAACATGAAGGCAAAGCCTCTGAGTGGGGTAGCAAGGTTCTTACCGATGGTCATGTATCCCAAAGTCAAAATCCAGAGTTCCCAGGACTTGAAGGCAGTCTTGAGCGCTTCGATGTGCCCAACACCCTTCTCGCCTGCCTTTCGGGCGGTGACATTTTCTGTGGCGAGACGAGCAATGGCAACTTCAATTTCTCGGGCGGTGAATTTGTTCTGGCTTGTCGCGGGGAAATTTGGGAGAATGAAATAGGCAACAGCCGCCCAGCCGGAAGTTGCGACACCCTCGACGATAAAGAGCCATCTCCAGCCTCGGATTCCATGAGCACCTTCAAGACCGCCTATCGAAAAAATTAGCTTCAAAAGTTTCTCCTGTGTATTAGAAAAATAAGGGAACTTTACTTGTGATCGCACCGGCCAAAAGTCCGCCGAAGGCACCGGAAAGGATGGCAGCGGAAATGTAGACGGAAAATCTCGTGGATTGCTCGGACTTCTTGTACCACGAAGAGAGCAACATCATGATACCGGGGGCGAAGGAAGATTCCAAAACACCGACGATAACTCGGAGGCCAACCAAATGATGATAGGTCTTGATGAATCCCATGCCTATGATAAAAGTTAGACAAAAGGCACGAAATCATGAGGATATTCGACTGAAGAAATTCTTACAGATTGTGACGATACCCCAAACAAACATCATGCAAGGAATGTAGGCACTCGGGTTTACTTTGCTGAGAATCATGTTCGATGGAACTTCGCACAAGACGTAGCCGATGAAGAACACAACTAAGGCAATAGAGTATTGGCCCGATGTAAGCTGTAAATCTTCTTCCATGCCAGCGATTTTAGCATTTCCAATGCTATTATTGAGTCAGCTCATCATGTTTTAAGGGTCTGATAGTGGTGCTATTAGGTTGTAATTAATTACTTACTTTGTTCGATCCATGCTATTTGATCTGTCAGTTTCTGTTCCTGATACAATATTGATAGAATGTTTAATGAACTTACTATGAAAGGAGATACATGAGCCACATTGTTGGTAGGATAATCATATCAATCTTGCGAACCAATCTCTTTTCTTCCTCGGGGTCGATTTCGACAGATGGAGCTGAGCCGGAGCCGGCATACTCGACATCTTCTGCATGCTGCTTGGTGTCTGTGAGAGATGCCATAACTGCAGCCTGGTGATGTTGGGAAATGTATCTGTAAAATTAATTAAAGAAAAAGAAGAAGAAAAAGAAGTCGATAGTCGAGTCTTGGTCTTGAGGTTCTTAGTAGATGTCTTCTTTACTCGAAGTGACCCAAATTCCCAAGATCAAGTACGAGATAGATAGGATAGTAGAGACAGGCCTGCAGGGGATTAGACCTAAAGGAAAGGCGAAACCTTGCGACTTTATAGAAGACACATCACGAACCTCCAAGCCTTTACTCCACGAAACGGGACAGATGGTGTTGAGTAAAATTAATTCAGGTCTGGAGATGATCTAACAAAGTTCTAGTTCCGAGTTCCAGTTCCCCGGGCGGAGAACCGAATTCTACTTGCATTGGTCACTTGGGCTTTGGTCTTAGATAACTCTAACGTCTTAGGGAACTAGGTTGGGCGTCACATTGCCGGGCTTGTCATGTTTAACGTAAACCAACCTCCCTTTGAACCGTCTTCAAAACTTGTCCTCGGAAATCTCCTGGCCAGCGCTGCACCTCAACGGCGGAAGCGAAACAGACCCTGCGCGCATGTGGCCACTTCCCAAGAACCAAGGCCTGACCAATTCTTCACCAATGCATGCAAATCTTACCCCGGATTGGCTTTTCCTTGGAGCCGGAACCACTGTCAGTCCTAATCCCCAAGTTTTTTCCACGCGTGGAGTGTGGGGCGAAAGTTTAAAACCTTTTGTCTGTGGCGTGCATGGCTTTTCCTTCAGCTGGCGAAGACGAGAACCGAAGGCTGCCAGACTCCCTCGTCTCCTGGCAGTGACCCCGACGCGGGTGCCCGCTGACATGATATACCACACTTTTCAACACATTCTCCATAATTTTTCCGTCTTGGGCTCGAGGCCTTTCGTCACCAGTAGTGGCGGCTAGATGCCTAGAGACGAGTCCTCACGCCGTAGAGTGCCGTCTCTTGTACGCAAGTCCGCCCCAGATTGCGCTTCATGGAAGCTTCTCTCTCCGCCTAATGCATCTCGCCGCCGTGACCATTTCTTTCCCCTGGCTCGTTTCGTGGACATAACTACAATGTGGGGATCCGGAGACGCGGATCAAATATGTGGGCCCTAGCTTAGCTTGTAGCTGTTATCGATATCCGGGGTCAAGCTTGGAATCCAAAACTCGCATCGGACGAGCTTCGCAAAGCCAACCGCCCTATAGCTGCTAAGATGGAAATCGATGCGATGAGTTAGCTCACATGTGCCTAATTCCGTAAAAAAAAAATTCCAGAACTAAAATTATTTTCCTAGGAGGGCCTCGGACTTGCCGGCCATAGCTTCACATATATAGAGGGAAGCCGCCCAAATTGAACTTTGGCTTTTCGAAAACTTGAATTATCCAAGCCATTGACAGATATTCGCACATTTTCAACTCCATATTACCCTCACAAGACCATTTTTTCCTCCAAATTTAACTTTCTTAACATCTTAAATAATGTCACCGACTTCTACCAACGGAACTACCGCCAATGGCGCTCAAAAGCCAACTACTGGAAATGAAATGTTGGAGGCCGCTCACCAAGCCCGGTCAAAGGCGATTAGCACCCTCCCCGATGAAACCTTTGACTGGAGAATAACTTTGGAGGGAAAAGTTATCGCCAGTAAGTCCAGATAAATTTTCAGGATACTACATACCTACTTGGAGGGTGCAAGAACTGACCAATTGACGTCGCTAGTCACTGGCGCCAACCGTGGAATTGGACTTGGTATTGCTGAAGTCTGCCTCGCCAACTCTGCAACTAAAGTCTACTCTCTAGACCTCCTCGAGCCCACCGAAGAATTCAATGCCCTGTCGAAACGCTTCAACGGTCGTCTTGCCTACATTCAAACTGATGTTACACAAGACGCATCCATCCAGAACGCGGTTGACAAGATTGTCGAAGAATCCGGCGCTATCCACGGCATGGTTGCCAATGCTGGAATGACAAAGCACCAACCTGCTTTGGAGTTCGATCGCGCTCAGATGGATAAACTCTTCAACCTTAACTTCTTCGGCGTTTTCTCTTGTTGCACTATCGCCGCCAAGAAGTTTATCGAACTCGGAATTAAGGGATCGATCGTAAGTTATCTTGCTGCTAACCCGAATAAAAGATATCCGATCTAACGGCTTCCATTAGGTCTGCACCGCCAGTAAAGTAGGAGACGGACCTAACCGTGCCGCCCCCTCGGCACCATACGGTGGTACCAAAGCCGCTGTCCGAAACATTGCCAAAACCCTCGCTATGGAATGGTCCAAATACGGTATCCGCGTAAACTCGATTTCGCCCGGTTTCGTGAAGACCGCAATGACATACTATGTTGAAACCGCTCCGGATTGGGATCTTAAGATGCAATACTACGGAGGAATGCCACGACTGGCGTTGCCTCAGGAACTTGGAGGTGCCTATGTTTACTTGCTTTCTGATACTGCTTCTTATACTTCGGGCATTGATATTCCGATTTCTGGTGTTGTTGGAGCCTGGTAAATCGATCAATATAGGGAAACCAGGGAGTTGTATAAATATACTATGCAAGCTTTGGCATTCGGGTGGAGTTTATTTTCATTGTATATATATCTTCTGGTTCATCTGGGTTTTTGTGTATAGATCTATTTTAGTTTATTGCCTCGGAATTATGAAGGGGTGTGCATATCGCCCAAGCAGTTTTCTGCTTGAATTGAATATTAGTATCAACTCCCGAACCTAATACGCTGAGAATTATAGCATCTCCCGCGTAAATCTAGAAATACTAACTCGGTAAGTTAGATATATCTTTACGTGTGTACCCAACTTGAGGGTAGTGGCGATGGGAAACCCGGCTTGCCTGATGCATACCCGGGCTAGGGTTGAAGAATTTTTAAGGCCTTAATTTATAAAGCCTCAAATTTTCACTGTAATTCCGCGGCCAGACATCCATTATATATACTTGTTGATTTTAACGTTACGCGTTAACTATTGGACGCTCCGTGCCAATTTAGCTAACCTGTGAGACTCGAGCGCACAGTGATTATATATTATAGAGCTTAAAATATAGTTTAAAAAGAGATGATGCCGACGAAGTTGTATTAATATGAATAAGAGTATTATACAGGCCGAAGTGGTATTACTTCTTGTGGCTTCAGCTGATTCGAACGCCAGCAGAACATAAACATTCCGAACCGCTCCCAGAATACACCGCGCCAAAATGTCAAACAACTCGACAAGATCAAGAAATCGATATACTTTTTTTTATAGATCGAACATATCAATGCTCTGATCCTTCATTTTTCCCACTCTCTTTGCAACTCGTCTGCTAAGCTAACGGCTGGCCAATTTGTTCTTCTTTGGCATCGACGTATTAGTTCCATCACAATTTCCTTCTTCCTCTCGTCGTGCGAAACGCATAACCCCGCGCCAAACAAGCACATTTCACTCATTAGACAATAAGCAGCTTCATAGGGTATCGTAGCCGCGATCCCTATGATGATATTAACACAGTCTGCAAGTAGCTTTTGACAAACCGCAAACTCCTTGTAGCCTCCAATACTCGGCCGATGTAACAAGACTAATATCTTGGCAAAAGCATGGGTTTGAACCGCAATCCCGTATTGAGGAGGATGGTACCACAAAGGTTCGATATCGTGGAGAATTATATCTGCTGGATCTTGGATCGCTGGCAAGGGAGTAAACTCGTCCCCGAGATGACGGGTCCAGTCTTCTAGCATTTCCAACAAGCGCTCCCCACGTTCTACTCGTCCCTGTACATTCATTTTTCCAGCCTCGATTTCTTCATCAGAGCAGTAGTTTACCGCTTGTGCCAGCAAGTAGACACTCCGGCTTGCCAATTCATCCTGATTCAAGACTTCGTGGGACCTCAAAGGTTTCCAGAAGGATAGTGGTCGCCGCCGCTCACGGAAACTTGCCCACACATCTTGTCGTAACCATGCCCACCAGACAGCTTGTTTAGTTCCCCCAGAGTCGCCGTGAATATTTTGGGATCTTTGAATCCAGAATACACCTTTAAGGTGTCGTTCCCATCCTGAGTTCGACCCGTCTAACATCTCATATGTTGAGATAATCAGAACACTGGCTAACAATTCCTGTGAACGACTGTAAGACTCAAACTGTAGTGCAGTTTGGAGGTAGTGAAGGGTTTCGAAGTAATACTGAACGGCGGTGTTCCTATCTGTCATATTTTCTGGGTTCAAGGAGAGGTGGCGGTGAGAGAGTGCAAGTATGGCTTTCATAAGGCCAACGTTGTGAAGCTATCATACAATTAAAAACCGTTGCGTTAAATTTAATTATATGCATTGAGATATATTACTTACTGCGAGTCGTGGTATCAAAGTTCCAAAATGTTTCAATGGATCAAGGAGGTCAATCTAAAATACCTCATGTTAGCAAGACTACTGAAGAGTGCTTAAACAAGATACTTGTTCTTACCCACGAGCTCACATTTTCGACGAAATTCCGGAAGACTGGACTGTTATAGAGCAAATTCATGAGAATTGGGGAGTCAGAGACGAGTTTAAAGTAAAAATATCTTACATTTCTTGTTCTGTCAGCTTTATTCTCTCCTGTGACTGCCACAGCTTCCGCTCATTAGAAGGATTCGCCTGGACGTCGACCGCGTACAATAGTTGGTCAAGGTCCCTATAGCCAGTACCACCAGGACCTTCCAACCCGCTTTGATAGCTATGCCGATTCGCAGAGGCTTGCTGTTGTAGTGCTAAGCGGCCTGAGATGCCGTCCTCAGAAGTTATGAAAGGCGATAACGAGAAATTTGGTTCAGATTGCGCCGCATCTGCTGCCAAAAGCCCCAACCATCTTATCGAGGCCAGCTCAGTACTAATTAAATTTGATGATGCATGAGTAGTATCCGTGTTTGCTGGTGATAATCCAGCATTAGGTGGATCCAAGGATGGTATGCTAACAGAGGGAACAACGTCCGCGAACAAGTTGTCGACTGTTAAATTTGCTAAGTTTGGAGTCAGGGGTTTATGTATGCTTTCCGACTGGCGGTGTTTCCTGATTTCAGCTGCTGCTTCAGGTGGAGGAGGAGTAAATTGATACCGCGGATCGTCTTCCGGACGAGATCCTACTGGAGGTTCAGACGGCGCCTGAGGATGCGGAGCCCTCGTCGGTAGCACTATTGGAGTCGCAATTGGCGACACTGGTGTAAAAGAAGGTGGGTTCGGACGTCTTTCCCCTCCTGTGCTTACAGGCTCGGGGATTGGGATCGTTATCGTAGTGATGCCATGATCCTCGAAAATGCATTCCCTATCGCTCTTTTGGCATTGTGCACACTTGGGCCGTTCTTCAGAGCATTTCATGTGTCTCTTGCGGCATGTTATGCTATATTACCGCTAGTTGTTAGAAAGTGTTCAAACTGAAAATCTCAGTGAATCGCAGTATTGGTATGCACGTGGCAAAATTTTAGAGTGTCGCTGAAAGGTGGTCCACATTCATTGGATATTTTTGGGTTCATATAAACCCATACCCCAGATTTCCGACAAAAGGACCGTTATCCGGGGTAGACTGTATAAATCGGCGCATAACCCGGGGATATACGACTCACCATCCCGTCTTTGTGCGCAACCCTCGCGCCCGACTCTTGCGCTGTCTGCGTTTTGGAGCCGGCGACGCACTTCCAGAAGATGTGGTTTGGTTGACTGGCCGGCTCATGATGTGTTCGATTACACAACGTCAACGCTGCAGCACTGCAACGGCCGTCACGCGTGGTGGGGAAATGATGGCCGTCTCGCGATATCCGGATAGGCGAATTGGACGAAATCCGGGGAAGTAGAGTTGAGCAGGTTGGACTCGTTTAATGGGCATTTCTGGACATGTAACGAGCTACAGCTCTAACCGCCATTACAGAAGGTCTCAGCTCCAAGGCAAAAGCACAGGCTTGCGGACCACATACCAGCAAGGGTGCTTCCATAATTCATTGGTATCAAAGCGGAGCGTAGGCCGCATGCAGTTTAGTGAAAACCAGTTTAAGCAAAGCTGTGGTGGACAACAACCGAGACCGTTTGCCGGTTCTGATCTCGTGAAGGTGTTTAGTAACCAGGATATGCGCTAGTTTAAAATGCAACGCTGGCGGGTATAGGACGGCTAGGCTGATGGACACGAAAACTCAAGTGAGCCCAAGATTTTAAATTCTAGATTCAACAAACACCAAGCGCGGCATTGAACATAACGGTCCGGGCTCAGAGACCAAGTGGTCTGATATCGGGATGATAGACAGAATCGAGAAAACGCATAAATGGCAATTTTCGACCGACTGATATTCATCGTTTTATGGGTATTCCCCGTTTAGCGCAACATGGACAGAGAAATTCGAAGATTTAATCTATTTAGCTATCTTTACGTTGTGGGAACGATTCCTAGGATCCTAGTCTCAATATTACATCATCCTAGCTATTTTGTTCGCGAGATTCGGGCCTATTTTTTCTAGTTCCCAGTCGAATTGAGCTCTGACAGTGTGCTGATCTCAGGATCTTGTCAGTGACTAATAATATATAGATATATAAACGATTGCCAAGTAGCAATGAGAAATCAAAGGATGCCGATGTTAGGTTATGATCAGGACAGAAGCTTATCTAATATTCAATTCAAATAATCTAAATTTTGCTAGTGGGTTATATATAGTAATCATAGTATATACAAGTATAACTAGCTAGCAGACCTATCTTGAATCGCGATATCGAATCTAAGAGCAAGTGACAACTTCATGGACATTGCCCGTTCGACTCTCGTACTTCTCGATCTCATGTAGCTTGTTCGCACTTGCACTCTTGGTGTCAAAAGTGTAACCCAACCACTCTCGTACCAGCCTCCTTGCTAACTCCAACCCAATCACTCTCTGGCCCATACACAGAACCTGGCAGTTGTTGCTGAGAATACTCCTTTCAACGCTGAAGCTATCATGAGCTGTAACCGCGCGTATTCCCTTGACTTTGTTGGCCGAGATTGCAACTCCAAGGCCGGTGCCGCAGATCAGAATAGCTCGATCAGCTGTACCCGTAGCAACAGCTTCAGCAGCTGTGATTGCGATGTTGGCGTAGTCCGTTAGATCAGTGAGCGGCTTGGTGATATCTGTGATAGAAGCAACTCTTGCGTCGCTGGATAGATCCGCATATAAGGCATCTTTATATTGAACGCCCGCGCCGTCGCAGCCTATAACTACTCGAAGGCCGGTGTTGGTTGTAGCATCGTTCGCAGAGGGTGCCATTTCGAACTTTCAAAGATATAGCGCTGCCGGTATATAAAGAGCTTAGGATTATTGCGGTAAATATAATGTTGCGTCTCGGGTTGAACGTCTGATGTAGAGTCGACTGGATTTGATCTCGTAAACACTTTTATTGAACCTCCTTCGCATATAAGTAATTAGAGAAGAGGGAAACTAATATGGGATCTTCTCTAACTAATCTTTCGAGGATTGGGTATAAGCCTTGTGCCTTCCGTGGTCTTCGAATTAATATTGTTGTCGGAGTTCCCTTGCAACCTAGAGGGCGTCGACCTTAGTGCTAATATACCAAGCCGGCATAGCCATGGCGGCAGTTCTGTCTAAAAAGAACCAACAGATAGTTTAGATTATTGTTTCCAGAAGGCATAGGTTCCTGAAGCTTGAAGCATCATCATTCCCTCCAGGCCTCTCCATATTAGGTCCGAGACGTCTTTCACAGCCACGGGACTTAGGTGCCGAGGGTTCGGCTAGTGACAACGGTAGTACGGAAAAAGAAATTTGGACACCGAGACGAGGCAACTAGCCGAATCTCCACACCCATGCATCCGCATCTACATGCATCCTTCGCCCATGCGCATGTCGCACGAACGCAAGGAATTTAATTAAACGTGGGAACGACTGAGGCGCAAGCAAGGTCCTAGGCGTCCTCCGCATCTTAATATCTCCAGGTTTCTCAACTCGGCTGCTGTCAAATCGTGTCGTGGTCGCGGCCACGATTCCTTTCCATCGATAGCTTTTGAACTTTTTCTGTCTCGACACCTGGTCCACGGTCGGGGGGCGACGACATCATGAAAGCAACAATAGATTTCTCAGATGCATGACACTGGCATTAAGCTGCGTACGCATATCGTCGGCCATCTAGTCGGATTTGGTTGACCTCAAATACTAACTTTATGTACCGCAATCCATGGGCCACTTAGATCTACAAAATGTTTATTGACTTGCCTAAATCTTAGCATTCTCGTCCTCCTTCATTCTACAACCAAGACTTCCCTTAGATCTACGTCAAGGCTGGATATTCCGCAAACCTCAATTAATCAAAATGTCAACAAAGCACTTCTTCCATGAATATGAGGGATTAGTGGTCAAGTCCCTCCGAGGACTTTGTCATACAAACCCTTCACTCTCACTGATTCCGCAGCACAAAGTCATTTTCAATCCATCTCATAACACCTCTAAAGTCTCAATTGTTTCTGGAGGTGGTAGCGGGCACGAACCCGCATGGTCAGGGTATGTCGGAGAAGGGATGCTAGCGGCAGCTGTTAATGGCGACATTTTTGGAAGCCCCAGCGCCGCGCAAGTGATGGCCGGAATCAATAGTGTCAAGAGCGACAAAGGCACAATTTTGGTAATAACAAATTATACCGGCGATAAGCTACATTTCGGACTAGCATGCGAAAAAGCCAGAGCAAAAGGGCTAGAAGTCGCAGTTCTAGCGGTTACAGATGATGTCGCCCTTGGGAGGAAACGAGCCGGAATGGTCGGTAGAAGAGGCCTAGCAGGAAATATACTCGGCCTCAAGATTTTGGGAGCGGCATCGGAAACAGATTATTCATTCGACGAATGTCTTTCTGTCGGGCGAGCCGTCAATTCGAACCTCGTCACTGTAGGGGCTTCGCTTGATCATTGTCATGTTCTTGGACGAATAAATCACGAGAGAGTACCCGATGACGTCTGTGTGCTGGGTATGGGTATTCATAATGAACCCGTAAGTTTATCTGAGATATATTTCGGTCCAACTTGCGGCGTTTAGCTAATTTTTGAAAATGAGTAGGGCTTGCAACATTTATCACCATTACCCTCACCAGAATCTTTGATCGAGCAAATGCTAAAATTCCTCCTCGACCCGGAAGATGAAGATAGAGCCTTTCTTAAATTCAAACAGGGAGATGACATTGCCTTGCTTGTAAACAACTTTGGCGGAACCAGTTTGCTCGAGTTACAGGCCCTCACAAATGAGGCTATAGTCCAACTAGGTAAGTCTCAAGCTTATTCTTGTATCTAAATGATGTGCTTCACCAAAAGGGTTTTGCCTTATCTCAAGCTCATTAAAACTTGAGATACAGCTGTAAGATGAGCTAACATTATCAAATAGGAAACTCTTGGTCAATTTTTCCGGTGCGAACATTCTCCGGAACTTTCGAGACTTCTTTGAATGGACCCGGTTTCTCTATTTCCCTATTAAACATCTCAGGAACTGCCCGAGAGCATAAGACATCGGCAGAAGGAATTCTTCGACTGTTAGATCTCCCAACTGATGCTCCCGCGTGGCCACGAGTGAACTACAAATTCGCAGAAACTGCCAAAACTGCAACCAATGGCGTTATGAGTGGTGCCGATAAAAATGGCCTTTCTAAAGACCACATAACTGGTGACCGGCAGCTTGATTCATCGCTCTTGTATCACTCCATAAAACTGGCTTGTGAGCGGGCCATCGCATCTGAGCCCGAGCTCACAAAGTGGGACATGGAAATGGGTGATGGTGATTGCGGAGAGAGTGTCAAGGCTGTCTGTCAATCTATTTTGCAATCATTTCCGGACACTCCTGACACTTCACTGGTTTCCCTTCTATCGTTGCTCGGAACCTCCATTGATGCAATGGGCGGGACTCTCGGTGCGATCTTTGGCATATTTTTAGCAAGCCTTACTGCTTCAATACGAAGACAGCCAGAAAATACAGATATTAATGAGCTTTTTGCCAACTCAGTCTATGATGCCCTCCAAGGTCTGATGAGCCATAGTGGGGCCAGAGTCGGAGATAGAACAGTTATGGATACACTTATTCCATTTTGCGAAACTTACAAGAGTTCTGGTAGTTTCCCCAAGGCTGTGAAGGCAGGTGCAGATGGCGCTGAAGGAACAAGGGGGATGAAAGCAAGATTTGGAAGAGCGACATACGTAAAGGGGCGAGAGGGGTACGTAGAGCCGCCAGACCCGGGCGCTTGGGCAGTCAGAGAAATGCTTCTGGGCGTTTTAGAGGTCGTCCAAACTCAGTTTTGATGGCGAAATCTCGGGATGAGGAGCTCTAGGCAGTGTACCAGCAGTTTATTTTGTTCAATAGACGAATTTTCCAGTCAATTTCCTATGCACATATTTTTACATCATAAATAGTAGCTCTATGTCCCGTACTAAGTGAACATCCCTGGCAAAAATGAGATACTACGCGTGAACCCAAGGTATCGGGTTGAGGGAAATGGTGCCAAGTCGTCATCTATGCACATATGGTCCCAGATTCTCGGAAATAGTCCCCTAATGAAGGCAACGGTGGATCAAAACTACCAGTTTTCCCGGGCGCAAGCACCCGACCCAATTTGACCTAATTTGATACTACTCACCTGCATTCGTTCTCCGGGCTCATATAATTCGCGAGCACATGACTAATAAAGTGCCCCGTAACGAGATCAATAATTGCGGAGCTACTAGTTGGAGCTTCCCCGGACTCCGAGATAATCAATCGGGTAGTGTGCTATCGATAAGCCAGAGCTGCAGCGGCTTTCATATATAAGTAACGAAATTTCCCGCAATGTCATCCTTTATCATCCATAATCACTACAAGCCTCACGCGCAATCAACTTCATTTGAAGAATCCTATATCTTTCTTAAATCGGAATCACAATGTCTGCACCAAATGGAACTAACGGCGCTACCGCCGAAGTCGAGCCAGTTAAGAAGATTATGCTCGAGGGTAAAGTTATTGCTAGTAAGCGGCCCTCCTATCGTTTATAATATTCCTCTCAAATAAATCCCACAGCTCTAATTTTGATCGCAATAGTAACTGGAGCCAATAGAGGTATTGGCCTCGGTGTTGCCGAATGCTGTCTCGCAAACGGTGCCGCTAGAGTCTACTCGATCGATATTGGCGACGTCGGCGAAGATTTCGAGAAGATTTCGAAAGAATATCCCAAACGATTGTTCGCTCTCAAGGCCGATATTCGAAATGAAGACGAGGTCACAACTGTAGTTGACAGAATTGTCGAGGAAGCTGGCACTCTAAGTGGAATGGTTGTTAACGCTGGCATCACCAATCATAAATCCGCTTTGGACTTCACAAAAGAAGAGATTGAGAGACTTTTCAACATCAATGTTAGTACTTTAGTCTAGGGGTTAACGGGCTTAAGTCTAGACTATAGCTAATAAAAACTTCTAGCTCTTCGGTGCATTCTACTGTGCTCGAGTTGCCGCCAGGACTTTCATCCGCCTTGGAGTTAAAGGATCAATTGTTTTCACGGTAAGAAACATAGAAATCGCCATAAGATGAAGTGGGAGTAAAGCTAACAGAATACAGGCGTCTATGGCATCGCACAGGCCCAATAAGGTAAACAATACTTAAAAAATTTCGCTATTTTCTTAGCAACCAGAAGCTAACATCTTTATCCCAGAGAGTCCCATCCGCACCATATGGTGCTAGCAAGGCCGGTGTTCGGAACATGTAAGTTTTAAACCGTCCATACATTCTCTCGAATTAAATATCTAACTTGGATCATATAGGGTCAAAACTCTTGCCTACGAGTGGGCCAAACATGGCATCAGAGTTAACTCCGTATCCCCTGGTCTCGTCAAGACTGCAATGACATACTGGGTTCCCCAACAACCCGACTGGGAGCAGCAGCTTAAGTATTATGGTGGTATCCCAAGGTTAGCTGAAGTCCAGGAGCTTGGAGGTGCCTATGTGTACTTCCTCAGTGATGCGGCTAGCTACACAACTAGTGTGGACTTACAAGTAAATGGTGTTATCGGAAGTAAGTCGAACCATTTCCTCTATCAACATCATCGTCGTATAAGATATGGCCATGGTTATCCATGAATTGAATACTAACTCTATGCTCTTTCATTTAGTTTGCTGATCTCATAGGTATAATTTTATATGCTAGCGTAGCTAAGCGCTTATGTATCTAGGACTATAGTGCGCTAGTGCTAATCACAAATATAGACCCTCATGTATCGGAGTTTCGTGAATAAAGGCATGATTTGTCTTACAGATAGAAGTTAGCATATTTATCCATAAATTGGCCAGACTACTAGCGGAAACTTATTCGTGGGATATAGAATACTTTCGAATCTGTCACTAGCTCTAATCAGTGATATTGTGATTCTCGAGCGCGAGATAATATTATGTGGGCGACAAATGTGTTGTACGTTCTGGAGCCAAGTCCAAATATAGATATTTCCTAAATAGACTAGCTAATTTCCTATTATGACTGGCTGGCTTCCAACAGTAGCAACACAGAATTAAATTTTGAGAACAGCTGTGCCAAGTCCAACCAATTGATTACGCTGGGTAATTGTATAGAACGATGGGAATTGAAATAGAAACTAGAACGACCATGTAAAGCGTCGCTTTTGATATTGGTAAATTGACTAACTAGTGCACGTCGAGAAAAACATTATAAAGTATATGTATACATTAAGGCATTCAGGCATCTTGTACTTTTGGAGGTTTCTGGAGATCAAAAATTCAGAAATAAAATTACACATCCAACCTTTTACAAGGTGAACATCATGCAGATTAATCCGAAGATAGCAGCGGTTCCAATATTTAGGGCGGTAGCTCCTGAATTATAATTAGGTGGGGGTGGGATGGTGGTATTGCTTGGTGGGTAAACAGGTGTGGTGGTATTGTTTGGTGGTGGGACTGGAGAGCCGCCACAGGGAGTGCAGACTGCACCTTCGTCGTCTGACGAAATGTCCTTGTCAAAGCATTTGGCAACCTTCTGAGAGCCTCCTGTGCAGATGTAAGCGCAGGAAGCAGTGTATCCGTACGACGGGCAAGCTTCTGGAGTAGGAACTGGGGAAGGCGCGGTCGACAAAGTGCTTGGAGGAGTTGGAGGAGAAGTGTACACAGGCTCGGTCTCTACTGGTGGTGGTGGGGTGTACGCAGGCTCGGTAGAAGGTTCTGGAGTTGGTGGTTCCTCAGTTTTTGGTGGTGGTGGTGGGGTGTACACAGGCTCAGTAGATGGAACTGGGGCTCCACCGCAAGGTGTACAAGTGGTGCCAGAGCCGGTATCTGTAACATCGGTTCCAGAGCAATACGCAACTGCATTCGAACCCTTGCATAAATACGCACAAGAAGCGGCGTAGGCGGAAGGTTCTGGGCAAGTGACCTCTGGTGGCGTGCTTGACACTGGAGGAGGGGGGCTTGAAGAAACACTGTAAACTGGTGGTGGTGGTGGAGCCTGAGTAGTGTACACTGGTGGTGGTGGAGCTTCGGAAGTGCTCTGGTATTGAGGTACAGGTGTGACTGGAGTCGCTGTTGTGCAGGGCGTGGTTACAGCTGGAGCATCGTTCCCATAGCTAGCAGAAACACCAATGGCCAAAACACCAAAGAGAAGGGGCTTAGTGAATGACTTCATTTTGAATAATTGGTATTATGTGGTTGAATAGATGTAATAAAGAATGTCTATGCTATATTTTCCAAGCGAAGGTCCTCACAGCTGTACGGATGGGTGGATGTGGATGGTGAATAAGGAAGAAATGAATCCCAAGCAGGACAAGAACACGACTATATATACTACTTGGGAGAAGTAGAAGCCCTAACCAAGCATTGTTTCCATCCCGTATTGAAGGCAAAGAAACACCCCATGTTCCTATGTAGAGCCACCCAATTAAATTAGTGTCCGAATCCGTTGGATGCAGACTTCGAAGGGTTGAGGCCTGCTATTGTCTTGGTGGTTCCTGCATTATGGCAAGGGGATTGGCCCTTGGTTTATTCTTGGTTCAGCTAATCCCCTTTTGGATCACCGGCAGGGCTAGCCTTTCTATAAACGTGCGGCATGTATAAGCTTAAATTCATAACTCCGACGCTCTTCGGAACGACCCACGGTGGGAATGCATGCAACCATACGTTCCCCTTACAACTTTCCCCCTGACTCCAGCTCGCGCTCCACCAGCGCTACTTTCCTAGGTCTTATGGATTTGCCTATCGGTCATTTTCTGTTCTTATGTCAATCGATTGGTTGCTATTGAGAGTGGTCACCAGTAAAGCCACACGTATACACCAGGGTATGAAGTGATAGCCAGAGTTTTGTTTCTACCCTCCCTTTTTTCTATTTCTTTTTTGTTTTTATTTCCCCCTCATCTTGTTTATCAAATAATAATAGCAATAATAATTTATACGCGTGCGTTTGTGGTATGTGAAGATCGAAAATCTATGTTCTCTTTCTGATCGGTGCAACAAGCGCCATGCAAACGTCGAGCTCTGGCATGTTTAAAAAAAGTTTTTTTCTGTGGGCAGGTCTTGGGAAGGCTTGAGTAAAGGGGTGGGGCATTTTAACGCTGTGGTTGTTGGCTATTGGTCCAAGTCAGAGCCGACTAAAATCGCCCTGCAGACAGCGGTAATGAAAGGGTGGAATGATGGCCATTCGCGCCCGGCCGGCCACGGCGGATCTTGAACCTGCATCACATGTGCACAACCGAAAGCGAATCCGATCGAGTATTTATCCACCAGGGTAGTCGATACCCCAAAGTTTCCCATCACAGACCTTGTTTCACTAAGGAAAAGGGGAATCTTCCGAAGTATCTCGAGCCGAATCTGCGGAAAGTCATTAATGTGAATTCAGGAATTCGAAGTGTTGACAGCTGTAAGCTAGGCTAGGATAGTGCTAAGCACGGTCTTCCCAACGTGATACCTAAAACCTCCTGATTAAAACTCTTTCCAAATTATTAGCCTCGAGAATATGTTCTTGTATGTACTGGTACTGTTTACCTAACTAACCAGTTTGTGAATATTTCTTGTATGTTCAGCAATCACATTCGGCTAGTCTCGTTGGTATTTCGGCCAGTATAGAACGTTAGTGACACCAATGCCGGTCTCGCAACAAAAGTACCAAACACTCCCATGCCTGAAGCTCGAATCAAATAGCAATATTAATATTTCAAAATAGTTATCACGACCTGATTGCACGTGCCCAGCTGGACAGCCTATGTGTGTATATCTATACTAAAGTCATTTACAGCATGCATATATGTAGAGAATTAGTCGACGATTCGATTGCAACAATTTGGAACATCACGAAAATATTAATAGTAACAGTACTGGCTGGCTAAATTTGAAATCGTGGGCGCCAGAATGAACTGTGGCGGCCGATGGCTGCCATGCCGCTAACTAACATACCCACGGCCCAGACCAATAGATTGCAACCAACGGAACTAAACGGACATTGCATCGCGATCTGGAGCTTGATGTGACGTTCAATCGACTCGCAAAACTGCTGGCCCTCGACCGCTGCACTATATGTATCTCCATCTCAAAATAGGATTTCCCTAAATTACCAATCACGATCGATAGATGATACCTTGATTAGTTGACGAAGATCTAGAAGACCTTAAGGGTGTAGAACAAACGCTGCAAATCTAAGTAGTTGCCCAAAGTTAACACTACCTCGCTTGCAAACGCTCATTTACATCTAGTCATACCGAAGCCGTTGGTTAAAGGTATCGATCAGCATTATTAAAATTAATTTTGCATTCAAGGCATCGCAAACGTTAGCAACGGCGATATGTTCCTCACAGGCATAGGTGCGCGTGTCAGAGACATGCTAATATTGAAACCAGACGTCCCTTCTTCTCGGTTGGCTAGGAATCTCATAGGAATCTCGCATGAACTTCCGTGTTCACGCATTAATTTCCATTCCTCGTTATTTGCACAGTCGTTGATCACATATCTCGATGCTTTAAACCGGTAGGATATTCGTGCCACACGTGCACACATATGAAATAATAAATTGGTTTGGTTAGTGATCTTATTACAACAAATAAGTGTCAGCTACTGCTTCTCATGCTCACTTGCAGTAGTATGAGAGGGTTGTGTTACATACCATAAAAATGTATGCATCGATGCAGATCGAATCGTTCGCTTGGGAATTCGGAAACTTGGCCCAACATTTCGAATCTGGATGTGCGTCCGATACCAAAGCTGCGCAACCTTCGACGCAATGAGTCGAAGGCAAAAAAATCAGTTGTGGTACAGGCGCAGGCACACGTGGGTCTGTGTTCGCCGGGCAAAGCTTACCTGCAGATTATCCAAACTGGGCTTCTTGTAGTCTGGTGGAGCTCAATGTCTTCTTGAGCTTGTCGAACCATCTTTAGATATTATAGATATGGATTGATTATTTTTTTTTCTTTCCCCTCTCTATGCGAAGGACTTTCGTTGGACTTTTTTTTTTAGAGATACAATTTAGACCGTAAAGAAAATACATCCTCCTCGCTTAAGGTCACCAATTGGACAAAATAGCGTTATCTTCAACCCCCACAACGAACACAGAAAATAAATGTTGCGCCCGAGAACCGGGGATCGATATCAATATTCTAGATTCAAGCTCACATCTAAAAGTTGAGTGAGAAGGTGACAAAGCGGATGCCAAATTTAGGAGTGTCACTCAAGAATGTCATGATCACTACCACGCGAGACCACGGAAAACCCACCTCGCTAGCTTGATTGCCATCAATTAGAGCTACATATTAATGTATTATGATAGCACGAGCTGCATCAGTAAACCGTCGTCAAAAATTGTCGAGGATGCCCAGATGAATTGATTTCGGTTTCACCGCGCAAAGACCAGGAGATATATCCTTATTATGATAATCATTCTTAATTATTCAAAAATTGCACCTTCCCTAAACATCAAGGATCGATCAAGCTATGCCGACGCGACTATACGGGTATCTCTTTACAAGGGTTGATATGAAGCCCGGCCCGGGGATCAATTTTGGTACTTGTGAAACATGCGTCGACTTCAGCACGCAGCGAGACATTAAGATACCCAGTCTTAGAAGTATTAGGCAGAGCAATTGTAACGGTAGGAGTTTTGTACCAGACAATCTGGTTGCACACAATCAAAACCCTGAACCCGACAACGGTAGACTGCCTAAAGAGATACGGTGACACTTATTTATCTTGGAATTTTTGAACTATGTAATACTACGTATATTGAAAATTCGGGGCCCAATGGACTAGGATTTACGTGCACTGGGTTGGACCTATCCTTGTGAAAGGCATGTCATCCCACGTCGCAATATCTGGGTCTTGTAGCTGTGCTATTCACCGGGATATCGTGTCGCCCAGTCAGCAATAAGGGTCACCCCACATCTAAATACATTCTGCACGCCGAAAAAACCCTGTTAATTTGCTTTTGGAAGATATCGATGTTCAGTTTCCTTCCCTTTCGCGAAAATAGAGAAGAAGAAAAAGGTAGCCCGGGCTGATTGCCATTTAGGTTTTCGCTATCATCAAATGAATATTTGATAAGAAGTTCCGCATGTTTCAACTCTCCCTTTCGAATCCTGATATTTATAATCGCTGTCCTCCGCTCTCCCAAAGTGCTTCTTTGGAAAGGTTTGGCATTCTCAGTTCTCTCTACACCTTTATCCCACAATTCCGAGCCGATTGTGAATTTTTATTTTTATTATCGTTTTCCTAATATAAAGAATACAAAGTAAAATAATATATCCGAGTCTAATATCCATTCGATCTTGAGCCTCATTATATTCGTCCCGTCTGCCCTCGACAAAAACGGTAACGAATCGATTATTATCTCGTAACAGAAACTCCAGAAGGGGATAATTCCAACCACGGAGAAGCAACAACGTTTTACGGGAAAGCCAGGATAACCATACCAATATACCAATAGATATTACAAGGTATGCACGCACAAAACTTACTTCTGACGTTTCACAAATAATAGAATCATCTAATGCCTTTGAATGGAGATAGGGAATCAATAGGGTGTTATTAAAATAGTGATATCAACAACACATTTATTGGTAGCGTTTGGAGGGATCTGGAACTAGAATTCCCTATCTAGGCAGGGGGCCGGATAACATTACGATTCGGAATTATATATCCCATTTCCAAAACTCGATGAGCCAGACATTTATAATCCAGCAAGCACGGGCCAGAGGCCAGGCATTTCGAGAAAATAATGACGGAAGCTCAGCGTTTATGATGGCTCAAGCAAGATCGAGAATTTCCGTACAGTCGCGGTCAAGTCGAGGGAGTGTTGATTCCACCGGACAAACGACTTCGAATGCGCCGCAGATTTGGTGGGATGAAAGACGGATCGTGGAGACCGTTACAAATTCATTCTTGCAACGGTCGATAGGGGATGAATCATTACGGGCTAAATTACACATGCCGATGATGGAGGGTTTGTCGGATACAACTTTTGCAGAATGGATTCTCTGGAAGGCCAAACGATTCTTTTTGATCTTGCTCGAGCTTGGAGAGGTTGCGAAGGTGTTTGATTTAGTGGAAAGTTCGTGGGATGATACGGACTTACCATTGGATTCTGAACAAATCTCAAGATTGCGGCTTAGAGATCAATCAGTAGAGAGGAAGTTCTTTAGAAGACAATACGCATTCCTTGTTCGCGATCTTGATCGGGGCGCCCATATCAACTACGATGCATACGAAACCATCCCCATCGAACCTTTAAAGACCGGGCTCACCGTCAGTATCAACTCCCACGACAAATTTGTTTTCCCTCGAACGCAACAGGTTGTTATACGGAAAACAATGTCCCTCAGCGATCGAGTTAGAGAAGAAGAATTTCAAGGAACGATACAATATCTAAAAGAACTCACACACCACCATATCGTCGGACTTTACGCCTCGTATACAGTACAAGATGAGGGGTGCCTATTATTCGCACCTGCTACTGAACTTACACTAAAATCGTTCTTTCAGAACCCTCCCGCGATATACAAATCACTTTCAAAAGAAGGGAAAAGGCGGCAAATGTTTGATTGGATGCACTGTTTATCAGATGCGGTCACGTTTCTCTATGAGAGAGGAATAGTCCACCGAGACATCAGACCGAAATCGATTCTCATCGACGGCACAAACATTTTCCTTGCGGATACCGGCGTGTCACAACGATTAGATGTTGGGAACAAATCCGCAACTTCCACCGAAAAGCCAAACTACGAATATGCAGCGCCGGAAATCTATCGCCGTAGTCTGACACGACAGGAGACGGTCAGAAACGTCATATATTCCGGCCGTGCAGTTTCTAGGAGGGGGTCACACGACTCAGCTATAACAGCAGCCATGCCGGATATGCATGTTGTCGATTGGGTACAATCCACAGAGGACCAAATCAAACGCAGTGACATCTTCTCGCTGGCGTGCGTATATCTCGAAATCATCACATTTCTCCAAGGGAAACGTTCGATGAAAGACTTCGCTTCCCATAGAGCAGCAAAAAACCGGCGTGGTGCGAGGGGTGCGAGGGGTGCACTCGCCGACCAATCCTTCCATGCGAATCTAGAGCAGGTTAATACCTGGATCGCAATGATAACAAAAGAAGCCGACCGCAAAAACGATGGTAATGTCAAGCGCGCAGCTAGTTTATGCTCGGAAATGCTATTCAAGGAACCTACTCAGCGCCCCGAACCTTGGGTTATCAGAGATAGGTTATTTGTTATGGCGGAGGAGGAATGCAATCCGAATATCCCACACTGTGGGAACGAATGTTATCGGACTGACAGGGTGTTCAGTTTTGGAGATTGGGGGAGTACGATGGATGAGGTTCTCCATACACCAGTTACGGATTATGGGGGTAGTCCTGGAAAGAGTAACGGTTTTTCATGGTTCCATGCGGATGGATAAGTGGGTGCAGAGATAGGATTTATCCGGGAGAGAGAAAAGCCTTGGGATACATCGGCGAACTGGCAGCCTCCGGGTCTAGTTATTGCTGGTAGGCCTTACGGGTTTAAGCGCCTTTATTTGACCCAACAAACTAAACTACTTGCCGATATACAAGAAATTTACAAAGTTCCGGTCGTATATATCGTCGGAAACCCAGGATGCGGGCCGTACGAGTTGGATAGAGGCCTGCATATGCGAGATCTTCTCAATTGGATTAACGCCTTCCAGAAGGAGGATCCTGCATGCATCTTCATAAACCAGATATCAACTCTTCTATTTCGTTTCCCTTTTGGGTCAACTTCTTCTTACTTTGTCTCTTTTTTTTTTTTTGGCTTTTTGTTACTGGAAGTATATATAAAGCATCGGTTTTAGGAAACGGCGTTGGCAGGTGGAAATTTCGTATCTGGGAATATATCACTACTTTGAGTCAGATATTTATTTCCTTTATTTTCTTTATAATCATATTTCTTTTCCCGGTTAACCACTGGTATTTCCATAGTTGTACTCCGTAGAAATGAATTACTTTTTTAGTCGGCGTTCATGCCTCAAAATCAGTGGGACGGACCACGCCACGATCGCTCGGTTGTCCCTCACATAGCCGAGATAGTTTCCTGGATTTCCGGATTTTCCACCTGAATTAACTTTCAATCTCTTGATGTTACCTTGGGATAAAAAAAATTCGGGCGGAGGAATCGGACCAGCTAGAGAATCTCGTGGATAATACTTGAATAGATATTTAGTTGGGCCCGCCTATCATGCATCAGCTAGTTAAAGACGGGGAGAGGTCAGTTCCACAGCTTTCAATAAGAAGTACTATATTTTCATGAATACCTCGCCAATCGATTGGCAAGAAGCTAAAAACGGGTCAGGTCCAACAGCCTTTCGCTAGAAGCTTTGTCAAGAAGACGGCTCAGCTAAGCCTTTGGGAATGTTGATCGACCCACTTCAAACGGCGACCCGACTCTTTTGGGCCCACGGCAGAACAGATTTGGATGATTTGTCCCCCCCACGTGAAGATAAGAGCACTGTACAGCCGCATGCATACCTGATGCTCTTTGTTTGATCTGACTAACCATGGTACTGTTCTCGAGCTCATATCAATTTTCGTGATCGCATCTACATCAACCAATCAGACACAGGACAATATATTGCAATATACTCAGATAAGTTACCCAAACCTGCGTACGACGATACTACCCTTTGAACTATCAACAGTGAGATCAGTAACCCAAAGCTTTCCTGAACGAGATTTTCGGGTACTCGGTTTGCTTATATTATAAAGCAATCATTGGATGGGTTGCGCAGATATATAATACCATTCTGGATCTGAAATATTCAAGATTCTTGGGGCATTACCCGCAGCATGCTCCATCTGGAATGCTATCAGTTTACGATAGTATTATGGTCCTTTTATCCATGGATCTAATGTGAAGACGCCCACATAACGGAGTTATTGTACTCTAATCGGGTCCCAGTATATAGTCAACGCGACGTTGCGACCCACCAGTTTCGAGCCAGCTTTAGAGACCAGCCAAACTCATGCACTTCACCAATATCCCAACAATTTTGTTGACGGCATAATATTTGAACTCGGTAAAACGTTGTACCTCGATTATGTTCCATCAACTCGGAAGATTGTTCAATATCGTATGCCATGCATGACTCGACTTCATGTCAAAACTTCGTATTATACGAATTGGAATGAACATGTGTTGTAGACGGTTTGAGGGTTTGAGCCTCGGTTCATTTCGTTACCATGGGCACACTGATCATGGGATCTTCTTTGCCGTTTTTGGGCGTTTTCCCGTTTGGTGCATTCCGCCTACTAGGGTCAAGCTCTGGAAAGGTACGCAACTTCCCCGCATTCCAACTGCTGTCATTGATGTCACCATTGTAAACGACATTGCATGCTCCCCAGCGCAGCCAGCTGGTCAGGGCTCTTTTCCATTATATATACCAACCTCTTAACCCTCAGCTAGTTTACGAATAATTTATTGACTAACAGACCGGTTTATACGTATAAGTATACACAGCACACATCCGAATAGAACACCACACTGTCAATATCATAGCTTAGGATAGACTTGGATAGCTATCGATAGGGTCTTGATTAGATCCGGCTCTAGAAAACCCTAAGAGCATTCAATATTGACAAGACTACACAATGCCAGACTTACAGCCCCCAGCAGACGCCGTCTTCGACCAATACGCCGAAATCAAGCACCCAGACGTCTTCCCCGATGCTCTTAAGCTTCTTAAAAATTTCCTTACTGATAAATCGATCCCCTGGACTTCGAATGGTACCAAAGACGATGTTGAACTATCGACTTACCAGCCCGATCCTCCACTCCCAGCTCCTGTCTGTCGTGGAATCGGTACTTTTCCCAAGGGGCTCACGGCGGAGCAAATTCTCCCCGTGGTCCACCAGTTGGCGTGTAGGAAGTATTGGGATGAAAGGTACAAACTCGGATTCCAGAGTCTACGATACTCAAGAACACTTGTGCGTTTTTATGCCGTACAAAAGGGCGTTGGGGAGGGTTGGTTTGCAGTTGTAGCTCCAAGGGATTTCACTGGGTATAGTGGACACGTAAAGGAGGTCGGTGAAGACGGGGTCACAAGATACTATTTTTTACAAACTAGTGCGGAGTTTGATGATGTCCCAGAGGTCAGTGGGACCGTGAGGGGGCAAACTAGCTTGGCTGGATGGGTTCTCGAGGAAGGGGCGGAAGGTGTCAAGTGCACCTATATTGTAAGTTATTTCCTCTATATATTTCGTTTCAATATATAAATATAGATGCTGACTTGGGTTTACATAATATAAATAGGTGAAATTCGATCCAAAAGGCTCGATCCCAGGTTATCTACTGGAAGCAGTCGTGAAAGAAACTCCACTCTGTATAGCAAGGGTCAGAAGCTTCATCGAAAAGAAAGGACTAGTCCCATACATTAACATCCACGACGAGTTTCCTGGCCAACTACGACAAGAGTTCCTGAAGAACACAGCGGGAGACGACGCAAACTTTAATGACGCACAATTCCAGCTTGTGTTTAGTTGGTTCGGTACCCCCGGTAGCTTTGATATCCGCTTTGATAGTCAGTGGGAGAATGGGGTTAAGGTTGCCACGGCAGAAGGGACAGAAGGGGTTGATTTCGACCTTGTGAGGGAGAGGGGGAAGGTTACGGTTATTGTCAAGGAAGGGGCAAAGGATAAGAAATTGAAGGTTATCGTTTCGAGGGCTTGATAATCCCATGCCGTAGCTGTAGAGCTATGCTTCAGCTCATTCGACGCATATACGTCCATATAGTTTCCCTTTACCCAATGTGTAGATCGATTAATTAATTCGGATTCGACAATAATTCTTATTCTAACCGATTCGAGGTTAAATTTGGCATCGGATTCATATCGCTATATATACAAAAATACAAACTGTCATGTCACGTTCGTAGTGCTGGCCTCGAGGAATTCGAAGCTTGAAGTTAACCGAGTTGTGCATTGTTGCATATTGACGGATAATTATGAGTCCCCAAAGTGCGGTCGACTCATCCCAGCCTTCAACCCAACTCCATCAATATCAATACATCTCCCACCGAATTCCTCACATCTCCAACCATGACAAAGCGCAAACACTCCGAAATGGCAGAGCAGGCCCCTCCTCTACTTATACCCTCCCCGCACGACGCTTCCAGTCCGGACCCAGGCTCTGCCTCTACGATACCCAGCCGCGCTAGGCCCTTCATCGCGTCTCAAGTAGGCTAATCGATCCGGTTAGGACAGGTTTCTGCCGTCGTTTTTTCTCTTGTTCATGCAAGGGGGTAGAATAAAATGTCTAATGCAATGACGTTCCTTCTTCCTGAGAATAGGCTTGCGATCAGTGTCGAAGTAAGAAGACTAAATGCGACGAGGTATTTCTCCTTCTGAAGAGCCAATTGTTTGTTCGGCGATGCAGTTGAGAAATGGCGACTGACAATTTGAAGGACCGACCACGATGTTCGACATGCTCTAGAAACGGGCTGGACTGCCATTATGCGGAGACGAAACCGACAAAGTACACACGTCCTTCCTACTCAGGCCGTCATAACCGGCATACCTGTACATTCATGTCGCTGACAAAAACCATTGTGAACTACCAGAAAGGACCAAACAATCTCCAAAATCTACAGTAGCATATACCGTCTCGAAAAGAAGATTGAAGATGTCGCAACCCTCATTCGTCAGCAAAGTGACCCACAATCAGACCTACATGTACATATACAATCTCCCTCGGATCTTGGAGCAATCGACCTACCCTCGGAAGTTGCCCAAAAGGGACGATTATCGATCGCCGATGTCCTAAACACTAGTCCGAGCTTGACAAAAGCCCAGGTGGGCGCCAATGCCAACATTTTCACGCCCGTCCCTACGGCCCATACATCTCATCTCACGCAAGAGGCAAAGCGAATGTCCTTTTCGGCACATAAGATACTACAATGGCCGGCGATACAGGCTCTACTACCCGATTTTTTACAAGGGTTAGATTTGGTGGAGGACTATGTTACAAAGTTGGAAGCTGCCCGGCCGCCGTTACCTTTTGACGTACCTATGACCAGCGGATACGGAACCACCAGAAGTCCCGGAAAACAAGATTGGCTACATTCGCTCCCGTTATCGGTCATTAGAGGGTTGACTGAAGCATACTTCAATACGTTCAATACATCGAACCCGATTTTAGACAGAGGATACTTTTACACGGCGACATTAAGCGTAGCGATGGAAAGCGGGTTTGGGTATAATATCGAGAGTTGTATTTTGCTTATTGTATTGGCGTTGGGGTGTATGGCGGTTACAGCACATAAAGAAGCGGGATTCCCGTTATTTCCACTAAGAGGAGAGGAGGCCGACGGGATGATGGGATTTGTACCACCGGATTGGGCGGAGGTCACGGAGGAGGCGGAGGGTATGCCGTCTGGCTTGAGATTCTTGAATGAGCAGAGAAGGAGGATTGGGTTTCTGATATGTGGTATGGGGTTGGAGTATGTACAATGTCATCTGCTAGTTGGGTAAGTGCTCTCCATCGTTCTCTACAGGGATGATGTTACTTATTGGTCGGATGGGTATAGTTTATACTATGCACAGGCTGTACGGGTGCTGGACCATTGGAATATGATACACAAGGCAGCTGTCGGCTGCCTGATGTTGCTTAATGGTTCGAAGGCAGAGTTGATGGACTGGGATGCTTGGGAAAGCGACATGCTGGCGAGAGTATTCTGGAATACTCTGATGTTTGAGAGGTTAGTATCATGGCACTACCATTATAAATGGCCATCTAATGGGGGATTGGCAGTATCCTTGTTCAAGAGTTAGATGTTCCGCCGAGCGGCCTGACGGATTACGAAGAGATCGTGCCGTTACCTAAGTTCCCTTCGTACGCCAGCCCTTCGTCGTTAGCCTCCAGCCCTGTCGAAGATACCGAGTCGAACTACCAATACCACTTTCTCGCTCAAGCTGCCCATAGAAAGCTTCTCAATCGGATGAGAAACAGTGTATACAGCTATGGTAAACCTATTCTACCCCCAACAACAAGGAGCAATGGGTTTTCTAATAGGAATAGAGTCCGACATGACACAATTCCCGTCCATAGCTCTGTCCCGTGAGCTCCAGCTCCAACTCGACCTCTGGCGTTCCCACCACCCGCCATTCATCCAACAAGATCCTCAAAACTCACATTCGCCGTTATCACCCACAAAACTCGCCTCACATGTCATGACGGCAATGCTACACGGTCGCTATCTCGTTGGCAAACACCTCATGCGTCGGCCGTTTGTGTATAAAGCTTTGCACACACCCGCGGAAGAAATCATAAGTCCGGATGTGCTGGATGAAGTCAGATCGTGCCTTGAGAGTTCTTTAGACTGGCCGCAGATCACAGGTGTATTTGAACGAGCGAGGACAGCAGTGCCGATAAAATTCGGATTCGGAAGCCAGTTAGTCTCATTTACTTCCTCTAACCCCGTTATCCGGAACGGTCGGGTTCTAATTAGGTCGTGAACTAACTTTTGAACCCCTCTTTTTTTTCCCTTTGCAGATTTATGGGCCAGTTGTTGCTGCTTAAGGGGGTGGAGATGTCGATACGAGAGGAAGTAAGAGCTTGTTTGCCGGTTGGATGGGAGCAGTGGGTGGAGAAAGTGCTAGGCTACTTCAGGGATATGGCGCCCAAAAGCCCCACGCTTGCGAGAGATCTGTACATCTTAGAAGCGCTATATAGCAAGTGAACTGACTCCGGTCTCGGCCAAGCCGCCTACTGTCGAGACCAACGTTGCAACCCTCATCTCATCATGGTTAAGGCTTGGAATAACAAAAGGCCTTAGCGAAAATAGCATGTTCTGGAAGTTTTATGAAACCCTTCACCTAAACTGTAAGAGACAAGGATGACGTCTGGTATTTTAATATCCATGACACGTACTAAGGAGCCCCATATCTAGGTACTTACATGCGTGCTTATGCCCAGATGCCTGTCGATTAGAAACTATCCTTGATGCATGCTTGTGTTCACGACTAGTCAAGATTTTTGGCTCTCGCGCCCTGACGTCCGAGTTGAGAACTTAAATACTTAATAGGTAGTTTTCCCCAGTTTAAATGTATGGCGGAATCCAACATCCCTCAACTCAAGCTCCAACCAGAGCTTAAGCTTTACAACCAACGGTAATTCTTGTAGACGTCCGCATCAAAGTTCGATCGTACTATGGCGTCAAAAGCTCCGATCGAGGTAAGACTATATTTCGCACTTTCTGCAACCTCCTTCATACTATCTAAACAATATATATTTAAATTTTCTTTCTTTGGTCGATATATGATCACTAATAGACGTGGTAGAACGCGAAGCCGGATCCCACAGCCGAGGAACTCCTGGCATTGTTTCGCGATGTTCGGGAGTTCTTCCCAAAAGCCCTTGGGGATGAAAAGTGGTATTTGATGCTAGTAAGTAATATATAATCTCCTCTGCTTCTGTTCTCATTTCAGGGGTTCTCTCCCATCATTCAGATACCGGACATAGAACTACTAACGATTAACCGCTGACACATATGATTTGATTATGCACTCAGTTCACAACCCTCACATACGCCCTCCCAGACCCCACCGCCCTCGCATCCCTCTACACCTATCTAATCTCCCTTCCCGAATACTCGACTCCTTCGTCCCGACAAGCTCTAATCCGGCGTATCCGCGAAGCCCTGGTCAAAGTCGTCTCCCTCATCGGTGTTGCCAAACCCCTGTTAGTTATCTGGACCATCGCCACCATCGAACGCGAAGAAGACCGAGATTTCTCTTTCACCCGGAAAGATTGGAAATGCGATCCAGAGAACCTCGAAAATGGGTTGAACTGGTTGAAAACAATATATCGAGGGGATAGTGAGGAAGTTGACAGGAGGTTTAGAGGACATGATGATTTTAGGTGGATTAGTTACAATATTACCTATGGACTTTATTTATCGGACCATAGTGTTTTGGACCCCGTGGAATCGGAACTTGTGGTTTTGTGCGGATTGTTGATACAAAATTTGGCGCCGGTGACGGCCTTTCATTTGAGGGGCCTAAGGAGAGTGGGTGTCAAAATGGAGGACGTCGAGGCGATTCATGTTTGTGTATGTTTTTCTTTCTTTCTTTCTTTCTTCCCCCTTCGCTTCGTTCCTCCTCTCACTTCGACTTTCCTTATTATGGCATATCTGTTGAAGACTAATCTGATGTGCACTGCTATGTTATAGTGTGAGAAGGTGGCCAAGGTATGCGGGATACCTTTGGATAAGGTGCCCAGAGTGGCGGATATTGAGCATCTTGTTCCGTGGGAGCAAGATAAAGAGACCTCGATTCCTGAGGGTAAAAACAAAGGAAAATCAAAGTTGTAAACATTATTTTGGATTTATGGAGTATAGTCTAATGCCCTTCGGAGCTGGAGTTCGGAATCACATTACTAGAGTTTGATATAGAGGTAGTCTTGTGTTGGTATAGGGGGAGGTTTATATTTAGCGCGTATATACGAGCTATTGCTATTGAACTCATGAAGTTATATATATCGAATCTAGGCTTCTAGAAGGATTAATTCTACTTCTCCCACGTACTAGGTACAGGTGTTTATAAAGAAACCCAACTGAAAGAAAGCGTCGCAAATAGGAACCGAAACCAAAAAAAAATCAATAAAGACCAAACTCCTGTCCCGCAATCCTCAATGCCAAAACTCTCGAATACCACCGACAATGCGCCAAATTCATACCCATAAACCAGAATCCAGGATGTCCGCTATCCCTAAACAGTGTGTTGAACTCCCCTTCTGAATCGAACCCCCCAACGGGCTTGACTGCATCCTTGACGCATGGGAAGATGGCACCTGCTGTTGTGCGCATGTTTTGGTAACCCTGAAATACAATTATTCATTAGCCCTCAATTCGGGTACGGTAGGCTTTGGGGGAAGGTGGGAGAATATACCGTTGCAAGGACGACTTCGGCAGCTTCTAGCTCTTGTCCATCTTCGAATAATACTCCCTTCTCGGTAAATTTATCGAGTCTACCATGCTTGACCCCGATCTTTCCATCAATAATCATGCTCGAGGCACCAATATCAATATAATAGCTTCCTCCCACATCGAAGTACTTGATCAATAATCCAGCACCATCGGGGCCATCATCGGTAACGAAACCGGCTTTGTTGAGGCCTTCGATGATTTTACCATCTTTGGAGGGGGACTTGAGGTCCTTTATTATGGCTTGGTGGTAGGCTTTGGTGACGGCGTTGGGGAGACTAAAGAATTGTAGATCCGCCTCCTCGACCTCTGGGCCGTTTTCACAATACTACATAATTTTGTCAGTTTGTATCATTTTTTCTATTTTATTATTTCCGAATAGACGGGAACGTACTGTAGTACCAAGGAGAGCCGGCAATCCAACTTTAGACGTAAGAACATGAGTGCTCGATCTTTGAATAAGCGTTGGGTATGCCCCGTTCGAATACAACGACTGAGCGATATCATGTGCCGTATTCCCCGCTCCGACAACCAAAACCTTCTTCCCCTTTAGTCTTTCTGGGTTGCTCCATTTCGAGGAATGAGTAATTTTTCCTTTAAAGACTTCTTGTCCCCGGAATGTTGGAATGTTGGGTTCGCCAGAATGACCGGTGGCGAGGATTACATGCTTTGGAGATAAAATACGTTCTTTCCCTTCCCGAAGAACCTTGACCGTCCATTTCCCATTCTCATATGATGAAGAGGTCGGGGCCGTCGACGTCCAGACGGGGATTTCCAAAGAACGAGCGTAGAATTCGAGCCAGTCTCCCAATTTGTCCTTGGGAGTGAAGATTGGCCACGTCTTGGGGAATGGAATGTATGGAAGATGATCATACCACACTGGGTCGTGGAGGACAAGGCTGTGATAACGGTTACGCCAGTTATCACCGATTCTAGGATTCTTGTCGACTATTAAGGTAGGAATTCCTAGACGGGTCAGACGGGCAGCGACTGTGAGTCCTGCTTGACCGCCACCAATGATGAGGACCGTTGGGTCTGTGGTAGTGAACTCTGAGTATTCAGCAAGTCGTTCTTTCCAGTTTGTGGGGTTTGAGGATTGGTCGCCGTGGAGGCCGCCGTGAGGGCGGTTGATGCCACTGGCTTCTGGGTGGCTTTTGAGGTTTGTGAGAGTGGTATAAATCGTGAATGCCTAAAGTATTAAATTTATAATTAGAGAAATGGAACCACGGGCATCAGGCACGGGGAGTGTGTATTCTAACCTTCCATGTATTATTAGAGTCAAGGAACAACCGAATAATACCTTCTCCGAGTCCCTCATCGGATTCAACATCAATATAAGCCAGGATGCTAATCGAAGACTCCTCAACCTGCAAAACTGGAAGTCGCTTATAATTCCCAACAGTAGGTTTGACCTTAAGAGATCCGAGCCTCTTCTCAGTAACATCTTTACTCAAGAACTGACTGATCTTGTCGACTCCTCGCGAAGTACGAAGGTCCCAGGTCAGGAAGAGACCATCTCGCCAGAAACCTTCGGGGAAGATCACGTCTTGCAAGTCTAGTACCGTAGGCTTTTCAATGGCTTTTTGGAGACGAGCAAGATAGTCGGAAACAACTTCGGAGGCATTGATACTAGCGGCCGAAGGTGGAGACTTGTATTTGAAAGTCGGGGGTGGGACTGCCTGTAACGGCTGGGAATGCGTGTCGACAGGCATTTTTATTTGTTGAAGTTATCGTGATTTGTAGAATATGGTGTGTGATATCAAGATAATCTGGGGATTTGGTGATATATACCTAATTGCAGTATTATATATCTTTTTATTGCTGTCGTTATAATGACTGGATTCAATTTCGTCTAAGCTACCCCCACTTATTTATAACCCAGGAAACTGCGAACTGGGGCTGCGAGCTTTCCCTTCGTCCGCCATGTAGAACTCCGGATTTGCTTGATGCATGTGAGTTTCGCTAGTATAATACCTGTTAAGCGCTGGTTCACTGGTACATGGACTACATACACGCCAAACTGTGAGTTCTTTCCCCTGCGATCAGGGTTCCTGACATGCATGAATATCAAAGTCTGAGATACAGTGTTCTCTGGCTTTCGCACCAGCTGCATTTTAGCTAGATTTAGAGAAGATTCTAGTATTCGGAAACTGAAAGCTGAAAAAATGGTTTCGTTATAAGATACAATATGCAAGCCGGTGGTACACATTCGAAGTTACTCCGGTGTATATGGGGACGACTCCCCATTGAATACAAATCAATCTAATGTCACACGGAGCTAGTACGTTATAGTGCTGCTTTGACTCTCGCAACTAAATTAAAGCCCCCTTGCATTAACTAGCTGGCATAAAAAAGTGCGGGTGATTCGTGGTGGTTGGCTCCGTACCGAGTTCTCCATGCGGGGTATTGCCGGGGAACACACTATTTGATCTTGAATGCATTGTCCATGCGGGGGTTACATAGTAGACGTTACGTCTCTAAGATTCCTAAGACCCTAAGATCCTGACGACCGAAGATGCATAATAGTCCATAGTGGGGATTGGTTTCTGATCTCGAGTCATGGAGCCGTACGTCCTAGTTTCGTTTCCACTGCATCATTGCAATGATAAGAAGGCTTGATTGTGAAATTTGAAGCTTTCCGGATTTAGATCCCGGGCGTTCTCCTAACTAAGGATGGTTTGGATTTGGATTCTACGCGTGGGTGCTGGAGGTCACTGAAATGCGGGGAACAGGTTGAATCCTACGATGATTAATCGTAGTATCTCCTCACTATCTCCTCTGTTCCCATCGGAGGACCCGTAAATTTCATGTGAATAGAAGACACAATTGACGAAACTGATTGGCAAAAAGATGTAGTAGGCCATTATTCTGACTTCCCATTCTTCCGTCGTCACTCAATTGATATCGTCCCGGATGTCCGTTCTGCAGACGGCCGAAGAGTATCTTTCGGATGCGGCATATCCATACGTATTACGCTGAAAGCGACCTCTTATCAACTGGCCAACGGCAATTGCGAGATATGTAAGGAAGTACATACCATACAGAGCAGAAGGTGTTATTTTGTTCAGATCGGTTCGCCTGCGCGGTGTGGCGCCTGGCTTAACCGTCGGCTCGGACTTGGCCTGAAGATTTAAGGGCAGGGAAGGCTATATTAATGTTCTGCCATGGCCATGGGTGAACACCATGTGCACCAGGTCTTGAGGATTCCGACTGCTGTGTTGTGTCGTTACTTAGAAAGTATGTTTGTCGATAATATTCTTTCCTCTTTTGGACAAATTGTGTTGTTCACTCCTGTTACCTCGTCTCGTCCTCTTTTCTTAAAGTACCAGCTCAAGAGGGGAGTTGGTCGGTCCACAAGCTTTTCATTCCAAGCCAACGTTAAGCCTTCCCAATCCAACGAACAAGAACAAAAACTTCAACCACTCCCACGGGTTTCCCGCATCCCGTAATTGGAATCCAACAACTTGAATACTTTAGCTCGTGACAAGAGCAAAATCACTAAACTAAAAGAATCTAGGTCTGTTTTTCGTTTGGCTCAGCCCAATAGACATTCCCAAAATATCTTAATCGGAACCTTTTCCCCTATTCCTTTGACGGGACTGAACAGGGCTGCAGGGCGTCTATCTTATACCTTCCTTAACGCGGAGTTGCCCTCAAAACGAGTTATAGTAAGTAAAAGTTAACGCAGTCTTGGCTTCTGTCAGCGACTTTGCGAGCACTTGCGCCATTTGGAAGTTCGGTTCTTTCTTTTAAGAAAAGAACTACGTCCTGGTTCTTTAGGCTAATACCTCATCGTTGACAGTTGGAGTATACGTATATGGGCTAGTAATATATATGTAAACAAGCAGTTTGGAGATCCTTTTCTTGGGTTGTTCAAGGTTTACCTTCAAGGTTTGACGTAGTACGGGATTGCGGGGAGATTTTGTGCAGATATAAAATGGGTTTCCTGTATATTTCTTTTCCTTTGATCTTTTTCTTCTGTCGAGGAATTCAAGATCGGAAGAATAAAAATTACGGGCCCTTGAGGATTTGCAAAGACTTGGTTATATACGGGATAAAAGAATAAATGAGCAGATGCCTTCCAGAATAAGATAATATCTACAAGCAGGTAGGTATATCCTCAAGAAAATGGTAAAGAGTAATGAGAATGGTAATAAGAAGAATTCTAGAATAATGATAATGATAATAATAATAAAACCTGCTATGCTATGCATGACCTCATATGCTTCGTAATATACAATTCCAATTCCCATAATAATACAGTAAACGAAAAGAAAGAAGAAGAAAAATCCCTGATCGATAACCCATACTACCTCCCTTAGCCTTATGATAAAAGGGAGGCAGTGATCGAGGGGAAGAGAATCTATAATATAAACAAGAAGAGAAGGTTACACAGAATTTCCCGGTTCTTTTCCTTTCCTCCACCCCTTTCCTATGTATGTGTGTCGGATGGAAAAGGAATTCCCGCCATATGCCCAGTTTTCCCCACCGCGTCTAATATGCACCGTGCTATGATAATGATGATGATGATGATGATGTATACAAGAAAGGAAAATCGGGACAAAAAGAATAAAGATGAAGAATGAAGACAAATGAAATAGATATAGGTTTGAATCTGATATTGTAAGATGATAACTCCCGATGTGTTTGTGAGATTGATATAATAACAATGAAAAGCCGTGACCTAAGGAAATAGAAACGCCACCGTTGATATGCCGTTAAAAGAATGACTAACTTTTGGGGTTGTTGTTGTGAAGAGGTAGATGATGGCGAGGAGGAGGAGAGGTGGTTTAACCATTGCAGAGTCATAATTGCAACCACCACCTGTCTACCCGGGAAATGGAGTTGGAGTGCTTTCGACCCCCACTATGATGGCTAAAGGTCTCCCTCTCGTCGTCGCTCTGGTCGTCACAGCTGCTGCTATTGCTGCTCCACAGCCCCTTGAAGTGAGAGATTGATAATCTCGGTCGGATCAAATGTCTCCGTCTGGAGGCACTCCCACTGTTCGATGATATTGTTGTTACCGTCCCCATCTGATGGTGATGATGCGACCTGACTGATGTCGGAGGAGGCACAGAGTCGTAAAACGGTGCTATTAAAGACAGTTGATTACAAGGATGTGTAGAGTTTAAGATTCCCATTCCATGAGGCGTCGATCGCGGCCTTGCATCGTCGTAAAGTGACGCATATGGTAAGACTGGGGATGAACTCCCTGACGACGAAGATGTATAACCGCAGGATGGTATTGTCGATACCGGGGATTGAGATGGGCAGCTGCTGGGCGTGAGGATGTCGGCGCAAATGTTGCAGTAGGAGTGGTTGCAGTTGCATCTTGTGCAGGTGCTGTTAGACTGGCTGCATCTGCAGCATGTCCATTCGAATTCCATGTTTGGATGTGTGTTTTTCTTTGAAGGGGGTGTGTGTATGTGTTTGTGTATATGAAGAGATCCCAAGCCAATGGTCCCCTTCTGTTATATCCTTTTGAACAAGTTTTTCCTCAAGATTTTCCTTGAGTAAATGTATGTGTATATATTCGATATGCTTGTGTAGTAATACTAGTAGTGGTGACGTAGATTGGAAACGAAGGTTATGTCGACCTGAGTCGAAGATCAGGTTAAATGGTGCATGGTCTATGCAAGATAGTGTGCGGTGGATCTGCCCGTCCTTATAAATCGGGGGCTAAAAAAGTCCAAAGGCTTGGTGCGATCCAAGCACACCACCCAAGGAAAAGAAAGGAAGAAAGAAGAAAAAAAGAATGTTGAAAGAAAATTCCTCGAAGACAAGGGTGGGAGGTGGTGGTGAGTGTGTGCTGCGGTGGGTTTGCTTGAGTGGGCATTAGCCTCACATTCCTAGGATAAGGCCGGGGCACGCAGAGGAAAAAAGTGACGAACCCACATTCTCCAATAGGGGGGCTTGAACAGCAAATGATCGCAGGTTGATATGGCCACGAGAGAACGGACATTCTGCTTGGGAGGAATATCGCGCACAGGTCACCACATTCAATAACCCCCTTTGGACGGGTATTCTCTGCGTGATGGCATGGCATTTCTCGAAGGATCTTAGGGGATCTTGGAACAGGATGTGTGGTGGAGAAAGATTGAAAATGGACAAGTCCAACCTCCCCTGCTTAGGCTTTCGGACTAGGAGTGACCCCTGCAGCGCGCTCACCGGCGAATTGCTTGAAAAACGGACCAGAGTTAGAGTGTGTGTGCTTCCAACTGCTTGAAACGGGATGGTGTGAGGAAGAGTGAAAACCCACCGTCCTTCCAAGATAGACAAACCCCCTTCGTACCCTTCGAGAAATGTCGACAAGTCCCATGGATAACAATCCCCTTTCGACAGGTGGTGAACGGGTGTTTTCATCAAAGCAGGCAGGTGATTTTACTTTGTCTGTCGAAATTCCTTGTCCGGGGACGGGTCTTGGAGGAATCCGATTGGGCACAGTTCCCTATTTCCGATTGGAATGTGTTGTGCATGTCGTGACATTGACCTGCACATTCCAGCACATTTGTCTCTCTTTTTAACGTAGTATGTATGCACAGATGTGATGTGAATTGTAAGTGCAGTGTGTAAGCACATGTGTGCGTGTGTGTATGTACGTGATGTACGCGATGTGGTTGGTGCCGTGGTGTTCATGATGTGGAGAGACGATATACGTCAGCCGGTTAATAGTTCCTCGAGCCTCCCCTTGAATCACTTTCCAACGTTTGACGGGGGTCTTATATGTCCTACATAGTACATACATAGTATTTACTTAGTATGTAGTATACTCTGTAGACTCGACTCGACTCGACTGTGCTGTGCTGTGATATCCTATTCTATTCTATTCCTAGTCAGGCCGCGCCGACACATCTCTGGCACATCCGGTGTCACAAATGGCTAACGAGATAGTCTATCGGCGAGGATTGTCAATTTAGGCAGGAGCCAGGCGCTAGTTATCTCCATTCGTTCATGATCATTCATCCATTCATCGCTTATGCAAACATGTTAACAAAACTTTTGACAAACTTTTTTTATTTTATTTTGCTATCTCGAATTGATTATGCAATCACATGAATTTGAATTCATGACTGCGCTCTCGTTAACGAACTAACATATACGAAGTATGCAAAACAAAAGATGGCTTCGGAATTGGTTGTATTTATGGTGAATTCAGTCGTCATCGCTATTCTCAACCAATTCTTAAACTTTAAACTTAAACTTAGGAATTCGAATTGGGATGCCGTTGTATGTTGTCAAGATACACGCATTCGTGTGCATATATCCACCACCTACCTATACCTAGGTATGAGTATGTACGTACTTACATAGTTTACTAGTATGTGTGTACATTACGTACGGAGAGGTTTTTCCGTGATACCACGGAATCGACGACTTCGCCTACTAGTTTTCAAGGAGATCTAGAATTGAAACTTTGAGGCTGTAGGAATTAGGTATGTTCGAAGGGGGATTTTCTGTTATCGTTTTGAACCGAAAGTTGGCTTTATTTTCTTTCTTTTTTGTTTTTTCTTTTCCTTTCCTTTCCTTTCCTTTCTTTTCTTTGCAAAGCTCAGGCATAGGATTTTGCACGAATTCCATGTTGTACATACACATACCTGCTGTGTACTCGCGTGCCCATTCTTGCGGATGGCGAGCGGTTCGAGGCTGTGAATAGTAGCATGTTTTGCATGGTGAACGGCAGGGCCGAGTGATCAACTGTGATAGTGATAACTGCATTCCTTCCAGCCGTAGCTGACATATATGCATACATGCCCATGATTCAATCAATAATAAAGCCGAGATACAGTTATTAGTGAATCGCAATGGCCATGAGCAAAGGGGAGTAGGGGAGCTACAGCAGAACCATGGATACGAGACCCCCCCCCCCGCGTGGGTTGGATCTGTTACTGGTAACGTTAGAAGTAGGGTCCGCTTGGCTTCCATCATCAAGCCTATTTTGTATAATAAAATCATATAAAATTATAGAATGGAACAAAAATGTCATGAAACAAAATGTGATCACATATCCTATTTATACTCTTATATATGGTGATATGATTTGAATCGACTTGTGACTAGGATTCGCGGAATATATTTTTATATGATAGCTGGATCTTGTTACAATTAGAGTGAGAGATTGGATCTGGATCTGGAACATGAACGAACATACTATGTATGTTTATCTCCGGATCTTTTGCCGGTCTGGGCGTGATTTTAAACCCTTTCTGCTCATATATTCGGCTTAGAACGTTAAGCTGAATCGTGGGTCTCATAGCCAAGGAATATGCATATATGCAGCGTGGCTTTGCAATTTGGAGACCAATAATTTGACGTCAAAGTGGCGTGGGCACATGTTCGTTTGACAGCGGAAATGGCAACTTTGGGTTGGTGTTTATAACATGTTATATAACTTTATTAAGATTAAGGAGCCTCCAACTTTAACTCTTTAACTGCGTATTAATATAATTAGTATCCATAACACTGCTCTGAAGCAATATATTAATAATTTGGTGTAACAGGGAATTAGCTATTAAATCTTCAATGCTCATCATTTAACATTAAATACGGCCTGAATGATGTCTGTAAGGATCAAAAGAGATACTACGTATAGTTGAAAGGGGATGGATTTTGACCGATGGCTTCCACGATCCGCGCAGGCCCGAACATGATGGCATAATAGTTGCATGTGCCATGCCGAAAGACTTCGACTCACAGCGCCGTGGATTTAAATCAAGTCCTCCGTCAGAAACATCGAATTTCCAGCCGCGGCAAAGGCCGAAATCTGGGGATTCCTCGTAGTTACCTAACTTAGGCCGCGGGACTTTAACTTGGCGACTCTTATCGATCTATGCCTGGGGATCCACTAGAGCTAGATCGCTCAAATAGACCAATACAATAATATGAATGCACTTCTGTACCCCATGCGCTTCGGTGTAACCTTGATAAAGGGTGTCTGTAATACCGACATGACCAAGAATATCAATTCTTGAGCTTGATATCGGACCGGGAACAATCGAGTACGTACGAATTCATCGGACCCAAATCCACTCGACCCATACGAATACGAAACAACCCTCTTCCTTTTTCGAATGGGAAAACTGGCACCTTGTCGCACCATGTTGGTGCCATTATAGCGGAGTTAGGGACACAAGCCCCCACAAATTACTAGTATTTCCCCAGTTTTGCGGTCCCACTTTTTCAATCCAGGACCTGCAACAGAACAATTTAGAATTTCTCCCAGCTAGCTCATAGTATATAGCTACAGTTAGACTATCACAGTTAGACTATCGTAATATGCACATGGTGTGTAGACCCCGGCTACCAGTTTCTTTCTTTCTTTTTTTTTTTTTCCTGTTTGCGAATCTGACATGGTTAACTACGCATACATGCAACAAGTTGACAGAAAAGAAAGAAAAGAAAAGTTTTTTTTTTTTTTCAGATCGGACCCAAGATACGGGAAGCTCGGTTCCTTTCAATACCTACCTTTCTAGCGCCCCGTCCGTCCCTTTGCCGGCTAAGAAGCAAACGTCGGGAGAGATGATATTATAAGAACCTTTCCTCTCCTCCTCTTTCTTTTCAACGTTTAATATCATATCCCGAAGCAAATATTGAACCAACAATCATATTCAATCGTTATTGAATTACTACACATTCGAATAGCTTTACTTTGATAGTCGGGCGCCCGTTCGATTCCGCATTCCACCGTCTATTGAAAATGTACTCGACGGTCCTTATTGTTGGCGCTGGCGAGAGCGGTCTCTGCATGGGAGCCCAGCTCAAGAAACAGCTCAATGTCGACGACTTTGTTATCTACGAACGACATGGCGATATAGGCGGTACTTGGTATACGAACAAATATCCAGGTAATTAACTTTTCTTCTTATCCGCTGTATTTGGGAGATGGTTGCAGGTGGAGGGGTGTTTTAGTCTCCCTTCGCCTATTCCCGTATTGATTCGATTTTTATTCGATACCCGCTTTAACTTTTCGAACGCGAGAAATGTCAGACTAACATCGGACCGAAACTTTCATATAGGTGTGGCCTGTGATGTGTAAGTTGTTTTATATATCTAGCGATCCATCTTTTACGATCGAACTATCTGTATGGACTCTAGCATCGATTCGCTCTGAGCCGACACCCGTTCAAATGAATAGACACCATAATATAATCCTTGTCACGGCTTTTTTTTCCATTCCTGCGATGTTTGATAATATATGCAATTCAGTTCAGCCAGTTCAAATTGCGAATACCGCCGACGAATCGCTAACTAATTGAAATTACAATTAATTATGTAATTGCAGGCCGGCTTTATGTTATTCCTACTCATTTTATAGGCATCCTGGATGGTCGGCGTTCTACCCACAAGGTATGTACATACATATTACATCCATCTCCATCCATCTCTACATCAATTACCCCCCTTCAGCCTCAAATACAAATATCTATCTCGGTCGAATTAAATATATAATATAACAGGCCCCGAACTTCACGCCTACTTTACAAAATTTTGCGACGACAACGATCTCCGTCGCCACTGTACCTTCAACACCGAAGTCGAAACCGCTGTCTACGACGAATCAAGAAAAATATGGTCCGTGCGACTACGACGTCGTCCTGTCGCAGACTGGGAATTAAAAACTGGGTCTCAAGATAAAAAGTTACATACCATCGGAAACGTCGGTGATACCTGGACTCACGAATGTAAAATATTTATCTCCGCGGTCGGTGGACTCGTTGAACCCAGTACCATTGATATCAAGGGTATGGAGGGTTACCAGGGGAAGATATTCCATTCGGCTTATTGGGATCATACCGTTGATCTGGAAGGGAAGGATGTCGTATTGATCGGTAACGGGTGTACAGCCGCTCAAATCATGCCCGCTATAGAACCCCAGGTCAAATCCGTCACTCAGATAGTCCGTTCTTCGCATTGGATGCTTCCTCGTCCGAAATTCCCGGGTATAAGCCCAGACACCTACGAGACATGGTCGCCCAGAATATTCCGCTACCTCCCGGGTTCGCAAACCATCGCCCGGGCACTCGTATTCACCAGCATCGAAGCCGGTTGGCTAGCCTTCCGAAATGGAAAACTAGGAGAACGCATTCGAGCAGCGCAAGAGAAACATAGTATAGCTCATGTCAAACGTAATGCACCGGAGAAGTATTGGAATCTATTGATTCCAACTTTCCCAATTGGTTTCAAAAGACGGATTTATGACGATACCTACCTCCCGGCCTTAAAATCCAACAAAGTAACATTAACAAAGGACGAAGTCACCCATCTATCCGAAAACGCCATTCATACAGCATCAGGGGCAGAATACAAAGCGGACGTAGTAATCATGGCGACAGGTTACAAAACTAACGAGTGGATAGCACCCCTTGACGTTGTCGGTAGGAAAGGCGAAACTTTATCCCAACATTGGGGGAAAATGGGGGGTCCCGCAGCATATAACTCTACCGCTGTATCTGGGTTTCCAAATTTCTTTATGATCTTTGGACCCAACTCTGTAACCGGACATACTAGCGTTATTCTGGCGACGGAGAACATGTGTCAATATGCTTTAAACATTGCTAAGCCCGTGTTGAAGGGGGATGCGAGTGAGGTGGAGATCAAGCAAGGCGCCGAGGTGGAGTATAGTAAATGGGTTCAAGAGAAAATGAAGGATACAGTATTTAATACTACTGGGAAGAAGGACAAGACTGTAAGTATTACTCTTCCCATCCCTTCTTTGTGAGGTTTGCGGGGCGCTGATATAATTGCGTGAATAGTGGTATGTAAGAGATGACGGCTGGAACTCGACAACTTATCCGTGAGTAAACCCCTCTCTTATATGACCTTATCTTACTAAAGAATAATGGCTAACATCTACCCAACACAGCCGTTCCCAAATCCACTTCACCTACCGCACATATTTCCCCGTCTACAAGGACTGGATGATTAAGAAAACCAACCAAGGAATCTGGAAGACTAGGGTTCGGAAGATGCTAGTTATATTCCTAATCTTTGGCTTCGGCGGAGCGAATCTTTGGCTGAGGAATAGAGGTTTGAGCTTTACGGATATTACGAAGATCGGGGCTGTACTGCTGGCTGATTCGTTGGACAAATTGGCTGGAGTTTTGAGGGCGGGTATCCAGTAGATACTATATATTATACCATTCTTTGTAACTAGTCTATGTAGAGGCCATGACGCTATTTGGCTTTGTTATTAGGTATGAAACCGGTTTATATATATCTTTTATGGCCAAGTCAATTGTAATATACTCTTTTTTCATCAACTGCGAATTAAATTGGCCTCAGGCTGAATTTTTAATCAAAGATCAAATGGAATGACATATGACATGAACGGGATAATGGTTGGTATATCCCCTAATTGTCTCGATGAATGTGGAGTGTATTAGAAGATAACAGCATAATGAAAGTAATTTTTTGGTGAAGCTCGCTGTAGACGATACGATATCAATAAAACCAGATCAGATCAGATCCCCTCCTGGGCACCTTGTACAGTACTTTTTGCGCCTAAGGGTAAGAAACTAAAATCAAAAAGCTTGAAAACCAAAGTTATTCCAAAAGAAGCCCGACCTGTTGATGTCAAAATGAAAATAAAGGCAGAAGAAGAAAGTGAAGAGAGATAAGCGAAAAGAAAAAGGAAGAAAAAGAAGAAGAAGAAAAAGAAGAAATAGAGACGAAGAAGGGAAATAAAATGCTATATACATACCATACCCTTCCGCGTTTGTATTAATCGTACAAATTGAATTGTCCCTGCCCAAAGTAAATGAACGCCAGTAAACCCAAATTCATTCAAGAACGGTTCGTGCATCCCATAAAAAGAACACCGGCATTACCACCCGATCGCCTTCTATCTCAAGCGCCCGGATTCAAACATCATCGTTGTCGTCGTATCTTCATCCTCATTAGAATCACCTAGTTAAGATAGAGTATTCAGCCCCGAATTACACTGTCCCCCATTCACGCATTCACCGACTCCAACTCCGCATATCAATCCATCCGCCAGTCCTCTGACCATATTAACGATCTTTAAACATAACGGATTTCTATCCCCCACCCAATTCCCCGTTGCAATGCGCTCGATAACCCCTCTTCCAACCATATCCTTTGAGATACTCGTATCTCTGCTCAATACCATTCCGTGCCGTGCTAACGAGCGGATTTCAACCTGGCCGAGGATATCCAATATTTTGTCCATCTCGTCGTTTACTACTTTTTTCGCTTGGGAACGGGGCATAACGTTATTGGAGGTTTGTAGGAATTGGGAGTACGCTCTTAATAATAAACCTAGCAACTGACCGACATTCATCAACGTGGTGAAGCACATGTTGCAACTGGCGCATTTCAAGCTTGTTTTGGTGATTTCGATCGCATTTGCGCTAATGGCAGTTATCTCTTCGAGGCTGATTGGTGGTGGTGGCGTGCTAAACGGTGTGGGAGGTGAGAGGTGTACAGGGTTGTATATCATCTTTTTAAGCGTCATTATCGCGGAAAAGAAGTGGAGAAGGCAGTCGCAGGTGAGGCCGAGGCTAGTTTCAGGGTTTATACCGAAGGCGGTCATGTCTCGAGGGCTCATTGCCGTGCCGACTTCGAGTGGAATTTTGGTATGATCTATCAGGTTTGATAGGACTGGTTGGGAGGAAGCATTAGTGCAGTGGAGGTGGTGGGCTACGTGAGGTGCAGAACATGATGACGGTGTCGATGGATTCGGTAGGGGACTGTCTTGTGACGGTGAGAGGTCACTAAGAAGAGACGAGAAATCGATGTTTTGAGCGGAAGGGTCGAAGAGGGTGTCCAGATCGGTGGTTACAGTATCGCTGGAACCAGCAAGACTGGGATCGAAATGCCCATTATTCGAGGAGCTTCTATTGGTCGTGTGGGGGATGCAACCCCCGACGTGGTGGTTATGTCTACGATCCAGCCAGTCGCAGCTTGTCAGCATTATGCCATCGATGTTCGGGGCGACCGCGTGGGGGTTTTTCTTAATCCTCACCCATCGCCCGACCCCAAGATGTTCAGGTCTAACAGCCTGCTTTCGTCACCCATAAAGACGTTATTTCCCTCGAGCCATTGATTCGTCGTGTTGTGTCCGTTGGTACTGTCGCCGGCGGAGATGCTAATGTAATTGTTGGTTTCTCCTTTGCCTATGGTGGCAGCTTGGTGGGCTCGGAGAGCGTCGCTTCTTCTTCGTTTTCGAGGCCTTCCCATCGTCTTTTGGAGGCTGTATACACAGGGAACGCCGTCTCGAACACATCGTGAACATGCTGGGTATTCGCCGGGACATTTGAGCTTTCGGATACCTTGAAAAATGCACCAGAGGCAGGTCAGTTTGAATTGGGATTGGAGTAAAAAAGAAAAGATGAACAATATGAGAAAGAGAAGAAAAAAAATTAGCAGGTGAAAAGGCAAACAACATACGGCACTCGTCGCAAGCCTTATGGTGCTTCTCCTTGTCGGTCATCATGCATCAGCGCCGAGGAAAGATGCCACGGCGGAAGAGCTAGTAGACGTCGGGTTCTGAAGAGAAAGGGTCGAATGGGAAAACAGATCAAAAGCCGGTTGGATTAATGTAAAAGACGGTTAAATTGTTAGCCTGAGAGATGATATGTTGTACGTATAGAGTGATAATGCCGACAGGTTGTAGTCGAAGTGGGAGTCGGATTGAAATTGATTTGATTGAAAGGAAGAGCTTGCTTGTTCACCCGGAGAGTTCGGGAGGGTTCTGAATCCGAAGCCAAGCCAAACTGGGGAAGGAATGTGCAGGTTCCCTGGTTTCCTTAATATTAATAGCCTGCGAAACCGAAAAATGGCAGATGACAGAAAATGCGGCGTCCGCTAGCTATAGTTAGCTATGGGGTGCAGATATTAATCGTGGCGATATTGTTGAGCGATGATGTCGATGTCGGGAATCCCAAATTCGAGGTTTCGGAAATATTGATATGGGGAAGGAAGGAAAGCTTTTTCGTGCTTTAAGACTGAATGCTTTGAGTTCGAGACAGGCCATCCGTCCATCCATCCAAGGCCAAGTCAAAAAACGAAGCTACCCCAGAAAGCCGAATGAGAATCCCTGATCAGATCACTTCGACAGGAGGAGGCAGACAGAGAGCTCGAGAGCAGGACGGACAGCAATGCAATGTATGCCATGGCTCGCGGAGGACATCTGGCATCGTTTTTAGAATAGAAAGACCGGTTGGCCTCGGACTTTTATTTTTTTGTTTTATTCTGGAGAAGCTAGCCAGATAGCAAGCAAGCCGTAGCCCAGCCAGCACATTCGCACGCAGATAACAAGCACCCGAGGGCTGTTTGTTCTGTTCGAAGGGGTGCCATGCTACCAGGGAGGCGGCTTTAGGTGAGATAGCGTCGTGCGACTTTTCCTTGCGTGGCACAAATGGTGGTTGGAGTGCCGTAACTGTTATGTAACAGGCCATCTCAAAGAGTGGGTGCTAGCGACCCCGGCTTGTAGCCGATGCACGGGACCCTGTTTGGGTCTGTCGGTTTCCTATATCAATCACATTAGGAGCATCTGGATTTGCAAGTTTTGTTGGTTAGTCCATGTTCGCGAGTAGATGGATGGATGGATGGATGGATTGGAATCAATGAAGGTCGGGGGTTCGTGTGTGTGTGTGTGTGTGTGTGTGTATGGATGGTTGAGAGGAGATGGTTGAGAGGACATCGATGCATTGGAAAGGGATTCGATTTGGGGAGCTAGCATGCTGTAGCTCGATGCAAGGGGTCCGGATCATACATAAGAGATAAGAGAGCAGAAGAAGAAGGGGAAACAAAAGTAGAAAATAGGTCAATGGTAAGAGACAGTATTTACGGCTGGATGCTTGTCCACAATTCACACCCTCTCCGCGTATATTATCAGTATAAGGTAAATTCAAAGAGATATACCTTGATATACACTTGAAGTATATATCAGGACGGGTACATTAGACATTAGAAAAAATGCAAAAGAAGAATTAACATGAAAAAAAAAATTAGACAACCGGAACGCCAGATATATGAAAACTCGGATCGAATCACAGCACCCTCCAGGCCCTCTCCCTTACTCTCATTGACCCTTCCCCAGGTTCGACTCCACACTTGAATTTTGTTTCTTCATGACTCGACGGAATAGTGTCTGCTGTACCTTCTCAAAGGTGCCCGTTGTCTCGGCCTTCTTCTTCTTCTCTGGAATCGTCCTCTCGTACGCCTCAATCTCATCTAACCCTTCAACTAAATCAATATCTATGCTCCTCCTCCACGTCGTCCCCTTAGTAAACTTCCAAACCAAAAAGATAACAGGAAACATAAATGGCATGGTATAACTAAAGAAAAACGTCGGCAGACTCCAGAATCCAGGCAAGAAGACGGTGAACCCTCCAACAAATGTCATGACAAAGGTAAAAAACAGGGAGTAGTATGCCGCATATGGTTGAAACATCCCACAGAACGGAAGTCTACCCTTCCTATCCAATCCCTGTGCAATACAAGCCCGGTGAAATTTGATATAAGTGAAGCTGCAGACGGCATAGTTCATTAACTGCGAGGAAGTAACTAATCCAATAAACCAGTTCAAAACCTGCGCAGTCCCGGCCGAAAGTTGGAGGAACGCCAACAATGAAAAGCACATAACCAAGCCTACGCAGTAGATGGGAACACCGACTTTGTTGGTCCTAGTAAATATCTTAGGCGCTTTTCCCTCGAGAGCCAGACCAAAGAGACAACGGCTCGCACAAAAAACATACGAGTTTCCAGCGCTCAGAGCGGAAGTGAATACCAGAGCATTTACAATGTGGGGCAATACTCCAATTTGAAGCCTCTGCATAGCTAGCACGTATGGTGACCCAGCTGCTCCTGCCGTTGGCTTTCCAAGAAGGTAGATGTCAACGAGATCTTTAGAGTTATAGGGTACCAAGACCCCAACGGCGAGCGAACCAAGGACGAAGAAGGTTGTAAGACGGAAGAAGACACCCTTAAAGGCCCTGGGGAGGGTCTTACGGGGATTCTGGGTTTCACCAGCTGCCATCGCGACATAGTCCGGGCCGGCGATTGTGAAACTAGCTTGGATGAAGCAGGCGAGAAATCCCATGAAGCGACCGAGGCTTCCGGTGTGGTAGAATTCAGCAAATGCGCCCTTCATTTTCTGTTAGTGCAGGTCAAGGGAATAAGATTATGAGCTGTAGACTTACCGGATTGCTCCAGTATCGGAAACCAAATCGATCGTGTAACGGGTTCCCTCCCAGCATGGTGACGAAGGTGAAAATCAGGAGCCCGACGATCAATATGACCTTGCCGAGGGCCATCCAGAATTCGGCTTCGCCATACCATTTAACTGTAAATATATTGGCGAAAGTGTAAACCACGATTATAAGACTGATAATTATTGCAGGGTGGACCGATGTCGACCCGGGCCAAAAACTTAAAATGAAAGCTGTGTTGAAAAAAATTAGCAACCATAAATATTAATCTTTGAGTATTTCTATAGATATATATACGTACTAGTTGCGACAATTTCAAAAGGGACCATCATGGCCTCGAATATGAAGAAGCTATTGAGAAGTTGTCAGTGGTCTTTCTTTTTATATACTTATAGGTATATATAGTTGGTGTTGTATAGGATAAACTTACTTGTAGCCAGTAGCGACACCGAAGGCTTCATCCACGAAACGACCAGCGAATCGAATGAATGGGGAGGATATGGGGAGATAGGACACCATCTCCGCCAAACAATTGTTAACACAGAGGACAACCGTGCTCCTGTAATTTCGCCATCGTGTTAGCTTTTTTTACCCTCGCTTCATTATCTAAATATCCGATTATGATCGATCTGGTGGATATGGATTCCTTACCAAAGTGTAAAGCCGAGGAACAAGCTAGCTGGCCCACCAAGAGCCAGTCCCCTTCCTATGGCGACAAATAGGGCAGTGCCTATAGTACCACCGATCCCGATGAGCTGAACGTGACGTTCTTTTAACTGTCGGTGGGTGGTATCGTGTGAACGCGGAACGTTCACATCACCGGTGCTAATTGACTCCGCAACACCGATGACGCCGCTAGCAGACTTCTCGCTGGCGGGGAAATCCTCGCCTGGTGAACTCGAACTTGAAGTCATCGTGAATGTTTTGCAGGAATATTTTCTGTGAGGTTGATTGCAGTTAAACTTGGAGCCATGGAAAATCGAAAAATAAAAAAATAAAAACTCAAATTTAAAGAAATCGAACGTCCGGGCGTTTTCTTTATATTTAATTAAGTGTATACTCAATCGAGTAGTAGTTATTGGCAAAAGCACAAGCACCAGTACATGCCCAGGGAATTTTCCGTCGTTTCGTTAAATTTGAAGTCTCGCAAGGCAGGCGCAGGGGTCTTGTTCTGAATCCCGTCGAGGGCTGTTTCGGCTGACCTGGAAGGGTGTCAGACCAAGCATGCGGGCTTCCCTGCTTGGGCGTCTGATCCCCTGTTGTTCCTCTCCTGGCTGACTAACCAAAACTATCCTAGCCAGCTGGGTAGACCTCGAACAAAACAATTGTGCAGACAGGCAGGGCCAAGTCACGAATTGTCTCTGCGGACTGGCCGAAGTCTTGAGGAGATATCTTATGTATCTGGTGTCTAGACTAGTGGTGGTGGTGGTAGTGGTGGTGCTGATGGTGCTGATGTGAATTCATGAAGAATGAATGGTGAACCAATGATATCCATCTCGATATCCATCTCGATAACCAGCTCACGATCACCTCGTCCCGAACCGTTATGTTACGTTCGCCATGGAGAATACTTCTCCATGAACTCAATAATATTCACTCGATCATATGAAAAATCATGATCATGATGAACTAACCGGGTATTGCAAAGTACTACCATCGACCGTCATATCGTGTCAACTGCAGGTGTATGTACGTTCTCAGACGACTCCAAACCATCGGCAAGGACCAATATCGATCGACGTCCGCGCTGCCTCTTCAGCTTTGCTTACTCGCATTCCACGACAAAGGCCAAGCCGTGGCCGCTTTTCTGGGGCTGTGGCCTGATCCAGTTAGCAAGCCGAGCAGGTCCTATATCCGGCATGCATTCAGGGTCCATCCCATCGCTGCTGCCTGGGCGAGCAAACCGTCATGAGGATTTCCGGGTTCCCATCAAAAAGCTAGAGCCTGTGCAGCCGAATTCAAGAATTTCAACTTTAAACTCTTATCCTCCTCGTCATCGTCATGCATACATAGGAAGGCTGAGGTTCGGTCCAATTATTTCACGGGAAAGATGAGCTCTTTTCGCAATTTCATGTCAGTCCAACCCCTACCCCTTCCATGGAAAAGAATACACCATGGATCGATTACAAATGAGCACTGTACAGGGGAAACATCGATATATACACCTTTGTCCAGTTGCGCATGCGATAATGGTTCCGATTGGATGATCCATCGTCTTTTTCGGCGGTCGGCTTCACGATTTCATGAGGGTTTTAATTCTCATTAGAATAGTATAATATAATATGCGCTGCATGCTGCATGCCTCTCGAGCTCCCCATGCGATTGCACATGCAGACATGTGCACGTCTACAAGCCATCATCGTTTCAAGCTTTAAAACTCAGAAGAGGTTACTTTCTGAGGGGGCAAAAACGTGTCGTCGGTATCCACATGCACCCGTTTGGCCATTTGGACGGCGATAATGCATGCACTGTGCATTGGTGAACCGGATGCTTGCTTTGCTAACTGTTACACACAGCAAGCTTAAGCCATCGCCCTTCGGATCGTAAGCCTAAGAGTCGACGATGCAATGCAAATGGGGAGAAAACTTTTGAGGTTCGATTACTGATCTTGAATTAACCGACAAACCCTTGTCTTTCATATCGCGCACTGCCATTCCAAAGCCACCGTGCTGCAGAATTTAGGAAAAGAGGTCCAAACGGGTCATGTATAAAATTCCTATATCTAGAACATATCGATGAAAGACTTCGATGACCTAACAACTTACGCGAATTCTGCATATTTCGCGCCTCGACGCAGGCTAGAAAACAGGAAGCTTAGAATCGACTAGAATCTAAGCCTTCCCCGTCGACCCACAAACATCCATCTGCCACTCCATCAACTTGATTACATGCTCCACCCCTTCCTCCATGAGCTTTGTAAGACTCAACTTACTAGCATTCCCTTCAAGATGAACCAAATAATCATCCAGCACGAGTTTGTTCACATTGACTTTCGAAACACCTTGTCCGATACACCGCTTCATCACATCCTCCGGGAAATCGTTGGTACCATGAAGCACAATCCTAACTCTACCGTTAATCGCCTTCCTGATATCATCAAGTCGTGCATAATCCAGCTGCGGCCCTCTCTTCCCATACTCTCCGTGGACATTTCCAAAGCTTGGGGCTAAGAAATCTACACCTGTAGCCAAGAAATCTTCGATATCCTCAGCGGTTGTCAAAAGGCCCTCGAGGTCAGCAGTATCCGCGATCCCGTCCTCACCACCCTCGATCCTTCCAGGTTCAGCTTCGGTGGATATTCCGCGAGCGTGACAATATGCAACCAAATCTTTTGTCTTCTGCAGATTCTCTTCCTTCTCGTAATGCGACATGTCAACCATGATACTGTCGAATGGGAGAGTATCGGCCGCAAGTCGGATCATATCTTCATCTTGAGCGTGGTCTAGATGGATCGCGATAGGTACTGAAGCTGTTTTTGCGGCTTGTGCCGCGGCGTGGACGAGTAGACCGTTTGAGAAGGTGATTGCCCAGGGAAAGACCTGGATTATCAACGGAGAACGTTTTTGTTCCGCAGCTTTGACCATGCCGATTATTTGCTCGATATTGTAGCTATACATATTTCGACATGTTTTTTTTAGTCCTGCTTGATACGCGAGTGGTAATGACTGAGGCTTTCTTACACTATAGCGGCGATAACACCGTAACCACCTTTTTCCGCTGCATCCAGGATTTGGATGGTCTTGTTCTTGCTACGCCAGTCTTTGGCAGCGCCGTTTGTGCCGTTCGTGGGAGCCATTATTAAGTATAGACAAGATATTGTTCTTGAAAACAGCAAGTCTCTGTTGAAAGGGTTTAGGATATAGAATTGAAATTGGGAATACTGTGTATATATATCGAAATCTAATTATTAAATCAACGGGCTATTGAAGATGTCTATAACAGAAGCTCAACGAAAACAAATCAATTTATTATATGCCCATCCTTATACCCGCCGGAATGGTCCGTCTTTGTCAATTAATCGGCAAGATGCCATTTGCTAGCCTTCGATGAATCCGGCTTGATACCCCGGATTTGCGTTCGATAAACCCATGTGGGGGGGGTAGACGAGCTCACAATTCAAGTGAGTCGAATCCTGGAATTTCTGAAGCTTTGAACATTCGGGTTCTTGGACTTTTGGTGGCGGGGTTGTTGACCTCGTCCCGGGTTCTCGTCTCGGTTCACACCAAAAGTTTTATACCATAGACCTCGTCTCTGTGTCCCAAACGTTAACGGGCGGGATGGGGATCCACAACAGGGGTTTTCAAGGAAATCAACCGATATCAAAGCTTGACGCTAGTTATAACGTTAAAATAATCTCAATTACCTGTATTCTTAGTCGAGCCGTGACGCCGAGAAATCTCGCCTTGCTGCACGCCCGATCGTCCACGTTTCCTAACATGATCCAGGAACTCGGGTTCGGATCTGTAGCCGAATTGTTTAACCGACTTATATAGCTTGGCCTTCTAAGTTAGACCTACTTTACTTCAAGTTTGGTATTTGTTCGGTAGACTTTTCTTCATTGGCCGCTAACTATAAAGATAAAATAAATAAAAAAACAATGATAATCCCATACGTAACCCGTTCCTTAAACCTTCCCGCCCTAGCCTTGCTTCACATTCTCGAACAATCGCGAAATCAACATGGTAAGATAAACTCAATACCGCATCTGAGCTTTAACAGAACGCGAGTGCACCCGAGGCATGCATTTTCAAAGCGAATTGAACAGATGTCAAAAGCGGAAGAAAGGTGTGCTTTGCCAAAAATCAGATCGAGACGTATCAAAAACCATCTTCCATCACATGATCCTCCAAGCTAACCGCTTATTCTTATAGGTTGGACCTAATACCTATATTTCGCAACCGGAAACCAAATTATAAGAAACTATCACACAAGGAATCAAAGAAAAAAGTTGCCCAAGAAAAACAATAAGGGAGTGGGGGTGAGAAAGGGGTGGAAAGAAAGAAAGAAAAGAAAAGAAGAAAAGAACAGGAAGTAGTTGAAGATGGTAGCAGTTTACCCATCATCCAACACCATTCATAGCTTACCCTCAATTTTGACCGGTTCTCCATGAGATCCATATCTCGGTCCAGCATTAACATTTCCAGTGTCATGTCCAAATTTCTCAGAAGGTGTTTGATTTGCCACCTTGAGAGGATCGTTCATTCCATTATGTGAACCATTGAAAGACAAATCCTTAATACCGGGATAGCCCTGAACACCAGTGGCCTTCTCAAGACGAGATCCCAAATCTGGGCTGACCTCACCGAAGATTGCAATCATTCGTTTGATAGCGTCCTTGTGGTGGCAATTTGCCATATGACCCGAGATGTTCTTGACGAATCTCTGTCTTGCGCCCTCGTCGAATACTCGTTCCCAGAGAGCTCGTGGAGCGTTAAAGTCTTCGGGTCGAATTGAAGAGAGGTAGCTGACGGCATTGCCGATGAAGTGGCCGTGGGTCTTGTCGATATCTACGACTGGGGGTTTGAATTGAACTGGTTCAATGGAGGAGAGGTAGTTGGCTCTGCCGCCTTGGTTGTGGAACGCCATGGCGCCGTCGCGTTGAAAATTAGCGAGGCGGAAGGGGCAGCGCGGGGCATTGACTGGGAGTTGTTGGTAATTTGTGCCCTAGTTCTTTGGTTAGTATCCTATCATCATTACAATAACACTGACGTAGGTTTTGCCTTACAATGCGATGCCTCTATAGCAGGATGTCGTTAGTATAGTAGCTTTTATACGCAAAAATAGATGGCGATTACTTACGTGGGTATCTGGGTAAGAGAACAATCGAGATTGAAGAACAGGGTCTGCAGACGGTTCAATACCTGGGACGAGATGAGACGGGCTGAAGGCAATCTGCTCGATCTCTGCAAAGTAATTCTTCGCATTCTCATTCAAAACGAGCTTACCAACCTCTCGGAGAGGGAACTGCTTCTGCGGCCAAACATGAGTCAAGTCGAAGACGTTGATCTTTTGTTTCTCCCAGAGTTCCTCGGCTTCCTTTGGTGTCATGGTTTGGATGAACAGTGTCCAACTAGGGAACTGGCCGTTCTCGATCGAGTAGTAGAGGTCTTTCTGGGAGTGGTCTGGGGAGTGGCCATTGGCTTCCTCGGCGGGGATCCATTTGATGCCCTGGTTGGTCTTCCAGTGGATTTGAACGTAGACCCATTCGCCGGTCTTGTTGATGAATTTGAGAGTGTGGCCGCTGTATCCGTTCATGTGTCTGTATCCATCGGGAATGCCACGCTAGGCGAAATTTTGATGTCAGCATTGTGTAAGAAGCCTCCTCATACCAATTTATGAACATACGTCACCCTAGGGAAAAGCAGTTAGTAAATCTAAGATAGCACGTCATTTTCAAGGATAAAAAGGATAGCTTACGAAGAGGATCATGACTTGATGGACAGCTTCTGGGTTTTGGCTCAAGTAGTCCCAGAACATAGTTGAGTCGTCTCCACCGCTCAAGTGAGTAGCAGGATGTCTTTTCTGAGTGTGGATAAAATGTGGGAACTTGGCGGGATCTCTTAAGAAGAATACGGGAGTATTATTGCCAACAAGGTCCCAGTTTCCCTCGTCCTAAGTTAAAGGGTAAGTATATATTTTCGAGACTTTTTTCTCTGTATTGGTTTAACTAACAGTTCTAGATTGTGAAAATACTATCTTAGTCATCGGTATTGGCGGTGTATGTCTGGCAAGACAATGAGAAAAACATACCTGAACTTTACTGCGAAACCGCGAGGATCACGAGCACAATCGTGCGAGCCGGACTCGCCACCGACGGTAGAGAATCGAATCGATAGCGGGCATTTCTTTCCCTTCTGTGAGAACAAGTCGGCAACTGTGAGTTCAGGAATGGGATTTGTGCATTCAAAGTAGCCGTGGGCACCAGAACCCTTTGCGTGGACGACACGTTCGGGAACTCGCTCTCTGTAGGTTATGTGAATTAGCGGTCCGAACATATGCTCATGAGAATGTTCCTCCAGATATAGATGAGATGGGTGAAGATGTACCTATCGAAATGGGATAGTAGATCGATCAAATGGAAATCCTGGAGCAGCAGTGGTCCATTTTCCCCAGCCCTCTGGGCACCGTATGGATGAGGATGGGGAGCACCATTGCTAGTAGCATAGAGTGTATCTTGGGATTTAGTATCCCTATCCTCGACGTAGTCCCTCGATTGGGAGTTCTGATAACCTGTGAACTTGTTGGACATGGTTGGATATCCTTTGATGTTGCTTGTGTGGTAAAAGTTTGGGTGACGATGGAGGGATAAGCTGAATCTACGGGCGATGGAAGGAGCACGACGAGCCCACATGGAGGTCAGTTGTTTTATACTCTTTTTCTACTTCAGACACAGCTATAATTTGTAACAGAAAAAAGAGGGGAATGAGAAGGGGGGAAGGCCATGGGCATGCAGTGGCTAAACTTAAGGGTACACGAAATTACTTTTAAGTACTGTAACGTATAACGACTCGACGGGACGGAATGTACTGGGACTGGACTGGGTTAGTAATGCTATTCAGCTGCAGTGCCACTGTACTCGACTGTACTCGAAATCAGGAAAAGTTTATATATGCAATTGGCCTGCAGGTCGACTAGATTACCAGTTCCGGTACAGAATCCCAGGAGGTTGACCAATCACTGGATTCTAGATGCAATAGTATTATTGCCTGGCCCTGTTAGTAATTAGTCTGCCCCCTTGCAATTGGAGCTTGAACGAGAGAGAAAAAAGCGGGGTAGAGAAACGGCCAATGCGTAGAAGGTACGTCAAGTTACTTGTGAAGCTTCGACTTGCAATGTACGTTCCAACGATCTCACGTTCGCGACTCAGGTCAACTTACCGGCTCACAAGCTTCAATACTAGAAATCCTTGGCAAGTGGGTCTGAGCTCAGTAAGTATTTAGTGAAATGCTCGTTGGGTTAGTAATCCGGACTGAGACGGTTGAGTTCTAGAAACTAGAATCGATCGTGATCGAGTGAGGAAATGACCTTCTGGCAAAGAATTTAAGTATTTTCGTGCACCTGTTGGTCCAAGATAAAGGTGGTGACGCGAGTAATGCCATGCTCCACACGGTGTCTTTAATTGCCAGGAATCCGGCGATATCCCTCGCAAACCTGCCGGGTCTGACGTCTTCGATCCGGTCTGAGAGTCCTTTGGCCACTCACATTGCGTCCATTACAAAATTTGGCCCCACCCCCAATGCAGCAGTTCCTGCCGCTTGTGCATGTCGGTATTAGTTCGATGCATGAACATTAAATCTGGGGTTCAAAGACGACCAAAAAAAGTTGCCGGCTCGCTTGTCTTCGGAAGCTCCAGCTTCGGGTAACAGCTCATGGACAAACACGTATCGCGCGCACCTAGCCTGTTCCGATACTGTTAAAACATTTCAACACCCCGCCGATAAAGAAAAATTCAAATTATTTTGATAACCTTGTTTTTATTATTACAGCTATGAATCTACGGAATTGTCAGAGTTGGGATGGGAGGGCGATATATTCACAATTCCGACCTTTATTGAAACCCGCCAAACACAAATGATGTAAAGAACTCGTCAAGCATGAGGTTGGGATCATTCATTATTGAATCCTTGGCGATAGTGTTAGCATATTTATTGGGGACGATCGATTATTTGGGAGAGCCACTTACGAATAGCGCCGATGGTATCGGCCCATACTGCTCACCGCCACTAGATATCTGTTGCGAATGGGTTTTATCCCGTAAATCCGCCATGTCGACCGCCCGTGCTGCTGCAGATGTAAGGTCAGGTGTTATATCCGCTCCCGGAGAGTCGGTAGTTACCGTTTCCGAGTTCGTTATCATACTAGGGGCGCCTTCTTTAGTGCTCTGCTCTCCATCTCCGGAAGCCTGGCCTTTCTCATCCGAGTTAGGCGGTGGGAGCCCCAGAGCGATCCTAACTTTCTGTGCAGCATTACGTATTGAATCGTTCAAACTGGCGACATATTCCTCTGAAAATATCACCGCTTTACCTTCTTTGGCTGAAACCAACGACGGAATTTTGAGCGCGGTAGCAATGAAGAGCTGGAAATGATGCTCTGATATTACCGCCTCTTTTTCACCCATTTCTTGGCTGTCTAGAATGCTTCTGTACTTATCATCATTGTGAATATCAATGTTATCTCGTCTGCGTATGTCAGCATAGCATAGGAGGAAGGAAAGTGTGAACATTTCCTTGAAGACTTCGGCAATCCAAATCCCGTTGACGGAATTGACAGATTTGTCGAGAGAGAGCTGTTTCCTCTTTGCTATGAAAGTAGTCGCATGCTTGAGGGCTGCAAAATAGCTGTTGGGATACTGTTCTTTGCTGTCCGGACCCTGGGCATACGGTCGATGAAGTACTAGGAGGATAGAACGGATGAAGAACTCGATCATTCGCTGTTGTGTCGCCAGTCTGGCTCGAAAGTCAAGCCTCGATCCACTTGCACCATAGCGATCGGGATTGAGGGAATCCGGGAGGTCATCAAGTATCCTTGTAAGCCGGTAATCGTATTTCATGACCGCATCATAAGGAAGTACTTCGGCATTGGCGTTATTGAGTGGCGTTATAATTTCCGTACCGATCGAAAGAATTGAACGAAGGATTATTTGATGAGCACAATCCGTAACTACAGTCATAGGATGCTGTAACGATGTCGTTTGGTTGTGGGGTGGCTTATGCCAGCTCCCTGGTTCCATATTATCTGGGCCTGTGGCGGCAGGCTCGATGGCCACGTCGTTGTCGTTTTGGTTTAAGGGCGCAGGGCAGTCGTACACACTCGGCCCTAGAAGGAATGGCATCCCACCATCCATACTATTTTGAAAATTCATATAGAGTATGGTGTTCCACACCCGTCGGCGAATGAATTTCTCCAAGGGTGGCATGTCTTTAAAATGATCCGGGTCGCGGTGAATGCCCCTATTTAAGAGTTAGTACGGCGCTTAAAATTTGTCCGAAGGTTTGGACTTACGCCATCATTGCGATTTGTGTGATCATAGCTACCGTCACAGATACCACATTTGAATCCGAATGTGATAAGGCATCGCACTGTTTCGCTATAACAACCATACAGTATGCACGGACAACGTGAACCGTGTTCCTCGCCCGAATACTACTCAGGTTCATGCAAGCTTGTGCTCCATCCAGCAGGCGATCCAAGACATCACGATTCTTCTCCGTCTCTTGAGAAAGGGGCATGAACCAACAACCAAGGAACATCATCATGAACAACGTCCCTACCCATGCCGGACCTACGGCATTAAAAGCATCTTTTGGAGATTCGTTTATGGTATCCTGCCAGAAAGAATCCAACTCTCGACGAAAAGCAGGTTCGTGGAAAAGGGGATGTGTTACCTCAAAGGTTTCCAAGTAACGGTTTATGTACCGGTCTGCAATATGACGTTGAGGGAGCAGAGACGGTATATCGTTAATTGTAAGGGGAATTTGGAGACCGCTCGAGAAAGGGAAGTTGTGACGGTTTTTGTTCTTGAAATACTTTTTGAGATTCTTGATCTCCCTGCGCGATGTTGCGAAATCTTTCATTCTCTGTATATACCACGGTCCGATTTCCTCGAACTAGAATAGGTTAACAAAAATCATCAATTGCATTGAATATGGAACTCGTAGAAACATACTTCCCCAAACATATGAACCCAATGCGTGCCTCCAACATATCTTGCTTTCCCACGCTTATAATGAGTGATGGCTGTCCCAACCTTCTGCACATATAGGCTGAACTTGTCGAGTGGCCCGACGGGAGTAGGTTTAGTAGAAGCAGCCTGGGGTTTACCAGCAACAGGTTCGTCATATGTGCCTGTAACGCACAGTTTCTTCGACTCTGGCTCTCCATCATAGATGCAGTCTCCGGACCTATTATTCTTGACACATCGGTCACAGGGCATGGACCGATCACACTTTACTTTCATGTTCCGGCATGGTTTACACGAGAGAGCCTTTCGGTTTCGCTTTCTGACTGGTCGAGGCCCAGCGGCAGCAGTAGCATTGGCGGTGGTTGGTTCGATGAGATTGGGATCAATATTTCCTGGCGGCGGACTGGAAGGAGAGGAACGGTGCTCCTGGACCGGAGGCAGTTCCGTCGGCGCGGGTGGAGGTCCAGCTTCAGGGGCATAGGAACTCGAAGCAGAATGGCGCTCATAAGATATGGATGCTGTCGAGTCCATATCGATACCTTCTTTGGCCTGTCGGCGATTGGGATTTATGGGCGACTGGCGGTTTTCTTGGACGGAGATTATGGTAGGAGTTAATGTTCAAGCGGTCGGCGATGAGAAGGGAACGAGATAGGAAATCCGTGGCTGGCCGATCGGGGTTAAGGATTTTAATAGCTGTCCGACTGCAACGCATAAATTGCAACAGCAGCATGTTTTCTTATCAGATGTGGCGCCCCAGGGCCCTCTTGCCTCCTTCTATGGTATATGTAAATATCTATGGTCCTAAAACCGTAAAAGTCTAGAATAAAATTTAGAGCAGCTGCGGGCATGACATTGTGATATTAATATTATCTCGATAATCAAGATACGCCCATCTAGAGGCTGTTGGTTATCTTACGGACATAAGCTAGTCAACATACGAACGCTAGCGCTCAACGATACCCCCTCTTACGCTTCTTGGGGGGCCGGGCTAAAAATGATATCAGGGCTTTATTTCTTTGCGAGTAACGTTATCTTTGGTCTTCATCTTAAAAACTCGGGAACAACTAGCATCGGAGTAATAGTACGAGGCCATTAAGCCTTCCAAATAAAATGCTAGGCTGGACCCCGCCTGCAAATAATATTCGGAATCGCATGTCACAAGGCCAAAGGAACTATGAGATCAGTCAGTAAAGCGGAAATAAGCTTACCAAAGTATACATATCTTCGAGGAACTATTTTAGGACTTAGGCTTAGTAATAGCATATACGTGTTTCCCAGTAGAATTTCGAAGCTTGCAAATATAACACAGGTATAAGGTCTAGGGGGGTTTAGTAGCCTGCTCATCAAATGAGCCTGGGAAGGTCCGATGCCCGCTGGGGATTGAACGAATAGTCTACCTAGGTTATTGGATGCTTGAGGATAGGTACGCTGTACTGGGGCACAATCGTACAATATGATCATATGAGGCGGTGACGCGGCGCCTGTACAGCTGTATCTGACGCTGCATGCACAAGGCCGATGGTAGGCATATGCATATATATGCATGTACATCCAGGTGCACTGGTACTCCGTTTCAAAACCCGATCAATTGATATTCCTCGCGCTAATTTTAATTAGGAAACGAAATCTGAAGAGCCGCTCTGGCTACGAGACAAGGAGCCGCGGTGAAGGACTGAACTAGTTTAAATCATATTGGCACGGGTCAAGGCTAAGGATTATTTTTTATTACGGGTGGTGCACGTTCGTGATACGTATTTCTAACGGTTACATCCTCATCTCTTCAATATTTCGTTGTAGCAATCAAAATTAACCGATTCAATAAATTTAAACCAATATCGATCACTAGAACACTCGGACCTGTTGCATCTATTCATATTGAAGACCCAGCACCTGGGCGGCAACACATGTAAGTGGGAACGCATATATTGCCCCTTCTCGGTGCGGCCAAGGACTTACTATTGCTGGTGACGTTTTCAAATTGGATTATTTGTCCTACGTTACAATTATGAAAACGTTGACGTTTTGTGTCAAGATCTAGATTTTGAAGATCGTGATAGGACATGTACTACTTCCGAAGCCTGTACATGTTACGACAACACGAAGTATTCCAACGTTTCATGTATATATCATGAATAACCGTATGTATGGTCTGATCTTCCAAATTTTTATAAATGAAAATTTAAGAAAACAGATTATAAAACTACTAGAAACTATGAAAGCGCACCCACAGATGTATCGTTTGACGATGCCGAAATACAGACCTTGTATCATATCGCATGCAGGTAAGTGGCGATCGTACAAAATACCAAGAAGCGTCCCGCTTTGGATTATATTCGAGTACAGGTAGTATGTAGTTGAGAGTTTGAAAATCGCCACCAGGAGTATTCACTCGGTCACACATGCTTCCGCATGCCCGAAACCTACCCTTGAAATCGAGTTCTATCTAAAGAACATATTAAATAGATCTCGTGAAACCAACAAGCGGCTTAAAGAAAAACCATGGATGCCTTGTTCGCCAATTGATAGGAGCATAGACATGTGCGCCTTGTCTATCTTCTTTTTATCGCTTGAGGCTGGCTTGGGTAGCTGATATGCAAGTGATTCATGGTTGCCGGTTAAACGATAAATGGGGTCCTATACCTGTTCCCCGCGGGGAGAGGTAGGCCCGGGGCGCTGCAGTTTTTGGGGACGCAAAAAAAATAAAAAATCTCAGACCATACCCATGCGATTCATACAGATTAAATTTCAAAAAGAAACAAAATATCCTGAGATCCACACTTCTTTGCATCTTGCATCCACCGATAGCCTGGAAGTCGCTTCCTGATGTTCGCAATCCACCAACAACCCGGGGCATTACCAAACGTGGTATATCGTCCGTTGCGATTAACTGTGGCGACGATTCAAAAGGGCTAGAGCGGGCTTTTGGGCAGGGTGGGAAAACTGCGATAGAGGGAAAAAGAAAGGGACCTCGATGCAGCCAACCGGATTGCGAATTAATAATGCCAACTGCGTGTGGGGAGATAACATTGATAGAATGATGGAATGAATGTATCACATGAAGATGGCTCTTTCTTCGATTCGCCTTATGCAAAAGCAGGAATTTTAGACATGATATTTGCAGGACGGGCTGATCTTGGTTTATTCACATTTCTTCGGGGCCTAGACTAGAGTTAACGTTGTCTCTACAGGTTGACTGGTTGGCCACCGCTTGCTCCGGAAAAACGCCAAGAAAGGAAACCGACCAATGTTGGTTTATTTATATCATACCACATGTTTGCATAACCCCGAAGCAGCAGTAGATAACTGCTTGGTTATGTAAGAGTGTACGTATCTACGGCAGCTTAGTGGCTCTACTCCTCAAGCTGGAGAACCTGTTCGTGGGCTTCTACATGTGTAGGTCTGCGGGATTCGACCGCTGGGGCGAGTTTGGAAATTGTGGGGAAGGAACCAACCAACCAATCTTTCCTGGAGCGGCAGCGTCCACATCCGAATATTAATTCCACTGTGTAGGTCAAACAGTTCGTACAAATCCTAGTCAAAACTTGGTCGTTAGGCGATGTTGGCCAGGCCGAAAGGATCCTTGCATCCAATCTCTCGCTAGCAAATTGGAGTTCACGGGCATGCAAGCTTGACCCAGGCTTGTTTTTTTTGCACATGGGAATTCCCTGGTGGATTCTGCGATTTTATGGAAGGTGCCTCGGTACTATGTACAAGTTAAGGTAGAACGGACTGGGTGGGGAGAGATGTAGCAGGAAGAATTACCTTGTATAGTTTAGTGAGATGGATCTTTGAGATGGTTAATCGAGGACGTTTTAACCAAGACCTTTTTTCTTCTTTTTTCTTCCGTGTTAGTCTTGTTCCTGATCCCTTCGATAGATCGGGTGTCTGAATCAATGCAATAGTTTCTGTCTCACGGGTACATACATTAAATCAGTACTTGGAAAAAGTTTTTCCAGAACATGCAGTATTAGCGGTGTTCATTTAAAAAAAAAAAGACATCTTGGACGATAAGAGGAAACGTCTGAAATGGATTAGAAGGAGGCTCTCGGGAGAGCTCTCTTTCAAGGGGAAGGAAAAGTTTAAAGAAGGCAACTGCCAAATATCGAGAAATAGGCTTTAAATTTCGAAGGGGGCTCGTACTCCGTACAAAATAGACGAAAGACATCTTAGACGGAAGAAGCTGGAGGAAAGCAGTGCCAATGCGGGGTCGCACAGTCGGGGGCGTCATTGACAGCTGCCCGAACAGTGCAGAAGTTCTCACACGAGTGGGTCCCGCACGCAGTCAAGATTCCGCCAAGGGATGGGAGGCAGACGACAGAACAACGCCATTTGAAATGGATTCTAACTCCTAATATAATAAAATATAATATGTGGAAGATCGAGCCCGAGAAGGAAAGGGTTTAAAACCGAGAGAATGGGCTTGTTGCAACTTGTAACTTGCAAACTGCAACCTACAACTTGACCCGATGATCGATGATCAAAGCCTTTGCTGTGAAAACCATCCCGACATCCCTGTCCTTTTGACATCTGAAAGCGGGACCAACGTGCGTGATACAAGGGCAGGATGTTCATGTCCCAGCCTTTTACTCCAAAAAATCGAAAGTGTGGGTTACAGTCTTGCATGGAACCCAGACAAGTCCAGGCAAACCGCCATAAAATCCGAATCAGCGGCCGGCCGAAGCTAGGGGTTCCCGGACCACAACCACCCTCAAAAATCTATCAGGAACCATTTCCTAACAAAAAAGATTTGAATAATCTGCGTATGCGCGCTTTCCAATCAGGTAGCCAATGGACAATCTTTTAGAGACCGTCGGGGGCTATCCTAATTCGCTGGTAGGGACTAGCGGTGCCTTCCCGAAGCAATATCTCATGATCTATTTCAGAGACATAGTCTGGGGAACCCAACCCGGGCATATTACCAACCTGAAAAGAAGCTTTAGCCCCATGAAATGGGTGGCATTCCTGATTGTAATGTGTAATCGAGTGTCGCATTCTTAGGTCCTCACTTCTTCTTCTTCTTATTCTGCTTTTTTTTTTTCCTTGACTAACTTTCAAGACTACAAAAGGGCCTTGGATCCAGCTTGATTGATAAGGCTAGAAACCACTTTTGCTGCCCCCCTCTCTTGAATTGGTCTGAGAAACAGGTAAATATTACTCCCTTGAAGCCTCGTTTTTTGTCGATTGGTTTCTATTTCCTTCCCTTAAGCCTTCCCATCTTCTATTCTACCCACTTTGTGTATCACAAGGCTGGTTTTTGTTGGAAACACGATTATCTTTGGATCAGGCTTTTTTTTTAGTAAGTATCATACATGCAATGGAAGTCGTGTTCGACCATTCCTGGTGTCATAAGTCTCACACGCCTGTGAGCCACCTGATATATTTAATAATGGAATTCTTTTGACTTTCCCCGATTGTTCTTGCGACCAGGACGAGCAATTCACGTTCTTCATACATTCTTCACATATGCACATATTCCTTTTCTATCAATAGTCTTTTTTTCCCCCTCCTTTTCTTCATCCTTCGTACCTTTTTAGTTTTGTTTCCAATTTGTTTCCCTTTTTTTTTTTTTTTACAAAACATTCAAATTACTAATATGACTTTAGTGTACCCTCCGCGAGGCTAGCATAACAGAGTTTAATACCATCACAAAGGACAATTATATACCAGGGCCTAATATAAAAATCCCAACATGAGCGACAAAAGTGAGAAGATCGAGACCATCGAGAATGCCGGTGTCGTCGAGGTCCGTCAGACTCGTGGCCAAAGGTTCAAGCGACATTGTGGTCGAAGGTGGTGGATTTACCTCATCGCCACTTTGTTGGTTATCCTTGCCCTTGTTCTTGGAATGTAAGCTTCCTTCTACAGTCCCATCTTAATGTAGTGATGGCACTAATTGTGAATGAAGAATCTTCGGCATTATCCCAAAGATCGCTCAGGACAGCGTGAATGATTCGACACTACATGTCGATGACCTCGCCATCACCAACCCATCCAACGAAAGATTCACTCTCTCCATGAACTCCACCGCCCACTCCCACGCTCCCGTCAGCGCACACTTCTCACCTCAAACATTTGAGATGTACTTGCCACCAGCTGAGGGTGAACAGATCGTTCCATTTATGACCTTGAGCGTCGACAGACTCGACATCAAGGACACCCTGACAATCAACGTTACAGACGTTGTGACCGAGATCTTGGATAAGCCTGCATACGACGAGTTCTCTACTCAGGTTTTGAGCAATGAGAGGCTTAGCCTTGGTATCAGGTCTAACCCCGAGGTCAATGTTGGTTCCATCAAGTTCAAGGTTGATTACCAGAAGACTGTTGAACTCAAGGGTAAGCGGAAACCACGAATTCTAAAAGAGGGGCTTATAAGGGAAATAAATTGCTCACAATCGAGGTGCCACAGGTCTTAATGGTCTTAAAGGAATTGAACTGTACAATCCCGAGATCCTTGAGGAGCCACTAGAGGACGGAACCAATATGATCACAGACGGCATGATCCCGAACCCTAGCTCTTTCACTCTGCAAGTTGTAAGTCACTCAGATTCCTAAGATGTTTCACTTTAAGGAGAGGGAGTAAACATGACTAACCCAGAGCCTTATAGGGTGATTTGACCGTCGACATCGCTGTTGGGCCCCAGAAGCTTGGCTGGTCTGTTGTTAAGGATCTTACCCTCTACCCCGGTGAAAACCACGTCAAGATCTACAATCACATCACCCCAGCTCTTCTCGAGATTCCAATCTTCCTTGCCTCGCTGAAGGCTCCAAATACCAACATTACATTGACTGCGAACTCGACAGTGTTCAATGGTGAGCACATTGAATGGTTAGAGAAGCCACTCCACGATGCACCACCAGTCATTGCGGTATTGAACCCGCAGTAAATGGTTCTCTCTTCGTTTGGCTTGTTGTCTTTGTGGGGGTTTCCCCTCCAGCTGTAGGAGTTGCTGTTTCGGGCTTAGATGGCCTGTCGCACTCTGGCGGCTTTAGTTCTAGTTCGTTTTTTTCTGTTCTCCGATCAGTCTTAGGTCCAATGCTTTGATGCGACCTTATGCATGATGATAATATCCATTGGTGGTTTCGGAGCATCCGTTTTATACCCTTCTCTTTCTTTCTTTCCTCTTCTCATTCTCTGTCTTATCTCGGAGAGGCTTCGAGAACCATGGATATGCATACTTAAGTAGTACTTATACTTTTATATATACGAAAAAAACCTGCTGCAAAAACAAAGCCGCGGTCTGTCCGGTGGTTTTTGACTGTACGATAGCTTATTCTTTAAATTAAAACTTAATTGACAGAAATATGCATAAATGAGAAGTCAAAATGGTACAATCGCTGAATATAGATAACGGATTAAGATGAGACGAGACGAGATGTCGGAATTCGGGGAATTTCTGATACTGGTGTTTTGTAGGATATAGGAAGCGAATGTTGGAGGAATGAAGGGAAGCAAGGAAGAAGCATGCTGGAGAAGTCTAGAAAGTTCTTTTTCGGATTGTGTTGTGAAACAACAACAAGAACAACGAAAACCCGTCTATCACAGAACTTCACCTTCACCTGCACTTGCTTCTGCACCACCAGCAACGTCACTATCAGCCCCACCCTGCAGTCATCTCTCACAGGATTGTTCATTACTTATAGCCCATATCAGCTTCGTAGCGATCCTACATTTTTTCCTTACTACTAGCCTTGGCGTCATTCATCCTACCTTCGCTGGTAGTCTGAAACGAAGCCTGAAATCGCGACAATGTCCTCCCAGAAGTGCACTCACCAAGGCTGCGGCAAGACATTCTCTGACCCAGAGGAAGAATGTTGCTTTCACCCAGGTCCTCCAGTTTTCCATGAGGGCCAGAAAGGTACGTGCTACTCTTTCCCTTCTTTCTTCTCCCTTAGTGTCAAGCTTTCTTTTTGTTTTGTTTGGATGGGATTTGCCCCACTAACCCTGCCTGCCCCACACTCTGTATTGATTGTAGGTTGGAAATGCTGCAAACCCCGCGTCTTGACATTCGATGAATTCCTTACTATACCGCCTTGTGCCACGGGAAGACACTCCACCGAAAAGGTTACAACGACAGCAGCAGATTATGGATCCGAAACCTCATCGGCTGCCGCCTCAGCCGGTGCGAATCTCCCTGCACCCGTGATCTCGAAGGATGGGAAGGAAACCTTTGGGACTGAACGTGTTAGAGCTCCTATTTCCCAAGCTAGGATCAATCCACAACCAGCAGCTCCGAAAGAGCAAGTCCCCGAGGAAGATGAACCGGGTGTCACTGTCCCCGCTGGAGCGAAATGCAAAAGGAATGGGTGTGAGATTACATATGTTAGTGAAGAGGAGAGCAGGAAGCCTGGATCTTGTGTACATCACCCTGGAGTTGCAATATTCCACGAAGGCTCGAAAGGGTGGTCGTGCTGTAAGAGACGGGTGTTGGAGTTTTCGGAGTTTTTAAAGATTGGAGGGTGTTCAGAGGGAAACCATTGCTATGTTGGTACCCAGAAGAAGGATGAGGCTGGAGGAGAAGAGATCGTTACTTGTCGGTATGTATTAATATCTAAATTTTTATTATATAGCTGTGTATACTGTGGATCGGTACTAATGGGGATGTATGTACAGAACGGACTTCTATCAAACATACACAAATATCAATGCCTCGATATTCCTGAAGAAAACAGATAAGGACAAGTCAACCATTACCTTCAGGCCTACGGAGATTGATGTCGACTTAAAGACGACGGACAATAAGAGGTATCAGACGACTATACCGTTGTATGCGACGATAACACCGGACGAGTCGACGTTCAAGGTAATGGGGACGAAGGTGGAGATGAGCTTGAAAAAAGCCGACGGGACATCTTGGCCAGCTCTCCGAAATGACGAGGCTACAGGGGAAATCATACAGATTGGTAATGCCCCCAGGATATGAGATGTGATGCGATATGCCTTGATGCGTGGCCCCCTCCTTGGCCTTTTGTTTGAAACAGCGAAGTTAAAGTGTAGCGATGGTAGAGAGTGGTAGAATAGGCGTTTGTATCATATCATATATATCATATCGGCCCTGACTAACGGCCATCACGATCCGGACCACTGAAATTGCTGAAAAACGAAAAACAGTCAGGCTAAAACCCCATACTTTGTGAACAAGCGACCGCTGGCCAACCTTTTGTGTGTGATTAAAGTACGGTAGAGGCGAGCAATTTTTGGCCAGAAACGGATTCCATGTTCAGGAACCAATGCATGGCGCAGGGGTGGCTTCGATTGCCTTGTCGTCGCTTGATGCATACGTAGCCACTTCGATAGTGTTCCTCCCTAGAAAAAGATGCCGCAGAGCCGTGGCCATGAAACAAGAGATTCCCTGCCTCTGCCATCGATTTCAAAGACAACTTTTGAAGTAGAGATACAAAATATAAAACAGGTTCGGGGTATATGCGATGGTTTGAACAGATCTGCGGGATTACACTATCCAACTCGCGTCTTCCCAATAAAACTTACAAACCCCGCTTGCCGACTGTCTGTAAATATAATTCTCCGAGAACCTCTCCTTACTAATTAGTAATGTGATAGAGTAGTATGAATGAATATTGGGGGGCGGCTTTGCAAGATTAACTAAAATTGTTTGCGTGCAACGTTGCCTGAGCTGAGCAGCTGTGTACTTTGTATAAGCCCGGACCTAAGTACCTAATATTAATCTTGGGTTTGGAACGTTGACTCGAGCTTGGCCACATAACCCACAACATCTCCTTTACACACACTCACCACTTCCACCATCATCATCACCATCATCACAGTTCCCACCATTCCACCTGGTTCGAATACACTCACACGCCATTTTGCACTGCAGCCACTATCACAGCCTGCAATAACCAGCCCTCACTGTCTTACCAATTGGCAGAAATACCGAGTACTGTCGGAGAATTTGATCGCGAAAGTCGAAAGTAGGGGTGTTTCATACCCACTACCACCACATATTACTTCTACCAGTATACTTGCTTATATAAAGCCGTTTTGGTGACACTTGGCACCACTGCGATACTGTAACCGTTGCAGTATGTTCCATTCTATCCTTCATACTTCATAAGCTCCCCTAAGTCCTTCGTGTCCTTAATTGGCCCTGCTTTTCATACTTACAGTACGTATCGTAGCCGTATCAAGACCTTCCCGATCGGTACGAGCAAGGTTAAGGTCCAGCTGTCCAACTGCAACTTCCAACTCCAACTCCACGCACAAACCCACATCTAACAACGCGAAAGCTTCGCTCATTTCATTTACCTCGTACTGCTCTCATATATTCTGCCGGAATAACTGCGTGAGCCTTCAAACAACGCGCAGATTTCACTCCTAATTTCCGTTGCTTCACAATAAGTTACTCCTTTTAGAGTGATATAATACCTCTTTACCGAAAATGGGTGTCGGAATGAGTACTATCATCCAATGGACCGTCATCTTGGCCGTCGTTGGCGCATACTTCTACATCACCAAGAAGCAACAAACTCCCGCGCCGGTGGCTCAGAAAACCGCCGTCGCTAGAGGAAACATTCTGGACGAGGTATCCGGAAATGAGAAAAAGAAAAAACCCTCTAAAAACCAGAAGAAGCAGCAGAAACCGGCCGCTGTGAGCACCCGAGAACTTCAAGTCCCAATTGTGGCTTTGGAATCTGAGAGCAATGACGATATCCCGGATTCCCCTGCTTTGACCGAAGATAAGGGCAGTCTTCAGCGCCTTGCAGGATTCAAGAGCGGGCAGACAAAATCCTCTAAACAAGAGTCCAAGCCAGAGAAGAAAAAAACCGACAAGCAGGCTTCCAAGGCTGCTCTAGCCCCTGCAGCTTCGGAGATCAAACTGACTGCAGTCCCAATTTCTCCGTCCCTCGGAGCTATCTCATCTACTTCCTCGACAACCGGAGCAGATGGCGATATTGACGAACCAGACAGCGTTGACGAGGAGAATTTGATCGATGATATGCTGGAGAAGACTTCCGGACCCAGCGTCATGCGCATCACACCGGTCCAAGACGAATTCACCACCGTCACGCGTAAGAAGGGTAACCAATCTGAGAAGAAGGAGGGGCTTACTCCGCTTCAGAAGAAGAATCAGAAGAAGAACGAGATGAAGAAAGAACTGAAGAAGCTGGAAAGAGAAGACCAATTGAAGCGATTGGAATCCCACAAGAGAGACCAAAGACTAGCTAGAGAATCTGAAGCCGCTAGCAAGCCAAAGAAAAGCCAGTCTAACGCTGCCTCGAGCGCTTGGTCTGGCAGCAATACACCTTTGGCAGGATCGAATGGCCAAACTGCCCTATCCAGCAGCTTGCTAGACACTTTCGATAGTAGTAACTCTGCTAACTCGAGATCTGGCATCACACCTTCAACCTCGGATCTCTCTGATGCTATCCCTCAGGAGTTCCTCGACGAACACCGAGCCGCCCAGCGCGAACTCCCACCGGGTATTGAAAACGAGTGGGTTGAGGTTAAACCCCGACAGAAGAAGAAGAAACCAGCACCTACAGAATCGGAGACCGATAGTGACGCGAACCAGAATCTGACTGCCTCTGCTTCCTCTGTTGGACAGCCAACAAAATCGGCTGCTACGGGTAGTACCCCTCAACCCCCGGCACAAAAGCCCAAGAAGGTATTCACGGACCAGGACTTGAAGATCCCGGATATGCCTGTGGTCGAGAACACGGATGGATGGGATGCCCATGCCTGGTAGTATTTTCCCAGTGTACATCCTCGTTTTCCAGATAATTTCTGGCCAGTGTCCTGAATACCGGATCTTTCAATGCTCCATCGCCACCTAGGATCTCTCGTTTTATGATTCTTCACTATAAGCATATTTCAAATACATTGAAGAGCATGCCACAACCATCATGCTCCCCTTTTCTTTCTTTTCCTCTCTCTCCCTCTTTTTTTTTTTATCATTTTAAAAAAAGTGCTGTTTTTCTGCAATGACATCGGTTTGTTGTTTTTGTCTATTTGAATGATATTTACGTTTCCACTTCTTATCCTTCGTTCTCCTTCATAACATATCTCAGTTCGACAGTGCGTCAATATCGATTCGAACCCCTCCACCTTCCTGACTCGAACTTTGGGCAATTACTCTGGTTTGCTATAGAGTCGCGAGCGCGAGCTATCACATTAACCCCGTCCCCTCCAACTGACTAAATACGCCTACATTCCACGTCCCACTTTATGGACTTTATTTTCATGCCGTATCCGCTGCACCATTCAACCAACCGCAATAATCGCTGAAAACAAATCCTCAATTGTTTCGCTTTAGCACTAACCTCATTCTATGTAACATACTTCCTTCCTTCCTCTCCTATCTCTTTCTCCGAAATTCCCGAAGATTGATTATAAGACTGATCAATCGACGTTTTATTACCGTTGGTTCATTTTTGCTTCTTTGTACGAAACTTCCACTACCCTGAAAAATTTTAAATTTGTTTACCGCTATAGTAGCATTATTAGTCCTCTACCCGTGCGCGGGAGGGTCAATTGAACCTTTGAAAGCTACACGGTACATAATTCCTAGTGTATTTTCATATTGCCTATTTTAAAATTTTTGCTATCTCAATGCTTGGGAGGCCTTATAGATATATCTTTAGTCTCCACCTGCTCTGCTTTTATTCTATCGATTTTATGATAGAGAGCTTGACCAGACGGATGGCAGAAGTATTATAATGAAAACTAGTTCTAGATCTAGATGCGTAACTTGAGTCATCTAAGCTGCCAGGTACTTAAGTACCTACGAATAAACTAGCCTTCTCAATATACGAACCTTAATCGATCTTGGAGATCTGAATACTTAAGCACTTACTTCTATCCTGCTATAGATATCGACGTGCAGAAAGAATTTCTGTCCGTGGCATATTTAGCGTACGACTGGCAATTGGTCAATTTGAGCGAATATCTTTTTAGTGTAGTTTTTAACCCGTTACGGCCAGCTGGCTAGTAGCTAGAGAGAAATATTGATAAAGACTCTTCCTGTGTAGTACCATTCCAAAGATACTTACCGGCATGCCTAAAGTACTTACATGCATGTTGATATTATAACTTTATTCTAGAATTCGGATTCCTAGTCTGGGATCGATTGGAGAATCCAAAACTCGTTCAAACCCGGGCCTACTGTGAGAAATGTTGAGGGAGTCAGGGGACAGGAACTGTACATGCACAACGTCATATAATCGATTGCAAATTCTTTCCTACGCAGGCCACCCTCGGTCTTGTACAAGTGAGATTCGAAGTCGGATATCACTGGCCATGGAGTGTCAGCTTACATCCGTAATTAATTGCAAGAAACATTGGCGTGTTTAAATGTTCGTGTCGAGATCCGGTATAGTCTCTGGCCAAAACGAGAATTCCTAACCCCTGGTTTTACCAGAAATGGGTTAGAGCGAGTTTACCTAAATATAGCTATTTCTGGTAGTTTTCGAGAAGACAGCATCCGATAGGAATATACTGGAATCGATAATGCGCATACGCTTTCCTGTCCTTCCGAGGCGACTAGCTTCTGTTTACGCAAGTGCTCCGCAATAGAGGATTGGGGTAGTCTCCTGAAACGGGTTTCATGCGAAGAGAGACCGCTAGCGATTGGGATTGTATGTATGTAATGGATGTATGTGGTCAGTTTAGTCAAGCAAGCTCAAGTTATTGGGGTTATGGTCCCCTGCATGAAGCTCTTTTGAGAGCTTGAGAGCTTTGGGCTTTTAGACCACGGGAGGAGGATGAGCTTCCCAGGGATGGGGAATGAAATGAAATGCAATGCAACTGCCTGTCTACCTAATTTCAGATATGTAAAGGCTCTTCTTATGTTAAATAAGAGGCCTAGGTAAGTCAGGAAGTCAGGAAGTCAGGAAGCCAGGAAGTAAGTAGGCCGGGTAGGTATCTGGATGTATATAATAGATGGGTCCCTTTCCCATAGCCACCGATTAATTTTGAGTTCTTTGACTTTTTATACTTTTCACGACAACCATACCCTCACCGCTCCATTCCCTGTTTACAATATAATATCTCCCTACATTCGAACTCAGAGATCGGATAATAATAGAAAACATTCTCATCGGTAAGTCAAAGCCGGGATTGTCGTATTAAAAAAAAAATTAAAAAAAAAAAAAAAGTGATTGTGGCTAGTCGGCCGCAATGCAATACATATTGCATTCTGTTCTTTAACAAATATCTGTGTTCTGTTGTGTGGTTCTGGCGTATGTGTCAACATCTCGCCCTTCAACACCAAAAGCTAACGACCTGGCCAGCTTCCTCTTCAAGCAGAAAGAAACCTCGACAATTTCCCTCCTCCTCTTCTTACTCTCCTCTCTCTGTCTCTCGCTCTCTCTTCCTTAAGCTCATCTTCCTCGGCTTCTTCTATTCTTCTTGTCCTCGTTTCTTTTCTGTGACTTTTCATCTTCGCCGGCGACGACGACGACGGTGTTCTTCATCGATCTCCCCGCTTATACTTACCCGCCGGGCCCCACCAATCGATCTCATCGTTCTATCCTGAACACTACCATCGAATAATCTCAACTGCCGGAAACAATCTTCCTTCCCCGTGAAAAAGACTCTCGAAGAGTTCAACTACCCGACGACAATGGCCCAAATCCGCGGCACTGCCGGTTACCATCTTGGTGGACCTCCAAGACAGTTTGGTGGAGCACCACAGAACCCAAACGCCACAAACGATCCATCGCCTCTCGATGCCATCCGAGAGCAGACTAGCAAGATTGAAGATCTGCTGGATACCTATTTCGATCCTGTTAAGCCGTATGTTGTTCCTTTATTCGGAGAAGATGGGCTCGGGAGCTTGCTTTAAAGGGCAGATCCTGTCAAGGTGTGACAAGAAAGCTGACAGCCGTATGTTTTGGGATTTCGTAGTTACCTACCGGCAATTGGACGATTTTTGATCGTTGCTACCTTCTTGGAAGATGCAATTCGGATAATTACTCAGTGGAGCGAACAGCTCAAGTACCTTAGCGATTACCGACACAGTACGTTTACCTGTCTCTCTCTTTGCCTTTTCTTCTTCTTCATTGCCTCGCGATAAACTGTCACTGGAATTAGTTTACTAATGAACTTTGGCGACTGTTAGTTCCTTGGGGTCTCACTCACTTCTTCCTTCTTGCCAACGTCGTCACAATGGCTACCTGTTCCGTCATGGTTATCGCTCGCAAGCACTCTGAATACGCCGTCGGTGGTCTCATCGGTGTCGTGGTTACCCAGGCTCTCGGATACGGTCTCATCTTCGATCTTAACTTCTTCCTTCGCAATCTTTCCGTCATGGGTGGGCTTCTCATGGTAGTTTCTGACAGCTGGAATCGCAAACGATTCGCTTTCGCTGGAATTCCACAGCTTGAAGAGAAGGACAGGAAAATGTACTTCCAGCTTGCTGGTCGTGTTTTGCTCATCTTCTTGTTCATTGGGTTCGTCTTCAGCGGCGAATGGAGCCTTACTAGGGCTCTGGTCAGCGTTTTGGGATTCGTGGCTTGTGTGATGGTTGTTGTTGGATTTAAGGCTAAGTGGAGCGCCATCATCTTGGTGGTTATCTTGAGTATCTTCAACGTTATCATCAATAACTTCTGGACTGTGAGTCTATCCTTTCCCTCCTTTCGCCGGAATTGGCTGTATGAATAGGCGCTAACCTTGGAACAGCTGCAACCACACCATCCTCACCGCGACTTTGCCAAGTACGATTTCTTCCAAATCTTATCGATTGTGTAAGTTTTACCGCAAGCTGAGGAATACAATAAGAAATATGTGCTGATGATTTAATGTAGTGGTGGTCTTGTCCTTCTTGTCAACATGGGACCTGGTCAATTCAGTGTCGACGAGAAGAAGAAGGTCTATTAGACGCGTTCTCTTCGTTTGATACCCCCAGTTCCCTATATCAGCGCTATCGCTCAAAGCATACAATCGAATGCATTTGACGATATAAAATCATCGTATTATATGACATTACTACTACTACTACTACTAAAGTTTACTATGAACTCTTGGAGCTGTTCTGAGACGGAGGAAAAGCAGTGCATTGTCTTCTACCCGCCCTTGAATAGAACGACTGAGACGACGAAAAGAACGGCCCTCATTATGTTTTGTTTTTGACAAGAAAGAAAAGTTGATATGAAACAACTGTGTCCCCTTCTATTGCATTTATTGCCTCCAGACCATGCATTTATATTGTTTTGTGCTGTATACCTTTCCAGCTTTGTATTTTTTTATTTTTTTCCCCCTTCCCTCATCCTTAGTTTCATTATTCCGTTTTTTTTTTTTCCGTTATGAGATCTCATGTTCGTTTCCTGGTTCAAAGTCCTCTTCTACCTACCTCTGTAAATAATACGTTGGGAATGAAACGAGATATTAGTTACTAAGCTATCCTTCTATATTCTCTTGGACCTTTCTCTCACCAACGTTCGTACATTAATTGGCTTGGATTGGGCATGTCGCTAGTGATTGGTCAATTAGAAGTCAGAAGAGGCAAAGCGGCTCTTTCCCTCTTTCACATGTTCTAATTTCTTGTGTTGCCCAACTAACACTCCCCCAATTAATTCGCCGAAAATGATGACGCGCGAGAGTGGAATGTGCACCTCACTTTGTTCCTCTCCGACTGCTTGCTTATCTTCGGGGGAATCGGGATCGCGGGCATGCATAAGTATATAAACCGATGATCTCGTCTTTTTCCTCATCTTCAATTCTGCTTCGATCTTTTTTTCACGTGGTTTTCTATATAGCGAGTCGAGCTTTTCTAGCATGATGCAGGCGCGATGACGTCGGTGGGTCTTTTCTTTCCCCTTTCATTTTTCCCGTGCTGTGGGGTTTTTAAGCCGAGTGTTGGGGAGTGATTCCAGTGGCTAACGATGCATAACACTGGGAATAGATTGTCATTATCGCGATTATAAACCTTTATCGAGTTATTCTCCGGTTCTTTGTTGGATTGTTTATGGTACGTATTTGAGGCGAGAATTCTCTGGCTACTACCTAAGTAGTTTTTATGTCTGTGCGGCTGATGTGGCAGGGAATATAGAGGATACGGTCCCTTGGAGGGAGATCACCACATTATAGAACACTTGAGGAATTACATGGATTATTAGCTACGGCAACCACTTTTGAAGAATGGCAAGAGGCGGCAGAGAGGCTCGATGTGCTTTTGGGAAAGGATGTTTGGTAAGTTATGTTCAGATTTTTTTTCAATTTTTTTTCGTTCTATCAGATAATCGAAGTGATGCTAATGTGGAAGAGGGTAGGCGGAAGAACCCGGTCAGTAAGAGATATGATTATAAGATGATACAGGAGCGGTTAGAGGCTTTAGAGAAGGCGAGGAGCGATGGGGATGTGGCCGGTTTAGTGAATCTTTTACGGTCTGGTGGGTATCATATCTCTTTGAAGTCGTTTTCCGGGGGGCAAGGGGCTGACGAATGTGGGTATATAATTAGGGATGTTGAGGAATTTAGGGAATATATGTCATGGGAATCTGTATAGTCAATCTTATGCAGGGTATGTTGATTTATCTTCCGAGTTCTGAGGTTTGCAAATGGCTGACCCTTGGTAATTCGGTATAGGACGAAGCTCTTGATTGAGGACTACATACAGTCGGTGATGGCTTCGCTTTATTATATTGCTGAACTCCCACCTTCGCCTATTCTTTCGCCTCAAAAGAAATTAGATATCTTGCATGATACGCGATCATCCTTCGGTAGAACTTCGTTGATCCTGCAAGGTGGTGCTATCTTTGGATTATACCATATTGGAGTTGTAAGAGCTCTATTGCTTAGAAACCTATTGCCTAGGATCATTACAGGCACCGGAGTCGGGGCACTGATCGCTGCCCTAGTATGTATTCACACTGATGCGGAACTCCCAGGGTTCCTCTGTGGCGAGGGAATCGATCTTTCTGCTTTTGCAGGGAAAGAAAAAGGTGGAGTTAAACGGAAGCTTTTGAGAATACTGCGAACGGGGTATCTTCTCGACATCGGGGTTATAGAACGTTGTGTTAGGGCCAACGTCGGGGATCTAACGTTCGAAGAAGCATACCAGCGAACAAAGAGGGTATTGAATATTACACTGGCGGAACAGAAGGGAATTGGTGGTGCGGAGATTCCGGGGCTACTTAATCACATTACGACGCCGAATGTGCTGATCTATACAGCGGCTTGCGCATCTAATGCCACCGGTGGACTTTACAAGGCGGTGGAGTTGCTTTGTAAGGATCATAATGGAGTTGTGGTCCCTTACACTAGTACGATTCCGCAGCGGCAAGGGTCTCCTGGGTCTGAAGCTACGACGACAGCTACCAACACTACTACCACTGGAAAAACGAAGTTGTCGAGTCGAAGGCATGGAGATCCGAGGGGTTCACCACACGCACGAGTTGCGGAGCTATTTAACGTCAATCATTTTATCGTCAGTCAGGCGAGACCTTACATCGCCCCATTCATATCACCGGCACACACGCATTCCACTAGTTCAAGTTTTTATAAAGTACTCGGGCTAGAGATTCGACACCGATTGCAACAGATCGATACGTTAGGATTGTTACCGACTGGGATTAGGAAGTTTCTGATCGATGAAGTTGTGCCGGGCAGTACACTGACTGTTGTTCCTGATTTGGGGTGGATGGATTTTGAAATGTTGGTGGAGAATCCAAACTATGAAAGGGTGGGATATTGGGTTATGAAAGGGGAGAAGAGTGTTTGGCCTGTTTGTGGAGAGGTGGAGGTAAGATGTGGAGTAGAATTTTGTTTGGAGAGGCTGTGGGAGGAGGTTAGGAGTCGGCAGCCTGGGGTCGGGAGGAGGAGAACGTGAAGTTCATTAGTCTTATCATCATTAATCGTACTAGATTGGTAGAGTCTATAGGTACATTCGATGCCACTGTATCGGAGTTCATATTGTTAACATTTAAATATACATATTTGTAGTTTAATAAAGGTAGCATCTTCATAATATCACGAGATTGATTTCTGAATCCAGAGTGTAATATGTGGAGTTTTGGCATGTCAAAAGATCTATATGTGGAAGGTCGAGGATAGCGAGTCCACGTGCACATTTTAGGGATATTCAAGATCGCCCGATGAGATCTGACAATGAACGCTCGCGGAATAGCATCATGTCTATTCTTACCAATTCCGAGGAGCTGTCCTTTAATTGACTCCTTTGATTTCAAGATCTCTCTCCCTCTTGATAAAAAAAATCTTGTGGCTCGGTCATTAATTCATTATACTTCTCCACGACATAGTCCTTAAGTATTCTAATATACATGTTACCACACCAGCTTTCGAAGATGCAATCGACAAATATTGGGTCTCCGGCATATGCGGAGATAAAGACAGAAAAGTCTCCACTTCTCCCTGCTTATAACAGATCAGATGGATTGCCCTATGATCACGAAGTTGAGATTTATAAGGAAATCCAGAATTATTATGACAGCGGCCAATATGACGAGGCCGGTATCTCCTCACCACAATCCCTCAGCAGTTCCACCAAATGGAAGAAGTTTTTACTACCATTCATTTATACCGTTGCTCTTACTACAGCTACGTTCTTACACCAAAGTATCTTGGGTGAAAAGAATGTCCCGTATTTTTTGATGGCGGTGTATAATACTATCGCAGTGGTAGTGGCGGCTTTTGGGATTACTTATAATTCTTGTAGACAACAAATTAATCTTGCCAGAGATGCAGAGAATTATAAATCCGTAGGAATAAGGCAACTAGCGCAGGACCGATCGGATCGCTGGAAGCTATTTGCTTTTGTCTTTTTATATATGGCATCCGAAGAAGGGTTTTGGTTTTCACAGTCTTCATTGGATTTGTTTCGGCAAAGGGTCGCGTATTTAGCATACCCGCTGTTTGTGGCCCTTTTCACTTTGGAGTGGGTATTTTCGGGGAAGAAAGAGAGGCTGGTTAAGGGGGTTGAGAAGAAGGATTTGCAAAGATTAAAGATGGCAGTTGTGGTAGGAGGGTTGGGAGTCTGTTGGAGTTATCAGACGAGTTTTGAGTGGTGGGCGTGTATGGTTGGAGTGGCACTTTTGGGATTCAAGGTATTTTTCTTTTCCTCTTCCATATACACGACCCCGCCCCCATTGAGGCAGACGGTGATAATCTAATCGACATCTAGAATGTGGTGACAAGGGATATACTTATGACTAGTTCACAAAATGCGCCAGAACTGGTCATGTTGGCGGGGAGTGCGGTGTCGTTTAGAGCTCTTGTATCTTGTTATGGGTCCGCTGAGTATTCCCTTATCTGGCCGCATTTGATGGGCGTTTCATGGCAATGTTGTGCGAAGGTATTGGTGGTGGGCGTTTGTTATGGGATTGCACAGTTGGTGTCAGTCGAAATGGGGAGGCTTTGTGAGCCTGTGAGGGGGGGCTGGATGGTTATGGCACCTGCTGTGGTTGGGGCGATTGGGTGTTTGGTTTGGGGGATCTAAGGTATCTCCAGTTCTATTATTTGAGTACTACACGGGTGTATTATTATAGTTTTGTATTTTTGAAGATGGAGAGGTAGGGAATGTTTTGATTCATGTAGAGGAGACCAGAACGCCCGGTATAATGCTAAAAGTACAAGTCCGTCCGTGGATACAAAAGAGATTTAAGAAGAGGAAGGGCAAGGAATTAGATCTTGGACTTCAACTTGCTAAAGTCCTTCATGCCCCGGCCGTTTCTGAAGTATCCCAGCATCTCATCACCCAACCAAGCTGTCCTGCTTGTGGCGAGGCCTTCCTCGATGTCGATTAGCTTATCTGCTTGACATAGGATACCCTTGCCGTTGCTCTTCTGGCCGAGAGATAATAACCACGCTGTGGCTGTGGAGATTGTCTCGACTTTGTTAAGCGGAACACCAAAGTTTGTCATCTTGCTAACTTCAGAATCAAGTGTGAGAGCACCGTCTTTGGTGAGGAGTGGGGTGACTGTGATTGCTGGAGCGACGACGGAAATTGCGATGTTGAGTCGCGAGACGTCATTTTTGAGGGATCTCATGAGACCAACGATACCTGAATTTCGTGTTAGTAAAGCTGTTCATATGCACTATATATAAATTTTTGGTGCATGACTTACCGAATTTTGCGGCACTATACAGTGGTAATCCCTTGGAGGCAAGGTATCCGGCTAAACTGGCGGTAAGGACGATGCTACCGCTGCCTTTACCACCATTGTTCTTCCTCATGTGATGAATTGCCAGCTTGGTGGTGTCGGCTGCAGCTCGGATATCGATGTCAAGTACTTTATGGTCAATTTCCTTCAATTCTCCATCTTTGTCCAATTCGTCTGTAAAGAAGACATCGGAATTCTCGCCGATACCGGCGTTTACAAATACACCTTCCAATTCCCCATGGTGTTTAACAGCTTGAGCAAAAGCTGCGCGTTGGTATTTCCAATCCCTGATGTCACCAGTGATGACTAATACAGACTTATTATTATGCAGGGCTGAGGTTGAGGGAGGAGAGTTGAGGTCGAGGATTGTAAGCTTGGCAGAGAAGGAGAGAAGGAGTTCGGCGGTTGAGAGACCGATTCCTGAGGAGCCACCGGTGATGAGAATATGCTTATTTGCGAAAGCGGCAGGGGAGATTGAAGAGGGTGTTAGAGTGAATGTGTTTGGCGCCATTCTGATTGATACTCTGATATTCTATACTTTGATATTCTAATATTCGAAGTCGGAGGTAGAAGTTGGTGATATTAATTTGATATTTGATATTTATTGTTTAGCCACGGCGGATATCAGATGCAAACGGCGTGGTAATATCTTTGTGTGACGTGACCTCAATTGAGCCTGAGGCTGCGCATGTGCTGAGATTGCGAATCAATATATTAATCGGACTCTTCAGAACTATATATCTAGACTCAACAGCAAAAACCGTGCGAAGGAGGAAGCGATGATATCTTTGGGGGAAGTATTTAAAATCTCAAGGCAGGAGGCCAAAGAAATATATCTTTCCCATCCCGGCGGTGTGGTCAGGATAGTCGGCATTCTTTCGGTTCTTCTTCAATAACTTTCCTGAGAAATTACCGCGGTTAACTTTGAAGCAGGAGAAGTACCAAAAGAGCCCGGGGTGACGCTAACCTCCACTTACATTTGCATTCCATAGCTAGTGGAAGAGATCCCGTCTTTTTTAGTGCCGCTGTTGGCTTGCTTTCGGCGACGCCGATGGGAGGTTGCAGGCCGGAATCCTTTGAGCATTAAGTATTCTTTGTAAGTTTGTAAGTTGCATGTCGTTCGTTCATGTTCCAAGCATGGCATGGCATGGGACATCCTGGGATTGATATGATATCCTGGGGAAGGAGAAGCCAACCAACCACTGCAATTGGTGGTCGGTTAACTTTTCAACCGAAACTAGGAGCTCAAGCCCGCTCCATAGCTGGAGCTTCGATCAATATCGAAGACACAAGCTTGTAACGTTCAATATTGCATCGAGACGATGAGAAATGCGAAAAAAAAATAAAAATAGTCTGATTATGTGCTTACTTACCCGAGGACAATTTGAAATTCAAGCACGAGGTCTAAAGCTTAGCTTCTGTCGCGCTGTCGGGACCACCGAAATCAGATTCCTAATCATCACAGTCAAACCCGTCCAATCACCAACTTCGGGTCCTATTTGCCATCCTGGCCCGGCGATCTGGTCTGCAGCCTGCGCCTGATAAAGTTGCTGATTCTGGAACTAATCTTACGGACAACCGCGCCAGTTTTCCTTCGATTTTTGTCTCAAGCGGCGTATGCGATGTTTTTGTTTGAGGGGTTCAGCTGCATTGCATTGGTGAGCAGTGTGAAACGCACCTTTTGTTTGCATCTTTATGAAATCCATAATTCGGGCGGTGGCAAGAGGATTTCGATATCACATTTCCGAGAATTTTTAATTGGAGGAGAGTTTAGGGACTTGGTTAAATTACGTACTTAGCCAGACTGGCCTGAGATTATATATCCATTCTGAATCCAAGTTCAGACTCGCTCATCCCGAAAAACTCATATAGTTATATATATTTACAATAGAAACCAAGGATGGAAATTAACTGAACGGTCGTATATGCCGATTCCACAGAACACCCCTCAAACAGTATCCGCTATCCCCTCTCGATCTCCCAATATTAATACCCCCCAGTATAGCCGGGCGGCTTCACCGAGTGTGCAGACAATTCTAACGCATCAGCACTTTGCAACGGCTGTCTGTCGTATCCATTACTTAGCTCGCTGCTATACGACATATTGTGCAATTCTGGCGGTTGCAGCCCTTCTCCACCATTGTATGGTTGATAATCAGATGTAAATGGCGCAGGTGGCACTATTGGCTGGGAGTGTGCCTGCTGCCTTTTCCGCTTAGATCTCTCGATCAACCACAACGACGCAAAAAGTATGGCTAGGATCGTGGGTATGGTAATGCCTATTCCCATGCCTACTGCTGCCCCTGTCGAGATGGCTGCGGCCGCAGTTTGTGATCCTGATGTCGCGGTTGGTTCGGAGCTGGTTGTTGTTGTAGCCTCTTCTGATGTGGTTGTAACTTCAGAGGTTGTAGATGTAGTGGGGAGGGAGACCGAGGCGACTGTGGCGATATATGTTATCATTCCTGCATTTAAAGAGAACTGGGTTACATTCTCGTTCTTGCAGCAGGGGGTCGATCCGCCATCCGCGCAGCACCAAGAGCGCGATACATCGTCGCAAGATAAGAGGTTCATGCCGGAACCTGAGAACACTATTTTATAGATATTGATTGTCAGTAAGTATGCCTGGCAGTGATGGGGAGGACTATATAGGGTGGGATTATCTTACAGGTACAATACTTTCTTGGGCAGGAACTATCTTCCCAATCCCGATCTGTACATGCTCCTCTGTATACATATCCATTTTGATTGAGGCAATAATTGCTGCTCAAACAGGCGACGTTGTCGTCAATGCTACAGCAGGAGCTGTGGACGTTGTTGTTGGTTTCAGACTCTGGGTTGCAGGCCCTGTGATCTGGTGCGAGGTTGCCATCTTTTGTCCATGATATTAGTATGCTACGATTGATATATATATCAAGATCTGAAAAAATCTAGGCGGGTTTGGGGATTGTCTGTACTTGGGAAATAGCATCGTCGTTGAGCGGTGATGAGGCTTGGAAGAGCCATGAGGCTCAGGAGTATCGAGAGCCGCATTTTCAAATCAATTTAAACTTCGTAGTTCTAAGACACTAATTCCGTCGCGTATACAGTTGCTAGATTTCGGCCGAATTCGAAATTAATAAACTACAAACTAAATAGAGCTACTGACGAAAGCGATGTCCTTGTCGGTCGTAGAAGATGTATGTATGGGGGCGGATGTAGTATCTTAAAAGGAGAGTATTATGGTCAACAGTTGAGGGAAACGAAGGGAGGAGTTAGGAATCCCATGATGGGAAAAAAAATAGAAGATGTCTTAGCTTTATCAAAGGCTAAACCTTTAGGCCCAATCTGACCCTATTAATATTGGCTTTCGACCCCGGTTTACACAATCTCAAATGATACGAGTATATTTACACACATCTACGCCCAATAAAGTAAACTGGCGAAGAAATTTCCAAGGCTCTTGGTCATGCTCATTCATCGGTGCAAGTGCAGCCCACACTCTTCGGAATTCGAAACCTGTCAGCATAATCCCGTTTCGGTTGGCTTTGGGACCCTTGCGCTACTGCTTTTTCATTGTAGCGTTCACGGATTCAATGTTCTTCAGTGCAGAGGTAAATATTGTCTTGTTCTAAAAGCACAAATACTCACATATGGTATATATACTGCAACTGAGAAGAATTTGTTTACATGTAGATCCCGACTTTTATCTTGGGAAATGTTTTCTCCCCCCTTTTTTGTGTTTTGGCGTTGAAGATCAGTGCATTGGGCGTTTACTTGAAGTTCGATAACTTAACTAGTGTCCCAGGTGGGGCAATCCATTAATCACGTTCGGCCAGCGCGAATGTATTAATGTAGTAGCATCAGACCATTTTACGATGTTCGTCCAGCTCAGCTCAGGGCTTAGGAGGGTTTCTCATGTAAAACGTGGCAGTCCTTTACTATTTATGTAAGCGTGGGAAAAAGTACTAGTTCTGGAGCCCAAGATCGGGCTGATGTGAGCAACTGCCGAGTTCATCTTATTTTGGGTCTTAGTTTTTCCGATTGAACCCTGCTCAGTTTGCTTAGGGTTTTTGCTGCCGGTATCCGATTTCGTCTTTAGGGCTGTATTTCTACGGTCGGTTTGAGCCGACGAGGATTTTGCACAGCCGTTATCTTCGAGATACATATATTTTGGTGGTATTTTCAGCCTCATCACTAGTCCCTGGTTAGTAGCTAGATGTATTTTGGAATTTTGTGAGGCTTCTGCCTGAATTATTTTCTAATTTATAGCTTCCTGCGAAGTGAGGTGAATGCCTACATGTTACAATGCTCCAAACCAGTAAAGTCTACGGTTTGCGATATCCATCGATATCACCGATTTTGACAATTCAATACTAATCGCGGCACTCGAGAACTCATCCATAAACAGGTCGGCTTCATACGACTGCTCAGCGTCGAGGAAAGTATGTACATCCCCCCAAACTTACGAGGGTTCTATGCTCACCCTTGTGCATCGGAATATATATATTAGGTCGCTGGAGGGATTCCTTTCGCAGCTGCTGTTTTATTCGGTATTCTAGCTGTGCAGGGTCGATAGAGAGCACATGATTATATCCCTGAATGTCGTAGATATCCCTGAAGCACTCGTTGATAGCCAGTTCTCGAAAACCTCGGCGAATCAATTCTTTATAAAGCTTCTCTACAGATTGCTAGCGTACACTGTCCTGATTTCTCAGCAGCGGAGCTTCGATGTCCCAGGTTACCCATTAATATTAAAATTCCCGTAGCTTCAGTGGTGGGGAACCAGCTCGCTCCGGTCTTAGCGACAAGGCTTATGCCAGTTCACAATTCCTCTAGCCTTGCTCCTTAAGAAACACTTCGAGGTATACTATAGCCCAGTATATGTATAATATCATTGGCTCATGATGTAGGCCAACCCTGCGTTGAATAATTATGCTATAGTAAATCGAAATTATATTTAACGGCGAAAAGGAAATTGCGTTCTTGGAGGCCGAACGAACATTTAAACGAACCGCCAGTGTCAATTGTTAAGTGTTATCAGGATCCTAGGATCCATATTTGGGAGAATTGAATGCGCCTCGGCAATATGTCTGTTCGCAGCCTATGGGGCTCAGGGCTATCATTAGCCTTGGTGTATTCGAACAAAGAGCACAAATATTTCTTCAATTTCTTTACTCCTGAACTTGAGATGAGTGCGTGTCTGGCTGTTTAAGTACTTAATACCATTTCCGTGCCACACGCTCCTACAGGTTCACTACAGTGAGGCTCCAAGTGACCTATGAGCATATGAGCGACACAGCCACCCAGAGATCATACCCAATATGCAGGCCAAAATCTAATCCGCTATTGGTCGACGGCGGTCTAATTAGTGTGGAAAACAGGAGGAACACGTCGTCGAAGTCAAAAAGGGTCTGGTTAGAGGCTCTGTCGCTATCATATGCACGGGCTATATATTGGTTTAAACAACACGAAAAATACAACAAATTCCCATATTAGCGACGCCACAGATGGGCAGGGTTGGTACTATGGTGATTCAGACTTACTCATATCGATCCCATCTTCGTTCGGGGGTACCTATGACACTTAGTCCAAAAAAGATCCAGGACTTATCAGGACTTATTACTCTTTCGGTTCTCAAGTATTTGATATGCTCATCCGCACACTACAACAGAGTGTAATACCTTGGTCACAGTAACTTGCAAAGCGAATTGCTGAGAAGGATCCTTGATAATGACTTTAGTTTGCTTGTTGGATCCTCTACCGCTTCGACCACTGGCTGCCAGGCTATTGTAGTGTGGGCGAAATTTCAGAATTACTTAGATGGAGTCCTTGGGTCAGGTCAGTTGACTAAGCGCTGTTATTGTACTCTGTAAACCGAATGTTTGCTGGTAGGACATTTGAGGTGGCCGAAAGTTGGTACGTACGCTTCTCTCTTTCGGTTGATCCGTATTCTGCCATAGCCAAAGTATAGCTTGACTGTATTTGTCCTTGCTAAAAATAAGCTATCTCATACTTAGTACTGTTGCATGTTAGTGTTTCTGAATGTTTGAGGTTTACTATCGTTGGGTACCTTTCAACTAGTTACAACATCGATGCAAGCTAGAATCGCCTACTTACATGCAACAATACAACAAACACCACGGCTGCGGCGCAGTCAGAGAATTGTTGCAGACAGCAATTTCTGCCAGATGGCCATAATTATTTTTTATAAAATGAAGCTGGGAAGAAGGCTTTGAGAAGGTGGGCGGATTTCGTTTCCTCTTTCATATTATTTTGCTCGCCCGCGTATGTGTGCATGCGCTTCAATAACCCACCTATATTTAAAAGGGGCCCTACACGATGTTCGTATCTTCTTTTTCTCTTCTAGTGGCCGGGACGGTTCTCTGTTGCATCTCAGCGACTCTAGCGGTGGAGATTAATGGGCTCGGTGGGGTTCAGCAATCTTGGGATCCTAGGCCCTTGGAGGAGAAAGTCGATGACTGTTCGAATAGCACACATCGATGGCATTCACTCCAGGGTAGTTGTTTCAACGAGAAAGGTGGTGTAATACCATATACACCTCTACTTTCCAAACGTAGCTCCTTCGGCAACTATCTTGATTTGGTCGGGCTCCACCCCCGGGATATTTGCGGGCCTGGTGAGACTACTTGCTGGGCGGTTAGCTGTTGCCGAACAGGTGAGATATGTGGTTCTTTTGGCGGAGGTTGTAAAGTCTCCTGGAGTACGATTTATTCTACGACGATAACCACATCCTGGTCAACAGTGACTTCTTGGGTTCTTCCTAGGACGGAGGATGTGGATTATACTACCATAACAGTTAATACAACCATTTATACGACAGTGTTTAATCCCATTACCTTGCCCGGGGAAGGGGAGAACGCTGTTCTCGACACAAATATAATAGTCTCAACGACTCTCGTGCTATCAGCTTATACACCTCCAGCTGTTACTAAGACAGAGATGGTTACAAGGACTCAGCAACCTGAAGCGGAGGTCACCCCTCCTCAGTTGATGGCACGGGAAACTGGAGCTATTTTACCGAGAGCGAAGGAGATCCCGAGAAGGTGGGAGGGGATAAGTTATACAACGTTAACGGTGTTTGTTACTACCTTTTTCACGACGAGTACGACTGCTACGTTGGAGAATACAGTCGTGGGAGTTACGGAGACAAATACAATTTCCTTTATCGCGACCCAAAATCAAACGCATTTTGAGACACCTACGGGGTTTACGACTATGATTATCACACAGATGGATACCTCGACGTCATATGCCTATGGAACCGTGGATACACCAACGCAGGTTCTCTATGTTACTACTTTTGTGCCAGCTTTTGCAGAGGAGGCAGGTAGATATGGGTTAACGGGGACGGCAGTGCCTTCTTCTGGAGGTGCACGACAATTTTCGGCGGGTGAGATAGCTGGTCTCGTTATCGGTTTGATATCTGCTGCTATTCTAATAGTGGTCGGTATCGTCCTGATTAGACGCCGCGGGGAAACCGAATCTTCAAGAGCGTCAGCGAGCACCCGTAGGCGAAATATCTTCGACCGTAATTCTTCTAGTCCAAACCCGGGAGTACCTGCCACTATTCTTCCAAAGACGGCCATGAGGAGGTTTTCACATTCGGAATTCACAGACCCTAACGCGGATAGAGTTTCCGGGTCCCCGATATCTGAGCTATTCTTTTCTGGATTGAATATGACGGACGAGAATAAGTATAGCCGAAGCCATGGCGTGGGAGGATCGAGGCTATCTAGGGGTAGTAGGGGATCTGTACTGTCTTCAGTGTCTCCTGTTCCTGAAGAATATATTTTGCCTGAGGCACCAGCGAAGAGCGCACCAATTAGGAATAGTATGGATGGGAGGAACTGGGGGAGGGGGTACGGTGGTAGGGGAGGATATAATAACGTTAGGAATCGTGATCGCAATACGACTTTGTCAGATTTCGGGGCCATGATCTAGTTCTTTTCTTTGTATTTTGAAATATGTTTTTATGTATATTTCTTTTTGAACAAAATATTAAGCATAAGTGCCATGCCTCGAATTTTACAGCAACTTCGGGAGGCAAACCCGCCTGGCATCCTATGGAGGGGTCGAGAGACAATGTGACTGCTGGCGCCCCGCGCCCCACCTTAAACACCCCCTCGTCAACTAGCGAAAGGATCTGTTTCCTGAAGTGGTGTTTTGATATGACATTTCTAAATACACGTGGCCTGCGACGAGGATGTGGTTATCGATAAAGGCTTAAGCTTTTTTGTTTGTTGAGATTCTGTTAATATCCCTCAAATGCATAAGACAGAAGACGCAGTGCAGGAACAGGACAGCTCGCGTTGTGAAGTATCAAATTATACGTATTTGCGGCAACTCTTTTAGCTGATCCTATGGAGGGATTGGAAAAAAAAAAAAAAACATGGGGCGGAGGTCGTGTAGCTTCGAAGTCGTAGTCTTAATTGTGGATCCTGTGCGACGTCCGTCGTATCGACGTGTCTTTGATAATGAATTCGGAGTTTCTGTGTAATGTCAAAGTTAGAAAAAGTCAAGCCCTTCTTCTAAAAGAAGAAAAAAAGGCTATGCTTTGAGTTGAGTGAGCGAATGAATGAATAATTCTTCGTCATAATTATCATCATGGTCGTTTATCGATAAAGCTGCACCTAACACTTGCTTATGCAATGGACTAGGTTGTTTAGTACTCGCATGGACATAAGCTTCCAGACCAGGGCTAATCAGGACAAATCATGATCATTAGTACTCCATTAATTAGCGTCCAATTCCGGTAGGCCATTAGCTGGCATGATGTAACCGGAAATGTCGCGGGAACGTGGGGTTAATATCATGATATCACTTCACAAACGGACAGCACATTAATGCGCCCATCCTCATGGTCTTTCTGATCGCCCCTCTTTTGTTTTGATTTATTACCGAGTTTGGTGATATTGGAACGGGTTCGAGAGATCACGAAAAAAAAAAAAAAAAAGAATGAAAGAAAAGAAAAAAGAATGAAAGACAAGGGGAACAAGAACAAGAAGAAAGAATATAGCTGCTCATACCTCGGGTGGGTCTCACCGGCACCCGTCCCCAAAGACACTAGCTGCAGCCGGCTGATGCATGTGTTCCCGCTCGAGGATGTCATCTGGCTCCTCCCCACGTAGGCGAAAAGGAACAGCCTCCATCAGCGAAACGAATAAAAAAAAAAAAATAGAAATAAAAAAACTAGTCAAAAAATGCCGCGTCGACGAGCTCAACAGACAGACATCGTGACTGATGGTCAAGCGGGAGGGCAGTAATTAAATTCGAAGGGACCACTAAGCGGGAGACACATCGATGCATCTGGAATCGCCAACCAACAGCAAGCCCTTACCCACCTATAATCACCCGCCGACTCGTCTATGGTCGAAGGCTCAATCGAGCACGGCCAGTTGTGCCTTGTAATCACGAGATGGCGGAGCCGAGAGAGAAAACAGCCATTTTGACACGAGTTCTGGCGGCCGTCGGACTTCAAGGGATTTTACGGAAGACAGCATCTCAGCCATTCATCGGTTATGAGTAAGCTATTGTTGGATTGGGGAGTATCAGACGTATTTGAAATGATCATTAAGCCCATAAAATCCGCGGTAACGGAGTAATGTATGTTTCGTTGGTTCAGCTCCGGGTCAGGGAAAACTTTACCTGATACTGGTTGCATATTGCCATCATATTGCATGCCGCAGCCTCCGGTCAGGGCTGTGTTCGTTCTAGGTAGCGAGTGTCTGCCACTCCTGCCGAATAGTTGCCAGCTTGAGGAATGGCTAGCCCGTTTTCTTTCGAGGGCAATGGTTTTTCTTGCATTGCAAATTCTTTCGCTGATAATATGTAGATGGTCCTACACATTAGACACACAGCTCGGGAATTCCTGGACCTAGTCGGATCCAGGCTACAGGCTCGGGACCTGGCCTTGATGTGAACAGCCGTTGCTCGACTTACGTGTAGACTGTCGTACGATTGCCAGTGTTAGTCAGCCCGGTCGCGGTTCTTCTTATGAACAGTATCAGGAAATCGAAGCACCTGGCATTTTCCACCCCCCTCGATAGTCCGGTCTAGCGAATCAGCACCTAGCCTCACGTGCAAACGACCAGTGAAAGTGTTTGGTGGGAGTTGTGATTGGTTGCTTCCGGTTTGGGAGCTGCAGTTTTGACTCTTTCTCGAAAGCCTTGTTGGAGTTAAAGCGAAGGGTTGCCAGGAAACTGTCATCGAGCAAGCGGTACTAAAACCGCCCGCCTTCCACACCAATCTAAATATTAATCCAGCCCCCCTCCATGGTTTTATGGTCATGATCCTTCAGACTTCTTTATATATTCCCTTACCCTCAAGGAGGTGACGACAAAAAAAATAATTCTATCCCGTCGAGCACGGTTTGAAAAAAAAATCAGCAGATATCAAAATATAGAAGAGTGAAGTTGAAAATTGAAAGTTGAGGTTGAATTTGATAAAGGAAGACATTCACCCACAACACACAACGCATCAACACTTTCAGCCATGGCCTCCCAATCTCGGTCGGCTTTGGCCCCTCATCACGCCGCCATAAAGGCTCAGATCCTTCGACTTCTTAATCCCTCATCTCCAGATGAACTCCGACGCTTCCTCGAAGAAATTTCTATCCAGCAGGACGTTCTCGAGAATATATCCGACCTGTGGCCCGATCTACCTCTTGCTTACGACGCCGAAAGGGAGGAACTGGCCGACGATAGGAAGGAGGTTTATGTTCTATACGACGCCGCCCTAGATGATCGGGAGAAAATTCGACGAAGGTGGGAGAGACTGTTGAGTAAGCATCGGTGGGGACGACATGAAGTCGACGAGCTCAAAAAATGTCGAGAGTACATGGCCAGAAATGCAGTCAAGATGGTTGGCCTCTGCGTCGAGTACGCCGAGTTCTCCAGGTGAGTCCTTATTCTCCCTCCTGGGTCCCATATATGTTAAGGATCCAAAGGAAACGAAGGCTGTGAAGTGTAATGTATGAATGGAAGCTAATATTTTCTCGTGATGATTCCTAGCCAAATTCAAGGGTTTGCTTGTCTTGAGGATGACCTCCGTATTAAACTTGAGAAACTCTACGTTGATGAGAACCTCTCTACCGCCTCGAAATTAAGGAGAATGCGAAATATTCTCAATATGTTCGCCGAATCCCGCCCAAGAGCCGAGCGCTATACGTATCGCCGCCGGTCGCTTTCCCCTGATGACGAGGAGGAGGAGTACTGGGCCGTTCCCAAGCCTGAAATCGTCGAACCCTCAAGAGATTCGACATTTGTAGGAGTTTCATACACGAAACCTCACAGATCTCGTACAGATCGACATGAGCACAAGCGACATCGTCGTGGAAGGGAAAAGGAGGAGCGCGCAGAGCGGGATTACATTCCTGATTACAGCTACGAAGCTGGACTCCATGAATTTGATGAAAGTCCTCTTCCTAACACATACCCCAACGATTCCTCACGACACGCATTCCGAAGTTCTAGCCACGATACTTCTTTCCTCTGGCGATCTACTAGAACTCAAAAGGAGGATGAGCACATCCAACCACAATATTCAGGTCGCCACTTCTCCCTTTCCTATACACACCTTCCGCCGCCAGAGGAACAGCGAAGATCAAGTTCAGGGGCCAAACACCACCGCCCTTCCAGATATGAGGAGGAGGAAGATCCTCGTCGTCAAAAGAGTGGTGGCCGATACCTCGAAGTTCCAAAGCCCAAGCCTGCGAAACAGTACACTAGCTGGGAAGTCTATGAAATTGTCTAGATTATTCCTGGATAGGCTAGCGTTTCTCATCTCATCGGGTGGCTGACTGGTTCGGCTGGGATACCCCTTTGCTTACATTTCTTTATATCATATATTTTTCTTATCGGATACAGGGTCTTGTTTTCTAAACGGTTTTTGGCATTTGCAAACGGGTTCATCGTTTCGAGTTATTATTTTTTTATACAATCGGTTAAGTGTAGCTTTCCTGGGACTTGTCTATTCATCTTCTTGTACATTGCGATTGGCGCCTTTCTGATTTCTGCTTTTTCTTTTCTTGTTGTTTTGCTTTACTATTGGGAACGGCACGGTTCATTTGCATATCAGGTATGGGAAATACTCAGGTCACGGTGTCAATTCGAACATTTCAGTTATCTTTTTTTTCCAACCACCCCGCCCCTCTTCAAACCACATGGCCCTCATCTTTATGTTCTCCTTGTTCATTATCGAGTTTGATTTTGAGATCGCATTTTAGGATCTAACTGTCCTTTACTTCTGCTTTGCATTACTACCCAAAAAAATTGAAGGCTATTTGTCTTTGTTTTCCTGTCCCATGAAATGTCGCTAGCTATTATGTAAACTTACATACATCTCCAATAAAGTCTAATATAATACTCGTACTCGAGACGAAACCAATCTGGGAAACATCGATCGTGTAACTCCCAAAATCATAATCGACCCGTTGTGATCGAGGGTGTGGCGGTCAATGCAATGTGATATATTAATAGGACCAATATGGAGCAATAGAACTCACAGGTGCCAGGATCCAGGAATATGATCGAAAAACGAACAAGAAAAAAAGAAACAAAAGTCCTCAATTCTCTGCTAGCTCGGCACGCCCACAAACTGATAAGGGCGCCTAGCGGTAGATATTTGTGGATTTCTAGCGCTTAGGATGATATTCTTCGAAGGGTTTATCTGATAGAGTATTGCGACTGAAGAGGAGACAATACTTCATGTGCGCGTGCAAGCTCATGCCACCCGGCCCGGCCAGTGGTCTGTTGAGGCCAGGCATCCTTGCTACAAGTACTTCAAGTAATAAGTCTGAATCATGAACTGTTGGCGCTCTGAATATATAATGAATATTCGCATCCCAGGATCCCAGGACTGTGTTAGGATCCGAGCTAACCTGGACACAACAGCGTGCAATGGATAACCCTACTACTAAATCCATACAGCTTTTAGGCTTCATCTGAGCTAGCCCTTTTGAGGTCTCATTGAATTGTCATTTCGAAGATTTCTATCGCTTTCCATCGCTTTTTGCACGATCAGCGGTCCGAATTTGGCTATTTCCTGATTAGGACAGACTGTCAACACAACAGCTGAATAAATGCAACAAATTGACGAGGGCCGGCCACGTGGAAGCTCAGAGTCAGAATGGTGGATATAAATTGATATAAACAGGTCTTTGGACAGCATTGATCGATCATCGGTTGCATCTGCGAGGGTAAATCCTCACGAATACGTAACCCTAGATATCTTCCTAATTTGCAGACTGATTGACGAATCCGAAGCGAACTTTCTCCGCTTTGAGCGCAGATATTAATATCTCGACCTGCAAAACTGAGGGTAGGTCTGAGCTTAATGTCGCATTAATCCCCTACGATCCTTAGCACCAATCCTGTAGGCTGGAATTGCCTGGCTCATGCCGTTCAAAATAAATCATATAAAATAGCATCCGCTTGCAATCCATCGAGCTGTTAGCTCTCTCTCCTTTCCAACTTCTGCTAGCACACCAGAAAGTCTTTCATTCCGCCCGCACCCTTCCCTTCTAGGCCAAACTTCGTCTGAACCAGAAGTCAAGCCTTCTCATTTTCCTTTCTTTTTGATATAGCAAGAGTTTTAATACAATCAAACTGTTTTTGCTCAAAAGGTACAATGGCTCGCAGTACCGGACCTTCTAAATCGGCCTCTTGGCTTTTGACGGCTATGACAGTCCTTGGGTTTTTTGCCCAGACTGAGGCTGTTATTACAGCTATCGAGGGGCGATATCCCCATGAAATCTCCATGGCTGCAATTATGCAACGGCAAGACAGCAGCAGTAGTATCACCCCATCTTCGACTAGCTCTAGCACAAGCTCCAGCTCCAGCTCCAGCTCCAGCTCCAGCTCAAGCTCAAGCTCAAGCTCAAGTTCCAGCTCTTCATCGTCTTCCTCATCCAGCTCGTCTTCCAGCTCATCAAGCTTTAGCTCTTCCAGCTCCAGCTCTTCCAGCTCGTCTAGCTCCAGCACCAGCACCAGCACCAGCATCCAGACGATTTTCCCACAGCCAACTATTAATCCAGTTACTGCAGCATCTGGTATCCAAATAGCTGGGCTCCGGGGTAGCACCAGTCTGACCTCCTCCGGTAGGAGATACATTAGGGGGTTGGGAAAGTCTCTCGAAGAGCGGCAGTTGTCTGTTTCTCGATTTTGGATTGGCGAGTCACTTCAAAGCGACGGCTCTAGCCGATTTATCCTCGTTGATGATGAAACCTCTGCTGCTACCTTCGACTTGACTCTCAAACAACTCATTTCCGTTGACTCAGGAAATTCTATTACGTTTGCTTCGACTGCCGACATTGCTGCCGGTCTGGGTCCTTGGGAAGCCAGCCCAGATGCTGGAGATATCAGTGTCGAGTTCGTTATTGATAGTGGTACTGGTGCTGTCATCTGGAGCCACCCTATCTTCTCTAACATGTTAAACTTCCATCCTGCTCCCTGCTTCGTATCCTCTGGCACTACTACTGCTGTCGACTGGATTTATAATCCTTCAAATGAGGGAGTCTGCTCGAGATTCGTTCTCCAGGCGACTGGTGGTGACCTCCCGGCGGCAACGGCTACTCCTTTGCTCACTTCGATTGTCCCAACTGGTCCGCAAACCTGGATCGGAACTACGCCTATGCCGCCAACCAGCTCAAGCTCTTCATCCACAGACACTGATACTGCCGGTCCAACCGAGACTGAAAGTGGTATTACCACCTCCACAGTTATCGATACCGCCACCATTACCAGCACTACTCAAACCACCTCACTGGTCACTGTCACCTCATGCGATAACTGGGGATCTTGCGACCAATGGACTTCGACTACCACCCAGACTAGCACGACTTTGTACACCAAACCATGCACCACTGCGCTCCCGATCCCAGTTCCAGTATCTGAGGCTACTGCAGCTGGGTCTGCTTGGTTCTTGGCTAAGTGCATGCTTTCGGCCTCGTTAGCTTCCGCCATCGGGTTCGTTCTTACCACCGCGTGGTAAACAACTTTTTGAACACAATCTTTTTCCCATTTCGGTTTTCTTTTTTCTTCCTCTTCTATCTTTCATTTGGAATACTTGGTGCGGTTTCTATCTTTTCCCTTAGATGTCATAATAAGAGCATTTTTATTATTATTTTTATAATATATTATTGTTACAGGAGGCGTCCTATACTGAAGAGCATGGGTACTTTTGGATACTATTCCGAAGCTATATCTCCTCCGGCGAAATATTCAACATAGTATTCGGTATTCCTAACTCTCGACAGTTTATAGTCACTGGACCACTATTTTTCCCTATTTATTTTGACTTTATTTTATTAGACAAAAATCCCTTCCGATTTATTCTGTTATTAGAAGCAATAATCAAATTAATTTAATCCATTTCCCGCAGTGGCAAAATAGGCAGAATCTTTCAGAACTTAGGAGCAAGTTGCTTTGATACGGGAGGGTATGATGGGGCCTTGCAACCCAGACTAAAACTAGACTTTGGTAGTTGGGCTTGGTTGATCGAGCGTGAGTTAAATCGGCCGGTAAATCAGAGGTTACATGCTCAGAAGCTATGAGGATCTTAGATCAGATATAAATGTGTATATACATTGTGTCAGGTAAGGGCTTTCGCTCTAGAATCTGTACCGTCATCATGTTGCAGCTATCTATAGGATGCATAGATCACCCCATAGCAGTAGAATTCGAAGAGAGATATTCCCGCAAAACTGATCGAGAAATGAGGGCGAAAGCTGGGATTCCGCGTTTAAGTAAAATTCTCTCTAAAGATGCCTCACGACAGTACGAAAGAGAACTTTTAAGATTTGCCCAGCAGTCCCCTAATCACTGCCTCCCTTCTTCGTCGAGCTTCTTCTTTTAGCAACGCGGCTAAACCAGCGCCAGCGAGTAGCCCGCCTAGGTGAGCTGCGTGATCCATCCACATGCTCCATCCAAAGAGCAAGGCTGTGAATTCCCAGACACCCATTGCTGTGGCGATTGTGGCAGCTTTGACGGTGAATAGAGGGAGGAGGACGAAGTATAGTTCAGTGCTGGTTTAGCGACTCGATTAGAATTGCTTCAACGCACACTGGATTCGTTCTGGAGATATCAAGAAGGGACTTACTCAGGATTGATAAATGCAAACCCCCCTAAAACACCGAATACGGCGCCAGAGGCACCAAGCCCGAAAACATGGAATCGCTTCATGATCACGTTCGTAGTGAGTGAAGTAAATGACGCAATGGCACCTGAGGACATATATAGAGCGAGAAAGTTGCCTCGACCGACTTGTTCACATACTATTGATAGACGCTCTGCTTATTGGATTATATTCATGCGATAATTTGCCTGGGAAAGGATTAACACCGCAGAGAGTTGACTTACAGCTTGTACCAATGAGGAACAATGTCAGCATATTGGCCGCAAAATGCCAAAGAGTATGGTGACTAAACACGCTTCCGATAAGGCTAAGGACTTTTGGATCCCCCGGACATTGAACGAAATGCGTATTCAGGATCCTCCACAACGGAGGTATTCTCCACGCCAGGAATACTACGAAATTAGCGGCAATAATCCCGCCGATCGTAGTTATCGCTATTGGGATGTTCGGGAATAATCGGTCCTTTGGACGAGGGTGGACGTATGCGAGGGCATAATAAGCGCTCCCTGCTAGAGTGACGAGAAGGAATACGAACGAAGGTGCGAGGCGACGAATCGCTGACATTTCTTCCGGTTCTTCGCGATCTGAAACGCGCGCACGAGCGCGGTGGTAATTATACCATGCTTCACTGCCGACTTTGAGCTCGCTAGCTGTTTCAGTAGATACGGCCTTGGCCTTCGGGTCTGCAAAGATGGGTCCTAAGACAGGAGGTGGGGGGGCTGCCGTGTCTTCGGCATTATGGGGGCTAGGTTGCGAAATATTTGGAGTAGATGCTTTTATGGGAGATGGAGGGTCTATGCTTCTTCTAGAGGGACGGCGTAGAGATGCTAAATGGCGGGTGGAGCTTGTAGGCAATACGTAGGGGCTAGAGAGTAGCTGTTTCCGTAAATGTCCCGGTTTAAGTATCGATTGTCGAATCGTGGATACTGTACGAGAGGGAGAGGGCAGCTGAAGTAGATGTATAGGTGATCTAGCCGCCTTCAAGGGAGCAAGGAACGAGGATGGAGGTGCAACAGGCGCAAGTACGCCCTGCCTTATGACGCACGACCTCCATATCGGAATCATCATCGCACGGCGAATGGTTCGGAGAAGATAAGTATCCCCTTTTGCGGGGTGTATTCGATGTTTTGGAGTCGTCTCTAAGCCATTAGGTCAGGGAGATTGGCAATCGGAACGCTATCCTTAGGTATCTCGAGAACTCGGGTAGCTGTTGTTTTATAAAGATGCAGCGCACGTTAGCTAACAAAGACGTGTAGACAATTTTAAGTATGCAGTCTAGGGATTTTATGGCTGTAGATGTTGCTATTGATGTAGGTTCCGAGGTAAGTGTCGTAGGTGTCGACGTTTGATGTTGATGTGGATCGCGCTGATGGTGGATGCTGTGGAGTGTTGTTGTGGTGGTCGAAGCTCTCAGAAAAATTCGGTGTTACCAAAATTCCTAACATCAAAAACATCTTCGCTCATCTGCTCAGCGCAGCCCACGACGAAACGACACAACCTCCAACCTTCGATTCATGTAGCCGGGACGCGCCTTCACCTAGAAAAACACCATTTATAAACATTAGATAAGGAAATTAGCCATCATGAGTGCTTCTGCAGCCCCCATTCCGCTAGTATGTAGTCTTAACTTCCCCGCACTCCGTTGGGCTTAAATCACCCCACTAATATCGCATCGCAGGATCAGTTTGCTGCGGCCCTCCTCGATCTTGAGGTCCCACAACTTCACCAAGAATCAGCACGTCTTCAAAACTCGCTCTACCACCTCGAACGATCCAATACTACCCTTGCTGAATACCCCGATGATGAAGACTGCAAGGATGCAATACGCTACAACCATAGTGTTATTGAACAGCAGAAGCAACGGGTCGATATCATCAGGTTGGAACTTGTAAGGCGCGGAGTTAGCGTCGGACATATGGATTTGGATATTCCTGGATCTTCTGCTCCAGCTGATACTCAGGCTACCGTTGCAACATCGGGGAGCTCTGCTCCCGCGAATGGTGCTAATGGGCATGCCGGGGAAGACGAGGGGGTTTATTTGTGAGGCATTCGCCGGGCCTTTCGCCACTATATTCCCGGCCAATACAAATACATAGGGACTGGCCACATTGAGTTTATTGGAAACCCTGGTATAGTACCGCCAGTTCACGTTTCTGCAGGTGGCTGACAACGGCAAATTTGTCTGCATCCCAAGGAAAATAGAGGACCCACCCAGACGTAGGCGAGCCGGAACGTTGGAATGCAGAATGCGGATGATTTTAAAAATGTGGAGATATTATTGTTGTATCTTAACTACAAGGATAGATACAACTTCCTTTGGGAGATTCCCTCCCACCCGACGCGCTCCCAAGACAGTCGATCCGAACACGCCTAAAACGCCAGCACCTAACTCCATACCACAAATCCAACAAACAAAGAAATACAAACAAAGAATTGTTGCTGCAATTGGCCTCTTTTAGCCTTGCTCCACGGCCTTCCGATTGGAGGCATATGTGGAATAGCGAGGAGGAGGCAGTGAGAAGTAAGAATAAGAAACTCAAGACTCATTAATCACTTCAAACCTAATTGGAAGGTCCCCTCTCGCCTCCCGCCATCTGTTCGTTGCCCTTTGCAGCTCCGTGCAGCCCTTAATCAACCAACTCCATTTCCCAGCAAAATGCGGCGTAATCTCCCAGCTCTCAATCCTCTCCGGTGGCCCCCAAACAACCAACCCGCTCTCTCCTTCGGTACAACATAAATCATCGCACATAGCATCATCGACGAGACCCTTATCTCGGGTCAACATCATAATCATGTTATCTCTCGCCTTGGAACAGGGAAATAAATCTATATACGGGTGGTGTGGGTATATCATCTGCATTGGTGTAGGGTGGAGAGTTAAGGGTAGGTTCTCAGGGACGGTATTTGAAGTGCAGAAGGGACTTGTGATCTCGTCCGACATGAGGGCTGCAAGTGGTATATTAAAGTATTGCAGATTGGTTAAGAAAGCTCTGATGACATTGTAGTGGATAAGTGAGAGAAGAAGGTTGTCGGGGGCGATCTTAGGTGGGACATATCGCAAGCGATAGCCATCGGTCTTAGGGTCTGTGACAATGATGCAGTTCTGCCCACGCCGGAATATGGGATGGACGAATTCTCGATTGCCTTCTGCTTTCATCATAGCTACTTGGAGTGGTATGATGCTATCTTCAAATGTTGGAGAACTTTCATCGGCTGGAACGGTCGTCAAGACGGTCTTAGAATTTTTGATCTTTTCTGCTTTTTCTAGCATCTTGCGTCGACCTAGGATGCATGTTAACATGCAAGTGTTAGCGCCATGTCATCAATATGCATAGGTTAAACGAGCTGGAAATCCCGAAAGGTTGGGACTAGACAGGATCAAGTTTCTCTCGATTAGAGTGGTCACATACGGTAGGCGCGCTGGTTAAGCCTGTTTTGCAGCTTTCGTCGAACCTTGGGATCCACTGTGCCGGTCCAATCCTCCTCTGGGCCAGCAGCACATTGGAATTGTTGGTCGGGAAGGGCGGAACCCACGCCCAGCTTCCCCAGATCGACTGATGAGCTACTTGATACAACAGCCATTGTGGTTTTAGTGTCTCACACTTCCTTTCACAACTCCTTGATGGATGAGGCAGATAAATTCTTTGTCAGGGATATAAAACTGGTTGTAGCTAAATTACCCACAAACCAATTCTTGAGAAGCTGGATATAACTTTTCTTTCTTTCCTTCGTTCTGTGCTTCGTATACTTATCGAAACGGCGGGGGTAGCAGTTGATGATGTCGGAATGCAGAATGGTGGTCCCTAACTTCCCTTTTAAAACTGAAGCCTCACAAATGCGACCTGCTGACGGAGCTGCCAGACTGCCCGAACCCCGAGCAGCCCCTCGTCATCGAACCTTAAAAGGCAAGGTGTACATTACCGCATCTGGAATTGCTGGTACGCTAATGCGGGCTGCTTACAACAGTTCCTGGGATTAGATGCAGCCTGCTGACAGTCTTGGCGGTCACACCGGAAATTGGCACGCCCCCAATAGTTACTAAGCTTCTAGCTGGCCTGGAGAAAAGCGGATTTAATGGCAGGTGTTTCCTCGAGCTGGGTTGATTCTGTTAAAAGGGATGCAAAGCCCTACCCGATTACGACTACATTTGCCCAGAGATCGGGTCCGTGGATGCCGTTTTAACAAAAGGTTGCACATATTATCTGCTCTTATGGATCACATATACATCGGGATAGATACTTTCGAGGTCGAGAATTTAGTTATTTACTGACTAAAGTTGATCTGTCGCTCACAATCTGACTAACAATCGGATGCAAATCCGGACCACGCGAGCTCAGCCATCATTCCAGAATCCTTCGACCTAGATCTCGAGGTTCCTTCCTGGCTACTGAAATACCTACAACGTTGCGATATTTTCTGTCTTGCGGACAAAGTAGACTACCCGCTGCGCCTCAATCAAACAAACTTACCCGTACCAACTGAATACAATCGAGAGAACGCTAACAGCACATTCGGAGGAATAACGTTAAGGACAGAGAATGTCTCTTCTCTCGGACGATAAGACATGGCTGCAGAAACGGAGGTATTCTACGGGAACAGGCTAGCTGATTGTGAAAAGCAAGGATTTTCGAAACCGACGAATTGTCATTTGGCGAGCCGAAGTAACGCTGGTGCGCCGTTCTGTTGGTTCCGATTTTTTCAAGACTGAGCCTGGCGGGCTGCCTTTCCTAGGTTTACGAGACGGAATCTGTTTAATACGAAGTGCATTGATGGGATCCAGGAAGTTTCAATGATTTAATTTAGCCTTCTATCGACAAAACCCATCGCGTCACGGCAGATCTCGAAACCCCTTAACCCGTCGAAAAAAACAAAATTCAATTTGCAACACAGAGCCGCCTGAGAACATATCCTAGTAGCCGATCGGTTTTCTGCAATGAAAATACAATATCCCTGGCCTGGCTCAGCTTTCTAAAGTATAGCCTAACAGCAGAATACGAGACACCACAGCTTCGCTGTCAACACATTTTCTTACTGTATGAAGGACCCTCAGTAAGATCAGGGACGGAAATACCGATTGTGATACGCCGAAAGATAAATCATTTGCCAATCATAATACCAAGTCGAATATTTGCATGGGCATCCTGTTATTTTAGGGGGGAAACTACGTGGTTGAAGTTCCGATCTTTGCAGACATGTGGAGGGTTCGGCAAATAGGTTCATGGCCGTCGCATGGCGGTCGAACGAGCGGGTAGCATGGTATCGTTGCTGTCCAGTATAGCAATTTCGTAATACTTTGCTTCGAGACAATCTCTCGAAAGTTATAGTCGCAAATTTTTTGAAGTGTCTATTTCCAATTTGACTATCGTTTAGCGGGAAGTGAGCAATGGAGGGCGGGCAATATGAAGTGAGCAATAGAAAGTGAGCAATAGAAAATCGAGCTCCACGGCTCTCTATCTGCCAAGAGTGAGTGTGCATGAAACGGAGGCATTAAATGGTAACTTATTATCTTGCGGGGTTAAATTTAACATAGTAAATAGATCGTGAAAAGAAATTCTAAAGAGAGATAATACACTCTAGTAAAGAACGCATACAGGCATCCAAACATGATCCTGAGACCTTCCTCCAAGTTGCAACAACATGCCAGTTTAAAACAGATAGGTGGATCTATATATCAAACAAATGAGGATCCCGATCGATTGAGAAAACCGAAAGATAGCTTTTATGAAGAATCCTCTAAGCATCACCACGCTTCCCCATATTCTGCATGCGACTGCCCTCCTCGTCACTACCCAATCCCTCGAGTCTCTTCTGTTCACCTGGGCTTGGAAGGAGGATGGCGGGATGCACAAAGTTGTAAATGATAACAGCAATGGCCATCATTACACCATCGAGGGCGATGAAAAATCGCTCAGTGGTAATGAGATAACCATCCCAACCCTCCAACAATTCAATGGTTCTGTAGATACTTCGGATGTAGATGCAAGTGACACTGAGAATGGTGGCATACGTCAACCTCATGATCGATTTTTCGAGCTGAACGTTGCGAGCTTTCCACAAGAAAGCCCCATAGAAGCAACAGAAGACCGTGATAGAGGCCATTTGGAAAATGACACCACCAACCATAATGTTGGATCCAGTGCTTGGGTCGCCGCCTGGCTTATTTGAAGCTGAAGAGGCAATACCACCGCCTGCGGCCTGGATGGCGAGAGATATGATATCAATGCTGACAAATATCCAGAGATAGAGTTTGGGTGGGATTAAAGAGTATTGGCGACCCGTAACATCGATGAACTGTTTGAGAAGGTAATAGATAGCACCAGTGAAGAATGCGGGAGCTGGGGTTTAAGCCAAGTTAGTTAGTTATTTGTACAAGGTTCAATCCTAAAAATCACCAAACAACTGCTTACCGAAGATGAGAGTAGAGATTTGTATCAAGAAAGCATTGTCATTATAAGGGCACGAAGAAGACCATAGCCTTCCTCCCCATCCGATAACTTCAGCTGCATTTTCACGATATATGTTAGTGGGCTGTCCCATGCAAAGTCTGGGAAGCAGTGGAGTACATATACGTACCAATAGTGCCGATGGCAAAGCACAAATACCAGTAGTTTTTTCCCTTGATAGAGGAATAGATATGCCCGATCGTGGAAAGTCCAAATAGAACGACGAAGATGATTCCTGAGGCTTGGGATGGGACATAGCCGTAAGAGGGGTCCAACCCAGGAACGAGAGCTTTACAGCCGTTACCAAGTTCCTGTCGCTCCTCAAAAGTGAGACCTGCTTTTTCCATACTGAAGTTTCGATTATTTTTCGCTAAGATGTTGACCTATTCGAGTCCGGAGGCCAGTCTCGAGAACAGAAAGGGAAGTTTTTCGCGTTGGACGTTGTAAGTAGGAGCGTAAATATAACTTGGAACCTCGCGGAGAGATTCAACTGTTATATATGGAACAAATTGTTTGAAAAGAAGTACTAAATGGAGATCGATGTATCAAAGAGCTATGTATGTAAGCTTGGAATTTTAATAGATTTGAGATGTTTTTGCCTTTCTGGGTTGAGTTTTTGGCGTGCGCTATTGATATTGGATTTGGATTGGGACTAGACATACTCGGGTCTTATATATCGGTGGGCGGTCGTTAGCTATCCCGTGGTGACCGGCACTGAAACCGCTCGCATAAAGACCCACCTGGTTCCCAAAAACCTCCATTGTGGCTTCCCTTGATAAGTTTCAAACGGCGCACTGGTGTGGGATCAAGGCCAATGTCATATCGCATTGATGCCTACCCATGTATTCGCACCACCCATTCCGAGGGGGGGTTGACGGACTGAGCTACCCAACGAGGTCCAAACAAATCATCGGACGGGTGGTACGTATGTAGAGCCTCGTTGTGCAGTTGCACTAACATGCAGGCTGTGGGCGGCCACATCTTACGGATCATTTTCTCGGTGGGTTCTGTTTTATTCCAGGACCACTAGCAGCTCAGTATTATTGGTTAATACGACAATCTTAATCTTGGGTATTCGCTATTAGGTCATTCAGCCTAGTACGGATTCAAGAGCGAACGGTCAGACTAAGGTCACGACTAGATGCGTGCTCCTGAGCTTGGTACTTTCGAGCTATCAGCGTGTACCTTTTAAGGAAATTTTTAATCGGAGATGACGGAAGCAGTCTAAGGTTCGAAATGTTGGAACTCTACCCGGGACATGCAGATGTTTTAAATTTTGGAAGATCTCGATCTCGATTAGGTAAAGTCTTATTAAGGTTCATCCGACTCCGAAGCCTGCCTCGCTATGCTTTATCTAGAAAATCTTACCTCACACAGCCTAGATTTTATTTTTGATATGCCATAAAATTAAAGTGAACGGACAACTGCCGCTTGTTCTTTTCTGTTCGATGCGTTGACCAGGCTGGTGAACGTGGGTTTTTTGTCCCTGTTGCAAACGTTTAAACATCTCATCTACCATGATGTTTGCTGCATGTTGGTGAGGACACGCGGCCGGGACATGTGGGTGTTAATGTAGTAAGTACGAGCGTAGATGCGTGCACAGCCCTACTGGCTTGCATTGTGAATATTCCATTGTTCTTGTTCGTAACTTGTGCCATTTTCGAACGAGGGTTACGGGATTTACCCTTCATTCCACAGCCTAAAATTTTTTAGGGCTGATGACGTCGCCTTGGGGCTCTTACATGAGCTTGGATAGTACATGTACGTCCCCAATCGAAGATGCCCAGGACTTCTTGCCTTCGAAGAGACCCCTTCGCTTGGTATATATCGTAAATGCTTGAATAGACTCACAGGCTTGTGTGCATCATGCATACTGTCCGTGTTTACCAAGACGGCTGGAAATCTTACCTTTCTTGGGGATTATCTCAGCAACGGCATATGTTTTATCCCCACCCTAATATACACTACACCGCAGAAGTTTCGTTCGAAAATGTTGTGGTGCCAGCAGTATTCATGTTACTATTTTAATTCACAATGGCTGGAGCTTACTTCGGGGCAGCCGTTACATTCTTTGCCTAGTTGTCAAGATTTGGAGGAAGCTCTTCACCATGAACGAAAGACCTGGAAAAGTCAGGAGAGCTCAGCACACCTGGGCAAGTCTTGGCCATAAAGGGCCAAGACGGTACCTACGCAAGCGGAGCATTACCTTGTGGGTGGATTTTCGGATGGTTTCTGAATGCCGAAACCTTCAATTTACCACAACAACGCGTTTTGTCCTTGGTTTTCTGTCCTTGATTCCCGTTTGGCTGTTTTGTCCTTACATTCAGGTACCATCGTAATATTGACCCCAGTACTACAGTGATCCTGACTGCCTGGTTCCCTTTCAACGTTACAATCTTAACGTGTTATCTCAAATCATTTAGTAAGTTATCCCGCTTTGCTCATCCGCTTAGTTTGCATTTTGATTTTCATACTTTGCACCACAGGCTACCCATTTTACGATCATTCCATGATTTCCAAACCCCCCTATAGAAGTTACTTTTGAGTCTATGACTATCGACGCGCGGCTAACTGCTCGGCATCGACATAATCGATATCCAAGGGTATCATACATATTTTTCCACGACAACGTGGTTCGACCAAGTTTGCCACTGGGTCTACTGTCGGGTCGTTCTCGATTACGTCTCGCCTTAATATTACATATAAAGTGGTGAAGATAGTTCTAATCAAATGACCCCCATGCCGTGTAAGAAATCCAAACATGCGGCGTGATTAAAATACACCGGATTCGAACTGGTAGAATCTGCCCCGAACGCCGCGAACTGTCTGTTGCACTAAGATTATAACGAAGACCCTTGGTTGCCAATATTGTAAATTTATCCGACAGGGAGGATTTCTATTCGAGGGCTAGACACTGCGGCGTTCTCGTTTTGCGAACACCCTAGAATTCTTTTTGGCCAACAGATAGGTAGGACCTTGCAACAGATATGAGGGGTAGGTGTGCTGGAGGAGGGATCAAGAGTGAGTCCTTATTCTGTATAATGTCTGCCACGAGCTTACAATAAACGGGCGCCCAGGTCAGCATCATGATCCTAGAAACGCATCGCAACGTTCAAAGCCATTCACATATTGTCCAATGCTCGCATCCTCCTCGCTTCGGCCGCCTTTTGCTCCTCCGTAAGGCTGGTCTCGCTCCCGCCTTCCCCTTCAGTGTTAGATTCGCCCGATTTGTTTGACCGCGACCGGCGCAGACGTATTGCGATGAAGATGATCATCCCAATAATTACAAGCCCAACAATCCCCGCCCCTACGCCGATCCCTATTTTCGCACCGGGTGACAAGTTGAGGCCATTTTTGACGTAGTCGTCTACCAGAGTTTTGTATGATTCAATAGCTGCTGAGTTCGACGCTGAGGATGGACCGGCGGATGTGGTTTCCGACATTTTTGCGCTACTCGGTCAAACGCGGTTTTGTATCACGAGAAGCTGTGATACACCCCGTAAAAGCTCTCTAAACGAGTAGTAAGTCAGCGATCGGCTTTCTTTTGGAAATTTTTCACTTACGACAGTGATATATAGCCTGGGATCGCGATCGGGGTTGTACGAGGCAAGATCAGGGTATTAAAGTCAACGCCTTAGCGACAGCGAGTCTAACAGACCAAGAAATGGCTGCAACGCTTTTTTGAGTCGAGGATTGTGGATGGTTCTGTTGGCTGATAGAAACTACTTGGTGCCTTTTACTGAGCGCATCCCGCCCCTTATATTGTTTTATTCATCTTGGATCACCAAAAGGCTCTGGGGTGTTACCAAGGGATCAAACTAATTCGGCTACCTAGTGCGATCAGACCCTTGTGGTGTTTTGACATTTGATGGTCTGGATTCTCAAATTAATGGTGGGAGGCTAACGGCTCGTATGCACGTTGACATATCGGGATGTTGAAGCGAATAACTTAGATAACCCTGATTCCGTTTGGGGATTCAATCCCGCGTTGTGGCACAGGTTTCAGGGAAATATTTTCGAATCGCCCCCCTACATAACATGAACTGTAGGCTTGCCGGCAGAAACGAGGATGTGTTTATCGATATATCATGATCAACACCACCATGATACATGGGACGATTTGACATGATTTCTGATTTTTGAGTGTATTCTTGACTATGAGCCATTGAGAATTCCGATGGAATACCGGGGGAAATTCTTGGCATTAATTCTAGCCAGTCGGCATTCGTTAATGTTTGGCAACCCGCATACTACCGCTAAGTGATTTGCGGGTGTATCGAAGATGTGGAAAGAATTGCAAGAATTGAATGTACTCATCGGCACCAAGAACGACACTGAGCTTCAGAGATACCTCAGACGCGATTTTGGTGCTCTGTGGGATTGTAATTATAGGGCTGGTTCATCTTAAGATAGCGGTTTGGTTGCGGTACTATACTATCGAGACTTCATCGCTTTCCCTGCGTGCGTGTTTTTAGAACCAACACATTACCATTATGTTCACACCTTGCCCATAACTAGTGGGTTTGGATCTTCCTACTTCCGTTTACCTTCATAGTAATTTTCTGTCATATAACATCACGATTAAAAGTTTTCCGAATTCCCTAGCATGCATCTCAGTTCTAAGAGTAGTTAGAGCTTAGGGTAAAGTATATATTAGAAACTTAAGCTGAATGCATATTTCAGGTATGGCCGCCATTATTATGATCTTGTTGGATTCTAACTAAGCATGTCAGAGCTGCTTGTTTAGCAATAATCACAAAGCTTTGTAAATGACCCAGAGTTAGTCTCGTATTGCAGACGCGGTCCACACTTTGGATTAGAGTATGAACTGGTTTGACTATTATATAACTGGAATCGCAGTACTAACTAAAGATAGCGGTAAGCTTGCTTAGATTTAATTACAGGACCATGGCATTAGGTCACCAACCGTCGTCTAGTTTGCGAGTGGTGAAGATGACTCCAATGTTATCCGTATAGGGTCCCTCCATGCTCTCCCGTTTTTTGGGAACACTCTCCGTATAATGTGCTGGTTCCCAGATGTAATAATGTGAACACCACCATCAGAAGGTGCAACGGTGACCGCAATTCTGGAGCCTTGGTCGGTCGGGGTGGTATTGATTTTCTGTGGACTGTCCCCGATGACAGTTTTGTAAATATCACCGTTTGTGACGTGATAGAACGCAGTGTTGGTATTGGGTCTCTTCCCCTCCCAAGCAGCAGCTATAGGGACATGTGATGGGAAAACCTCGACGGTACGACCTCTAATACTCCAGTCTAAACCTTGACTGGAACCCTCCACAATAGCGTTTGACGCTTCGGCTTGCCAAAACCCTCGAATATTTGGCTCTTCTAGAGAAAGATTGATGAACGAGAGGGATGTTCCAGCATGCGGTTTCTCGTGTGTATGCGTGGAACTTGCATCAAAATTGAAGAAAACACCCTTTGTCCAGGGACCCGAGCCGGCCCTGTCGTATTCTTGAATGCTACCATCCTCGGCCTGGAAATATAGTCTTTGGTGATGTTAGCTTCGCTTACGTATACGTATCTCGTATTAGTTGATAAGTGTCCAAGTCAAGCCTACCTCATACATGTGGTTGTTTTGTCTTGTCTCCAATAAATCACACTGAGATCGCTGTTGCGAGCCGCTTTGAGGCTTAGATTGTTATGAGCGGTCTGCTCGCCGTTGACCCAGATGACCTCTCTGATATTATAAGATTTGTCTAGATAGAATAAATGCACCGTTGGGACGCCGGGTCCGTCGTAGTGAACGACGGTTGCCAGGGGGGTACCTCCAGCGGCTTCTGAGCTTACTGTCGATACTTGACACGTAGGGTTCTCGATGATAGTGGGACTGCCATCGCGATATAATGACTTGACTTGGTAAATTTTCAGGGACTGCCCTTGGCAGAAGTATGTCTGTGTGATTTCAGTGGATTTTCCAGAAGATGTTAATTCCAATATATTTGTTAACTTGACGTACCATATACATCTTGGCATGCTGATACTCGTAAACATCAGCAACTGCGAATGAAGTTTGATCCAGGAGCTTGTCTTGAGCGTGGGTTAATAGGATTAGCACAAGTTTGCCATCATAAGTTGGCCAAATTCTAGCCGACGTTTGACATACCCATCTTGAAAATGAATTTGAATTGAAGTTGTTAAACTGTCGGTATATCGATTGGGGAAAAGGGCAGAGGCCGAATATATACTCAAATTCCCCGCTTTGTTTGTCACCTACTGGGGGAGGGCTAATATATTTATATTGATGATCCTGGAACCCACCTTGGTCTGCATTTGGCGTGCATGGGCCGTTTACCGTTTTGGGAAGGTCGACACAGTTGTATTTTGACCTAGGTTTTGCGTTGCGCTCTGCTGGAATATTCGAATCAATCTGATCCGTCGACTGATCTACGGTGATGACTGAGAAAAAGGGGTGTGATTTGGTAAAATTATAAATATTACAACTAGCATTACAAAGAGTGGTTTTGAAATCCTGCTAAGACACTAGCTACCTAATTAAAGCTTTGTGAGAACGATATTATCAACCTGCACTTCTTTTTGGGAAGAGGTTGATTGGGCGTATGTAAATGTTATCCTCACGATGACACTATTCAGCGTCGTTGAAAAGATCCCGGAGTTAATGAGGGATACGGCTTGGAAACTGGTGGCCGTGATAGTACCACCGGCAAGCGCAATATCATTGACATAGAGAACTGCAGAAACGGATCCCGCAGTAGTTGTTCTCCTCGCATCAAATGATACTCTGTAATTAGTACCGGGGCAGACCGTAACAGCTTGGATGATATGCTGGGACAGGTTGCCATTGCCACTGTTGATTCGGGCCCTGAGCGCCGTGACTTGAGAACCGCCAACATTGACACGCTCGACGTTGGCGTCGCCGGCGACTAAGGTAGTCCACGACCCGGAAAGAGAGGACTCGAAGTTACCATTGACGATTGGGTTCCCGGTGGGGCAAGCAGCGACAGAGGTGGTTGCTGTTGTGGTGCTGGCCGGCAGGGTACTGGTGACAGTTTGGGTCGTGGAAGTAGTGGTAGTTATCGTGGTAGAATCAGTAATCGTGGTAGAGTCCGTAATTGTCGTAGAATCAGTGATAGTGGTTGAGTCTGTGATTGTGGTAGATTCTATGACCGTCGTGGAGTCCGTAATTGTCAATGTCGTTGGCTCGATTATGGTAGTGGAGTCTGTAATCGTGGTGGAGTCAGTGATAGTAGTGGAATCTGTGATTGTGGTCGGCTCGACAATAGTTGTAGAATCAGTAATGGTAGTGGAATCTGTGATCGTGGTCGTAGTAGGCTCAGTAATCGTGGTCGAATCTGTGACTGTGGTCGGCTCTGTAATAGTGGTTGACTCCGTGATGGTGGTAGAATCGGTGACAGTGGTAGAATCGGTAATCGTGGTTGTAGTCGATTCAGTAGCAGTGACTTCTTCACCGGGGAGCGTAATGGTGGTGGGCTCAGTGACAGTGACAACCTCACCTTCGCCAGGCAGGGTAATAGTAGTGGTTGTTGTCACAGGATCCTCAGTTAGAGTAGTGGTAACGTCCGTACCGGGTAGTGTGACAGTAGTGGGTTCGGTGACTGTTACAACTTCGCCTTCGCCAGGCAGAGTGACAGTTGTGGGGACTGTCACGGTGATAATCTCGCCATCTTCTCCTGGCAAGGTAACGGTCGTTGTGGTTGTCTGCTCTTCACCAGGTAGAGTGACAGTGGTTGGAATTGTCACAGTGGTCTCTTCGGTGGTAGTCTCGGTGACAGTCTATAAATTACAAGTTGAAGTGTTAGGTACGGATATATTTCATCATGCTGACTCGAAGAGCGGGAGCTTACAGCTGTCAACTGGTTAGGATTCAAAGTCAAAATGGATGTCACAGTGGTGGTCCCTGGCTTTCCTGTGACCGTAATTGTTTTGGGAGCTACGGTCTTGGTCTTGGTCAAGGTAATAGTCTTCGGGGCTGTAGTCTTAGTTTTCGTAATGGTAGTGACTTTGCCGACAGACTTAGTTTTGGTGATAGTTTTGGTACTCTTAGGAATTCTAGAAAGGTTACAATGTTAGCGAATCAAAGGAGACAACCCCGTGGATATATACACTAGCGTTCAAATTCTGTTCTTACGTCAAGGTTTTAGTGACAAGCTTAGTTGATGTACATGTTTTAGTGGACTGTATTGCGTTAGTTCAGTTAATAAAGAAAACTCTTGTCCGCCACTATCTAGGGCGTTAATGGGAACTGACAGTTCTGGTCACGGTTCCACCATATCTAGTTGTCGTTGACGGGCAATGGCGGTCCCACTTGTCCCATCGGTCCCAGCAGTACTTGTCATCGGGGCGATAGTCGGCAAGTGCCGACGATGCAAAAAGAGCTAAAATAACTGAAAACTTCATGACTAAATGAGTGTGTGTAACGAATGAACGTATCTGTGTAACGAGCGTATTCAAGGTGACGAGAGATCTGGTGTCATGGCCGCGGGGCGGCGGCGTTCGGGTCTCTCAATGCCATTTAAGTAGAGCGCCATTTCACGGAGAAAGGGGTTGTTTTGATTGCATTCGAACATCTCTGTCTTCACCTTCGATAGAAACGGCAAAGTCAGAACGCCACCTGCAAGCCGTATGCTTAGACGTTTCCCATTTGGGGTTGGCATTGGCGTTGGGGCGGCTTCCACACCAATCAAACACAAGAGGGGACCTACATCACGGGATGCTCCCCCAGACGAGCTGAGAGGAGGTCAATTGTGTAATGCGTTGTTGGCGTCGAGGAAATTACAAGCTCCCAAAGTGCAAAAGTGTCCAAAGAGTTTATGGAATGATACTTGCGGCTAATCGGCTCGCCGTCCGTTGTGTGATATATCGGCATAGCTATATAGAGGTGACTTGTTGCATTTTTGATGTTAGAGCAAACATCAACCTTAAGTACATTTGAGAAGAGTCTTGCAAATTTAATTAAGCAGAATGTAGGTACATGTGCTTTGGACGACACTTTCTTTTTTAACTATCTAGTCATCGACTATTTCTTCTACGTTAGCATATAGTGCTGTAGAATGCGTGAGAAATTACTGGAATGTGGTGAACTTACGTCGTTCGAATTTCCAGACTTGGTTTCGATTCTCGTCAACTTTTTCCCAGAGGAGAATCGGCGTGCCGTTGCGTGGGTTTCCTCCCTCAGCTAAATCGACTGTAATAGGTCGATGGAATTCAGGGACATAGAGACTTAATTTAATAATCGAGAACAGTCGTTAACGCGTTACTTGTATACTCAACCAAATGTAGGGGTGGGGGGCCTACCGGTAGGTATCATCATCCTCATCTTCATAAACATGCCATCCATAAGGACTGTCAGAAATAATGAGCTCAGTACCATCGTGAATATCACTATGGTTTTCACTGGCAGGTCTCAAGAAAAGGCCGAACGCAACATTTCGGATCTCCCATTTCCCATCATTTTCCGAAACAATCCACTATATTGCAGCTAGCGTTAGAGTGTTAAAGTATTTAAACGTTATCAAATAAGATACTTGCATGTTGGTTACTGCCATCATGTCTTTCCCAGCCATGAACAACCCCCTCATCAGTTCCTGAGGCATCGATAGCAGTGCCGCTGTGGGCATTGACAATTCGATAGTGACCGTTTTCGAGACCCATTCTTGTGGTTTATATGTAAATTTGAGAAAGGAAATTTATAGAAGGATGCTGTTTGGTTTGTTCCACGGGGACTTCGAGCAATTAGCTTAACTGACAAAGAGCTGAAATGACCAATGCCCCCTTCTTTATATCTGCTCGGCGTGCGGGGTGCTCCCAAAAGACAATATTCGATATCCCTATGAGCTCAGCTTGGCGCATAACTTTGCTCTTAAAATAACGTAGAATTCGTAACACGACGATAGCTCAAGAGCCAATCGGAATACCACCGGCCTTACTCGTCCCGCCGTCGGAACGGAAGAATCGCATTGCGTTTCTACAGCCCTTGCCGGCTCTCTTGGCATCTGGGCTTCGTTTTGACCTACCTGATTGGTATATAGTTCATCGGTTCTCGGAAAGCATGCCCCTTTATTCGTCGCGTTTTCTTCAGAACCCTATCGATTACGTGGCAAGGCTGAGGTGTTCTGTCAAATATGAATGTTTCAGTGTTCACGCACTTAAACTGAATAGTACAACGCATATGCGCATGTGGAATAGAGTTATACTGACCAGCTGAAAACTAATCCAATTCCTAAGCAAAAAAACCCGTTCTGCCTAACACTAACTGCAATATCTTATTAACTAGCTAAAGGAAAATGTTGCGAGATTTCTAAATATCGTCGTGTAAATCTAACCCCACTTCCCATACCCGCATGTTTGACAGCAGGCCGCAGGTGGTTTAGGAACCTTGCTCTACTAGGCCTACCCCAGACCTAGGCGCCCTAGGATCACCTTCTTTCACGGGATCACCACATATTAACTACGGCCCACTCCCAGTAGCTGCCAAGATGGAAAGAACTATAAGAAAGAAATGCATGCATTCTCGAGATGTAATTAAAAAGACAAGTTTTTAGACTTTAAGTTTTTAACAGAGAATGTCTATTATTTTTATATATGTTTTTTAAAATCTTTGTTTTTTTTAAAAAAAAATCTTTGTTTTATTATTATTTATATAATTAAAAGAAGATAAGGGTAGTAATTAAAGGTTTTGAAAAAAATAGGTTTAAAGTTTTAAATGAATTTTAGTGTGAGTGGAGAGTGGCGAAACTTATGATTGGATAATGTTGCACTGTTACTTTGTGCGACACGCCCACTTGCCGTGAGTGCGACTTCCGGACTAGTGAGTTACCTCAAGACCGGCTTCACCAGAGCAGGCTATTCCGACATGCAAGTAAAGAGCACAATACTCCGTACCCACAATTTATCCTCGCCATTGTCGATTTAAATTCCTTTCTTTCGCGGGGTTTATCCACCTGTTAGGCTATTTCGTCACATCCGTCCTAGTTTGGATTGTTTCTGTGTTCCGGAGGCTAATTATCGTTGAGAAATTAATACAGATTGATTTCATCATTCACATTACATATGCATATGGACACAGCTAAGAAATTTATCAAAGGGCCCACTCGATCTCGCTATTTCAGTTACATGGAGGAAGCAGCTTTAAGTTTCAATAAGTCTAATTCATTTATCAAGCAAATAATTTGAATCAGTTCCAATGGAATTTTCTAGGCTGTGTAGAGCGAGTCTCTACGTATCACAATATTCTAATTTACTCATATCACTAGAACTAAGCTTGGCAGTGCTCCAGATAAGCTACAATTCTAACAAAAAGATCCCTCTCGCTTGCCTCCGCCATTTCGTTATCACTCTATTATCGATCATGAGACAACTGAGCACAACATCAGCATAAGTGTCTCCACATTCCCACCTTAGGTTATCGAGATACTCTCGACATATCCACCGTCTTCGCTCGTAATGATCTTCTTCCTCATATAATCCCCTTCCTCAAAATCGGAATTCCTGTTCGTTGAGCTTGACTTCTTGTAGTCTTTTAATTTCATCCATAACCGGACTTCTAGTAGAAGAATACCAAGAGATTATATATCATATGCGTGGCGATACAGGCGACTTGGATCTGCATGCTTTGCAGGATGCTGATAATAGTCAAGCGTAAAGCCACTGATATTTCTCTCGTTCGTCTGCTCGGTCACGACTGCCTTTCCTTGCATGTTGCGGCCATAAACGCTTGTAATCCAGGAAATTTCTATTTTATTATTCAACCATGATCATAACCTGCCAACCCTCGGGTCATCCCATTGATAACTGGAGGAGGCAGTTGGTAGTGGCTCGTATTTAGCCATTGCGGCGCAGCATCAGGTAGTATAGGTAGCAGATTCATCCAAATAATGATATAGTCTGGCCGTAAGAATATGTAACCCATCAAAATAGGGTTTGAGACATCTACCTGAGTTTTAGTTTCATATCAATCTTCCGTTATAGCTAGGGAATTCACATATTCGGAGAAAAACATTACTGATTTTGCGCATATGTTTTTGTGCAGCCAGCCATATGCATATGTACATGAGCGAAGCAGGCAAACGGCATGCACAAGCTTCCTAGCCAACTCAAATCACGCACCGAGCATAAATCAGATGTTTTCTAATTTGTCACCGAGGAGCGATAGCAGTGTTACGGGTGTACGAAGCTTCAAGTTTTTTGTTGACTGTTGACAGCTTTGTATGCCAACCATGCCGGGAAAACTATAGAGAATGCTGCAATGATCTTTGTGCTCACCTTCTGTGTGGTCGATCATACCGGCAATATCTAAGCCATGAATACTTTGCATCTTGCTCGCGCCTTAAAAGATATTATAGAAGTTTTTGATGAGTATACGAAGCTTGGAATCAGCCAGTCTGACCAACTCAATTAACTCAACATCTTCGTCATCATCACTGTCGTCGTATTCATAGATCTGATCCATGTCAAGCTTGCTGTAGTTTTGCGCCATTAAGGTATTCATTGATAATAATACTAGAAAGTACGCCCGTTTTTGATGACGCTTTGCTTGCTGTTTTTGCTCTGAAGTGGGTTCTAGCGGTGGTCCACAGTAGTCTCGTATTTTGACATAAACGGCTTGATTTTTGGATAGAGTAAGGCCTTTTCTTAAATATTGCATCTCAGATTGATTTTCGTTAATGCTGGTAGGAATTCTGTTATCTACGTACCCCTTGTCTTTGTTTTCATTAACTGATGCCTTCAAAGTAGCAGTCGAAGCTAGCAATTCGTATCCCTGCCGTATCGAAGATCTTTCATCGGCTTTTGTATGATTAGCTGCAAGCCTTAACGTCCATTTTAGGCCTGCCGGCTATTTCAGCTTAGCCAAGTATTCTATCGTAAGATAGATTATTGACTCAAATGCATTTTCGAGGCAAAGGCGATAGAGCGATTCGCTGTGAGATCGCAAGTCGGCGATGAGTTTTTTGAAGTTTTCTTTGTCTTTGAAAGCCGCCTAACTCATATCTCGTAGAATATAATAATTTTTTTAAAAATTATTTAAAATAATAGTATCATTTTCTTAAAAGCTTCCTCCCTTACATATAAAATCTAGAGTATAATTAAACCTATTCCTTAATGTATGTTGTGAAACTTCTTAATAATTAATAACTAATTAGTGGTGAGCCTCTTCTTCAAGAGGGGTGAAGCTGATTGCAGTAGTAGCAGATAGCTGTTTGCTACTATTGTAAAGTGGCTTGCCAACTGCTATGATGGTATTGTATTAAGGATTCATAAGGCAATCTATGAAAAGATGCTTGGCGAGCAGTTTGATAAGCTGATCTTTGAGCCCCTCCGCTATCAAGCCTCATTTGGCAGCCCAACCTCTTTCTACAACAAGTTCCTACCCCGCAGCTGACTCTTCTTCGCTCGGCATTCTTCCCGCGATCAAACCTGTTCTTCGCGTAAACTATAACACGGCCAATTCTAGTCTTACTTATTGATGCGCTGGAAGTGTTCTTCTCTACAATTTAACTTGCTCAGGTATCAAGAATCATAGCTGGGCAGGGTCAAACATAGGCTGCAAGGCTATCTATATTCGCAATGCAGTCACGATAACAGAGCTTTGACCCCGCAATAAGATGTGTAGCAAGCTATGAGAAACACCTGTAACTCTTTAGAGCTCCTTTGAACTTCCTCCTGTTAGTCTCCTAAACATCACCTGGTCCAACAACGTTCACAAATACTCCGACGATTCCCGCATATGAGTTGATGGCAACCCGTTCGCGCGATGCAAAGGACTATACAGTCGGATGGCTTTGCGCACTTCCAATCGAACTCGCAGCGGCACGACTATGTCTAGACGAAAACCATGGAGATCTGGTCTACGATCCTAACGACTGCACACATTACACGCTGGGGAACATTGGCGCGCACAATGTTGTTATAGGGTGTCTTTCCGCAGGCCAGATTGGTACAAACTCCGCCGCAACCATAGCCGCAAAGATGAACGCCAAGTTTCGGAATTTACGATTTGGGCTCATGGTTGGTATCGGTGGTGGAGTACCCGGTCAAAGTAGTGGTGGTAGCAGAGATGTCAGACTTGGTGATGTGGTTGTCAGTCAACCTGCTTCCGGTCATGGAGGGGTCATTCAGTACGATTTTGGGAAATCTGCCTCGGACGGGTTCGTGAATACCGGCTTTCTTAACGCTCCACCTCAAATACTCCTTCAAGCTTTGACAAAGGTTCAGGCCCGTCATCTTGGTGGCGAGACAGCAACATTGGCAACACATTTGGCGGCTATCGAACAGCAGAGGAACTTTCGAAGGCCATCAGCTGCGGACGTGCTTTTCAAGGCTACATATGAGCACGTTAGTGGCGAAACTTGTAAGAATTGCAAAGGCGACGAAGTAGTAGACCGAGAACTACGTCAGAGCAATGAAATAGTGGTTCATTATGGCACTATCGCTTCTGGGAATCGCGTCATGAAATCCGCAAGGGAGAGAGATCGAGTTAGCGCAAAATTTAATGGAATCCTATGCTTCGAGATGGAAGCGGCGGGTCTGATGAATAGCTTTCCATGTGTTGTTATTCGCGGGATCGCTGATTATGCGGACTCGCACAAAAATAAGAACTGGCAACCTTATGCCGCGGCTACTGCGGCTGCGTATGCGAAAGAGCTCTTGTCCGCTATCCCGGCCGGACCTACTCAGGATGAAATATACGTTAGTAATACCCTTTCACAATAGGTGACTGCTCTAGTGCAACTAAAATTTAGGGCTGACGAGCCGCTTTTTCGACGATACAGGAAGAATTGAAGTCTCTTGTTGATCCAGCGCGCCGTGACGCTGTGACTGTCGACCAATTCATACCGTGTTTGTCCCCAGTCAACCGGTTTGCCCTGACGCAATCACCCGGAGATTGTAATGCTGATGAATCGTCGAAATTCCATTGGGTATTTAAAAACATGGATTACGAAGCATGGGATACTGCCAACCAGTCAGCGGTTTTGTTGCTATCTGGTCCAACGGTTTGCGATATACGTCAAGTTTCATTCTCCATTATACAAAGAGAGATAGAGATGGCTAGAGCTGGCGGTAGCTTCGTTCTGTACTTTCTCTGGACCCCAGAAATCGCAGAAAGCCCAGTTGCCATTCATACCCTTCTTAACCAATTGTTGCGTCAATTACCGCCTGACGAACAAACATCATGCGTGCGACATTTCCTAAATCGCCTCCTGGAACATAGGTTTAAACTTAGAGAAACTCCAGGTTGGGGAAAGTCATTCAGGCGAGACGAACCGCTCCAAACAAAGATTGGACACATCCTGGATGCTCCGGTGGAAGAACTTTGGAGCGCTCTAACCGTGCCTCTCATCTCTGAGAACTCTAAGAGTAAAAGGTTTTCGGTCATCCTTGATGGACTGCATTATATCGAACGAGAGAGGAATACATATTTCAACGGGGTTCGTTCATTCGTGGAGCGCATACAAGAAAAAACCACAAATTTCAAATTCTTACTCACGAGCCTGCCGCTCGTTGATATCAAGAACACCTTTGGATCATTTCCATATATCGAACACGATAAGGAACGAAAAGGTTGGTTGGCTCTTATGTTACCTCTTAAAAATCTTATTCTCTCTTTATTAATGGCTAACTAAGGAAGGATGAAGCATGCTTGGACACGCTCCGTTTTGAAAACACGCGATATGGAAAGATCAGCCGCGAACACCAAGGTTCATTCCGATGGATATGGAAGCATAATGAGTATTTAAGCTGGTCCACACCGAATTCCTCTCGGTTACTCTACATCCAAGGCAAGCCAGGTAGTGGAAAGAGCACCTTGACGAAGTACTTCAGCCAACGTCTTAAAAAGCGAGATCCGGCTGTTGCATCTGCAATCGTAGCAAAGTTTTTCTATAGCGAGAGGGAAGGGCAGCGAAGACATCACTATATGCTCCGATCTATCCTTTACGATATCCTACAGCAGGATGAGCCATTTTTCTATCATCGATTTCAAGGCGAGTATCGGAAGCAAGTTGACAAGGGTGCAGGCGACGTGTGGGAGTATGAGTCACTAAAGACGGTACTGCAATCTCTGGCAGACTACTCGGCACCTACAGAAAGAAGGCTGTACCTGATAATTGATGCAGTGGACGAATCCAGTGATGATGACAGACGCAATATCATCAAATTGCTTTTTTCAATATGCGGCGAGGCGAAATTTTGCATCAAAGTATTCGTTGCGAGTCGGCCGTTGGGATCACTTGAAGTCTCTCGCACAAAATTCCACAATTTTATAAGATTACAGGACGAAACTAAAGAAGATATACGCCGTTTTGCAAGCTCGCTACTCGACGGACTCGAACTTATCCACTACTTCTCCGAAGCGACAGATTACATCGTTAACAACGCGTATGGCGTGTTCATATGGGTTAAACTAGTGGGACAGGAACTATTAGTCTGTCACGAGGAAGGATACTCTGAAGAGGCGGTATTTGAGCTCCTCAAAGAACTTCCAACAGAGCTAGAGCAATTTTACATACGGATGTTTCGGAGAATGAACGGGGACCGACGCAATATATCAGACGGATCTAAGGTGTTTCACTTTGTTCTTCTCGCACGACGGCCGCCCAAGGTTATTGAGCTGCTTCATGCGCTCGCTATTCCGGGAAACATAGACACAACATTCACCTTGGATACGGATATCTCGGAAGATAACTTTCAAAGACGTATCCCACCCCTTCAGCGCATAATCTCGTGTAGCGGTAACTTTTTAGAAGCACGGTCAGTTCACGACGGAAGTATTGGCAGAATGAGCGTTGACTCTCTATACAATCACACAGTACAGTTTATGCACCAAACTGCGCGAGAATTCTTTCTCTCTACCGAGAACTGTGTCGCAGAATCCCAATTCCGCTTCATCGGGGACAAAGCCCATGGCAATATTTTTATCACATGTATTCGATATCTGACGCTCTGCATGCGAGGTATATCAGAGCGATTTCCCCGCGGTGAATTGTGGACGCTACAACGTTTTAGGGATTGTGCTGGATATCTCAACGAAAGGCCACTGGTCTCCTACGCTCTATCACATCTTAAATACCATGCTTCTAAATGTAATGGAGATCCCAGCCTTTCCATTCTCGTAAAGCAATTCATCGATGAAATGTATAGGACGAAGGGTATCTATTTGTTAGGCCGGTGGGCTAGTGGGAATTTCGGTTGTCAACCTCCGAGCAGCGATGAAGAAAGTGGAGCGTGGGAATTTAAACAATATCTATTACACGCGGCGGTTTGGAACGGACTAGCTCAAGCAACCGAAATTCTGATCCTAGCTAGTGCTGATGGGACAGTGGAAGATAAGGATGGGCGGACGATGATATGGTGGGCGGCAGCAGTAGGTCACGAGCGGGTGCTTGAAGCCTTGATTCACACCCGTACAAATGTAAAAATTTCAAAAGCGGCAAACATTGCCGATTGCAACGGCAGGACTCCACTATCAATCGCGGCTGAGCAAGGACACGATAAAGCTGTAGGCATTATCCTCAGGACAAATATGGTGGATGCGAATGCTGGGGATCACTGGGAACAAACACCACTATGGTGGGCAGCAAAGGAAGGGAATGAAAAGGTAGTCGCAGCGTTACTGGAGGCTCTCGTGGATGTCAACAAACCAAATAGAGACAAGCAAACACCACTGTCGATAGCGGCCGAGGGAGGGCACGGGGCAGTCGTCAAACTGATTCTGGCGACAGGAAAAGCAGGCGTGGGCGTGGTGGATAGGACTAAATGGACGCCACTGTCATGGGCGGCCCATGAAGGGCATTACGGAGTGGTGTGCCAATTATTATCATCAGATAAAGTGAGGGTAGACTGCGAAGATATATGGAATCGGACGCCATTACTAATAGCAGCTGAGAGAGGCCACAAAGAAGTTGTAAAAGTACTACTAGAAAAGGGTAATGCGGATATAGAATCAGTAGATGAGGATGGATGGACACCGTTGATTGCAGCAACAAAAAAGGGAAATCGGGAAGTGGTCAATTTTTTATTAGGTAAGATGACAAGCCGGAACCCAATATTCGATTGAATTGGGGTATGGGTTTTTCTATACCACACTATCTAGTCTCAAAGCTAGCATACTGTTACTCCTATAAATCCACAACTGTTGTCAATACCTTTTGTTACCTGCAAGATTTGAGCTATCGAAAAGGCACTGGAGTGCTCATACTTATGGGTTCCCTTAACTTGGCGTTACTAGCGATCCTCAACGCGCTTTGGCTAAATGGTCGACGTATCCTGCGTCGATGTCAACCCCACAGATAACGATTCTATGAGATATAAGCAAGATGGAATCAGCGCTGATACCAACTTGTTGAATATAAGCGAAAAAATCTTGACATAAAAAATCAACACTAATACCAACTGAAAACCGGTACTGATACTATTACGCTTTTAAGTAATTTAAGCGAGAAAACCCTAAGAAACCCCAAAACCCCAGAGAACCCAGTAGTGTGTTATCGTGGAGCGGTTAATCTGCAACTGTTCTGTTTTAAATTGTGGAGTGGAGTGGTTTTTTGAGATTTTAAATGGATTTAAGTTTATTAATAAAGTGGTTTAAATTTAATTTTTAAGATTTTGCAGTTTGGTAGAATGGAGTAATTTTATTATAAAAATAAGCGGTTTTTTTTTTTTTTAATAAATTTGTAAGAAATCGTATACAGACTAGTCGTGATATCAAGGTAATACACAAATATTACAAGACAAAAGTAATGTACTAGTATAAATATAAATTAATACTTAAATTATTACTTGGTTTCTAAATATATAATAATAAATATAATAGTTTAAATAAATAATTAATAAAGGAAATAATAAAGTGAATTAAATAGGAATTAAATTTGAACTAAACATTTAAATATATAAAATATTAAACTAAATAAAAGTTAAGATTATATAATTTATTAAACTAAACAAAAGTTAAATCTAAACTAAACATTCTACGGGGTATAAGTTGATCGGATGGGATACTCATCTGTATCAAATGCATATAAGCAAGGTGTGGTCTTGGTATAAAAAAGGACACTAATCCGAACTACTGATTTGTATTATTTAATTTACTTAAAGTAGTAATTCAGAATTTTAAAATTTTAAATTCAGAAATATATATAAAATCTATATAAACTTTTTTTTATTTTTTTTTATAAATTCCAATTTATTCTTTAATTTATTTTTAATAAAATAGTAACTTTAACTTTTCAACTGATTATTACAATTAATGAATTTCTATATATATTATAATAAAAGGTTTTATTTTATATTAATTATTAATAAGTTTATATTTTAATTAATATTAATAAATATTATAATTAATATTATAAAGATTTTATTCCACTAAAAACTTAAAAAATTTTTAAAGAATTTTTATAAAAAAATAATTCTTTTAATATTTTTATTTTTTCTGAATTATTTAATAAAAAGGAATTATTATTATTTTAATTATATTTCAAAATAATTATTAAATACACTTATTATCATTATTCCTATAAAGATCATCATTTTAATACTATAAAAAAATATCTTTATTAAAATCATAATTTTCAATAAAATACACACACACTATATATTTTTAAAAATAATTATAATATTTATTAAATTTAAATTATTTATACTCAAAATTCTTCTCCAATTTAATAACATATTAATTAATCTATCAACCAACCTATCAATTAACTTGTTAACCAACCTACCAACCAACCTACTAACTAACTTAATCAAAAATTCAAATAAAATTAACTCAATTTAATTAATAATTTATTAAATATAAGTTATATTTAGTGTGAGGATAAAGTGGTTTGGAGCGATTTGATGGTTTCGTCAAATTGCTCCGCGTGAATTTATGGATTTAAAATTTTAAATTTAAATTGCTTTAATAAACTTAAAAATAATAATAAACTACTCCATGCAGTTTTTTAAAAAATTTTAAATTTATCTAAAAATTGTTGTAAAATTTTATAAATTTACTAAAAATAAAAACATTTATATAATAATTTAATATATTAATTTATTTTAAGTTTTAAATATTATAAAACATATTAAATTAATATTTTAAATATAAAAATTAATTTTTTATTTTAAATCTTTTTTTTGTTATTGTTTTTTATATAATTGTAGTAGAACGTTTTTTTAATTTAAAAATATTTTTTTTTATTTTTATAAAAAATTTTATTATTTATTTTAATTATTAAATTATAATTATTATTTTTATAATTATTTTTTTTTTATTTTTAAATATTACAGCTATATTATTTAATATTATTTTTACTATTAATATTTTTCTTTTAAAAATCTTTCTTTTTTAGAAATAAAATTAGAAATAAATTTTTTTATTTTTGTTATTATAACTAAATAATTATAGTTTAATATATAATTTCTAGCTACAATCAATTTTATTAATATATTATAACATTTCTAGTTTTATTAAATATTTTTTTCAGATTTATTAATATAATAAATACTATTAAAATATCTTTAGTTATTATTATAAGAATTGAATATTTCTTTTTTAGTAATTTCCAATTTTCCAACAGATTTTTAATACTAATAGATAGTTTTTCTAGAAATCATTTTGTTTTATTGCATTTTAAATTTGAAAGAGTATTAAAAAAAGAATTAAAAAAATTAAAAGATAAATTAATATTAAAAATATTTGTAAAATTATTAAAATTAATATTAAACTATTATTAACTTAAAATAATAGATTTATTAATAAAATAAAATTTTAAGATTCTGAAATATCTTCCTTTTTATATTTAACATATCATTTATTATAAAAATAAAGAAATTTATTTTTATAAATATTTTTATAAATTCTATTGAATTTATTTTTATTTTAATCTAAACTTATATAAAAATTTAATTTAATAACTAAATTAATTATATAACTTAAATTATAAAAAAAATTTTTTGGATAATAAATATTATTATAATACTTTTTAAATTTAATAAATATCTAATTAATAATATTTACGAAATTTACTTTCCATTCCATTTTTTTTAACTTCAAATTAATAACTGTTTTTTTAAAATAATTAAAAAAATTATTATAAATTTTCTAAATTAAAATAATAATTAATTTTTAATATTTTAAAATTGTTAAAATAATTTAATAAAAAAGAGTAAGAATAATTATAACATAACAAATTTAATCTTATTCTTTATATAATAAAAAATAATCAAAAATTTTTGTTTTAATTTAATTTATTTTTTAGAATAGATCTTAATTGAATTATTTAATTTAACATTAAATAAATTAAATTTTAATGAATCTTAATATTTTATATTATAAAAATTGAAAGAATATTACCTTAAATATTTATTAACTTTTTATTAAATTTAGAA